ACAGCAGAGATAGTAGGAGTTGGGCAGTCCATCCTTGCCCTTCTTCCCGCGGCTGTCTATTCTCATCGCATAACCACGAGCCATTGTCCAATGATCGAGATAGACTTGCAGTAAGGGGAAAGTCTTGAATCGACGTTGCTGGGGGATAGAAAAGGTCTGGTAGGGTTGGTCTTCTGTCAAAGGAAGATTTGGAGCATCGACCTCTCCCATGAATCGAGGTTGGATGGCATCGATCTGCGGGGCTTCGTACTGGGAGTCGCTCTCTGATGCCAGGGGGCCCGCGTCCACAAGTCCGGGACTATCCATACCAGCAGTGACAATTCAAGTTGAGTGCGATCCGGTGAATGTTGAGGTGCGTTTACCGAGTAAAGTGCGCATTGAAGGCACGAGGTACTCCGTACAGGAGTCCAAAAAAGAACGCGAGAGGCGCGTCCCCAGGAATCAACTTCTCTCGTAAAATGACACTCAGTACGAAGTGCCTAATTTGATAGTTTAGCGCAGGAACGCTAGCGCAGAGGGACTACGGTTCGCTAAGATGGACCATACCAAATGTGGAAAGGTTGATTCTTGGCAATTATTACTTCCCAACCTAACCACTTCTAGTGGTCTTGCGTTGGCATACGGTAAGAATATTGCGGTGCTAGTAATTTCGACTGCTATCTCTACCATGGTTCATTGCCTTATGACCAGCAGTCGTGTCCCTGTTGGGCTTGTTGACCTTGGTGTTCTTGTACCACCTCCACAACCTCACAAGTCCATATTGCGTCGAGGCTATCAGAGCGCGGTGTGCAACCTGCTGCACATATGAAGTAGTCAGGATTTGTTGACTGCGCGCATCTCAGGATTTGCCATTGGTTCACTCGTCTACTTCTCGCCTATGTTGATTGCCATCCTGGCCAACAAGTTTCCAAGATCACGCAATTGAGAGCTCAATGGAAAGCCTCATAACCAGATGATTGTCGATGGCATATCATCCACCAATATTTGCTGCAACTTTTCGCTTCATGAGCAGGTGGACGCCATGAGAGAAGTTCTTCTTCAACAAATTGCTTAAGGCTTCAAGTTCCGGCCACTGCTAGTCCAAGACCTCAACGTCCTTGAAGGCCACTGTTCATCCAGAGCTTCATGTTTTTTTCTTCCGATATTCTAGGGTGGGCAATATCGGATCAGCTTCGTTGTCATTGGTTGGAGGATGTACAAGACTCTTGCCCGTGCTGCAAACTTCTTCCTCGCCTCACAGAACTCGGGGACCCTCATTTTGCTCTCTTCTTGCCGTTTGATGTATTTTGTTCGCTCATCAACCTTAATTCTGGGACCTCGAATTCGCGTCCTGGACCCCATCTCGTAGGTTCTAGTTCAGACTCCACCCGGTAAGAGAGTGAAATTTTCGAGAGGTGAATCCCGATCAGGATTGGCAGTCGCAACTGCTGGGTCGAGCAAGGGCCGCGCTGTTTCCATCACGAAGTGAGGCATGGCTTTCCCAACGGAGAACAGCATCTCCCTTTCCAAGGTAGAACAGTCCCAGGGAAGTTCGGTCGTACGCAGTACGTACAGTATCTATCTCCGGCGAAAGTCTCTTTCGGGTGTGACAGGTCAGTATGAGGTTTGACAAAAGGGTCTCGTTAAAGATCGGTGAAGGACAGAGGAAACATTTGGTTGGCAGACGGTCATACAGTGTGGAAAAGGGGCCAGGATCTGAGAGGTTAGTGAAGCTAGAGCCCGACTACGTGCTAATTCATTTGCCTGGACATTGTCAATATCAATCAATTTACTGGCTGAAAGATGTGTGATTTCCCTCGGTCACGCGACCCAGTCTTACTGCTTCAATGTTTCCGGCGATTCAGAGTGTTAACCGTCGTCTTGACTCACACCCTGTCTTCAGAGATACAGTCTGTGAGTAATGCAATGGCACCTGGCTTCCCTTTCGACTGCAGAATGCGGCCAGCCTCATTTCCCTAGCTTTGCGCAGAGAGCCTGAATTCTATCCACATGCTTCTGCAATTCCTGGTCGATCTTCTCGATCCTCGTGACCTCGAGGTTTCGGATCACTTCTGTCACGAGTTGGTCCAGTGGCACGGTTGGGTTCCCACCTTCAGCTCCTTCCTTCTTGATTGCTTCTTCCATTCTTTGCAGTCGTCCCTTCGCTTTGCGTATGCAATGAAGGCGAAGCTTTCGATGTTCTGCCTTGAGGGCCTTTAGCTCGGCGACAGCTCGGCGGCGCTTTTCTGCTTCATCGAGAGCCCTCGAAACCTCGTGCTTACCGAGTTTCTTGCTTCTCGGTTCGCCTTTGCTGGGGTTCTTGGGCTTCCGTGTTGCTGCTGGTCGACTATGTTCGGGAGAGGAATCTGTTGTCTTGGTCTGATTGCACCCCATGGCATGACGGGCGTCGGCACAGGTGTTCATATCTTCGACCACCTTGGAGGCCCTCATTGCTTGTTGATGAGGCTGGAGCTGAAAAGCTGTACGATGTGTGTTAGCTGCAAGGTATCCATCCTTCCTGGGGGGGATGACGCACCGTGTAACGCAAACAAATAGACTCCGTTGCGAAGCCAAGGAAGGGGAGAACAAAGCGACGTTTGAGGCAGATCAGTAGATGGGTGATTCCCAGGAATGAGAGGGGGGTGAATATGGGAAAGTGACTGATGGGGTCGTCGAACGTGCGCACCTGCTACTTGCGCTTTGAAGGAGGAGCGACCTGACTTCACAGTGTAACTCCCCAGTAGTCAGTCTCTTGAGGGACCGATGCGATCAGTAATACTTTCTTTTCCATTGCCTGAATACTAAAACTAGTAAGTACTATGGCATATATGATACATAGTATGTATTGTGACTTAATCACCCTGTCTTCTACCCCTACCACAATCCCAATCCATCTGGTAACTGGTAACAGTCTTTTCTGTGAGCCTAACGAACGTACATAGGATATATTTAGGGTCTTGGAGGCATAAGACAAGACCCATTATTTCGTTTAGCCGGCTGCCCATCTCTCTACCTATTATATTTCTTCCCATTCGAATTCGGTGTTGCCACTTCGGATAACTATTTTAGTCTCGATCCAGAGACTCCCTTTTGAACCTTGGCACTCCCGTCTTTTCTCTCACTTCACTTTGAGTACGTACGTACATATATACTTCCCTTCTTCCTGCATTGCTGGATTAGAAAGAGGTGACCATCACACAATCTACTGATCTACTACTAGGATTGAATCAAACCCTCACTGTGAGCTCCATTCTTCTTCCCTCACTTTCTTCACCTACGGCGTGGTAATCAGACATTGGTACACTGATGATGCTCCTACAGTATCCTTCAGCCGCCGCCGCCTTCATGCACACCTATGAGAGTTGGTAATAAGCCGACTTTAGCCAAGTGCTGTACTAATAACGCTAAGAGTTAAGACATCTACACACTAATTTTTCTGTAACTGCTGTACTTGTACTTGCTATGTATATAAATTTTGCCGTCGGTGCTGGATTTCGTATTTTGTACAATGAATTAGACTCTTCCTCTTGTACGAGGAGAGTTGCTATGTAAATAACTCTCTATATAAAGTATAGAGAGGGTTAGGAGGATTCGGTTTCCTCTCTAAAAGAGTACTCACGCTCCGCACTACGAGAAGGTGCCAGGCTCCCATCGCGGAGCACACCACTAAAGAAATAAAGCAACAACTACTACTAGTACTTTAGGACTTAGTATGTACTATGTAGTGAGTGGAAATATACTGTAGTATACTATGTATACTTACTATACACTGTATATTGTATAATCAAGCAAGGCAACGTGTCGACTGTGTATTTGCTTTCGCCCCATGAAGCGGTTAGGGATAGCGATGCATGTTTAACCTCTGCGACAGTATCTATAAAAAGCGAAATACTTTCCTGGAAGCACGTATAATGTGTAGACACCAATAAACGCCTCAATATAAAAAGTACATATAGTAAAGTATATGAGTACACGATCGGGTACTTAATGTATACAATCTTACTCGGGGCTAGTTAATCGCCAGTGATATAGACTGAAGGTACATATATATACATAGTAGTAGTATATGTACTTATATATAATGTATGTTGGGATACTACTGAGCATGTATGTATATAATCTAATGGCTCGGACCAATGGGCGAGCTTTCGCTTATCTCGCTTTCTTCGTTCAGCCTCCTTTCTCCACTAGTATATAAGTGAGTTAGATAAGCACTAGTATGACGATATAGGTAGCCAGGACTACAGAAAATAGATGCGCATGGTCAACCATGCTGAGGTAAACCTGTCCGAGAACACGATCATACTGTGTGTATATATATAATACTACGTAGTACATACTAACTATGAAGTACTTCAATGCCGCTGAGGCCGAAGTCCATATTGCCATCGGCGACAAGTTCTAGAAGTTCAGAGGAGGCTAGACTGGATGAGGCCATTTCCCTTGAGCGAGTAGCTGTTCGCAAGACCCCAGTGTCTCGTAATATAACTATTATTTAGCAAGGATGTAGTACTATGTATGTACTAGTACGTTAGTATGTAGTACATAGTATGCATACTATTATGTATGTACTTAGTAGAGGCTATCATCATTTATGATTCTCTCCATGATTTTGTTCCTTTCCACTGGGTCAGTGGCGCTACTTAGGTTGCTATGTATGCTACGTAGCGTCTTATGTAGTTACTACTACTTAAGGTACATACATGTATGTACCCATCTGCCACACATCTCATGCGACAACTTGGGCACCAGGCCGCCGCCTTCCAACTACTAAGTAGGCCATCAAAGGAAGTTTGGGTCATTTCATCGATACACGTCTAATCAGCCGTCAAGTCCTCCCAATCCCATCCCGTTGCAATGCATCATGGTCTTCGTTACCGTTTTTGATGATATATAGACGATCATCATCTTTCGAATACTTTCGCACCACGTTCGGTCAGCGGTAAATTCGGCACAAAGTCAGCAACACCATGCTGAACCTAATGGAACTTTGCTCGAGAACTACCAGACACGTAGCGCAATTAGTCGTCATCTAGTATCAGTCGAGTGATTTTGCCCACGGCAATAGTCTGTCCCTGATCTCGCAGAGTGAATCGACCGAGTTGAGGATAGTCTTCGAATCGCTCAACACAGATCTTACCACCACCACTCGTCACTTGTAGTCTCGCGATGATATTTTGGCCTTTGGCGGCGAACGGAGGAGGTTTCTTGCTCTTCCGTCCTGTTCTCGGTTCAAGCTTGTGCAGCAAGGCTGCGAAGGTGACTTCTTCTGTCGCGGCATGAACGTGCAACACACAGTTGAAGCCGGCAGAGAGGATAGACTTGAGTTCAACAATGTTGATCTGTGCTTCAAACTCGCGTACACAGTGGACGAGACGCTTGGGTGAGCATAGCACGAAGCCTGGCATGATGTCCTCTTCTTCGATACCACGGAGTCGTAGACGGACTTGCTCACCACAAGTAGCGTGGGGAATTTCTTCTTCCGTTTCACCGTACAATGCAGAGATGCCAACATCTTCCTTATTTGGCATCATGATATACGAGGATATTTTTTGGATCACTCCAGCCTCGATACGTCCCTCGACCATTGTACCCATGTCCCGATACTTAGCCCCAATAGGCATCATGAAAGGGGCGTTCAGGTTTCGTTGAATCTTGGCCATGCCATCAAGAAATTCGAGCAGAGAGGGACCTTTGTGCCAACTGGCTACGTCAGCGGGAATTTGGTCCTTGACCCCGACGCCTGTCTGTGCGGAAATGGGCATGAAAGTTGAGTCTAAGCCGATTCGCTTCTTAAGGTAAGGCTTTAGTTTGCCAACGATCTCGTCATAACGTTCCTTTGACCATTGAACAGTCACATCGTCCATTTTGTTGACAGCAACAACGAGTTCCTTGGCGCCAGTGGTTTTGATTAACATGGCGTGTTCTTGAGTCTGGCCACCCTTTTCAAATCCGGTCTCAAATTCGCCTTTTCGTGCTGAAATAACAAGGATGGCGACGTCTGCTTGAGCGGCACCGCTTAACATGTTCGGTACATAGGTCTTGTGACCAGGAGCATCAAGGATGGTGTAGCGTCGTTTTTCAGTTTCAAAGAAGCCACGACCGACTTCGACCGTCTTTCCCTTGGCTCTTTCCTCTTTGTTAAGGTCGAGAACCCAGGAAATGTACCAAGTCTCACGACCAGCATCCTTTGCATCTCGCTTGTATTTGTCAAGTGTCCGTTCGTCCACCATGCCTGTCTGGATCAATACCTGGCCACCCAGGGTTGACTTTCCGGCATCAACGTGGCCAATGAAAATGATGTTGACATGTTCTTTACCATACATTTCTTCTAGAACCGATGCGTCGACATCCGCCGACTGTTCCTGAGCAAGCTCCTCTGCGGTCTGACCTTTTTTAGCCTCGCCTGGCGTCGGCGAGGACTTGCCGGATGACGGCCCAGGAGAACTTTTGCCTGTGACCTTTTCCCCCGTCTTCTCTACTGCCTTTGTAGCTGCTACTTTGGAGCCCGCTTCTTTGGTTGGAGGTTCTTTCGTTGTAGGTGAGGCAGGCTTTTTGGGAGTGGTAGATGCGGATGTGGGGACACCGATGGAGAGGACCTTGGCCTTGGGGGGTGCTGCAGCTGGAGGTTGTTTGGCCGTTGAGGCAGAGGGAGGAGCTTGCGCAGCGGGGTTCGAGGCAGGGGCCTCGGCCTGGGTCTGTTGGACTGCTGGCTGTTGTGCTGGCGCTGCTTGAGCATCCTGGCGCTTTGCAATGCTGATGGGAGCGCCCTGTCTTGGTTGAAACCCGCCAGGAGTCTGGTTGTATGCCGCAAATTGGCTGCTATTGTAATTTTGGTTGTAGGTCGGCTGCTGCTGCTGCTGCTGCTGCTGATATTGAGGGTATTGGTTGTAAGTCGGTTGCTGCTGATATTGAGAGTATTGGTTGAATTGTTGTTGTTGACCATAGCCATAGGGTTGCTGATAGCCATTTGACTGATATGGTTGGCCAGGTTGGAAAGACGTAGCACCTGGTTGAAATGAAGCAGCACCAGGTCTGAAACTGTTTGCGTTGATGTTCAGGTTTTGCTGAGTCTGCCTGGAAAGATCGTCGTCCTGGGCGGCAGCATCTTCCCAAGAATCGAAGTTGCCTGCCATGGTGAGAAGTGGTCAAACGAGAAGCGAGGAATCGGCGTGTGTTCCAAGGATCGAGAGAAGGCTGTGTGGAAATGTGGCAATGAGGTTTACGAAAAAGAATCAATTTCAATTCGAGGTTGGAGGGGCAAGCGACTCTTTTCACTTCGAGTTGGGACGCAGGACGCAGAAGACGTCGGACTGCATTTTTGGCACGCATCGCACTTAGTCTTTATTGGGACTAGTTTGTTGCTGGAGGCTTGGCAAGGCTGGTGAATCACGGATGACTCCCAATGACGTCGCATGAATGCCTCCAACGCTGCTACGCAAAATCTACACGCATCGGTCTCAGGCCAGTATAGTGCTCCATACTAATTCAAGAAATCTCACAACGAGGGGCTTTGCTTTGGGTGCCTAGACATCCCTTGCTACCTGTAAGTGCCGTGGGCAGGTCTGGTCTTCTTTTACCGCAATCGGTAGTCTCCTCGCTATGGTACATGGGTAGCAAACTGGAAGCCCCTCCCACCCCTCCGTTCGTTAATCCACCTGGGCTTCTTTCGTTGAAATCACAACCTCCGAGCGTGTGAACCATCCATCTCCATCAATATGGACCTTTTCCTGGGAAAGGTCACCCAGCATGCGATGAACTATGCTATCCGCTCAGGAATTGGTCTCACTGCATCATTTGCCATCAGACAGTCAGCGAAACTCATGAGTAATGCACCCAAAAGTGCTGCTCGGGATGAGGTTGAATTGCTTCAACAACGTCTTCAGCACAAGATTCAAATCATCGCCCCTGCTATTGACATGATCGAATTGATTGCTGCTCGTGGCAATACATCCTTAGAGTCAGCCGTGGCACTTACAAAAGAACTACGCTTCGAGATCCAATCCTTGGCCCGAAGACTCCTTGCTGCGAATGCCTCTGAGGAGGCAACCAAGAAATCCAAATTTAACAGCCAGACCAAGGCGAAGAATGAACTGGAGCTCAAATTTATTGCTTCAGACACCCAAAAGCTGCTCGCTAGAATCGAAGATGCTGTCCCGCTGATCAACCTGGCTATCACTACTTCTGGAGCCAGCCTATCTACCTCATTGCCGCATACCGTGTCTCCATCTCGACTCCTGCAGGCTAGCACTTTCCTTACAGCTGGTGATACGCAATATTTCCTTCATCCTGAACAAGCCGTCCAGATCGGACCTACCTTCACCCTTACCGTCTACATGCTCTTTGCAGGGCATGACCGGCCGCAGAATGAGGACGAAATCCGAGAGACCACATGGAAAGAAGTCATGCACAAAGCTAGCGTAAAATTGCGACGAGTCCCTCTTGACGTCGTCTTCCACAACGGCTCGGCGCCTGAGGGAATACCTCCGGCTCAATTGAACTCTCCAGGCACGGGCCCAAATCTGTATGGATCCACAATAATACCAGCAGACGCACACGGTGATGAATATGCATACCAGGTGATGATCATCGAAGATTTGGATGACGATCGATACCATCAATTTGAAGAAAACGAAGCACAGCCTGGGCCTTTCGACGACGTCAAGCTTGCCGGTGTACGTGAGATGATTCCAATCCACGAGATCTCGAAAATATTTTATGCAGACACAAGCAAAGTCCTAAACATCGGATCTGATGCGGAGAACAACCACCCGGTACTTCTTCTCAAAAGAGACCTCAACGCAATACCTCCAAGAAGGATGATGGAAGCAGCTGACACTGGCCACGCTCAAAACTCAGAAGACTTCATCACCCAGACATCCACTGACCAGCAATATCCCCGTAATGATCATCCGGAGCGCACACAAGACCCTTGGCGTCTCCCATCATCTCTTGACCCTGAATGGATTGCCCTCGAAGTCTACACAGAATACGAACCTAGCGACTCCGATTCTGAGCTCGAAAATCAGGAAATGAATACTTCTGCACGCTCACTCTCGGCATCTCCATCCCCATCTAATCTCGCGGCATCGCTGTCAGACATGCATCTTAACTCATCCCCGTCTCCTCAGTATCAGAGCCAAACCAAATCAGTCTCCCCAGTGAAATCCCTTCCGACATCGCATCAACCGCCATGGGCTAACCAGATCCGCACCTCCCTGTCCCTGCTCGAACTCCTCCTCCGCTTGACCTCGCTCCAGCAATTTCAGCAGCAATCGCACCTCAGCATCACAGACGAATTGTTGAACTTCTTCCTCGAGGAAGCGGCATCCACTGGGGCGGGAGGTGACGAAAACTACCGCCAGGCTCTCCGAGCAGATGCTCGTCGACGCGTTGGGTGGGACCCTTACGACGAGAGCCCCGTAAAACGCCGCGGTGAGGAGTACCTAGATAGATACGCCACCGAAGGCTCTGGCTATCCCGACGGCGTAAGCGAGCAGTACACGCCGAGAAGTACCAGCGCAAGTGCAAGGGGCACTCTGGTTGGAGGAAGCGGGATGAACGGTGCTAGACGCGACAGCGGACCAGGCGTGCGCGCAGGTGCAGGGGCAGGTACCTGGAGTCCTCGCGATGCGAGTGCGAGATCAATACCCACCATGTCTGATTTCCAAGGGTCGCCCAGCCCGAGTCCGAGCCCAGGTCCGCGGCCATCCCCCTCGCCCATGCCGGCTGTGCCGCTGAACTCGACGGACGGCAGGACCCGAGCCCGTAATGGGAGCAGGACGGCCTGGTTGAAGCGGGAAGATGGTACCACCAATTTCAAGGGCAGTCCACTCAGGCCATCGACTGGGATGACAGATGAGGGAATCGGCACCAGCCCTCTGAGCAGTACTGGTGCTGCTGTACCCGATGGCGGCAATCCTGGCGAGCGGCAGAGTTGAGGGCACTCGGCTACCGAGCTCTACCTTGACATGAAATCGATGGGGTGAGATGGCAAAGGTCTTATGTATGATGTGACGAAGTTTCTGATTGCGAGAGCTTGATACCCCCAGTGTGCCATTATCTGACTATCCTTGGTTGACTACGACAATGAGATGAACTCTATAGATTCGGTTCGAATTTGAACTATCATCTCTCTATTTTCATGGGATTCCATGACTTTCTGCACATTCTTCCTTGTTGACTGATTCATCTCACCCCTTCAGCTCTATCCTTTCCTTGGCTTGGTGTTCTTCGTTGGAATCTTAGTGTGGATAGAGGATGGCTAGCCCATATCACCAGCAAGCTGCATGGTTGTTTCACTTTGTTCATCCGTTTTTGGAAATGTTGTGCTTGACTTGATGGTATGGTATGCTAGACGTACATGAACCAGAACAACAGCATAAGAGCTTGCGGAATGGTGGCCTGTCAGTGATGAACCAAGACTCCATCCAGGTTGTAGAGTCAGCCTCATTTTAAGCCGATTGGCCAGTGGACGAGAGACAAGATGTGATGTCTGGGTGAGTTCCTCCATCCTGAGCGGTCGCTAGACCAGATTGAACTTTCCATCATTCACAATCGGACAGCGGTAACACTACGATGGGCTGAACTAGAATTCAGTGTAAATTTGAGCGTGAGGCTTGCCAGTCTTTAGGCTTTATCTGACGCCCATTTGGGCGCGGATCTGAATGATCTGTGCCCTTTCGGTAGGAGGCAAGGAATCAATCGTTCTTTGATCCATAGCAAGCACTTGCTGGATCATTTCTTGTTGAGACAACTGTAATTGGGGTTGAGGCGGCGGAGGGGCTTGTTGCTGTGGTACAGGGGTCGGTGCGTATTGCTGTTGTGGCCTTGGTGGCATCTGACCTGGAATAGGTTGCGGATACCCAGGGTACTGTTGAGGAGTAGGTTGTGGTGGAGGGATGTTTGCAGATTGAGCCGGTCTTGTAGCTTGCTCGACGACTTGGGCAAGCACTTTGGGATCAACCAGATTCATCAAGATCAAAGCCTGGAAAATGGCATAGGACAATTGTGGTGCGGTCTTGAGGAGGGATGTGGCTTTGGCAGGATCTGAGATAGCGAGAGCTTTCATCTGCGTGAGAACGTCGAGTAGCTGAGGCGCTGGAAGAGAATTGAGTGTTTGTGAAATGGCATCGGTGGCTCGTAGATTTGGAGGTAGATCGACTCCAGCCGGAAGGGGAGGGAGAGCGTTGGCACCGCTGGCTTGGAAGCCATCGTTGGTTGGGGCGGTCTGATCGTAGTTGGAAGGTACAGAGTCTTTCTCGTTATTGTGAGGCCAATCGACACGGATTTTGCGTCCATCGATCTCGTAGTCATTCAGATTTCTCACTGCGGTCGCAGCAGCGTCGACGTCTGCAAAATCAGCGAAGCCAAAGCCTTTGGATTTGCCGGTGTCCGGATTTGACATGAGTCTGAATTTGACCACCGTTCCAGCGTAGGAGAGGATCTTGACGATGTTCTCTTCGCTCAAGTCTGCGAAAAAGAAGTCAGCCAGGGCTCGATGGAAGTAGGCTTGATTGATGACTTACTGAAGGGGATATTTCCCACGAAGACACTGCGGCTTTGACCTGGAGCCATGGTGGGCGAGCTGGGTGGGATAGAAATTTCTTGTGCAACCGTTGAATCAAAAGGTAGGAGTAGAGGACGGAGCCAACAACCTGTACCTGAACTGACTGAACCGGGAGCAGCGGACAAAGCACGCGAACGAATGTCGGATTTTAGTGAAGTTGCAGTGGAACTCGCGCATCATGCATCTGCGCTTCGACGTATCTAACTTCTCTGCCGCAGGCGATATGTGCATTTGTCTGACAGCCAAACCCTGCCAACTCTGATGGCACAAGCTCCGTCTGACGGAAAACCCTCCCTGTGCTAGCTCATTTCCAGTAGTTCGTCCAAAAATCGATTACGGTTGCCATCAAGTTGCCTACTCCTCTTGCTCAGGCTCCCAGTCGCTCCAATCATCTCAATTCGTGGCCGTTCCAGATCACGAGCCATGGCCTACGATCCGAGGGAGCACTTGCAAAGATTGCAACGGACACTCCAGCAGCGCGGCGGTGGCGGCGGTGGCTTTGGAGGCGTTCCAGGTGGTGCCGCGGCTGGAAGAGGAGTTCTACTATTAATTGCTCTAGGCGTTGGCGGTGTTGTCATCTCCAATTCGATCTTCAACGGTGAGGCTTCATACCCTCTATTAGGTCATGGTTGTATGACTGACGGTTTGCAGTTGACGGTGGTCATCGCGCAATCAAGTACAAGAGAATATCTGGTGTGAGCAAGGAAATCTATAGCGAAGGTATGGAAGATGAAGGTTGTCGACTCCACGCAATCATTGACAGTGTCTAGGAACTCATCTCAGAATACCCTGGTTCGAGACGCCCATTGACTACGATGTCCGCGCAAAGCCACGAAATGTTGCCTCCCTGACCGGAACGAAAGATCTGCAGATGGTCAACATCACCTGTCGTGTTTTGTCCCGCCCTCGAGTCGAGGCCCTTCCACAAATCTACCGCACCCTAGGTACAGACTACGACGAACGAGTCCTGCCATCAATTGTGAATGAGGTGCTCAAGAGCGTGGTTGCACAATTCAATGCAAGTCAATTGATTACCCAGAGAGAAAATGTTGCTCGCTTGGTTCGAGACAACCTCACAAGACGAGCTGCGCTCTTCAACATCATGCTCGATGATGTCTCCCTGACCCATCTCTCCTTTTCCCCCGAATTCACAGCTGCCGTCGAAGCCAAGCAGGTCGCGCAGCAAGAGGCCCAAAGAGCCGCGTTCGTTGTGGACAAGGCCAGACAAGAGAAGCAAGCAACAGTTGTCCGTGCCCAGGGTGAGGCCCGATCCGCCGAGTTGATTGGTGAGGCTATCAAGAAGAGCAGGAGCTACCTAGAACTTCGACAGATTGAAAACGCTCGGAATATTGCCACTATCTTACAAGAGAGTGGGGGACAAAACAAGTTGTATCTCGACGCTCAAGGCCTGGGTCTCAACGTCGGCGCATCGGAAGATCAGACTTCAAGAAGGTAAACGAGGTCTTGGGTGAAGAACTATGTGGTAATTTGTGTATGAAAAGTCCAGAGTGAGCCACTGCTCTATAACCTTTAGTAGGCTGTGTCATTAGCGACAGGTGGTCGAAATGTAACAATTCTTCCCTCGAAACTCGGCAGTTTTGAACCCTGCGCGATTCGTACTCTCGTTGTGTGGTTGATCATGCGACTCTGGTCGCCGGAGGTTCGGAGGCTTCTGATCTAGGTACATCCAAGAACTATGTTGGCTCGGTTGCCAATTCTGTTTGCAGGATGTCTGGAGAACGTGCACCAGGCATCTTCCCAACTCCTCAGTGGACACAACCCAGAGCACTAAGCAGATGGAATATTTCATTGCCCAACACGAGCAAGAGGCCGGTATTCTTGTCTACCACGTAAGTCAAGCGCTGAGCGCTCTACTGACTACGGTGAACTACCTACTATCTAGGACGGTAAGAAAATAAAGTTGACGGTACCAGGAGGCAGATCTCAATCACAATATTTGCTATTCAGAAAAGGGGGTGTTGCTGTAGAGATCGAGGACGTTGATATTCTAGTGTTCTTCTTCCACATGTCTCTGGTTTCCAGCTGGGATGAGGAACATCATCATTACATATGCATGTGGGCGTAGAGCATCTCCTCTGTACTAACAAGCGAGGGACCACGGTTTCGAAGGGATGAGTCTCTCCCAGTTTCCACAAACATTTAATTCTGAAGTTGCGCTCTTGTCAGAATATCGTCGCTGTCACATTAGTATGTAGCTCAGGCCTGATAGGCTAGGATTTTCAACTATAGTAGAAATCCTAGAAATGTAACATGCTATCGCCTCATAAGAATCTAATAAAGGATTTCTTGTCAATTCTTTTTGCAAATAACTAGATGCCTAACATAACCATGTCCTGTTCGTCTCCGCGCCCACACGGGATGTGTATTTCCCCATGAACAAACTTTCTGAGATGATAATGTTGTTCAGTTGACATACCAGGCGTCTTCAAAGCCCACCACCTTGCAGAGACTATCAACGGTTCTTTGTGCCGATGGCGTGTATCCGCTTATGGGTTGAATGAAAACCCTCGTTCGACCGGGGTATTGTCTAAGTAGGATCAGACTCTACGATTCGACCCGATGGTGTGCCATCGGCTTGAACATGTGATTTGATCTCGGTAGAACATCCTCCATAGAAGTCCTGTGTATCCTGTGGGCCCATTAGCTTCGACCCGGCTATCGCTTCAGCACCATGCCCCTACCGTGGGATTACATCTGAGCGAGATTTAGTTGGCAGTGATCCTCAGGAGTCAGGATAGGCCGTGCCCGTGACAGGTACGTGTTAGCACAAATGGTTGATCTTGCTCCTTGGTTCATGATTGAGATCGAACCTGCTTCGAAAGGTTCATTGTTGATGGAAAGCAGATGCATATCGCACTTGCTGTCTGTTTCGACGTCATCGCCACACTGTGCCGGCGTGCTTCGCTCTTGAATCATCACTTGTCAATATCGGACCCTAGAACCCGAGATTCGAGAATGAATTGACTAGCAGTGCTGAGAGATGAATCAAAAGTACCCAACTGTCCAGCTGCTAGCCCATGCACCCTGACTGAGGATTCTCGATATTTTTTTGGCACACTTCCTTCACCACTCTTACCATTGTTTTACCGCATCTTGACCCAATTATTGAACGCTCACAGGAGGAAGCTGCAACATGACTGATACTGTAGCCTATAGTGCACAAGTGCGACTCCCAGTTTGCGCTGACATGGGTTGGTGTACAAGCTCTTTTCCGAATCCTAGTCCTCTCATGCTCGGGGTGCGGTTGCTTTAGCGATGAACAGCTTGACCTGTGACTAGTTCTCGTCAAGGGTTCAGAACAACAACCAAGCCGAGTCTTGACGGCGATACTCGAAAGTGCCACTCATATCACCGACCTGGCTTTGGGGACCGAAAACCTATTCACCATCTCGAGCTCTCATCAAGCATCAGGAGGTTCCCTCCCAAATCCAGCCATGTTGGTGCGATCAACCATTCAAATACCAGCGTGATGATCACCGCGATAAGTGCCATCAAAAGCAGGCCGGAGGGCAGAAAGAAACCTCCATACCCACGCGAATTTGCTTTGAAAGAGCAACAGGGAGGGATATTAGGAACTTGATGTCATAGACAAATCTCAATGGACGAGGTTGGACGAAATCGAATGCATTCCAGGGATACTGTGATTGAAGATACTACTAAGAGCGTCTGAGAATGGTACAAGGTGCCGGTGAGCACATTGGTATCACATTGTGGCAATACTTCAATTGGAGACATTCTGATCAGTGATCCGATCTTTCAGGCTCAAGGTTGTCTGGGAAGTTACATTGACGGAGTTATTCCATAACATAAGTCGACTCTCGTCAATTCCTGCTGTCGAACCCACAGCTAAGTTGACACAACAACGGCTGATTTCCGAATAATCCGAATCCCACGGTGCAGGCTCACGGTGAACATCCAGTGACTTAGCCTTAGTACATGAACGTGCCGACAACTCTCCTTGCAGTCCCTCTGCGAGGTGGAACATGAGTGCATGGGGACCCACGTTCAGCTTCAGCTTCATGTCGACGTTTTCAATGTCAAATTTGGAGCTTCGGCAGCCAGCGCCCCGGACAAAGCCCTTTCCGTGCCTACCCTGGTAGTAAGGTGGACAACTTGCGGGGTGCAAGGCTGATGATGTTCATGGTGATGTGGTTTTGTTAAGCTCAATGCCAAGCGATCCACTTGTGCACTCTTGCCAATCAATGAAGCACTCACTGGCTCCACTGAACCTCCTTTTCCAGCGAGCCTCGGCACTTGGGTGTGACAGCTTTCCTGAGACTTCTGCACCGCGAAATGGTAATGCAGGCTTCATTCTTGGATTGGTTAGGTCCTGGACATCTTGTAGCCCTCCATGGCTGCAGTGGGATGTCTGAACCTTAAACACGGGTTAAAACCAAAAGCTCAAGCTGGCCCTCTGAGCCGTCGAATTCACAAAGTTACCAATTTTTTTCATGGATATGTGTGAAGCCCATTTGTTGCACTGGGGTCTTTCTTAATGTGCAGCCTCAACGTAATAGTATGAGGCTTTTCCTTGTGTGTTTGACAAGATGGGCTGTGGTTCTCCATGGTTTGCCTTCAAATTTTTGTTGCAGCTCCAAATTGACGTGTTCAAGAGGTGAACCAGCCTGGAAGCTTTGATGTCTTCGCCTGCAAACTAATCTGATTCATGGCAATCTGCTGAGCTAAGGAGTTAACGATAGCCCCCTGGTTCCTTATCTGAGGGATGACTCTTTCAGTTATTAGCCATGGTCCCACAAGGACCAAGGTGTGCTCCTTCAGCGAAAACATATTGTCCGAAAACTTCGGGCAGTGCTCTTCAGTTTCTTCAGACATAAAGAAGTCGGTGTTTGATATTTTATTCTTTGACTCGTCTTGCACCTTCTCGTACAGCTTCTATGTCTCTGTACTCTCTGTACGGCCTGTGGCTTGCAGGTATTCGAAATCTGAAGATAGTTGCGGGCGGTTTAATAGCAATCGTCGTCGTTGTGGGCCAGGAGACAGAAAGCGCTGCAAGGTTCAGCACTTTCGCAGGTCTTGGAGGGCATTCTAAGCAGCTCAGTGGTGGGGAAATGGAATATCCTTGTTGTTCCAAGAGTGAGAAAGGCCGACAATTGTGCTTGTTCAGTAAAAGCAGTGATGAAGAGCACAAGTACGCCGAGACCGCGCCCTACTAGGGCTATAGCGCACGCAAGGCTCGCAACTCCGTTCATTCTCAACCCCTCGCTCAAAGTACCACTCATCCAAAATATCCCTACAGACCTCCAGCACGTCTATCTCTCATTCTCTCCATTCATGAGATAGTCTATGTTGTCATCCTTCACTTAGGAACCTTTTTCCCCGGCCCTTAGACAGCATCAAGATCTTGGATATCTAGATGACTGAATCCTTGGCCAAATTCTTCTTCCAGCTCTCTTGAGCCCCTGCTGATTCCTCCAGCCTTTACACCAGTTGTCCCTGATTCCCTAGCGATTTCTCAGCAATTGCAACCGCATAGACTAAAAAGTCGAAGCAACTGAAATCTCCTTTCTCAGAATCACACTCATAATCGCCCCCGCGCTAATCAAAAGGATCTCGATTGCTCAAGACTTTACATCCAATTCTAACACATCCGAAAGCAGATCTTAGGTCCCTTATTATCCAAATCAGCAGCCACTGATGAAAGGAATTGTGTAAATACGCTACTGTATGTTTCCAGGACATATTCCACGATTGACCGAGCAACTAAATCTATGGATCTTCCCAGTCTTTCATGTGGTAGCAGCAGGCACACACAAACATAACTGTAGTAGAGGAGACAGCAAACTTTTGGATATCACTCTCTCTACTTCCTGACATTGATCCCAGTGCAAGGCTTTGGGAAGCCTTCATACTTTTTGGACCTTCTCTTGACTGAAAAACACAATGGCTCCTCCAGCAATCGAAAAACTCAACCCACCTCCCCTAGCAAAACCTCCAAAAAAGCCAGACCGGATGTACAGTCAATACATTACCAATCCTACTACGCCTAGAGCAAGGACAAAGCTTCAGACACTCCGGGGTGATACAGAAAACTTAGAGGCTTGCAAAGCAGTCGAAGACCTGATTGAAGACAACTCGAGAGAGACTAACTACTCGAATCTAAAAGAAGCATTGGAAACACGGGATGTCGGTGCTCTAAGCACTTACAAAACACTTACTGCACCTGCTACAACCAGTTCTCTCTCACGAGCTGTGAACAATGGACTTGACATTGCCCAGCCACCCATTTCAGACATTCAAGAAATTTTTCTTAGTATCACTCAAAAGGCCATGGCCCTTGGATTGAAAGAGGCGATGGAAGAATTTGTGGAAGATGGTGCCGGAATTCGTATTGTGACAATGTGTTCTGGAACCGAAAGTCCAATCATTGGAATGAATATGATTCAACAATCTATTCAATGCCAAGGCGAGGAGCATTTCAAGATACGCCATCTTGGAAGTTGTGAGATTGAGCCATACAAACAAGCCTTCATCGAGCGCAATTTCGGCCCTCCTGTGCTACTTCGCGATGTCACTGAGTTCACGGGACACAAAAATGATCCCGATGATGTTCAGAAGCGCCCACGGACGGCTTATGGTGCGATTGCTGAGATACCGAAGGGAGCCCATATCCTGATCGCTGGCTCATCGTGTGTAGATCATTCTGCACTGAATAACCATGCGAACAAGATAGATGGCGAATCTGCTCAGACGCTGCTTGGTGTTGCCGACTATGCGGACCTGTATCGCCCTGTACTTGTGTTGCTTGAAAATGTCGCGGGTGCAGACTGGGAGGATCAACATGTGTTCTGGGCGGACCGAGACTACTATTTCCGAGCCCTGAAGATTGACAGCAAAAACTTTTACCTACCTCAGACTCGTGAGCGAGGATACAGTGTGGCAATCGATATGAAGCGTGTGCAAGAGTTCATCGAAGCTAGCGATCTCTGCAATCCTGTTTCATGCGGCACTGACTGTGAAAACCACGACTCTGATTTATGTGGCGTTGACTGTGGATCCCAACCCTGTAACGGGATCCGGAACAAACGAGTCAGATTTTTGTGCGAAAAGTTCTACAAGGAGTGGAGAAAGTGCATGGAGGAGCTTCAGCAGCGTGCTTCTTCTCCATATACTGATTTCCTTCTCAAGGAAGATGATGCCCGCTTGCACGCTGCTAAGGCAATGACAGAGAACACGAAACCAAGCAAGCAAAACAATGATTGGAAGAAATGTCAAAAGCGCCATACACGCGCCCGTGCCGAAGATTTCCTGGGGTCGAAGCGGCCGTTCACGAATCGAGAAGGAAATGGGCGCCCTAAGCTGCATGAACGTTACTGGGGAGACTGGTTCGTCGGTCGCACGATTCGCGAGCAGGATGTGGTTGACATTTCTGTACTTCGAAATGCATCCGCGCGAGGTCTGGACACGAGGTTCAAGTCTCGAACTATCGACATCACGCAAAATATAGACCGCGATGTGGACAGCCGTGCATGGGGTCTTGTTGGGTGCGTAACTCCCAGTGGCTGTCTTTTCGAAACTCGAAGAGGTGGGCCGGTTGTTGGACTGGAAGCCCTCGCACTTCAAGGTATGCCGATTGATAACTTGGATTTGACAAAGGCCTCCCTGAGGCAAATGCAAGACCTTGCAGGCAACGCTATGACGACAACAGTCATCACGAGTTCCATCTTGAGCGCTTTCATAGCAAGCTACACAACATTTGCATTGCCTCATACCTCACATGAAAGCCTCTTTCGAAAGTACACAGATGACTATCTGAATAAAGATGTCGAAAAGGTCGGCGCCCTCGGATATGACTTCGTCGACCCAGAAGAATTTTCCAAGTTGAAGAATTCAGATCACTTGGTCCGTCTGGAAACTCCACCGACTGGAAATAAATGGGAAGCGATCATTATTGCTGCGAGAAAGTCCCAACTTCTATGTCAGTGTGAAAACCTTGGTCAACATACCAATGCAGATATCAAGTACTGTCGCAAATGCTCCTACACTTGTTGTGTGGATTGCAGTACATGTCCGCACGACGATTTCGAAACCCTAGTTCTGGATCATGGGGACCGTGGAGCGGCCGATGTTTTCATTTCCAGCCTCACTCAATACCTTCCAGGGATTGTGAAGTTCTCTTATGATGACAACCACTTTTCTGCCATTTCCAAGGCCCTTAATGACTACAAGGTCATCGACGTCTTGGAGGAAGCTCTAGAACATGAACTCCAATTCCAAGGTGTCAAACACGGAGAAACCTGGAAAGCTGTCTATGAGTCACAAAATGCCAGATTGGAGCTGGATTTCCCTCGACGAATGAAAGGAACCCTCAGCCATTTAGGCGTTCTAGATGTTCGTCCTACCTGGTGGCTTTTTGCCAAATGTCCTGCTCAAGCTCCTGTGACGGACAAGATCCGAACATTACTTAAACACCCCATCGCTAAGATGTGTCCAGGTGAGGACTGTTTCGAGGGTATATGGGAGTTCTGGGATGGCTTCAATAAAGACATCGACATCAATATCAAGTCTGTGGGCCCGCTCACGGAAGCCTGGGAAGCTAAATTGGGACTTCAAGGCAATTTCTATCCCAAGCTTAAGATCTCGAAACGAGTGGAGGTGCAAGCTATTAGCTCATCTTACAATACTGGCAAGGATACAAAGGCTTTGCAACAACTGGATGGTACCTACAAACTCCTTGAGAAATGCCCTGCACCGTACGGGTGGCTCTATGTTCGAGAAAAGCCAGGATCATCTCAAGACAATTCAGTGTTCTTTTATCTCAATGCCTCCCCAATCGGCGAGCCAGCTGATGATAGGATGGAATTTGGAACTTGTGCACCCAGCATTACTTCGACCGATGATCGCAATCTCTTGTTGAGACTTGACGAGCCGTACATACCCACAGTTATAGAGTCAACCACAATACCGAAATCGACGAAGGTCCAGGGTTCCTTAGCTGGCCGCTGGACATCATTTGTGGCCGTGAAGCTAGAGCGCGTTGATTCATCCGCCGAATTACTCATACAGCCAGATTCCTCTGCTCACACGCGGTTGGAAAGTTGCGGAAATTCGTCCTCTACCATGTTTCTAGTCAAAATGAAAACTCAGCAGCCACTTCATAACTTTCCAGAAGGCAAGGCGATCAAGCTGCAGCTGGAGAACAAGCCCGGAGCGTTGAAAGATTTCAAATGGATTGTCAGCTATGCATCAATGATCCCTGAACTTGATAATTCCTGGCATCAGATGAGTAGTTCAGTTCATGATGCTCGATGCTTCACATGTGTACCAGCACCACCAACTTTAAGTTGGGTCGAACTGGAACTGGAGGATGATAAGGAGAAGAAACAGACCAAGCAGAAACTGATAGAAGATGCTGCAGAGGCCAAATGCTACGAACAAGACATGAAAAAGAGACCGGTGCCTGTTTCAGCCATCATCTACTGTGATGGGAAGGAGCAATGCTTATTGGTTCAAGTCGCTGTTTTTGCATTGATGCACCGTGCAGCGGCTGAACTGAACTCTATGGGAGGAGACTTTCTTTGGGAATGGCGGCTGCGTCGTCTTTCGCCTCTCGCTGCTCGACCAAAGTTCAAAAGCCTCAAATTCCACAGCAATGCCAACATGAACCCGGCGGCTTCAGACCTCGTCCCTCCACTATGGTCATCCCAGTTGAAAACTCTGGCATGGATGATGGAGAAAGAGAGAGCGGAGTGTACATGGAATGAAGTGGTATTGAAGGAGACGTGCATTCCATCTCTTGGTTGGTGCCTCGAAGCGAAAGCAAGCAGAAATCCAGGCGTTCGTGGGGGAGTCCTTGCGGATAAAGTGGGCGCCGGTAAGACGCGGACGACCCTGGAGCTCATCCGCCAGGACCTTCAAAGACTTAAACAAGACGACCCAAAATGCTTCCCACATGGTGGAATCGGATCCCATATATCCACTCAAGCCACACTGATACTTGTACCCAAAAACTTGATACAGCAGTGGACAGGTGAGATCATCAACGTTATGGGGAAAACCCCCTGCTTGGTTCTCAATAACGCGGAAGAGCTCGAGGATGCCACTATAGACAAGTTCACGTCTGCTGAGATCATTCTAGCTTCTCTAACTCTCTTCGAGGACGAAAAGTACTGGGAACATCACCGCATGGTCGCTTGTGCCCCCAATGTACCTGAAAAAGCTGGCCGTGCTTTTGACGAGTACCTCCACGACTCACTGAGCAATCTCGCCACAATGATCGAGAACTCATCCGATGGGACAGACGAAGATGCATTCTGGAGAGGGTGGAGGGAAGCGAAAAAGAGCATTGGCGGCTTCAAACGATTCAGCGGTGTCAAAACTCGTGCTAGCAAGAAGGCTGAATACAAAAAGGCCCGCAATACTGCAGCTACCGGAGGTCAAAAAAGAACACTTTCGACAACACAGAGTTCAGCTAACAGTCCTCCGCGGAAGAAGCCCAAGGCTGTAACTGCAGGCCTGAATGGCCCTGCTCAAGCACCACTAGCTGCAAATGCAACAACATCTTCAGTCGCAAGGAATGAATGGGTTGTCATATCTGACCAGACTTTCGAGAAAGGAGAAAAGGCCGACTTTGACACAGCTGCAGACATTTTCGAGCAAAATGGCACAATTATTCCAGTGCTTCATATGTTCAACTTCCGGCGACTCGTCATTGACGAATTTACTTACGTACAGGCAACGTCGTTGGCAGCATTGCTTAGGATGAAAGCCACATCTAGATGGTTGCTTTCGGGCACACCCCCAGTCCACGACTATGACGCTGTCAACACGATTGCGAAGCTCCTCGGAACCAAGCTTTCGGCGGTTGACGAAACGAATGGTGTCCACGGCTTCGTGAAAGGACCAAAGCGGGATGCTAAGCTGAAATCACTGTCTGAAGAATTCCAGGAGTTTCAAGATGTTGGTTCGCCCGCATTCCTCCACCATCTCTACAGCCGCGCTCAAGAGTTCTCAGACGCATTCATCCGCCAAGACGAAAGCTCGCAGGCCAAAAAAGGAAAGACACACAAACTGTGCGATTTCTCAGGCAACGTCTCTGAACTCCTCGATTACGCCGATGTCACACAAATTCTCGAGACAGAAGACTGCCGCTTCAATGTGAAACTGGATGGCAGGAAACTCAAGGATATGGCTGAAGATAAGATCCGCCAGGCAGTTCGGCAAAGTCGTTCGGGACCTCGTGCGGCCTTGGTATGCTCCATGTCAGATCTGGCAACCAGTCAACAATTCGCAGGTACTTCTGCAGTACTTGACCCTCAGGCCATCGTGCGAGCGGAAAAGGACAGCATTCTGAAGAATTGCGATACACTTCTCCGGGAGCTGCAAGAGCTGTGGTACTGCAACGAACATGCACACGATACGAAGTCGACACAGTCGTTCACCGCTTTGCTCTCCAATTTCGAAAACCTCGCGGTACTGGACCTCGACCCGCCTGTGGCGCGTCTAATTGATCGCCTTCTCTCATATGCCAAATCCAATCCACAAATGCCGGCGTCCACCTTGCAACTACCCAAGAATGTACCAAAGGCAGCGAAAGTCCTGAAGCAAACGCATCAAGATCGCATGAAACAAGCCAAGATTGACCAGGATGCTTTCAAGCAGTTGGCCCCCTTCTATCAAGCAAAAGAAATGGACGAACGCACCACCAAAGCCGAGAGATTGATTGAAGCAATCGTGGCTGGATTCCGACGCGTGCGATTTGTTGAGTTCGCTGTCGCCGTCAATCGAGGAGAGGAGCTTGGAACCTGCTCTGGTTGCAACAGCAATGTGGGCGCGATTGACAGTGTCGAAGTTTCTGGCGGATGTGGACATATTCTCACTTGTCCTCAGTGCCCTATACATACGCATGCACAAGATGACTGCGTCGATAAATACTGCTCTGCATCTGTGGGGCATATTTGGCCTTCACGTTTCTTCTCTACAGATGTTGTTGCTGCCAGGCCGGTCACCAATGTCAGCAGAATGCAGAAAGCGATAGAAATCATCGAGGCTATCCCAGGTGGGGAATTCGCCCTTGTCTTTGTGCAGTTTGCCAACATGGCAGAGCAATTTACGGAAGCCTGCGATAATGCTGGGGTCGCTTACGCAGACGCTACGAGCAGTAAGAAAGCGTCTAGAACGATTGAGGCATTCAAAGAGGCGGTTCGAAAGGGGAGGAGAGGAGCGGCGAAAGTCCTCCTGCTCCAAATCGACTCAGAAGATGCGGCGGGATGGAATTTGCAATGTGCAAACCATGTGGTCTTCCTGGCGCCGTTCGTGGGGGAAACGGAGGAAGAGGAGTGGGACACCATGGTGCAGGCCGTGGGACGGGCGCATCGCCCGGGGCAAGGGAAGTGGGTGGTGGTCTACCACATTCATGGGGTAGACACCATAGAGGCAGAGATGGCCGAAAAGGTCAAGGGGCGATTCGAGGACGAGGTTTAGGAGCGATAGAGAGGAGGCGGAGGCGGAGGCGGAAGCGGCGAGAGGGAGAGAGCACACGTGTTTGAGTAGATAGAAAATCGAAACCGTACATGCAACACATGGATTTTCCGCGTACCTGATCGTACTCGTAGGTGAAGGAGTGAGTGAGATGAAAGTCACATGAGATCCAGGTGAAAGGAGGAATCTCAGGTCGATGTTCACTAGAATTCAGGGTGCTGATTTAGCTACTCGATGCCCGCCTTCTTTAAAAGGCGTTGGTATAGTAGCGTGTCGTTTCATGTTGGCGCCGAAGTGACTATCGACGGAACAGGCAGACAACCTCGTGATGACGATTAATGAGTCAGTGCCACAGCCTCTGGAATGCTTTGGAATCATGGAAAACAGGCTCCAGGAGGTCATCTTGCCTAGTAATTATCTATATAAACTAGAACGGTGACTATAGAAGAGAAGAAGACAGAAATCTCAACAACGCTGACTTGCCTGTATCGATTGGCCCGTACAGTTGTACAGTCCAAATCCTCCAACATTTCACCTTTTGTAGTATCGACGTAGTGTAGGAGACCACCCTTCCAGTTCCAAGGGTCAGCCTCGTTGGTTAAGGGTCTCGAAGGCTTTAGTACTCGTATGGGTGGCCGCCCCAGGCTGATCCAAACGATGGTAGAGGCTAATATATGGTGTGTCTTTAGCCCTAGGTAAGACTTACGACTTAAGCCCACTTTTGTTTTGGGGGGGCCGCCATACCCTTTCTGGAAAGCCGAAAAAGGAGTGCTAGCCTTGTCCGCGTGAGATCACGTGACTTACAGCGCTGTTCCAGAAGCAATGATTCACCGAATCACCCAAGTTCGCGACGCTAAACGGGATGGAAAACGAGAAACGGGCATTCGCTGGGGGGCCCAACACCCAAAATTAGAGCATCGCAGATCCCGGTAGCGTGGCCACGGCTCAAGGCCCACGGCCCACAAGCTACCTAGGTACGAAGTACTGTATGTAGTCTGTACGATAATTAGCCAGAGTGGCCAGTGCCCACCAATGCCGTGTTGACGCCTGTCAAGGCCCAACAAGGCCCAAGGAAGGGACAGCCAGCGAGAACAATGGGTTCAAATCGCCGACGCATGGAATATCTTTTGTTTGAAGGCTGCGGCTGTTGCGAAGCGAGCGGTAGGGTAACAAATAATTCAATAGTATGAATAGCAAATACTTCGAGTACGGCCGGGGCCCAAAGTGCAGCTTTCCTCTCGTTCTGAGGCTCGACAGCGCGATGCGAGGCCTCTACATGCAACAGACTCCTTACATATTTACATACGTGTCGTGTCCTGAGCTGTTTGGCACCCGTGCGCTCACTCTCTTCTGATCCCAGAATACGAGGAGGTAAACAACAGTGCCCGAAGGAAGTCCATCTCCAGGTCGGCCAGCATATCACAGAAATACAATTCTTGGTGGGCCCGAGGGATGGTGATTGTACGAGATACGAGCTCCTTGTTACTGGTTGGCAGGCATTCAGACACCTCGTCGTATGCGCAAGTACACTCTACGAGTACAGAGAACGAACGATGGACGGAGTCCGAAATTATATGGTTGGACAGGGGCGGAGTCCGCCCGCAAACGCCACGTCCAACACCATCTCGGGACGAGGATAGAGGCACGCTAAAGGCGCCAGCTGAGGCTGAACGAAGATAAGCCAAAGCAGCCGCGATGTACGGATAGGGAGCACAAGAATAGTATTCGTATGGATGGCGGTTCAAGTGGGCATAACCTCTATCGGAGACAAGAAAGGAGTGGATTCTATCTAATTGTAACTATTGATTCTCTGTCATACCGTATACGACATACGAAAAGTGCCCGCGGCGATGCAGCTTTGCGCAACGTTGATGCAAACGAGGCACCAAGGCTTTCTGTTCTCGTGCTCCTGGCCTATGATTGTTTTTCTGTTGGACGTTGGTTTTGCCTCCCATCTGTCCGCGGGGAATTTTGGGGCAGCAGATGCATGAGATCGCTCCGCGACAGGTGTATGTACGGGTATGTAGTATGTAAGTGGCAAAGCTCACGTCGGCGCATTTTCCTTGAGGTGTTCGACCACACGTCATTTTGGCCCGTCGAGTGCTCCGTACGTCCCGGGGCGCTCAACAAGCGGGTTGATGGATGGATATGAAATTTTTGTTGGAGATGGGGTTGAGAGAAGTTTGTCTGCACAGGGGGCTTGATGGGGACGTCGATGGGGATCTTAGGGGCAGCCCTGGTGGAGTCGACCGTGGCCCATGAACAAATGGCGAGGGCCCCCTCTGGGCACGATCGACGCTTGGGGGCAGCCCGAGGCACCCCGACGCCCCTGGAACCAATAACGGGCCAGGCCCCCCCGGCTAGCCCTGCGCCTATTTGGTTTCCCAACCAAAACTGCACCTGCAAACCCCCCCGAAGAGCTTCTCCGTAGAAACCAGAGGTACCTCATCTCGCGCCTCGTTGCTCCAACGCTGCTATGCAATTGGCAGTGGGCAATTGGCAGTGGGCAGTGGGCACACATGTGTGGCTTTGGCGTTGGCTGCGGGCCAGGATGATGATGATAGTGGGCGTGGGCGTGCCGGTGATGATGGGCGTACTTACTGCTACGCCGTACCACGACTAACCTGAGTTGAGCTGGCTTGCGGTTGCTTGTCGAGACTCGAGACTGCAGAGATCCAACAAGGGACACGCTGCTGTTTCCTTATCCACACAACCAAAACAGCCACGAGGCAAGAGCGCACTACTCGTACATCTTATTCTCGTTATTATACCCTGCGCCCTCACATTCTCACACATATTGGCCTGCTCTTTCCTCTTTCCTCTTACTATTTTCTACTCTCCCTCTCTCCCCTCTATACGTCCTCGCTCTCACTGCCACCCTCTCTCAAACAGAAGCTCCTTTCCGACCTCTTCATTCCTTCTTTACACTCGGGGTCTGTGTCTGGGACTTCGGTACTAATTGGCGTCATCCCGGTCTCCTATTTTTCTCAACGGGCGACCTCGACTCCTGAACCCCTCCTTTCCCACCGGTTTGCACGTTCTTCGTTGATTCCTTGCCTCTCGTGCATGGTATAGACCTTTTTCGCGATCATGGCTCCCTCCACCGTCAATGGTGTCAATGGCTCCCGCAAAGCCTCGCTCACCAACAACCCCCCCAGCGCCTGGCAAGCAAAACACCCTATTGCGTCCCACTTCATTGGCGGGAGTAGACTAGAAAAGGCTCCTCCGAGCAAGATAAAGGACTTTGTTCAGGAACACGATGGCCATTCTGCCATCACCTCGGTGAGTTGCAACCTGACCCTCAATTTGCGGGCGAGAACTGCGGCTGACCTTGAATGTCCAGGTGCTCATTGCAAACAACGGTATTGCCGCCGTCAAGGAAATCCGTTCCGTGCGAAAATGGGCCTACGAGACGTTCGGCGACGAGCGTGCCATTCAATTCACAGTCATGGCCACGCCGGAAGATTTGCAGGCAAATGCCGATTATATTCGTATGGCTGATCAATATGTCGAGGTACGCACAAGGTTTAAAAGATTGGGCAATAAAGACACCCCGATCAGTGACTAACGATCCCTCGTGCAGGTTCCTGGTGGCACCAACAATAACAATTATGCCAACGTCGAGCTGATCGTCGACGTTGCCGAGCGGATGAATGTTCATGCAGTTTGGGCTGGCTGGGGTCATGCCTCAGAAAACCCTAAGCTGCCCGAATCACTCGCCGCCTCCCCCAAGAAGATCATCTTTATCGGCCCCCCGGGCTCTGCTATGAGATCTCTCGGTGACAAAATCTCCTCAACAATCGTCGCACAACATGCCAGGGTCCCCTGTATCCCCTGGTCTGGAGAGGGTGTTGACTCGGTCGAAATCGACAAGGACGGCATCGTCACAGTCAAGGATGATATCTACGACCAGGGCTGCGTGCATTCTGCGCAGGAGGGTTTGGAAGCTGCAAAAAAGATTGGCTTCCCCGTCATGGTCAAGGCCTCAGAAGGTGGCGGCGGCAAAGGCATTCGAAAGGTCGAGAATGAGGAGGAATTCCACAGTCTCTACCACGCCGCAGCCAGCGAAATCCCCGGTTCTCCAATCTTCATCATGAAGTTGGCAGGAAATGCCCGACATTTGGAAGTCCAGCTGCTTGCTGATCAGTACGGCAACAATATCTCCCTCTTTGGCAGAGATTGTTCCGTCCAGCGCAGACATCAAAAAATCATCGAAGAAGCTCCTGTGACAATCGCAAATCCTGAGACCTTCCGTCGCATGGAAGACGCCGCTGTCCGCTTAGGAGAGCTGGTTGGTTACGTTTCCGCTGGTACCGTCGAGTATCTCTACTCCCATTCCGACGACAAATTCTACTTCCTCGAGCTCAACCCCCGTCTCCAGGTCGAGCATCCTACCACTGAAATGGTGAGCGGAGTCAACTTACCAGCTGCACAGCTTCAAATTGCTATGGGTATCCCTCTGCACCGCATTCGTGACATTCGCTTGTTGTACGGTGTCGATCCGCACAGAGCCACTCAGATTGATTTCCACTTCAAGAATGAAATCAGCCTGAAGACTCAGCGGCGTCCCCAAGCGAAGGGCCACACGACCGCTTGCCGTATCACTTCCGAAGATCCTGGTGAGGGCTTCAAGCCCTCTGGTGGCACGATGCACGACCTCAATTTCCGATCAAGCTCAAATGTCTGGGGTTATTTCTCCGTCAGCTCTGCCTCCAGTATCCACAGCTTCTCCGACAGTCAATTCGGTCACATCTTCGCCTACGGAGAGAACAGATCTGCTTCCAGAAAGCACATGGTGGTTGCATTGAAGGAATTGTCCATTCGTGGTGATTTCAGAACCACAATTGAATACTTAATCAAGCTGTTGGAAACCCCCGCCTTTGAAGACAACACCATCACAACGGGCTGGCTCGACCAACTCATTACCAACAAGTTGACCGCCGAGCGACCTGATCAGATTCTTGCCGTACTTGCGGGCGCTTTGACCAAGGCTCACATTGCCAGCGAGGCTAGCATTGTCGAATATCGCAAAGGCCTCGAGAAGGGCCAGGTTCCTTCTAAAGATATTTTAAAGACAGTCTTCCCTATTGATTTCATCTACGAGGGACATCGCTACAAATTCACTGCAACCAGAGCAAGTCTTGACAGCTATCACATTTTCATCAATGGCTCGAAGTGTCTGGTTGGTGTCCGAGCACTTGCTGATGGTGGGTTGCTCATGCTTGTGGCTGGCCGATCCCACAGTCTCTACTGGAAGGAGGAGGCTACTGCTATCCGTCTTAGCGTAGACAGCAAGACTTGCTTGCTCGAACAAGAGAATGACCCCACTCAGCTGCGAACACCCTCTCCAGGTAAACTCGTCAAGTTCAGTGTTGACAATGGCGCGCACGTTAAGGCCGGTCAGGCTTTTGCTGAAGTTGAGGTGATGAAAATGTACATGCCCCTTATCGCACAGGAAGATGGTGTTGTTCAGTTCATCAAGCAGCCAGGAGCCACCCTCGAAGCTGGTGATATTCTTGGTATCCTCGCACTCGATGATCCGTCCAGAGTCAAGAGTGCCGAGACATTCACAGGTCAGCTGCCCGACCTCGGCCCACCACAGATTGTTGGCAACAAGCCTCCTCAGCAATTTGCTTTGCTCCTCAGCATTCTCCAGAACATTCTCCTTGGCTTTGACAATCAAGTCATCCTTGCGTCTACTCTCAAGGAGCTAGTGTCTGTCCTCAGGGACCCTGAGCTTCCATACGGAGAATGGGCTGCAAGATCGTCGGCCCTGCACTCGCGAACGCCTCAGAAGCTGGATGCACAACTCGAGGCGATTGTGGAGCGAACTCACTCGCGTCATGCTGAATTCCCTGCGAAACAGTTGCAGAAAGCCATCAACCGCTTCATCGAGGAAAACCTCACGGCTGCAGAAGGCACTGCGCTTCACACGACTCTGGCTCCTTTGGAAGAGGTCATCGTCAACTACTCCGAGGGACTAAAGGTCCACGAATTCGCCGTCTTCACCGGACTTCTCGACAAGTACTGGGAGGTTGAGAGGTTGTTCGCCTCGGGAAGCCACAGAGACGAAGACGTGATTCTTAAACTCAGAGAGGAGAAGAAGGATGACATCGCCTCTGTGGTATACACCGTCTTGTCTCACACCCGTGTATCGTCCAAGAATAACTTGATTGTTGCCATCTTGGATATGTATCGCCCAAATCAACCGAACGTCGGAAACATTGCCAAGTACTTCCGGCCATCTTTGCGCCGCCTCACTGAGCTTGAATCTCGAGCGACTGCCAAGGTGGCTCTCAAGGCCCGCGAATTGCTGATCCTCTGCGCCATGCCTTCGCTCGAGGAACGTTCCTCCCAAATGGAGCACATTCTGAAGTCCTCTGTTGTGGATTCAAAGTACGGAGAGTCTGGCTGGGAGCATCGTGAGCCCGACTTGGACATTATCAGAGAAGTGGTGGATTCCCGCTACACCGTCTTCGATGTCTTGCCTCTTTTCTTCGCCCACAGTGATCCGTGGGTGGCGCTTGCTGCACTTGAGGTATATATTAGACGTTCATACCGTGCGTATACCGTCAAGGAGGTCACGTACCACAATGATACCGAGCCACCATTCCTTCTCTCTTGGGACTTCGTTCTTCGAAAAGTTGGGCAGACCGAATTTGGACTACCCTTGGCCTCGTCATTCCCGTCCGGTCAAGCGACTCCCTCAATGGAGCGGGGCAACCCATTCAAGCGAATCACATCCGTCAGTGATCTGTCATACCTGAACAAAGTTCAAGGCGGCGATGAACCATCGCGGAAGGGGGTCATTGTCCCCTGCCATTATCTTGACGAGGCCGATGAAACCCTCGCACGTGGTCTGGATATCTTCCCGAAGGGCGGAGACAAGAAACCTAGCCAGCCGTACCTCATGCCAACGCTTGACAACCAGAGGAGGCCACTACCAAAAGCAGATGCCAACGGCGATGACGAATTGACCAACGTCATCAATATTGCCATCCGTGATATCGAGAACTTGACCGATGAAGAAATCATGCCTCGTCTCGTAGACCTCGTTGCTGAGTACAAGAAAGAGCTTCTAGCACGCAAGGTTCGCCGTGTTACATTTATTTGTGGCCACAAGGAAGGAAACTATCCTGGATACTTCACTTTCCGTGGCCCTGAATACGAAGAGGACCAGAGCATCCGTCACAACGAGCCTGCATTGGCCTTCCAGCTTGAGCTTGGAAGATTGTCAAGGTTCAAGATTAAGCCAGTCTTCACTGAAAACAGGAATATCCATGTGTATGAAGCCACTGGTAAGGGCATTGACAGTGACAAAGTCGTTGACAAGCGTTATTTCACACGTGCAGTTGTCCGACCTGGTCGACTGAAGGATGAAATTCCCACTGCTGAGTATCTCATTTCCGAGACTGACCGGCTGGTGAACGACATTTGTGACGCCCTCGAGATCATCGGCAACAATAACTCGGACTTGAACCACATCTTTATCAACTTTACGCCCGTGTTCAACCTTCAGCCTCGCGATGTGGAGGAGCAGATTGCCGGGTTCTTGGAGCGTTTCTCTAGACGCTTCCTGCGCCTTCGAGTCACTGGGGCCGAAATCAGAATTCTCTGCACCGATCCCGAATCTGGACTGCCTTATCCTCTGCGGATCATGATCACCAACACCTCAGGTTACGTGGTCCAGGTAGAGAGCTACGTCGAGAAAAAGTCGCGCCACGGTGAATGGGTGTTCGAGAGTATCGGGGGAACGACTAAACTGGGTGCCATGCATCTACGTTCTGTGTCAACTCCATACGCTTCGAAGGAGTGGTTGCAGCCTAAGCGCTACAAGGCCCATCTTATGGGAACCCAGTATGTTTACGACTTCCCGGAGCTTTTCCGCCAGGCCATCCAGAACAGCTGGACCAGAGCTGTTGCTAAGCATTCTTCATTGCTTGAGTCGAGACCCGAAATCGGCACTTGCGTCGAATATAATGAGCTCGTACTCGATGATGCCGACAATCTTACCGAAGTTGCCCGCGAACCCGGCACAAACAATTGCGGTATGGTCGCCTGGCTGTTGACAGCCAAGACCCCTGAATACCCGAGAGGCAGAAGATTCGTCATTGTCGCCAATGATATCACTTATCAGATTGGATCGTTTGGCCCAGTAGAAGACAACTTCTTCAACAAGGCCACCGAATTCGCTCGAAAACTTGGTATCCCTCGCATCTACCTCTCTGCCAACTCCGGTGCTCGTATTGGCATGGCCGATGAACTCATTCCTCATTTCTCTGTTGCATGGAACGATGAGGCAAATCCAAGTTCAGGATTCAAGTATCTCTATCTTACACCCGAGAAGAGAAAGAAGCTCAGCCAGAAGGAAGTCATTACCGAGCCCATCAGTGAAGACGGCGAAGAGCGCCATAAGATCACCACCATTGTTGGTGCCAAGGACGGCCTTGGAGTTGAGTGTTTGCGTGGCTCTGGTCTCATTGCAGGAGCAACCTCCAGGGCATATGAAGATATCTTCACAATCACACTTGTCACCTGCCGTTCCGTCGGTATTGGTGCATATCTCGTACGTCTCGGACAGCGTGCCATCCAAATTGAGGGCCAGCCAATCATTCTTACTGGCGCTCCTGCACTCAACAAGGTGCTTGGTAAAGAAGTTTACACTTCTAACCTCCAGCTCGGTGGTACGCAAATCATGTACAAGAATGGTGTGTCTCATATGACCGCCAATGACGACTTCCAGGGTGTGGAGAAGATCGTTGACTGGCTGTCGTTTGTTCCTGATAAGAAGGGCCAACCCGTTCCTGTCAGTCCATCGGCCGACCCGTGGGACCGTGATATCACCTTCTTCCCATCTCGCGCACCATATGATGTCCGCCATCTCATCGGTGGTAAGCAAGACGACGAGGGCTTCCTCTCTGGCCTGTTCGACCGAGACTCTTTCCAGGAGTCCCTTGGTGGCTGGGCCAAGACCGTGGTCGTTGGACGTGCCCGACTTGGTGGTATTCCCATGGGCGTGATTGCGGTCGAGACTCGAACTGTGGAGAATATCAGCCCTGCTGACCCTGCCAATGCAGATTCCATTGAGCAAGTCGTGCAAGAAGCAGGTGGTGTCTGGTTCCCCAACTCCGCGTTCAAGACTGCGCAGGCTTTGAAGGACTTCAATTATGGCGAGCAGCTGCCTGTCATGATCCTGGCTAACTGGCGCGGTTTTTCTGGTGGTCAGCGTGATATGTTCAATGAGGTTCTCAAATATGGCTCGTATATTGTGGACGGCCTTGTCAAGTATGAGCAGCCGGTCTTCGTCTACATTCCTCCCTTTGGAGAGTTGCGTGGTGGTTCATGGGTGAGTCATTATGCTCTTTTGGTATTAGAACAAAGCTAACCTGTTTCTAGGTTGTGGTCGACCCTACAATTAATCCCGAGCAAATGGAGATGTATGCTGACGAAGAATCTCGTGGCGGAGTTCTTGAGCCCGAGGGTATTGTCGGTATCAAATACCGTCGTGAGAAGCAACTCGAGACCATGGCTCGGTTGGATGCTACGTACGGCGAACTCAAGACTCAGTCTCTCGCTAAAGGCTTGAGTCCTGAGCAATTGAACGCCATCAAAGCTAAGATGACCGAGCGTGAGCAATTGCTTGGACCCATCTACCAGCAGATCGCAATCCAATTTGCCGATCTACATGATCGTGCTGGGCGCATGGAGGCCAAGGGAACCATCCGCTTTGCGCTGAAATGGCAGAACGCAAGACGGTTCTTCTACTGGCGACTTCGACGAAGATTGTCCGAGGAAGTCTTGTTGAAGAAACTCAGCTCCAGCCAAGCCGCTGGTGGCGCTCCAATCGTGACTAATAGTCTTGCACAGAAGGAGACCAACCTCGCAATCCTCAAAAATTGGACTGGTCTACTTGACGTTGAGTTTGACAAGGATGATCATAAGGTGGCTGAGTGGTATGAGAGCCATCGAAAGGAGGTATACGCCAAGATCGATGCTCTCAAGAGTGATGCTATTAGCAAGAAGGTTTCTGAATTGTTGATGAGTAATAAGGAGGGCGGATTGAAGGGCGTGCGTGAAGTGCTAAGCCTTGTTCCAACTAGTGAGAGGGAACAGTTGGTCAAGTATCTTACAGGAGCATAAATGACGGGTCAAAAGCATGGTTCCAGATATCGCGGGTTGACATATTAGAAGATGCACTGCGATGCCTAGAGGGTTATGACAGCGTGATTGGTGCCTTGGTTTGGGAGCATTATACACGACTGTGATATTGTTTCCCCTTTGGTTATCGAATTTCAGGGAGTTTATTGACTAGCTGTGTTATTACTTTACTGCTTAGCTAGTGTTTTGTAGCAAGCCCTTATACCAATGTTTGTCTCATGCCTCCCGATGGTGCACAAGCCTCGTCCGAATGGGGTCACATCCTTCAACAAGGCGAGTACGTGCCTCGTCACTCACTAGAGCCGAAACTTGGTCTCAAGCAAAAATTGTGTTAACTCGCGCTTGAAGGTGGTGCTCTATGTAACATGTGGTGAACGGCAGGATAGAGCAAAGTCTAGAATTGTTTGTCAGCTGGAAAGGTAACTGAATTCGTATTCAAAAAGACTCGTGCCTCAGTGTAGGACACTTCGAAATTGGGACGTCATCAGAGATGACATGACATGATCAACACATTTGTTGCGGACGAGCATACGCACGTTTCCAGAAGTTTGGAACCATCTATGATGGATTAACCTCCAGTGTTCCATGAACTTTCCTCTGCAACGCCAGGGTCGCAAGCTCATGGTTTGGCTGAAGAGGCAGGCTTGCGCAAGGACTCCAAAGTCAGTGGGGCTCGACTTCGGTATCCTCGGCTTCATCATAAATTCCGGTTTGTCATTGCAGGAGCAAGAAAGTATTGCCCCTTCCTGGATGATGCCTCTCTAATGGATGATCTGCAATACTGGGTTGAAAGAACATACTTCCTGCGAGCCAGATTGTCCCCAACCTGGGCGCTTGGGTGTTCATCTTAAACCTTATCTCAATACACAAATCCACTTAAACTCAGAAGCGGTGGCGTTGTCTAGAAATGAATAAGATGGGATCATCAGCAGGAGGAGTGGCACCGTCGTGACTTTGGACATTCTCCGTGTACTCGTAATCAGCGGGTTGGATTTTGTGGACTTGGTTGCTTAGGCAGTAGATCATCGCTAAAATATTGATTTCGGGTGTTGAAATTCCAGGGTTCCACGACGGGTGACATTTTGGGACAGCTCACAGGTCCTGCCTCGGCTGGCCTGCGAGCCAGAAGAGCAATCGCTAGCAAAATGCGCAGCTAAACCGAGGACACATCAGTGAGGACATCTCCATTGCATTATTGGGCAGGTGGAGTCGGCACTGCAAGCATGTCAAGCTTCTGTGTGGCTGATGAAGCATCCGCCTAGTCCAGTGCTCATGCGAGAGGCGAGAGGCGAGAGGCGAGAGGGTTGATGTTAGACATGCCTTGCAAGTTACGAGCAGGTATCCATAGGACTGTCCTAAGGATAGTGGGGCTTGGCGCCGGTGATGACGTTGAGAGGTGGTCTTTCACGTGATGCTCGACCAAACAGCAAATGCCAAGCATCACCGAGCATAGAAAGGCGGGGTTGCAAGCATTTCTTAACCGAAGCACTAATGCAACCTCACTTCAATCGCTGTCCACTAGACGGCACGGTAGCCAGCTACAACTCCGTGGTGAAAGAGGTGCAACACGATGTATCGATGCACCTAGTGGCTCGGAAACACCGAAAGAGCCATTGACTGCCTGCCACCGTCGGATCCGTGGAGCTCAAAGCTTCGCCAGAAGGGTTAGGAACATGTCATAAAGACTGCTAATATGAGGGAACCGTTCGAACTTTGTCGGCGTGCTTTCTGTCTTGAGAACTGATGCCTCCCAGGGACAATACATGAATCTCTGGGTTGGTTCAGAAAAGCATAAATCACCTGTCAGCCACTGTTTCTCCGGTCAATGACGATCTTTTTGCGGAGCACTTTGGTGTACCAATGCTTCTTTCCTCCCAAACCATGATTCATCGTACCCGATAGGACATGGAGGGATCGGTGGTCCGTGCTCGACGCCACCGAGGTGCAGACTGCCTAATGCACACAAACGATCGTGAGGGTGGTCCGGAAACTGACTCAATGGCCTGATTCATCCTGCTTTGGTATGGGATGACAGTCGTTTTTCCAACCCGGTCACCAGCTCTTTTCAACTCGTCCCCTGCCAATTCGAGCCTCAATACTGCTGCTGATCATTAGTCCTGTCCAGCCTTTTCGTTCAATCCCCCTTTATAAAATGTCAACGGACTTTAAATCCCCGGGGCCAGGACACCGCCTCTGAGCCAAAGCTGCCTCAGGCGGCTGCCTCCATTAAAATGCCAGGTCGCCATTCGACAGTCTCTCTGTTGAAATATCGCCTTCACACCATAACCCTGGTAGCTTCCCGCATGAGCTATCGGGAACTAGATGTATGTCTCACAGCAAGGTGGGAATGCTCTTCCATTTGTTCTCCGACCTGTGGTCAGTGTCACCGTCATCTATGTCCGCTTCAATGTCCGTCGAAAATGGTGCATGCACGAACTTTCCCCGCTGTGATGCAGATGTGGAGGAACATTCTGGCGCTCATGTCTCCATCAAGCACAATTTGGAGCTTCAAAAGTGACTCGACCGCCGCATGTGCTCTCGAGTATTTTTCTTCAACTGCTTGACTGTGAAAGTGTTGTCGTTGATTGAACCCTCACAGAGTATTAGACCTTCGCTTCCTCAACTCTCTGTTGACTCTCGTTGACTTCTACACTCGTTGAGAATCGTTTGATCGACACTAGGTATCAGACGCTCTCTATACAACCTTGACCATGCAGCGAACGCTCGCTATTCTGGCCCTGGCCGTTTCGGCACTGGCTTCGCCGTATCCTCAGGCCGTCACCGAGACTATTGCACCGGAATCTCCACCGCCATCAGGCTGCATGACCAGCCATGAGGGAACCTTCCAAATCACAGTTGTCAATGTCTCGACCTCGGCCACAAAGAGGGACTTGGGTAGAGTCAGTTTGTGCCGCTCTCTGGAAATACTTGTATGCTGACAAGTGACAGCGTCAACTGGCCGGCCCTCTTACCTTGACCCTGACCGACTCGAACCTGTACGACCAGGCTGGTCGCACTGGGGTAAGCAGATTCCCGGATTGATTGGTGCCTCCCTCCTGGTCCTCCTATTTCGGGGCGATCATCGGATTACTTTTGTTGAAACCCAGAGAATATTGTATTCCACGATCCCTGGAATCCCACCGGGCTCCAGGAGGTGTAGAAGTTCTCAAATTTGAGGGAACCCCCCCCCCCCCGCGCCCCCGGGACTCATTTGTCCTTGCAATTTGCTTCGATTTGTGAATGCTTGTGCTGACCTTGTCGCTTCTCAGTACATCGCTGCCAACTATCAGTTCCAGTTTGACGATCCTCCTCAAGCTGGTGCAATTTATACATCGGGATTCTCCCTGTGCGCGAACAATAGTCTTGCCTTGGGTGGCTCTGCCATCTTCTACCAATGTCTCAGTGGCGACTTCTACAATCTCTATGACAGAGACTGGGCGTCAGTAACCTATTCTACGTCCCTGATATGGCCGTTCCTGCCATTGATAAATGTACTCACTAACACTTTTCTCGCAGTGACCATTGCGTTGCGGTTTACTTCATGGCTTTGATCAGCAGCGCCCCTGCGCCTACCGGCACTGTGGTTGCTTCAGTCAGTAAGTGCTCTTGCATCCTCTCAGATTTTTCCCAGAAGAGTTTATATATCGACTAGCCTCGACCATGGCTTTCACTGAACCATGATTTTTGTTCCACCTACCTGATTTGGTCATTTAATTCTTTTCAAGGAGCTACTTGCTGACGTTGGCCCCTCCCCCTAAACAGCTCAATTATCAGATGGACAGTATGTTCTCAGACCTGCCTGCCTTCCCCTCCGAAAGAGTTGCCTCCTGGGCATAGTCCTTGAGGCATTATATTCCACCCTTATCTGTCGAATCTTGTATCTAACATACTTGGTGGAATAGGCCACAAGCTTCGACAGTCGTTGTTTCGCAAATTTCTGATGGCCAGTAAGTCTTGTTCTGAACTATCCTCTATTCCGCCAGTGGGGCAGCAGTATGCTGCAAAGCCTTGCTATGACCAAGACCATGTCCTAGAATCTCCATTAACAATACCTTAGACCCCAGGCAACAACTGGAGTACCAGTCAGCCAGATCAGCGACGGACAACCACAGGTACGTTCTTGCTTGCACTGTGCCCATCCAAAACAGGCTGCACAGAAAGCTTGGGGTTCTTGGATAATTCCATATTTGGGGACGCACTGCTGACTTTATTGTCCCCTTTCAGGCACCTACCGGCGCTCCAGTGAGTCAGATTAGTGATGGCCAGCCTCAGGTATGTTCCTCAATGCAAGGGTCTTCCCGCCTGTCAACTGGGCTCCAATATTGTAATTACTCGAATTCGGTTACTAACACATTGTGATCAAAGGCTCCGACTGGTCCCGCAGTCAGCCAAATCAGCGACGGCCAACCGCAGGTATGTCAATCATAATCAAGACCTAGTTTCCCCCAACACTACACTTTCGTGATGTGTTCTTTCTTGTACGGATAACTAAAGTGGCGGTGTTATAGGCTCCTACCGGTGCCCCAGTATCTCAAATCAGCGATGGTCAGCCTCAGGCTCCCACTGGTGCCCCAGTGTCCCAGATCAGTGACGGTCAACCTCAAGCACCTACCGGTGCTCCCGTATCTCAAATTAGCGATGGTCAGCCGCAGGCTCCCACGGGTGCCCCGGTAAGTCAGATCAGCGACGGCCAACCCCAGGCACCTACAGGAGCACCTGTTACCCAAATCAGTGATGGACAGCCTCAAGCGCCTACTGGAGTCCCTGTCACTCAGATTAGCGATGGTCAACCTCAAGCTCCCACGGGCGCCCCAGTGTCTCAAATCAGTGACGGCCAAGTCCAGGCTGCCACCGGCACCAGCGCTGCACCCGCCGCTTATACTGGTGCAGCGCACCGTAACGGCATCTCTGGTGGTCTCGCAATTGCAGGTGCTATTGCAGGTGCGGTCATCCTCATTTAGTTGAGTGGAGCAAGTGCCCGGAATTGACCCCCGAACCCCACGCTCCTTTTCACCTTGCACTATGTTTGTCGAATCGGAATGCGAAGTCTCACCGTTTAATCGCTCAGCATCTTCGTCAAGGAAGTTGGCCTGCCTGTCGAACGCTTCTATGGAGATTGAAAGAAATTATTCAAGACAACATACAAAAGCTCAAGATGTTGGAAGGATGAAATGCCTCTGGAAGATTAATGTTGGACATGCCAGCATCAACGTCCGCTTCCCAAGTTCTTGCTCGTGAGGTTAGTCATGGATGCGTTGCCTCTGTGCTTCATCTGGTCATTGAAATCTGTCATGGATGCATCTTCGGCAGCAGCGAATTGCTTTAGTTGCTTTACACCTACCTACCTTGGGGTGCATTAGTAGTACTTAATACTTAATACCACAGTCCGAGCTTTTTCCAGGTACTTGATGTTTTATATTACCTCTCCACTTTCACTAATAAATGAATTATGTACTTGGACTGAATTTGATATTTCTGTACGGCGCTTTACCACTATTCACTTATCCTCGCGCAATGCACCACCCCCTACAAGCACGTCGCTCCTACGTGAAGAATACTTTCAGGCAATCCAGTCAATTTATCTGTCGCATATGTAGTACCCAGCCCTGGCGTCAGCCCTTCCGTAGCCCGATTAATCAACCAGCGTGGACATCAGGCTTTCATCCAGCTGCTCAGCCTCATGTGAACGCAATCAAGACATCGTTGCTAACGAAGCTCCCTGCGTCACCCATGCTTGGTGAAATTCACATAGAAGGCACCCGTCCCTGGTCCAAAATATGGCGCGAGCTTATCTATCTCTTCAGCGAATAGCGGGGTTTTGGTAGCGGCTTGATGGAGCTGTTTCGTGGCCGAGGCACGCACGATAATGTCAGTAGGCACTTCTTCCATTGATGCAGATACTCGTGAGATCAGGGAGATGGATGCAAGGACCGGGGGAGGGGGGCCTCTCCGCCTTCTTACCTCTGCACTCTCCCAGCCAAGGCAATATACCGCCAGCCTGCGGTCTCCTTTCTTCAACATCCCATATCGCATGGCTTCATCATCACCGTCGTCTTCGTCATCCTGGAAGGTCTCTGTCGCACCGGAAGCATCATGGTCACAGACACGGCCACGCCCTGTTTCGACGCCGCCGGTGTCGTTCCCATCAAGTGCGAAGCTCCATTGCCCTCCGACGAATCCACGCATGAGATAACAATCGGTGAATGTCTTCTGGCTTGATTTCTGGAACTCTGGGTCACCGAAGGGTGTGCCTGGAACGTAACAGCACATTGCCTACAAGGAAATTCCCCCCCAAGAGTTAGGTTGGGCAGGCAATGTTTCGATTGCAGTGGATGAGGCGTGGTCAATTCGTTCGAGTCACGCACGAGCTGACCCTAAGCGAACGAGGCATTGCGCGAGAGAGAAAGAGAGAGGGAGGGAGCGTGCGACACCTACAAACTCAGAAATCCTCGCTTCCAATGCCTCGGCTAACTCGCTCATCTGCCCTTGCTGAAACTGCAGCAACAGCGAGGTAGGAGGAGTGGTTGACAATTCCGCCAGTCGGGATAGGATCTCGGCTTTCTTGACATTCGTGGTTGCGTCGTTCCATTCTGCGCGGGCCGGTTCAAGAGACCATCTTAGTTATCGTGTCCACACACAGGAGAATCATGCCATCAAGCAGTGGTGTTTTGAGAAGGTACCTGGGTAGCTCGACAGGGGGCTTACTTACGGATCGCCCAACAGATCTCCTCGTCACGCCTAGGCAGCGGAGACGACTTTGTGGGCATCGTGTAGCCGAAGTACTGTGAGGTGCAGAACCGCACGGTTGTTTCTCGTAGGACTCGGAACTCCGGGCTTGAGAGTATCGTCTGAAGCCGTGGGAGAGTGAAACGAATTATCTGAGAATACATCTTCTCAGGTGGATGTCTTCCCGTGAGAGAGGTGTCCCGTGGGCATGCACTTGGCATTCGACGAGAAAGGCACTGACTATATAACCTAGATTATGAGATCCGACAATGTGGCCAGCTCTTCTGGAGACCATGGTCGTCCATCTTGTAGTTCTCTGGGCACCGCGAGCACGCATCGGTAGGGTAGGTAACGAGGCTCTGGCGGGACGTCCTACCATGGTACTCGGAAGTCCGAACACTGATTGATTATTCAGATGCCGCTTCACTTGCGCCCTTGGCCTTGAGCCACTAACTACATTAAAAGCTAATTAAAGGCGTGCTTGAAAGGGTTTTCGTTTGTGCCTGCCCCACAGAGAGTGCAAGATGCACATGGTCCCGCACTCGCTTGGATCTGCTGCAACAAACAACTACTCTTAATGGATGATGCAAATAAGCCAATGGCGGAGCGGACGAAATGTCTGTAAGCCAGCATATGCCGGCCGGAGATTGGACCCCTTGGCACTAGCGTGCGATAGACCACCGCTTCCCCCCTCTATCACAATCCCTGAAGCATTAGCTAATTAAGTAGGTGGGTGTCGAGCAGGTAGAGCTGGGCGTTAACTCAGTTGAATGAACGGGGGAGCTGCAAAGGAGCGTGCTATGCGGTGGAGGAAGCGACCTTTCAAATACGTACACGAGAAGATCCCATGTCAAGTATGTCAGGCTACAGGAGAGTCCGGTGGTACATTATTGTACATCATATTCTATGATCCTGTCACTGCTCAGTGACTTAGAGTGACGCAAACATGCAGCAACATGGTAGCTGCAGTCCCTGATCCCTGGGCAAGCCGCATTGAAACCTCTCTAGAGCAGAGGAATGGTCTCAGTGCCTATACGCTGCGGTTTTCTTAAAACTGATGTTGTCTTTGCACTCCTGCGATTGTCACCCTTGGAGGAATGGAATCAAGCGTTGGCAGTGCAATTCTTAAAGAACTCAGGTGCTCGCATTTCCCGCGGTAGTTTGGCTCAGATTCGATGCTCGCTGCACGTCTTTCGAGAGGCAAATAGGAAAAGGACCATCAATCGGAGTGCCCTTTGCAGGCTGTCTGCGGTGTTGGCATTATGCAGTCCAAGCCTTGAAAGTTGACTTCACGTGAAGCTCGAAGGGAGTCCGAAATGTCGCCATATGGTCGAACCGTCTGCTGGTTCTTTGATGCCCGGGAGAACCTCCCTGAGTAGTTCATTGATACCCAGTCCTCGATCTTTCGCGCCTTGCCACTGTCGAGGATATCCCAAGCTGACTTCCTCGAATCTGACACCGTCTATCCAATCTGTTCGACGCACATGCAAATGGCCTGTTACCACTACTTTGGCATTGAAGCGGGAGTGCCAATCCTCCGTCCTCTTGGTCCCACACCATAGACTGAATCTGGGGACGCTCGGGATGTTGACAAGATCTTCTCGTAGCGGCCAGTGGTTGACCACGACAAGAGGAATGCCCCTTGATGCAGCAGCTTCCAAGCGCTCCTGCGTTTTGGCAACAAGCGCTTCGCACCAGGCGTCCCTAGTGTCGTAGGGGTCGGGATGGAGGAGTGCCTCGTCCGTTGCATAAACGTTTTCCTCCATTGCCCAGTCCAACGCCTTCTCTCGCGACACATGGTCCGGACGAAAGCTATAGTCGTAAAGCGTGAAGATCGGGCAGATGATACATGGGCCACCCTCGCCTTCCCATTTGACGTATTCGTCTTCAGGGGTAATGACGCCCCATTCGTTCGCGACTCGCACGCATTCCTCATACTTGAAGTGTCCCTTTAGCTCTTGGTCTAGTTCCTTATCGGAGTCCCCTTCGTGCTTCTGACTAGGGAGCGTGTAGAGTTCGTGGTTCCCAGGTACCCAAAAGACTTGTTTGAATAGCTTGGTCGTGATTCGGAACGCGTCCGAGAGATGCTCCAGACGCTCCCCCACATCTCCGCATATGATCAAGCTGTCGTCTAAGTGTGGCTTGAGTTCATCCAAGGCCTCGCGGTTATGCTTGTAGCTCAGATGAAGATCCGCTATAGCATAAAGTCGCATGTTGGAGGGAATGAAGAGATCGAATGGTTGTCTGAGGATGCGGGCTTTCCGGCGGGGGCTAAGAGACAATTGCCAATCCTTTCCTTCGACAATCTGTGGAGGGAATGAAAACAAGGTACAGAAGAGTGAGATTGGAAATCTATGAGGCGAAGGATTGGTTGGAAAAGCGCGTGTTGTTGGATACTACTTCCATTCGCAACGTTCAAAACTCATTTGCTTTGTAGATATCGCAAGTGCTGGATGTCTGGAAGACAGGAAAAAATGGCGGTGAACTGCCAACGGAATCTAACCTTGAGGTAGCCTGATCTTGGTTGTCCTCAGAATGCAGCAAGAACCTTTTTCATGCGTGAACTAATCGAGAAAATCAATCTATATCTATCGCGAGATCAGTCGATGAATTGTGCTCGGGTTGCGCTCCAATGGATGGCCTCAGCTGATAAATAGAGAGGACGTCTGATATTGATAATCGGGGTCGGGAGAAACTATTCTCCAGCCAATCCTTTGTGGAGAGCAGGTTTTCCGAGATGGCTTGTCTAACACCATTCTTCAAATAGGCGGGGCTGATGCTCAACTCCTTTTATGTACCAGTATAAATCCATTTCTTATTTGACAGAAAGCTTCTCTGTTGGAATCGCTTACATCCGCCTCTGAAATTGAATTTATGTCTCGATGTAATAAGTGACGTTCCCAGCTTGCATTTCGGTACCTACTCAGGTAGGAAGTATCAACTACCCCGAATGGTCCAAAGCCTGCACTCCCCAAAGGTCCACGGTCCATATGTTAATCATTAAATAATAGAACCCTCGGCGTGAGGCTCTCTTCCTTCGAGAAGTGATGAACTTAGGCGAACATCCTGCGATGTGAATGACCCCTGTGATAGTAGTCGCTTGACATAGATGTGAATAGTGCCAAGTGCGCTTAAGCATGCTCGGTTAACGAAGATTGCCTGCTCAAGCACAACCCGGCGCAGACGAACACCAGCTCTGGCGTCAGAAATCGGATGGCGGTTGCGATTCAACTGCATTGAGAGCTAGTGCACATTACGGGTTCGATGTTTTGACGTCAAGGTGGCTGGGGAAGAAATGGTTAGATCCTAGCTAGCTCCAGTGTTCAGGAGAACCTCGTAGGGCGTTCCTTTGTCGTCCAAGTTCTAGTCCCCTCCGAGCATTGCTTAGGAAACGATCTGCGGTGATGAATGCGGCGCAGAGCATCCGCTCCGTCCTTGCTAGGGCCCCTGGGAACGAGCTGCCTGGTGGCGGTGCTTGCTGCCGTTGTGCTGCTGAACATGTCACGCCTACTGAGCCCGAAACGGACTGATCTGGACCACGCCCAGGTTGGAGATAGATAGTTTCGGTATCAAGTGGGACTCTCCTGCGTCTGAGCTCCAGAGGCCCATGCTGGGTTCTAGTCAAGTGAGAAATCCGATTTGTTCGCTTGGAACGGTGGTTATTCCGCGTATATTTAAGACTTCATCTTTCGCTTAGATACCATTTGGTGTGAAGGACAAAATCGCAGCCAAGATCAAGACCTCAAAAAATAGTCGCAGGTATCGATGTTAATACATGTGGCTTAGCCATGCCTTAGGTGCAATAGCGGATATCTAGGTTCGGAAATAGACATGGCATTTTGAAAGGCCATTGTGGTTCATGTAAAACGATGGATTCATACTTTGCCATAGAGGGTTCAGGCGAGTGGCGTAGATTTAGTTTGACGGTAGTCGGACGACCACACGAAAGCATTCGAGTAAATTGAGAGACTGGTCCTCCTACATTCAACGTATTCGTAGCCGCTTGAGATTTGGTGAACTGAAAGGTGTACCCACTCAATGACTTGCTGACAACAGGGCCTGCATCCTTTCGGCCAACATCTAAATCTAGGCCCGCCCAAGGGCATGCCTACCCTTTCTCAACATCTCTGTCGAGCGTGGGTATCCGGAGCCAGGTAGTTGTGCGCGTGCAGTTTCCAACTTTCTCGCAGAATAGAACCACTGTGTGGGTACATACTGTGGCCATCCGAGCACAATGCCACCAAAGCTTCGTTGTACCGTACCCTCTCCATGCAGAGCATCTCCATTCTTCTCGTTCTGCGTGAGAACACATGAACTGACTGATTGAAAAAGAGCCATTGACCAGAGTTGTGTGGCATGATCCAGCCCACTAGACATCTGAAGGACCGGAACAAGGTCTTGGTTAGTTTGATCCAGCCGCTATCCTCATTAAATGATCATGATCAGACAGCATTAGCTTGCTGAGGGATGTGCAACAATGCCTCTTTTCGGCGGCTACTTGTACCCTATCCACATTTGGCTGTTCATCTAATTGCTCCGATATGTGTTTCGTAAAGGAACAGTCACGTTGGGACGGAGACAAGGGCGCTCCTGACTACCGCAAGAGACGGCGAAAAAAATCGAGCAGCTGGTCGAGAAGGCACAAATACAATCCTCGAATTTGGGGAGATTACCAATGATTTCCAAGTCATGGTTTCCCGCAACTGGACCGAGGGCCGTGTTGAGGCCATAACGAAGAATAAATTCCGCGGATGGAACATGGAAATGTTCGACAAGTATTGTCGCGTTTCTCGGTGGCAAATACCGACAACTCTGATCTGGCCTGCTTAAAGCAAGTAAGAGGCTTGAAATTCGTTCGATATGCTCGCGCGCAGTTTGTCATCTGGCGTTGGATCTTGTCTATAAACAGCGAAGATAGATTCTGAGCGAAATGGTCAAGGCTTTTGGCCAATGACAATGACCCTGATGGAAGGTGAGTCGCACATCCGATTTAGGCAAGATACTTCGAGCATAGGATCTGGACTTACATGGGATAGTAGAGACGATGTTGACGACCATTGATCTCTTGAAAGGCATCAATGCATGCCTTGTTGACCTGGTCCACAGACCACTAATCTCATGACTTAGAATTCGTACGCGTTTATCGGAGTGTTGTCCACTTACACCTAAAGTTCGGGTACAGATTTGTAGCAACCATCCTTGGAGGCCAGTCTTGTAATATCGCTCAAAGAATCTGCCAATGTCTTTTAATTTTGGGTCGACGGCCCACGATCCCAGTGGTAAGTTGATTGTTCGTTCTTGTACGTTGACGAAACCGGCATCCTCGATCAACGTCTTCATACTCTTTGATATATGAAGATCACGTCCGGAGGCTATACCCATTTGCGCAGTGAATGTACAGAGCTCCTTGACTTTACTATTTGAGGAAGTGGAGCTACCATCAATTTGTGCATTTATGTCCATTTCGATCTGTTCTATCCATCCACCGGAGCTCATATTGCTAGGAACAGTTAGCCGAAGCATGGAGGAGATTAGGCGTTGTAGTACCATATTGATACGAATGAAACGGCAGCGGTAAGACAAAGGAAACAAAGACTTACTCGAAGCATTGTGTATACAGTGCAGGCCAGTCCTTTACTCCAAACAGCGTTCGAATATAGACCAAATCGAACTTCTTAGAAGGATCATCCAAAACCCATTCTTCTGTTGCGTCCGACAACATATAGGAACAATTTGGATGGGTTGGTCGTTCGTGAGGAGCCAGGTCGATCCCAACCACTTCCGCATCGGGGTAGCGCTCGGCCACTCCTTCGGTCCAGAGACCCAGCCCGGAACCTATATCGGCAACACAACGAAGAGATGATTCAGGCACAGGAGACAAAAAGTACCTGTTGTCGAGAAGTAGCAGCATCATATGATGCATGATGACCTCATTTTCTTCTGAAACCTCATCGTAAGGGAAAGGGTGACCAGCTTTATAGTCACGGAATCGACGGCCGTATTCCACTCGAAAGCTGTACGCTGACGAGGTCATCGAATAAACCGAGCTTGAATCATCTTCCTCGTCCAGATAAAACTGGACGCGGCCGTAAGACTCATCTACGGGAATGGTATTGGGGATGTTGAGGCTGTCCATATCATAGTTATCGCAAGATGTCATTGAGGAATAATCGCGGCGCCGATACTTTATGGAAGACATTCAGAAATCGTGGGGATAGCTATAGAACAGGCTAAGAAACCTTTATCGATGTGAGCCCCAGAGCAAGTTGAGGACCGAGAACGAGAATTTGATTTCTGTGGTGTTAGGAACATTCAGGGCGGAGTAGGGACAGCTGCCAGAGGTTGTCGAGAAGTTCAAAGATTGGATGTTTGTTTGAAGAGGGTCGTAAGAGGGGTGTTGATGAGAATAATAATGAAACACAATGGGCATCCTTGTGGACCACAAGACTTTTAGGCGCGACGATTCGCCATTATTGTACGAGGTAAGGTCCGCAAGAAGAGTCGTAAAATACTCTTGTCCCTCGTGTGCCGGGTTGGTGGCTAGAATTTGGTTAGCGTTGCCAGGACTCAATAATGACTAATCTCTATTCAATAATATTGAATGATAGAGAAGCTCGGTGTCCAATGGCACGGTTGACAGTCACCCAAACTGGGGGAGGAGGGGTTGTATGGGCCATACATACCAAGGATTCAGCCTCAGGTGGTTTTTGATCGAACTCGGGCCAGTCTGTGTTCTAAATCGAGAACCCCGAGCACGACATGGCAGGAGAAGAGAGTGCTGAGGGGGACGAGACTGAGAGGGTCACTCGTAGGAGGAGGATACGAGAGGGCAGCGGGGGAGAGAGGGGAGAAAAAGGTCCCAAGCCCAAGGTTCATAACTTGGGACTTGGAACTCGGAGTCTCTGCTCTTTAGTCAGTTCAGTAGTACCGAGGACAGTTCTCGGTACAGGATCGATGGAGTAATCAGACAGAGGGACTGCACTGCTTCAGGCTCGAGAGGCGATCCCCATCCCAGAGTTGGGGGTCAGCGAGATGGAAAAAATCAAGATCCAGATCATCATCAGAGGGCAGTGGCACTGGGGAGGGAGCCAAAAGCACGGAACCGTGACTGCCACAACGCACCCAAAGGAGGGGCCAGGGCCGAGCGCCTGGGTTGCCGCGCCGCACCATTGGGCGCTATCATCGCTAGCGAAGGCGGTCAGATCCAAAGTCCGAGTCAATTCGCCAGTCGCAAAGTCTAATTCTGCTAGTACGAGCTAATGGTGGGGCAGGTCCGCCTCAACCCAATGACCAGCGACCACGGGTACCGGAGGCTCGTCCCCACCGCCACCAAGGATGTTTCCATCGAAAACCCAGCATTCCAGGTCCCGGAGTACAGAGCCATTCTTCACCATTCGCCCAGAAGTCGCAGTCATGCAGCTCACTTGCAGCGCTGAGCCCGCTAGACCCGAACCAGGTTAACCAGGTTGCCCTCTCTGTGTCTTGCATGCGCGTTCCCATGCTGGCGGGCCCAGCGGTGTGGTTGTTGGGACCGCGACTCAACTCCTCGTTCGCAATGGCCTCTGTATCCTGCCGCTTTCATGGTTTTTGGGTACTGAGGTCCCCGCGTCACCTGTTACTGAAGGTGTGAGGACCAGAGATGAGACTCATCCCCTGCACCAACTAGGCCCGCCGGGGACCATCGTGTCTTCAAGCTGCCTTTGTGGCCTCCTTCCATACCCGGGCGTCCGTATGGTCGCCGTTAGGGACGTACTTAGGTCTCAGTGCCCACTGCCCACTGCTGACACGCGGAGACAAGCTCACTCTCTTATCGAGCGAGTCGCCCTGGATTCGCCTTCTGACGAAGCCGGCGTCTTCGCGCCTTCACGTGCCATCTCCAGCCAAGCACGACCCATCCAACCGACAAAGACAGCCCGGCAGCCCCTCTTCTTACCCTTTGACGTCGGCGAAGCTAACGAGAGAGATCAGATGATTCCACACGTTAGATCCGAATTTTGGTTTTCGCTGGTGAGTTCCCGTTGGCAAGCTAGTTTGCCTTCGCTCCTGGTGGGTTTCCTGCTCAATGCAGCTCTGCCCACTTCAGACGTGGCGGCGTCAGCAAGTTTCGCCATGAGCCCTCCCACCACAAATGAGTTGAATCACGTGGGAGGAAGGCCACATTCTATCGAACCGGCTGACGGGCTCTGGTGTTTCTTATCGGCCACAACCTGGACTGTGAGTATCGACGGCCACTCATGACGACAGCAGTGTCAAACAGTCGGTGGGAATATGTACCCACCGATTGGTCGACTTGATTGGCGTTCACTCGACAAAACGGCCGTCCCCCATGGGAGGACTACTCTGCGAGAGGAGAAATCCGATTTTAAGGAGTGAACGAAGATACGTGCAAACTCCAACCCAATCATTGTAAATCTCTCAAACTAATTAGGTCAATGTGGGTTTCCATTCTCGTTGAACTTCTCCACAATTCTATCACGAGTTTGAAATCTATCTGACGACCCTGGGAGGACCACTCACAGGATGCAGAGACTATGATTTGACACATCGCCGGTCAAGATGCCATCTGCTCTAGCCCACACCATTTTGCCGTTGACAAGCTCCTGCACCTGCACCGACGAGTAACCTTGGCCAGATCAACCTCTCACGACATTAGCTTGACCTGGTTGCACCTCCACCTTCTTGCCATCCTGGACATATAATTCCTCCCAGCCAATAATGATTTTCGTCCTCGGTACATCTGCAAACTTTAATTCATCTGGGACAACCACTTCCAGGTAATAAGGGTCCTTCTGGGCCTCATCAAAACATGACAGAGAAGGCATCGTCAACTCCACAAAGCCATCGTAATCGGCGATGCTCGCTTGGCTAAGACCAGGTATTGACTTGGCTTGCTCTCGAACAGACGACGGAGTGTGGTACTGTCGATCGACTCAGTCTGCATGAACTAAACAGGATGAGCATGTAACCGACCTGGGTGTACTTTAGAATTCCATGCCGTGCCAGCCAATCCTGAACAAGTGGTACGTGCTTCGTGGTCCAGTAGGTGTGGAATTCTTCCTCTGAGAGGCCCGGCTTGCGGTAAGTCAGGATTGTGAATCGTATGAGCCGACCGTCGGTTGCCATACTCTCTATAGCTTGTGTCGGTCAGAGTCTGAGAGGGCCAGGATCGAGAGATTGGAGGATATTCTCAACACCTCAAGGCTAATGTACGTATGTTGCAATAACCGCATGTATAAGTAAGGTTGGAGCCTGGTTACACACCGTTACACGTGATTGACACTTCTCTCTCTTTCGCGAAACCTTGGGGCCCACCACCAACGTGGCACAACCATAGCCAGTTCAATGTTGGGCGCATGATGGCCTCGAGCACTGGGGGAGGCTAGCATGTGGTATCGAGATATCTCCGGACCCGCAACTGGACCACTAGCCATGCACAAGTAGTCCTCGAAGCTCGGAATCAGGATAGCTTTGCATAATCTGGATCAGGGTCCCAGTAGATCGGGACATGATTGATCGGGGGATAGATGTTTCCAATGCAGCAAAGAGAAAAGGGTTCTTTTGCACCTGCAGGTAAACAAACACTACCAGGAGAAGGCGAGCGAACACGGACGCGTCGGAGCGACTCCACTTATGCTGGCTGGGACAATCTTCCACGACAACTCTGCCGGTACTTGATCGCGGTGTTATCGCATATATGTGGGCAGCTATCGAAGCCACCACCATAGGATCCACGTATTCATGCAAGTACAGAGGATGCAAGAACCATCGTGCTAGTTATGTGGCTCACGAACATCCATGTGCAAAGGGCCAATCACAACAATATCGGTCAGTGAATGGCCAATAGGATGCCCTCCCGCCTCGCAAAGACTACAGCAGTTCGTGCACCATGGCGGAAGGGCCGAGGCGGGTCATATCTTAAGTGAGGTCGTATTTCTCCTCGATTCTCGGCTGACGGGGGCCCACTGGTCCCGGTAACAATTATAGAGTCTGCTACTATATCCTCCGGATTTCGCTCGAGGAGGCTTTTGGCATACGGCAAACAGAAGTCCAACACTTCTGCTTGTACGATTCCCGGGTCTCCAGACTCACCATGGCAGACTCAACGATGCCTCAATTTCCTTCTCCTAACAATGACACATCCAATATGCCGATTGCTGTCGTCGGCATTGGTTGTCGTTTTTCAGACACTGCTTCTAATCCAGAGAAGTTTTGGGAGCTGCTGGCGCATTGTAGAAGTACCAGTGCTCCTACTCCGAAAGATAGATTCAATGCTGAAGCTTACTATCATCCCGAATATGATCATGCCGGGACGTGCGTTACAACAAAAGGCCATTACATGGCAGGGGATATTTCTGAATTTGACGCACCTTTCTTTTCTATCACCGCGAACGAGGCCATGTCAATGGACCCTCAGCAAAGGATGGCGCTGGAGGTTGCGTATGAGGCGTTTGAGAATGGTAAGCATGATCCGCACGTACTTTTCGCACATCTGGATCGAGATTGATCGTATATATGCAGCTGGAATGCGACTCGAAGACATCACAGGTTCCAACACCTCCGTCTATATGGGCACCTGCACACAAGATTATTATGATTTACTTATCAAGGATTCTGAACCAACAAATGTGCACTCCGTAACTGGTATCAGCAAGTCACTTTTGGCCTGCCGCCTGTCTTGGTTCTTCGATCTCAGAGGCCCAGCCTTGACGATCGACACGGCATGCTCATCTTCCTTGGTCGGCGTTCACCTTGCCTGCCAGAGCTTGCGTACTGGTGAGAGCCAAACGGCACTTGTCGCCGGCACCAACTTGATTTTCGCCGTAGATACCATGGTATCTATGTCAGCCATCCATGCTCTCAGTCCGGACGGTCAATGTTACAGCTATGACCACAAGGCCAATGGTTACGCCCGAGGCGATGGCATTGCCGCACTTGTTCTTAAGCCTCTTGAAGCAGCACTGAAAGATGGTGATGTTATCCGCGGCGTAATCCGTGGCTCCGCCGTCAACCAAGATGGTGGAGCCTCTGGCATAACCCTTCCCGTTGCGGCCGCACAGGTTGACCTGGTGAACACGGCCTACCGAAATGCAGGCCTTCCCCAAGACCAGACAGCGTTTTTTGAAGGCCATGGAACTGGCACAGTTGCTGGTGATCTACAAGAAACCACAGCTATGGCGAAAACCATAGGGCGGTACCGCTCCAAAGAAGTCCCACTCTATATCGGCTCCTCCAAGGCAAATATTGGCCATATTGAAGGCGCAAGCGGGCTGGCTGGACTCATCAAGGTCATCTATTCCCTTGAGAAGGGTATGATTGTTCCAAATGTCGGGTTCGAGCATCCACCGACGCCAATGTTGTTCGATGAGTGGAACCTCAATGTCGCAACGGAGCTGATTCCCTGGCCACTCGATGGAGTACGCCGTGCTAGTTGCAATGGCTTTGGATTCGGTGGAACAAATGCCCATGTCATTGTCGATGATGCTTACCACTTCCTCAAGGAGCACGGTCTAAAAGGAAACCACAACTGCGTGCTCAGTGAGGCGGAAGGCTCACCACAGTCTACTGCTGACTCCGGTGTCGGCATGGTTCCAAACATAGATTCCGAGGATGAGGGCCAATTACCAGACGCTATGGACGCAGATATAAAACGCAAAGAGGCCAAACTGTACACTCGGCCGAGGCTTCTTGTATGGTCGTCCGGAGAGAAGAAAGGCCTTGAACGCACATTCACAAATCTTACCCAATATCTGAACGAAAAGTCTGCCGCTGAGAGCAAGACCGAACTTATAGATAGACTGGCGCTCACGCTTGAAAAACGGAGAAGTATTTTCCCCTGGAGGACGTTCTCCATCTTATCGTCATTACAAGATCCTGAGGTGCAGATGAAAGACTCGCTGGTGGATCCCGTCCGAGTCAAGGGGTCACCAAACCTTGCATTTGTGTTCACCGGCCAGGGGGCGCAGTGGTTTGCCATGGGTCGTGAGCTGCTCTCCTATAAAGTCTTCTCTGAGAGCCTCACAGCCTCAGACGAGGTGCTGCAATCGCTGGGTAGTCCCTGGTCCATCTTGAAAGAATTGGCCAAAGACGAAGAGACTTCTAGAATTAATGAGACAGATATCAGCCAAGCATGCTGCACATCTTTGCAATTGGCCTTGATCGATCTGCTACGAAGTTGGAATGTCTTACCAAAGGTGGTCATCGGCCATTCCAGCGGTGAAATCGCCGCGGCGTATGCTAAAGGCGCTATCAGCCGTACCTATGCCATGAAAGCAGCATATTATCGTGGGATGGTTGCTTCTAAGCTGGGAGAACACGTTCCAGATTTGAAGCTCGGCATGCTTGCGGTTGGCATCGGTGAAGGTCGGATTGCACCTTACATTGAGTCAGTCAAGGACAAAGTCACCGTCGCTTGCTACAACAGCTCATCAAGCTTGACACTATCTGGTGAAGTGAGCGCCCTGGAGGTGGTCGAGGGTTTGTTAAAAGAAGAATCCATCTTCGCCCGAAAACTCAAAGTTGACGTTGCATATCATTCGCACCATCTCAAGAAGGTGTCCGACCAATACCTCAGCTCGATGGGTGATGAGCAGCCTCTCTCAACTGGAGATAAGGTTGTAATGATCTCGACGGTCACAGGCCTTCCCATCACGGATTCAATGCTCACTCCAAGTTACTGGGTGGATAACCTGTTGTCACCGGTGAGGTTCGATCAAGGGGTGCGTAGCATCCTCAAAGACAAGGGTGCCATTGATCTACTAGTCGAGATTGGGCCCCACGCAGCACTTCAAGGACCTTTGAAGCAGATCCTAGCAGAAATCAGTCAGAACCTCCCTTCCGTTTCTCTGCTACATAGGAAACGTGATGCAGCCGTTACCACCTTGGAAGGCATTGGACGTATCTGGCAACATGGTCTTGATGTCAACTTGACACTGGCAAACTCCCCAGGCGGCGTTCAGGCTGCCGATGTCGCGCCGCTGACCGACCTCCCACCATACGCATGGAACCATGAGAACCGATATTGGTGTGAGTCGTCCATATCGCAGGATATTCGATTCCGAAAAGACAAGCGACATCACTTGCTCGGTCACCGCATTCCCGGAAGCGTGCCTCAAAGTCCTCTCTGGAGAAATATTATTCGGGTTTCGGAGAGTCCGTGGGTTCAGCATCACAAAATTCAGGGAACCATTCTGTATCCTGCGGCTGGGCACATTGTCATGGGTATCCAGGCGATGTGGGAGTATGCGGGCTTTCCTCTTGACATTGACGGATTTGAGCTCCGAGACATCAAGATTGAGAAAGGTCTGGTCGTGCCTGACGATGCCAATGGCGTCGAGACCAATCTCCAACTCACGCCGGTTAAAGTTGGCACGGCATCGAACGAGGTAGTTTGGTATGAGTTCACAGTCTACTCGAGATCCGATTCCGATACCTGGGAACAGCACTGTTCAGGTATGGTCCGCTTGAAACCTAAGCAAGAAGCAAATTCGCTCTTCAACGACGAAGAGGCCGTCGAGATCAACTCCATGAGACAAAAGCACGCAGACATCAAATCGCGCTGCACCAAGTCCGAATATCCACGCCAATTCTATGAGTCTTTGTCGACATTGGGCTATCAGTACGGGAGCGTCTTCCGGGGACTCACGGAGATCAAATATGGCTACATGGAAAGCAGCTGCGTTGCTACAGTTCCAGATACCAAAGCCATCATGCCATTCAACTTTGAGCTGCCGCACATTGTCCACCCTGCATTCCTTGACAGCATTTTCCACATGTTGTTTCCGTCTCTGATGCCGGAGGGTATGCACATGAGTGCTGTGGGAGTGCCTACGTTTTTCCAACATATGTACGTCAGCGCAGACATCAGTCGGACGCCAGGAGACAAGGTTATTGGTTACTCGGAAGCTATTCCTCCTCTGAGCAGAGAGACTCACGGCAATCTGGTGGTCGCCGATGCTGAATTCACCAAGCCAATTCTCGTCATCAGTAACCTCACCTGCACAGCCGTGGCGTCGTCGGGCACAGGCGACATGTGGTCCCGCAAGCTCGGTAGCAGGCTCGAGTGGAAGAAAGACGTCAGCGAGCTCAAGAAAGATGCGGAGCAAGTCTTTGTGCCCGGACCCACGACTGAGCTTCTTGCCAGCTATCCGTATGTGGCTGAAGAGCTTGAGTTTGCTGGTCTCGTCTACGCGAAGCGCGTTCTGAAAGCGATACCACCAGAAGACGTTGGATCACTGAAGCCACATCTCCAGCTCTTCTACCAATACTGTCAACACAACTACGAGCTGGCTTCGCAACAAAAGCTTCCCCTTCAAAGCCCTCGTCTGGACTGGATGAATCCTTCTAAGGAAGTGGAAGATGAAATATTGGCTCGCGTCTCAGCAGCCACAACCGACGGCGCGCTGTTATGCCACCAGGGCGAGCATCTCGTAGATATCTTTCTTGGGAAGACGGATCCTCTAGAGATCATGATCCAGGGCAATCGCCTTCATGCCATTCACGGACAGCATCTAGGTTGGGAGATTGGGCACCACCATCTGGCTGAGTATGTGGATCTCCTGGCCCACAAGAACCCTGACATCAACCTCCTTGAAATCGGTGCTGGAACAGGCGGAACCACCCAAGCCATACTGGAGAAACTCGGCGGCAATAAGGGTGACTCACCTCGCATGCGCTCATATTGCTACACTGATATCACCAGCGGCTTCTTCGAAGATGCCGGCGAGAAGTTTGCGCCATGGTCCGCCTACCTCGATTTCAAGAAGTTGGATATCGAAAGGGATCCCATCGAGCAGGGATTCGAGGCCGGCAGCTACGATGTCATCATTGCATCGAATGTTCTGCATGCAACCAAGTCAATGGATGAAACCATCTCGCATGTCAACAAACTACTCAAACCAGGTGGCAAACTGATTCTGTATGAAATCACCAACCCTCTGATCCAGAGAGTCTGCATGATCTTCGGCACACTTCCAGGATGGTTTGCCGGTGCCGACGAAGGAAGGCGGCTGTCACCGTGCTTGACATACAAACAATGGGATGACCTACTGATCCGCAATGGCTTCAGTGGTATTGATATCTCGGCCCGCAGCATGCCCAAGATCGAGGAGCATGAGCAAAGCTTCATGGCGTCGACCAAGAAGCCGACTGACGGCGATGCGAACCTCCCTGCCGAAGTGTTGTTAATCCAGCCTGAGACTTCCGGAACCAACAAAGATTTGAGTCAGAAGTTGACGCAGGCTCTCCAAACCATTGGCGTGCAGGCGTCGAGCCACACCATGTCCGAGGCTTTACGTCTGGGCGTGGCGAAGAAGTTCTGCATCTTTACGTTGGAAGCAGAAGTCCCATGGCTCATTGATGCTGACGCAGAAGCATGGCATACTCTCCAGGAGTTGATCCTCCGATCGAGACGTTTTCTGTGGCTCACAAAGGGCGCAACAGATGGCCAATCTCCGGCTTCAAGTCTCATCACTGGACTTAGTCGAACCATCCGAACAGAAAACCCGGGGCTCATTCTAACCACTCTCGATCTTGACCCTTCCTGGAGCTGTGACGACGAGCGGAACATTGAGTCGATTCTTAGAGTCCTGCAAATATCCTGTACCAAGAAGGAGGAGGCGGACCCAGACTGGGAGTATGCTCTCCGAGATGGAGTGCTGCAAATTCCCAGGTTTATCGAGGATGTGCCAACGGACGACATGCTCCACAAGATGACAAATCCAAGCGACCCAACCCACGGTCTGTTGAAGCAGAAGGAGCGTCCGTTGAAGATCGAAATGGGAGCGCCGGGGATGCTCAGCTCATTCAGGTTCGTCTCGGACGAGGGTCCGGCCGGTCCCCTTGCGGAGAACGAAGTAGAGATCGAGGTCAAGGCCACCGGTCTGACGCCGAGAGACGTTCTTATTGCAACCGGTCAAGCACAACTGGACGAACTGGGATCCGAGTGCAGTGGTGTTATCACCAAGGTCGGCGCCTCGGTCAAAGCGCTCAAGCCTGGCCAGAGAGTCGTTACATGGCAACGCCATGAGGGATGCCTGCGGACGCACCTTCGGGCTCCAGAATCCCTGGTCTTTGAGTTGCCCGAAGACTGGTCCTTTGAGGACGCTGCGTCTCTACCAGTCGCTTTTGCAACAGCCTGGTACTCCCTGGCGCAGCGGGCACGGCTCGAGAAGGGCCAGAGCGTGCTCATCCACAATGGTGCCAGCGCGGTGGGCCAGGCGGCCATCACGGTAGCCCAGCATCTCCAAGCGGATGTTTTTGTGACCGTGTCCAACAAAGAAGAGCAGTCTGTGGTGGAGAATTACAATGTCCAGAGCGATCGTATCCTGAGCGCCAGTGATGTGGGCTTCGTAAAGGGTGTCAAGCGCCTTACGAATGGCCAGGGAATGGATGTGGTGATGAACTCGCTGACAGGTGAGGCCCTTCGTCAGACGTGGCATTGTGTTGCTCCATTTGGCTGCTTCATCGAGCTCGGTCAGGAAGATATACTAGGTAATACCGGTCTGGACATGGGTCCATTCAAGCATAACATCACGTTCGTGGGCGTCAACATACTTGAGCTATCCCGCAAGCGAGAGAACCTTGCCGCCTCGCTCTTCAGTTCCGTTTGGGAGCTCTTGCGTCAAGGACATATCAAGCCCCTCCATGCCGTTTCGAGTTTCAAGTATTCGCAGATGGAGGATGCCTTCAACGCCGCGAAATCTTCAAACCAGATTGGCAAAGTCGTCGTCACCGTTGAGGAGGAGGATGAAGTTCTGGTAAGACCCACACCCCCAATCCCATACCGCCGCTGCCGCAAGGCAATGTTAACATAAAATCTACAGATCATGGCTCAGGGTGTCCAAGCTCTGAGCTTGAATCCTGACGCCAGTTACGTGCTGGCTGGTGGCACTGGTGGCACTGGGCCTTCGATCGCCGCCTGGTTGGCAGATCATGGCGCAAAGAACATCATCGTCCTGTCCCGCTCAGGAATCACCAGACCCGATGCCAAGGAGGTGTACAGCGCGCTCGGCGTCCGTGGCATCACCATCGCAGATATACACTGCGATATTACAAACGCGTCGGCCATGGAGGCAGCGGTGAAAGAATGCGAGCAGAAGATGCCCCCAATCAAGGGTGTCATCCAGGGAGCCATGGTCTTGGAGGATTCTGTCTTTGACAACATGACATACGCAAATTGGAGGCACTGCATCGATCCAAAAGTTCTAGGCACGTGGAACCTGCACAACTCACTGCCCAAGGATATGGACTTCTTCGTGTGTCTGTCGTCGATCGCGGGCTGCGTGGGCAGTCGTGGCCAGTGCAATCATGCTGCAGGTATGTTTCCAGCGAGTGTTGATTTCGTTCCGTACCGGACCCAGTTTTGACTGACACTTGTTTCCAGAGAGCACTTACCAAGGGGCGCTTATGGAGCACCGCCGCAAGCTGGGCCTGCCAGCGTGTTGCATTGACACCGGATCACTTTTGGGCGTGGGCTGGATCGCGGAGAACATCGAAGCAGCTGCCATGTCGTATCTGCGGTCGATCCAGTATCTCGGCATGCGGTTCGACGAACTGCTACTGTTGATCCAGGCGGCTATCACGGGGTACACCAGCGAAGGCTTCCGTACTCCCACCGTGCTCGCCACAGGCCAGGGCACCGGAGGGCTGGTGGTGCAGAACGACGCGGAGCCGCCGTACTGGTTCGAAGATGCGAAATACCGGTACCTGAGAATGGTGGGCACGCATCTCGACAACACCGCCGGCGATCAGGGCGGCGACAGCATCCCCGTATCCGCGCAGCTGAAGGCAGTCTCGTCCTTCGACGAAGCCACCGACATTGTAGTCACTGCCATCACGAACAGACTGGCCAAGCAGTTGCTCATGTCGCCTGAAGACCTGGACTCGTCAAAGGCCATTGGACGACTGGGCGTGGACAGCTTGATTGCCGTTGAGCTGCGGAATTGGATGTTCAGGGAGCTCGGCTCCGATGTCGGCATGTTCGAGATCCTCGGCGGTGACGCCATGTCTTCCCTCGCCGCGAAGATCGCCCGGACCTCGAAATTCCTGCCCAAGACTTTGGGCGAGGCTGGCGGCGGTCAGGAGAATACAGAGGAGGCCAACGCTTTCGACGTCAAGGGTGCCATCACGTCGAGCCATTTCCCGGAGCTGAATTCCTGAGCACCCTGGGCAATATCTATCATTCTTGTGTGTTCAGGGGAATGAACGGGGAGAGGGGGGGAGGGGCTAATTAATATTTCTTTTTGTGATCACAGACTGAAGAATGGGTTGGCTAGATTTTCGCCTCTACACCATACAATTACACTACATAGACATGTAGGCTATATGACTGATGAATTTATTAACTATACTTGAGAAGCAGCTCCAGTATTCCAGAAGTCTTCCACCAAATATCGCTAGATATCTAGATGACAATGCATGGTACTTTTTCTGCATCGTTCATGGCACAAGCACCATGGGATTCCCTGCTAACATGATAGCGGCGCTGCTTGAGTATCTTTATGATTATCTAGCTTAGTGTAACTGCGGTGCCTCCTCCAAGGAGAGAATTGAGCTGGGACAGATTATCGATGTAAGGCTCCGAGTGTGAATGGGCTACGGAAGCTTGTCAAGCAACTTGGAACGTTTTATTATTAAAGCGATAGAATGTCCCGCACTATATACTAGCCTTAGGAGCCAGGAATGGCCCGGAAATCATATGTATATTCCCTTTCGCCTGCCTCGCGGGCCGCCCAATCCCCTATCTACTCCGACCACCAGGTCTTATTCCACTGTGCGTAGGTCAAACCGGGGTCCAGAATCGGGGACTGATCTTGGATGGCGTCCGTAAGGGCGGACTCGTCTACAGCACCATTCCAGCAATGGCGCCGGAAGCAGGCGTTGCAGACGTCTGGGAGCTCGAGACCCGCTCGAATGACGGATTTCTTGATCACCGCACAAGCGAGGCATGATGGCCAAGTCCCGTCGATGGTGCCGTTACCGTAGGTTGCTGCGTTGAAAGAGTTGTTCATGACCATGTCGAATTGGCTGTTGGTGAAGGAGGACTGCAGGTAGCTGTAGTTGGAGTATTGTGTCCAGGCTGTGTTCGGGAGGTACAGGACCAAGGGGTCTTTTGACCCGCGCTCGGAGGTCTTGTTGCATCCGAAGAAGGTTGGGAAGCGGGTGAGGTTCAGATTGACCATTGTGAGTGATGACGGGACCCGGGGGAATGGTATTCCGCCTAGTTCGGCTGAAAGACCAGTGTCTGTGGAAGTATCAGTCCGCTGTTTCCTTCTTCTAGATGAGGAGGGAGGCCCAGAAGCTTACTGATGAAATTGGTGCCGTTTACCCACGAATACTCTCCGTCGAGACTTGAATCGTACGCAATGATAAAGTCAAGTTCGCGCTCGGGGACGATGAGTGGTCGCAGAGGGATTGTTTCGCCTGTTTCACTGCCATCGACCTGTTCCAAGTTAGTCGAATTATGGACTTGCCATACCACCGAGAGAGAGGCCATACAAGTAACAATTCACCCACGTCGGCCAAATTATTTTTAGCGCCGTTATATCCCTGGAACGGATTGGGATATGTGGCCCACAGCGACTCGTTAAATGTCTGGTCGAACAGGGTGGCAGTCTCGTTAACTGCCTGCACAAGCGGGCTATCCCCCTGGTCCTCTGGGATCACAATTGTATTGGAAGGATTTTGCCTTCTTGATAAGCTGAGTGCTTGGAGGGACCTCTTTGCGAAGAGCGGGATATTGTACCACGCATCGATAAGCCAGAAATTGAATGCATTGGCTGTAGACCCTTGGACAAAGGTGAACTTGTCGAATCCCACGACGCAAGAATCATTGGCCTGGGGCATGCCGTTGCTCATAGAAGTCCCGAGCCACTTCGTCGGCATGAATGCCTGAACACGCCCGCCGAGCCAGCTTCCAAACTCGAAGGGGGTGATCTCAAAACTTGTCAAATTGAACTTATTGGTCGCGTTGGGACCCGGGAATAGAATACCACCGATGTTCGGGGATGTGCCTGGGATAACCTCCGCAAGAGTCATGATCGGCATGGGACCTGTCCCAAGAGAGAATGAGTGGTTTTGGGCTGTCAGGTCAGAGTATGACCGGTAGCGCCATTCCCGAGGCAGATACTGGCCGAACTGCTGACCAAAAATATCAACGACTGAGACAGAATAGTTGGCTTCGGCTTTCGCTCCGGCATTCTCGAAGAGTTCGTCAAAGTATTGTGTGGAATTACCGGTCGGACCGATGTCGTAGTCCTCCGTGAAGTTGATAGTTTGCCCAAGTCTCTCAATGGATGTGAAATTGTTGCTAGCCCTAATGGAATTATGGTCAGCTACTGGTCCTTCGAAAGACATGTTTGGTTTTTACTGACAGTGTGGCCACTGTCAAGAAGCCGCCACCGCTTAGGCCTGACAAGTAGGTAATGCACTGCGTAAGTCCTCCGGTCCCAGCCTTGACAGCTGGTGGGTAACGAGCGTCAAAAGCTTGCCATAAGCCTAGGCCACCAAGTCCAGATTGAGATCCTCCACCGGATATCGCAAGACCCACTACTGGAGCATTGGTCGCATTCAATTTGGAAAGGTACTGTGTGACATTGAAGCCGGTCAAGTTGGTTCGGGGAAGATAGGTCTTCAAAGAATCTATGACTGATTCAAGACGACGAGCTTTCCACTCTGCTTCGGCCTGCGAGAGACCCTGTTGCGCACATTAGCTACCCTCTGCTGAACCCAATGGCATATCAGTATTTGGATATGGGCTCATTGTTTCATGGCGACGTACCCCATCTGCCGACCTGACCTTAACGTCAGCGGTGCAATTGACCTGGCTTGGTACGTAGGGGTCGCTTCCTTGCTGTGCGGAGGCTACATTCGCAATGGGCAGAGAGAGGAGAAGTGGTGCCAGAGAGAACAGCATCTTTTGGTTGCGGACCGTTGGTCAAGCAACTTTGGCGGTAAACGGAAGATGTGAGTGATCTTGAGTGAGAGCGAGGCAATTCAGAGTGTTTATACGTCCGATCCATGCTTTCAATAGGGTTCCATCGGCCTCGATGGTTTTCAGCATTTGTGCCGCCATCCGAGCTTTGGGAGATTTCCATATATACAGACATCATCGGTCCCGTCTGAGATTTCGAGACACCCAGAGATCGCATAGATCATTCGGCTGGTGGTCCGAGCTGAAAACATGGTTCAATAATACGGGGATATGCGGGGCGGTATCCCACAAGGACTTGTTGAAAGGCTACAGACTTGACTCCAATAGACCAGAATATGCCATGAGAAGGCTTTCTCATCATGGCTATGTTCAATGTCAGGAGTTGCTGCATCCCAAACGTGGTACGTACGAGATGGAATGCGTCCCATACGACGTCCTTGAATGCCATCCGAGCTCGCGTGGCTAGCCTTTTGCAGCTTCAAGTTGCTTAGAAGCACAATAACTAGTCAAGGCTCTGTGTCGTCGAGCTAACCTATTTAGTGCATATTGAACCCTTCCATCTTCAAAAGGACCCGAAAGCGGAAGGGCGGGGAAGAACTTGCCTATACACGAGTATTCGTAGTCACATAATTCCACGCGCATCTAAGTTCAAAACCTTTGCCTGTACCCGTACGCTATACCGTAATCTGGAATTCAGCTGGACGCAGCTTTATCTCATTCTTCGTCACTAGATTCTTTGTGTGCAGAGCTTATCTATCCACTGGTGCCCGTTGGGACAAACTCAGCCTGCTGGCACATGTCCGCGCGTTGAGACTACGGCCTTTCTAGGTCGTGCTCCGATCTCAAGCGACCAACCTCGTCCCTATTGGCTTGTGCAATTTTCGCCAGCTCGTCCTGGTAAATCTTTTCTTCCAATTCGCGGTCCACTTGCTTCAACCATTGGCCATTTTCAATCCGGGCATCTCGTCGGCGATCGCTGAACATGCTGTGAGCGGATATGGGGCCACGCTTTTCTCTGAAACATTTGCAGAACCAGGTATTCCACATCCTGTCGTTGTGGTAGTGTGAGTAGACGCAACAGAAAGTGCAAAACATGACCAAGGCAGCGAGCGAGCAAAAGCCGCAGGTCACCGTAGCCGCGAACCATCGGCTCACAATCTTCACGATAAGAAGTCAATATCAACAACTGTGGCATCAAAGCAGGATGCGGAAACCCGACCAGGGCCAGAAATGGAGCACTGGGGTTCTGGAGACTCACCGCGCCGTCGGCCAGCAATATCGCTAACAGGGGCTGATTTGAGTGCGGACCGCCCGTTGCGCTAAGTTTCTTCAATTGCTGGCCAAGCATAATGCCGCAAATGATGCATGGGAGTGTACAGCAGAGCCAGAGAAGGAACATAAGCCAGCGAGCAGCCGCGATTGTTCCAGCCTTCTCGTGGGTCTGAGCCTTCCCGGATTCGATATCACCCATTTCTTGAACTGCTATGCCTCTAAATCGGGATTTGAGATGATTTTTAGTCGTTGCGGTTGTTTCAGAATCGGAATGAGCTGATGAGTCCTGGCTACAGAATAACCTAAAGGCAAAGTGGTTTAGTTTAGGAATAATTTATACCTATATTGTACCTCGTAAGACTCACAAGCCAAATCGTAGGACGATGTCACCTTGAGCGGGAGGAGTGGCGGCAGTGGTAGAGACTAGAGAGAAGTCAGGGTGCGGTATTCTTGCTGCTGGTGACACAGACTAGGTACTGGAAACGGGTTGCTCTTGAAAGCAAACGTGTGTATCGTCAGTAGTCCCAATCACATGGGCAGCATTGAAGCCGCCAGTCATCTTAACAGAAGGCTGGGAATGGGACCAGACTTCTGTTAGTCAACGACACGAACGTGGCAATAGAAGAGGAATAAAATAATCTATGACTCTTCGCTTGTTGAGGCTACAACCTGCAACGCAGTTACGTAGTATTGACTCTATTATCCGGGGCCTGAAATGGGCTCGAATCGTTAGCGACTCTATTTATTTGATATGTGGACTGTTTATCGGTGGGAGGAACGCACCGGCAGTTAAAGAGCTCTGGTCTTGCCCATCCGGGAAGAAATATGCACCAACACTGTGGACATGAAGTTAGTGTGCTCCTCGGCTAGTGAAATTTGGGAGAGCACTTACGCAACAATAATGTAACATGCGCAAAGAAGAGCTCCCTCAAGGTAATTACTCCGACCATCGAGTACCTGGCATATCCTGTTAGAGTGCATCCTGTGAAGAGAAAGTGCAAGAGATGGAGGGTGTTGGAGAGCTCCCAAAACTTCATAGAGCTGGATTTAGTGGGGCAGGCACGAAGATCTGTTTACTTACCAAGAAATTGACGATGAAGGTCGCCACGAATAGAGATCCAGTCTCAAAGAGACTGAAGTAAAGGGACATATTTTTGTCGAGGATCCATCCCAAAATGACAACGAATGGTGTCACAAACAGGGCGATCTGTATGGAGCTCCCCAACGCAACTCCGAGTGCGAGATCAAGTTTGTTTTTTGCTGCGACGGTGACTGCAGTCACATGTTCGGCGGCATTTCCCACGATTGGGAGGATGATGAGACCGATAAAGGCCTCCGAAATGGGCGTGTTTTCAACCAAATGCTCAATACTTCCAACCAGAAACTCTGCGCACAACGCAACCAACCCTGTGGAGATCAGGAGGAGAACAATAGACGCGGATTGGCTCATAGGCGCCTCGCCTGCTTCCCCCTGTGCAGGAATCTTGGGTGAGTCTGTTCTCCTAGTATGTGAAGCAGCTGTAGAGCCAGGCTGGCTATCACCCGGATCCGAGCGGGAAAGCCGTAGCGGATGAGCTGGGAAGGTTCTGTTCGAGTCGCTTCCGGGAGGCAGGGTCGTCGATCGGAAAACAGGAGGCGTGCGAAAGGAGATTCCCCGGGGTGCAGGATTCGGCTTCTTCGACTTGGTACCTACACCTGACTGAGGAGAGGGGTTTTCTCCTTCCAGGTTCTGATGCTTCGCTGACGTACTGTTCGGTTGAGGTCTCTTTCCTTGAGCGTTACTCAGTGTTTCAGGCTCTTCTGTCAGTGGGCCTCCTTCAGCTTCGATCGTCTCTTCCGTCCTTTCCTCTCGTTTTCGTCCTAGTTTTGCTCGGATGCCCTTTCGAACTCGGCGACGGGATCCTGTACTTGAGGTTGAAGCTCGAGACGAGGTTGCCGAAGAAGAACTGGTAGAGTCGAAACGAGCGAGAATTCCAGGCGCGGACTGTTCATCTATACGGTGTTGCGGCGTGCCAACGTACAAATATGCATGGGACTTGAGCTGAAAAAGCAGATACAGGAAATAGATGAGGAGGAGAATGACGGAAGTCCCTCGGCTAAGTTTGAGAACTTGTCGGTCTGCAAGGTCTAGATCGTTGAAGGAAGCATGGAACGTGGTCTATGCTCTTATATTAGCAAGTACACCGCTTAGCCTCAGCCACCACAACGCGAACGTACGGGAATGAGAAGACTGAGCACAGCCAGGGCCAACAGAGCAGCGGACATCTGTGTAACTGTGCTGTCGTAGATTTGCTCCTGATATTCAAGACCTCCTATCAGGAAGGCCATGCCCAGGATGAGTAGCAGGTTTGCGAGCAGTGATCCAATCAAAGCTGCTTGAACGATGCGTATCTCGTTTTTCACAAGTGCAATAATACTATGGTTGTGGTTAGCGAAGTTTTCGGTTGCTTTGGAGGACTTGCAAGATGATGAGCTCCACCGCATTGCCGAACGAGACATTCATTAGGGCACCAAGAGTTGGACCAAGCCTATGGGCAACAGATTCTGTGGCGAAGGTAAGGAGACCTGCTAGAGGTATGACGGCGACGGCATTAAGAGCGAAGACAACATTGGGATTAACGTTGGCAAAGTGGACTGCAATGCCAACCGGAACAAAAATGAGCAAGACATTCACCCAGCTATGGAAGAGTGCGGTCTTTGCGTTGGCCAAGAATCGAGAGGCGAGGGATTCTTTGCGCTCGTCGCGCTTTTCTTCATCAGCAATCTGTGCTTGACCATCTTTCGAAGCCGCGTCATGCTCAAGGTCCTGCGACCAAGGGTTGAATTTGTTCTTATGGGCAGAAGAGTGCGCCCATGCGCGTACGCGATCTAACAGGGGTTAGTATTCGAGTGGTCCTGGAGGAAGGGCTGAGGACTGAGAAGGCATACGCATGTTATTGGAAGTTTAGGGTGACGGAGCACATTGCTAGCACTAGCAGCAAAGGAAAGACTTCAACAACTGACGGTGTTAGTAGTATATGATTCTAAGTGATAAGAAGCGAGCGTAGGGTTTCAACCAAAGCCCTGAAATGGAACATCGACGCCAAAAGGGCAACAGGGCCAAACCAGAAAAGAGAGCAAAGCGTTTGTCAAGAACGGGACCCAGGCGTGACGCGTTGCCGTGAGTGGACGAATGAGGCAACAAGCAATTCCTTCCAAGATGCGAGATCTTGGCAGCTGCGATCTCCCTCCTTCAAAGTCCCATGCAGACGTCATTCTAGTCGCAGCGGCCGTGCCGCCTCTGCGGGAAGGCATGACGTACCATTATCACGTGATTGACCGTCGGATTTATCCTTATCAGCACCCTTATCCTTATCGATTAGCAGTCCCCGCAATGCTTGTACCTCCTGCCCTCAGCGCACGCATCTCCGGGTTTCCAGGCGCCAATTCTAAGAAGGCATGATCCCAATAACCAGGCGATTGTGTAAAACGCCGGGCCATTGCTGCGTTTTCGACAGTTGCATTGTTGGAAGGTCCTTTGCTCCTGTAGCCAAAGTACACATGTGCAACGTTAGCCACGAGAAAACACGGTCAGTGGCGGTTGTCTGGAAACGAACTCACAGTTGGGAAGACCAACTCTTGAGAGGCGTGCAGAATGGTGGGGGGGGTGCAATAGTGGTTGGACACGACCAGCGCACGAGTGCACCACAGTGTGGTGGGAGGAGGTCAAACCTGGGATACGAGAATTACAGACGTCTCCAGAGTGGCTGCTCCGCACAGGTAATGATCTGAACAGCTGGACCGGAAGCACCCGCCGCCACTATGAGCACCATGACGATCATTGCTTCAGATAGAAAAAAGTAAACGCAAAACCGACAGTTGAGCTTTGCCTGGAGGCCTGAAAGTCCCGCTGGCAAACTGGCAGGCTTGTTGAACGATCTCGACAAGTTCCAGAGTCCACGGACGTGCAGCTGCTTGGACGGAGTACACGGGAAGCAACAGAGGTGACACACTTGTGCAAAGACTTACGAGATACGCAGCGACACACCACAACGTTGGCCAGCACTATAGATAGATCTTGTCTCCTTAGGAACATCTACTAGATTGCATCAACTGACAGTATTATCCTCGAAGCTGGTCCGGCATCTTCTGATGCTCCAGTCTGAGAGTTCAGCAGGCCTAGAGAAAGCCCGGGGGGTCTAGGGGTGATTCGAGGGCGAGAAGGGTGCGATATGTTCGTGGCATACCCGTAGTAGCGCACCCAGGAGCACCCAGGAGCACCCAGGAACACGGCGCAAGGACCACACGCTCAACTCACCCCGTCTCTTCCCCTCCGAGTTTCCTTCTCTACCACCTTTTCTCAGGCACCCACCCAACTTACAACGAACACACCAACCAACATTTTTCTCAGCAACTCTTCCTCAGCATCGTTGATCTTCCAGACTATTATCATTAAGCGCTTTCCCCAAAACGAATACGTCCGAACCCACAGTCTCTTCTTCTCCCTGCATCTTGCACAAGCAACCCCTCCCAGAGTTGACTGAAAACCCGAGAGGAGCGTGCGCACTCACATAAGCGTCGTTCCACTTCTGCCAACACAATGAGGTATGTGTTCATGTGCTCGTGTGTTTTTGCCTTTGAATAGCCGTAGCATGTCTCTGTCCTTCAAGTCCCCAGGCCCAATTTCCTCCTCTTGTCTAGTTCAGTGACCATTGCACTTCTTGCTAGTTGATGCACTCGCTGTATCATCGCTGAGTCTGAGACCATGAGCCATCCAAGCCAAAAGTCGACGATGAAGGACTGACGTCGGCTTTGAACAGTTCCGCAAATAGCTCATCGAGTTCGGAAGGAACTCTTTCAACAGTCATGTCACAAGCGGGTACCAGTACAAGTAACATCTCGAGTCAGGCAAGCTGCGCTTCTGAAGCATCATTCGCATTGCAGCGAATGCTAGGCGAAGAACGCATCGATGGTGTCTATCTCGGCGGTCAGGGTCCTAAGGAGAGACAACGTCAGTCAATTGGGCGCTTTGCCCTTCTTCTCGACGATGTTGAACATGCCTTCTCCAAACAGCAGCGGGAACTGTAAGTAGGTGGAAGCTGGATGATGGAGTTTGTTTTTCAATGATTAATTGTAAGTACACCTGCTGTTTTGGCAAGCACCTAACACATTTAAAGGTTTAGAGCGGTGGCGCGTATCCGGTATTCTGTTCCGTTGCATGGGCAACAGCAACGACAAGGCGAGGTGTTGATGTACAGTCAAAACGTTCTTCGAATGGGTTGATCCCGTTCACCAAAAAAATTTCCAGGGTTCAGTATGCAGTTCTTGATCCGATAACCCTTTCTTCCTTGCGGAGGCATCACTTGCCTCTATGTGCCGTGATGGGACACGGTCCAGGTGTGCTTCTTCGGATCGATCGATTTCAGTCACCAAGAAATATTCAAAACAAACTCCTATAACTTTCAAACCTCCTTCGTACTAACTCACCTATGGCGCTGAGGGCCACACTTGCCATTGATCCCTGTACACGTGACTGTCGGAACAAAGATGCTCCAGTCCGGGCCTTGGCGGGCAAGACTGCCCGTGAGACGTGGGAGGGGACGGAATACAAGCCGCAGGCAACCATCGAGGGTTGAAAAGGCAACCAACAGTCCAACTCAACAGAGCCGCAAACAAGAGCCTCGCCGAACCTATATGGTACGATCTGTTTCTGGAAAAGGGAAGTTACTCTCCAACAATCATATGAAGCATATTGAGTTCGACATAAGGAATCCACGGTTTCCCGAAGTTGGAATTATGGCTTAGATGAGATCTAAGCTGGAGAAAAGCGAAAATGGGTGAGAATGGCGGCTATGGGGGAGCCGGCGAGAGTGAAAGAGACGCAGCTTTCAAGTGAGGCAAGACCCGGGCGAGCAGCAGGATAAAAGCACAAACAACGCCTCCCAGCAACATTGCACACTGAACCGGAACTCCATTCTTGTGTCCCACAGCCTCCAAAAAGGGGCCTCGGGTGGTGCGTGCATGCAGCCATTGCAGCGGCCAAATGATCCTGGAAATGCAGCTAGCCCTAGTGTCGGCCAATGGACTTCAAGCAACCGTCACTGTTTGCGACAACGCTAATTTGCGCACGGACCAAGCCGGCCATCTTGTGCCTCATCATGCAACTCTAAGCTGAACCCGAGGGTGCCAGCCCTTCTCGCCTTGGGCGTCCCGTATCATCATGCACGCTGTCATGATGGCAAAACTCGCCGTAGGTGCATGCCACATCTGCATGGCGTCCAGGCATCTTGGCCGCACTCATTGGGGCCACATGTGTTAGACAAAAGGCTGCTTGGCTTCAAGCATAGTGTTGGCGTTCCAAATTGACCAACAGTGGATATGATCTCATAATTTTCCTGCGTACACAGCTTTTGAGAGATCGGGAATAGACACAGTGCTGTCCCAGCAACTGAAAGGCTCAATATCGACTACTTGGTACGCTCCCGGCACGCTTCTAGGATCTTCCAAGTCACCAACAAACGTTAGGCAGTGACTTACTACCCGCAATCTGGACGGCGCACATCTCTTTTATCCCTTGGTATTGGATAGAGTGCTCCATCATAGGACAATGATTCAAGATTTCTCTACCCTCGATCGAGGCAACTTTTTCGAAAATCCGCAGTTGGGCTTGCTCCAATCGTCAGTCACAATGAGGAGCGATTCTTCGCATTGGCTGTATCCTCACTGCAGATGCCTGACTTGACCATCTCATCTCAAGCGCACAGCCTACAGAAACTGGGTCAGCCAGACGTTCTTTCAATGTGAGATGGTGGAGCCCATAGAGAACAGCCATGGAAGCCAAACAACGTCGCATCACCACTCAACCTTGATTCTCTCTATGAACTCGGCTTGCCTCATTCTCAAATATCTGGACTCAAGGTTCAAGCTCATTAGATGTATGTTAAGTACAGTGCATGTGGGCCTTCCACTGCTATCACCTTTGGGCTCGAAATATTCACGCTCTCCGATATGCGAAAATATCCGCTGTGACTCCGATGAAGTTCCTCAATAAATACAGCACCTTGGGTAGGCCGACAGGAGCATCCCACTTGAGAGTTTTCAAAAAACATCATTAGAGCAGAAGCTCATCCTGCTAACTTGCGAGCCTTCCTCCTCCCCTTCAGAGTCGATCTGCTGGGCTGTCAGGCAATGTCATAGCGGACTCTGATTCGATGGACACTGTGGCGAATCATCAACGAGACTGAGGCTGTAGGAGCGTGGCAGCATCCATGTTGTACGCGGTCAGCACACCGCTTACCCGCGCATCAGCTGTGGAGCCGTGCAAACCAAGCATTCAAGTACACAGTCAGATCGGGAAGTGACAGAGGATTGGAGCAGCTCGACTTTCACTATGACTTCCTGAATGAATGGACCTCGTTGCTCCTCTCTCTCATACAACTCTAGAGCAACATTAGCGCTTGCTCGTATACCTACCACCAAGAGATTTCAAGGCAGGAGGTAAAAGGTCTGGGGTGATGTTCAACATGCGGGCGGAAAACGGCATCGATGGGTGGCATCCAGCCGTTGAGACCAAGTGGAAAGTACTCGTACCGTTGGTCAGCGTTCTCACCTTTGAACATTTGCGAACGGTATACGTCCAGATGAGGGCATTGGATCGAGTTTAGTCCCAAATGACGGGCATGCGGATGTGGCGATGATTAGTTTCAGAGTAGGTGAGGAACTGTATGGATGAACCGTGAATGGAGACGGCGACGACAGCGACGACGGTAACGAGATATGGCAATCGATCAAATTTGGCACACTGCAATACGCCATCTCACAGAGCCAGAAGTTGGACGAAGTGAGGCTGGAAGCGGACGCACTTGCGTTTTCGTCGGATTGAATTTATGGCTTATTGACTGTTTGATTTTTGATCGAGGCGAAGATTTTACGAGTACGGTGTTTGAGGAATTCGATGAGACATGATTCTTTTATTGGATAGATTGACCCAGTAGGGGAAAGGAGTATCAAGATGGTACAGGATACTGAAGCAAGCAAGCACGCTCGCAAGCAAATCTCCATTTTCCACCTCCTGTCCTCCTCTCATTCAATGTTCTCGAAGAGAACATGGACCGCGTTGGCTTGATCATTACGGGTCCGAATCATGGGCCCCAAATTCCTCATGCTCGCTTTCGTGTCCTCCCGCTCTCCCTCCTACCCCTTAGCAAACCAATCTACCGACTTCGGCGGGACTCTGCGGAGACGTTTCAGTCCTTGACGTGTATCACAAACCTCAGGAATGCTTGGAAGTACTTTTACCCCCAAATTCTCTGTAGGGACGTACGCATATTCGACATCCAGGCACGAGAAACCTCGGTTTTCTTATTCCACACCTCAAGGATGACCTGCCGCGCCCCAACAGGGGAGGGGGGGCCAGGGCAGCGAAAAGCACCGCCCTTTATGCCGACATGCCTGGCGTGAAGCCACATCCGGCGACACCAGAACAGAACCGGGCGAGCAGGCAACCAAGACTCGGCCCCGCGGACTGGACTGGACTGGACTGGAACGGGCCAGACAAGACTCGAATCGAAGATCAGACCCGACAGCCGGGGCCTGTCTATTACTGTCTTTTGGTGTTCAGCGGAGTGCACATGCGGTAATCTTCGGCCTGGCGGAAAACGACCATCTGGCTAACTTCGCTGTGATCGTCATTTGATTCGATACATGCTCATAGACCCTGCTCTAATGCGCAGAATCACAATCACAATCTCTTACTCACACGTACGAGGAGAAAAGGAAAACATTATTTACTGCATTCAATCATGGGGTATCCTTCGTTCTTTCTCACCTAGCATCCGTCACCTCGTCGTTGGCATTGGACAGTCATACTCGTACGTCTAATTGGGGGCTACATCATCTCATCTCATCCACGCTTTTGTCATAGTAACCCGTAAAATCGTTATGCAAGGACAATCTCTATTCAATCATTCATCCATCGATCCCCCCAGTGCAGAATAGAGTACCGTGAGAACGGCTTTGTTTCACTTCAATGAATGGTCTTCAAATGATCAACAAGTGCTTGCAATTCCGAACGAACTTCGTCTGTCAATTGCTCCTCTGGCTCGCCGAGCACGCTCACCATAATAGGCGCCAGTTTGGGAGTGAGTTGCTGGACTGTTTCGTCTTGCTCACGGTACAGCTGCACGATCATCTTCCACACAGGCTCGTTCTCCTGGTAGTCGTCCTTCAAGGGCAGAATACCACTTTCAACCAGGACTGGTAGAACTTGAGGGACAGGAACCTTGTTCTTGTGCTTGAGGATCAATCGTGAGACGCAGCCTGCGGCATTATCCATACACCGCGCCTCGGACACGTGGAGGATTCCTTCGAGCTTAGAAAGAATTTGGGGATATGCTTTGGTGACGGTTGCGTCATCGTTCGACTTCTCGACAAGTCGCCCAACGGCATATGCAGCATTTGATTTCGTCTGATTATCTTCATCACCCAATCGCTTCAGAAGAATAGTCATGATCTGTGAGGTATATGGGGTAACTGCGCCCTCCATGCCTGTTATGATCTCTGCTAGGACACCGCAGGCCGAAGCGCGACCCAGAGATTCTCCACCACTCGCGTAGCGCAGGACCTGTTTCTCAAAGATCTTCCATAATTCCCCAAAATTGGGGCCTAAGGAGGCGGCGAGTCCAGAAATGACGTCCATTGCGCTGTCCACGACAACCCACTCCATTTCTGTGCCCTCAAGGTCCTCCTCGTCCAGGGCACCTTCTTGTGCATCAACTTGGCATGCGTGTTGCTTCGTGATAAGGTCGGTTACAGTCTGGACAATCTTGGAAAGGACATCGGGGTACGAGAGAAGCGCTGGCCCGGTCATCTTGAGATTCTCAGAGAGGGCGCGAGAAATCTCGGTAACAGTAGCCCTAGAATTCTTCGAGTTAGCTTGATTCACCAAAAGTGTATTTTGTGAATGCATAAGAATTGAGGTGTGATTTCAGAGGGTTGAAGATCGCTTTCGCTTCATCCACAAATTTTGTGTCGGAGTGAGCTGGGTTAACGAAAAAGTCTCATCATAGTGGATATTTAACATCGGCATCTGCAAGTGCACAACGGAAGGAACTTACGGGTCTTCTTCCTCTGGCCACACATTGAGAGTAGCAGCCATTAGAATTTCACCAAATTTCTTCAGCTCTTGTGTTGGCTCCACCTGGAGGGGAAGGCCGGGTTTCCATTTTTGGAGTTGTCCAGACTCTTCAGATATGTCGTAGAGGGCGGCATAAGCTCGGTGTAGAGTACTGATTGTAGCCTTGCGCACATTCTCGTAGTTATGCTCAGTCAAGGGAAGCAACTTCTCAATCGTCTTTTCAAAATATGGCAAGAAGGCGGTTTTCGTGTTAGAAACAACGTCACCAATTACCTCAATGGCAATCTCTTTCTCCAGCGCGATTGGCGTAACCGTGGCAAGATCGCCCCAGTCGCTGTCATCATCCTCATCAATATCCACATCTTCGATGTCACCGTCCTCAGCCTCATCGTCACTGTCAGCAGCAGCGACTTTGACTTTGCGTCCAGCAATGGTGACCTCCTTCCCAAGCAGATCTTTTGCATCGTCACCAAGTTCGATTTCGAGGTCGGCCTCTTCTTGATCGACACAATCAAAAAGACCCTTGACGACGCCTCCTAAGAAAGGCGAGAAGTCTTCTTCATAGACTTTGGCTAGAGATCCCCACAAAATGTAAGTGCTCTCCTTCAACCTTGAATGATCTAGTTGCAGAGCCTCGTCACTAGTTTGCATGAGAGGATGGACGTAATTTTTGAATTCAGCGGCACCAACGGCGACGGCGAACTCTCCCATTGCATCTGTGCAACTGGCACGCAACTCTAGTTCTTCTTCACTCTCCTTCTTGGTTATGTACTCCTGCATGGCATTCATAGAGTCTGCAAGGTATGGGAGGAAGGGTGACTCGACTGTGGAAGCCAAGGAGCCAAGGGCGCCAGCAGCTAGAGCCTTGATCTTGAAATCAGGATGCTTGAAAAGCTTCTGGAGCAATGGGGCAATCTTATCGAGATAAGATAATGCGTCTTCGGCGTCCATGCCATCAACAACTGCATCAATAGCACTGGTGGCGGATTTCATGATGTCAATCGCAGGGCCTTCTTCCTCGCCACTATATATGCTCATAGCTGCCGTCAGATTCTTAACTAGAAGAGGAACCAATCTTTCGTGTTGCTTTGTGATGTCTTCTGGGAGATCGTCTGCTAGTCTGGCAGTCGTCTGGAGAGCCGCCTGACGGACTATGACTTCTGAGTCTTCAAGCAACGTAAACAGGATAGGAAGGACTGAACTGAGCTGAGTACTCAGGAAATCGGGGGCGCCCTCAACAACAAATCCGAGTGCCAAGATACCAGCTTGACGGTACTTGGGATTCTGGTTTTTTGAATACTGTGGCAAGGCATCAAGTATTGGAACCACCACCTGGCTTGCAGGCAGGCTTTGCGCCATAGTGTCGATCAATCCCAAGGCTGATCGAGCTGGAGTGATATCATCATCATCGGCCGCAGCGTCATCAATCTCTGTGATGACTTGAAGCATGCTTTTGGTCAATGGCTCACCCATCTTAGCACCCTGCACGCGAAGGCGTCTGTAAACCACGCATTGCATAAGAAAGCTTATGGCTTGGGTTCGTGTTTCATCTGCGGCTTCGGTATTGACCGAAATTTGAGTCATGAAGGCAACAAGATCTTGGAAGTGTTTAGAGAGGAGCTGATACTCTGCCGTAAGGAGAGTATTGAAGACTTCAAAGGTTAGCATGACGTAGTCCTCCTTTGAAGAATCAATCGTGTCTTTGAGGACCACAACCATGTCTGGGAAGATATTCTGGAACGATTTGATAGAAGCCTGATCTTCTTCTGCGTCAATCACCATGGCCATCTTCGAGATTGCGAGCATAGTGTTCACTCGAACTTCCAAACTTTCTGGATCTTTGATGGTTTTGCCGAAGAGGGCAAAAAGCTCCTTGAACTTGGAGCTAAACCCGTCGCCGATGGTCTCAAGAATGCTATAGAGCACGTAGACGCCCACAGCACGTTCAGCTGCTTTCGAGCTCGTTGCTGCCTGCTGCAAAAGCCCTGGCAGCTCCGGCCACTCACCATCGTCGAGGTCAATCTTTGCAATTGCGCTCATCAGGCGGGAAGCGGAATGCCGTACGAGAGACGAGGGCTCAGACAGCGTTGCCTGAAACAGTTGATTGCGTGCATGCTCACGCTGGTCAGCTGGGGCCTTGGTCCAGTGCTTCGAGACTAGAGGTTTGGCCTGGGTAGCAGCGAGCTGTTTGAGTTCGGTACTGTCGTGGGAGATAATGAGTTGAATGAGGAACAATAGGGATTCAGGCTGTTTGTAGAATTCATTTTGCAGAACATTAGTAGCAGTCTTGACATTGCCCTTCTTGGGATCAAGGACGATGGCAAGTTGCTGGAGAAATTTCTGCTGGTCCATGGTGCAGATTGACTGCGCACCCGCAGTAGTGAGGAATTTCGAGGAGGCAGGGACGTAGCAGGGTGGGAATGGCTTGGAGGCTCTCAACAGGAGAAAATGAAATCCAGAATCGCGAAAGGGAGATCAGGACAGATCAGAGTCATGCAAGCCCTTGATCACTATCTTCTGAGGAGAGGATATGAGATTTTCCTTCCAAGAGCCAAAACAAATGATTGACGTTGCATGTGGAAAGACGGAGGAAAAGATTTATTGATTAGGCCACATCATTGTGCATCGCAGGCTAGCAATTGGCCCACCCGTGATCACATGACCAGAAATCCGAGGGCGTTGGCCATAAAACGGCGGGACACCCGAAGTGCCAAGACTACGCTGTAGGCCTCTATACTCGGTACTAGTAGCTCACCAGATCGTACGAGAGCACACGCTCTTATGTACCTCGCACGATTTTCTCTCACACGATGAAGTGGGGTGTATTTCCCCCTCCAACAACCCTGTTACTCGTAAGGGCCATTTCCCAGCCCGTGCCTCGAACGCTGGCTTGGCCATTCCTGGCGCTGAAGCAAGAATCACCCCAAGTCCGCACGAAAGCAAACACCCTCGAATCATGGTCAAGCATAATAGAAGCCGAAGCTTTCAAGCCGAAACATCGCGGGATCACCCTCAGAGGTGTAAGAAAGACACAATTACAGCATGGATGGCTCCATTGGGTCATTCGACATGCTCGTGCTCCAGCGACTGTCGTACGCGCATATTCACGGGTAGGGACTAGGGCAGACCAGCAACCTCAGCATACTCCTAGATCGAGAACGGGTAGCATCGAGTCTAGAATTCAATTTCAACATCAATCTAAGACTTTCATGACAAGCCTCAACTGCACCGCACAAGTGTCCAGACTTTGCATCGCTGAGGCAAGTATACATATCGTACTTGCCCGATAGAGTTTGTTGCCTTGATGCAGCAGAAAATGGTGAGGACCCGGACCGCCGAGTTTCCTTAATTTCCGGCGGCAAATGGCGTCGGCGTTGATGAGTCGAGATGCAACTTATGCCATACTCCTGGCCAATAATGGACTCACCGATGAAATAAAAGCACATCGACGAGTACCTACTCGAACCGCTAGGACGATAGTTCTGGATTGCGGTTTTTGACCAGCTGGTATGCGACTCGCCCAAATCTCTGTCATTTTAGTGGGTGTGAGATGGCCACCAGCCTACTAGGCGACCAGGTAATATATATGCGCCTCGTCAGCACCCTCAATCTGCCTATGGCCACTGTTCATCGGATATCTCGTCCGGATTATGAGCACAAACCTTCCTTCTACATACGAGGAGGAAGTTGCCTCCCCGTCAAACTTCGTCACTATTTGTTTGTATTGCTTCATTATTGCGCACGTCAATTTCTTCCACTGTGCCTCCTCGGGTATTATCCAACGTTTTATCCTGCGCCCACGACTCTTTGGTTTCCTCCCACGCTGTAACCCGATTTCCTTGCCTCATTGTGACAGCATTACTAGCACCGCCCAGCAAGCTTATGAAGCAACGAGCAAATAACACATTTCATGTCTCAACCACTGGCGCCGCGACCTTCCCAAGGTGAAGGTGAAGATAGCTCGTCTACTCAACTATTTCAAAGATCTCAAAAAATCTCGACTGCCTGTGGCGCATGCAAGCAGAGGAAAACAAGGGTGCAGCCCTCTGCAACGACGCTACACCATATAAACTGCTGACTATCTCCAGTGCACCGGCGGCCAGCCGTGCGACGCGTGCGGAACGAGACGAACTCCCTGTGTCTACAATGCAAGCTCTGATCAGAGAAGAAAAATCGCAAATCAGCGCAACGTACATGATCTAGCAGAATCGCAAGTCAACCTCAAGCGGCACCAACAACTGCTTGGAGGTATCATTGCTACACTGAAAGCCGGGGACGACGAATCGACCAGAGATTTGATTCGAGTCATTCGGAGCGGTGTTGATTTGTCGCAAGTAGCTGCTCATGTACGAAATGAGTGTCGAGCGAACGTAGAGATACAACATGCCTACGATGAAATCATATTTCACATTGATGGCCCACTCGAACTCCCCTCACCTACCCAGTTACTTTCCGAGATCCCACTGAATGAAGACTCACACTTCCCAGAGTCGATAGGGTCAGAATCCAGTGAAAAGAATGCGAGCATGGCTTCCGTGATTGGCAGCAAAGCCAGTCGTAGGTGAAATGAAATAAGAAAATGTAAGAGATGACCAGGCCATTTTTAAGAGCACATTTTACGTTCCTGTGCCATGTTCATAGTTTCGACAAAGGCCTTGACAAAATGGAGATGTCGGTCGATGCCGCATCCTGCGATTGAGCTACAACCCATTTGTGAAATCTCCCTCAACATGCCGTTCATTCAATGTGATGATGAGGTATGGTAGGCCCGGCTAGTAAACTTTCAATTTGGAACAGATTGATACCGCAAGGATCAAGACTGAGCAAGCCGCCCCAAATTTTGGTTCGCGCCATCATCTGGGGCATTCCAGAGGTCAGAAGACTGTGCCTACGGAAGTTGAGAGATGGCATCCGGAAAACTGTTCCAGCCTATGACATGCTAGCCCTTCCACAATTTTTCCACAGATAGATTCATCATCCTGGGAAACCATCAAACGGTCTATCGATTAGGAGCCCAATTCCCAGTAAGTAATGCAAAATTGCTAGGGACCTCTTGGCCGCTGAGGCGTGTGTTAATACCAGACAGCACGCATCATATATCTTCAGACTCACACTTCAAACGACATCATATATCCCACACAGAAGACATTCGAGACTTTGTCAACTTCTTGGGCGGTGGAGGCTCGAACACCAAGTGTCGAGGGGCCTTCTATTCATCCAGTACCTGAACTAACATCTGTGCTCACTAGTTCAACAAGCCAAGTCATCTTGAGGTGCAAGTGGTGGTCCTTACGAAGAGGAACAATGATACGGTATCGGAGATTTCAGCCGGCCTTCTATCAGGTCATCACTCACCCCACTCCAAGCCCCACCGATGACGACGAGGCCAGAATTCTATGATCGTAGAACATTCTTTAGTATGGCCTAACCCCTTGTTTAACAGGACAGGTCTGATTAGTCGAGCATGGAATACTTCAGAGTGCCAAAACTTCTACATCCTGCAGGGCGAGTGTTCTTCTGCTCCACGTCGGTGAAGCTACGGTTCTCGTTGAGTATACTAGCAACTGTGGAGAGCCTCCTGAAAATCCGGGGAAGCCTGGACCGTAGTTAGGCTCTGTCTCGATATGACGGACCGGAAGTACATTTCCGGACTATAAACAACCGGATGTCACTGCAGTCCATATTATGTTAAGGACAAAACTGCCCAAAAGCAGTCATTCATGATCCAGGTGAACCAGACCCCAGGCCCCCGTTGGGGATTCTTTAGGTTACATCAATCTCAGAGGATAGATGCCTCTGGTCTGCTCGTTGACGATTCGTAAAAAGGGCCTTGAAAATGTGTTCGAATGCAGGGCTTCGCAGAATATGAGATATGGCACGCCCCGAACTTCCAGAAGAGAACTCGGCACCAGTGTAATGGTGTCGCTAGATCACCAAAGGTCAACGCCTGTTCATTCCACATGCTATGCTTAAAGCCCCTCTGACCCGTCATCTGACCTCTGGCCGCTTGGACGGTGGAATGATCTGTTTACCCAAGCGATCACCGATCTAGCTGCATCAGAGCTTATTGGCCCAGAACTTGCCACGATTAAAATGGTCGAAAGTATGATTGAGTGCTAGGTAAGTCTAGCAATCTTTCGCGGAAGCCTTTTCCAAGCCAACTAGAAGCCTCGCCGATCAGAAGTTGTTATTGGAATGGACCCTGCTATTTGGTCGTGTTTCCCTTCGGTCAAAATTGATCCAGCTCGTGGAAAAGAACGTAACGGCTTGCTATATGGGCAAGTGTGACCACTCGCATGAAAGTCGAATGGGCCATTAGGGGCGCTTGCTTCGTCCGACGATCTCTTGAAGATCGCTTGAAGTATGGGTTCCTGGCTCCTGACGCCCTCTAATCATCGCACAAAGGTGAGAAGGTATGAAACTTCCGAATCGACAAATAACCTCATCAACCCGCTTGCAATATCCGGTGCTGGGGCATGAAACTCCTTTTCTAGCGACCTTTCTGTCCACAAATAGCAATATTCAGGGTGAGATCGAGCCCCCATGCCACGTCAGAAGGACGGTAATGGATATTTGACCCGGCAGAACCTTAAAAGAGAGGTATTAGCCATGCTTGAATGGAGAGGAAGTCCGGTCGTAGCAGAAATTGTCAAATTGACTGAATCGCGTGGCTAGGCCATCTTCCATACGCCTAGACTGATGAGCCCAAGAACAAAGTCATGTGCCAACCCACTAATCGCTTGGGCGTCGTTGATTGCGGTCACCGAAACGAGATCCGGTAGAAATGCAAAGGTAAAGGCGACTTGCACTACAACGCCACCCACCGCAATCAGAACCACCGACCGCTTGTACTTCGAGTGTAGGTCCATGGTCGAATCGCCGCGTGGCTGCTTTACAGACTGTTGCGTCGGCCGGAGGAACAGAAATGGAACGAGAAAGAGCCCGCGGGCTAAGAACACGATTGATACGAACCACGACGTGTCGACTTAATACGCTGTACCGGTGAGACTGGCGAGATATGCCAGAGGGATGAATGTTTGCGCTTTCAATCGTGAAGCATTCCAACTTCGACCTTTTAGAGTCGCGAATGTAAGATGGTAGCGAGGACGAAGAGGTTCTGAGTAAATGAAATCGGTAGAATCCGATCGAGCAAGAAAAGTACTAGTACATCCACAGGTGAGTGCGGAATCAGGCGTCTGGTCCTTGAGAGCAAACAACACGGGTCAGCTACGAAATCATTAATGTGGTGCTTTTATTTGGGCTAAGTAACCTTCAACACTCATGAACAGATTCCACGCAAATGAATACACCAAGACCAGGTGCGTCCACCAGAATCGGTGAGGCTCGCCGCGGATAGCTTGGGCAAAATCTTCGAATAATGCCGACTCTTTTGTCCATTGCCAGATGTGAGGATGCGTGAGACCGACATCTTCCACGCTCCACAACCCCTGCTTCAGGTTCCACCACCGTCGATGAGACTGGGTCAGGAAATGCAGCATGTGGTAAGAGAGTGTTGCAAAGCTGAACGCCGCCAATACGCCGCCGGTTCTGATTTTCACGCTGTTGGATCCCTGGAGCTTCGACTGGACTTGGTATTCGGATCCGTTTCCGTGCAGTGGATGCGAGCTCTTCCTCCGTATTCTGTATGTGATAGCCAGATCCCAGGTCAAGAAGCCTGTCAATAGTAATGCTGCGGCGATATACGCGAAGAAGATGGTCGCGCCGAGTATTTCCTCGTCGCCCCTGGCGCCTCCATGCACCAAATTTCTCATGCTACTTTCTGTGTATCGGGATTTGGGTCGCTCGAAGGCAGAGCTTAGACTTAGACCAAAGCTAGTAACGGACGCAAATTTTCCAAGCAAGTGAACAGGCGTCAGGGTGCGTTATCCCTTAGATTGCGTATTGGAGGATAGGAGTTAGGAACCCATACCGTACCTCATGTGGGGGGTGAGCGGACACACTTGCATCTGACCGAGTGGTAACGGCATAACCATTCTAGGATCTTCGCAACTTCCGTCAACTCAAGCATGACCCTCAAAACGTATGACTCCGGCTTGTATTTCATACCACATCCACTATACGTACCAGCAGCAGAACCACATATTGAATTGGAAGTCCGGCCAAACAGACATCTGGGCCGCTGCATCCATCAACTCGGGCCTGCCTCATGGAGTTCGAATTGTACTTGAGGGCACATGAGGAGTATCGTTCACCAAAGCGGCGACCTCACTCAATCCATGAGCCTTTTTCTGTCTGCTCATCTTCTATCTCACTTGGTGTATGAATGACTGTGGGTGGACTTGGCCATTCTCAGTTGGGTGGCCGCGTTCTTGGTAATTTTTTCATTGTTTTACTTCCTTGACTCTTCATGACGTGTTCCCACCGGAAGGGGGATATGCTGCATAGTAAATATGAGCCTATCACCTAGCAATGAAACGGCGTACAAAGGCATCTTTGGGTAGGGGTTGTCAGCATGCGAGATCAATCGGGGCAAAATTCGATGGAGATGGAGTGGTTGCTTGCAGCATTGGAGTCCTAATATAATAGATGTATTCTCTGACTGCATCCATTAGTACCAGAATAATAGAAGAAGCGTTTCATGGTCAGGGTTGCAAAGCGGATGACCGCCATGATGATGCATGGTTCTACTAGTGACATCCCTCCAGAGTTTGTAGAAACGCTGATTCATGCTGCTGATGGAGGCATCGCTTGCGAGGGCCACTATGCACCGACCAGCAGGTATATTGCGCTCCAAAGAAGAATAGAGCGATCCTCAAAGGTTTGAAATAGAGAAAAGACCTTCTCGAGGATTTCTTGACGGTAGGTAAGGTGCAAAAAGGGCCGAAGCTGCGCGAAGCAGCCATCCGGCTGTAATATCCGGGCCCACACCGTTAGCGGCAAGGCTGCAGAAGACACAACTACCCGAAACCCATGTCTCCCATTCAAATTCATAACCAGGTATTAGACCAGTGAACTGTCAAGGTTTACTCCCATGTACAACCCTGAGTTTACTCTTTGAGCCCACACCAACGGGGGTGAGTGCCTGCAAAGCATGTTGTGTCATCAAGGTCAGGGGAACGTGTCCGGATGTCGCAAAAGATTCAAGCTTTCCCAACCGGATAACCCATTGTTTCACAATTTGTATGTGGAAGTACCTGTGTCGAGGTCCGATGTCACTTTCGCAGTGCCTCACCAGGAGTCCGGCAGCTCAGAGAATGCACAAGCACCAAAATCTGGGTCAACCTGCTCCGCGTCCACTACATTTTTGATCGGCGAATTTTCCAACTTGATTTCTCTGCATCTGGGAAGCTGTTATTCCATGAACACTCGAGATCGTTGTCATGTCCATTTGCCAGCAGCCCCACTTTTTCGAATTGCACCGGCCTCCGTGATTGTGAATTCCAGATGTCGTAATGGTCGACCCATGATCATCATTGTATGGCGTGGGTAGCCGCTATGCATGATCATGTAGGCGATCCGTGAAGATTAAGACGGACGTTCGATGATAAATCTCACACTAACAGGAAGCTCCAGCCATTTTCAATCATAATATCTATCCAAAAGACCTCAGGAGTATCATTGTCACTGATATCCCAAGTTTTGAACACGAGCTCCTGCACAATCTCAAGCGATCTGTATGGCAAGATTTCGCGGATTGATTGGAGGCGCTTACAGACCGTCCTGCGAGCCTCAGCGATGCAGTCTGAGACCGAAGATTCACCGAATGAGCTGTCGATAACATTTCGCAGCGTTTCGTGGCCCGAGAAGTCGTATAAATTCTCATGTTGGTTAAAAGCACTTCTTATGGGGAGCGAAGGTGGACCAAGTCCTGCTATTGATCGTTCGAGGGTCGAGCGATCGCTTTCCTCCCTCATGTACGAAGTCTGCGAGCACGTCCGGTTTAGTAGCGCTCCACCAATGATGACTAACAGAATTTGCTCGATGCTGCGGGTCCCGGACCCTGGTGTATTCTGGCACAGGACCTTGAGGGCTTGAATGGCTAGTGCTGTCACCCATAGCAATCTTCGCTCCTTTGAGGATTGATCACCATCGAGATCATCTTCGTCAAGCCGCAGTCTGCGGCTGAGCAGATCCGGAAATGCTTGATATAGTAATATGAGGGCTGCAAATCGATAAACCTCTGCAGTGTTGATAAGGTCTTGTATGGGGGTCATCATATCATCGCTGTCGATAAATTCGTCGGCTTTTGGCAGCTTGAGTGAGAGTGCTTCCTCTTCTAGGTTCTGCGCTCGTTGTAGTGAGTTATATTCTTTGTATAGTACAATCATGCTTGTGAAAGACTTTTCCCGGCAGCTTAGCCTCTGCCCATAAGTCAATGAACCCACCCGCCCAAGGAGCTTTTGCACCTCAGGGGACACTCCAGCCAGGGGATGAGGGATCCTCTTGGCGAAATTGACGGTCTCGGTGCCATTGCGAATGCTAGTCTCGAGAGGCGGCGGGTCTAACAGACATTCTTTGCTGGTGTCTGTGACAAACGCAAGACCCATCCACCAATAGACTAGTGAAGGAAGGAAGAGCTCCTGATGGTCGTTCTGCGGCGAATGTGGCGTGCTGTTTCCATAGGTATGTAGATATAACCGGACAGCTGCATTGTAGTGGAGAATGCTAGGGCTATTGGATCCGTCCCAATTTGTAGTGAGGCCGAACATAATAATAACCATCAAGACATCCTCGATGTTTGCCCTCGTTTGTAAGGCCAACTGTGCCACTTCACTGTGCAGTCGATATAAGATTTCGGTCTGGGCGGTCTGCACCACTAGAGCGCTGGTAGAGTCGAGGGCACTGGAGTTCAGAAAAGCCGCGGTAATATAGCGAGTCAAGGAGAAGAACAACAACGACTCCTTTGTACGTGATACAGCTACCCTTTTAAATGCGTTGTGCTTGGAATCGAACGCTGTCAAGGACTTGCAAATCGTCTGTGTGAAGAAATCCATTTGAAGCTGTGTGTTACTGAGTAAGGTGTCTAGGGATTGCCCTAAAATTTGGCATATTACCGGGGAGGTGTATCCAGGTGTTGCCGGAGCTTTCAACCTGGGGCAATTTTGCGAGGTTGGTGTTTGCAACGTAGGAGGCGAGACATCATCGCACTCTTGGTTCAACGACAAGACTTGCTCTGCCTCAGAACCGGAGGTCTCATTTTGACCGGGACTGCCAATATCAGGGTCCTTGGTGGTGGGCTTCGCATGTTGGATGTGGTCGACATTGCCCATTCCTGCCCTTTCTCGCCGATAAGGGCCTGACAAGGTACCGACATCTGCGGAATGTTCGGAAGATGAGGACTTGGGCCATGTCCTTTTTGAAACAGGAGCTCGTTGAATCTGGAGACTTGACTGCCGTTCATGCTTGGTCGACCACTTCCATCGAGTCGTATAGCCAGGACACTCTAGATTTTTGAGAGTGCACTGCCTGCACAACGGCTTCGCTTCGTCGCATTTCACCTGGCTCTCAATTGAGCATGTGCAGCACATTGTAATCTGGGAGATCCTACCCTTCGTTGCTTGCACGTCTTGCAACCAGATCGGGATTTTGCGAACTTGAGCGTCGCAGACATGGCGACAGAATCAGGTGGAACTAAGCATGCACCAAGTCATGGCTCTCGAGGAGCTGCATTTGGGGTGAGATTCGAGCCGGCATCCATCGTAGCTCCGTCTCTCGTTTTGGGCTGCTATGCTAGCAGACGCAAATGGGTGTGAGATAAGGCAAAGCTGGATGAATATTTTCGTGTATGGGTCCCATCAACACCCCGCGCGGCGCTTAGCATTATTATTGCTTTAACTAGATAGGCCGATCAGTCTCGAGTCTCCAGTTACCTCCCGGGATGTAGTCAACCGCCCGAGGCTACTTGACGGGCATGAGTCATTGGTCAAAGTTGGATAAGGATCACGACTCCAGCAGGCGGGTGTCTGGAGTGAGTACATATGAGTCCGCGGCCAGCACACCACACAGCGCGCTTGGTATGCCGCCTACTCCCAATTCGACCTGTCAAGCCAGGGCACTCCAATACAAAGGGCCTCAAATAAGCACGGGGCTATTCCCCTCCCTGCTCCATCGGATGCTGCTTATCAAGGGCAATTATCGCCTTATCTACTACACACGTCCTTGCAATATTTGCCGACACCCTCGTCCTGAAGGACTGCAGGGAAAACCCGGTGACGGCAGACGTTCAAGAAGGCGTTCAGAGTTCCTCGCCTATCGCAAGGGATGAAAACTGGATACGTCGCAACCGTGAATTTCGCATAGGCCTCGGCGGTCGGACACCGGGGCTCATGTGTGATGATTAGCCTGCATTTGGCAAAGATTGCTGGGTGTTCTAGCTTATGTATAGACGGCCTTTGTGGGGAATACCAGGACGCAGGCAAAATGCCAGCGGCTTTCTTTTGGACGTTGGCCATCCCGTCGGCTTGATCTTGCGGGTCATGGCAATGTATTGAGCAGAACTCCGTTTGGGGTTCCCAATATCGATGCGCCTTGAATATTTATGTACCGCGCGCCGTGACAGTGACAACGTCGCCTCACAGTTGGAAGACAATGCGCTGTAGTCTGTAGAAGCCAATCTCAATCATCGAACGTAAATGTACCTTTTCCCCGGCAATTGAAAATGTAGTCCAGGCGGTTCGCGATGCTGATCAGGATCATTGGTCCCAGCGGAACACAAGGCCGGGTCGATAGCTCAGTTTGCTGGAGACTACATACGGCGAGAGGCCCTGGCCGTGTCCGCGAAAGAGTAAGTACGAGTGCTCGTACATGTCGCCACTAATAAGTACTTCATTACTTGGAGCCTTACTGAATTCGGACAAGAAGTGCGATTGGTTGAATGAGGACGACTGACCAAGGATTCGACTGACTGGATACAATTGGAAGCAACAGTCTGCGACATACGCCGCCATCAATACTAGGTTTATTTTCGCTATCTGGACGGCAGCCCTCTTCCACGCCGTCTTGCTCTCTACGTTCTAGCCATCAGTCTGGACCCGCACTTGAAAGCAATTCCGTAATCGCTCGACGAGAAAGCGATCGTGCTCCCCCGGTGAATTACAAATGTTTGGCCAGCCGCAAGGGTCGCTTTCGCACCGGCTTCATCCTCCAAGGTGATCGTCCCTGCAGCTTCAGTCAGTGTCCATGTATCTTCTGAATCAACTAGTATGACATTCACCTTCAAAAACAACACCCACCTCATCGTATTCGTACTTGGGCGGCGTAGATGGAGGCCCTCTTTCGATGCGGAACCAAGACCCCGTGATGGGGTTGTGAACCTTCTCGTCACGACTCCCCAGGAAGTCCGCTGTCCACGAGTTAGATTGTTGTGTTTCTTTGCAGACTCGAGGCCGAGTCGGCGAAAATGGAGCTGGTTTCCACTCACTGAAGAACACATGCTCCGGCACCCCCTCGATATTCTGGACCTTGAACATATCGGTCTTGGGCTTGACTTCCAATACCATGGCGGCGTGTAGAAAATGATTCAAAGCTTGCGGTACTGCAAGATGATCCAAGGCCTTCTTGGATGGGTTCGTCATGGCTTCTTATCACTGCGACACTGCCAGTCTCTTAGAATTTCCAAGTCGGGACATTGAGTGCACCGGAAGGGATTCCGCTCTTGGACCCAAAAATGCGCAGCTCAGCAGCCGCAGGATTCCCTTCGAGCGGTGTTTGGACCGAGCTACAGAATAGTCTAGTTGTACGGGGTATTAGTATGCCGTTGCTCCCTTACCTTCACCGCTGTCAATTGTTCTTCGACCTTGAATCTCACAAACACAGGAATAACCGATTCCTCGAAGATTAGAACACTTTCCCAATTTCACATCAAGCTTGTCACGAACCTACTATGTCGAGATCAAGCGAGGGGTATCTTTGGACCAAGTCCAATCTCGCCGAGGGCCTCCCAACACAAGCAGTAATCCCGAGCACGGCGAATCTCAAGCCCAGTTACGATGTGATCATCATTGGCGCTGGGTTTGCCGGGCTACGAGCGGCTCGGGAGCTCGTCCGCCATCATGCATTGAGCGTGTTGATCATCGAGGGCCGAGACCGTATTGGCGGTCGAACGTGGACGGCTGAAGCGTTTGGAGAATCTTTTGAAATGGGGGGGACATGGGTAGGAGTTCTTTTTCTTTCTTTGAAGTCGACCGAATGCTCCAGAGTCTAAGGTACCCAGGTACATTGGAATCAGCCCCATGTATATGCCGAGCTACACCGGTACAACCTCCACAAAAATCTGAAATCAACGGCCGGCAGCACTGTAGCCCAGAAGACATATTACAAGGGCCCAGGAGTCGAAGTGCAAGAAATTGATGGAAGCACTCTTGCTGGAATCACCCAAGCTGTCGCCGAAAAGTTTTTTACCATCGACGGCCTGTCCAGCCGCGAGCTGATGCCGTATCCCCATGATCCTTTCCGAGAGCCGGGTCCGTGGAAAGCGTATGACCATCTCACGGCGCGGCAGCGCCTTGAGCAGCTTGATCTCCCCACTCTCCACAAAGGCTACTTCGAAAGCAGCATCAACACGTTCGGCAGCGCGCCTAGTACGGAGATCGGATTTGTCGAAGCGCTCCGCTGGTACGCCTTGGGTGGCCACAACATGGCCCAGGTGTTCGAAAATGCCGGCGCCTACAAGCTGGGCAACGGTGGCATGACCTCATTCGCTCGTTCCATCCTCGCAGACGCACGGAGCGACATTCTCCTCAACACGGTCGTCTCTGAGATCATTCAGAACAACGCTTCTAGTGTAGTGATTAAATCCGAGAATGGACGCACCTTCGAAGCAAAAAAGGTCATCAGCACCATTCCACTGAACTGTCTGAGTGGCGTCAAGTTTTCGCCTCCACTGAGTCCATTGAAATGCGAAGCAATCGCCAAAGGACATATCACCAAAGGCGCGAAGATTCACTTCAAGCTTGGGTCGACTGAACCAGGGTGGTTCGCGGCGTCTGCGGATTCCGCCAACTCGTCTTTCTGCTTTTCCTTGTCGGACCACAATGGTACAAGCTCAGCCGGACCGTGCGGCACCTACGCCATTGGCTTTGGATACAGTGGGCGCCTGCAAACCCTCCGAGACAGCAAACACATCATCGAGCGGTTCAAGAAGGAACTGCGTCCAGACGCCGAGGTTGAGGGCTATCTCACCCACGATTGGACGAACGACCCGTTAGCCAAGGGTGCGTGGTGTTGTTGGGGCAGCGACTCCATGACAAGGTATCTCCAGGAGCTGCAGAAGGCGCACGGAAACGTCTTCTTTGCGAGTGCCGACTGGGCTGACGCATGGCGAGGCTTCGTTGATGGGGCACTCGAAAGTGGCCTAAAGACAGCACAAGACGTGGCGAGGGAATTGAACGTGGGTCCAGAACCAAGGTTGTAGCTATTAGCTGCGTACATCTGACAGTTTCCAAGGATCGCCCAAGATGGGCATTAAGACCGTGCTCTGCTAAGTTCAATATAACATTTTGAGACAGTCTATTACTGGTGAAAGAAGGGGGTTTCCCCACGCATGGACACTGGCGGCGATACTTCAGGAATGGGTTGTTCCATGCAATGGGAATCTCAAGAGATTCGCAAGCTATCCCATGGAGTTGACCTGGGTGTCTGGGTACCTGAATGGAAATTGCGAATTCCTTTTGCCCTTCCTTCTCTTTGCAGTTGATTCGCTGCTCCCAGCTACGAGCAGTTTCACCCATACGGGAAGTCACGTGAGCAATTCACCCTGGAGTCGCGATCTCTGAAGACCAACAGCCAGTGTCAGACAACAGACTGCTAGTGTATTCTTAGGATGATCAAAATCTTTTACATGGATGAAGCAGTGACCATTAGTGAAGCTCAGACAACTAAATGCCTTTAGCAGATGCGATTTTAGTTCTATCAGAAAGGGTTCCTCTGCAGAAAGATCTTTGCCTCGAATCCGTCGAGGAGAAATCAGATCAACGCATCAAGAGGGCTCGGAAGAGCTTCAGCATTTACATCAGAATGCCGTTGAAGACATCGATGGACACTGTTGCTCAATAATGAGGGCAAGCACGCCCCGGACCGGCCTTGTACAAGTTCCCAACGTGCAATGACTACCTCGGTCCTGTGACCCACCGAAACGAAGAAATATTGAGAAAAGGGCTGCAGGGAAAGGGAAGAAGGGAAGGGAAACTTTTCAAATCCAGAGGGGTAAAACATCCAGACTGGAAATGATGTAGCAGTCGGCGTCCGTTCAATTTCGAGTTTGGTTGACATGTGCGGGTTCTGGGCCACTCTGTCCAGAACCTGCAGGCTGCTCGGGTTCATGAAGGTCCGCGTGGTCAATAGTGGGTGGATGTGATTCAACACTCCCGGGCGGGCCTCCAGTTGCGAACATAACATCGTGGGACGGACTGCGACGATGTCCGGACTGGAAAATGGGCTCGTCAGGCGGGATTTCCCGCTCAACACTGCTCTCTCGAGTGGGATTTCGGGTGGGATGATGATTCTGCAGAGATCCAGTGTCTTGAAGAGTCAGTGAAGAGTCCAAAAGGAATCGGCTGTCTTCTGCTCACCGCCGCCTTGCGTCTGGTCGACCCTGCTCCGGGTGGAGGCTTGCGAGGGCTGCATAGAAGTCGTAGGCACCTGCTGAGATCGCGTTCTGCTCCCGGGAAGAGAGGCCTGTGAAGCTGGGGCTGAAGGTCTGCTGGTGGAAGGGGGTCTAGTTGAAGGTCAGTCACGACGCTGAAGGAAGTATCGACCCTACGAACTCTGAATCAGGGCGTGTGGTCCCATAGTCATCCATCGGAAGGCCACGCACACCCTTCATTTGCTTCTGCATCGGGTGTGCTTTTGAAGTCGTATTGAGAGATGTTTGAGATACAAACTGGCTCAGCATGACAGCAAATGTGCTGCTTCATATATACAGGATTTGGCAGATGGGGATGGTGCAGGTTCTTCGCCGGTGGTTGAGCCATTGGTGTCGGTGCTTTCCACGTCCTCTCCCTTTGGACGAAGGCTGGCCAGAAGAGCAGAGGGTAAGGGGAATTTTTGAACATAGCCACGGCCGGCTGCCATCAGGTTTGAGATATATGTTTGGCCCTTTCTGTGGTTGTAGATTGCAACTGGTCGCACTGCAAAATGCTAGGCAGCCTCCCAGGGCTGCGGTGAAGATGGCGCAGTCATGGTGGGTTCTTGTAACGCTCGACGCCATAGGAGCGGGGAGGTTTAGGTTGGTGCTGGCGGCCAGAGGTACCGGCCAGGAACGCGCTGCCCGGGCATTGGAGAGAGCATCAGGCGTTCACTGGCAGCCAAGGGTTGTCAGGTATGTTTGCCTATTCCTCAAGGGCGATGCAACAAACACCGAATGCGCGCGCGCCAGGAGTCCAGAACTCATGAGGCGGCAGGAAAAGGCAAGCAGGGAGTCCCGTATGTGTGGCAGTTTGGGCCTCGAGCGGCTCAGCAGAAGGTCAATAGTGCGGCTGGGCTGGTTCAGGGAGAAGAGAAGGGCGCCGGGCCAGTTGGCAACTTGACAACTTGACGGCGTGAAGTGGGCTTGTCGACTGCCAGTTCAGGCTGAAGGCGTATGGGTGTCATGGTGTGAACTCGCGCACCACTGGTAACTGGGATTCCGTCCGGCGTAACCGCAGCACGTTGGGTACGAGTCCCAGTTAATTAGTAAGTGTGCTTCCAGTTGTGATGGCGGGTTATTTGGTGGCCCCGAGATGCACCCGTCGCTCTTTCCCACATCCACACTGCCATGTCACGCCTGCCCATTCATACTGGTCCGTGCCTTCCTTGCCTTCCATGCCTTCACCGTTTGCATATCCAACAGGCACTCTGCCCTTACAAAGGATGCTCACTTCCAGAACTGCTCGTCGTCTGTTTTCTTGCTCGCAATGTGTACAGATCCCATCTCATCCACGGCTTCCTTTGTAATCTCGCTGCGCCTCTGCTGGCTGGTTCGCGAAGTGAGGCGGCCTAACGCGCAGGGCAGATGCCTTGGTTCTTATCACTTCCACCGCTCTCACCGCCGAACACCGCTTCTCCTCTTGACCAGGAACACATCCTCGCGGCGGTGAGGATGTATTGCAGATAAGTGGTCTTGTTAAGCACGCACATGACCAAAGCCTGCTGTACGGGAACCTGCTGTACCGCTTTTCCTGCAGCTGTCCTGCAAAGCTGCCCGAGTGATCGGTCTAAACAATGGCTCGTTTGACTGGCACTAACAGCACCGGACCCGAACCTCATATTGGCCGTTCAGGTACTTGGAATTACACTGCTGAGATTTTAGTGTTTTGTCACACCCAATTACCACTTGGGCTGATTTGCCTGGATTAAATCGCCAGCGCATGTGCTGGCACGGCACTTCCTAGATGGCCCTTTGCTCCCTAGGTCTCAGCACGTCGACGCTAAGTTTGTTGAGATGCTCTTTGTCGACAGCACTCCTCTCCACCTCCAAGTGTGGTGTTGGGCACAATTGTCCATGAGAAGCTTCACGTTTGGCCAAACAGCCACCGGCAGGCGAGTCTCTAGGGACATTCAGCTGGGCTAGCACTACGCTGTGCCTGAGCATCCATGATTCCTTCTCGTGCTGGAATCTTATATAGATTCTTGGATTGGATTCACGTTGTCCGGCCCAATCAACGTCGTTGTTGACATTTAAAGCGAAGCCCACCCAATCGCCAGAGGCAGCAGCTGGTTGGTGCTCTCTTTTACCAATAACGCCGTCAGGACCCCCGTTAGAGCCACAGCGGACCATTGCAGAGCCACACAAGCCGCGCAATAGTATCACAGAACCGTCATCCTATGCCGGAACCTGCTTTCCGCCCAACAAGCGCCAGAGTCAGCTTGGGTCCCGAACAGACATTGGCCATGGCCGAACATCAACTGCGAACAAGTAAGTGGAGCGTGTGCACGACCATCAACCGCATTTCACTTACGCTGAAGTGGATTGTAAGTTATTGACTATCACCTTCAACCTTTCTCCATACACTTTATCTCCTTCTTGGAGCTGCAAAGGCCTTTTTCTCCTCTCACACCGCTACTTCCCTAAGGACGGAATCAACGAAGAGCGGCCAACTTCTTCTTCGATTCGCCGCCTACCAGGATCAGAGCCGTTCCGAGATTCCAAGCAGTCAACATCCACAGTTGCCTCGCTCTCGTCCCTTCCATCTTGCTATCTGAGTCCTATGCGTCTCGCCGCATTGTACTTTGTATGGTTTCTTTCAGCCCAGCCTCCAGTTGGTGTCACACGGCCATTCTTACGAACACCTCTCTAGACATCAACCTCCTCCTCGTGTCAGTCTCTGAGATACCTCGCTCTCCTCCAGCTTCCCTTTTGTCCCCCACACCTAGGATCGTCTGCGAAAGAAGCATAATGAATGAGGAAATATGAAGAGGCGGGATGAGGCCAAGCTAGGTCATTGTATGAAAACAGCGGTTATAGAGTACCTGGATAGCTTCTGCGAGGCAGGGGCAACAGATCTCAATGCCTCACGCGCGTACAGTCTAGCTATGCAGCATTCAAAGTTCTCAGGTTCAGTATGGAAGAGACTGCCCTCCAATCATTAACTCTACTGTTTTATTTGGTGCGCAAGCATGGTAGCGTATTGGTTCAATCGTAATCCATGGGCATCATATGCTAGTCTACTCTTGTCTTGTGCCGTCCTCCTCCCCAGCCAGGCAGGCAATGCCGTGCCATTTGTATAGTCATGCACCATGCATTGCCGTGTTTTGTTGCTGTACCAATATCGTGATAGAAGTACATCTTGTACAGAGGTTGAAATATGCCAGCTTATTGTCGGCTTCTCCCGTCGTATCAATCAACGCCCAACGCGACACCCTTATCATTCTTTCCAAGAACCTTGTCACATGTCGCATCTGTCTTCCTCGAGTTGCCGGTCAGGAAGTCGTACCAACTTGAGCCGGCAACGCATAGCAAAGTGACCGCGAATTGCCAGACAACCATAAGTAACCCTCCTATTCCCCAAGGCATGAGGAATTTGATCCACTCGTTCGTCTGGTAGAGATCATTTTGTGACTGAATATAGTATCGCTCTTTGTTATCCTTTGCTTCTGGGACAGGGCATGGAGAGGGAGAAGCAAGAACACTGAAAGCATTCTCGGTGGGCAGTGCCGGCGTTTTCTTCCTATCATCTGTTGGGCTGGTGAACAGCACTTTCTTCTTCCCTTTGTTAGGCGTCGATGGTTCCGTCTCCAAAACATCTGCCTTTGCGTGGTTTGTTTTGCCGTTCTGATTGTCCGGTGTCAAGGAAAGGTCCTCAGGAGACTTCCAGGATATGTCGGAGGTAGATGCAGAGGTAGAGGGGCCTTTCACGAGCTGTAGAACTGTCACCAGTTCGACGGGTGCTTTGTAGAATGGAACAACCCGGAGTCTGAAATCTTGATGAATGAAGACGTAAAGAAGTAGCGTCTTCTTGTCAAATGCTGAATCCACTGTTAGCTGACATCTTCTTACATGAATGCGCATTGTAGCCATTCGACATACCGACACTCTTGACCGAGACATCAATGTGGGGGCTGAGGATCTTGTACCAGCGATAGATCTGTGTGATGAGCCACCTCGAGTATGGACCGCTGCCCGTCCGACAGAAGGGATGGATGAAGGAGGCTGTGGGCGTGAAGTAGGTCTCTAACGCAGTCCGTTGTTCTGCAGGGGGCGCTCTGCACAATGTGTGAATAATCGCTGGGATTTCCACCACTGTTCCAGTGAATCAGCCTCGTGGAGCCAAGTAAGGGGAGGGCCCGGTACTACCTGGATCGTCCATAATGTGGAGGTTACGAAATACTTCTCTCTGCTTGTGGATGTACTGTGAGAAGGTGTGCTATTTGGAAGATGTGGCAATGTGCAATGCAGAGAGTCAAGAACGGGGAAATAGAACGGTGATGTCGGGTTTGGGACCTCCACCGCACCTGCTGATGCAAGTAAATCATAGGAAGAAGTTTCAATGTCTACAGCTTCGATGATCTCGCCCAAGTCACCACTCCCTCCTCCATATGCTTGTCCAAGACGTAGGAGCGACTGGCGACTCCGAAACTTTAGCGCTCGCTGTAGGCCGCAATGACATCATTTGTTTTGTATTGTAACTACTGGTATAGCGCGGTCACGTGGATGGATCGATGCCCGAGGCCTATGTAAACGACCGTCGCGGAATGGACGTGCTTGAAATATACAGTCGCCGGACAGCAGTATGCACATAAGGTCGACGGACTGAAGTAATTGAATGCCAGTCTAGCGGTGAATTGCCGGTCAACCACGCCCAGCCTACGACATGGAGATAACAAGGAGCCACGATCTCTGACCTGTTATGAACAAGTTCAATACAACTGTATGATAGCATTCGCTACTACCAACACCGGACATTACGTAGGGACCCAGCATCTTCCTAGGTAGGTGTGGGACAAGAAGCCCTGCGATCTTTTCACATAACACAGTGCCACTAACATAGCTGTATGTGCTACATCTTCCGCCTGGTCAGGTTGCGTAGCTCGACTATGGTGCTGAGGAGGAGCCTGGAGGATTCATCAGACTTGCCAAAACTGACGAACTACGTTCGTCAGGCTCTCTAATTGTTGTGCGCATCATTCCAAAATGCTGGCCAGTGGCTCGTTGGCAAACTGATGCACCAACTACGGTACATTTCCCAGACCGCTGAAACAATCGCTGCGCACTAGGGAAATGCATCAGCTCCGATCGGAGACGAAATCCTGGCTGCCCTGCGTAGAAATGAGAGACCTGAACCACAAAAAGGCCTACATCTCAGTGGCGGGCTGTTGGGGAGATGCGACCTCCCCAGGTGCAAACATGAACGAAAGCACCAAGCTTTCGAGGTCGATGCCGACCAGTGTATAGACATGATGGAAGGGAGACCTGGGCCCCCCTCAGGATTGAGAACTGATCAATCCATCTTCACAATGCCCTTGCTGGGAATTCGTGCCACGTTCCAAAGCTAATCACTGTCAATAGATATAACGATGTATTAAATCCAAAGCAGCGATTGCTTGTCACCATTTTAACCTGAACTTTGAACTACATCTGAGTACATGTCTTAGCTTTGCATCATCATTGGCATCATGCGGCCCCTGGTCTTACAGGTATACAACATCCGTTTTTTATCTGAGTTGGTGGGAGCAGCTGGGGTCCGTTGAACTCAAAGTACTTCTTCGAGATGAGGGTGTAGCTCGACATGTTCTAGAAGCTCTGATCCTTTTTGCATAGCCTATTCCAAGGCATTTTTGGACCAGCCATGTTCCGAGCCTTGGTCGATTTATCAGGTTGATTTTCCTGTCATGAGGAAATTGACAATATTCTTATGCCCACGGTCGAAGGCCAAATCGAGAGCAGTGAGGCCTTGATTGTTACAAGGGGCGTCGAGATCGATTCCATGGTGAGCTAGCGTCTTCACCACCTCAAGCTGGCCAGTTCTGACGGCCCATTCCAACAGCGTGCGTCCCGAAGGCAACTCAACATCCGAATAGTTGAGTCCCTCCTCAATCAACAACGTCACCATCGGAGCGTCACCGTTGTCTGTGGCAAGTCCGTAAAGTGAAGAGCTGAGTTCAGAGTCCGCTAGATTTACCAATGATCCGTGCCTCAGGAGCAGAGAGGTCGTCTCGGTGTCACCACCATCGACAGCTTTGGATAAGGGAGAATCACCAGACTTGCTGGGAATTCTCACGTCGGCGCCTTTGTCGAGCAAGACTTTCAAAACCTCGCTTCTCCCGTAAGCGGCCGCCCACCAAAGTGGGGTGCGGCCATTTGGATCTTGCCCATTGATTTCGACATTGGCCGCCAAGAGCATTTCGACCAGTCTCTCGTACCCATATTGACTGGCGAATGAGAGTGGGCTTCTACCCTGATATCCTCGGTAGTCGGCAGAGGCTCCATTGTTCAATAAACATTTGGCAATGGCTTCGTTTCCAGTCATCACTGCGTATAGAAGAGGCGTGCGCCCAGTGGAGTCTTCACTGTTTAATTGTCTAGAGTTGCAAAGACCGTCGATAGCATCTGTCAAACCCTTTCTGATTGCAATCATCAGTGGAGTGAAGCCGTCGGGATCTTGCACATTTGGACTTGCTCCGTTTTTAAGAAGAAGCCTCATGACGTTGGTATAACCATTGCTCGTTGCTATGAGGAGCGCTGTTTGTCGCTTGTGGTCCTGGAGTTCGACGTTTGCGCCGCGTTCGAGGAGAAGTTCAACCCCATCAAAATAGTCTGCAGAAACTGCCCATTGGAGAATAGTTTGCCGATTCAAATCGATGGCGTCTAGATCCGCGCCGGCATCCAGCAAAATTATCGCTGCGTCTAATTGATGATGCATGATAGCCCACCAGAGCACAGTTTTGCCCAAGGAGCACCGGTGCTCTAGGTTCGCATTATTTTTGATTAATGATCTTATTACCATATCATGGCCACCCTTCGCAGCCCAAAACAACGCGGTCCGGCCCAATGCGTCAACTTGATCTCGGACCGCACCATGCTCTAGGAGCAGGTCGACAATAAGTTGGTGCCTACCTTCCGCTGCCCACATCAGCGGAGTTCTCCCCTCCGCATCTGAAAGATTTAATGCGGCGTTGCTTGCAACAAGGAATCGGGCCGCATTTAGCTGCCCGCACTCTGCTGCATGAGATAAAGGGGTCCGGCCTTCTGGGTCCCGTCCATCCACTGTCGCACCCATTTCGATCAAAGATATCATCATATCGACAAGCCCTTGTTGTGCAGTCGCAATTAGAGGTGTCGGGCCCTGTACGCCTCGACCGTTGGGGTCGCAAGCTCTCTCTGCAAGTAACGCCTCTGCAACATTTTGACAGTGTATGACAAGGGTGTAGTAGAACGGGGTGTATCCAGTGCTGTCTATGAACTTCTGTTCGTCGATCCCTAGTTTAGCAATCTTGATGGCTGTTGAAGCTTTCCTAGCAAATAGAGCTTGTAGAAAGGCCAGTGTTCTTCGCCCACTGTCATGTGCAAATTGATCGAGTTCCAAGGTGAGATCGAGAATACGACTTAGATCGCATTGTATCGCGAACCTCAACAGTGTGTCATCTTCTGACATCTTCTTACTCGGCTGTGCACCATTTTCGAGGAGCCTTTCCACAATATTGCTGGCAGTAGATTCCTCTTCGTAGTAAGAGTCAAAAAGGTTGTAGAGTGTCCGATAAAGTGGTGACCGTCCAGAATTATCCTGTATACTAGGATCCGCCCCATTCGATAACAAGATCTCTACTGCCTCCTCATTGAGATTTGCTGCAACGCACAATAGTGTTGTACGGCCCCAGTTGTCTTGGATATCTAGATCTGCACCATGGTCGATCAACACGTCCATCAGGTCCATGTATCCGCCGGTCGCTGCCCACCACAACGGAGAGAGTCGTTGGATGTCCAGAGCATTGACATGCGCACCGTTCTTGATGAGGGACGTGGCTGCTTGAATATGTCCATTTGCTGCAGCATAAATGAGTGGAGTCCGACCTTCCAAGTCTTCGGGATTGCTGTCCTTGTATGATCTGTGAGCAACGATCGCATCTATGAGGTGGGAGAAGCCATAATACGCCGCAACATGTAGTATATGCGCCCCTCCTTGGAGTTTGCAGGCGCGAGAGTCTAAAGAGCATAACTGGAGCCATTTTTGCAAGCGATTCGGGCTAGGCCACTGGAAATATTTCAAGAGACTTCGTTCCACTGCACCGTCGATGTCGGCCTTTTTCAAGTGTGAGGGCCACCTGGTCACAGCATACTGGAGAAGTGGGTACTGAGCCTTTTTCTCCTGTGCCTCCTTAACAAGGAGTTGATTGACTTCCCTGGTGAGGATGTATTGCATGCAACACTTGAACATTAATTCATGAGCACGTGCGATGGTGTACTCTGGTCCCAGCTGTAACTGATCCTGTCCAATGGATTGCTCGAGGTCTTGCAGACCTTGCTGTAGAAAATAATCTTTGACTGACTGATGGATGCATTGAATGGTGGCAGTGTTTATATTCGCCCCTCCGGTAATCTCCACCAAGCCACCCGATAGCGCTTTGATCAACTTGATTAGTTGCTCGTCTGTGCTGACATAGTTTTCTGAAGCTGCCCATTTCGCCAGATCTCTTGCAGGAGCCAATGAATTAAAGGAAAGGACGTATCGCATTTGAACCGGAGATAGTGGCTCCTCCGCAAGACAGACCCACTGAAAGAGATGCAGCGCATACATCTTTTCGGAAAAAGGAATCTTGTCCAGTGCTTCTTTGTACAGCTGCCGGAGTTCGGGAGAGCTATTTTGAATTTCCTTACGGAGTGTCTCTAGACCGTATCCACTGAGCCCTTTGCGTGCAATTTGTGGGAGGATGAGCGCTGTCCACAAAAAGTTGCCTCCTGCCTTGCGCAGAATTTCAGCCTGGATATCATTCTGCGCATCCGTTTCGACGAAAACAGTTGCAAGAGTAGCTTGCACAAATTTGGAAATGTCGTCTGAATTTTGGTTCTCGACGCAGATTTGGGGGGCGCCAAAAAGGTCCATAACAGGGTAATGGCGGCAGGCTATGCACATGCTAATGGCCGAGCGGTCTCCGCGACCAGGTTTTGTTAAGCTCCAGAGTTCTGCTGATAGCTTTCGCGCCATTTCTTCACCAAATTCGTCCAGGCCATCAACGAAGATCGTGATAGACTTGGTCGTGTGCTCTTTCACTCTTGTTTCAAGAAATTCGAGCAGCTCTTTCTCATGCCAGTTCCAAGCCTTCCCATACTCCCCCTGGGTATCTTGCTTCAATAGGTAGAGCTCGGTCAGTTGGGTGCGAAGAATCTCGGCTTTTGTCAATATCTGGTGTAGGATAGACCGATAGAGCCCAGCAGGTGATTTCTGTAGCTGGGTACCACGACCATGGACGAAGAATGAGGCAACGATGACGCTGTCGTCCATTCTCTTCCCAACAGCTTGGACCAGGGTATCGAGGAGCACACTTTTACCCGCTCCGGGTTTCCCAAGAATCCAAAGTAGCGCATGTTTCTGGGCAGCCCAGGCTTGATACTCTGGATGGTCCATCAGCCAAGCACAGGTTCCGTCGGCAGCACGTTCAATATTTTCTCGACGAGCGTCCATTTCGGTAAACCAGAGCGACTTAAGACAGGCTTTCATGATTCGTTAGCACGAGATGGCCCAGAGTACGCACGTGCTTACCTGATTCAGCAGCATCTCGACTGATTCTCTTCGCGTGAGGGTACATTGCGTTGAGATGATGGGTGGCAAACTGGGCATTAACTGAATTTGCAACTTGATGAGAAGGTTGCATTGAATTCACTTGAAAGTTCCCTGCCATCCCAGAGTCATGACTCCTATCGGGCATATTTGCTTGGAATGAAGAAGAAGGCGGGATGGTCATCAGGAGTTCTTTCGCATAAGCAGCGGAAGTGGCAGCTGCATACTCTTGCCATTGTTTGTTCTTGTGAGAATCTGAGTAGTCGCAAATGCCACGAATAACTAAGCATTCGAAATAATTCATCAAGCCAGCGGCCTCCATCTCAAAGCAGAGAACGTCCAGCTCAAGACTTAGCCGTTCTCTTGTCAGCGCATCTCGCATTACCTGATTGGCAGATGCAATCAAGCCATAGTGTATTCTGGGCTGTGAAGTGCTTCGCAAAGGCCGAGAAATCACTAAATTGCGGCGATCACATTCATCACAGGTTCGATTGTTTGGATTTGGATGAGCATAGGACGACTCGAACAATTCATCGAGGCCATTTGTCGGAGGACGACAAGCCTCCTCGCGGTTCGAATTTTTCTGAATGACATCCTCAAGAATTGCGCTGATTTGGGATTTCCCTGAACGCCGATGGCGTGCTTCTAGGCTTGAGGTTGCGGTCAATAGTATCGCCGACGGACGATTGAGTGAACCGGTGATTTTGAAGCGACCCTCGTGTAGGGTTTTCCCAAAATCATATTGAATTACACCGCTATATTGCCCGGCTGGACGGCTCACGACGACGTCTCCTAGGCGAACATCATGAGTTGCTGTCGGGGCACCGCCACCAATACCTACGAGGAGAACAAATCGAAGGGAAGGGAAGGTGTTCCGCATTTGTGCCGCAACGACGGCTGCTGGTACGGAGCCCATGTAAGGTAGTATTGTAATGACAACATTATGCGCGCCGATCCTTCCCAAAAAGTAATTATTGTCGTCTTGAGCAGCTTGTTGAATGGGCTCGTGCTCCTCATCTAGCATGTCCAGAGCAGCAGCGCCCTCGAGGGGAAGGGCAGCGATCCAGCCGACATGATAATCATGAGCCAGCATCTTGCTGAGAATGTGATAACGATATAAAGATCAAGCTAGACAGTACTCTGGAAAGTCAGACATTTCAGCCCGCCAACCTGAGAAAATCTTGGAGGGTTCTCCTTATCACTCTCGTATTGTCAAAACCGAGGGAGACTTGCCGCATGGGCTCAGCCATCCGCGAAAGCGAGAGAGCTCTGGACCACGAATAATACCGGAACCATGATTGTGGAATTCCTCACGAAGTGGTGAAGTCGAGGTCGAAGTTATACAGACATTGAGGCTGAAGGAAGCAAGATGTTGGGCGGCACAGCCTCCAAGCTTGATCGATACTGTGGACATCACGTGGTGAGAAGTTGGGAGGATCTAGCCGAGATAGGCTAAGCTTGAAACGTTGGGCATTGTTACCGAAGGAGGAGCGACCAACTACGAGTACATCCGAGCAGTGTCGTGCTAACAACGACAACTTCACATTCGACCATCAACACTCGATATCGATATTCGTCATGCGTCGAAAACAACACGGATGTCCCGCTTAGCAGCAGCAGTAGCATTGCCACCAGTGGCAGCACCCTCTTGAGTGAAAACGGCGCTGCCGCCGAATGGGCCAGCCGGTGTGGAGTTCTTGACACGAACTACACAAACATTCTCTACGCCAGCCACTGTACCGGAGCACTTCATTCCAGCAGGCATTTGTACCTTGATGGGAAAATCAGTTGTCGTCGTGCCACTGATGCCGGCGATTGCACCCGGAACATCTGCGATCATTTCCGCCGGCTGGAAGGCAGCTTCACTTGTGCCTCCGGAGGTAGGGTCAATGGCCGCAGTCATTGGGCCTGCTCCATCTTGATTGACCTATACGAGAAAGAGGGTCAGAAAAGAGGGGACAAAGTGCGAGATCCATTACCTGCGTTTAACAGAGACGTGATGGAGGCTTACCTGGTGCATGACCATATTGATGACGCCATCGGCACCGACAGTAGGAAGACCGGATGTTGCACCAGTACCAGCAGATTTAGCAACGCCGTCCTCAACAGTGCCTTTGGGAGTCTTTGCTCCAGATGCTTCCGCGGCTTTGCCTCCGCCTCCGCCACCGCCAGCAGCTCCGCCTAGCACATTGTCCAACCCGTCAAGCAGACCCCGACGTTTAACGTCAAACCTGCTCCCAAGGAGGTTACGTTTGAATCTGGCCGCCGCTTTGGCCCCATTGCCCATGAATTTGGCAACAGCTGCCGCAGCATCCACCTCACCACCGCCACTTGTTTTTCCAAGCGGAGGCCCATTCCTTCGAATGACTGAGGTATCCGCTTCCGAACCACACAAAGGACTGTTCTGGTCAGCCAGATAGCTTTCCAAAGTAATCTGGGGTATCACACCTTGCACAATCACGAGGTGTCCCATCAATGACGCTCAGACCAGGCATAGTCACGCCATTAGCCCCGGTGATGGAGGTAATCACACAATGAGCCAATGCCTGAGAAACAACTGTTGCTAGCACAAACGCGGTGGAAGGTCTGAAATGCATCGTGAATGATAATGTGTTATAACCTCACAAGGTCGTCTGATGTTTGATAACGCTTGAAGGTATACGGTGATGAAGGATTGCTGAATACCTTGTGGCCGGCACAAGAAAACTGAGGACAGGCTGTGCTGATAGAATGACTGTTGAACTGAAGACAAGAGATCCAAAAGCTTCGATAAGTCAAGCCTTTTAAAAGTATTGTCGAAGGCTTCGCAGCGCTGAAGGTTCGGACTGCATTATTGCCGCACTGGATCTTATTCCACCCGGAACCAGTTCCAGACAACAGATGCAGCGGATGAAGTTCCCATCCGGACTTTGAGCCTATAAGTTCTGCGCCGTGTGAAGTCAGGCACAGCACTGCCACCGAGGTCGAGGAGGCAATAAGGCTCCCAAATCAACATCAGTCCGTGCCTCCTGCCTCGTGGCGGCGCTGTAGGTCTGTTCACTGACGGCCTCGTGCCATCTGACCACACGGAATACTGAGTCCACGAAGTATAATCTGCTTTTGATGTCGCGGAACAGAAGTGGTGAGACCAGATGGGTTCCACGACCAAGGCAATGACAAAGTGCGCAGCATCCCATCAGTTTGGCTGATACAAACATCGAGGGGTAAACCGTAACAGGCCCGCGCTGCGGCTGCAATGTGGTCGAATGGTCTGCATACTAAGACAGAACCTGTTAAACAAATCCAGAAACAAGCATTGCGAACCCCCCTTGTTCACCCTTTCGTCACCCGTGTCAGGATCTTCCTTATAGAGAGGAACCCAACAGAGCGAAAAGCTTGTCCTCAAAGTCCCAGTGGGTCGAGGCTAAGCGAAAACTGAGACCAGGGATGAAGGGTTAGGCATTTCCCCACGAGCTACATAGCCAGAGGTTTAGAAACCAGGAGGTACGGGGTAGTCTTGACAGAGTCTAACTCGCACTCGCCAGTTGGATATCTCAAACGAAGGCGAGATACCCGCGATTCGGACGAGTTACCTCGTCATTAGCGCGAGGCAGTGCATCATTGTCGACTGTGCTGCTCTTTCAGGAAAGAAGCACGAAAGGACTCATGCGGATACTATACGAGGTTCGTATGTTGTATCCACAATGGATAACTAACCTCTTTACGGAGTAACCTACCTCTGACAGAAGCTTCTGCTTCTCGCTTGCTATACTGTCGTCTAGCGAAGGACCACGCCCAAAAGATAGACATCCATAGCCTTCCCCGATTTATGTGCGGAGGAAGAGGAGCAGCTGTATTCGGCCGCGACTCAAGTTCATTAATTGCTTTGTATGTACTACGTACAAGAGATACATACACAGTTGAGGATGAGATGGTGGCTGTGCTGCTAGGGGCATTCCATCACGTTCCCATCCAGCTTTCCCGACACCCTCGGAGGTCTCCAGCATAAAACTATCTTCGTCGGCTATGGCTGTCTTTGACACACATTGCTTGCTCCTGCTTCTAAAATAAACCTCCTTCCGCACAGACATTCAACGCGGAGAGTTCTTAAATCAAGCTTTCCGTTTCATATTGGAAGGCCGTCTCACGAGGCTCAACAGGGTCGAGTCCAGAGGGGGCCCTATTCGGAGCATGGAGCCCGGCTGAAACACAAACCTCGTGTCAGGCCTCGGCCTGGCTAGCGGGCGATCTGTGCGCCCATTTGTGCGGAGTACAATATCGAGGCGCAGAGTCGACTATTTGACCTATCTTGTTAATGGGTTAGCTACCGAGCAAGACTGCTTCTGGGCGGGTACGCTTTTCGAGGAGAGGGGGGCTTCAGGTCTTCTTTTGTCTCTCCTTTTGGCTCAGCTGTTCGCCGAATGGTGTGACTTACGGCGGCCCTAGTCCTGGTTGGCTGACATGAAACAGTGTCGGCGAAGAGGTTTCGACTGCTCTCGGATCAGGATCCGAACTCACAAGAGTCGTGAGACGAGGTGAAGAACATATGCCTCCTTCAAGCAACGGATTGCTAGCTAGATGCTGCCTGCGATTCCTGCAATGCCTCCAGGATTCTCATGACTATCTTGCACCCAGAAGAAAGCAACAGCAGTATTAGTACATGGTACGTAGGAGCTACATGAATCGTACAATCGAGCCCAGGTCTCCAACTTGTGCACACAGGAGAATGACACTTTCATAGCCTGATGAGAAATGGCATAGGTAATGCGGACTGTGCTTGTGGACTGGAAGCATAGAAACAGTTTGGGTACCTGCTCTCCTTGCCCTGACGAGGCTGCAGGCGGAAAAGAGCCATCAGCTGCAAATCTGAAGCAGGTATATGAGAAAGAAAGGAAAAAAGTCAAACAAGAACAGAAAGGTCATCCCTGTCATCAATCGAGACTCTCAATAAATTGCTCTGCCCTCATTCCATCGCCTGACCTCCGTGCCTGTGCCGCCCAGGTTGGCTCTCCCTTCCGCATTATCAGGTGTCGCTCCGGTGCTCGGGTTCGCACTTGCACTCCCGTCTCGAATGAGTCCGCCAGAGCGACGCCCTTCCAAGCCTGGTGCCAAATCGATAGGCCCAATCCATTCCCATACACGACTCCATTCGCCGGTCTTGCCGCCTTCTCTGGTCGAGGCCCTCACGTTGGAGTTGCCTTCGACAACTTTCCGGACATTCTGCCACACGCGCTCTCGCTCTGAAGCACTAAAGACGTTTCGGAGCACGTCGTCTCTCAACTGCCCAACACTAATGTACGGTTCAGAGGCGCGTCCATCTTCCTTCAAGGCCGCTTGTGTAGCAAGTCGATCCAGTGTGGTTCCCACCAATGTGGGGATCTGCGCAGTGGCCCGCTGGTGAGCGATGAATTTGCTGCGCGCATATACAAGACTCAGTCCCAGAGACATCAAAACTCCAAAAGGGATTCGATATTCTGAAATCTTCCGAAAAAGCGATCTTCGGATGGAGCAGAGGATGGGGAGTGATGCGAGGGAGTGGCTTGAAAGGACGATGTTTCCGGATCTATGTTAGACGAAACAGGGATGCTTGGTCAGTTAGTGAATCGCTAGGTTTGGGTGGAGGCGAGGAAAGACAATAAAAGAAAAGTCAGACGTTTTGTAACTCACCCATCACTGGTCACCTCAACTTCGTCCCTGTTCATCACAAGTCCAATGGCACTATGCCACAGATCTTCAAAGTCATGATCGCTCATCCCCTTTCGTTTCTGCTTTGATATCGCACTCTTTAATTCCTCTTCAGAGACCTGCAGCTTGGACGCTGAAGCAGTCGCTACTGTTTGCACGCTCTCGCTCTCAGAAGGTTCGCTGAATCTCGAGCTGAGGATCTCTTCTCCACATTCATATGCAGCGCGCCTCTCTCGAAGTAAATCAATCGCCTTGTCCACGACGATATTGATCCTTCTTTCCTTTTCACTATCTGGCTCACACGTGGGGGGCACAGGTATCAAGCCATTCAGACTGAGTGGATGTTGCTTGAGGACATAGTCAGTCTCACACTCAACCTCCATATTGGAATTGCAGATTGCGTGGAGTGGACATGGTTCGCACTGTGGCTGCAAATTTTCGTGGATCCAAGCAGGAATTCGGGGATTGTCAACCAAGCTCCAATTGGGCTGACCAACACCACAGTATCCTATCCTGACTTTTTCCTGCCGGTACCAAGTCCCCAGCCCTATGAGTAAGCCGGTGAGGACGGTCCAGGGTGCAACCTTTGCTACGGTGCTAGGAGGTGTCTTTTTCTTCCGCCGTACCAGAGCAGATGTCCTACCCGGGGCCACCTGACCGTTTCTCTCCTGCTCTGCAAGGTCTCGAGCTGCATCAGGTGTGAACTCTTCTGTGACTGGAATTCCATCAGGAGAATTTGAAGTCAGTCTGGAGACAGGGAACTCTATCGCAGTCCTCTGAGGTGAAAACTCTTCTTGCTTAACGGGTGGAGACGTGGTTTGTCTTCGCTTTGTAGGACTCTTCTTTACACTTGAAGATGTAAGAGACTTGCGATTTCGGGCTACTGACGATAGTCTTTTCGACCCGGAGGGGGGGCTGGAACCTGATTGGAATGGGTTCTCGTCCGAAAATGGGCTTTGATCAGAGTCCAGAGATTCTCTCTTCAATCTGATGTCCGGTTCTTCCAGCTTGACTGAGGGTTGCAAAATAGCCTGCGTTGGTGCACTCTTGCGGGATCGGCGCACCGTGTTTTCTATCTCGGGCTCCGTATCTGACGCACGGGGGGTCCTGGTGGTACTCCGTCGGCTTGGAGTTTTGGATCTTCTGGAGGTTGAAGGAGTAGCGGCGGTGGCAGCAGATCCGGTTGCTAGGTCTGACTTGCTCTTCCTGCTACGGGGAGTCTTCGGCGCCGGGGGAGGAGGCATCAATTGTTTGTCATCTTCATCGTCATCGTCCAAGGTACTATCTTGGCTGCTGGGGACATCGGTAATGCCCTTGCTTGTGCGACGGACTCTGGCTTGCGCTTTGAGGAGTTTCCTTGCTTGTGGAAGAAGGTGTTGCTCAACTATCTCTATCAACTGGCTTTTCTTTGCACCAGATGGATAAGTAATGCTGTGTCCAACCAGAATGTTCCGCAATCTTGGGACAGTGAGGCTGTTAAAATCAAAGCCCGGTTGCAGATAAAAGAGTTCGTCATCGTCAGCCATGGTGATGACGAGTAATAGGTGTTCGCAGGGTCAGGCCTAGATATGTCGAGCGGGAAGGTCTATGATGACGACAATGACGACGGTGCGACCAGGAGGCCACCGGTAGAGTAACAGGAAGGAGGTAAGGAGTCAAAGCGTAGAAATAGAACAGATGTACACTTGATATGCGGCAAACTGTGGGAGGTGAAAGTAAACAAACGCAAGTATCATACCCCACCAGTGCCTGGCTCTGGACCAATCATAGAGCATCGATTAAGTCATGTGACTCTACTCTCGTCACATGATGGCTCCGGCAGAACGCTTCCACGTGATGGCTCGGCGAATTGCAAGTTGGCAACTTCCGAGCGGAGCAAGAAACTTGATTGTAGAAGTCCACCAGAAGATGGTGTTTAGATTCATAGGGTCTTCCCTTGCTATCTCTCATATTATGAGTACCCCGTGCTAGTCAATAAATGAGATATATACGTCCCTGATCCACTTGATATGCAATTCATGATCCATAATCGTACAATTCATGGCCTGTATCTGTCAGTAAGCCGCCAGTGATGTCTTGCCCATGTATAGAAACGAAACATCTACACCTCGCCCCAGGCACCACCACTTGCTATCATGCTTGTAGCACTGCCGATACTCCCTCCAATATCCCAGAAGTTTCGACTTGATCCGCTCCTTGCGATTGATGCCTTCCTGCTACTTCGTACACTTTCACTTGCACAGCTGCTCTGTGGTCTCCGGATACCTGTTCTTGACTCCCGCCGTGTCCTTACAGGTGATTGATGCGCTCTCGCCACCAGTGGATGATGCTGCCGGATGATAGCAGCGCGGGTAGCCGCATCCTCCACTATCTGCCTGGTTGTGTGCGGTGACTGTGCACTTGGAGCTCTTGTGACGAATCGATCTCGTAGATATCTGAAGACCATTTTCAAGTCCAATTCCCTCTCCCAATATTCCCGCTCCTTTTGCAGATTCCGTGATGAGCCTAGAGGTGACGAAGGGGGAACAGGTTCTTCTTCAAACCCCCAACTCTCGGCATGTCCAGGATCTCGTAAGGTTGGAGGAAAGTTCGGGGATAATGTTGAGGTAATGGTGTCTTTCAATTGTGCCTGGTTGACAGGAACATGGAGGGTATTGGTAGGCTTCGGTGGAGGCATTGATACTGGCATGCCAGCATAATCAGGGCTGCTGGAATATGTGTTGAATGCACCCGGGTGTGGAGATAATTGGTGAACGAATACACCCAACTCTCGGGCGATGCGCTGTAGAAGACGATCTCTCCAAGCATTGTCAACAGCCTGAGCGTGGAATGATTGCTCTGGTATTGTAGGGAGAGGACCAGCGGACGATGAGGGGCGAGTCTCCGCATCCTCTGGCAGACTTTCACCACAGATGACTGACAGCAGTGGTTCGTCAATGCCTATGATATCGCGGATAAACTTCTTTGTGATCCTTCGCCAAAAAGGCTCCGACTCGTCGGCATCAGGCATCGGCTGAGGTAGATAATCGCTCTGCTTGGGTGTTGACCCAAGTATATCGTCATTGACGGAGAGCATCGTTTCTTGAAAGGAGGACAGCCTAGATCCCCTCCGTAGTCGTCTCCGAGTCTCTCGTTCGACTTCTTCCATCAGGGCCTGACTTTGTTCCATACGCCACTTCTCTATCCGCATGCGTTTTTCTTCATTTGCTTGGGCTTCCAATTCATCGATGGTATCCAGCCGTCTTTGAATGCTCGATGGACGTCGGTGTTGACCATCATGCTTTCTCTTCGGGTTGTATTGTTCATGTTGCCATAGTTGCTCCAACACGGGCGGACTCGAGGCGGGAAAGGTTCCTAAGCCATCGTGGGCAGGAAGGAGGGGGGCTTGAGTCTGCTGGGAAATGGTGGGATATAAAGGGGGCTCTCGAAAGGCATGCAACCCGTCATCGAGACTGTCAAGGTCGCCATCTTCGGTAACATCATCATCGAGTATAGACGATGATCTTGCTGCAGTGTTTAGCGAGACGTCGCTTACCCTTGACGCCCCAACGGTATGAGTAGTATGTGTTCTAGTGATGGTCGAGTCTGCGGTGGAGGGGGTGAAGAGAACCCATTCTTGGGAGTCTTCTAAGGCTGGTCGTATCTGAGTTTGAGATGAGGCGTCTTGAGAGCGAGGGGTATTGTTAATGGCAATGGGACGTGGAGCAGCCGACTGTTGGAATGCCATGTTATCCCAATCCGCCAATAGAGGGGCGGGAATGGGCAGTCCGCGGCGAGGATGAGTCGGTCGTTTGAAAGGAGTGCACAGGGAGGATGGTTTCTGAATACACTTGAACTCTTCAAAGAGCCCTGGTTATGACTTCAGTGTTGAGGTTGGGGTGTAGGATGGAGTTCCAGCTCCGATTCAGGAGATGCGCGCAGTCCCAATGTATTAGTCGGGGCACGGTACGTAGTAGTGTCGATTGATAGTCGGATTGGACTCGGATTGGAGGGTAATAGTTATCACGACTAATATAAAGTCGAAGGAAAGTCACACGCCCACCGTCCCCGCAGGAGATGATAATAACAGAAAGGCTAAACTTAATTGTTCCCGCTGGTTTCTCGCAAAAGGAACAAAGGGCAGGATGCAGATCAGGGTGAATAAAGGAGGTGAAAGGGGATTGTATTGAGTGACGGGGAAACTCTACCACTCCTGGTTTGTATGGGCAAGCAGGATGGATGGGATGGGCTCGTGTCGGGCTGATAGACTGGGATTAAAGGGTGACACGGCCACATCTCGTAATCGGTTGGCAAAGTTGCAGCAAGCAGCAACAAGCGGCGCGATGATTGACAGGGAGAGGAAACAACGGAATCAAGGGAATCAAGGCCCCGGCTCAATTAACCTGATCTTTGAAGGCACTTGACCTGTGACCACATTATTTGCGCATCAGCAGGGGGATCGGGTCAGCTAGCCGTGCCCGTCGCTGTGAGATAACAACCTACGGAGTTACAGGCGTGGGTGAATGGGATGATGCATGACGATATCGTGTCGGAAGATGGGATCATGGATGGAGCTGGGGGGGGATTGTGAGGGATGGAGGCGATGCTGCAAGATGACAGAAGCTTTCATCCGAAAATCATTACTTGTACGGTGTACTTTTAGCTATGCCGTAGTTAAACGAGCGATCAAAGATCCCCGCCTTGGGCTAAGCATAGGCCTACCACGCCCTTATATGAAGAAGGGGACTTCCTGCTCAGATACCCTAAAGTACTCCGTACAAGGCATTCTGCCTATGTATAAGTTCTATGTCACAATTCCGGGCCACAGGCAGATCTATCCTGCGAGTGCTCAGCCACCAAGACAGGGTAGGGCGACTTGAACAATGAATTGCTTCTATCCTTTTTGTCGTATTGAATTACATGAGACACACTGTGTACCCAAGATCACATTTGTTATCTACAGGAATACCCGCGTTTGAAAATAAGACTTAGATTCGTTGCGGCTGTTGATTGATCGCTTATCGTTCGGCATTCATAAATTCAGGCCACTTTCGAAGTTTAATGCCGCAAAATATATGATATCGATTGCACGCCTTCCGGTGGACATGTATTGCCCAATGCCCTCAAGAGACACCTTCCCTTTCATGAGTAATCCTTCCAACCGAGCTTATCATTCGGGTGTTTTCCCAAAGCTGTGAAACTGTGAGCTACGAGGCACAAAGTACGGAGTACGCAATTCGACATTGCAATTGTGGCATGCTCTCCACATTGACCCAGCACTCCAGACACGGAATGGTCTGCTCCTGGGAGTTCTCTATTCTGATGAATATTAAGTAAAGTGTAGGAACCGAAAGCAATCAAATGGACAATTCAATCTCATAGGACCTTGCATTTCTTATTTTTGGCAGACGAATTCGAGAGATATTGACCAATATGAGTCATCCACACGATCTCGCTGCTGTTCTCTAAGATGCTAACTACTCCGTATTCGTTCCTGATCCTGCAAATGCAGTGCCCACTGTCCAGTTGGCCGAACCGCCGAGGATTGTTGAGTCGTAATTTGAAAACAGACGTTTATGCCTCGCTAGCAGTTTCGTAGGCACCAGGGAATCGCTTCATGTTGTGCTCAATGTTACCCTTGTTTCTCAAGAATTGAACATATGCACCATCTTGCAACACACGGCCTTCCTGCTTCAACTTGACGTATTCCTCGCGTCTGAGTGGTGTAAATCCCCAGTTTTTGCTGACAATGATCTTTTGGCGACCAGGGAACTTGTACATCGACCGGCGGAGAGCCTCAATGGCGGTTGCACGGTGCACATCTCGGGTTCTGACTGATAGAAGAATTTGACCAATGTTGACACGAGCAACAGTTCCATTGGGCTTGCCCCACGCTCCTCTCATTCCAGTCTGCAGTCTATCGGCACCGGCGCAAGACAACATCTTGTTGATTCGGACGACATGATAGGGGTGAGCACGCACACGAAGGTGGAAACCTTCCTTGCCTGCAATCTTGACGAGGTACCTACGATTCGTGTTAGCTTCAGTTCCTTCTCGTGGACTTCTTATCTTCAGGTATGATTTGCAATACGTACTTGTTGGCGCAAATGCGGGCGGCTTCGAGCGCTTCAGAGCTCAGCTGTTCGTACTCGTTGGAGACCATATGAACGCAGAGAGGGAATTCGTCGACATTGGCACGCTTTCGTCCGAGATCGAAGATACGGATCTTAGGGTCGGGCACACCACGGTTGAATCGTGACTTGGGATATGGCTGCGATGGTCAGTTCAAGATCGCAATCCTACCCACCATGGGGGTACCAACCTTGTTCTTGCAGTAGCGATAACATCTCGCTGGTCTTCTGGCCATTTCGAAGGTGTTCCAGAAGTAAGAGTAGTGGTATGATGTCGATGAAGATGAGATGGAAGGGCGAGATGGGAATTTATCATGAGGGCGAGCACGAGCTGACAAATTGGAGCAGAGTGTGGGCGGGCGCAGACAAGTCTTGGCATTTCCACGTGATACGAAGAGAAGGTGAATGTGGCGAGTATGACTCACATTAATGAGCCTCGCCGCTTTTATTAAATGGGCCCACCTGTCGCACGCCTGCACTCTACGCGCCCCGTAGTCACTTATGCGAGCACCTCCTTCTAAGCCTCAAGTGCTCCCTCCTCAGAGAGCCTATAAGATGAGTGAGTTGTGTATGGATAGGCCTTAATCTAATAAGACTAAAAGGGTTAAAAACCAATTATTTTATCTTCTATCTCATTGAGTTCTCCAGATCAGGCACAGTGACAGCTTGCAGTTTCCACCATTCTTTAATGCTTTTTGGCCTATTTTCATTGAACCGTGGAGAGCGCTCAGTGTCATTTAGTTGTCCAGGAACCCTCCCAGACTAGGATGGAGATGTGACCTTGGCTGACAGGGAAGTCGTCTAATGCTTTGACGGAGGCGACGCCAGGCCCCGGTTAACCTGCAATCTTACAGAAAAGAGAGAGTCATGGGCTAAATTTGGTAGGCCAGATTCAACGCACAAATGGAACACCTCTGAATATTCATCTGGAAGTCCCCTCGAAATCACAGTTAATTTTTCTAGCAGTTGTCCGGCTCGACTAGGTTGTGGCCCGAAAACCAGTTTACAGAATTAAGTTGCACCGAGTAGTAATGAGTCACAGTAAGATCTGAATTTGAGACGGTATCGGATTCATCCGGTGTTCTGTCGACCAATCTATGGCAATGAGGATGCTTTAAGCATTGACACGCATCTTGATCTCCCTGAAAGCAACAAAGCACAAAAGGAACGGTCTGTCCTTTCGTCTGGAGCCAAGCTTTGTGAGAACATTACGCTGCCCGTCACGCAATTGTACCGAGGCTGAATTGTCTTCAGAGCTTCATAGCATGCCTGGACCCCTACGAGGTGCTGGCGCCAAGGATATCCGAGTCTCCAGCATCGAGTACGGCCATGGTTGAGCAGCGGTAGAGTTTACCACAAGCAGTGCCCAATTCAATCTGTCATTTTACCATGTATTAGCCGCTAATCCCTCCAAAGCCTGGACAGGCTTCTTCGCAGGGCCTATTATCAATTTTCACTCACGTTGTTTCCGGCAAAATGATGGACATTGGTCTTGGAGAGCATGGAATAGTACTCGAGTTCGCTCTTGCGAAGAGGAGGGGTGTTGCCAGCGATGATGACCAGCTTGGCCTTGCCAGAGCGAAGGGTCTTGAGGGTTGACTTGTAGCCGAGAGTGACTGCGTTGAGAGTTAGCTTGTTGACGTGAGTGGAGGAGCGGGTGTTGTTCGAACCTTTGCCAGACTTCATCACAAGCGCCAGGCGCGAGTTGATGCTGTCGGCAGTCTTCTTGGCTTTCTTTGGGGCCATCGTTGAGCTCTACAGTGTTTAGTAGAATTTGATTGAATGTGTGCGCTCCGGCGGAATGATGAAGTTGTTGTCAGGAGGAGCAGCGGAAAATGAAATCTTTGAGACATTTAGAAATTGGGTGCATGGTGGGAGATGAAATCTTGGCGCACGTGATGACTAGCTGCTACGGTGAAGCACAACAGAAATATTGACAATTAAATGTGGCTGTGGCTGTGTCACGTGTGGCAATTCCCTGTGTGGCTGAGCCTTGTGGCTCCTGGCTCCTGGCTGCCGCTCTCCCCTTTCTTTTCAAATCTCAGAGGGCTCAGAAGGGACCGTGATGGAGATTTCAAGTGGCATGTGCGTGGGGCGCTGGCATTTCAATAATAATAATAGAGGATGATTGTTGGTTGTTGGGTCTTTGCTGGACTCATTTCCTGGGTGTTTGTTGTAGTCTATTCTTGAATCCTGATCTGGCCCCGATGCTTGACCGCAACGAGACATCTCCGTGTTGAAGGCAGCACGAGTCTCAACCCTGTTTCCAACCTACGGGTACTCGTATGTGTTGCATTCGGATCCAGGGTCTTCCACTAAACCCTGGTTTGCAAACTCGTACTCAGGTCCACCGCTGATGCACGGCAGATCGTGATCACCAGCCCTACTTTTTGTTGCCATTTGAGGCGCAGGCACCATACCGTGTCAGAATCACCCTTCCACCGCCAACACGCTTAGCCAATACCAAGTTACGAGTACTCGTACATCGCCATCCCTCTTATTCAACCCAGCAACCGAACTTTGACATCTTATGATTATCACACTGTACTAGATCTTACCCCTCCATCCGCCGTCATGTCAACTCCCATTGCGAGAAAGCCCGCTGCCAACCCTGCCAACACTCCTCCACGGAGGCCTCCCAACGAGAATACTCCCAGCAGACCTCCTGTCGCAAGCGCCGTCCCAGCAACTACCGGACAGGGCCTTGCTCGTACTCCGTCCCTCCGACAGACCCGACTCGCAAGAAAACCTACAAATCGTATGAGCAACTCATTCGCTTCTCCTGAAAGCGAACCCGACAACGAAGAGACCAAGGCCGCAAATGCACAACTCATCGCCGACTTGAAAGAGCAAGTCCACCGAGCAGAACAGGCTTCAGACCAGTACAGAAAGCAACTCGAAGTCATGCAGAAACGACTAGATGATGCCGCCGGCGAGCAGACTACCTCGGAAGAGCGCGACTACCAAAGGCAAACCGAAATCGATCGTCTTCGAGTCGAGTATAAAGACTCCATCAGGCAATATCGCGAGCTTGAAATAGCCTATGATGCGGACAAGAATACCTTCCTCCATGAACGGGAGAGACAGGTCAACAAGGAGGCTGACCTTGAGGCCAAGATCAGCCGACTGACCGCGACCCTCCGAGCACGGGATGCTGATAGAGTGAGTGCAAGTCGGTCTGGTAAGCAAACATGCGATCGAATCTTGAGAATCTTTACTGATATATCATAGGGGCAGCCCAAAAGGACGACGTGGACAATTCTACTCTGGATGCGCCGGCTCCCGATTATTCCGAGGCTCTTCAACAAAAAGACGTAGCAATCGAAAACCTCCGCCTTGATCTAGCAGAAGCACAGCTCAAACTTGCAGAACAGGAACATGTTGGAGATGGGCGAGTTCAATCCCTTGAAAAAGCCCTGATGGAACTCAAGATGCACAGTGCTCGGCTACTTGAAGAAAATGAGAGTTTCCAAATGCTTCTCAGCGAGAAAACACTTAAAGGAGATTTTCTGCATGATAATGGTGCGCACATGAGTGGGATGAGCACTTTGGCTGAAGAACTCGAATCAAGTGGAGAACTAACTGAAGGACAAAGCGATGCAGTTAAGAGGCTGGACGTCGAAAACCGCAGTCTTCGGGACCAGAACAAGGCTTTGGCTCTATATGTGGACAAGATAATTGGCCGTCTACTCCAACATGATGGCTTTGAGCATATCATTCACGATAAAGATGATCCGCCTAAGCCTCCGGCGAAGACCGCCCCTGTCGAAAAGGCTCTTCCAGCAACGCCCGACCAACAAGCCCTCCCTGGTGCTGCATCAGTCAGCGGCGTTGCAAACGGACTATTGCAAAGAGCAAGGTCTGTTGTGTCACGACCAGGCGGCAAGGCACGCCCGATGTCGTACGCTCAACCCTCCCCACCAGCACCCACTGCCAATGAGAATCCTGATACAGCACCCAGCATTCCCATCGGAAGGGGACATCGTCGCGCACGTTCTGACCAAGCCCAGGCGGACATGGCTGTCCCTGGTGCCGCCGCCGCCGTTGTGCACCAGATGAACCGCGCATCTACCATGCGGACAGTTTCTAGCGGGCCATTAAGCCCAGGGATCCGACCATTGAGTCCACAACTATCTCAAAATCGACAATCATACTTTGGAGGATCATCCAATCGAGCAACTTCCGCTTCTGGACAGCAAGGCGGTAGTTCAGCGAACAGCATTACGAGCGAGCATAGTGATGAACAGCGGTCAGGAACAGATGGAAGCTCGACCGCTCCAGCTAGCTCGCAAGGCCAGGGCAATATACCTGGGGCAGTGATGAAGCAGAACCATCTCAGGCCTTTGAGATTGGTTCAAGAACAAGTGGCAACAGAGGAAGATGAGAGGAAACGAGCCAACCGAGGAAGCTGGATGGGTTGGCTCAGAGGGGGCACACTTGAGGCTCAAAATGATTAGTACTCATTTCTGAGTCGACGGACATGAAGTGATTATAATGGTTTCCTTTCTGTAGACTGATTGAATAGACCCAAACTACTAATTTACGCCATGTATGTGAGGATGAAGGAAGTACGGGTAGCTGAGATCAGCCCACAATTTACCAACTTACAAATCACGCGATAGCCAGCGCCTCGTTGGAATGAATTGCTTCCTGCCCCAGTTAACCGACAGTGATACTTCAGATCTTTATCCAGCGCGTGCAAGGGTTTGATTATCTCCGGCGACCTGGTACATACCATCTGGCTGGGCTCAGCGACCTGAGCGCCGGGTCCTTCGGGCCATGTGTCGGCGGCTCGCTACCCAAGAAAAAGCTTTGGGGCACATTCTCCGTCGCTGTCTGCATGTAATTGGGCGCTGCTGAATGTGGCGCTGAAAACTTCCCTAAGGGGATGCCCCATTGCGAGTCATCGAGACAGATTGGCCATTCTCGCCTTTGAGCAACGCCATCTTGTCCTAATCCTCCTTTCTATCTTCCCGGTTGTAGACCAACATCGTCTGTCCATTTGGATACCAAGTTGCGGTATTTTTGGCTCCTTCGCTCGCCGAGAATTATTGCTTCATTCGCAACTCGCTCAAACGCCAGATACATGTTACCACTTGAGTATTGAAATACTAAGGTAGCTCGCCTCACAAGTTTGGACCTCAACATATTTTCTCGCAGGACTTCCAGTCCAAACAGACATATCTTAGCAACCATTATTAAATCAGGATCAACATGCCACAGCCCAAGGTCCATCTCGTGCGCCACGCGCAGGGCTTCCACAATCTAGGATTCGAGTTTCACTCGCTGCTTGATCCCAAACTCACACCGTTGGGAGAGACTCAATGTGCTGAGTTACAGTCGACCCATTTTCCCCCATCGGCACAGCAATCGATTAGTCTTGTCACCGCATCGCCACTGTCCCGCACACTACACACTGCCAATCTCTGTTTTGGGCCAGCGCTCAAGAACGGCAAATGCCAGCCGACAATACTAGCTATTCCGGACGCCCAAGAGACGAGCGATTTCCCCTGTGATACAGGCAGCGACGTTGATGTGTTGCACGCCATTGTCCAGGAGCAAAACTGGCCGACCGACCTCTCTCTCGTCAAGGACGGCTGGAATGTCAAAACTCTGCAGAATCGCTACTCCCCTGCTGGAGATGCTATCAAACGGCGTGCCAGGGATGCACGACTGCTGTTACGTCAGAAAGCCAGGGAACTTCACGCGGCCAATGACGAAGCGGTCGAGATTGTGCTGGTTGCTCATGGTGCCTACATGCATTATATCTCAGGTGACTGGGAAGACGCCGCTAAATTCACATCCACGGGCTGGGAGAACTGCGAATTCCGCACGTACAACTTCGCCGCCGACTTCCTGCGCGACACCGATGCCGATGCATTGTTCGTTGAAACCACAGAGTCGCGGAGACGGAGAGGAAAGAATCATCCGATGATAGACCATGAGAGGCAGGTGGCCCTTTGTGAGGAGATGATGCAAGCTTGGGAGGACCAAGGATGTCAGAACCCGTCAAAACTGAACGTGCTTCCTAGCGAGGCTGCAGCCCAGCAGCTGGTCAAGGCTGAACAAGAGGCACCTCTCGACTTCCAAGGCCAAGATACTGCTGCTCAAGGGCTCGGCCTCAAGAAAGTGAACAGCGAGGTCGAGGTCATGGCTTGAACTGTAGCCACCTTGAAAGAGCCACCTGGAAAGAACCTACTTCAAACGTACGAGACGTGTCGGTCGGCACACAAGCACATATTCGTCCTCCCCGAAAAACCATCCACCACGGAGAGTTCTCAGGCCATGGTAATCTAATTGCATCGAGGGTATGGCGTTACTGGGTTTCCTACGCTGGACAGAAGGCATCCTTAGACACGAAGTAGACCCCTATGAACAAGCCCGTCGACGTCTTTCGCATCGAGACACTAGAAAATTTAGACATGGATCAACGAACGAGAAGGAATCAAGCAGATACTCTGAGACATACCATGACAGAAATAGAACGGAAACCAGAAATGCATTTATAAAAGTTGTCACTGTCTTGGGCGCTGGCGTTCTGGCCGGGCAGCGCCGATAGAGAGACTCACTAAAGAGTGATTGGATGAGAAAACACCGACTTCTACCTTGGCATGTACGTGTGCATTGATCTTGATCATCAAATCCCATGTCATAACATTCATGGCTTCCGTCCCGTATATATAGCTAGATATTCTCCCATGGAAGAAAAGAAAGGGGGCAATTCGTCCCTTTCAAGTCAGGGAGGGAGGGAAAATACCTGGGTCGGGTCAGGTCAGGTATCCAATATACCCGGTCTTCATCAGCCTCGTTGAATCCGCCCTCGCTCCTGAAAGATAGAAATAAAACCCATCGCCGCCACGCATAGATAAAATAGCCGAAAGATTGACTTAAAAGATAATCAATCAGCCGGTACACCGCTGACTCGGTGGGCGAAAGCCAATGCCTAAGCCCTCCATGAGCCTCCTTTCGCGGTCCATCCACGTATCGGCGTCATCCATCATGACCCCTTCATCGTCACCCTTCTCGTGCTTCCTCGCCCTCGGCGCCTCGAGGTCCAGCACCCTCCCGGAGCCGCGGTCCCGCACACCGGAGGAATCGAACTTCCAGCCGTGGACTTTATTGACGAACCTCCGGATGTCGCGCTGGAAGGTGGTGCCGCCGCTCCAGCCAAGCACGGCGCAGCCGACGGTGCGCCAGGTCGAGACGATGATGTCGACGCGGCGGTGGATGTTGGGGTTTTTCTGCCCAGCGCCACCAGCAACAGCTGAAGAAGAAGCCCCCTCGGAAGTGGTCTCGGGCCCTAAGTTGGGGTCCTGCCAGACACACAGCGCCTTGTCGAGGGAGTCGAAGCCGTGGCCTTTGTGGCCCTGCGCGCGGAACGGGAGCGTCGCCTGCCCGCGGTCGCTGGTCGTCGTGTGCAGAGAGAGCGTGTGCGTGACCCAGCCCTCGGCCTCGAGGGAGCGCACGACCTCGACGACGAGGTCCTTCGTCTTGGCCTCGTCGCGGTGCGACAGGATCACGTCCACGTCGCCGCACTGCTCCTTCCCGCGCCGGTACCCGCCGACAATCACGGCCTCGACGTCGCGCGGTGTGCCGTGCTCGCCGTTCGTCACGCCTAACACGCGCCGCGCGTGCCGTAGAATCACCTCGTTGATCTCCTCGACTTCCGCCCGCGGGATCGGGACCAGAAACTCCTCGTAGAATTTCACGCCGATCTGTTGAACGCGGGTCAGCGCGGCCCACCCGAACTCGACGACGTCGTCGAGGTCCTTCCAGCCGTGCTCGAAGTAGAACTTGCGGGCTGTGTCTGCGCCCACGCCCCAGATGTTCCAGAACAGGCGCAGCACGGCCAGGTCCTCGTCGGCGTCGAGCTGCTGCACCGTCGCGATGTGGCGCTCCGAGTCGCTCGACGCGGAATGTTGCCATTCGTCCCACAGCCGTGCGATCTTCTCCTGGCAGCCCGGTAGGCGCGTGAGCTCTGAGTAGTGCGTGATGATGTGGGGGTATGCGGACACGCTGGCGATGGAGGTCGAGTACGCTCGCACGCCGATCTCATCGAGGGTGAGGATTCGAGAGTCCCGGATCTTGATTAGTTGGGCGATGAACGCGGCGTTCGGTGTGTTCATTGGTGTTGAGCGGCAGCACGCGTAGGATGCGTAGGGCCCAGTTGCCCAGTCTGGCAGGGGAGGCAGTGGGTGGTCGGCTAGTTCTTCCAGCTCGGAGGTCGTCGTTCGGTGCAGTTTGGGTCTCTGTGAGCGTGGTGAGACCGGAGAGCTGGATTTCTGGTATGGCTGGCTACGGTGGTCGCCGAAACGGCGGCGCCCTGGATATGCTGTAGTGGACGACGTTGATGCTTGTGCCTGACCCGATGATTCTGCTTCGAGTCTGGCGCGCTCGAGAATCGTGGTCGGTGCAGCCGTGGTGGTGGTCGTCCTGAGTCTCGACGGGCTGGACAACGCTGAGGCAGATGGAGAGGGTTGTTCTGGTGTTGCTTTGATGTACGTTATACCTTCGCTTGCAAGTGCTTTCGGACTCGTCTGACTGGAAGAGGGTTTGGGAACTATCTTCGCCGCGTAGATCGTATATGGCTGGAAGGGGACGAGTGTGTCTTTCTTAATACACGCGTCCAACCATGCGAGCTTGAGAACGACAATGAACTCGGTGAGATCTGGCCAGTAATTCTTGGTCACGTCGGTAACGTTCTCGTCACCGTCCTCTGCAGGGCCAGAGTCGGCCTCTGACTCTGAAGCTGTCAAGCTGAGAGCTCCCTCCTCTACCGCAGTGCTCGCACTGACCTTTCGCCTTTTCCGTACAGGTTCGCTGCTGCTGCTGCTTCGTTGAGCATCACTACTACCACCACCGCTGCCGCCAGCAGCTCTCCACGTCGGCAAGATGGCCTCCTCCGTCCAGACATCTCTCGCGCGAAGATCGAAAGCCGCACGTTTTTTCTGAGCAAGCCTACCCAAGAACAGGCGCGCTTCTGTTGCGTCCAAAGTCAACCTACCTCCAAATTTGCAGACCCGCTCTTCGATCGCACACACCTCCTCTGGCTGAAGGTGTGTTGGGAGGATGAAGAGTGGTGGCAACTTGTTGAGATAAAAGCCATGGGTGTGAGATTGTTGAGTGGTTGGAGTCGTCGCTGTATTTGCCTTACCCGCCATTTCAAGACACTCGAAGATAGAAACTGAAGATGCCAGCAATCACTTGGAGACGAGGGCCGTCGTATTCATTTGTGATTTGAGGCGGCTCTGAAGTGGTGTGGGGAACGGAACTCAGGCCGTTATCTCATGTAAATCGCGGCACGTCGAGTGTCCGCACAGGACGGGAGAAAGCGTGAGGGAGCGCATCCCATTTCAAAGACTCATCTCAACGTGCTGGTGTTTGAGAAGAGAGCAGATAGTCACGCTCCGCAGTGTTCTCGCGCACGGGGCGTATTCGTATTTCCATTGGCATGAAGAGGTTGAGTTGAGGCCAATGAAAGAGTGAAGGCGTGTTCGGATGCCGGAGAAGATGGGCGACGTCATTGACGCACCAAGTTTCATTTAGTCATCGCCAGCCGCTGTACTCAGTTGGGTGTCAGTGTGTGTCAGTGTGTGTGGGAGATTGAATAATTGCTTGTATGGAAGGAATTTATTGACTTTGAGAAGGCAAGGCCAAGATAATATCCCATCGGTTCAATATGCTAATGTTAACATGCTAACATCATGCACCATGATTGGTCCATCATATGTATCAAGAATGGTGTGCATCTCATCTCCCAACAGTATCGCTAAGAATCTAGATCTCATTCATCGTCTTCGAGTATATCATCAAGGCGATGGTATTCGAAACGCCGACCCGCCGACCTTGTCAATTCCATAACGTACTCGCTGGCGAAATCTCGTTCGTAATGCTCCGTTAGTTTGCTCTGGTGGTCTTTGGCTTCCGGCAACAGTTCTTTGTCGCCTTCAGGAGGCGTGATCGAGATTCCGGGGATGTCCAGCGCGCTCGGGATGATATAGTTCTCATCCTCTCCGTCCCCATCCCTCCATTCAGACTGTAGCCAGAGCCAGGCATTCTTGGCTGGATCGTATGTGAAAATTTCGTGGTCTGGGATTGGTTGCCTTTTTGGCTTGCGCCGTCGATAACGGGGAGGGTCTTTCGACTTGATCGCCTCCTCGGCTTCGGAGTCCGTCCAGAGAAATAGCTTCGATTCTAGGTCTCTGCTTTCCTTTTGGCCCGCTAAGTTCGCGGCAATACAGGGACATGATTCGCAGCAGCCAGGCGGCAATACCTTGTGTGCAGGAGTTCGTATGACCCAGTCGTCGAGCGATTTTTGGTTGAGTGTTGTTCCTGCCCTGCCCGGCTCCATATTTCGTCGTTGCTTGGGTGCGCCTTCGACCAGAATATCCAGGCTCACACTGGCACTCCTTTGTCTCTTCCTTTTGCAATCGCAGAATCTCCAATATTGGCCTAAAATCGTCTGTTTGCGATTGCACCAAAGGTCCTCGGAAGGGTCATCCAACTCAAACCGCCTGGCAGTCAAGTGAACGAAAGATTGATATACCAAGGGGAAATTCAGCAGCGGGAGAATTCTGCTTTTTCTCGCTCGGCTGACTTTGTGGATGTCGATATCGATTTCAAAATCGCGATTTTCTTCAACTCGCTGCTTTGGATCTCCAAACATGGTGATTGCTTCGTCTAAATCTGGTTTCAGCCCGTACAGATCAACCAGTGCCTCGTACTCCAAGAGGTGGCCCGAGCGTTCTGCCTCCAGTCTTTTGGTGTAGACTTCCTTCATGTATTTGTAGGCGGCTCTTGCGCGCATGATAAGTCGATCTATGCGGTCTTCATCGGCTTCGTCTTGATATTTGTCGCGGATAACTCGAGCTTCTGAAAACTTGCCTTGTTCAATGAGACACATGACCAACCTTGTCCAGGCCCCTGTCACATCGTAGCGACTGGGGCTTCCTATGCTTTGGACATTCCACTGCTTGGCTCCTCGTAAAATGTAGCGGTAAACGCCCTCAGCTTCCACGGTGCGGCCATGCATTTGTAGTAGTTGGCCTAATGCGTGCAGCACAACAAGCAGGTGTGACAGAGTCTCGTCCTCAACCCTTTTGTAGTCCGATCGTGCAAGGAGATAGCATACTGCTTCTTCTGCTTCGTCCAGCTTGCCAAGTGCACTGAGACATAGGACGACTCTGTAAGTCATGCGGCAAAGTGATATCCCAAAGTTTGGTGTTAGTTGTTGCGCACATTTCAGAAGTCGTCTTCCGAAGAGCAAAGCTCCTTTGTATTTGCCCAGGTACATCAAGCAAATCATGTGGTTCTCGACCCAATGCAGTCTTCTGCTGTCTTCATGGCCCCATTTTTCACGTTCCGAGAGAGCTGCCCAATATCCCATTGCCACATGTGAATGCTTCAAAGCCCCAATGTCGGCCTTGATGGAAGTTTTGTAGGCGGTTAACCAGAAATGTCGTTGTGCAATGATAAAAGGGTCTTCTCGACTATTTGATGATGCTATGAGGGGAGTGAGAAGTCGGAGCGCTTCAGGGAAATCTTGTTGTATGATTGACAGGTGGGCTTTAGCATCATCAATTCGACGCCGATGACTATCATAGCAGGAATCTGTGCCAAGATGTTGACTCAAATATCGCTCGGCTTCCCTAAGTTCGGCCTTGGACTCGGAAAACTTAGAAGCCTTTGAGAAGGCAAGGGCTCGAGTCTGGAGCATAGAGACGTAGTCTCGATGTAAGCTGAGATTTCCACCGGGTGGTCTGTGTTGATCCTGAAGCAAGACACACATGTCCAAGGCGTGCGTTATTGCCATCAATCCCTGGTTGAAAAGAATGCCATCCTCTATCAAGATGAGGGCCACTTGTTGCAGGAATTTCATATAGCTGAGACTGCAAATGACGCGCAAACTCCCGGCCTTGAAATTACACAACGATGTAACATGGCCGATCATGGGCCAGAATCTTTCACTTGAGAAGCACGATTTTCCCGGGGTGACATGCTTGGGTGATTCGGTCAGATACTCGGTGAAGATGGCCTCCCACGCTTTCATCATGTCTCCGTACTCTTCTTCATCCTCCACGGCCCTCAACCTTAGTTGGACCCATCGATAGATTGTGAGAGGTATACTGAGGGTCTCGTGTCCCAATCTGTCGTGGATCTCCACAAGTCCACTCAGAAGCAGTGTATCGATCGCTGAAGAGAACACGTCGGCGTCGATGCTGAGAAAGATGGGAAGCTTTGCAATCAGGGAAATCGGGAGATGCAGTCGATCTACAACGGAGACCACAGCGAGGATGCGGCCGGCTAGTGGCTCGTAGTCATTGATGGCTTTCCAAAGAATTGCCATGGTGTTGGAAAAGTCGGTGTCAGAACCTGGCCAGGAGGGAAGAGCCTTGAATTTTCTGTGGCACAAGCGGCGAAATTGGCTCGAAGTCATGCCAAGGAGGCGCATGCAAGCGGCAGAAAGTGCAAGTCGCAGGGGTGGTATGGAAAGTGAAGAGGCTCCCTTGCGCTTGAAGGCTGAGATGTCAGAAGCATCAACCCCCGAATGCTGAAGGTAGAGGATGGCCTTCTTTTCATCGACGCCAACGACATGCAGACATGTGGCCCACCGGGCGAACTTCAGGCCGCAAATCATGGCCACATCTTGGTCGACGGTGCCGGCAAGAGATGCGATCACGTAGGAAGATGTCACCAGAATTCGAGACCTCTCTGGGAGGAAGGAAGTAGGTGCTGAATCCGGACCGCCGGGCAAGGGATCAGTACCGTCTTCTAGATAGAATTGCAGGTCCAGGATGACCATGAGCCAATCTTGGCGACAGGATTCGAGGGTGATTCTGATTTTGAGCAAGAGTGCTTCAACCGCCAAACCCTGAGGCAGTGTGTCACCGGTCATGGTGGTATATGCATCGCGGTAGTCTCTCAGGAAGGTTTCATGAGTCCGGCCATCAATGAATAGAATGGTGCACTTTGTGGCCTTGGAGAAGTCCAGGGCGGCTTGCCTTGCAATGCGGCGTTTACTGACCCTGCGTTACTATGGAATATTTGGGCACTGGCGAAGAGAAGAGCAAGACGACTCACCCGCAACCGGGCAGACCCCAGAGCAAGATGTTCTCGCTGCAAACGCCATTGCAATCGCGAGTCCGGTCCAATAGCTTTGTCACCAGAGCTACATCATGAGACTGATCGATCACAGGGAAGTATCGGCCGGCTCCCTGCGCGAGATATGACTCTGGCTCTGGCTGCAAGTTTGAGGATTGCTGTGTAACATCGGGATTCGGGAATGGGGTGCGTCCTTTCACGCCGTTTCCAGGTTCAAGATCCATTCATCATGATCAAAGCATAATTGAAGCTGTTTGAGGAGACTCTAAGGATGACAATGATACTAGGAGGTTAGGAACTGATGGAATGATATTCCTTTGCACAGATGTGAATTGTTTAGGGTTAACGAGAGCCGCGGGCCCTGACTCCAGTACCGATTCAAGGCTGAAGTTCTGGCGGCAGCGCGTTTCAAATTTCAGGCGTCAGCCACCGTGGCCATGGAGATCGACTGGACAAGGCTGCTAAGATCGTTAGGAAGACCGGAGGCGGCCGCCTCGCCTGGCCGAGGGGTCTCCTCGGGCTCCGGGGTGTTCTGTCCAGCGTCGAACCAAGAGCCTACTAATTAGTGATGTAGGTAGGTACTACGGAGTACTATAGTTGTAGCTACCATTCTAGAGGCTTGAATTCAGGTGGGCGGATAGGGGAGAGGGGAGAGGGGAGAGGGCCGAGGTGGGGGGTTCCAGGGGGCTCTGCAAGCCAAGGGACTGCCGCCAACTAGTTGGCCGCGGTGACTACCGGCAGTATTAACCCTGCTAACTGCTAACTGCAACCTTCTGGGGGCTGCGAAGGCCCCTAATCTATTCCATACAGTGGCTGGGCTAAATCAAGCTCGGGGCCCCTCGGGCTTGGCTGGGGTCCTTCGGGTGGCTAGATAGTGCTCGTAGCTGGGAGCCTGGGAGGGAACATGGAGTCCTCCGGGTGACCGACCACCACTGCATGATCTCAACCTAAATACCACGTTTCGCGCAGCTTGTCGATCCCGAACCTGCTGCTCCTGTCCTCTTCTCCCAGCCATACAAGCCTCTGGAGGCTGAAGAGTGAAGGGTTGGTTTTCTCGTGATGGTCATGATGATGGACGCAGGATGCATGGCGAGGGATCCCATCCAATTTGGTGGAACTCCATGGCCCAAAACCAACCCATTCCAGCCATTGAATCCTCACCTCGTATAGACATTCCCAACCGGTGAGACCCTTTCCACCAACTCGGGTTGCCTACGTACGAAGTGTGGCATCATTCAATTGGAGAATTGAGCGGCCCTGTCCTCGAACAAAGCAAGATGAGCAGAAAATCAGAATGGATTGAAGCAAACTATGGCATGCACACTCCGGACTCTTGTCGACCCCTTGCTTGCTGTCGACCTGCGACCAACGATCTCATCGGTCAGAACTCAACAGCCGTTTTGCATGACCACTAAGTACTCAACCATCCCAGGATACGCCGTATCATCTGGCATCAATAAAGAGTGCTGGCCTGGGACCAACTTCTTGGCAATGCACCTTGACGCCGATTCATCTCCATGCATGTAAGTACAACTCGACAGGAAGCTGACTTTCCACATCACGGAATTCACCAGGAGTGTCATTTCTTGCAGCCATGTTTACGAGCTTCTGTGCAAATCTGCGGCCGTCAGTTGGACGGATACGGACTCGGACTCGCACACATGCTATCCAACTAAAGAAACAAGAAGACACAGGCTGTTGCATAATACTGAGTCTCTCACAAGGGCATCCACTCCCCCTTCGTTCTTTCACCCATGCTTTTCCATCTGGACGGAGAGACTCTCGCACCAGAGTGCTCTGCTTTCCGCCAGCATACACTACTATATACGTATGAGTACCACTTCCCGAAATTAACTTGATTAACACCCAAACACACTTTCCCGATATCCTCATCGACCATGGCAGTACCATCCGTCGCAGGCATGGTCCACAACGAGGTGGAATTCCAATCTTCAAGCACGGGAGACTCAGCATATGGATACCAGATCAGCGCGAGCCCACCATCACTCTCACCCAGCAACACTCTTCCCTCTCTCCATCCACACACCAGCAACAGCAACAGCAATAGCACCACTTCCAACACCAATATAGCCCCCTCGCCCAGCAAAGAACAATCCCGCCACCACTCCTTCCCCTTCCCCTTCCCCTTCCCCTACACCCGATCGCGATCGAAGTCTCCACGGCCACCACCACCCACAGAAATCTGCTCTCCAACCAGCACCACATTCAACCCATTGAAACCCATTCAGACCCAACCGAACCCCTCGCGGAAAACCCCCATTCACCAGCACCACAACACATCGTCGTCCTCCTCATCGACGACATCGCCCCAACAACAACAACAACAAAGACGGCACTTCTCCGAAAGCTCGGTACCGACCCTGGACACCACCGCCGTCACCCCTGCGTCTCTCAGCCCGCTGCTCCCCCCATCGTCAGTCTCGCCGACATCGTCCCCACCGACCTCACCAGACACGACCCGCCGCGACAGCCGTAGCTGGATCCAGAAAAAGCCGCGGAACAACAGCGGCTCGCTGTCGCCGGGCGGCTTCGGCCGGCACGGAGATCAGTGGCTGTTCGGAGGGATCAGCTTCACCGAGACGGCGAGGGGCATCGTCACGCGGAAGGCCAGTAGGAGCAGGAAATGAAGAGACGCGCTAGCGTTGGCGTCGATGTGGGCGATGGCGACAAATGATTCACCCGTTCTTAATATTGTTTGATCACGACATGCGTTTTGGCAATGTCGAGATTGCCTGGCCTTGCCTTGCACTGCGCTGAAGTTCAATGTTTTTATTATTTTTGTTTGAACGACCGATACCTAGGTCCGACCTGCATTGGCTTCTTTTGTTGGTCTGGGTTCAAGCTGGTTGATCAGTTGGTGGGCTTTGCAACTCTGTGAGTGGTTTTGCCATTAGCTATGTATGATACAGGGTCATCGTTGGGATCCTTATTGTGGGGACATGTCCTCGCACGGCCAATCGCAGCAACATCCACGAATTAGTCAACAGAGCGTGGCGTGTGGGCTATTTGAGCCTCTATCCTGTTTCAACAGCGAGCGCATTTTGTGTGGGTACGTAATGTTTGGTATTATTCTCATATCGTGTATTCATAATCTTCCCAGCCTAACGGCGTCCTCTAGCAAGCCAGAACGCCCTGCGTTATCAATGATAACATGATATCCACGTCAATCTTAAATAGCCATAAAAGGCCCCAGCCCTTGTACAGTATTGACAAGCCCCACTCGTCCTCAAGCCTAGCCCGCCGTCGCAGCTGCTTCTTATTCCATCGCTTCCCTTTAAAATGCAAACAATCCAGAACGATATCATTGGTTCAGAAGATACCAAAGTGCCTCTCCCTCTCGCCCCTCGCGTCTCCTCCACCATATAACTCACGACACCAGCTCCCCAACGCACCGCTTCCAGCTCTCAGGAAACATACTTTCTGTTCCGGGGCAATTGCTCCTGACCCACGGTGGAGTGTGGCCGAGCTTGATTTTGTTTCATAGCGGTCGTATAGCTCCAGTAATGACTTGCTCGAGTCGGGATCTGCAAGCATTGATTCTGTGACATGGTGCCAGAATGTAGCATTGAGTGGAGATCCTGCTGGCCACGGAACACGACGGTCGAGAAGAGCACCGGACCGGTCGTCTTTCCTGGATTGAGGCACTCCTGCAGCTAGAGAATTTGAGTATGCGCTTCGAGTATCGTACTCAAGCTCCCAAACAGGCGTCGTCCATTCAAGAGAGTTGGAGAGATTGGCGAAGTAGGTTTGTGCCCCAATGACTGAAAAGGTCTTACTGTCGACTTGATACACCCTGTATCCGGCGTTCAACCCAGTCAACGGAGTAATACTCGGTCCAATGTGGCCAACAGTGAGGGGCCGGGAAAAGTCGACCTTTAAGGTGTCTCTCTTCCCTGTAATAGGGTCCAGCGAACTGGGCAGATAGTCGTAAAAGATTTGTAACTGGTCTTGATGGGTATGGCCGAAGAAGACAGCCGCAATCGTGCGAGGTGAAAACCGCCGAATGATGGAGTAGAACAAGGCGGTCGGGTTTGGCAGACCTGGTATGCCATCGTAGCCCGTGAGGGCATGGGCAATTATCCAAGCTCTTTGACCGCCTTTCTCGCACTCGGTGAGCTCCTCAGAGAGCCACTTGAGCATACCAGTATTGTCTGGGTTACTGACGTTCCAATAATTGAACACATTTGCCCGATACCAGAAATCCGAATTGAGCGAGATAATTCTCAGACCCTGAGACGTTGTCGTAGCGTATGCACCATAATGGGCTCTCGCAAAAGCTGCTTCACTCTTGTTAAGCCAGTTATGCTTGTACCAGAGGGAGGAAACAAGGTCAAAATTCCACGCTAGAGCGTTAGTACTGGGGTCTGTGGGATCAGGGTTGAGACTGTGCTGTGGAGCGAAGTCTTTCGGAAGCGTATCGTGGTTTCCTAGGGTGGCGTAGACCGGCGTCCTATCACCGAGGAATTTTTTGAAGATACGATACGTTAGTTCCTCCGCGTATGATACATAAGGAAGTGATAGTGTATCATCACGGTCATGAGAGACAATATCTCCTGTGAATATGGAGAAGGCGAGCTCTTTCATATCTAGGAATTCTGGCATACTGCTGAAAGCTGACAATGCGAGATCAGCGGGCGAATCACAAAAGAATGAACCGAAGCGTGAGGCGGGAAGAGTAGGATTAGTCGAATCGCTCTGAAGCTCGTCATTGCTCGAATATGGCCGACAGCACAGGTACTGTGTGCAATTTCCCTCGGAGCCAATATCATATCGAGGATCAAGATGCCAGTCGGAGAGATGAAGCACGTCGATGGTGTGACCAGATGGTTCTGGTGCAATGTTCGCGCCTTCGGGCTTGGGATCGAAGTATCGAGCCTCGTCTATCTCGATGGGGCGTTCCTCGGGACACAAGCCGTAATTGGCCGAACACAGCATTTGGAAATCGCCTGTTCTAAGGCTCATCTTAGAGAATAGCTGGGCAAGGAAAGCACCGAATTCACTGGGGCTTCCGAATTGGGTCTCGCATGACGAAGCTCGCAGGTTATCTTGGACGAATGGAAACATGTTGCATGCCCGGATGAGAAGGCTGGTGACCATCTCCACGGGTTGACTGATGGCCACAAAATGGAACAGCTGTCCAGCAGCAACACATTTTGAGCATACATCAGGATAGGCGGTGGTTTCGAGGATCGATAACAATTCGCCAAGGAAAGCGTTTTCGATCAAAGATTCATCGAGGGGGGTTATGGGCTCTGGGAGCGGTGTCACCTCGTCGTAGTCCGGGACTGGACCACTTCCATTGTAGTAGAGCGTGATGATGTCTTTCTCGACAATGTTGGTCAATTTGGGGTTCAATGCGTCTGGGAGCTTTTTCAATGGCGCTTGACCCTGACCAGAAGCGAGAGCATGAGCTCCACATGTAGCCGATAAATGCTCAGAGATGGTAATGACACAAAAGGCCGTCCCAAGAGCGAACAAGAATCTCAACATGTTGTACGAGGCACGTCGCATGCGAGTGGCTTGCAAGTGGCGGTAAGGCTGATAAACTCACCGCTCACGATCTTTGCCGCCAACAAATGCAACCCATATTGACCTTTAAGAAGAGGAGATGTTTCTATGACCGGCTGAAGGCTCGAGTGGTACTGCTTCACAGTAAACTGTTCTCTGTCGACATATGACGCCATTGAAAAGGTTTGGTCAACAAAGTAATCACGAGTACAGAATTGACTGCTCGCGCTTCGCCCCGCTTCTGGCCTAGAGCGATGGCCGCTCTATGCTCACCCGTGGCTAACGCAGGTGGATTCGAAAGCGGCATGCCCGACTTCACGTTTTGAGATTAGGGCAAGGGCAGTCAGATGCCCACCAAATTAGGCAATTAGAGCGAGGAGGCTATGACGTGGGAGCTGCTGCGGGACAACTCTTGTACAGCTCATGGTGGGATAATCAGCCTCGCCTCACCTCGCCTGGGACTAAGCACCACTAAGCAGGACATTACTATATGATCACTATACCAACATCTCATAGACTCTCGTAGCCAACTCATGTTTCGAACTGCGACATATTAATCCGAGATCTAATACTATCACATCTATTCAACCTTGAGCCCTCCCCAAATTTTCCCAAGATCTCTCCTGACTTACCTATCCTTCCCTAGTACAAAACCCCCATTGACCCCCAGACTCTCCTGGCAGTCTTTAACAACTTAACGTGGGAGATTCGAGATTCGAATCCTGCACACGATGAATCGAATCCATAGCATTCGCCAGTACCACCCCTACGGCTTGCGCTTCAAGCTGAAAGGGAGTGCTTCCCGCGCGCCTGTTCACCGGCCCTCGCTCCTTTTGTATATACAGGCTGAGGAAAGACTCGTCAGAGACTGTAGCATAGCGAAAAGGCCATTGCTTCGTCATCGATATTTTCGCGGCATGTGCTGCGTGATAAGGCCGATTCAAGCAACATCACGAGTAGTGATGGGACAATTGTAACTTGGGCCTGGTGACGGATCTCGTTCGCCAACAGACGAGTAACCGTATAGCCCTCGGCCTACCAGGCCTTCAGCTTGTTCTTGCTGAAAGGCCAGCGGCGCGCCCGATGAATATCGCTGAGTCTGTTGGGCCGTTGGTGAAGGATAGCTGGATGGCTGGTAGTGGGTATCGATTTCTGAATTGGTGTAGCCATGGCCATAGTGTTGTTGGGTGAGCGGTTCACGGCCCATGTTCTCAAGTTGGAGTGTACGCTGCCTGCTGGGAGTTTTGAACTTGGAGGATCCCAATTGAATGGCTGCAGAGTCCAAACTGATCAAGAGTCCGAACGCTCTGACCGTGGCTCGAACGATATCGGACAGGTTCATGGCGTCAAAGATGGCGCGCCAAATCGGCATACGTTGCTGCCCGGGAATGTGGTCTTCGTGGTAGAGACGAGAGCCGAAGGCCCAGTGGAAGGTGAAAGAGACGACCGTGGCCTCGATGGCTGTGAGGAGGAGAGGCATGCCGAAATAGAGATCGTCAAAGGTTAGGGTCGCAGTTGGTTTGAACAGCTTCGAATTTAGGAAGCCAAAGATGATATCTTGGAAGAAGAGGAGGATGACAATGCCCTTGAAGCAAACGAGTTTGCCCAAGGCGTGGTATTCGGGGTTGAGTTCGCTTTTCAGCCGGGCGTAGAATCCAAAGACTCCACCGATAGCGCCGCCAATGACGAATAGATCGAGCAACATAAGCTGTGAACACTACGTTAGTGATCTGGTAAACTTCCTGGATATCATAACCTCGACCCACCCAAATATGCGCATATTTCGGACTCAGTGAGTTGGGGCAGTAGACGTCTGCTGCTTGCGTTCCAATCTGGATTCCGGCCGATATGGTCTTGGTCAAAGGGTATTGGAATACCATGAAATATATGTGCTGGCGCTCCATAAGCAAGGAGCAAGAAGGTCACACGAAAGGAACCTACATTGAACCATTTCAGACTACCGCCAGGTATGACATTGCCTTTCTTATCCTTGTTCTCAAGATTGGAAAAGTACTTTGGTCGTGCTTCATCATCGGGACAGACAAACTCCAGGAACAGGAGGAACAAAGCAGCAATACAAAAGGCTTCGTAGACACCCATTATAGGAACAATGTAGATGGAATCGTCGTAAAACAGGATTGACACCAGCGAGACAGCACAGAAGAAGACTGGCATGGCGATAATACGGATATTTTGACGTTGCTCTTTCGGTCGTGTATAGCGGTGCAGGTGTTTCCAGATCAGCAACAGGGCACTTATGGTGGTGAGACCCAAGCAAGCCATGGTCATATATTCTGCTAATTGGTGAAAGGTAATTCCGATCGAAAGCGTATCGCCGTGCTCGTTTGGTTTTGGCCGCAGACAGACAAACTTGCCATCGTTGTCATCGTTGTCATCGCGAGGTAGGAGGAAAAATGCCATGTGTGAAGATAACTTCAAGGACGTTGGGAGTGAAAGGCAAGGCGAAGTTGTCGAAAGCTGGCAAGGAGATGCTTGATGATAGTGCTAGACTCACCGGGAGTCCTGAGCCTGTTATATCCGCCTCAGAATTATGGACTTTTGCCAAACGACAAAGACACGTTCGTGAGGCATACAGATCTGCCTCGCAGTGCCCTCTTGACCGGGCCACCCCGAACGAAGTTCAGACACAAGCCTCCTCAAGCCTCCTCAAGCCTTGTGGAGCCTATTCCATAGCCCTCGAGCGACCCACACTCAGGCAGGCTGGATACTGCATACCCACGACGGGCCTTGCAGCCGTGGACAGAAGCAGAAAGAGGTCCAAGGCCAATGCCAATGCCAGTGAACACTGGCAAGGGTATGAAGCTCACCAAGGGGTCATAATTAACATGTTACTGGAGTCCGATATTTCTAGCGGAACTTGCTTGCGAGAGCGCGGGTGGCCTTATCCGCCAGCGTCGAAAGGATTCCCTTATATGGATAAGTCGGGGTGCATTGGGGTGGACACACGCAAGCATTCTCGTGGTTGGGTTACCAAATGGGCAAAATCTACACAAATGGCACGAATTAAGTCTATGTATATCAATACAATGTCACTGACGAAACATCTGTAGTCCAGCTTGTCACAGCCGTGCACGCAAATCGCAGAAAAGTGAGATGGTCCTGCTACTGTTGGCTGCCATGTCAGGCCGATTGACATGCTGCTATCATTTCCGAATTTCTGTCTCTTAAGTTATCCATCATAAACCCTTCAGGCGCGTGCTCGGCTCATGCATTCCATCCACATAGTGACTCGCAATGATCCTCACCGGGCGATGGGCATACAAGCAATACAAGAAACGCCGAGCCGAGAAAGAGAAACTGCATGAATCAGCACACGCCAAACATGGAGAATTACTTGTGGCGACTCAAGTAGAGATCTTCAAGGCGGCGGTCGAGGATCTAGGCAACGCTACATCCACAGCGCAACAGTCAGAGCGTCCACCAAGCTACTCAAAGATCGAACAAGAGTCCTTGATATCGCCCCAACCGCCACTGCATCCATCTTCGTCAGCCAAATACGAGACATCGTTGCCTCGCCGATCTCCGCTCGATATCTATGAGCAAAGAGAGGCACCGCTGCCCTCCGTTTTCCGTAGTCAACAATTACATCTCACGCAAAGCTCTTCATCGAGCCACACTCTTCCACTCTCGCCCTCATCCTCTAGTTTGGCGGCTGTTCAGCCCGCGGAAATCCAAGTTCACGGAAAGTGGGTCTGGGTACCCAATGATAGGACACTGCCGAATACTCGGATGCTTCATTCGATACCACACGCAATTGGGGATGATAGTCCAGTAGCAGAGCTGCAAGCTGTCCAATCTCTTGCAGAGCTGTCGTCCACTCCAAGGACAACCAGAAGTTCGGAAGAAGAGCATGTCGCGAGCTTCGTCCTTGCGGAGTTGGATGGTTCTCAGCCGCCTCCTGGTGACCAAGGGAGGGAAGCGGCTGATAGAAGGTGAGCGATGGCGAGAGTCCAGTGCGCATGGCGTGGATTGATCACGTCTTGGCAGATGAACTGCGAACTAGAGTGACCTTTAGGATAGCGATAAGCTGTTGGTGGTATTTGCCCGCGGCTATGCCGTCGACGTGGCTACCGACGTTCCAGTCTTTTCGGCTGTGGTCCTACAAAAGGCCCAAACGGCAGCGGCACGGCGATAGAACGTCCAAACTGAGGTTTCGGAGCCATCCAGGCTAGAGGAGGGACCGGGAGACCACTAACCTCTCGGGAACGCCTCAGCAAGGGTTTCCAGCCCCGTGGGGAGGCTTTTCAGGTTGACCCGGTGATTGTCTTGAGCGAGCATCTAGGCACCGGAGAGAGGGGGAGTAGAATGAATATCATTCATTTGGCGATGACAGGCAAGTGGATAGACGAATAATTGGACCCTGAGTAGTAGGCACAGATCCTGGACCCCTTGGCCTTACGCTGTCCGGATCGCAATGTTTTCGGGTGCACGAGAGATGGTGCGGGTCAAACAACGCCGACCATGTAGCTCTCATTGTTAGATGAACGAGAAGTCATCAACAGTCTGGTATTCCTCTCGCCCACCTCTGGAGGACCTGAAAAAGTGAACCAGTCTTCGCTTGACTTTCCTTTGATAGCCACGCAGGTGGTAGGATAAAGGATCATTCAATAAAGCAATCAATGCGACTGATGGCAAAATCATTTTAAGCAGGACCCGCTACCATCCAGCCAGCATTAGCGTCCGGGTGCGTGCATCAACTTACGCTGTAGCCAATGATGAGGGACAAAGATGGCAGTTTGTCGTTTTCCTATGCAGACACCCCTATTTATTTCTCTCACTCACAAGGCCGTCCCGAATCTCACTTCTCTTCTTTAACAGACACGCAGAGCAACCGCTTGTCATGGTTCAAATCACCGTACTAATTAGTAATGACAAGAAGATCGCGCCCTGGGGCTCGGGGGATTCGGAGAGTCAGCACTGGATGTTTGACATGCAAGTGAGTTGGCCCCGGCCGTAACCAGTTGAATCAGTCTTAAATATTGCCTTAGAACCAGGCATAAGAAATGCGACGAGGCCAGGCCAGCTTGCTCAACCTGCATCGGAGCAGGCTGGAAATGTGACTTCGTCTCTTCGTCCCCTTCTATAGCACCGCAGTACGCGATGGCTCCGCCTGTCCATAGTCTACACTACCCTTCCGCCAAGCCTTTATTAGAAGACGAACATGCGCACATGGAGTACTTCCAGGTCGTTTGTGCAGGGGAGTTTTCTTTATTTTTCGAGATTCCGGCATGGGAAACCATCATCCTCCAGGGCACTCTTATCGAACCAGCATTGCATCATGCGGCCCTAGCAATCGGAGCATTGACCAGCAGTCGTTACCATCCTGAGATATGGCAAACGGCCTCAGCGATCGTGTTCTCAATTCGGCACTATGGCTTGGCCATCCAGGATCTCCACCGTCGGCTTAATGGATCTTCCTCAAGTCTAGAGCTTGCCATCGTAACGAGCATTCTCTTCAGCTACATCGAGTTTCTGCTAGGATTCGATAGCCGGGTCAAGATGCATATACAGGCTGGATGTGCAATTCTTGGGGAGCTCTCTATTCGGCGTTACCAGAGACTCGTCGTTTCTACTCAGGCTGGATCAAGCTGCCTGGTTGGTAGTTTGTCTACTAGGTATGATCTACTTGCCAGTGCCATGTTTCAGCTGACTGCGCAAGTCAACTGCTATGTGGCATCTCAGTTGAACGGCAAAAATTGATAAATAATAATCTTTCTATAATGAATAGCTGAGGCCGACTAAATGAAGAGTCTTTTACATTGCAGCAAAGCCAAACCGAAAAGAACCGGCAAACGATCAGAAATTGCAGGCGTGGGCACAACCCTAACGCAGATATAACACAAACATCGGTGTACTTCCAACTTAGATGTTTGTATGACAGTAAAACCTTGGAAGGCATCAAAGCCAATGAGAGAATTCAGAGCGCAGCAAAAGTTTCTTCTCAAGCATCGTGCTGCAGCCTCGGTGGGTGAAGGAATAGCAACGTCTTAATAGCTAAAAGTGGGTCGAAACCCATGCTCGTCATGATGTTGGTGCTCTGCCATGTTACGCTGAAGCCAATAGCTGTAGGCTGAGTGACACCTAATTGTCTTAGCGAGTCTAAGCCTGGCATCCCAGGATATCAAAGGTCGAATGAATTGCTTCCCTCAGTCTTAAAATTAGGGGAGTTAGGTGCCTATATCTAGAATAATGAGCTGGGAATGCCCAAAGATCCTTCTATTAGACATATAATGACTCTTCATCTACCGGACTAAATATATAAACGAGAGTTCCCTCTCGCATTCGTCAGGAACTCATGATATGAACACTTTGCATGACACGCAACAAGTATAACCAACCATGGCCTTCCCTCGCTCAACCTTCACCACCACGCGCACATTTACATACTCTTACATCCATATCCTGCCTCAATCTCCCAACACTCAATACATTCTCTTCCTCCACGGCTTCCCCTCCACCTCTCATGACTGGCGTCATCAGATCTCCTTCTTCGTAGCAAAGGGTTATGGAATCCTAGCTCCGGACTTACTTGGGTTCGGGGACACGTCAAAGCCGCGTGACTTAGAGATGTATAGGGGTAAACGTATGGCGAGCGACATTGTCGAGATCATGGTCTCAGAAGGCGTCGGCATGGTGATCGGCGTGGCGCATGATTGGTATGTATCGCGATTCATTCTGTCATTCTGCCTGTTGTTGCATTCATGCGGTTTGTCAATGAAAGGAGAATCAGAGGGCGTGCCAAGTTGGCGTGCAGCTATGCTCATGCTTCTTCCACCAGGGGTTCATTCCTCTTGTCACGCCTGGCGAACTATCATCCAGAGCGCTTTTCGGCCTATGCTTTCATCGACCACGGATACATCGCCCCTGGCCACAGCCTCACCACCGCGCGGATACAACAAATCAACAGTTCGGTGCAAACGAACCTCGGGTTTTCGATCTTTGGGTATTTCCTATTTTTTGACGATGAGGATGCTGCAAAGCTCCTAGATGAGCATGTAAGTTCTTTCCAAACTCTGCAAGTTTCTGACTCGCCAAAAAATTGATCACACTGCAGTCTAAGTCCGTGGAGTCGCTCTTCTTCACGACCGAAAATGAGATCAAAAAGAAATATCAAGGCGCCCCTGGCGGTCTCCGCACTTGGTTGACCGAGGGCAAGACTCTGGACTTGCCCGCCTATCTGACTTCAGAAGTAATATATCTAGCTCTGATGTATGGGGTGTCCAGATTAGCTTACACGGATCAGGACCATAGACATTATCAATACGCCTTCTCTGTTGAGAAAGGTGGCTATGGCCCTGGATCCAACTGGTACAAGGCTAGTCTGCGTAACATCAATGACGAAGATGAGAAGGGTATGCACCACTGTGCCCTGAGTCCCCCTTTCTTTCTCATTCAATCCCTTCGTCTGAAACTGATCCACTATCGCCTACAAATTTCGCATCCTTCTAATGTGCAAGCCAGAAATTCCCACGCTCGCCCGCACCTTGACACACCCAACTTTGCTGATCGCCTCTACCAGCTACTTCATCACTGTCACGGTCAATTTTGCGGAGCAGATGCGGCCACTCGTCCCTGATCTCAGAGTTGAGAACGTGAATGGGGGACATTGGCTGCAGTTGGAGAAGGCGGACGAAGTCAACAAAATCCTGGAGGGGTTTATGGAAGAGAAGCGGCTGGTTTAAGATATGAGTGGGCGAAATTGACAGCTTGTGATGCGGAGCTACCAGACAGATCCAACAGTTGCTGTACAGTAAACCGTTTTCTAGTAAGTCTAAAAGATGTCTACATTTCGGGCCTACGTTCATCTTTATCAATTCTGCCGACGACACGGTACACCACCCGTGTTCAGAAATGGCTACGAAATACTAGATAGTAAGGAAACTAGCACCGGTGAGATTTGAGGTGATGTATTATCATACGTCAGAAATCGTGCCGAGGGTATACAGGACTGTTAAGACTTGAATCTCAATGGAGTGTTTGGGTCTTATCGTTCACTCATAAGTGGGGCAAGCGTAGTGACGATGCTAGAACTTACATAGCTGTGGTATAGTAGACGGGAATAGTATTCAAGTGATCCTACTGGTAGGGTATGATTATTACCGAAGTCGGCTACAGATCGCTCCAAGGCGTGGGCTGATCCTAATGATATGTGGAGCCTCGTAAGGACTTCCAGGTTGAGAATACTGTGCGATGATCTCGGAGTCCTCAGGAAGCATCCTACTTGCACTTGTACCCTTGCGATCTGAGAGTAATAAGCTTGCGGCTGCTGGGAGGCCTCAAAGCTTGGGTCTCGTCTGGCCCTACCACAAACAGGAGTAATCGGCGCCGCGAGCGACCAAAGGCGCGGCTTAGCGTTGTACTTATTGCACAGTTCGCGAATGTTTCGTCTTGCATCAAACTGCGTTGCCTTCCCACGACCCTGTCACAAGGGCAGCTGAAAACGATCTCAGACTGGGTTGTTTCGACACAAGAGCTCATCAACCACACCATTCGGTCCCGAATGGTTCTTTTGTGCGAACACAGGCTCATTCGCCGAGCACAGCCATAGATCGACAGCGTCAGTCCCAGCGTCAGTCCCAGCGTAGGTTCCTTGAGTTGATTCAGCCCTCGTTGTAGGCCTGAACTTTACCTTTCAAGTACCCTTCGCGAGCCCATTAAGAAATAAAAGCGCGGTCGAAGCCACGGGAAGCAGAACCAGTTAGCGTACGTAGTTGGCAGTCGTTTCGAAGTGCAGCAGCCACATCGGACAAAGAGACCCAATTCAACAGGTTAGCCTTAGCCATGCCGAACATTGGGAGACCCAGCCGTGACTGCCATCTTTGTCGCCACAGAAGGGTTAAGGTAGACATCCATTCGACCAAAGCAAGGAGGGAACCTTGTTGACAATCGATACTAGTGCGACCTGGGTCAACCTGAGTGCACCAGGTGCCTACGCATAGGAAGGAGATGCCCAGGCTACCGGGACGAGTTTGAGCTCATGTTTCGCGTCGAGAGTCCCTCCTCATTCGCAGATGGAGTAAAGCGAGACGGCCGACGCAAGCGCAGAACGCCTGCAGACGAGTCGACTTCCCGTCGTCCGTCCTCAGACTCGGCAATGACCACTGGCAACGATCTCTCTGGAATTTCGTCCAATAGCGCAGCACGTCGATCTCTAACAAGGAGCCCCCTCGATGAATGTATGTAAGCCACCGTGGAGTGGATTGCAAGCTGATTCAAACAGATGTCGTTAACTTTATCGGGTGGTACCTCTCTCGCTCCACTCAATTGTCTGAATGCTGGGACGACCACGCGATGGTCCTTGGTTTCAGTACCGTCTCCTGCGCTCAGAGGCACCCCGATATTAAAGGGCTTTTGGTCCCACTGCAAGATATGATCCGCGACGCCACACCCGACTCTGCAGTTATACTCACTTGTCAGGCCATTGGCAACGCGTTCCTGACCAGCAAAGTCAGCAGCGTAGAGGCTTGGTCCAAGCGGAGAGCAGCGTACGGAAGGGCGTTGACCGCTACCAATGCAGCCCTCCAAGACCCGATCCTGCAAGTAGAAGATCAGACCCTGGCAGCCGTCTGGCTGTTGGGAATATATGAGGTGAGCCCCCCAACAAGAATTCACTAGTCCAGCAGCTAACCAGGTGCCTGGAGCTCATTGCATCGCCAGCTGGAGGCTCTCCACCTATAGGGTATGCGCCGCAGAACCATGGATCCGAACCGTGGATGGTGCACACCCAGGGATTGGCAACCTTGTTGCGTCTACGGGGTACATCTCAATTTACCTCCCCAACAGCACGGGCGCTGTTCTGGCTTGTGTACAACACAGTGGTAGGTAATCAATCCAAAAGTAGACCATCGGGTGTGGCCCGTCGCTAACAGCGTCTACAGCAAATTAGGTGCTTCATCGCTGGCATAGCATCGCCTCCTGAATCCACGACTTGGTTCCAGGTCTTGGAGCAGGACTTGAGGGTCCAAGAATCGGCCACGTTCCGTATCTGCGTCTATGGCCATCGGACGAGTACCCTCTGTGCCAAAGTCCGTCAATTCCTGCTTCACGGCTCCAGTCGTTCTTCCAACACTGCAGCCGAGCTACTGGCTGAAGCGAATCAGCTTGAGTTGGAGATGAGACAATCATGGGAAGATGATGGCGAAGAATTTGATGCCGAGGGACCCAGGGATGGCTATAGTCTTCGCCAACTGGCTTGTCGAACATTCTTCTACAGCTTCCGGCTCAAATTCCAGCTAACTCTGGTGGAGCTGCTGAGCAAAGTTCGGGTCGAGACGCATGAGTCTGAGTCCGCCCTACTGCAAAGCCAGCTGCAGCTCCGGATCGCGAACGTACAGAATGCTGCGGACGAGATCCTCGCTTGTGTGTCGGTGGTGTTCTCGACAGAGGTCGCTCCAAGGACCACTGGCCGATTGCGGCCGAGGCTGTGGACAGACGGAGTACGCATGCTTTGGCCCTTGCGGTTGATCGCGCTCTGGAGAGGTCCAAGGGAAGACCAGACAGTGGTTGCGAGGAAGTTACTTTATCAAATGAGAGAAGAGCTGGGCATTCGACACGATTCGGTTCCAGTGCTCCCCTCGGCGTCCTTGCTTGTGCCTGTGACCAGTTGATGGATGAATTTCCAGTGGGGATTGATGCCGGGCATCGTCAGAATACCCACTTGGGTTGTGATGGCAGCAAACAAGCCGGTCATACAATGGACCTAGAGAGGGCAATCAAAAGGTTTGAGAATATCTATCGCGCGTTTGAGTGTTGCGACTGACTTGGATTCGAGCAATGAACTGTGCTTCCAAATCGAACTGCTGGGTATCGTGGCGGCCTGAGAATATTCAATTCCTTGTAACCGAAAGGTCAAGGGCGGCTTTTCCGGTCCCGCGTGAATGTCTTCTGAACGTTTACCTGCAGTGTACACCAGTTACAAACCGTAGTCCGATGTCTCACCCAAAGGAAATTCAAAGCGCTATTGAGAGAGAGGCAGTGGAACGAATGTGCTCACGTCGAGGCCGGAGTAACTTTTCAGATTGATATTCCTTATCCCGCTCTCTAGTTTCCCAGGGAAAATAATAATTCTACATCAACATTGAAAGAAGGATGCGCTTGTAAAAGCAAACGTGCGGCAGCAGCCTTTTATCTCTTCTTCTTCCCAATACTCGTATCCACCGTACTGATAGCCCACGCGACCACGAACACCACGATCGCGCCGCCAAATATCGTCAGTGGCTTTCGGAATGCTGCGGCAAATGGATATTCGTACGTGACCAGCACGGTGACATCTCTTGACTCATCAACGACATTCCTTGCCGATAAACTCAATTTCGTTCTTCCAAGAGTATCCATGAATGTCTTATGGAGACCGTACTCAGCATGAAGTAGAGGCACACCGGTGCCACCATGGGTCTGATATTTTACATTCGTTGCACCTTCGGGAAGCAGCACCGAGAATTCAAGGCGCTCATACTGTATTCCTTCTTGCAGCTTCGGTCCTTCAATCAGGGGCACTGATAGTATGTAAGTGTCACCCGGGGTCTTCAATTTGCGCAGGAACGACGATAGTGCGTTGTTCCAGCCAATTCGGAAACTATATTTCCATCCCCCAAATAGGGGGTATCGTGGTTTCAGCTCGAGGCTGGCCTCGCGGACGTTGTTTGGCCTGAATCTGGAGGTTGACACATTGCCGATGTCGTCTGTAAAATACGGATCCACACTTCCTGGTTTCAATGGTACCTTCAATTCTCGCAGTGCGGAAGTGCTTCCCTGCCCAGCATTGATATAGAAGTTCTGCGTGCCCCAAGTGACGCGAGAGAAGTGGTTTGCAAGCGAAGCACCGTCATGACGTAGCCAGTATCTTTCCTCGGTCGCGAGATTGCCACCCCAGTGTGAGACTTCAATATCTCTTTCTAACAGACTGGCAACCAAGAGCGGCTTGTTGAACTCGTAGCGTACGCTGACAGGGTAGGTCGTTCCGGGTGGAATCTTGGCTGTATCGTACGTTCCATATGTGAATGAAGAACCCTGTTTTTCAGGATCCGCCGAGGAGGTCAACCCTTCAGTCTTCGTATACTCGGGAACATCTGAAGAGGGAAACTTGACCTTGGTCTTTTGCTTTAGGGTCTTGTAAACAGAGGGGAGATAGGCCGAGAAATCGTAGGCGAGGTATTGCTTCTCGTCTTGTTTAATCGAGGCAGGAAGGGGCGTCAAGGCACCGAGAATGTTGAAAGATATCGACAGGGTAATTTTTGCTTTTGGTGCGAGTGGTTCAGGGAAGTGAATGACATAGTATTGGGTAGGACTATCCCGCATCAACACTTCGGATATTTCGCAATAGTTCGGGCTGTCTTTGACTTACTATGAGTGCTTCCCATCCTCATCAAGCACGCTAGACAAAGCGGCTATATTGGATTCCAGTGGCCCTCGCTCAGCATTCTGCTTATCCCGGGCGTCGAAACCGCTAATCTTGCCAATCAGGTCGTATTCGAAAGGTACATAGTATTCCGACTGTGGAGCCTTGTCTGTGTTCGTGACCAGGACATTGACCGTCTCCCGGACGTACCCCTTGTCCAGGTTGATTGTCCTGACAACGTTGGTGTTCTCGAGGACTGCGGCAGGCTTGAAATCACTTTTGAGTATCTGTTCTGTCTGTTGTCGGACAGTAAGGTTGGACTCGGCTGTCGTGAGGCTGAACAGGAGGGCGAGAGCCGTACCTACCGCGGATGAGAACCTCATCCTTGAGAGCTGGTGGTGACAAGACAGTCGTGCGTTACTCCGTACCTTGTCTATAAATGAAGCCAGCGTGGAGAAACAGCCCTCAAGGTGCATCGCATATGCGGAGTTTCCAATTCGGGCCCTGACAAAATACTGTCAATCATAAAGACCACTGAGCATTACGGTAGCGTATACTGCGCCTCGGTTCACCTTCCCCAGATTCCCTACTGACATTTGACTCACCCTGATTGGTAGGAGAGCTTGTAGACAAACGACACTGAACGACGCAATTGAACCGAGTTCACCAGCTGGAACTCGTCGACACGAACTCGAGCACAAAGCCAGCATGGCGTCGAAACTCGTGCCCCAGCTGATGCGCACGGCATCTCGGAGCACAGCCAAAGCTCCTCGACGACAACCATTCCAACCCAAACAATTCTCCTCCACCCCCCAATCACGGAGTGAGACCCTCTCAGTGGTAAGTCTTGGGAGGACGGGAACAACTGAAGAGAGAGACAGAGAGACAGAGAGACAGAGGAGAATGGAGGCTAACACCGAGTGCGGGACTAGCATCGCGACACCTCATACAACAACCCCTCGATCCCCTTCAAATTCAACGAGACGAACCTGCGGCTGATCGACGAGATCCTCAAACGATACCCACCCCAATACAAGAAAGCGGCGGTGATGCCGCTGTTGGACCTGGGCCAGCGCCAGCACGGCTTCACGTCGATCTCGGTGATGAACGAGGTGGCGCGGATGCTGGAGATGCCACCCATGAGAGTCTACGAGGTGGCGACCTTCTACACGATGTACAACCGGACGCCCGTGGGCAAATACTTCGTGCAGGTGTGCACGACGACGCCGTGCATGCTGGGCGGCTGCGGCAGCGACAAGATCATGAAGGCGTGCGAGGAGTTCCTTGGCATTCATAGCGGGCAGATGACCGAGGACAAGATCTTCAGCTTGCTGGAGGTCGAGTGTTTGGGTGCTTGCGTCAATGCCCCGATGGTGCAGATCAATGACGACTACTATGAGGATCTGACCCCCGAGACTACGGTGAAGTTGCTGCAGGCATTGAAGGATAGTGTCACTGTAAGTGGATTCGATATGAGCAAGGTGCCGCGACCCGGTCCCCAGGTTTACGAAGGTCACCAGAGGGAGACCTGTGAGCCGAGGAAGGGCAAGACCTCTCTGATGGGCGAGCCGTATCATAGCAGGGATGTTATGAGAGCTGATGGAGAGCTGTGATTGATAGGAGGAAGCAATGAATCAAGCCACATATATCAAGGGGACTTTTGGAGGTGGAGCACACAAGACACCTGCAAAAGGAAGCCGTGGGACGGTGCAAGGCATTTGATACGTTCCAGAGCAGTGCCTTGGGACCAAACCAACTGCCTGCCGTTCGCCGTGTTTTGTAAATATTAGAGGGCGACCTTTAACTAAAGGAAGGCCAAAAGAACAGAGACTTGAGGAAATAAGACCCCAAAAAGCCAATCAGTCACATGCTCTATGCCTCTCCTGCCATTCCTACGTTACCTGGCTGCAAGAACGATTTTGCATTAAATGCGCACGCGTACACTGATGCCAACCGACCATTTCTCAGTCCCTACAATGCACAATTTCGTTCGGGTCCTTGAGAAAAGTCCTTCAAACCCAAACATGGGCTCATTTCTTGCTGTTCGCGCTTCATGATTCTTATGAGCCCGCGCATTCATTCCGTTTGCTGGTGCGCATTCCCAACTTTCAAACTCTGGAGGCTCACATGTGAACCATCAGAGCCCACATTCTGAAGGTAGCAAGTGTCATCATTTCCAAGGGATATTTTCAGCAGGCGTTACGAGTGAAGATATGGATACTCTACTACCGACAGTATTCCAGACCATCGAGCCCCAATTGGGATCTGACTGGGTCCAGTCTCGGAGAGTAGGTCCCAGCAGAGCCAAGCAATTCTACCGCAGAGGTGTATCGGTCTCTTGGGTTTTCTAATTTCTGATGATAAAGCTGACAAAGCCTGGCGAAATCGGAGTGTGTCGATTACCACGTATTCAGAGGGTGGACGGGTGATGCAACCAGTGGAGTGGAGTAGAAAGGAGGCATCGCTGTGTATGATGTTGAGGCGTTTTGTACATAGGGGTCGCCCCAATGCGCGTAGGTTGACTTTAATGTCTTTTTGATTTTCTTCTTCTTGTTGACCGGGTCAACCGCAGGCGAGCTTTCACCTACATCAGAGCTTTGAAGTTCTGGCTCGACGACGACTAGAGCTCCACTGTCGAAGGGCTCCCCCCAGCCTTCCTGTACGAATTCGCTCGTTATTGATTGGACATCGTCTTCGGTTGCAGATGGTGGGTCTGCCTCACCAGGCGCGGGGGCTCCAAAGACGGGGACAGTCAATTGCCAGTCCATGGGGTCACCACCCATTCGACTAGCATAGATCATGGTCCACGTAATATCTCCCTCCCATTCTTTACCGTTTGCTGGCTTTCCCACGTCACTCTGGTTGGCTTGGATTGCAAGCGGTTCAAGTGGACACAGTGGAATGTGTTTGTCGACAATATATCGTTCGACCTTGGCCTTCAACCTGTCCTCACTGACGCTGTCTTTAGCCACAAACCAATGTTGACGTCCTCCATTCGTAAGCCAGCCACTGAAAGACACATGGGATAGTTTTAATTGATTCTTGAAATATTTCATCAATGAAACCCAACACTCACGACGGTCTTCAGCACCCAAGAGGGTGATGTTGGACAGTTCTAGCCGTCGCAACGTGGCCGCATGAATCTTGAGGAAATGAATGAGATCCTCGGAATGACAGATGCAAGCTTCAATGGTCAAATTTTCGAGTCTAGGAAGCAATGGTCGAGACAGCCAAGCGCCAGTCGAGCTTTCTAGTAGGATGCTTAACTCGGAGGAGAGCTCGTCATCGGGATACTGATACCGGGTGGTTGTGTAGTCGGTCAAGCGTAGCGTCAAAGTCTTGAGCTTTCTGGCGCATTTCAGAAGAGACTGGATACAATCGAGGTGACAGGCGGTGCTCATTAAAGAAGCATTTCGGAAGGAAAGGTCGAGGACGCGAAGGCTATCCATGACCGCCTGGAAGATGCAGAGTTGTTGATAGGCAGCCGAAGACTTCATGGGGACCACGCCAAACAGCGCACGTGCATCAAGATTTTTCGATTTCAAGCTTTGAAGCCGTAAGCCGGCGGAAAAGGCAGCGGTCATGATGCCCTTGGTGTATGAACGACCGTTACTCCCTACCATCTTAGTGAAATTGACTTTCCCTGGGTCGACACGTGATAGTCTGCAAAGTTTTTGGTAGAAGTGAGGAATTTTTGTGACGACGGCATTGGAGTTCTCCTCGTAGTCACGAACTCGAATCTCGCGGGTATTGGGAAGAATTCTCAAGGCCTTGGATAGCATGGCGACTTCCAAAGCCATGTCTTCATAAGGGTAGAATCGACCTTGCGATACACGATCAAGCAAAGCCTCGACGCGAGCCTTATCGTCTGCTGGCCATTGAACACCAGGGTCAGGCGGATAGGTTTTCAGATGAGTGAAGAATTGGCCAAATCGAGCATCGTATACGAGTTTGGTGACATGCCGAGTGACTTTGGAGCGCTTCAATTCCTTGATGAAACCGAGGATGCAGCTGTCATTCGGGACCAAGACGATCTCTCGCCAGAGGTAAGGTTCGGCCATATAAGCTAGGTTCTTGGAAGCCAGGCGGACATTTTTCAGAGTCAGGCGAGGGCATGTCTGAATGATTTGGAGTAATATCTCATTCGGAAGTTCAGGTGGTGGCCGTGGTTGTGGTTGAATGAGGGAATGACCTGAGGATGAAGTCATGGTGAGGCTGGGGGTGGTCGACATGGTCGACGATATGGGTTGACAAGACACGAAGATGTGTCAGGGCAGGAAGAGTCAAGGCGACAATAATGGATTGACGAGGAAGTCAAGTCTGAAGACTCAGAAGTGGCAAGTGCATGGCACAGCCTTCTCCGAAGTCCTGGCTGACCCAGTGACAGATGTAGCGAAGAGGCGGAGAGGCTGCCTTGAGGTCAGGGAGAGTTAGTGCGGTTGCCTGGTTGTGATTCAGTCAATGGCGATGAGTCCGATTAGCAGGACGAAAAGAAGACTGGCGTTGGTACGAGGAGGAAGTGACACTCACATGCAGTTCTACACGCAACTTAACGACCTCGTTATTGATGAGAGTGTGTCACCCATGGAGTCAATAACAGAGGGGACGTTGCGGGTTTGAGGTTGGAGCGGAGATTCGAGAAGCGGATGTACAAGGGCCGTGAAGGGTGCAGAGAAATCAGGACAACAGACCTACGAAGCAACGGTCATAGGATTGACCGATCAAACGGATGATGGTACAGCATTTCTCTACAACGACTGCACTGCATGATATGATGGATACGATGGAACAGCAATCATAGTCAGCTGTCTACCATGCACTTCGGTAATGTACGGAGGAGTGCTTGGTGCTTGGTGCTTGGTACTTGGCACTTGGCACTCCTTACCTTCCTCCAGGCAAGGTAACTTACCTTATCCCTTAAAGCGGCGCGATGTCGTTGCTGGAAAAGGAGCCATGTTTCGTGGGGGAGAGAGTGATGCCAGGAAAGGTGTAACCCGTTTGACTATTGTACAGCAGAGCATTCGGTTGTAGGCGGAAAGCGGGGTTGGCAATCATCCATTGGAAGTTGCCAGCCTTGGTCTTGGGGCAGGGCAGGTGCCACCACGTTTGATGAGAGCAGCCAACCTCAGAGAAACAGAAAAATTACTCGTAGAGTCAGGCTCAGGACATTGAGAAGGGCAAGAAAAAGAAAAGGAACTCCACCTTTATATTTCGCAGGACTAGTGGTCGCACTGACAGAGACAGTATTAGCCTAGTTCACCTTAAGCTCTACTCTTGGAGAGGGTGAGTGCTCCCAACTCCTCGTATCTATCTCTTCCGTTTGCATTGCACTCCGTACTCCGTACTGGCGGTGCCTGTAGGTGCCCACCACCCACCACCCACCACCCAGAGGCCCACTGCCCACTGTTAAGCTGGTTAAACTGGACTTAGAGTTGCGGGGCGGCGAGTTAGCACATGGCTAGCCCTGATAGGCAGGCACGTTCTTCAGCAACCGCTCCCATTGGGCACCAGCCATCAGCATTGAGAAGGAAGCAGGTGCAGAAAACAGAGTGTGCTGCGGCAGCTGCGACTGCCTACCGTGGCAGTGGTAGCAGCATGCGCCGTATTCAGCGACCACCGACCACCTGGACGAGCTCGAAGCTTGATGAACCCTGGACAAATTTGCATCTTGGATCAAAACTTTGCAACTGCATACATATCCCACGTCCTGCACGCCTTTCCCAGACGACTGTCGCTGTTCGACCTCTTTCACGGCTTCACTGGGTCGCCCAAATACTGACAGAGGCCCTCCGGAGCACTAACTCAGAACTCCGGCCAATGTTGTGATTTCGGACTCCATTCCACCAATATGAAGTTCGTTCTCTTTGCACGCAGTCCCCCACTATCCATCACACCAAGGCTAACTCCTCCCTTCTTACAGATTTGGGCAACAGCTTCGCCAGTCCCTTATCAAGGATTACTACTGGCACTACATAGCCTACGATGAACTGAAAGACGCCCTGAAGAAGCCCTACATCTCCGGCAAGAGCGGCGAACGAGAACCCTGGACCGACGATGATGAAGCCGCCTTCATCCAACGCCTCGAAGCCGAGCTCGACAAGGTCTTCACCTTTCAGAAGCTCAAGAGCCAGGAAATAGTCTCTCGCATCAAGGCCAGTGACTCCGAGGTCAAGCAGGTCGTACATCGTCAAGAACAACAGAACTCGAACGACCTCGAGACCGAGACCGACGACGACCTCGAAGCCGACTTTGAGCTGCTGGAGGCTGATTTGAGCGACATCATCGCCGATGTTCATGATCTAGCCAAGTACACCCAATTGAACTATACTGGCTTCCAGAAGATCATCAAGAAACATGACAAGCAAACAAATGTATACTTGCGTCCTTCCTTCGCAACCAGGTTGAAGGCAAAACCTTTCTTCCAAGACAACTACGATGCCTTCATTGTCACTCTCTCAAAGCTCTACGATCTGGTCCGCACACGCGGGAATCCCGTCAAGGGCGACAGCTCTGCCGGAGGTGGCCAACAGAACTTTGTCCGCCAAACAACAAAATATTGGGTACATCCAGACAACATCACCGAGCTGAAGCTCATCATCCTCAAGCATTTGCCCGTCTTGGTCTTTAATCCCAATAAGGAGTTCGAGGAGAAGGATTCCGCCATTTCCTCCATCTACTATGACAATACCGATACTTGGGAACTCTACGAGGGCCGTTTGAAGAAGACCGAGGGTGCTGAGGCAATCCGTCTCCGTTGGTACGGAGGCATGGAGAATGAAACCATCTTTGTTGAGAGAAAAACCCATCGTGAAGATTGGACTGGCGAGAAATCTGTCAAGGCAAGGTTCACACTCAAGGAGAAGAATGTCAATGCCTTCATGAAAGGCGATTTCACTGTCGACGATGCTTTCGCAAAAATGCGCAAGGAGGGTAAGAAGAGCCTCAAAGAAATCGAAGACCTGGAGCAACTGGCCCGCGAAATCCAGTATCGTGTCATCACTCGCAAACTGGTGCCCGTCACTAGGTCTTTCTATCACAGGACTGCGTTTCAGCTTCCCGGTGATGCTCGTGTCCGTATCTCCCTTGATACCGAGCTGACCATGACTCGGGAGGACAATCTGGACGGCAGGCAGAGAGCTGGTAAGAACTGGAGACGAATGGATATCGGTATCGATTGGCCATTCTCTCAGCTACCGTCCCAAGATGTCGAACTCTTCCCCTACGCTGTCCTGGAAGTCAAGTTGCAGACTCAGGCTGGCCAAGAGCCACCTCAATGGGTGCGGGATTTGACTGCAAGCCATCTGGTTGAAGCTGTGCCCAAATTCTCAAAGTTCATCCATGGCACAGCTACCATGTTCCCCAACCGGATAGATCTGCTTCCTTTCTGGATGCCTCAAATGGACGTCGATATTCGTAAACCAATCACGCATCAATTTGGTATTGAAAGACCTGCCAATACAGCAAGCTACTCCACCAGTGATGTTGATGACTCTGAGGATGAGGACTTGGATGACGGCCAAACAACGGGCAGGGCAACACCGCACGTGAATGGCTCGAATGAGAGTGACGAAGGCACTCGACGCCTAAATGCTGCTCGGCGCGCCTTGGATGAACACAGACGCGCTCAGCAATTGGATGACGACCGTGACGCCCAAGGTGCACCCGGGAATACCCTGGACGAGGAAGAGCGTGTCTCAGCCTTACCACTGCCGGACAGTGAATATATTTACGACTCGGAAGACGACGATTACGGCGCTGTCGCCGACGAACTCGAGGAAGCCCGTCGCTCTGGCTCGTGGAAGTTCTATCCTTTGGTGCTCAAACACCATGTTCAGAAGGGTAGCAACCTAATGTTCGATGCCCTTCATAAATTGTCGGTGCCGACTACGACACGCTTGCCTCAGAATGGGAGTATCGGTGGCGTCAATCCTCTGGGCGGTCCCGTTGCTACCGTCAAGAGATTCAGAGCACCCAAAGGAAAGCGCATCCACGTTCCCGTGCGTGTCGAACCGAAAGTTTATTTCGCTGCAGAACGAACCTTCCTTAGTTGGCTCGAGTTCAGCATCATTCTTGGTACCATCGCGGCAACTTTACTCAACTTCGGGGATCAGGCTTCTCTGTATTCGGCCTGGGGCTTCACTATTATGGCGTGTGCTGCATTGCTCTACAGTGTAGCGATATACTGGTTGAGGGTTCAAATGATCAGGAAGAGAAGGGCCAGCATCAGTCGATACTATGATAAATGGGGAACTTCAGCGCTGTGTGCTGGTTTATTTGCTGCAACTGCCGTGAGTTTCTTTTTCAGGATTCGAGAGGATGGATGGTTTAAGAAGCCCTGAGATCATGGAATATCACCTTTCTGGCGGTGGAACAGTTTTGAGGATGGGTTTGGATCAAGTCAATCCGGGTTCTGGGGGGGGGGTTGTTCGATGCGTGCATGATTTCCGGCTGATACTTTGGTTTGATTGATAGGACAGAGGTCCTTCGAGATCCATGTTCGGCACAGGCGGAGGAGGAAGGGGAAGAGAGATAATGTTTCCGGTCCAAAACGGCTATCCCTTCAGCGAGCCGATCAGTGGCTTATCAGTCAATACTTGTTCCGTTGAGGATGCTTACCCACGATCCTCCAGAGCACTCTATCCTGTATAATTGTCTAGCTAGTTAGTTAGGGGTACAAAACTGCTCCCCGAACTCCGAATCATGCCCTGACAGTGACAGACCACGAAATGGGGAAGAAAAGCGCGAGACAAGGCCAGGAAATCCACATATATGGCCCCCAGGTATCCTTTACAAATGCTAGAAATATGGCGCTGCGGCGCCAGCCTGAGTTTGCCATTGACATATTTTCACTACCTAGGTACCTGTAGATGCCTTGTGTGGGATGATGGGTATTTTCACTCATTGGCCTGGCCTGTCTCTAGGATGCCCGCTCTCCGCCCCGAAGGAGATCTCTCTCAGCCAGCTATGATCAACAGGTTCGGCAATGTGGAGGAGAAACGCAATCACAATCATATACACATCCGTGCGTTCCCTTAATCGTCAACGATGTCGTCGTCGTCAAGGTACAGTTTCTCGATCGGCGGAGCAGCGCTGGGCAGGCCAGAATTCAAATCCGCGGACAGCTTCAATCCAAGTGGGCCAGGCTTGACGGGGCTTCCTATAATACCTCTTCGCGAAGGGGAAGAAGGCACGGTGGTAGTCGTCGGTCTTTTCTGCTGCGGCCAGGGATCTTTGGCGTCCAGCCCGTTCTCATAACTCTCTTCTACCTCGGATAGATTGGGCAGGTATGCGTTTGGTTTGAACTGCGTGATCCGATTGAGGGTTTTGACATCTTCTTTTCTCCAAGATCGGATCCGTGTCGTGTATGGGAGGATCTCAAGCGTGAGGACATCTTTGTTGTAGCGTACTTGTTGAGACGGTGGCATTTTGTCGTCGTCTTCGCCATCCTTGCTGATTGAACGGGAGGCCATGAATGCTCTTGACTGCCAGCTCGCGACACCACCATCAACACCATGAATGACGGAGTCAAAGGTTCTTGAGTCTGTATGATCGATGTCCGTGCCATGCACAAACAGCTCGACGAGACTCTCTATCTCCTCGGTGGGCTTCCACAGCCTCAAACTTTGTGGGTAGAACATTTTGAAATTATCGCCTCTCTTGCCACCTGGGACACTCGCTCGGTTGACTGGATAGGGCAGATTGAACAATAACCCTCTCGTCGCAGCGTGGAAGCTTATCTCATCCTGTCTTAGCGTATCGGAACTCCCTGACTGCAGATTTGACTGAATGAAACCGGCATTAGGATTGTTGTTCGCACGTCGATAGGGCCGAGAGTCAGGATTGAGTATATCACTAGTTGATAATGCGTCTGAACATCCATCAAAAGCTGGCTCGAAAGTGTCACCATTGCATGAGAGAATGTAGTTCTCATGCAGAGTCGAAATGAACGTCTGGATGTCTGTTCCTGTTTCGTTGAGAAGAACTTCAATATCTACCAGTGAAGCTTTCGGCGAATACAGGTGCATTAGATGGTCCGGTGGTTTGGGCGGTGGCTCAGCCCTAGTATCTTGCACACGAGGGTCTTGTCGTTTATTGTAAACAATCTTGCCCGTAGCATGGAACATGTCGAGTGTAGTTTCTCGGTGGCTGAGTAATTGAAGAGACTTTTTCTCCAGGTCGGTCAAGGTGACAGTCTCTTTATTTCTTGATGTTTTCTTGGACTTCGCTGAGATGGTCCCAGACCATTCCGAACCGTCGCCTGTCCTCACACAGAGAAATTCCAGAGCATTGACTGCACTTCTGACATCACTCATTTCAGCCAGACGCTGCATGATCGCAGGGCCAGGCATCCGTCGTCTCCCTGAATCACGAGCTTCCTTCTTCACAACCAGATCTAGTGCCTTTGTCACAAAAGTTGGAGCGACCGGGTTGAAATCCATGGAGGTGACATAGGCATGGTTCAAAATCTCAGGTCCAAGCAGCCTGTGAGCCGTAAAGCTATCAGCCAACGCCGTAGATGACGATAGTAATGTCTCTGAGATGATAATCACCACGGGCGGTGAGTTGTCACGTTCCGCTTGTTGACCACGTATTGCGATCGGATGGGAATGACTTGGCCGTGCAAGATATCGTAGTAGAACAGATCTAAATGATTGTAGTGTACTGGAACTCCTTGTAATAGTTGCCGGGAACTCTTCGATCAAGAGAATGCGGCCATTAGTGGACTTTTCGGACGGACTTCCAACGTCTTCCCCATTAAAGGTGAGGCCACCAAATTGACCACCTCGATTAAGAAACTCGTCGAATTGTACGGCGATTGAATTGGTTGGACCGGAATCCGCGACCATTGGATTATGCCAGGAAACCAGGTCAAGTGCCATAAGTTTGGCGAGAAGAGACACTGTCGTTGTCTTGCCACTTCCAGCTGGACCTTTCAGGACAAGCAATTTCTACTTGAATTCAGCAAAGGAGCACGCAGTCATTGAACAATATAAGGACACTCACTTGACTATGACGGCCAGTGCATTTCCCCTGCAACCAGCCTTGAACATCAGCAACCTTCTTCTTATGCACAACCAGCTCTTCAAGATTGGCTGGACCATATCGGTCTCCCCAAGGTCGACGACTTTCAGTAAAAGCCTGGTCCTGGTCCTGGTCCTCCACCTTGATCTTGACAGTATCCCTTGGTGCAGGGCCCTTGACAAATCTCTGGGTCGAAGATAGAGAATTGTTACTCAATCCGTTCCTGCTGTTTGCCGGAGCAGGCTTCCGGCTGTCCTGCAGAGATGTATTTGCTTTGTCGGTCCTCAAACCCAGCTCTTGTAGAGTATCGTCCGAGAGGTCATCATCTTCGATAGCGTCGCCTATTTCTCCATTCTGTAGATCTGCGACTATGTCTGGTGTTTCAGACCTCTTCTTCCATCGCTGCTCCTCCGTGGCTTTTGTAAAGAAGGTATGCAGCGACTTGGTCTTCTCTGGCGCTTTTTGCGCCCTGGTGTTCTTTTTGGCCTTCGCTGGAGAAGACTTCGGGGAGGGCTTTGGCGCAGGACGTCGAGAAGAACTCTTTCCTTTCCCAGCTCTGGCCGGAGACAGGTCCAGTGATGTTCGTCCGTCGAGGGTGATCTCGCGCTGGACACGAGCATTGACGGGGGATTGGGGAGAGGGCAGCTCCAATTCTTCATCATCGTCTGAGAGAACTATAGTCGACCGGCGTTGCCGTTTGGCAGGTCGGGAAGCCATTTGCGAGCATAATGGACTCCGACGAAGTGGCCGTGAACCCAGCGATTGCCGTGGTGAAAATCGAATTGTCGGTCAAGATGGAGGAGGGCAGTCGTATCTGCAGCTGCATCTGGGTGGACGGGAAACGCGTGGTCACGTGGAAATGCCTGTTCCGCCCTCTATCAAACCTCTTTCGCACTATGCAAGTATCTCTCCAGATGGCTCGTGAGATATCTAGGTCTAGAAAAGGCCAGGCCATGAAGCTAATGCCAAATCTCACCTCCAAGTTCTATCCTCTATTGAACATGCCATCCACCAAATTCATCCAAAATCCACGATCATAAAGATTGTCCACCTCACGCATGCTCTGGATCCTTTCCCACCGCTCATCCGGCACATCAGTCACCTCGCTATCATCCTGGATCTGACTGCCCACCTTCTTCAAGGTCGGTTGATCGCCGTCTCTCGTCCTGACCATCCACCACTTGGCTCGGACCTCGCGGGGCCATTGCACGAGATCATCCTCAGGCTCCACGTCGGGAGGCAAGCGGGGGTATGTCTCGCGTAGTTTCTGGATCTCTGCTCTCCAGACCACATTGTCCTGGACATCGTCCTTCCAATCTGCCCATTTGGCACTCTCGTTCGTGGTCATTCCGGCCCACATGAGGTAGACATGGTACAGCAGGAAACTGAGGCTGAGCGGGCAGCTCATCGCGCTCAGCATCATGACGGCCCCAATCTGCCAGTCCACACTGATTGCCCAAGCCCACATGTTGGCCCACTGTGACCATGTCAATCTCGTGCTCCATCGCTTCGCCGTCACGCTGCCTCGGGTGAGCGCCGCAGGCACCAATCTCTCCTGCAGCCGCGCATCCAGAAGAGTATAGCCGAGGGTGGCGCCGTAAGCAAGTAGTGCCGTAATGGTTAGCAGCAGGAGATTAAACCAGATGTAATTGTTGCGACCGACGCAGTTGTTGATCCAGATGCAGTGGTGATCCTGCTTCTCGATGCAGGCTTTGCACAGCGAGCAGTGCTTTGACCTCGCAGGCTTGGGAAACCGGCAAGTGCTGCAGTAATATCCAGGGTGGAACAGGCAATAATCATACGGGTAAGCGAGCATCGCCTTTCGATGACTACTGTGTGTAATGTTAGAGCTTGTGGTCGACGACAAGTACAAAAACCAGTAAGGCGCCGCCACGAGAAATGGTATGGGCAAGGCTTGCCATGTGCTGAGCCGACTCCATGCCGATGGGATAAAAAGCAATTCTCCAACTACCTGTAATGTAACAAAGAATACCTGGAAGAACATGGATAAGTGTCGATCGATTTCGGCGATGAAAAACAACTCACAAGCACGATTGGATGAGCGTCATTCAAGAGGTAGTTCCCCGTCCTCGCCAGGCCGCGGGTGAAGCGGCGGCCCGTGATCTTGTCGTCGACATAAATAACGGCATTGGGAACATGATGCCATAGTAGTTTATGTAGAAAGGCGATGGGAGTCCGTCTGTGAACCAAAAAACTGCTCAGCTTGGTTCAGTTCAGCCTAATCAGCCTGACTCACCTAAGAGCGGGAAGCCGTCCAAAAAGAGCAACGAAAACGACAAATGAGATGCTGAGGATGATAATTGCGATGGTTCGTACTATACCCATTGCAGGATCTCGAGGGGCACACGATGCATCAACACCGGTGATATCCTGTCGATGTTGAGATGATAAGTACGGCGTACGTGGGATTGCGGTGGCTGGGGTCAGATTTTGGGTCACAAGCCATTCCCTAATAATTCGTCCTTGAGTCGGAGCCCCATTTCGAAAATAATATTCATTGGAGGAAACAACATTGAAACATTTCTTTTGTATTCACCGTCAGCCACGGATCGACCCGAGTCGTAGCATAACCAGTACAGCATATCTCTCTACCGACGTTGCTATTCAATCGATCGTGTGCGGCGTAAACACATCCATTCCATAGAAGAAACATAGTCGGGCTTCATTAGATGAAACCCAAGGCTCATTGATATCCATTGTGCGCGCCCAACTTGACCCCAATCAAAAGACCACCCCATCCAACCGTCCTATGCCTCGTAACCCCATTGAAATGCTCATTAATATCCCTAGGCATGCATGCTCTTCGTCTTCCGATGTTTCTCTTCGCGACCAGCCTTGGATTTCACCGGGCTGTTATGATGACTTGCCATACCACCGGCATGGTATGTTTCTGTCCGCTGATGTCCAGCTGGTCGTGGGGGATGACTGCCTGATAAGCCATCTGCCTTTGTCTTCTTCTCGCGCTTGAGGACCATTTCGACCCAACCTTTCACAGGCGCCGAGGAGCCTTGCACACCCTTACCGACTACTTGTGCCAATGCCTGCATCCATTCGTCTTTGTCTGCAGTCGAATCGGCATAAAAGTCAATAACCTCACCATTGGCAAATCGGATCCGAAATCCTTCCTCAACGAACATGTATCCTTCTTCCTCCTCGGCAAAACCACTCTTACGACGGCCACCACCCTTCGTAGATGTTTCTTTTTGCACAAGAGAAGACTTGTCATCGATCAATCTGCTAGCCTTGGCAAGATTGATCGTGGCTCGAGGTTGAAGAGTCGTCTCGTGAAAAGCTGTCAACTTGGGTCCTGCAAGTTTGAAAAAGCGGCGTCGCCAGTACTAGTCCACGTCAGTTCAGCTGTACAGGTTTTCATGCGAGAATCTTACCGGGCAGTCTCCACCTTGCTGACTTAGATAACCTTCAAAGCCTCTGATGTTGGCTTGCTGTTGCACCTTCTCTTCAGCCTCGCGAAGTGCACGGATGGCGCCGTTCATGCTCTTAGGCATATCATCATCCTTGGCGCCTCGAGGCTTCGGCACATACAACAGCTGTAGTTCGAGTTTACCGATCTCATACGGTGGCCGTCTTTGCATCTGGACCACTCCCTTCTTGCTTCTGGAGCTGCCCACTTGGACTTCTTCCAGAGCCCATTCATTAAAGCAAGTAATATCCACAGTGTAAGGCCGGCCGTATGTATGCTTTTCGTGCTCGCTGAGAGCCACATAGGCCCGGGCAAATGATCCATCCTTTGCCACCAGCCCCTGAACCAGCTCATACGCCGAGGGTGGGGTGACTGGTCTTCTGACTGCCTGCGCCTCTTGCTGAGCTCTCAACTCCAGCTCTTTCTTCTTCTTAGGAGATCCAAACAGTCTGCCGAAAGCACCCTGCTTCTTAGGGGAGGCTGGTGGTTTTGAAGGTGATTGTGGGCGTTCAACCTTGGGCTCCTCTAATTTCATTTGCAATGTGAGCTGGAACTCAAGGTCATTGAGTACGACAAGCTCAAACTCTTGGCCGATGGGGGCACTGCGTGAGAGTTCCAACCAAGCAGTAGTGACGCAATGAAGCCCGTTGTCCAGTGTCAAGGCAAAATATGTTTGTTCATCTAGAAATCTTTGGTCAATTGAAGTGGGATACTGGAGGTGGTGCTTACGTTGAGGGAAAGGCATCTGCAAGTCTTTGACGCCCACGACCTTCACAAAGAGCCGTCCTCTTTCTGCACCATCTTCCCAGTCCTCTTCTTCACCTAGTTCGTCCTCTGCCACAGCACCAAGGCTTTCTTGGACGTTACTACATTGACCTGGCAGTGGTGGGGCAGGGCCGCTGACTGGTTTTCTTTGACCCAGGGCCTTCTCACCGCCCACACGAATGCTCTTCCTTCTCACCTTGCCATTCCATGGCTCAGCTGTCCAGGTTGGCTGACTGGTTTTACGTGGTGATGCTTGGACCTGATTTGCGGGTGATCTGGGGCTCAGCAGATTAGCATCTCCATCTGTGGGAAGGCCTGGAGAGCGGCATTCATCTTGTGAGGTACGTTCAGTCGCAACCACAATTTTCGTGTTCTGTCGCATGAGATAACCTCGCTGTTGTTTTGGAGATCTATTAGCAAATGAATCTTCTTCAAGAATATAAGAACGGTTTGAACGATTGGCAAAGTTGGTCTGTGGGGGAGACCTTGCGCCACGTGGTTTTGGGAGAACGGGAGCGTTTTCCAATGGGTTTGCCATCCTCATGTTCTTTGCTTCGGGAAACTCATTCGATGGGAAGCGTCCATTGAAGGGGTAGTACAAGCGCTGTAATGAGAGTTCAAACTCTACCTTTTGTGCCTCGACCACACGGTCAAACTCCTTTTCTAGGCCCAACCCGAGGCCATCATCAAGTTCTTCATGGGCAATCTCCAGGGGAACCAAGCTGCTGACCCGCTTAGCATTTACCGGCACTTGGAGCTGTGCTGGCTCCTTCGCTTCGACGGCATTTTGATCTACAGCTTCTGGGGATAATGAGGCCGGGACTTGGTTGTTCTCGGGGAACTCGGTAGAGATTGGTGAGACTGGAGACGCTTCTTTGGGATTGACAATCACTGAGCCACTGTCTGAAGGCGAGATCGATCGATCACTATTAGTATCAGACTTGGATACCTCAGGAAAGTCGTTCACTTGGGTTCGGCCAAACGCTTTGACAGCAACTGAGTGCCGTACGATCGACTCCGGTGTACCAGGACTTCGTTGCTTGAAACTATGTACGACAGGACTCTGTGGTACTACTGACTGCTGAGTGTCCGGGCTATAGGATCGTTGAATCGATTGCCGCAGTGCAGCCAGATCTGGTACGTTAGTGGTGGATAGTGCTGGGATTGGTGGTACCAGCTTTTCTTCCTTCCGGCTCAAATAAGGCGTGAGACCGACATTGAAATCGTTGCCTCCACCGAAATCGGTGAAATCGGGCAAAGACACACGTTCCGAAGTCAGGAACCTTGAATTGATCGCCGTTTGAGGACTCTGAGCTTTTGGTGTATGTTGCCCATCTTCCAGGGCTGGCATTGAGACGGGTAAGCCTGCAACTGACGGCTGGGAATACTGACTTGTCATATCATCATCTTGATTCGCGCTTTGGTCTGACTCTGAGACGATACGGCGATTGTAGGCATCGGGGATTGAGTACAGGTCTTGATCCTCTGGATCTTCCTCTTTGATGTAGGCACTCTGAGCGTGAGCATGTGTGGGATCTTCCATTGATGGAATTGCCACATCCGGATCAAATCTTCTGTTCGTATGAGGACCATCGGTATCGGCGCTGCTCTCACGGCTGTCACAACTGAATTCTCCACGAAGGCCCTGCAGGACAGAAGCGCGAGAAATTTGAGGAGTTGACTCCCTTGACTCCACGAGTTCTGGGCCGGGCTCTCCATGTACAATTACTGAATCCTCTACGCTTGCAGCACGAACTGGGGTCGGCTCTTTGGACCCCAATCTTCTCATGCGACGTTCTCTATCCTGTTCTTGTAGAGCCATAAGTCGCAAACGATCATCCGCAGTCAGTGAACTGGTCGTTCCCATCTTCTGGATGTCGGCTTTGGAAATTGTGGTGGCCATCGGAGGTGTTGGTAGTGATCGTTGTCCAATGCTCATCCGCTCAAATGCTCCTGATAGGCGATCAGATGGTGATTTCTTGTGACCAAGACTCATTGGAGGAAGTGGGGGCAAAGGACGATTCTGGCCATTTGAATCGACCGAGCCCGCGCTCGTCTGGTGTGGGCGGTAGGCCAACGCGCCTGGTTGAGCTGTGGGAGCTGGACTGCCACAGTCGTCATCAAAGACGTCTTCTTCGCCATGTGCGAGATCTTTATTCGCGGTGTCTGGGCTCATGAACCTCCAATCCTCTGGCAGTACGACAGGGGTCTTTTCGGTATCCTCAAGTGATGCATCGAAGCTGTCGTCATGATCCATGGAAGAACCACGTTCAAAGCTGAGGTCCTCATCTTCATCCTCTACAGACTCACAGCTACCTTCCCGAGACTCGGACGCAATGGAGGACGGGGCTGGCGTGGGCTCTTCGTACTCGTTAATCTGGGGTGGTGCTTGGTCAAACGTGACGCTCTTGTGATGACGGTGAAGGCCACGGCCAGCCGGGAGTTGCTTGTTGTGGACATCGTCCTCATCCTCCCAGATACCGGTCTCAGGGTCGAATCCACTTCGTCTAAAGTCTGCGCCAGTCTTTTTGGACAAGGATGACTTGGCAGGTGAAGTGTTCAGCCTGCTTGGAGACAGAGGAGACACAATCTTAGTTGTGGCCGATGCAGCGTCCTCCTGGCTCGCCTTTGCTGTGTACTGCCCGGGTGAACTTTTCGCAGGAGCAAAGTTCTCCTTTCGCAGCGCGTCTGAAGTCCGAATCGGTGATTGCGGTCCAAGCGACTGCACGCTTAGCGGGCGACCATCGAGGATGGTGGGCCTGGAAGGATCGTAGTTGGTGCTTTGTTCGATGGCAAACATACTGCTGTTCTTGACCCGCGAGGCCTTCTTCAGATTCTCAATGGATGACCGTTTGTTGGGGGAAGGAGCGAGAGGATCGAAGATACTGCTATTCTCTCTGGCAGGGGAGTTAGGATCCCGTCCCTGCCAGAAGAGGCGTGGGGAGGCAGCAGAGAATGGGGAAGATCCTGCAGGTGAGGATTCGGAGGTGGTGAACAGTTTGCCCTGCAGTTGTCTCTGTTAGTTGTTTGTAGGAATGGAACAATGCAAACAACGCACCTTTGCTTGAGGGAAACTCGGGGAATTTCTACGGATTGCCATGGGGCTAAGCTCGGACAATGGACGGTTGGTTACTCGGGGCAGCTTGGACGGAGAGCCATTGCTGCCCTTCTGAATGCGTAGAGGTGGGACCTGAACGTGGCGTGGTCAGTCAGTGTCAACAAGGACCAACAGGACGGCTGCGTCAATGTCATCTGCGTACCTCTGAAGCCATGGTAGCTACTCAGGGGGTCCTCGAACAATAGCTTTGTGTTTGGATGAGCTCAGACCATGGATTGGAATGCGCACAGGCGTGAAATGAGGGTCAAGGCAGACGGATTCGAGCCTGGAGTAAGGCAGTCCAGCTGCGCCAGCGATGAGGAGGAGGATGGTGATGGTGATAGCGTACGATTTGGTACTTTGCAGTGAGGCGAATGTGATAGTAAAGACTGTAAGCAAGTGAAGAATGAGTTCAACGGAGATGCGACCGCAAATGAGGCCAACCTGAGGACATCATTCATTTGATCAGTAGTGGAGGTCCTCTAAAGTCGGTTATTATTGTCGTCAGAGCTGGAAATAGGCTAGTGTGCTGGTTGCTATGGCAGCCATTCCTATCCCGCACGTGACGCTTGCCTCCACGCCTGCCTCGGATACCTTAGTGCCACTAAGACTTCACTAGCAGCTATCCGTGCCCAGACCGGCAAGTTAACCGACCCAAAAAATAATTCCTGATGACAGGCTATCGGGGGAAGTCCCCATTCCAGATCAAGTTTCCACCTTGTAGCATCATCTGCAAATGTCTTCCTTGGCCGCAGTATGCCCTGCATGTCGCCTGAGGACCCTGGTATCTCCTGCATATTCACCGTTGTCACAATGGCACGCTCAGAGATCGATGGCCTCGGCCATGCGCCAGCGCCGGAGACCCGCCAGAATGACGCTTTCGCAACAGGTCGATCGAAAGCCCTCCGAAAGGACCAGAGGGAATAGACCTGCGACAGGCCCTTTTGCTGGAATGAACCAGACGGTTGCGAATATTCCTCCACGACGACGGTTAGACTCGCGCATTCTCTCCAAAGGGAGACGATCAATTGATGAAAGATCTGCCAATAGGCCCAGGAGCAGGCCTGTCTGGGCTGTTGCTTCCACAGGAGTTGAAGATGACCCCGCTATCCCTAACAATGGAGACTCACAGGAGAAATCAGCAAAGCCCACCCGGAAAAAGAGGAGCGACGATGATCGACCTTTGTTTCACGCCCTGAAAATGCAGCAGGCCTTGACACCCATGTCCTACGCTCAAAGAGACACCATCAAGGCCAGGTTGGAGAAGATCACTACCTTTGAAGAGCTTGGATTGATGCCCTATGTCACCAATAGTGTGTACACACAGTTGCTCCCTCATTTGAAAGAATACGCTCCAACGCCGGTGCAAAAGCTCGCCATTCCCGCTCTACTCAGCAAAAGGGGCGCCTACGAGAAGGAGAAGAACCAAAAGGTCACTGGCAAGGCCCGCTTCGACAAGTTTCTTCTGGCCGCGGAAACTGGCTCTGGCAAGACATTGGCATACCTCTTGCCTGTCATCAATGCTGTCAAGCAGCAAGAGGAGCTGGATAACATACAAGAAGCGGAACGAAAAGCTCAAGAGGCAAAGGAGAAGGAAGAGCGCCTTCAAAACAACGTCTTTGCTGCCGATCCATCAGAGACTGAGAAGAAATTCAAGTTTCACCCAAACACGGGCCGACCACGAGCTTTGATCCTTCTTCCTTCCTCCGAATTGGTCACTCAAGTAGGCCAAGTTGTCAAACTACTTGGCCACACGATTAAATACAAATCCGCCAACTTCTCTTCCAGCAACTCTCCGACCTTGATATACAAATCACTCTTTAATCCGATCGGCATAGATATAGTTGTCTCTACGCCTCACTTGATCGGATCTATTGCCCAAAAGGAGCCCAATATCCTTTCTCGAGTTCAATACCTCGTTCTGGATGAAGCGGATTCCCTCTTGGACCGATCCTTTGCAGAAGCCAGCGTCAATATAATTGATCGCTGTGCCCCCTCACTCAAGCAGCTCATTCTCTGTAGTGCGACCATTCCCCACAGTCTTGATCGATTTATCGACAAGAACTTCCCTGACGCCAAACGAATCGTGACACCCAAGTTGCATACCATTCCTCGTCGAGTTCAACTCGGAGCCGTTGACATTGACAGAGATCCTTATCGTGGTTCACGCGACTTGGCCTGTGCCGATATCATCTGGCAGCTCGGCAAGGCTGTGCACGATGATGCCCTTGCAAAGCACACAGTCAAGCACATCTTAGTTTTTGTGAACCAGCGGGAAAAAGCTGAAGAGGTGGCGAAGTTTCTGGTCATCAAAGGCGTCGAGGCTGTATCCTTGACACGAGACACTACAGAGCAGCGACAGGCAGAAATTCTAGCCTCGTTCACCGCTGTGGACAGGGTCGAAGGCGAAGACAAAGAAGAGAAAAAGCCGAAGAAATTCTCCAGCTTCATCCCCTTCGATGATACCTTTAAAGAATTCAAGGATAAACCGACAAGGCATCTACCCAACACAAAAGTCCTAGTCGCGACAGATTTGGCCTCCCGTGGAATTGACACACTGGCAGTGCGTCATGTTGTGCTGTACGATGTGCCACATACCACAATCGATTTCGTGCACCGCCTGGGCCGTATGGGCCGTATGAATCGTCGAGGACGTGGTATCGTTCTGATGGGGCGTGATGATCGTAAAGACATAATTAGAGAGGTCAGAGAAGCGATGCATAAAGGTCAAGCTCTGATATAAACCGAGGCCATCACTCAACCGTCACTCTTGCTGAAAATACTTGCTGGACATTCTTGTTCTTGCATAACTGTGTACATCATATGTATATTATATACTCTGACTCTACTAAGGAAGGGGAAAAAGTTACAATACGAGCATGAGCGGCCATTTGGCCTATGCGTTCGCGTAAATCTTGCTGCGATGCGATGAGGTATTGCGATCTCAATCTGCTTCCAAATGGACATGCAGAGGAGGTGAGTGAAGTCTCCAAGCCAAAGCCGTACACTGAGCAGGTGGGGTAGCGGTCTCTACCGACGGCACCGAGAGTCTGGATTGTGTAGCTTATTTGGGCTTCCTGACAACTGATTCATGAGCGATTTAGACTGCTTGGACTGGCCCCGACCATCTGGAGTCTTACAGCTCCAACGCACCATGGCAAATCTTTTGTTGTTGATCTTGCGCCATCCTCTACGATCGCTTATCTTTACGCACTCCTTCTTCTCTCAGATACTTCTAGCAATTCTCCGACGACTGCTATTGCCACATTTCCCATCCCACCAATCTTTGCGACTTCAAATCCAACGTGCATATCTCGCCGCTGCGTCGCTGACATTTCCAGATTTGACCCACAGACTTCCGGTAGGAGATCTGTCTCCTGACCGAGCTCGGAAGGTGGAAGGCACGCCAGCCTACCTCATCCCAGGCTCTCGACAAATTTCAGACTTTGCATGTCCGAAAAACGGCACGCAAGCATGTGTCGCGTTGTTTGCGCATGGTGGTGGCTATGCACGCGGAGAGGCGAGGATGTACGCCAACTACATGGAGCGATGGGTTCGAGGTGCTGCACAGGCGAAGCTTGACCTCCTCTTTCTGTCAGTGGAATATCGTGAGTTCGACTGACACCCTTCAATATCTACCACTCTGAATATGAATGACACAGCACTTTCCACCGAGAAAAGCCATCCGGCGCAACTGAACGCCTTCATTCAAGGCTATCGATATCTGCTTGACAGTGGTGTGAAGCCTCAAAACGTCATTTTCATGGGCGATTCAGCCGGTGGTATGTTTATTGCAAGCTGAATACAAATCCGTCGCTGCTGATAGTGTTATCTAGGTGGCTTATGTATTCTGTCCGGGATTACCCTCAAACGCTTCGGTCTACCACAACCAGCGGCAACGGTCTTGATCTCTCCGTGGATGGACTTGACTCTGAGCGCCTACCAAGGAGGGAACGCCGCCGTCGAGACTGACTATTTTATGATGGCGAACGAGAATGTACCTGGTCTTGTATCACTGTTTATTGGCGGCTTGCCTCCAGACTCTCCTGAAGTCAACCCCCTTTGTTGCCAGCCCGCCGACATCAAGGGGCTAAACCCGCAGCTTATTTTCACCGGTGGTGCCGAGTTTGCACGCCGCGATTCCGAACTGTGGGCCGAAAAGTGCAATGAAGCAGGTGTAACGCACAAGATGATCATTGAGTGGGGACAATTGCATATCTACGCTGTGGGTTCAAAGTTCACGGCACCGGCAGTTCGAGGAAAGACGGATAACTTGATCATTGATTGGATCAAGGAGCATGTCAAATAGTCAGCCCTACAGTTCAAGCAAATCTCATGTATTTCGTGAACCCAGTGTGGGAATTCAACTGTATCGAATCCTCGCCTGCTCATATTTACAGAAAACCTCGGCATCTTCTCCGCACGAAAAGGGGGGACAAGGCTGAGGATCATGAAGCTCGGCGCCGATGCGGGGAAGCCTGAACATCGGTGGACGTTGAAGCCTTGTCTCGGAATGTTCAAGATGCTGTTCCGTTAATTCATACCTGTACGTAGTATGATGATAATGATGCTATGTGCATGAGGCTAGTGCAATCTAACCTTGCAAGCATTTTGAAAGCCAAATTGTAATACTGATACTCAATTTCATGGTTTTTGGTGCCTGTTGATATACTCATGATGAGCCAAGGTGTGATAGACAAAGGGAAAAGACCTATTCTGGTTGGGAGTGTGTCTGGCTCAACCGGCGACAGGTTGGATGGTACGAATACCTAGCACCAGTTGCAAGTGGTGAGCAATTGCTCACACCACATAGGATTGAAGTCGATGCTGAGAGGCGACATAATAATCGATGCAATTATCGGAGACTGGCTATCAGAGGTTCGATAGTGCGAGGAACTGCTATCAAAACTCAAGTTGTTAACGAATTAACAGGTCAACTTGGCTTCGAGATCACTACAACTTCGAGCAGGGAAGAAAGGTGGCTACGAACCGGGATTCCTGTACTCTCTACGAGAGGGTCTTGATGATTACCTCAACTACCAGAATCAAAATGTTCGCATTGCCGTAAATGCGGGCGGTCTGAACCCCAAAGGGCTCGCAGAAGAGGTGCAAAATCTATTGTGCTCTCGAGGTTCAGAAAAAAGGGTCGCATATGTTGTTGGGGACAATCTACTCTCCCAGCTGGAAAACCTTGATATTCAGCCGCTTACCAGAGCAACTGGGAACTTCCAGAATTGGAAGCGGAAATACCCCGAAATCATCCTTGCCAATGCTTATATCGGATGTTGGGGAATAGTGCGCGCACTGGCGGAAGGAGCTGATATTGTAATATGTGGGAGATGTACGGATGCAAGCACGGTATGTCAGCCTTTTAGCAACAAATTTACGTTTACTGAGAACAATCATCAAGGTCATGGGAGTAACAGCATGGTGGCATGGTTGGAGCCAGGGTGAATTCGACAAGCTAGCAGGCTCTCTGATGGCTGGCCATCTGATAGAATGTGGCTGTTATGTGGTATGAGTGACTTATTTGACTTCTCTCTTTTGTTACTAAGATCTCTGGATGGCAGACCGGGGGCAACTTTGGTGGCTTTCAGAACCTGAACCCCCGATACTACGATCTATCATACCCAATTGCTGCCATCGCAGCGGATGGGACAAGTGTGATCCAAAAGCACGCCAATCAGAATGGGATGTACGTGTCCAAGCTCTGATGCTGCGCTTGAGCATATGCTTACCCGATGTTTGTTCAGTGTAACGACAGACACTGTTCGAGGTCAGTTCTTATACGAGATACAGGGTTCCTTTTACTACAACCCCGATGTGATTGCAGATATCACACGCATCAATTTCGACCAAGTTGGCAAAGACTCGGTGCAGGTTTCAGGGGTCAGAGGTGAGAGGAACCATTCCAAATCTTAATGTGAATTCCATCAGGGTATTCAGACTTCTCATCTTCTAGGACTTCCTGCTCCTGAGACTCTCAAGATTGCCATTATGGCGATCGGTGGATATCAAGCCGAATTTTCACTATACGTCACTGGCCTCGACACCAAAGAGAAGGCAGCGAGCTTTGAGTTAATGTCTCGCAGAATGGTCGACGAAAGCCAGTTTGAAATCTTAGAATTTCAGCTATATGGGAGTCCAAAAGGGAACCCGCGTAACCAGCTCGAATCAACACTACAACTTCGGATCTTTGCACAAGCTAAGGATCCAAAGGCAGTCGCTCCTGGTCGTTTTCTTGGTCCTCTTATGAGTAACCAGCTCTCGGGATATCCAGGACTCACCGCAAATTTCGACTTTCGGACTGCGGATCCAAAATTGTTTTGCACATACTTTCCCGGCTTGGTAAACCAAAAACACGTCCAGCAAGTTGTGCATTTTGCCACGATGGAGGACAGCGCTCCAGGTATTCTTGCTCCAAGGGCTACAGCATATACACCAGTCGACCTTCTACCCATTCAACCCGACTATCAACCGACTAATCCAGTGGCATTGCCTTCCTTCGGGGCAACAGTCAGGGCGCCACTCGGGTTGGCGGTCTACGCCCGGAGTGGCGATAAAGGTGCGAATGTGAATGTTGGCTTCTTCTTTCCCCGGGGTCCTCATGAATCAGCCAAGTATGAATGGCTTCGAAACTTTCTGACTACGAGCACACTACGAGGTACGTTCTCTGATCTTGCAATTTGCGTGACAATCACCCCGGAATTTAACAATTGTGCTGCTAGAGCTACTTGCCGATGAAGCAACATCCGATACATATATCGAAAGATGCGAATTTCCGAACATTCGAGCCGTTCATTTTGTGATACATGGGATCCTGGGCGCCGGCGTCAGTAGCTCTGTCAAGATGGACTCGCTGGGAAAGGTAGGCTGCACTTCTCTACACTATTGATGCGGTAGCTGGATTCCTCACGGCTAACATTGAGCTCAGAACGTCGCTGAATACTTAAGAGCTCGACATGTAGACATTCCACAGAAGTTTCTTGAGAAAAAGGCGGTTTTGTAGGCCCCAATTGAAATGATGCCGGAAGTTCTGCTAAGAGTAGGAGAGACTGTTGCTATGCTCGAGCTTTTGGTTTCTCCACGTTTCCATGGGCTGCCCATGGCTCCGTGCCAGGTAATGAAAGTAGGCTAAGGATTTAATGGTATAGAAATGCACTAAAGTCTCGGCTTTATTAATTTGGTCAAATAAATCCGTCAAGCAGGTAGAGAAAGTGATACTCGGTCTCAAATCTAGCAAGCCGGCCATTGAGAGTCCGGGCAGTTCATGTGCGGAGATGACCATCGAGTTCAACCCAGAGAGATGGACAGAGCTCGGGAGACAAGCAAGCCAGGCTCCCTTCGGTACCGACACAATCAGACCTAGGCAGTTGATGATCGAACGTGAAAGATGGATGCGCTCCAGCACAGTCTTAAAAGTGTTGTTGCACGGCTCACCAACAGCCAGCTCAATGCAAAGACCAAGTAACAGGGACAAGAATGATTGAGCAACCTACGTCATACTCTGTTCCAGAGCAGAGCACGGCACTCTTGAGAGATGGGATCTTGTACAATAAGCTGCACAACTCTCTGCCCTCAGAGTGCAGGGATCTGGCAGCATATGTGAAATTCAAAGGCACAGCAGCACCTAGCATTCCGATCAATTGGAGACTTGCAGAGAGTGTTTCTTCCTTGAAAGGTCTCGAAGCGGTTCTGATCAATGCATTACTCGGGCGAAAGTACAACGAAGCCCCTAAGGAGGTTGTCATCGATACAGATCATGCACAGCTTTTCTTCATGTCTTCCTTGGTCCTGGAGGTGGATCCGAACTTCTCAGCGCCTATCACACCGACTCCTATTCGTGATTTAACGGAGAGGTATGCCAAGTATTTTCCTAATGGTGACCTCCATCAAATGGCTTCATCTCTCTACCGCCGGGCAGCATACAACATCTACAAGACAAAGGATGATCGCTGGTTTCATATTCACGGCAGCCTCAACCCAGATCCGTCCCTGAGAGGGGCACAACTCCCCCTTGACATGCCTGAAATCACCAATATGGAAGATTCGTGGACGCCTTTCATCAATCGCATCAGTGAGAAAACCGCTGAGGAGTGGGACCATATTCTGGGAGAAGAATTCCGACAGGCAGCTACGATATGCCTTAGCCCCCAAGAGTACACCAACAGCCCCCAAGGGAAGGCGAACTCTGCAGTGGGATTGTATCGAGTTTCAAAGCATGAAGGCTCCACACAACCGGCAGGGTGGTGGAACGCCACGGCCTTCACAAACTCTCAGCGCCCTCTTGCTGGTCTGAAAATCGTGGACCTAACGAGAGTCATTGCAGGTCCAGCAATCGGTCGAGGTCTGGCAGAACTAGGTGCAAGCGTGATGAGAGTCACAGCGTCTCACCTGCCAGACTTTTCGGGCCTTCAGCCAGATTTAAATTGGGGCAAGTGGAACTGCAACTTGGATTTGCGTATTGAGGAGGACCGACTTAAGCTTAAAGCTTTAATACTGGATGCAGACGTTGTTATCGATGGCTACAGACCTGACGTATTCATCAAATACGGCTTCGGTTCGGACCCGGTGTTTGACTTAGTGAAGACCAGAGACCGTGGTATCATCTATGTGCGAGAGAACTGCTTTGGATGGGACGGGCCTCTATCGCATAGAAGCGGCTGGCAGCCTATCAGCGATGCCCACTCTGGTGTGTCCATGGGATATGGTCGTGCCATGGGTAATGACGAGGCTGTGACCCCCGTATTTCCGAATTCGGACTATTGCACGGGGATCGCGGGCACCTGTGGTGTTTTGGACGCTCTTATGCAGAAAGCAGGCCATGGTGGCTCATACCTTGTGGACACATCTCTCAACTACTACAATCAATGGCTTACTTTGACAGTCGGAGAATATCCTCCACATGTATGGGAAGACGTATGGACAAGGAATGGCAATCAAGTCTTCCGGCACTATCACAGCATGAACTATACCATTCCCTGCTACATCGAAATGATGCGGAAGCAAAAGACGTTGCTAAATCTTGAGTACTTTGAGAAGCGGGTTTCCGGAGCCTTAAATGGACTTGTCTTCAGAGTGCCGCGGCCGATCCTTCAATTTCCCCAGAATACAGTGCAGTTGCGCTTCAATGTTGGCACTCGTGGGAATGGAGTTGACGAGGCCAGGTGGCCGGATCATTTATTGACTGAGATTGTAACATAGAGTCAACCTCATATAAGTGTACCGGGAATCTCGAGTAGAATGTTACTACTTTTCATCATAATTTATCTTCATAAATTCGGCTTAGCTTCTTGAAAATTGATACTAGCCTTATTATGTTCCGCAACAGAAAGCAATGCACCCGTCTTCTTGTCTCGCATCTGCCCGCGAATTGTTGCCAGCCGTGTGCCCTGCTGTAAGACTTCGCACTCTATCAAGAGGTCCATGCCTTTTCGTACCGGTCTGAGATATGTGATGAGTAACGTTCTCGACACTCCACCAAACCACCAAAAATCCTTTCGGGCTAAAGGTGCAGCGGCCATCGTCGTGCACATGTCATGGATCATCGCTATGGCTCCACCATGCATGTTCCCCATACGGTTGGTGTACACAGGTGAAGCTTTCATCTCGAACACTGCCGTTGTTTTCTCTGGAGTGCTAGTCGCGCTGACAATTGAAATATCCTCACGCATGAAGATCTCGTCAAACCCCTAGCAAAGTCCAATTGTCAGTCCCAACAGCGGTGCGCCTGAAACTGTGACAGGTCAGTCTACCAGCATACCTCATCCCGTGTCAGACCTTCCTTGCGGTAAGAATCAAGATATGCTTGAATTCGTTCCTTTGGGTCCGCAACAGTAACATCGAAGGCCATACCGGGGATCTTCAGGAGATCCGTTGTGTACCTCTCCACTTTTGATGGCCTATCTTTTTCCATAGTATTTTAGATGATGATAATTGACGGTTGTTGATACAGCCTCTGTTGGCAATGGTAACCTGAAAACGTATAGTCCGAGGTGGCACAGACAGGTACCTTAGTCCAGGTGTCCGGGCTTGGAGAAGTACAGGGTTACCTGTACATGAAGTAGCCTTGCGTCCAACCGTAGACATTGAACCATCCGGCACCGAGTTTGTAATTAAGTGAGATTCTTGGAGAGCCGAGGCTAATTCTCGGTTGCGGGTTTGTGTCTTTAACTCGCTAATGCTTGCCACGAGCTAAAGTTGGTATGTACCACACAGCCTTGGTCGGCGAGACTTTTGATATTCGCGAAGTATCATCACAATCTACAAAGTCTCCAGTTGAGATGGCAAAGACTTACGAGTCACCTTACAAGACACCTATTTTGCCCGTCGACCTCGCGACGTTCATATTTTCCTCGGGCTCCAAGGAAGACCGGTTACGACCTCAATACTTCGATGCCGACAGACCATACCGCAATTTCAGTCTCCAACAAGCGGAGGTATTGGTCAAGAGGTTTGCGAAGGGCTTACTTGATCTCGGTCTGAAGCCGGATCAAAAGGTTCTTTTGTATTCAGGAAACTCCCTGCACTTCCCAATCTTGTTCTGGGGGACAGTGGCTGCGGGCTGTGTGTTTACTGGTTGCTCGCCAAGTGCCTCGGTGACTGGTGAGTGAGCCGGAAACCAAGATTTGCGAGGACCATTTATGAACATTGGTCTACAGAGCTTGCGTATCAATTACGGGACTCGGATGCCCGATTGCTAATCACAAGCAGAGCTGGTGCTTCTCGAGCGCTGGAAGCTGCCTCACAAGTCGGGATTTCAAAAGAAATGGTGTTTGAGTTTATGGAGCCGGATAATCAAACGACGCAAAGCGATATTCTCCCATGGACCAAAATATGGGCCTCAGATGAAGCCAGTGCTTCTTGGACATGGAGAACTTTCTCCTCAGCTGAGGAGGCCCAAGAAGCAACTGCTGTTGTGAATTATTCAAGCGGGTACGATGTAAAGCAACTCTCTCGCGTTATCTGCGAGTGCTACTATCTGTACGCTGATTGCTTCATCGCGCAGAACGACTGGTGTGCCCAAAGGAGTGGAAATATCACATTACAACATCGTATCAAACTCTCAACAAGTCATATTCAAGAGAAGCATGGTCGCAGAAACGACTCGTGGAAAAGAGCGCAAGCAACGCATCGATTTGGTAGGAGAGCGATGGTTGGCTCCTCTCCCTATGTTCCACGCCTACGTCAGTGTCTTTAAATTCGAGTTTCTGGGGCATGCTATTTTGCTAATAGCTTGAATAGGGCCAAATGTATTACTGCATGACAGCAGCGCGCATGGGCGTCAAGGTCTTCATCATGATGGAGTATAGCATCCAGCGATATCTTCTGTTCCTCGACATCTTTGGCATCACCTTCCTCACTGGTGTCCCAACCCTAATGGTAGCCTTGTCCAAACACCCCCAAGCTAAGTCATACAACCTCACGGCAATTGAGTCCGTTGTGACAGGTTCTGCACCGCTAAACCCTGATATTGGCCGACTTGTCGAAAAGACCCACCTTCGTCCAGGAGTGGGTGTCAAACAAGGTTGGGGGATGACGGAAACCACATGCTCCGCAACCGGATTTGCACAAGATGATCAGGATGATGGACGATCAATCGGCTGGCTAAATCCCAACGTGTCTGCTAAAGTCGTCCCAATGCCAGACCACGGATTCGAGCAAACCAATGACATTCCATACACCGTGGGAGAGATTTGGGTGTCTGGACCTAACATCATGAAAGGCTACTACAAGAAGCCAAAGGAAACGGCTGAAGTGATTGTCTACGAAGGTGGAAGACGGTGGTTGCGATCAGGAGATATTGGATATGTTGATTCAAGAGGCTGCTTCTACATTGTCGACAGAATGAAAGTGAGCTGTAAACCCCAGGTGATGATGGGCCGTGGCATGCTGACACCATCCTCAAAGGAACTCATAAAAGTGAAAGGCTTGCAAGTTGCCCCTGCAGAGATCGAGCAGACTCTCTTGTCCCATTCTGCCATTGCAGACGCAGCCGTGATAGGAGAGAAGAGGTGAGCGGCCATTTTTGGCTAAAGAACACCACGATAGTGGTGGAAGACATGGCTAACTTATCCTAAGACCAGATGGTGAATACCCTAAGGCGTTTGTGGTCAGAGCACTAGGGGCAAGCATTACCGGGAAAGAAGTCCAGGGTTTTATCGAGGCTCGAATGTCTAAGCATAAGTGGCTGACAGCTGGAGTCTACTTCATCGACGAAATCCCTCGAACTCCAAGTGGGAAGGCCATTCGACGTGAGTTGCAAAAGTTGAAGACCAGTGTAGCAGATACCTCTGCCAAACTATAGCTGGTAAACAAAATTTCAAAGTAGGGCAAAGCAACACTCACTATTCTCTGCCTTGATAATAGCATAGCATAGCATAGTATTTAAAGGCGGCCTAAACCCTCGATCTTCCGAAATAGGACCATGAACGCAATGTTCAGCTCTCCTGGTGCTGGTCTTCCGAGGTTTCTTCGACTCTGGAAAAGCATCCCATGCGTCAGCTCTGAATAGCACCGGGACGAAGTTCCGATGCAGCTAAGAATCGGCCAAAATCCTAAGATGACCTAGAGCTTGTAGTAACATTGCGCGATGTTAGCATTTTTGATAAAAAGGTGCCGTTCGGCATGTCCGGCGTGTGCTCCATGTTCGGCATTCTCAGAGATTTTGCTGTCGGCACCGATATTGCACAACCCCACGGGCCAGCGTAGTCGAACCAGTGTACCGATACCTCTAGTGACAAGCCAGAAACGCGATCTGAGACGGTCTCGCTTTACCATGTAGTTAAGAAGTAAAGCTAAGCCCCGGATGTCCTATGAGTTTGTTGTGAGCCACGAAATCCTCGACTTCCCAGGCAGAGAACCAGCAATGACTCCCTCAATTTCAGAAATTCAGACGCCCGTCATCACAACTACGCAAGCTGAAGCGGACGCCTTCCCGCAGCTTGACGGGCTGAAGACTAAGATGGTTGGGTCTATGAGTACCGAGGCGCCAGCAGTTGCAAATGGGTATGCCAACAATGGCCATGCTGATTACAAGATCCGCGAGTCGCCTATGGGCACCAAGCGGAAGCTGAAGGTCATCTTCATGGGCATGGGATGCAGTGGCATCAACTTCGCCCACCAAGTTCAGACCCGAATGGAAAACATTGAGCTCACGATCTATGAAGCAAATTCGGATCTGGGAGGGACTTGGCTCGTGAATAGATATCCCGGATGCGCCTGCGATATTCCCAGTGTCTGTTATCAGTACAGCTGGCAGAAGAAGCCTGACTGGGAACGATACTATTCAGGTTCCAAGCAAATATACCAGTACTTTCGCGATATCGCTGCAGATCGCGACGTTCTAAAATTTGCGAAATTCGAGCATAAGATCATCCGCGCGGAGTGGATAGAGGCTGATGGCCAATGGAAAGTCACTATTATGCGCAACGGCGACCCTTCAGACACCTTCGACGATTATGGGGATTATTTCCTTCACGGCGGCGGGGTTCTAAATAATTGGAGATGGCCACAGATTAAAGGATTGGGCGATTTTCAGGGTCCGCTCGTGCACACTGCTCGATGGGACGACAGCGTGGACCTAGAGAATAAGAAAGTGCTCATCATAGGTGCAGGAAGTTCCAGTGTACAGGTGGTTCCGACCATCATTGACAAAGTCGACCAGCTCTTCGTCGTTGCCCGTTCACCTATCTGGGTCACGGCTGGTTTCGCTCCTGCATATGCTGGCACACAAGGAGAAAACTTCTACTACTCGAAAGAGACCCAGCAAAAGTTTCGAGACGATCCCGAGTTCTACCTATCATATTGCAAAGCCATCGAATCCGAGTTGAATGTTCGCTTCAAGTTTTACATCAACGGATCCACCGATGCAAAGGAAGCTAGAGAATACTCGATCAGGGAGATGCAGAAGAAACTTTCTAAGAAACCTGAGCTCATGGATAAGCTGATCCCCAGCAACTTCGGCGTCGGCTGCCGACGTCCTACTCCTGGGAACGGCTTTCTCGAGGCTTTAACTCTTGACAAAACCACCGTCTTGACCGAAGAAATTCAGGAAATCACGAACACTGGATTCATAGATGGAAAAGGAATTTCCCACGAGGTCGACGTTGTCATTTGCGCCACTGGCTTTGATACTAGCTTTCGTTCGGCGTTTCCCCTCCTTGTTGGAGACAAGAACTATCAAAATGAGTACGACGAGGGAGACGTTCAAGGATACCTGGGCCTCTCGGTACCTGGTGTCCCGAACTATTTTGTCTTCATTGGCGCTTATGGTCCCCTCGGGCACGGTTCCGTAATCCCTATGGTGGAGGCGTATACCAACTATATTATCCAAGTGCTAGAAAAAGCGCAGGTCGAGGACATAAAAAGTGTCCGGGTCAACCATTCTGTTGGGGAGGCATTCACCAGACATGCTGACCTGTACTTAAAACGGACGGCTTGGTCTGGGCCTTGCAGTTCTTGGTTCAAAAATGGCATTCCAGGCCACAAACCTCTGTGTTGGCCAGGCTCCAGAGTTCATTATCTCTCAATGCTTCAGAAGCCTCGTTTCGAGGATTTTGACATTGGTTATATTTCAGACAATCGGTTCAATTTTCTAGGAGATGGTTTCGATGTTCGCGAGTTTGATGGACGGGACATCACCTGGTATTACGGGCTCTTAAACAATCAGGACAAGCAGCCAGAGTCTTTTCCGGACCCTGTTTATTGAAGCGCAAGACATGGATTATCATATATCGGACGAAATAATATACACAATCTAGGGCGGCTCGAAACCAGTTTCTGATCAGACTATGTTGCTAAATAAAGATCATCCATCAAATCGTCGTTAAGCTTGCTGCCAAATAGGTTTTGTAGCCAGTCGTAGTTGTCCGTGACGGGTAGGATGCCAAAAACGTCGTCTGACATGGACATAGCCAAGTTTGCATCCGTATTGATGGCTACAGCAATATTGTCCCGAAAATCGACGGGACCGCTCTGCACTCCTGCCTCATAGCCCCTGGTATCGTTTCGCTGATTGACCGGGGATGCATCGCGGTCTCCATCTGGAGTGTCGTTTGGTGATGTAGGGGTAAGCCCAAGGCGAGTCCGGCTAATCACAGCCTCGAACATCCGCACAGTCCAGATCAAACTGCTCCAATACTCACAGCTTTCCTTCAGATACTCGAGCTCCGTGAATATTTGAGTCTTGATGGCGAGCTGCTTGCGGGCAGTGGTAGTCGGGTCAAGTGCGATTTCGATCCGCATAGCAAGGATGGTGGAGGCACAGGTCATACTAGAATTTCTGATGTCAGCAACCGTGATCTTCCTTTAGAAATGCTGATAAAAGTGGTAAAAATCAGAGGGTGACCTACAAAGATAGAGGGCATATGTGGAGCACTTGGTGCATCGAAGCACGTTGAATAATCGTAGAAAGCTCAAACATAGCGGCTTCCTGTCGTCGAGCAGTGCTCTGCATGGAGGGAGCATCGTTTTTGCTGCGATGATATTCTCTGACGGAACGGCAGAATATCGCCTCCAAGCGAAAGCCCATTGCTAGTAGCACCAAGACCCATATGTTGTCTGATGACCATTCTGCAAGTGCTCCAATGTGCATTTCCACAGGAAGCTGTCGTCTCCAGAAGGCGAGCTGGTCACTAAACCGCTCAATGTCGTCTGGTGTAGGAACTATGCCGGGAGCTTTGAAATCATGTATAAATTTCCCACCTGGCCATGTACATTAGCATTTTTTGGACATGGTATCCATCCGCATACTTACTTATGGTTGACAATTTGCAGTATTCGACCATGAAAACTATCTGTAATCGCGGCATAGGGCGGATAATATCGCCGCAGCTAGCTGGTATTTCGATAGGCTCGTCCCAATCCGCTTCTGTCAAAGGAGCAGTGTCACAATAGCGATCATTGAATCTTCTAAGGTTATCGATTCCTGAAACGGCCATAAGTGTGTCTCGATTGTACAGCACCCACCAGATGCGGCGAAATAAATGCCTTGAATGCGTGTCGAGCGTCTCGGACATATAGTTTCTGTGCAGGCCCATTCTAGTGGCAATCCTGCCTGCATTACTCAGCCAGTATCGATAGTCCTTGTCCATCGCATATGTAAATGACAAGGAGCTCAGCATGATCGAACCCTGAAGGAGATGGAGTTGGCTGTTCTCGCATCCAAGGTCGTACAGGAGCCTAGCTTTGGTGAACAGTGATTTTTGAGCTGTGATGCGATCCTTGTAGCTGGCTTCCCGAAGAAGCTCTAGAGGAGCATGCGGCACTGCATTAGCGAGAATCGATTGAAGAAGGAAGGCAGAATGCTGGTTGGTGTCGTAGTCCTGGACAAACTTTACACGATCCAAGATTGGCGCATATGGGTAGATGCAAGCAAAGTAGAGACGAAGAAGTTCGCGGCTAGCTTCTGGTCAGCAATTGAAAACCAAAGGGCTGATGTAAAGCTTCCGTACCAAACATGACGCGGCGGGAAATTGAGGGCACCCTTTTTCTGCAGATATTCTATATCTGCCTCATCAAGACCTGGATACGCTTTTTGCGTGTCAACTTTTGTTCCGTCATCCAGAACAATTATCCGGACAAGTCTGTTTGCTTGTTGGTGGCCTAAAGCGTCTCCCAGAATGGTCATGGAGTTCACTCCATCATGGTACTCTATGACTTCCCGTCGATTGGTGTTTTGTGGTGGTGACGTTGGTGACATTACTGTTGGTCTTCTGCGGGACAATTCTTGCCAGATTCGAACATGCACATCCTCTTCCCTAATGGGCGGATCAGACATGCAACTCGAGCTCTGGAGTTCATCTTCCCCGACAGGATCACCAGTGAGTGGCGTGCGTTGTTGCTGATCAGGTGTCAGGAGGCTCTGATCTCGAGAATCAGTGTGCTGTGCCTCCTCGACGTCTCCAGTCTCTTGTTGCCCTTCGACATTCTCAATGCACATAGGGAGCTTAGATTTCAGTCAGCTGAGACGTACTCACAATCGGCCATGTCAAGAGGAGGTACCATGTAGCTTTCGACTGCGTCTAGGTTCGCCTGTTGTGATGAGGTGCAGTTCATGCCGTTTGGATTCAATGCATTTCGTGGGCGCTTTACAGGTTGTCTGAATTGCGCCAGTTAATTAAAATCCAGAATGATTTCGCAGTTATGAGAGCACCGACCCATGAACCCCCCTATGCGAACTGCCAACAAGCACGCAAGTGCTCGTCTGGTTGCGACGCCTACATCGAGTGCAGGGAATGCCGACTTCCCACGCATTGCATCTCACCTTGCGCACGTGGCAATGTAGGCAGGCCCGTGATTTCTTTGGGGGCCGCTGATCCAAACTCACTCCAGGCCCGAGGTCGCTGGCGGAAGTATTCATGGAATTGTAATACCTCAGAGCGGCAACAGCTTCTTACCCCAGGTATTGTTATGATAGTGGAGGCGTCAACGTATCTTGTAGGACTTCTGCAGCTGAACGGCTGGAACTGCGGTCCACTGGTAAGGTTCTTGAAGGAGCGACTTCGGGGTTCAATGGGAGGCACCCAACCAGAAAGCTTGCTGGTCCCAGTAGCTACACTAGATAGCAAGCTATCTAGCTATTTACCTAGGTCCAGTTAGTTAGGAGCGTTGAGGGGTGATTTTACTTAGGGTCATCCTTTACAAAGGTCATAGACTTACGGAACGAGGAATCGACACAGGCGAGTATTTCGGCCTAGGGATGACCATTGTTTCTACATCGATCACCAGGTCTACGAGGCCTCACTAGTTCAGATACTGGATCCTCAGAATTTCCATTAGATGCTACTACTCATGACTGGTCTAGCCATCATAACAGGGCAGCATCTCACAACGTATGCGGGGTCAAAGCAAAGCCAGCAACTAATAAGTCAATGCCTAGGTTTAACTGCTCGGCACCGTATAATAAGGCGATCTCGGTGCCGAGATCACAGTCTCCCCTCCCCGGCAATGCGACCAAACATGATCGAGGCATAGCATCTCGCAATCCGAGGCTCAGCACAGAGTGATACATTTGGCAGAGGTGCTGAGCCATCCCTCTGTTCTATTGCGTTAGGTAAATTTTGCATGGCGAACCCTGTGAAAATCTCGTCCGTTCATCCACAGTGATATCAACAATCTAGAGCCCATAGCCTCCAATACTTACTTACCTGCGCCGGTATCCGGCAGGTGGAAATCAGGTTCTCATGCCAGGGCTGGCTATCTGAGTTGTCAGAGCTGTTCCACCGCGACGTTGTGCTTCTACACCAATCCGAAAGAACTAGATCCAGTCATCAAAGGCCCCAGTTCTTCGAAGATTCAAGGAGGGAAATCGAGTCGTGGAGTGAAATGTTGTCCTTCGTTACCCATAATTGGGCTGTTTTGGCAGTTGCTATTCTGGTGGTACTGTTAGTCTCGTTGACGAAGGTGGTACTATTGACGACAAGATGGAAGAATGCACCTCCCGGTATATTCCCTGGACGGCAACTTGGCTGCGCGGGAGTCCTCAAATGGCTCACTAAAATATAGGTCCTCCGACTTTACCCTTTGTTGGAAACTTGCATCAGTTACCCAAATGTGATCTCCACTTGCAGTACCAGAAATGGGGCCAGCAATGTCAGTAGAGAGATAGTAGTGAAACGTCCCATGAAAGTTCATGCTTGCTGACATGCCAGTCAGATGGACCTATATTCTCCTTGAAGCTGGGATCGCAGAACGTCATCGTCCTCACTAGTGGCGAACTCATCAAACGATTGGTCGACAAGAGAAGCGGAAACTATTCAGATCGTCCGAAATTGTACATGCAAGACGTCTGGGAAGGCTCCAGGATTATCATGAGAGGGTATGATGCACTATGGAAGGTTGAACGCAAAATCTACCATCAATTCCTGAACATCAATAAGGCATCCAGATACATACCCTACCAAGATTTGGAGACAAAGCAACTCATGGTCGATTTATTGGAGAAGCCGAACGACTTTGAAGACCTAATCACACGATCTACATTGAGCGTGGCGACGAGTATGGCTTATGGATTTCGAGTCTTGGATCCGAAAAGTGAGGTCTTCCAGGAGATGTTCAGGAACACCCACGGATTCTTCTTTATGGTAAACAGCAGTAAACTTCTTGATTGGTACCCTCAACTCCGACCCATTGTTCGAGCTTTGCCTCAATGGCTGTATCCACTGGCCACGAAAGCTAAGCAGATCTACCTTCGAGAAAAGAGCCAATTTTGGCAGCTGTATGAGGAGGCAAAACAGGCGTCAGCTCGGGACGACTCTCTTCCAAGCATGTTTCAACCACGTTGAAGTGTTTCCAAAGCTAATGTTGACCTCAGGCTTCTCTGCAGATATCACTAAGGCCAAGGAGACTTGGAAAGGTAGTGAAAGTGGAAACATCCTCACAGATCATGCAGCTTCCTACATCGCAGGAATTGCCATGGAAGGTGCGGCGGATACCACAAGTAACACCATGGCCGGGCTCATAAAGGTAGGGACAAGATTTGAGCCACCAGCATTCCCAACCTGAAATCTAAACTGATTCTGGACTCTAGGCCATGATACTATTTCCACAAATTCTGCAGAAAGCACAAGCAGAATTGGATGGAGTGGTTGGTCCAGACAGATTCCCTACAATGGAAGATTTTGAAAGCCTCCCATATATACGCCAAACCACCAAGGAGGCACTGAGATGTACGTGTTCCCACTCTACACATACACCAGGAGAATAATGCCGAGAGGTAACAACGTGACTATGCCAGGGCTCCCAACCGCAATCAGTGGCGCCATACCGCATGCAGCACTTGAGGATGATGTTGTCGATGGCTATCGAATTCCAGCTGGGGCAACAGTCGTGCTCGCGGTCTGGGCAGTAAACAATGATCCTCAACTTTTTCCCAATCCCCGTGTATTTGACCCTAGCCGACACAATGCCGACCTGTCCTTCTCCGAGGCAGCTCTTGCCGCGGATTATCGCGATCGCGACAATTGGACCTTTGGTGCCGGTCGACGGATATGTCCAGGTATTCATGTCGCAGAAAGAACATTATTTTTGGCCGCAGCTCGGTTGTTGTGGACCTTCAACATCCGCAAAGCCCGAGATGCCAGTGGCAAGGAGATAGAGGTGGACAGAGACGAGGTCACCCAATCTATTGCTGCTCGTCCACTCCCCTTTCCGTAGGTCTACCCTGAGATCTTCTGCCCAGCATCTGCCTTGTAATGAGAGGAAAAATCGAGCTAAATCATGCCTAATACTTAGATGTGATATTTCCCCTCGCAGTGAACGGCATGCGCAAATTGCTCAGAGCGAATGGGCCGAGGCTAGAAGCCAACTTGATGAGAATGGTTGTTACAAGCACAATGTTCTGCGTTGATTAACTGAAGCTGGCTCCGTGTCAAATCTCAAGTATGCAAGACTGAATCAAGCTGTGGCTCTTAGAGGGACATGCCTTTTGAATACGGCAAGAGCAGTGTCATTACGTAGTAGGCATAAATGGGTTATTCGTGGGTTGTAATGCTCAGTATGTCAAAATACTTAAGCTGGTCCATACTTACATGAAGGCTGCTCGAATATGAAAGCTTTTTTAGGGTCTACGTAGTGGCTGACGACTAAATAACACCTCTCTGTAAAGCCAGGCCTCCGTCACATGGTATCACCGCTCCATGGATGAAACTCGACTTTACACTGCATAAGAACGCAGCTAGCCAAGCCACATCGGACGGATTCCCCAGGCGTCGGACTGGAGTTATGGCTGTCAACGCAGCAGGTGCGTCGGGCGGACTCGTGGCTCGAAATAGATCTGTATCAATCATTCCAGGACATATCACATTCACTCTAATGCCATGCGGACCATAATCTTGTGCATCGACTTTGGCAAACCCAATGACTGAGTGTTTTGATGCGCAGTACACCGACATCCCACTTGAGGCATTGATACCTGCGAGCGAGGAGACGGACACGATGCTCCCTCGTGTGTTCCCGTGCCCTTCTAGAGGTTCTTGCTTCATCATTTGAATGATCTCTGCTCGGTGACATAGCCAAGTCTACAGGCCCAGGGGAATTAGCTCACTCGAATAGCCCTTTCGAACAATATGTTATGGGGCAACTTGAAATCCTGAGACTCACCCCGTGATGGTTGATGTTCACAACTTTGTCATATGTCTCGACAGTAACGTCTGCAATGGGCGTTCTCTGTGGAACAACGCCTGCAATGTTGAGGGCATAGTCGATACGCCCGAATATGGACACGCATTTGTCAACCATTTCTTGAACAGATCGCTCATTGGAAATATCAACCTTCAGAATTTCCACTCTGGCGTTTTCAATGGCCTCTTGGATTTGCTGTTTAGTCTTCTGGAGGCCGTCAAAGTCGACATCTACAAGAAAAATCCTGGAGCAGCCTTCTTGTGCAATGGCCATTGCGGTGCCCCTGCCGATTCCTGGCATTTGCCGTGATTAGCATCCATTCAATGCATCGAAGAGCACCGCACCTGAGGCTGCTCCCGTAATCAAGCAGGCTCCGGGCAGATTGAACGCCATCTTAAGGCTCTGGTAGTACTTGGCTTGCTGGTATATAGGTGTAGTGTTGGATCACTGACAGTGTGTAGACAAGAGATCCAGAATTACCATGACACTACCTAGGTAGTATCATACGAAAAACCTGCACACCCGTCCTCTCGGTCTGGTTAGTGACTCGGCGTTTTGTTCATCCTCGGCTGACCTGCTGCTTCCTCAGCGCCCCCGAGCCCTGCAGACTTTCCTTTTACTCTTAATTCATCAACACCAACTTCGGTCAACTTCGGTCAATTTTAAACGAGGGGACCAATTTGAGATGCTGGGTGGCGGCCTGACCCGTGGGGGAGGGTTGGCCGAGTTTGGTGGCACCTCGCGCAGTTCACATTGAGTTAAACTATGGCCACTGCCCACCCAGCTGCCCACAGAAACTTTAGATAATCACTTCAACACAAAGCCATGATACATGGGTTACACTGGGAGGTCTTATTCCGGCCACCTACCAATATGCTCGAACTGTTCGGTCGGAATGCCCATATGTTTCAGCTTCAAATGAATTGTTGGTCCCTCATTCTCCTTGATTCGTGCTGCAAGAAGCATTTCATCTTTGAGCACAAAATTTTCCTCCCTTCCATTGCATTGACACGAGACCTTCCTCTTACAGGGAGCCCCAGAGCCTCGACTGGGCTCTCCCATTGGATAATATAGCCCGAAGAAGTTATTTCTCCAACAATGAGTTCAATCCTCAGGATGAGATATATGTACTGCTGTTAAGGTCGTGTACTTGTACATTTCACCCTTTCCCAGAGCTTGCTTCCTCTGATCAAACATCCTGCCTGTTGTCACCCATATCTGCCAGAATGTTCCCAAAGAGCGTGGACGATTCTCTAGGCGAATTTATTTCTCTGCAGTATTGATGTAACATATATGAAGTATTTCCTCCCCCACAGATGTATGTGCCAGTCTTGGCGGTAACGAACATCCCAGATCAGACAACACTCACTGGTTGTAGTTAGCTTGAAAGACGGCCTAATTCTTGCGGGAAAGGGGAGTGGCACCAGCGGTTGACGGTTTGTAGGCTGAGTGACTTCATTGGACGGCACGGACTGAGACGGGTTTATTGCTTCGTCGGTCTCCAGTGCGAGCAAATCTCAAGAAGTGTTAATGTCGAGGAGGAGAGAAAGTTTAGCGAATTACTGGTCGGAGCTGTACGTGTGTATTCACATTTGCACTTTGCGACTATTTCTATCTCCATCGCGTGCCCGACTTCTTCGTGTGAATATCATGTTGATCGGCTTCAAGCCAACGGTGAAATGATCAACAGAGTTCAGAAGAGCTGTACCATTCTCGCCCGGTGCCAGGGCCACATCAAATTTTGTGATCAGGTGAGCGGTCAACAACCGTATCTCCATGTAGGCGAGATTCTTGCCTATACAGCCATATGGACCAATCGAAAACGGGGCAAATGCGTCTTTGTTCTTGACAAGCTTAGGCTGGGAGTAAAACCTTTCTGGAATGAATTGCTCCGCCATTGCAAAATTGGACTCGTCTGGAGCAAACAGGTAGTCAGTCAACCTTTCAACTTTTATCCTATGGCAGCGTATTATGAGAGAGAATATTGAGTTATTAAGACTTACCACGAGCCATAGAATACAGATGTATTTGGATTGTCGTGTTTCCAGGAATCCATTCATCACCAATGCAGACTCCTTCAGGAGGTGTTTTTCGATAGAGCCCACTTGGGACAGGAGGATGGAGTCTAAGGGTTTCGTTGATGCAAGCGTTAAGGAGTGATGCAGACTGAAGGTGCTGATGTTCGATCTTGCTAGCATCGCCAACCGATGTCTCTACCTCTTCCCTAAGGCGCGAGATTAGACCTGGTTCGATAGCAAGATGATAAAATAAGAATGTCAAGGTGGCGGCAGTTGTGTCACTTCCAGCAACGATAATTAGCTTGCTGTCGAGATGGAGAAGTGGCAGGGCTGCCTTTTGTCCCTGGGCATCTTTTGCAATTAAGTCCTCGATGAGGTAATGTGTAATATCTGGATTCGGTTGTTTTCCTTGTAAGAGAATGCGTTGTTCTATCTCAGAGGCACAGAATTTGTGAAACCGATCATACACTGCTCTCAGTGGAGCAATTTGCCAGCAGAGGCGACCGATCCAAGGTGGCAAAGCAAGTCCAAGGTCATCTTGGGAGGTGTTCAAAAGTTTGATCGCCCAATGTTCTCCTGCGGACTCCAGCATGTTGAATGACCTTCCAAACGCCAGATCACCCATGACATCGAAACTCCAGTAGTTGAACCACTTGGACATATCAATCGGTTGTCCTACGAATTTGCATCAGCACACATTGCTGAAGTCTCTCAAGGGCGCATATAGTTACCAGAGAATGAGTCAATCTGTAGCATGAGGCATTCGTTGTATCTGTGGACTCTCAGTTCATACCCTCGCAATGCCTTGTCGCTGAATGCAGGGCTCCAGACCCGGCGACGCTTGTCATGTTGCGAGCGCACCCGCGTGGACTGTAGAGAATATGCAGGCGCTTCCACTTCGTACCACGGTGCCTTTCCGCAAACTGCCTGAGCCGATAATGCCACACGAACGACGTCTGGATGCGTGACAGATAGATCGTGTGGACCTGTCCGCACAAACTTGCCCAATTCTTTGTGAGATTGGTAGAGTTTTAGGAACATGTCTCTCTTTTTGCCGATGTGGAAGCTGTGGTCAAGAGCACTGAGCCTCGAGAGAGGACGACCTGGAAATTTGTTTAAAGGGTTTAGAAACAGTCTGAATATGACTAAGCTGAGATAGATCCCAGCAATGTACGAGCCCAGAAGCTTTCCCATCTCTTGCATGGCAAATGCCATGGTAGCGGTATATCTGGCATACTTAATGACAGTTGTGCTCACAAAGAAGAGGATGAAACAGACTTGTAGGTATCGCTGGGGATGAAGATGGCGTTCACGGCCATGAAAATAGAAGACATGAGTTGCAATGCCGAAGGCCCCAGCACTTAGGAGCGTTGAAGTGGTCGGCATGCTCGAGCGTAACCCTTGCTCAATCAAATGCTATTGACTCTTGAGAAAGCCACGAGAATCCCCAACGTATTGGTCAGAAGGTACTTCCGAATTCCTCGCCTTAGATTTCTTGCATTTAAAAGATGTCTCGAACATGAGGTGTAGCGATGGTTGCCACTTTGACCTGGGGCCGTACTATTTAAAAAGAGTACTATATTCGAGGATTCGAATTGAGGTACCTGACAAAAAATGTCTGCTTTGGCCAGTTGGCAGTTGATTGTCAACCTCGGCCTGGTCGGTTGGGAATGGTAATAGCAATGGGGAGCATGATGTCTTATACCTAGTTAGAGAGGGGGAGATCATCGTCCGGGGCACCGGGGCACCGGGGGCACTGTGGGGTTGCAGTGGTCTCCAGACCACCATTTCCACGGTCAAGATGCGATAATGGCAGCGACAAGAAGTTGACGGTTACACTACAGGCGTCTAGAAAGAGTCCCAGATACAATTAAAGAGGTGGAACCTGCACTACCACAACGGGAAACCCTATCAACCAAGGTTTTCCTTCGAAATGGGAGTTTACAGGCAAAACTTTTGCATTTTGAATGTAAAGGAGTGCCTTCCTTTGGTGTTCCCCGAGTGAAGCCTCAAATATGTGAAGGTAAGGAAGGATTGGTGTGTTCAGAGAGAAAATTTAGAGAAACTCTCCCAGGCGTAAAGACTACATAATGGAAGCCGAACGCGCGTTACGGCGCTGCACCGACAAACGAGTGGACTCTCTCACGGTCAGATCAGGGCACCGACACAGGAAACGGGGAGCCCAAGGATCTCCCACTTGAGGAGGCTTTGAGTCATCGAGATCATCTGAGGTCTCGTTGGTCTGGCGCTCTAAAGCCCTTGCGATCTAGATATTCCTCCCGCAATCGCGGCGGTGGGAGACTCCACCAACCTAATCTTGTCGTCACGGCTAGATAAAAAGAAAGTATTATCTACACGGGCTTTTAGATAGACCATGGATCTCTCATCATGGACCGTATCTATTGGTAACACCATTCTATCTCCAGCGAGTCTACCTCCACTCCCAGAGACCCAACTCCGGCTTTACGTCCGACTGTTCATACACAGATCCATACTGACGATATTTTATACCCCCACAAGATTTGGCAGGGAGTCGGGCAGACGATAGTTGGACTGTCCGCTTGGCCCTTCCAAGTACTTTGAACCCGTCTGGAAAACATCCCGTACTCCGGAAAAGACACTCAAGGTCATCAGCGCCCTTGAAACGGAATTACTGTCACGGCAGGCGCCGGCTGGCGCCTTGGCACTGCCATTCAGCTGATTTCCTTATTATCGTACTGTCCAACTTAATTAGCTTAGAACCAGCAACAGAGAATGAGAGCTTAGAACCAACACCAATGCTACAATTACCAGCCTATGGAAATGTGATTAGTGATGCTAAGCGATTGTAAAGACCGTGGTCTACTATATCGCTTTGACGCATCCGAACTAGCTCCGAGAGCTATTCGAACGCTATCCGAAGCGGACCAGAGAGCGCCCAGGAGCTAGTCTAGTACGTACTTGGGATACTATATAGTCTGACGAGTCCCTCGGACCGTATTAGGAACGGCCATGTCGTCTTCTCATCACAGAAACATGCACCTACTCTAACAACCGGGGCTGGCACTTCACCATGTACAACTCTAGCGCTATTGTCTTCGTAATGAGCTCTTACCGAATGAAGGTGATCCGGCTGCGAGAAACCGCAAAGTTCCAGCTGGCTCCCAACAATGACAAAGCGGTCGGTGACACCTTGCGAGCGCTGGTAAGCCGGTCAGTACATGGCGTGACTTCGCGCTCACGTCCATCAGTGGCATCTTTGACCCCCTTCTCGCTGGCTCCCTCTGCAACATTCGCTCGCTCGGGCGACGCTACACCATGGGTACTGTAGCCTTTCTGGCCATGGCTTTCTTCTTCGCGTACATCGCTGCACGTACTGAGCCAGCAAACCTTGGACTTACCGCTGCTATCGGCTTTGCTCCCAGTATGTATTCCAGATTGTTGTAGGGCCAGCAGTCCACAGAGCCCCTGGTTACAGTGTCAGCTCCGCAATCACCAAAACTGTGGGCTCGTTTGCGCCCTGATCGGCGCTTGTGTTGGGCCAAATTTGACCGCCCCAATCTTCCTGTGCGTGAATCTTCTTGGTGCCATCGGCATTCTGAGCGTGTTTCTCCCACTCGAATCTTAGCAGTCGAGGTCTGGATCGGCATTGAAACTGCAAGACTCTGTAGAGTTGCCAGTCATCCAACATCCCAAGGTCAAGAATCAAGATTAGGGTCGGGGTAAAGGTGAATTGTGATACCTGCACTTAACCATTCATCATCTTCGTCACACCAGCAAAGTGTATGTAGCCTAGATAGGACCTGTCCGTCAATACAAATGCAAACTTCTCCTGTCATCCATCCTCTAATTCCGCCTTGCTTTAGAGCTCAATTACAGGCAAAACCTTCCGATTAAGAAATCAGAGTGTTCCACACGAAGCAGCTTTGATCAAAGTTGGTAACCTATGGCTATTGATTGTAGTCAGCTCAATTAAACGATGAATTCAGCATATATCCTCGGATCGCCAATGACACACAGATGTGCTGTGCTGACCTCTCTTTCAGTCGCCACCCACGTACCACTAGACAATTTACTCCGACAGTCGGTACAATAAGAACCTCGGTTAGTCCGTTTAGCACAAAGCCTTTCCCTCGGGTCAAATGAAGTGAGGAAAAGATTCGTACCCACCATACCTGACTTTATGTCAGCTCCGAAATCAGGATCCTAGTGTGATAGCTGCGCTAAGTTCTTTTGTCAATTCCCAGACCTGATCCATCAAAGCGTGCCCAAGAAATAAAATATTCCGATCTGGAACTTGTTAGTCCGCTCAAACTGGGTCGCATGAATGTCAAAAGCATTGCTACTAGTTTCATCTCAGCCAGTGAAAACCCCGTACCACAGCATGAACCGAGAATCTTCTGTACCTGGAAGCAAAGACCAATTTAGCATGCGTCGTTCCACCGCTGCGACACTAACCTCCCATGAACCCCATCGTTCATTTCATGGACCACTCGCAGTAGCAGCAGCAGTAGCACATATTTCCTTAGCTTGTCCTTGGTAGTGGAGAGGATCAGAAAACCGAAGGCAAACCCAGCAGCAGCAGCAGCAGCAGCTGAAGAAGCATTCAACCTATCGAAATAGAGCCCTGGTGACAATTGTGGGTGCATGCATCGTTGGTCTCGCGGTTGTCTACCTTCAGGTAGCAGAAATTCAGGACGGATTCACGATACTAGCACGAGGTTTTTCAGGAGACGAAAAATCCGCTGAGTTATTCATTGGGGAGTGGGTTCCCGGGGTAATGGTACGATGAATATCGTATCATTACCGTTTTTGAGAAATCTCTCTCTCTTTCTCCAACTCTCCCTTTTTTCTCTGTTGTTGTCGTTATTTGGTTACTTTCTCACATCTACATGTAAACATCTCCAGGACGGTGTATTGCTGGGCGTTCATCCCAATGCAGGAGCTCCGGACCTTAAGTAACGATCACATCAAGCTTTGCTGGACACATATCCCGATACTGGTGTCAAGGCAAGGGCGAGAGTTCGTCTCTTTGACCCTTTCCCCGGTATCTATTGTAACCCCAAAGGGAGTTTCTTTCTTTTACTAATTTTTTGGGTTCATGTGTGTGATTTCGTCGTTTCTGGGTCTAACGCTATCACCCAAGTCGGAGTACTTCTAAAAATGCACGCGAGTTTTAGAAATGTAACCTTGCACCTCAGCACCCCGTAGTCCGAGATGTCGTCGGGGGGCTAGGGGCACTATCTAGATAGGCTCATAGCAATAAGAAGCTAATTATCAATAAAATGGCCCCATTTCCCTGAGCCTATCGGATTGCCCCGTGCACCAGATGGCCTGGAATGGCGGCAAAACCACTGGGCCATTCCCTCAGAAATCCAGATATCACTGCCCGAAAGCCCATGAAACAAAGAAATACCCCGACAAGATAGATGAGGGATCCCTATCTCTCTTAACCCTTTCAGACTTCACCCACAAATCCATACCTGTACTAAAATTCCACAAGCCCCGTCAAACAATGGCCAGCGAAACGATAGCCATGCAGCAAACGCTGGCCACCGGCCCTGCCTCATTGCCATTCTCACTCTCAAACATCTCCAAACTATCACGCGAACAGGCGGGCCACCTGCGGCATTTTCATAACCTGGCAAGTCAGAAGGATGGCCAATGGAATTACATGGGCGCCGAGGATCCCGGGCAAGAGGACTACGAGGCATACCGGTACCAGATTGCCAATATGGTCTATGCCAGCAGTATAACACACTACCATCGACTCCCGGCGCTCCGGGGAGTCTTCAAACCACTTATTCGTCGTCTTATCCACAAGATGCTTCGGCGTGACGTCTGGGGATACTGGTTTAATACATCCCTAGGTGGGAAAGCCATCGATCCTAGTCTGGAGAAGCTTCGTGAACCCTGGCCGGACCCGGTTATCCGCGAAAATATTATGTATTCAGGCCATCTATTGCTTATGACTAGCCTATATGCAATGCTATTTGACGACGACGAATTCGAGAAACCAGGCTCTATCGTCTTCGATTGGAATCCCTTATGTTGGGGCTTAGGCCCTGAGAAGTTTACGTACTCTAACCCAGAGTTACAGAAGATCATCGTCGCTGAGATGGAGAAGAATGGCTGGCTTGGTGTGTGTTGCGAGCCTAATCTCGTCTTTATTATCTGCAACCAGTATCCACTGATCGCTATTCGGTATAACGATATACGTAATAAGACCTCGGAGCTAGATCCCATTTTGATGAAATACCTCGCGGCGTGGAAGAAGAAGGGCATGATCGGACCCACGGGACTTTTTAGCAGTTATTGGGTGGTGAAGCAGGACCATGTCGTTCGCTGCGATGACCTACTCCACACAGCGTGGGCGGGTACTGTCTTAAATACCTGGAATTCAGACCTAGTTAAGTCTCTGGCGGAGAAGCAACTGCTCGGCTTTATCACCAAAATTGATGGTAAAGTCCGTCTTCAGACAGCGAATGTCGGTAACGCCATTCGTAAGCTGGGGGCGGAAAAGCCTCAAGAATACCCAGTCGACTCCGCTCGGACCGTGTTGGAGGCTGTTGCTTTGACGAAGAATCCGGACTCAGGCTTGCCCGATGCTCAGGACAAGAACCCTGTATTCGGCCACACTGTCGAATTTCTCAGCGAACTGGGCCGAGAAGATTTACTTTCGGGCTTGCTCGATTATGCCGACGCCTGCCTGCGACCGATTTGGGAGAACGGCGGGCTCTTCTATCCTCGTCAGGATACCTTGTTATCGGAGAATGGTGATTGGGACTACATGGATCCTTACACGGGCAACACTTCTATAGGATATGCTCGCCTCAATGTGGTAGATGGTCAGAAGAAGATGTTCGAGAAGCCATGGACTAGCGAGTCCTTGGCTCAGGCACCCTACGTTGACAATGTGGATCTCTCACAAGGAGTCGACTTTTTAAGAGGAGAGTGGGTGGAAGAGCACGCAGCATTGGTCGTGACCATGAGGTCTTGGGATGGAAAGACTCACAGGGTCGTGCCACAGATCAACAACCTGCACGGTAATTGGGCAGTGTACATTTGTGGTCGCTTGCAGCGAGAGGAACATGTGTCGGACGGGACGTGCTTGAGGGTGCCGATCGAAGTTGGCCCACAGGAAGAGATGGATCTCGTCCTGCTTCGCGTATAGGAGATACTTACATGCTGGAGATGATTCACATGTTGCCAAATCAGCCTCGATGTAGCGGGAAAGACGGCACACCAACTTAAGCTAGCTGCCAGAAATCGTCTTTCAGATAACAAGGACCTGCAAATAGGCTTGATTAAATTGAAATGATAATTAATATGCGTTAGAGTTATCAGAGTTCTCCCAAATAAATATATTAAGTACCGAGCCGCGAAAGGCAAAGAGTATAATTGACTCGGCGGAGTAACGCTCTTGTGCCAACAACGACACAATGTGCTTGAAGCGATGTAGCAGAATTACAATCCCCAAGGCCGAGTATCATATTGGCTCCTTCGGGAACGTCGCAGAAATGTATATAGCAAAAAACGACAAGTAGATTGCCCCAATTAAGAAAAACAGCTCTCTTCCGACATGAAAGTTGAAAAGGTATATGGTCAAAATCTCTGTGAGCGGCCCATACGAAAATACGTGTCGTCATGGTCATCCACCGTTGTTTATATGACTGACTTTAGGCACGTGGGATCCCGAAGCATAACGTGACTGACTGGACCGCTTACTGTAAAGCATGGAAAGCTGGCTTGGAAGCGAAAATAGAAGAGAGGAGTGGACGAAATCGAACTCGTGGTCAAGATTCACGAAAGCCCACTGTTACGGGTTTGGCATTGCTTTGGGTATTTACCCGACTATCCTCTGGAGGACGGCAGGGCATCAAATCGATAACATACAAACCATCTGGAATTTCAAGAAGGTAGACAAGATCATTAGCCCCTGCGTTGGACCAGATTAGATGATGTACTCGAACGGAATATTCATCTACGTCCTCTTTCACTACTTTCCATAGACCAAACATCAAAAGCTGACGTTGAATAACGGCCTTGGTCCCGGGCTAAACTTTCCACCAACCTTGAGACTGAAATGGAAAGGCTATGATGCTCTACTATATTTCATCAGGCGCACTTTCTTCAGAAGCACCAAGGTATAATTCACATCCCAACAGCCTCACCACCGATCGGCGTGGAAGGTGATGCCGCCCTCAGTCAACCTGGACTCAGCGGACCCAGAGCCTTCGGCCCATTTCGGCAGTGAACAGTGTCCAGGTCTGCTTCAATGACTGTACGGAAGGCCACTTCCTACGCGTCAACCTCCTCGCGTCTAATCAGCCATATAACTCATCTACAGCGTGCCCATCTCACCGGAAAGGGGTACCTCGCATCACCGGGCGTATGTAAGTTTCTCTTGAGCGATTATATCATGCAATTTCTCTACGATGCCGCTTGTGTGACCTCGTAATTACATCTTTGAAGGTCGTGCTTGGCCACGAAGGAGGACGAGATCGACCTCCTCCGTCGCGGGAACTCGAACAACAACAGACACACTGCCGGATCCCTCTACTACGTCTTCAACCCTCTGAAGTTGATCATTAATGTAGAGTCCCCATGGACCTTGAGACAGGTTGTTGAATGTAGGTGTGATCTCATGATCCTGGCCATCCCATGACTTCAGAGTAACAATCAATGCAGAATTCTCCGCTGACCATTGGCCTCTCAAGAAATCCACACCCAGGGAGAGGTCGACATTATCGACGTAGGGTCTTCGGGCAAGGGTCTCCTTGGTCCAAGGGCGCTCAAACATGTCCTTCTGGCCATTATGGACGTTGAGACGGCCGTAGGCGATCCCAGCATTGCTAGAGTATGGGTCCATACATATAGCTGTGGCGGGCTGAAAGTCGTTGCGCCTCTCATAAAACAAGCCACCATTTTCCCATTTCGGGTGCATTTCCTGGTCGATGTACTCGAGCAACGGCGAGAGATATTCTTCTTTTCCCAGCTCGCTGAGCCACTGCAAGACCATACCAACACCCGGAGCTTTGGCGACGTTGTGATCCACCTCAGGGTTCTTCTCCTTCACAATTCGGGTGGCTTCGGCGACCGTGGCAGCGTTATCTGGGTGGTGTTTGACCGGGTCCTGCGCAGAAAGCTTCAGAATCTCCTTGGCCACCCAGAAACTTTGCAGGCGCACCTGGCCATTGATGTTGGTGAGGTGTCCTATTCTTTGCTTTTCGAAAATGCTATAGACGAAGTCCGAGTGCCAGGCGTTCATGTATGCTCCGCACCACGCCGACCCAATAACGCTAGATGCAGTCACGACATCATCCTGCTGCACCATCCACATATGTATGATCTGCCCGTTTGGTCCTAACATCCCCTTTTTCTTCTCCCAGGCGGCGAGAAACTTAGGCTTAATGTCGTCAAAGATATGTGTTCCGTTGCGCACGTCATTGTATCGGATTGCAACCAAAGGGAACTGATTGCAGATGACAAAGACCACGTTTGGCTCGCAGCAGACTCCGAGCCATTGGTTCTTTTCCATTTCCGCAATAATGACGTCTTGTAGTGACTTAGTAGAGTATTCGTACTTTTCTGGTGTCCCCCAAAACTGCGGATCCCAGTCAAAAGTCATAGAGCCGGGTCTCTCGTACTCGTCGTCATCGAACAGCATAGCGTATAAGCTGACCATGAGCAGAAGGTGTCCGCTATACATGATGTTCTCGCGCATCACAGGATCGGCCCACTGTGCACGAGGCTTAACTTGATCAGGGTTCAAAGCTTTACCACCTTGAGAGGTGTTCCACCAGTACGCCCACACATCACGCAAGAGCATTTTCTGAATGAAACGACGCAAGAGGGGCTTGAAGACCGAGCGCAGTGCCGGTAGGCGGTGGAAATGGGCGATGCCAGCTCCATAGACGAGGGTAGCAAGCTGGTATCGGTACGCATCCATGGATTCTTGAAGGTAGTCTTCTGACCACATGTGGTCCCAGCAGTTGTCCGGCATGCTGGCCAGATTGTGGTAGTGCCGGATATGGCCTGCTTGCTCTTTGTTGAGCTTAGGGAATGCACTACCATCGAAAGGAAGAGATGATGGCATGGAACTGACAGAATTGGTCGAGCTCCCCGAGCTGACGTGTACTGTTTGTGTCGACATTGTGGAAATGGCGTGAGGTCACTGTTCCTGAATGATCAACTGGTAATTTTCAAATGCGAATAACCTAGAGAAGTCGGCATGCAGCAACCTGCCCGCTCTTTTTATGTTCAGATTCTGCTGAGCATTGGCGATTCTCATTCCCACGCACCTGTCACTTGAGAGCCTCCTGCTCCCCGCCCGCAATAGCGGGGTGAGTGCGCAACTGTTCATCGGACACGGAAGGAATGGGGCTCACGCATACACCAGTGCCGATCAGCCTCGCATGGGCAATCATCTGACAGGTACTTGTGTCTTAGAACTCTGGGCCTCTGGCCTGAAATGGAAAGAAGGAGGAGCAGGGAGGCATGTTGCCTATACAATGTCGAGTCCAGGACCGAAGTGGACCCCTTTCGGTCTGTGATGGGCCCGGAGATCGGGGTGCTATGTGCTGTAACATGCCACCGCCAATCTCGCCTCAAAGGTTCGAGAATGGGTTGGCAGAGGTACGCTTCAGCACATGCAACCCCGGATTCCCCGGATTCTCCAATTCTCCGTGCGCGGGGTGAATGGCAAGACCTCGTGTCCACGCTCCGAAGACAGCAAAAGCGATACATATTTAATCGCGTGCGGTTCCCCTGAGACAGATGCGAACCATTTCCATCTCGAAAGAGAACTTTAGGGTAAGCCGCACCTCACAGCAACAGGGGTTCCATCGTGGCTCGAACTCCATCGTCATGGCTGAGGCAAATTCATACCACTATAAACGGAGCAATGCGAGGCTCATACGGTATTGCCTGGTCCCTGCGACGTTGGCGGTCATCTATGGCATGGGTGTCGCGCAGACTTCAGGGTTCTTGGCCATGCCCGAGTAAGAACCCTCTGTATATCCTGGAAGCAATACGAGTGAATTTCCGTTCTCAGCTGACATATTAGTCTAGATATAACCAGGACTTTGGCGAATATAACCCGGCAACAGGAATCAGGGCGCTCACCGCGCCTCAAATCTCTGGTCTCACAGGCACGACGCTGGGGGCGGCTTGCGTTTCTGCCATTTTCGCCGGGACTGTAGGCACCCGCTATGGCCGCAAAATCGGCCTTATATTGGCGGCCATATTGTATGTTATCGGCCTCATACTCAACTGTGCGGCGAGAAGTTACGCCGTTGTCATCGTGGGCAAAGTCGTCCTTGGGTTGGCAGTCGGACTGGCTGCGAACTTTGTAATCGCGTACTGGGCGGAAACGTCGCCTGTCAAAATGCGAGGCCTGATCACCGTTTTATATCAGGCCATCATAAATCTTGCCCAATTTGTTGGTGCTTGTATCGTTAAAGGCACGAATGATTTGACGACGAGCTGGGCATGGAGAGGCTCTTTGATGACGGAGTTTATTCCTCCGCTCATCCTTCTCATCTTCATTTATTGGATTCCCGAGACACCCAGTAGGTCTGCATCTCCCGCCTCTGCCCGAATCCCCATCTGCATGAGATGTCCGTTGGTCAAGAGTGTCCACAGTCTGACAGTGGCAAAGGATGGTATGCTTCACACGGCCAGAAGGAAAAAGCCCGCGAGTCAATGCGTCAAGCGAGAGGCCCGACCTGGCCCGCGGAAGAGGTCGACGCCGAAGTCGATGATATTGTTGGCATGATAGAGATCGAGAGACAGCTTGAAGGCTCCTCCAGCTGGATCCACTGCTTCCAAGGGACCGAGTTGCGGAGGACTCTGCTGTCCATAGCTGCTCTTCTGAGTCAAGAGTTCTCGGGTGTGGCCTTTATCGCAGGGTCAGTATCACTTTCTCCATTCACGAACCTGCGCATCTAACACAACTTTGACAGATACGGAACGTTATTCTTCTCTCTCTCAGGTGTATCCGATCCGTTTACCACAAATGTTATTTCCTCCATGTGTGGTATTGCCGGCTCCTTGACCTCTTTCGTGCTGATCAAGTACGTGGGACGCCGAAAGATCCTCCTTGTGGGAACAGTCGTACAGACTATCTGCATGTTCGCCTTTGCCATCATTGGGGTTGCCACCCCTGGCACTAATGCAGCTGCCAGGTCCTTGGTCGCCTTTGTGTGCATCTTCGCCTTCTCCTACGGCGCATCCTGGGGCCCTGTGGCGTTTGTACTCATTGGAGAACTGCCTTCGACCAAGTTGAGGTCCAAGACCTTGGCCTTGGCTACTTCCGTCGGTTGGAGCTTCAACGTGCTCATCTCGGTCGGCATGCCTTACCTGCTGAGTGATGCATACGTGATGCTGGGAACCAAGGTTGGATTCATCTTTGGCGGAACAGAGCTACTGGCCTTCGTCTTTGTTCTCTTCTTCCTCCCAGAAACGAAAGATCGGACTCTTGAGGAAATTGACGAGATGTTCATGAATGTGAGTGCTCTTTCTTGTGGAAAAGTTTAGCGCTGAAACCCATAACAGAAAGTACCGGCTTCGGGTTTCAAAACATATGTCACGACAAAGACTGTGCAAGGCATTTCGGTACAGAGTGAAGTGGAAAGTGTCGTTGGAGAGGACAAAGCTACCGTCTCTAACTTTGAGCGAGTGGCTTAGATGTCGTACTGATGCTATGGTCCACAGCATTGAATCTTGTTCTCCAAAAAGTCAATAGTTCTGAGACCAGGTACAGGTATATCTTTCTGGTCTGACTGTCGTCGGAAGTGATGACTCAGTCGGAATGCACGACGAATGCTGGTCAGCAGGCTCACTTACTCCAGCTATAATGCATACATGGCTGGATTAAATCATCTGAGTGAAGCACATTGTGACAGTAATCCTCTCATGGAATGATCTTCGTGATTGTATGTAGTTTATACAGAGTCCAGCACTCCAGGGGCGCCACTTGCGTTTCACCACCTTCTCAACCGTGCAACAACCCTCGAACGGCGTTTAGAAGAATGTGCTTAATTCCCCAGACGGACACGTTGCTGAGCACCTCTGCTGTTTGTTGCAAGACTAGCCTCGGGCCCCGGTCAGAGAAAACATCCGGAACTCCACGCATTCGTACCAGGGATGGAGTGCCATTGCCGATCCAGTCTCGAATTGCCAATGCGTCCGGTCCATCCGGAGAGCCTTGCCAATCAAGGTTGCACACAGGTAGTGTACCAGCAAGACTTTCGCCTGTCGAAGTCACCCGATAATCCGCCGCGAGTAATGTAGATAATACGAAACAAATAATCCCACAATGGAAGGTATTGTAAGCCTCTTGTGGATGATTGCACGGATATAATCCGGTGATCATGAGCCCCTGTGCGCACGAGTACAAAAGAGCGCGGGGGTTTCTTGGGTTCTCCTTGATCCACCGCAAGATCCGGTTCCGTGCAGGAATCGCATGAGATTCGTCCTGCCAAAGCATGGTGGCGAACAAGTCACAGAAAACAACGCCTTCTGCGAGTCCGTGAGCGATACCGACCTGCAGCCGATGCTGAACTGTAAACTCGTTGCTAGGCTTGGCAGTAACACATGGATAATAGCCAGTTGTCGGCGACGCAAAGCTGTCGAGAAGCTCGAGAAGCTCGGCCCTTCCCTTCAGGAGGGCGTCATACGTGCTGAGGTGCATTGCTGCCTGCTGGGTGGTAGCTTCTTTATTGTCCCATACCATCCGCGTCAAAGCAGTCAGGATGATGGATCGAACATAATCATCGTCATACTCGGAATGAGCGCTGGCTGGGTGTTGGACGACCCGGGAGATGCAACTTTGAAAGGAGTCTGTTCGGGGGCATTGTTCTGTCCATGGATGAATGGCTGCCCAAGCTTGTGCTGACGCTGCCTTCCAGTGTTTAGTAAGACAGGGGAGGTCCAGTCTGAGTTCGTGCAGTAGAATGTAAGGTCGGGCATTGCGCATGCCGGCCGAGGAAGCGTCGTATGCCTGTGATTGCGCTGCGTCAGAGCCATTCCACTGGGATATTAGTTCGAACGGGACTCACAAAGACAGCCCAGCCTATTCTCGAAGTGCGTTCTGCACAGGTCCAGCTCTCCCATCGACTTTGGGTGTCAGCATGATCATTGTTCTGTTGGACAGCATGGTGTTGATCGAACAACCCCATCAACCGAGCATAGTTGACAAGTGGACCACGACTTGACTCGGCAAGCTCATATAGACGTTGACTGCCACTTGCAAATCCAAAAATGGAATTCAGCAGCTGTGCAGAGATATAATATTCGGTTCTGACGAAGCGAGGGTCGTGCTCGGCCTAAATGAAGGAATTCAGCTTCACCCTGTACAATGGGCCGGGTACTGACCATAAAGACAAGCAGTCTTCGAGTAAACTCTGAAAGCGCTATGGAGAAGGCTAATGCCCCTTCAAAGTCTGTGTAGCATGCTCCAATCACTATCAGGGCGAGTGTAAGCACCGGTTCTTTGGCGGCGTCGAATGACGGCTGATGAATTATCGGAACCCACTACTCAACTCGTTCGTTAGACTAAGCAGGACTGAGCAGCACTACTCTTCTACACGCTCACCTTGTCAAAATGTGCGAAATAAAGATCGATACAGTGATCGAGCTCTTGGCAGGTGGGAAAATAAGGAATGGAAGCAGATGGCCAAAGGGATTGCTCAAAGGGAGCTTTCAAGATATCTTGCAGTATGGAGGCACCGCGAGAGCCGATACTAGGCAGTCCAAAACAGCTGGAAAGAGAGTTCGAGCTCTTTGAAGGACCAAGGCGTGGTAGGGTTAGATGCTTGGGCTGAGTTGCAGGCCACAACATCGGATAATGCTCCTCTTCATCCACGTTTCGAGAAGCTCCTGGAATTCGTAAATGTTCGTGTAATGGATCTTGTTTCGAAGATACGATAGGTTCCACTGGCTGTGTTGGCGAAAGAGAACGGCGCGACGGGGACAGGTCGTCGACATGGAAATTTAGCAGCTCAGTTGGTGGAGACCATCCGGTACCTGGCCAACAAGTCATGTTGAAATCATCGAGGTTGTCGGGATAATCCCAGTCCAGAAGAGAGAGCACGCCTGGGCCAGAGCACGGCTCAGACTGAGGAAAGGGGGGAAATACCTCCGGGAAGACATATGAGCCACTGGAGCCAGCTTCATCTTCTTGGATCGCTGCAGAAGCCTTCTCTGGCACGGGTGGCTCTTGCGAAATCGGCGGCATGTTTGACTGGCTGGATGTCATATGGCTCCTCGGTGGATCAGGGTTATTACGCGGTGCGCTTGGTACAACTTCGGCCTCATACGAACAAGGCACGCGTCGTCGGAGGCATGAGGAACAGCTTGGATATTCTCCCAAGCACCGAATCTTTAGCCTGGAACGAGGCTTAATGATCATTGCATCTGACAAATGATCGCTGGACAGACGTACCTTCGACAGACGAGACAAGCTTTCTTTCTCGGTGGGGGAGGAGGTCGGTGGTTGTCGTGTGTTTGGACATGTCGGCGAAGAGTGTAACTGCAACCAGGGCGACTTGTGAGCTACTTTCTCAGCGACCAAGGAGATGCCCATACAAGCGACCAAATTGTTTCCCACACACTGTGCATTGCTTGTCCCGATGCAGAGATCGTTTTGGTGTAGGCGGGCTCTGCGCATCTTGGAGGCCCGTAGAGCCGTCAGTGCGGCTTGCGGACGTAGCAACTTCGGACGATGTACAAGGCTCCATTTCTAGCCGTGGTGTAGATGCGGCTGCGTGGGCATATATGCGTTCCTTGGTTTCCAAACAAGAGTGTCCTGGGAAATATTGTGCCCATACAGGATCTTGATGGTCCTGAGCCTACTCCTCCTAGTAGGCTTAACCGAGTTGCCGAAAGTTACTAGTACCTAGGTATGGTATGCCACTACTTATATAAGTTAATAGCCCATGTGCCAAGCCCACTTGCTGAGAAAACCGCAGTAGCCGTGATTCCAGAATGAACTGTACGGAGAATAGCTTCAGTGATGGTTCGAAGTCGTGAGAGTATTTGGTAGCGGAAGGATGTTCTACCGCGTTAAGAATGACATCTTCATAGCGGGGACGTGAAGTTTAGTGGGTTCAAGTCTACGGTGGCATTCAGGAGATACATCCTCAAGAAACAGCGTCACGAACATAACATCCCAATGTTCAGCTACAGATATATTACAGCGGCGAATCTACAGTACTGGCACCCTGCATTGGGGTGCGATTACTGTAGTATATCATCTACGCCGAAAATGCAACGTAAGCTACCGATCTATTGTACAGTGACGTAAAGCCTTGTCCCGGGTTGATAGGCGTCCAGGCCGAGCTTATGTAGACCTCGGACCCTGAATAACACTCAATGGTTGCCCCAACGAAGCCCACGGGCACCGAGAATTTCTCTCCGCATAATGTGGGTTGAATACCTAAGACCCTTGTTCCGCTTGGGCTCGGGACCACCACGATTCAAGTACCGATGAATATCAACATATTGGACACTCGAGCGCTCAAGTGGTCTTTCTTCGTCAGCAAAAATAGAAGTTGAAAACAATCCTGGATAACCATCATCTCTCCATCAGCTATGCCCCATTTTTCGGGAGTTGCCCTAGTTATCGGTGCTGGTTCAAGTGCGTCCCTCCCGTCAATCCCAGTATGCCACCTTTCTGTCTCCTCGAAACTCATGTATATAGGTTACGGGAAAGCCGTTACACGCCTGCTCATAGAAAATGGGTGTATGAGGCTGATTGTTGGCGATACGGATGAGACCGAACTTGCAAATTTGCAGGCAGAATGTCGAGCCTTGGATCGTCCCACACTTCGAATCATATCCAAGAAATGTGATACCAGGGTGGCCGAGGATCTCGAGTATATCGTCGAGCTTGGAGTTGCGGAGTTCGGAGCCATCAACTATTGTGCCAACTGTGAGAGACTCAATTATATCCAAGGCACGACTACAGATATCTCTCCAGAAGAGTTCAATCGTGCTGGCGATACATGGCAGAAAGGCGTAAGCGATATGTTCCTGCTCGAAGTGAAGTAAAAGCCTTCCATGTTCTGACCTGTGGATGCGGTCGATAGATCTGGTTGGCAATGCGAGCGCAGGTGCGTCAATTCAACACACAACGAGACGAGGATGATACGGCTGGTACCAGTATAGTGAATATCACTGCAGCTCAGGGCCTGGCAAGCGACGGAGGCTTCCCAAGCTATTGCGCGGCTGCACATGGAATCGTGGGAATGTCAAGAGCAACAGCAATGGATTACCTCAAGAAAGGGATCCGCATCAACTGTGTCTGTCCAGGTCCTACAGAAAACCCGGGCACATATGACCGTGCTGAAAGTGGCTCATTACCACAGGCCCCGATAGGCAGATATATCGCTGCCGAGGAGGTCGCTCACGCAGTAGTTTTTCTACTGGGGGAAGGCGCGTCTGGGATAACTGGGATAGAGTTGCCAGTAGATGGAGGCTGGTCCTTGTACCATCACTGAGGTTTTAGCCACCTGAGTTGTGGAAACCCTCTAAATGATGCTTCACGATGACACATGACGTTTAGCTGCTTAAATGTAGCCAAAACTTGAACTCTTCACTGACTGAGACAAGATAAAGTGCTTCTTGCGGATGCGGCCTTGTGGCAATATCAAACCAACTACTGGTACTATGACGATTCTTTATCCACAATAAACAGGTCGAGAAGCATTCAGCTTCAGACTGGTTGCACTGTAAAGTCAGAATCGCTTGAATGGAGCTCATGGTTGACGTTCATTCGAAGTCTGCACGATATGGGTATCTCTTGAGAAGAAAATGGCCAGTGAAAGCAATCGCTGTCCCCATCGTGAAGAGGCCGGTATAAGTACCGAAACCTTTCAAGTACTCGGGAGCATCCTTGCTCGGGAACAAGGCTGAGCCGTAGACCTGGGCGAGCTGAGACAAGCCGTTGATGATTCCCAAGCTGATTGCACGTGTTTCGGTATCCACAATACCCAAGCAACTGGTGGCATAAGACAAGGCAATAGGACTTCCCGTCCAAATCGCACTGTTAATGAAGCAGAGGAAGACATAACGAGGCACATAAGCGCGAATACCAGTCGCAAGACCACAAAAGACTGCACCGAGGAGCATGATCGTCGCAACGAAGAGAGCTCTTTTTGCAGAAAACCTATCCGCCAATATTGATGTTGGGATTGCAATCGCCAAAGCCACAACGTACAATGGAGCAGTCATAAACCTAGATGTTGTCAGTGAGACAAACAAATGATTTTCTACGGCACTTACTGAGCATTGATGGCGGTATAGCCCAGACCTTGGATGAGATAAGGATAGAAATAGGCCAGTGCGCTCGATCCAACGAGCTGCATATAAGGCACAGCGAGGAAATAGAGCCTCCAGTTTGTAACGGCTGAAACAAAGGCCCGCCAGTGGGAAAGCTTGGTTGCGACATTGGCATTTCTGGATGTAATCTGCTCTTTGGCCAGGCGTGCAATGGCGAGCTTCTTTTCTTCCTGGGTAAGTTTCTTTGAAGTAGCTGGGAAGTCAAGGAGGAAGAACGGAGCAATGAACGCAATGCCGACGGTCAAAACACCCTCGACAATGAAGAGCCAGCGCCATCCTGGGAGTCCATGTGCCCCGTCGAGATTGCCTGCAATGATTCCAGCAATAATACCTCCGAAGGCTCCCGAAAGGATTGAGGCGCTTAGAAAGAAAACAAATCGCTTTGACCTGTGTGGGTCTGTAAATCTTGATTTGCATCATCAAAGAAGTGGAATGACTTACTGTTCTTCTCTCTTGTACCATGAGCTGATGAGAAAGAACACACCAGGCTACCGAAGAGTCAGCAAAACGCGATACCTGTCGCTTGAGAGGCGTCTTGCTCGGAGAAAAAACTATACCGCAAAGCCGGCTTCTGTTATACCAAGCAAAAAACGGACCGCCCATAACTGGCCTTTGTTCTGGATAGCCCCTAGACACATTGCGCACGTTCCCCACAAAAACATCAAGGCAGGAATGTAGAGCGACGGTCTAACTCGAACCAAGATCATACTACCCACCCAACACGTGAGCTTCGTATCCCGGGCTGGGGAAGAGAACAGGAACTAACTTGGAGGGTGTTCCAGCGAGCAGATATCCGACCTGGAAAGTCACGACGGCGTGATAGTAGTCCTGGTCGTTGAGCCCTAAATCCGTGTACATCCCCGCAACTCTAGCGTTCCCAAGGTTGGATCGATCCTAGGAATAATTAGCACAGAAGGGCGATCGCGTGGCGGACAAGGACTTGCGATGTAGCTCAGGACTAGCAGCACCCATAATGCCGGCATGAGATAGAGGTCGATCTTCCAACGCAGCTTCTTCTCCTCGGCTGAGTCAATCTCTACCTCTTGAACGGCAGCGGCAACTTTAAGCTCCACATCCTCTGCGAAAGCCTCCTCTAGATGGTGTGAGTTGGCGATTTTGGGAGTTGTTTCAGTCATTTTTTGGAAATGGGAATCAGTTAACCTGTCAAACTTTTGCTCAGGCTGCAGCAAGGATGGAAAAGTACTCCCCATGGGGATTCTTTGCGGGGGATTATAAAGGCATAATGACAACAAAGTTGTTATGGTCAACCTTCCCAGCACTGTAGTTTCGCCTCGTCTGGGGGGTTGAAACTCGGTCTTCCTGATGCCAGGAATTGTTCGGTGCCGAGTTCATACTCCCCTAACACATATGCGGAGATAATAGTGCCAAGTACTAACTACTATGTGTACGCCTGCTAGGCCATCCCTTGAGCTATGTAGGTATTGACGAGAAGCAAACTCAGAGGAAGAGACGCGTCCACGTGGACTCGCCTACGCCCTCAAACACGGTCATAACTTATGTCTCTTCGCCCCACTCGCGATCCTCTTGAACTCAATCTGTGGTGCTCCGTCAATCAACCTTTGCATTCCCTCTACGGCTTCCCTAAGGCCCTGAGCCTCCCAAGCGTCAATGAAAGGTCGCTGGATCAACTGCTTAATCTTCAGCAAGCTCTCCTGGTTCAAATGGTCCCCGATAAGCTTATCTTCCACCTCGCCTAGCACTTGTTGCAAGAACCCATCAGAGTCGTGTTCGTCCTTGCCACTGAAAATCTTGGTGATGAATCCAGACTTGAGGAGTCTCTCACTAGGAATTTTCCGAGATGTGAGGAGGACCTCGGTGGCTAAAGGGAGGCCCAAGCGCTGTACGAATGAGATGCTTGAGCCGCCCTCGGCGACCAGGCCTAGACTAGAGAACGGCGCCAGGAGAAAAGTGTGGGGTGTTGCGTAGATAAAATCGGCGAAGCCAAGGAGCCCGGCATGCAGTCCAACGGCAGGTCCGTTGAGAGCGGCGACGAGGATTTTCGGATGCATATAGAAGGCTCGGGTCACTTCAAGCTCGTTAGCGAAGAACCCTTGTAGAATTTGTTTCCGGACCTCGTGGCTGGGGCTACCCCCGGGCCGATGGGTCGAAGTGTCGCCACCAGCACTGTAGAAGCGGCCTGTCCCCGTTAAGACTGTGACTGTTATTTGTGGCATAGCCGCAATGTCTTGAAGGAGGCAGGATATGCGGTATGAATCCTGTGGGCGCAAGGCACCTAGCTTTTTGCTATTGTTGATTGTGATTATGGCAATCTGGCCTTGTGTGCGAAAAATCACAATTTCCCCGGGGCTGTGGCTTTTTTTCTCCATGTCCGGGGTAACAGTACTACCAGAATGGTTAGTAACAGATAATTCCAGACTGGATCTGGAAAGGCTAAAGAGGTATTGCTGTCTGATTTTGTGACGACGTCGACAAAACACTTCAAGATCTACAGCATTGATTAATTAACGTTCTCAGTACTGGCTAAGATAGGGGGTAGCGAGGCCGCGGAGGCCGAGGCAGGATAAACCGCTGAATTCTAGTAGTGTCAGACTTCCTAAACTGATCGTTCAGCGCTAGTGGATAGGGAGGGGCTATAACGAAGCCGATAATGCCTTGGACACTTTGGCGATGACCCTGACTTCCAGCTCTGATTTGGTCGACCTGCTACCGTTTACCCGAGGAAAGTAAAATTGCAATACATGTAGACTGAGTGAGTATTGAAACTTGCATTGGTATTCTACCTGTTTGATGATAGTGACAGACTGAGGGAAAGCTAATTGCAGCAAATTTGAGAGACTAGATATCGTCGAATACGTGCGTCTATATTTGTGCTCTGTAGCCACTTTGCATTTCGCGTCCAGCAGCTACTTAGTGAGATCTAAGAAATCGATATCGACTTCACTTTCATCCTCGTGAGATACAATGAATGGAGCTATGTCGGTTGTGGGATGACATAACTCGGTCAAAAGGTTGATCTCGGCGGAAGTGATAGTACCAAGATGAGAAAGATACGGAGGGAGTCCGCGTTCAAGGCTTGACTGGTTGTGGTATTGCATGAGATGAGGAATGGCCAGCGGGATTGTGGTATCTTGTGATGGAAGAATGTTTAGCTTCCGGAAAGCAGCCTCTAGTTCCAGGGGGAGCAGATCTTCGGGGATATTCTGATCACCTATCGAGTCTAGTATTTGCATACAGTGGTGATATTTGCTGAGTCTGTTTCCTTGACGATTGACCATCTCTGGAGCAATATCCTGGAGATGGACAAGCAGTATCGGTAGAAATAGGGTGACTCCTTTTGGTCTGATGTGTGTCCCCATCTGAAGCTTTGTCATGCACATTGCCAAATGCCCGACTTCATCTGCAGCTTCACGTAACTTCGCTCTCGATAATTGTTGATAAGGGCTAGGTACTACTCCTGAACCATCCAACACCTGAGGCCGATGGAGAGCGATCAACGCGGAAAGGAAGAGAAGCTTCAGGTGTGCTCGATGAGTCGTAATCATGTTCGACGCTTCGTCCCGTTGAAAAGACACTGGATCTCGCAGATCGAAGTTGCCAGAATCAGAGAGCCCTTGGTACCATCCCTGAAGCTGGTGGTCATGCTCGATGACCTCGAAGATCTCGCTATTATTGCGTTTAGGGACGAGAATTGTGAGAGTTTGAGTTGCTGATTCATGGCGGAGGCTGGTGTATCGCACTTGTAGAATCCGGTCAATACACAGACACAGTCTCGCCTTCTCGATGCAGAGCATCGCCAATTCAATTCTTATTCTGTCGCTATCGATAAAGGCCCATCCACTGAAGTCACGAGAGACAATCTCGGAGTACCCCTTGATTTCGAAGTCTTCGAGGCCAAGCATGGGCATGCTGCGATACCCAGCGCGAAACTGAGGAGGCGTCCAAGTCATGAGAGCCACAAATTGATCACGCATGAAGCAGCACCACCATATTCTCTTGAGCAAACGTTGGCGCTTGCTAGTGCAATTCTCGAGTTCCAGGTCCAATCCTAGATCTTGAGCTAGCGTTACGCTCTCTCGTATCCAGAATTTTCGGTCTTTGTGTCGTCCTCTGATGCTAGCATCGTACCAGTAGGTCATCAGCAAGAAGGCTTGCACCAGGCTCACCCGGTCTGGTTCGCAATCGAAATCATACAACACCTGTATTTGTTAGATATAGTTTTCCATCTGTCCAGCGAACTTACCCGTGCTCTTTCAAAAAAAGCACGTCGGGCAGACTTTCTGGTGTCGTACCCGAGTGCTTGAAGAGAATCAATATGTACGTGTGCAGCTCCAGAGCACATGACGGCATAGAAAAGTAATAGACTGAGCCCGCCTGATTGGCTATTCCCCACTAGAGGACTAAGGAAGTCCTCTAGGTCCAACAGGGGCAACAGTGGGTGGACAAATTGAACATAACTACACAAAATCTCGAACCGAGGTTGAGCATCTGGTATCTCGAAAACACCCTTGTACCTCAGATATTCAGCATCTTCGGCCGTCAGATGAGAGGGAAGAGGCTTGATGAAGTGTGGGAGTCTATTTTCGCTGGTGGAAAGATGTGTACAATGCGTTGCTTCATCAAAGGGCGATGGCCCATGCCTACTTACCTCCCGCATTGCTCCGGAATTGGGAGACTCGGACGGTGATGAATGACGCAATTCTAGACTTCTGGGCACGGGCTTCTTCTTGCTGTGGCCAGGCAGGCAAGTGATGTCGTCCAGTCGACAGTTTGTGCAAGGCGAACCAAGAATCCTCCTGTCACATCGTATCTTTCTTAACTGGCAGTACTGGCAGGAAGCAGCGGTTCGCCTGAAAGCAGGTACAGGAGAACGAGGCCGGCTCCCGAAAGGATGCATGCTGAGGGTCACCCTCCCTCAAAACCTTACGAGGAGAGGATAATACCAACTGATATCAGCGGGGTCAGCGTCTGACAAGGTTGCTCGGATGACCGAGGTGTTGTTTTGATGCTCTGTTGAGTGGCAAGTGTGCACCGTTCGAATAGTGAATGCCTAGCGGTGGTGGAAGATGGCAAGATTCCCTCTGTACGTTTGTGTCAGATGCAAAATGATTCGACCTCGCTTAAATCCTAGATGCCCGGCCAAAACCCTTAGTCATATGCTCTACCATTATACGGTCCGCGGAGTCCTCGGCTACTCGACTTGGCGCAGCCTTGCCCTGCCAACTTCCCCTGGTCCTCCTTAGGATTGACCTGGTAGTTCTCAGGTTGCGAAGCTCCTCACTCTATGATTAAGGACATGGCCTATAACTTTGAAGTGGTCTTTCGTCTATGGGCTGAGAGGAGTCTGGTTAATCAGGTGACAAGTAGATTTATTCCCTCGGTCACTAGCCTACGCCTTGTTCCTCGAACAGTAATTTTTCGAGTTTGCCTCTTTGCTTGAGAGCTGGCATTTTGCCTTGGTATTAGGTTGCGTTGCTGGAGTCAATAGCTCACAATCATATTTCCTCCTCGTCTTTGCCATAGCCGTATCACTTAAGGCCATTGAGAAGACCAGCCAGGATGCCGTTCCTTGCCGAAGAACACTACCAGATCCCATCGACAGATTTGTTGACTTGGATGTTTGACGATTGTACTCCTTATGACGAAGATAAGCCCGTATGTGAATGTCTATATCCCCTTCTATCCTATTCTTCGCTTCATGCTGACAACTGAAGATATACATTGACGCGGTAAATCCTTCGCGGTCGATCTCGCGTCGACAGGCCCGAAGCATGGTCCGTAGACTTGCGGCAGGATTTTCACGAGCCGGCTTGAAGAGAGGAGACTGTGTTTGTCTAGTATCGTTCAATGATGTGAGCTTTTATGCCCATATCCGCCGATATCATTGTCCAAGTTCTAAACAATGCATAGATCTACTACTCAATCGCATTTTTGGGAATAATTGCTGCTGGGGGGATCTTTACAGGGCTTAATCCTTCATACACCGTGTTCGAGCTTACCCATGCAATCCGCACTGCAGACATAACGCACTTCCTTGTCGAGCCCGCATTCCTTCCCAAGGTCCTCCAGGCTTCGAAAGAATGTGCGATCCCTACTGCTAACATCTTTGCTTTCGATGTCTTGGAGCGTCCAACTGCAAAAGATTTGAGTGTGCAGAGCTGGGATGTGCTGCACACTGGGCAGGAAGAGATGGACTGGGCCCGTTTTGACGATCCAAACCAAAGCAAAAAGACGATAGTTGCCCGGCTGTTTAGTAGTGGAACGACAGGTTTGCCAAAGGCAATGGACTTGTCAGTGAGCAACTTCGTGAGTCACTGGAGCTCTACAGAAGCGAGAGTACTCCAGCTCACGAACTGCAGGTTTCACAGCACTTTCTAGTGCAAGAGGTCCGGCCCCGACCCTACGAGGTGAGTACTACTGCATTGGCGAGGAGAATTAGAGCTGATATATCTAGGTCCGGCGTCTCCTCTCTAATCCGTTCTTCCACATCTCCCAAGTACCTCGAGCTCATACCAGCCCAATAAAAGGCGGTATAGTGACATATGTTATGCGCCGCTTCGAAATCGAGACATGGCTCCTTAACATCTCTAAGTACAATATCACCGAGGTAAACATTGTACCAATGATGGTCATTCGTCTCCTTTCATCCGGCCTTCTTGACTCGGGCAGATATTCTCTGAAGACTATTCGGAATGCTTGGGCTGGCTCCGCGCCGCTTGATAAGAGTATCCAAGCTCGCCTGAAAGAGTATATGCAGCCAGATGCGCCGTTCAATCAAGCTTGGGGTATGAGCGAGACGACATGTATGGCCACGATGTTTTATTACCCCGAACAGGATACCACAGGCAGTGTGGGAAGATTACTACCTAACTGTGATGCGAAGATAGTTGATGAGGAAGGTCATGATATCAGCGGGGCTAAAGGTCCCAATGGCATGTACCTTCGAGGTGAGCTGTGTGTAAGAGGTCCGATCATTGTGAGTGGTTACTACAAGAATAAGGAAGCCAATGAGCGAGATTGGGATAAGGATGGGTACTTCCACACGGGCGATATTGCATACTGCGAAGAAAGTACGAGGAAGTGGTTCATTGTAGACCGAAAGAAGGCAAGTGTATCGCAGTTTTACGGACTTGGCCCTAGGCTTCACTGCAAAGCTGCTAAGTACTTGCTGGGCAGAAGGCATCGGCTAACCACAGTACAGGAACTCATCAAAGTCAGGGGATTCCAGGTCGCGCCGACAGAAATCGAAGGTGTGCTACTCCTGCACCCCAAAATTGCGGATTGTGCAGTCATCGGCATTCAGCACAGTATCGAAGAATCCGAGCTTCCTCTCGCTTATATTGCCGTGAAGCCCGGGGCGGTTGTCACAGAGGCGGATGTCAGAACTTTCACGCAGGATAGACTAGCACGATACAAACAGCTGGAGGGTGGGATCAGATTTCTCGACAGTATCCCTAGGAATGGGAATGGGAAGATTCAAAAGAACGTGTTGAAGAAGATGGCCGCACCAAATCATTTGAGGACTAAACTGTAGAGTTTCCAAAATCAAAGAACCCATCTGCCCTCGTACAGGGGCTCTGGATGCCAACGGCCAAGACCGCGTCAAGTACTCCGTATTCATATGGGCTTGTCCACGCCACAAGGCTTAACTGAGTTGTTGGCTCTGCCTTGATTCGGCACTCTCAACTATGATTCGCCTTGCAGCCTGGACAGTGTGAGATTATCCTGCCATTAGATTATGAACTTTCCCAGCCCGATTATCTTGATGGCCACTTCTTTCTTGAGACCGGGACATCACGCTGGGGTTTACGGGCGATGAACAATGACTTCTGAATCCAGGTAGGCTTGAGAAGGTTCACCATTGTCCGGATGTCACCACTGCCCATCATTGTTTGCTGCCGAAAACCATGAACCGAGGACTCCGCGGCTCATGCAATCCACACAAGTAGGCTTCCCAGCGTCGACCTATCAATCGCGTGACCAGCCCCGCCGCACAGCGATCCTGGAGCATGCCAGTGGGTACAATTTGGCTCGGGTCCACCAGGACGGCTGGATTGATGCATACATATTGCGACGGATTCACAGGTCTGCGTTGACGATGAAGGGATCTTCTATTGATTTCTACCACCAGTTTTCTCGACCCCAGATAGATATCTCGACGGCGAGATTTTTGCTTACGATTCGTTCACAGAGAAAATCGTCGACATGGCCAACGACAAAGACGTACAGCACGTAGAAGAACCTAGGATGAACACCATGCCCTCAGACTCACTGAAGCCGGTGGCTTTCGATACAGTCCATGGCGACGAGGCCCTCAAAATCATGGCTGCTGGTCATGGAGGCAGCGATACTTGGGATGCCCAGGCAGAGAAGAGGCTGGTGCGAAAAATCGACCGTCGACTCATGCCTATCCTATGCATCACATACGGCATTCAGTATTGGGATAAAGCTATGCTGGCACAGGCGGTAAGTTTGCTTTTGCTCTCACCTGATCCCTTCACCTCAGTACACTGTCAACCTGTGGCTCCTACTCCTCCAAGTCTGAGATGAGATGAGATGCCAATGCTGACGGTCGACCGCTTGCCCAGGCGCTTTTCGGTCTCAGGGAAGATCTAAAGCTCAATGTGGGCAACCGCTTTGTCTTTTCATCTGCCATTTTCTACCTTGGTTTTATCGTTGGAGCGTATCCAGCCATCATGATGGCCCAACGCTGGCCGATTGAGCGTGTCGCTGCTTCTATCACCTTTGTCTGGGGAATAATCGTCATGTGCAGCGCTGCGTGTAAATCATACCAGGCTTTCTATGCCCAGAGGTTCTTTCTGGGCTTGATCGAGGCAGGGGTTGGCCCGATGTTCATGCTAGTCGTTGGTGGATGGTATAAGAAGGACGAACAAGCTTTCCGGATGGGCGCTTGGTTTTCTTGCACAGGTACGTTCAGACCGAGTTCCAGGCTTTCAAGCAGCGACCGGACTGACCTCTTTAACACTCCCCCTTAGGCTATGTGTCGATTTTCTCACCGTTGATCAACTACGGCCTGGGTCACCTCACAGGAGGCTCTCTACACCCATGGCAATACATGTACCTTTTTGCAGGCGGCATGACAACATTGTGGTCGGTCGTTGTTTTGTTCGTCATGCCACCAGATCCAATTCGTGCCCGAAGCTTCAACGACCGCGAGCGATATATCGCAGTTGCACGAATGAGGACAAACAACGCTGGTGTCCGGAATAAACACTTGAAGAAATCCCATATCATTGACGCTCTGACGGACATCAGATTCGGCCTGGTATTCTGCATTGTCTTCCTGATGTTCTTTGCCAACGGACCGAACTCGACCATGGCGGGCATCATTGTCAACAGCTATGGTTTCTCCACCCTCAACTCCCTCCTCCTCCTCACTCCCGCGGGCCTGGTGTCCGGAACAATAGAGTTGGGAGTCTGTTACCTGGCATATCGCTTCAAGAACATTCGCGTGTACCTTTTCGTCACCTGTGTCTGCATGACAATGATTTCGTGCTTGCTGCTATGGCAACTCCCTCGATCTGCCACAGCAGGTCTACTGGTCGCAATCACATTCCTCCCTTCCTTCGGCGGAGCCTACGCTATCATGCTGGGCCTGCAGATTGCCAACACGGCAGGGTATACCAAGCGGTCCGTCACCTCCTCAGGACTGTTCATGGCTTGGTGCCTCGGTAATTTCACCGGGCCGTTGCTCTTCAAAAAGGAAGATGCTCCCATCTACGGGCCTGGCTTCCGGGTTGTTGTTGCGGGCTGTGCTTCAGCTGTCGTCCTGATCATCGTGTATCGATGCGTGTGTGTTTGGGAGAACAAAAGAAGAGACCAGAGTGGGACCCTGGAGGCTTTTGACAATGCATACAACGATGATCTAACGGACAGGATGAACAAACAGTTCAGGTATATTCTATGAGAAAATAAGGGGAGGAAGGATCTCTGCTCGAGCTATCATGTTCAGGACATTGTGGACTGTCTAAAAGCAAGGAGAGCATATAATTCATATTTAGACACTGGCACTCTTCTTATTATCCATATGGCTTGTCACTCAGGCCCGGATCATGCTCTTTAGTTCCGCCTCTGGAAAACCACTTGCGGATTGTTGTAGGACGTGGCAATTGAGCTGTTGGGGCGCTTGGAGGCTGACTTGAAAACCCGTATGCAGGAGGCTTGGAGTTGTAGCCACCACTATTGGCTTCCGGGTTGGGCGGAAACCCAGGACTGAGTTTTGTAGGGTACTCCGGTGGCATGTCGGTGCCTGGCAACCGCCATTGAAAATAAGCGTTTCTGGTGAACTCCATACCTTGTCGGGAATTGGTGGATCTGGCACCTGCCATCAAGGGGATGGTAATGGGGTCCTGGCTACCGGCGAAGAATTTCCCAACGATCTCTTGCTGATCTGGAGCCCAGCGTTCCCCCATAGCAATCCTCTCCCATAGAATTGCCGCTGGCTGCTGGTCCAATATCCTGACTATTTCCATCGGTAATGCTTCTTTGATGTACACGAATGAGTCATTGATTTCGAAGCTACCAAAAAGATCAGGAAGGATCTTGACACCTGCACTCCTGAGGGCACTCTCGCTCATCGCATCATAATGGCCTGAATGTGCAAGGGCCTGGACTTTGGTCTTGGTGAAAGCCCGCTGCTCGGTATCTATTCAGAGTTCAGCTTTCCGAAAACTCTCCAGGAGAGTGATTATCATCACCGATGGCTTCCTGGATACAAGTGAATGCGGCCAGGTCAAACAAGTTCATCATACTCTGGACGGACTTCATACCAGGTAAACCAGTGCCAAGAGACAATTGTCCAGGGTTGATCATGACACAGTTCTTTAGTGGCGGCATCTGCCTCTCTGAAAACCGTCGTTTGATCATGTTCCCGATAGCACCGTAGAGGATGCGGTATGATTCGGTCGTTTTCCAAGTGACTCGGAACTGTTTCCATTGCTTGGTCTCGTCTGAGTCGAATAACATGGCTGCCGCTGCTCAATCTGGAGTATTGTGATGATGATAAAAGATGGGCGACAAGAACACTGGCTTCCAAATGGACCGTATCTCTAATACTATTGAGAGTAGCGCACGTAGATTCGGGATGTTTAGGCAATCAATTAATAATTATCTGAGCTGCCGGCCTCAAAAGGCACCCTTATGCGGGACGCCTTAGGCTGGTAGCATGTGAATACCATTCTTTGCTGGTTGAAGACAAAACTAAAGCCCTTGCACATATATTCTGGGGACATGATGCGAGCACTCCGGACCAGGCAAGCTCACCTTCACGTAGATTTAATAGCTTCCCTCCAAGAAAGAAGTGGGTATCAGATCGGCTTTTATCTGCGGCTGAATGTTCGCAATGTCATCCAAACCAGGCTGAGCTCCACCACGGCACTGAGTTTCAATTCGTGGTTGCGTCCCACGTGGAGCGCGAGTCGGAAGTCCTAGGTGCAATATACTTGTCTTACTTCCAATGGGTCATCTCTACTGTGTAATATCGACATATGCATCAAGAACTGGTATGAAGTTATAACCAATCAACGACTTTTCCTCCATGCTGCTAAATTCCAAACAAATCCAAAAAGTTCGCTCACAAAAGCCACCCACCCAGCTCCAAACGTATTTCGCATCAATTATTTCAAACCCAAATATGCCGCCGGAGAGAGGCAAAATGCCAGTTGGTGGATGGAGTGGAAGTAAGGCAGACCATTGGATTGACACGAGTCTTAACCATCCCACAGATGATGCCATGGCAGACCAGGAGCGAGCTCCTCAGAAATACATACTTTGTCTTGCGTGATGTTGACAACCTTCTCCAGCTCAATGGCCATAACTACCCATCCAGCTCCCTGTCGGGTGCCTGACAATATTGATCGGCACACTGCCTACCGCGAAGCCTCCGGCTTGGACGTCTCCGTCCAAGAGCGTGCCACCCCTCTTCTTCTCGTCAAGCAGCAGGTCATCATCAACCCTCGACCGGTCCTCGGATTCAACCCTGACAAGATCAAATGAGCGATCCTCGGTGAACGCGGGACTGGCGAGTTCCTCGTCGAGTTCAAAAAATCCGACACCACTGCCACCATCTACAGACGCAACGAGGTCACCAGAGAACCCGGACTCGTCCGTTGATGGAGCTAGTCCATTTATCGTGGGTGAAGGTGAAGGTGAGGGAAGTGGAGAAACGGCAGGCGAGCGGAGTCTGGCCTTTCGCTGATTTGAGGCTTTCGGGCTGAGGCTGTTGCTCTCATTGCCGGTGTTCTGGACTTGTTGTGTATCGGAACTATCGTTCCTCTGAATTGCATGGGTATGCCAATTTTCAGTATCTTTTACTTCCTCGGTGTCATTTAGAAAAATGCCGAACTCTCTTTCAGTTCCACTGGAGTTTCTCGGTTCCGGGCTCGGCATTTCTTCGTAGGAACTGCTTGGGTCGACAATGGCCGAATCTGCGAGTTGGAATGTGACGTGTTTCCGCTTGCGTTCTGCGCTCGAGCCACCGCCAGTACCACCACTTCTTCTTCCACTACTGTTTCTTAGCGCACTGGGAAGGCTCGTACTAGGCAACTGCGGTGTCGAATGCGTCCTTTTCGTCGCAAGCACGGTCGGCGACACCGGCTGTTGTGGTAGAGATTGCGATTTTCCGTTCTGCATTTCTGCATCTCGTTTCGATTCTGCGTTTATTAATTGCAATTGCTTTGCGTCGGCCTCTGCCTGCAATTCAAGAGGTTGAGGGCTCTGCACAGCCAGTTTGTGATCATGGGACTCGAGTAGCGGAAGATACGACGGAGTGAAGACCCCTGCAAATGGATCGAGATGGTCTGTCGCAGGGGTCGTTGGCTCTGGTTTTGCAGGATGCGAGCATTGTGGGTGCGTGAAAGTCGTCAATGAAGCTGACTGACATCGACTTATCATGGATCGATTGATAGCTGAGGGTGTAGGAGGAGTTCCAAAAATGCTTGTAGGCGGCGTTGTCTCGCCACTAATGTTGAGCTTGTCAAGCGACAAAGTCGGTTTGCTGAGCGGAGCAGGTCTTATAATTTTATCTCCGACAATATTATCAACCCCTCTCTTCGGTTTCTGTGAGCTCCAACCATTCGCGGAGCCATTGTGGGTAGAGGCAAGCAAATTTAAGACTGAAGCACTAGATACTGATGCGCCAGCGTACTTGCCGGGAGGCGAGGGCTCGGAAGATGTGCTTGAACCACGCGATCTTTTTCTCTTACATTGCATTCGTAGATCCTTCTCGAAATCTCGGAACTCTCTGTCCTTGAGTGCCTTGAATTTGGAGATTTCGTCGTCTAGCTGCTTCCTCTTCTGTTCGAGTGCATCGATCAAGTCGGAGTCGGAGTCGCAGTCGCCGGGATTCTCAGGCGATTGGAGCGAGGGTTTGACCAGACAATTGAGTTGTGCTGAGTTGCGATACATTGTTCAGCACCAGCAAGTTCTGAATTTTCGAGATTGCGCGCGCCGTGGCCTCCGAAATCGCGGGGTTCGCTCGGCCGCTCTAAGGTTAAGGGCTCCCCACTATAGATGGCGGGTTTCGCTATCTTGGACACTGGGGTCGATAATCGGTATACATTTGATATGGTCAGTAATGACAAACGAAAGGGCGTTTGCAAACGAGGGACGTGAATTATTCCAGTGAGCGATTGAGCGTCAAAGGGAAGGGAAGCATGGGCCGAGAACAGAGCGTGTTGTTGAAGCGGTCAGTACGCGTCTCGAGGGAGGAGCAGTGGGTTAGGTGGCTCTGAGAGGTGAAGTAAATTTGCCGACAAGGATAAAAGAGGCGATGACGACGAAGCGCCTCTGGAAAAAAGTCAAATTTGTTCGATTCTGGGTCCCGGAGCAGTCGGTAGCGGCGACAATAGATGGCCCTGGATACCACAGCACAGCAGAATTGGGTGTTGGTGCGGTTTTTTCTCCTTCGTGAGAAGACTATGTCAATAAATGCCCAGGGGTACTGCTCCTAGCAGTAAGACCGAGTACTGAGGAGGATTTTTATTATTGTCGGATTTTTAGTGAGGTGGAGAGTTACACCCGTGGCTGAGTGAGCGCTCTGACTCGGTCTGAACACTGTACTGTGGCACAAGCAGTGGCCATGGACAAGACCAGACTACGCCTTTCTTTCTGAACTCAAGAGCCCTAATGTTTGTCAAATCAAGTGGTGCAAGGATGGTAGAGTGGCTTTGTCCGTTCCCAACGCAGACGGACGTGCTGGCAGCTCTGGGTTTGTCGTCCCTCTTTTGTCTTCCGTTGTGAGTGACTCGGACAAAGTGTAGCTTTATGCGAGATCCAAGCGCTCGGGAGGATGACAGGGTGACCGTGGGTGATGGGTGGTGTTTAAAAGACTATACCCCACCATTGGCTTCGGTAAGAATACAGGTTGGGGGTGCCGCAGGTTGCTTGTGCTGCCAGCCTGCCAGTGGTACGGAGCACATGGACGAAGCACTGTGTCCTCGGCACATCCATGTACCAAGGTAGCCGTTGAACGTTGCTTGCAGGTTGGCTGTTTGTGTGGCAGACAGGATGACCAAGCGCTAAGCGATGAGCTAGGAATAAGCAGGCGGCGAAACTGGTGGAGGGCGCAGGGAGGAGGGAGCGTGCGATGGCGAATTCGCGCCAAGACCCCCAAAACAGCAGAACCGGGTACCAAGGCAGGAGGGAAAGAGGCAAGCGTCGTCCTTCGATGGGAAGGTGCAAGAGTGTACGGAGGGCGAGTAGGCAAGGAAGGAGCTATTGTCTCTGTCTACAGACTACTCCGTACGGAGCATGGAGCACGAGCACTACAGATATCAGGCCTATGACTTCTGTCTGGGTGAAACTATTATTCAGTCATGACTTGTAGACAGATAGTATATCCAGGGACCAGGACACGAGGTCCGCCATGCCCCGTACCAGGTACGGAGTACGGAGTACGGAGTACTCGTACTACCTTATCAGCCGTCCAGATCACGCAAACGACGCCCTTCTCCACCGCCTGGCCAGCCTCCCTCGGGCGCTCTCTCCACACCTATCAAAGCCTATCGATTGCGAACATCCCTCCCAAGGAACGTGGGGGGACCATCGATCGTTAGGCGACGCCCACATTGATCGAGGATCACCGGTTAATATGGCAGTGATCTCCCAGACTCCCACAAGCAGGAGGGGCTAGAACCGTCTTGTGCGGCCTCATCTGTCTGAGACGGCCTGAACTGTCTATTCAATCAGTCCAGGTAAGGACGGAGTATATGAGGACTATTTCTTGGTTCCAGGCACAGCGGCCGAGAACCTCCAGGCCCTGCAGCCCTCCAGGCATTGCTTCTTTGGCCCAGACACTACCAACCAGCCTCGTGTACTATACCGAGACCACGAGTACTCGTGCGAGGTACTCCGTACCCGCTATATCGGCATTCAAGGCCCCGAGACAGCTAAAGAGCATGTTTCCACTTTTTGGCTTTCCTTCGTGCCCAGACATGTTTCACTTTCACGTAAGGGGGTAGCATAGAAACTACAACATGCCCTCTCACAAGGAGGCATAGGGCTTCGTCATATTAACATAACATAACATAGCCACCTGCAAAATTGGTGCCTTCAAGGGAAACATGGCAAAGCGTGTTCTCCATGGGTTCTATCCCATCACTAAGTCCCTGCATACGCGTGCTTGATAGACATTACTATTGAGAAACAGTGAAGATCGGTGTCCACTTCGAGCCCAAGTCTCTTCACCGCCAAGTGATCACCGCCACACCGTCGGCATGACTTGATTTGGCCATTCCGGCTAACCATCCACCGAATGCCCCCCTTGGGACGAAGGGTCTTCCCGATACTACCCGATATTCGCCAGAGGAACTCTGTGGTGACAGTCCGAGTACATCGAGACCGTTCTACTCGACCAGTGAAGCCTATGAGTGTAAGCATGGAATTGGTGAAATGGTTCAACAAGCCGGCTTGTCACTTGTATTTTCTCTCCCTCTAAGCAACGATGAGCAACCCATGTTTAACAATATTCCTCCTGCCAGAAATTTCACTACAACAAGCAACTTTCAGATTGAGAAAGATCAGAAAGCCAAACCAGACACCACTCCGGATTCACCCGTCTAGGCCCGATGTATGACTCACAGGGCAAGCACAAGCTCTGTACAGGGCCTCAAGCACTCGACATACCGTAGCTTCCGTCCTTGTCAAAATTCAACGAGCGTGGACAAGCCATGCTGCTTGTTTCGATCTTCGCATTTCGCGTCTCCGAGCTCGGTAGTCTCGACAGTGCTGGTCTGCTGGATCTTCCAGGTCCACGCGACTGAATCGAAACCAGCTGAAATCGGGTTGATCCGAATCCTTGGCCGGTTCATCTTGTGTTGCCAAAGGCAATACAGGGATCGACTCTACCGCGGTCGAACGTATGGGGGAAGGTGCTTCCGGAGTTCGAATATTCGTCATCTCAGTTCCTAATGTTTTATTTCGAGGCCCGAAGTGAACCTCTCTGGCTTCGAGTATCGACAGGCCGCTGCCGCCGCCTATCGCCATCTCTTTGGCAACATCAATCCTCAAATGTTCAGCAGACATAGGGCAGATCGGAGACCCAGACTCAAAGTTGATCTCAAGTTCGACCGGAGGGATAACTTTAGACTGACAGGATCCATTCCCAAGCTCTCGCTTGGCTAAGTCCCGCAAAACCTCATCCCCTAGACTATTCTTGGGAAGGTCTAGGTCCACAATGCGAGGCTCTTGATGCTTCACCCCTCGTGTGCGACCGTGGGAACTATTGTCCTTCTTCGGATCGTAGTTGAGGAACAATTCATTGGTCGTGTCCACAAAAGGCCATTTGTAGGTGGGAGACGCCTCATGTTGTCCTTCCACTCCATTGCCGCCATGGCCGAGGCGCAGCATCGAAGGTAGGTCGTTCACGCTTACCTTTGCATCTCCGACAAATATCCCTGCTTGGTATGGCGTTCTAGAAGACGGCGTGACCACAACATCCCGCGGGAAGACAGCTCCTCCGACAATGGAAGCGGGACCGGACTGTGCCAGATCAACAGCGGTCAAGGCGCACGCCTCATGCTCCTGTGCGTTGATAGCGCCGTTCGCGGCTGGCTCTGTCGACGATTCTGCATTCCGATTGCGCTTTTTCCAAGCTCGACTCCAAGCTCGACGCATGTTCTTCATCTTCTCCGAGGTCGATATATCCGAAGAAGCCGGTTTGTTCTCCGACACTAGTTCACTTAGATGGAGCTCGTCGTGACACTGGCCAATGCCAGTCACGCTCAGAGTCGCCGCATGGTTCTTACCAACAGTAAGAGGCTTTCTCGGTGCCTCACTCCATCCGGGCTCCCAGAATGCAGCATTCGCCGCCTTATCCTGCTTAGCATCTACCCCTTCATTCGTAGGTTCGTGTCGATGTGTGGCTTTTGCACGCGGCTTCAAAAACGCCGGGATGTATGGCTTACCTTTCTGAGAGTGTCCTGCAGGTGTAGGATGAGGGCCCGCGTTAACATATGAAGCAGACTTACCTCTCGAGAGGGTCGAAGCAACAGTATCAGCAATGGCGTTCCATCCGTCTCCACTTCCCACCACCATCTTGTGCGTGTCTCTGGACACTGGCCGAGGATTCTCGACTGAAATTGGTCGAGTAGCACTCCGACCCGGTCTCAGACTTGCTGGAAGGTCTTGTCCCGGCTGTCCTCGGCTTGCCAACTGCCGCTTATGAGTCTGAGAGACAGTCAAAGCTTCAGCTGAGAGGCTATTGGCCATGGATCTGCTCTGCTCGCGCACAGCAGTATACTGAGCGGGTCGCTCGATGAGTGAATTACAAGACAGAAAAGATCGGGAAGATAGATCCCCACCATAAACAGCGGCAGGTACTTGAAGCATCCCCGCCACAGGATCCTTCTGGAAGGGCACAAACTTCTTGGCTGGAAGTCCAGTCAATGGATTCTCGCTGAAGCCATCGGCATAAGACGCAACACTGGGTTTCGAAGGGACTGGCTCTACAGCGATCTTTTCTTCGTTGAGTCGAGAGTTCTGGGTATGCGACATTGCATAGCGTCGAGCTGAGCGCTGTGTAGTCCCATCATCGACATAGACGGCAGTTGTGTTGTCAACAAAGTTTCTCGGTCCATACCGTGAATGCGGATTTGACATAGTGGCTAGCTGACCAACAGTCTCGGTCATGGCCTTGCTGCTGGAACAGCCCTCGATCTCCGATCGAGGGATGGGCAGCTCAAAAACTGGAATGTCGCCGACTCTTTGGCTCTCTGGAATAATGGAAGTGAGGTCAAAGATGGAACAGGGGAGGGTTCGTAAAATGGGTGGTCGGGAAAGGGTAGTTTTAGAATTGATTGGCGGAGAGCTGAGGCAATACTGAGTAGGTACTGACTCAGGCTCCTATTGAAGGACAGATGGCGTCATCCAACTGGGTCGAGCCCTTCGACTCTGGACCTGCGCCATATAAGATCATAACGACGTGGAATATCGACGGGCTGGTCCTTTGTCCTCGACACTTCCCATTGATTGTTTGCTTGGCGTCATTGTCGCCAGACACACAAGGATAACAACCCTTGTTTAACACAAAGGAATTCATTTCATTTTAAAGCCTCCTTTACTAAAAAGGCCAGCCAATGAAAGCTACACAATGCCTAATCAGTAAGGAAGGTAACAGGCTCCCACTAGCTAGCAGGCACAACAGGCCTTCGCGGCGTCGTTTAGGTCAGCATGTTCTTCGTATCTATCTGACAGGCTGCGCGCGACACTAATATATTGACCCCGAGACTTGAACGAAATGCATTGTCCGAAGTATGACACGACTTACCATACGATCAATCCTCGGTGTCAAATTCAACAAAACGCATCGACGGATTTCACCTTCTCACAGCAGGCCTTCACAGCAGGCCATTCCTTCAAGTCAAATCCCGCGTGGGCCGCGATGTGGGTGTAGGCGAACAAGCAGATATCGGCGAGAGTGATGGAATCACCGACGAACCAGCCGGACTGGCTGTGGTTGGCCAGATGGTCCTCCATGTAGTCGAAACACTGCCGGGCGGCAACTTTCTTGGCCGGGATGTGCGCGATTCGATCCGCGGACAAGGACTCCTCGCCCAGGATGTGCAGCCAGAAACGCAGCGACGCGACGCTGACTTCGTGGTGGTTCTGTTCGAAAAACATCCATCGCAGCATCTCGGCCTTTTGAAAAGGCGTCGTCTGGAATGAGATTGGACTGTGGTGGTCGTCCTGCGGACGAGGTCCTGGACTGCGACTGCGGCTGCGAGAACCCGGCCAGATTGAAGCACGCCGCATTGCTCTCGGGGAGAAACGAAGACTTGTCGACCTGCAGCACCGGGATGCGGCGCCAGAAGGAGACTTTGTTCTGGAACTCGGGCGTCTGCGTGTCGCCGCTCAAGATCGAGTGGTTGTGTTTCTCCAATGGGATGTGCAAGAGAGCTGCGGTGAGCTTGATTTTGTAGCAGTTCGCCAAGAGGGGATCCCGGTGAAGAGTGAAACGGGTCTGGGCCATCTTTGCTGCCTCGTGTGCAGTGGCTACTGGACTCACTGACTTTGCTTAATCGTTCTCTTTCTTCCTTCTTCCTTTCTCCTTTTCGGGTTGAGAACAACCGATCCAGAAATCCCGTCACAGTTAGCAAGAGCACGCTCCCAAACAAACCGACTGCGTTGATTCGTGAAATAGACACAGCAGTCAGTGGACCTACCGCCTACTGCGAGAGCAATCTGACCTTCCTATGCCGCCTCAGTTGATGGCTGACTCAAATCACGCCCTTTCGCATCTGTAATTGGGGAATGCCAAGGGTGATCGTCTTCGAGTTCGAGTGATGCAACATCAAGGAGTAGCGCGAGCCTTTTGGCCTCCTCGGTTGGCAGTAGCGAGCTGGGATTATATTAGAGTTTCCATGCGCCCATCGCATCGCAGGTTTCGAGATAGCATTTAGTTACGGCGGCAGTGATCAAAAAACCTCTTTGTTGGAGGGGAAAGAATGGAAATTGTGCGGGTCGAGAAGCCCAGGGAATCGCGGAGGCATCCCTCGCAGACCCTACAGAAGAGCGCAGAACGACTGGCACAGTGAGTGTTTCTGAAAACACCCCTACGAGTCCTTGGGTCTCAACCGGGACCTTGAGGCCTGCATGTTCAAAACAGGCGCGGATGAGGGACTCCTTGGTGACTGGCCGCCTTAGCGGGAGTCGGGCAGCTTTTTGAAACTTGGAACGGGCGAGCATCTTGATATGTATGTCAGTACTACGGTATCAGGAAGTTGAGTTACGAGTACTCGTAGTATCGGAATATTACTCGAATGGCTGACGAGCCGAATAAGGACCCCAGTTCAACGAGGCGACTCTCACTACTGACCTAACTCGCGATCATGTTGTCTGCATATCGGCATATCGGCGCCTGAAACCACCGATAATATACTTCTAGCGATTGAGTTTACGGGAGACCTCATTAGCAATTTGCAGGGCATTTGAGTTGGACACGTGTGGGTGTGTGCATTGATCGATTTAACCTGTCCGATCGCTTGTCGAGAGTCCCCGAAGTAGTGGTATCGGACAGGGGTTCTGCTTCGTATCGGTGTTACGGCTAGAAGCACATTGATTAATTAGGGACTTCATTGCCAAAGCCGAAACCATTTGAACTAGCGCCCATAAGCGAATCACATCACGTGCGTGGCTTTGAGGTGCTACTCCGACGACCACAGACAGTTTTATCCATAAGCTCGTTTCTATTCTCTCCCACACATATTGATGTCTACCTGAATGGCTCCTTCTTCAGAGCGTGTACGCAAATTCTGGGGTAGGCCTTGCTTGCAACGGTTTCATTCGCTAATCCAAGAAAACTTTTTGACCAGGGAAGGGAAAGCCATTCGCTTGGTGAGAGCTAATACGTCACTGAAGAAGAAATGTCTGTATTTCCACAGCAAGTCTAGGAAGACGTGAAGGTGAGCAGTCGCTTATGCGGCACCACCACCGCTGAGACGGATGATTTGACCTGTAGATTTTCATGTTAGCATTGATGAACGCCCTACAAGGCATTCGGAGCAGTGCGTCTTACCATTGAGCCACTCGCTGTCGTCATGGCACAAGAACATGACAACTCTGGCAATATCTGCAGGAACAGCGCATCGTCCGAGGGGGATGAGTTTGGCAATGCCAGCCTCGATTTGCTCAATTGGCGTGTCCTTGGTCGCACCCGGGGCGTAGTGCCATGCGTTCTGGTGGAACATGTCGGTCTTGATGCCGCCAGGGGCAATTGCGTTGGCGGTGATGCGCTTTGGGCCACCATCAGCAGCGAAGGAACGGGTGAAACCCTCAACAGCCGACTTTGACCCAGCGTACAGGGCGTGGTTGGGAACAGACATGCCAGCAGCGATGGAAGACATGAAGATGATGCGGCCACCCTCTGTTACAATGATTATGTCAGCAACGAGAAGTGCACTAGCAGATGGAGCGTGATGGAGTTCTTACCGCTCAAGTACTTCAAGGCATGTTGGCCAACGAAAAACTGGGCACGGGTGTTGAGGCCGAAGACTTGGTCATAGAGCTCCTCGGTGACATCCTCGGGCTTGGAGAAAGCCTCCATACCGGCATTGTTGATGACAATGTTGAGTTTCCCGAAAGCCTTGATGGCCTCCTCGAAGAGCCTTGTGACCTCCGAGACCTTGGAGACGTTGGCCTGAATAGCAACAGCCTTGCCACCAGCCTTCTCGATCTCGGCAACAGTGGCAAGAGCGGGCTTCGCCGAGCTGGCATAGTTGATGACGACAGCAGCACCACGCTCAGCGAGGGTTATGGCGAGACCGGCACCGAGACCACGGCCAGCACCGGTGATCAGGGCAACCTTGCCATCGAGACGGATATCAGGTTTGGAGGCCATGGTTCACAGTGATTGTTAGAAAAATGAGATTGGGTACGGAAGGAGGGGTAATGATGAGATGGCCTTGGATTTGAGTGAAAAGCCGAAGAGCAGCGTGAAAGAGAATGATTGGATTGGAGACTCAAGATCACAGCAACCAGGATGAAAGACGAAGATAGTCGTGGACTGACCGCCAAAGCAGAAAATAGAATTGGTCAAATGATTAAAAAGGAAAGGATAGGGGCAGCACGATGTTGTGATTGTGCGTGTGCGGGTGTGGAAAACGGAATGGAGGGTCCCGATAGAGGCCCCGACACTAGTTCGGATCAGCCCTCTGCAATTGAAGGGCTACGAGTTAGTCAGGCACGGCCTGGATGCTGCACCAGAGAAGCATCGGCGAGTCGGTGAGTGCGCGAGGGCGTGAGTGAGTGTGTGTGTGAGCGTGAGTCGAGGGCAAAAGACCGAAGGCGAGACCACGCCTGGCAGACGGACACGACACTGGCAGAGGCCGCGGCAGCGGCAGAGGCAGAGGCAGAGGCCGCCCCAGCACAATGCAGACGCGCCCAGTCCCCATCTAGTCAAATCATCACTCTGGCGGTGAGTCGATACGCAACGTGGTTGGTCGAAGCCCACGTGTTGAGAGGCTATTGCGGGGCTACTTATCAACACGAACGAGGGGTTCGCAAAGGGCAGAATTTCAAAACTGGCCGCAACCGCAGATCATCAACCCCTTCTCCTTCTCCTGTGCTTTGTGTAATTAGCACCACAAGCTGATGCGCAAAGTCAAGGTCAAGCTCAAGACTCCAGTACGAGAAAGACGATCCTTACTCGCCGTCGGTTGCTGTTGAGCGCAGCGCAGGTACCTGGCCGGCGGGCGAACATTTCGGAGTCCTGACCTCCATATAAATAAACACGCGTAAACAAATGGCGGGGTCCGAATGTGGGTGCCAATCTTTGGCGTGTTGTGCCTCACCGCACCAGCACCACACGAGGGAATTCATGCAAAAGGGGTCCCAAGGGTGACCGCCACTTACTCGTACTGTCCTCCGTACAGTAGACTCGTGCTACATAAGATAAAGATACCTTTGGCAGGACATTGTCACACTCGTTGAGGATCGGGGCGGGTTTTTCCGTTCCGTTCAGGCACTTGGGTGTGGTGCCAGTGGCTGCCCAACAGCACTCAGCACTGTTGAGAGTTGACCAACGCACAGAGGCACGCGTAAGGCGGCCTCACAATTCCATGTGTCTTCCTCTGGCTGGGCTGATTACTCAGAAACAACCAACACTGATATTCATTACTTTTTCTTCCCCCTCACTTACCTGGCCGCCGTCCCATGCACATTTTTAGCAACAATTGAAAGCGGAACAATGTCTCAATTTTATTTAACCTTTTAGGCCCAAGCCTCACAAGAGTCAAGAGTCACCGCCCCTCCCGTGCTGTCACTTTGGTATCACTCGGTACGAATAATACTCGATGCAGCGACAGCCCAACGAGGCAGCTCCGACGCCTAGCAGGGGGTCCTCCCACTTGTTCCTGCACGTCCAGGGCACGAAGGCGGGAGGGGCCTGTCCTCGTCTATCTTTGGCATCCGGCCAACCTTCCCCTGCCGGTGAGAGCTTGTTGGGGGGAACATTGCTTCTGAATGTTTGCTGTACATGTATGTACTGTAGGTTTTTCCCTTCTCGCGTTGAGTTGATACTTTTCTGCACAAAGGGAGGTCACGTCATGCATTCTCTCCTCCACCACCAAAGTGGCACCATTTAACCAATAGTTATGAGCCTATCCAATCCAGCACACCACCATCGTTCATGGCTGTTTCCTTTCGTCGCGCAGGGTTTGGCTTTGCATAACCCCTCGTTCCAGTACCTGTTCCTTAGATGACCGTTGGAAGCCCAGCTTCCGCCAATCATCCCTCCCAAAACTAACCTTGTTCTATAGGCGCAAGGCTGTAGAATCCATCCATAGCAAAAATCCTGGGCACGGGGTACGGATCCTCAAGTAGAATATACATCGGATTCCGCCCCCCTCCCCGCATTCTTCTCTTAGAAATGAAAGTCCGACCGATATCCAGTTTTGTCCTGCACCTCCGGGCTCCCGCAAGCCAAGTGTAGACGTATCTACTCGTACCCGTACCACTAGGCACCTAGTCTTCCCAAAGTCCGCAAACCGATACCTGGTCCCGAGGACGGAGAACCATCCTTTCTGATGTTTCTCGTCGCTGCTACTACGGCCCAGGGATATTGCAATTCTATCTATGCTAGCTACGGGCTCATTGGGGATTGGGGTCGCCACTGTTCTTGCTCGATGCGGGCCGCTTTTCTAACAAAGGGCCTCCGAAGTTCGGTCATGATTGGCACGGGCATGGGCACGGGTTCCACAACCTAGTAAAATAAAACAGGAAGATAAACCACCTAATAAAAAATATGTTAAAGCAGAACCTGTAGAAGCTTCAGAGTTTCTATGTAGTGACGAAATTATATACCACTGCGGTGCGAGTAGCAGCTGGAAAGAAACGGGGGGGGGGGGGGACAATTCAAAGACATGATCTTCGATGTGCATGCATACGGGGTAGATACATGCCCATCGTCGCTAGAAAAGTCCTTCCTGGACAACCAGCGCGAACCGTCGCCGTTCACCTTGCTACATCTGGTATCAGCGGAGGGTCAATGGTCGCCGTTGACCGTCCTTAGAGGTGCGCCGAAGTTAACCCATCGGCGGCCAAGTGCCGCCGACTGGCCGACATCTTCGATCGAAGAAACCACCCCAACACAACTAACTATCTAACTATTACCAAACTACCAAACTAGTAGTATTCTGGCAGCTCCCGAAAACGTCATGATGAGGTCCTTAATAGAGAGCGACTGGGTACGGAGTATAATCCGAGATCTTCTGGGCTTGAGATCTCCGGTCAAAAGCTTGGTCCCCTCCAAAAAGGCTCTCGCATCTCCTGCTAGCTGCTCAAGTAACGAGGCTACGGACCAGGCTAACGTGGATCTTGAACAGTGCCAACCCTACCTGTCTTTCTGCCCCATTAATGCTTGTCTGGCTGGCTAGTTACGGCGTAGGCTGTTTCACTTACAAGGTCCCACGACTATGTACAGGTGAATATAGGTGGCCTTCTCCCCCGGGTGTAGAAAGGAGACGTGCTTTTCTTAACTCATACTATGATTCCAAACAGCGCCGGGAACGAGATATGACGCGACATCATCGACCAGAGTCGAATCGAGGTTTACTCAACATGAAATGAACCTTGCAAGTCAACGAAGAAACCACCTATTCACATCGCGAAAAAAGTCCCACAGGGAAATCCAATGGCTGGTTTGCTATCCTGACAGTGCTACTTTTCATTCTCGACCTAACAACGTCGGTCTATACCAACCCAACAACGCGCGCACATCCCAGCGGTTGCTAGCACGCCAACAATTATGGTGTGCCCCAGGGAGCACCTTACCGTTGTCTGTCCCTGTCAAACGCCGAAAAATGCCGTCGTGATCGTCAGACACAAGGGGGAAAAATTTACATGGCGGTCTCGTCACGCCAGGCCGCATCATAGTGCAGCATATTATGCCACATTTGACCGTGGCTACAAATGTCGTCTTCCCGCAGGCGTGCAGCTGGGAGACGGAAGGGGCAGTCAATTGTCGCTCCAATTCGACATGAAGATTCGGAGCTTTCGTTTGACTCCATCGGCCAGTCGCATCGATGAATCGTCTTCCAGAAGCTCGATGCAGTGTTGCAGGATATTGCTGGGCACTTCGACAGAAGCCAAAGTACCATCAGCTCTTTGCAACATCGGTGTACCCTCCTGGTATTTCATGTATCGACCAATGGCCTCTGCCTCAGGTGTCATGCCGTCGATAGCAAATGGTCTATCCGGTTCAGGTTGGCCTTGAGTGGGTGAGAATCGCCCACTTCCACCTGCCATACTCGTAGCCCACCCGGTTAGGGCGACACGGTAGACAGCTCCAGCCCACCATGGTGGTCGCACTGGGCGCGGCATTGACCTGATCAGGCGAAGGATCTGACCACAGTGGAAGAAAGCTTCCTCGGATCGGTCGATGCAGCGCATCTGCAGCCAAGACGCAAACCGGAAGGGACCCAACGCAACCTCACGTCGCGCAAACTGTTCAATGTCCTTGAAACTGGTGATGGTATTAAGGGAGATTAGGTGATACATGATAAGGTTGGCACAGGTCGTCCAGCAGGTTCCTGTATTTCCGGCAAAACTCTGCTTGCTGATTGCATACCATTGACGGAGGAGTGATGAAAGTTCGTCTAAGCGCGCCTTGGTTGCTGACTTGGAGACAGCTTGCGACGCATTTGAATGGTTACCGCCATCAGGTAAGCATGAGATTAACTGCCGAAGCTGACACACTTGGCCCTGGAGGGGGTGTAACAGCAGGCGAAGTTGTGTGGGTGACAGCTCCTTCCCCGCCAAGTCCCCTTCCATGAAACTGGTAAAGAAGTCACGCACAGAGCACTGCCTTTGATACGTGGAACCGTGCGCTTGTTGAAAAAGCTCAAGCCACTGGCCAGCATTCTCTGCATGCCAGAGGTCATCCGAGTCAGGCATGGGAGCGCACAGATTAACTACAGACATTAAGGGTGTTGTGTCTGAGAACAGACTCATCTCTTGATCAACAATCACCCAAGAGTGAGCCAGCCTATATTCACGGTAAGCCGTCGCTCGCAACTAGTATAAGCAGTGGATCCTACCGGTGTTTGCCTTCGCGCCCCTTCCAGTCTTCCCATGCCTTTTCTGGCTCTTGTTTGCACGTTTCGATGTCAATGCTCGACTCAGTGGAATCAAGCATACCTGAGTGCGCAAGCATCTATCGAGGTCAGTCATGACCAAGGCAAATAAAGGGTGGGCCACTTACAGCTAGGTACATGCCGCGCTGGCCCATGGCCATCTGTTGAGTCGGTCAGTCATGGTAAGCCGAAGAGAGATGTCAGCTTACATCCATATGCCATTTGTCACCTGACCACGCCGCGAGACAAGTGAACAGTAGTGCCGATCTGAGAACTATGACTTCTCGAGATTGGAGTACATCCTTCTCAATGGTATCGAATAGCGAGATCCGGCAAGCTTCCGTGAGGCCACTTGTGATATACCTGCCCTCGACGGTGGCGGTGGCCGAGGCACCCGAAGCTACCATGAGAAGAATCAACAAACTTGCAGCCTTGCTGTTGTGAGATTGCATCAGAGTATTAGGGTCCAGGCGCCCAGCCGGGATAGAGGAGTAATAAGGCTCATAACGGACGACATAGCTTCGGAGGAAGTACTGCATAACATCTGGAGGCGGTAACATGAGGAACGCATCTCTGCTAGAATCGGGACTCGAGGGCGTGTCTTCCCTGGCATGATCGGCTTTATGAATATCCAATGCTTTGTGGAGGAAACCTTGAGTGATGGCTAACAGCTTCTCTCGCGACCACCCCAGAAATTGCTCGGTGGCAATCTTTCTCTCAGTCGAGATGTCGAGTGAGGTCTCGTCGAGCTGTGCGGTCCAAGCAGTCCACGTAGCTTGGTTTCTCAAGGTTTGAGCCAAACCTTCCAGGTATATTGCAGCCGTCCTTGGTGGAGCGAAAGAATACTTGTCGATACGGTTGCACTGAAAGAAAGGCCAAGATTGCTGGGCAGCGAGTACAGCATCAGGCTCTTGGAGACCACCACTGGCGGTGGAGGAGCTCGAGGGTGACAAGCCCGCAGGAACCCGATAGTTTGTGTGTCTCGGACTCCCCAAATCAAGACGCAGGCCAAAAGGATTGGAGTCGTCCTGGAGTGACATTGTCGGAGGAATTTGGCCTGGTGTCTGCATTCCAAGCTTGCCACTCATCAGGAACTGCTCATTGGGGCCATGCATTGGGCCGGCTGAAGGACTTATGAAATCGATCATGAAATTAGCGGTGTCAAAATCCATCATGCTGGTTTGAGCGCTACTAAGGGCGAGGAAGTGAGGGTCGTGGTCGTGATCATAGGGGGTGGCATGCATGTGGATGAAATTGTCCATCTGCGACATGTGAGGGATCATGGGTGTGATCGGAATGGCCATATCAGGCGGGGTCTGGGTGAACCCATTCCGGAGCATATTCGAATCCATCTCGTGGGTATAAATTGCTGGTGCAATGGGAACAGGATGGTGAGTGTCCGGCAGACTCAGTCGATGTGGAGTGATTGTGTGAGGACTCATGGTGTCTGCGAGTGTGTTAGCAGCACTGCTGGGGAGATGGCTTTGGGTTGAAATACGAGGTGGCATTCCATTCATCCCTGGAGCAGGAGCAGCGAACTGGGACAACTGTGACACCTGAAAGGAGGCATGGATGGTTCGTTCTGAACTCGGTCGTGGTAGAGGATTCCGCCGCGAGGGATTATGGGATGAACGTCGTGTGGGCCTCGACTGGCAGACTATCTGTTTGCTCACACATCTCGAGCATGGCACCTGTGGTTCCTGATATTAGCGTCGGGCTATCCAAACCAACAAATGACAAGATGCGGCCCAGGAGTTCTACGCAACAGAGACCATTTGGGGAACGGTCCGTCCGAGCAGGCAAGAGGCGTACGGCTGGGCCTCATGTCTCCCTTGGAGTCCTCTCAAGATCAAACTGACCTTCTTATCACATTTTGCTTTTGCTTTTGCGCAATGGACACATGCTATGGGCATGCGTTCCGTGGGCGAGTCCATGGCGACCGTGCCGACTAGACAAACGATGGGTGTTGGGAGGAGGGAGGAGGGTGGGAGGAGGAAGGAGAGCAATCAGAACATGTGAGGCGTAGGGACCTTTGCCCAAGCCAGGGAGCCTTGGAAAGAGACGAGCGAAGGAGGGCGTTAAATGTGACGAGGGATATCCGGAACAAATTGCGAGGGCAGGAGGAGGCTGAAGGCGGCGGGGACAGGCCAAATTAGCATTATCTGGAGAGGCGATAGCGGGACGACCTGGATCGAAAGCGAATGTGGACGGAGGATGTTCGTTTGGTAGCGAGAGTGGAAGCGCTGTATGAAAGGGCGAGGCAAGGCAAGGCAAGGCAAGGCAACGTGAGCGAGAGTCAGAGTGAGAACAGGATGCCAGCATATACAGGAATGCGAAAAGTTGTTTTGGGGGAGGAAGTGCGTGGAGATGGAGGATGAAATGGGTCAGCTCGGTCGCTCTAGTCGAGATCGACGGCTGGCTCGATGGAGCATGAACATTATTATTATTACATGGGACAGTGGACGGTGGACATGGGGGGGAGCAGTAGCCCATACCCATCTCGTAGGGCAGACGGGCTGCAGGCATCAACGACCTTGAGACGAAAGGGTTTGTCATGACGCTGTACCGTTTGGCCGTAATCAATACGCAGGACAGCGTCCGGATACCAGACGCAGAGAAAATAAATGGTGGGTTGTGGGTGGAGCGCCCGCGGCAGTACTTACGAGTAGTGTCGCTCAAATGGTGATGACGCTGGTGATGCACGCTCGGAGGCTGTAGCCCAGGATCCTGGAACGGGTGGAAAGGGGGCCCCAAGCCGAGGGGCTTGAACACGCGTGCCTGTGCGCAACTCCAGGGCTTGAGGGGCCGAGGGGCGCACGGGGAGGACGCATTGCAGCTGCCGGCGGGCAAATGACATGCCTGGAATGTCATTTCTTTTCGGGTGCAGCAGTGCCCGTCGACCTGAAAAGCGAGGACTTGGGAACAAACAGTGATAGTTAAACAATGGCAGCAAAACACAAACCTGGGCGGCTTCAGACTCCCGGCACCATTAGGTGCTTCGGGTATCTGCCAGCAAATGCAGAGGTTCACCAAATGGGAGGGCCCGGGCATACGCCAGCCAGTGCGGAGCGAGCCCCCCAACAGTCTTCATCCATGCCATGGCCACGGCTGCCATTCTTGGATCCGGTATCACCAGAACTGGAAATATCGCAGAGTGCACATCGCCTCAAAATAGAATGGCGGGAAACGCCCTGATTGCCCCATACGATGCTTGTTGCTTGTGGGTGGTGTGGTGTGCGCCTGGTCAGGCCTTGTCTTATGCATGAGGGATCATCTACGAGTGTGTACATATGAGGCTGATGGTCTCAACCGGATGACTCGGCCGCACCACCATCTCCACTGGCACTCCCAGGGTGCAAGATGCGAGGTGCGAGGTATGGGGTGCTACTCTCCAATGCTGTCCACTACTGTACGGAGGACTCGTAAGTTGCTGTATCCTCCACCTTGGCCACCCATTGCTGTTACTGTGCAAACGCAGCTCCCTTGCTTGGACGTTCATATTTGGAAACGAGGGGACCAAGTTACCATCCAACGTATTAGACCCTTGAGATAGGCGTGCACGGCGACCGCAGTTGTCCCGACTACTAACAGATAATGAATCAATGATAAGTCCCCCCCACCCAGAAACTCGAGTTAACTTTCTTTAGGAATCTGGGGATTGACGATTAGCTATCCAAGCCTGAGCAGATAGACGGCCAAGGGAAGCCCATCACCAACAGAAGCTAACAACCCTTCTCCCGCCCTGCACCCACCCCTCCCAAGCGCACAGCCCTGGTCTTTCTGCTAGTCATGACCGGCATCTTCGTTGAATGTTTAGCTTTGAGATTACGCTTCAACGGGCAGCGACAAGATAGAGCCGGAGTGTCGCCATGTCGTCAAGGATCTCGCATTTGAAATCTTGACCCCTCTCACCCGTGAGGTTGCCGTGTCTTACTTTCATGTACTCAAGAGAGGGTTTGTTGTGAGTTCGTCAACCTGACGGTAGTATTCATCGCTGCTATCCCGCCTAGTTGCCACCCTGGTCCTCTCTCCATCCGTTGCGAGCTTCCCTGGTCCCTGTACGGGGTACCAAAGGAGCCTTTGCGTTGGTCACTGTTACACGAGATAATGACAGCTGCTGTGCCCAGAACCCGCATGAGCTGTGGGCTAATTTGATTGAAAGCACAGCATATCAGCCACCGTTACTTAGGATTGGCTCCATCCTCGCGACGTTACCGTTGCCCTCTTCCAATTGAGGAGTAAAGAGAAAGACATGAGCCTTTCTATCGGCCATCGCACGAAACTTCGCGGTCAAGACAAGATAAACTGTCTTTGTCTGATTAGTGTGAGCGCGATACTCTGTTCTCGGGCTCTCGGGCTGCCGTGTTCTGTACCGCAGGGTCGGGATATGACTGGGCAGCTGTTATCGGGCTGGTATCAGCTGGCAAACACACACGAAGTCACCACTTTTTGTTTGACCGCCGTTGACGCCGATCGGACTGGGGAGAATAGAGCGTCACCGCCCTCAGCCAGCCATACAGAAAGCACCCCGATTGGGGTTCACAGGAGCACAAGAAAGGACTTTTGACCATCTTGACCGTTTTGACCATCTTGAGCATTGTGCACCGACAGGGCTCCGCTTGATCAAGTCCTGATGGTTCAGCCGACTGGCGACTTTGGGGCCAGCTTCGTATACTGTGTGCCAGCTCATCGAACTTCTTTGTCAATCACCGCAGTAGCGATACTCATTGGGGTCGAGGCTGCGTATTTGACGCTTCTTCACATCGACCAAGCCTTGAGATTGGCTTTTGACAGAGGCCCCGACGACGGGAGTACGTACAATCTCTGAGCTGTCATGCACTGCGGCGACTTCTCAAACGCCTGTTTTAGTCTCCAGGCCCATCCAAGGAGGCTGCAGTCTGTAGTCTTGGTACATTAGTGACCGACGCTGTCACCGGTACCTTGCTTCCTCGTGCCCTGTCATTTGAAGTAATGACCGTCCCCCCAACAATACCAAAACAACCTTTGCTGGAGATAATAGGACCAAACTTTGTCATGCCACGCCCCCATGCGGCATAGTGGGGTGGTGCTTTGAAGCTCGGCAGCTGGCACTCTGCATTAGCCTGCTGGTGCCCTATGAAGCATCACTGCAGAGTGCATGCCGCGACAACCCAACCCAGCAATGTTGCTTTGCGAATGGGCCAAGTGACTTTTTGGAATGCTTTTCTTGGGCTGACCATGAAGGACACATCGATGCGCAGCTCTACGATAGGGTGCTCGAGGAGTCCCAAAACGGCATCTGGCCTACAGTCGTCCCTTCCCTAACTCGTCGCAGTCTCTTTGTCTCCTGCCTCTTCGATGCGCCGATCACCGCCACCATGGCCGAGTCGAGCGAATCCAAAGTCCTTCAAACAGTGCTCCAAGCCTGCACCCCGGTGGTTGTATTACACCTGAGCACGCCAGCCAATCTCATGCCGATGATTTCCAGCCCTTCCGGTGCACGAGCCTGGAGTTCGAGTGGTGAATCAGTCAATGCTCCATGCTGCGCCTTGGCGGGTCCCTCTCGGCCCACCAGGTCTACACTGAACCGATAGACTTTGCGAGATCGTGCAGCAGACGCCAATGACCGTCATTTTTGCCTTCTTTGGAAAATGCTGGCGAACTGCTGATCAGCAGTCAGAGTCTCTTGTCTGCTCGTCAATGTACGCTCTACGCATCATAGCATTCATCGGCTAGCCAACCGAGAATCCTACCAAAGTCTCTAGGGCGACAATGAATGAGGTTGTCACCACGCAACCTTGAATTGCTGTGAGACCTTGGTCGACAGACGAGACCATCGGGCCCAGACCTTCTCAACTCAAGGATTTTTCGCGTATCTCTTTCAGGTGAAAACTCCGACATCAACCTTGCCTCGACTGCGACTACATAGGAACGAACCAATTACTGTGTGACATTTCCCTACGGTAACGGTCGTTTAACGATGAGAAGGAGTCGCCCAGCGGCTAAAGTACCTACAGCCTGACTCATCCCTACAGCCCTGTGTAGCTTCACCACAACTGCATCCCCGGCAAGGTATGGAGGACTACCGCTATCCCTTCTTAGTATAAATCAGTTGACTAAGTCTTAAGCAATCCATTAAATCGTCACACAACCTAGAACTACTCTGGCTGACTATTATCCGAGCGACCAAAGTCAATGCATATAAGCATTAAGAGCCGTGTGGAATTACTAAGGTGTAGTCCGCCTTAAATGCCGGCGTCTGACACGAAAGCGGTCAGTTGCCGGTCATTTCCTCCTTCAAAACGACCTGGATGTTACTAGTTGATTATCATTGTTCGGGCATCGGGCAATGCATGGGCCTCCCCTGATCAACTTGGTTCAGGGTCTGCAGTAACATGCCAGGACAAGAATATTCCCATTCAAGATCTCACATGATCCTGATCTCAATGGCCCATCCACGCTCACGTCAACTGAGGCAGGTGCAACCTTTAGTTCAAGGTGCCGAATGGCGTGATATTGGCGAGACTATGTTTGGATTTCAATCACGTTTGCACCCAGTTCGTTATGATTACAAACAATCAACCTCACGAAACACCGTCGAGCAGGCCAAAGTATCCCCGGCGTATGCGGATGCGAAGGATAGTTTGTGCTCGGTTGAACGGTTGCTAAAATTGGGGCCAAATGTCTCAGATATACCACCTTCTCGGCATAGCTCTTCGTTACAGATATGCACGTTTCTCGATTGCGCAACAATCTTCTCTCTTCGAGATCGACAGCAACTGGCCGAGTATTTCTGCCTATTACAGCTGTCGCTCCCATATGGTCAACGTAACTTAGAATTAATCGACAAAGAGCTCGTTATGGCGTCGGATCGTCCCTCATTTCGGCCTACTCCGTCAAATCTGATTGGTGGCTCCTAACGGCTCGTGGGCGGTCACAACGTCGCAGATGTCATATGCTCTCATCGTAAACCGCTCCGTTTTGATATCGTGTCAACTATCGGGATTGACTATCACAGTCAATCCCAACGCATGCACTCAAAGTTACTGTGCAGCAAGAAAATCGAGTTTCGAGTTTCTAATTGGTTACCGATTTAGATGCACAAGTACCACAATCAAATTCATCTGAGAAACACAGACTAGCGACAAAGTTGGGGCGTGCATTGCGAATGGCCCTTCTCTCGCTTAACAGATACCACAACAGCCTGCGCTCGTACAGCACACTGAACCCCCGATATTGCTGATGGTCATGTGGCTGATAAAGTTGAGTGTCTTAGATCGAATGGGAAGTTTGAAATCGTCCGGACTCAAATTGGTGTTGGAATCCTGATCATGGAAAACAAGAATCGATATGTGCTACAGTTGTCCTCGGCAATCCCGAGAAGAGGCAGTTTCAGCTGCTACTGGCGCCTCGCTTCATCGCATCGTGTGTACTGTGCACTATACTGAGGGGAGATATCCAAGAATCAAAGCCATTTTGTACCACATAGCCTTGTTCAGATGGACGATATATCGCAAACACTGGCGGAAAGCCGGGCTCAGATCCTAACTCGCATGCATTAGAAAACTTCTGGGACAAAAGCAAGATGCTCCCGGCACCCACACAGGATTCGTTCGCAAAAGGTCCATGGGTATTAGCAGGTCAAAATTGCCATGGCTGATTCCCCGCCGGTCTGCGTAGTAGGTCTGCCCGACCCATTCTTTGATCTTTGCACAGACACACCAGTGCTTGTGTGAAGGTCGAAATAGTGCGAGAGTCTTATGTTGCAGATCTCAGAGCGTTGGTTCGAATCGTGCTATCGACGATCCAAAGGTTTTCAGCACCTCAGGTAAGGAAAGTGAACCTTCACTTCCCGGAGACGTCATCGCGACTCTTGTATGGTTGACGTGAGATCACATGAAAAGCTGACGCAGAGCGGTCTTTCCACCTGAGATGACCTTGCACTTATGTTTCCCCCCTGGTTGATGTCTGTCTTGACATTTCGACAAGCACCGCAGTCGTCCTTAAGTTTCATCTATGGAAATATGCTCCTGTGGTATCATGTTCCATTAGGAGACTGCATGTCTCCTCTCACGTTGAGATATGGGAGCTGGATATCTCTCGGGCTACATATACGACGGTGGCGGGCTATATACGAGGAAATCCAGACTTGATTGACAGTCCCTGGCTCATGGCACTTTTCAAACAGTCACACTTCAGGTCAGGATTTCATTTCCAGAACGGATATTAATTGGCCAGGCGGGATGGATCTTGTGATCTCTGCAATTCGATCTCCTCCCCAAATTGTCATTGGGTACAACAGTAATGACTTCACTATCTCGTTGGTGCACCTCGGCTTCGGGTCGATATGGATGACGAGTCGACTGGATCCAGATGCATCCCTGATCCAGGGCCATGTGCATAAGAGGCCAGCTAACTAGTCAGTGAGTGGACATCGATTGGAGCAGAGAACATGACTTACCTCGGGAACTATGTACTCCATGACAAGGTTTCCGCTCTGCAATTCAAGAAGCACTTTCAGCAAACAGAGTAGACAGTAACACATTCAAAGTTTCAATGCTGACAGTGGATAACGGCCATCCCAATTACCCCAAATGGCGATCTTAAGCCCTGCAAAGGCCACCCGAGATGAGGTGGCCATGCACATTCATAGCCACTCCATCTCTTCGCCGACTCTGCAGTTCAAGGGCCAGTTTAATTCCTTACCAGTTCTGGTCTTGTACGATTCGAGTTACCCAAATCCTTTTGACAATACCAAAACCGAGGGGTTGGGAAGAATATAAGTTTGAACACTTTGTGGATCATCATCATACAGGAGTTACTAATTCCTTATCCCTGTGTGTCACCAGAGCTTGGTTCCAACGGGTTTTAACCTCCTACGGCTGTCATGAAGGTCATCACAGTCCAGTGTTCGACCTGCAAAGTACTTGGCTGCATGCCACAATAATGTGGCTTGAAACTCGGATTTCTATTGGACGCCAATTCTTTATGCGTTTGGTCACTATTCGAATCTAATCTATTCCATAACGTCCATATTGATCGATGGGATGTTCTTTTGTTTGCGCCATTCCACACCATGACAGCCTATACAGAAAGATTCCCTGACAATGATTGCAAGTTACCAAAGTCCGAACGCCCACCAAGAAGAATCCTTTCAACGGTAAAGCGAAGAGAATTTCCAACGCGATGCAATGCGATGCGCGCAAAAGAACAATTTTCCCCCCTCCCCCCCCCTCCAACCCACAGCTGACAAAATGAAGCGGTACACACCTTGCATACTCAAGGTAACATGCATGAAGAATCCAGTCAACCTTTCCCATTTCCTGGATCCGATCCGCATTGGCTTTAGGCGTGTTTATGGGTGGCATTAATCCAAGCGATATGAAACCGAGAGCCCGGCCGACAAAATGAATGGCCGCTCTACTGGGAAAATTCAAGTGGTATGGATTCAAGCATGATGGTTATATTACCTATATCACTTACAGTCCAGGCCCCGTAGGTATATGCGGGCTATGAGTATTGATGCGTCACCTCATACAGGAGAATAGCGCGTTCAATTGGAAGTGTCTAGTGTACTCAGTACCAATGCATTCAACGTTGCTTTTCCTGATTTCGATTTCTTGCTCGTCTTTGATAAGCTCGAGAATGTGCGTTGTCCTTTTCTCGAGGCTTCTAGCCTAACTAGTTAGTGCATTCGATACTCCACAGGTATAGACCCATGAACCCGGGCAAGCTGCAGGGATGACATCTGCAACCAGCCGCCGAAAAAAGCACCAGAGGGCCCCCCAGGTAGTCAATCAGCCAACTCACTGAATACTACTCCCATTAGAGGCGTTCGCTTCGCCCTTTCCGCGGAGACAAACCCCGGACGAGGCACTCTCCCTCAATTTATAACTGTGGCAGGGGTGGTGTAGGGTAAGTCTTAGGGTCCAAAGGTCAATCGAGAAAAAGTGACACGCAAGCAACTGCGGCTTATTTTGAGTTCCCCGACCTCCGAGAAACAAAAGTGAGTCAGCTTGAACGAAATCCTGTCAAAACCAGGAATTGCAGGCTCGCATCCATGATCGGTATCAGCATTTTCTGGTTTTGCAGATTACAATGTGGTGACGATTTAGTTCGAGGCTCTGAAATTCATCGCCTATCCTGGGCACGCGCCTAACTTAATGCTTGCATGGGATGTTATGCATAGATGATATGGCGGCCACAAGAGCCCACATTCTTGAGACAGCCTGGGTAGACCATTCAATTGCTCGTGCTTGCCTCCTAAGCAGTGCATGTGAGTCAATGTCATGGATTAAAGCAAGTTGTTTGTCGAATTTACTATCCGTCCGCCTGGTAAGCGACGAGCCAGCTAGTCCTTTCGCTGAGATGGCATAATCAGGCCTCGATCTGAATGTCACCGTCCCTAAATTCTCGTTTAAATTGTGGGTACACCTGTTGCTCGAACGACGTTGGACAACGCCTTGGGACCATCCAATGAGACTACGTTAATAGTCCTGATATCCCAATATAGCAGAGGCCAGGAATAGGGCTGCATGGAAATTCCATGCCGGAATAACTCCTTCAGGGAATCCTTCACAGGGGTACCTCGGACACTATGTCACAGGAAGTGGTGTAGGTCTGACCAGCGCTATCCTTTCGAATGTTGACGTTTATCTGGAAAGTCGAACGTAGCCCCTGCGATCCGCATCGATCAGGGAAATTTTCTTCAAAAGGAACATCGGCGAAGGGTGATTCATCTCCATAATGAGGTCTTCTCGACTCTGGAGGCTTGAAACCGACTCGTACAGCCGTTTAGCGACAGTCAATACTCTCTTCCACAATATCCCCCACTACTGGAACCTGCTCATATTACGCGCACAAACCGCAAACTTGATCAGAAATTGATCCTCTTGGATTTGCCCCAACCCAAATTCTCAGGCCAGCTTATCGACCAGTCTTGCGCAATTTCTTCCTGTCTGTTCGACGTCACTCTCGTAAGAGGGAACTTCGAACACTGCCCCGAGAGCCACGGGGAGCAATTCATCTGATCTTCCATAATGACACTCCTCACGAAGCATGAACTACTTTACGACGGCTTGGGTAGGAGCTTGTTAACCTTGCTTTTGTCGAGCCTGATGCCGAACCCAATTGACCGCATTGCTTCTCTGTGCTCCCATGACACCACAATGTGGAAGCATGAGGAGGAGAGAGGATATACTTCTAATCTAGATGAAAAAGCCCTGGAAGGAACTTAGAGTCCCCATCTTGACTTTCGCGAAATCCCACTAACCCAAAGTCAAAAGCTTTACTTACTCACCTGGCACCCGTCAACTCTCAGAAGCACGGGCAACAAGAGTGATCTAGAGTACAACCATATAGCCCTATAGCGATACGCACACACGCAAATACTCATCTTCCAAACAGCCATATATCGTAGCAATTATTTCTTCTGTTAACTAGCCTTTACATCTCAACACACCCATCCACCATCAACATTATAAACCGCTCCAGTCACGAAGGAAGCCTCGTCACTTAGCAGGAACGCAATGACATTGGCTATCTCAACCGGCTCTGCTCTTCGCTTCTGTGCTGTGATTTGTAGCCCACGTTTCACGTCCTCTGGATCTTCACTGGCCGATAAAGGCGTATTAACCGAGCCTAGGGATGTCGCATCAAAGTATCAACATCATTAAACGCGTGGCTGGTAGCATGGTGAGGTAGGGTGGCTTACCTGGAGCCACGCAGTTGACTCTGATATGTTGGTGTTCCTTTGCCGCCGTCCGCATTGCTGCAATGACTGCTGCTTTGCTTGCACAATATGCTACGTTCCCGGGTGCACCGATTTGGCCGAATGTACTTGCTGCCGATACCTAGAGGTCAGATGGGTCAGTCATACCGTCCTACGGAACATCCACATCTTCCTCGACTTACAATGCTCCCTCCTTTCCCGCTCATCGCCCTCAACTGGGCTCTCAAACACCGAAACACTCCCGTCGCATTGACACCCATTACGAACTCCCAATCCTCGTCGCTCGCATCCGCAATGGGCGTCGCCTTGGCGATCACGCCCGCCATGTTCACCGCACCATTCAAAGTGCCGAATTTCTGGACTGTTGCTTCGATCCAGGAATCCACGGAGGCAGTTTTCCGCACATCGACAACAGTGTAGAGATGTCGCTCGCTGTCTTCAGAGCCTGCAAGCGTAGACATTGCGTTCTTAAGGCCATCCTCGTTGAGATCGGCCAGTGAGATGTGTGCCCCGCGTGATGCGAGGAGTTGGGCTGTGGCAAGCCCCATACCTGAGGCTGCCCCTGTGATGGCGATCTAGCCATAGTGAGTTCGGTGCTAACGAAAACGCTAGGACTCTACTTACCACTTTGCCATTGAAAGACGACATACTGAGCCGTGCGGACAGATTTGACACGACGGCTTGCCTGGGCACATGAAACCCTATTCAGATCTTCTCGTTGGCTCTCGAATATAAAGAGTGTTCGACCCGACGGACATTGATCTTATTATGCACAAATGTGATAATTGTAGTGAAACTAATGATTTGGAAAAGAATCCAGATAAAGGAGCCCATATTCATCCCTAAGCGGATAGATACTATCGAATCTGGATGAGGCGGGGTACTCCGCTTGGTGGACCAGCCACTCTGCAGGCTGTCTATAAACAAGAAAGTTATCCCGAGCAAGGGGGGGGAGGGGGTGGGGCGGGACCTCGTACACATATGAAGTACTAGCTTCCTACCAAGTAAAGGACTTAGTAGCGTCCTTTTAGGGATTAAATCCGTGACAATCGACAGCCCAGAGCTTCCAAATCAATAATCACACGTGGCGGTTGATATCATCCAGATTCTAAGAAATGGATGTCCCTGGTTTCGCTCTTGTCACCGGTGCAGGATCGGGTATCGGAAGAGCCTGCGCGCTGACCCTCGCCCGCGACGGCGCTGCGGGTGTGGCTGTATTAGATGTGAACGAAGCTGCACTGCTAGAGACCAAAGCCATGATTGATTCCCTGGATTTGCGCAATGGCCAACGGTGCCGAGTGGAGGTCTTCGCTCTCAGCGTCACCGACGAGGTGACCATGGACGACACGGTCACCAAAGTGGCCACAGCATTCGGTCGCATAGATTATGCCGTCAACGCGGCGGGGATCGCCATGAAGCACCCCGGCGGTGCGGCATTTGCACGCACGGAAGATTGGCGGCGGGTCATGGAGGTCAACGTCACAGGGACCTTCTTCGTGCTGCGCGCCGTGGCTCGAATCATGTTGAAACAGGAGCCAATCAAGTCTAGCATCGACGGTCGGCCGTTGCAGCGAGGGTCGATTGTGAATTTCTCGAGTATCCAGGGTCTGGTGGGGATCGAGCTATCGACGGCGTATACAACGAGCAAACATGCCGTGTTGGGTCTCACGAGGACCGCGAGCGATGATTACGCCAAGCACGGTATCAGAATCAATGCCATCTGTCCTGGATATACAGAAACACCCATGACGACGAAGGATCCCGCGGTGAAGAAGGCAATGGACGAGAGGGTGCACACCGCTGTTCCGATGCAGAGGATGGGCACACCCCAGGAAATTGCAGACGGAGTGGTCTTTCTGTGCGGTGGACGCAGCTCCTTCGTCGCAGGCACCGCGCTAAGTGTGGACGGAGGATATACTTCTAGATAGAGGGTATTAAATACTAAGTGGCTTTCTTTGGGAGGATACTAGGTTATGGTACATTAACAATACTCTGCGTATTCCTCCTCAACCATATCTGCTTTATATCGGTCAGAGTATCCGCAAAGGCTGAGAAGCCACTTCTCTCGGCGACCTTGCGAAAGATGTTGGAGAACGAAGCCTGGACCGCTTCATCGTCGGCTTCGCAGGCTGCAATGAAGGCCGGCCAAATAAACCCAGCCGATCCATACACTGCATGTGGGTCAGAATTTTCGCACCGTAGAAGACAGTCTCGAACGGCCATCACCCTCTGCTGCAGTAGAGCAGAATCTAGATCATACACTCTCCGGTAGAAGTATATGGCCAAAGCATGCTGGATTGCTGTGAGCATGTTTTCTATTACTTCCTGATTATCGTGGGTTTTAAGGTTATGTGCAATGGCAGCGGCGTATGTGGCCGGATGCATGTGTAGAATGGATCGCTCGACAGCCTTTGCTTGCGTCATAAAATCCTTCAGTGAGGATGCCGGCTTTGTAATAAGCTCTTCACTACCGTCCTTCTCTCTGGCTAGGCGGATGACGAGAGACAATAACAGCATGTAGGGCTCTGGGACGCCAAAAACTTCCGGATACAGAGTTTTAGGGAAATCTCCGATCCGTTCTAGGTGCAAGTCATTCTCTCCTTCTTCCTGTTCTTTTATCCTTTGCATCTCTTGTTCTAGATCGCGAAAGCCAGGCAGCCGGAAGGACGGGCTGTCTTGGCCATAGGCTACTATGCCGCTTGACACTACGGCCTTGAGCAAATGGGTGCGTTGGTTAGAGTTTGCTTTTGCGACGGACGTGCTCTCATAGAACAAGCGCTCGAAAACGTAGCAGTGATGAAGAAGGCGAACTTTTCGAGACTTTCGACGATGGAGGCCACGTAAGCGGATGAATTTCTCCGCCTCGAGGAAGTAACACTCAGTCTGATCTCTATTCCTAGAGAATAAGGAGAGCTGGACCATGGTGATCAGTGCCATTAAAATGCACTTATATTTAGCAGATTTCGGGATATTGTAGGCGGTGCTTAGCATCATTCGGACGTGCTGCCTTGCTCGTTCCTTATAGACTTTGCCCTCCTCGAGCCAGCTGTCATATCGCGCTATTCCACTCATACTGAAGGCACTGAGTGCCAATGTACCGTAGAATGTACAATAACTAGCGTGATCTAGCTGTTCACCCATTGCAATAGCAGCCAGGCAACTTTTGACATGAGGGATGAAGAGGATATGCCAGGGAGTTTTCGTATGGCGAAAGGGAGTAAGCATATTGATTACGGTCGTAGAGTAGTGGCTGAGTAGAAAGACCGCATTGGCCGGAACGGCACTTGATACTGCCATGACAGAAGCATTTGGATCTGGCGACACGAAGGGTTTTGGTTGAAGATTGTATGCGAAGTTGGAAAACTGATACGTTTCCGCCGATTTAAGAGGAATTGCGAAGTCAGGTAGCCCATCCATGCTTTGAGTATCACAAATCTCTGTGACACGAGATGTGTCGGGCAGTAAATCCCAATACTCAGTAGAAGGCGTGAGAACTGCTTCACCAAATACAGCATGGATCAGTGCCTGAGTTGTCGGCGATAGTTGTTCATTGCCCTGCGTTGCGAAAGTTTCATCATAGAAGGGCAATTCCAGACTTTGTGGCAGATCTTGTTGGGCACCAAGATCCAAATGGGGCTCGGTACAGTGGTCAGAGGAGCGTTTGATCAGTCTAAACACCCCAAAAGGACCTCGATCAATACAAACGTCTTGAGATATTGGTAGCTTCTCGCACTCTTCATCAATCTCATCAAGGTAGTGGAATGCTAACTTTGGTGGGACTCTGGAAGTCAACCATTCACTCATATGCAATCGCTCCGCTTCTGTGAACAGTGGCCGGCGAAAGCGTCCGGTCTCTGCCTCGGATGAAGATGAACCATCGAAATCGAAGAAGATCTGATTCTGGTAGCCTCCACAGGTCAGGCCTAAATTCTTACACTTGATGCATGAAGGACGAGTCTCATCGCATTTCACGTGACGGCTTCGACACTGTGGTTGTCAGTGAGATTGCCTCTATTGTTTCTGGTAGGCATCCCCTACTGTAATGCAGCCACCAAATGATCGCCCCCGGCTTGTGGACGATCCGCCACGGCCCATGGCTACTCTTTGGAGAATAGGGAATGCAATCTCCTCACCACCTACGAGAGATCTTGGCGTGGCACGCTCTCATTGAAATAGCAGATAGGCTTAGAGAAGAAAAAGGGAAGTCACTGCGAACTGCGGGTCTCTCAGTACTTGTACAGACTCAGGTGGAGGTGAGCGACATGTTAGCGAGGCGAAGTGAATGAGGAAAGTCATCGAGACAAGCTTTTATATCCGCTCGTCCCCTCCCAATGATTGGCCGCTCGGCTACCTGTGTGACCCCGTCATATCAACCCCAGGTCGCGGCAGGCAGGTCATACACTCCTTACCCGAGACGAGAGCCAATTTGTCAAGGCCAGAGTTCATTGACCTAAAACTAGGCAAATACTTAAAACCTAGGTAAGCAAGGTTCATGATAGGTTTCATGGGCCATATCCTTTAGGTAGGTATCCGAGGGCCTCCTCCCCCGCCGTGGTCCATTTGCCCTGTGGCCACTTAGCCCAGACTTTTCTGGGACCCGATGCTCGCAAACGAATATCCTGTTATCTGTTTCATCCCCGACGAGTAACGTTGACTGGCGCTTCTGATAAGAATGCACAAGGTTTATATAAGGACTCCTGTGGGGAGCCATGTCTCTCCACTCAGCCCTCTGCCTCCTTCCTCTCTTTCTCCCTTCAATTCTACCCACAAAGTCTGCTACGATGGCTATTACAGGAGATCCCTCCATCGATCAAAAGAATATGCACCACGACGACAAGATGCATGACCCTGAACTGAACAGGATCGAAACCTGCTCGGATGGACAGCAGCTGCGTCCTTTAGAGCAGGCGGGCACCAAGCGAAATATCAGGTCAAGACACGCTCAAATGATCGCTATTGGCGGCACCATCGGTACAGGTCTCTTTGTCGGTTCAGGCCAAGCTCTCGCAATAGGAGGGCCAGCGTTTCTCTTCCTTGCATACTGCATCATCTCACTCCTAGTCTATGGTGTGGTCACAGCCGTCATCGAAGTCTGTACATTTTTGCCCATCTCCGGAAGCTCTATGGCGTATTTCTGTGCTCGTTTTGTCTCACCTTCTCTCGGATTCGCCCTGGGCTGGCTCTACTTCTACTCCTTTGGTATTATTGCTGCCTACGAAATCACCGCGGCAACTATTGTCATTGGTTATTGGCCCAACAATGTTCCTGTCGCAGTCTGGATCACTATCATGCTGGTCATCATCGTTGGCCTCAATCTTTGCCCAGTAGGGATATTTGCGGAAACAGAATTCTGGTTTGCGGGAACTAAAGTCGTCATGATTATTGGTCTCTTGGTCCTTTCATTCATTCTAATGCTCGGTGGAGGGCCGTCCCATGACCGGCTAGGCTTTCGATATTGGAATGACCCCGGAGCAGTTAAATCATATATCCTGGAAGGCCCCGGCGGCCGCTTCACTGCATTTCTCTACGTTTGGGTTTTCTCCGGCTTCTCCTTTTACTTTGGCCCGGAGTTGATTGTCTTCACGGCCGGTGAGATGCGAAATCCACGCAAGAACCTCCCAATCGCAGCCCGTCGCTTTTTCTACCGTCTCATCATCTTTTATCTCTTGGGATCCCTTGCGATCGGCGTGATTTGCAACTCGAACTCTGGTGGGCTCACATCTGGCCAGGGTGACGCAAATGCCTCACCGTGGGTCATCGCCATCCGCAATGCGGGTATTTCGAGCCTCCCTTCGATCATTAATGTCGGGATCCTCATCAGCGCCTGGTCGTCCGGAAATTCCTTCCTCTACATGTCTAGCCGAGCGCTCTACTCTCTCGCCATCGCTGGAAATGCACCACGGGTTTTCCAGAGGTGCACCAAGTACGGTCTACCACTCCCTGCGGTGATAGGCAGTAGTTGCTTCTGCCTCTTAGCCTACCTCAGTGTGGGATCATCCGCTGGCGTAGCCTTTAACTGGTTTGTCAGCTTAACGAATACGGCCGGCTTTACATCATGGGCCGTCTGCTGCATCATTGGCATACGCTTTCGCAAAGCATGCCAGGTTCAGGGTGTGGCCGTCCCCTATCGCTCGCGGTTCCAACCTTACGCTGCATGGGTCTGCTTGTTCTTCTTCATTTTCTTGCTGTTGGCGAATGGCTTTACAGTGTTCTATCCTGGAAGATTTACCACGAGTGGTTTCCTCACAACTTATCTCGGTATTCCGATTTTTCTGGTGCTATGGCTAGGCCACAAGCTGACCTTGGGGCGGAAAGAAGCCTGGTTGTACAAGCCCGAAGCCGTAGATCTCATATCTGATCTGGCCGAAGTCGAAGGAGACGCTGAAGTTTGGGCTGCGCAAGAACTAGCTCAGAAAGAGGAGCAGACTAGGGTCAAGAGCTGGTGGAAAGCAATCTCCGCTATCTGGGCGTGAATGGACTATTGTCAAACGGCAGGTGGTGACTCTTGAGAGGTTTGTATGGGATGTAGCATACGCCTTGAGTTTACGTCCCGGTGTTTTTATCTCGTTATTCAGTTTCATTTAAGGAGCCAAAGAACCATTCGCTAAATTTCTTTTCTATTCACTCATTGCAGGCGTGGGCACTAAGTCTCATTAAGTCTCATAGTGCGAAAACCACGCGGCATCTTAGCAGAGTAAAGTGTAAAGTTCAAGTGTTAGCATGTGGGAGGCGCTCCATGCAGGTCCCTCATACTATTTCTCTTTCAATAAATGTTCGATGCTACATTGGAATGATCTGCAGAAAGGTGTCTGAATCTGTGCTCGATAGAAATCGCACAAATCAATGATGTGAAACTCTTATGAGACGATAGCAGTCCAGCGCTTTCTAATTTTCGGGCGCATATGCAGGTTCCGGGGGTAAGGCAGAGGCAAAATTCCTGATGCAGAATAGGAAAGTCATCGAGAAAACTCTCCAAGATTCCCACCCGAAACGCTTATCCTCAAAAAATCTCGAACCATCGAATCAAACTACGAGGAAATGCCCACCATTCGCAAAATGCGTGATGCTCACATGAAATCCCACGACCGAAGGGTTATAAGGGTGCGAACAAAGAGTTTGATTGAAGCTGCTGAACATTTCTTCCTCGCCCTCACAACCCTTTCTTCTGCTTAGATAATCTCGGTTCTACGTCCAAAATCATGGAATCTATCGGGATCAAGAACTTGTCCAAGTATGACGTACTTATCATTGGAGCAGGCTTGTCAGGTATATGTAGCCTTCACCACATTCGCCAGCGCTTTCCCTCGTGGCGTGTGAAGGTGCTTGAAGCCGGTTCTGATGTCGGCGGGACTTGGTACTGGAATCGCTATCCTGGAGCACGATTTGACTCCGAGTCCATATCCTACGGGTTTTCGTGGGATCAAGACCTCCTAAATGAATGGCACTGGAAAGAAGCATTTTCACCCCAGCCGGAAACATTACGATATATCCAGCATGTTGCTAAGAAACATGACCTCTACAGGGATATCCAATTCAACACTCGGATCGTCTCTGCAACGTGGCAAGACAGTGGCTCCGAGGATAATGGGCATACCTGGACCTTCACAGATACCACAGGGACTCAGTATCGCACAACCTTCTTTATTAGCTGCCTTGGCTTCCTTTCCTCTCCGACACTGCCCAATATATCTGGAATTGAAACCTTTTCAGGTCAATCGTTCCACACCTCCCGCTGGCCCGACAACTTCGATATGAGCGAGTTTACCAATAAGCGTGTTGGGGTCATAGGTACGGGAGCTACAGGAATCCAAACCATCACGGAACTTGCCAAGGCACCCCTTAAGTCGCTGAGCGTGTTTCAACGAACAGCGAACTGGTCAGCTCCACTCAGAAACACTAAAATCACCGTTGAGGAAATGTCCAAGATCCGGCAAGGCTACGCATCTGTTTTCCAGCAATGTGCAGAGACACCAATGGGATTTTTACACCAGGCAGACCCGCGCAGGTCCGGAGATGTTGACAACACCGAGCGTACAGAGTTATGGAATAAGCTGTACGCACAACCTGGCTTTGGCAAGTGGCTAGGGGTATTTCAAGATACGTATACAGACCGGGAAGCCAACAAGCTGTACTCGGACTTTATGGCGCAAAAGATTCGCGATCGGGTCTCTGATCCCACTACTGCGGACGACCTAATCCCTACAAACCATGGTTTTGGCCTTCGACGAGTCCCCCTTGAGAGCGGATACTTTGAGGCCTTCAATCAGCCCAACGTACACTTAGTTAACCTACAAAAAACACCCATTGACTGTATCACGCCCACCGGAATCACAACATTAGATGGCAAATCTCACGACCTTGATGTACTGATCTTCGCAACTGGCTTTGACGCTATCACTGGCGCTTTTCGAGAAATCAAGTGGTCGGTTAAAAACAAGAGGCCACTCCTGGGCTACAGTACCAGCACAACAGTACCGGGTAAGGACGCGGTGTGGATTGACCACCAGCCCAAGACCTTTCTAGGCCTTACCCTGCCTTCTTGTCCTAATATGTTCATGGTGCTCGGACCGCACCAACCGTTCGGTAACGCCACCCGGAGCATTGAGCACGCCGTGGACGTTATCAGCCAACTGCTCCAGCACTGTAGCGACAACAATTACACGTACGTCGAACCAACAGATGCAGCGGTGCGTGAGTGGACGGAACACGTAGCACAATGTAGCCAGGGGTTGCTCTCGAACGACGTTGACAGTTGGATGACGGGTGTGAACAAGAACATCGCAGGCAAAGCGACGCGGAGTGTGGCGAGGTACGCAGGGAGTGCTGTCGAGTATCGCCGTCGATGTGAGGAATGTCGACTACATGGTTGGAAGGGGCTTGCCTTCCGAACTACTGCCAACGCTGTTCACATTGCTCCGAGGCCACGTGCAGAGATGGCACAAAGCAGGCTGTGAAAACATAGGGGGGTAGAGTTCTGGATATTGCTTTATATTTGATTAGACTTCTGAATAATCTCAGCAACCCATAGTCTTAGATCGCTAAAGGCTCAAACCCATTCGGTTGAAGTAGGCTCTGGCACTTAACTTCCTTGGTGTGTGCTCTTCTGACAGGCAGACTTTGAATAGCACATGAGCTGTAGTGACCGCCAAGGGCAAAAGCAGATTTCTTTGTATTTCTGGGCAGGTACTATGATCAGAACCATGCCTAGGTAGGAGGGGCAGTTGAGTCTCTGCTGGGGTTGAAGCTGTTCAGAGATCCTCAAGATCTAACTGCGGGCCGCTTTATTGGCCGCCTCAAAAGCTCTAGCGCCTTGTCAGAAACCGCACTTTCTCGGTGACACCCGAAACAATGGCGAACGCCAATTTTTCAGATGCTCTGCCATGAAAAGACCAGATACTACCAGTCTCCGTCGTTCAGAAGGTGCGCAAAACGTCAAGCAAAAGAGCAAAAATGTATTCGATCCCGGGATCGAACCGGGGACCTTGTCGGTGCCCAGAGGCAGAATGTCCAACTCATGTGAACGACACGTGATAACCACTACACCAATCGAATGTTTTTTGTGCAAGAATTTCAGGTCAAACACGGGGAAAACCAGATATAACCCATTGTTCGTTCCCTGGCCTGGGATGGGAATGTGAGCAGCGCCCGGGTGCGGAGTCTGCCCGCGGGCAGGGGACCATGAGGGGTTGATTCAGCACTTCAATTCACTGTGCGAGGAAGCCAAGGGCCCCTCCAAACTCATCAGCAGCTCCAGACGCTCATCTGTTGAGGCCAACTGTTGTACATGTTGTACAGGCCGGTCTTGATATCAAACTTTCATCTGATAACGAGCTATCAAATCATCCAAACTCAGGCTTCAACACATACAGTAGTAACTTGGGCGTTGATCTACGTATCTAACAACATGTCAGACATCGATCTCTCAACACTTCAAACACCGGCCAAAGCCACCGCAGATTTCTGCCTGATTCCTCTTGGGACTCCAACTGCGTCGGTTTCAGCACAAATAGCGGATGTACAGAGATTGATGAAGAAGTCTGGGCTAAAGTATAGCATGCATTCTGCAGGGACGACCGTTGGTAAGTGATTGTTGGCTGCCTTGTTTTAATGTTCTGCTAGGGCGAGGGAAGAGGCGCAAGCGATGTTCCATGACAGTGCTGGTGGTATCGAGATGAAGAGTCCTACAATGTAGCACGATTACTCCACGCCAGATGGGCCACTACTGATCGGCAAAGACAACTGAATGGCAGAGCTGACAATTCTACTTTAAACGTATCGCTTGCCTGTTAATCGAATGCTAACCAGCTCATGAATAGAAGGCTCATGGGAAGAGGTCACTGGCGTGATCGGTCAAGCGCATGCACTCCTGCACGGGAAAGGCGTTGTACGTATTCAAACAGATATCCGAATCGGCAGCCGCACCGATAAAACGCAGACGATGGAAGATAAGGTTTCAGCCGTCGAGAAACTGCTAGCTGATAGCAAGTAGCATATTCCAGATCGTTTGGGAGCATCAGAGCCATCGGTTGTATGATGTAAGGCTTGCAGGATGTGATGATATTTTTGTGGGCATGAATATAGAAAACTGTGAATTCGATATGTGTACTCATGGCAGCCCGAAAACCTACTGAACAGCCTTTCTCCTGCTCTGTGTTTGCTGAAATCAGCCAGCCTCTGAGGGATTCTCCGGCGAATACTTAAAGTAACCTCCCCCTTCAGACCCTGTAGAAGCCCCGACGGGTCTATATGGTTTTTGCCCATAGGCAACAGACATGTCGAGTAAAAGGTGGTGGGCTGGATTTTGGAGTTCTCGCCTCACATTTGCACAAGCGACAGTAGCTTCTGTGAGAGACCCACCCAAATACTGGGTCAATAGACGCATAGCCCAGCCTTCCAGTCCCGTTGTCAAATACTCGAACGCGAGTTCGCCTTGATCTTTTAGGTGTCGGTCTTCATGCCATGGCCCTATTGGCCATTGATGGGGGTGGTCAATGACATATTCAAAGCCTTCCTCACGCATGAGAGAAGCCATCTTCATGTATATGAGAATGTCGCGTTCGACTATATGGAAGGCGCGCCATGCATTATTTAGCCAGCAGTACATGGAATCATCTAGCTCAACCCCATCTTCCAGCGTACAAAAGGGGGCAATTTCCAGATGCTCGAGGTATCCTCCCGGTTTTAGGCATCAATAACATTGTGCATAGAGCTTTGCCCAATTTTGCACACAGCCAAGAAGCCCGCGAATATGGATGTAGTCGAAGCTGTTCTCGGAAAATGTCCAGTCCTGCTCGGCATCATCGATCTCAAACTTATAATTTACGACCGGCCAGCTGGTCTGGATAGGTGAGAGATCAGTGCCCAAGACCTGTGCTGAAGGGAACTCCTCGGCAAATGCCTCAGCCCAAAGACCTGTGCCGGTGCCGACATCGAGGACTTTTTGAATATAGTCAACCAAAGGAGCAAGGAAAAGCGCATCGTCGAAAGTCGTCAAACAGAGCTGGTGAAATAAGGCTCCAAAGGCGAATTAGTTTCAGGCTCACTTTATGGCTTTTGGCAGGAATGTTACCCTCATGTTCTTGAGCCTGAGCATCGTTCGGCTGAAAATATTTCTCTTGGTCAAATGCGTGATAGCGACGATAGTTCTCGACCCGGTATCTTGTGACCTCGGATGATACAGACATGGTATCATCGATTCTGCCAACGCTCAGAAAATGTGCCCTCTTTGATTTGAAAGGCTTACTCTAGGGACCCAATTCCCGAATCATCACCAAAGTCGTCTTCGTCGTTCGTCGTGCATGATGCGGTCACTGTTCATGTAGTTATCGTCAGTGTGGTTGCCGTTCAGGTAGTCTTTGTCCATGTGGTTCCGTTGGTATGGTCGCCATTGATACTTGAATCCATGTTGATAAACCTGTGTGCTCACTGGAGATAATACGCGATGCTATACCTAAGGGAGTCTGGCCAATACGGGATTGGAATACTGAAGCTGAAGGATGTGCATTCACGGCCTGCACGTTTTCGACCATGGGCAGATTCCAAAGACAAGGCAAGTGCCTCTTTGTGTACGTTCACAAGGCAAGAGCATGTGAGTTGACGATGAGTTCTCGAAGAAGCCACGAGTCATCAGGTAGCGGATAGATTGCACCGCTCATCTACCGACATGACGGACTAAATTTGCGAAGACCCATTTGTTAATTCTAGAGCCGTTGAATGACACTTCGTGGCTTTACAAGTTTTATGTTAGCTCAGCATCCTTTACAGTCGCCTGGTTAGCGTAATCACAGCAGGGGAAGAGCAGCCATTTGTGATTCTTCAACATGTCGCGAACTACGACAAGGCGTCCTGAAAAGGAGCAAGTGCATAACTCCTGTCACTGCAAGCTCGGGAAAACGGGGCAAATGCCTACCTCGTGCTGGGCCAGATGTGTAATTATGGCTGCAATTCCTTTGGGCACAGGTCTTTGATGCATGGAACGTTCCTGATCCGAGGCTCACAGTCTACACATGCAATGAACTCGAGGCTAGACTCTTTGTTGGGCATTGATTCAGCTGGGATCACTCCTGGATTTGTGGGATGCGAGCCACTTGTGGCGTCATTATCGTGGCTGTGCATGCAGGGGTTTGTCGGATTAACATTAATCCTTGCAGAGCAGCCACTCGGGGAAATCCTTCCCCAAAACCGTCCAATTCCCACCCGCGTCTCGTCGTATCCCAGCCTCAAGCAATCAGCCATTGACAACTCACAATGACTCTCATCTTCTGTGACATTGCGCCCTTTATTGGCGACAATGCCACATCCTTTGCCGCCCTACGTCTGCGCCTGATCTCTACTCAGTTTCAAAAATTGTTAAACAGCTCATTCTGACCTTTGTTTATTGTGCTTGTCATTCAGTCTGCTCCTTGGTTGACCGCCAGATTGATCCTCCAGCCATGCTATTTTGAGGACAAGCGGCTAGTCCACTTGTCGGACTCCTTCAAGAAGGCTAGAACTTCTCTCAATAGCAGCAGCTCCCGTCTATCATACCGCTTCCCACTCTAAAGTGCCCCGTCCATCATGGCAGCCATCCATCAGACCATAGCAATTGTTGACAAGTCCAACAAGGTTGTCAGCACCAGTAAACAACTCAAAAATGTCTTCAAGGAAGCCAAGCTGGCCTACCTCGAACGCAAAGCCGAGATTGTCGCCGATCGAAAAGCCCGAGAAGAGAGGGAACTGAGGAAAGCGATCAAAGCCGTGTCTATCGCAGAGGACGCTCCTTCAGACACATCAAGAAGATCTCGAAGACACCACAGCTACAGGCCCGACTCAGATGACAGGCACAGAACATCCGGGCGTGAAGGACATCACCATCATCATCACTCAGAATCTCGAAGGAGGAGCCATTCTCACGAAGACTCCTGCAGTGCTCCTTCTGCATCTCCCACCGAACGCCCTCCTGCATATAGCGGCCTGGCCCAGTTCAACGAAGACCTCTACGGTACCCACAGGTCTGCCCCTGCTTCGCCTGATGCACCTCGTGGTCATGGCTTGGTGCGTTGCACAACTGATCTCCCTCTGGAAAGATATCATTCAAATCGACCTGCCCCAGCCCGTGCTCACTCCACTTCGGACATGGACGGTCATATTGACATGGACCTTGCGTATGGAGAATTCCACCCAGAGTCGTTACGGTTAAGCCCCAAAGTGGAACAACAACTGCAAAAGCAAGAGATGTCTTCCCTGGTTGAAAAGTGCAAACTCTTGATGGACGAGGCGAACTGTGCACAACATAGTGTACGAGCAATCGTTGCCCACTTGCAGAAGAATCCTGACGCAATGGCTGCAGTGGCATTGACACTCGCTGAGATTAGTAATTTGGCCACTAAGATGGCCCCAGCTGCGCTCATGTCGTTCAAAACCGCAGCACCAGCTGTTTTTGCCGTGCTCGCTGCTCCTGAATTCCTCATCGCTGTCGGTGTCGGTGTTGGGTTGACTGTTGTCATGTTTGGTGGTTATAAAATCATTAAAAAGATAAAACTCGGCGCTGGCGACAAGGACCAGGAAATCGTGGACGAAATGTTGGATGTCAATGAACTTAGCCGCATTGAGCATTGGAGACGTGGAATTTCTGACACTTCTGACACTGTCAGTGTCGCTACTAGTGTTGAAGGAGAATTCATCACCCCAATGGCCGCTGCTAGCATGGGCCATTTACCACTCCCACGTGAGAGAAGCGAGGTTAGGCATGGAGAAAGAAAACGAGAAGGGAAAAAGAAGCATAAACATCGAAACGAGGACGAGGACGCTGGGCGTACAGTGATGGGAAGCGAGTCTTCGACGAGATCGAAGAAGAGCAACAGTAGATCTGAGAAACGGGACAAGGCTTTGGTGAAGGTGAAGAAGCCAAGTCCTTTACGCAGAATGTTCACGAGCAAGAGCTCAGACACGTCTTCGAGGCATTGAGACTACTGCTTATTGTTTTTCTCTCATTCTGAGAGATGCCAATCTCGGCTGGGGATTTTATTTCACGACTTACGATTCATGAGGTGCTATGAAACTTAGATATCACGCTTACAAAAGCACATGCAACGTGTATAGGACAACATTCAATGCAAACACCTGTCTCATGAAGTTGACTGAGGATCCAGTCTAAATTGTTCGGGCTTAGTGAGCAACAGACGTTTATCAAATCCTATATAGCAATCGATTTTGTTCAAGAAAAGGATCTGCACCTGGCGGTCATAAGGTTGGCCGTACTACCTTCCTGAATTCCCAGTTGCGCCGTGCTGGGCACGTGACTGGCGAGAAATTTCCGTGCGGCGTCGACCTGCGATCTACGCAGAGTTGCCTCCCAAGTTTTTGTGGCCACTGACCACCAGCCATTAATTCTTCAACAGTGCGTCTCGTTCTTTGCTCGAGGTCTTGATAACATCATCTTGGGCCACCGCGTATCTTCCTAGACTCTCCATCAGTGACGTCTAGGGAGTAGAATCATACAATCAATCCGACCTAGGTTCCATCCCTACATTGCAACTCGAGCAGTCTTCAGCTCAGTCTCCGCCCCTTATACAATTTCTTCACAATGGATCACTCGAGGGATCCATGCCCCTGGGTAGCCCTGTCCGACTTCGGTGGAGCCTTCTCTATGGGCGCTTTGGGGGGTAATACATCTTCCTATCAATAATAGGGTATCTGATGGCTAAGTGGATTCTAGGCACGTTATGGCACGGCATCAAAGGATTCAGAAACTCTCCCTACGGTGAACGAAGGATAGGAATGATCACAGCGATCAAAGCTCGAGCACCCGTTACGGGAGGTAACTTCGGTGTCTGGGGTGGCATGTTCAGCACGTTCGACTGCGCAGTCAAGGGTATCCGGAAGAAGGAAGACCCATACAATTCTATTATTGCCGGATTCTTCACAGGAGGTGCTTTAGCTATAAGAGGAGGATACAAAGCTGCTAGAAATGGTGCCATTATGTGCGCCATTTTCCTAGCCGTGATCGAAGGTGTCGGTATTGGTATCCAACGACTCATGGCCGAGGGCACGAGGCTAGATGTGAGTTGCTTAAGATATTACTCCAAGGCTTTCAGCTTGTCTTCTAACGATTACAGCTCCCTCCTCCGCCATCACCCTCTGAATCCGGACGCGTTGCAGCGTGACTGGAAATGGCCACGACTCCGCATTTCATTTAAGAGTATTTGCCACTTTTGGATTCTGGAATCCTTTGCGACTTATCGCTTTAAACCCGCTTCTCTACTCTCCCAATATCCTCCGGCTTTCGATGGTTGAAGGTACTTCATGTGCATAGCGGGCGTATGGTGAACAATCATAGGCTGGAAGGTCCTTTGCTTTGGGAAGAAAGTGGCTCTACCAGGGTAGTTTCTGCCCGTTGATGCGAGGGTTGACATTACTTGGGTGGCTGCCCCGATATAATTCTCTCGCCACATGTGCGAAATGCCATTCCTACCTTAAAGGTGTAAAATAGTGTATGATGATGAGGGTTGTCAATAGATGTCACGAGCATGAAAAATCGATTTCATGGGTCATGGTATGGCTTGCCTTGCCTTGCCATAGCTGGCTGGCTGTGTCGAGTGTCCAATTGATCGAGTAGCCCTCTCTCGTGATCAACGTACATAGGATGTAATGTAATTAGTTCTGCACAGCATCCAGGCGCACCGAGGCGGCAGGCTGATTATGATGACTCAGCAAGGCTGTGCGGGTGCTGCCTTCCTCCTGACATCCTCCAGACTCCGCATTTCCGCTCTGTCTGCCAGAATCCTAGTGCCACCCAACGGACCCTCACATCAGCACATGCTCGCGTCTCGTTTCCACCATCCACTGCACCACATTTAATACTCGCATGATTTCCCAACAGGCGCCGACTTGATTCTGACTTCTTCATATCTTTCAATACAAGCCCATCATTTCTGATGCATTATGCAAAACCCGACTCCCTAGATCCCAGCGCTGATGACGCCACGACGGAATCTTGCGACAGGTCGTCTCGCGTCAAACTTTGTGATCTAGGATTCCATGTCCCTGAGCATATTATTCCCGATATAATTCCTATTTCCGACCCAAAATTACTCTTCTCAAACTACCATGCTCAACGCGACCGCAGACTCCGCCAACTCATCCGGCGTTATACGAATCAAATCCAATATGGCTGCAGAAATCTCAATTGTAACACCCTGACCTGCCTGAGTTATCGGAAAAGGAATAGCACTGCCCCTTTGAGAAGACATACGGATCTCTCTGCTCGCACATTGGCATGTCAATTGGTGGATGATTATGCAAGAGCTGGGAAAGATCCTGTGGTCGGCTTGTGCCAGAATGAGCCTGTAGTGCCATGGTATGAGAATCCTGCTGCTATCAAGAAGACGAGGAACAGTCTAGAGAAATCGGTTCAATCTCACCATAATAGACTTCATGAAAACGGGCCTCCCGTTCACGGTTCCACTTCATCACAAGCGACGAAAGACCCTCCGCGGCATGCACCCCTGGCTGAGCATCCCGTGAGAAAGAACAGTCATGATGGCGTCATTCTGGCTGGAAGGATGCTGCGTAGTCTAGACTACAAGCGCCAGCAGCCCACTGTTCAAGCAACAGGGGACGTTGTGGGGATCCTGAATTCAACTTTGAATCGAGACAGACATTCTTCCAAATCCAACGAATTACCTCCGCCAGCAGCTCCACCTCCTGCCGAGAAGAAGGATATGGCATCTTTCACTCAAAGTCTTTTTGACCTTATGCCACTTCGACTACTCAATTGGTTTCCGACCACAGAGAATTCCGTTAAGCCAGACCCACCCGAAACAAATGTAATAGAAAAGGTGCAACCGGCTCAAGCACGAAACAGAAGCCCCAACCCTGACGCAGGTGATCGCAAGCAGGGGCTTCCATTGTCCTCGGATCAACTATTGGATAATTCTTCAGAAAAGAGGCAGCCTCAACCATCCAATCCTCCGGATGCGACCAGATTTACTCTTCGTACACTCACTTGGGACAGTGCAGTCTGGTTACGGGCTGCTGAAAGAGTTTTACCCATTAAGGATCCCGAAACCTATGAGTCGAATTTTGTGCCCTTCTTGAAACAAAGTCTGAACTATTGTATGAGCGATCCAGAACGACTGGTCGCAACCGCCAGGGACTTTCAAGGATCATATGCCCATACCACACCGCCCCCAAACAAAACAAATTCAGACCGCCTGGCCGAAGAGCGCGGCCCGGAAGATCAACATGGCTATTCAACCCATTCTGTTCCAAAACCAACATTACAGAGTCTGGCGCTGAGGATGTGGCCATCCGTACTCACCCAGACAAAATATGACCTTGAAGGACTATTGACGTCTCTGACTTTCCTTGAAAGCTTTGAACAGAGGGACTTGATACTCAACAGCATCTTTGAAGCTCTACAACATTCGTACATTCTCCCCTCATGGCTGCTAAAAAGCAGACCAGGTAACCGGAGTAGATCTACCAATGGCAATGGAGAACAGCTTATCAAATCTCGTGGAAATCTCAATCACGATTTTCAAGATCTGTTCTCGAACAACGGGAACAAAGGCGCTATCTCCACCACGGAATCGAGAGCTGGCGTCCCTTTAAAAGATTTTCAGGTATCTGAAGTCTGTCTGGTGGCACTACTATCTTTGGCAGCCATCATCTTCGACGGAGGTAACTTACAGTACTGGGCCCACGGCTTAACTTTTGCCCGCTTCAGAACTCTCAGAAACAGTGGGCTTGCTCATTCTCACTGGCCTCCTTTTACCGACCCCAATGAGCCTGAAGACAATAAGCGAGCGCTAAGATTCGTCGGGATCATGATACAGGCGATCGATGTATGTGAAGATTGGTCTGTGCTTCGATTGCTGAACGGTATCATGGACGTCATCAGCCATCGATTAGCAGTGGCTAAATGGGCATCAACATTGAAGAGCTCAAAGAGTATAAAGGAGAACAAAAAAACCATTGTTGATCTCCTCATTAACCGATTCGACCGCAATTCCCTGAAACTCCACGACGAGGATGCTCTCAACCCGAGCTGGATCGGAACAGCTGTTGTGGAATTAGCACGAACAGTTATGCTGAAAACCTGGGATCGCAAGCCTGTGGTTCAGCGTGCCGGTCCAGTGGGAGGTGCTTTGGAGCTATTGGCTGGAATATACAGGGAAAGGAAAATGTTACACCTCGATTCCGAATTGTTTACAATGCCTTTCATCGCGGACACATTCGATGATATATCTATGCCTTCCGAATGGTTGTCTTTTCGTGCCGACAACCGACAAATACATTTGTTGTCATTCTCATTCCTGTTTGAAGCCGCCACATTGGTAAGATATTTTCGAGCCATCAATATTGAAATTATGCGAAAGTCTCATGAGAATGCTGCTCTTGTATTCAATGATGCTCGACATTTCATGTGGATTCCCATGATTCCAGTCTATGGCGCCAAAGAAGTCTTAGCGCGGCTACGTCCACATATGGCAAAGTACTTCATCCTCACCGTCCGGAGAGATGATATCTTGAACGATGCGATCAATCAGATCTGGAGACGCGAACCTCAAGAGCTGATGCGACCATTACGTGTACGTCTTGGAAAAGATGAGGGTGAAGATGGTCTCGACCATGGTGGAGTACAACAGGAATTTTTCCGGGTTGTGTTTGCCGAGGCATTGAAACCAGACTACGGCATGTTTGCAATCGACAGCACAACAAGAATGACATGGTTTCAGCCGGGTTCTTTCGAGCCTCTGTATCGGTTTGAAGCTCTGGGCATTCTGATGTCACTTGCTGTTTATAATGGACTCACTTTGCCGGTCACGTTTCCAATTGCTTTCTACAGAAAGCTTTTGGACCTGAAGGTGAAAAAACTCGAGCACATCGTCGATGGCTGGCCAGACTTGAGCAGGGGTCTTCAAACTCTTCTTGACTGGACAGAAGGTGATGTGGGCGATGTAATTGCTCGAACCTATGAATTCAGCTATGAACTCTGCGGCAGCACCGTCACTGTCGACATATATAAAGTCGGTCGCGACGACCCTTGGCCGCCGCGAATGCCCAAAAGTAGCAGGAAAGGGAAGGAACGTGCCAAATCAACGTCTTTCGACCTTCCGCTCGAACCCGCTGAACTTACACCACCAATTCAACCATCACCAGACCTCCAACCCGCACTCACGCCCTCACTGCTCTTTCCAGCTTTGAGTCGGACATCATCCATCAGCCTCAAAGGGGTTACAACGCCTATCAGCATGTCCGACTCTGACATACTTCTCGAATCCTCCACTACCGAGGCTCCACTCGTCACCAACGAAAACCGCGTTCAGTACGTCAAAGACTACATTCTTTGGCTGACCCACAAATCCATTTCAGAACAATACGAAGCCTTTGCGCGCGGCTTCTACACCTGCCTCGACCGCACGGCCTTGTCAATTTTTACCCCAGAAGCCCTAAAATTCGTCATCGAGGGCCACCCGGAGATCGAAATCGACGAGCTCGAGCGCGTCACCACTTACGATGACTACACACGCGAGTCCCAGACCATCATCGATTTCTGGCAGGTCGTCCGCAACATGAGCCCCGACCAGCACCGGCAGTTGCTCGAGTTCGTCACCGCCAGTGATCGCGTCCCCGTTAACGGCATGAGCAGCGTCGTCTTCATCGTCCAAAAGAACGGTGATGAGGATACCAGGCTACCTAGTAGCAGTACCTGCTATGGGAGGCTTCTTTTGCCTCAATACTCTTCTCGCGAAATTCTCAAAGAGAAGCTATCCAAGGCTATTGAGAATTGTATCGGTTTTGGAACGCTTTGATCTATGTGGTTGAGTGACTTTAGCAGAGTTCTGTCGATCAGTGAAAGCCCTGGTGGAGAGGGAACCAGAGTTTACTCGAAGTGTAGCCTCTGAGCGATAGGGTTGAGGTCTTGTGCGTGGAATTTCCTTCTCTTTGTGATGATTACGATGATGAGATGATGACCTATGACATGAGCTGCTCACAATTTTCGCATATATAATGAATACCTAGGTATACATATCTATCTAGCCGCTGTTCATTTCGAGCATGTCATGAGCAGAACAGACGTTATTCGCTCTCGTTAATCTTTAGATATCATTTCCTTGGAAAGTGAAATAAGTACAAGAAGCTCCAACGATTTGCCTAAATGAGACATCGACATCCCTCGCATCGATTACCATCACCCTCACGGCATGCCGCACTGTTGCGAAGTTCGAGGAGTGTGCAAGTGAAATAAAAGATCTTCCATATTCTCTGGTGTAGCTGATATCTCTTCAAATCTATGAACACACAAAGATACAACACATGAACAACAGTATACGCGCAAATAAAGACGACTGGCTTGCTGGCTTTACTATCACACACACATGGGAAGGCGGGGCAACGTCCACACACGGATCCAACTAATAGACTTCCAGAACATAGCGGCCCTCGTCCTTCAAGCGCATGATCTCGCGCGAAGGGTCGACCTTCTTAGCACCGGAGGCCTTGGCGTCTACAGCGATGGCCTCCTCCAAGACCTTGGTAACATCGGGGACGGGCCAGGTGGGACCGCAGAGATAGAAAGCACCTTCGTCCTTGATGTAGGACTGGGTGATCTGCTCGAGGGTCTGGCGCATGCGGTCCTGGATGTAGATTTTCTGGGGCTGGTCGCGAGAGAAGGCCCGGCCAAGCAGTGTGATCACGCCCGCAGCCTGGTACGCCTCCCACTCCTCGCCGTAGCAGTACTCCTCGCGCTGGTGACGCGAGCCCATGTACAGCAGAACTGCGCCGATTTCTTTGCCTTGGGATTTCTCCAGAGCGCGGTGTTGCACAAACGCGCGGAAAGGCGCGAGGCCCGTGCCCAGGCCGGCCATGATGATGGGTTGGGTCGATTTCGGTGGCAGTTTCATGACAGATGGCTTCACGCTGACGGTGATGGGCGCACCGACTTTAAGCTCGCTCAGGTATTTCGTGGCCTGCCCGAAGCGGTCGCGGCCCTTGGGGTCGACCCAGTTGACCACAACGACCATTAGAGCCACGGATGTCGGCGTCACGGCCTGGCACGACGCAATCGAGTATTCACGGCGTTTCATCGGGGAGACTATGCGTACGATGTCGTGGACCGATGGGTGTGCCGAGGGGAATTCAAGTAACACGTCTGCGAAGGTGACAGTGTCCACTTCGGCGCGGCGCTGGAATTCCTTGAACCCTTCTGGCCCGGCCAGGGTTAGCAAGCTACGCTTCTCGGTCGCGTCATCTGCAAAGTCCGCGAGAGCTTCGTAGAATTTCTTGGGCGGTCGTCCGAAGATGTCCACATTTTGCATCAGCGCTTGGTATACGGTGCGGTTTTCGAACACGGCGGGGTCCTCGCGGGAGGAAACTTCAACAACGTCGTCGGCGTTCAGACCGTACCATTTGATGAAGTTCATCACGTCGTCGTGGTTGTTCTCAGCGTGGATGCCTAGAGCTTCGCCGATGTCGTATTTCAGGCCCGAGGTACCAAGATCAAATTCAATGTGGAAGATGTTGCGGTCATAGGTCAGAGGCGTCAGGCGGCGATTTTCTTTCACGTGTACAGTGAATGTCTTGGTGGGGAGATCGGGGCGGAGACTGTTGCTGGTATTGTATGCTTCTTTGAACAAGAGTCCCTTGGCCGCTTTCTGCCAATTGCGAAGCATAGAGGGAGGCTCCTCTTCGGTCTTATCAAAGGAGGCGAAGCTGTTCGCAGTGATGTCGACAGCTAAGAGCTGCTGTTGACCATCAATTTCAAGCTCCGCCCATTCTTTTGGTACTTCAACTTCGCGAAGAGTCTTTTCCAAATCCGTCACGATGGAGTCCAAAGAGAAGTAGCCATTGACTTTGGCAACTTTCTGCAAGCCGACTTCTTCACTACTTCGGAGTGCCACCCTGATGAAGGCAGTTTGCAATCGCAGAGACTCCGTTTCACGGTTGTCCACAGTCAAAGAGGTATTTGCTGGGTTGATGAGATAGAGACTAATGCCAGATTCCGCGACGGTCTTCTTGAATTGCACCGGCAACTTCTTCTCCACATCCTCATCCTTAACACCTGGAAGGATCAAAATAATTTTGCCACCTGCTTGGAGGGACTTCAGAACATCAACGTCAGATAGCAATTTAAGTTCTGTGATCACGACAGCATTTGCAGAGGTGATCGGATACGAGGCATCGAGACTAGTCGGCGATTTGCGGATGTCGATTCTGTGAATGCCACCTTGCACGAGATTATCGTGGGTAGTATGTACGGTGACATTTTGAGAAGAATCCGTGGCGAGAGCCTGTGCAAGGAGGTTAGCAGCTGGAGCAGAAAGTGCATCATCTGTATTCCAGAACGTATATTGCTGAACAGTATTGTCGAGGAACGAAGTGATGTCCTGCTCAGTGCCAGGCTTTCCAGAAAGAATCTGAAACGTTTGTGCGATAGCCGAAGGTATCCAACGCTTGTTGCGAGAATATTTCAGATCTTGAACTCGGGGAGCGTTGTGAGCTGAGGCTCCATAGGAGACTGCGGCAAGCACATCATCATAGAGTTGAGAATGGATGCCAGCTTCTTGGACGGCCTGTGCATCATTGACTTGTCCAAGGACACCAATTACTCTCACACTCGGTGGGAGAAGTTTCAAGAATTGTTCCTCTGCAAATGGTCGATAGAGACGAACATTAATTGTTCCAACTTTATTACCGCTTTTGGCCAGATAATTAACGGCTTGCGAAGCGAGAGAGCCCTCGGTCGAACCAAAAGTTACAAGAACGGTCTCCGGCGCAGTATGGCCAGAATATTCGAAGGGTTTGTAGTCGGTTCCAAGTTCGTCGTTGAGGGCCCGAAGTGTTCTCAGTGCTTTGCCCTCCAGGCTCAAATGCTTGCGCTCTTCGTCAGAGATTGACTTGAGAATAGCATCGTACGTAGCTGCGAGACCAGACTTGTCCAGAATGTCAATAACCCGTGTTGTGTCTCGGGCAGTCCTAAGGCCATCGTAGATATGTAAAGTGGGCAGATCCTGCGCTAGTAGGGTGGCAAGCAACGACATGTGCTGGGCCTCGTAGGCTGAAAGGGTTGAGACCAAACCCAGCCCAAGATCCTCCGCAGTAGATAGAGCTGAGACGTAGTCGGAGACCAGTCCACCGTCCTTAGCTCCATCATAGTCCAATGCCGCAACGTGTGCAACAAATGGATTGCTGACAGAGTAAAGAAGTGACAGCTGGTCAAGAGCAGGTCTCAAGAAACTAAGAGCGGCAGACGAGGCAAGCAGGCCTTGAGGGATATGCCTCTTCTTTAGATCGAAGTCCTTTGAGAACATATATCCCAATGCAATTGAACCTGCTCCACTGCGGAGTTGCATTGACTGAATTGCAGTCTCGTAGCCATTTGCATTCGTCTCTCGAGCATCCGACCAAGCTTTAGCCGCCACGTCGAGATCAAAGGACTCTGGAGAGTAGGAGAAGACCTTGTCCGACAAGGTATAGGCAACTTGCTGGACAAGAGTCTGAGCAGTCACGTAGGTAGGCCCGGAGATTGAGGCCAGCGGCGGAGTTTGGCCGAAGGGAAGGCTGTTGGAGTGTACGGGAGCCATGGCTTTGGGTGACTCCAGTAGTGCTACGCAAGAGAAAAGGAGACGAATTGCACCCAACAGCACTCGCGACTGAAGGAACGAAGGAGTGAAGCGGAGATGGAAAGAAAGAGGAACTCACCTAAGAAGACCGAAAGGAGAGGGCGCCATGTATTTGGCCAGCCCACTCCATACTGAATCGGCAATTATTTTTCGCCCTCGGGGGTTCACCAGCAAAAAAGTCTGAGGAGAAGTTTGGAATTATCGATCACGCAATCGAGGCTAGCAGACAGCCTTGCTAGCCTTACGGTCGTCACGTGGTGATCTATCATGCAAGGCTGAATGGTGGCATAGATGGAAGGTAAGCCGAAGGCTATTGCCGAGAAAGTACTAGTATGGCTGCTCTATTTGCGCCAGTAGAAAAACAGGCATCTTGTTAGTCAGCAATATTACTGACGTAATCCAGTTCCGCCAGTCTTCCACGAATAATCGCGCTGAGCCTTTGCACCTAACGGTCGTAAGACTTAGCCAAAGGCTCCGAATGAACAGCTCAAGCCGCTGACCCAGCATTGGTTCGTATCTGCACTTGGACGGCTTTAGGAGTTGGTATGGCCGTTTTGTCCTGCCTTGTTCCCAAGTAGGCAACCTTCGCTGTACGTGCGTATCTGCCTCCAGACTTTAGCACGCGAACACGTCTTTGCGCCTCGTCGATATATATTTTGGTTACTGCTACAGCTGCATGGAAGCCGTGAACTCCTTCTTCATCCAAACCAAGATCGGAATTTAAATCACACTTGTCACATCGCCCTCCAAGCCATCACAAATCCACTACCACTCAACCAAAAATGGCATCGACACTCCTCTTAGGCGCAACCGGCCTTGTGGTATGTTACTTCAATCTACTAGTAGTCCTATTCACAGTTCCTACTTTACCTAACTCGATATTCTCAGGGCTCCCACATCCTCTCAGTCCTTCGAGCAGGAAGCCCTTCACCTTTCTCCAGCATTGAAGTAGTTGCGCGCCGCTCTGTCCCTTCGAGTCCCGACGCGAAAGTCGAAGTGAAAGAATTCGTCGAAAAAGACACGTCCAAATGGGTAGCCCATGTGGCCTCACTATCTCCCCCTCCCAGCACACTCTTCTCCAGCCTCGCCACCACAAGAGGCGCAGCGGGTGGGTTTGAGACACAATACAAACTCGAGCATGACCTAAACATTGAATTGGCCAAAGCGGCCAAAGAAGCCGGCACAAAGACATACGTCTTGATCTCAGCGGCTGGTGCCAATTCCAAATCGAGCTTCGCCTACCCAAGAATGAAAGGAGAGATTGAGGAGCACATCAAAGAGATTGGCTTTGAGCATACCATCATCGTGAAACCAGGATTGATTGTGGGTGATCGTCAAGAAAGTCGACCATTGGAAGCTGTCTCGAGGGCCATCGCGACCGGCGTGGGACGTCTCTACCACGGACTAAAAGATCCGTGGGCCCAGGATGCAGATGTCATCGCGAAGGCTGCTGTATTGGCCGCGATCAGAGTGGAGAAAGGCGACATCAAAGATAAAGTGCTTGTGGTCGGCCAAGCCGACATTATTCGTCTTGGTAAGAGGGAGTGGCCAACTTCATCTTGACCGAGTCTCGACAGAGAAATGTCCCGAACTTTGAAGACAGAGAGGTCCTTTTGTATGTCACTGCGAGAATGATACCCACAAATATGGCAGAAACTGCGAGAGCCAGCCATGCATGATATTCTTTTTACAAGCTTGTTTACTTTCAACAGATGCTCGTGCCAGCATGAACTATGTACAGCGGTACTATCCTTCGGAATCAGACACTCTCCTCTCCATTTCTTACGCCCACGGCCTTAAAACTACTAGTCCTACTTTTTCTTCTTTGCCACACCGCCCTCTTCCTCCGCCGTGCCCTGGCTAATGTCCGGATTCGCGGGACTTGCATCTAGCGGATTGACCTGATTCCCCTCGCCAGCCTTTTTCTTGGCCTCCTGGGGATCCGTGATATTCGGATCAAAGGCCGCCTCGTCCTGCTTGGCTGCAGTATCATCTGATCCGGACTTTGCGTACTCGTTCGCCTGTGGGTCCAGCTTGTCGCGGTCTTGTTGTGCATCTCGTTGCGGATGCGGGTTGCGTTCAGGGTCTTGGGAGCTGGCGAGCGATAGGATGGGATGGGTCGAGAACGGTCGGAAGACTTGTCTCTGGGCATGCTGCAATGCTGAGGCATGTGGCCGAGCAGGTGTTTGGAGTTGGACAAGACGACATGGGAGGCGGAGTAGTGTCGAGGACGCCATTTTGGGTGCTCTCGCGAGGGGGAGTTCGTAGGAGAATGAAGGATGACTCGCAGTCTTCTGAAAATCTCTCTGGAAAGTAAGCTCTTGGCGTGCTTGATATAACAAGGACTTTGTCTTCAGTGTGGGCTGAGTTTCAATTGAACTACAACCAGTAACAAGTAAACGAGAGATAGTGGGCATGGGTTTCCTTCCGCCTAGAGGGAAGAACTCCGACTGACCGCTGCAAACTTCACCATCCTTGTTCTGATACTCTCTTTCACAGAATGATGGTCTATTTCGTTGGTGACGTCATTTCAGCCAAAACGACCCCCTTGTTCGGATTTGTCTTCCGGTGCCCTTCTGTACTACCCCACACTGACAATATCCAACTTGCTGCCCTTCATAGGAGAGTATAGTAGAAATGATTAAGGAAACTGGCTCTTAGGATCACGGTTTCTTTTCTTATATAGCCGCGTAGAATATCTCAAGGGCAGCGGGTGGCATCAAGTCATTATTGGGGAGAGTTCTAGTATACCAAATGCTCCCCATAGCCCTGTCAAAGCCCAAACTCAGCTCAAAGGCAGAATATGGGGCACAGGGCCCTCAGGGACAACCCCCTCTGGATTCAAAAAGGTTAAGCTTTTGAAATAGTGGCCCTTGATATGCTCGAAGCTGGTGGTGTCCTTAAAAGCAAGAACATTCCAATACAAATTCCGCGCCCAGCGGTCGATGTGAGGGTACTGGTAGCGGATCATGCCGCGGTTGGTCTTGAATAGCGAAACGTACACGGTGTCGAACCGCACGATAGTCACGTACAGCCGCACGTCTGCCTCCGTAATCTGCTCGCCGTAGTAGTACGGCCCACTGCGTGGCGACGACAGATGGGTTTCGATTCGGTCTAGTGCATTGAATAGGTTGCTCACGGCCTTGTGGTATGCCTCTTGGTTTTTCGCCATGCCACATTTGCTGCGATTGGCTGATGTTAGCTGTCAACTTCTGTAGAAGTGGGGGAGACTTGAAATGATTGGGCCTGGACTGACTATACGCCATTGTTCACGTCGTCGTAAGTCCAGCTATTCGTCTCGTCGATCTGTTTCTTCAGCTCTTCGGGATACAGGTGGACGTCACGTTTTTCGGGAGGCAGCAGATCATCGAACTCGGTGTAAAACATCCGTATGATCTCGCTGCTTTCATTATTGACGATAGTGTCCAGCTTCTTATCCCAGAGGATCGGCACCGAGAAGCGTGCTTTGTAGTTCGGCGCAGCGTGAAAATACAGTGCTTTGGTGCCGTAGAACCCTTCGTGCAGCGGGTCCGGGGTGGTTAGCTCTGGCCATTCGACTTCCTCGCCTTCCCGCGCAAATCGCCAGCTATCTGTCAGAGACATATGATAGTGGACCACCGTGACAGATATTATATCCTCAAGGCCCTTGAGCTTACGCACAATGAGTGTACGATGTGCTGGAACAAGGCCTCGGTTAATCAGGGACACTCATGTAGGTCTTTTGGTGGATGACCTACCCCAAGGGCACGCGTATGAGACATAGAGATGATAACGTCCTCTCTCCGGCGGGAATTTCGCACCACTCTCGCGAGAAATAAGGTTACGGAATTCAGTTGGAGGGCGAACCATTTCTCCCTTGTCATTCCACAGCTCCGGAGTCATCAAAGTGGGCTTCTGAAGCAGTCGAGTTCAGTGGTCAGCACATTATACAATGGCTCTTCTTGGGTACTGTTTCCCTTGGAATAAGTCGAGACAAGTATAGTTGCACAAGTCTCAACAAGTCTCTCCTACCGGAGTGCTCACCTCAGCTGCCATTGTAATCTTCGACTGAGGGAAATAGCCCTAAAGATTTATTTTGTCCTTATTTCAACTGATAAGTATGTATTTGCTGCACTGTTGCCACCAAGATATCTGCGCCGTGCAAGAGCAAAATCGAGGCTGACACGAAGTTAATATGAATTTCCTCAACTGTACATAAACCCGCCAGTTGCTGGCGCCTTGCTGTGATTGAAGATAGACGCCCTCGATGATTGGTCCGTCGTGCATCCTAACCGAAGATAATGGAGGTTCGGGCGAGCCTAGTCGTAAATACCCGCTTCTGCTTACATATCCTGACAAAGACCTACGTTTAGACTTAGAGGCAGCTAATTCCTCACGGACAAAATGACGAAGTCTAAAAGCCGTGGTGCAGAGGAAATCGGCAAATGTGCTATTCCCGCGATCAGAAATTGCTTCTTCATTCAATGGTCTTGCGTACCCCGGGGAATAAGTTGTCATTCCAAAAGCTAGAGTACTATATCATAAATTAATTATACTAACCATGATAGCCTCGGTAGTTACGTAGGCTTAGCGCTTGTAATCAGTACCTATCAGTATATTCTTAATCCTATTGTAGTCCTACTGTTAATTAGAATCCGATTATCGCTAAGACTCGCCTAGCGCGTACTAATTCTATAAAGACGTGATACGCTAACATCCGGATACTAAGACCCACTGCTCTAGCATTTTAGAATGTTTTGAAATCATGGAAAGGGGGCTCCTGGAGACCAATTGCCTAGTAAATTTATATATAGATGCAGAGACCATAGAGTGGCAAGGGACGGAGATCTCGATCGTCATCTTCACTAACCCGCTTAAGTTGCCTAGTATAGGTCCAACACGGAGGAAGTACCCTGATGTCTGACAAGAGTTGTGTCAACTTCATTCCTCGGGACTACGTCCGCACTCAAACCTGCAAATGTGGGTATGATGTCAATTATTGCATCACAGCAGTTGTGGACAAGATTGACACGGTCACTATCCGTATAAATGTGACGTAAGGGTTTCGCACTATGCTTTCGTTGGCTTTGTGGGACGAGCTGAAACGGCTGAAGAGTGAGTACTTGTCTGCTGGCACGCCGTTGCAACGGAAGACAAAGTTTAGATTTCGACCTCGCTATCGCACTTAATAACCCTAGCACTTACTCATTCGCACCCCGCGGCGACCTGTTTCATATACTATGGGGCAAAGCAATGGAATATCTGTCAAGAAGGTAAATCAAGTCTTTCTTCCGGAGGCTCACCTGATTTTTACTTTGCCAGATTGGCATGATTGGCGTTGGAAATATGGGAGGCATGATGAGCCTCCTCTTTGCCGAACATGGAGTTGAAGTGCACTTCTATGATCCATCAGAGGAAAACACACACAAGTTATTAGACCGTGCGAAAGAAGCCAAAATCAAAGCCAAAATTTTCCATGAAAAAGACTACAAGGCCTTGTGTCGATGCCTAGATGTGCCGAAGATCTTCGTCTTCAGTCTTCCTCATGGTGATATAGGGGATAAGACGGTTGAAGGTTTGCGGCCTTCTTTAGAACCAGGCGACATCATCATGGATGCATCGAACGAGCACTGGTTAAACACCGAGAGGCGGCAGGGTCTGCTCGAACCGAGCGGAATTCACTATATCGGCATGGGCGTTTCTGGTGGTTATCAGTCAGCGCGACACGGCCCGTCTATTTCGCCTGGCGGCAGTAAGGAAGCGCTGAGCAAGATCATGCCATTCCTCCAAAAAGTTGCCGCAAAGGACAAACACGGGCGGCCGTGTACCATCAGTGTAGGCCCCGGTGGAAGTGGTCACTATGTTAAAATGGTGCACAATGGTATTGAGCAAGCCATGATGTCCACACTCTGCGAAATCTGGACGATTATGCACAAAAACCTCAACATGTCTTTTGAGGAGATTGCCTCCGTGTGGGCGTCGTGGAACAAATCTGGGTCCCTTCGTGACAATTTCTTGATATCCATTGGCGTTGACATCTGCTGTACCAAGGATCCCAACGACGCATCTAAATTTCTCCTTGCCAATATCCGGGACAAAGTCGTACAGGACACTGATGAGACTGAAGGCACAGGAACTTGGACATGCCAAGAAGCTTTTAGCCTTCACGTTTCTGCTCCGACCATCGCTGCCGCCCATCTGTTCCGCCTGCAGTCGGCCGATGCCGCACGGCGTCTTAATGTGTTCAAATCCCTCCCCAAAGACTTTCAAATCCATCCTCTTGAGATCACGAGCGTTTCACGTCACCAGCTTGTCGCCGACCTGCATAATGCGGCATACTTTTCGTTCCTAGCGGCCTTCATTCAGGGGCTGCACGTCATCCTCCGAGCCTCGCAAAAATATTCATGGCAAATCGATTTTGCATCTCTTATGCAACTTTGGCGTGGCGGTTGTATTATTCAATCCGACGGCATTACAGAACTGCTCGAAACGGCGTACCGTGACAACTTGCACGACACCAAAGACCTACTCGAGCATCCCCTTGTTATCGCCCAATTATGTAAGACATCTGCCGCGATCAAACGGGTGGTTCTCCATTGTGGCGAGGCGAATGCATACATCCCGTAAGTGTCACCTTCCATCTCCTCATCACAACCGATCATTTCGTCGTGGTAGAGGAGTGCCAACTTCAGCTTGTCCCCCCCCTTGTTTTAACTTCCCTTGAATAGATCAATCAGCGCCTCTCTGGAATACTTCAAATACAGTATAAGCACCCAGTTACCCACGCAGTTTATGGAGGCCGAACTCGATTATTTTGGCGGCCATATGTTTGACCTCAAGAGCGAAAATCCTGGCAAACCTGTCACAGGAAAGCATCATTTTGAGTGGGAGCCGGCAAGAGGCATTTCTGAACAAAACTCTTAGGTGCCTGGAGCTCCTTGCAATCAGTTCAAAATTCACTAAAACAAGATCGATGATGACGTGTATCTCCTTTCAAATTAAAATTCACGCTTCATCGCTACATACCTCACCATAAAATTTTTGGCAGTTGTATGTGTTTAGGATCTCGGGCAGCTTTTGGACCTTCACGATTGGGCTGCCAGCTCAAGAAGCACAGAAAGCAAAGCATTGTAATGATATAACAAGGATATTACAGACGCAAGTGCGTGTGCATACATAGCCCAAGTCCGATATAAAAGTAATGGTTTGTTTCGGGTATGACGTCCTCTTCACGCGCTATTGCATCTAGTTGCTCACAATGTTATTAGCTACGTCGGTGAGTATCGCAACGAAAAGAATGCTGTATCTTTGAACTTTTGGAATCTGCTTGCGCTGTGTCACCGAAGCTCCCTAGACGCCAGGATGCTGGAGATTGAGGCAATATCTTTGTTGAAGAATAAATGTCGGTTTAGGATTAGCCCCTCGATTATCGGAATCTAGCGGACAAATAGTTCTTATGCTTAAGAGCCAGTGCCTCCCGACATTCCGCCGAATAAACCTTGGCTCCAGATCTCCTCTGTATGGACTGTAGCCAGTAAATTACTCTGTAGCAATCACCATCTCATCTATGTTATTTCGAAGCTTCATACGCTTGTCAATCAGTCTCTCGGGATTTCCGAATAGTGTTAGAGATGTCGGAGAACGGGGAAGAAACCATGTTCTCATTTGAAAAGCTCTCTCCAAAAAGTTGCCAACACTGATCCCACCTGAAGAAAAAGGGTGTGGGAATGGCGACAGAGCTATATGGAAAACCTGTTTATGGATAAGACGGTCACAATTTTGGAGAAGCGCAATCTTCACTCAGCGTACGCTCGATATGCCACCAACTTGTCCGTGCTGCTCACTGCAACCTCAACACCATGCCCAATAAAATAAATGCTGCCATCTTCTAACGGAAACTCCCGCCCTTCTATATACATCTTCCCTGCGCCACTCGTTACAATCATTATACTGGGACCTAGCACTGGTTTGATAGTCTCCTCTTCCCCAGCACAGAGCTCCGTAACCAGCATGTTGAACTCACTCATTGGCGGGGCATATACGGAAGTTTTCCCAGACACACTTTTTTCACTTTGCTGCCGCTTGAGCATGGGCTCTCCGGGCTCATGTTGTTTGAATGTTAATGTTTTGGTAAACAGGTCAACTGAGTCGCGGTCTGCTCTTGGACAGAATCCGGTGTTGAGCACGTTGTTCGATCGGGCCATGCACTCGATGATGTTTCCGGACAGATAGGCATGAATGCCATCTGCGGGAATGTACAAGGCAGACCCAGCTTCTAGAACAAGGTAATTCATACACACCAGCGCAACCAAGATCCCGTTGTCGTGCCTTCCGTACTGCTCTTGGATCCGATGAGTTAAATCGAGCATATAAGCCTGTTTCCCATATTCTTGGGGCTTGATCGACAAGAGTTCCTTGATTGCGGCAGCCACTACCTCATCCGGAGCTTGAAGCATATTCCTGCAAATTTCGCGGAGAGTCTCGTCGTTGAAATTGCTATTACCATCCTTCGGCATGAACCTTCTCATCGGGTTCAATTTAATTAACTCCTCAATCTCGTTCAGAGGCTTGAAACCGACAAAAGCCTCGAATCGCCCTAGCGCAATCGCTATCTCCGGCTTATGGTTGGAGTCAGGGAAGTTATCAGGATCTTTCTCGTGCAGCCTTTGTGCAAGATCTTTATTCGGATGGATCTGGAGTGGGAGAGCTTTTGCAATGGAGAGAATCTTTGGCAGGAAAGGTAGAACACTTCCAAACCTTTTCATCACGTTCTTTCCAATTAGCCTCTCCTTATTCTCGTCGAGTACATCTCCTAATTTCCTGCCAGTCTCCAGACAGTACGAAGGCAGTTCCGGATATGTGCCCATCCACATCTCTGCATACTCCTTCTCAACATCGAGCTTGAAGTCCGGATTCGTTTTCTCACACAGCCGGGCAGCCAGTGACTCGTTTCCCCTTCTCCCCCAGGGATAGTTGTTGCAGCTGCATTTCAGCTGAATCACCGAGTCTGCCATTTGTTGTAGTGAAGGAAAAGCACGACGTGATAAGCTGGATGGAAAGAGGCTGAATTGTGGAAGTGGCAGATGACTAGAAAGAAGCTTGACAAGTCTTCATTCGAGTTTGGCTTCTGCAGCTAAAGTCATTTCGTCTGCCCTTCCAACAGAAAATGATGTAAATTCTTGTGACGATGATGTCAGCCAGCAACAATTTGGTGCGAACACACATCGGATCATCGCCCCGAAGGCCTGCAAGTCCCTGTCCTCAACATAGAGCAATCAACAACATGAGGCATAGAACACACTCGAGTGAATAATAGGATTCCTCAAGAGGTGAAAGCGGCGGTGTCGAGTCCGACGCGCGATTGGTTGGTTTCTATTTTTTTTTTTTTTGGTTTGGACCTCTCCATTGCTAGGCTTCTGAGATCTACGCACCCTGTAGATGTCTGCATCAGTGCTGTAAATCAACCTGTTTATCCCGTTCCTGTCGAGTAATGAAGTTCTAGTGTGGACGGTTACCAAATGATATAAGAATTATATCTATTGCCATCATCCTTGCATCTCTAAACCGCCTGTTCCATGAATTACTTCCCCTGTAAAGTAGCTACCTAGAGGACTTGCAAGAAAGACATACGCGGCGGCCACCTCCACCGGCATCCCGGGTCGCTGCAACGATGCAGACTCAACTCCATGGCTGTCCATGTTCTCAGCTGCATTTCCTTTGGTTGCTGGCTGCAACGGTGTCCATATAATTCCTGGCGCCACAGCATTAACCCTGATACCTTTTGGTGCCTGTTGCTGAGCTAGACTTCGTGTAAATGTGGCAATGGCACCTTTGGTGCTGGAGTAATCCACCAACTGTGGGTTTCCCAAGTAAGCAGCCACTGAACTCGCATTGATAATCGAACTCCCGCGCTTCATGTACGGCAATGCAAATTTAGTCATGGCGAACATGCTCAGGACATTCGTCCGGTAAGTCTTCTCTACAGTGTCAAGATTGATATCTTTCAGATCGTCGCACATTTCTTGCATCGCCGAATTGTTCACCAGCACGTTTAGTTTGCCGAACACTTTCATGTGATTCTGAACGATGGCCCGGCAATTGTCGCTGGTTGTTACATCCGACGGTATGAGGTTAACTTTCCTTCCAGCTTTTTCGACCATCTCTTTCGTTCTTTGCGCATCGTCTTCTTCTTCTGGTAAGTAAACGAAAGAGATATTGGCACCTTCACGGGCCATGAGCACCGCTACGGACCTCCCAATACCTGAGTCGCCTCCGGCAATGAGTACTGCCTTATCTGTTAGAAGACCACGGCCCTCGTATTCTTTCAGGGAAGGTGATTCGCTTTCATCATCCCAGAATTCAAGCTGCGTCCAATTGGCAGCTGGCTCGAGTTTGGCGTCGAGACCTTTGCCACCTTCCTGGTCCTGTGCAACCAGAGCTGTTTTTGGGTACGCGGTTGGTGTCTTCTGGGGGGTCAAGCGCCTTTTTGGTTTCCATCTTGACGAGTGAATAGAATAGTACTTCAAGCTAGAAGAGAACACATTGGAATAGTGGAGGTATCATTGGTAGAAACAGAATTGACAAATGTCGTCGTAAGTGAAGTAAAGGTTCGACTTCTAGAATACTGCTGATTTTCGGACGGGATAAGACCTTGTGGAAGAATGACGATTGGATTGACGTCATGAAAAGAATGAGATTTTCTCAAACTATTCTCTCTTGCTGGTTCATTCTCGTGCATACTCAGGATTCGTCGGCAAATAAACACACAGTAAAACTTGACGTCGTCGTTTTCATCAAAGGGATGTGAACATACTGAGCTCTAGAAACAATGACGTAGCACCTTTTTCCAGTCCTTGCCTTCAATGCCTCCACAACGAAGAGCCAGCAAACTCGAAAGAGTCAACCTGTTGTTAGCTTGCGACAACCAGCAATGTTTGGCGACTCAAATGTCTGATCGCAGTCCACTTTTGGAGCGCTTGGGGCAAAGCTCAGCCGGGCTCGGATGCAAGATCCGAAAGTGTCTGGGCCAGGCTGTCTGCGGCTATGAAAATCGGATTGAATAAATAATTTTATGCTGCAGAAGTATTATGCCAAGTTGGGTTAATCGAGACCCCTTCAAAGAGAAAGAAGACTTACAGTACTAATAGTTACACACAACATTTTTCGCCTCTTCCACTAGGCCACTTCATGACGCCAATCATCCAGATCGTCCCGAGGCTGTCGGCGTGATTTCTTCAGGACGATAAATAGTCGAAAACGTTGTCTTACTCGAAGCCTTGTGAGCGAAGAAACATTGCGGACTGATTCATATCTGGTAGATGCCACGTTTCTTCCCTGGTGTTGAATTTGTCCGAGCGATGGATGATTAACATTCCAAAATGCGTCGAGGACTCGAGGTAGTTTTGCTAACCATCAGCATGTCGTGATTGCACAGATAGATTTGGCATGGTTTATGGTATCTGGCTCCCTGCACTATGTCCGAATGTTTCTAGCTATATCGACGCTTCTGGCAGATGAAATTCTCTTCCCCAGCAAACCTAGGCCCTGAATTATAGCCGCAATCCCTTAAAAGGACCTTCAAGACATTACAGAATCTACTGTTACTTCGAAATGCTGGACTCATGTTCTTTAAACAGTGGTTGCACGGATTCGCCGTGCTAGTATGTAAGCGCTAGTGACAACAAAGTCCGACGCTCATACTAAAACTAACTACGATGACTTTTCTTCGCTCTAAATAGAGGAGAGATTACAACGCTGCTGCGTAGCTACAGGAGCCATACTTCTTGTCTTCGTCCCCAGTCAATAGATCAAAGCCCATTTGCGTTTGCCTCTCCAAAGATTTAGTCCATACCTTAGTTGGCTTACTAGTTCCTGATCAAGGGCCTCCTCTGCAAAGCCTATCTCCTTCCACTCTAGCCATCTCTCTGCCCTAGCCCCTTCCTCGGCCCTCAGCATCCCTACAGCAATATCTATCCAGCTTTGATTGTCTTTCGTTACAAAAGCCGTCAAGCCGCAGTTCCCGCAGAAAGATCGAGATACTCCTGGACTACTGGCATAAGTCTTGAGAGTTCGCGTTGACAATGCTAAGGATTGTCCCTCCGGCACTTGGATTTGAGACAATGGAACCGAAGTCCAAGAGGTAACCTCGAAGCCTGTGGTGGTCCTACAGGAGGTACAAAAATCCAGACCGGCAGAATATCGCTGTTTTTCCGACGGGGGGAGAATTCTGATTTGTACCCCATGGCAGTGACACATGCCTAAAAGATGCGCAGTTGAAGGCAGATCTTTGTCCAACTCCTTGTCTTTATGTAGATCGGTCTTGAAGTCGAATGGTTCGACGTCTGGGCTGCCTTCGAATTTCTGTCCCATGCCGTTCATCCAGACGCTCAACCCACCGTCACACGTATCGCCAAGGAAAATTTGGTTCCGTTTGAGTAAATTCTGAGTTCGATCTAGCATACCTGTACATACTCGCCACAGATTGTCTGAATTATCAAAGTCCAACACGTTAGCGCCACAAGTTGGACAGAAATGTCGTGTTCGGTGGCTTGAAGATGCATAGGATGAGAGTTGTGAGACGTCGAGATCTAGTGTGTCTGGATCGAGAGGAATGACGGCGAAGGAGGCGGCAAGTTGGCCTGTCGCGTATCTACACGACGAACAGCTGCAGAAAGAGGATGACAAAGGAAGAGATAATGAAGGGATGGAGAACTTGTATGAGGCTCGTTTGCAATGGCATTGTGCGTGGAGAGTTGTGGTCTCCATAGTTGGTTATCAGGGTACAAGGGAAATGGCTGAGGTTTGAACGATATTAATAGACTGATCGATCTCAGAATCATAAAGTTTGCGTATAGCTCCAATAGCTCATTGGTCGCTTTGGACACCGTTTTCAGTATATTCTTGAAGGCGCTGACGTCATATAGAGAAAGCTGGGAGAAGCGTGCAGGGTGGGCGGTAAATATATATCCGGTTAGTGTAGGGCACATAGCAATCTGGAGATGGAATGGAAATAATCGGCCGAAAGGGTATGTAAAAACCATATCACGCAACTGTATCTGCTTTATAATAAATATAAAACTGCTATTTGATAGAACTTAAGGTTTTTCTTTTTCCCGGATTATATATATAGAAGTTAGACTAAATAGTTCTCAGACACATCCAAAAAATATCTACGCTGGCTATATTCTCGAGACTAGGCGCTAGGTCCGCTCATTTCGTAAGCTTTTCTTTACTCTAGCTTCAGGAGAGTGTGCTGTAGACATGGCAGAATTCTATCTTCGCTTTAGATTGTGCCTTTCGCTGACAAAGATTCACAACTTATTGTCTCTACTTCATTCGCAGTCAGGGCTGTTGCGGGATCATGGGGGTTTCCACACAAATTGCAAGGGAATTTTCCTTCTGAATGTAGGCGGTTTTCGCCGCCGCTTTTGGAGACTTTCCTCTCTGCTCGATGCCAAGATCCCGAAGCCGATGGGAACTTTGAATAGGGCCTGAGGACTGAGGAACCTAAGATGCCAGCCTGAGCCACACTGCGGAATCCAAAGTTGTTAGGAGCAGGATCTTCTAAAGTCCACGCTCTTCAAGGACCTCGGTTTGCAACCTTCTCAACTGGCTGAGTGTCTCGCTTTCCAGCCCCAGTCTCAACCTCTGCGAATTGCTCCAGCGATCTACCCCTTGCCTAGGCAGCATCCTCGCTTTGCCTAAATGGTCCGACTAATGTACGCGGGCGACCGCTCGGATTGGTCTCCTTTCAATGTGCCAGGAGCTGTTAAATACTCGCACTGGACTTGTGTGCGCGAAGCCCTTTGAAAGCGCTCATATGAATGTAGCCTGATGCTTTGCTAGTGCAACTCGAAGTGCAGTAACCGAGAGAATAAAACAGATGCGACGATCGCTTCTCCCAGTTGCAAATCATGTGGCCAGAAACGCTGCGCAAGTTGTATCAAACGGCCGGTCTCCGCGACTCCGGCCTTGGACATTTTTGATCTATCTTCGTTGCTGTTTTGGATCAGCGAGAAGAAAGAACAGGTCTGGTTTTGTGTATGCCTTCCCTCAGATGTTCTCAACTCCCACGCTATGCGGAAGCTCACACATGTAATAGTGCCAGTGTAGATACGGTCCCTTGAACACTAAGCTTCACTCAAATTGTACCGAATGCCGCCATAAGCGCTGTGTGCAATGTGCAGTCTCTAGGTGATGATGAGGAGAGATGTAGAGATAAGTCTCGGCAATGCCTACATGAGTTACATGAAATTAGCCTTGCGTTCATTTCAACATCCGTCCCCACTGGATAGCCTCGATCCTGCCCCTGAAGGCTACATAGAAAGTCGGCAATCCCAGAATGAGCAACGTCGCCATCCACAAAAGCCACCTCCTCACATCCAAGTTATCACTGGTCATGCTAAACAGTCCCTAGCGAGGGTCAGCCTTCAGCAAAGGAGTTCGAGTTGTGAGTCTAACCGTTGCTAGACTAAAAGGGAGATACGCCTAATCCGTAGACCGTCAGTAGCGAAACTTCGGCCATGCTCAAAACGTAGAGGGGAAGGGGGGCTTATTTACCACCGTCATGTTGGTGAGTACGGCGATATCATCTCCTTGTTTCGTAGAATAGCGGCTCTCCTTCAGTGCAGACGAGTTGACCAGCTTTGGCGTTCTAGTAAGCGACAAGTTCAGGTCAGCTAGGCTGGGGAGCTAGGTACGAACACCATCCTTCATGCGATCAAAAGTCTGGATCTTTTGGACCAAAACCCTCTGGAGATATTGCATGGTTGCGAAGCCGTCAAAAATGCGGTCCAAGTACCGCTTCCAGAGATCATCCAGCATTTCGTTCCCGGTGTTAAAGTACTGCAATTCATCTTGCTCAAAGTCCCGGAAAGTGTCCAGACTAAGGATGAGGACGTCATTGAACTTTCTCATGATAGTCACTGCCTTTGTGTACGACTTCGTGCGACCAAGTTGTGCGTCGTCGAAGAAATCGTTGCCATCCATTGATCCGTAATAAGCGCCTTCCTACAATACCTTCGTTAGTCTGACTTCACGCTCCTGAGGGGTCAAGGTAGAAAAAGAGCAACATAGGTGTCCAATCGAGCGATTAGCTCGTATATAATGACCTCCCACTCAAGAGCAACCTGCGTACAGCGTCGAGAAAGCACGAGCAGGAAATACTCTCGTGGATTCCACACTGGATACTCTTCATCTCTGCCGCCTCCACTCGGCCCGTCATCATTGCAATCCATATACGTATCTGCATTCTCTGCATGCTCAGAGAATGTGTCAACGCAGCAATAAGCGGTCCAATACCACTCGTCTACCCCAGTGATGAGAACCGAGATCTGCGCGTCATGGTAGAATATCTGATCCTGTTCTTGGCCGAAAGCGGGAAGCATCGGGTAAGAACGCCGCAAATTCCGTGAATCGGACGAGGTATTGCCTTTCCGTAGGACGCAAAAAGGGAGGTGGAACTCCATTGTGAACTCGCGGGGGGTTTTGTTCTAGGCAACATTGAACAGATGAGACACCCGGCTTAGGATAGGGATCAGAGGGATCAAACAAACCAGCATTACTCTAAAGTGAACTTGATTCAAGATGTATCTTTGGAGATATGCTCGAAGGCATGCAAGGAAGCCATGTGCAACGTTGACGCATAGAGCAATAGCACCCAACGAGGTAAGGTTTGTAACCAGTCTGCTTCAGATTAGCCCGTGAACGACAGGACTGACGGTATATGCGCTCACAGTGTACGTCTCTCGGCGCGATTCAAGGATCTCTAAGCAACGATCAGTTTCCTGGATGACGGCATTCCTGATCTTTCTCCTCGCCTTCTCAGAGAGCTTGTCATATAATGCTCGTTCATCCAAAGCCGCACGGTACCTATCTAGACCAGGGGTCGGCCAACGGGTGTATTGTTCGGATGTCCAGCTCCGAGTTTGTCCATTGCTCGTCGGCGGGTATTGGCTCTCGTCCAGCCCGCATGGATCCCTACGATCGTCAACTAAGGCCAATCGCGTAAGTCGGGCAGGACGAGTCGTATCTCTTAGATCTCGAATATCGCCCTTATCTAGGAACTCGCCTAGGGCCCTGAAAGATAGGTCGGGGGGGTTCAAATGCCCGGACCAGACATTTAGGAATGAGGCTGTAATTGTTTCGGAGGGATCAGGCTCCAGGCGAATATCTTCGGCTGCATAGGATATGGTTTGTCGTTCTGAAAAGTGGGGGTCCCAAACCAATCGAGCAGACGAGAAGGGGCGACACAGCGAATTGGTTAGTTTCATAACTAGCAGCTGGCTTTCCTATGAGATGTTCCTTGCAGCTAGGTTGCCGGAGGAAGCTGAATTCATACTGCAGCCTTACTGGCTGAGTGAGTCAACAACTTAGAACCCAAGTAGACTTTGGTGATCTTTGCGTTGTATCACACAAAGTGTCGCTTGTGAGTAGATAAGAAATATGTTGCAAGGACATCTGATGACCTAGGTACTGATGCTTCTCACTGACTAGACGCCATTGAAGCTATCTAGAGATCGGGATCTTGCCTGATGCGTACCTATCCCTTACGCAGCTAACTAGGGACTATCTTGTCTTGGCACAACTTGAACTACTCTTTTCTACTGTTATTGATGTCTTCCCTAATGTTAAACTAAAATCTTTATAATTACTAAATACTTTAGAATAGTGTCGGGCATGCTAAGCCTAACAAGCATACCTACTAGGTCCGGGAATACCTCGCACCTCGTGCGAGATTCTAGTCTTTTTGAGCGATCCTCAAGGGCCTACTAACCTGTTGCCTGATACTTATACTAGGCGAGGTTGATAAGAACTTCGTTATTTCTATTTGTATATTGTCTCACCAATATATGTCAGAAAGTCGTCCTATTTACCGTCACGGTAATAATATCCTCCTGGTTCCGCTCTTGTTATAAGAGTAGATAGAAAACTTAATGTTATTCCTCAGCCTTCCATAGAATTTGGTGGTTGTTCCGGAAGTTGTTGCTGAAATCGTCGATTCTTCAACTTCTAAATCAACTGTGCGCGAATCTCCGTAATATTCTTCCAGTTCTAGGTAATTGCAGTCTATTAAGTTTCAACGTACGTCCCGTTGTCTCTATTTAGTGCTCAGCAACAGCTCGAATTCGCTAATTCTAGCTACACCGTCCTTCGCTAGAAAATTACAGACAAAGGCCATGCACTCATAATTTCCAGCTCCGCCTCGAAAGGGCCCGCAAAGCTAAAAATGATTCAAGATGGCTAGTGAGTTGATTGATGGGGAATTTGTAACCAAGAGCACGGCTTTTGGACTGGTCAATTATGCAATAAGATGCGCCCCGTGCCCAAATTGCAAGCGCATCATGAACGAATTAGAGAGGACTATGTATAGTCTGATGATGAAGAGCAAGAGGAGAATATGAACTGGGGAACAGGCGTATCTAGTCAGGACGCGTTACATGAGCCGTTGGAAGTCCGTAAAGTCGACTCTATTAACCGAGCAGGGGCATTGATACGGCAATCCCATTAAATGCATCCAGGACGATACTGCTATGATCAAGAGAATGGTACAATTGAGGGTGAGACAGGCGATAAAAGGCTCAAAAGTTCGCCGAATATTTGAGGAACTAGCTCGACTAAGCCGCTCAAACAGGTATAAGAGCAACATTTTGACGAAATGGATTAGATAGATCGGTGTCTTCAATAAATCCCAGCATTATAGACACTGGAAAAAAGCTTTAAAGTCCTTATTCGCAGCAAATGAGTAACCAATTCCAAGGGCCTGTGATAGTCACGTGTCGGGAAGTTCACGACACTGGAGGGGTTAATTGTTTTTTCCATCCAGTAGACTGGGGATCTCCCTTCCAGGTGACCCATGTAATTCGAGAACCGCGAAAGTGGCAAGTGGGTAAAGAGTGCCATGAGATGTTGGGGATCGACCTCCTGAAAAATAAAGGTCTTGTTCGTCTTCCGCCGTCGGACTTCAGTTCCGCGCTCCCCTTGACATTTTAGAGTCGAGTCATCGTAGGTTTGGTGAAAGGATTAAGTCCGCTAATCTACATACACATAGAGCACAGACGTCACCGCAAAGGTTCTCACTCACTATCGCAAATGTCCATGGCCTGAACGTCTTAAGGAAGTTTAGACCGAGTTGGGTCGGATGCAGAGCCTTAGAGTCAAGAACGTTTCAATTTTTATTTTTCGAGCGAACAGAGAAATCATGATGGTATATAATGTTCTCAGTATCTGCACCTGCCAGATCGGTTGAGAAGACTTTTCGTCAAATGTTCAGCTTTAAGCGCATCTTGTGTGGTACATCGACTGACTCAAAAGGATGGCTTTTGCTACCGAGTTCGGGGTTTACTTGGAGGCATATTTATGATACAACACGATTTCAATTCTGGGTCCGATTGTGCATTTTTCTACGGCGGCAGTGAATCAAAAGAGCATTCAAGATCTATATAAGGTTTTCTACGATCTAAGTATGGAAATTAGAGAACTTTACGAGAGGAGAGACGTATGTGTTGAGAGTCCTATTAAAAATACTAGGGATCCATCATACAAAGGTGACAGCTCCTATTAAGCCTGCTCAAAGGGAAAACTCCATCCACAACTAAATATGTTTCCGTAGCCATCAACCTAGCGGGAAGCGTCGGAAGAGGTCGCTCAGTTTATCGATTGGCGCTGCCATGAGTCCCGCAACAGTCTCGAAAGGGGGTTTGTCCGGTGCGGCAGGGTGACTACGCGTGGGGACGAACATTTTGGTACGCCCGAAGCTTTTCGACAGAGCCTGGGAGTCGCCCTCTGGTAAGGCCTTCTCAAGTGCGGGAAGATCTTGGGTTTCCTCTTCATCGATATGCTTGCTCAGCTCAGACCACAGTGACTCAAGAGTTGGTCTGAAGGCAGAATCGGAGGGAGATAGCCCTTGGAATTTGTGTAGGAGCTGCTTAACCTGTGTTTTCCAACGACGCTATTGTTAGACTAAGATTTGCTTCGAACAAAAGGAACTATACAATAAGAACTCGATAGTAATGGGTTCATGACTAACCTTGTTGTGCTCTGTTCGATCTCTATCCGCCATCTGCTTGCCTGTGTTGCCCAGGTGCTTCTCCATAGCTGGATAAACGACAAGTTCTTCTCCGATAGAGTGACGAGCCAATTCCCAGGTGAATTGATTTTGCCAGCGAATCTTTGAGTCGACATCATTAGCACCGAGTATGTTTTCGTAATACTCCTTTAATTCGGCGTGATCGTGCTTGATGGCATCCATCACTGTCAATGCATTTGCCGAAGACATAGTAGCAGCGGTTTTGTCCACTGAGTTGGTAAAATCCTGGTGTTTATAACGTGGTTTAACAAGAGGCCCTATGGTTCGTGGAGGTGGACGATGGGTACAGCGGATAACTCCCACAATGGTTCTGAGGAGAGGTCTGTTGGCTTCCATCGAAGTAGACGTTGTACCGGAGCTGAGTAGAATGGCAAGATAAGTCACTGTGGGAAAGGAGACGTTTTATTGTCTTCGACAAGGTAGCCGCTGATGTGAATTAAAATCATGACGCCTTAGCACCGCCTTAGTACCCTAGCTGTCTAGCAATTCCCTGCCCGGGAATGATGCCATGTCAGTAGAGTTGACCGAGCAACGCTCAATTCCACACAATTCGGGGAACGAGGTGAAGAGATCTAAGACCAATCAGACGAAAGCCAATACTAATGGTTTGCTGTTGCCTTCAGTTCTTAAGTCATGCCAATCGTCAGCATGGAAGGGAGTTCCGTCCAATCCCTGGAAGAAAAATAGACCGTTTCCAGAAAATTGATATAGATAACATCTAAAGTCAGTGCCGATGTCAAATCAGTGCCGGCTGATTTTCCCGGTTGGCGTCAATTGGATTCTGGCTGTGGCTGACCAGCCAGCGCTATACTGGCGCCTATGGAGCGCTACGTAGATATATCCCACTAGAGTATCAACCGGAACAAGAATCCTACCATCCAGATGGTGGTCGGGCTTCGTCCTTCGTTCGCAAGTCACACCTGTGAATAAACGGACTGTATCTAAAACATCCCCCGACATTGATGGAAGAACCATTTCGACGGAAACCCGGTCCGCACCACGTGGCAATTCATGCCTGCCTCCTGATACGCCGCGCTTACCTGCATATCGGATTACTCGATGTGATGATCTAGGAGGAAGGGGACGAATATGTGCAGCCCACGCTGGTTATTCTCAATGCCCGTAGGCAGAGTCTCGCTGCTACCAGGAGCATTCACCGTTAGCAACATTCTAGGCACAAGTGTGTCGGTGATGATGGTAGAATGTTCTCAGAGTAAAAGTTGTGAAGGACTCTCATCGTCTCACTGTGTCAGCGTACGTGGTGGGGAGAATAAGTAACTCGATAGGAGGGGACATCCGGTGTCCTCTATTTTATGACGCAGATAACCCCCAAATCCTTTATCAATATAGACAGTCACTACATTATGGAGTTCTTGTTACTTACTCTTCAGATATCCCCCTCTTTATTAACCGCTCATCGCCCGGCCTGCTTCACCTCCGACCACCGAGCGACCATAGACCCCCCAAGTTCTTTTGGAGAGTTCAGCACGATGAGGCATCCACTAAACCATCAGATTGCAACATTACTATTCCTCGAGCCGCCTCACTCCCATGATCCTACCGCTATTGCAGATTTTATATCCTTACCAACGGCAATGCTGAATCAACTTCCAGCCGCGGCCCAAGATCTCCTATGGACTGTGCAAGAAGCGACGTCAATCGTGTTTGCGTCCTACCAAAGACTCCAAGAGTTACTTGAACGGAGTGAAGATAATGTGCTTGAGTCTGAAGCCCTAGATACCAGACAGAGAGTGAGGAGCTCCCACCATGCCATGTTCTGTTACTCATAAGAGTTCATTTCTCTCAGTATCCGAACGCTATCTCCTTTAACTATAGGAATTATCTGCAGGCCGAGAGAGACTATCTGCTTATTGATGCCATGCCCGATTGGCGGCACAAAGCAGTACGGCTCACTATTGCTCTCAAAGATCATTCTAGCCTTCGTTTCCAATGGTCGGGTCAGCATATGACGGTGGGCGGTTGGTGGAAATCGATTCAAAGAACGGTCGCTTCTTGGGCCGAGCAAGCGGAAGAGATAGTAATCCCAGAACCTCAGGCTATTCAAGAGGAGCTGCAACTAAAGTTCTCCAGGCCATCCACCAAGACAGAGGTTGACCTACTGGCAGTTGCAACTACTAGGGAGCAAAGGTTAGCCGCTTAACATAGAGGTGTCTAGTTATGCAATGCAGGAGCTTACAGAAAAATACATTTGCCATTACCTAGTCACCACCTATTGGGTTGAATCTGTTGGCGCCAATTATCTAGCGCGTACTAACTCACGTAGCACGTGACGCGCTAACAAATATGGGTACTAAAGTCTGTGAGTGACTCCGTTGACTCCTGTCATAAAATTGCCATTGTATCAACATTTGCAATGTTTGGAATCAATAAGTGATTTGAAACTATGGAAAAGGGGCTCACGGAGATCAAATAACTCATAAATTTGTATATAAACAAGAACAGAGTCCATAGAATTGAAAGAGACAGAGATCTCATACATGCTCGAGTGCTTGCCAAAGCGGCGTAGTCACCTTCGCCAACAGAATCTCAGTAAGTAGCACACCGCCGCCTATTCTGATTCCTTAGGTTATAGCTTATTTATTATTAAAGACCGCCACGAAGGTTCTCCAGTAAATATGGTTTTTGTGCGCAGGAAGGGTGTAGTGTTAAAGACTATCGAGAAGGTCGCATGGTTGTAGCACTCAGGAAGAACAGATAATACTAGACAGATCTTAGTAGGCCTTAATGCAGGCTAGATTAACCTATTAGGTTTGGCGGGAGGCTGGGTTAGCGCTTCTAGAACCTTAACCCATTAGGGCTAGGTCACTTTTCAAAAACCTAGCCTAACATCCTCCTATGCTACACGACCTTTAAATATCACTGAGAGATTTCCTAGGAAGCGAGAAATGTTTGTGCCAGTCGATCAGAAGGAGGAGCAACACTTTTAAGGTATAGGTGAAGTTTCGTGTCCCAATTAGCACTTCAATTTGATCCCTTTTCGTTTCTCGCCCTCACGATGTTCAAACATGACTTGAACGCCCACAAAAAGTACACCGCATGCACCAAGCATAAACATCGCACCTTGCCAACTTCCAATTATGCCGTGCACAAGACCCATCAATCCATCTAGTCCGACAGCAAAACCAACCAGATTGGCTGCCATCATCAGAAGAATATTGAAAGCTGCTCCGATGCCACAGATAACTCGATAAGCATTCGGCCGACTTTTCCACTTTGAGGGCGGAAACGCCAGGCTTCCTACGACTTCTGGTAAGATGAAAAATGTCGCTAGCCAACCCCATGTCAGAAGTTGAAGATTTATGTCGTGCCAAAGGGCAACAAAAGTGAAGACGGCAAGGAGGTTAACAATCCCACGGAGCTGACCGGCACTCCCGCCAGGACCGCCACCGAGAGGTACGTAGACATAGCGTGTGAGCCACCTGTTGTAGCTACGGTGCCAGGATCGCCAGAACCCAAGAGCCGAGTAGTTATCGCTCATGCATCTGATCATGTTTTCTGGAGGATCGATGCCGTCGACCAGCGCCCACAACCTGAAAAATCGCCAAGGGATCATCAACTTGAGCCAGATGATGTGTAAGTTGAAATAAGCCAGCATGCTTAGCTGGAACGGAGAGTATGTCGACCAATCCGGTGATGCCTTTGAGATGGCGACTGCGTAAGCGGTATGCTGTAAGAACTCCATGCAGAACAACGTAAGCAGGAATCGTATTCCGTACAGGGTGGTCCGCCGTGTGGTCACTGATGGTGATCGATAAGAGCACTGAGAGATGTAATCATTGAAGGTCAAGATTGGCCCCGCGATATACAGAGGTGGATACAAGATGTAGGCAACATAAGTTGAGAATGACGTGAATGAGGCAGGCGACGCAGGAATAGATATGCGTTCCTTATCAGACAGTGCTGCGGGATCCAATTGTTTCTTCTTGATACTGTCAGCGATTATGGTTCAACGTAGAACGCAGCATAGGGCTCCAAGGGAACTAGGTCACATACCTCAAGTGGGCTTCCAGCTCTGGAACGATCCAGTGACCAATAATGATCGAAATTGAAGGATATCATTCTCAATACTGTCACCTTGAAGAGGACTTCCCAGCGTGGCATCAGGCCTCCGTAAGAATCCAAAAATTTGCCCAAAACTGGTGCTCCCGCGTAGAATGGCACTATAGCATTAGCAATGGTCACATAGCGATAACCTTGAGCAAGTTCATTCGCAAAGAGAGTCGCAATGTTGAATATCCAAGTCGCCGCGGGAATGGCGTTGCGGGGAAGCGAAGTGCCGATCCTGAAGTTGATGAACAAGATAAAGAGCACTTTGAGAGAGGAGAACCCTGTCAGAGCCACGACGAAGACTAGGGACGAGTAAAAATCGTAGGTCAGGCGATGGCGAAGCCGATTTTCACCCTCATTCTCAGTAGAAGTCGTTTTAGAGGGTTCACTGCCTGTGGTGTTGCTAGTCTGGGTGATACGTTCATATGCTCGTCTGAGCAGCGGGTGGAAGATAACGAGCAGCGTCAAGTAGGGAATATTGTCCCTGAATCCTGCGTATTGGGCATCAGAATTGTCCTATTCACTATATAAGCCTCTTCCGACAACTGGGAAAGTACATGTTCAACACGTACCACTTTACGACCAAACAGCCATCCAGGAGACAGAAGACGCTCAAATTTCGAATAGTTTGGCGAATGAGCTGGTCATATCTTGTCAGGCTAGACATTCACTGGCAGATGCAGTTATTCTTACGCTGTGAGACACTGACTACAGCCCAGTACATCTGGGGCACACATGCCGCAACTACGAGCGTGTAGAAGTAAAATTCCGGTGTCCTCCATTTTGCGGGTTGGGCATCTGCAGGTAGTATTTTCCCTCCTCTTGCACCAGCCTTTGAGCCCTCCTCACTAACAGTCTTTCTGGAAGTCGATGAGGAATTTGTAAACCGAGTATCGAGTGTGTCAAGGGAGTATAATTCGCCGAGGAAGGATAGAACGGTCATGTTTGCGTACGCATCCCGCGACACAGCCAGCTGCCTTAGGATCGAGAGGACTTAGAAATGCGCTCGACATTTGCACTCGACTTTCGTTGAAATGGAGTTGGCCGCGTTCTCCTGAGACAGCGGTTGTGGTTGTGGTTGTGGCATTTTGCTTCACCGTAGACTTGGCAGTGTTTATTACGGAGGAGCAGAGTACAGGTTTAGGACGGCTACTAGTGCTATTTCGCTGAATTTGATTGATAATTATTGCACAACTTTCCTATTCAAACATAACGCCTATGATCAAATCATTCAAGACTTTAAGAGGATACATCGCATTCATCATCTTGGACCGATTGATACAAACCCTTGAAACGATACAAGTCGACCAAAAAGACCACGACAGCCCGGAACAGTTTCTCAGTCACCTTGCGAAACCCTCCATCGGGTAAGTGTTGGAAGTTTGAGTTGGAGGCGGTGGAAATTGATTCTGTGCTTGGCCGGCGATGTGATGGGCCCCAAAGTGTGATAGGTATCCTTGGTGTAGGTTTTGGCCGTTGTCCTGCGTTGATGTACCAAATCGTGGCTGTGTCGGAGGCATTGGGCTTGCAATCGGTGTCAGCTGAATAGCTGTCCCAGTTTTCTGGTCAATCAGAGGTTGGTCATCATTCTCATAACCTACAACCCCGCTATGGCCAGTTGTATATGAACTGTTATTGAAATTTTCGGGGTAAAGAAGAGGCTGCGTTGCACGGGGTATCCAAGCGGGTTTGCTGATGTTAATCTTTTTCGTGCCAACACCACGTACCCATCGACTACTTGAAGTTTGTGGTTCGCATTCCCCAGGATACAAAAACAGGGACAAGCTGCGCCCCACAGATGTGGCATTCAGGTACGCTCTCATCTTGTATGTCGAAGCACGGCCCAGGCACACCAATATGAGTGTTGCCGAGCCAATGACCACACTCAAAAGAACAGCCACATACGCTGGAATTCCAAAAAGCCATCTATATCGAATCTGCCGTGAGAAGACGCGTACTGGTACTTGTGCAGTGGCTTGTGATGCATCGGCACTAGTGGTACTCGCCTGGCGTTTCTGATTGGCATTGCCCGTGCCCGGAATATTGTTCGATGATTGCAACCAGGACTTAGTCCCAACAAGTGCATTTGCTGCCAAATCCGCATATATGAGATTGATTATGTGCGCAGTTCCATTAGCGGTTGCTGATAGACGTTGCCATTGGGCGAACATCGCAACAGAATTTTTGCCTCCATATCCCGCAAATCCTTGATCGGGGTCGAATACATCGCCATCATAAAGAGATGAGAGAGCATCAATGGCGAAAGTGGTGCCGGGCACGTTGTCTGAGCCAGACTGCGTAAGTATTGTGAATATCCCGAGGTTTCCAGGAAGATAAAGGTAAGGTGATTTTACAACTGACAGCTCATCGGATTCAGGGGTCGTGCTTGAGACCAGCCCCCACAGGGGGGCAGCATCCTGGATATTCACATCCAGTCCGGAGTTGTTCTCAACGCCCCAGTACAGAGGCTTCGAGTCGGAAGATTGATCGGATATGGAATCAACCCGCAGGGAGCGGAGACCGTCTGTACCATTGAAGCGAAAGCTGAATTTTTTGACATTCATTTTCACGGCAGAAGCGCATGACAAGAGTGGCATGGACAGGCGTACTCCAGGGTCGTATGCAAGTTTAGTCTGCCCGTCAGATAACCTTGGTACACCGTAGACGAGGCCACAGCCAACTGCAACATTAGACATGTTTGACTTGCTGGTCCCGACAACCCCGTTGCACTCGTTAGCAATCTCGGAGAAATTTGATCTGGATATGTTGAATGGGTTTGGCCAGAAAGGAAAACTATCATCGCTGGTGAACGAGCTGTTGTCGTTGGCGAGAAAAGTGGAAAAGACAGAACTGTAGTCTTCGACAACCAATTTGTCAAGGCCAAGAAGTGTTGTTTCTGGTAGCTGAAACGTATTACCAACCGCTGAGGTGAGGTATCCAAAGGCATTTGGGTTTGGGCGAGTCACATTATAATAGATGGCCAGTAGGGCATCAAAGTACCAGGCACTTTGATAAGCACGATTGACAAGATCAGCGTTGACTTGCGGCGAAGCCTTATCGTAGGTGGGCGAATCAGTGGCAATGTTTGCGAATCCACCGCGGTCGGTCAGAACCACGTCCTCCAACTTGCCACCTAAAGTTCCATTCAAACCCGAGGTGGTGAAGTCGATAGTAAGGTTTGTGTCGACGCAATGGGTTTCCGGTTCCATGACAAGTAGATCTTCATCCCAGGTTGCCCCGAGAGATATCCCAGCTGGAAGAGTATGATTACGAAAAGCAATACGTCCATTGATCATATCCACAACTAGTCCTTCGATAGCTTCGATCGAATCCTGCAGTACTAGAGTGTCCAATTGTCGATAAGCACCGGCGGTATAAAATGTTCCATTGTTGATATCCGGATCCTGGCGTTTGTTGTGGGATCGAAATTGGATGTCAAAGAAACTGGAGACTGTCTGTTGCTGTTCTTGTAGCCCGCTCTGAAGTAACCCAATCTTCTCTGCCGGAATACGGCTGTCATATCCGAATGGAAAATCAGATGAGATAGACTCGTTCGACTTCACCTCAACGGTGTCAGAACCAGGACATGTCACTAGATTTGGAACACCACACAAGCGATTGAACCCAAGCGTGCTTCGCTCTGGCGTCCCATATCCGAAAGGCCCACTGTCTGCGATGTATAGGAATGAGACGGTTTGCAGGACTTGATTCGGTTGGACCGTTTCGTAAAGGCCAATCGGGGTGATGATGGAAGCCAAAGCGATAAGCAAAAGACCTAAGGATCCGATCCGCAACAGCCACTTTACTGAACCTTGCACATTCACAGAGGTTGCTGTGTCTGCTCGAAGAAGGGCAGCCCAGTGAGAGCTGTGAAGCGTTGCGCCAACGGATGACCAAGTTGTAGCAGACATGTCACTTTTGAGGAGCCCGACTATCAAGAGAGCTAGAGCAGTAGGGAAGAAGAGCTGAAGAGCTGTTGTAATTGCTGCAATTATGGCAGATACCTGCCCAACAGAAAGTTGAATCATGCTTGAAAGAATGTCACCAAGATCAAGCCATCAAGGGCTCCAAGAACAAAAGATTGTAGGTCGCCCACGAAAAGGGTGTACCGAAACTGCCAGCGGGATGCAAGGAAGGATCTTTTGAGCACTTACAGTACCTCCTGCCTGGTCCCTCACATCTCTACCCACCTACTTGAGGCTTGAGGACCGGCATCCTCAGGGATTAGATGCGCAAATGAAACGCTTCAAGCGAAGGCATTTGTGACTAGGCCGTGTTATCCTCTTCAAATCAGAACAAAAGGGGGCGTGAAAAAGTCGTATTCGGATTAGAGACAGAATGGGAAGAAGCTTTCAACCACAAAAGTAAAATCATGCTTGGCTTGGTTTGATGAGATGGCCTCTCATTCGATGGGTACTTCCAATGGACGAGGCTGAAACAGAATGGGACAAGCCACAATGAAGCTGATTGGATTTGGTGCAGATCCTCTCCAGTGCTGGCTGAGGTTTGAATTTAGCAACCATATGGAGCTTGCTCATCAGATTGAAATCGTTCCAACAAGTGGTTCCCGAATTGCAAGGCATATTCCGTACGGAGTACGGAGTATCTCACCAGAGTTAGTCGCCCTGAAGCCTTGAAGGAGGGATACAAAGATATTTTAAAACGTGGGAGATCTCCAGCTTTGAAAATCATTGGGGGAACACGTGCAGCGGATAAAAATCGGATAAATGGACACTGAAATCCTTCCGTAACACAATCTCAAGTCTTCCTCCTCGTCTGGCTCTCATAGAGTTTACAGGCCGCTCCACGACTAGATTTTAGTTCTCAATAAGAAGATGAAGCTTCTGTTCCAGAAACGCAGATCATTTTCAAGATAGGTTTTTCGAAATTGACTTATGGCTAAAGCCGACCTTCCTTGTTGTTAAGTCCAGAATATTCGTGATCTCCGTCTCAATGGGGCTTTCAACATGTGAATACTCTCGTTCCGCAAATTGAAGCGGATATATTCTTGATCTTTCTTGGTCGAGGAGGAATCGCTCTTGATGGTGACAGAGACCACATGCAAGATGTGGGAGTGTTCACTTTCTTCACTGCTCGAATCTATTCATGGGATCGTCCTATTGTCATTCACTGAAGGACTTGTTTGTGGGTCGATATGGGACACAGACACATTGCACACTCGTTGAGGTGTTGAATACATTCACATCACACAATGGGTTTTGTACTAGAGTTGTAGGTGCTTTCATTCATCCCTATTCACCAGCCTTTCCATTGGCATGCCGCCAGCCTTTGGGACGATATCAAAAGCACGATGCAGTTCTCTTCAACGCACAATGAAGACAGTCCTACAAGTCTTTCCGATGATATCTTCTTCTCCTTACTTAACACAGGCCATCTTTCTCCTGTTCTCCTATCTCATCAACAAAATGTCTTTTTACAGCAAAAAAGAGTCGTTTTTCTTGGACGCGGTGGCATCAACTACTTGCCCAATTGTTCAAATCGTCCCTTTGACGGACATCGATGTATCCAACTACCTTGACGCGCACCCGGAGGTTCTTGCAAAGTACTTTGAGGAGCGCAAGGGCTATGCATGGTCCTTCGTCGAGATCCCTTTTCAAGATTTAACGGGTGGAGAGGTCACCGCCGCAAACGAGGGCAATGCAAGTAATCAAGAAGCACAGCGACTTCGTAGCTTGTTTGAGGACGAGCCAGTTGCTGCCACAGAACCAGAAGCTTTCGGTGAACTGGCCCCGGTTCCAGAGGACGATACAGAGAGCAACTTCTCAGAGAGCGAGCTGGACTCATCTCCCTGGGTGAAAGCACCTATCCCATCTATCTTTCCCCCTTCTCCCTATCCCTCGGCTGATCCATTTATTCAGCACCCTTCCACACTTTCCTCCTCACCTTCTCCGTCTCCATCTCCGTCGCCTTCCCCTTCTCCATCTTCGTCTTCATCTTCGTCTCCGCCGCCTTCCCATTCCTCTTCACCTCCTCCTCCTCCTCCACCACCGCCACCACTAGCTTCTCTCCTACAGAAGAACAGCCGGAGTTGGAGCGCCGCGGAGGAGGAATCTTGCTGCAGACATATGAAGGCAGTGTGTAAGGAGGGCAAGATTCAGGGCGAAGCCCGGTTCAGAGAGACGCAAAGACGCATGTCAGATGAGGACGGTTTTCAGCACAGGGGCGCAACAGCAGTCAAGAACTTTTGGAACCGTGTTGGCCGTGCTAGATGCAACCTCGACGAACGCAAGAACAAAAAGGCACCTCTAGCGACGTCGCAACAGGGTAAACTAGCCAATTCATCTCGGCATCTCACGGCTTCAGCCTTCATATCATCACAGGGCGTACGCAAATGTTCAACTCTGCCAAAAAGACGTCCTCCCAAGCAAATGCCGGACTCAGACTCAAACAATGAGCAGGAATACGATACAGCTGATACAACGCCGCCATCTGTCAAGAAACCTCGTAAAAGAGATCGAGATGACAGCGAATCAGAGTGGAAGCCAGATCAAGGCATGTTCAATGCTATTGCGAAAGGCATCCGAAATCCAAAGAAGGCTCGCGTCTCCAACTAGACTGATTTCCCAACAAGGCTCACCCACAATTCTCCAACTCTGATACCGCAATCATCAGCCACCTTCACCATTTGGTATCCCCCATTCGTCCCACAAGCCACAGGCATTCAACTAGGTTCACCATTCGGACTAGGCTGACAACAACCACCAATCTACTTTCAGGTACATAGATAAGGCAAAGTAAAGCCATGCCAACATTGCATTTTCAGGCGAACAGATATTCCCGATTTACAGCCAGAGATGAGGTCAGATGAGATACAAACATCGAAGAAACAGAAACCGGCTGGTCCGGTTGTCATGAAGAGAGCAGGAGCGAAGGAGAAACAGCACAGTGTCGGACAAACAGGAAGGAGCCTTCCAATGTGCATGAAAACAGTTGAAAATTTTTCAAGTGGAAGGAATGTGTTATTTAGATGCTATTTGCAGAAGGCCAGTCCTCATCGTTAGGAAACCTAGTCAGCCTAGAACGAAGACAAGAAAACAGCAAGGACCTGCCTTATCCCATGTCACATCTCCACTTTATCCGCCAGGATATTCACGTTCATCATGTAGGTTTGTCTCCAGCCAGAGTAATTCTCAACATTCGTCTTCTGAACCCATGATAGTCATTAATTGGATTGTGTTGTACGCATCTGTTATCCCAGAGCGCAATGCTGCCTTGTCTCCAGACAAATCTGCACGTAAACTCCGGCTTAATCTGATGTGTGAACAAATAGTTCAGAAGAGGAGCAGATTCATCCACCGTCCAGCCTTCAAAGTGCGAGGTGTGCGCTACATTGACATAGAGTGCCTTCCTCCCTGTCTCGGGATGGGTGCGCACGACGGGGTGGGTAGCTTCCAATGTTTCTTTTGAATTGCTATTCCCACTGTCGCGGATACGGTCCTCGCGAGTCTTGCTTGCATCCGCCTTTGCTGAGGTGTTGACCCCCTTCAATTGCTTCAGTATCTGCTTCAGCCCTCCGGAGAGTGCCTCGTATGCAGCATACTGATTTGAAAATAGGGTGTCCCCTCCATAGGGTGGAATCTCTTGTGCCAAGAGGACGGATCCCATAGGTGGTTCCTCAAAATAACTGGTGTCACTGTGCCAGATGCCACCGAAATTTATTGTTTCAGTTTCTTGTTTGAGCACTTGGATGATCTCCGGAAATCCTTCTATGCCACGGACAAATGGATACTCGACTGGCTTTCCAAAATGCGATGTAAAAGTGAGATACTCTGCTGGAGAGAGATCTTTGTCTCGAAAGAAGATCACCTGATGCTCTAGTAGAGTCTCCCGGATCTCCTGCACAATGCCTGGATTCTCGGCCAGAGAATTCGGGTTGATGTCGACATCATGAATTTCGGCTCCCAAGGATCCAGAAATCCGGTGGACCGAGAGATGTCTTCTACCTGACAAGTATGAAAGTGGTATCAGCTTTTTCGAGAATCCCGATCGAAGGCCGGCTCTCGCAAGGCTAGCAATGTTCATGTGAGCAGGCTAATGGAAGCACAAAAAGACTTGAAAGCACAAGCTTATCTCGGTCAGGACAATGGCGGCATGGAAAGGGCATTTATGTTGGAACTATGGCTATCCACATGTACAAACAACCATCTCTTGTTCCCTTGGTCACCAGGACTGCCAATGCTGCACACAAGGGATGATATGACGATCTTGGGATGAGCCAATGCGGGGTCATCCTCACTGTGGAGTTGGAGAAATTGGTTGGGTTATGCCACGTATGGCTAGCGTCTGCCTTTCCACAAAAGCGGCGCCGCAGGTAACCTCAATGGGCAATCTTCGCAAACGGGGCAAACTTCCATCGCCGCATCTCTCATAGTACAATTATTGGATCCAACATGCTTCCACCCGCCGACAACGAACCTCAAAGCAATTCGCTCTACAATCCGGGCAACCATGTCAACGGTCTATAGTTCCCTTGCGCCAGCCTTCCTGCCCGTTCGGTGTTGAGTTTTGTCTCATTTATTTTCCTCAAGAACCTCGCCGCGTCATCACTACTTGTTGTTTCACATCCTCATCTTCAGCCGATACCTTCATGTCCACCTCCCAAACATGTACCACTAGTCTTGATTAATTCTCAGCTTTATCGGACATCTCTGCCTCACTCTCCTTGTCACTATACAATTTCAAGCACCAAGGCTCACTTATCCTCTCACCAACCTTCTTCGGCGACAGCCCAATGGCGGTCGCAATGCAAACCGCCATGTCTTCGACGCAGGATGCCGATCTAATGGATATTGACATTGACATGGACCTGGATGAGCATGTCGCAACCCTTGATGAAGAGTTCCAGCTTGAAGTACGTAACAATTTCTTTTGATAATGAGACAGCATCCTGACCGAAGCCCCGCAGGAAGGCGAAGAACCCTCATTTGTACCGTCAACCACACAAGCCGCTGATGCTTCTAACTTAATACCTGCCATCTACACTGAAGATCCCAGCCTCGAGCCCCAGTGGAACAAAGTTCATATCCGTGGTGTCGATGACTTCCACACCAGCGACATCATCGCATTTGCTCTTGACCATGTCGTCACCGACCAGTCAACTCCACCCGACGTCCATATTCAATGGATCGACGACACGTCTGCCAATATTTGCTTCAAGGACGGCGAAACGGCGAAAAGGGCCCACCTTTCGTTCCTTCAACACCCCATCTCCGCGCAAGAACTCATCAACTCTCCATTTGAATCTCGTACAGCAAAACCTCTGACGACCAGACCGGCGAGCATGCTTACAGTACGCGTTGCACAAGCCAAAGACAGGAAAGCAAAAGGTGCTCGGGATGCAAGTCGATACTACCTCCTCCACCCGGACCAAGATCCCACAGACCGAATGCGACGTGAATTCGCCAATAGCCGAGGTGAACGAGGTGAACGAGGTGAAAGAGGTGACACTGGCAATTACAGGCGTCGACGTTTCGACGATCGCGAGTACAGGAGAAGGAGGGACAATGACCACGATGCAGGTGGGGATGACTTCTCAGCGAACATGTACGACGACAATCCAGCAACGGACGGCGAAGCTACGGCACGAGGGAGAGATCTATTTTCACGAGTCACTAAAGGAAGACGACGAAGTGCCAGCCCCACAGCAAGGACGCGCAATAGCGATGAGATTGACATATCCGATTCTGAAGATGAGCGCGACCGCCGACGACGAAACGGCTATCGAGATCGCACCGAGCGCCCGGCACGGTCAAATGCGGGCAAAGAACTCTTCAGCGACACCATCACCTCATCCACCCGGAGACCGCAAGGAGGTGGCTTACATTCCGACAGGATAGAGTTGTTTCCCTCAAAGGCCACAAACGCCGACAACGACACCTCTATGACGACCTCGGCTCCGTCGCGACCAGTGAACGACCCCGCCAACGTGCGAGCCAATGCAGCCGCCGCGAAGCGATTGAAGGCCGACCTTATAAACGCTGCGCAGACCAGTCCACGGTCTCATCACCGGCGCAGCCACGCCATGGACGCCAAGAACGCAGAGGACCTCGCCGAAAGATTCGCCCGGAAGAGCATTTCCCTCGACAGCACCAAGTCATTGCGAAACAACCTCCCCAACAGCGGCGTCGAGCTATTTCCGTCGTCCACATCGAGCAATGGCGGCGGCGGAGGCCTGAGCATCAAAGGCTCCGCGACATCGGCGCCTGGAAATGGAAACGGATTCAACATCAAAGGCTCCGGCGGGTTTAGCATCAAAGGTCGCGCGGACATGAAGGAACTGTTCCCGTCGCAGTATGATCGCTCCGGAAGAAACGAAGGCAAGGAGTTATTCGACCAGCCGGTCAGAGAGCGCACGCAAAGGAGACAGGCTAGGGATTTGTTCGATTGAGAGAGCGCGACTGAATGACCGGAAGTCAGAGATCTTGAATGGGAAGGGGGCTTGAAAGTATGAGCCCAGAAAAAAAACAGAAGCAAGTCTCTAGATTCCCGCCTAACTTCCTGAGCATCGACTGCAAATCGTTCGTTACACAACAGGCCCGCCCATATCATCGAAGACGCCTATCCATCTCAGGTTTTTGGGCAAGAATCCTTCCCTCAGGGCCATGGAAACAAAAGGGGTGGGCTCCTAGCTTGGAGAGATGACAATTTTTTTGATTGGGAATGGAGGAGACCTTCAGCTATTGACGGACGATAATAGACTGAGCACACCGCATCAGGCCAGCCCTTCCATAGAGAAGGGATAGCATAGCAGAAAACAGATCCGAGCATCCTAGAAAATGCCGAGAAATCAATCATGAATGCAATCTTTGAACCTTATTCCATTCATTCGTCAATTTAGACAGGCCTGCATCCCAAGGTAGCGTTCAAGGGTCACGAGGCTACGAAGGTGACTTGGAGTGGCTTCTTCTTTTTGCTCCAAATGATATATGAGGACGTTGTCCAAGAAAAACAGTCTCTTGGTGTCTACCTGTGGTAGACGCATGCACATAGAGATCAAAGTAGCCATGAGGAAGCTACGTCCAAACTCGAGTCCGGCGAAGTAGCCTTTGTATGAGACTCGGTGCTCTTCATGATAACAGCCTATCGGCTTCTGTTCATGTTCGCTGAAGCACATACGCTATTTGACTCGACATTGTCATGCGATACATGCCAAGCTTTCGTTATCCAGGCAGGGTTATTTCCAACTTGCCAAAATTCGACCTTTGCAAGTTCAGTCTGTATTATGGGGCCTACGTTTCCACTCGAAATACGAAGTCCAGCTTGTACTGGTGTGACGAAAGAAGGCTGGAGATCCACGATCACTTATGTTTCTTATCGTTGTTGTATTTTGACCCTCCCGATCGGGCATATTCTCATGGTGCAGCGCCCAGCGATGCCAAGGCCCCCCTAAGCTCTTTGATTGCTGTCGGGACATCCTCGAAGTTCAGGGCCGAAATGGCCCATCGTGCATGCTTTTGCGCCTTCATTATAGCCTCTTCGTCGAGAACAACATTCACAGGCTGAGAAGGAGGTGGCAATTGGACGGGGGGGTGAACAGGTGTTGGAGATTGTACATACTGTGATTGTGGGATGGGGGGCACGGGGCCATGAGTCTGTCGGAGTTGAGGGGGGTTTTGCGGCAGCTGCGGTGGCGGTACTTGTGGTTGGAAATTCCGGGGTATCTGCGGTGTTTCGCCAGGGGCTGGTTGGGGGAGAAAGTTACCATGACGATGGGCTGGAAGTGGTGGAGAGGGTCGACCAGCTTGATTGAGCGAAGTGAGAGAAGCTCGAGCCGAGGCCAGACCATTATCAACAGGAGGTTGGGGTAGATTCGCTGGAGTTGATGCCAGATCCGTAGGAGCGGAGGGCAGCTCAGGGGGAGATGCTCCAATAGCTGTTGGGGCGGAGGGAAGAATAGGAGCAACATCTGATGGAACAAGCGGGAAGTAATTGCCCCCCACAGATGGCTTCCTCTCAGAGGGAGTGTCCAACGGTGAGATGTCGTTGGTGTCAGGTTGGGTAGAATAAAAAGCTGCCGCATCCTGTGCTGCTATTGGAGACACGTCATTGGCGGGCGAATGTGGCAGGGAAGGCTGTCTGGATGGGTGTAATGATTCATCCAAGGACGATTGACGAGCGAGATTGCTCTGTAAACGATCTGTTTCGTCTTTCACTTCGACGACAGATGGTTGGCGATCGGTCTTTCTGGGTGCTGGAGGAATAGATGTTTCCCTTGATGGATGCAAGGATTCGTCAAGAACGGACTTTTGTGCCAGATTCTTTTGTATCCTATCAGCTTCATCTGGGACTTCGACCACGGAAGCTTGTCTCGGTTTCCCTGGGACACCACTCAAAGCCTGGACATCTGCATCGTTGGGATCGAGAGCGGGAAGGACGTCTTCTGCCGGAATCTCGGGCTTGGGATTAGACAAGTTGGGGTCTTCGCCAGCTTTCAAGGCTTTTGCGATGCGCAGAGCATGGTATTTAGCGTATTTAATTTTGGCAGCAAGGTCAGGGTCAAGTGGCCCCCATATCTGCAGCAAATCGAGGAAGGTGGCTGCGGCTTGATAGGTGTCTGCGGTCTGTCTAGTAGCCTTGTCGGCTCTCACGGCGTTGTCTGCTCTTTCAAAGGTCTCAAGGCCGAATTGCTCGACGTAAGCCTTGCCAACCATGTCATCTGTGACTGCAGGCTCATCGGCGTGTTGAGCCTTGTACTGCTCCAACTTGTCCATAAGGGTGGTGGTGTAAACAAGACTCGCTTGGTCCGCATTGTGAAGGCCTTTGGAGAGAATCTGGTTGACGATCCAGTATTCGCCTTTGCAATAGATATCAGCTTTTTGCAGAATTCAGTTGAATGCGATGCAACACATACACCAATAGGCAACAATGGGCTTTGGCTTCTCCAACTGCGCTGCTCGATGGGCGAAACGAGTTACGTCGGCGGCCTTGAGGGCGGCCGGGACTTCGGCAGCCATGGGAGGGCGCGAGGCGTGTTGTCGTTGTCCGTGACACAGATGGTCGTGGTGTTAATATTATATGCGGGTGATAGAGACGGAGAGGATGGAGGTATGACGTGAGGGAGCAATAATATGGGTTGTGGTGGTAGAGCTGAAGTAGCACGAGCAGCACCAATTTGGCGCCCCTCAGGTGGGACAGCAATAATTGGCAGGAGCGGAGCTTTGGGAAGCTGCAGCTATTGCTCAATATTGAACGGAGTATTGGGTGCTCGGTACTCGGTATTTTGGGTTCGGATAGCCCCTGTGAGTGCTGGGAGTCGCGTAAGTCCCTGTGGGTGCTGTCTTGGTGCTCCAGTGGCTCCTGCTGCGTGGTTCATGCACCCCGCAGCCTCAGTCCAAGCTGCCTGCAGGGATCTGCCTCAATTGCCCGTCTCCATCTCCATCTCCCCGTCCCTCTCCATGCCCACCTTTCACCTTTCTCCTCATCCCTCCATCTTGCTCGGCCATTGGCACTCTGTTGACACTGGCAGCAGTGACCAATCACCTAGCTAACAGAACATGCAGTCAACCTTGGACAGCCGGCAAACCCCTCATTCTGGGATTAATCCAGTAAAGTGCTCAGTGTTGTTGTGACGTTTCATTCTCCTGGTGTTACTGCTTCTAACGGTAGGCCTCAATAAACCTCGTTGTTGTAACTAACGACATGTCTCAAGAATCAGCTTATGTAACTGGTGGCGCCTCTGGCATTGGGCGGGAAGTAGTCCGCATGCTGGTGAAGAATAAGTGTGTTCATGTTCAAGGCTAAATGCCGAGTATCATCTTTGCTGAACCGTTCATCAGTATCAGAGTCTTCATTGCCGACCGAGATCACGAAGGGGCTCAAAAGCTAGCCGATGAACTCAACAAGTCTTCTGATCATGTAGCAAGAGTCTCCCATGTCGATACTGCCAATTGGAACTCTCAGGCCAAAGCATTCAGTCAGGCCGTGGCTGACTTTGGGCGCATTGATTACGTCTATCCCATTGCCGGCATAGGAGAGAGAACATGGATCCCCAACGACCCCAATGGCACTGGCTTTGAGATGCCTGATCTTAGTACTGTTGAGATTGACTTGACCGGTGTCCTCTACACTGTAGGTTTAGCAGTCCAGCAGTTCCGAAGACAGGAGCCTGGAAAGAATGGCTTTCGGGGCAAGAGTAAGTTTTTATCTGCTGAGGAGAATGGGAGGATAGACATCTCCAGCCTCCGAGCGACAACGGTTCTGACACGGTACAGTTGGCTGTGTCGCGAGTGTCTGTGGGTTCTACTGTGCACCAACAGGTACAAAACACCGCTTCTCATCTCAGGCACAATGCTTACCTAGGTAACAATAACAGTCCCAATATATACGGCTGCCAAACATGGCGTGACGGGCTTCGTACGTAGCTACGGCAAGTACTTACCTGAAGAGAAAATCACGCTCAATTCAGTCAATCCAAACGTGATCCGAACAAATATCTCCAGCCAAGGTTTCTATGACGGCCTCGAAGAGAAAGGTCTTCTAACCCCGATTGAGGGTGTCGTCGATGCTTTTGAGAGACTCTTGGGCACCAATGATACATCGGGCGAGGTCTTTGAGATTGGGCCGCACTGGAAAGAACAGGGTCCAGTGGTGAAGAAGGCAACCGAGTATTTGGATAAGGAGTCGGAGACCGTGCTGGACTTGATATATCATAGAAGCCGACCGCTTCATCTGCCGCGATGAAGACGGTGTCGTACGTGCTACGGCCATGGGCACGGGTAATGCCAAACGCTCGTGCAGATATACATGCCACCTGTGCCACCATCGAGCCTTTCGGTGTGGTCACAATGATGAGCTTAAATGCCTTGTTTATCAGTCGGTGGGATGGAAGACATACGTCGTATTCTTTCATCCCTGTCATGACAGGGCAATCCTTCCCCGCACAAAAGTCTTAACGAGTAGTGAACGAGTACGAACGAGTACGAGTACATACAGTACGAGTATAGGGTGCCCCTCGGCCCACGTCTGAGCCCAAGGGTTTCAAGTCAGAGCCTCTTCGGCGATAGGGCGCCTGTTCCCCGCGGTGAGCATTCCGTCGCTGACGTTGCCGTGTTCCTTCCGATAACCAATCTGTCTTGCAATTACAACAAACACAAATTACAATGTGACTCTTCAAGACGATATTTTGGAGCTTCAAGTTAGCAAATCTAGCAAGTCGCTACGTCTCACCCAGCAACTCAACTACAGAGCCGTCCAACAAGGGCCTATCCCGCCAAGTACATCAATACATATCCGCTGCCAGTACAATACTGCTCGAACTCTCAACATCACGGTACTGCGCGGTCATGGCAGCCATCCATCGTCCAGCTCATTTAACACATCATGCAGCCAAAATTGCCTCAGCTGCTGCTCTGGAAAAAGCCAAGGAGATCGGGGTTCCCATGAACATTGCCATCGTTGACGCTTCTCTCTATCTCCTCCATTTCGAGAGAATGCCGGGCGCCAAATTGACATCCATTGATATTGCCATGAACAAGGCTTTCACGGCCGCTGGTCACCGAGCTCCTACCTCCATCTACAAGGAGAATGTCTGGCCGGGCGGTGCTGCATTTGGATTGAATAACAGCAACAATGGCCGATTCATGTACGTTGCAGGCGGCATTCCGATCGTTGTAGAGGGTGAGGTCATCGGTGCCATCGGATGCAGCACTGGCACTCCCGCCCAGGACTCTCAAGTGTCTCAGGCCGGAGTGGATGCTATTCTTGAGTATATCAAGAAACAGGCTTCTAAGCCAAAATTATAAACTTGAGGAAACAGGTCATTTCCCGAGGCTGCTTGACTATTGAGGACAATGCGATGTTGGACGGACGTGGCTTGCTGGCACCCGGAAATCATATTGTTTGTTCTTGCAACAAAGTCGGAACTCTAGCTACCAGTACCTGGTCCGCATGTATATTTCTATCACCGATCCCAAGGTCTTTCAGCTTGGACTCATGCCATGTAGCTTTGTGCACTGGGCGATAGATCTCCTTCAGCGCACACAATCCAAAATTAGGAAAATAGAATCTCCACGCATTACAGTCCTGCATTACGAGTGGGTATCTACTGTAGGTACGCGGGTGAGTTGGCCTCGGCTGTGTGGATAGCGGTAAGGACTCCGTTTCCATTGTCCGACGTGTCACGTGTGGGTGCGTGAAACTAGGCTTGGCATGTTTACAGGGACCCCAGATGCGGCATGACGTCTTTCGAGAACACCAATGAACATTTTCATGTGCCATTTCATGCTCGATACTCCCTCACAACTGCCTCTCGAGATCGCAGTCACATCTGAATCACCTTTCACCATAAGGGGGCATCCAAATTGATCTCATGCAATGGCAGATCGCGTCTCTGCATCGCCATCCCCCCCGCCACAAGCACCCATCGCAACCACCCCTGGCCCCCGAGCGGCCGCATTACAAAAGGTGTTTGCGGGTGCGCTCGCGTCTTCAATCAAGGCAAATTCATATGCCAATTTTAGCGCGTGCTTTCCCACACCGGCAAAATATTGTCCTACTGCCATGGGAGGGGTGTGGAAACAGTTGAACACCAGGCTTGAGGAGGAGTGCACACGCGATTTCGAAAAGATTCTCGGGGAAAGACAAGTTGTGGAGGGGCTGAATCAGTGGGACAACATGATCGAGGAAGCACGCAGGAGGAAACACCGAGCAGTTGAAGGCGAAGAACCTACGCGACCGTGAGTTGCACCAAGGATGAGGCTATTTTCTCGGCTGACGTGAAACAGAATGCATACTCTTTCAGCCGACGAGCTCTACACCGCACACCTTGCCCCTTACTTTCAGCAGGCGACAGCTGACCTCAATTCCAAATTGCAGCGGACGCAGCAAGAAAACGTACAAATGATGGCCACGATCGACCAACAACGAGCTGAAATCGAGCGACTATTGAGCGGCTTGGATACGGCAGTCAAGGATATCGAGGACAGTGTCAAAGCAATGCAATCGCACGAAGAAGCTGGTGTCAGCGGTCTAAGAACTGACGTGTGGCAAATGGAACATGAAGTTGCGCTTGCGCGGTGATCACTTTCTCCCACTCTACCCAGATCTTGTGGGATTCGACTGAGCGAGACATGATTCTAATGATAGCGTGGCGTTGTTGTTGGTTGACTTTGGCGTAAACTCGTGCGATAGCTGCCATACAAAGGACCGACGCCGTTTCATAGTCGACGACATTGCGATGGTGGCTTGCACGAACTCCGGGGCAGCGTCCCAAAATGGACCATTGATGTATCACAAAGGGCAGTGACTGTCAGATGCAAGAGTGACAGGTTACGAGCACTTAGTACGGAGTACATCCTTACCACTAGACTGAGACCCCGAATATAGCTGCCCAATGGTACCAACAACGGTTGGATCTAGTTGGCACCGTCGTATGATGATCCAGATCCTTTTTGTGTTCGGCAAGCGATGTCATGCAGATGAATGGTCAAACCGTAAATCGTCAATATCGGATCTCTCTCTACCAGGAGCAAAGGCTGGCCAATCGTCAACAATGCTGGCGCCAAGGCGTTTTCGACCCTTTCGGATGATTTTGTTCCTCATGAAGCTCCACATCCACATCCGACTCCACGACGGAGTTACTCACTTCAACTGCAGACGATGTAGTCACCCATCAGATAAGGACTGCTCGCCCAGTTAAGACGTTGCTCTGAGGTCAGCTTGCAGCAGTGTGCGAAGGCGTGCTTCACTTCCTTGGTCGAGAGCAACACTCTCCACGTGTTGAACTAGACATGGTGATCCATCGCCTAAACTCGCCAACCTCAACGGCACCAAGCTGGAATGCCACAGCTACCTTGTATATTCGCAATGTCAAGGATGACCAACGGAGAGCACCGGTGAAAGACGATCTCTGACCAGGCTTGGATGGAGCCCTTTAACCCAACCTGTCTATTTGTTTGCGGATGGAAATTGAGGCTCGGCCAAGGCGGCAAATTGCCAATTGGCGCGACATGGATTTAAGGTTTGATAACGAAATTGCACCGCCCGCCACGAAACCACGACACCAACAACACCCATCTCACCCAAATGCCTCGCTGGCTTCTGTCAGCCAAACCCGTCTCTGCGGTCTTTCGCTTGTCCTTGTGGCTCTGGGAATCTTGGAAAATTCTGCCATCTTGCCGGTTGACTCGCTTCCACTATCCCCCGGCCCCCCGTCTCCGCGAACCAAGATCCCAGACACCCGCGAACCTGACGCGCCAGAAATTCTTTGCTAGTGCAGGCTAGGTGAATTGGGTGCGATGGAAAACGAGATGAACGCGTTGCTGAGTCGGATCACGGTCGATTGTCCATGTTGGGCCTTGATAGCAACATGCCAGGTAAGAACTCAGGAAGTAACCTTATGGAATGCTCAATAGCCGTGTCTTGCCCTCCGTCTTGGTCGATGTTTACATTCTCTGTTGACATTTTTCATTTGCTTGCCTCATCGTGCATATGTTTGCATATAAACAATCTCGGCTTCTCCACAAACTCTGTCATATGCCCCTCCGTGGTTAAACTTGCGTCCGCCGTGTCTGGACTCTCGACTCCCGCGCATCCTGTAACTCCTCCCACTCAGGGTTTTTGGGCTTTCGAGCGGGCGTTCGAGCGTCCACTAAAATCCGCCTTGCATTCAACTGGGTCAAGAACAAGGACTACCCTGACCGAACCCTGGCCTGTCAAGGTTCTATGGGCGCGTCAAAGGTCAACACTTCCAAAGTCGGATATACCTCGTAGTCCAGGCTCAGGCCTTGCTTCTTCATCTACTCTTTTCCTCTCCACGACCGTTGAACGCAGAGTCTACTCGACATCGAACTCCCTGAATGTCAAACTGTAGCTTTGAATTTCTGGGAGTCGACCGGCAGTATATTTCGTGGTTTAGTAGATAGTTCCTGGACCGAGGTGAACAACGTTACTTCGAGGCACGCACCAACTGTCAGATCTCTATGGATAGCCGTGTCAAGGTCTGGATCATAGGATCCATCGCGGCGGTCTTCAGTGTTGCGAGCAGTGTCCTCAGCGTGGTCTTTGCGTACCATCTTTCAGATTATCTCGTGCTCTCGGCATTAAGAGTACTGCTTCTCGTTGCTTTCGCCATCAGCCTTTTGAATCTGGCCAGCATCGTCTGTTTCTGCACGTTGTATGCCAAAAGGCTGAGCAATCATTCATTGGGCTTGAAGGCACGGACCTGGGGTCTGTATAGCGCAGGTGTTGCTGTTTGCTTCGTCAGTATCGCCGTGTCTGGCGTCACAGTGGTATGGCTCACGCTCAAACGGGCCGAGTTGCACAACGATGTTCTGGGCGTGGCTCCTGTGGCCTTGATTGCGACATGGTTTGGGCTTTGGGGAGCATCCGGGATCATGCAAATATTACTCTTCTACTTTCTCGGCATGTGGACTAGAGTTGTTCTGAAAAGTCAAAGGGCAAGCCGACTGGATATGGACTTTGGTATTAGAGCATCGATGCATGATATCTCCAGAACGAATACACACCGTACACACCGTTCCTTTGCGTCTCAGGACGTCACACTGAACTCGCCTCCAAGGACCCCGGTCTCACGCGGAGAATCATCCACACGACGATCATCATCCACCAGAGTCGGCCCTGCTGGATCCTCGAGGACTAAGCTCATGCGACCTTCTGCGAAATCATCTCTCGAGATCATGCCCTTTCCCGCGGGTGAAGCTGCTTCAATTGACAGTGCATTCGACGGCTGGGACACTTCCTCTGTTCATTACGAGATGCGCAGTGCAATCCACTCATCGCCACCCGTGACCCGTGGAGGTCTCGCAACAATTCCGGGCAGCCGACCGGAATCTCCAGCAAATGCCTTGGATGGTCCATATCTCCCAAGCTCGCCTGTTCAAAGTTCATCACCACATGCTGCAACTTCTGACACACCAACTGCTCTGGGATGGAGCTCGTCACCGCGGCAGCCCAAGTCTTCGCCCCCATCTAGCCCGCCGCCAAATTTCTCCCGACCGACATCATCCCATAATTCCAGCAAACCGCCACCGAAGTTTCAGAAGTTTGATCCTTCTATGGATGATCTCATCCACCCTTTGTTCAGACCCAACAGTCCTCATCCACCACCGATCGCCACATCCGGGACTATGGTGACTGCTTCTCCCATGGCTGACCAACTCATCACGCCGAAAACTCTGGCACGGTTGCGATCCAACTCAGCGAATGACTCTTTTCCATGTGTGCCGCAGCCAGACTTGGAGAGAACGGGGACGATGACTACAGAAGAATCTGTCCCTGATAGCCCCACGCTGGGGAGCGACATGCTCGGAAGTCCAGGGCCATCAATCGTGGACGACCTCGAGCTGCCTCCTATTCTACCAGGATTTGTCTTATCAGCAGGCTCAAGAAGCAGTCTGGTGGAATACGGAAAAAGGAAAAGTACAAAGGATAGGCCAAAGTCTCACCTTTCGGCAAGTAGCCGCCTGAGCGAGTTGCTTCCTTGAGAATCACTGGAAGATCATGATGCCTGTTGTTTCTCTACCGCGGCTTCTGGTACCGCGAGTATGTTTTGTCCTACTATATCTTTATGCCTAGTTCAGGTTATTAATTGACTGCAACACACAAGGGCAGTTTAGCGAGGAGTTGTTAGGGAGGACGTCATGTTTGCTTTACACAAATGAGTTTGGGTCCACAGATACCATGCATGAATGAGTCATTACGCCTGTCTACCTAATGATTATTGATATTATACCTTCCGTGAGTTCAACAATCACCATGACTGCAGCTGCTCCAGCATAATATCTGGTACCTACTCTGGTAATTGTGCCTGTGTGTTTTGTGCTCAGTAGAACTCAATACTGGTAAATACCACTTCTACTAATTCCACGACTGTCATTGGCTGGTGCGCTGTCGCGGAAGAACTGGCGGCACGACCCGGACAGTAGGGTCCCAGATAGGAATGGTCAAGGGCTTGGCGGATGCCCAGATGAGAAAGCGGCAAGGGCGGCGAACGGGAGCTTCTTAGCCTCTAGTTTTTGCCAGCCCGATTTCCGAAAATGCTTCACCCTCGAAAAGGTCAGCATCTGAATGAACGCTTCACCTCACCAGCATCCATCCCATTCATTCATCTATTCACTTCCATCATAGTGCCGGCGGTATCAACAATGGCAGACTGCCTCTCATTCATGCCTTCGGGCTTGAATAGAAGCACTGCCCCTTCATGCATTCCCATTCATCCACACATGTACTCTACCACCTCAAATACCTCCTCGTCTCACCACACGCAATGCTTCCATCTGTACCCAAACACAACATCAATTCCTTCCAGATACTGGCTATCTCGAAGGACCAATCCTCTGTGGCTACAGTACTTGTCTGCCCTGCTTTCTCATTCTATCAAGCACCCAGCACCCTCTTCTTCGCACCGCTCTTGTGCAATTCTAAACCTGAACCGCACTGCCTCTTCTTCCTCAGCAAATCGATCATCATTCGCAATCTGCAGGTCTAGGTTTCGATCATCCAAACGCATTCGATCTCTCTTTCATTCAGTTCGCAAACGAAGGTAAGTCATCCACTCCACCAGGCTTCTGACTCCATATGCTTTGTTTGCTTGTCCCCCCTTCACGGTCTTACACCCAAGCAATATCCCAATCTACCTATCCGACCTTTGCCCTCCATGTCCTTCATCCATCGAATCCAAATGTAATTTGAGCATATAAACTGACAATGCGTATAGAAGAATGGCTCCAAAACGCTCTCCCAGAGAACCGACAGCGGCTTTTCATATGCATACCAGAAGTCGTGCTGTCAAGCCTACTTCAGACTCGAGCTCCGCCAATCTTTCTTCTCCGCCAACAGTGACGCCCTCTCCACTAAATCTAGCAAAACACTCTGCTCCAGCACTAATCGCTACCCCCTCTCCGCCAAAACCATCACAGAAGTCTAATTCAGCACCAGCTACTAACCCCTCTCCACCAAGCCCGCGTAAGCGCAAAGCTAGAAATTCCGATGCTGACCCTCAAGCACCACCACGGAAGCTTCCTAAGCCAACAATACGAAAGAATGAGAGCTGGCTTTCATTCAAAGGTCGTGTTGTTTGGCCAGAATACAAGACATCCAAGCCTGTCTACTATCAAATTGATGGCATGACTGTTTCTGGACCCCTTCCGAAGCCCCCAAAAGTTAAAGGTCCTCCTCCAACTCCACCTCACACCCCAGAAACTGAGACCGAACCTGACTCTGAGCCTGTTGATGCTGAGAAAGAAGCGTCTGAATCCCGTTCTCCCAAGAAGTCTGCTCGTGGTGGTGGCAGCAGAGGCCGCGGTGGTCATGCGGGAAATGCTGGCGGTCGCAAACCCAACAAACAAAAGCCCAAGAATGGCGGGGCTGGTGGTGGCCGTGATAGCCCTGACCCTCCAATTCGAAAAGGTCCATTGACTCAGGATGATCGCGTTGAGATCTCCATGCTCAAAGCAAGACAACATGAGCTCAAGAAATTTTTCAGTGTCGTGGGGAATCAACAAATTGACATTCTTGACCAGCTTGCTACCAACGACCTTTCCAAACTCGCCAGGAAATCCAAAGCACACAAGCATGTCCCAGAATATGACGAAGTCACTCAGACTCTAGAAGCTCTCCAGCACAGGAGCCAAGCGGACCTTTTCAGCAAACGCAATCTTCAATTGAAGCATGAGAACCAGCACTTGGAGCAGGAGAAAGAAGTAATTGAACACCAATATCGCACACGTGTCAGCGAAGCAAAGAAAGAGCATCTTGCAGGAGCACAAGGAGACATCATCCTTTTCGAGAAAGCATATCGTGCAGCGCATGATGACACCCACACCGAGACTGGCTCTAACATCGAGTATTACCCACACTACCATGAACTTCCTGAACCAGATGCTCGACCACGTGGCTATGTCTCAAACAAAATCATGGATGAAAAGCCATTCATGAGTGCTCTTGAAACTTACGATGACCAAGCCCGTCAGCAAGTTCTTGAAGAAGATGTCATCCACCCTCTCTTGAAGCAAATGGAGGAACGCAATATTGAACGCGTGGAGGAGGATTTCCGCAGGAAAACAATGAACATGGAGACACTCTCAGCTGAAGCAACTAAGGAATTGGAAGCCATCAGAGGATACCTCATCCCAAGGCCATTCCCAATGCATGAAAGCAGCTCATACGCTCTCTCAGCCCTCGCAGATGTCTCCGAGTGGACTGCCCGTCAGAACCCAGACCACTATTACATCTACATGCCTCTGGCTCCTGGCGAGACCTTTCCCGTTCAAGGTCTGGATTTCTCACCAATGCCTGGTACAAGACCAGTAGGCCCTCTTGCTCGCTCGGTGCCTCGCAACATCAAACCGGCCAGCAATGGCCAAGGTCCTCTCCTCGCGCCGGCACCACCAAAGCCGCGCTCCTCCTCCTCCTCCGTCTCCCTCCCTCCCCCCCCCTCTCTCCTCCGGGCCTCGCGCCTGGGTTCTCAGCAGAGTGGCGGCCCGCGCCCAAATGGGCCTCAACAGTTCATTTTCCAGACCCCACAGCAGCCCCTCCAGCACCAGGCTGCTCCTGGTCCTACTCCGACGCCTCAATATGGCCCCGCTGGCCCGGCAGCGGGTGCCGCTCCCGTCGGACAGCAGACCAAGATACCAATGACGTTCATAAACCAGACGATCAAGGTATCGAGGACTGCTGCGGCTTCGGCCGGTGGGAATGCTGGAGGCGTTGCTCCTGGTGGGGTGGCAAGTGGCGCGGCCGCCAATGTTAAAGGTGGCCAACGGTTGCTGCTGCCGAAGGTGCAGTAGTAGGTGGTGGTGGTCGTGGTGGTGGGTGGTCGCTTTTCCTTCGTGGGTTAGGTGCGGGTATCCTCGAGGCCGGTCCCCGTCTGTCTTGGTTGTCGGGCGGGCGTGGGGGCCCTAGTAGATAGAAAACAAGAGTGTTTACCTGGTCTGTATCGTTGCTCTCTGCTCTCTGCGCTGTGCCTCGTATCTATTTGTTGTCCCTTGCAGACTAATCCTTCGATCGGTGTGAGTCCGGCACCCATTACTCTTAATTCGTCGTGTTATGATGTCGTGCCTTCTCGCCAGACGCTCAACGCGGCCCATTGCAAACGAATCTACGCCCCGCTGGTACTCTCCTGAGCTCCACCGACAGCCGCTCGATGGGGCGAGTCTCAGCAAGCGGAAGCGCCATGCAAATGTATATATTTGTATGCATATGTCGAGTAGAAAGGAAGGTCGTCGGAACATTAGTATGAAATTTCTGATCTACATGTGTATATGTGTATGTGCATATCTTTGATCGTGGGGATCGTATCTTGTCTAGTAGGAGGATGTGCATAGAGAAAAGGGCGCACGCAGACGAGTTTCTACATCCTTGCTCGGTTCCTTCTGACAAGCTCCACGACTCCCGGCAAGATGTCTTCGGCGGCCATGCTCACCCGCACGGCGCCACTGGGGCTCAATCCCATTCCCGTCGACGTGGGGTTTGGCGTTGCTGGAAATGCTGCGTCGGACGTAGCAGCGCCACCAGAAGACGAAGCAGCATCAACATCAAACGTCTGGGCCCGCTCCACACCCTCAAAGAAGGCGTCCTCTTTCCTGACACCACCAATATTGAGGATGGCAATGGGCATGTTGCGATCCAATGCCCTCTTGGCCAGGCGCCAGGCAGAGTAAGTAGCAAGCGAGCTTCCTACAACAAGCAGCTTCGCAGCGCCATCGATGGCCTCTTCGGCGGCAGTCTTGGTCGCCTGCGGGATAGACTCGCCGAACATGATGACATTGGGCTTCAGCACGCCCGTGGGGCCTGATTCCGGCAGCCACGCACCATCCCGATCCACGACCACGTGGGCCTTGGCGCCGTCCGGAAGAATCGGTGGCCGCTTCAGACACGTCGGGCACGCAGGGTAGCGGAAAGTCGTGTACGGGGCGCCGGGGACGTCGGCGTCGCCGTCCGGGTTGGTCTTGAAGCCCTTCTGCCTCCTCTCTGTGGGGTTCTCCGTGTCGAGCGCGCCGCTGCGCAGCAGGTCCTGTAGGAACGCCGACCACGCCGGGTTGAGCTGCGCGAGGCGAGCCTGGAACGCATCCCTGTCCATTTCGTGCCGGCAGCTCAGGCAGACTAGTCTGCGCAGATAGCCGTGCAGCTCGATGGTTCGGAGACCGCGGTGTGCCATGTTGTGGAAGCTGTCCACGTTCTGCGTCACCACCGACGATACCAGTCCTAGCTGCCATAGATCGCGGATCGCTTTGTGCCCTGCGTTCGGCTGTGAGCGGTTCAGTCCGCGCCACCCCAGGAAACTGCGCGCCCAGTATCGCTTGCGTGACTCGTGGCTCGCTACAAACTCGTGGAAGTAGATCGGTCGGTAGGTCTTGTTCTGCGTGTATGTGCCATTCGTGCCGCGGTAGTCTGCGAGACCAGATGCTGTGGAGAGTCCTGCGCCTGTTAGCAGGACGGTTTTGCGGCTGTTGCTGCTGCTGCTGCTGCTGTTGTTGTTGCTGAATGCATTGCTGTGGCTGTCAATTGAATTGCTAGACACAGGTCCGTTCTCCTTAGCAGTCGATGTTCCGGGTGTGTTGGACTCGGTTAGAAATTTGGTCAGTGCAGCGACAGCTCCATGTCTAGTGGCGGCGGAGGGTGGGATGATCAAGGGCGGTGGGAGCGGGCCCGTGTAGGGAATCCGGAGAAGAGGTTTGGACATGCAGTAATGTCGGTGTTGTAGTGCATGACGAAGAGAATCCAAGTAGATCGTCAGCGGTTCATTGTGTTGGAGACACAGTGGTTGAAGGCGAGATGGAATGACGAAGACTCAGCAACTGCTTTCAGAAGCACATTGGCTGATGTTTTTTGGAAGACTGTCGATGTCATAGATCTAGATAAGCCGAGGTTTTGCCGGTAGCCTTGTCGGAGCGATGCACGTGAGGCTCCGAGGTAAAGCGAGGCTGTGTAGCCTGATCACCATCATCGGTGAGAATAGGCCTATTTACATTTCCAGGTAATGTATTTCTCATGCGAAGGTCAATATGTGCACTAGTGATCTGTCTCAACCGGGCTATTTCCCTAGCAATTCCTTGAGTTGGTCCTTCACCCAATCCTTCTAATCATCCAACGCCAGAAATGCCAGAACAGTGTGCCAATCCTACTTCCATGGTCTCATTTCACTTCCTCCGGTGCCTTTATGCCCATTTGCCGAGCACGCTCATCAATATCATTCCAGCGAACAGGCTGACTCCTCCAACAAGAGTTCTGCCAACACTAGTGTGAAGCATCTCACCACCATCGAGGATCCAGTCTCTTGCCAACATATCAACGACTCCAACCCAGATAAGAATGCCAGCACTGAGTGCGTCTAGCGTTCCGATAGCCACGATGGTACTTTTCTCATTGCCATTGAAGTTGTTGATAACCCCTAGCCCGATCGCCATTCCGAGAGGGGTGATGAGAGTGAATGCCACAGCCATGGGGAACTTAGTCTTCCAAAAGCTTGCAAACTTTGATGGAAGTAAAGCAATGCGTGCGCCAAGTGCCAAGCCCTCGAAGAATTGGTGAAATACTATGACGACCAACAAAGTCTTATAGAAGGAATCGCCAGCGACAACCAAAGTCAAGCCAATAAGGATACTATGAAACAAGATCCCTGCCTCCATAACCATGACCGATAGTTTCGAGTTGGGATTGGCTGGATCAAGAGGATTACCATGATTATGGCCCAAATTTGTAAGGTTGTTGGATTTGTATGCTGGTGCAGGTGGCCCAGCAACAGCATCTGTACCCGGATTTCCAACTTCGTCCTTGCCGAACTCGGTCGTTGTAGTTGTCTCCTCACTTCCAGAGTTGCTAGCATGTTCGCGAGACCTTCCGCGTGCAATAATGAACCGATGGCCAACGTATTCAAAAAGGAATGCAAGAATAATTCCACCCATAACAATTGCGGAGGTCGTACCCTCATATCCGAGTGAACCCAAACATTGATTGTTGAACATCAATGTGGCATGGGTGTATAGCTACCAGGCAGTCAGTATATTGGCAACATATTTCACTGAGTCCCTCATACATGAATGAAAGCAGTTGATAGGATAACACCAGTACCAAATTGCTTGATGATTGTAAATGCCGAAGCATTCATACTTCGAAATGGGAGCTTACTGAGTAGAATCGGAGCAAAGACACCAAGTCCACTCGTAACAAGGATCACGAAAAGTGTCCCGACTCGTAAACCAATATCGTAGTCTCGTTCAGTCAGGCCGCAATTCAGTTCCTCAGTTCCGCTCTCACTTCCACCGGCAGCAACGCAATGTCTTGATTGAATTAGTAATATCTATTTTCGATGGGGCTTGGAATACTCACTCTACTCCGGCATGGAAATGACAATCCATTTCTTGTTCCTCATCTCCAGAACTTTCGTGACTATGGTCATCACTTTCAGAGGTGGCGGAGCTTTCTGCTACAACAAGCACTTCAGATCCGTCAGGAGCCATGCACCATCTGAGATTCCATTAGTTGTAACCTGCTAAGCATCACTCTAGAGTGCTTACTGTTCAGCTCCATGAGCATGGCAATCTGTGTACTGCGCTGGGGGATCTCCAGTAGCTGTAGCCGTGGAGGAGACCAAAACTTCTTCTCCGGCGCCGTTTATGCAATAGCTAGATTCAGTGAGAGATGGTTCAGGTGTGAAGAAAATATTACCTACGTCTCAGTGCCGTGCGAATGACAACCCGTTACCGCTGTAGTTTGTCCAGTGATAGTGGCAGAAGCCGACACGGAAGCTGGCAAAGTCGCTGTTGATAACGTGGTAGGGGCGATTGAAGAATATGTGTGCAAAGCAGTCTCCTCGCCATCTGGGCCATAGCAATACCTATGAACTTCTCGTTAGTGCCCGAATTTGAACTTCTTAATGAACCATACTCGACACTTGAGTGATTATGACAGCCGGTATATGTCGTCTGTGCTTGAACAATACTTCCTAAAGCGACGAGGAACAGAATACGGGCCAACATTATGGAGAACTTAAAGCGAGGAAAGACTGTAATACAATAGTATGACACAGGTCGACGAGGCTAAAGGAGTTGGGATTTTATGGGAACCGAGGTACGGGAGGCAGGTTGATCAGCAACACACTTCGTGCTTTCTGTTTGTAATGAAATCTGAAGGAACCATTTGTCCAACCTCGAGGTGCATGCGCACGTTGGATGTCGAGAACCTACCACGCGATCGTGGTATTTGCGGAATGGCAGAATTTTCAGTCGGTCGCACCGATTTTGACGGATAAAGCAAATGCATGATGAGCATGAGCTCCCACGCTACAATGGCGCGTTAGTCCACTTGGTAAGGCTATGTCACATCGGGGGACCACAAGCCAGGCTCAATGGAATGCTTTAGCAAGAGGAATTGGAGGTGCCAAGCCCGGGATTAAGCAGGATGACTGTGGCCAAGGCATAAGGTTCTCATTATTGGCCTCTTGAAAGATGACATGAGGGCGATAAAGAGGATTGTATGGAGTGGATGTTGCCAGTTACTCGTACGCAGGTGGTTTAAGGTACTCAATATTGTCTGGGCATTCGCAGCGGAGCGGATATTTCTTGGCCAGCCAAGAAGATACCTACATACAAGGAGGTACTCCGCACGGGTGACTGAAATGGCCGCGAACCTGTATCTTTCGAAGGCCCTTTGCAACCACGCTAAACAAGGTTTAATTGAAGCCTCCGCTTCTCACGGGCGCCAAGTTTGGCCTTACGGCGCGGCAGATTTAGGATTCACACAACCTCCCTCGAAGAGTGGAGTAAAAAAAGGCTAAAGAAAGTGGGCAAAAAAGAAATGGGCGCAATCCAGGGTTCGAACCTGGGGCCTCTCGCATTCTATTTGGGGGTGAGCCCTAAGCGAGAATCATACCACTAGACCAATTGCGCAATGGTTAACCTTCAATCGGACGACCGCTCGAATCCGGCTTTTTGTTCGAATTCTGGACATTCCAATATATATTCTAAAAAGCGATGGGCAAAATATTTGGATGCTAAAGGCCAAAGTGCGCTAGCTCTAGCGCAGGATACTACCTCCTACGAGGTTAGAGAACCGCGATCAGTACTACTACTGTGCCTATTCAATTCCTCCTGCTGAATAGATACCGTGGCAGCTTTCTGTAAACAACTCATGGCAGGACTAGTTGCGCTCAACAGCAAGCGTCAATATCTACATCAAGGTCTCATTCAATGTCTTCTTCGGCTTAGTATAAAGCATCAGCCTATGGATTGGACAACCCAACCACACTCACCTCAAACCATAGATTGTGCTGAGGTGGAAAGCTAGATTATTGTTACGAAGACAACGGAGTAATCAAATCATCCATTAAGTTAGCCTGAGCGGCCAGCAGTTGTTACATATCTTGGCAGATGGAACCATCTTCATAGCGAACTCATCCGACGACAACAAACGTCATGAGATCGTATCGATAGCAACTGCAGAGGCCATGGAGCTTGAAGCTACTTGTTACGACTTAGGCCAGAACGTGGCAATAACCGTCACCGATCTTCCACTGATTGGTTTGACCCGCCAGAGTACTTAGGGTCCTCAACTTGGCACTCCATGCAGATTTACATACGAGTAGTTCGCTATAGGCTCTTGCTGCAACTGATGCAGGTCCAGGTTTCTCGCATTCAGCCAAGCCAACCGACAGTGTGGTGGCCGATCAGGAATATCGACGTGAAGAAGTTTTTGTAAAAGTCATGCGGATATCGATGAGAGTGGGGCTTGGATCCTTGTGAATTCGGTGATGATGTGGGATGCCTACCTCGGATCTCGCTGAGCCATGCAATGGAAAAGAGAGGTATATATGAGGCCTGAGACTCACTGGTCCAGAGGTATTATCACTCGTTTGAGCATTCCGAGCTTCTTCTCTTCTCCAAGGAAGCAATCTCAAACACACAAGATGACTGTCTTGCTCAAAGCCCTTTTGTTGTCTGCTGTCACCGGCGTCCTTGCTGCTCCCACAAGGCTAGAGACTCGTCAAGATTCAAATCCCACTGTCAAATCTTGGGATGCCGGTGCTGTTACTCAATACCCCATCCATGAGAGCTGCAATGCCACACAAGCTCACCAGATTGCGCTTGGATTGAATGAAACTGTCATACTTGCCCAGCATGCCAAAGAACATGTACTTCGCTTCAGTAATAACTCCGAGATATATCGTCGCTACTTTGGAGATCGACCTCCATACGAGGTGATCGGTGCCTATGACATCATCGTCAACGGTGACAAAGGAGATGTTCTCTTCAGATGTGACAATCCTGATGGCAACTGCGACCTTCCTGGTACGTGTGCTGTCCCGTTTTAAAGCTTCAAAAGACTGACGTGTCCCAGGATGGGGCGGTCACTGGCGTGGTTCGAACGCAACGCAAGAGACCGTGATCTGCGATCTGAGTTATGAAACACGTCGATCCCTCAGCCAGATGTGCGCATTGGGATACAATGTAGCTGAATCACCTTCCAACACCTTCTGGGCATCTGACTTGATGCACCGATTATACCACATGCCCTCCATTGGCTGGGAATATATTGAGCATTTCGCCGACGATTACGACGAGGTCGTCGAGCTTGCCGCCGCAAACAACTCTACTGAGTCAACCCACGACAGCGATACCCTGCAATACTTCGCACTCGAAGCTTATGCATACGATATTGCCGTTCCAGGAGTGGGCTGCTCTGGCGCTGAAGGTTCGCATTCCCATGCGCCGGCAAGCTCCAGCGCCGCACCATCTGCTCCTGCTGCGACTGCGACAACGAGTGGCTCACCCACTCAGCCTCAGGCGCCATCGTCGACCGTGTCTATTCCTCCTGTGAGTGGACACGATCTATCGTTTTCAGCAAATACTGACGCTTTTCAGGGTTGCCATACTCACGAGGGAGGCGATCTTCACTGCACATCGTCAACATCAACTTCAGGATAATTTTGATTGAGACAAAATCGGCACGTGCAACGCGAGACTAGATTCAAGGGTAGCAATCCATAATTCCACATATCATCAAGATAGAGCAATAACAGTGGCGGTAGAACATCTTTGATTGCCGAACGTTAAGAAAGCTAAAACGCCATCCACATACGAAACCGGTTGTGCACTAACGTAGTTTAGCCAAAGTTGTGGACACGCGAAAATTGACGTCTGGGCCGGGGGGGTTTTCAACCTCACCCAACTCGACCAGCTACAGTACTGTACACGTGCATTCAAAACCCGCAAATTTTCTAAGTCCTAATATCCTCGGGATGGCAACAAACCCGCGCAGCCTTTGCCTGTCATTTCACAAGATCTCTGAGAATACTGTGCACCAATGACCAGGTCGCAAAGAGGGACGGATAAATTTAGCAAACTCATTCATTCCAGGTCGTGAAATCATCGGGACCCAAGACGCCAAAGAAGAAGTATTTGATATTTGATTACAATAAAAAGCTCACATGCTTCCACTCAAAACCCCTGGGCTTGGACTGCAAGTAAACTACTACAGAACAAGAGCACCGAGCCCGGCAGCGAGTAGAAGTCCTCTTTGAACATCGACAGCTCCACCACTGTTGGAAAATTGAGCCACGCCGGTCGACGAGCCTCCAGATGCAGTGTTGGTCGCGGTAGCTGTGTTGAAGGTCAGCCCGCTGGACGAGGTTGTGCGAGTAGACCCAGTAGATGAAGAGAGCAAGCCGCCGCTACCACTGCCAGTACACCCTGAAGATGTTGAGCCCTGAGAAGTTGTTCGTCAGCAATGCATCCATACGTAGCCTTGCAGATCTAAGATTGACTTACTGGAGCGCAGCATTTTCCAACTGTGGTTGAGCAGGTATATCCTCCTTCGCAGTGGTCTGGGCCAAAATTGTTAGTTCTGCAGCGGGGCCAGAGCACTGCCATGTACTTACATCCATCATCGCAGCATACATCACCATCGCCGGGGTTATAGCAAGAATCGTCACCGCAAGGCACGCTTCCGGAACCATAAGTGTCGGCGCAGGTAGCACCGGAAGAGCCGCCGCTCGTTGTGTCCTCGTCGTCGGGGCAAGTATCATATAGTGAGTCGTTGGGATCGTAGCAGTGGTAGCCATCAGGACAGTCTAGGTACGTTGGTCCAAAGCATGATATGCAAGTTGCGCCGGTTTGATAGCAAAGATCATCGGTACCGGTAGATGTGGACGTAGATGAGGGAGCCTCAGCGGTTGAGGTACTATCGCTGCTGTAGTCGGAGCTGCAAGAGTCCAAGCCGTAGTAGGAATCTCCAGGGAGATAACAGTAGATGCTGCTTCCAGGGCAGAGCGTGTACCCAGATCCGAAACAATCTTCGCAACTGCCAGTGCAACGCTTATCAAGATCTCGGGTCATGAGAAGCTTGTTCGTTGTACTGGTGGGAGTTCTGCCCAGGCTCGGTTTCAGGCTCTTGTGGAAGGCATCCTCAGAATTTTGAGCGGCTGCAAGGAGAGTGAGAGAAGAGAAGGCCAGGGCTGCTTTGGTGAACAGCATGGTGAATAGCTTTTGAATATTGAATAAAATTAACGAATGACTGGTTGGCAGCAACTGGATTAAAAGAATGACTGTGCTGGAGGCGATGGACTTCAGAGACGAAAAGGACGAGATCCCGCAGAGCAGCGAGAAGGTCGGGCAGCAGATATATCACCTTTGTCAAAGTTCTCGTTCAGAGTTCAGACTTCATGCCGCCTCTCCATCTTCGGAATCTGAATACGGATACGCCTTGCGTGCAAACAACCCTGGTCCCTGTGCCGAGGAGCACCTACCTTTTGGTCAAGATGGCTTCGTGATCTGCATGGGTTAAGGTGATTCTTTCTTCGGACGAAGTCACACCCATCTCTCTCCTGGTCGATCGCTCTAAATGGAGCCTCGTCGAGACAAGAAAGTGGCCGTGCAATGAAAGGTAGAGGAAGCCATAGCCGAAACACTGTCCAGCCCGACAGGGCTGGGAGGTCACAGAGACGGCACGAAGTCAAAGAGCTAAGATGCAAGACCAGTGATGAGCAATATTGAAATTAAGAATGGACCCTTGCAATGCGTCTCTTGGTTGGAGTCTGCAAGGCATCGCCCGACAGCGAGGCCGGTGTATCACGATCAGATGCGCCGAGGCGGATAGAGATCATTTGCACGGTATTGCAAGAGGCTGATTGACCCAGGATGCTAAATTGAGCTTCCCTTTTCTCCTGCGAAATCCAGGGGCACCCGCTTGGCATTTCTTGGCATGAGCTTAGATGGGGGCCAACCGTCCTTGGCAAAATGCTAAATCGCGATTTCAACCAGGCTGCCTTCTCGCCTTCTTGCAGTATTAGTCGCTTAGATGAAGAGCTTTTGGGTGAAGTATACCGAATATCGTCATATAGAACGAAGGTACGCGTGCAGGCAGAGAACCCTTTTGATCCGTGACAGCAACGTCCCTGCGCAATGGAAAAGAGGCTCCGGCAAAACTTCTCCCAACAAGCAACGAGTAATCAATCCCCTGATTTCATTTTTCCCGAACGCCACACCCACCCTTCATTCGCTTAGGTCTCAAACACCTGCATTAGTGGTTGGCGGAGAACATGTGGCTCAAGCTTGGATAGGCCGGCAAGGAAACTTGACCTTCCAAAATTGTGCGTGGAACACCGACTACCTCGTAGAGCCTCCCCACTGTGAAAACCGGTGAGCAGGAATGGGCGTACGGAAGAGGCTAGGCAGAGAGGTATTGTCAAGTGCCGACAACCGTAGGAGTTACTCGGCAACCAACCCAACGCCAACCAAATGCGCAGTACATACATGGCATTGAGCTGTTTAATTTCACAGGGGACCATCAGTGGGTCCTGCCCTATGATAAATGACTAACAACAACACCACCATACGATTCAGTATACGAGGTTAAGGGCACAGCCTCGACCTGTGAGCCACTTGCGACCAAGGACCTTAGCACAGTTGTGAACGCGCTAGAAATACCAGAACTTCACAAGGCGCTCATCGGAAATACTGCTCGTGACACTGCTTGTGATACTGCTCGTATCCGTATGTGACTGCAATGCACACGGATAGGTGTAGCCAGCTTCCAGCGGCAAGGAATGCGCCTGGGTGCTTTGAGGTCCAGTCTCTACGCCCTGGCCAGCCTGAGCCAGATATGTTGGTCGCTGGTGTCAGTCACGACTGGTTGATTTTCAAATCCTTGAATTCCCTCGTCGTGTTGGTGATGGCAATTTCAACTGGCAATCTTTCCATACTCGATGCTCCGAAAAAGCCGTGGACACCTCTGGTACGGCTGAGGATATACGCAGCATCCTTTGGTTCGGCAATTGGGCCACCATGGCAAAGAACGAGTATTTCATTGTTGACTTTGGTCGCGGCATCTCTCATCTCTTGGATCAGTTTGACACAGTCGTCTAATGACTTGCCAGTTTTTGCCCCAATAGAACCGGATGTCGTCAATCCCATATGGCAAACTGGGCTTGCGTTAGTCAACGCCACAGAAAGGGCCGGAACATTATTATCATCTCCCCTTACCTAGGACATCTGCGCCAGCCTTGGTCATGCGCTCGGCCTCATCAACATTGAATACGTAGGGGGTTGTAAGGAGCCCCAACTGATGTGCTTCGGCAATCATGTCCACCTCCTTATCGTACCCCATTCCGGTCTCCTCCAGATTTGCTCGAAATGTACCATCAATTAAGCCAACGGTTGGGAAGTTCTGGACGCCACAGAAGCCCATGCCCTTCAATTGTTCAAGAAACTTGTTCATAATTCGGAAAGGATCTGTGCCACAGACTCCAGCTAGAACTCCAGTCTTATTCACTATGGGGAGCACTTCTCTGGCCATATCCACGACAACGGCGTTGGCATCTCCATAGGGCATAAGACCTGCAAGCGAGCCTCGACCCGCCATTCGAAATCTGCCGGAATTGTAAATTATTATGAGATCTGCACCTCCTTCCTCTATGAATTTGGCCGACAGACCAGTCCCAGCACCGGCTCCGACGATAGGATTCCCATTGCTCACCTGATCCTTGAGGTGTGTCAGGACTTCAGTGCGAGATGACGGAGGTGCCATGTCGGACTACCCACGAGGTGCGTTTCAGCTGATTAGAAGGTAGAAGCAAAGAAACCAAGGCTGTACGTACTGTGAGTGCGCGTTTGACGCAAAGTGGAATCGCACGTGATGAAGAATTGGCCCAGCGTCAGTGGGTGGTCAGCGTGGCTGCCATTTGGATGACTTCATTAGTGGCAAAGGAGAGAGAGCAAACCACGACTTCAAGTACAAGTGCGGGGAAGCGACTCGGACACTGAGTCAGCAATTCCTCCTCTACCTTCTGGGGGCCTCGGGTGCCACCACAGCCTCTCGAGTCTCTCCCTCTATCACCACGCGTACCACCAAATATTGCTGCCTTTCGATTCCGAAATACTCATTGTCCCTGCATTCCCCTCTATGGCACCGCCGCATGAAACCTGCTATTCATTTTGGCCATGCTCAACTGGGGGTCACGTGTGTAGTCCCCGCAATCCACTCACAGGTCGTTCTTTGTTCTTCGCCGTCCAAAACCTGCCCAGCGTCCTTAAATGCTGATGGACATACCATAAGACCTCGTCCCGATACACCGATACGTCAAATCAGAGCTCATCATACTCTTTGAGACATGCATAAGTCTCGACGTCCGCATGGTCTGCTGGGTTCCTCGGGCATGAACACTTGTACTTGGTCAAAATGCCGAACTGAACACCCTCGGCCCACACTAGCTAACAATCGCAAAGAATTAAATGTGATGACACCATCGCTTATCCACTATCATGGGCAATCAGTTCTACCCGAACAGACTGAAACTCCGCACTTGCTTTGACTTTGCTGGACCGGGATAAATTTACCGTCCATTCGCATGAGTGTTGGTTGATTCTCCGGCTGTGATTTAGCAATGCTGGTTTCCAAATCCCTGCCTCGCCCCTCGTGAAGAAGACCTCCTCGCGGTTTGTAGTCCCTCGACATCTTTCTGATTTCAAATCCAGACCCTGGTCTAACTACTATAACCAACTTTTCTCATTGTCAACGATTTTATTTATGCTCAAGAATTTCCCCTGCCTACCTCGGCAATTCGAAAATCTTCAGCTCACCCGCTTAAGTAATAAGGACCTCCAGCCTCGCGCCCCTTTCTCAAACCCCATCAAGCAGCTGACAAATATACCTGCTTGTATATCACGCTACAACAGATCCCAAAGGGCCATCGTCACCACCGCCGCCGGCAACAAAATGTCATTCAAATCAGCCCATGTCTTCGCCAAATCAGCCCAGGAACTCGATGTGCAGATCCAAGAAAAGCAAAAGCCGACCCTCGAGCCCGATCAAATTCTCATACGGGTGGTTGTGTCGGGCACGAACCCCAAGGACTGGAAATACCCCTTGTTCATGAAATCGGCCTCGGGGCTCAACACAGGCGACGACATCGCCGGATACGTGGATGCCATTGGCAGCAACGTGACGGAATTCCATGTCGGCGACCGCGTTGGTGCTTTCCATCAGATGGGGTCGCCTTACGGCAGCTTCGCCGAGTATGCCGTCGCCTGGGAGAAGTCCACGTTTCACCTCCCCAAGCAGACCAGCTTCGAGGAGGCCGCGACCATTCCCCTCGCCGCCATGACCGCCGTCGTAGGCCTTTATGCTCGTCTTGGCCTTCCTGAGCCTTGGGTCCACGTCTCTCAAGCCAGGAAAGACGCTCTCGCAGGAGGCGTGCTGGTCTACGGCGCCGCGGGGGCCGTCGGCGCTTTCGCCATCAAACTCCTGCTACGCTCTCAGATCCACCCCATCATCGCCGTAGCAGGCCGAGGCATCCCATTCGTCGAGGGCCTGCTCGACAAATCCAAAGGTGACGTAGTGGTTGATTACCGCAAGGGCGACGAGTCAGTCGTTGCGGGGATCAAGAGCGCAATCCCCTCGGGCCAGAAACTGCTGTACGCGTACGACGCCGTCTCCGAGAACGGGTCGTACCAGAACATCATCAAAGCACTTGATCCCCATGGCCACCTGACGCTAGTCCTCCCGGGCAGGAAGTATGAGGAGGTGCCTGAGACGGTGAACAAGACACTGACGACCGTCGGGTCTGTGCACGGCACGCCCGACGACTTGATGGACCTAGGCTATGCCTGGTTCAGGCTATTCAGCCTGGGTCTAAAGGAGGGCTGGTTCAGTGGACATCCGTACGAGGTCATTCCTGGCGGTCTGAATGGTGTGCAAAAGGGATTGGAGAATCTTCGAGATGGCAAGGCTAGTGCTGTTAAGTACGTCTACAGGATTGAGGAAACGCAGGGGATTGAGAAGAGTAAGATCTGACTAGGTGTTGAAAAAATAATATCAGACATAAATTAGGGAAATACACCTCGAACCTAGAACGTGTAAAAACCAAACCGAGGTATGGTGACTGTAATAGCAAGCTGAGATATTGAAAACGACGACGACGACCACCATTATCGATATCATCCAAGCCCTTAAATAAGAACCGTCCTTATACAGCAATAGAGTCCTAATAGTGAGCGTCGCCCAGGGACAAGATTGTATTTCTATCCCGCGCTCGCTTCCCTTCCCTTGGTGAGCCACCTCGGCCTCGCCGTGTTCCCGTCAAACGCAGGGCCTTGTGAAGATGGCCGCTTTCATCCCTATGCATCACCTGGATGGAACAAGCACTTGGCCCGTTGATGTCTGTCGCGGTACTCCTTGTGAGTTAGGGCTTCGGTACATCCACGATTCCCGCAAGGGAATCGCTGCTTGCCGTGCTTCGCTTTGCAATCTGTCCGTGTGTGCTTGCCCAGGTTGCTTACCGTCGAAAAGGCGCGAAAGCCATGCGGGCATTGTCTTTTATTAGGATTGGGGGCTGTTACCGAGGGGTTCATGATACGGGAGTGCGTAAATGCATCGTTTCGATTGTCGATGGGAATTCCGACATTCTCTGTGGAGGCTGAACTGCGTTGACTTTGAGGCGCACCAGCGTTCCGATCCCGTGGGAGATTCTGGCACTGATCCTCGTGCACAAAGGGAATCTCGAACATGTTTCTCTGTTCAGAAAGATAGGCTCTCTGCTCAATGGATTCGTCGTTGCTCAATGTCGTTCCCGTGCTCTCGCATGTCGAGATAAAACGTGCGGTCACGGGAGACAACCCGAGAATGATGGCGAGGAGACAACTACTAGTAACCTCTCAAGTCATCACTGCTTGCATGCCGCAACATAGAAGGCACTGATACTGAATTGGCCGTAAGATACCCAAGGACTAGGAGAACTGTTAGAGATCATAATTCCTTGATACTGATGCCGGGGATTAGATTCAGCGTCTGGGTCCCATATCTCAACATTCTGAGGAATCAAAGCCTTTCTGGCGTCTTCTGCGGCAAGACCGCTGCTAAATTCATCTTGAATGTCACACAGACGGCGACATTCACTTGGATGTCCTTCACCCCCAGAGAAAAGACAAGTCATACGTGTGGAGGCTATTAACTTCTCGAACGAGCTTCGAAAGTGTTCCAGTAAAGTATCGTGACATAGCTACCAGTTGCCCAGCAAATTGCAACTGGACAAATTCTGATCCCAGATCGCAATCACGACGTCGTCGAATAAATCATGGTCAACCACTGCTAGTGCACATTTCCTCCTGACAAGGTCAGCAGACGCTTGGTTTTCATATTCTTTGTGATTATCGTCGATATTTTGCGAAAGGCAAGTTCTCATAGCGCGGGAGACTTGAATACCAGCAAAAATACCCTGAACATCTGACGGTATTGAATTATCCAGTAGCCTTTGAATGCTCTGAAATCCTTTCTCCCATACTTGCTCCGGCTCCAACAGCGACCCAGCCATATCGGTCAGAGCATCGGAAGCGTTTTCATTACACGCGCGGCTCAAGAACGCCTCATGCTTTGCGTGGAATGCCCTTTCGCAGGGTCGTTCGAAGGGTTCTATTTCTTCTCAATTTGCTCTTGGTCAGACTCCGCTTCTGTTGATCCTCCTGTGGTTGCCAGGACCTGGTGCCGTGAATACCATTGGCGGCGAGGTGATCCAGAACGTTCTGCTTGCCATGATAAGCAGAAATCTCGAGCGCCAATTGTGGCACGGGAACGGGAAAGACACTCATAAGCCAATCAATTATTAGTGTTTGCCCGGCTTCCACCGCGGTGAAATATAAAATGTGGCGAATGTTGCGAGGACAGATATATTTGCTAAGCCACACCAAGGTATAAAAGAGATGACCTTCTTGAACTTGGCTTGCTCTGTATATAGAACCAAACCAAAATTTGCGCATCCGGCTTCAAGGGTTGGAAAATTGTGTTCTTATCCAGAATGTTAGACAGAGTCTAAACACTGCCACTTGAAGCAGCATTCTTCATCCAATATAACATCCAATTGTCAAAATAGGAAAGATCGAGGGAGGTTCCCAAGCAGTCAATGTCCATGGGCGTGACAAGGATTGAATCGGCATCCTCCATTACACTAACAAATTTGTTACAATTTGGAAGATCGATGGAGGCTTCCACGCTGTCAACGTCCCTGGACATGACTAGGCTTGGACCCAGCGTTGTATTCTTCTTCCAAACCACAAGAGATTTGGGCTTCTTCGTGCTGCGAATGGTGTTCTTGGTTCCAAGCAGTTTTTCACAGTCATCTATGTCTCTTCCAATCGAGATTCTCTCCATCTCTTGCCAATGGCTGGCCACAAGGACTCCACGTTCATCCAGCTGGCCGAGGTCAAAGCTTTCCCATATACTGTCCTCAACCAGGAACCCTTTACCAAAAAGGCGAATGACTGGAATAAATCGAGCCCATTCCGCCTGGTGATCCAACTGCCACAAGAGAAGCTTGAATACCCGATAATGTGGAAGGATGGCTTCTGGAGAACAAGAAAAGAAGTCCTTTGCATTTTTGGGCAGCGATTGTGGTATAATTTCTTGGAGGAACCATCATAAACTCTGGACTTCGAGTTCTGATCAGCACTGTGGATCTTGATGATCGAGAATGCTGCACGGTAAGAAGAACGTGCTGTTCTTTTGTTAAAGTAACCATCTCCTTTGGAATAGCCACGGTAAAGAGAACCACTGGATAGACATAAGAAAAGTGGGGACTCGAAACTTGAAGACGCTGCACCTCACGTCTTAAAGTATTCCGTATAATCAAAGACAGGTGGCTGGGCGCTAACTGTGCCAGACAATCTGTGTATGCTATCGGCCGCCTTCATGGCATCAGAGTAGCGTCCCGAGAGATTTCCCTTACATCTGCTTCATTGGCTTTATGACTCTTTGCAAGTGTATCCGGATGCTGGATTGTGCCCTGTTCTTCTTTGGGTTGAAAAGGAAGCACGACAAGTTAGGAACGACACCTACAACGCTCAGGAGACCACTGCGGCTGGAAATATAAGAAGGCCGTTGATGAACGCTCTAGGAGCTGCGGGAAAGACTGTTAGAACAGAAGTTTAGGTACGCCGTGCTTATGGACTTATCGAAATCGTGGTTGATCAGGCTGTGCTCAGCCTAGCCTAAAAAATAGTAGCAATGCCGATCAAGCACGAAGCACCGCAAGGATCAAACTCAAGTAATTTAGGTTAGTAATCATTCAGAAGAATAGGAATCCCAGAGCGTCCAAAGAGCATCCTTCTTGTCACGACCCTGGCCACCAGTGAGAGTGCCTTGCAATTGACAGCCGCGCCCGACTCTTATGCAAATTTTAAACCACAAGCGCAGTATTGGTTGACTCTTCCGACTGGGGTCCTTGACCACAATCCCAGGCTCCTGCAGCCAAGAGATCAGCTCCAGCCTCCCGTGGAATCTGCCCTTAGTTGGATGTATGCACACCTAGGAAAAGCTCGAATTCCTACGTCGTGGGTGCAAGAGGTGACTCATCACTGCAATTGCGTTCGCAACCAATATACCAACAGTTCCCAGCACGAATGCAATAATTGATTCCGCCGATAAAGTCGTGTGTCCATTGGCCACGGTACAGCACTCGTCTATTGCTGAGACCGGAAATAAAGTGGCATTGGCAGTCGAGGTTGCTGCACGAGAGTAACAGTAGTGGACTGCCACGTCTTCCAAGGGGATGGTTTAGCACACCGTTATAAATCATACTGGGAGGGCTGCAGAGGACTTCGCTTGACACTACTCTGCCTTCGTGCCCATCTTAGGACGTCGAACGATTGATATTGATATAGAAAGTCGTGTAAATTTATCGCAAACAGATACGTGCCGTTACAGTAATCATAGTGCCTGAAGTGATAGGAATCATGTCCACAGCTAGAGCAGTCTCTGAACACCAAAAAGACCGTGTCGAAAAGCCCAGGCATATTGCTGCAGCCGAAATGGGGACTGGCTCAAGAGGCATTGGTCGAGACACCTCGAGCGTTTTAATATTATGGACGACACCGATATTCCTAATGACAGGTCAAAGTGAAAATTAAAACTTTATCAAGAACAAACGGAATGGATTGAGGACTGGTATCTGTATCTAGTTACAATGAGACACTTCCTTCCTGCTCAGCAGGTGCTTTCGCCCACAGCCTGCACTTTAAAATCCCGGTTTGAGCAGCGAAGTCCATTTTGACCAAGCCAGAAATTGTACAAGAGTTTTTAAGCTTCAACTCTATCGCCACGAGTATTAGTTACGATCCTTGATAGGAACAATGCTGAGTTAACGCACCTATGTGAAGCTCTTGGTGAAGTTGACGACAACCTCCTTCAATCGAGACTCAAGATCCTTGCTCAGTTGTCCCTCCTTGTCAATTGTTTGGAGCAGATCTTGTTGGTCGCTCTTTAGGTGGGCAAGGAAGTCAGACTCCCATTGCAGGATCTTGGCAACGGGGACGCTGTCAAGGTGACCGTTGACACCAGCATAGATGAGAGGAACCATTTCGTTAACAGCCATGGGAGAGTATTGCTTTTGCTTCAGAAGCTCGGTAAGACGTTCACCACGGCTCAAAGTTTGCTTGGTGGCGGCATCAAGATCAGAACCGAATTGGGCGAAGGCAGCCACTTCTCGGTATTGAGCCAAGAAGAGTTTCAAAGAACCAGCGACTTGTTTCATGGCCTTAAGCTGGGCAGCGGAGCCGACACGGGACACAGAAAGACCGACGTTGATGGCGGGTCGCACACCCTTGTAGAACAATTCGGATTCCAAGAAAATCTGACCGTCCGTGATAGAAATGACATTGGTAGGAATGTAAGCGGACACATCACCACCCTGGGTCTCAATGACGGGCAGAGCGGTCAGAGAACCACCACCATGCTTGTCGTTAAGCTTGGCGGCACGCTCCAAAAGTCGAGAGTGGAGATAGAAAACGTCACCAGGATAGGCTTCACGTCCAGGAGGACGACGAAGCAAGAGTGACATTTGACGGTAAGCAACAGCCTGCTTGGTCAAATCATCGTAGATGATCAGAGCATGCTTTCCATTGTCGCGGAAGTATTCACCGATGGCACAACCGGTGAAGGGAGCAATATACTGGAGAGGGGCGGCTTCGGAGGCGGTGGCAGCAACGACGATGGAGTACTTCATGGCGTCGTTCTCCTCGAGAGTCTTGACGAATTGGGCAACGGTGGACCGCTTCTGACCAACAGCAACATAAACACAGTAGAGTTTCTTGGTCTCATCGTTGCCATTGTTCCATCTCTTCTGGTTTAGAATGGCATCAAGAGCAACAGCGGTCTTTCCAGTTTGACGATCGCCAATAATCAACTCACGTTGACCACGTCCGATCGGCACCATTGCGTCGACGGATTTGAGACCAGTCTGTACAGGCTGGTTGACGGATCGTCGGGGAAGAATGCCAGGGGCCTTCAACTGAGCTCGAGATCGTTGTGTGGTCTTGATGGGGCCCTTTCCGTCGATTGGGTCACCAAGGGCATTAACGACACGGCCAAGCATAGCCTCGCCGACAGGGACATCGACCTGGATGTAGTAGTCAGGATCAAATGCAAGAGATCAATTAGTTGGCAATCCTTACGATCTGTCCGGTACGCTTAACGCTTTCACCTTCCTTGACAAGACGATCAGAACCGAAAAGCACGACACCGACCTGGCCAGCTTCCAAGTTCATGCACATGCCCTTGACACCGGAGGCGAATTCGACCAACTCCTCGGCCTGTACATTGCTCAAACCATGGACACGAGCAATACCGTCACCAACGGACAGAACACGACCAGTTTCAGCGAGGCCAGCCTCTTCTTGGACACCACGAATTCTTTGCTCGAGGATGGATGAGACTTCGGTAGGGGAAGCTTTGGCATCGGCGGCATAGGATCGGACTTGTTTTGATGCCGCATTGAAGGGCGCAGGGGTGACAACGCGAGACTAGCAAAAAAGTTTTAATCAGCATCCAAATCGAGTGAATAGTTGACGGTCCAGTTTCCAAATCAGCTGTAAAGCTTGGGGTATAGAATTGAAAGCTTGTAGACGAGTTTCGAAGGGTGTTGGAAGCTCTTGGAGCTCGTTGAGGAAGTTTTTGAGCTTACCGCAGCTATTCTGCCAGAAGCCGAGATAGCACCGGCAACGCGGCCGGACTGGCGCAAGAGATTCCTTGACATCATCTTGCCTACTCGTGAAGCTGTAATGAAGGACTTCCGAGAAGCAGAGGGTGAGATGGGTGTGATTCAAGGGGAGCGGAGAGTAATGGGATGATACTGGTGAAGTGCAGTTGGAAAGAAGAGGTTCTGAAGCTTCTGGCTCAATACGATTGATTTCGCTTGAAGCGGGCAAGTTTGCCGAAGGTGTATTGCTTGGCGGCAAAGGAGAACAGAAGGAGCAACAGAGCGAATGGGCGAAGTCGGAAGGGGCATATTCAGTCACGTGATGCACGTAGCGGAAGGCTACAGCGACACGAGAACACCCTTTTTGGGGGCTGCGTATCAAACCTGCAATGAGGGTGCCGACATAATTTCAGGAGGCTCAGCAGGATTGAACTCGTATCTACTGTTACTGTTCCTTGAGTCACCTTTCCTCCTGAAGATTATCACCATGCCAGAGACCACAATATGCAAATTGCGGCTGCACTAAATTCACACTCTGCTCGTAGCCATGTCGTCTCCTGCTTCCTCCAAACTTTCCCATCCTCCCTCTTCCAAGGGCAACGCGGCCTCTCCTAAGGTGACGTCTGAGGACGTTGAGCTTGGTCCAATTCAGAATGGGTCCGCCGAACCAAGCATTCCTCTCGAAGAGGATATCATGCAATGCGCTCGCATCGGAGCCCTCGAGCACATTCAAAAAATGATCGAGTCGGGGAAAGTCGAGGCCAAATATGCGGATGAAGAGGGAATCACACCTTTACACTGGGCTGCTATCAACAATCAGTATGCTGTGTGCAAGTACCTTGTCGAACAAGGTGTAGATGTTAATGCGAAGGGAGGCGAATCCAACGCTACACCAGTCATGTGGGCTGCGCAGAGATCTCACTTCTACATTGTGAATCTACTACTTCAGAATGGTGCGGACGCACTATTGACCGACGGTCAAGGATACAACATCCTCCATCTCGCCACAATCGATGGGAATGCACTTCTTTTGGTCCTTTTACTGCAGCAGAATATTCCAGTGGACGCTCCAGACCCGCAGGGACATACAAGCCTGATGTGGGCAGGATATAAAGGATGGCCGGCCTGTGTTGATCTTCTGTTGCGATCTGGTGCAAATGTTAATGCAATCGACGACAATGGTTACACTCCTTTACACTGGGCTCTTGTCAAAGGCTCTAAACCATGTCTAGATAAAGTCATCGAATATGGCGCAGACCGATTCGCCAAAACCAACGAAGGAAAGACCCCAGCCATCTGTGCAGAAGAAATGAGCACCAAGCGAGCATATCATCGCTCGTTGTCTGATCACGGCTACGATGCTAATGGTAACCTCAAAACCCTACCGCTCAGCCTACACCTTGTTCTTCGCGACCGTTCGAAGATGGCCAAATTCTTCTTCTTGTATCCCTTTTTCATCATCCCTATTGGCCTGTACATTATCAGTCACTTTCAAATTTTTGTTGGTCTGCCGGTCTTCCTGGTCGTATGTCTTGGTATGCAGTATATTGCTCAACGAATTGCCATGATGGGACCCATGGACTATCACGTAATACACAAAACACCATATCTATCTGGCATATTTGCTGGCACTCTGTTTTGGGTTGGCTTCAGTTATTTGACGTCACTGCTGTCAGGAACATTCTCAACTAATCCCTTTTTCAATTTGCTCTTCATTCTGAGCTTCTCCAGTACAACATATTTCTACTTCACCGCCATGCGAGAAGATCCTGGATACATTCCCAAGCTGGCATCACGGAATCTGCAACGAGCAGTCATAGAAGAACTCTTCTCGTTGTGGAAATTCGACGAAGAAAATTTCTGCCTTCAATGTATGGTCAGGAAACCACTGCGATCCAAACACTGTCGTCGGTGCAATCGTTGTGTTGCCAAACACGATCATCACTGCCCCTGGGTTCACAATTGTGTGGGCAACAACAACATTCGACATTTCTACATGTACATCCTTAGCCTTGAAATTGGCATCTTGCTATATATCCGCCTTGTTCTCTCTTACCTATCACTTCTTACTCCACCACCGGACGATGCGATCTCGAAATGCAACATCCTTACCCCATCGCTATGCAGCTTCGTACTTAGAGACCCATGGACAGTGGCTCTCACATTCTGGGCTTGTCTGCAGCTCGTTTGGGTCACAATGCTCATTGTGGTTCAGTCTGTACAGATATCCAAAAACCAAACCACTTTTGAAAACATGAAACGACATGAGCACTCTCATGGTTCTCATGGCGCACCACTGTTACCACAACATCGGCATCAAATCACCCAGGGAGCTTCTACAGCAACGACGTCGTTGAACGATACCGCAGCAGCCTCTACACGTCTGAACCCCATACCGCGCCGGCCTGACGGATGTCTCACAAGATGGAAGAAATTGATTGGACTGGATGCGTTCCTTGCCACAGCATCCGATGCTTCGCATGGCAACCTGCAGTCTCGCAGGTCGAACCCCTATTCTCGAGGTCTCATTGGCAATTGTCGAGACTTTTGGTTTGATCCAGCTCCCATCTTTGGGAATCGAAACAACGGCGAGGGTTTCTTGGGCGGAGAAGTTGTTGATTATGCACACTTGTACGAAGTACCGCTGAGGTTGAGGAGAGGTGCTGGTGGTATGCAATATGCTAGTGTCGCTGGTGACGAGGAGGACGCATGAGTGTATCGATCTTGGCGTTGACCTTGGTGACATTGGCAGATGTGGGAAAATGAGACCACCGACCAGCTGTGCCGGTCCAGAGTCACGCCATGCCACACCAGGACAGAGATTGGAGCATCCTGGTACTCTGTCCCCTTTCTTCAAGCTGTAATACTTTGGGAAGCTGGACGGAACCTGCAAGTGCACGATACGAAATGAGACATTACATGCCCACTCCGTCTTTTTCTTCACTACTATGTTATTTCTAAGTTGCACGCACCGTCTTGCACCTACCTCAAGCTCACCCGACAAGGCAAACCGCCCTCCATGGGTAAGGTAAGACTATTTGCACTGACTCTCTCCTTCACACACTCTCCACTTCCCTTGCTCTCCTCACCCACCTCGCCCGGCTCTCCATCAAGTCCGCCAACCTCAACGAACTCAAACTCCACCAAAACCATACCCAGAACCCAACAAGCCAGCACTTCCGCCATCTTCCTACCAAGACACGCACGTGGCCCGCCGTTGAAGACGGGATACTCAGCCTCGCTCCGTCGCAGCAGCTTTCCTTGTCCGTCAATCCAGCGCTCAGGCCGAAAGAACGCGGCGTCGGCCCCGAAGGTTTTCTCGGAGCGGTTCAGTGCCCAGATGCACCAGACTACTACCGCGTCCGTCGGGAGGGTGGTTCCGTCTGGGAGTGTTAGGGGCTGTAGGGTTTGCTTTATTTCAATGGGGACGGGCGGATACAGGCGTAGTGATTCGTGAAATACTGCGAGTGTGTGGGGCAGGGAGAGTGGTTGGAGGTTCGAGACGGTGATTTGTGGTCCGGTGTCGTCGTTGGCATTCTTCTTGCTTTCCTTCCCATTCCCCGTGCGGGAGAAGGTAGGGTCGATCTCCCGCCGTAGTTGCGGCAATGCCTCTGGATTCCGGAGCAGCGCGTAGAGAGTCCACGTGAGGCTCTGGGCTGTGGTGTCTCGCCCTGCACTGAGGAAATTCAAGGCCGCGTCAGCGACGATTGTTGGATTCTCAAAAGTTTCCATCAGGCTATCAATCAGATTCTCTAACCGCGAGCCCTCACCCCCTGACGATGCGTCAGAGTCGTCTTGCGTAATTAAGCTCTCGAACGCGGCTTGGGCTCGTCTTTTTCGTGCGTTTCGAACGATCTCTCGGCCGAAGCGTTTCACTTCTGCGATGGAGCTGCGGAACGCGGATCCTGTGAATAGTTCGGTGGTTTTGTAGAGTGGATTTTGAAAGCGCAGCCCGATCTGGTTCGACGCGTGATCGAATGCCTTGCTGAATGGATGCGTGCTGGAGATCTCCATCTATTTGACGTGTCAGTGTTAGTCACTTGTTCAAAATTGGAGTGTGAAAAGGGAGGGGGAAGGGTGAATCGTATCGTACATACATCGTATGCCATGTACCCGACGACGGTGGTGGTGAGGTCGAGAAAAAGTTTCTGCATGTCAACTACGCTGTTGTCTTTGACTGCTTGCAAAAGTTGCTGTCGCATCCCTGTCTCGGATAGGTAGACTTCGGGCAGCACGTCTTCCACCATTGAATCGAGTGTCGCGCCGCCAAAGAACTTCAACCCGGCTTTTCGTTGTGCTTTCCATAAGTCTCCGGTCGAATTGATGATGCCGTAACCTGAGGTTACAAGCGTCAGAATAACCGCCTGACCAGGAGCTGGGATGGTGACGGTGAAACGATGTGGGATCATACTCTCCACCTACCGAATAGATCCCAGGACCTCTCCCTGAAGAACTCCCCCTTGGATATGGAAGCTTCATTCTTGAGAACGAAATCGAGGTTCTCAGGACTGTTGATCACGACACCTGGCGGCAGACTGGGGACGGAGATCTCGAACGTCTCACTCCCGAAGATCTGCTGGCATCGAACGAACCACGAAAACAGCTCACGGCGAGGTTTGAGGAAATGCAGGGCGTTACCGAGCACGGGTAAAGTGTTTGGGGGCCGTCTGAGGCTCTTCCCATCTCGATGTATTCTCGGTCGGCTTTGATAGAGATACAGCAGAATAGTGGCGACAGCTGCCACCACGAAGCTTAGCGTCCAGGCCATTCTGGAGGGTAGTATCCCAGTGGCGATTTGAGGTTTGCAGGATATGATACATCTGCATCAGGCCATATTACGGGGCTGACAATCCCGCCTTCCGGAGTGGAACGACCTTCACGGTCGTTGGTGAAGTTGAGTCTTGCGACACAGATGTGGCTGAGCACTTGATCATGTAATTATGGTGTTTGGATGCAATGAATCAGAGGATGTCATACAAGCCAAAGGCTCGTAATTTTTACCTCAAAAGCTACTTAGGTCCATATACACTCGTACCTTGTCGATGTGGAGTGCGCCGTTAGCGAAAGGGCTGTAGGGGATTCTAGGGCCAATTCAAGGGCCACCGCCACTCAGACGACATGCAATGGGTTATTAGTAATTCGTCCCAGGCGTTTGAGATCGCCAAGCTGGAAATCTATTTTGCACATCCAGATCGCCCTCTGATTTGTGGGAAGAGCTACTGACTGATCCTCCACGGGGATCTCCCGTTTTAGGGGTGGGTAGTTGATGCACGCGATCAATTGGATTCTCGGCCGGCGTACCGGTACGTGCGTGAAAGTCCAACCTCGACCGTCGGGAACATTTAAACTCTGGCTGGAACAGCAAGTCTAATACTACGGTTCTACTTGGTTGAAGCTCAGGCTCAATCTCTCTCACATAGTCCCTCATTATTGTCACTCTTTGACTTGCTACTCGCTGTCTCCTCGGTCTCAACCACAATCCCTGTTTCAGGAGGTGTTTCGACGTAATGCGACAAGGTTAAACGTCATCACTTTCGTCGAAGCAAAAACTGTTGGGATCTTCGAGACCTCGGTATCTGCCTGTCTTGATGCCGCTCACCCATCCCAAGTCATGTCGCCCTCAGTAGACCACACAAAGGTCACGCCCCCGTATGCGCGGCCGAATCTACATATCTATGGCTTTGGAGTGGAATATCCTCCTTATGATATCAAGCCTGAAGAATTGGCCACCCTCGCGAGGCGTCATTACCCCAGCACACCAGCGTAAGTTCAATATACACGTTCTGCACACCTACAATGAATTTGAACGCGTCTCTGATTATATCCTTAGCTTAGACAAGGTTCTGTTCGTCAATGAATACACAGGAATTGACTCTCGATCCGCGATTGGCAATATTGACCACCCCATTGCCAATGCGCCTGATCCACCAACTATAGCTGAACTCTGTGATCTGTTCCTTGACCATGGTGTAAAGCTATCGGTTGCAGCTGCCCAAAAGGCGATAGACCAATGGGGAGGGGATTTGTCGGAGATCACCCACGTCGTTGCGACCACATGCACCAATTCAGCAAATCCAGGATACGATCATTACGTTGTCAAGCAGCTCGGTCTGAACCAGAGTATTGAGAAGGTTCTCTTGCATGGAGTGGGATGTTCTGGCGGACTGGCTGCTTTACGCACTGCTGCGAACATAGCGCTAGGATCGAGCTTCCGACGAAAACCCGCCCGGATTCTGGTTCTGGCATGTGAGATTTCGAGTACTCTTGTGCGATCCGAGCTGGACTCGATCCACAAGAACCAAGAAGTAAGGATAGGCGTTGCTCTGTTCAGTGACTGCGCATCAGCGGTCGTAATTGGTAATGGGTTCAGTAGTCGTTATGACGAGGAGCCAATATTGGAGTTGTTGGATTGGGATCACAGAATTATCCAGGATACCGAGAAGGACCTGGGGTTCGACGTGGATCCAGTCGGTAAGTGGATCTATCCGTGCTTGAAGACCCGAGTGCTCACTTCTTGTAAGGCTGGAAGGTTGTTCTGACTCAACGAGTCCCAAAGCTCGCCTCGGCTGCTGTTCCCGCAATGTTTGAGGATCTAGTGAGCAGAATACCCGAGCTCGTGGATCAGGGCAAGTTCAAAGGCTCTGATTATGACTGGGCACTCCATCCTGGAGGTGCCACGGTTATCTCTGGAGTAGAAAAAGCAATGCATCTTACTCCTGAGCATCTCCGTGCAAGCTATGAGATTTACATCACTCATGGTAACAGCTCTAGTGCCACCATCTTCAGCGTTATGCAGAGATTGACGGAAGGGGAGACCACGGATCATATTGTGGCATGTGCATTTGGTCCTGGGATTGCTGTTGAGATGATGATATTGAAAAGAGTCAAAGAAGGATCAAGGACCGGTTCTGAAAGCCCTACAGAGACATTGGTGGCTGAAGATGTTGACTGACAAGGGCGCCCGGTGAATCCCAAATTAGAAGCCCAGGTTGCTGCACATGCCATCCCAGAAATGTAGCAAGAGCGCGGCACCGCATATCGCATGTACGACTAGATAGAGAAATGCCTCCGAGGGCATCAACGTCCTGCCCTCGCGTGCTTGCCTTTTGAGCCGGATGATGGATCGTACTGAGGGAGCAATGTGATAGAGAGCTAATGCACCAGCAATCTTTCCGGATAGCTCATCCATCGGCCGGCAGACGAAGCTCAGTGCTACTAGGTTGGAGGTTAATATTAGAACGGCATATTGCCGGATGACTGCGTGAGCATGAGGAGTGTGAGTCCCGAGTTGTTTGCTGGGAAAGACGAAGAAGTTGAAGGCGGCCGGAGATTCGATTATAATATGAGTTAGGAAGCCGATGTTGTAGTTGTTCAGAGTCAACATAATTGCATTTGGATATATGCTGTTCACATACACAAAGGTTGAATGATAGCCTTCAGAATGACAAGCCCTCTCTTGCCGAGATCGCTGAACACCTGCTTCGTATGTAAGACCGTGTGTTTAGAATAGTGGGCTATGGGCTGTGAGCCCACGTGGTCTCGCTATCAAGTTCTTCCGAGGATCCGTCGCGACGTGAAGTCGACGCGACACCCGTCTCGTAAATGACGTGTTTGACCTTTGAGGCTGCGACTTCCTCCCCACAATAATTTTAGATCGTCTGGTTGGCAAAGTGCCTCGTACATTGTGATGGACTTTACAAAGAGGCTCCCCCAAGCTGACCTTAGTCTTCCTCTCTACATGGTCTCCTTACTGTCCAAGAAAAGCGGCCCCTTATTCGAGCAATAATGGACGTCTCCAGCCATCGTGTTTGGCTTCCGAGGCGGCACTACTTTGAAGTGACCGATCAGCCATGGTAAGCAGCTGTCACCAGAACGTTCGAGTACTATTGCTGAAAGTTGCTCGTTGAACAGGTTTCCTCAATTCCTGAGGGAGAAAGTCCAGGACTATCTGACACTAGCTTGGATCAATAAATTCCCAATCATCCAACCCACCTGTCCAGCTGCCCTCGTTGCCCGCCTCCTGTCCACAGTCCTTGGTCCTCGAGTTTCTGAATATGTCTATGTGGACTTTGCGTCCGGTGCAGGCGGGCCTACTCCTTACATTGAGGGCTTCTTGAATAAAGAACTCCGTGAGGAGGGTAAACAAGACGTCAAGTTTGTCCTCACCGACATCAGCCCGCACGTGGCTGCGTGGGGCGCCATCTCAAAGAAGAGTGAGAATATCAGCTTCGTGGGGCAAAGTGTAGATGCTACAAATGCTCCAAGCGCCGATACTCTTCTCAAGGATGTGCCCGATGCGAAAGACAAGAAAGTCATGAGGCTGTTCAGCTTGGCTTTCCACCATTTCGACGATGATCTTGCAGCAGATGTTTTAGAGAACACTATCCAGACGTCAGACGGCTTTTGGTGAGCGTTGTTGATTCCTGCAACGATCTATCTGACAATTGCCCCTAGCATCTTCGAGTTGCAATCTCGACATTTATCCTCTTTCCTCCTTGTCAGCCTGCTTTGGCCTCTAGCAATGCTGAGCACGCCGCTCTACTTCCTGCATTCTCCTGGTCACCTTTTCTTCACTTATCTTGTCCCGATTGTACCATTTATCTGGGTGTACGATGGCTATATATCTTGTCTTCGTACGAGAACTCCCGATGAAGTTCGGGATCTGATGCGTAAAAGGGTTCCCAGCGATGAGCTGGCGCGGTGGTCCTTCAAGACAGGTACAGTCTGTCACACGTGGCCAATAGGGTTTCTCAACTGGATTATTTGTTATAAAGATGTTTAACATCCTTCATTCTATCAGGTGGCATGTTTGGGACAGACCTATTTTGCGGGTCATCACAATTTACTCTGGCCTCCTCCGCCATGCTTCTCCTTCAAGTCCAACCACCCAAAGCTTGCACCCATGTTTAATCCAGGGTCGATGATAACGTTCAACACACAGGGAACCTTTTCCTTTTCTAGGAAAGCTTCTCTCACCGCACTTTTCAACTCCTGCTCACTCCGTATAAAGAAGCCCTTTCCACCTACCATTTCCGCGAGCTGTTCGTACTTCGTCTCGTACAATAGCGAACTGGACCGGAGGCTCTTACTTCGGTCCTTTGGACTCGATGTAGTTGAGTCATTCGAAGAGGTGCGACGTTGCATTTCCTTCCACTGGGCCGCGGAAGTCGCGTCGCCCTTGTAAATGCCGGAATTGTTCATCACAATGATGACGATATCCATGCGATGACGTGCCATGGTCTCAATCTCCATGCCAGAGAAACCGAACGCTGAGTCACCTTCAAGTGCAACAATCTTCTTGGTCCGATCGTGTAAGTTGTACGCGGACCACGCTGCGATGGCGTAGCCCATCCCAATACCCATAGTGCCCCAGGTCCCTGCATCGAGACGTTGGCGTGGCTGCTCGAGTGGAAACGAGGATCGGGAAATGTCCATTGTATTGGCACCTTCAGAAACATAAACGATCCCACCTTGGGAGGACGGCGAGAGGTCATGAATGGCGGATTTGATGATGTGGTACGCTCGCTCATACGTCAAAAAGCCTCCCTGGGGAGTTGGCTTCTCTGCTGCCTTGATTGCTTTTGTTGAGTTCTTCGCTGCGCTCTGAGCCAAGAGATTGAGGTAAGAAGGCCGCCCTGGTGATGGATCGGCGACAAATCTAGGTTCTGAAAACGCCTTCCACGCATGCAACTCAGCCCTGAGCTGATCAACAACGAGTCCAATGTCGCCGAAGATACTGAGCGCTGGCACTCCCAGTGAATTCGCTCGCCCAAGCTCCTCTGGCGAGATGTCTACTTGAATAATCTTCACACCAGGTTGATACCTGGGGGCTTCACCGAAATGCAGGATCCAATTTGGTCTTGCTCCCAAGAGCAGAATCAGATCGGCATTCTTCAGCGCAGCAGTACGGGCGGAGCTCGCGTTCAGAGGATGAGAGTCTGGAACGACTCCCTTGCCCATAGGTGTGGGCAGGAAAGGAAGGTGATGTGTAGAGATGAGCGAGCGGGCAGTCGACTCTGCACGGGCATACGCTGCCCCTTTGCCGATAATGACGAGCGGGGCAGAAGATGATTGAATGAGTCGAACTGCTGAGGCAATGACGTCCGAGGATGCGGCGGGCTTTGGTGGTGCTGATACGGATATGGACGGCCTATCTATATCTCGCACCCTCGGTGACGCTTCCATAATGAGATCGGTAGGTAGGTCAACAAAAGTCGGTCCGGGTCGCCCATACCATGCAATGCGATACGCGGTTCGTATTGCTGCTACGATTGCCGATGGCTGCTTTGATGACGGTCGGATAGCTGTTTTTGTATGAGGAGTTAACAATGCCACAGCGTCCAACTCCTGAAAGCCACCTTTGGTCACACTGGTCGTTTCGGAGGACCCTCCAAGTACGAGGAGGGGAAACGCATTGGTCGAGGCATTGGTAATCTACATATTCATGAAGGTGATTTCAGCAGGAGTCACGTAATGAAGCACAGAAGCACAGAAATCACATGTCATATGTACTATCAACTTACTCCGGCCATCCCATGGATAATGCCAGGTCCCCCAGTCAAAAGAAGAACGCCTGGACGTCCGGTGAGGTAGCCATAGATCGAGGCAGCATAACTGCAAGCTTGCTCATTCCGATATCCGATCACGCGAATGCCCAAGTCGATGGCTTCTTCGGCGATGTCAGCGACGGGTATGCCGACCAAGGTATGCAGGACAGTGACATCCAGATCATCGAGTGCCTGTGCAATCACTTTGGCCCCAGTGAGTGGAGCCATTTTGTCGGTTTCAAACACAAAGTAGTGAGTTTGCGTGATGGACGTTTACGATGTTGCCCATTGAAATACCGCTTCTGCCTATGGATTAGACAGAGATCTGCCTCAGACCATACCCAGCCTTCCCATGTTCACCGTGCCGTCGGTTACCACGGGTTCAAAAGAGCGGGGAAAGACCAGGTTGTAGTCTGCAAATTGCGTGATCGGCCGAGGCTGTTCATATTGCCTGATCGGGTCGTTTCGCTTCAGAGTCCAGCCAATAAGCTCATTATTGAAGTCGAAGAATGGCGTCTACTAAACATAAGGCTGATATATACGATAGAGACTTCATTTTCTCCCTTTCTACGAAAGCTTGATAGGGGATGGAGACCCTGGACTGTGATACATATTCCAGGAGCGCGCACGGAACTACCGAGGTGTTGAAGCCCTATCGGGAAACTAGGCAGAGGAGTTCCCCGAGATCCCCGCCTTCGATGTGAAAAATGGACTTCTATTCTACTCCTTCGCTGAGATGCTGAGGGACGTGCTGCATCCACTGCACCTTAATACACGACAGATTCAACGGAAGCCTACAGTGAGCCACCAACTTCAACATTGTATCGAAGTTCACATACTCAATACTTTCATCAGCCAATGGCAACAGCGGCATCGTCACTGCAAGCCGGATCGGGCAATGAGCGATTCAATGCTGAAGCCTTAAATTGGGATAAAAACCCTCTCGTCCATGAAGCCAGTAAACAAGCATTGAAGGCGATTTCCGCACGGTTCCCGACCCTTAAACCTTCTTCGGGATCAACGGGTCTCGATGTGCTCGAGATAGGATGTGGTACGGGTTTGCTGAGCACCATCGTTGCACCCCTCGTAAAACAGGTGGTTGCGATCGATGCAGCCCCCGGGATGATAGATGTCCTCAAACAGAAACTGAACAAAGAAGACGCCCCGCGTAACATTGTCCCTGTGGCAGTCCTGCTCGAGGATCCAGAGGATAAATCTTTGCCACCAGCAGACACGGCAAATCCGGACGGCCCCCGTCTAAAGTTTGACCTTATCACATCACACCTTGTGTTGCACCACGTTCCAGATCTCAAGGGGCTCCTTGCCACGATGCTCGGATGTCTGAAAGACGGGGCGAGCGTGGCTCTGACAGATTTCGAAGACGATGGTCCCGACGCGAAGAGCTTCCATCCCCGATCGAAAATGGATGGGGTCGAGAGACACGGCATCCACGCCGAGACGATGGCGGCGTTGATGAAAGATGTTGGGCTCGTGAACGTCCGTGTAGAACGAGCGTGGAGTATGGATAAAACAGTCGAAAAGTTCGAGGGCGAGTTTGGCAAAGCAACGCCTCAACCCGGCATGGGCAAGATCAGAAGCTTCCCATTTGTGATATGCATGGGCGAGCGGAAGGCATAGTGCGGAAGCCACCAACGTTCACACCGGAATGGTTTCTTGTGGGTTCCTCGGAAGAGAGCCATTGCGTTTCGGGTGAAGTTTTGGGTTACAACGGCCACATTCAAGAAACATTCTAGAAAGGCTTCCGTCGAAGCGGATGGGTGCACTGCCGAAGTTTGACATTGTATCGAGGCATCCCAATTTGGATAAGCTAGAAACTCCGTCGTCCCATATTCAATGAACACCCACTCAGTATTCGTCGACTCGAGGATACTGTTGATCTGAGCGTAGAGGGTCTAGTAGAATCTCTTGGACAGGCATTCGTGGCACGGACCCTGCCCTTGACCGCGTGGGTATGATAGTGGTCCGCGTGGCATGATTGACTGGCGATACAGGAGGCTTGTAGGACGCTATGACTGACTATGTTGAAAATAGTGCTGTCCAAGGTTTCAGGTCTCTACAAGTACTCCATACATTGCAGGTGCCATTGTGCTCTTCAGTATGGAGTATTCCAATCCTTGGTGATGGGAAGAAGGACACACGGCCTTTCGTGCTATGATTGGCCTGTGCAGACCTCAGCCTTGGCAAACTCCTTGGTAACTGACCAAGTGACATCTCCATATCTTCTTTCTATTCTCTACTGTCAAGGTCTTTCAGGCCGCCGTATGCCCTATTGTTTCATCCGCCTCAAATGCCGATCCCTTCAAAAGCACATTGGCCAGTTAAAAAAAATGAAAGATCCAACCAGGGTTGGCTGGCCAGATCGCCGATGACGGCATGATCAGTCTTCTCGACCACTCTCATTCTACCTGAGCGACATGATCCGTGCCCGTAACTATGGCTTCGCCATCCAACCTACCGACGGCAACTTATTATAGCACACGCATGGACCAGCCAAGTCAATCAATTCTCTAACCCTGCTGCGATTTGACTCCAGGATGGCGTTCTTACAACGTAAAGTTATTCTCCGTGAGTATTAATTATATCTTTGTCCTTCTTAGGGCCCTTTGGTCCTTCGTATCAGTTTACCAAAACGTGGCTGTCGTCAGTATACCTGCATTGAGTTCTGTCTCGATCAGCCGCCGGCAACGGCACCGCATCCAAGATGCCAACTCTTTCTCCCATCTCTTCAACCGCTGTGGCCTTGACTGTCCTCTCCGGTTGTTGTGTTGTTGCTAGGTTGTTCTCTCGCCTGGCCTTTGTGAAACACGTTGGTATAGATGACTGTTTAATCGCAATTGCTTGGAGTGCTTCACTTGGACTTGCAGTCGTCATTGCCCAATGTAAGTACTCATCACTACGCAAGAGAATAATAGCTCACTGTCTTTTAGCATCGACAGGCAAGGCGACACAGGTGGCTGATAGTTTGGAAACGCTCTTACAGGTGCGTCTATTTCGAGTGTCACATACTACTCTTGCTGACATATCGTTTTCAAGGAGTCATGGTCTGCCAGTCTGACCTATAATCTTAGCGTCCTTTTCCTGAAAGATTCACTGCTTCTGCAATACCTTCGCTTCTCTATCGATAGAGGTTATCAACGCGCCTGCTGGGCACTAGGTATCATAGTCACCGCTTATGGAGTCTCTGCTTTATTTGTTGCCATTTTCTCCTGTCAGCCGATTTCATTCAGCTGGGACAACAGCATCGAAGGTGGTCGGTGTATCAACTTTTTGACCTTCTGGTTGTTCAACGCTTCTTTCAATTCGGCCACCGATATTATAATCTGCATTCTGCCGATTCCTGTTTTGATGGCTCTCACTCTACCACGCAAGCAAGCCATCATCCTAACATGTCTCTTCCTCCTTGGGCCATTGTGAGTACTTGATCCCGCTAAGATATGAACGAAAAATCTGACATCCAAATCTACAGCGTTTGTGCAGCTTCCATTGCTCGTTTGGTAGCACTATATACTGCGACTTTGAATAACGTGAACGATCCAAAAGTCTTATTGTGGTCCACCATTGAAGTCAATGTTGGCATCATATGTGCATGCATCCCATCTCTTCGACATCCTGTGACACAGCTAGCACCGAGAATATTCGCCCACAGACGGAAACCAAGCTATGGCTCAATAGCACAATCACAAACCAGTATCACCTTCGAGACAAAGCACTCCGGCCGATACTCTCGTTTCCTGGCCATCCAACAAGACAGCCTTCCCGATGAGGCTTCCCTCTCTCATAACACCAATGTCATTGATTTCTCCTACTTTGGTCTCGACAGGACCAATGATGATAATGAAAATAATGTATCACCCACCGGCAGCAATTTACCCACGCCGGGCACTCCAACCTCGCTCATGTTCGACATGGAATCACAGAGTCCAGTCGACACGATGACCGGCATGACTCATAAACCAACCCAAGGCAGAAACAAGCCACTTCCCCAGCTTCCAGTCCCAATCATGCCTGCCCCTGTCGCCAGACCGGCCGGCCCTCGAACCCCGCAAACTAATTCCAAAGTGTTTGCAATGCGGAGCCACAAAGTCAGATATGAGCCAAGAACTATTCTTCCTTTGGCATGTATTCCAGAATCACATAGCCCTGTATCTGCCACTCGGGGATGTAGCCAAATAGGACAACCTAACAGCAGTCTGGATTCCACTACGGATCAAGATGAGAGTCGCATTGACCGCCGCGAGCGGGCATGTCGGACATTAGCACCCAAAGTCCCACCTTACGTGGACCCTACCATCGCTGTGAGCACAGGCGGCAGCAGTACTACCTATGGGAACATCGCACCCTGGGATGCTTGTCCCTGTCCAGGTAGCAAGACATATAGCTATGAGATTCTTGGCGGGCCAAGAGCACTTGATAGCAGTGGTACCAGGTCGACGAGTCGGCGGGAGAAGGCTCGACGGGAAAAGGTGCGGAACGAACGTATGAAGAGGGCCGAACAGGAGAGGAAAGATCGTGAGAACAGAAGTCGCCCTAACGGACCACGAGAAATGGGTTGAGCTATCCTCGCGGTCTTATAAATATAATTTGAGCATAAATACAAAGATTTATCGTCTTCGGTGTCCATCAGATCACGGTGCTCGAGTGGCGGCTAGGCATGATTACAAACAACTTGAATTACGCTATTCAATTGCACCGAGGTGATTCATAACCGGTTTGGTTGGGATTCTCATTGAGGGTGTATCATGCTCTAGAACTACGAGTCAGGTTGTTCGGTGGGTGGGAGCGGTGCAAGGCTGAGAACTCCTAAACTAAAGCCCCAACTGAATGGCACGTACACATTTTAGCGTATCTATGTCTCTGCCCACACCTTCACAGCCTCAGAGCTTCCACTACATAACTAAATGCGTTTTGGCATTGTGGCTGCAACGCCTGCGACGCCTAGTGTCCTACAGAGGTGCCGAGAACCGTTCTGCGCAAGCATGCCCAAAACAACCACAAACACTGAAAAAGGTCTAATTGTTAAGAGTCAAGCTATTTCTTACTTGACTAATTAATCAGACTCCGCTCAGACATCTCTGTTCCGGGCGTGCACACCAAGGAACACCACCTCTTCAGCTTTCAGCCCGGTGGTCTCAAAGATCACTGCAAACCAGTTGCGTTGCGCGATACGAACTCCCAGCCAGCCATGCAGTCGTGAAAGAGGAAAAAGTAAAGAGAGAAGTCACCCGTGCTTCTCTTCGTGTTCTGCTTCCCGCGCTCGCTCAGCTGAGCCCACGCACCGCCATACTGCGATCCTTCTGGGCTGTAGCCTGTGATAAAGAACTGAAGGTCAAATGCTAGGTTCGTTGGACCGGTCGGACTCGGGACAGGTTACTCATGTAGAGGGCATTGGCAACAGGGAGCGGAATTATCCTCTTGGCGGGGTACGATCCAATCTCCAGCTGAGCATAAACATCCGTGGAGCGATAAAGGATGCTGTCCGCGACCCTTGCCGCTTGTCAGACGTTGGAATTCGAGATCGAAGCATTGTCCCCATCGAAGTCCGAAGGCTGCTATCAAATTAAGCACACACAAGGTTCAGCTCTCCTGCGCAGAAGCACTGTGTTTGGAGTTTGTTCTCGACTCCTGTCCGAATCCCATACGAAGAGCCTGGATTTTCAGGTCCCCATGGGGCCATTATATTAGAGTCCACTAGTCGCTGTTCGGCCTCTGCTATTTGTTGATCGTGGGACGCGTGTTTATGTTGCTGCAATGCTGCTAGGTCGTCATAGCGTGGTCGGCACACTTCTTCACCGTTAGAGGATGGGCTTGCTCGATGTGTGTAACAAATGAGTTTTCGTCATGGAATGATGGCCCATGGGCTCACGAGTGGAGCTGTTCATTACCAATTAGATTTGATTACCTCCTCCACACTACTGCGAGCTTCAAATATGAAGCTGTTACTTTGTCTCAGTGTACTATGGGTACCATTCATAGCTATCCCAATCCAGCCCAACCCGATCAAAGCTCGTCATCATTTTCCATAAACGAGTCTACCAGACAAGGATTTTAGGACCATCAAACTTAGCAGGCCATTTGATCTCCACCGCATCACCCTGGGGAACAATCTCGCCACCATAAATCAGCCCAGCAATGTCGGCACAATCAAAATACCCATCTTCGGGAGCAAGAGGGCCAGATCCCGCTTCCCAGGTAGCACGACCGTCTTTAACGACATTGATGGAGCCGAGATGTTGGTCACGGAGGTTGCCGGATGGCCAGGAGTCGGCACTGGTATAAGCAGGGGCGAGGGCGGTATAGAGTTGAGCTTTTTTCGAGCCGCCAACGCTTGAGCTTGAATTCATGAGGTCAAAAACAAGTTGGCAATCGTTGGGTGCATATTTTTGGTCGAGTTCGAAGGTGACGAGAGTGCTGATGTCGGCACCACCGTTGTTGGTGGCACGGCTGACTAGACCTTGCGGCACTTTATAGGTGACAGCGCCTGTTTTGTAGTTGTATTGACTGGTGTAGCTTGGGTAAAGTGTGGAAACTGGGTCAGCACGAGCATCCAGAGGCGCGGCGTTGGCGAAGAGTGCGAAGGCGACCAGCGCAACGATGGAGTCCCCGTACATCGTGGATAGCAAGGTTGTTGTTGAGAGACTGGGAGTACAGGGTCCTTCACCGTATTTGAGTGGCTAAATAGTGCTGAGGATTGTGAATGAGTCGATGATAGTGGAAGGGAAGCGGAGTTCTAAAGTACGTTAGGGAAACAAGTTTGTGAGCTTGTGTATCGATTCAAGAACGAGCGATTGTCAATACTCTTAAATAGCATTCAATTCGATTGGACTGGCCATCTTCGGTGAGCAAGATACTGACTTACTTTCTCGAACCATAATGTGCGCAGAGCTGAATGCGTTCTCTCCATTACAGACCATAGTTAGATGGAGATGGTATGAGCGTTCAGAATCCTGTAAGAGTAAGGGGGCTGTTGGAGTAGCTACTCTGCGAAACTCTACGCACCAAGGTAGAGAGTGGTTCAGCTGCACGAAGGCATCAGCCTTGGTGGCTAGAAAGGCAAGCTCGTATTAAGGTCAGCTCAACGCAGGAATATATTGACGTTTTACCTCTCAAATGGTTAGAGAAGCATCAAACATTCGTTCTCTTTTGGGAAAATCGCTCCGTTCAATGCACTTTTGATCCTTCCGGCATTTCCAGTTCATACCTTGGGCTGTTTTCGGACTTGTGGAGCTGAATATCTCTGCTTGGCATCGATAACTGATCAGGTCAGCTGGATAGTCGTCCACTGGGCTGTGTTAGCAGGCGGCCCGTTGGGAAAGGCGACGACTCTTTAGAAATAGTGCCAGTAAAGGAAGGTCGGCGTTGGAGGCAGATTGCCAGCTCGTGTTTGACACAAGGACTGGCTTTAGTATATTGTGGTAATCAGGTGGAAGAAGGTCGTAAAGAGTTTCTTCGAAATAGAGAGGGCAGCATGAATCGATAAAATTGCGCCTAGATGTAGAAGAGAAGGAATCGATGACAGTAGCTGGCCGTTACTAATTAGTGACTTACGGTGTATCTGCTTGCACCTATTCGTCTCGTGAACCTGTCAGAAGACCATTATAACGAAGCGCCTAGCTAATAGCTAGACAGATGGTGCCCAAGTCTCTATTACCAATGGCCAGATGTAACCAGTTAGTTTATGGCCTTGTGAGCCTCCTGGGGAGTTTTTATGCCTCTGCTGCACAACGGGGCTTTGTCGCATTTGTTGGTCACCCAATGTGGTCTCGTGAACTTCTGTCTAGGTCACCTTCATAGTGCCGCACTAACGAGGCTGAGAGTCTTTTGTTTATCATAGCATCAAAATCAGATGTGCGAGCGGACTGGTGAAGCTCAATGAGCTGGTACGCTCAGGGTGATGCGTCAAATGGCTGCCCTCAAGCTCTCAGGGAGGGGGCGACAATTGCTCTCAATCCCCTACCTCTTCATCCATGGATGTGGACAGAGTGACAGGACGGAGTACAACAACCTAGGAGTCAAGTGACAACGCTGGTCTTGCACATCTGTCTGGGAAGGTGGGGTGTGATGGAGTGATGAAGGGCAGTGACGACCCCAGAATCTGTGGATGTGGAGGAACGTCGTTCAGGACTGGCCTCAGCAGCTTAGTACCTGGATCCCTTGGTTAGCGAATTGATTAGTAGTATGTAATAGTGGACCATCCGTTGACCTCCTTTTCCCATTGGTTTTGCCAGAGCGCTCTCCGTCTTTACATTGGGGAAGTCATCGTGGATGTAACAAGGCACATTTACTAACGTATAAAGACATGTATTACTTGTCTAGCAAAGTACAGCGATACGTAGTTACAAGAACCCGTCGACATAACCGTTGAATGGTTGTACATTTCGCCGTTTCGCCTTCAAGCCCCAGGAATGAGTATTCCAACCTCACAAAAAGAGCGGCTGCTTTGCATCCACATCTGCTGCATACTCCCAACAGCTCGTTCCAAAACTATGCAAGAAATACGAGTACAGGACTTGCAAAGCCCATGCTTGACCATTTCGCTTCAAGAGGTAGACTGTTGCACACGGCCCTAAGGCATCCGGGTCTTGTCCTGGTCTCGGATTGATAGGACATCACTTGCACATGTAGCCTCTTCAAGTTCGAGCCCTGGTGGAGGATTTAAACATCGAGCAAGGTTCGCTTCTCATCAATGGTGGCCTGCTCATTCTTGGCAGCCTCGAGTCTGAGGGCTTGCTTTCGGGCCCGTCGCCTTTCCATGCGGAATTGCATAATGGTTCCGAGGAAGACACCAAAGTTGATTTGGAATGGGATGACAACAACCGCGTACTCGATCGGCTTGACGTGTGCTAGGTCCATTCTTGAAAGGATCTGGAATGCACCGTATCCAGTAGATGTCGAGATGGCAATGCCCACCAAGAAAAGGAATCGAACGAGCCAATTCTTGCGTGTATTGGCCGGGAACTTTCGAGAGCCGACCTGGCGAGAGTCTACATAGATGAAGGCGCAGGCAGTGTAGTAGAGATGCTGAACGAGGCACAGGCCGATGGTGAAGGGGAGGAGGAGCATATTAAAGTCCTTGAGAACCTGGGCGACCTTTGCAAGGATTGAGGGCTTCTCGGAATCTGAACTGGAATTTGGGACCCACCACTGTGAAGCCTGTGTTAGCGTTTCTATCCTAGGTACTTCTCGTCATTCTGGGGATGGTCTTACGCTGAAGAGGGGAACGTAGACGATCATGAAAGCGCAGAGGTATAACCAGCTGAATAGGTATCCGACGGTGTAAGCAATCTGAAAACCACGTCAGCTCCTCATATTCCTCAGCCTGATGAAATCGGCCATGAATGGACATACGCCAAAGTCCTCTGGACCAGGCTCTGGATATCCTTGCTTTCCAGCATAGACCAACTGAATAGGTCCGACACGCAGAGCTTCCATCAATGCCATGAACAAGACAACACTTCGAACCTGCTTTCTCATCTTCCGGAGATGATAGCGGCGGACGGTCTTCCAGTCCTCAACATCAGGAGCAGAGGTCGGGGATGGGAGGGCATCGGTGGGTGTGAGGCCATTGTTGGCTGGTGCATTGCAGCGGCGAGACCACGGGCAAGGCATTGTGATGCTCAATTGACGGCGGTGAGAATCGAGCTGCATGTGGAAAGATAAAGGAGGGTGAATTGGTTGGAACGTCTGACGATAAAGAAAGGAAAGGCTATGTAGAGAAGACGTCAGCAATAATGGAACCAGTAGACGGTGCAGGAATAACGGTTGCCTTGAAACCAGGGACTGGGTGCTGGGTATTGGAGGATGGATGGGAGTCGACGTTAAGCTGGCAGGAGAATTGGGGCTGGCGGCTGGTGATACGTGGAATAAACGGGGAGAAGCACTTGACGAGTAAACAGGAGGCCCCGGAGAGGGTGATGGTCAATCCCGCATGGCGCACGCAGGCCAAGGAGGGGTGGTGTGCACCACTCTTCACGAGGCTGCTTAGGCTCACCCAGGGGGTCAGCATCCCCAGCACTCCCAGCACCCCCGAGGCCACCAGAGCACCCACCCCCAGAGCCAAACCGTAGGCCCCGTCGGCCGAGAGCCCCTCTGTCATCAACATGCATCTATGGAAAGCCAAGGTAAGCCAGGTTGCCACTCCGAGCTTAGCACCATTACAACTTCGGAGGAACGAAGGTCCGACTTCCGTTATTGCAATCGTTCCTTCCAGTTATTGCCCAACCTTCGTGCCTTCTGTTTTCGTACTTGTTCATGAGCAGCATCAACGTTGTTTTGCCTGACCAGGCAAGATGTGAGATGTGACCAAATTCAAAGATGATAATAATAAGAGAGCTATGGTGGGCCTCTCACTGCCGCCTGTCCGTAGTGTTTCTACCATGAAACGTACTGTGCTCTGTCCAGTCTGCCTTGTCCGTTTATTCCAAAAATACCGGTATCCCATACATTACTGGGGCCGCTCCATTTAAATACTTCAACAAACAGCGATCCCTGGCTCGTGCAATCGCCTGGTCTAACGACATCTTCACCGTCTTTTGCGTGCCGCTCTTCGAAGGCTGGTTCCTGGCGGCTTTTTTCTTGCCCTCCACGACCCTCGTAATATCTGCCTGGTTGACAAGGCCCCATTCTGACATTGTTTCCATCGCAAATCGGTCTATATCTCGGTCCGTCACGTCCCACAGCGTTCCCACAACTGCTGCACTTCCTCCATTGATATAGTTCCACGGCATGCCATTAGATTCGTATACTCCACATTCCGACAGTTTGGCACTGCTGCATCCCATTAACAAGGTTACTGCACATTGCTGCAATTTGCGGATCGTTCGGCCTCGGATGTATTGTGCTCCGCCACCATGCCCAAAGTACAGAACCAAAGGACTGTCCTGTAAGGCAGTTTCAAATTCAGTCTCGGTCGGCGAACGATTCACAATAGCCTTGAACCCCGGAAGCTGTGCTTCAAAAACAGACCGGAAGGTCTCTTCGGTTGACACTAGGTCTGATGAAGGGTTCAAGATGTAGGTGCCTTCAGACGCTGAGACGACATAACCTTCTCGGTTCGAAGGGTGGTCTCCCATCTTTTCCAACCTCTCCCAGATGGCACCCAGCGAAGGCATCCGGGAAACTGATCGGCCTCTCATGCAGGGCAGAGACTCCCAAGGAAATGCTTGCAGCTGCTTGTCCACGAGCAAAATAACATGTGAGTTTTCCCTTTCCAGCGAATTGCTGGATGTACCTTCGTGGTAAGCATGCAATGCGTCTAGAATTTCAACCAGCATAGCATCAAAGTCGATTTCGTCATAAGCATTATTCTCGCCGTTGAACTGAAGCACATCAACCACAAAGTAGATGAGATCAGTCACTGAGTCCTCTAGATCAGTTTCTCGAGGATGACCAAGCGTCAGGAAAAGCTCTAATACGTGTGAGTGTAGCTCAACCTTGTGCGCTTTTCCTGCCTTGGATGGCTTCTGTCGCGAGGGCAAGTGCCTACCGAGCGTGTTTGACAGACTTTGCGCGAATCTTGCCAAAGCCATAGCGTCCGCTGCCTTCGCAGAGAGCAGCCCGCGAAATCCTCCAAACCAGATGTTTTCTATGTTGTCAAGCAAAGCCGCAAGACGACTATCCAGAGATAGTCGTTCAGCAAACCATGCCTTTCTAACCGTTTTGTCGGCTGAGCATCCTCTTGAGTCATGAGCTGAGGTGTTTGCTGCAAGCACAATATCCTCTAGCTCAGCTTTAGCACTGTCAAAATCTAGTTCTTCATGGTCCATCGCTGAAGGATCAGGCCTTGTCAGTGGGATTCTGATGACGAAAGGTGACCTGTGACGAGATATTCTAGCCACTAAAAGCTCCGTTCGATCTTTGGTCAGCCCAATAGACACTACGGACCAAGTCTCTGGCAGCAGCTCTATCGTACCAACCAGGTCTGCACTTGGTTCCATAGAGTCAATCGAAGACGATGAGTGCCGAATATGTGGCCAGTCTGAGATTGCACTGTTGGCGCTCGTGGCCATTTCGCTTGAAGTAATGATCATTTCGCGTGAGCGGAGCTGATCCAGAGGACTCAAAGCATCCGCCAATACCTCAACTGAGGAAGGCACAAGCGAATCGCCAAGCGCGGTGGACAATAACGCAGCCTGTGACAATAACTTGTGTAGAGTGTGGACAGCCTCTGAAGGAATCTGCCAATGATATGCGCCTCGAAGATCTGCAAGGGTTTGATATGCTTTATGAAGTAGTGCTCGGCCATCTCCAGGTACGTTTACCTCTTTCTCAGCTGCACCAGATGCTTTGCTCTTTCCTTGCAATCGTTTAGGTCGACTGTCCTGAGCCGCAGTATCCTGGACAAATGATATTCTGCCGCTTTTTCTTGATGATTTGTATCTCACGGGCAGTGCCACTGCAGTCTCAGCAAGCACATTGTTCACCGCATCCTCAGAAAAGAGTCTCAGTGCTGAGCGGATAAGGAACAAAGCGTCGAACATCACTTTGCTTGGGTTGCCTTTGGAGCCATCGAAATCAGCTGCGGGCAACGTTGCCACTTCTTTATTGCCTTGGTACAACCTGAGGTGAGCATGTAACATAGCCAGCCTGTCGAGCAAAATCTTCTGGTCAATAGTTGCCTCGAGAGCTTTCTCAGGACTCTTTGCGCTTGGCTGGTCCACCCGCTTAGTAGCTGTCCGAGGTTTTGGCGTGGCGGTTTTGGTCCGGACTCGAGGGAGGGTATGGACCGTTTTAGTTTTGACCTTGCGGGTTGTTTCTTCCGTCTTAGGCTCGGCATTGCCATTCTTGACAGCCATCAGTAATTGACAAGCAGTCGGGATATCGCCGAGCAGTATCTCAACTTCCGCTTGATTGATCACAGTAAGCCTTTGCCTCAAGCAGCGGCCAGCATTGGTAATCAGACCTGGCACGTTGCGCAACACCCTTGCCTTTTCTAGTTGTCCCGCCCGAGCATGTGCCAATGCTAGTTCACTCCGAATGCCATCTACAATAGTAGGCAAATTCGCTTGTATTGCGATCTTCAATGCCTGCTCATAGAAGTATACCGCGTCGCAATATAGTCCGCAATGCACCAGAAGCGTTGCCATGTAGCTGAAAGCAGAGTAGTACAATGAGATTTCTTGCCAATAGACGACGGTACTAGCAATGGAGCGGCCACTGTGATGGCTTGACGACAAGTCAAGTTTTGAGAAGTTATCATTCAAGACTTCTATTCCAGAATCATCTTTCCCGCCATTATTGACTGGGCCATGTGACGCCCAGACTTTCGATATCGAGAGCCAAACAGCTGCGATCACTTTCACGGCTTGCCTTGCACATATCGCAGCCTGGAGAAGATTTCCTTGGTAGAAAGCCAATCGAGATGTGAGATAAGCCGAAGTACACAAGAGGGTCTGCTCTTTCAATCTCAGCTTGTGATTTGAGGTTGTCTGGGTTGCCGTGCGACTTTCCCAGAGAGATCTTGCACGCTCGAGGTGAGAAGAGCACTTTCCAAATTCCTGTCTCGCGAAATACTGCTCAGCGAAAGTCAAGGCCAAGTCGATCTCAACTAAGATATCGCTAGCCTGCGCAGCAGTAGAAACCTGTGCTGCATTAAGCGCAGTATGGGCAGATTCACTATTTTGCATTTGCATGTGTGAGCGCCCGATTTGGACCAGGACACTTGTTTTAGAAATGTTTGGAGATTGGTGACCCAGATCCAGGATCGAACGTATCATCTCGAGAGCGGCGTGGGCAGCTCGATGGTTTTCCAGCATATTGGCATAACCAACACATAGGTGAAGAAGGTTGATGAATCCATCCGGGTCATCAATGACCCTTCTGAAGCTGTCCAAGGTCTTGCACTCAACAATCACCCCACCCAACGTCTTGAGATAACATGCGAGACTCACGCTGCTGAGTTGACCGATGCAAATATCATGTTGTAGTTGAAGAATCGTCCGTAAGCTAGACTCAAACTCTGAGAGGTAAACCTCTTGAGATACACTCGTGCCGCCATCGAGAACGCTCCTAATTTGCTGAGAAGTAAGAAGAGTACCGACGACAGTCATGTTTTTCTTCAATCTCGCAGAAATTACAGAGCTCACGAGTCTCAATCGGAACACCTTGTACTTCGGCTGATCCAATATTGGCAACAAGAATTGTAAGTGCGAAGCAATACCAAGCAAGTGATCCTCACCGAGGCCTCTCTCTAATATGCAACATACCTGTCTTTCAAGCAGGACAGCGCGTTGAACTGGTGGTAGATTACTTGAGTCGTACAACAAGATATCTTGATTGGTGCCGACAGATTCTCCCAGCGCCATATTAGCGAACATAGCAAGGCTTCTGCCTAGAGATTCACAATTCGAGTCCGTCTTCGACCACAAAGCTTGCGAAGGCCCTCCTAATGCCAACTCTGTAGCATCGTGTAATGAACCCAACTCGATGTCAAGTTCAATAGCTTTCCGGAGTATCAGCTTGGAGGTCTTAAAATCATGCAGGTCCGCATAGCAGGATGCAAGCCTTTGATACTTGAGGCAGAGAAAGGCGCTTTTCTTGTCTGTTACGGACAAAGATGCAACCGCTGAAATTGAGTTTTCCAATATCTGTATTTGCTTCTGGCTGTCGGCGCGTGCTTCAACGGATTGTATATATCGCGCCCAATACGCTTGAGAGATACGAACTTGTATTTGGCTGAGAGCAGTTGAAAGAGCATCGCCTTCGTTTGGAACACAAATCTGAGTCTTCAGGAAAGCCACCGTTTCAATAGCGAACTCCAACGCATCATTTGAACCACCGAGCAATGCGGATGCTTGTATTATGCAGCACTTCTCAACCTGTATAAGAGAATCTGCATTCTTGATCAGAATGGCCAGCATTATTTGTTTCCGGTCTGATTTGAGATTTTGATTGCCGTCAACTAAAGATTTTTGGATCTGATCAAACAGGAATCGAACGCAGCAAAAGATCAATTGGAAGCTGTTGTACTCCAGCTCAACAAATGCTGTCACTGATTTGCCAGATTGCCGTGACACTTGAATATCTTGGATTACGTACAGCAGCGCTTTGCGTACTTGGACTGCATGCAGGAGAACCCGTTCAAGATCAGCCAGAGGCAGATTGATTGGGTGTGAAAACAGGTCGCGAGTCTCCAAGATGGAGGCGAGAACCACATCAGTCTCACTTGCATAACTTGCAAGTCTCGACGAGGTGACCTGACAGGTAGAGACTAGGCATATGATGGGGTCTAGCTGAGTCCCTTCCTTTCCAGCAAGTGAGTAGATCTCTCGCTCACATTGCAGATGTCGAGCTGCTTGTAGGAGAAGATCAAGTAGGTCTGCAGGCGGGGTGTCATCTTGACCTGAAGCCTTGAGGAGGTGCCGAAACGAGCGGAGTAAATGTAGAATTGATTTTCCAGCGCAGGATGGCTTCTGTGAGCTTGCGATATATCTCCGTGTTGCGCTGACAAAATGCTGCCAGAAGTCAACAGCCGGGTCAAACTTGTGATGCAAATGCTCCCAAGCGCCGAACTTGATGCTCATTGCCACACCAAACAATTCGAATACGTTGTCTGGAAGGGATGAACATGTCGCCTTTAGGCGGTTTGCTAGAGAATATAGCTTGGATATTGCTAAGGATATTGTGCGCAGCTGGTTCCCTGTCTGCTGTGCATTAAGGTGCGTTTCCTGTAACCCTTGTAGACAAACCCATGCTGGGCTTCCGATGGTTTCCAATTTGAGCGAAGTCACCAAGTCACTGTTGATGCAAGTTGGACCCAGCTGGATCATCAGCCGCAGCATTTGGCTTTGCATAGATGTGCTGAAGCCGAATATCGAACGATCCTTGGCAGAGTCTGGCCTTCCCAAAAGACATTGTGCTGGACTAGGTGTCTGAGAAACAGGGCACGGACATGTGTTAATGCTGGAACTCCAGTATTGTCTGAATATTCGATAGGCCTGGGATTGTGCCTGCGTAATAAGGCCAAGTGTGATCGTTCGGTCGAGCAGGATCAAAGAGGCATTCTCAAGGCCAGCAATTTGACCAAATTTCTTTGCACCCTGAGATTCTGCGGCATCTACCAGATATTGTAACGCAAGGAGAGCGCAATCAGCTGTGATCGACCAGTCTTGTCGTGGAGCCTGAGATTCCACTCGCTTCTCATCATTGCGACAAGAGGATTTTCCCCTATTGGGCGATCGTTCGTTCAAAGGTCTCTGGGTTGGGACAAGGCGGACTGATGGACGATCGTCATCGGCCCTTAAAGAGCCCTTCGCCGTCTTCGCGGCCAAACCGAGCTGTTTTAATGTCGTATTGAAGACTTCTGTTGCTAGCTTTTGAGGATTTTCTAGTGCTGCTTCCTCTCTCACCATTGGGTTGGAAGCTTTTAAATCAGGAGTTTTTGGTTCCTTCCGTTTCGACGTGCCTTTGGCGGCAGGCGGAATCTTCGAGGGCTTTTGTAAGCGCAAGGCTTTTTGGCTCTTGTATTGAGGGGCGTCCAGGCTGTGGGATGATTCTAAACCAAGTAATGCACGAAGGTGTCGAAGAGTTTGTGCAGATGGTGCAACAGCGTTGATATCTGCGCGTACACGGTCAATCGGCGCGATAGTTGGAGACATAGTCATGGTCGCTACGATATGAGGCTATGAGTTATTATCTTCATAATAACCATCGTGGATGATCACCTTTTTGGTGTAGACACAATCCAAGCGCAGCCTGAGGTTCATGCAATTTAGTCCACCCGCACGCGTTCGGATTTCCTATTCGGGCTATAAAATCAACAGGCGGATTTGGTTCCGCCAAAACTAATCCTTGGCTGGTCCTCTCATCACGTGCCAATACTATTTATTGCGCTCGACTCTCTCAGCCTCTGTTCTGACGACCATCCTTTTCAGTTTTAGTGCCAGCAACCTACCGTCGCTACCTGCAAGGAATCGAGTGCGCACGATGTTGAGAAGTCGATTGCTCGGCACGACCTTTTCAAAGGTCCCTCGAGCAACGCCGTTCGGCCGATGCAGACATGCCTCGTCACAAAACTCCCTACTCCCCAAACTGGCCCAAACCTCGATCTGGCATTCCATAATACCTAGGGGTATTCGTGATCGCTGGACTCGGACCGGCAAATATGCAAACAAAAAGGCTGTCAACCCTGCCTCCTACTTCATCTGGATTTATCTTCTCATTGGCTCACAATCCATTCGCATCATGGGCATTCAGACCGATTTCAACACCTACATGCGCAAAGCAGATCTGAAGCTGAATAAGCTTCGTGAAGTCGTTGAAAAACTCCAGAAGGGAGAACCAGTGGATGTCGAAAAGGCTCTTGGTACGGGTGATGAGATCCAAGAACAAGAATGGGAAGATGCCTTGCAAGAGCTGATGGACGAGGAACGGGTCTGGCAGAATAACAGGAAAAAGGCACGAGAGGAAAGTGAACGTCTCGCTCAGGAAGAACGTGATGCGAACCCGTTAAATACATCAATTTACAAGGATCAAGCAGCCACCACCATCGATATTCCTTCAGCATCATCTCCAACTGGTCCTCGTCCCAGCCCTGGATTCTATTGATATCAACTAAAATCCGGCGCCCTTATCACCCAAATAATGAAGCCCTTTTCCCAGACATGACTTGCTGCGGATCAGACGACCTCTTCAACACGAAACCCAGTCTCGGGAAGTGCATGCATTCGTATGGTGTTCTCATGCTCGATAACTATCTCTCATATACCCACACCCACAGGCTTGCCCTTCTACGGTCACCCACCTGGCTTCGAACCGAACCAGAATTTAATACTCCTGTTCTCAAGGGAAAGCTCACTTACTTGTCGATTTCCTCAACTGATACAGTAGTGTGTTTGCTGTGAGCCTGGTTGGATCATCTGGGTCAATACAAGTATGCTTCGCGGCATACGGGGCTCGGACAATTTCTTCTTTCGCGTCACTGGCGCTGAACTTATCAGGACCGTGTTCTTCGTCTTGCCTCGGCAGGCCGTTGATCTAGGTGTGAACTTTGGGTAAATCTCGTTCTGGAAACCCTGGTTTCCTCTCTACCTCAATGGTTCACAAGCTCACTTTCGTCAGACAGCTTGCATGAATATTGGCGATGGAACAGGTCAATCCCCCAATCCATGGATTATGGACCCAAAATCATTCTCGGCAATATCCAACATCTAGCGAAGCTCCTCCAGGGCGCTAGGCCTCGGACTCTCGTGATCCGGCCTACTGAAAACTGCGAACGGCTCCCTCCGATCCTTGCTCATATCCTTGCTCACTAGCTTGGATTGGACAAGAGGTAGCCCGACCCAACGCGTGGTATGCAAACGACTCATACGCATGGTCAGACGGGCTCTTTGCAAGTTCCTTCGTCTCTCCGGGAAAGAGATTTCGAATCACCGCAAAGAAAAAAAACGAGCTTGTCGACATAGAGATCTCGGCCTATCGCATTTACGGGTATGCGTCTGTATGTGACACCAATATCTGCAAGGATTGGACGAGACATCACAAATGGCTGTTTATACGTTGGCACTGCTAGTCCACACATGCATAACAGATTCCTCGCCTTTCGCGGCTTAGGAGTAAACTGGTAATCATAAAAAATAATTGAGCTCATGAGATATCTCCTGTTGTGCAAGATGAGATTCATATACAACGATAACTTCTTTCTCTACTCAATATTATAACAATATCTACAAGTATTCGATAGAATTTGAACATATCGCCAAATTATCCAAAGATATACAAGATGATGCTTTACATAGATCCCTTCCAATCCTCGCACTCGACCTCGGGAGCATTGGCCTGGATAGAAACTGTCATATGAACTCAAAAAGCGGGTAGAAGGGGACCAGGGTTGTGTTTGATGTGATTTATTCAGTTAGGAACTGAAGCCATAACGTCATTTGTTGATGTTGATTAAGTCATGAACCTTGTGATCGACCTGCCAGTACTGTCACGTGGCAAGGCTGGTGAAGAAGGATGGTTAGCGACTTAAAGCTTCTCCGTACATCGACTCCGGCGCAGTCTTTGTTTCTCCACCCACTCACTGCCTTGGGTTTTATTTTCCAGAAAGAGGCCCATTTCTCTACCTGCTAAAAGAGCGACCCGTCCTTAATTCTTCACCACGGCCTTCCCACATTCACACCTGCAAGCTCGAACCCTTCAACTTTTGACACCAGTTCATCTTGTTCCTCATCGTCTGCGTTTGAGGAGCCACTTTTCCCCTTCCAATACCCACTGTTTCTCTGTGTGAATCACTCCCGAACGTGGTATCCACGCCTCTTACTTTTCCTCTCACCATCACCGAATAGACATTTTCATCCTCCACTTCACCTAAAGTCGCACCGCTTTATACGCGCACCTCATCCTTCATCCTCTGACCGCGTCGACCTTCGATTACAAATCAATCTGCAAACCGCGTCCTCCATCCATCTCAGCTGCGCGAAAACCTTGAAGATGGCGACCGAGGCTGCTCCTGTCAATGGCTTGTATCAGTACAGCCAGCCAGCAGAACTTGCAGCTTCTACACCTTCTGCACCGACTCATGCCGCTTCTGCCTCGCAGTCCACTACAACCTCTACTGCAGCTCAAAAGGCAGACCCGCAAGAGATTGGTTGGTATTTTGTCGAACAGTATTACACGACCTTGTCCAAAAGCCCTGAAAAAATACACCTGTTTTACTCCAAGAAATCTCAACTTGTTACTGGTATTGAAGCCGATAAGGTCGTTCCTGCTGTTGGCACAAAGGTATGTTTCTCTCGTCTGAAAACCCACAGTCCAGCCTCACTCATTTTCAATAGGCCATCAGCGAGAAGATCAAAGCTCTCGAATTCCAAGACTGCAAAGTTCGCGTCCTTAATGTTGACTCCCAATCTTCCTTCTCAAACATCGTCGTCCAAGTGATTGGCGAGATGTCAAATAAGTCTGAACCGCACCACAAGTTTGTTCAAACTTTTGTCCTTGCTGAGCAACCAAATGGCTACTTTGTATTGAATGACATCTTCCGATATCTTAAGGACGAAGAGGATGAGATTGTTGATGATGAGCCCACCCGGCCAGAAGTCCCTGCTGAGGAGCCTCCTACCCCAGCTGATGTGCAGGTGAATGTTGAAGAGCACGCTGACGCAGTCGTGGTCACTGAACCTGCTGCGGAGCGAGTTGATGAAAAGCTCGAAGAGCAGAAGGCTGCGGTGGATGAACCAGAATCTACCGAAGTCAATGGCGCTCTTGTTCCCTCCAGTGCTGAGGAATCGGTCACTGTTCCAGAGAGTTCTACCACCACCGAAGAGACTGTGGGACAAAGTACTGCGTCAGCTGCCGATGAACAACCTGCAGAACCAGAGCCTGCCGCAGCTCCAACTGCGTCCGCTGAGACTGCTCCTTCGGCAGCCCCTGAAGCTCCTCCAGCCAAGAAGACCTGGGCAAGCATGCTTGGTGGGGGAGGCGTAAAAGCACCTGCTATTCCTGCTCTTCCAGTTTCCACCCCTGCTGGTCAACCTAAAGCCTCCCGTCAAGCCCAAACTTCTCAGGCTTCCAAGGCGGCAGTGGATACTACTGTCCCCGCCGCCAACACTGCTAGCAGTACTCCAACCTCGCAGAGCAATGGATGGCAGACAGCTGATCACAGCAAGAAAGGAAAGGCCGGACAGGGCAAGCCTTCCGAGGGTTTGGTCCTTGCGTATATCAAGAATGTGAATGAGAAGGTCGATGCCCGAATTTTACGGGAGGTTTTGGAGAGTTTTGGCGAGCTCAAGTACTTTGATGTCTCGCGACAACGAGTAAGTGATCTTCTATCATATCTGTCCAAAGTATTTGACTGATTGTTTAGAACTGTGCCTTTGTCGAATTCGCCGACCCAACTGGTTACACTGCTGCTGTTGCTGCCAACCCTCACACTGTAGGCACGGAGCAAATTTCCGTTGAAGAGCGTCGACCTCGTCCCAACGCATACGGCGGCAGCAACGTGGCTTTCACCAATACTACGAACAACAATACCCGTGGCAACGGCAATGCCGGACGTGGTGGCGCTCGAGGCAACTTCCAAGGCCCACGGTCCGGTAGTCAGACCAACTTCCCCAAAGACGCAGGACGTGGCACTTTTCAACCTAGAGGGGGGAAATCCGGACGCGGCCAGACCCAGACTGCTTAAGGAATCCTCGATGAAGCAGTCGACGGCATGCTCATCCTGAGGGGAGGTTCTTCTCGTAATCTCATGGCTAATTTTGTTACGGGTTGTGGGAGCAATACAAAAGTGAGTGGGAAATGATTCAAGCACATGTTCCCCATTGAACTGGCGTTCTCCTTACTTGGAAAAGTTCGTCTTTCCATTATTTCATATGATCCAGTGTCTTCGCATAGCAAGCTCTCGGACTGTTTCAATGTCATAGCGACTGTGACGGACGGGATTTGACAGAGATGAGTCCATCAGGCTCGAGGGATCTCAGTGGGAAGGAAGCGTTGTGTTTCAATCAAAGTCTTGTATTTGTGTCGTGTGTTACTTATTCTATTATGCCGAGCCTTGCCTGGAAGGGAGGGAACATAGGCATGGAGTTGTACATTAGTTTCGTCAATGAGACATAATGGATGATGCACCAGAAGATGAGGAGATGCATGACGTGTAATGAATTCGCACGTTCATTAAACATCATTTACACTTACATTTAAGCTATTCCGTGCTGCGTGCGTATTAAAGTGAAAGTGCCCATGTTGACAGCGGGATACAGGCTGGAGTGTGGAGTATGGAGTAAACCTTGGAGGTCCCCAGACTTATGGAATGCGGTGTTTGAGATAGAAAGGTGGCGCCTGGGAATAGTTTGGGGATAAGTTGATCCGATCCGGATGCGTGATAGCCCGATAGGATGCGTGGGGTTGGAGCGAGAGGGGAGGTACGCAGGTAGCAGCAGATGGTGGGTGCCAGATCCGTCATCAGGCCGCGATCGGTTCAAGTGCCCTTTCCTCCACTGCGCTCCATACAACGATTCCTCCAGTGCAATTGTTATCGTCTTTTTATAACCTTTCTCTTTGATAGACTCTCTCCATAACCCTTCCAATGTTGCATTATGAGGCCTGGAATCGGACTCGATAATGTGGAACCTCGACCTCGCAAGTCTTCCATGAGCGATTCTCCCTCACTAACAGGTGACCGCTTAAGCCATGCCCCTACCACCTTCTTCCTTTCCCGCGACAACGACGTTTCGAGGCCATCTCAAGACAAAAACACTGACTCATCAACATCAGCCATATCTCCATCTCCGGTGAGCAATTTGCGAGAGATTATCCAAGAGGCCGATCGACCTAGCAAGCATCCTACACCCAAATCAGCTGAGGGGAGAAGTAGCAGCCGACGAAGATTAACGATTAAGGCCGGGACTTGCACCGGTTTACGAAGAAGATCCTCTACCACGAGTAATGAACCAATCATGCCCATTCCGGATAGAGGGATCACTCCCTCTCCCCTCCCTTCTGGCGAGACATCTCTTCCTAGTAGCCCAAAGTCGGTGTCCTCACGCTCGCTCCAGAAATCCGATGACGGATCGATCAATGAGGAGACGGGGAGCCAGGCGATTGCTTCGAGTGAAGAGGATGAGGGAGACCTGCCTGCTAAGGTACTAAGCAGTCAGCCTGAACTTATCATGCCCAGTATCAAGATGCCCAGTCGTCGACCCTTTACTGAGCGAGGGAAGGCATTAGGAAGGTTCAAGGTGATGGTTGCTGGCCGAAAAGGTTGGTCATGAATCCATTTGAGTAAATCGGAGTCTAACTGGAACAGCCGTTGGCAAAACATCGCTTATCAAGTCCATTGTTCAACTCTGCGAGGACATCGTCCATGTTGACCCGTTGTCCCCTTCGCCCTCACTCCATACATCTCAGCGAGATTCTCTTGCCGGTCAGAGTAGTGTGAGCGAGATCTATGCAAGTACCAAGCCGTATCCAGAGTGGTGGTCCAATGTCGAGGAGAGCCGTATCCTGAGGCGTAGGAAAAGTATGGGCGACTCTGTGCTCGAGAGAAATATTTGCTTTGTCGACACCACAGATTCGATCAAACTTGAGAGAATTGTAAGCTATGTGGAGCAGCAGCTCGTAAATGCCATTTGTTCGGTAGATCAGCTCAGTGGAGAGTTCTCAGGAATGCTCAGCGGACGAGGTTCTTCACAAGTGGATGTTATCCTCTATTTGCTATGCAAAGGTATGTGATTACACGCTCAGGGTGGTAACAACTGACGACTGGACAGATGACATCCGCGGCGATTGTGAACGAATTCAACGGTTGTCAGAGCTGTGCAATATCATCCCACTGGTTTCCAAATCTGACCTCCTTTCGGACGAAGATGTACAGCAGCTCAAGCAGTCATTGGATATTGGTGTCGCCACTCTCCCAAGAATCCCTGTCCCCACGAGCCAAGACAATGAGCAGAAAGCCACAGCAACATCCCCATATACCGTGACATCGGTCAATGGACCCGATCTGGATACCATGGATGCATCCTTGTTGATGTCGTCCGAGTATATTCAACCACTTTTACCATCAGAGCTCCGGCTTCTTGTGGAGCATATGTTTGAGCTTGATACAGTGGCCTATCTACGGCATATGTCAGCCCGGAAACTAATCAGCTGGCATGCCCGTCATCCTCGGTTGACGAGCGTTCCGTCGCCGTCTCTACCTTCAGTGCACAACTCGACGCTTACATCTCCTATGCAGACATCTTTAAGCAATTCAGGATTATTGATACCTATTGGGTCAGAAGTGTCGCTCAATACGTCGAACAGCTGGGCACTAGCCAAGGTTGCTGATCACACACAACGAGAAGAGCGGATTGCTGAGGTGCGGCTCTCTAAGTGGGCGAGCGAACTGCAACTCAGTCTACAGCGTGAACGTGAGAGATACGAAAGGTTGGCTCGAAACGAGCGGGCAGTTTGGTTGGTGGAGAGGATGGGAGAAGAAGTACGTGATGGTAAGATCAAGGTGCCCGAGCCGCAACATGCTTTGGTGCAAAGGGGAGGCAAAGCAAGTATGGCATATGGCGATGTGCCAAACTATCAAATGCATGATCCATTAGGGATTTTGCGATGGCAGGACAGTATGCGGACACGGGGATGGATTGCTCTACAAGTCGCAGGGAGCTTTGGGGTGGTTGGTGGACTTGCATTCTGGCTTGCAAAGACCTGGGGATTGACAGCTTCCCTTAATGATTGGGCACAGGAGTTACACGGGTCATGGTTTGGTGATGAATGATATGAGATCAGTATACGAGGTCATGATCAGAAAGCGACGTCCACGGTGGCAGGATCTGGGAATGACAATTGAGGGTGGAGAGATAGAATTTGACCGTGGAATGGAACGGCTCGGCTATACCATATCGGGGCTCGTGTGCACCAAGACTTGTGAGATGTGGCTGTTCTTGGTGTTTCCGGTACCGAAGACGGATTCAAGTTCAAGTGGGCGGGTGGTTACGAGTATGGCAAGTTGGCAAGTGAAGTCCCGTGATGCGGGTGGACGCGACGGGTTTGCACTGGCAGGAACGCGTGGGCCAGATCTGGACACCACGTCACGTTTCTTCGCACCTCACTTGAAACCCATTCTTCTCCTCACCCTCGTACTAGTCAGTAGGAGTAGTAGTATCAATACCAGTCATGCACCTCTTCGTCATCTTCATTCGACTACTCGTAATATTCTGGCCTCTCCTTTGCCACCAATATCAATGGAAAACTCTACTGGCACCCAGGAGATTTGCGCGGGATAAGTTGGACGAACTAGGTGGGTGCTAGCCGAGGAAATTTGCAGTTGCCAGTAGTGCGACGTTATCAGGCCGGGAAGTGCCTGAAGCTGTGAAACACACCAAGCTCCGGTGTCCAGGGGGCTGGCTGGCTTGAGTCGGAGTCCTTGACTGGCTCATCTCCTTGGCATACGAGGATGGATACGGTGTACAGGCCGAGGACGAAGGACGGCATACTCGTGATCGTCGGGATTCCAAGCGAAGAAAAGACTGGCGAAAGCTTGCCTTATGTACTCGTAATCCACGGTCACGAAGCCAGTTGGGATATCCTAGCGAAAATGCGTGGCGAAAGAAGGATTGAGGCGGTGCATCCGCTTTCAACCAACAGGTTGCAAGTTGCAGGTTGGTTTCGCCAACTTCCAGCGAAGTGAATGTTTGGCATGACCCGTCCCGCACGAGAGCACGAGGCACTGGCATTGACTCAAACTCATGGCATTATTGCATTCTTGCATCTGATAGTTGCATGGGGCTGGCTGTCATGCGTGGTCTGGCCAGAGTTTGGGTGGAAGGTTAATTGCCTAGTTGGGTCTTTTGGTCAATGGCAGGTTCCAATGGAGCATCGTGCATACCCGAGAGAGTCTTTGCCACGTGCTGGGAGAGGAAAGCCTATGGGAAAGCGCGAAAGCAACGGCAATTAATGGAGCTGAGATGGAAGACGCTGTGGAAGCAGCAAGCCGAGAAGGGAAAACAGGAGGGTGGAGCTTCGGGCGCAGCACCAGCCAAAGGCCCAAAGCACAAGTGACCATCACCCATGGCCCCATGGGCCGTCTCCAGCACCAGCCAAGGGGGACTCAAGCAACCATTTTGAGCTAGTAACAAAGAGCGCAAGCCGAAGGGGCCCCCCAAAGTCGAAACTCAAGTGCGAGGGGCCCGAGGGGTGCCCACTGCCCACTGCCCACTGCCCATTGCAGTTGCGATGGACGCCGGGCCCTGGTGGGTGGATAATCCAGAGACCACCCTCGAGCCTCCAGGAACAGGGTGTGGTCCAATGGGCGGACATGGTGCCTGGGCCGCCCCGACTCGCTCCTTGTGCCTAATCGTGAGTTTCTCCCTCGTAATAATGCAGTGGGTGCCAGTCCTTCGTACCAGCATCCCCTTACCGAATTCCTCTTCTTCGCATACGGAGTGCTGATGCAGCCAACAGCCAGCAGCCAAAAGCCAGAAGCCAGAAGCAGGCACCCACAGGTCAAGTCACAATCAGGTCCGGTCCGGTTAGGCAGGTCGTCTGATGCTTTTATTATAGCACTACTAGTGCCCACTGCCGACTGAATCCTCAAACCATAGTTGCACCTGCACTCCACAGGCCCTCTTGACCTTCGCGGTAGTCCGCCGATCAGACATAAACACTCCTCGCACCCTCAATCTCCTACAATTCTCGCTGCCACCACCCTACTAGATACTACTGCCACCACCACCCTCACCGTCCTTTCTAGTACATCATTACTATATCACCCGGCCGCCTATCTACTCCCAACACAGTCTAACCATCGCTGTCAATCGTTTCAACTATCCGAATTCTGCCTCTACTCGTGCAGATCATCCTCCCCCAAATTGTTCTAACGTCAGCATTCCCGTTCACCGGACACGCGGACCCGCCTTGACCGACTCTCTGATAACCCCATCACACGCACACTCCCTTTACCACAATCCCTCGGAGCCTCAGCGCCGACTTTCTTCTCTCAGCCTTTTGGATCTCCTGCACCACTTCCTCCTGTAAGAAGAGCGTCGGTTGAACGAAGTTTGCTGGCTGGCCATTCTTTGTCTCTCCTGCAGACACACTTGATTCCAAACTCAATACTGCACTCCCTCCGATTCTCATCATAGACACCACAGCCATGTCTCGCAGATCTCTAGAATCCCAAAGGCCTATTATGGCGCCTAGCGTATGTTCATATCTACTGCCTGCAAACATGTCCCCAACTCTTGGTCCCGGAAACTGACCTTTGTTTGTCTGTAGGTCAACTCCTCCAAACGCACCTCAAAGCGCTATTCTACATACTCAGCATCTCCATCCTTCGCCACTACCAACACTGTCAACTCTCTCCCATCCGCTGATACTGGTATGGCTGAGATCCGTCATTTGACCCAAGGACTGGATAGACTCGAGAACAAGCACCTTTCCCAACAGCGCTTCGTTCCCAGTCAGAAGAAAACAGATGACCTATCCAAGCTGAGCTTGGGTGCCAAAATCGAACGAGCTGTTGGTCGCAGAATGAGTGATCAGGACGCTGTTCTGAGAGTCAAGAGACCTAACATGATTGCCAAGAAATCAATCCCCATCTCTTCTTTCCTTGGTGAGAAGATGGAGCTCAAAGCATGATTGCCTGAGCCATATACGAACCCTCCGAACGAACAGAATGATCCACTTCAGAAAGAAGGACATGACACACGAACGAGAACGACCCGCTTTCCTTTCCTTGTCTGGTCTGGACCAGGAGTTGGAGCTGTGCCATTATACACTGTCCCACTGAGTTGCAGAGCATGCGTGGCCAGTGGAACGCTCATCATCTTCTCTCCCTCACTCTGATTGTCGCCTTTTGCTTTTTTTTCCCTTTTTGCTTTGTGAAGAGATACCACTTGCATACCAACGCTGTTCATTTTCTCCCTTGCTTCCAAATGGAAGGGCATTTCATGGCTGTCTTTCCGGCTCTTTTGGGCTATTGTTGCGCTGCCGTTGGAGAGGGGGTTTCTATTATTACGAGTACCGATGCATGTGGGCTGGAGGCGTGAGAGCGTTCATCTGTGCATAGTATATGAACGATCAAGAGCTGCAGATCAAGTGAAGAATGGAATGCATTGCATTCGAGGCGAGCTTGACCAGGAGAACTCTGGCCAGGTAGAAATATCGTGTGGAGGTGGCCTGAGGAACTTGGAATTTGAATGCTTTGGAGAAGTTGCCTTTCGGGGACTCTGCAATGCACGCCGATTCAAACATCGCATTGACCGTACCCTACATCACCCACTCTACAAGAGACCGAGATTCGAGGGCAGCGGGGGAGGTTGCACCTGAAGCTATATGTAATCCGCTCTCCGTATCCATGCCCGTACCCACTCCCATATCCATATCTTCTTCCTACATTTTTATCCCCACAGTACATACGTAAGTCCTATATTCCAAAGAGACCTCTTTGTCGCCCAAATTTATCTTGCAAAAGCGGCTGAGAGTCACTAAATCTTGAGAGCCTGAGTCGACGAGAGAGCATGTGCAAGGTTGAAAGGAATACAAATATTCGGAGCGTAATTTTTGGTCGAGGCTGAATGATGATAACATAAATGAAGACTAAAAGTAAGTCAAAGAAAGAAAAAGTGCTACAGCAGCAACACAGAAGTTCGCATAGTACGTACGCCGTGTGTTTGAACATGGACATCTCTTCGCGTTCCCATCGCCTCCGCTTCCCAGCCTGCGTGGATTCATCGTTCATCGTACTCCCCGAACTCTTGTCCTCCCACATGATGTGTCCTTCTCCCTGGTCCTGGGCCCACTCAGCCTTGCACGCTCCAAACTCCAATGCGGCTCCGCCCACCACAGATCTGCGCACGATCACCCGTACACAACATGTCGCACTCGTCCTCACTCGCCGCCTTTTCCGCCTTACCACCAGGCCCAACCAGATTCATCCCATCACCACAATAGCACTCCCGCCCATACTCGACACCCGCGTATCCAAAGCCCCGGTCCTGGCACGCCGCCACGCACACCCCCTGCGTCATGCCCGACACGCTGCTGAAGCTGTACCTCCCCAGCAGGCGCGCCGCCGCAGACGAGTCTGTGTAGCACCCCGAGTAGCCGTAGCCCAGGAGCGGCGTCTGCGTCCCGGCCACCGGGAGGAGCGCGTTGCGGTACACGTTCAGCTGGCTGCGGCCGCCGCATGTCTGCGTGCCGTTGCCCGCGCATGGCATGCTGCAGCCTGTTGCGTTGACTGCGGTCGACGCCGCGAGCCTGGACGAGCAGTAGCATTCCCGCCCGTATTCGACCCCCGAGAAGGGGAACCCGTTCGATGTGCAGAAGCTCTGGCACGTTTGGACCGTCATGCTGTTGGACGTGCTGCTTAAAGAGGACAACAGTCGGCCGCCGGACGCTTCGGGGGCGCAGCCTAGCGGGATGTAGGGGTCGGTTGGATCGGGTTCGGATGTTGGGCTTGGGCTTGACGTCCAAGTCGAAGTTGTTCTGGATGTGAGAGAAGAGCCTAAGGAGGAGGAAGAAGGGATGATGCTGGAAATGGCCGTTGCGCTTCTTGAACTGGAACTTGAGAGCACCAGACTGAAGCTCGAGGGTGGTATGATCGTCGTGCTGCTGGTTATTATACTCTTGCTGCTCATGCTTGTGCCCGTGCTCGTAGCAGGAGGAGAAGGAGAATGATATGTCGTGCTGCTAGAGCTTGAAGCCGTGGTACTCATGATGCTAGATGATGATGAACCCCGTGAAGTAGAAGAGGTAGAGGATGCACTGCCCACTGTAGCTGTAAGAGCAGCCGAGCGTTGAAACGGGATCGTCGTCGTCATCGTCATCGAAGTGGGAATTTCCATGGTGCTGGAGGAGGAAGTCGTTGAGCCTGGAGAGGTTGAGGCGGCGCTTGACCTGGTAAATGTTGACGTCGTTGTTGACATTGCGGTTGAGACGGTGCTCGTGGTGATCGAGAATGTCGCTAGTGATCCTAGCACGGACATTGAAGTGGAGGACGTTCCAGTACTAATAGTGCTCCTACTCAAGGTTGTAATTGTAACTGAAGTCATGCTTGTCGATAAGACTTGTAAGAAACTCGTGCTGGAAGACGTTGAGCTTGATGATGTGGTCGAATCAAAAAGTGTCGAGAATGTTGTTACAGAAGTTGAGGAGCGTGTGGAGGAGGCACTGGCAACAATGATCGTGCTAAACGCCGACTGCGTGGTGCTCATTGCTACAGATGGTGAACCTGCAAATACAGTGCTCGACGACATAAGAGTTTTTGAAGATGTGGTCGAACTCGAACTTGAAGGGACCACAAATCGATAATAGCTTAAGCCGTTGGGTCCGCCACATATCGTGCTGGAGTTACCAGCACAAGCCATGTTGCATCGGCCGTCTGTGGTTGCCATAGAACCAGACGAAAGAGAATTGCCACAATAGCATTCCTTCGCGTACTCGACACCAAAGAAATTGAACCCTGTGCAGTTTCCGGCGCAGTATGCAACCAGCATGTCATTACTTGCGACGGCCTTACCGGTTAACGCTCGACCAGGTATCTCAATGTAGCAGTCGACATACTGCCAGTTGCCAATGCTCGAGACAATCGAAGGGCCCACTGGACTTGGCGGAGTACTGGGAGCATCTGGATTGGCTTCGAAATTAGGATTCTTGTAGAGTGTCAATCCATTTGGTCCGCCACAAGCCATGCTGGAATTCCCTGCACACGCCATATTGCAGCGGCCATCGGCGGCAGGAACAGAGCCAGATCCAAGACTATTGCCACAGTAACACTCGCGGCCATACTCGACCCCGAAATACTGGTATTGAGTACAATTTGATGCACATGTTTGCAAAGTGATGCTGGAGTCTGCCAAAACAAAGGATGAAAGGGCTCGCCCAACAGTAATTTCGGTGTAGCAGGACTGATAAGTGAAGTTGAGGATGTTTGAGGGAGTCGCGAGCCCGGTTGGGCTTGTCGGTGGATTGAATTTTCCTGGATCTGGCTGGGGGTCGGATGTCGGTGGGGTGGACGCATTTAAATGCATGTACATGTTTAAACGGCTTGGTCCTACATATCAAAGTCAGCAGAGGGTACAATATAACTGTGCTGGAAAGTGGTCCAAAAGAAGACAAAACGTAGATATGGGTCTCTCACCTCCGCAGTATTCAGTCTGGTTGTTTCCACAAGTCATTGAACATTCGGCAGAGGTAGTACTTACCGATGCAGCCGCAAGAGCGTTCCCACAGAAGCTGCGAATGAAAGGTCAGTATTCTCATTGATTGTCTCTGGACTCTGGATCAGCTGCTAATTCGTACCATTGCCCACCATATTCCACACCCGAGTAAACATATCCTTGACAAGCTTGGAAGCATCCGGCAACAGTGTTGTTGGCAGTCTTTTGCACAGGGAGTGCTCTTCCGTTGGTAGGCTCAGTATAACATCCTAGGCTTGAGAATCCGAGTGTGCCAGGGTTGACATAGGGGCCGGGAGTGTCGGTGGTGTTTCCATTCCAGCGAGTGATATCTCCGAACAGTGAAATGTAAGATCCTGAGCCGTCAACCCCGTTACCACCGCAAATCCGAGTGATATTGCCGGAGCATGGGAAGTGGCAGTTAGAGTCGGGGGTTACAAGCTTGGGACGATTGTAGCCACACCAGCACTCTTGGTTATATTGTGTACCTGCGAAGATATAGCCGGCAGCGGCACAAGATGCAATGCATTTGTCATTGGTATTTTGAGGCCCGGTGTAGATGGCGGTCTGAAGCTGTCGGCCTGGATTGTTTTCTTTGAAACAGCCCGCATAACGATACATGCCCTGTTGAGTAACGGGGTTCAAAGGCGGAGCCTGCTCGGAAACAGCATTGCAGACGAACTGAATGAACTGTTTGCCAAATTTTGGATCATTCAGATTCATAGTCCAGATGGCCGTGCCATTGTATTTGTCGACGTTGATCTGACTACGGGGAACGGAACAGAATAGTGTAGCAGTCAGGTTCTGTCCAGCGTATACCAACGTACCTTCGGCGAGATCGACTTGGTTGCTGGTTCCAATAAGGCTACCTGGAATGCCGAAAGGAGGCTTACTAACTGTCACGGAAATTGGAGCAGCAGTGTTCGTTCCATTGTTCGTAAGGCGGAGTTTCAAGTAACGACTGGTACCCTGGGTGACGTTTCCAAAGCTGAACGGTGTGTTTTTGTCATAGGGGATCCAAACCTCATCAAGTGATTGAAATTCAAGCAGAGCTTTGGGTTCATCTGACCCAGCTGCTAGAACATTGAGGACCTTCGTGCCTCCGTCAGAGACCACTTGCACATATACTCCATAGCTACCGCTTATGAGAGGATTGAAGTTGATTGGCACGGTTACCGCGCTGTTCGGTCGTATCGATATCGGAATGTTATAGAAAGTGAAAGCAGAAACAACAGTGCTACTCGCAGTGCCATTTGGTGTGATCCAGGGACCTTTCTCTCCTACCAGAGAGTACTGCAGTTTGGTGATTGTAAGCTGACTGTTCCCGGAATTGATAATCACGACAGACTGGTTAACTCCATCAGGTTGCTGGCCTGTGATAACTCCATTCCAAGTTACAGTATTTGGATTGACCATTAACAAAGGTGCCTGGCTCTGCCCGTACCCTCTGAGTTGGATCGGAGTATTAATACTGAAGCCGGGTGCCTGTTGGGTTGTATTCAATATCACCGATGAGGATAATGGTCCGACTTGCCGAGGGGTGAAGGTCGCTTGGAAAGAAATCAGCTGATCTTTTGCGACGTTCATGGGGAGGCTAAACCCAGTGATTGCGAAATTGGGATTTCCAGATAGAGTAGCGGCTGTAATGATAACAGCGGTCGTGGCAATACACTGTACCGTCATTGGAGACGCCGTGATATTCAGATTGGCAGTTCCAAATTGAGGAGATGTGCAATTCAATGGGAGATTGACAGGAGAGCCATAGGCATAAATAAAGCCCTGTGTTGTGCCTTGGTAGGCGACACCGTCTCCAAAAACAGGTCGCGTGAACTTTGTAGTACCTGGAGTCACGAATGAATTGATCTGATTCAGAAGGCCCCCATTTGGTACGGCGTTGTAAATTCGAAGATTGGAGCCTTCAACATCTGATGTCCAAAGGAGTCCAGTACCAGGCTCATCACGCAGAGAGGTAACTGTACCATGCCCAACACCAAGAATATAAGCATTCTTGTCGGGTGAATCGGCGACCTTGTTGAAGTATGGTACGCCACCGTTGCAGGAGAACTTGAAAACATGGGTCTCATACTGGATGACATTGATGTAAATGTATCCTCCCTCCAAAGGATATACACCAGCACCAGCATAAACAGAATTCTCATTCTGTTCAACTTGAATCACACTGTCGAGTTTGTTGGGACCATTTTGATACCCCCCAAGGTTATCAAGATCGAGCCAGTAGGTTTTGCCGCTCTTACCAGTCACAACCCCCATCCGTTTGACATCACCGCAAGAAAATTGACTTGGAAGTATCTGTAACGGCGATGTACCAAGATCTATAACAGGTTTAGCGAACCGCAGCGTGATAGAATTGTGGTGCCAGTACTTACCTTTATCGGCACCATCTAGTTGCTTCTTCTCCCAAGGCATGAAGAAGTCAACCACTGTCAAGGAACCATCTTGATTGATGGACATATGGACTGCAGCTTGTTCGAGAGCAGTAGGTGGGTTTCGGCCGTTGACTGGGACACTGTCAAGTTGAGAAGCATAACCATTACCAGATGCAAAGAACATGGAGCCTTTGTCGTCACTTGCAAGACCACCGCCAGACATCCAGACTCCTGCGCCTGGCACATCGGGTCCAACTCCAGCTGAAGCTTGTTAGTAGCGACTGGAAAACAGGACAGCGTCAATCGCTCTGCCATCTTGGGAACGCGACTTACCACCTTCTGTCGCAAAGCGCTCAACCAATTGGCCAGTGCTTTTGTGCCACCCAACTATCCAGCCAGTAAAGTTCCATTGAACACTATGATTTCAAAATGTCAACCAAATACTGAATACTATGCAGACTCTGCGGTGAGTAGGGGCTACGAAAGCCCAGAGAGGCTTACCAGTGACTAGCAAATCCCGCATAAACAAAATCTCCAGTTTGAAGCAATGCCGGACGTTGATGATGTATGCCGCCGTTGAATGATCGGACGGGATTGTTCCTGGCCACTATGCCCTCCAAGTCAACTGGAAAGTTGGCACGTTCGCTGAGGTCGACTGTACTAATGGCATGGATGTAGTAGCGGCCGTTGGGTCGCCCAGTTGGACCATCGATGGTTTGGTCCACATATGTCTTAGCGGTTACATACCAGGTATCCTGTTAAAATTCAGTATCTATATCAGGACTCTTTGGCTGGGCATACGGTATCAGGATCAATCACACCAGTCGCAGTGATACCAATGGTTGGATTGATGTCTACACATCCAGCCAGGTCACTGACGAGGAACGGCCGGTGAAGATTCCGAGATGCAATAATGATCCCCGTCTTTGCCGTGATCTTGTAAACATTGTTCTGCGTTGTTGCCACATAGAGATATTGGACGCCGTCGGAGCCAGTGTACACCAAAGGTTGCGAAAATATCTGCTCGGGAATATTTTGTCCACCAATGAGGTATGTTCCTGGCAGCTTCGCCTTGAATAAGAGACCGAATTGAGCACTTCCCACTATGGCGGGGTCCATATTGTGATTATTTTGATAACCACTCCTATCATTTGAACCGCCCCAAGTAATTGTGTCTGTATCGGCGAGGGCACTGGCACGATTAATGAACAGCAGGATAGAAAACCAAAGAAGCGAAATGAGTGGACGCATGATGGCAATGCCGAGGGTTTCAACATGCATAGAGAGCAGAAAAGATTGTACTGAAAGAGTGTGTGCACACAAAAGGTGCCAAAAGAATGTCGAGGAAGCATGATGAGGAGAGTTTGTACAGGCGGACATCCTGCTATTATACGGTTGTGCGAGGCAGCTCACCTAGACAATAATTTCCACTGATTATCAGACGTTCTAAACCTCATGGACAGCATGCCTATGCAACATAGGTGTACTATCCGATGGGGAATAGAAGCGTCGTAACCAGGGTACGAAATGACTCTTGAAACTCGGCGCTCACCAATCTTGATAATCACAACAACCATCGATGAAGATGGAACAAGGCTGGACTCCTAGGCCATGTTGCCAACCAAACTGGATTGGCAGAGACGGTTGCGTCCGGAAATTCCAAAGACAACAATTTGGCTAAGGGCCTACCCAAGGTCTTTTGCCAAAGACCACGCGTACGTTTATAAGAAGAGCTCGAGTCTGATATCGTGCATGATCAAGACAAGACAGTATTTCTGTCCGCTGGTCAGCGACGTTCATGTATTAATTTGTGGCGTTAAGATAGAGACTGAGCTGAGTTGAGCACAGTCGGATTCCTAATCTGTAAGGCATGTCCTTTGACTCGTTCAAATCGTAGAAATCACACGGCTCTGTAAATCCATGTTGCTAGACTGTTAAGGGGCAAGGTCGAACGCTTGTTCACGATGCCGTGGTCCTCAATAGGGCGATTGCTGATTATGATATAGCGGTAGGAAGGGAGGCTCTGTAAACGGGCAACATCTGCAACACTGCGTTCCGGTCCTTTGATGACTGCAGCTCTGGCTAATTTCCAGTAATATCTGTTATAGTGCCTCTTGCGTAAGATGTCTCGGGCCATTTGGCAGGCAAGAGAGCTATGTGAGTATGGCGCATATGCATCACCGTATACTTGGGTCAAGCACTGCTAACATTGTGCTTGGCCCTCCAACTGGTGGAAGCAGCTCAAGCCTTGGGGGTAAATAAAATAGAACCAGGAGGAAATCCATCTGTTAACCACAACTGCGACAGCAGCCTGCTCGCCATGACATGGCTGAAGCTGTGGTCCTCCTCGACAAAGGATGACTCAAAATCGAAGGAGTCGTCAAAAGCGAACGACGCAATTGAGTCTGTCTCCCAAACACTGGACGCAGCCAGCACATCACTCCAACGTCAGGCCCACGAAGTCGTCTACTCCAATGGCAACGCCTTTACACAACCACAAACCATTATAGCGACAATCATATTGACCACAGCGTCATTGGGTCTGTTCAGATTTTACAAAACCTATCTTCGGAGGATACGCCAAGCCGTCGACATCAAACCGAGTTTCTTCAGACGGAGAAGTCTTATTGGGAAGGTCACCAGCGTGGGCGATGGAGACAACTTCAGGATCTATCACACACCCGGTGGTCGAATGGCAGGATGGGGTTGGTTTCCAGGGAGGCGCATACCCGTGGACAAGAAAGAGTTGAAAGACCAAACAGTGAGTGTGATTCAAGATAAGCCCGGTGCTGGCAGAAATTGATTGATTGGTAGATACATGTTCGTCTTGCTGGAATTGATGCACCTGAATTGGCACATTTTGGCCGGCCCTCTCAACCTTACGGACAAGAGGCTCTGGAATGGCTCACATCCTACGTCCTGGGCAGGCGAGTGCGTACTTACGTGTACAAGGCAGATCAATACAGCAGAGTGGTTGGCACAGCGTATGTCTGGAAGGGATTCTTGCGACGCGATGTCGGCCTTCAAATGCTGAAAGCCGGCCTGGCGACTGTGTATGAAGCAAAGTCTGGTGCTGAGTTTGGCGAAGGTCTTGAGCAGAAGTATCGCAGAGCAGAGTGGTGGGCAAAGACAAAGAGGAAAGGCATGTGGGCTATCAAGAAGGAGGATTTCGAAAGCCCAAGAGATTACAAGAGCCGACATGGTGGAGGTTCACCCCAGAATGAAGATAAGTCATGATTTTGACGCCCTCTTGCTCGATAATAGCGAGGCGTTTAAGGGTTCTGCATTATATTAATCATACCCTTGGCAACTTCTGTATTGAAAATGAATCTTCCAGGTCATGCATAGTTATCCTCATGCTGATCGATTTGGTCACCAACTGATCGATTAAGCTAGTCAAAGATCACGTGATGCACTCGCCAATATCAACTTGCTCAACGACAAGTTTTGCTTTCATCATTCTCAAAGTTCCAACATGCCTGCCAACGTCTCTCCAGCAGTCATCGTTGCTCGCTTCCTCAAAGCTAACCATTATGATGAGGTGTGTCTGCTGCTCGTCTTTGCGAAACACTGTGTCTGAATCTTGTAGACACTTGCAGCCTTTCTCGCAGAAGCGGGACTTCCCGAAGATGCAGCAGACACGAAGCCGGGCGACTGGACGATAGAACAGGTGCTCGAAGAGAAAAAGCAGTATGACTCAAGTCTGCTATTTGAGAAGAAAGGTGATGGTCTGCTCACTGGCTGGACGCAGCCCGCCCCATCGAAACCTGTCGAGCCAGATACACGCATATCTTCAAATATTTTATGTGTGAGCGGTGCTGCTGGCCTTGAGGACACGCACGAGGCGGTCTTCATAACCGCAGCGGATAAGTCATGGTCTCAGATCTCGACCACCGAACCTTTTGGGCTTACAAACTCTATCTACAATGCACATGCGAGCCCTGTGCTATCCATCAGCTCTGTTCCAGGCCCATACATCTTCTCAACCTCAATGTCTGGACAGCTCATGCTCCATGATGGTCGCGGGCGGTTGCTTGACAAATGTCGTGATCACCTGAAGTATGCTGTCCAAGTTGTGTCCAGTGTCACACGAAATGGCAAGTGGATTGTCGCCACGGCAGGATGGGACCAGAAGGTGCACATCTACGCCCCCGAACAGGAGCTCGCCCACAGGTTTGAGCCAGCGGGTTCTTCTGTCGACGACGATGAGGCACCACATCTAGAAGGACTCCTTGGTGACCCAGTGCACACCATAACGCTGCCAAGTAATCCAGAGTCTATGGTTATCGTCCAGCACCCTGACACCCTGGACTCATACCTGATTATCGCCCGGCGAGATTCCACCTTTCTGTACTATTATTGCATCACGCCTACGTCCTCAGAATCTTCCTCGTCGAGAACCAGCGAAGCGACATATTCGGTACAGGAGACGGGAAAACAGAATCTGGCACCCCATTCCAACGCATGGATTGCTTTCACTCCTTCCTGCCTGGCCGTGTCGCCCGCCGACCCGACTTTGCTCGCAGTGGCTACATCGCACTTGCCTCACATGAAATTAATTATTGTTCGTCTCCTCTTTCCCTCGAGCACAGACGAGCACCCCCAGACGCAGGCTTCACAGACAAGAGCTGCTCTGGCCGTGCAGGACCGCGAAGACAATGCCATCAAGCTCCATGTCTCGACGATGTCTCCGCAGACACCATATTCTACACCACAGGTGGTCTGGCGACCTGGTGGAAGTGGTGTCTTTGTCAATGCCGACGACGGGGTTGTCAGAGGCGTCGATACCGACAATGGCAAGGTGGTGAGCCTTTTGCGAGCACACGAGGTTGGAAGCAAGGTTCGAACGCTCTATGCAGGGTATGAAAGGAACGGGAACGGAAAGAGTGAGATCCTCATCAGTGGAGGATTCGACAAGAAGGTCTTCATCTGGAGAGTGACGTAGATTCCGCCTCTTCGGTCCAAGGTTAGACAGACGGGTGCATAAATATAGCAGTCTGCCCTTCCGGCGCAAACACGTTGGCTATGATGACCACGTCGTGTCATGGCGTCTGCTTTGATCCGCCTCTGGCATATATTTATTCTGAGGATTTGTAAGAAATGGTGAACGACCATGCCGGCTGTCCCGGTCTAACAGTAGTCTGAGAGGGGTTGGCCTCTCGTGAATACGCCAAGGGGATCTCAGTGCCCCGGCTGTCCATTGTTTGTGATGTGCATGGCATCCTTTATCCCAATGAAGGATATTTGGCGCGCCGTTTAGGAAAATCCTGGAATCTTGTTGAGCCGACGCAGGTCAGAAAGGACTCCCCACAACTCACTCCTCGCAGTTGTGGAGATCCTTTTCCTGCGTCTGCATAAACCTGAATAGGTAACATGCCTCTAAAAGGCTGAGCTGGTCCGTGACATGGTGCTCGAGGGCCTTGCTAACTAGCTCTTTTCACGATCTTGAGAATCACGTGGTACTCCATAGGTAGATATTCATCAACCTTGACTACTATACTGAGTAAGACTTCCGATGGTAGTAGAGAAATCCGTCATCCAGTTTCGGCTGCTCGTCGAGGTCCTTCCTTCATCAATCGTTCTTCCCATTCTCTGACTTCTCGTAGATCCCCGCTACTAAGTACGACCGTGCAAGCAACCTCACATCAAAATGGATTCTTCTCCACCACCCCCGAAGACTTTGTGCTCTTCCCAAACGACTTCCCCAACCAGGGTATCGACCTTGTCCAAATCGAAATTCCACAGTAAGCGTGCTAGAATGAATCACAGCTCGGCCATAGCAAGCAGGACGGCGATGCAGACCTGCGGACCGGCGGCGAATGTGCGGACGCACCTTCGGTCGTCGTCGCGATATGGGGAGTGGGGGTCAGCGATGGTTTCGTCAAGCCAATGTTCCGGTCGCTAGACATGGGGCTCGTGGAGATGTTGCGGGGAGAATGAGAGAGTGAGCAGGTGGATGGTCACGATTGTCTATGGAAGATGTAAGCAGAGATTTTATATTCTGTCTTGCGAGAGGAGACGATGCAAATGTATGCTGCCTGGGACAATGTGGCCGATCGGGCTGCATTCCTATTAGCACATCGACAAGTGGTCTCTAGGGTGTTCTCCGGGCGTCTAACTTCGGATTGCACATGCGCAGACCTTCGTTGATTACGGCGTTGAGGTACTGATGTCTTTTGAGGGCTGTGAACGACAGGTCCTTCTCTTCATTGAAGCAGGAACGTAGCTCGTCCGAAAGTCTTCGCAGCGAGGTAGGGGCCTGCAGAAGATGGTTCGTGATTCCAGCAAAGACAGTGCCAGTTGTCTCACTGTCCACAATAATCAGAAGGCTGATGTTAGCATGGATCTCATCCAATAACAGACCGCCTTTGCCACTGCTAACCTACCTCCCCATCGACGAGATGAAGTCGGGTCTCTTAACCTTGAGCTCAAGGCACCTGTTAGCTTCATCTACCGCATTACGGTAGTGATTCTGCTGCTGCTGCTGCTGCTTCACGCTTTCAGGAATCAGCCACATGAGATACCTGAAAAGTAGCAGATAATGCCGAAGGCTTATACACAGATAGTTGGCTTTGATGGTGTCGAGCATGAAGCTCATCCATTCATAATATTGGACATCGTCGAGACAATGGAAGGACTTCCCGAAGCCGATGTCGCCGGTGATGTCAAAGCAGACAAAAAATTGAACCATCCGACGATGTTGACGGTTGTAACTTTGTCGGGAGTGGCGCAGGTGCGTTCGCGATGCCTCTGAACGAAGAGATCGGCCTAGTGCTGACCAATGAAGTCCTGCTCCACAACCGCTCGTTCAGTGAAGCGCGGCTCCATAGCTCGACGCACTTGTGAGCATTCTCTGCGGTCGATCTGCGAAAGAATTGAAGCTGGGAAACCGGGGATAGGGTCGCGCCAGACCTCGCCCTTGCGGAAAGCCAGCGCTGCTGTCTCGGTTCGAGCAGATGTCTTCCCATTCCGCCAATGTTGCAAACGAGAGTTAGTTGGGTGCTATGCGCACCACTTCTCCAAATTTTCTGTGGAGATCTTGTACGATATATAGAAATCGGCCATCCCAAGCAGAGCACATTGACACCAGTCTTGTGGGACGCCAAAGTACAGGCCCTGGGTATTCTGACAGTGGGTGGAAATAGACATTGTAGATACAATTGACAATGGGCCACCAGATCAGTTTTTCGGCATACGAATTGCCCATCTCGGGGAAACGCCCTCAGGAGGAACGGACCAGCAAAACCAGGCCTAGTGATGAAGACACGAGTCCAGAAGTCATGGCAATCAAGCGGAGATCAAATGGTGTTCAATCTCTCTGTATGTGCATATCACCTGCCTCTTATCAAGCTTCGAGTCGGAGAACAGATCGCACCATGATTAGAAGCAGAGATCATATCATACTTGCACGCTGAAATAGCGTTGACTTTATCTATCTTTTTGATACTGGTTGCCTAAGGGCTCATCGTAGTAGTAGTAGTCTTGCCCATTGCTGTCAGCTGCATGACTATAATCACAAGAGAACATTCATCAGCTCAGCGTTCCTAAAGGACCTACCGTGAGTCCCAGAAAGGTCCATGAAGCTTGAGAATCATGGGTCATGAGCTTGTTGAGGAGCCACCGGAAGTTGGAACTACTGTACGCACCATAGGCCTCCTCTGAGTGATGGTGGCTCTCGTCGTCGGAAAATTCATCTCAAATAGTGACATTACTATCTCTCATAGCTCAGATATTTCCCATCTTGAGCCTAGTTTTAGAACGATGGAAAAGCGATAGTTGAGATGGGTTTGCCTCAGACGAACAAGAAGCAGCGAAGGGTTATTCCGCTACCAGTTACTTCCGGACTGCTGACTAAATTGCCAAGGAGGTTATCCTAAATACGCGCCGAGGATGGGGTAAGGCCGGTTGCTGGTCGCCACTGAATGCTACGGAGTGCTGAACTGTTATACTACCAGGTAGGTGCTCCGTATGTAAGGAGTCGTGGGCTCGTGGTTTCTGAGAAGAACAGGTAATGCTAGGTAGGCAAGGATTCAGTTCGCGATTAACTAGGCAAACGTCCTTAGAAGCTCAACGCCCTCTAACTCTAATATACACACGCAATAGCACTGATCTTGACATATTCTCATCTTCTTCATCTCTTCATACCTTGCTAGATGAGAATGTGGTTATCTGCTTCTTCACCTCTTTGAAGGGCATGCCGACTTCCCCAGAGAAGGGTTTTCAATGTTGTTCCATTCAGCACGACGCCCATCATAGCTTGAATTTCTCCAAGTACTCTGTCGCAGCTTTGAGCGCATCATCGACTTTTGATGGATCTGTACCAATCCCGATCGCAACGGGAGCTTTACCACCGGCCTTACCACCTACTAATTTCGACACCGCAGACGACCAATCGGAAGGAGAAACACCCATTTTCGTAGCGTCCTGTTGACAGGAGTTAGCTTGTGCCCACAAAAAGGGAGACGATAGTTGACTCACTTGACTCACAACGCACCCATGATAGACCTTGCCCTCGGACTCCTTTTCGTCTGCCACAAGCACGTAAACACTCTTGTCTTTCAGTTTGGTTTGTACATGCTTTGTGACATCAGGAATGAGCTTCGTGCTACCTTCGCTTGGTAGTCTGAGAACAGCAGCCTTTGCATCAGGGTTCTTCTCGAAATACTGCGTGACAGAATCAACAGCCTTCTTCAGCTCTTCCTTTTGTAATTTCTTTTGCTGCTCGAGCAACTCTTTACCAATCTTCGCACAACGCTCTCGGAATTGGCTCTTCTTCACCGCAGATATTGAAAGATTGTTCAGATCAAATTGAGCGGACTTAGATTCCTGTTCCTTGGGCGATCCGAATGGCATTTTCTCCAATTTATCGAGCCTTTCAGAGAATACCTCAGCAGCTCGCTGGGCCTCATGAGCATCTTCTCCAGTTACGGCAAGGATTCGTCGAATGCCCTTGGCAATCCCATTTTCTTCGAGGATAATGAGATCCTTGATGTCACCCGTGCTTTTGACATGTGTACCACCACAAAATTCGATACTGACTTTGTTCCAGCTTTCATCCTTGACATTTTTCAAGATGTCATCGACTTCAACGCCAACTGAAACAACTCGGACTGGATCGGGATATGTCTCACCAAAGACAGCTCTCACTCCGGCTATCTCAAGTGCAGTTGACAGAGGTACGTCCTTCGCATAGACAGCACAATTTTGACGAATATACTCGGTTGAAATATCCTCTATCTTTTGCAGATCTGCATCTGAAACGCCGGACTTGTGGCTGAAGTCAAATCTCAACTTTTCCTGGGCTACTAACGATCCCTTCTGGTCTATGCCGTCACCTAAAACTTCCCTAAGGGCAAAGTTTAAAATATGTGTCCCGGTATGGTTGTTTCGAATAGGCCACCTTCTCAGTTCATCGTATTCAGTTATGACATTGTCCGAAACTGAGAATTGTCCGTACTTCAGATAACCGGTATGTAGAACGTAACCAGCATAAAGTTGGACATTCTCAACGTCGAGTTCCGCTTGTCCGTCTATGACTATCCGACCTGTATCGTTTTCTTGACCACCCTGTTCTGCATAAAAGCATGTTCGATCCAGAAGTAGACCAATCTGATCCCCTTGGGGAATGTTTTTAGTATCCGGATGAAACTTCTTCGCATGATAAATAGCCTGGATTTTAGCGGTGATGTTCTCTCGACCATACTTGAAACAGTCATTGGTCTTGCTGACACCTGGCATCTTCTCCAGTTCACTCAAGTCATGAACATCGAATTTCAGGAGGCCACTGGCAGCTTTCTTCTCACCCTTGCTAGCTTCTTTGGCCTGTAGTCTTGCCGCCTCGAATTCATTATCATCGATTGAAAGACCTCTTTCCTCAGCCATCAGTCTGGTCAGATCAACCGGAAAGCCAAATGTGTCGTATAACCGCCAGACATCGGCACCATGTAGACTTTTCACTCCTTGTACCTGACTCTTTTGGGCATAAACCTCGAATTGCTTCTCACCACGATCGAGCGTTTTCGCAAAGGATAGCTCTTCCTCACTCAAAGTTTCTTTGACTTCGTCCTCTTTTGAGACAATCTCTTTAAACATACCACCCATTTGTTGGACAAGAGTAGGGACTAGTTTGGCGAAGAAGTCTCCAATTTCGACATTGAAGTACTTTCTGGCATACCGAGCACCACGTCTCAAGACTCTTCGCACGACGTAGCCTCTTCCTTCATTATTTGGGATGCCTCCATCGCTAATGGCAAAAGTGAGTAATCTGACGTGATCGGCGACAACTCTATAGGCCGTGTCGATACCATCCTTGTCATCTTCTCCGAAATTTCCGGAATAAGGTCTCGCTCCAGTGACCTCCCGAATTCGGTCAAACAAGGGGGTGAAGACATCAGTGTCATAATTGGAGAGTTTGTCCTGTAGGACACTGACAAGTCGTTCGAAGCCAAGACCAGTGTCGACATGCTTGTTCGGTAGTGGTCGTAGACTCTTGTCTGGCTCTCGGTTATACTGAATGAAGACATTGTTCCAGATCTCAAGGACGTTAGGGTCGTCCTGGTTGACGAGGTGAGCAGCACTTCGCCCTCCAAGACGATCATAGTGGACCTCTGAGCAGGGACCACAAGGGCCCTGGTCACCCATCTCCCAAAAATTGTCCTTCATATTTCCAGGCAGAATATGATCTTCTTGGACACCGACACTCTTCCACAACTCTTTGGCTTCTAGATCAGGCTCTAAGCCACCGGCCTCGCTGCCCTCGAAATAGGTGACGTACAACCTATCAGGCTCGAGGCCGTAGACTTTGGTCAACAGTTCCCAAGACCAGGCGATGGCCTCTTTCTTGAAGTAGTCACCGAATGACCAATTGCCCATCATTTCGAAGAAGGTGTGGTGGTAGCTGTCCTTTCCAACGTCATCAAGATCATTATGTTTACCGCCCGCACGAATACATTTCTGCGAGTTGACCGCACGCTTGTACTGACCCTCTTTACTCGTAGGGTCGACTGTTCCCAGGAAGATTGGCTTGAACTGATTCATTCCGGCATTTGTGAAGAGTAGGGTGGGATCTGACAGAGGGACGACGGGAGACGACTTGACTAGAATCGCAACAGCGTTAATTAACAGAACACCGAAAATTGAGCCACTGGTGGGCGCTGGGTTGGGCGGCAGCGAACGTTGGAGGGCATCAGACTCACCAAAAGTATGGCCTCTCTCCTCGAAGAATTTGAGAAAGGTATCCCGCACCTCTTGGGCAGTCCATTCACGAGTAGGAGGCATGTCGGTGGCGGGGGAGGTGGTCGTGTGCGGTCTGCGTACTGCGGGCGCTGTTGTAGGCGGAAATTGGATGAGATGTTGAGCAAGAGGAGAGGACAAAGAGAGAGAGGGAAGTGATTGGGTAAGAGAGTGTCTGGTGCACTGTATTTGTAGAAAGGGTGGTTGGTGGGAAAGAGTGTGAGTCAATCTCGAAATTCTGATAGTACGAGGGGCCCTGGGGCTTCTGGGATGGACTCTGAAGCAGGAAGCCGGACCTCTCCAAATCTGCACGGGAGCGAGAGCAGTAGTTGCTGCTGGTCTTGCGCTGATTGGCATTCAAGTGATGCCCTTCTTGGGTCTAGCTGACTCGCTCCGTTTGGTTCAACCCTCGTAGCAAAGATAAAGCGCTAAGTCCTGGCAGACCAGATAATCATCTATCAAGACAACTGCTCGTGCCCTCAGGCTCGCGGAGATAATTCAACTAACTCAGGGCATCGGTAGGGCGAAGCTACTACCAATGAGCACCACCAGCAGCAGTTCTCTCTGGGCAGGAAGTTGTCGCTAGAGCGAGCTAAAACATGCTCTAGTCCGATTAAAGTCATTGGTGCCTACTACTGTAATGTTCGACTCCGGCTGCTTCTCCAATTCCGCACCTTCTCGAGCCTTCCCCAGATCTGCTCTACGACTGCGACTAATTACTCTCTTCTCACTCTGACACTCCCACTCAATAGCTTCCTCTCTCCGCCCTCTACTCCTTCGCTTCTATAAACCTTCTATCCCTCTGCCTTCCAACGGTGAGTCCTCCACGTAATATACCATACTATAGACGGCCTTCAATGGCAACGCCTTATTCTCCTACAACCCCAACTCCACCATGGCCTTCACCATCCTCCGTCAATCAACACCGGAGCAACCTGAGCAACAAGCGGAAAGTCGACGCCATTGTAGACAACAATGACATCGACTCCACCGCCCACAGTAGTATATCCTCGCAATTCAAGAAACTTCGCTTGAATCAACAGCAGCGGAATGGACTCGTCAACCCCAATACTGGTACCAGTAATGTCAATCCCATTACATTCCACCACAACAATCAGCAACCGCTTCAGCCCCTGCAACAGCATCAGCAGCACGAAAACCAACACCATCCTCACATCCTCATACCCACCAGTCCCAGCTCGCGATACAGACCACACATCGCGAACACAGACGTCCGGCCTGCTCTGCCACCATTTCTACCCGCACCAACCCTACCAACAAGACACACTACCGCCGCTTCGCCATTAATATCACCAGATTTACAACAACCGCGCACACCGACACCCAAAGCACGCAGCCCAGGCCCAACCGCGTTAGCAACCTCATACCGGCGCCTGCATGACCCACCTGCAGCAAGACCACTGCCCCTGTCACCACCACAACCCTCTTCTCGAGGAGGTCAGCACACTCGCAACTCCTCCAACGCCTCCACCTCCAGCATCATGGCTATCGACGAAACCCCGCACCGGATCATCATCAATGACCTCGAAGCCGAGATCGCCGCCATTGAAGCCGACGAAGCCGACCGCGCGACGAGCGTCTTCATCTCGGACATAGACAAGAAGGTCTCGGCGATTCCTCAGCGCCTGCTCCAGAACCCATCGTCCACTCCGACGGCCGGTCCAGGAGTGTTCACCGACACAGCCCACCCGCCGGTAGCGACCGCCCTCGTGCTGTACAAAGACCCGACGAGCATCAGCGTGCCTGAATCGGAGGACGTGGTGCGCAAGACGATCATCGCGGCGCGGCAGCGAGCGCGCGAGAAGGCGGTCGAGGACCAGCGAGACCGCGACCGCGAGCGCCAGCGGTTTCTCAGCGAATACCGATCCGCTGGGAGGGGCCGATACGGGGGCTTGGATGGCGGTGCTGATCACGATTTCTTCGATGATGCTATGACGGATCATTCGTCCCTCGGCGGGGATTTCGAAGACGACGACGGCGACGATCCCGATGCCATGGATATCGAATAGGTGTCGTGGTAATTACCGGCCTATAGTAGAGCGGGGGTAGAATTACAAGATATACCAGGAAACTATTTGGGAAAAGTCCTTTCTGTTCTTACTTCTCGACTTCTGTCCTGTACTTGGAGCGGTGGTTTTGCTTCTTATTGTTATCTATGTCTTGATGTACTTTTGTTGCTCATACTTCAACTACACATTGGGGTGTCTGTGGATATGCTCTCACTTTGCGCATTCCCACGCCGCACCACAATAGATACCCGTATGTAATGTTATCGTTGTGATTGTGCATTTCATGTTACATTGCAAATGCGGTCACCTTGATCCTGGAAGTTTCCACCACAACGCCGGAATTGTCGTTACAAGTTCCTCAAAGACGACCAACAATGCCTTCAGCTCATCCCCGCTCACACCAATAAATTTTAATACGTCCACCAGAAGTCTCTCCGCAATGATCATCTCCATGAGCCTGCAGCTGGTTCAGGCACACTAGGGCCAGCGGGCGGGGGGAAGGCATTGGGCGGCGGTGGACCGGTAGGGGGAGCGTAGCTTTGATCTGGGTTCGTCTTGTTCGGACCTTGAGCAGTGTAGGCAGGTACATACTCCGGCTCGTGATACGCTAGAGACAGGTCGTTAGTCAGATCCATTTTCAGCTAACTCTTACAACGACGGTAGTATCTTACCAGGCGGAGGTGGACCGTAAGTGGGCATTTGATAGCCGTACGGGGCAGGTTGTGTTCGATAGAAGGAGAAATGGTGGGCATGCTCAGGGTGCGCTTGGGCGAAGGCGATGCGTGTACGACGGGGAACAAGCCACTGTTGGTACCACAGAGATTAGATATTTGTCCCTTCTCTTGGAGTGCTTCTCTGGTAGGGCAAGACGTACTCTATGATATGTTAGAGGCGGAAGACCCTTCTTCATCCTCTGCCTGGCATGAAGGTAGCCTCCAACGAAGTAGAGGAGAAAAGCGACCAGAATGGCTGCAAGAACAGCCCATTTTATGGCGTATGCAGTCTGGAGGAAAAATGAAAAGTCAGTCTCAGGGTCAAGAGCGCAGTTCAAGAAGCATGGACTCACCGAAGAGTACCACCAGTACCCATCATCGTAGGCCTGTCTTCGGGATAGTCGTGGGGTCTCCATGCCGGCGATCTGATGGGATATATGGGATGTTCTCCGCAGAAGGGTGGCAGAAGATGCTCAGAGAGAGGAACCGACAAAGCAATGAGACTTGGAGGACCCGAATCGAAGAAGAAGTGGGAGGGAGAGGTAGTGCGGCCAAAGTGCTCCCTCCGTACGAGTAGTGAAGTTGGCCTGGGTGCAGGGACCAGATTCAGGGTGAGTGACAGCTTGCACGACAGATAACTGAAGTGGACAGGCTGCAGGACAGGTGTGGGCTTCAACAGAGTTACGATGCTCAACGATAGTTGAGATGGAATACAATGACGAAAAAAGAGAGAAGCAGGGTGTCTTTGGTGAAATAAGAATTAGAAGGAGCAGGAAAGAGTACGAGTAGAGACCACGCAAGATGGACCGGCAGCGGGTTGAACCTGTCGCCTGTGGGGAGTTGGGATTGAGGAGGCACTATGAGGGATGAGGGACGAGGTACTCCGTACTGTACGCAGGACAGTAACTGAGCCAGGCTATCTACGGAGCCCTATAATTATGTAACTGTTCCTCCTACTCAGAGGCAGGGAGTGGGAAGCTGCAAACCAAATGCAACGCAAGCAGTCAAAGGCGGACCCGGAGTCAGCTTCCATGTCTGTAAATCCAGCCTGCGAAGTTCCATGGTAGGCGCAGCAGCAATGATGTCGTCAACTGGCGGATGCTAAGCCAGTGGCTACTGACTAGGAGCCTGCTATTAAATGGGTCTTGCGGGTCGAGGCTTGTGTGTCTGCTGTGGCCTGTGATCCAATATGCGTCTGTTTCAGGCGATGGGCAGCTCCGCTTCATTCGTCCAGCAAGCAGCAACTTGACGCAGGGGCTTCCGACGCTCCTGATACCAGGAGGCATTCTGTTACAGATGCAGCCCACGGATGCTGGAACATTCGTCTCCCCTTTTGCCACTCTACGAGTGCTTCGTACGTGATCCCTCTTCCTTTCTACGAGTACTCGTACAGTAAGTGCGTACTCCATGTATGGGCTCCACTATTTGGTTTTGGTTTTCAAGCACGTGTTATGTGTTATGTACGGAGGACTCCGTACTGAGTACTCGCTCGATAGGTGAACAAAGAATCGAAGTTTGGCCCAGGCTCCTCTCGCTATGCTTAGAGATGCTATTCAATACATGTCCTCTCTTCCCACCTCAGTCGGGATCCTCAACTAGATCTTCCACAGTAGCATGTTTTTTCTTATGGTTGGACGGCGATGCACCGCTATCCTCACCACCCTCGTGGTTTCCATTTGTCAAAGAAGTGCTGCTGCCCATGCTGGGTTGAGCTGCATCATCGGGAACAGACGAACCCCACGTCGGTAGAGGTAGGTGTCTGCTGGACGACTCATAGTGGTCACGAGACGTGGATTCATCCTGTCGCCCATTGTCTCCTGCATTTCCATTTCTTGTGCTATCCGAATCGTTGGTGTTGACCGCGGTGGGTTGAGCTGGTGCACCATTCTGGTCACTGCCATTCCTTAGGGAAGCTAACCACTGCTCATGTTGCTCTTGTTGGAGCGAAGCGTTGACCAATCTCGAAATGGGATCCTGGAGATCAACATCGTTTCTATTCTCTTCTGCCTGGGTCGTCGTGGTTGTGGTTATCCCATTTGTCTGATTTGCGGCTGGTGGTTCATGGGCGTTCATGTTAAGCCCTGGCCGATTGGTCGGCATCTGCATCAGGTTGTTGACCCCAGGCGGAGTGAAATTGAATGGACCATATCCCAAGACTTGCATATATTGATTGGGCATTGGTTGGCCGTTAAAAATAGGTGCCGGAAAGGGTTGATTTGGAGGAACGGCATGCAGCGGCATCATTGTCCATCCTTCAGGTAGTATGAGTCCAGGAGGTAGTCTGTCGCTTCCTGCTTCAATCACGCTTTGCTGTCCGTCCGAAGTGAGAGCTGTCGTGGATGGGCCTTGAGTAGAAGGAGAACCGCCGTTTTGTAAAGGCGCTGGAGTCACTCTAGTCGTAGTCGCCTGTTCCGGTGCGGTCCCTGATCGTAAAGCTCTCAGTCTTTCCAACTCGGCCTGCATAGATCGAAGAACACCAAGCTCGTTGGTGTCTCGACCCAACTCATCGATTTCCCGACGAATTTGGGATTCAACGTAATCCAGCCCTTCCCGCGTGGTCGGCGATCGAATTCTCGTCCCTCGTCCTCGCAAGCCTGCCCATCGAACACCCACGCCAAATTGACGAGGGCCATTTGCATCTCCATTAGCCGGAGGCAGATCACCTGCCCTGCCGTCGGCTGCCAACTGTTGTTGCAACTCCTCAAACATATTACCGCCTCTAACGGCACCGACCCCAATCCGCAACGGGCCAAATTGGTAGACCCGAGGTCCTGGTCTTGCGCCATGTTGATGCTGCCCTGCCTCTGCTTGACGCCCTGGTGGCTGAACTCCCTCTGCATCAGCTCCTGTGTTTGTAGTCGGATTTCTCCCAGTCTGCACTACGTTAGCTCGACAAGTGGGGCAGATTTGCTGTCTTTCCAGCCAACTCCGCAAGCAAGAAAAGTGCAATACATGTCCGCATGGAAGCTTTTTGGGTCGCATTCTCTCCGCCACAGGATTTGGACGAGGTGGTTGCTGGCCCTCCTCGACTACTGGCGGTTGATAGGGTCGCATTTCTTCTCTGCATATTATGCAGACATCCTCTCGACCAATATCATCTGCCGTCGCATCGGGGTATCTTTCGTTCATGTCTCTGGTTGCTGTCCGATACTTCATAAAATCCGAAATTCGTTTCAAGAATGACCGCATGGTGAGGAACACATCTCGCAGGATATGTATCGGCAGTCCATAGAAAATGAGCAGGATAAAGAAAAAGGCAAGATAAATCACAAGTTTGAAAAAGTCCGTGGCAAGGTCCAGGTAAAAGATGTAGCGGCCTTTGTCCTCCCATCCTTCCACCTCAATCTCATTCTCATCCACTCCTTCGTTCAAGGCATCTTGGATGGTCTGCTCCAGAGTCCGCTGGGTGGCAGTGGGAGTTGGTGCTGGCGCCGGTGATTCGTTCAGCGCGCCAGATGGATTGTCGGCATTAGTCCCCCGCGCAAGAGCTTCCTGATATTGGGTGACAGCTGTTTGCATTCTCTCCTTTTTGATCTCATCAATCCGCTGTTTCTTCTGTTCTCGAACAATGCCAATTTCAACCAGGTTGATTGCGTATCTCATGGCAGTACTGATGCTCGTGATCGACAGAACGGCGAACTCAAAACCAAACATAACCATCATATCAGGCCTGGCCATGCGCAAAACTTGCTTGACAACATGTTCAAGCATGGTCAGATCAAACGCGACACTCAGACCCAAGCTCAAAGCCAAACGGGTATGAAATAGTCTCGGGTTCTGCGGAGGCTGTTGTTCTAGGACCTCAACCCGGCCTTCTCCTATCCACCCCCAGACCTTGCCGGTAAGCAGAGCAAAGAACATGGCAAGGAAGGTAAGACCAATCTCTCCTCTGAAGACAGTCATGGCCAAGCATGTTTCTGTGACTGCAAACCACGCCTTCTCATAGAGTTGCTCCACCTCGATGGGCCGCAGGTTTCCGTAAAGGAGTTTCTGGAGGCCAAGAAGAAAGCTGCAGGCAATCACAAATAAAAGGTTGGTCAGAATCATGAGGTTCGCGGAGGATTGTGAGAGGTAGACCGCGGCAGAATAGAAATTAGGCCGCTGCGCAAGGGCTTTGAGTATGACACCGGCAGCCAGGGCCGAAGAGACCTAGAGATACAGTGTTAGTAGATGGACACGTGTGGGAGTTGTATCTTGCGCAGCAGAGGCAGACGCAGCCGAAGATAACCTCGGGGGTCTGCAGGAAGGGAACCTACCCCGGCGTAGACGGTCCATCTCATCCTCATCCTGACAGGCATTTTGGAGATGCTGATGGCTAAAGAGAGCAGAAGTTGTTCGAATGGGAAATTATTCGGGGGTGGTGGATGCCATGATCAAGTACCGACGTGACGGGCGGTTTCTGACAATGGATTGATGCAGGGTGGCACAGAGTACTGGTCACTAGAGGCAGCTACAGGTGAATGGACATGAAGAGGGATTGCTGCGACGATGTGGTGATATGTAGGATGTGGGCGTACGAAGTGATTATTGTTGAAAGGTATTTAGTGTGAATGTTCAAGTTGTAGGGTGCCACTTGGTAAGTGTTGCGAATGATCCAAGTACAGGGACGGATTACAGGCAACAAGTATTCCAAGCATGCTGCATGATCCTTAAAGTCCCAAGCTGACGAGAAGCCTGCGACTGGTGGACTGAGATCACCCCGTGCCGAACGCGATTCCTAAAAGTGGAGTGGCGTCATTGCGACACCTGTCCACTTCTTAGAAACTTGCTAGCTGGCTAGTCTGATACTAGTCTGTTAATCGCCTGACATCCATCTCGCTAACCGGCTAACTAGTCGTGCTAGCGAGCTCGTCTTAACTTAAGGCGCACTTAAGCACCCAACAGTCAAGAGTCAACACTAACTACCCTTTCCCATCACTCCCATCTGGACGTCCTCCCTTTCATGTCTTCTCCCCACTCTCGCCGATAGGTGTACCTGCTTTCAAGACCAATCTTAAAGCAGGTTCGGCGGAGGTGGCAGTGCATTTCTAACTGCATTGTTCAATCCCTAGCTGACAAGGCAGTTGAATCCTTGAACTACTGGATCACCTCGAGCCCTGCTCCAAAGCAGCTGCCTCTCTTGATTGCAATCAAACGGATCAACTCGCCAGATGTTCACAATTTTTGGGTTGGTAGTCAAAGCTGGGAGCTCCCATTTTGCCCATACGCCGTACGTGTTCCAACCGGCGCCAGTTCGGATGAAGAGGCAGGCATCTAATGTAGCGATTGAGATCCGCCCTTGTTTGAGTGAGGAATCAGCTGCTTACCTGGATTCAACGCTGCTGCTGCTAAACCCTGGCAGTAACAATAAAGGTACAGATTGAATGGCTCCGCAGTTGAGTGAGCAACCACTCGATCATAGTTGGCCTTGAAATCTTAGGAGTTGTCTCTGATATATCTGCCTTGTTGCTTGTGCCAATCCATGTCCACGCCGTTGAAGATGCTATAAGACCCGATTCCTCGACTGAAGAACCACGCCATGATGGTCCTGCCCAGGTCCTGCAGGTCGTTGGGTGCAGTGTACTTGGCAACATTATTATAAAACCAGGCGCTGTTGGCTGCAGTGGCTTTCCCTTTTCGACCCACATATCTGTATCTGGCAATGATTTGGTTCAGGGTTGGATATAGCTTGTCACATCGGAATCCTGCAAATTGGAATCGTTTGTGTGTTCACACTGACGACGCTCGATGTGTTGGGTCGCGTTGGGTGAAGCAGACAGGGTACGAGGATCATGAGCATGAGGCAGAGCCATGTCAAGAGCAGATGAAAGCTTGGCATGGTGTTTGCTGGCGAGTCTTGAACGGGGCTTCTTTCTTTCGATCTCAACGGACTTGCTGGTCAAATTGGAAGATTTTTTCCCTGATGCAGAATGAGCAACAACAGTACATTTGAGATGAAGGGAAACTCACCAGCCAACAAGAACAAGAACATGCCTGAGCGCCAGGGGAATAGGGAAACAGGGACGGGGACACCCACGGAATGCATCACCACTGGCACTGCCTACTTGCCTAGAAGGTGCCATTCAGGGCATGTTTCTATCGTCACTGCCTCGTAAGGGAGAGTATATCACACGTCATCTCCTCCTCTTCCTTCGACAACGTCTTCCTTCCCCTTCTTCTTCTTATTCTTCATCACCAATTATCCATTCCAAACAGCCACTCTTTTTTTCCATCCACAGCTCCATGTATAAATGAGATTTCTCATCTCACCCATACAACCATCTTCTTCAGTCATCGGCCAAAGACTTTGCGAACCATAGACTCACCATGTTTTTCTTATCCATCAGAACGACGCTTTTCATTCTCCTGTCGATCACCCATCTGACCGGACCTTCTCAAGCATCATGGTTCAGATATCCCTTCAATCTACGTGATGTTGACAATTGCCCAACCTGCCACCCCTTGGGTACAGGAAGGCGTAGGTCCCCGAACGTTAAGACAAGTAGAATACTAACGGTGCTCTCAGCTACCCAATGGAGCGACTGGAATTCTAGCGTCTCTTCAAGTGATGATACGACCACAAGTACCTCAAGCCCGGACTTGACATCTTCATCAAGTGCCAGCGCAGACACTAGCACCACAGCCTCATCTAATTCCGACCCTACGGTCGTGGCCACTTTTCCTACCACTGAGGCTTCAGTCGCTACAGTTATTACCACTATGACAGACCCAATTTCCTCTGCCTTGTCGTCCACCTCTTCCTCCGCCGAGAGTTCTGCCTCTGAAGGAATAAATTCCTCTAGCAATGACGCAGTCCCGTCATCAAGTAGCACGAGGAATGACTCCCTAATGCCCACCAATACCTCATTAGCCTCAGATGGGAAGGTTTCTACCACATCTTCTGGTGCGATATCGTCAAGTGAGACTCAGGCTAGCTCATCCTCTGAGACTTCGACTTCCGTTACCGCATCTACTGCTTCCGTCACGGTGCCTAGTGCACAAAACAGCAGCATCATTACGATCAGCTCTTCGGATTCCGACATTTCGACTGTAGGTTCCACTACGACCGCGTCCGACACCAATGCCTCAACAGGCGCTCCTACTGAGAGCGGCAGTGCTACTATGGTCAATACAAGCTCTACCACAAGTTCGGTGAACAGCACTACAGCAGCTATTGATACCTTCTCAACAACCTCGACTGAGAGCTCTAGTGTTGGTGCTACAGGAGATAGTAGTGCTCTCTCAACACCCTCCTCTTTAACCTCGCAGACTCACGCCAGCAGTGGGAATAGCTCCTCAACCGTCTCGGGGGCATCTTCCGAGACAACGGCTACCGAGAAGACTTCTTCTTCAAGGGGGAGCATTGATACTTTATCAACTTCAGCATCCCGGAATGGGTCTACTAGCGGCGATACCACAACTCTCCCAGGACTTGCAACCTCGCAGACTCAGTCCATTGCTTCTTCAGAGTTTGCGACTGTAAGTTCCAGGAGCAGTGAAAGCAATGAAGCGACGCAACCGTCGTCGCCATCATCATCTGCCACTCAAGTTTCGGTTGTGACATCAACATCTTCGGGCACGAGCACCATTTCGCGGAGCGACTCAACCTTTGTAACGATTTTCGTGAACACGATCACGACGAGTATCGTTCACTTATCCTCGTGGCCAGCCTCGTCACAATTGATATCATCTTCTCTAGTACCTGGTGGTTCCGTCACTCTGAGCAGTGTACAAACGTTGTCTACTTCGAGCTCTCTTTCCCCAATGCTTACCGGCTCGTCGATGTCGTGCCTGTTCGGCTTAATTCCATGGTGTGCCTCCATGCCTACGACTATGGCTGCAAGCACAGAGTATTGCTTGTGTCCGTTTTGCTTCGATGGCCTTCAAATTTGTAGTGAGACCAAACCAGACGGCTCGAATTGCCCCGCTGGATGGTTGTGTTCTGTGACAATGCCTCCTGGAGCGTCTACAAGTGTGGTTTACAGCCTACCAGAGGAGCTCACATACGCAACCAGCACACCAACCATCTGGAACAGCACACACGAGATGGTCACGAGAACGGACAGTTCCTCAAGCAGTACCGACATTACATGGATAGCTACACTAAAAACAAGCACGAAATCTCTTGATAATGGTATTCGTATCGAATTTCCCTCCTGGACTTGGATATGCAGAGGCCCTTTGTGCAAACCCGTGGGCCTCAAAGGGCTTGTCGAGTTTGCAGTCAATCTCATCAACTGTCTGCTCCCCCACACATGCCACAAGCCAGACAACGGCGGCTGGGAGTGGCCACCAGTGCCTGTGATCACTCCATTTCCTCCCCCCAGTCTATCCTGGATGACCCAACCCAAGACAATCACGGGTACTGACAGCGGTACCTCCGAACACTCCTCAACGGTATCACCCTCAGGGTCTTCATCGACTTCTTCAAGCTCATGTTCGTCTTCGACGTATTCGACTTGTTTCGTGGCGTGTAATCAGTTGTCTAGCACCACCACTACTCAAACATGTACCACATCTTGCTCGGTTGTCACACAGTGCACAGGAAGAGCTGCTACCATAACGACAACTTTGAACACAACGAGTACTGCAGAAGCTTGCACACTGATCCCTTGGTGGAACAATGCAAATTTGTCAACTCAAATTGCCTCCTGGATTACCCAATTCCCTCTGATGGACTCAAACATCACTACTGCAAACGAAACCACCACACCAAATCCCACCACCCCAGCGTGCTCAGCTACTGTGTGGTGGAACAATGCCAGCCTTTCGTCCCGAGTTGCATCTTGGGTAACTCAATTCCCTCCATTCAGCGTCTCTCAGATTGTATCAAATACAACCCAGTCCGAGTTCTCCATCGCCAGCACGACCATCAACAACTCTCCCACTCACACTCAAAGCACCAGCTCATCATCCACTCCTAGTAAACCCACAACTACTAGATCGTCGACTGCCACAGACAAATCTCCGACACATGGTCCAACATCTATTAGCCAGAAGCCCATGATGACTATCTCGACCGCGGCGAACGGCGATGTCTTCAGTGGTATTCTTGGGACTTCGGGGGGCAAAACTTCCTGGTTATCTTTGACCCGCTTAGGTGAGCCGGTGACTATTACAAGCACCGCCAGAAGCTTCAGCCAGGTGTCGGTATTCACTTGTGGAGGGTGGAGAAATCCAGGAGGTTCATCTAGCTGTACAGCAACTCCTTCGCTGCAGACAGTGACAACCGAAGTACCGCCTCTAAGTGAGCTACGCACTCGTTGCGCCCAGTGGAACCCACGGCCGACCCCATGTGTCACAAGTATTCCTAGGGTGGGGCGATCGGAAGAGGCCATAGATGTGTACGAAGATTTCTGTAAGAGACTTGTCGATAAGCACATCATCGAGTTCAACGATAGGAAGGAGCCTCATTTCGGGGACGATTATGTCCATACGCCCGGCGAGTGCGCGCAGTATGTTCAGAGAGAAAAGGATCGGCCAGAGCATCTATACATTGGAATTGCCTACGATCAAAAAGTATGCGGCGATAGTACCGTGTTCAGGGTGAATGGTGTTAATATGACCGAATATGGAGTCAAACGATGCAGGGAAATGCTCGTGGGTGCGCTTTTAGGGAAGTGCGGAGAGCCCGCCATAAATTGGCATGACTGCTTGCGCTTTGCCATCTTCTGGGGGGATGAGGAACACGGAGCTCCCGAGACTCTTCCTCGAATTACGGTATCCTGATCTCTGTTCAATAGTTAGCTCTTACGAGCTGCTATCGGTTACTCTCACACTTGCTGGGAAGCGGCGGTCGAGTGTCTATTTCATAGCGTGAAGACACGGATTGATGGCGATGATCGACTACTCATTTATTCTCTGTCCCCTTTCTTTGACATTCAAGTACGCCAAAGGCTTTCTATCAAAAAATTTTACTAGAACGGTTCTCCAACGACCTGAAGTATGGACAAAGTCTCTCTTCGTGATCATGCTGACTTCTTCGCCTCCCTGCGCTATTCTATCCTGCAATGATACAGCCACTGGGCAGAATTCATGGGAGCGCACCCGCACGCAAGCAGAACAGACAGAGCATCAAACCCTTGGGCCATTTTGGCACTTTATGCATCGTGTGTTTGATTCTATTATATCTATATCAGTCTATCAGGTTCGTCAGTCTATGTCCATGTCCGCATGGCTATGTGCAGTGCTATATCGTGCATGCGTGCATGCACGTTATGCTACGCCGTCCCATTCCAGCCACCATCCGTTTTGTCCGTCGGGAATCCGCGCCGCGAACCGTAGTGCACAGGAACCGGGGCAAACCATCGCCTTGCCTTGTCCTGCCCTGCCCTGCCCTGCCCTCTGGACAGGAAGCCTGCAGGTACGGAACCCAGCCGGTCCCTTTCCTCAATCCAAAACGCTTGCGTACGTGTATGAGTATGCGTGTGCGTGGCATGCAGAATCCACACCTCCTGTGAGAGTGTGGGAAAACAGAGAGATGGGCGGGTGCTGTTTCCCGCCGAACGCCAGTAAATGCCCAACATTCGTAAAGAGGGAACGAGACTAAGGCGATCCGCTCCCTTGCCTTGGGCCCTTAGGTCATACCTTCCAGGCTCGTGGGTGGTTCCACTTGCTGTATATGTGTGAGATTGTATATGTCCAATAACGTGGTACACGACATGACGAGGAGGCCGTACATGTTTCCTTCGCGTGCATGCGTGCGTGCGTGAACGTACACATCGTATCACATGATATGTGGCGGCCATTCATACTCGTCCAGAACTAGTCCGTGTTATCCGTAGTTGACTAGAGTATACATATTCACCAACTTAAGGTCAAGTCTGCTCGCCACGCCGCCATGATGAAGCAAGCACGCAAGCCCCAACCTGCCCCCCATGAAGCATATCCACACAGCCTGAATGATTCAGCACGTGGTCGTGTTTAGGAGTTCAGAGCAAATCATGGTCTAGCCCACCGGCATTGTTCTTAAAACCCATCGCCCTCGTTCCACTCCCTACCATCGCTGGCCGCTCTGATGCTAGGATCTGTGCCGCGCTGGATGGCGAGGAGGCGGCGATACTCGAGATCGGCATCTAGTTCGCGGATGGTGGTGCGGAGCTCTTCGTCCTTCCCAGGTTCGGGCGTCTCAATGTCCGTCGCAGCTTCGAAGTCTTCGCTCCAGTGGTCATGAGCGGCGTCGTCCTCGAGACCAGGATTCTCAGCATGAACGCGATAAGCCTCGATCCTGGCGGCTTGGTCTTCCCACTCAGCGAGCTGATGTTCGGCCTGGCGCTTGTGATAGCGTAGCTCGAACCACTTGTCGAAAGACGCTTCATCTTCAAAGCACACGCCGAAACCGTCGCAGTAACAGGTGCGCTGGTTGGGACAGAAGATGGCCGTGTCGGCGAAGATCACTTGCCAGATGTACTCGAAGATACGGCCGGACATGGTGTCGCGGATGGGCGAGCGCAGCAGCCAGGCACGGTAGTGCTCGTACGTCTCCTTTGGCATGGACTGGATGCGGTCGCGGCTGAGCGCGAACTGTGAGCAGCACGGCTGCGCCAGCACGCGAGGGATCTCCTTGCCCGGAAACAGCTCGGCCCAGGCGTCGGCGATCATGGACTGCTCGAGTTTCTCCTTGTCCGGCTCGACCTCCGCCGGGTGGATCCATTCTGGACAACCCGGCATCCAGTGGCAGCGCATGTTCATGTAGCCGTTGCGGAGGACGCGCTCCGAAGAGAGCCGTTTGATCATCTCGGCGGCGTCAAAGTTCAGCAGGTCGTCGTTGTGCCAGGCGTAGCGGTGGCTGTGCATGAAGATACTGACATCCGGGAGATTCTCGTAGAACTCCAGGATGTAGGTCAGGTAGGTCATGACTTCGTGGCCTTTGTTTTGCGGCGGGTGGTGCGGTGCCTTGGGGTCGTCAGCCACGTAGATGATCTTGCTGAGTCCTGGGCCTAGGTCATTCTCGTCGATCCACGACACGTTTTCCTTCGTCATCCGTGCCATGATGAGATTGCGCGTGTATTCTCGTGAAGGTTTGCCGACAGGCGTGATGCTGGGGCTAGGCAGGGATGCATTGGGATACATAGGTTGAGTAGGCGGTTGGTGTATGGAACCTTGGTCAAGGCCATACTGTTGCTCATGGTCGAAATAGTCACCCAGACCGACGACCTGTGGTACAGAGGTACGTAATGACCTAACGGTCAAGGAGGTGGTGGCTGATTTGAAGTAGAATAGGAGGCTGAAAAGTGCTGCGAGGGCCAGGAAAACGACAGTGCGCTTCCCGTGGACCATGGTGCAGATATACACAAGGAAGTGGACGACGTAGAGGACTCATTCGACGGCTTTGTCGGAAAGATTTGGATTTGTCTGTGTGTGAGAGAGAGAAGAGGTCCAAAAGCAGACGATCGCTGCTGGAGTTCAGTTCATCAAGGCTTGCAGTCAGCTGAATGCAAATGTCGCTTGAAGTACAGTAACTGGTCAGGAGTATGTAACCGTAAGTTGTACGGTTAGACGTGCCCCCGACAGGACAATAGATTACCGAGGTGCGTCCCAAGAAAGCAAAGTGAGGGATGTAGGTGTGGTGCTGGTAATGGTGATGAAGGAGAGGTAATCAGGCCAGACGGTGAGAGTACTCTGCAATCAACAATCAACTGCCTAGCTGCATAAGCACATTTAATTCGAAAGGGAAGGCAGCCAAAAACTCGAATGATGGTTGTGCGAAGAACAGTGACCAGGGCGATTGATATTCAAGCATTCGAGCCCATCCCCCTATGCAAGATTGATGACTGTGGATGAAACAGCCGATCAACTCAACAGAGTGGAGCGAATGACGAATTGCGAGTCTCTCATCGTCTACGAGTACTCGTAGTCCTGGCAGGCTTCTCAGGCGTTAATAGTCGTCAGTACATGGATAGGACCGAGCACGGAGTATGGCGGTAGGTACATGATCGAGAAATCGGAAAATAAGGACAGTGTGGGCCGCTGAGCAAAGCAAAGCAAATGTCAACAATCAGCCCGTGCCCAGCAGACGTGGACAAAGTGCACAGCCCACCGCCCGGGCCACGCTGCTACGCTGGTCCTACAGGGGGCTTCATTGGGGGCCGCATGCCTGGACACGCCTAACAATCGAGCTCCCCAGGGACCGTGTGATCCACCTGCAAAGCTTAGCCCATAATGTGGCTTGGTGGCGTCCTGCGATCTACAAACACCACGCCAACCTCTCCTCCGAACGAAGACACTCGAATCCTAGAAGTTCTCATATCTGACACAGCGACGTACGAGTATATAGGCACCCAATGGGTAGGTATATCAGTATGGAGTACCTACCTAGATATCAATTACCACCCACACCCACTTTGACAGAGACGGGGCCTCCAACTTGCAGCAATCATAAATAATGACCCAAGCATGTCAAGTACCCACGAAAGGACATCTTGGCTTGCCGAAACTTGAAACTCGGCAATCAGTATGCAGAATGCACTTTGTGGCATCGAATTCTCCCTATTGTGGATCAGGACGTTACCCACAATAATGCAGCAAACCCCCTGTAATCCCTAAGCAAGCTTTACTTACAGGTCAAAATACAGATACAGGTTTACATATCTACAACCAGATAGGTACAATATCTTCCATAGATCTTCGTCCAGCCAGGCCCTGAGTCCCTGGTCATCAAGACAATACCTTTCTCCCAAAAAAATACAATTACAAGAAAATCCCAAGAGAGAAGGGCCTGACTTCTCCAAGGCTCAAGCACGTTCCTGCATCAGACAATCCTCAGACTGGTGACGCTCCCCTCTCCACTCCCAAGACTGCCCGCATAGTTCCGACCTGCTTGACTGTCGTCCAGATCCACAGATCCATTGCGAGTCGATCCATGACCTCGATGTCCGTTGGCCGGTGTCCAAGCTCGATCCGAGGTTGAAGTGGCGACTGTAGGAGGTACCCGTCCAGTTCCGTTCCACCTGTCGGGAGAATTCTCATCGTCGACTATCACCACCATCCACACCCCGATTTGGCCTTGATTGCCAACAAGTGGTGTACAATGTATCCATTTGTTCTTGCCCTGCTCATCAGCTCTGCTAACCCACCTCACCTTAGCCGTCACCCCTCGACCCTCGGCAAATGCAGCTGTCAATTCCTCGCGAACACGATTCGACCCTCCTATCTTTTTCAAGAAAGGTGATTGTAGAATACCGGGTAGCCGTTGCGTCGGACTGGCAAATATAATTCGCAGTGATGGATAGGGTCGAACCAGCAGGTACTGCAACACCATGTCAGTTGAACCACATCAAGTGTCATCCAAGCCACGACTTACGTTCTGGTAAACTCCGCTCAACTTTCCGTTGACACTGCCAGCACTGGCGGCCAAGGTTTCCGGGTCCTTGATTAATAGTCGAGGCTGGTGTGAGCCGACACTCTCCATGTCCTCCTCCGTCACTTCTCGGTGCATCTTACCCCCGTGCCTGCGGATCGTGCTCAATTCTCCCTGGTTAAGCATCTCACTTAACTCTTGGAGTTCGTCGTTCTTGTCAGGATTAGGCTTTTCTGGTACCGGCGGATCGACGCCACGACTTTGTAGTTGGATCAGCTTCTGTAGTGATTCCATCTCTGAACAATCTTTTACAAGACCACTGACGTCGACTTGAGCCCCAATATGGTACCGAACGACGCCACGGCTGTCAGAAAGCGGAGCGATCATCAGGAGGTTTACGAATGGAGATCCATCTCGTCGACTGCACGGCTAGTTAGCAAACACGTCCTGCGGGTCCGGGAAGTCCTTACTAATTCAGGAAGACTTCTTGATGCTGTTTGCTAGCTTTGATCGCATCTCGGAGGCGTCGAACGCTATGGGCATTGGTCATGGGGCCCTGCAAAAACCTGCAGTTTCTCCCCAAAATATAGTTCATCCCATACTGGGTGGTGCGATTGAATTCTGAACACGAATTAGGAGCAAGTCAACGGTGAGAACGAAGATGTGACCCACCTTCTGAGGCAAAGACAATAGGGTTGTCTGGCCTTGATGGATCCGTCAGACAAAACACCTCGGCCAAACCATCCGAGGCATCGCGAAGTTGAGGCGACAGAGCGCCCGTGATTCTAGCGATGATACTGGCACTGACAATCTGAATGTAATGGTGGGTGATAAATGCGGGGAGTTCTTCTGTCACGAGAACATCGAAGGCCTTCCGGGCTCTCTCCTCCAGAAACGTGTTGATGGTGAGTTTAACAGACTTTTGTGTAAACTCCAGTCCCTCGACAGGATCTAATCCTTCGCATATGGCATTGGCATAGTGAATGGCACGAAGTGATTTGAGGGAATCGAGATAGTGGACAAGAATAGGCACCGATTGTGGTCTGTGCAGACCAAGGAAGGAAGTGAATTTGAATAAGAAGGTAGGATCTCCGAAGATGACCTGTAGATGGCCCTTTGAGAATAGAGCGGTGGTTTGGGTCTCGAGCGAGAACGGCTCTCGCTCTTCGGCTGGAGGAGGGGCAACTAAATTGTAGGACGCTGGGTCATCCTCGAGCACGGGGTCTAGCTGGTCACCATCATCGAGATGCCCATTGGCTTGTAGTCGGGGAAGTTCTTTCTCTTGCTCTGGGTTGAAGCCATTGACATGATGTAAAGGAGGGTTGTGCATTTCCTGAGCCTCGGAATGGGACTGGCGCAGCAAGGCTTCGGTGGAGTAGGAGATAGGACCGTCGTACTCGTAGGAATCTAAGGCAGACTGGCGGCAGGCGGAGGCGGAGGCAGAGGCAGAGGCAGATGACAGGAGCTTATCGTTGGCATTATGAGGGTGCGCGGACGAGGAAGAGTGAGTGGGAGAGGTGGGTTCAGCAGCGGAAGGAGAATCAGAGACCATATCAGAAACCGACGGGGCGGGACGGACGTCAGGTACAGATCGAATGTAGCAATGATAGGCCCTAAGCGAGATGGCAGAGGCAGTGAGCAAAGGCTGCAGGCCGTGTCAGTCTACTGTCTGGCAGATCGCTGGCTTGATGACGGATCTGATGCGAAAGACGAAAGCGACGTGGAGGGGAGATGGTGCTGGCAGCTGGCAGTGGCAGGTGTTGCCTAGCGGGCTTCGGTTACGGGCGCAGAGGCAATAGTACGGAGTACCTGGTACGGAACGGGGAGACGGGGCAGCAAAGAGAGGACAAGAGATACGGAGTCTCAGTCGGAGTACTAGAACAGGCACGCTCTGAAAATCTGAGGCTTCCTGATCTGGGGGCAATAGGAAACTCAAAGATGTCAAGAGTCCAGGAGGAGCTGAGGATCTCTGCATTAGGTGGGCATCTCATGCAGGTACACCAGAATCCTTGAACTGGAAACCTGACCGTTGTAAAGATTTGTTCAGCTTACGAGTAGCTACATACTCCCCGGGCACACTAGTTGATTAGCGACGGGGGGGAATGAACAAAAACTCTGCGACAGATACCAATCACGGGTGTCTACTGTCTAGTCTCTAGTCTGGGCGGACGGGTCGATCCAAGAAATGCATCAATAATGAAGACTCCGCAATGGGTCTGTGGTGCTCGATCTTGACAGCCCTGGTTCAGAACTTCAGGAAGAAATTAAATGGAACAGCGCGATCAAGCGGAAACTGGGGTTGACCCGATACAACCTGCTGGCCGGGACATAGCTGGGCGATAGCTGGCCCCTAACTACGAGTGGTTAGCAGTAACTAGCACTGCAGGGCAGAAAATCCCAGTTAGGATTGGTAAGCCTCAGGCATCCGGACACCCACCTGATGGGTTCCTGACCAGGGGTTCCAAGGCTTAGTCTTAACCACCAGATGCGGAGCACCACCCAACGACCTACCTAGATAGGCGACCTAGCTTAACTATGGAGGGCGCCAGGCACAATCCACGACTACTATAATTACTACTCCTAGTTATACTTGCATCTACGTCATTCTGTTGTTCGGATGCGTCCCAGCGACACCCAAATACCTACATTCTGTCGCGCACTTCTCATCTCCCGTCAATTATATTCAACTGAACGCTACACCACTTTCACTCTCATTTTCATCATCACGTGAGCCATAGATGAAATGTCGATGAGCCACTGCCATGGCATGACTGAGACTCTCCTCTGTTTGTTGGAACACCAACAGCCGACTTCTCCTCGCCCTGCCTCTCCTTCCATTTCTTCCCACACCTCACTCTGTCCCTCTCTTCTTCTACCACAATCATAATGACCGATTATGAAGCCCAGCGCAGGGCAAACCTTTTGCAAAAACAGCTGCTCCTGGACCAGCTCAATCTTGGCTCTTCTGATCCATCTCAGACCAAGAGAAGGAAGGTCACCGTCGACTCTTCTGTTCGGTCCCCTGCAAAAAGGCAGAATACAGCTCTGGCTGCGATCACACCCACAAGAATATCTGCCAGGATTGCAGCTGCCGGTCCAAGGGCATCATACACGGACAACGATCTTAACGGAAAGACTAAGAACACTGCACGCCCCAGAATACCTCGCTCAAGAACAAACAGAAGACAGCGGTCTAGCACCCCCCAGGTCATTTCTTCCCAGCCAACACCGACCACCACTCCAACCCTCAGCCGCACCGTCTCCCTCTCAGACCTCCTCGATCAATGGAACAAATGGACACCCACCGCACCCCAACCCGTTCTCACTCCATCGGGAACATACCACTTTGCATCCCACCCATCCTTCACACCGAACAAATCCCCACTCACCATCCTCCTCGAAGGCGCCTTTGGGGGCAGCTACTTCTCACCCTGGCGTTCACGCACTCTCAACCTTACCCTCTCAGACGACTATCTCCACACGCTGCCTAAATCCTGGCTGCACGCACTCCAGCCCCCGACAAAGTACCTGACCGCCCAAGCCTACGACCCCTCTTTGAACAAATACCAAGTCCAGTGCGGTCAGACCCTCTCCGAGTGGGAAGCATCCGGATGGCTTAACTTCGAGTTCGACCCCAGAGGCTGGTTCGAATGGTACATTCGGTTTTTCCTAGGGAGGCGCTGTGAGGACGACGATAGGCAGGTCGGCCGCTGGAGAAGGTGCGTGGGTGACAAGGGCAGGTGGAAGAGGATTCTCTTGAAGAAATATGTCGATAAGGGTGTCAGGACGGTCTATGCTGATGATGATGACGAGGACGAGGATGACGGACAGGATCGCCAGGTCAGCCCTGTTATTCATCAGATTTGTCACCATTGGGCATTCGAGGTCAGACAGGTTGATTTGGATCAGGCTTGGATCGAGAGTGGTCGTGCGTGAAATGGTCCACCTGGTGTTGAAAACGCTCTGCTATAAGTCTATGACGAAACGAAATGACGAAACGAAGGTCGATGATGAGATTCACAACATCAAGAGGGTTGGAATTGTGGGAATGGGTCATCACCACCAGATTTCATGTTGGCTGCCGGCGAAGCTCTAGGAAGAGAAAGATCTCCATGTCTCAAAGACAGAAGTTGACGTGTAAGCGAATTACCAGGTTAGCTGGCTAGGTAGTGTAAAACGCTGTTGAAGTCGGCGCAAAGATTACACGGCTCGTGAGTGAAGTGAAAAAGAAAAAGACCCTCTCAAGTCCATCGTTGCTCTTCGGTTTTTGGTTATCTTAATTTTCCTTTCATTAACTATGAATGCGTACCATTAAGTAGGTAGCTGACCTGTGAAGGAGTGGTACTAGCTAGTACATCGTTCTAACTTCCAAGTTCCCGAAGCAGTAAAATCTTATGAATTAAGCTGCGGGCAAAGCTCGTCAGAGGTTTCTTCTTCTTCATGATCCAAAAGGGGTATGCGTCCGTCTATTCTCCCCCCCCTCGAACCCCTCCATAGCAAGGCGAGGACTCGCTGGTGCTCCCATTGTTCCATCGCAAGTTTTGCCCGTTTCCCCATCCTTCCCAATACCCATACGTGCGCTCGTACATAACAAAGCGTTTGGTCTCATCAACATTACCGGTGGGTACGTAGGCACTCAGTCCTAAACCACGATCCGCAGCTGGGCACACGCCGGCAAAATACCAAGCTTGACACAAAAGCAAAACGGAGACAATCCGAGAGGAAAAATCAAGCCGCGGCGGCCGCGGGCGCGGGCGCGGGCGCCGTCGACGGCCGCTTACCCAGCACAACATCCCATGTCTGGGTATTGAAGTGCACGAGGGGCATCTGCACGGCATCGACGTCGACGATCTTGATTTCCGAGATGCCGACCATAGCCTTTTCACTGAGGCTGGCGGGCCGCTTGGAAACACCGCCCAGCTGCAGGATCTCCTTGAGCGTGCACGTCTGGTCTCTGCCCGCTCGGCTGCTGCTGGGCGTCATCGGGTCGTCGCTGTGTTTTTGGCTGTTCTCCGACCACGTGCTGTTGCTTATCGATGCTGCGCTGGAAGATTCGCGTGACATCCCTGGTGGAGTGTTTGGAGAGTCGTCTGGTGACGACGACGAGGCTGGCACCACCGGCCCCTCTGCCGCAACAGCCTTCTCCGCCGTCGCAGAGTCGTCCGAAGCTTCGTTGGTGGCCATCTCATGCACTGTCTCGCTCCGTAGTTCGTGGGGTTTGAATAGGAGCTTTTCGACTTGGCTGCTTGCCAGTTCCGGCGGCTCAGCCATGAGTTCGACTGGACATCCAGACATCTCCGCATCGCTGGTCACCTTGTTCAAGCCGTTGCCATACCCTTCAATGCAAATTTCGCAGAATGCAGGCCGCCTAGAAGGCATTTCTTCAGTACTTGTCAGCGCTTTGCGCGAGATGAGTCGCCGGAGCGAGGACGACCTTGTACCAGGGTCTGTCTTGGTTGAGAGAGATGCTTTCAGCGAGCCAGGAAGATGTGCCGGTAGAGTCCGGCGTCGAAGCCTGTCGGATCTCCCTCTTTTTACAGTATCGATGATGGAAGACATCGATGAGTTGGTGTGAGAGTAACTGGTGTCCGGTGCCAAAGCAGCCTGAGTTGGTGGGGCACCGACACCAGGAGAAGAAGTTTGCTGCCATGGCATCTGCCCAGGCGCATGGCAGCAAAGAGAGTAGCTGAGACTGGTAGTATTGCGTACCTGTTTGGGTGGTTGGGCAATGGAATGGAAGATTTGGAGCACCGCATAGACCAGGATCCACCTGACCTTCCTACCCTCGATCGCCGACAGACCTTCCAGGTCGTCGTCTACTGTTTTGCTTTCAAAATCGGAATAGCTTCTCACCAGAGGGCATTCCATCAGAAGGAAGTCGCGGTTAGAGGCAGCAATGAGAGCTTCCTTGCTCTGTGTTTTTCGGGCTTCCTTTTCAGCTCGACGCCTCTGGATGGGATTCCAAGACATACGTCGTTGAAGCTTGGGACGTTGGGAATTGCCTGCCTCCCCGGGTTTGGGAATAAGAGGAAGCGGCTGAGCCAGAGGCTCATAGTTGTGCTTTTTATCGAATGCCTGGACATTTTGCAATGTGCACACCCCACCAGTCTGGGTGATATCGTTCTCTGCAAGCGTGTTGGAAGACTGGGGGTCGACGAGATGTTGATAGAGGTTCTGGAAATCAGTGAAGACGGTACTGTAGATAGATTGCTGAATGGATTCTTCTTCGAACCCATCAGGAGGCCAGCTGCCATACTTCTCGGAGTAGAAGCTCTTGAGGAACAAGCGGAACCTATCAAGGTGATCTCGAGCCGGCTGGGGCAGACCGAGAAAGCTACCAGACACATCATTCTCAAAGAAATTGACGATGGATTTGTTCACTCTATCAAGCCGTAAGTCCATCTCCAACCGAGCGCGGTTGATGATGGTCTTCGATTTCGCACTGACCACCTGCCCCATGTTAGGTCTGTGCACAAACGGAGGTTACGAGAGGTACGAACCGCGTACTCGACGCTCGAGCACAAGCCACGGTGGCTCATCCCGACGCAGTGAGCAAAAGCATCAATCCAGAGATCTTCGATCTGCACGCGTTCCGCTAGATATAGTGCTGCGAGAGCATGATCAACACACTCCCGAAAGTCAAGATACCTTTGACTCTCGGCATAGGAAATCACCTCGAGCTTGTTTTGCTCGAAGTTATCTGGTCGGTAGATATCAAGTCTTTCTTTTAAGTCCACGAAAGCCTGTCCCAGTGTCCTGCCGGCAAGAGGGCGGTTATAGAGCCATGCGAAGAAGTTTCTGGTTGTGATATGGTGGTTGAAAACATCTTCGAGACCCGCGCCGTATGGTGCTGGAATATAGAGCTCTTGAAGCGGTTCAGTTGGATCACAACCAGGGCAATTGGGCATCACACACTCAGACGAGACGTGGATGGAGTTCCGAACCATGCAGCGGTCGACCAAGGCGTCGAACCCTTTGACTTTGAGAAAAGCAGAGTGGACACGGAAAGCAGGGCCTCGACTTGATTGACCAGGTTCGCGTAGATAGACAAAGCAATCGCCAGTGGGCCAGCACAGCTCGGGTTCCTGGGGGTCGCTATGAGGATCTCGAGCATATGAATAGAGAATGTTTGTTAGAAACTTACATGGAAGATGTTGATCCAGTCGACTGTGATGCGAGACCGCCCATCCCATCGTCTCAGACCAGCTGATCGGATGTCATCACAGGTCACACGACCTTGAACACGCCTCATGATGGTTTGGGGAGTTTATTACAACGGGAGGAATGAGCAGTTGAGCTATAAAAGAGGCGGATGGGAACAATGTTTCATCCCTGCGTTGACAAGAGGAATGGGTGAGCGGAACAAGGGCCTGTGCGAAGCTTGGGTAGATAAAAGGACAACACTTTTGAAAAGCCTGAATCAAAAACAAGTTGAACCCTTTCTGGGTCAAATACAATGGCTGGACGGCGGTGTACCAGACCTCGACCCAAAGAATTCCTAAGGTTGCGCAGGAGGCTTGCCAACGGCGTATGCAGGTTTGACAGCAAAGAGCAAAGTGCGGCCGGGCGGGAGCTCCCAAAGGGATACGAACTTGTTCGGAATCCAAAGTTTGCAGATTGCAGGAGCAGTTTCAAGCCCACACATCAACGAACTCATCTTTGGAAGAGGAGAGGCCAAAGAAGACAAGAGACAGACAATGACAACCCAAGCTGGCGTTTGGAGGGACGATGATTTGACAGCAAGACGCCATGGACGCAAGCCTCAGCGCCCATTTCGCAATGGCCAGCTCATGGTGTTGATTGAAACGACGATGAAGGTGGAGCGGACTCTGCAGGGAGAGCTCCGGCACGACGTCGTCAAGAGCCAGTCAGGGAGCGGTGCCTTGACAGGGAATATCCCTGCAAAAGCCTTCTCCCTGACGTGAAAGCTGCTTGTCAAGAGCCAAGGGAGCCAAGGGACCCGCCTGTCAACAACGATCGCCGGTAGCAAGAGTCCGATTGTGGATCGGTGGCCCGTTATAGTCACGCTCCCTTGCTAGCTGTGGTTGAGGTCCGACCAAACAAGGAGGTTTTTGATCAGCCTGGCCATGTCCATGCCCGGCGCCAACTGCGAGGGTGAGCTGTGAGGTATTATCTCCCATTACTCCCCCAGAGGCGGTCGAGCTCAACCTCACGTCAACCCCGTTTTTGACATCATCAAGTCAAGGATTTGTACGGAGTAGCCTGGGCTGCATCCACACCACAAATGCATGCCTCATATGTACCTAGACCCTGGAGCTCAAGAGTCAAGATCATGCCACTCTAGTGCTAGGTACCGAGTAGCCGTCCGCCTGTCTGGCGATTTGACACTCAGGCTGTCGGTTCTTATTTGGCGAGGCGATGAGCTACCCAAAGTGATCAAGCCAATGCATCTCTGTCCCAATCACCAAGTGATCATTGCCTAGTCGGGCGAAATGCCAAATGCCACTGCATCTTTTTTTTTTTGGGACCGCGATGGACACTCACAGCAGGCAGCTCCTGTCCAATCACAGAGTCTTTGACGTCAGCCTCCGAGAGTGAGGCCGCTTTTGACTTCGTGCTTGACTAGTTCTTCCAAAGAGTCCGGCGGAGAGTCGATGCTCGCTACATTTCTCTGAACCGTAGACAGACCGTGGTGCAAGAAGCGATGGATGGCCTGATAAGGAATAATAAGCTTGCAGGCATAAATAGATTTTAGGCGTTATTGCTGGAGCAACGGGGGCACTTTGATTGCGTGTCGGTGTCACTGGCAGCTGCATTCCCAAGGTTCCGGTGCGGCTGGAGGGGAGCCCGGTGGCGTCTCAAGAGTAACAAAGTTCGAAATGATCACCACTGCTCGAGATCAGTTCGTTTCTCGAATGCCCATGGCGCCCTTGGCTAGATAGTTGCTACGCGAGGTTGGGAAATGACCAACTAGGCAGAGTTTCGATCCATTTCCTGGGGTACATGTGTCTCATACCCTCTTCTCTTCCAGGTGGCCGAGTATAACCTATATAGCCAGGTTCAGAATACTTCAAATTGGTGGAGACGTGAGATTTCTCCTTTCGCCATGATTGCAGTACCGACTGTCATACCACGGCCAGACACATCTTTCAGACTTGGGGCCCGTGGTATCACTGGTATGTCGCCTGCTGGCCCGTGGAGCGTTCCCTACGTAAGCCTAAGGAGAGAGCGACCAGCACCCATGGCGGCGTTCGACTCCGCTCCGTCAATTGATGTGTTGGCTGGTGGACATCCGGTTTTCCTATGTAGTACTCCGTGCCAGTAGTAAGTAGTAGTGGTCAACAAGAGTCGCCACCCAAAGAAGTCGACTCTTCTTGTTTCACTGGCGCAAACTGAAATAAATCTTGGGCACTACTCAGTACGGAGAACTGCGTACTTGAGACATGTGAAGAAAAAGTTGAGGGAGCTGCCTGAGCTACAACTCCACCCGCAAGCTTCTTCCTCGAGTATGTAGGGGGAAGAGGGGCGACTCTGGTGAAGGCGGAGTAGTAAAAGGACACAGCAACTCTCCCGCACATAAGCCTGTTGAGACACCCGCGAACCAATATTGAGATATCGCGCCAATCTTGTTAATTATGAGGCGCTGAGTGGCGTTCCGAGGAAACGCAAATCGCTGAAGATCTGCTTCTGGCAGATCCAGCCCCAAACAGAAGAGAGCTTCGGGGGTGTTACTACATCCATTCCACCAGGCTTAGAAAATACACCATGTTAGGTAAAACAACGCGGGAGGCTGCATGAGTTGCCTTCAGGGTTAGAAGTTTCGAAGTCTTGTTCGCCTGACCACCCCAGCTGTATCGACCGGTAGGTCTGGAGCATTTCTAACCCTCACGTTTGAGTCAATAGCTCCTGAGCGGCTGATGGGATTAGTCCTGAAGTCTAATAAAGACGCTCTGATACTGGAGGATGACCAGGCTTGTATATTCTGATCTTGCAGATCAATGACGTGCTAGAGTATAATAGTAATACATGAGGTGCAATCCCGAACTCTACCTAGTATGTATTAGACCTCAACCAAGACCCTGATCTCGCCGTCCATCCAGTCAACCACACCTGCACTCAAAAGTGCTACCATCCATTCTCCATCCTCTGCAACCGTCACTAACCCGTCGGTCAGCCAGACCTTCACAATTGGCTGCTTTTGCTGTGTGGAAATATCTGGATCTGCTGGTCTCTTGTACCTCTTGTCGACCTCGGCAATCAAAGCGGCCAGGCTAGGAGCGGATTCCGGTGTAAGGGTGAACCGAGGGACTTCTCGTCTTAATGCACCACCGGTATTTGACACTACGTTGACATAAAGGACAGTTGATTGTTTAAATACCGTGTTTGGCGGCGGCGCCTCACTTGGGGACTGTGTTAGAACTTCGGCTGGGATCGCTGCTGCGGCATCTGGCACAGCTGCTGTGGTGGGGACTGGTGTTGGGGATAGACCGTTCTCTGTCAATAGGGTCGAGCCATCTACCCCAATGGGAGAATTTGAAGTGTGGTCCGTTGGTACCGTGCCTCCTTTCCTACTAGTTGCTGCGTAAACTCGTTGGCGTTCATTTGTGACCATCTTTCTCATCAGCGGCATCATCAGTTTGACAATCACCTGGCCATCCTGTGGCCATAAGATAGTTCTTTTAGGCGCTCCCGGAATGTCATTTCCGACTCCAGGACCGAAGTACTTTGCTCCATATCCGTGGCCTGCCAAGAAGTCCTCCACGCATCGCCATAGATTCAACTTTGCAACGTCTGCTCCTCCCATATGTTTCTTATGTCCAACCACCTCCCTGCGCTCAGGGTGCGCCTCATCAAGCATAAAGGCTTTCGCGGCATTTTGAAGGCGCAGGAAGTTCTCTGGGGCGAGTTGTAGGGAATTGAAGACCTTCCCCAAAGGGGGTCTGCTGTATTTTCGGCTCTTGGCTGAAGGCTCGCGAAACAAAATGGAGGCAGAGTTTTGAAGCTGGGGTTGGTTGGATCCGTCTCCGGGGTCATGCACATCACTGGACTGGGAGTTGTCGGCAAGTTGAGTAGGTTGAGTGTCATTCTCATCGCGTTTCCGCTTGCCCAGTGAAGATGAACTTCGATTCTGTTCATCAGCTAGCACGGTTGCGGCTTGCACCAGGCCAGCCAGGACTTCGTCAGGATACATCGTTTCGGTCATCGTCGCCTCACCTGGTTCCCCCCGAAAGGGAACGCGCAGAGGGCGCGAAGCCGCGGTACGACACTAACAATTAATGAGACCCGGAGCGTGTACGGTTCCCGAGTTTAAGAGGCATTCGAGGCAGACTGCAACTGAGCAAAGACAGCAAAGACAACAAAATTGCCATGGCTTTTTGGGGTTTTAACGGGTACCAAAGTGATTGAGCACTATGACTCATCAAGGTTAGCCCGGTCACGGGGTATCCGGGGCGGCGCCAAGACCTTTCTGACTCCGACCAGCGTTCAACTTCCAACGTCAAACATCATCAGAACAACAACGGATAAATAACCTGTCCATCATCTTGTAGACTTTGAATATAAACCTGGTGGGAAGGTGTCACATTATGAAATTCTGATAATGTCCTTTCAGTAGAACCAAGGGTTCTCCCCGGTCCAAGGCCAGCAATCCTTAACCTGCTCCAAGCATGTTTACAGCAACGAAATTACAGGTTGCAACATACCTGCTCGGAGTCTGCCCCTTCTCCATCGCGTTCCTGGTCTTCTTAAACTCTTCCGTCTCCTTCGTTATCACCGACCTGATTGGACAAGAAAACCGTGTCGGAGATGCAGTGGGAACGTTGGGCTTCGCAGATGAAGTGCTTGCTCTAGTTGCGTGTCCCGTGTGGGGGCTACTTGCAGACGGTATCTTGGGCCTACGCCTTGTGAGACTCTCAACCAGGTCTAGATCTAAGCATTCAAACTAACCCTCTCGCCAGGTCTGCGTCTTGGGATATTTGATAATTGGCCTGTCGCTGGTCGTTTTTGTGCAAGCACAAGATGTTTATCCACAACTTTTGCTCGCCAGGCTACTTTTCAGCGTAGGTGGCGCTGCAGCATCTACCATGGTCACAGCAATCCTTCCAGCCGTTGCAAGTAGACCCCAATTGGCAGCTGCTGGTGAACGAGGCAGAGCTACAGACCAAGTCGAGGGCAATCGTCTCTCATTCAGTCCGTCAATTGCATCAGAATTGACCATCACGCCTGCCAGATTTGCTTCAAGGTCTCCCAAGCGTCACACGAACAATAATGATGACTCAAACATTGCACGCTCCACAAGTCGTGTTGCTGGCTATGTTGGAATGTTGACAGGGGGAGGTGCATTGCTTGCTTTGATGGTGTTTCTTCCACTACCAGCACAACTTCAATATGCTGGATATGGACAAGAAGTCGCCCTGAAGTATAGCTTTTACATTGTCGCAATAATTGCGCTTGTACTAGCCTTGTGGTGTTCCATTGGTTTGAGGGGTTTGCAGACAGAATCGGGAAGCAGCCGATTCAAAGCACCCGACGACCACGACAACTCCCTACGGTCCCGAACCATGGCTACTCTGAAGGAAATGTACTCTAACTTCCAAACAGCAATTCTGATCGGGTTCACACATTCGGAGATCACGATAGGGTATATTGGTGGATTCGTGGCCCGTGCCTCATCCGTTGGCATCTCTTTATTTATCCCACTTCTGATCAACGCAATGTTCATGTCATCGGACCTTTGCCAAGTTGCAGGCGATCTCGACGATCCTACCGGCCTTCCGGACATCAAGAGAAGATGCCCGCGTGCATATATTGTAGCGGCTGAAATGACCGGGGCCGCGGAAACGGTCGCCCTAATTTTTGCACCAATATTCGGGTATTGGAGCGCTAAATCTGCGAGAAAGGAGATCCCGTTAATCTTCGCCTCAGTTATGGGGATTATTGGATATCCATTGTTCGCAAGTCAATTTGACCCCGATGACAAAGGCACTGGCAAGAGAGTAATAGCATTTTTGGCCGTGTGTTTGATTGGTATCAGCCAAATTGGTGCCATTGTATGCAGCTTGGGAACTCTCAGCAAAGGAATACTCGAAGGGGCAATTGAATCTACAAAAGAGACTTTAGACGAATCAACACCCGGTGAAAGCGAACCGCTATTGAATCGCCCGAGCCCGCCTGTTAACGACACGAGACTGTCGGCTCTAAAGGGCTCCTTTGCCGGAGTGTATTCACTATATGGCGGTGCTGCTATTCTGATTTTGACAAAACTCGGTGGCCTGCTGTTCGACAAGGTTTCGTTATCTGCACCGTTCTATATCATGGCTGCATTCAACGCCATGTTACTCTTGGCATGCGTTGTACTGAGCTTGCGAAAAGCTAGAGGATCACAAGAAGAGAATCATCCGAATGTTGTTCTCGGCTCGTGATTCATGTTCTCACATAAGCTTAAGCCCAATTATCTTTCGAGTCATAATTGGGGAACACCTGAGCTTGGGACTTGCAAGAATAAGCTCTGGGTAACGATCACCACCCCCATCGCCGAGCACCGGCCTCTTATTTCTGCAGGAATTGGATGATCATCCCAGGCCCATAAGTCTCAGCACGATTCGTGGCCTGCTTTGGATCTTTCCCGGTATTGTCAAAATGGACATGTCTGTGTTGGCGCGGTCATCAATACCCTCCACTTTCTGGATCGGGTTCTATGCTCACGTTCTCAGATGCCGTCTACTTGGTTCCCCCGAAGGCACGCATTGGCACGTCCAACACGTCATTGATTTTCTGCTTGCAAATGCACAATAAATTCAAGACAGAACACATACAGAGTCCCTGGCGTCATTTTGCAAAGAGCATTTACAACCATGGAAACGGAAAGCGAGGTGTCATGTACATTTATTCATTAGAAAAATCAAAAAGTCGCATCAAAACCTCACTTCTCTCGCAAATAAATTGATCTTTCCCAAGAGGCCAACTACAACTTCGCTTCCTTCTTCGCCTTCGTCTTATCCACAATCTTGATGTCCTCATACTCTACTCCTAAGAAATCCCACATGTAAGGCCACCGATCACTACCAAACAACGGCTCCTGCACACCGTTTGCATTCGTCATCTTGAACCACGGCGCCCCAAAGGCACCCTGTTCCAAGGCATCCTTGGTATTCCCTGTCAACTTATCCTTATATTCCTTGGTGGCCATCAGCCGCATGATCTCCTTGACCTCCGTCTCATCGAAATGTGCCTCTAGTAGCTTCGCCAAGCCGTCAGGCTTCTCGATGTTGACGTGCGTGATGAAGCTGTACCGCCAGGTGTCGAGGAAACACTGCTCGAAGACCTCGCGCGGATGGCGGTCCTTGACCACCAGCATCGCGCGCTGTGGCACCACGGACAGGATCGGGAAGAAGTCTGCGGGGACCAGGGGTTCCGTGCCAAAGTATTTTTGTGCGCGTTTCGAGTCGTATTCGCCGTACTTGGCTTTGGCGGGGAGTGTCCACGGTGGCTTGTTGCCGGAGCCGACGTTGATGCCGCCGAGGAAGACCGGATGGATTCTGGAGTGAGGAGGAGCAGTTAGTCAGATACTGGAGTGGTTGGTAGGGCTAAAGCATGAAAACTGGACTGAGTCTCTCCTCAGAGCCACCACCGATATTGAGGCATGCAAGGCGGTAATGGCACCTTGGGGGGTTATTCCAATGGTTGGATGAGAGCGACGACTTTCGTTCTTAGGTCCACGCGATCTCAACCACCAGGCATGAAACATCCATGCTGGAGGGTTCCTCAGGTCGACCATCTTGAGATTCATATCACCCAGCAACAAGGCTAGAGGTATAAATCCACCAAGGTAGCACACCATGGCATGTACGTAGCCCAGTAGCTTTGTCAAATATACATAGTATGCTCTTTCAAGTCGCCTAAAGACGCTCCCTGGGGGAGATAACAGTGGGAAGTAAACAAGACGCTAGAACTTACTCAACCTCTATCCCATATTGTGCCAGCAGCTCTCGATTCTTCCTCAGATATAGAAACGCAAAGTAACTATACGGCGACGCTGTCGAGCAAGACCCTTGTCAGGAAACGTAGAGAGCGTGGCCACGATCTCATGGTCGATATGAAGAAGTAACTAAGCCGATGAGAATGACTTACTGCAATCGAAGTAGCAGTCGATCCTGCCCCCCATCTTCACAGCAGGATCTGTGCGCGTTTGTCGGTGTTTGAGCAGTTCGGTGGTTCTTTGTTACCTCGCCCTTGATGTGCCCTGAGCCGATGGCAATGATGCTGTCTGAGACTGGCGGAAATGATGGTCGGTCTGGGGACGTTGAGGGAACTTTTCTGTTTCTCCTCTCAGGCAGTGCGATGCTACTAGGCTCACTGACTATAGCAGGTGCAACAATACGTGGACAGACGCTGTCATCATTAACAGCGGATAGTCGAAGGTTGTCGGGATTGAAGTGATAGTCAGTTAAGTTAGTCAGCCTTACAGCTTCAGATGCCGAGGTTCGGCTTCGCTTGGCTCCATGCCTCCATAATGCGACTCCGAAAGCACGACTAATCATTTAATACCGAGCACCCTTTCAACTGCTCCCTCCGACATCAGTGGGAAGGGGAATTGTAGAGTTCATCAGCGCTAGATACGGTCTTCAGATGCTCCAACCATACGTGCGAGAGGCATGAGATTTTAATATTTGATTCCACCTCGCCGGTTTTGTTGCAGTATGCTAATAACCCCTGCGCGGCCACCGAGGTGTAATTTCTTCATTGGAAGCCTTGTTCCCCGCCGTCACCGACTGGGGGGAGGCTGAATTAGTGATCCTTTAACAAACCATCGCCCTACAAAAAGATCACACTCGACGCTGTTCTACGCTGTTCAGGAGACTCCTGTCGGTTCGGACTCACAGAGGAGTGTTTGATATCTGAAACAGGCAGCCACCTAGTCATCCATCGACTCACTGGTTGAGAGTATCGGTGGACCCATACCCCTCCCCTTGATGAAGTGTGGCAATCAATTCGTTCATTTGACGATAAGTGAGAAGGCTTCCACTTTGGAAGAAGAGAAATGAGCTCCGAAAACAAGCAGGTCGCGCTCGTGATCGGGGGTTCGAGAGGAATAGGCCGGCAGGTTGCCGTCGATTTAGCTCGTCATGGCTATTATAGTACGTTACTTCCACAATCAAGCACCAAAAGATGAAGCACAATAGGTACAGGGTTGACCAATCTCCCCCATAGTTGTGGTAGCCGCGAAAACGACATCAGACGCATCGCGGATCCCAGCATCTGACTTCCCACCGGACCCAAACTCATCGCAATCGACCATCAACACCGTCGCACGAGAGATCACCGAAGCAGGTGGCTCGGCGCTGGCGCTGCCCGTGGACGTGCGCGACGTCGAAAATGTCAAGGACCTGGTCGACGAAACAGTAAAGCGCCTCGGCCGTCTTGACGTGCTGATCTACAACTCCGGCGCGATATGGTGGAGTGCCGTTGAGACGACGCCGGTGAAGCGGTTCCAGCTCATGCAGCAAATCAACCCTCAGGGATTATATGCTGCTGTGTCTGCGGCACTGCCTCACTTTGGCAGTAACGGGTGGAAAGGCCGGATTATTGTAGTTAGTCCACCGATCTACTCGAGGTTCTTTCGCGGGAAGACCGCCTACGCGATGGGTAAAATCGGCATGAGTGTGCTGACCAAAGGCCTCGCGATGGATTTTCTTAGGCAGGGGCGGAAGGATATGGCCATCACCAGTATCTGGCCTGCTGCTGTGAGTTGCCAAAAGTCCCGCGTCCCCAGGAACAGGAGTCCGGGTTGATTGCTGAACATTGTGGCACCACAGTCCATCGAATCCGCCGCAACCCAGAACGCAGTGCAAACCGACCAGGAGCTTCGTAAGGACTTGCGCAAGCCGACGATCTACTCAGACGCCATCCTCGCCATGCTTCATTCTCCTGCTGAAGAGGTCAACGGCCTTCTCGATCTCGATGAGGACTTCCTACGCAAGAAGGGCGTCACAGATTTCAGTATGTATAATGTCGAACCAGGAGCTAGCCCACGAAGGATAATGCCGGCGGAATTTCCGAACTTGGAGGTGGCGGAGCAAGACGACGAGGGGAGACGAGTCGATAGCATCAAGTTGAGAGAAGGCAGGCAGGGCGACAAGGCGAAGTTGTAGTGGTATTGGCCTGCCTGCAGAATAACACGTTATTTAGGGTGGAGGCGTACAATGAGTGGGGTAAAGTTTAAGTACTAACGCATTCAACTTACAACTTTCTTACTTCTTTTCAAACGGCGATGCCTCCTCAACGACGACCTCTACAGTCTATTAACCTCAATCGGGGACCGGTAAAGGAGGGAAGAGTCTAGCTTGCGTATAATAAAGAGATAACCTCCCCTTTAGTGGATCCTACGGTAGCTAGAGTAACTATCGATAGAGGGTAGTCACGTGATATAACCTTATAGAGAGTCGTAGGTTCGAAGTTCGAACCAAGACCTAGTACGGGTTCAACCCGTGACAGTTGTACTCTATTATACTAGTCTACTAGACGAGTGTAATAGAGTACTAGAGTAGCTCGACGAGCATTATATATATAATTACTACCTATAGATAGGACTATTTACAGTTAACTTCGTTAGTAATCTAATACCTACATTTTAGATACGGTCCGACGAATTATTATACCCTTTGTCGCTCCGGTCAACACTCTTGTGTCCGCTCTATTAAGGAATCCCACCTTGGTCAGCACTGCTCGCAGCTCGGATTATAACATGTAGTACTAATTTTTAGCGGTGGGTGCATTATTTGGGAGGGTTGTGAAAATCGAGGTGTGCTAGGACCTACCCCTTTTGCTGTAGTCGATTTTGTCACTCTGGTTAGAACTTCATCTGCGAAGGAGATTTCAATCTTCACTGTGGGATACTTGTGCGGATTGCGGCAAAAGGGTCAGCGTAGACACCTGCCTTGCCTCAAAGTCAGACAGTGCCATCCACCAGGTTTGACTCGTCGACCTGAAGAGCGTTGAAGAGAGATTCCCGGCCCTTTTCCATATTCAACGTGTCTATTCTGTCCTGGATCTCCTTCTGGCTCCCTCTGACTCTGTGAGCTACCTCTCTCCATTGCAAGATATGACCCTCCCCACTTGAAGCTCCACTGGTCTCAACGTCCACAAGCCTCCCATTCCGCTTCCTCATCTGGCCATCCACAATGACAAATTCAATATCTGCGGCCTCACTAAACCGAACGACACTAACAAGGGGATCAAATTCCGTTGCAGACAGCATGCCCACACTGCCGTCGGCATCAAAGATCACTATATCTGCCTTTTTCCCTTCCTGGACACTCCCGATCTTGTCCTCGAGCCCCAGACTTCTCGCACCCCGGATTGTCGCGAGGTTGAAGATCTCTTCAGTCGAGCTCAGCACATCCGCAGCAGGGTACTTGTCCTCTTGGAGGTGTTTATCGTTATGTTGGGCACGAGTCAGCTGGAGCAGGGCGCGCGCTTGAAGCAAGATGCTACTTGGGTTATTTGTGTGGCAGTCTATCCCAAGTCCGGCATTCGATGATGTACTTGTGGACCGAAAAGCCGAATGCAGAGCGATGGGATATCCCAGTCCCATGTGTGCTTCGGTATCTGGCGTGCTCGAAATAGGCGTCGCTTTCCTGGCAATCAGGGCTAAATCTTCCTCCGAGAGATTGCTGCAATGGCTTAAATGTAGAAATGGAAGCTCTTCCGTATTATTTGATGCTTGGTAAGGCTGTCGAAGTAGACCATATGCCTCAAGAAGGGGGATCGAGGACTGGAGCCCTGGTCATACGTCAATTACAGTCTTGCAGTATATGCCCGCGACGGATGACTCTCAGCAGCCTACCATAGAACGCATTTCTTGATATATGGGAGGTGATGAGTCTCACGCCACACTTTCTCAGCCTCCCCAAAGCCCCGAGCACGAGCTCTTTAGGCAGGAACCAAGCATCGAAGCCCATACCTATCTCTACCCTGCTGGCCGTGTCTCCATTAAACTTCGTTGCCAGCTCTGACACTTGGTCTAGCGACCAGTCCGGCAGGAAGTCACGATTGATGTTGCAGCTCGTTTTATCCCAGTGCGTGAGACGAATCGGGACTGAATAGGCAAAGATAGACCTTATCCCGGAGTCTATGGACCCATCAAGTGCGCATGTTACTGGGAAATCATGTTTAGCGTTTTCAATCACGGACATGGGACATGCCTCACCGTGGTCGACACTGTAGGCGATATGTGCATGATCTAGGACGGTAGTCGTTCCGGCGTGAATAGCTTCCAGACAACCAGAAAGCTGACCCCAATAGGTGTCTGCTGGGGTGTAAGTGTAGGACGCCATATATCCTAAAGCAGGTCAGTAGATGGTCGTGGCGCTGCCGGAACCTACACAGGATCTGCGGATGACAACTGCACACCTTTGACCATGTACTCAACCAGTCCTTGTTCTGCATGCCTCCCCTTCAATTGGGTCTGCCAGAGATGATGATGGGTGTCAATAAAGCCAGGGGAGATGATCCTCCCCTTGCAATCTATCACTTCGACCTTCTGACCAGGAGGCACTGTGAGTTTTGGCCCAATTTTGGCGATAATGTCGTTATTGATGAGAACATCCATATCGATGAGCGGAATGACGTGATCGTGTTCGTCGTGACTGAGAACTGTCCCACCACGAAGTAAGATGGAGGAGCCCATGTTTAAGGCGATTGTAGTTGTTGAGATGGTTGTTGCCTGAGATTAGGGACAGAAACTCCGGAGGCCTCAAATACTGGGAGAGACTTTATATTCCTGGGTGCCATACTGACACCATGCCTGCACCTCGAATGTGATTGATATCCATGGTTGAAAGTTTCCGCCAAACTTCGTACAACGGTCTAACTGAGGTTCCGACCAACGGCTCGCTGTCCAGTCATCGAGAGCATTGTCAAAAAGTAAGTTCTCCACCACGGAGACATCAATCGCCAGAATGCAGCGTTCGCACCGACAGCATCGTGTGCAGATTATGACGCGAGATCGTCGCGAGTACAAGATATGAGATCGCCATGGGTGGTTGAGGGGATGGAGGTCGTCGTCAACGTTTCGATTGGTATAATTATAATGTCTGACGATGAAAATCAAGCCAAAATGCCCCTTATTGCAGGTCTTGGCAAAGGAATTCCTTTGTCTGACGCCTGTCGAAGTGGCAGTATCACAAACAAACAAAATCAGCTCCTTTCTACAAATATTCAGCTATGCTGATGAAAAACTAGCGAACAAGTTGCTTCATAATACTATACATGATTTCCCACAGTTGAGGAAGTCCTCCTGTCGTCATTGTCGGCGTTCAGAAAGACTACACAAAATCGTCAATACCGTCATCGAATGGTTGACCTCTTGAAGTCCGTTTATTTATTCGTTCATCAGGTTGCGGCGTGCAGAAATGCATCGAGACTGGTAAACCTGCCCCAGAGAGATTTTATTTGGCACAGAGATTATCCACCTACCACCTATCCCTCCTGCAAAGAACCGCTCGAGGGCTTCGGACACACTGGCTTACCAGGTTCACGTTCGCTTGGGAGTTGAGGTTCTGGAATCGAAATCACCACGAGACGGTCCACACTTGATATCAGCGATTCATTCATGTCTCATCCATTACCGCCTATCATGATCCATGACTTCTCCTGCCTGGGTACTAAATTGATCACCTTCCGATGCCCACGTGATGTCATGACTCTCCATTTTTTGCTCTGAGACGAACTCGTGAGTCGGGATACAGTCCTCAAAGCCACAGCCACTTCTGGAGATACAGCCTCATGACAACATCGAAGCTAGAATCCCACATGTCACATCCAGCGTAAAACCCCTTGTGTTGTGAGGACACAGCTCGAAGAATACGACCTGCCAGAGGATAGGTCAGACATCCAGCTCTGGAATGGACTCAGGTCGAGGTTTAGTGCTGACATACATGAACAGATCCAGAGTATTGGAGGACTGGGGCTCTGCTGACACCCCCCCTTGCCCCAAGAACCATGTCAATCGGCTACTTAGCCACAGGAGTGTATTACCAGGGACCCGGTGTAATACTATGTAATCGGGGAGAGACGATGACTACTTGCCCGCACTTGCAGTGCATTGCATGAGATGGCACAATACGACAAGGCATCGTCGTGTCGACTAGCATGAACCAAGGGTCTCCAAGCCATGGAAGCCGGTCAACAGCAGAGAACGAGACGCGTATCAGACTAAGCCCTATGACGATCAGTCGGCACCTGTCTCCACCGCGGTGCGTACTTCATGCCTTGTACATGTTACTATAGATATACTCGTATGACTGACAAGTCACCATTCTACAGGCCAGTTCCACCAGGGCTCATTGTTTCGAAGCATTACTCATTTCTGAGTCGTGGCCCGGGGCCCGTGGCCCGGCGTGAAATTAGTTGATTATCTGTCCCGTCCCCACCTCCCCACCGAAGTCGAACGGCTCGGCGGTCACGACGTTCGACCATATCCAACGGTCGACATGGAGTAGACAGCGGGAGAAGAGAAGGTCTTACCGAAACAGGAACTTCGATGCTGTAAGCGAGGCTGCCGACAGCCACCAAGATTTCATTCCACACGAGGGTCAACCGTTTCCCACACGATCCAAAATACGACGTCGCTTAAAAGTCAACCAGACCGAAACTACCCACTCAAAAGGCCCAGGGCGCAGCCAAACAATCAATTTGCTTTGAGGCCAAGGCTAAACTGCCAAGTCACTGGGGAATTGTCCAGTCTCGTTCTGTCCCCACAAACAGCCATTGGCAAGTCGTCGATGATGTCGACGTCGAAATCGAGATTGTGTCACCATGCTTTAGTTCGCTCGGCTTGACCCCTCCCATATCAATCCCGTGTCATCCATGCTCCAGTAAAGAGCCCGAAATGCAGACAGCCCGACCTTTTAACCTAGTCTGGTCAAACTGCGTGCAAGGAGTGAAGAACCGGACTGTTACAGAGCCTCGTGACGATGCAGCCTTCAGCCAGCCATCGCAACTTTGTGGCCTGCGCAGTGCTCAGATAATATCGAAAACAAGCCCCAGGAGGGACTTCTTTCCTCCTTCTGGATCCAAGTCCAATGCACGACGAGACGCCGACGACTTCTTCCTGCCCGATCCTAGCAATGCTGCGCTCGGCGTGCGAGATTCGCACAGTGAGTTACCTAGGGATAGGAGGGAGGAGTAGTTGGGTAGTACCCGTACGAGTACCCTTGATTTCCTCCCATCTTTCATTCACATACTCTGGAGAGTTCGCCTAAGAACATATTCCCAAAAGAGTATGTGCCCAATGCTACAACATTGCTTTTCCCCCCTTATTTTACTGTGCAAAAGTTCACACGCTAGGGTACTGCAAAACCATGCGAGTCATGGGAAAGCCCCCTCCCCCCGGTCGTCGGCCCCATGAACCCTGTAAAAAAGCGACGACCTACTAAATTAATCATCCACTATCGGCAACCCGACTTCGACAGCTAGAATACTCGGACCGAGTCGATGCGTGCGACTCGAGTCGTCACTCGTCGGCTGGAGCATCACCCAATGAGACCCCGTACGTAAGCATGACCGCACCCGAACACATATTTCACCATGCCCACGACACAAAGGGCCCCGCGCCCTGCAGATCGGGAGAATGCAGTTTTGGATACGCTACGACGAGCAGTTCGACGATCACAGCCATGTAAGGCATGTTCCCCTTATTTATTCTGGCACGGCTCACTACATAGGGAGACGGCCGATCAGGCAAGCCGCCCCAGAGCGGGAAATGGTAGTGAATGGTTCGTTATCATTCTGGACCCTCGCCCCAATCGAGTGTTTTGTTATCGTCGATCAATCACCGGCGACTCTCCAGATCACTGACCCAAGGACACGTAAGTCAGTCGGTATATCATTTCCCGAGTATCACATACGCAGGTATATAGGTGGGTCTCTATGATTCGGACATCCCATCTAGCGAGCGGGCTTACTTACTCGTACTTCCTGTACGATACATATTATTCCGTAGGACGGAAGCATCAAGGGGTAGGGAAGGGGGAAAGTCCATCCACAGGCAGACCTGCGTTTGTCACGGTGTTGGTCGCAGGACAACGAGAGTAGAGTACTACCCCGTACGGGGACTTCTCATGAGGCCGGGTACGTGGTACTGTACATATGCAGCACTCAGCATCCATAGACAAACCAACCACGTCCATTCGCCATTGGATCATCCATGCTACACATTTCCATACGCCGAGAGGCACCCAAACCCACGCCAACAATTCTTTCACACTTTCTCTCTCCCCATTTGGATGGTAAACAATGGTTAGCCAGTGCCCAAGTGGGGGAGTCTCGCGCTGGCGAGAGTCTGCCGCCTCCGGCCCCCCCTGCCCAGAGCCATCACACCGCCCCCGACGCCCCTATGGACAGGGGCTGTTATGCTCGTAGCAAAAGGACGGAATCTGAGACGTATCCGGTGGGAAGGTTCAATTGCCTGGCCTCCACCAGTCGGCCATCTACCAAGGGTCGAGGGGCCAAGGGGCCTATCCCGGTCAATTGCCTCAGGTACGAAGTACTAGCTTGGGTAGTTGGTAACCATTGTTTACTACTGCTACCGGCCCACATCATCATTTCACGTACTGCTAGACGTTTTTGGTCTGGAAGTTCCGTTGGTTTCATTGTTGTTGTGTTTTTGGAAAACCCCTTGACGTTTAGTCAAGTCCACCAGGATACCAGAGAGCTGGGGCTATGTCTCGTCATGCTCCCTGCCGAAGGTTAGATACTACGTAGGTTAGTGGAGGAAAGAGTGCCCGTACTCCTCGCAGCATCATACAGATCACCTAATCTGCGAACGGCGTAGGGCTGTTGCACAGCCAAACAACTGCTAAGCACTGGATCCGACCTTTAAACCAGTGCAAGGGATACCCTGATAATCTTCAGGTCTCAGCCTTCCTCGGCATCTGCCCCTTGTCGTGTCACTTCGCCTACGAGGTCGCAATACTAGCTGTTTAGTCTGCGTTTCTCACGCTGGACGCACTCGTGTTCGCTATGCAGACGTCGTCTCGGTCATGAATTTGATCTTCTTCTTCCAGGGGCTGAAATTTGCCCTGGTCGGCATCGAGTGCTTCGTTAACAGTGTGGCGCCCTGTCTTGATCTTCTTGTTTGGCCGACCCTATCCGCCCTTTCGTTGCGAGTAGCCCGTACCAGCTGCTAACAGGTCTCTGCCTCCAGGACCAGCGGGAGCCGACTGCACAGTAACATGAGTACCAGCACTGTCATCGTACGCCGAATAATCAGCATCAGTGTCCCATCCCTTCTTCCTTGGTAACTGCTTGATTTCCAGCCCAGCATTAACCGCTTGCAATCGGATGAGTTTCATTCTAGCATCTCGAGTGAAAGCTTCGACCATGTCCAGTGCTTCTTGTTGAGCTTCGGCTCGAGTATCATGTTCAAGTGCAACCAGAGTCTCATGTTCTAGGTCAATTCGAGCGTCAAGCTTGCCGGCCTCGATCAAGGCAACAATTTCCTGGAGGAATTCTTGCTTCGTTGTAGGCCCATCAACTGGATCGTTCGTATAAGATCGATGGCTAAACATCTTCTCCATGCTGTCCAATGTGACTTTGCTGAATGGTTGGAAGTACTGGATGATACTCTTGGTTCGAATCTTCTTGTAAATGTCAGGGATCAGTGGCTGTAAGTAGATGTCGAGAAGGTAATCCGCTCGGTAAGATTCGAGAATCTCTAGACATTGGCTATACTTGCTTGCGCAAAAGAAGGCGATTGCTCGACGGATATGAGGCTCGAGTTCAAGGAAGTTGCGGAAATTGGCGTTCTCAAGAACCTTGGTCTGTAATTCAGAACGAGACATTGATGCTAGCGCACAAAGACCGCCATAGACCGCGACATCGTTGCTCGTCACTACATCGTTGTAGCTGTCTCCTAAAGAAGAATCGCAACTGAGGAAACTGGTGGCGGCCACGCGATAATCACGGCTGGACATCTGGTAAAGGCCGATCGCCGCCCATGTCTTTGGAAGACTTCTTGTGTTGTCGTCGGGCTTCATTTGGAGGTTCTGGATCTTGACAACTTGAGCACTCACTGCTAGCCAACTCTTCTGTTCGATTGCGACTGCGATGATACGAAATGCCGTCGACGCGATGTGGGCAGGTGTAGTGCAATAGTCACGCATCCGTGAGTAGGCCTTCAAAGCATTGTTAAGGTCGCCAATCGTGTAGTAATGTGTGCCTAAGTCTTCATTCCCCATCTAGATCGGTTGTCAGTGACGCAGACATAAACTTGCTTCACATCTGCACTTACTCGTATGCTTTCTTTGATAAGATTGTTCTTGTAGCCTTTCAATTCGTTCTCCAAGCGAGCCGTCTCACCATTGTTCTTCTTCTCTTGTTGGGTTGCCCAAGCAGGGTCTAGGAGATTGTCTTGGTGTCGCCCTGCGGACACCCTCTTCAAGAGAGCCACGGCTTGGTGGTAGTTACGGACATCACTGCCTTTCTTCGCTTCGATCACAGCCATTCGAGCGGCTTCTTCTGCCAGAACCGTGGAGCATGATGCTACTAGATGCAGGCGCCGGAATACAGTACGGCCTATATCGGGTTGTGAGTGCTTCTGCTTGTGACACAAGTTCGCAGGCCCGTACCTCTGTAGTTGGATATGTAGGTAGCAAGATCGAACTTTGGAGTCTCTGTGATCCATAGATGAGCTTCCATGTCAGGATGCAAGTCCGAGAAGGCATACCAGTCACTACTATGCCGTAGATGGGTTGCTCTGGCGAAGCTGCGTCGCTTGCCATGGTAGGCAGAAGCGGTGGGCTTGCAGCCGCGCGGGGCAGGTTAAGGGCTCTTCCAAGGGCTTGCGAGTCTTAACTTCGTGCAGAGAGGGATGACGAGGACGGTGTACGATATGATATATGACACGAAAGTTCGTGAGAGTGAAACGAACTCGGTTTTCTTTGAAGTCCAGTTGTCGATGCCGTATCGACGTATTAATTGGGTGCAGGCCTGCTTCCCATAGTGTTGCAAAGCGCGGGTCACAGACACCAACGAGTCCCGACAGTTGGGGTTTGGAGACAATTTCTTGGCGGTGTCGGCAGGCACGGGGGCAGGCGCACCCGAACCCGAACGCCTGAATCGTTGCCTAGGCCCATCTCCCGGGGACTTGAAGGGAGCGATGACTCTCCTCACCTTGGTGCTAGTTGAATGGCAGCCTTCAAAATCGGACCGACGATCATGGATAATAAATGTTTGTAGACTTATAACCTCCATTTCACTCCAGCGCTCAGCGCCATATATGGTTTCGAGGTATGTAAATGTATCATATACAAGCTTTTCTTCCTTCAAGGAGATGCTCGATGGGTATCTGTGTTTGTTCGAGGGTTCCTACCACCCACCGTCTTGCCTGTGCCAACCATATCAAGGTCGAAAGACTTCGTTTTGCCTTCCGAGAATAGTCATCACAGCCGTACAAGGGTTGCCCGTCCCAGCTTTTTCATTTCACATTTCAAAACTTCCATGCCCGGTGGGGGCCAGTATTAGAAAAACAAAACAGGATCTCAGAATACATAGAGATCGCTTGCCCCAACTTTGACAAGTGGCATTGTGTTTCATCGCTTAAACGCATCCATCAAAAGAAATAACAAAATCCCAGACTCATATTGCCATCAGTGCATTCAAGTCAACATATCCTTGTGCATCTTCTTCGGCAGTGGGAAGCCATGGGCCCTTCTCTTCCTCAGTGGCATTGTGGAACGCAACTGCTCTCTTCATTGTCTCCACGTCGAGGTCGGTGACGTAGTTCTTACCATCTGGCAAAGTCATCCGAACCTCGAACTCGTTGTGCAGCATCATGTCGTCCTTCCACAGTCTGCGGTCTCCGTCATAGACACAGAGGACCCGTTTCTTCATTCGCATCTTCTCGGCAGACATCCCCCAGGAGGGAGGATAGTGCTTTCTCTTCTTGCGGCCTTTGCCAGCCAGAGCAACCCCTCCCTTTGACCAGGTCATACCCTTTTTGGATGCTTTGCCCTTGGACACACCAGCACCAATGACGGCGCGTGCTTGGGCAGGATGTTTGTGGCTCTTGATTGATCCTTTTCCAGATCGACCGTGGAACGAAGGGTCTTCGCCCTCGTCATCCTCATCGTCGTCGTCATCCTCCTCCTCGTCCTCCTCGTCAAAGTTCATTGGAGGAATTTCTTCGGTCTTGATCATGTGGAGATCCATGGTTTCCTGCACATGGCTATCACTGGACATGGCAGCAAGATGCTGGGCATTGATTGCTTCACTGGGCTCTTCTTGTTGAACCACCCGTAACACACAGTCATCAAGATGCTCGTAGAAGTCCTGAGCATTGTTGAATGTCTGCGAGCAAGTCGAGCACTTGCCAGTAGCGTCTTGACAGTAACTTGACAGTTTGCGATGATTAGACGCGGGACTGCGTTTTCGGCTGTTTGGAGGGGTCTGCTCCACTCCATGGACAGATGTCAAATGGCGTTTGAAGACATCCGCTCTGTTAAAACTCTTTTCCGCAGGAGACCCGGAACCTGGGCAGAAGCCGCAGACCATGGTACCCTTGTAATGCGTCAGAGTGTGTCGGTTCTTGTCATACTTTCGAGCGAACCCCTTCTGATTGTATTCACAGGTCAGAATGGGGCATTTCTCCGGTCGCTCGGATTGATGAGTAAGCATATGAGCCTTTAAATCTTTGAAGACCTTGCCACAATCGGCATGAGGGCATCGACCCTTCTCTCGGCCCTCTTCATCAAACTCGGAGACTGGGCTTGAACGCGAGCCGCCAGACACATATGATGCGAGTGAAGGCCGTCGGCTTAGCTGTGCTTGTTGTTGATAGAAGTTGGGGTTTGTCATAGGGTCGGCGAACTGTGTTGGTGCAAAGTTATTGTATGGTTGGGGGGACAAAGCGGGTGAGCCAGATGGGGATAGACTCGAGTATGACTGCAGGTTGGGGGGAAACAGTGCCTGTTCGGGATAGGAAGCCTCTCCGTACGGTTGAGGGGCGTGTATTAAGGATGGATCTGTAGGAGATTTGGTTAGCTTCAATTCCCCAGATGTCTTGAGTTTGATGCTGTGATGAGAAGGAAAGACCACAAACGAAAGGACATGAGGAAACAGGGAAAGAACAGCAGAAGAGACGAACAGGAGGTTTCTAGTGGTTGAATGAAATTACCACTGCTTTGAGCAAAGAAATGAGATTGGAAACGATTGGTGGGTGGCTGGCATGAGTGCGAGTCACGAGAAAAGAAGGGACTTGGACGCAGTGCATGGGTTTGCGTCCCAGTAAAAGATGGCAACGATCCGAAATTGACTTGAGAGAATGATGCCTTCGTACGCAGCGCACGTGCCGACGCAGGTGTCGTCGGTGACTTGAAGGTAGGTGTTGGTAGAGAGGCATCCGTGGGGGAGCGAGCGGTGGAGGAATATATGGATTCGGGAAGTGCCGGTGGTGCCTCAGTACGTCGCTCTAGGGAAGTGTTGATTGACAAAGTTTCGGGTGATGGTGTCAAAGGCGCACCTTGATATGGGGAAGACGCAGCAAGGTGGACAGATGGGGAGATGGGAAAAACAATGGTCGACGATCGCAGTTGAGAAGAGGAAAGATCGGCATACTCACCAACAAAGCTATTTGAGAGCTTCTCATGGCTGTGAATGGGAAGCTCCGACTCCATGGAAATTCCAAATTCTTGTGGGAAGGCCTCGTGGTTGACAATGGTGGGCATGACACCCAGTCCATAAGTCACGGCGTGTTGTTCAAAGCCGTCCTGACTGGAAATGGTGTGAGAAGGGCCAGAGTACGGTGATCCGACAGTTGAGGACGATGCGCTGGGGATTGATGGCGCTGAGGCTGACGAAACGGCCGATCTTGAAAAATCATGCATTTGATGCATTTCTTGCTTGATTTGCACCTGTGCGGTAGAGAAGATGGATGGGTTCTCAAAATATGAGTAGGGCAACGGATGAAAGGACATCATAGGGTCGACAGTCTCGTATGGATCCATGGCCAAGCTCGGATAGGGTGCCTGGATGCTTTGCTCAAGATCGTACACTTGATCCACAAACTGTTGGTGGCGCGAATGCTCGAGAACAAGCATTGTGGGCGTTGGGCGATTGGAATCAGAACATCGACATGAAGCCTTGTAGAGATTCTCAAACGCTGCTAGACCTTGGAAGGAGGATAGGAGACCTCAGGGATGATTGAATCGCAAGTTACGGGCGCTGCGGCGTGGGCGAGAAACAAAGCCTGAGAGAGAGTCTGGGTCTCTGTGCAGCGGCGAAAGGATATCGATAAGGTCGGTTAATATGGCAGTCGAGGCCTAGACACAGTTCCTGGCGAGTTGTTGAATCTGAGAGACAGCAATGAGGCTTGCGGATGAATCGCCGATCAATACTCGAAAAAGTAAGGCAGGTCTGCGGGAGGAGATGAAGCCGAGTGAGTTCAAGTTGCCGGGGGCAAAGCGCTGATTAATAGAGAGATGAAGGGTATAACGAAGGGACTCTCTTGTCAAGTTCGACTTCTGTGAGCTTGGCCGGGGCGAAGTCAAGGTCAAGAGCTGGTAGATAGATAGATGTGGTTGTGTTGTAGGATCTCCCAAAAAGTTGATCTCAGCAACAAACTTGGGGGGGCGAAATAGTGAGATATAAGTCACGTAGACAGATGCAATACGCGATACCAAAAGCAGGGGCCCTGTCATCTCCAGGACGAGCGCCAGAGCCCAAGAGAAGCCCACATTATTAGCCCTACGGGCACGGTGAGCGCTATTGACCAGGGTAGCCCGCAAGGGGGGCAGAGCAGGGGTGTTCGTGTTTGTTCGGTGTGGCTGTAATGAAAGATACGGAGTAAAGTGTTCGATGAAAAGCTGGGTATGATGGTGGCATTGTGACCGCTAGTAATGCACGCTAAGCGGTTAGCTTTCGGGGAGGCCTAAGCCCATGCTGCCAAATCGCTTCGAAAACAGAGGGCGGGGCCCGATCGAGCTCTAGTTAACTAGCATTCCACTAAAGCATCGCTTGCCCAGAGAAGTCAAAGGAATAGAATTCGGAAGCACAGAAGAGCCTGGCAGTCTTGAGATTGCGGCTTGACCCTGGCGACTCGAAACGTGTGAATGAGTGCATGTGGGCACCGTACTGTGCCCACCATGACCATGATGGAGAATCTCGAAAAAGACGCAGACAACAGAGTTCTCGCAGAGTTCTCTCAAACTGAGGGAGACATTTTCCAACAGGTCCATGCTCTGGGCCAAATAAAGAACAAGGTAGCAACAGAAGTACGGAGTACGGAGTACGTAGTAGTACGTAGTAGGGAGGGGATCAAAGTTGACGGTGCGGAGTGCTGGGTGAGAGCACTCCGCTGTGGGAGCAGTCGCACCGAGTAGTAGCGGGAGTGGTGGTTCGCGCACTTGGCAGCCTCTGGAGAATGACACAGTGCAATTGAGGACAAAATCTCTCTGCGGAGACGGACAAAGCTATGGGATGTGGGACTTGGGTGGCGGTCCCCGAGTGCCGGGAACGATCATGGGTTTCAACTTTCGAATCGATGCCGGATGATACCATGAGCAAGGGCAGGGCAAGGGTAAGGGCCAGGGCATGGAGCATGGAGCATGGGTTAAGCAGAGATTGAGATGGCCGAGCGTTGAAAGGACGAGAGATGGAAAAGATGGCAGTAGCACGGAGTAGGGAGCAACTAGCGACTAGGTACCTAGAGAGTTAGCATGGAGGATAGATAGAGGGAGGAACCGGGGATGAGGGATTAGGCTGGAGATGCTGAGTTGGGACGAGCAGAAGCCGAAGGAGAAAGCGTCATTGTCGAATCAGTGCAGCATTGGGCCATCTCAGACTGCCCGTTTAGGCGAGCCTGCGTGAGGGCCATGCCTGTTTTCTGCTGGAACTGTCCTTTTGCCAAACACACCCAGGCCGTCCTCCTTACACCTGCTTACAAAGACTTAGCGTGGTAAAATACCGTATTTTTCGAGGCGAGGCCGATGCGATTGGCGCCATCGTGCAGATGCGGTCTGGCAGGGTGAAGCCAGGGTCAAGACAGGGACCAGAAAACGTGGAAACCCAGAGCGCGAGCACGGGTCCCCACACTGACAACGGAATGTATTGGCTGTATCTGCTCGGGGCGGCCAGGTTGAGGCGCAGGCATGATTAGTACCGCCTCTCATTGGCTGAGTCCCGCACTGTACCGCCTTGTGGCTCAGTTCTGTGCTATTTATTCACCGCCCTGAGGCTGTGGTGTGGGTGGCTGTTGTAGGAGGAGGCCACAGTCACCGACTGTTGTCGACTCCGTAGCCACGAGGTACGAGCACATATCGCTCACTGACGACATCACCGTGAAGTCACTCGTCATGGTTTCGAACCCATGGGTGCATGGTAGCATCTGTGGGAGTGGGTACCCCTGGTGATCAGAATTCGCTCGGTCAATAATGCTCGTACATACAGGAGGGTGGATGACTGCTCGAGCATGATTATGACTGATTGAGAAAAGTCAATTGAAAGCGGACAGGTCCTGAACGGGTCACTCAATTCACATGTGCCTCAAAGAAAGGGTGCAGCTGGAGCGGGAGGTCACTATTACAAGTTCACCACCCAGAAGGTGTGGTAGGACAGTACCCTATCTGCTTGGGCCTCCCTCTCCTCTACCTGCTGGTTGCCCATCGAAATCTTTGGTATTGATGTCCATGCTCATCAAGCCTTGCGGGGTGCTGGCGGTGCTGGTCACAAGCACACACAATAATTGACCAGTTAAGTTAGTCTCTGCATAATTGCCAATGAAAGTGGCAGTCCTTATAACTTTAAAAACCAAATGAGTTTTCGGGAAGCCACGAGAAACCGAGATACGGTTCGGGTGATCTGATCTGTGCTGTAGCCTGTCTCTTGTCCAGTCATTATTACAGTGGCAACCGCTAACGCCAGAACAAACCTTGCGCAGCTTTGGCATCGGCTTCGGAATGCCTCGTACGGGTGTCTGTGAAGGGCTTGAACCCCTCGTTCTTACCAAGTCCTACTGTGCTCACTGCCATTAAACTCGACTTCCTATTTCTGGGTCTGGGTCTGGGTTGAGTGCCCCTCCATCGCTATGATTTCCTTGGCTGGGGTCTAACAGTCCTTCGCTATGCGAGAAAGTGTCCCCGAAATGTGTTGGCCATGAATATCCGCTCGTAAACTCAGTCATGATAATGTCCAAAAGAACCTCTGGACCCGTCCGCCTCTGCTCTGGTTAGCCATGGCCCATAGGTCATTGTCACCCTTTCGTTATCGCTTATTCTCACATCCCCTGCAGAATGTTTTCTCTGATCAATCCAGTCATGTCCCACACGTTCTTTCCTTGCCGACCACTTGCCAACTGGTTCCTTCCCATACGCTGCTTGCTGTGGCCTGGTAGAAACAGACCAAGAATCTTTTATTACTGTTGGCCATGATTGCGGTTACCTCATCACCGCCCCCAAATCCCTAAGGCAGTGACATGGATGCCTGATTTGCCTGTCCGCTGCAGGGAGTCATCATTACGACTCAGGACATCTCTCGCTCCACGTCACATCTCTTGAAACTCAAGTGCCATTCCCTTTGTTCCTTGCAATCTGACGGTTACTGATTTACCAATCTGTCCCCGTGGCCGTGTCAATTGAAACTAATGCACTTGACATTTTAACGGGCATTCCCTGGCCTCATCATCTCTTCGCCATTGGTGACTTGTTATGCCGGAGAGGCGTGAGGTATGCTTGATCCCAAAAAGTCATGTTGTCTCCTGGACTAAGCCTGGATAAGCCGCATATAAAAGCTGCATTGAGGAGTTTCCCTTCGCGCCATGTGGTCAGTGCCAAAGTTCTGGCTCCCAAGTGGATCTTGCGGTCTGCATTGAGCATACCCCGCCAATCGTAAACCCCGCCCAACTTTTTCATTGATGCAGCTCCCTCCTGGATCTACTCCAATTGCCCATTGCTGCTGCATGATCTCCGCTCCATTGCCTGACAGACCGCTCAACTTTGAAAGTCTACTTCATGCTCTATCTATCCTGAGACTTCAAGGTTGGCTGGAGTGGGCGAGCTACGGAGAAAGCCTGTGCCTGTGCCTGTGCGGGGCGCCCTTGCCCCCCCCGGAACTGGCCAACCAACTTCCGGGCCAACACTGCACTTACTCATAACTTGCCAGTGACCACTGACCACTGACCACTGACGGAAGACAACTTCCTTCGGAAATTCCCATGACATTTTGAAAGGTTTCAAACTCAACTCAACTCTGCACATCCTGCTTCTCTAGTTTCCCATTTCGGCAGCCGTTGATATCTGGAATCTCGACTCGCTACGATTCCCCTCTTGCTAATCAGAATCAGGGTCCAGATCTTGCCTCACTGACAAGCCCAATCATGCCAACATCTGGACCAGGTCATCTTTTTCGAGGGCAACACCTCTTCAATCGTGTTCGCACTCAGATCATAGGTGTACCGCATTATAGAATGGAGGCTGGCTGATCTGCGCAGATCTCCCACGCTTGAACTGCAACATGTAAGCCAAAGCAAACCACAAGAAGCCCACGAAATGCAGCCGAGACCACGACCACTCGATGCAGAGCTTGGCGCTCCAACAAACACCAAGGTCATGAGAAGGCGCCCCCAAGGGTGTGCTTGGGAGCCCCTAACATTGTCCCTATCGCCGATCCGGGCGGGTGCTCCGGGCGGTGCTAAGGCGCAATCCAGGGTTCAGGAGCTCCCGCAGTTGGCCACCAATGCCACCATACGTTTTTATTTCAGTTAAACAAACGGGATAGAGTCAGACTAAGTCTAACTAGGAGACTCACAGCTCCGTACCTCGTGTTCAAGAAAACTAGCCCAAGAAGCAAGAAGATGCTGCAGCCTGCAGCCCTACGAGCCCCTCTTTCCCTTTCCCTCCTCCCTGTCACCATCTCTCCCATGTCTACGGAGTATGTACATGGTTACCGTGTTCAGAAGTTTCGTGGCTTGCGCAGACAAGCGAGAAATTCGAGGTCTGGACTTGGTCGACCCATCCGCAAATGGCAACAGCATCGCTCTAAACAATTCATCTGAACCATCACCGGCAAAATCCTGGTTAGTCGCCACCTTCCCCGTCCGAGTTTTGCTCGACTTCCTTTTGCTTTGCTTTTCCTTTGCAGACGCAGACCTGCCCAACCTAGCAATTCCATGTCTTGTCAAGCGCTTGACTTGCTTTCTTTCCCTCAAACCCCTCCCTCATTCCCCGTCACCAACACAATCACTTGACAGACTAATAATACTGAGTACTAGTACAACTTGGTACTCTCCGTGCCCTCGTCCATCGTGCACATGGCCCAAGTGAGAAGAGACGTCCACCAATCCTTGGTAATCTGTGCCGTGAGCCTCCCTAATCGCTGCTTCTTTTGAGCTTATCGCCGTCACGGAGCGCGGAGCTCGCTCTGCTCAAGCACAGCTCGCCACACTGTCACTGCACGCCCAAAGCAGACGTCCGATCTCTATCTGGACTTCTGGAGTGGCAGGGCTGTCGCTTTCATAGACCCTCTTTCTCCCTCGCACTCCCCTCCTTGCATTTACGACGATTTATTGCTCTTTTGACGACAACGGCTGCATGTCATGGCACGCGCCAATCAACAAACTCGATAAAACGGCTTTTCCCAAACCCAATCCGCGCCGCAACGCCTCGCCTTCTTCGTATTTCCTCCATGGTTGCCTGTTCTTATCACAAAACTTCCTGTGCCAAGGGCCGTCAAGCAATGCTGGGCTGTCGAAAACCACGATCAAATGATCCTAACGGTGTAGCTAAGCACCTTCTCGCCGACATTTGACACCCGCACATAGACAAGCGCGCACCGGTGTAAGAGTAGACGAAAGTACGGGTTCGCTTGTCATGTTTCAGTAAAATGGGGATCCCCGATAGCTTTACTCCCTTCGCCTTACAGGGCTGAGATGAGTCTTCGTAGTACCAAACACCTGACCACACATCAACTTCGTGCAAGCCAAGCCAAGAGCACCGGAACTCGTCGAGACTGCCTTACGCCGGGCCATCAGGCGCTCTCGCACTCGTCGCTTTTGGACCAAGGCGGACGAACAAGTATCATCTTCCTGATCGAACCCCAATCCCTATCCATACACCATCCTCTGGACACCGCCACCACACCACCACCCCCCTGGATTCTTGAGTTTATGTTCGGGCTAAAAGACTAAGTTATTACTTGTCCCTCGCTTTCAATCAACTGACGAGATTCACGAGATCGTCAGCTCTGTATTCATGTGTTTGTAGAAGAAGGGGCCGAGAATGTCTCTTGCAGTAGTCAATGCATGAAGATAATGAAACTGAGGTGGTTTTCAGCCTGCCGCCATTTCTTGTGAAGATGATCTTTTCTCGAGGAGCCGGTGCTCTGAGTTCTGTCCACAGGCGAGATAGTATGCTACATACAGCGTTGTTCGGGACTTTTGACGAAATCTGTGCGGGTACGAATGTCGTAGCGGCGGTGGAACTGTAAAATTTCGGCCTTTTGGATTCAGCTGTCGTTTCTTGGAATCACGAGCCACGGCAGGAGAAATTGGGACCAGTTGATTCCGAAGCTTAGTCTCTTTCATCATCATTGCAAAGCGACGCGTCTTGTCCTGCTCCCAAGATCACATTCGCGCGTCGGTGACAGTGGGCTCCAGACTCAGCCAAGATAACAACGGGTATCCCAACTCAGCTAGGAGATCCTCGAGGACCGACGGATCTTGTCTGAGAAGATCCCACTCCGCCTCGTCTTTGACCATCAGCGTGCCTCCCAGGATGGTCCCATTGATGGCGACGAAGCTATCGGGGCCACTGGCACTGGCACCCCGTAGTATGCCGGCACCCTCTTTGCGTCGCGGGCAGATCGCCATCCTCTCCGTCGTCATTGCCAGATTATAACTGACGGCCGCGCTGCCACTATTGTCTTCGACACTGAACGAGCTGCTGCTGTTGAAGGGCTCGCCAGGGTGTTGAACCGCCGAGATGGCGGCCCTTAACAGCATTACGTATTTCGAATGCAAGGCCGATGCTGATAGGTTTCCTTCTTCTAGGGGAGTTGCGAAGTGCAGGATCGGAAGAGCCGGGTCCTGATATAATGGCAGATCGGGATGAGCTTGGACAGTCATGTGGTCGATGAGGAGGTCGAAGTGCTCCTTCTCATTCCTTAGCATGTCCTCCACCGGGAGGAATTGCAAATGCCGGTGTGGCTGGCTAGCACCACTGTGTTCTCCAGAGTTGAAGAATGAGAACAGTCGCTTGGAATGAGCCGGATCATGTCGCTGATTACTCCAGGCGCGAAGGCACGCATAGGTCATGCTGAGGTCATCTTCCTCAAGGACAGCTGTTTGTGGCTTGTTGGACTTTGTTGCAATAATGAAGTGGTTTTTGATTACTGGGAATTTATTGAGAATCAGGGCATGCGAATATTTTATATTGTCGTTGCCTCTGGGGACTTGCGCGATGAGAAGCTCAGGTGCAGGATTGGCAAATGGGTTGAATTTTGGCTTTTCGGTTTTCGAGTCTTCTCTCTCCATTTTGTGTGTGTCTGACGAGCCTCCTTGTGGTTTGGATGTCGGCGTGGATGTCGGCTTTTTTGCTAATGCTGGGCAATATCGAAGCTGGAACTGGACAAATGTCAGGAACCAATGACCAGGAAATTGTATGGAATGAAAGGATTGGGACCAACAGGGATTCCATTCTGGGTTTGGACAATCGCAAGAGACGTGTCTGAAAAGATGATGTCCTTGTTTTTGTAGGCTTCCCGGAACTTCCTTGATATTAGTGTCGATAGAGATTCTCGTATACCAAGCAGTCCCTCCATGATGATTAGGGTCAGTTACTCGTATCGTTCTGATAATTTGCTCTCGATATACTTCTTAGACGAAATCATATCAAATGTGTTGTTGGCTTTATCGTATTGCCTGGAGCTGAGTCCAATAGCTTGAGATACCAAACATTATCTTTCCTAACATCGATCAGTCCACAAGCTGGCAAGTTGACTGAGGTTGTGGTTGATTCTTTGATAAATCGGAACAAAGTAGTTCCGGGTGTCTTGGCTTTGGGAACGTCAAATGTCGGGCAGAATAAAAGGCAACCATCATGGGTAAATGAGCCAACATTTCACTGCAAAACGATCAGATCTACCTTGTAGAAACCCAGAGACCTATCTCCCTGTTTCTAGTTGAACCTGGTCACTAACTAGGGCCCACAGCATTGACCCTGATTGACCTTGGTGTCAACCTGCAACAGTGCCGACTTTCCAGTCCGGTACGGGCGGCAGATGCCGAAAATGTGAGAGCACAAAGTCAACAGCTCCTCTGCTACGTCTTGCCAATGCAAGAACAGGCGACCGCCTTACCACATTCTGAGCTGCCCTGAAATGAGGAAAATCTGGCTCAATTTGCCTCGGCGCGGAAAGGCTTGGGATTGCCACGAACATGAGCGTTTGTGGGACATATTTCCCAGATTCCATGCCACCTACGTCTGAAGATAGCCTCCGTGGACCCAGCGACCTGGAAACAATTCTCCTCAGACTCGTCACTGCCACATTCGTCTTGTCAGCACGCAGGCATAGTTCTAGCTTACCACGAGTGCAGACTCTATTTTAGTGTGCATTTTGCGACGTTGAATCATTACCAGTGATCATTCGGCTGCAACATCCCGCTCCCCACCAAATGGAGGTTGTGAGACCAAACTCAACAGAGGTAGCTATTGCGATATTCCAAAGAACATTGTGATCTATGCAGGAACAGATCGTGTCAAGACCTGTGAATCTCGGTCGAAGAAGCAGTGCCAGTTCGATTGTCCTACCATCGCATCAGACCTAAGCATAGAGACAAAAGTCGATATGCGAATTCGTCTTCGCGCTGCTGCCTGACTGCAACGAGAGATCAATTCAGGTCACACAATGAGCACCTGGTGTTTGCCATCTAGGCAAATCTTTCGCTTGCTATTATGCCAGCATGGCCTTGTCCGGTCTCACACTCCCTCGAGAGCCTCGATGAATCAATTCGGCCTATTCTTCTACAATCTACCGAGAATTGACCTTTCTCTAATGAGACTCAAAACACTACCGCATCAAGTAGTCGCTATGGGCTTAATGAATAGCATAGCTGGCCATTCGCGGGATGATATCAATCGCGTGATGTTTGTCGCCATTACCGTGGCGACGGGCAGGTACTGGGCTCATGCATCCAGACTATGCTCTCGAGTCTGTTGAAGTCAACGAAATATTTTGCCAAACTTAGTCAAGATACATTGCCTTTCATGTCCAGAAAGACCCATCAGACCCCCTCTAGGCGGCACTGGGAAATACTTACTGCTGTTGATTGGATATGGGAACGCAATTGTTTGGCTGGTTCATCGAGCCCGTGCGAACGCTCGCTTTTCTTCACAACGATCAATGGTCGGTCAGGTCTGCGGAGAATACAGCCCACCCATAGAACCATCGCTGTGCAACAGATCGCAACACAGGTGATGTTCCGCGACTGGCAATGATGCTCTGCTCTGCTCAGCGCAATAATCCCAAAGTTGGAGATCATCACCAGTTCTCTCAGTCCTCCGGCAATCCTCAAGCGTGAACAGCCTGTATCTTTTCAATTCACACAAGGGGCGGCGGACGATCCGTGTTTGCATGACGAACAGAATGATGACCGTTTTACGGATAATGGAGGCCTTTGTAGCTCCTGATTGTCATGCTTGATACCGCGACATGAAAACAGCCCATGCTTGCTCCATCCTTTCTAAGCGATGTTATCGCGGGTTGCGTTCTGTGCAATATTCGAGTACGGTCATCTTTCTCAGCCTTGGATTCCGGTCAGCGTTGCCGATGGATACCGATACTTTGTACCTGGGTACCTGCGCTTGCAAGGGACAACTGCGCTGCAATGACAGTCATCCTCGATGTCACAGAGTAGAGAATGTGCCTATCAAGAACTTCACATTCGAACCGACTCAACCTGCTGCAGCTATGTCTTCTGACGCAACCTGGAAATGTCACGCGTTTGGCGTATCCTCTTTATTACCTAGAGCTTCTTCCAACGGCGAGACTTCCAAAAACAATCCTACCAATCTCACCGCAAGAGAGATAGCCAGAATGCCATCGTCGCCAACGAAATCCCTCGACCCTCTGATCGATCACACCCACCATTATGCGTTCCCTCCAATCTCAACTGCAGATGCCCCAGGCAGACCTCCCACAGCCCCCCTGAAAGTACCCGCCTTTGAATCGATGGCACACGATATGGATGCTGGTGATAAAACAGTGCCACTCAATGAGTTGCATATCCAGCTGGGTCGCTCGAACTCACAAACCAACTTTGATCAGAATTGTGAAGGCCCTTATCGAGAACACTCGATCGTTGACCCGTCCTTGTTGATGGATCCTTTCTATGAAAATTCAAGTTACCTACCCATCCGAGAGACGATTTCCCCCTATTTACTCGATTATCCGGAGGAATTCAACTATTGCAACCCCGCTTCGACAAGCCTACATGATATGGCAAGCTTCAACGTCGGTTTTGGCGGCACTGCACCCGACAGCTTACCTGCTCTGACGTGCAATCTAGCCAGCCCTCAGATCGGAGGGTCGCTGACCACACCGAAGTCGACGGATACCTCACCCCTCTTTTCCGTCCATGACACCGACCTCGCACTAGATGGGCTTGGACTTTCCTGGAGCGACCCTCTAACGATAGGGCAAAGCCTTCCACCAGACCATGCAGGACTTGAGTCTCTCAATTACCTAGCAATTCATGGGGCGACGGGACTGCAACCCCACGGCTATCCTTTACCGTCTCAATTCTGCCCGCATCTCGCAGACAGCATGGTATTTGATGGTGTTTGGGATCCCAATGCCGGGCATCTTGATGCTCAATTTGGACAGAACATACCGTCGCCCCCTGATCAAATGTACAACATTGATACGACTGGATTATTTCAAGACAACATAACAACAGATTGGCGGGTCCATAGTACCGAAAGTCCTAACCAAGATGCATCCCGTCGACATTCAAAAGGCAGGAGCGCTCAAAGAGATACTTCTAAGGATGAGCTCTTGGTGAGTTGCAAGGCTCAAGGAATGTCATATAAGCAAATTAAGGAACTGGGCGGGTTTGATGAGGCCGAATCAACCCTACGGGGCCGTTATCGAGCACTCACCAAGCCAAGGGAAGCCAGACTGCGAAAACCAGAATGGGGAAAGCGTGAGGTGAGTAACATGCATCGATCCCTCGTGGAGACTATGTTTGCTAATGGCGACAGATCGAATTGCTCTTCGAGGGCGTGGCTCATTTCTCCAAGTCAAACGCGGATTTCTTGCTTCCGGAAGACGCTCCTGACAGCGCTAGTCTGAACCAACTTGTCAACAAGATACCCTGGAAACAAGTTGCTGAATATATGGAGAGTAGAGGCACCTACAGATATGGTAACTGGACAGTCAAAAAGAAGTACATGGAAATCCTGAAAAGCCGCGCCAGTCTCTATCCAGCTCGTCCTGGTTAAGGCCCTAATGATATCTATGGATTGAGGTTATGCTTTCTACTGGATATGTCACCCAGCCCAGCTAGGCTTACCGTTCTCTACACGTGGCCGCTTCCACTCCTGACATGCAAGGCTAGTTTACCATCAGATGGCCCAATTTGTCGAGCATGGCAATGTTCTTAGTCATTCTCCACGCAGGCTGTTCTCTTGAGCTCATGCAACGACCCTGTCTCCCACCGAAGCCCCTACTTTGTCGCAACCATGACAACAGGAGCACAAATCCAACACTCTAAGCGCCATAAATTGGGGAGAGCTGCAAAGTCTTTCAAAGTGTGTGCATATACCTCTTCCAATTCATACATCGGCTTTTGCTTAATGACTTGCCAATGTGGGCGATGGACCTTGACCTATAACGACAAACTCATATGATTATCACCCTCGACATGAGCACTCCTGGCAACACTGTTCATTATGATCAAACGACTATTTCCTCGTCTATGCTGTTGCCTGAAGTCAAACAATCACTTTGTTGGCTTAACTCCAGACTTGAGTGCCCTACTGCTGTTGATAAGAAGCATGACAATCGTCCTTCGACTCATCCAAAAAAAGGGTGTTCAGACCCCATGATCATTCCCGGAAGTCCTTCAGGCCGAGCCGACGTGAAAAATTGACGAGCAGAATAACTTCACATTGAATATCCGTATCTGATTAAATGAGTCGTTTGAGCACGAGTCAACAAATATGCCTAAGATTACCATTCCCCACTGTTCGTGATGCTAATGTGTCTGACGGGCACGGAATTCGTGTCCTTAAGGTTGAGTGCGGAGGCTTATGCTCTCCTGGCACTCTGAAGCTGCTTTTCGGCCCACGCTTATCCAGCGAAAATCCTGACATTGACAATTCCGAGTCAGAATAAGCGTACCGAGGAGTTGTACTTCCTGCCACTAAGGCTCGGCTGCCAATAAGCGCTCACCATTTCAACTTGGCGGAAGCTCTCCAAGGTGTGGGAAAGCGTTATTTGCGGGGTGGGCCTAAAGCGAAGCTTCATGGGGTACCTCCGCCTTTCACGCGACTCATCGCCACCTAAGTTGATCAAAAGAGCTCCTGTGTCAAGGGCTCGGGAGCCGGAGGGCTGGTTCGAGGTTGAGCAGCATTTGTGTCCTATCTATATTAAGTTCTGAGTTCCCCCTTTGTTGATCATGAGCTCCAGAGTGAATCAACCCTAAATCTTTCCACCTCTTCCTAAATTCGTTGCCACAATTATGCGTCGTGATCGTGAGGTCAAAGAGGGCTTGCTGCGCAAACAAAAGCTCAATGTTCATACCGCCGCAGTACTCGCCGTCCTGGGGTTTGGATCGTTGACTTATGGTTATACGGCTTCCATTATAGGAACAACCCTTGGTAAAATCACAGTCTGTCGCTTCCTATTCAGAAACTAATGGTTTAGGGCAACCCTCTTTTATCGAATATTTTGAACTTGGCACTCGTGCCAATGGAACCGATCTCATCTCGACGATGAACGGTCTATTCCAGACCGGAGGCGTCATCGGGACCTTGCTGTTGCCGACCGTCTGTGATAAATGGGGAAGGAAATGGGCCTGTGCAGTGGTATGGGACATCCTGATAGAATTGATCTCCAGCATTCTGATACAAAGCAGTCAGCCATCCTTGCCATTATATCTGGTGCGGTTATGACAGGAAGCGTCAATGTTGGCATGTTTATTGCGTTCCGATTCATTGCTGGGGCCTCTGCATTCATGATCCTAGCCGCGGTTCCCATTCTCATGAATGAGATTGTCCCCGTACATATGCGAGGCGCTTTGGTCGACGTCCACGCCGTCATGCTTGTTCTTGGTTACACCATTCAAGGGTGGGTTGGATTTGGATTCTTCTTCTGGAAGAATGGTGGTGGCTTGAACGCCTGGCGACCACCGGTCGCCATCCAGTGCTTTTGGCCTCTCTGTCTTCTGGTCGGCTTGATCTTTGTCCCGGAGAGTCCAAGGTGGCTTGTCATGCAGGGAAGAGATGCTGAGGCCGAAGCGATCCTTCTCAAATTGCACTCAGATCCCAGTGATCCGGAAAATAGCGCAGCCAAGGCAGAGTTCTACCAGATTAAAAAGCAGATCGCCATTGACAAGACCCTGGGTAATTCGTGGATGCACATATGGAGGAAACCGTCCTACAGAAAGAGGGCATTCCTGGCCGTTGGTATCACTGGCATCATTCAGCTGAGTGGCGTATTGGTTATTAACAATTATGGTCCTTCTCTCTATGCGCAGCTCAACTTCTCGCCGGTCAAGCAACTGCTCTACCCGGCAGCTTGGCTGACATTTGCTCTGGGGATGAATGTCATGGCCATGCCTTTGGTTGATCGATTCCCCAGGAACAAGTTCATCGCGTTTGGCGTCCTCGGCTGCATGGCCACCCTGATCGTGGAAGCCGCACTGGTCGCCAACTTTGTGCCTTCGAACAATTCTGCTGCTCTCCAGGCAGCAGTAGCTATGTTCTTCGTGTTCCAAGTCTTCTACGGGATCTGTTTAGATGGCACCCAATTCTCCTACCTCGGAGAGATTTTCCCAACCCATCTCCGCGCAAAAGGTGTCTGTCTAGGCGTGGCGATGATTTCTTTCATGAATATCATATGGTTACAAGCAGCACCTACAGGTATGTTGACTTCCTATGCTTCCCAAAGAAGACCCAGCTAATCATTCTTTATAGCTTTCATAACCATTGGCTGGAAGTTTGTGAGTCTCCCCGTCTTCTGATTCCAAATTGTGTGAAACATGCCAGGACCCTGTTTTCCCTCCCCTCTAGGTCCAAGTGCCTTCCTTCACCGATTGCAAGGCCCTTTACTAACTAGACCTTTCACCCAAATAGTACCTCTGCTTCATCATACCAGGAGTCATCGGTGGCGCCTTCATGTGGCTCTACTTCCCGGACACCAATGGCCTGCCACTGGAAGAGGTTGCTGCGATCTTCGGCGACGAAGACGAGGTCGCCATCTACCAGAGAGATCTTGAAGTCGACTTTGCGACTCACGCGATCGTCGACCATCACCACCACGAAGACAAAGCAAATGGCGGCGCAGCGCATGTCGAGACTGACAACAACTCGAACTCCGGCAATGAAAAGGTTAACTGACGGCTTGATCACTCGACGAGTCCTATCCAAATATCCAGGATGCCCAAGAGATCATCCTCATCATCAGTCAGTCAGATCCTGAGCTTCGGTCAAAAAAGGAGTCTAGGCTATGTAGTACTAGTAATTTAGTTAGTACCTAGTACTATATATTTATTTAGTTACCAAAGCGATATAAATTGGTTAGACAGAGTATACAGGCAGACTACTACATAGTTAGTATATAGCCGCACCAAAAAGCCATTCTAGCTCTTGAGACACACACGTTGCATTGCTATAAGGGAGTCGAGTTATATTCTGAACTACTTTAGTAATAGTGACAATACTCACATCACAGTGCCGTTTATTGTCTAACCAAGAGCTACTATCTAGGCTTAAATATTACTAAGTAATGTACATACTGTATATATAAATACTATCATTGTATGTACTGTGTTGTATTGCCCGTTTCTAGAACCATCCCTTGGCTCTCGCGGACTAGAAGAACGCACTCAGAGTCGTTTGAAGAAGAAACAAAGGCAACCAATGGTTGATCTTCCCAGTGTACTTATATTCTGTAGCTCTCCAACTTGATTTTGGACCTTATTCCATGCTTGTTCGGGTGTGAATTCAATCTCGTCAACGGTTGGGAGTCTCCGCCAGCTGTTGTAATTAGATTAAGTAGGTCAGCAATTGGCTTCCTATATTGTGGCCCCGGCCCTTGGTGTCCGGCTCCCTACTGACAGGAATACTAGTTGAAGTACTACTTATTATGTACGTATACTACTAATAATATACATGCTTACTATACATACTTAGTATCTAGCACATAAAATAGGATACTACATAGTAGTATGTAATTCAAAGACTGCTAGAAACATTGCATCGTCAAGTTTGACATTGGAATTTAGGCTTCCACGACGTCCGCGGTTCCTATCTAGTACTACTACTATGCTACACACTTACATACTTGTACACTAATGTAGCTAGATTAACAGGAGATATGCGGTGTCAAAATTTGTAGCTACCCTTCTCCTAGGGCCCGGTTAGGTCACTCCTATTGTGTTCGCTCTCTTTCATGAGATGGTAGATGTCGCGGCCAAAGGTGGTGATCCTAGGTGTAGGACTCAGATGCCAAAGGATATTTAGGCACTAAGCCCAATTTGGAATGCAAAGTGTCCTGTTAATATTAGTAGACTACGGCGACTACTATATATACTCATAAACATACGAAGTACTAGGTAGTAAGTACTAACTACTACTCTATATATGTACTTCTCATCTTTACTTCCTCTCAGTTCTCTACCACCAACACATAGAGGTCCAGCTCACAGTCACCTCAGGTACGTAAACAGCCCCTTGACTTCTCGACTTCTAATGGACATACTACTATGTATGCAATACTTACGTATGCCTGAAAGGTTTGATATTGGATGTGGAGAATCTGCCGGTGTATGTAGTCGATGACTCCGACACCTGTTATGGCAGTCACTTGCAAGTCAAGCGCTGTGATTTTAGCTTCGTGCTTGTTAGGCTACGCTACATTCGTTTACAGATCATTACTACTAATACTATTTCATTTTGCCGGAGATTTAGGTGGTGTTTTGTCTTTATTTAAGTAGTAGTACGTATGTATGTATTCACTATGTATGTATGCAGCTACATACTAAGTAGTATCGTTGCATATCTTCACCCGTAGCGTTTATACCATTACTAGTAGTATCTGAGAGTACATACTACATACTTAATTACAAAGTGGTAAAGAGTATAGTATGTACATACATAGTACTATGTATGTAGTTCACGCAAATCCTCAGACAGCCGAGGTCGACATGAACCATCCTACATCCCAAGGGACTGTGATCTCCGGGATTCGGTAGCGGTTGGGATTTCCATTTTAGGCACATCCTCGCCGGATGAGGTCGAGGCGCGGGAGAATGTACCCAAACCGTTACACCTTGATTCTACATTGTACTAAGTGAGTACTTATATACATTAGTAGTGGTGCAGATCAGGACGTCTCTTGCCCTATTGTGTTATTTATTACCCTCTCTTTCCCAAATTCTAGTGCCTTTCCTTTCCCCTTATCCATTGTCTGCCCGCCACTTGCCTTCGCGTCGAACGAATTTGAGAAAAAGAAGAATAGCTGCAAGTCAATATGAGTTCAAAATTCGAATCAAAGACGAGTGAGGCTATCAAAGATGGGATTCTCTCTGGTGCCGCATGCGTAGCTGGCCGCAAGGATGGTGAGATTGCAGTTATTCTAGTCTTCTTTGACGATCTGTGTTCTCAGGCCGGATTAACTGGTTGAGTGAAAGGAACGATATTCTACCAGCAGGCTTTTGGTAGAACAGGGGCAGAGCCGGATGCTGGTCCCATGAAATTGGACACAGTCATGTGGATCGCGAGCTGCACAAAGGTGAGCTCACCTTTATACAGCTGCTCTTATGTACCAGACATAGCGAAACTTCCAAGGAGGTTACTGATCAAGTTTGTCTGCACTTTCATCACAGCTCCTTACCTCAATCTCTGCCATGAAGTGCGTCGAAAAGGGCTTGTTAGAGCTTGACGCGCCCATCACCAAGGTCCTGACCGACTTCGAGCATCCTAATATCCTGGACGGCTTTGATGATTGGGGAAAGCCCAAACTAAGGAGGTCGACTAAAGCAATCACCCTTCGACACCTGTTGACGCACACCTCTGGATTCGGTTACATCGGCATGAACCAGAGTCTGACACAGTTTGCAGTAGGGATTTTCAGCGAGCCCCCAAGCTTTGGGCTAAACTCGCCAAAGTACAGCTGCCAGGTTCCACTGGTTGCAGAGCCCGGCGAGACCTGGGAGTATGGGGTCGGGCTCGAATGGGCCGGAAGGATGGTCGAACGAGTGAGCGGAAAGACACTCGGTGAGTACATGCGTGAGAACATTTTCGACGTCCTGGGGATGACTTTCACCACATTCCATCCTTGGGACAATCCAGAAATCATGGCTCATATGGGCGGCCGGACCTGGCGAGATCACACGACAGGGAAATTCACCATTGATCGGAGCGGCTGGTTTCCCGAGTCAGAGCGGCCTGAACAAGATTACGGTGGTGGTGGCTCTTACAGCTGCGCCCTGGACTATGTCAAAGTTCTCATGTCGTTGCTCATGGACGATGCGAAACTGCTGAAACCGGAAACGGTCGAGACATTTTTTGCACCGCAGGTCGAGGACACAACGTCGCTACAGAGCGAGCTGACTGCCGGACCGATTTCCATCGGCGCCACCAATGGGCTGCCCAAGGATGACTGTAAGTTCAATTACGGGCTCGGGGGTGCCCTGTGTACGAACAGTATTCCTGGGCATTTTGGTCGCGGTATGATGTTCTGGAGTGGGCTTCCCAACTCCTTCTGGGTGAGTATCCCAATACATCGTATTCTGTCTCGACTCCATATGTGTTCTTGCTCAAGCCACATTTAGTTCATCGATAGAGAAGCAGGCTCCTGCGGAATGTACCTCTCGCACATCTTCCCACCAGGAGATGGTCCTACACAGGCACTCAATGCCGAATTTCAACGCTTTGTATATTCAGCATCGGTTTCAGACTCATAGATTTGGACAAGTGCTATACAACGGTGGCCGGGGTGGGAAGGTGGTGTAGACACCATGCCATGCAAAGAATATAGTATGTAACTTTCCATAAGAAATTTACTAAACTTGTTGTGTTACAGGTTACACATACAAGTATTACATCATTCATAACGCTGTTCCCTCGAGTAGTTGATCAAATTCGTAGTAGGTAGAAAGTAGGCTTTGTGGAGGCGCGTACCAATCCAGTACACCTTCCAAACCTGCTTCAATTTCCCATGGCTGTGTATCAAAACCTCCAGTCAGCATTGGGTCCGATGAACTGGTCCTGCAATGACTCGTTCGAAAAGTGTGCCTTTCGCCGGAATTTGTATGGTCAACGTCCTCCTCATACCCACCGTCTTCAACATTGATGTTTGCACTTGCATTGGCTTCACGGTTTTCGATTTGTGGTTGCGGATTCTCGTACGACGCCTCTTCTTCACTCGGGAAAGGTTCCACCATCTTGCGCTGATGCACGATCTTCAGTAAGCCGATAGCATGGCGTGCTGATCTGTAGATGCCTCTGAGGCGATAGAGACATGTCAAGATAAGTCGAAAGTGCTGCGTAGCGAGGATGCGAACCGATTCATCGCGCGAACACATGTCGTTCATGTGTTGCATGCCAGCAAAAAGTAACGTGGTGATCCCTATTGGGGGGAGCAGCTCGAGCAAATCTTCCAGCATCAGTCGTTTCGCTGTCACTGTACTTTCCTGGGCTGCTTCCCTCAGCCTCTGTTGCGCAAATGCCTGAAGCAATCTCGCGGCGGACTCCTCCGGACAGGCATGACAGACCTGTGGTCGATGCACCATGCTACGGATCGACTGGTAGAGAAGGTTAAGAAGGGCTTGGTGCACAAGAACAATACTACATTCCTGTTCGGAGTTGGTGTCCACTAGTTGCCGAAGGGTCGAGCAACATTGCTCGTTCCACTGGCAAAGCTCTTGATCCAGGATCATAACATCACCGACGACCGCATCACTTGTTTTTGGGACAAACACAATTTTTGGTTCGACGTAAGCCCAGCGCCGATGCCCCTTGGGCGAGTACAGCCTATTGAGAACACGTCCAAAAGTGATGCATAACCGGATCAAGTGAATGAACATTGTGTTGACAATTGCGACTTGCAGTGTTGGCAATCGGGCATTGTATCGCCGTAGGAGACTACAGAAATATTGCGTATCGAAGTCTTCGGAGGCAAGAATTGGAATGTCAGCCTCGTGGTCACGAATGTTGCTAGGCCGCCGCTCGTTGAGAGAAATCATTCTGTCTCGTAGATAGCAACACCACCACAGCCTCTTCTTGGCTTTCTGTTGTTTGAGGGTAAATCTGGTCAACTCGGAGTTTCGATCCAAGCCTATTTCGTAGGCATAGGACAAGGCAATTCTGGACCAATGCCACCGCCCTTTGATATCCTCGGGATTGTCATACCAGTAGGTCATCAGAACCAACGTCCGGATCAGCGTCATCGGATCAAGCTCTAGATTGAAATCAAACAGCAGCTATCTCGGTTGATGTCAGCAAGCCACAGCGTATCGGTTGCGTAGACCTGCTTTCCTACTTACCCGGACCTTCTCGAAGTATTTCTCACGCGCTTTCTCTCTGTCATCAAACCCTTCCCCTTGAAGTAATTCCAAATCGACGAACGGCACGGCGCAAAACATGACTGCTTGGAACAATATCAATGGGATCTTGACCGACGATTTTCCACCATCGTGGATGGGTTGGTAGAAATCTTCGAGATCCAGGAGCGGCAGGAACGGGTGGACATACAATACATACTTCTCAAGAAGTCGATCTTGTAAGACACTGCTTGGCAGAGAGAGTGCGCCCTTGTAATGAAGAAATCCAAGGTCGTCTTGGTCGAGTTCGTCTGAGAGCGGACAGATGTAGGCTGGGAGCACAATTCGTGTTTTTTGAGCTTGGAGCATCCATGGCTGAAGATCCGAAATTGGGCTCTGCGTAGTAGAGTCTTGCTGATTTCCGAAAACTAACCCGTGGAGCCTGTCGGGCACAGGATGTTCTCGAAAAAAGTCCCTGTTACTTAATGCGCCGTTTTCACCTGAGCCAGGTCAGTCTTGATGCATGCTATGGGCATTGATGTACGGTGATATACTAATAGCAGCTGCACATTGCTTGGTCAGTTCTGTGTCCAATGCCTGAGGCATGGTGGCCAAGAAGTTATCGATCCTAGTTCTCAGGCTTTGCGGTGAACTGCCGTCGGGTTCTCTGTGTGTTTGCAGTTCCAATGCCATCGCTCCGTCAGGTGGATTGGTATTTGCGTCAAAGACATGAAAGCCAGAAGGGATGGTGCTGAATTCCTTCGCAGAGGCTCTGTATCTGGGCTTTCTTGCATGACTGACTGCACATCCGATCCCTGAACTCTTGCAGCTTGCACATGGGATACCACTGGTTGACACACTACATCGAACTTTTCGACTACGGCATGCTAGACAGGCCTTGGAGGCTCTGGGTATCCTGGATGGCATTTTCTCGCAGACCGTGCTTTCGAGGCTGGTAGTGGTTACTATGTATTTCTAGAAGCCTTGCTTCGGTTGGAGAAATACATTATGCATAGGCTCACATAACTGCTTGGCACCAAGTATGCAGGCAGAATCACAAATGAGCGTAACCAAGAAACTACTCCAATGACAATGACTAAGTAAAATGGGTGAGGTGGAAGAGTCTGCGCTCAGCGCGGGGGCTCGCCAGTCCCTGGAAAAGTAGATTAATAAGAGCTGCTCCGCACGAGCGGCGCTTGTAGTGTCTTCGCTCCGGCAACATAGACTTACTAGTTCGCTATTTACGTATGTGTCTAGCAAACCCCACTTTTCCGAGAAGCACTGAATATTCAGAGACAGCCCGGTACCTAGGTACCTAAGTATGATAACTTCATCTTGGCAAACCAGTGCAACCACGGCCTTGACGCTTGGCGCGTGCAACTGAATCCGGCAATATGCTTCCAGATTGGGAGTTGAAAAGCCGAAATGGGTCCGTCTCATGAGATCTTCGAGGCTCGGACAGTCTCTCGCGCAAGTCTTCAAGCCCTAGGTATGGCCAATGGCATCAAATAATGGTTTGGGTGAAGAGTTGTTACTTCCTCGATCCACGGAACCGAAACAAGGTTGTCGAATATATAACATGGCGTTTGAACGGTCTATTTGCTTGCCGTTGGTGCTCAAAGACCCATGTTTCCTCTGATTCCAGCTTCTCATTTACATCATCTTCTTGTGCCTGTCAGCCTTTCTGATCACCGTTGCAGCGATGCCTTACAAGTCTCGTTGGCAGATTGAGATCCCTCGATGTTCACTTCCCACGTTCCTCTTTGGATCCTCTGCCAATCTTCCTCACAGTCCTTCTAATCCTAACAAAGTGTGTCTTGCAGACGCAGCTCGGCCAAACACTCATTTTTTTACAAGGGCCACATATCAGCTCTGGTGTCAACGCTTTGCTTTAGGCCTACAGCAATCAGGGCTTTTCAAAGAGGGTGATCGGCTCCTGTTGTTCAGCCCGAACAACATTTTTGTGCCAGTTGTATTCCTAGGTACTTTGCTTGCTGGTGGTATTTTCACAGGAGCAAATCCGTCCTTTACTCCCCGAGAGCTGGCCTACCAGTTACGTGATTCCGAAGCTTCCTTGTTGCTCTGCCATAGCTCCATTACTGAGTCAGGCATTCAGGCAGCAAAACGCGCAGGTCTGGATCTATCCCGAGTCTTTGTTTTTGACGATGCCATCTTCGACGGCACAGGATCGTCATCCCACGGTTTGTGGTACTGGAGCCAATTGGTTTCTCCCAATCTGGAACAAGCTGAAGTCTTTGCTTGGAACGACCTCACAGGTCTTGGAGAATGTAACACTACCTTAGCCTTGAATTACTCATCCGGGACTACTGGACTTCCAAAGGGGGTGGAAGTCACTCATCTCAACTACCTAGCAAACACACTGCAAACAGGTCAGACAGTCAAAAATCACCTAGACTACGAAAAGAGAAGCCTCAATTCCGCTTCTCTTGCATATCTCCCACTGTACCACGCATACGGCCAAACCGTCTATATTGCTCTCTATTTCCATCACGAGCGTACGGCATATGTGATGCCCAAATTTGATTTCATCAAAATGCTAGAGTATACGGAGAAATTCAAGGTTTCGGATATGAACCTCGTGCCACCAATCGCTTTGGCCTTGGCCAAATATCCAGACCTTGACAAGTATGATCTGAGCAGCGTCACCTTTCTTGGGTGTGGCGCTGCACCTCTGAGTAGAGATATTGCAGAGCAAGTCGAGAAAAGGCTGAACAAGAATCGTAAAGAGGAGGACAGGCTGAACTTGAGACAAGGCTGGGGCATGACTGAGTGAGTGCTGTCTGCCAAAAAAGCAGTGGGAACTCTCTAATTACTCCAGATGTACTTGCTCACTGCTTTATCCGGATATCAACGAAGAAGTTAACACAAACACGGTTGGAGAGCCTAACGCCAACTGTGAGGCCATGATTGTCGATGAAGGTACTGGAAAAGAAATTACAGCTCGAGGGCCAGAAGCTAGGGGAGAATTGTGGTGCCGCGGTGAGAATGTCATGAAAGGGTAAGCCTAAACCTGTCAGGCATTTGCCAAGACGATCTGGTCGAACAGTTCGGTAATGATTTCGTGATCTAGATACTGGCGAAACCCCAAAGCCACAGCCGAAACGCTCACTCCAGGTGGGTGGTTGAAGACAGGGGATATCGCCTACGTTTCCGAGAAAGGTCATTTTGTCATTGTCGACCGTATCAAGGAGCTGATCAAAGTTCAAGGCCACCAGGTAGCCCCTGCCGAGCTCGAAGCTCTGTTGCTCGAACATCCGGCTGTCCTCGACGTGGCCGTGGTTGGGGTGTCTAGATCGGACGGCGACGAGGAACCGAGGGCATTTGTAGTCAAACAAGGTAAAGTAACTGAGAAGGAGATCCAAGATTTCACAGCCTCGAAAGTAGTCAGATACAAACATCTGACTGGCGGTGTTACGTTCATCGATGAAATTCCGAGGAATCCAAGTGGCAAGATTCTAAGGAGGCAGATAAAGGAACGTTGCAATGACAGCGTACGTACAGGAGCACGATTGTAGTTCTCAGCAGCCATTCAGCAGCATAATAGACCATTAACCCGAAACCAAGTTAATTCTTTCCATTTTGATAACTAAGCCCCGTCGAACAGTGGCGAGTATGGGCAGCGACGTCTCTACTTACTTGACAAATTAAGTTAGAATACAATAAGCGTTCTATATCGGGAAACACAACGATCAATTCCTTGCCAGAAAAGTCAGCAGTTATACGTGTAGCTGAACTCTCTCCGGGCTTACAAATACCGGTATTTTACGGAGGCATCCACCCAGCAGTCCAGATGACGGTAGGGAAATCACTCAGAGTCTTCAGCCGAGTAATGACTTCCGCATGATACTTCGTCTGCCTCGTTGTTACGTCTTATTGCTCACTGATCGGCTCCCTAAAGCTTATGGACGTCTGACTATTGATCCTGGTACTCCGTACTTCGGCTAGTTGTTCCCCACGGGGTTGACCCACAATGTCCCAAAACGAACCCGAGGTCCCGATCGGTCCATTGTGCCTATTCTGGCACTCATTGGAACGGATAAAGACTGAACTCCGGTATAGGCGGTGTGAATATTGTTGTCAATAGAGGAAGAGATTGTCTAAGAAAACCAATTCTTCTGGTCTGGAAAGTCTACATTTGACGTGGAAGAGAATTGCACAATGTCGACGTTGAAGGACGACGTTGAAGGCGAAACTCGTCGCACAGAAACGGTACAAATAGAGGACGCCCTCCATCAGCGGATTGGACACGAGCTGGATGCCTACGAAAGTCGTCCAGTCGACTTCTGGACAGTCATGGCATGCGTGGTATGTTGTACTGGAAAATCTTGACCCTCCTCTGGCTCAACTTTTATTTATCGTTTGCTGACCCGTTCTGGTTCACGCTAGGCTCTCGCATTCACCTACGAAGCATGCCTATTCTCGTTTGTTCTCCCAGCCGCAATTTTACTGACAATAAATGCCGACATTGGGCCGTCCACCTCGATTACGTGGACCGCTACTGCATGGTCTCTAGCCGCCGCGGTAGTCACAACCGTTGCAGGCCGGTTTTCAGACTTATTGGGGCGTAGGAACTTCTTTATCATAGGCAACGTCTTGGGACTTGTTGGTGAGTGCCAAAACAGACTTATTACTTAGCAGTCGCTGTATCTAACAGTCGATATCAGGTTGCATTGTTGCCTCTCGTGCTATGGCAGTCGGCACTGTCATAACAGGATCTACCCTGATGGTCAGCCTTTCCGGCGAAAAGTGATAATCTCGTCTGACGCTATCCCAGGGAGTTGGCGCAGGATTACAACAGTTGGCTTTCGCGGCTTCAAACGAGATCGTGCCCAAGAAATGGCGAGGTACCGTTGTTGCATTTCTCAATCTAGCAGCAGTTCCTGGCTCGGCCTTCGGCTCAGTTATAGGTAAAAAAACACATTGTTTCCTGGTGCAAGTGGCTGATACAGATTCCTACAGCATATGCACTTGTGGCTAATCTAAATTGGCGCTGGGCATTCTATTTGGGTGCCATTGCCAACGGACTCGGTCTGACGCTGATCATTGTCTTTTACTGGCCTCCGACCTTCCTTGACATCCATCGAGATGGCAAAACCCGCCTACAGCAGATCAGGGAGATGGATTTTGTTGGACTGTTCTTCTACGGTGGTGGTTTGACGAGCTTTCTGCTAGGTGTTTCATGGGGAGGCAATCCACACTCATGGACAAGCGCGCCAGTTCTTGCGCCGCTCATCATCGGTGGTAAGATTCATGAATTAGCGCTTCTTGAAAAGCCACTACTGATAGGGACACAGCTATTGCTGTTACGGTTGCCTTTCCTATATGGGAGATATACAGCTCTGAAAAGATTGCCAAGCTATGTCCTCCTGATATGTTCCGAAATATTCGAGGATTCACCGTCCCGCTTTCTGTTTGTTTCTTGGGTGGTATGATGGTATGTGCAAGCAAATGGCCAAATTCAGCTCGCACAATCTAATAAGGGACTAGTTCATGGGCCTTCAAGTTCTTTGGCCTCAAGGTGAACTTCCTTCTGCCACCCAAATTGCCGGACAACTTTTGCTAATTCTTTCAAAGAGGTCCAACTTCTTTTTACATCTATTCCGCGACAGGTCGGCTGGTACAGTCTTTCTTACAATGCATCAGCACTCCGTGAGTACCTTGAAATTTCTAGACTGGACGAGAATTCTGACCCGATGTCAGTCGGAGGCGTGATTGTCGGTAGCCTTTTCGCCGTGATCAAAAGAACAAATATTCAATGGCTGGTGGTTATTGTTATCCAAACCGTCTTTATAAGCGCCATGTCTACCGTCACTCAGCACACACCTGCTCGAGCGATCGTATTTGTAGCTCTTGCTTCCTTTGCTGTGGGCGCGCAGCAGGTGGTCGGCCTGCTCACCATCCAGTTTGGAGCCCAAGATCATCAGATCGGTGTTGCTACAGGGTTTGTTCCAGCGTCCAGAATTTCCTTGGACGAATGGGTTCACTGACTCTTCTGTGTCAACATAGGCTGGCGGGATCTGTTCGAGCGACAGGTGGTGCTATCGCTATTGCAATTTATAGCAGTGTTCTCAACTCTAGGGTTACTCAAAACCTTCCTATCAAGGTTGCTGCTGTTGTCATTCAAGCAGGACTTCCTCCCGCGATGGTACAACCATTCATTGGTATGTAGTTTCCACCCTGATGCTCGTAGCTCATGCTGACTTCAACAGTGGCATTAGCATCCGGCCAGGTTGCCTCCCTGGCAACAATTGAAGGAGCCACGCCAGTCATCATTGCCGCCGGCGTCGATGCACTGCGAGGTGTTTACGCTGATGGTTTTCGAACGATCTTCCTTGTGAGCATTGCTTTTGGCGGTGAGTGGTCTCACTCATCCTTTCAGAATACTCAACCCTGCAAAATATTCAGGTGTAGTATGTACTAATTCTACAATTTCTGCAGTCCTCGCGTGCCTCGCTGCTGCATTTGTTTCCAGTGTCGACCACAAATTGACAAAGTATGTCATTCCAGAGGAAGCTGCGTTTGATCATGATGGAAACTTACTTTTGTCTAGACAAACCGTCGTAAATGTACACAAACCACATTTCACTGGACAGGGAACAGACGACACCATCCCAGAAAAGCTGGCAGATGATGGCAATATTGCACATCATTCATAAGAGGCAGCTATCCTTGGTAAGCTGATGGACCATCAAGGTCACTTCACACTGTGGACAGAAATCATGCAATTTCACATGCCCAAGAGTTGGAGGGCTTTAGATGATTTTTTCGCTCAAAGTTGTCTCATGAAAGCGGAGAATACTAGTCTAGTAGTCTCGCACGGAATATCCAGAACCGAAGCCACCAGCGATTAGGAAAATGCATCTCGGTTCTAGAGTACATAATGTTCAAGTATAACTTTCAAGTACTCTGCGTGAGGCAAGACAGGAGCCAACCTATGCATCCATAGCAGCGCAAATCTGACGTCAAATCATGCTTAAACATATTCGTTCACCCATGAGCTCCTAAACGACAATTTCTGTCATCAAATCTTCAGGCCACTTCGGAGCATCTTTGCCGTTCCCTCTTGTGCCGACATTGTAGCTCAACAATACTTCCTCGTCGTCGAACTTGATGATTGGCCTGACAGTTCTGAACACAGATCCTATGGCCTTGCTCTCTCGATCCTCGAAGAAAGATGGATTTAGGAGGATGCCGCTGCTTTTTTGTAGGATCATGCCAAAATACTCGCGTATGCTGTAGTTCATGCCATGATACGAGCTGCTCGACTTATCTGTTAGCCCTGTCCACCATGGACTCTAGACGTCTACTAGAAAATCTTACCGGAAAACTCTCCTTCCATTACGATCCCACAAATCTTGCCAGATTTGGTCAGAATATTCACCAACCTCGTCTGCCAACCACTGGTTGTAGTAGTTTAGCGACAGATCGATGTTGTAGCTACCACCATTTTCTGCCTTTTCTATCAGAGCAGACAGAACTGCAACGACACCTGCTATACCGACCATATAGTCGCTGTTAGGGAAAATGGGCGTGACGGCCTCGTTGTCGTGAAGTCCCATCGCACGTCCAAAGCCTGCTGAGATTCCAACACAGGCATCACTGATCTGTTGCCAACCTGATAAATGGCTCCATGGACCGTCCCAGCCGTAAGTATTCGAGCGGATGGAAACGATACCCCTTTCACGATCTCGGACCAGGTCTATAATTGCATCCTGGCTGAAGCCATACTTGTCTAACACACCGGGCCTGTAACCTTGGACCACCACGTCCGCTTCTCGAATGAGATCCTTTAATCTCATTTTCCCCTCGTCCGTCGTTAAATCCAGACTGCACTGCCACTTACCCCAACTCATGTCGACGGCAAGAACCGTGAAGTCTGCAATATTAGGCGACGTGACTCGCATAACACTGGCCCCGAGCTCCGCCAACCCGCGCGTTACCGCCGGCGCTGCGATGACTCGGGTTAAGTCTAGTACTTTTAATCCCGCGAGAGGCCGACGGGGAGAGGTATCCTTGGTGTCCGGCCACCAGCAAGGTTTGTGAGAGGCATACTTTGTGATCCGGCGTAATCTGAATAATCCTACGTCTGCATTTGCCATGCCGTGCTCCGTGGCTCGAAACGAATCGACCGTCTCGCAAATGACACCAGCTTGCTTGTACACATCTGATGCTAGCCGCTGCATCTCTTTCGCGTCGATGGTTACCATCCGCTCGATGAAAGGTTGCCTGGCATCTTCCCACGTGGTAAGGTCAGGCCTATCGAGGGGCAAATCAATACTATTCAACGTCGGATCAGGGTTCATGCTTCCATGGAGCTGGAAGTATCGATTGTCCTTGGTACGGTAGATTCCCGTGGCGCATTGCCTATAGAGAGAGGAACTCATCTGGTGGAAATCATAATTCGGGAATAAGTCGTCAAGTCGCTTGATATTCTGACCAGTCAAGCTAATGGCACGGTCGGTATCCGGATCAATCGTCCAAACAAAAGCAGACATAAAGAATAGCTGTGCATGGTCTGTGTTGATATGAGCCCCTTTGAGCCGGGCTCCGTATTTGCGTTTCACCAGGGCCGATATCAGGCAGGCTTCCAATCCCTTCAAGCTTGAGGCGGATTCAGCGAATCGCCAGTTGATGGCAAGCGTAGGTAGAGGTGACCCCTTGAAAGAGATCCGTGACGCAAAGTCACGGGCTTCGGGTGGAAGCTGGCTGCTGAACCTCGGATTTCCAAGTAGCGATTGGGTTAGGAGTCGCTTAGATTCCGACTGAATCGAATAAGACTCGAGGATTGAGCTGTTTGTGTCTCCCATCGTTGTTGCACCAAGCGAGGATTCAAACATGAATAAAAAGCACCGGGGTTATAGAGAAGACCTTAACTCGAGCCTCTTTATGTATAGAGCTCAGAGGCCGACCTTCTAGCCTGGGAGATACCCGGAGTGCCATCTGTATTACTCCATCCATCCAAGACATGCCAAAATAGCGTCCGAGGAGATAGAAACTCGCCCCGGAGCATTGAAAGTGTTTCGATACCGGACGTCCTCGGCTGACACCGGCCTCTAATTTCCCAACTGGGCTGAGCACCGGATGAGGACGCACAACCCCATCTTTGTGTCCATGACTGGAGAGTATGCTATTGTTACATCCCTCTGCGTCTCCCTGAGTACTGGTTAGCCAGGTATCTATGAGTGAATGACGGCCATCACTAGCTTTCCTGCTCTGGGCCAGAGTGCGATGGGATAGCAGCTAATCTTAGTCTAGCTAGTCATAAGGTTTGCTGCTATTGTCTTGTATTTCTCACTAATACTTATGAATCCGAGGCTAGTACGGGGGTAGAGGAGCAACCCTTAGCATCAACAGTCTAGTAGAGAGAACCAAAAACATTGGATATAGAATGACTTTCTTCATATCCATTGGGCCAAAACTACAATGCCGAAACCGGCCTGGGTCCGACAGGTTAAGTCTACATACTCACCATTCCGCTGTTATCCCCCTTTTGGACCTTTACCGGCTGCCTGCCAACGCATCAAAGTTTTGAGTTGGTTGGCTTTTGCCGACTGTTCAAGACATGCACTGGTTCGTCGCCAATCTCATCCATTTTGTCCTCCAGTAATCTCGTCATCATAACGACAATATCCTGGTACCTTGGATCGGTATAGACGCTGAATAACTCCAACGGATCCTCTTGACAATCAAACAACTCCCACTCCTTGCACTCCTCACCGCCAGGCCGTGCACCCTCCACGCCCAAATCCTCACAGTACCAGTAAATCAGCTTATACCTCTGATCTCTGACGCCATAATGTGCGTACGCTTCGTGGATAATATCATTGTGCATCCAGTACCGATGGTACGCGACCTGCTTCCACCTCTCGATTGTTTCGCCCGCCAGAAGCTTCCTGAAGCTCTGGCCTTGCATGTAACTCGGCTTTCTAGCCCCGGCGTAGTCCAAGAATAGGGGCGCAAAGTCTACATTATTGACGAGGTCATTGTTTACGCTGCCAGGCTTGATCTCGCGTGGATATCGGCACATGAAGGGCATCTGGAAGCTCTCTTCATACATGAAGCGTTTGTCAAACCAGCCGTGTTCTCCGAGGAAGAAGCCTTGGTCCGACGTGTAGATGACTATTGTGTCGTCCGCTTGGCCGGTTCGCTCGAGCCAGTCCAGCATTCGTCCGACGCTGTCGTCTATACTCTGAATGGTTCGTAGGTACCGCTGCATGTATCGCTGAAACTTGAATTCTCCGAGTTTCTTTTCATTGGAAAAGGTGAAGATGGTGCCGTCATCTGCATCGATGAGACGGAGCCCATGTGGGTTGTTCGGGATCTTTCGAGCACCATCCCACATCAATTCACCGAGCTTTCTACTGCCACCGTCGGGCTGCACTAGCCCGAGGTCCTTGTACGTCAGGTCATCTGCCACGCGCATCTGTGCGATTTTTGCCGCCTTGGCCCTGTTCTTGTAATCGTCAGAGAACGTGTCTGGCACCTTGATCGCCTCTTTGTAGAGGTTCTTGTGTCTGTCATCGCATTCCCAGCTACGATGGGGTGCCTTGTGGTGACACATAAGAAACCATGGCTTATCGCGCGGTCTTTCGTTCAGCCACGCCAGGGATTTATCTGTGATTATATCCGTCGCATAGCCTTCGGTCACGCGCTCATGTCCATCCATATCGATGAAAGTTGGATCCCAGTAGTCACCCTGTCCGGGCAGCACACTCCAATAGTCGAATCCACTGGGCTGACACGTCTCGCCTTCGCCCAGATGCCATTTTCCGACCATGGCCGTGTCATATCCGGCAACCCGAAGGTGCTTTGCCACGTTGGGCGTATTCTTGTTGATTTTGCTGTCGAGGGTCACGACACCGTTGACGTGGTTGTAAGTGCCGGTTAGAATGGCGGCTCTTGACGGAGTGCAGATTGAATTAGTCACATAGCAATGATTCAGCAATATTCCTTCTTTAGCCAGACGATCGAGGTTCGGCGTATGGTTGATATTGGCTCCATACGCTGAAATTGCTTTAGATGCATGGTCATCAGCCATGATGAAAAGAATATTAGGTCGCTTTGCCTTCGCCATGGCAGCTGACTTCGATGCAATGAACCGACTTTAGAGTTGGCGATTCCCCGCTGCCCTCTTCCAGCTATGATGCTACAAGGGATCCTGTGTTGAAGCGAAGGCAACCATATGTTGAACCGCAAAGAACCTAGAAAATTTTAGGGCAAGTATAATTAATATCAAGGTGAAAGCAGGAGAGGAAAAATTATGAAGAAAGGACAAAGAAAACCTGCAACATTAAACAGTCTATGATCCACCACGGCGAGTGGCCACCGGCTATAAAACCGACTTATCGCCATGTTTAGAGATCACGGCGGCCGAGCCAGGGGGTTTTCTTGACAGGCATGTTCATATCATGATCTGCTGGAGGTGGAGATCATGGCTGCTTAAACCATTGCTGGTAAGGAGTCGGTTGCGCATGTGCGGGATTCAAAAGTCTCAGCGCTACGGATGTCGGTCGATGGGGATGCAACCCTCTCTCCTCGGCCTTGAGCAAGTTCCGGAAGTCGGACGCCGATCAAGGTGATGCCGTGCTTGATGATCATCTGGCCATCCTGAGAGCTAGTTCTCTTCCTTTTCTTAATCAAAATTGGGCCTCACTGACAGCCCTATAGTTCCATACTAATTCTCCCAAAGAGAGCATTTTCTCCCACGTGCACGACGCCAGGGATCAGACCCAGTTTGGTTTCCCAAGATTTGCAAAACACGGAGATATGGTAAGGGCTCGAGTAAGCTTTATCTTCATCAGCACACGAGGTCTATCTACACGCGATGGCCTGGGTTGATTATTGCTTTCTGCTCCCATCATTGCGCATAAAAACCTATTACCGTTGACGACCGCTTCACAGAGTGATCGTCGCATTCTTCAAATCTGCCATCCTCGAACTTGATCCCACCCAGAAGGTATAGTTTCCAGAGTCGACTTGATATTTGGCGTTATTGTAGTATCCTAGATCATTCCGGTCGATGGAGAATCCCACCTGCCGTGTCTCACCCGGCTGCAGTTCGATTTTCTCGAAGCGAATTAGCCTCTTGTTGGGAAGCTCAATTTCGGAGTATTGCTGGCGGAAGTACACTTGTACGACTTCCTTTCCGGCGACAATCCCTGTGTTGGTGACTGTGCAAGAGATCGAGACCCCGCTTGAGTTGGATATCTGAGGTGCAGAGATATCAAAGGTCGTGTAGCTCAGACCGTAGCCAAAAGCCATTGGAGCATCGTCGCGGTTCAAACACGGGAAGCTCCAGTCGCCGGCACATCCATTATAACCCGCAGCACCGCCGACATTGTCCGAAGGTAAGTAGTCATAGTAGATGGGGAATGCGCCTTCCGCTGGTGGCATGGTGATGGTAAGCTTCCCGCTGGGATTGACCTGGCCAGTGATTATCTCGACCAGAGCATCGGCGGAAAACTCGCCACCAAGAAATTGGTGAAGAATAGCATTCGCCCGCTTGGTGGAATTATTCAAGACAAAGGCTTGACCACCGTTCAGCACAAGAATAGTCGGAACACCCGTGTCCAGTACGGCATCCAAGAGTTGTTGTTGTCTGCCAGGTAAGCCGAGATCAGCGTGGCTGAAGAATTCCCCATCTGTACGCTGGCCCGTGATCGGGTCCAGGAAGTAGACAGACAAGGAACCCAAGGCTAAGACAGCGACACCGGCATTTCTGGCGGCAATCACAGCGTCTTCGATCCCAGCCTCATCATCTGAGCTGGTCGTCCGGATGTCAACACCCTTGACATACTGAACGTTGGCGGGACTAAACCGTGTTTCTAGGACATCTTTTAGCGTCTGACCATGCAGGGGGGTTGCAGCGGTCGAGGGGGCGTAAGATCCCGGGTCCAAGATGTCTCCAAAAGGTCCAATCAGTGCGACCTTGGACAAGTTTGCTTGTGGCAGAAAGCCGTCGTTGCTCAGCAAGACGATGGCCTCTCGTGAGGCTTGGCGATTGATTTCTAGGTGGTCATTTGAACGGAGAGTTCGATTGAGTTGCTCCAGTGTTGGCAAAGGAAGGTCAAACATCCCGGTTTCGAACTTGATGATCAAGTTCTGACGAACAGCCTCATCCACAAGATCGACGATCTCTTGATCATTCGAGCTGCTGACCAAAAATGGAAAGCATGCGGGCTGGCCGGGAGCCAGCTCAAGCTGCAAACCTGCCCGAAGTGCTTTGATCGCGGCATCCTTGTATGATGAGGCCACCATTGACTGGGTGTACAAATGCATGATACCCATTGCGTCTGACATGATCAAACCTTGAAAGCCCATCTCTGATCGAAGCATGCCTTGTATAAGAGCTGTATTCATCGACATTGGAGTCCGGTCGATGCTGGAATAGGATATCATGATCGCTGTGGGGTTTTCTTTGAGAACTCGGATGTAAGGTATAGCCAGGTCGTTGTATAAGTGATTAACGCCACCATCCATGCTAGCGGTGTTGATGCCACCCATGCCTAGCCCATATAAGAAGTGCTTAACTGTAGTCCCCACCTTGATATAGCCATTTTCGTCGCGTTCCTGCATGGTGCGGACGTACTGAGCAGCAAACTCTCCGATCAAATAGACGTCTTCACCATACCTAGAGACTCATTCAGCCAGGATTCACTTATAACAGAGACCAGGGACTCTCGAACTCACATTTCTCCAACACGACCGTTTCTGGGCTCTTTTGCAACGTCCAGCTCTGGGCTGAGGACCCAATGGGTTCCAAGTGCCATGTTCTCGTCGCGAATAGCGGCAACTACCTGCTCGTACATAGACAAGTTCCAGGATGTTGACAGAGACAATGTCGCGGGGAAGATCGTGCCACCGGGTACATAGATGCTGTTGACTGAGTCCGTGACAGTAATCCAAGGAACTTTCGAGCTATTCAACTGTTCCTCTCTAACCATGTTGGCGTACGGCAGAACGTCTTGCGCTTGGTTGAGCTGCGAACCATAGCCTAGGGGTCGTCAGGAGGAGCCTCACTGGCCACAACAAGAAGCTCGACTCACTCAGGATACCATGCTGCAAGGGATATAGGTTATTCCAGTTTGTTCGATTGAATGAGGCATTGGCCTGAAGCAGTTGCCGGATGCCACCCATCTGCGCTATCTTCTCTTCCCAGCTAAGCTGAGGCAAGAGATTGTCGGCTCGTTCGCCAGCTGGGAGTGACTTGTCCTCCCATGCCGAACTACCTTGTCTAGGCAACAGGACGGCAGACAAGGCTGCCGAGACATTCAGCGCAAACAGAGAGAGGAAGCGACCAGCCATTTCGAACCTTCAATGAGCGAATGCAGTCCTTGCCTGGAAAAATTGGTGCCAGATACCATGTCTTTATATCTTAGGGCGACCGCCTCCGCCGACTGCGTCAATGAGCCTCCGCAGAAAGAGCCCATCGATCTCAATGACGGTTGTGTTGGTCTCCACAATTTAGTTCAGTCTGGGGAAGCGGTAGTCAAGGTCCCGCCGCGTTGGAAGCCAGCCAGGTCTAGCAACGGCAATGCAGCGTTAAGCAAGGGTATCGCCAGCATCACGTTGTGAAGACCGACGAGTCACAGAATTGGTACTCCGCACGGAGCACCCCGTCATGATAATGTGTCATATAGTCTGTCTTTTCGTGCGTTGCAAATCTGGTGCTCGCGTGGGGCAGTTTATGCGGAGGCTGGTTGACGCCTCGCTAGTGTGAAAAGGGGAAAGTGAGCTATGACTACGGCTGTCGGTCGAAAGCCCATGTTCTGTGTCGAACTACGGCCGTCGGTCGTGAATCCCAGTCGCTACCGACTCATATTCCGCTTGTTCCAGAAAAGCTTGAGTCGTGCACGAGTCAGCGGCAAGTGTCTGTCGTCTACTGCGTACTGATCCCGAGTAGTAAACACGTGGAACTCGTCGGAAGTGGCGAAGCGGCCAATGGAATGTTACGATAGCTCAGTATATTCTCTCCTGCTTCATTGCCCTTGACAGTACATGTCTAGTCTTTATGCTATTCAAGGCTAGAAATTGCAGGGCAAATGTACAACATATGGACACATCAAAAGACGAGAGCTGGTCCCTCCACAAAATTGTCTCCTCGATTGTATCGCGATCCCTTCACTTCTCACTTCAACTTTCCCCTGGATCACAATGGCTGCTTGAATGCTTCCTCCCCGAAATTAGATGGGAGTTGTCATATACTATCGAGAACTGTTTGAAGTCTTTGATTCGACATGCGAGGTTATCAATCCTTTGTCTGCTAGCTCGTGCTCCGCGGCTTCTAGATTTACGGCCTTGATTTGAGTCTTTTCGGAGCCGAAGACAGCCTCCATGTCTTCTAGAGATTTTCCAGTTGTCTAGCCTCTTCGTTAGCATACGTCTTTTGGTAGAAATGCAAGGGTGGTCATTTCTTACCTCTCTGATGACAAACCAAGCGTAGGCCACAAGGGCGAAGTTGAAAATGGCGAACATTAGGAATGTCTTCCATCCGAGGTTGTCGACCGCATGTGGCGTTGCCTGGGAGAAGACAAAGTTGAAGAGCCATTGCGTGGCGGTACCGATGGCGATACCGATCTCTCGAGTGCGGTTGGAGAAAATCTCGCCAGTGTACAACCAGGAGACTGGACCAAATGACATGTTGTACGCCGCTAGGGAATAGGTTAGCTGAGATTTTCCAAAAATAATAATTTTAACAATTGCCATACCTGCTTCGAGATAGATCATGGTGATGGAAGCAGCGCCTGCCGGTGACACGCTTTTCTGGTCTTTGGAGGGTGGGTGGGTGGCAGTAAGGCATGCTACTATAAGCATACAAGATCCCATCGCACCTGCGCCACCCATCAAAGCACCCTTTCTGCCAATTCTTTCGACTAAGAAGGCGAGGAAGATGAAACATGACACAACCTTGATGACTCCGAAAAAGCCGCTGATGAGCAATTTGGAGTCGCCAGCGCCAACCGTCTGGAACACTTGAGGGGCATAGTAGGCCAACGAGGTATTACCGGTAAGTTGCACCCCAATCTGTAATGTGACGACAACGAAGACACGCCAGCGATTGGAAGGGAGTAGCATCTCTCTCCAAGTCAATCCTTCAGTGGCGTGAATCTCTGCATCGATTCCAGCAAGAATCTCTCTCATCCTAGACATAGTCAGCAAAGGCTTCACTGGGGAGCACGACCACATACTCCGAGCGGACCTCCTCATTATCGCCACCACGAACCCAGATGAGCGATTTCATGGCGTGCTCGTGCTGACCACGCTTTGCAAGCCAGCGAGTACTCTCCGGGAGGAAAAGCATGCCCAAACCGAGGATCCCGCCAGGGACAAGTTGCAGGCCGATCGGAACTTGCCATTGACGAGTTCCAGAAGCCATTTTTGATGAAACAGCATAGTTGACCCAATAGCTGGTCATGACTCCAAGCGTGAAGAAAAATTGGAACATGCTGCCGAGTTGTCCACGAATATTCTTAGGCGCCATCTCCGCACTGAACATGGGGATCATGACTGTGGCCATGCCAACACCAATACCTGAAACAACTCGAGCAGCGTAGAAGGCTCCAAGGTGATGTGTGTTGATGGTTTGAACTACCGCCCCGATGCTATGGTCCGGGAGTATTAGCGTCAGACTTCGAAGGGAGCCGCTCAAAACCATCAGGTGTCGTTCAAGATCCAAGAAAGCCAAGCCCTTGAAATGGATAGGTGAGTAGGGGCATACCAGAAGATGATAGAAGCTAGGGCAATAGACCATCGGCGGCCATATCGCGCTGTGAATGGCCACGTGAAGAAGCAGGCGAAGAACGCTAGAACCCGTCAGTGGGCTATCCAATCCCAAGTAACAAAAACGCACCTCCAGCCTGGAGGAGACTGTTGGAGTTTGAGGCCACAGTCGTCTTGTGAACGTTGCTGTAACGGAAATCGTCTTGGAATGACTTGAGAGTGAGGACGCCACCAATGATGCCCGTGTCATAGGCGAACAGGAACGAGCCAATGCAGCAGACTGCGACGACAAAGAATGCCCTGAAGGTCCCAAGGGAAGGCATGATGCTTGCGTGAAAAGGTAGCAACCTGCAGATTATTGATGTGTCCGTTGCACGCAAGACTCAAAAATCACCTCGAGAGGCAGGATCTTCAGAATAAGTAGCTCGACCAGCAGTCTTGGGACCCTGCCCGCGGCCACTGGCCTGATTCTAGTGTAGCCCGAAGAGTTCTCACGGCATTAACCTGGGGAGTGTGGGGTTGGTTGATCGATGCTCCAGTGTGTACCCCGACACGAAGAGACCGACATCCGTGCCGTGATTCGGGGCCGACATCCGCAAGGATCAGGTGGTCTCCCGCTACGCCGCCACGAAGTAGAATTGAATCGTATTGGAGGCCACGGAGACTCTTGTTCAAAGTTCATCCACAGCCTCGGCGAAAGTATTTGTGGTATGATTCGAACGTGCCGATTCTACCTTGCGTCTCTGAAGTCCATTCCACGGAAAAGATATAACAGCAACTAGTAGAGGTCAGGGCGTTGTTCGGCCCATCGGTGATTGTTTTGACGCCTACCGGGTTTTGAAGTGGCCATGTTTTCCCGCTGGTTTAAGACCTTCGCGCCGCGTGTTTCCAGCGAAGTTTCTGGATTCTGATTTCTGGCTCTTCCTCACGTCAAGGGAACAGGAGTGGTTGAGAAGAAAATGGGGACGGGGAGCCATGTCGATCTGCTTGCTCGACCTCCACACTAGGGTTCGGCACGTAGACCAGGGGTGAATTTAATCGAAGGCCTCTATCTTGTTCGAAGGAGAGAACCCTGTACATGTTGCGTTGTCGATTCGATGGGAGCTCAGTGGTAGCACTATATGGGGACGCTCCAGATGATGGTTCCCCGTCCTCGAATTCTGCTTGTCGTAACAAACTGTGTATAGCCAGGCGTTGTTTCGCCCTTGCCGCTTCAGAGAGCACCGGGTCACGGCTCTGCTCAGTCGAGGGAGATCTGAAGATGAGATGGGTCCAGTCGCCAGGAGAAGAGCTGCATGTGGAGATCAACCGTTCCAGATCTTTCAGGATAAGACCGACAGGCGCCGAATAGCGGAAAAACCGCTTAATCGCAGCCAGACACAATTCTGCTCGGCTGATAGCATACTCTTTGGATAATTGAGAGCTTTCTGGCTGGGCATAAGCGAGAAATAAGACGAGGCGACAGGCATGATAGCCGCAAATTGCTGTATCGTACTCCAAAATTGGCGAATGCGTGCAATGTGAATTCAAATCCGAGAGCTTTTGAATAATGGAAGTTGAACTTTCGGAGCACATTTGAACGGCCCCCTTCGTGGCTTCTGCGTCGAGACCGGCCAGGATTATTGCAGGAGCCGCTTCGGGGTAACCTGGGAGCAGTAAGCGGTATAAGTCGCAGCGGCATTGATGCCATGACAGCTGCATGACCAGATGTCTGGCCAGCCAAGGGCTCGAGACAACCTGCGCCATATCTGCCATCGTTAAATTTGAGCCCGCCTGCATTTGACTTTGTAATTGGTTAAGCTCATTATGCAGGCTGCGTATCAGCTTAGGGAGTTGGGGAAAGGGCTCATCACAGATTGTGAGTGCGCGATTCAACTTCATGATGTCCCTTCGTATCGATGTCATTCTGACAAATAGCCGATACGCGCCCCCTTCTGTGTACGATGATGACGCCGAATCCTGGAAGTGTTCCTCGTCACCCGGAAGTTGTAGGTAGACGTTTTCAAATGGCAAAATCTCGTACTCGGGTAGGCCAATCGAGAAATACTGCTCTAGGATTTTCAACGACCACAGAGTGCGGCGTCGTACCTCGCTGCTGACAAAATCCAAGCCATGCCTCTCGTAATTAAGTCTCATTGCTGTAGCGGCTCTAGCAGCAAGACCAGCAAGCATGAAGGCTCTGTGCGAAGCGCCAGTGTCGATGCGGTATGCCACACAGAGGACCAAGGCTTGAAGCCGTGCCATACTGGGGCTCTCTAGAAGCTGCAGGACCAGTTCCTCGCTCCTCGAGATCCATGCTAGACTTCGTGCTTGGGCCGCTGGCTCCATCTTTCGATGAAAAATGGTGATACCACATATGGCAAAAACCAATGCCTCATCAAGCGAGCCTTCCAGCAGCCGCTCTTTAGTCGACCTTGGATGGAGGAAAGCAAACGATGGGACTGGATGGAGAACCTTGAAGAATTCTTCGACGAGGTTGTTGGTAAACTGGTCAGGTCCAAAGATGACAGGGCTGTTCGGTAGGTTGAGGTCGGGAGCTACTGTAGCACCAACTTCGACTTCCGCGTGACCACAACCGCGCGATAAGGATTCTAGAGCTGGGTCCATAGCAACGCTGTCAGGCATCAACATCAAAGGCGCGCTATATCCTCGTACGTCGCTATGGTCCTGGACGTCCAACGGTTCAAGTCGGTGAGGAGTTCCGTAGTCACATGCCCACTTCTTCCTCGCGCAATTTGAGCACTGAGGGACACCCTGGTTACAGCGACTTTTTTGTTTGCGGCACTGTAGACAAGCATTCCCGCCGCGAAGTTTTCGGGGCTGATTCGTCACCATGTCGCAAGAGACGCTTTCGCTCTCCGAAGTGGTGCGCTGGGAGAGAGTACATGCGAAACCGAGCCTTTGGCAGGGCTCGCAGCCAGGAACCCTGCCATGGCAGCGCACCTTTCGGGAATAGCACTGGTCGCAGCTTTTCCTGGTCCTTCGAACAGTAGCTCGCTCTGTACCCATTCTCACATTTTAGCAAGGACCATGATACCTCATCCTTTGAAAGGTGGGGAATTTTTACTTTGAACTGTGTCGCTTGAATGGGCTCATCCGAACCTCGAGGTCGACACGGGGCGAGTGCGGGGGAGGAGTTCGGGCGGGCACGGGTATCTATAGATATACGTAGGCCCTCCGTACACTTCGTTCATGTTCTTGCACTCGGCAGCATTAGGAAGAGAGAAAATATATATTATTTAAGGCACTGGCACGCTACGCAGTTTAGTCAGTTTAGTTTCACGGGACATCCATAATATTAATATTAAATGGCAAACATCGCATTTTTCATAGTACCCCACAATACCGTGGTTTATCTCACAGTCCTCCTCGCTAGACATGGGTTTCACGAAGCTTAGTGACATTAAAAGAGGTGAGTTAAGTGTCTACTGAACACGCCGAAGCCTCTCAAAAGTCGCGACCTTCATTCTAACTCTAGCGGTTCGGGTTATAATACCTTTTAGGTGTAGGAACTAATTAATCAATTAATCAACTACTATTGTATTTCTGTGAGGTAGCTAAATGTGAGCTCTCCGCCAAAGCTGCTTACTATCATTACTCGAATTAGTGAGTGCTTCAATCTCAGAGCTAACGTCATAGCTATGGCCTTGCTTTATAGACTAACGAAGCTACGCCAGAGTCAGAGGTGAAAGAGTAGAGCTTCTAAGCGCTTCCATTCGCGTGGCCATTTATGTAAGGCTCCTCCTCGTCGTAAACAAGCGTCAATGTTGTTGGAATGGGACTCTCCTTCGAATTCGCGTCGAGGTACGATCTCATATTCACACCTGCAATCTGATGAGAAATCGTGCTGAACTGACCCTGTCTGCCTGGTGCACGTCGCAGGTTCTTAAGACGGAATATTTCTTTCAGCGTTGAGACAAGTGCAGGTGCTACCAGCCGGGCTCCGAAGCAGAAGTGGAGACCATGGCCCAATAGTATGTACGAGGAGATGGGGCGGTGAGGGTCAATAACCTCGGGATGTGGGTAAGCGACGGGATCCATGGCTGCTCGCGAAGTGGCAACTAGGACCGTCTGGTTTGCCTTGATGCGAATATTGCCGCGCTGACCATCCTTGATCGTGATATCTTGTGCCGCTACACGCGGTAGGCCTGGCACGACACCGGCGTGGCGCATGCCCTCGTACACAAAGCCGAGCAGCTCCTTGTCTGCGGCAGCGTCCTCGCGATGAGCAAGCTCGACGATTCGTGCCTTGTACTTCTCATATCCCGGGCTGAGGTACAGATCAATGAGGAGGGAGGCCTGCTGAGTAAGATTGCCCGCTACAGGAGCGGCCATGCCGATACAGTCGCCGACAAGATCACCAGCAGGCAGATCGCTCTTAGCAAGCTCTTTATAGAGACGATCGGCATCGGGGCCGACTTCATAAGCGGTACCCTTTTCGACGAAGTCAGCAAAGACTTCCTTGTAGCCGCCAGTTTGGGTAGAGAGGTGTCCATGTAGAATGCCGCGCAGGAGAGGCGCAACTTTCTTGCTAGCTTCGCGGAGCTTCCACTCTGAGTGCGGGAGTATGTTGAAGGATTGATATATGAAAAGAACAAGGTAGAGGTCGAAGAGCTCGGCCCGGGTAATCAGGCCGCGCGGGTGCTGTTCAGACTTGAGGGGGATGGCGAAACGCTCCGCAATCCATAGGATTGGGGTCACATTTGTGACATCTCTGATTATATCGATCGTCTTTCGACCATCCACATAGGACAGGGAGCTCTTTTCGATAAGATCTCGTACAGTCTTCCGGAAGTATTTCGAGACATGGGCTTCGAAGCCTTCCTCGAAAAAGGCACGGTGGAGGAAGTTCGAACGCTCGTCATGCTTTCTTTGCTGGTCCCAGCCAATCATGAAGTCATGACCATTAGTACAGTTGCGAATGGCAGCCTGGTACATGACACGGAAATTGTCCCGGTCCTCAAATACCTTCTTACACCCTTCTTGCGTGTGAATGCCGACAATTTTAGTAGCATTGGTTGCAGGTCGTTGGAGATCATATTGCTGGAGCACGTCGTTGCCCTCGAGGATACCTCGCACAGCTGAAGGTGTGTAGAATGGCAGCAGGGCATAGGTTGATGTACCGGTAAACTCGCCAGGAAGCGCATGAAAAAGAAGAGTCGGCATGACACCGCCGTACGAACCTGGTGCAACACTGCCAGCCAGCTTGGACATTCCCCAGTTGGTAAGCGTACTGCTATTGAAATCGTAGGTGAGAAATCGGTCGCCCCTGACCAGAGACACTGCATCGTCCAGGATGCCACGACCGGTTGTCTGCCCCGGGCACACACCACTTCCGGGCATGGGCTGCTTGGTACACTCTGCCTGCAATCCAGGATACAGTTCCATGTTATCGATATGGCCATATAAGAGTTCGGCAGCTCGAGCAGTTTCCTCATCTTCACACCATTGCATGAAAGTCTCATATGGCTTCAAGTTCAGGTACTTTCGAAACCTGCACCGCAATTAGCTTGTCTTCGAAGATATCAGCGGAGAGTTAGTACTCATTCAGACTACAGACGTTGAAAACGCCTCTGGCCTGGAGCTGGCCTAATATGTCCACAATCTTTAAGCTTGCAGGTGTGCCGTGTGGGCCAAATGCATGAGCCGGCTCCTCAATGCAATCCTTGATGACCCTACCTAGATCTGCATCGCTAAACCTCCCATCAGGACCTCTCTTCAAGCCATTGAATGTCCATTCTCTCGGCGGCGTTGACATTAGATTGTGTCCTTCCTGTTTCATTACTTTATGGAAGAGTTCAGGTGTCATCTGGTCAATTGACTTCAGCTCCGGGAGGTTGGATCTGAGAATATCCTCCATCCATTCCCCGTCAGCGGCACTTAGGGCGGCGTGCCAGTGGTAAAGCACAGCGAATTCGACAGAAACAACACTACCCGCACCCCTCTGAACACGTTCGCCTCGCACCTTAATCTCACCTCCTAGATCGAGAGACCACTCTGAATTGGCGCGCGGTGTGTTGAGGATCGCAGCAACATAGTCTTTAAGGACCACCGAGGCAAATAATCCTACGTTAATGTTTCTGGCGAGCTGGAAGATGTCTTCATCTTGCCTGAGTCATGTAAGACAAGTTGTAATTCATCGGTTTCACTGGACTTACCACTTCTTCTGCTCCTCAGTCAATTCATCCCAATCACCGTACTTGTTGTCTTCATTGACGGACCAAAGAGAGTAAGCAATTTCGTTGTGGTTTCTAGAGAACATTAATAGAACCGCAATGACTCCAGGCGGCATCAGCATGATTCGTTCCGAAGCAATTGAATCCGGATAGATCATGCCATTCTGGTAGGTTCGAACTCGCTTTTGCTCCTTGCCTGTGTTGCCGTATAGTGTGCTGAGGTCGACATAGCTGGAAGTCTCATTGATCCATTGTTGTGAGCGCGAAGTTTGGAAGCACTCGTGAATGACAATAGTGGCGAAGGAAAAGAAGAGCCTGTTCAAGCCGGAAGGGTGTGGCCGAAACGGACCAGTCCGTTTGAGGAGTTTCTCAAACACCAGCTCTGGATCGGGTAAATTGGGGCCTTTTGGTCTCCCAGGAGGAACACTTCGACAATACGGAGAGCCAGCCTTGCCCATCTCGGGGTCCCAGTGATTGTTTCCCCCTCCGTCGTGCCTTCTGTACCGATTTTCTGGCCCAGCGAGAGCTGCTGGGGGATGAGGTAGGTCGTGCCATAGCATCTTGATGAATCCACCAGAGACCTTGGCGCTTAGTCCACTGTCTAATGGCAAGGACTGCAGCATTGAGACACCATGCTCGAGCAACCACTTCTTGTCATCCAGTGGTTCTCCGGATGCGAGGGTATTGAAAGCCTGAATCATGGTCTTTGTGTTCTTTCCTCCCAGATGTAGAAGGTCATGGAAGACCGACGTCTTCTCATCTGAGGCACCACCCGCCTCATGGAGGTCGGTCTTGCCATCCGGTGCAGTGGGAGCAGCCCGCCATATCATCCGCCACAAAGCGGTTAAGGCACTAGCCATTATTACGAGTCCAGACAGAATAAGAGACATGAATCCTAAGACCGCCAACTTGAGTCGATAAGGAGGAAGTGAGGGTGTTGGAAGTCATCTTGCATGAGGAGTAAAGCTATTTGTCTGAATCGTGATTCGGGCAACCCTCCAAGAGGTCCTTTGCTATTGCGTGTTGACATTTGACAAGCATTGGTGAGACCAAGATGCATTGTACTGGAGCTACTGGTTGTCGGTGTGCATCATCGATGTATGATCGACGTTAGCCCTCGATAAATAAAGGGGTGCCGCTGTCAATCCGCATGCCCTAACTAGGCTACAATGCCAGCACATCCGCGGGGCTGAAGATGGAGGTTGGGGAGAATGTGGAACAAGCGGTAGATGATTCGCTAACCTTGTATCCTCGATCTGGCGATTCTTGACAGAATCGGGAAGAAGCTGCATAGCTTGACCTAAAAAGCGGAGACAGCTGAGTATCATAGGTACTTCGCCTATCTCATAGATCGAAGAATTGACATAAGCATGCTCCGGAAAGTGGTTCTCCGCGTCACCGATTGATTGCCGAGCCTTTGATCTGCCGCAAGCTGAGAGAGAGGCCTGCTCGTTTTTCTTCTCCCCATCTGAAGGGCTGACGGCTATGGAACTATCCGCTCCCGAAGAGCGTCATGTCTCCATACAACCTCGATGGGGACTTGAATTGGGCGATACCGCTTCGACGCCAAAGCGACCTAAACTATCTAAACGATTTTGATCACGAAATGGCAGATGCTGGCGTATGTCATGCACATTAAGCTCCGCTCACACACCGAAAAGGTATGTGATCGCCCGATAATTGAGGATCAACTTCCCTTCTTGAATAGCCACCCTAAAGCACGGGCCAGTACATCGACAGGCTTGGGAGAAAGCTGCCCGTTTATGCGAAGCAACTTGTCCTTCTTCAGGCATGGATGGTGGGTTTTGCTCTCAATATCTGCACATGCTTGGGGCTGCCCGAAAACACCATTATGGATGCTTGAGGTATCCCGAGAGTTCCGTGGTTGACTCGAATATTCCCTCAATCATTCATGCCGCCCTCATTATTTCGTTGTTTCTGCTGTGATACAACTTCGAAACCAGAGACTCGTAGGTTAAAAATGATCGAGACCAGGAACCATCGGTGGTCTCGACCCAGGTATCCCTTGCAAGATGCCTCAGAGAAGTCAGTGCCGGTACCTCCAACCATTGCAACTTTGGGCGAGATGAATTCATCATCCCCGGCTAGACATTCAGAACTGCAGCAAGACCCCAATGCTTCAGTCAATTGGCATCCATCTGTGACAAAGACAGGAGCAGCCCATTATTTGATGCAGTCGAATCCAGGAGATGAGCGTGGCGCCTCCTCACATCAGTCTACCAAAGACCCACAAACTCCTGTCGGATCTTCCACCGCAATCTCGCCGCCTCAAAATGCGCCAACGCCAACATCAGTCAGCCACCAACACCATTTGCCATCAGGTGAAATAAATGGGACGGGGTCCTCCCCTTGGTTTGCACACCACAACGAGACCCATGTCCCCGACGGTCTGACTCCATTCACTCGAAGCACATATCCGCTGCAAGCAATAATGGAGAGTCTCAAAGAATCGCACTCACCACCAACAGGATCAGAGGAAGGACTTGACCCAACAGTCCCTGAAATTCAAGAGCCTGATCCAAGTGTGGCGACGAAAAGGATACTGAGGAGAACCCCGCGAAGTTGGTCACTGAGGGAGGTGGCATCAGAACATTTCGAACAGACATCAATCTCGCAAGCTTCGTCAACAGCTTCGACGGAAAATTTGGCTGAAAATTCGACAACTGATGAGGCAGTCCATTCCAAAGTCGAGCCAACTGAGGACGAAAGCACGGATGCTTTGCCAGCGAACAGTTGGAAACGACAGGTCTATCCCTTGCGCTCAACCATGAGTAATGGGTCTACCCAAGAATCAAAAGACGTTCCATCTCAAAGCGAAATAGGCCTCACAAATGGGGCAGCCTCAAACTATATCAAGGAGAACAGAGAAGCTTCTCAGGAAGGCGCTGCATGGGACGGGCAAATGTGGCCGATGAAGCAATTCATCAGCGAGCAAGCTCGACTATCGCCTTCAGGAAAAGTGCTAGGCAGTGAGATAGATCATGCAACTAACACACTTGCGCTACAAGTCGTCAAGAATGTCCAAGCTAGTGAAGAAGGCACGTCGTTTCAACGACAAGCATACCCTCTACAGGTACCTGTAGCTAGCCTACTATCACCACCCTCATCAGAGGCCGGCCCAGAGAGCACTAACAAGACCTCAACACCACAACTCTCCGGACACGCCCACTCAGCCGAACATAATAAATTGCTAAAACGACCAGCATACCCTTTGCAAACTGCCGCTAGTATAACCAGTCTAAGGCTCTCGCCAACCCCGCCAGCATCGCCAGATAGAGAACATGCTGATGCAACCAGAGCGGTGGCCAGTGAAACTCAGGAGGCTAAAAAGGTCCTGAGAAAGGTTCGGACTCTCCGTCGTGATGCATACCCCCTACAGTCACCAGCAAGCGTGCTGAACTTGAAGGAACAAGCACAATCGCAACCATCAGTTACAGAGGACGACCCAACACCAGACGCTGGACTGGCGTCGACGAGTCTGCAGCCATTCAAGACGCGCAACGAAGCCAAGCCACAGCGCCGTCAGGGTTATCCATTGCAGTCACCAGCGAGTCTAATGAACTTGAAAGATGCAACAGCCCAGGAAGCATCAGCGGCAGAGGTCAGCGCAGGCCAACTACATGATCAACCTTTGGATGACGTCCGGAAACATACCCAGACTTCCAACACCACCGGTTCTTTCCGTCGTCAAATCTATCCTTTACAGTCGGCAGCAAGCATGGCAAACCTCAAGAGGTCATCGACGCCGCCCCCACCAGCGGAAGAGTACCGCTCAAAAGATACCTATGGAGAACCTGTGATCAACCATGCAGAGGGAAAACGAACTACCGATGGATCAACTCCAGTCCCTCGCCAGTTCTATCCCTTGCAAACATCAGCTAGCATCCCATGTCTGCGGCTTCCACCATCACCATCTCCTTCACCCCCGCCGTCAGCAGAAACGGAGCCGCAGGACAAAAATCAACTGTATGCTCCCTCGTCCCGAGATAGAGAAATTGCATCCAAGGTGATCAAGCACTGGCGTCGCCAAGTATATCCATTGCAATCATTTGATAACGTATCACTCTTCAATCGACCACCTACACCACAACCCTCAGAACCTGAAGCAAAGGGGGAGCATGACGTGGAGCCAATTCAACTTCCAAAGAACATCCGAGCTGTAAAAGACGCAGAGGCGCATGAGTCTAAAGGTCGTACCATCATTGTATGTCTGGATGGGACTGGTGATAAATTCGACAATGACAACAGCAACATTGTTCACCTGATCAGCGCCCTCAAGAAAGATGATCCATGTCAAGTGTCTTACTACCAAGCCGGAATAGGGACCTATAGCAAAGGCGGGCTCAGTTCTGGTGTCTCCGCCGCACTGGACATGGCAGTCGGATCAGAACTTGGACTACACGTGCGAGATGCATACCAGTTCTTGATGCACAGCTATAAAGAAGGTGACAAAATCTGCATCTTCGGCTTTTCACGAGGAGCGTATACTGCCCGGTGTTTAGCGGGCATGGTTCACAAGGTCGGCCTCTTGCCTCCTCGGAATATTGAGCAGATTGCCTTCGCCTACGAGTTCTATGCGAATGATACGCCCGAAGGCTGGGATCAAAGTGAGGATTTTAAGGCGACATTCTGCATCGATGTTTCTGTTCACTTCATCGGATGCTTCGACAGCGTGGCTAGTGTGGGCTTAATCCCCCGGCAGTTGCCATTGAGTTCGACGCCAAACAATAAGGCTCGCTATTTTAGGCACGCAATGGCGCTGGATGAGCGGCGAGCTAAGTTCAAGGTCTGCCGCCATCAACACAAAGCCTTGGATGACACACAGCAAGCCGAAACCGCATTCGGCATCTCCACAAACCAGAATGATGCGCCTCCATGGGCTTCACGCGCAAGATACGGAGAAGATTACCATCCTAACGTTACTGACGAGGAGTTTGAAAGACTAGCAGAAGCGGAAGAGACATTCGACACCGACGTCCTCGAAGTGTGGTTCGCAGGCGCCCACGCTGACGTTGGTGGAGGCGCAGTGGCGAATGTCGAACGGCATAAACTAGCCCAGATCCCATTGCGGTGGATGATTCGACAAGCCTTCGAGTGCAACACCGGCATCATCTTCAAGACCAAGAAGCTTGCTGAATTCGGCCTCGACGTACACACGCTATGGCCCAAGTACAGAAAACTCAATGTCCCAGTCCACGGTCCCCCACCCTCCTTCCTCGAGAAATACGACAAGTGTCTCCCACCGAAATCCATTCGGCGCTCCAAGCTGGTTTCCATCGACAAGGTCGAAAATGGGGAACAGTTCTACCACCTGAAGAGCCAAAACGACGAAGACTGGACATCAGAGCAAGTTGAGGACTTCTACGACGCCATGTCATCCCTGAACGATCAGCTGGTGCAGGCTCCACGCTGGTGGATCTTGGAGGTTTGGCCGGTCCAGTACAAGGTTCCTATCGCACCCGGTGAGGTCCAGTTCAGAACTGGCATGAACCTCGGACGGTATCGTGGGGTTGATGACTTTGAACCGAACATACATTGGACCGTTCTGCATCGCGAGCAGCATATACCATACAGGATCCAAGCGAGGACGGCGGCACACACTAAGTGGCGTGTTGTGACATAGCAGAGATGGTGATTTCTAACAGCAAATGACCATTCAGCCAGGCGCCTTACTCCTGTCTCGGCGACCCAAGGGGCTGCCAAAAGGAAGTCAACAGCGCCACCGCCAATCGCAAATTCCCTTCACAGCGACCGCCGCCCGGACAGCTCTAGACAATGGAGACACTCCTCCCCCTTATGATGACTCTGGCTGAACCGCCCTTCGAATATGATGAACATGAGGCTAACGCCTTATCGAAAGCTATTTCTATGTAATAGCATGCACGTTGGTATGGATTGAGGTTAAATGATTGGCAAGTGAACTTCATTCTGTTCGTCTTTGGCTAGGATACCAAAAACTAGGCAAGCTAGAGTCCTAATGAGAACTCAAAAGTATTGGAAACTAGAAACCGTTATCATGACAAGCATATATGATCCCTGGAGGTCCCTTTTGTTATTCATCCTCCTCCCTCCCCATCCATTCCCTTGAGTGACAACCCATAAAGATGAACCTAATATACTCAATAATGTTACAATAATAATCCTGTCACCCAAGACATCCATCCTGCAGGCTTCGCGCTGGGGTCGCTGATCTTCCAATTCGGCTGAAGCTTGCGGACCAGATTCCTTCTAAACCTGACCACGTCGCCCCCCGGGTCCATGACGCTCCCCAGAATTGTGGCACATTGCACCAGTGTCCTGCCAGTCTCATCCCTGACCACGTTCCTGGGCCGATCGTAAGTGGTATCGGTTCACCGCTGAATAAGCCGGTCTTGACGGTCTTCCCGCAGTTGCAGCCCTTGAAGACAAACTGGAAATCCGGGGTCCCTTTCCTGAGCACCATTTTCATACTTCCGCGGGACCCCAGTCAAGCCAGTCACCGCTGTAGACTTTGCTCGTCCTTTTTGTTTCAAGCGTCCCAAGTTGACCACCCCGGCGAAGCTGTCGGTGGGATGAACCCATTGTAGTTTTCTACTGCCGGAATCCAGTCCCACTGCCCCCTCTCTCTACTGCTTATCGTAAGCTTGGTCCATGTACGGCCTATCTTTGTGGATAGCTACTAACTATTCTATTAGGCTCAGTTTATTAGTAGTCTTAGGACTTAACTCCCTCTTAATTACTAGTCTTCTAGAGTATTCTACTTGCTCCTTAGGTTTCTTCTTCTTTTAAGTACTTTTCTTAACTTTTTCTAGATTCCTTCAAGTCAAGCCCTTTCTAATATCTCGGCGCCACGTGACCCGTTCTTTGGCCACTTTTAATTACCCCAAAAGAGAATGATTCCGTGCCCCTTAAACGATTACCACTAGATCCAGCCCTTCTTCTGTCACTGCAGCATGCAAGATGGTGGGCGTTCCTGGAAGATCAAAGAGCTGCGGCACCTGTCGAATCCGTAGGAAAGGAGGTGTAAGTACCTGCATTTCCCAGTCTGCGTCATGCACAGAATGGTTAACGGCGACCTCTCTAGTGTGACCGAAAGCGACCGTTTTGCAGGCACTGTTTGAAATTAAGATTAAAGTGCGATGGATACGGACGGAACACCGTCTTCGTCACTTCTACAACTAGGTCTCCCCCACGGTATCGGGGCGAGGCAGCCGAGTGGCAGATCACTCTTCCCAACGCCCTGGCGAGATCTGCCCATGAAGAAAGGTATTTTGATATCTTCTGGAGGACGTATCTTCCCGAGAAGAGGCCATTTCCTAACCATGTCACCCGGTATACAAATGGGGGGTGGACGAATACGCTACCTCAACTCAGCAGCAGGTCACAGCCGATCCGAAAGACGATGATTGCTGTGTGCCTCACAACAGCGGGCGGGCGGAAAACAACGTCTGGGAGAAGGAGCAGGGGCTCAAGGGCTATATCAGTTCTCTAAAGGACATATTAACTGCCCTTGCCGAACCCAAGGCAGCGACTCTAGTCACTCTTTGCGTAACTTCCAGACTCTATGGTCTTTACGAGGTATGTAATTTTTTCCTACCCAGCTCTATAGGCATAGGATTCTTATGGATCTACCAGATCCTCCTTGGGCAAGATGATCAGGATAGACTAGTCCAGGCTCGGAACTGGCGAAAACACCTTAACAGAGAACTTACTGTGATCACAACCCAACCTCCTGAAGCATTTTCTTCCGGGTATCTGCACCAGTTATTCGTGGACGGAAGATTTCACCTCGTAAGGGAACTCTACATATGAATACTTCCACAGAACACATGAGCTGACTGATTTTCTACCAACAAGACCACAGGAGCAATTCAAATGCGGAAAAAGACTGTACTGAGCAATCCCGCATGGAGACAGATTTCCTGGCGAGACATTCCGAAGACGCCAAAAGACTTATTGATCGACATATTGGTCGACATCCCAGAATTATTGGAAGACCTTGATACCGGAAAGTCTTGCCGCGATCTAGAATCCCGAAAAACCTTCGAGTTCGAGCTGATTCGCCGGTGCTGGGATTTTGAGAAACGGCTCGTTGACTGGCAAAACCAGGTCGGGATCACCGACCCAGTCTACACCCCGAACGTCAACCAAGTTTTGTTTTCGCTGGATCTGGTCGCGGCATCCCAGACCATGTGCCTTTACTGGGCGATATATATTATTGTCTACAGGACACTTTACAGCATATCCGATCCTGATACATATTTCCCTCCACACGGGGACCCCATGAGATACTGTCGGAGGATCGCCGCAGCCATCCCTGTACTGTTGCACCCACTCTCTGGGGCGTATAGCGTCCATATGGTCGGTTTTCCAATCGCTGTTGCACTGAGATGGCTGAATGGCGCCAATGGTCAAACAGACTCCGAGGAAAAACAAATGATCCTCGACGTGTTCAGAAATTCGGGTCATGGAAGACTTATCGAAGGTTTCGTTTCGAGCATACATGCCAATTCAAAAGGTCACTGCAGGGAATGAATGATTGTGGAGTTGTGCAAGTGTTGGCAAATCTCATGATCTGGAGAGGGTCGTGCTATATCCTTGCTTTTCCGGCCCTTTGCTTCTTCTGCTCTTGCGACAAAACAAACGCCCTGATGGCGTCCTTCGGCTCTGAGTCCCTGAAACGCATCTTTAACCCAGCGACCTCCGCCTCGTTGGCATCAAGCAACTCCTGCTTGAGAGGCCTCATCATCAATTCCTTATTGAACGCAAGCGATCTTGGCGGTAATCTTGCAATACGATGCGCTACCTTCAGCACGTCTGGCAAGAAATTCTCCGAAGGGATGATCTTGGTGATCAGTCCCGCCCGCTCGAGCTCATGGGCAGACACCCGCTCATCGGCAAGGAGGAGCGCCGCCGCTTTCTGGCGCCCCATGCTTCGGGCAAATGTGACGCTGGAACAGGCTTCGGCACAGAGTCCCCATTTCACGAATGGCGTGAAGAAGTATGCGTCGGGGACCGCGTAGACGAGGTCGAATAGTGCAATGCTGCTTGCTCCGTAGCCGACGCCCGGCCCGTTGACCGCGGCGATCAGGATTTTGTTGGTGTTGATAATCAGTTCGTGGTATTTCCTGGGAGGGCATGTGAGCTGTGCTGAGAGCAGGTGATGACGTGGATGTACGGTTGTGTGAGAGAGGGAAAAACACCTACCCAAGGATGTCGAAACTTTCATCCATAAGTGCCTGGCCGTTGTCATCGAACACGCTGTCCACAAGATCCATGCCTGCCGATGTTAGTTACAATAGCCTATGACTTGGCCAACAGCCCGGATTTGAACGCAGTTGCGCTCCGGCCGACACCACAGAATGATGTACCTGCAGTGAAAAACTTCCCTTCACCGGACTGCACGAGGACTCTGACCTCGTCGTTGGACAGAGCCCATGACGTTGCGCTGAGCAGATCCTTCTCATGGGTCAGAACACCGGCATCAACGCCAGGGGCGCAAATCTGTAGACCGCTCACTTCAAATACCCCTTTGTTTATCGCATTTCCCGCGGCGGGTCGGTTGTATTTCAGGATAGCGACGCCATTGTCGATGATGATGGAGATATTCTGCAGTTGAGGCGGCGTGGGGAGCATTGCTGAATTAGTTAGGCCTTGAAGACTGGCAGTGAGTCGGAGTGACGAGGACGGCCGACGCTGGAGATAGACACTGTGTGGCTTGTTAGGCGTGGTAAGCAATAATATGTATGCTCCGCACCCCAAGGCTGCTAGCTGCATCTTAGTAATTTGGTACAGGACATCCTTATCACCTCGGCGCCGATCTGAATAACCGACATCAACTACATACGAGTACGTACGGGCCGGGCCGATATAAGCGGCACGGCAACCCACGGGTCTAAGCCGTGCACTGGCGATCATAATGAGAGTCACTGCTCGTGTGCTTTTGGATGCAGAGAGCCAGTTCTTTGAGACCATCTACTCCCTACTGTACTTGAAAATGCCTTCGCTCTGCAAAGACGCCATCCGATCATGATTATCATTTTTCAAAATTGCCCTTCACCTTCATTCCTTTAACCAATGCAGCGCGAAAGGAGCCGCCTGCTAATAATTCTGGATTAGGATATAATAGTATAGGGAAAGGAAACCGGTATCCTCATCGGAACCAGCTGGAAACATCGATTTCGTCAGATGGTACTGCCTGGTGAGATGATATGCGACTCGATCATCTGGCACATGTCAAAATATAGGTCGGTAAGAACGGCTTCAGACCATAGGAAGGATCGAAGCATCAAGAGGACTTCCGCCTGCCAGTCATCCGGCCAATCAGACTTGTACTTCACGGTCAATGCCTTGCTGATCATGTCGGTGAAATGGAAGCGATTGTGCGTTTCAAATTGGTTCACCAGGCCCACAAAACAGACCCAGATGAAGGTGTCTAGAAAATTGGTCCAGAGCCTCGGACCGCCATCAGAAACTAAGTCACGGAGTCGTTCGATGACTGAGACCACGATGGAGTAAAGAGGTGCTGCATGGAACAAAACCGTCAGTCGCAGCAGGTTCATGGCTGTAATGACGCATTCGTCAATGGGGTACTGCCCTTGGTATTCTTTTGCGAGGCCAAGTCGATCGACAGTACTCTGGTTGAGAAGACTCATCAATGCCTTGTATTCAGGAATCGATATGCGTCCCGTTTTCAGAGCACGATCGTGGGAAACCAGGAGCAGGCGAAGATCGGCTGCAGCTTTCACGGTTTCGGGGCGGAGCTGGTTGAATGGTTTGGGGATTGATATTGATTTGTGGAGTCGGGATAGTGCCGGAGGAAGTACATCAATTGCACCAATGTCCCGAAAGCGCACGTCATCTGCAAGAAATTGGGCGGTAAGGAAATCAGCCCAGAGTATTAACTGTTTGATTGCCCCGGCGTGGCCCAGGGTGTCTAAGCCTCCCCGGACCGTGACCATTGCCTTGACTCCATTCGCGTGCCGCTGCAGAGGTTCTGGTTGAGCAAAAAGGGTGGAAGTCGCCCATAACAGCGCCGCGGCCATGATCGCTTCGTCAGATATTCCAGCATTGCCTTGCTTGACTAGCTGATTGCGCAGAGACTGTAGGGCTTTCGCTTCGTATGACAAGTAAGGCGTATCAGAAGACAGCTGGCCAGCAAGGCATTGAACCGCCTGCCATGCAGCTATCACGCTTAGACATAATGAAGTGTCTGTCATGACTGGTATGATCATTGCACCTCCTATATCATTGACCGCCAATCCGGAGGGCAAGGGAAATGCCGTGGCTGCGCCAATCTTGAAGTTCAGAACTGTTCACTGGTTAGTCGATAGGTGTTTGTAACGTTGAAGTTAGGCTAAAATAGACATGAACCTGTTGACTGTTGACTGTTGAAGACTTACCACTGTAGACCGCATGGTGGAGGTCTGTTCGATGTCCACCGGGTACAGGAAGGTCCGAAAATCCATTGAGTCGTCCTGAGCCTATGCCATGTGGACTGGGTGTAGTCGATGGGGATGCATCTCGCGTGAAAGCATAGGATGAAGCGTATGCCGTTTCTGGGACGCGGTCTTTGGCACTCTGCTGCTTTCCTATAGGACTGTTGACGAGCTCTTTTGTTGCGCGACGGCGGTGAGTCAGGTAGGTCTGGTGGGACTGAAGCCGGCATCCTGGTCGGCGGCAGACCGCGCAAGCTGCATCTTTCTCAACCTTCACATATCGGTCTGGTTGAGGAGTAGGTTTCCTATTGCAAGAACGTTCCACTTGAGCCATGCCCGGATGGCTGCACAACGACTCGGATCATTGCTTAGGACCTTTGACGTAAAATTGCGCTGCTGGGCACCTTTGAGGTTATTCTCACTTGAAACGTTGCTACTGAGTATGGGGAAGGTCGGTGTAATGCTGAAGCGAGTCCATACAAAGTCTCCAGGCGGACGTGGGCGCCGTACTCCGTAAGTCACCTTCCTTGCCTAAGTTAACTTGAGGAGCATGGATAAGGGGTTAAGGGAGCCTAAAGCGCCAAGCACTTCATTTTGCACATTACTTAATACCTACCTATCTGTCTAGGGCTTCTCCGGAGCATTCTACAGAGAACCTAGCTAGGTACCTTAGGCACCCCTGTGTGTGGGGTGCCTGGGTGCTGGGTACTTAGCTACCGGCTTAGCTAACTCTTCCCCGCCTCACTCAATGGTCCACACGTTGATACGCGCAAGATTTGATATTTCTGATTTACGATTCTACACAATTCAATCACTCTCGGTGAGGAATCTCCTAGGGTCCTAAGGTTCTCGTGTTGTCATTCAGGCTTGTCCTCTGCTGTCTAGGAGGATTGGAAAAAGATTGACATGTCAGGACAATTTCTTCTTACCATCCGTGTTTGCGGCCGATCATCCTAAAACCAATGCCCATCATCCCATATCTTAGCAAGAGCTATAGATGGATCTCAAACCTGAGGAAAGGTTCTACCTTTTAAACCGACGCACATGTACAACCTGGAAGACCTGTATAGCAGTTGTCGGATGCCCGTCGATTGCCTTGTCTGTCATCGGCACCTCCACTCTGGCATAGCCCATCCTATCCTCCCTACAGCCGCCGGCAGAGGGTTCATAGGTAGGATCATGATTCATTTTGGACGAAGCAGATCAATTGATCAGACTTGTTAGGGCACATCTTCCTCGTTCAAAGGGAGTGACTGGTCTCATTCCCTAGCCTAGACGGAGGATAGACATCCTACTTCACCACGTTGAACTTTAGAGAACTCGATGGTAGAGACTACCCCTGGCTCTTTTTAATCACAGTGGCTGGCGAGAGAAGGAGGTGTGGCAAACAATTCGCTTACAACCTTTGACCGTAGCACAGATGTGCTACACTGGTAAAACAGGTAGAGCGGCTAAGAGGCTGTCTTCTGAAGGTTGGATCACCCTAGGTCCTGTACATAGCGTAGGTTCCAAGTCTGTATAGGATTTGGAATAAAATTCGAGATTGCAGCACAGTGCAAGACCAAGTTTGCCGGGAGTCAGAGATAGATGGCACGAAGAAGTCACTCACTCATCAAGGCCACTACCGGTCTTGTGCGACAGTCATCAACGCCTCCACCTAAGCCATGGAAAAGACGATTTCTGACAAATGTCTCACGCACGGCCCAAGGATCATGGCCCAACGATAGACCACGCATTACCTGCATGCCTGGTAACCTAGGGTGCACATGTCGGGACAAGACAATGAAATCATCGAGGTTTGCTGCCGTAGGTTGCTCACTAGCACCCTGGTGCAACACCCAACCGCTTGCAACATGCCTAAACTAGTTGTGAACAAGTGCGACCGCATCGAAAGGGCGTAGCGATAGATAAGCTCTGGGGAAAGCTGCAATAAACTTGGACCACGAACAATCTGGGCTAGGTACAGGGATTTTTTATTGAAGAATTAGGAAATCAAGACGTTTTTGCTCAGCAAAAGTCTATTGAGGTCAAAGCTCAGGCGCTCGATGTTCGGCACGGAAAAATTCATCGGCATGTCGGGAGTTGCTTTGTTACCACCGGTCACGTGCCATATAAAGTCACGTGGTGGGGGCCAACGTGCAACCTGCAAGTGCCAGAACGTCCGAAAATCGCAGGGGCAACCGCGGCTGCAGCCACAGCCGCAGCTGTGGTTGCGTTTATGTCGCCATTGCCACCGTCACTACCAGACACCCAAGGGCGACTGGCAGGGCGTGAATAATACGCTCATTCCCTCGTCTGCTTTGAGTCCTACTTCATCGCCATCCCCCTCTTATCCCACCCACCCGACTTTAATTAGGGATCAATCCATTGAACTTGTCAAGAGGCCTGAGACAGCATATCTTAGTCCTCATCGGGCTCTGCCCTCTTTCGAATCTCTCGCTTCTCCATCATCCATTACTCTGAACGAGTGCTGCGCACCCTCAAACCCGCCGAGCACAACTGCTCCTACAGCCATGGGCCTCTCCAAGACCCAAAGAATTGGAATCTTGCTGGCCATTGATTCCGTTTTTTTCCTCATCGAGCTGATCGTCGGTGAGTGGTGCCATCCCTGTTTCCAATCTTCTCATGCTAACTCAATGCAACCAGGTTATGCTGTACACTCGCTCGCTCTCGTCGCTGATTCATTTCACATGCTCAACGATGTACTGTCCCTTTGTGTCGGATTGTGGGCTGTCCGTGTGGCCAACACTGGCAGTTCTAAAATGTACACCTATGGTTGGCAGCGAGCCGAAACTCTAGGAGCTTTGGTCAACGGTGTCTTTCTGGTTGCTCTGTGTCTGTCCATCTTCCTTGAAGCCATCCAACGATTTGTAGAGCCACAAGTTGTTTCCAACCCCAAACTCGTTCTCATTGTTGGTTGTATGGGCCTCGCTTCCAACATTCTCGGTCTCTTCCTTTTCCACGACCACGGACACAGCCACGGTGGAGCTGGAGGTGGACATGGTCAAGGCGATGGCATAAAATCTGCAGAGGAGGGTCACAGCCATGTCCATGCGGACGGAGAGTCACACGCCGTTGCAGACGAAGCCGGCAACATCGAAGATGTCCTCCCTCAAGTCCGTGTGGCAGGATACAACGGTTCAGTGGGCAAGCGTTTCACCCGATCAGATGAGGAGAATACCACTCTCTCCACACGTTCATCCAATACCACTCACCGCAAGTCGGTCATCAGTAACAGTGAGATCCACGGGCGGCATAGACGCAGAGCGTCCGGTTCTTTTGGTCGTGGATTTGGTTCTGTGGACAATATTCACATTCATCCTGCGTCGTTTCGTCAGGATATTATCCAAGCTGCGCGTTTGGAAGAGGAGTCTGAATCAGGCGAGGAAGAGGAAGGAGCATTGCTGGATGAAACCGATTCCCCTAACGAGCGTTCAAAGATCTTGACTGACGACCATGTTTCTGATACACCAAGCAATAAACGCTTCTCGAATTATGGTAGCATTGGTAAGAAACGAGCCAGTACAAATTACGACCACAACGATCACAACCACAGTCAATCAAAAGACTCTCACAATGGCCATGGTCATGGTGGCCATGGCCACTCCCATGGCGATCTCAACATGCGAGGTGTTTTCCTTCACGTCATGGGTGATGCCTTGGGCAATATCGGTGTCATTGGATCTGCGCTCATAATATGGCTCACCACCTTTCCTGGTCGATACTATTTCGATCCGGGTATTTCTTTGGTCATCACTGTCATTATTTTGTGCAGTGCCATACCTTTATGCAAAGCAGCAAGTCGAATTCTTCTTCAAGCAGTTCCCGTGGGCATGTCCATCGATGAAATCACGGCTGATATAGAATTATTACCCCGTGTTATCGAAGCTCATCACCTCCACGTGTGGCAGCTGAGCGATACCAAACTTGTTGCAAGTCTGCACGTCAAAGTCGACTGCGAGGTCGAAGGTTCCGGATCAGCAAGCTACATGCATTTGGCTCGCGAAATAAGGGGCTGCTTGCATGCCTACGGAATTCACAGCTCGACTATTCAGCCGGAATTTTGCAGCCCAGATGGCCCAGATTCTCCATCCGGTTCAACCACAGTCGCTAATGGCGCAAGCAACGGTGACATCAGCCCCAAGAATGCTGCAAATGGTAGCAAAGCGGGTAGTCTGAGAAGTGAAGGGCCGACGTGTTTGTTAGAATGCGGCGATAACTGCGCCGACAGTTCTCAGTGTTGCCCAACTGACTTGAAACCTCCCAAGAAGTAATCAAGGCAAACTCGACAACACAAGCATCACGGTCTCCAGCTCTTTCGTTGTACAGAATCTTTTTGCGACCCTGTCGCTCCGGATATGAAGCTGGTCTCTTCTTTTTCCTTTTCCTGCTGGAACCCAAAACCCAATGGAATGTGTATGAGCGTTTATCGCAAGGCAGCAGGTCTAATGACCAAGACGTTTATTGTAAGATTGGAGTCGTGGGAGCGCTATGGGTTCGCTTGGCCTGCGGGCGTCTGTAATGCGCAAGTACCATAGTTATTGTTATGGATCGAAAAGGTGTATGAACAAGGAGCAGACTAGAGGAGCCTAGTAAGCAATCAAAATAAATAATCAAGGATGAACACTTATAGACACGTTTTTGAATCAATTCACTATACATTCTCTCCCAATGACCTTGGGTTCTGTTCTTGGAACAGGTACTACTTAAGCAACCCCCTCCTTTTTCCTCTTCGCCGGCATCCCACCTGTCTGTAATAACGAACTATATAAAGCTATATCAATTAACACAAGACTCAACCTCTCCATACCAACCACAGATACAGAATCAGCACGGGCCACACTACCTGCCAGAGGTTACGGCCGAAGTATTGCAGACGGGACTGGGGCCGTCTGTTCCACGACCTCGACGTCAACGAGGAGCTGGTGCTCCGCTCCGGCATGGCCCAATCTCCACCACTGTCATCTTCGTCATCGTCCTTCGAAGGAGAGGAGGTCCGTGACGACACGGGGATCTGGCCATAGCCGCCGAGCTTGCGGGTCGAGAGGTGCGTCGTGTTCTGGTTGTGGATCGAGGTCGAGGACGAGTGTTGTCGGTGGTTATGTTGGTGGGAGAGGGGAAGGAGAGGTTCGGACTTCTCGTGCCGTGGACATGTTGCTGCTGCCGCAGCGGTAGATGCTGGATCGTATCGGACGGCCAAGACTATCAGGACGACGAGCGTCAGTCCGAACGTCTGGCCGTACCGGATGAAGATGCTCAGTTGGTCCGGGAGGAGGCAGAGGTGATTCTGGATCGTGCCTCTCGGGGTGGGTGCCTCTGAAGCCGGCGTGCTGCGCGACATGACTTTCTCGCAGTCGACCGGGTTCCAGAGGCTGACCAGCTGGACGCCCGGGACGCGGATGCCCATGGCCCAGCTCATGCTCTTCACGGTGATTTCCTTGGGGCGACCCGTGAATTCGTTGTGGTCGATCTCGCAGTAGTCGTGGTCGTCGCCGGAGTAAATCTGCGTGACCTCTTCTTGGCGCAGGTGTTTCACGATGTCTTGCGAGATCAACGGGGTGAGCACGTTTTGATATTGGTAACCTGCTTGCAGAGGGATCGAGGTGCCGCGCTCTCGCATGGGTCCACAGGATGTGCTCCCTGAGCGAAACAAGGGGACGTGGGAAAGGATGATTGTGGGAAAGCTCGCTGAGGAGATTTCGTGGTGTGGTTGGGCTGGGGATTGTCGTTTTACAGCAGCAGGAGGCGGTGGTCGGGCAGGCTGCGCATCTTGCAACACGGGTGAGAGCAAGGAATCCCCCTCCAGACTATTCCAATTAAATTGTGTCCGGCACGTGTGCTCGATTGCCCGCGCTCGTATATTTTTGGCATCAATCAAAAAGTCCTCGACCGGTTTCCAGATTTTGCTGGTTGCCGTTGCCGTGGCGCTGCCGTCACCTGCGCCTGAGCTTCCGGTCTCAGGGTCGACCTGATCCATGGCGCTCAAGGAGACACTGTCCAGCGAGACAAAGGAGTGGTTCCCAATCACGTCTATACGGTTTAAGGGCCCGAAGTATGCATCAAACCGACTCTTGACGGCGGGTTGTATGCCTGCGGCAAAACCCAGGTCATGATTCCCTGGAATTGAGGCCAGTATTCGGCGCCCTGCAGGTTCAGCCCTACTAGCGGTTGAGCCACCGTCGTTCCAGGAGCGTAGAAAGAGATTGGAAAAGCGAACGTATTCTTTGAGCCAGAATATCGATCCGTACTTTTTATAACGCTCCTCTGGCGATGAGGACTGCGGGGTGCCCCATTCCCGCCCCCCATCGAAAAGATCACCTAGAAAGATAGTGGCATCTGGCTGTAGTGACTGCTGGAGGTTTCGGTAAGCTCGTCCAAGGTATAGATCGGTGTATAGAACCGTTAAGGTGGATAGTGGCCAGGGACGATCGGGATATGTATGGGGATCGACTAGTTGAGGATCGGCGACCAGGAGAAGATGGTGAGGTTGGGCTTGTGTGGGCTAGAATGTCGTGATTCAGCATATGCATTGCTTGCCGGGTTCTCGATGCTTTCAACTTACCCAAGTCTCCCATTGCTGCCATCGACACTGATTGACACGGCGCTCGAATACAACACGTTCTCCCCAGATCAGAACAAGTGCCCAGAGAAGGACTAGGGCCGTCGGTAGGCTCCAGAGCCGGCCTCTTATCCTGGTAAAAGCATGTACACCGGCTGCAGCATATGCCTTCATTCTTCTTTAGGTATTTGCAAGGGATAGTCCTGCCAACATGGCTGTCACAGGGGATGCGGCTGGCGAGGAGAGGCTGGCGTTCAAGGCTCTAAGGGTGTTTCAACATGTTCGACGAACTATTATCGCGGGGAGGTTCTCCAGGGACCAGACTATGAGCAGAGGTTCCCAAGAGAATGCTGGTTGCAGGGAAGATTGAGACTGAGTGAAGTTATGTTCTCCTGTGCCCAACAGGACGGAGGATAATAATTAGTATTAGTTAAGAAAGTTGCTGGCAATACAGAATTGGAGAGATGGCACGTGTGTGGGGTAACTAAATAGTACCTAGCTTGTTAGTTGGGTGACTGCTTAGGCCATTGTGGTTCCAGGGCGCCTGGGCGATGTGCCTGTGCATCAGGGGCGAGTCCCACATACCCTAGGTGTGGATTGACTCACCCAGTAGGAGCTAGTTACTCGTGGCACGACGGGTAAGGGTTGACAAGCCGTCGCCTTCCGCCACCCTTACCGTCCCTTCCAGCCTAAAAGCAAGCCTAAACCCCCGGCTTGCTTAGTTATCCTTAACCTATTGTAGGGCCTGTGTTCTCGCCTCTCGCCGAAAACATGACCCATAAGCCCTATGCACTCCTGACACCCACCTGGTCCATCAAATTAAATTTCACCGCCCATCCTCCGTTGTCAGCGTGTCCTCGTAGTCAGAACACAGTCTAATGGTCCCATGATGACTTTTGAATATCCAACCGTGGGTCTCGCCACAACTCTTGCCAGTAGGTTCGACTTAGGAATCTCATCGAATTCTTGTAAGGTGTTATCTCAAGAGATCAGTACGGGCTGGCCCTGGCCTATGTTTCCCACCACTATTTTTCATTCAGGAAGCCGGGACGGATTGCAACAGTTGCAGTTGAAAGCAATTACCTTTTTCTCGTGCCCTCTCTTCACCCCTTTTGCTAATTGAACTTCCCAACGGAGAAGACAATGTCGATTGGGTCGGGGGCAATTCTGTTACCGCAGAATAGGAGGGCTTCCTTGCATTGATATTGGCGCAAAATCCTGTTACAATCATGGACGGCATCTCCGTGGCCAGCGGAGTTGCTGGCCTCATCACTCTAGGTTTGCAGGTCAGCGGTACAATAGCCATCTATGTCAACTCTATCAAGGAACGAGACAAGAATATTCGCGAATTACATGATGAGCTCCTACTCCTAGGAGAAGTCTTAAGTGGCTTGAGAGACTTTCTCGTCAGCGAGAAGGCCAAAGGTCGGTCTTTCGACACAAATTCCGTTCTCCAGACTGCTATACGAGACTGTCGCACCAGGATAGAACGCATAGGTGACAAATTGAAGCCCTCCGACGGAGGCAAAGTTTCTCGGGCACTGGATAAGCTGAAATGGCCTTTTGAGCAGCGGGAAGTCACGCAAATGACTGAAAATCTACGACGTTTCGTGCAAACCTTCCAATTTGCCTTTACCATCGAGGGATGCAACCTGCTCTCCAAAACATCCGAAGATGCTTCTAAAGGTCTCCAACAGATGCTGGAAACCTCGAAGAAGATTAGCGAGCTGTCGGCTCAGATGGGACTGTCTGCTGATGAATCCTTCAAACGTGCCGCTCAGCTAGAGCAGATCATTGCTTTAGTTCCGCTATTGAACAAGACTGCTGCCAATGTCAATGAATTGACGCATGCAGCAAGACTATCTGAGCTAAGAGAGCAAGAGCGACGGACTACAGACATTCTTGACTGGCTTGCACCCGTCTCCGTGCTGCACAAGCACCGTGACTTGCAACTGAAGCGGACGCCAGGAACAGGCAAGTGGCTCCTTGAGAACCCACAGTTCTTAGACTGGATGAATAGCAGTCTTGACGAACACGACTGCCTGTGTATTGGTGGACCTGGCGTTGGCAAGTCAGTGCTTTGCAGTACAGTGGTCGACCACCTGCGAACAACTTATAAAAACGAGGACGTTGCTATAGCATTCTATTACTATGACTATTCGGAACAGCAATCTCAAAGTCCTTCCAACTTTGCAAGGGCACTTTTACGCCAACTCTGCTCTTCGGGCCATACTGTCCCAACATCCGTTGCTGAATTCTATCAACGTTCCAGAAATGATGTCAAAGATCAAACATGGTTTAACGACCTCTTGTCTATTTTACGCCGAGTTATATCAACATACAGTCGATGCTTCATCGTCATTGACGCCCTCGACGAAGCCGACGCGCAAAGTCAGCGGAATGGCTTTATCGATATCCTGGACGCCATCAGAGGCCCTGCAAATTCGTTGCGGGTACTAGCGACTTCTAGACCCCATGCGCTCAGCAACGTTGACAAATTTCATAACCCTATCATGCTTGATATTGTTGCAGATCCCACAGACCTTCGCCAATACTTAAATCAGGCCATTAGTGAACACCCAGATTCGGAATACACCATGGATCCTGAATTGAAGGAGCAGGTAGTGCACACCCTATGCAGTAATGCAAATGGCATGTTTCTGCTCCCGGCCCTCCAGATCCGAACCATCCTTGACCAAATCACGAAAGCTGACGTGAAGAGAACATTGCGTAATTTATCGACGAGCTTGACAGCAGCATTTCATTCTACAATTCAGAGGATATCGGGTCTGTCGGCAACAAGGCGCGAACTGGCGTTCAGGACGTTGATGTGGATATCTCATGCACGAAGGCCTTTGGACGTGCGGGAACTACAGCACGCGATGGCAACCAGGCTAGAAGACACGGATGTTGATCACGACAATATTCCGTCGCTCAGGACTCTCTTAGATTGTTGCTGCGGACTTGTTGAAGTCGACTACGCAAGCAACATCATCCGTCTTGTGCATCATTCTCTTGAGGAGTATCTTCGTGACCAAGACCACGGCTTGTTCAAGGACGCCAATACTCTGATCACCAAGGCGTGTCTCAGGTACTTGACGTTCAGTTCGGCCAGAACTCTCCCTCTCCAGAATCGAAATGCGTTTTCTGCCTTAATGGAGGATTTGGCATTCCTAGAATATGCTGCAAGCGAATGGGGTTATCATGCATTTGGAGTGCCCGCCATAGAAATTGAAGACTTTGCCATTCCAGCACTCACAAGTTCCGAAACGCTTTTCACAATTGCCAGAGCACGAGACTTTCACAATCTTGACTTCCGAAAATGGATGACGAAGGCATTGGCCTGGGCTCAATCAGGCGGTGGTGGTGTTTCTCTCTGTGCTGAATTTGGCTTGACCGAGCTGCTCAAGACGCTGATCGACAAGTTCCCCGAGCAGAGCCATCTGAATGCCAGAAACATCTATGGGAGCACTCCCCTCCATGAAGCTGCCTTACATGGGCATGAAGATACTGCCAAAGTGCTCATCGACTATGGCTCTGATGTTCTGGACACGAATTATGGGAACAGCACGCCGCTGTACCTAGCCGCGTCGTACGCTCAATCCTCCATGGTCAAATTTCTTCTTAGCTATGGACGAGAACAACTAGACATCCCAGGCCCCCGAGGTTCTACACCTTTACATAAAGCAGTTGGGCAGGGGAGTCTGGAAATCGTCCAGGTTATGCTAGAGGCAGGGGCATTGGTTGCAGCGCACGATGCTCAGGGTTGCACTCCGCTCCATATAGCTGCGAAACGTGGCTACCACTCCGTCGCAAAGGTATTAGTAAGTGCCGGAGCATTTGTTCATGTTAAGGATAAGGAAAATCTCTGCCCACTCGACTATGCAGCCACTGGCGGATATGCAGAACTTGTTGGGTTTCTGGCAGACAATGGCGGAAGTATCAAGCACAAAGGAAGAGAAATGTGGACTCCGCTGCATCGAGCCGCTCGAGGGGGACATCGGAGGTCGGTGGATCTCTTACTGGATCGCGGTGCCCACGTGCTCGCAGAGGACTTCAGAGGTCAAATACCTTTGCACCTTGCCGTACGATCGGGAAGCATGGAAACAGTGGTGGCCCTCCTAACGCATCAACCTGGTTTGCTGCGTAAGCAGTTATTCACTAAAGACCGCAAGAGCTCCACTCCACGGGAAGTCGCTTTTTACACGGCCCACTACGACATACACAAGCATCTCCGAGCAGCAGAATGGTCGACGCTAGGAATTCAACCCAGCAGCTCCAGCATGATCACAACGGCCATTGAAGCCGGTGATATCGATCGAGTCCGCGAGCTCCTTCAGAAGGACCCAAGCGCCATAAACACCCCGGACGAAGACGGTCAGCCACTTCTGCACGCCGCCGTCCAAGAGAAGAAGCGAGACATCGTGGAGCTCCTTCTCCAAACCGGGGCGTCCATTGAAGCCAAGGGGTATCACGGATGGCACGCACTGCACATAGCCGCTTCTCTCGGCAGTCTCGACCTCGTGGACACATGTCTCGAACACAATGCAGACGTCTCCCAACGAACAAACACCGACCAGACGGCACTCCACAAAGCAGCGTCGACCCAGTCCCTCGCCGTCGTGAGGAGACTCCTGGAGGCAGGCGCCGACCCAATGGCCCAGAACGAGCGAGGCATGACTGCCCTCCACATCGCAGCGCATCAAAACCGAATGGAGATCGTGAGCCTGCTCACCTCCGAATACGGCGTGGATGTCCTGGCGCGAGATCGGCAGGGCCTGACTGCCGCCATGTGGGCGGAGCGCTCGGCGCATCTCGAGGTCACCTCCTTCCTGCACAAGGAGATGAGGAAGGCCAAAGTCTTGAAGAAGCACATCACTCCAGACTTGTTGTCGGGTGCTATGACTAGTGCTAGTGCTAGTGCCAGTGCCACCGCTCCAACTGCATCATCGGCCGAGGCTCAAATGACTCCATTGCTGCAGGTGTGAATGAAATACAAGGCGGGAATGGGGAGTGCATCACGCGCCATACGATATATGACGATGACAGGTTCCTCGCCGTATGGCCGCCACTACAGACGAAGAACAGAGGCTCCCGCAGTAATCGGCTTGTCACAACATTATCCAACAGGCAGGATGGATGGCTACTGCATCTACAATACCTACCTGTCTTCTGAGACGCACGGGTGGCAGGACATACCAGACTCAACAAGCATCCACGTAGACTAATTTCAAGGCTAGGCAAGGTGAGAGACACAAGCGTGGCGCTATACATCAGATCTTACACGTAGATGAACAAGGCTGACGCTGTATGGAATAAAATCGACCAACCCGTTCTTTCCTTCCTGCTGAGACAGTGCAGCGTTCGCCGTGAAGAAAGACCGTATGAGGGCAACGGGGCCACATGCCAGCTTTCACACGTAGAGAAACGGCAACGACACCGTATGAAACAAGGCGAGACTGCACGTTAGCGACAAGGCATTACATCCTTAAGAGTAGAGGTAGCGGGAATGAACGGGAGAAAAGTAAGGGACTGTATGTCATGTTTTCTTTATCCATTTGCCAGTATTGTACATGAGTATTCTGGGGTGCTAGAGTGCACTACAGTCATCATCGTCATCACCAGAAGCCACTTCCACGGCTCAGAGAGCCTGGCAACGCAGCAGGACGGTAGAATTGAGGTCGGTCGGTGGTGCGCTGGGAAACACCGTCGCCGAAGACGCTGCTAGGAGCAGCAAGAGGAGATGGGATAACAGGAACGGCCTCTTGTCTCCCAAGGCCACCGGCTTGAGTGGCACTGTCTTCGGGAGCAAGAGAGCGGTCAGAGCTTGCCAGAAAATCGTTAGGAACGGGTATCTTTGCTCCGCCTAGGCCACGGTAGTATCTAGAACCGTCCGGATTAGTGATGATCTCGGCGACGGTGTTGCTTCTCACGCCGTGTATGGGTATGCTATCATTTGTTGGCGGTGTCACTCGACTGGTGGTCCGAAGAGGCATTTGCTGCACAGCGCCTCCCGGGAGGATTGTCGTACCAGGAAGGACTGATCCTGGTGGTGCCACGGTGCCCAGGATCTCACCAAGATTGCGCTGTCGCTCTTCTTCCTGAAGTTGGCGGCGGTATAGAGTGCCAATGTTGGACATGCCCACGAAATCAAGCCTGTTGACCATCTTCACAACGAGATCGAGCATCAGCGTTATGGTTTGAATCTCGACGAGCGATTTTCCAGTGGTCTCTGGGTCTGTGAGCTCGCCGATCTCGAGAGATTCGTTCCGCGCGAGGGCAACATTAATGCCAGTGTGAATCAAAGACATCTCATAGTGAACACGGCCTTCCTGCATCAATTTCTTGTGGTCATCGTGCGGGTTTTCATAGCCCTGCCACAGATTGTTGTCTTGGGGATGCTTCTTGAACAAGAGGCTCTTCACCTCGGTGATTTTCAGTTGCAGTTCTTCGCAACCAGGTAAATTACATCGATGGAGACTGACACGTCTCACAACAAGGTTTCGAATTTCAATCTCATGGTCGCTGGGTTGACGGAAAACCATCATGAGCTTCTCACGGCCAGGTAGCACATAGAGAGAATCCACAAATGTGTTAACGCTTTTGGTGAGAACCTCTGGAGGATCAATCCAGTTTAGATTACCCATAAGGACGAACGAAGCATCCCAAATCTGGTTAGGAATATGGATATTGATCATGCCTGCCGTGATTGACCCTTTGTGCAATTGGTACTGCCCTTTCTGGTTAATGGCAATCAAGAAATCCTCGTTACTGCGGCTGTGGCATGAAAACTCGTATGTCACAGCTGAAGGGCCGGGAGGGGCGCTCCAAACCTTGACTTTCGTCTTGCCGCTCGGTAGCTTCAATTCTAACACTCGATCAACATCTGCGCCGTTCGTTGTCATGATTCTGGAAAATGACGTGGGCGACGGAGCCTTTCCACTCTTCCCAGGTTCAAAGATTTCTGCCCAGCTCTCTTGACTGTGCAGAGGAGGGTCGGAGATTTGTGGAGCCTGTGAGATGAGCACTTGACCAAACTGTGCCTCGAAATCAAGCCTTCCAGGAAATCTACGAGCCAATTCAAACAATGGCTTGAGATGGTGTACCAGCTTCTTGCTTTCTTTGTCTCTCTGCATTTTTTCCGCGAGATCGTAGTGTTCTCTAGCAAATGCTGGAGATTTCTTCATCTGAGCTATCTTCGCCTTGGAGATAACTTCTGCATTGCTTCTATCGACTGAGAGCTTGACTGGTGCTGTGGGTACATCGCCATAGGAATCGGCCATTGCTTTGAGTAAACGTTCTTTTTTTTGGGCCTTCGTTTCTTGACTCGAACCCTTGCCAGGATTTTTCCCTTGTTGTCTCATGGTTGAATGAGAAGGTGGAAGCATTTCTTCTTCGGCTTTCTTATTTTTTAAGGTGGACTTGTTCGAAATGCGTCCTGCTTGGAGCCGAGCAGTCATTTCTGCCAATTTGCTCTCTCTCAATGCATCGACGTTTCTCTTCGGGACGTAACTCGTACAGTAGTCCGCCCCAGTAGTACTAAATCGAATGTGAGAGTCGCCAGAAGCTCGAGATTGAGCATTGCTCGAAATCTCATGTGAACTTGATGAACCTTGTCGGTCCCTTGGTTGCTCTATAGCTTGAGGAGGGTGGATAGTATCTTGTGAAGCCAAAGGCGGAGACATAAGAGGGAAGTGTGACTCGAATCCCGGTGGAATGGTAGGACGACTTGGGCGTGGTGTCTCAATATCGATGAGTTGTTCCTCAGACGGCATGGAGTTTTGACGCACTTGATAATGTGCTCGACCTCGAGCTCGTCCGGAGGAGCGGCCAGACTGTGCAGATCCACGGCGTTGTCCTCGTGGAGATGCGACTTCTGACCAAGAGTTTCCAGCTTCTATGCTTTTCAAAGGCGAGCTACAGTGATTAGACGGGCCACGACTGCTTCGACCACCACGATTTCGGTTCTCACCTCCACGCTGACCACGCATTAATCGCTTTGGGAAGCCATAAGCTTGAGGATCAGAACTTGGAAACGAAGACGCCTGTCTTGGACTTTCCGAACGCGCCTCTACTGGAGAGAAATTCGATTTCTCACCATCGACAGCTTCAAATGGTGACAGTGTCATGACAGTAGCAGACGGGTTATGATGTTTAGGTTGCTCATCGCTATGCAGAGGTGATCCAGGTAGCATGCCGTCTCTGAAATCATCTTGTGCGAGCTGTTTTGTCTCCAAACTTGCCTGGAAGTCCAGTTCATGTTCGCTGTACGAGTCTAGTAGACATGGAGGGGTGGGAAGTCGATCTGGAACAACGGATTTTGGAATTGGCGTATGCTTGACCGGAAGTTCATCTTCGTCGCTGTCGGAATCTACAGCGACTATCCGACGGCGTTCAGCTGCTGGTTCAACAGGAGCTTCAGGAGCAACGTCTGGGTCAGCACTATGGACCACTTGATTCGACCACTCAGCAATTCTAGCTTCTTTAGAATTCTGTGGCTTGCCAACTGTGCTTCTATCCTGATCCACTTTAGTGGACCCTGTAGAGATGATAGGGTCGACATTGCTAGGACTGCCAAAGGAATCGAAAGTGTGTTCATCCCAAATCTTGGAACCATGAATCTCCTTGGTGGGGAAGACGCCTTGTAGCTGAAGGTTGGAAGGCACCTGGTATGTTGAACCGCGGACATGATGGCGGGCTTCTGCGAGGAGTTTTCTCTGGAGAATGTTTTGTTCAGCCTGACTAACTATGATGCGAGAAAATGCGGGATGTGCATGATGAATCCGGACGAACTCAATGGTGCATTTGTCGACGCCCGTGGGCCAGATGAGGATATTTCCGTTGGCCATGGTAGACTCCGTGGTCATGCTTCGCTTAATTGATCCCTGCTAGGGTTAGCTCATGGTGGTCCAAGAGAGGGCTCGGCTTTGACTTACAAGGAGAGGCTCAAGATTAGAAAGCTTTTGCAGCGCACGTTTGAAGTCTCCATTGAGCAGAAGATATCTCTTCTCCGCAAGCCTCGCAAAAAGATCGGTACCTGTCAGCTTGCTGATCTCGTTTGCATACATACGTGGGAGGATTGTGATGTCACCATCTTCGGGCTTCCAGTGTGTGCTCAGATGCTGCAGGCTTTCTAGAGCATCTCGGTCATCAGCAGCGCCATCAGAATCGTATTCGAGGAGTTGCTGCGTTCCAGGGTCCTCATCAACATCGTAGTCGTCTGGAAATATACCCTCCACAGGAAGACAGCGGAGACCAATCTCGAACCCGGAGACACGATCCTGGCTGTACTCAATGTAGCCGTCGAGACGCATCATCAGCTCAGAGACCACTCTAGCCTTCTCATCATCTCCACCCTCGAGCTCGAGGGCAAAAGCCTGTGGTTTATGTTAGTTTCATCTGTCACACGGCATGTGGTGAGGAGAGCAACAAACCCGGGTGTTCTGGTCATAGGAGAGAAAGGGTGCGGAAAGCGGATCTTCGTGAGAATCTCTATGGACCTGGGTTATCCCATCCTTGTCGAATATGGGTTGTGTACGTACTTGAAATTCTGAATGAATGAATCTACCTGTTTCGCGAGAGTCAGAATGGAGACGAATCGATAGTTCCTTGGCCCGAACTTACACCCAAGTCGGTGAATTCGTAGAACGAACTCACGAAATACGTGGTAGTTTCCGGCATTTTTGAGCCAGGGAAACTGCCCTCTCGGTGCTAGGCCCTCCAGCCAGAGCAGAAATTGAGGGTATAGAAATTGACATGGATGGAAGAGGTGAGAGGAAAGTGATGGATGCGGCGTTGGTGGAAGGGGCCATAGACGGTTGAGAATGGCAGGTGCAGCGAGCCAATGAGCGTGCGATACAGCAACCGCCAAGCGGCGGCTCCAGCGACGCCAACGTTGAGATTCAAGTGCCTCCTACAAGTGATTGAAACTGATGCGTTGTTCACTATGTCTGGGGCCTGTCTGAGATCACAGCGGGCTCGTGCATTCCATTCCACCGAATGCGGGTGTGTTCCAACTCCCTTGCTTTTAGCCCATGAAGGCGACAGAGATGTGGTGAATAAATTGTCAGGTCGTTCACTGTCTCTAAACTCTATTTTGATATCACTTGGTGGCTTTTCGCATTAAATCCTGCAATTGATTGTGTCAATGGCAGTTCGATTCTGTGTCGGTCACAGGCCAGAAATAAGACTACTTGACGGGATTATGGTGTCTGTAATAGAGGTCGCTCTTATCCGACACCAGCGAGAGAAATAGACTTGATGCAACGACGCGAGGGTTGCTGACAGTAACAATGCGTTTCACAGCCTGTTGATTTCCTATTTCCGGCTTTCTCTTCAGGGAAGACGCCATTAAAATACCCTAGTGGCTCTGGTGACTGCTTCTTTCATATCAGTATCCGTGAAACTGGAGTTCAGCATACCCGGTAGCGGCCGGCATGAGTATTTCCACATTGTTCTCAGTCCTACTAACCACAACACCAAAAGCTTTCTTTGTCATTGGGCTCCAAAGGACACTGTCCTATCAACACGAATTTCGGAGATTCCATGGATATAACCGCCTGTCTCCGACAGGAATCGTACACTCATGCGTTCAAACTAGAAAGATGTCAATACACAGCGTGTTCCCCAAAATCAAATCATTTTCTCGGCCGGGTAGGCGGAAACCAGGACCGGACTTACTTGATATTAATGCTCTTGGGCTCGAGGTAAGCGTGGAGACCTTCTTCACCAAGCTCGCGCCCGTTCCCAGACTGCTTCTTGCCACCGAAGGGACCTTGGATATACGGCAAGTATGGACTATTGATACTCACCCCTCCAGTCTCCAGCGCATCGGCAACGCGGAGGCCGCGGGAGAGGGAGCTGGTGTATATGTTGCTGGCCAGACCATAGGCGGAGTCGTTGGCGAGCTCGATGGCCTCTTCTTCGGTTTTGAACGTTTTGATGGCCATCACAGGGCCGAAAATCTCCTCGGTCCAGATGCGGCTGCCTTCCTTCGGGTTCACAAAGAGTGTAGGCTGGATGGCATACCCCTTGTCGCCTTTCCTGCCGCCTCCGGTCACGAGCTGGGCATCCCTCTTTCCGATGTCGATGTAGTTGGTGATTCGCTCGTATTGGGCCTTGTCAACGACAGGTCCATGTGTGGTGGTCGGTTCTAGAGGATTCGCACCGAGACCCTGCCCGACCGCCTCGAATTGGGCAATGACCGCTTCCTTGAACTTCTCAGCAATATCTTCTTGCACAAGGACACGAGACGCAGCGACGCAGATCTGTCCACTGTTGACGAGGAAGCCCTGGCTAACACCACCCACAGCAGCCTCAAGAGGCGCATCGTTGAACACGATGGCGGGGGATTTGCCGCCAAGTTCAAGGGTCACTCGCTTGAGGTTTGACTTATTCGCAGCGGCTTGCACAGCACGGCCACCCAGGGGTGAGCCTGTAAAGCTGATCTTGTCGATATCAGGGTGGCTCGCCAAAGCAGCACCTGCCTCGCGACTTCCAGTCAAGAACTGCACAACACCAGGCGGGAACCCGGCTTCCGCAAAAAGGGGAGCGATGGCGAGCGCGCCCAGGGGTGACTTTTCCGACGCCTTGAAAATGAAAGTCGCACCAGCAGCCAAAGCCGGGGCTATCTTCCATGCGACATACAAAAACGTGGCATTCCACGAGGCTATCCCGGCAGCCACGCCAATGGGCTCATATCGCACGATCTTGTACGTTCCATCCTCAGTTGGGAATGTCTTTCCGGCGATCTTGTCCGCCCAACCCGCATAGTACCTATAAACCGAGATCAAATGAGGAAGGTCAAAATGCTTGATCATGCTGAACGGCCTGCCCGTGGGCAGGGATTCTATACGAGCGAGTCGGTCGATGTTCTGCTCAACCAGGTCGGCGAATTTGTTCATGGCCAAACCGCGCTGACTGCCGGTGAACTTCTTCCATGGCCCTTTGAACGCAGCTCGAGACGCCGCTACGGCAATATCGACATCTTCCGCGTTGGCTACTTGGACGTCCGAAGCGACCACCGACTCATCCCATGGATTGTAGAGCGTCAGGCGTTCGGTGCCTTTGGCTGGCACGAACTCATTATTGATATACAGTCGAGACTCGAATTCAGAGGATTGTGAACCCATCTTTGGAGTTTGACTCTCTTTCGTAGTGATGGCGTTCAAGATGATAGCCAACTTTCAAAAAATCGAAGGGAGCCAGTTCATAGCATCGTAAGAATCTTTGCGACTTTTATAGTTTTTCGCACTCCCATCAACCCACAGCAACCTACTTCCCAGAGCAGAAGAGCGTAACGCCGCGGAAGGCGCTAACGCCGCCATGCAAACGCATCTCGTCTAATCAGAAACAGCCTGGAACCTTTCGACTTTGGTGCGCTCGGAGGAGATAGTCATTCCGCCATGCCCTGTCCCTGGTTAAGTCGCATCCATTGACAAATTCACTAAAGTATCGTAACGCAGAGACGGTGGGCGAGTGCAGCCCCAAAGCGGCAGGAGGACTCCATTGGGGAGTGTGAACGAAAAAGTTCCGATGCTGCGGAATCGTTCCGAATGGATACATATTTACCTTTTCCGTTTCAACAAACGTCGTAAATGGTCGGGTCTGGAAGGAGAAACTCGTAGTACTAACTATGGAGACCTTCCCAGCCTACCCACCAGTCAGAATGGCCAATTGCCTCAGACAAATATGCTGAGCTACTCGTAAGTAACCTTTCAATCGTGCCGAGGCTACCATGAGTAAGGCTGTGCTCATCGCGACTTTGTCCGGTGATATCCGTGGAGGCAGCTGGACAATGTGTGTCAGACATCCTGACGCCGCTGATGAGTGATACCATCTATTGGCGCACCATACAGAGCGATTGCGAGCTACACGTTTCTACATTTACGGCAAAAGGTACCATGACATGATTTGAAATAAATATCTTTACAAGTGCCGGAGGCTCGATGATCACCATTTGGCTCTAGACGATCACGTCGTTTTGGACAATCCCAAGTATCGCAATGCCCGGACTTCGGGTCGTCCAGACTCAGCTGGAGCTATCTCAGGATAATTCCCCAATGATGTACACGGCTGCTGATGAGTTTCATACTCTAGGCGAGCACACTCAGGTTCGGACAGTCACATGACCACATCAGCATGCCAGAAGGAAGAGGGTGATCCCACCAGACGATCTCATGGGATGCACAAATGCTCCCACTAGTGTAGACAACGGTTGGTATGAGGACTGCGATGAAGAACGCGGCCATGCTTCTTCCTGGACCACGCCCTCACATCGGTCCCCGTAGCGGCCTGGTGAATGACGGTTGGTTACAACATTTATTCGTATGCTGACCAACCTTTCAGATACAGAGCCTGCAGGTGGAAGGGACTCTTGTGCTGTCCTTGCCCGAATCCCTTAGCTGTTAGCCGCATTTGACTATTTCGAGTACACCAATAGTCGGCTTCAAGTGGCTTGGCCGTGACGAAGGTTCGATATCCTGTAACCAAGAATTCCTTGGCCGTCGTGAACTCCACAAATTCTGACAATCTCTCTCATTCGTGGCACAGTTCTACTGTTCGAGTACTGATTGGTTCGCAGAGCGGTGTCGTCATTCGAAAGGGATCTTTGGAAAGGCATGGAATTTGGTATTTTGTCGTACAACGGATGTTGAGTATTCTCAAGTTGAATGCATGAACTCAGCTGCATGCTGAGTCAGGTCCCGCTGGCAACTCCTCGAATCCAGGACATATTGTTGCAGAAAGTATTGAAGTGCATTCGCACTGTCGAAAGAACTCAGGATAGCAGTTGACGTCATCCTTTGGTCATGTGATCAGAAACAAAGTCTCGGTTCGCGATGATGTTTTGTAAGACATGGCTCCGGAGCTGAGGAGGCCTATGCGCCTAAGATTGTTGGTACAGCGGATGGACACGCGATGCCAAAGGCCGTTGTTAGGAGGAGCTCAAGCCCGATGCCTCTTCTCGATTGGCGGGACCCGTAATGTAGGGGAGGTAACTCACTCTCGAGATATCTAGCATCTCCTTGGAAGAATATATTTGACCCTACGACGACGCCATAGGGGTAGACCTCTGTAAAGCGACAAGGCCTGTCCCTGCGAAGATAGACTTCTGTGTGACCCATGAACAGGCTTAGTATATCGATCGTTTTGATAATGCCCTCATCACCATGGTCGTAATCATTTCGAAATGAGGCGATGTGCGATGTGCGTGCGCAAACTGGCGCTGAGCCCCTCACTCCACAAAAACCTCTTCGCAATGTTGTCCATATGCTCGAACTTCAAGTCCGGATAACCGCTTAGGATGAGTTTGATGACCTTTTCGCGTTCTCTTACTAGCTCTTTCTCAGCATCTGGAGTCGCAACCATGAGACAAGCGCCCCACAGGAGCCACTCAGCTTCCGCTTGAGACTTTGTGCCATTGCGCCCACATTCGAGCACAATGTCGGCAAGCTCTCTGCAGTTTGAGGTGAAGGTGGAACTTCGCAGGTGGTACACAAGAACTGTGAGCCATGCCATGCGCTCAATCGGACTGGAAGCGCGCATCAGTTCCAGCCATTCCTGGTCCTTGTCACTGTTCGTGGCGGTGGCCATGAGATGAACAATCTGGCTGCGCGTGATGTTTAGACGATTCATAAGTTGGATAGAAAGGTGGCCAGTAAGTGCGAGCTCGCGAAAGCCTTGGGGCATATCTGCGATGACAGTACATATATCAGGTGGGAATGGATGGTTTGGGTAGACCGGCACTGAACCACTGTTCGGGGTTTCAGGAGGTGTGAGAGCAGGAGTTGGAGTCAAGCTGGATGGCACTGCTGCCTGGATTGCTTTCTTTGAATGAACAGTAGCCAAAGCCTCAACACTAGAGTGGGAGTTAACATAAGTCGTCTTGCGAAGGAGCGCGTCATTCGAATTTTACTCACGCTGTAAGGGCAGTTTTAACCCATCCATCCTGCTTCTCTAATCCTTCAACTCCGCCTCGCAATTCGACCAGCCGTTGAATACCTCGCAAGTGAGTTTCGAAGCGCTTGTCGTCCCCGCAATAAGCCTATCACCGACGTTAACAACAAAGACACGACTGTTCCATGGTGAGGCTTACACAAATGACAGCCAAGTTACAGATGGCCAAGATGACATCGTCTCTTGACCTTGCCTGAGACGACGAAAGACTTTGGCTAATCTTTGACAAAGTCGAACCATAATGATGCATCATGGCGAGTTTGATCTCACGTGACTGCTGTGGCATCACACACAAGATATAGGTGACTACGGCCTCGAAGAGAACTTCGTTGGAAAAGACAAATTGGAAATAGCCGGGTCCCAGGGACACGACCTCTTTGCAGAAATCGACCACGGCAGGAAAGTAGCTTTGCGTCTGAATAGGATACGTTTCAAACGGGTCGACTCGTAGACCACCAAAGACCATGTCGCGGAACGGTATCTTAACCGAGGTTGGTCGGAAAGTTTCGCTCCCAGACTGGGGAGTGGAAGCCTGGATTTGGCGGAGTGTGAGAGCATGAGAAGGCCGGGCTCGATCGGCGACAAGATAACGAGCGCGTGGGCTCGTCACGACGGTGATGGCATTATCATCGTCGTCGTCGGGTGAGCGGGAATTATTGGAATCTGAAGGAGATGGCGCATGTTGCACGCTACTGGCGGATGATGATGATGAAGCTGGCGCTTTATTCAAGCTGTCAAGCAGCTCCTTCTGCCTTACAGCCCTGTCGCGTTTGGCCTTGTGGATCTTCTGTGAAGTGTACCTTCTCTGAGCGGAGAAAGCGACAGTGGCATCAAAGCGTTTGGACTGGCCGTCGTAAGGCACGAACATGACTACACGCGGTCATGGCCTTGGCCGCAAGATGGCCAAGGGTGGCGCGCCCAGCAGGCTGTTAGCTGTACTCGTAGTTGTAGGACAGGAGGAGGTCGAATTAAAGTTGCTCCACAGGTGCTTGACAGACAGGATTTGCACTGAGTCTGTATTAGAGATTCAACGCGAAAGACGTGTACGAGGTACTCCGTATACTAGTTAAACCAGGATAAAAAGGACGGGTCGAGCGGGTAATGAAATGGGTAATGGATGACAGGCGGACAAGGTTCTGGTTTAGAGGCTACGTAGGTGGATTGAAAAACACGAGTGTGGGAAGAGAGAAAACCCTTCTGATTAGAGTGCTTGAAATTTGCGAAGAAGCCGCGAAGCAGCCACCATTTGCCGATGCCTTTGGTGATGCATGCGATTAGCGCAAGCCAGGCATCTGCATGTCAGAACTCAGGAGTCGAGGGCAGTGTTATCGCCTTTCTTGTCCAGACTTGAGACTGGGAACTGGAAAGCCGGAAGGGGGCCAAGACTGGGACAAGACGTCGTGTCGAGAAAAGTCGGACGGCCTTACTCGTAGCATCTCAGTGGCTATCGTCACCAATCGCCTGACATAATCATGGGTTTATGGGAGGGATTGCTCGGAAACCAGACGCATTTCGGAGTAGATGATGCCCATCAGCCAGCAACAAGGAGCCCAATGCTTCTCGCAGCCCACACCAGCGAGTTCATACATACAGGAGTACATTCTGTAGCCTGTAGCCTGTAGCCTGTAGCTTGTAGCCTGTAGCTTGTAGCCTGTAGCCTGTAGCCTGTAGGGGGCACTCCGTACCCTAGAAGTTACAACGGTTACGGATACTCCGTCCGCCGTACTACCGTAGGGTTGCAGTTCGACCCCTGATGGCTTTTCTTCTGCAGATCGCCCTACTTAGTTAAGCAGCTGCCAGTGGGTGCCTGTGGAGCTTCTCGCCGAGCTTACTCGTACTCAACGGCCTACGGGCATCTGCGAGGTCTTACTCGTAAGTTGTGACTCTTGACTCTCGACTCTCGAGTCTCGCCTCTCCATCCGAAACCGAGTCCCGCAATTATCGTAGAGCGCCGTTTAGTTACTCGAAGGGATTGGGTGATCACTGACCACTGATTGCGAGTACATACTACGAGTATGTTCTATGCTTGTGACAAGATGACGCAATTCTCCCATATTCAAGTGATTAGTGCGGCCGGAAGGCTCTCACACAGCTCTCTTCGAGACTTCTAGAGGCAGGCTCTTTACAAGGAGGCCTACATTAGATAGCGAGCACTCCGTACCCACCTTTCTCATAGATATAGAACCGAACCCCTAAGTGCCTTGTACGTTGGTATTTGTTGAAGGTGGGTGTTATTCTGTCGGTTAGAATCCAGTAAATTAGGAATACTGTCGACGTTCTGCCTTCTAAGCCCTACGGGGACGCGGTACAGAAAGCCGGCCGCTGGAAATGACTTCACCTCAGGAGCCATATATCATTCTATATCGAGACTGAACAAATCCAAACTCCCAATGGCGACACTCTTCAAGCATCATGTCTACGTTTTGAGTCCCGCTGAACAGACTTCGGCCTTCGCCGATCAGTTTAGGGACCACTGTAATCGTGATCTCGCTTAACAAGGATGCATTGATGAAGCTCCGCACCAGTTGTCCGCCATCCACGTACACCCTGCTTATCTTCCTCGTGGAAGACGTCTCATACTGCCTGACCGTGTCAGCCGAAGTCACCGAGGGCGTAGAGATACAGTAGGTATGTACTTCCTCAGAGCAGCCGAAGCTTCACCAAGGTCCCTGGTCTTAAGCAATCTCACCGAGGGAGGACTTCCGACGGGCAGATCCTTCATCTCGCCCGACATGACGAAAAGTGGTATGTCTCCGTACATCCAATTCTCCATGGACAGAACGTGAAGGTACGTCTTTCGGCCCATAACGATAGCATCGATAGACGCCAGGTATTTCGATATCCCACAATCTTCACCCCTGGGCGTCATTGTGGCGTTCGCAGCGTCGAGAAAATCAATGCTCCCGTCGCTACGGGCGATGTAGCCATCCACCGTCGTCGCGAGGAACGCGCTGAACGTGATGTTCTCGTCGAGCATCTTGTAATTACGCAGCGTTGGACAGCAGACAAGACGGTAAAACCGCTGGTTCGCATCTTCACGAGCTACTACATACACGATGCTCATGGGGCAGATTGACTCAACAAGCCCTTGGCGTCTCAGGCAGCCATCAGCCATCGGCCATCGGCCATCGCTGGCCTCCTAGTTATACGGTATCTCCCCCCGCTTCACTCCAGAGCCTCCTGTAGGCTTTATCACGTTACTACTGTAGGTTCCGAAGGCCCAAAACCAATAGACTGCGATGCCCAGAACTGGATTTGCACAGACCTGGCCGTTAAGGCTGTGCCGATTGTGACAACGTCCATGGTTGACGATGAAGTCATCCATCCTAGTCCTGTATTGCGACAGGTCATGATCACGCCAACCTCTCCACAAAAACCTAGAGACGAATGGAGTCACAATGACTTCCTGGTGCCGGCGTCAAGGTTGGTTCCTGACACTCGAGATGTTCTTGTGAGGAATTCTTCCGATCCTCAAGGCAGGGGCCGGAACGGTGAAGCAATACTGGAGCGAACCGCAATCCACAAGGACTACTGTCACGCAAGAAGGACTTAAAATACCATCTTGACTCCCCTCCGACTTTCCTTCGACTCTTGTCTGTTACTCCCGGCCCCCTCCATACCGCCCCTGTGCTGGGCCGATCGAAAGACAGCTACTTCCTACACGACCGCGCACGGTGAGAGTCGGGCGAACTATCAAACTTAGAACAAGGCTACCAGCTGACGGGGTGACTCGTGGTCCTGATCTACTGCAGAAGGGCTAGGATATTCATTTCAACAAGCTTCACTCTCTCATCAAGAAGCCTAAAGAAAACAAGGGAGAGAAGGGTATACGCCCAGCGTCCTCCTCCTGATCATTCCTTTCTCTTTAGCGAACATGTCTACTCCCTCAATCTCGATCTTCACACCAAAACTCTCCCCTTCCCTGGTATCCCACCTCAGGCACCTCCCCACCACCGTCTCCATAGACTCACTCTCGCGGCTCTCCACGGACCGACTCAGCATTACAGCCCTCCCACACATCGGGAGCATCGAGCTGGTCTCATCCTCAGATTTCGCGACCCTCTATGACGCTATGTACGTGAGTATGTTTCCACGGGGCGAGGAGCGCGAGCGTTCTGATTTGATCGTCGAGCGTTTAGCAGCGCAAGCCGCCGGCTTTAGGGACGGGCTGGCGACGTACCGCGTCGTGGGGATTCGCGATGCCAATGGGGAAGCAATCGGTGCTGCACAGTTCTCTGTCCTGCCGTTAGACGGCGCCGAGGGAGAAAGCACCGCATTGTTTGCCGTGCCGTACCTGCAATACATCTACATCAGATCCCAAAATCGGCGGCAGGACATGTCTGAGGCGCTGCACACGATGGTACTCGCCGTCTCTGCCGCCGATGCCGCGATATCCGGCCGCAGCGTACCATTCACATTATTCGAGACCGAGCCACCAGGGCACGGCAGCGACGAAATCAGCCGAGCTTACGCGAGCCAGCGCGCCCGGATCCATGCGAACGCGGGAGGCGTGGCGTTGGTGCTGAGGAGGAAATTCGATGGGAAAATCCTCAGTGCACACGTCCAGCCTGGTCTGCAAGAGGGAGACTCACCGCTCACCTTGACTTGGGTCATCCGCCCGTCGCCGAATCCTGGGCGAGGGTACGACGTGACCAAGATCGGAAGGGGTCTCATCGCTGCATACTATAGTAGTCTGCGTGATGAAGGGTTCCCGGAGCAGAATATTTGCCTGGCGGAGAAAATAGTCGAGAAGAGGTACGACGGAGCCGAGTTCCACTTAATGCCGCTTGAAGACGTCAGAGACCACGTAGATTGAGAGACAATGGAGCATGATGACATTGAATGAGATATGGAACCGCGACATAAACTATGGAGGCAAAAAGGCACATTAAACACCGATTCATCCTTGGAAATCCTCACCGTCTCAGACTGTGCCCGCGGTAGAAAAGGCTCAAGCACGAAAAAAGAGGGGGGAAACCCATTGAAAGAGAGTTAACGAACGTCAGTAGGAGATGCAAGGGGGAACATCCGGCGATGGCTAGGAAGCATAGCGCTGACATATTCCAGTGCAGCGCCTGAGCTTCAGAGTCCGACAGAACTCAGGGCACAAATTTCAGGCACAGTCGAGTAAGCAACCAACCAGCTCAGTGTCTAGGGGGGGATTTCCTGGAACGGCGTTTGCTGAAAGTATCACCGCCGTTGTGAGGAACACCCAGCCCAGCTAAGAGGTTGATCGCAGCTGTCTCTCCACTTGCGAACGCACCATGTACGCATCCGTTTCCAATCTGCGTGCAGTGCTCTCCAGCAAATTGCAGCTTACTCGTCTGCCTCGCCTCCAAAGCCGCCGTCCATATTTCGGGATCATCACCGACTTTGTCAGCAGTATATGTACCAAACCCTGCGTAAGGATCCTGCGTCCAGTGAGTCGTTTCCAGATTCACCACAGGCGGGAGCTTTTTGTACGGTTCGGTACGGAAAAGTTTGAAGAGTGGTTCGAAGAATGTGAAGACTTCCTTGTCGGAAGCCATAGCTTCGATTCTTTGGGTCAATGGTTCGACGATTTGAACGGAGAGTTCCTTGGTGCCACTCATGATCCAATTGTTGCTCGTAACGGTCATGTACGACAAAATTGAGCTTTCATCAACTGGTTCGGTGGTTGGCTCTGGGTAGTAAATGAATTGATCGTTGTCTTTCGGCCAGAAGACAGATTCGAATTCGACGAAGATCTTGCCGAGTGCGCCGTAGCTGACCTTCTTAAGGCCTAGGCTGAGATCTTCCGGCAATGAAGGGCTGAACTCCACTAAATTGTGCTTGAGCACGCCGAGTGGAAGGGTACAAACAATACCGTCTGCGACAAAGCTCGGGGATTTACCATCCTGAGTGGAGGTGCGCACAACGCATTGCTTGTTTCCATCCTCGGTCCATTCGATGTTGTTGACAACGTGGCCGAGGCGAATGATGTTCTGATCGCGTAGATTCGAGGCAGTCCAGTTGACGATCGTATCGTAACCGCCTTTCATGTAGAGATTTCTCTCGATGGCGAAATAAGCCAGATGCTTAGAAGAAGCCTGTTCCAGGCTAGTGCCAATCCATGCCTCAACTTCACGCGCGACCTGCGGTGCCCAGAGCCTTTCGTCTTCTGTGACCAATGGGTGGGTGAGGACCCATTCTCGGATGAAATCCAGAGCGGCTTTGTCCTCGGCGTCAGGGTTTTCTTCATAGTAGTATTCACAGTAGTCGGCGAACTCGTCGGCGACCTTTTTGGCCTTGAACTGAGAACCAAGTCGACCATCTCGGGTGAAGTACAACGGAGTACCATCGTCGTAGTAATGTTCGATGTTAAGCTGGCCGATGAGGGGAATTAGTTTGTTTTGTGAGGTCTCGTGGGCCCAAGCGGCTCCTAAAGAAAATGTGAGTATAGAGGAAGGAGCAAGGAAGAACAAACCACAATGGACGTGGCCGACAATGAGCGCTTTCAACGACTTCATCTCAAACGCCTACGGCGATTGTTAGTATTGCCTAGGCCATATTTACCTATGTCTCTGGGAGAGCGGCCTGGTTTTCTACTGGTGTAGATACGACCGCCTATGCGGTCTGTTCGAGCCTCAAGAACGACGACATCCACGCCGTGGGTTTTCAAAACGGATGCAGCACGAAGGCCAGAAATCCCTGCACCCACGACAATGACTTTTTTAGGGGCTGGTGTTCCTTTTGGTATGTCTGCAAGGGCTTGACCGTGTACAATATCAATGACGGTTCCATCTTTCGGGCTTCGACCATCCTCCAACTCCTTGAACGCGACGGGCTTGGAGACCAGTCCGTTTGCGAGTTGAAGAATGGTCGATGGACTACTAGACTCCTTGGGTTTATGGGCACAAAGGTGAGCGATGTGGTAATGTTGGGCCATCATGAGCTGACAAGTTGACATTCGCGTTCAAAAGGTCAGTGCGGAGTTGTGCGGCTGGGCTGAGTTCAGCGGGATGGCAGCACGGAGAGGGCAGTGGCAGAGAGTGCGTGTGTGTTACAGGAAGGAAGTGGTGTGCAAGGTTGGGTTCGGAGAATGTGATAGATAAAGATGGCGAGTCCTGGACTCCTGGGATGTCCTCCGTTCAGTGATAGCAAGGAGGATGCGTTGCCCTTGAGTCAGCCCTTGCTCTCTGTTGCAGGAAGGAGGATGGGAGGGGCATGGCGGCTAAGACTTTATAGGAAAGTCCTGCCACGTATTACCCTCCAGACCAACCAGAGGTCTCAGAATTGTGGGCCTAGAGGTTCTGAGGCAAGTGCAATCATCATGACTTTGCGATAACCTTAGTGGCCTTCCCGGTGCGCTTCCCGGTGCCCACTTCCAGGTGCCAAGTACGAATCTGCGAGGGAATCCTGGGCCCAGGCTTAGGCTGGGGCACCATTTAAGCATTCTTCAAGCCTTGTTAGCCCCGTTGCTTAGTGCCGGACGGGGGTGGCTACCATCGATCGGTGACAGGAGTGCTTGAAAGTAGCTCTCAAGTCTGAATGACGTCTCCTCCTCAGCCAGTCAGTAGGACTCCGTACAAGACATTAATTGAGGTCTACTTTTGGCGCACCTACAAACCATTCCTAGAAGTGTCCATATATCTCCTAGACAAGACCCACGCTATTTGAGAGCATCCATTGCGGCTTGACGTCCGCTGGGATCAGTTACGTGGCACGATGGTTGGGTGACCTTCGAGGTGCCGATCACCTCGAGTCTCGCCGCGTATTCGAGTTGCTCCTTGCCGGTTGCCACTGATAAGGTTTGAGAAAAAGCGCGGAGGGCAATCGCTTACAGAGTAGTCGAACAGCTAACGCGAGAGTCTTACCCTGTATCAAATGCCTCGGACCGGTCGAAAGAGATGGCACACCCCAACTTTAGCAATCACCTGGACAGACGCCAACCTTGAACGATGTGTCAAAAGATAAGTCTGTAGGTCAATCATTGGGGTGTTCGAATTCGAGATCTTGGTTCGTGATTCTGGTATGCGAACAAGCGGAATGCTGCATCGGTATTGCTGGGGTGCTACTACGGAGTACTGCACCGTGGGACAACGCTCCGTTGGCTGGCGCGATCCTCTCTAGTTTGCGCCCCCTCGGTCCTAGTCTGGAGCTGACGCTTTTCGAATCCCATGCAACATGACAACCCCGATAAGAGCAATTCCGCCACTGATGGATGTCACGTACGAGGGCGCCGTCAGCTCTGAATCTCATAAGTGCGATGACGGCCAACCTTGCCCCGGTTATCGTTTCCTTGAGTCTTTTTCTTCACTTGCACAAAGTGACTTATCCTTCTGTGCCGTCACGTGATCGCATTCTCACCGACATAGCATCACATATAGTAGTACGATCATCAACACCAGTCTCATGGAGTTCGATGAAGTTCTCCCTGGTACTCATCGGCTATACGACCCCAATGGAAATGCATTGCAAAGCGATGTCGGTCTGAAGAAGCATGGCGATATCGTGCTGGTGCCTCAGCCCACCGACTCACCAAATGATCCTCTCCACTGGTCCATGCCTCGCAAAATCCTGCACAGCTTTCTCGTCTGCTTTATTACCGCATTGACCGCGGCCACGAGTAATGACTGCGGTCGGTCCCCCGCTGCCTTGTTTTGTTGTCAAACTAATCGGTGCGATAGGTAGCGCTCAGTATAATATGTGAGGGCGGCTAGTCTCTGATTGGATTGAAGCTGAAGCGCTCTAACCAGGAACCTGGATCTCAATATCAGTTACAGCTCATTCAACACAGGCGCCGGCATCCTGTTCATTGGCATAGGCTATTGGTGCTTGTTGTCCTCCCCAGCCGTATACCTCTATGGCAGGCGTATACTCTATCTCGTATGCTTGCTCTTTGGCCTTGCAGGAAGTATTTGGTTCGCGAGAGTCCAGAAAACAAGCGACGCTCTTTGGAATCAGCTATTTGTTGGAGCTTCCGAGTCCGTGGCCGAAGCAACTGTGCAGCTTTCCCTCATGGATCTTTGGTTCCAGCACCAACGAGGCTCCGTTCTGGGTATATACATCCTTGCCACCAGTATAGGGACGTTCTTGGGGCCGTTGATTGCCAGGTAAGGTGACTAGCATCGGGCCATGTGCGTAGATTGACTAATGCCATCTGCCTTGATGAAAACAGTTATATTGCAGACAGCGATCTTGGTTGGAGATGGATTGGCTGGACCGGCGCCATTTTCAATGGAGGCACATTCCTGATCTTTTTATTCACACTCGAAGAAACCGCTTTTCGTCGAGATCTTGTCCTTGTCAACAACGGTGACAGGTATCTTGTGGATGGTGTTGCCACAGCAGATGGGGCTGATAGCGAGACCAGGTCAAGCTTGGCTGGGACCAAAATTGATGATGAAAAGGCCGCATCTAAGCGGAATGGGTCTGCGGCTATCGAACAGCAATCGTCTGCAAGCCAGGAAAAGCGTAAGACATACTGGCAGCAAATCGCTATCATAACACCAGCAGCAAACCTCCGTGGTATAGGCTTCAAGCAATACTACCAACGGCTTTTCCATACTCTGAGGGTATTCACCTTTCCAGCTGTCATATACTCAGGTGTTCAGTAAGTCCTCATCCTGCAACGCGTTAAAAATCAAAGAGTTTGCTTACAAGTCAGCAAGGTGGGGTGCCCAAGATGCTTTTCTCACCTTCTACTTGACCGTGGAAGAAGATAATTGGTATGGTCCACCTTGGAACTACTCTGATGCCGCAGTGGGAAATATGAGCATCCCAAGTCTCATTGGCGCCGTTATAGGCTGTTTCTATGGTGGTTGGTTCAGTGACAAGTTCGTTGTGTGGATGGCACGAAGAAATGGTGGGGTCATGGAAGCAGAGCATCGCCTATACCTCATGTTCCTTGCAGCAGCAATTTTTCCAACCGGTCTGTTCATTTTCGGCATTGGCAGCAACGATGGATGGGCATGGCCAGCTCCTTATGTCGGGCTCGGCTTCATTGGCTTTGGTTGGGGCTGTGCAGGAGATCTTTCAATGGCCTATCTGGTCGATGCGTATCCGGATATGGTCCTTGAGGGAATGGTCGGCGTTGCCGTCATCAACAACACTCTTGGCTGTATCTTCAGCTTTGTGGCCAGTAAGTGGCTTGACCAAAGCGGCCTCCAGAATACCTTCATTGCCATTGGAGCACTCTCATTTGCCTTTTTGATGACGACTCTCCCAATGATTATTTGGGGAAAGAATGCTCGACGCTGGACGAGGACCAGATATCAGAAATTCTTGGAGATACGTGATGGGTTTGGAAACTGATTGGAGATCAGTACTTCCCATTTCATGCGATCAACGGATATCGGACACTGGGCGATGAAAACCCAACGAACCTTAACAGCAAGCCTTTAAGGACTACGTCAGCCAGCGAATTCTGGACGGTGATCACAAATATCATATATAGTCATTGTGGCAATAGTCGCCTCGTGGTAGGAAAAACTCGAGGAACTTAGCAGTGAAGAGCCTCAGGCATAATGTCGCTTCTACTTCTCCGTAGCTATCAAACACTAACAAGCATTAATGCTCGAGACGCTGCGGCTGATCCGCAGGATGCGCCATCAGCTTCCTTTTGACTTTTTCTAGGCAGGGCAGGGAACCGACGACTTCGTTGCTCAACAATTATCACCTGCGTGGTGCTGTCACTGACCATGCCATTCACTCAATTCACATTGCGGCTTCCTTAGTATTTGACCAGAGTCCGCATTTGAGTCCTATGTATTCGGAAATCTACCTCCTAAATCCAGTCTAGGAATTTATTTCTTCGCCTCCTCAACATCTCACGTCAAGGGCCATCATGACCACAGCTGGTACAATTCGTGCACCGGCAATTATCTCGCGTTCCTGGGGCCTTACAACCTCTCATATGCATCACCGTGCGGACTAATCAACTTCTTAATATCTCACTCTTTGCTTACCCTGTGCTATAGATCTCCAGCGAAACATCCGACAGAGCCTTGAGCCCTGCAAAACACATACACGGGCCCTGCACCACTCACCGCGTGCAGCTGCAGCCGCTGGCGGCTCAGCTATACCTCACATCTCGCTACATATATCTGCATCGTCCAGCGGAAAGGGACGTAAATATCGCCCGGAGACGAGCACATTCGACTTCCATCCCAGTAACACCAGTGGATTGGGCTTCCAACACGGTTCGACGATAGATGAGAAAAGATCTAAAAGACCAGACAGTGGACAAGATGCATACTTTGCCTCCCGAGTTGGAAAGGACTCAGACGTGACTGCATTTGCTATTGCAGATGGCGTTGGAGGCTGGACCGAGCACGGGGTTGACCCTGCCGACTTTTCCCACGGCCTCTGCGGCTACATGGCGGAAACGGCGCTTAGCTGGCCAACTGATGAACGACTCAATCCCCAACAGCTACTGGAGGCTGGCTACCAGAAGACAATAACAGACCCCTCCATTCGAGCGGGCGGCACCACTGCCTGCGTGGCAGTGACCGAAAGGGATGGACGAATGCGTATCGCAAATTTAGGCGACTCGGGATTCTTACTACTACGACTCGGCACAGTCTATCACTATTCCAATCCACAAACCCACGCCTTCAACACGCCCTATCAAATGAGCCTCACGCCTCCCGAGATCTTAGCACAAGCCATGGTATTTGGGGGCGTCCCTCTCAACGACAAATCCGACCGAGCGGATCTAGCAGACCACATGCTCCGACACGGCGACGTGTTGGTGCTCGCAACGGACGGAGTATGGGACAACCTCAACTCGTCCGACGTGTTGACAATAGTTTCCAACCAGATGCGCTCCACGGGTGCTTGGCTTCGGACCCCTGACCAAGGCTATACTGTTTCCCCGGCGCTACCGGAATTAGTGGACAAGTCACTGGGACCGCAGAAGCACAAAATGCCCGGCACTCTGCAGAGTGTCATCGCCGCGGCGATCACAGGCGAGGCAAAAGTGGCTAGCTTGAGTCGCAAAAGAGACGGACCGTTTGCAAAGGAAATGCAAAAACAATTTCCCTATGATCCTTGGCATGGCGGGAAAGTAGACGACATTGCGGTATTGGTTATCATTCCTGTCGACGAGAGTAAGGCCGCTGGAGGATCAGCAAGACTCAAGGCCAAGCTGTAAAAAGAGAAGCACGCAACTATGAACAAGGTCATGCCCCGCAGTGAGCGAGGGATAAGCATGGCCACGGAAAATTACAAGTCGAGTTACAAGAAACGCGTCATACTCATTTCCCGATGATCCCTTTTCTAATCGAAGAAGCCTAATGTATAAATGCCTCCCGGTTTTGTCGGGGCATAGCGACAGCGTTTGGGATATTACACACATTAGCATACAATACTACGAAAAGAGAATTTCTGCCGCAAGAACAACAGTTTGAAAGGCAAGCAGTGCACAGCCGGACGGAGCGGCATTTTGGCGGACATAGACACCGTTCATCCAACTACTAGGCAAATACCATGGTTCTGTAAGCAAGCAAGAGGTCATGGCCGGGATCATCGATGTTGCTTGTCCGATGCGCCCTGTTAGAGTATAGTGGCTAGTTAGACAGGTCGGCACACCACCAGGTTCGCACTCGATCGATAAACCCAATCTATCCCCCTCGTCTTGCCACCACATCTATGTACCTACTCAATCCTATCCCATCCTATCACGTCGGAATGTTCTTTTCTGGCACTGGCTGAATTCTCCGAGAGAGGCGTCCTCCACCCCTCACCCCCTGAATACGGTAATTAGCTGCAGCCCTTCCTCCGCTCCGATCCTAATAATCAGTTCTCACTTTGACGAAGGTAGCATTCTACGAGAAACAAGGGGGGTAAAAAAAGGGGGGGGGGGGGGGAAAGAGCATCCAGATCGTCACTTTATAATTCACCTACGGGGTACAGAGCGCAGTGAGGTGGCTTTCACTCGATGCGACGTCCCTGACGAACCCAGTTGTTTTTTTAAGAAGAGAGGAAAACAAAAGGGAAGAAAAAGTCCTTTCACATTTTGGGGCGCGCTAGATAATTATATGTCACCGCCAATACCAGACACGGAGGACCCGTGAACACCCACTATTCCCAAACTACTCAACTGCCAACTATGCTTGGAGGAGTAGTAATAGTAGCAATAAACCCATCTGCGACATGATAGCTCATTGTGTATCCTCCCAGGGACTGATTGGGAGGGAATCCACCTTTTCTTCATCTCCGCATGAAAATCGACAGAAGAAGCCAACCGCCGGTAACGCGCAGGGTATGCATTTCCCGTTCTGCTCTCCGAGCCAGTCATGAATCCCCGCTTCGGCGCGGCGAGAACATCAGTGGTCGAGCTTACGTGCTGCGACGCCTGATTCCGACGTTGTAAGCAAGGGGCTTTCTGAGGAACCCCTCCCTGGTCTCCATGGGACCATCATGCTCATCTTTGAACTCGAAATTCCTGAAGACGGTGCCGACGATACACTTCAGCTCCATCTCAGCGACATTCCTGCCGACACAGGCGCGGGGCCCGTAGCTGAAGGGGATGAATGCCTCCTTCTGTCTGGCGGTGAGGCGGGTTTTCTCGTCCCAGCGTTCGGGGACAAACTCGTCGGCATCCGGGCCCCAGATTTCCTTGCTGTGGTGGATAGTATAGCTGGGCACGGAGAGCGCGGTACCTGGTGGGAAGCTGTAGCCTAGGATCTCGACGGGCTTTGGGTTCGGGTTTTCCGGCGTCGCGCCCGGGACGAGGCGGGGAAGACCGAGTGAGGATGTTGAGTGAATTCGCATCGTCTCGCTGATTACCCACTGCACGTATGGGAGGTCTTTGACTTGGTCATATGTGGGCACGCCTGCGGGCATCGCGGCGTCGAGCTCCTTTTGGAGCTTTTCTAGGACCCCGGGTGTGCGGATCACGTAGTACAGAATAGCGCATGCGGTGTTGGAGGTGGTGTCGGAGCCGGCGATCAGTTGCGTCAAGGCCTCTGCGGTGAGCTCTTCGCGGCCGAGTTTCTCGCCGTTCGCATCCTTGCCTTCCATCAGGCGTGCTAAGAGATCCACTCGGTCGGTATTGGGATTCTCAAGTCGTTGCGAAACGCGGGCGATAGCGATACCTGCTAGGTTCTCGACGGCCTCCACACCCTGGCTGAAGAATTTGTCGGGCAGATACTTGGCGTAGGGCTTCAGTTGTGGCAGGCAGCCTAGTGTGCCGGAGACCTCACCACGGCGGTTGAGAACCTCAATAGCGGGAGCCGTTGTTGGCGGTGAGTTGGGTGTTTTGCGGATCTCAGCGAAGTCACGCTCATGCTCGAGCATGCCAAATGGAGCTCCGAATGCTAAGTCACCAATGATATCGAATGCAAGGTAGTTGAACCAGTGCAGGGCGTCGATACTGGCGTAGCCGGTCTTTGGGTTTTTGCGGTTTTTTGCCATGTCGGTCCATTTGCTGCTGAAGAGTTCCAGATTGGCGTGAATGTATTGTTCGAACTGGCCGATGGATTTGGCGCTGAATGTGTGTGAAACGACCTTGCGCTTGCGAGTATGCTCGGCTCGGTCGCGGGTGTTGAAGAGACCTCGTCGAATGGATACGAAGGCATCGTAGTATTCACTGTTGTGAAAAAAAGTCAATATTTGGGCTCCAAAATTGTCAAGCACGCATTTCAGAGAAGCGCTTTACCTTTTCAGAAAGCCATTGCCGTGCCCGTAGATGGTCTGGATGGCGTCCATGTCGGCAATGGAGACATGATGAGGCTGTATTCGCACAACTTTGCCATATTTCTTATGCAATTCATCAACCTTGAGGTATCTTCGACCCCGTCGAGCCTGGTACAATAGCCAAAGACTGGTGAAGGCAGCTGGGAACGGGGCAGGGATTTTTCGTAAACTTTTATTTCGGAGATATGGAAGAAGGTAGTAGAGTATTGGGAAGAGAAGGAGGGTATACGGGGTCAAAAATGCAGTGATAAACATGATTGCGACACAGAATCAGAAGAAAATGCCCAGAAATGTAGGAATACCACCTTGATGGTATCGCGAGTGTAGAGCTTGAAGATGGGTCATGGCCAAGTCAGCAGGAAGGATGTTATATACACAGACTCTGAACGGAGGCGTAGGGGCTGTGGATGAGGGATGCTGTTCCCAAGGTCAAGAACTCGGAGCCATAATTGGAAGAACTGGTATTGGTGCCCACAATTAGACCAAGCAACGGAGATGGTGCTGAAGAACGGCCAGGCGTGACGGATTGCCCTGGTACGATCGGTTGAAAAACTCGGGAAATGGAAATTGATTGTTGGAGGAGGCGGGAGGTACTCTGAGGAATTCAACAGGATTAATTGGCTGCCTGAGTACGAGAGGATGGAGAGTGCGGAGGATGGAGGAAGGATGGTGCACACGTGCCCAGCCGTGTCAGACAGTGCAACAGGACAAGAGCGAGTGAGGCACGCGCCTTCCCCACGCGCCTCTCATACCCCGCTCTGCTTGTCTGACTTGGCCGATTTCTCCTTCGAGCGGGGCACGACCGCGGCATTGGCATTGGCAATAGCAGTCGTCGAGGCGGGCAGCAGCCCTAGTTCAATCATGATAATGAGAATGCTATGAGAATCTTCTCTCGCCCTCCTAGCTGGCGAATATGGCTAGGGCTGGACGTTCGTGCAGCTCACAGTTCTGCCCAGCAAAGCCCAGCAGCCAGCGCTGGTAGGAGGACCGAACTGTCGCCGACCGCTGCCTCTCCATGTGGAGCCGTGCCATGTGCCGTTGTCATCTACATGGAATCTCCGTCGTCTCAATCCATGGGTATTATCCGATACCACCCCCGGTAAGGAATGTTTTGCGGCTGTCTCTCAGAGGTCAGAAGGTCGCTATCTAGTAGCAAGGCTGCCACTTACCATTGCCCTTTCGAGTACCGCTGACTCGCAGAATCAAGTCTGTTGGACTAGTAGTCATCTTGTTTCCCGTTGCATGTTCCAAAATATCGGTCTCCGACCCTCATGTCAATGTCATCTCGACCGGGTGAATCCGCACTTTCAATGCACCATTTGCTCCGAGATAAGTTCCTGCATAGGTACATTAGCTGACTGTCTGGGTCCCATAGATAAATGCGAAAGTAAGAAATTTACCGGGAAGCTTTCAGCAATGCCTTCAGTGTAGCGCTCCACGTCTTCAACCAACCCTTGCACGCCGTGATCCCATTCACGAAGCTCCCTGGTCGGTCCTCGCAACTCAACTTCGGGGATAGTCTCAAACATGATCACTCCAGCGATCTGGTCGATCTCCCCCCGAAGACGTCCTTGTTCCACCATACGAGCTGCATACTCCTCAGCTTTCTCCGCTGCCGTCTCATCCTCTCCGTCTTTGAGACCTAGGATTTGTCCCAGTGATGCGGTCGTGATGTTTTCATACAATCGACTGGTCGCGAGGAGATTGTGCTCGATGACTGCCTTGCTCAACACGGTACTCCCATCAGCAGTTTTGGCCAATTGATGCGGTGCCAGCGTCGCCGCGAATGCTTCCACTTCCATCGACGATAGCAGCCGATCAAGAAACATATTTTCCAGAATCCCATATTCCTCCGTCTCGGCTGATCTCTCATCTTTGTACAGTTTTGCAAGCGTTCGACTTCGTAGTGGACCCGCAGGTGCAAGAATAGCCGTCTTAATGGCGGCCGAGAGCGCTCTTCTGCGGTCATCCTCATCCGCGATGCTGCTAGAAGACACATTGAGGTATTCCGCAGAGGCATTCAAGAAGTCTCGTCGAGAGTCCAGAATCCGTGCTTGTGACAGTTGGTAGAGGAGCCGTAGATCGGGAGATTCCTTCAAGACAGGTATCGCGGCGGCAGCATTCTTGATCTTGTTCAGACCAGTCTCAGCCGCAACGGTGTCGTCGTCCTCCAGATAATTCCTCACAATGCGAATCCACGTTTCTACTTTCTTGCGATCTGGAACCTGTCGCTGCGTCGAATCTAGATTGATCCCCTGCAGCGCCTTGGCCGCGGCACTGTATTCTTCTTCCGCCTCATATCCATCCGCCAATATTTCTCTGACCGCGGCATCTTGCTCTTCGAACGAGGCCAACTGTGACTGTAAGGCTTCAGCCAGGTGGGAACCAACGGTGACCTTGACCTCCGAGGCCGACGTCGAGAGCGACTGGATGAGAGTCGCCAGGAGTGGGCGAATCGTGATGATCCCGAGGGAAGAGGTCAGGAGAGAGTCAATATATGTCACGAGATTCGTTGCATGTTGTTCATTTGCACGAGAGGGCGAGGTCGTCAGCCGCGAGAGTAGGTCATTGTATGTCTTGGTCTTGACTGCCGCTGAACCGTCTGCCACTGACTCCAAAGCCGCTGTGAGAGCGGGTGAGGCCATCACAGACACGATGCAGTATTTAAGGAGCCTCTCGAATCATTGGGGTACAGGAATTTAGAGGGAGCGGACGATGTGGACGACTTGATTCAATTATCATCATGGCAATTCGCTGGCTGAGTGACAGTCGCAGGCAGTCCCACATCACGTGATTGAACGAGACTTGGCCTTGTGCTGTACCATATAAACTAAGTGGAGAAATATTCCTTGGGAAGTGCCACTGGTTCACGGCGTCCACCATTGAACTTACTCCACCGCTTGGGAGCCCTCTCAAAACCCTCCCCATCCTGGATAGCTACTCATCGAATTCCAGCTGAAACGATCCTGGAGACTCCAGGTGGGTTGTGGTGCCATGCCCGAGTACACAGCCGGCCCAAACATTGAACGGGCTTGCACCGCCATATCATATGACAGATTCTGATCCACGAAGTTCATCGGCATTGACATGGAGAGTTCGTCAATCCCCATGTCCATAATGTTGGCAGGCTGGGCTGTGTCAGTATCCGTATCCTCTTGGGCACCCATCGTTGTTTGCGCCATAGTCTCTAAAATGGACGATACAATCTTTGGCTCCTGTTGAATATGCCCGGAGGTCTTGCTTGTGTCCCATGCCTGAAGGATGAGTTTGGCAAATATAAGGAATACAGGGGATTTCCCTCGGCCCTCTTTATCGTCCAGATACTTGGACCAAGCCTCATAGTCGTCGCTCAGAACCTCCCAAGCTTGCCGATTCAGCTTGCTGTGCGGTCGTGTCCTCAAGTCCTGGGCAACTTGGAGATACGCCGGAAATGGAAAGTAGAGGTGGTGCAGCCAAACAAATCCTCTTGTGAGTGGCGAAGACATGATTTTCGTGTCACACTGAAGGACTCTCATTGCAATGGAAGTGGCAGTGTCACGCTGTGATTCTGTTCGAGCAATAGACGCGTCATCAATGTACTTCAGACAGTGTTCCATAAGACGCCACTTCGCCAATTGTGCTCGAGTCGTCCAGATTGTCAGGAAGTGGAGAGGGTTCTCTTCATCACAGAATTTGAGGTATTTAGCTTCGATCTCCGCCTCCAGTCTCGATATGTCATCTGTTTCTCCCGATATTGAATCACTTTGGGACGGTCGAGCGATTTGCTTCAAGACCGGGTTTGTGATGTCGAGGTGAAGTGTGTTGTACCGTAAAAAATCCCCCAGCTTACTCCGAACAACGGCGAACAGTGCGTCGGTGGTTGTTCCCTGAAAAGCTCGAGGTTCCTTCATTCCAGGCCGCAGATCTGAATCGTTCACATTGAGAGGAATCTTGCAATCCCACGTAGGCCCTAACGTCACCTCCCCATGGTTTGTCGTCTCACTTACTCGGGTATCAAACAGTACCAGCGCCCACCACAATCTACGGCGCATCTCGGCCTCTAGAGCAGGAAGCTTAGCCAAGGTAGCTTCACTCTGAATACCCATACGCTGGGCAATGCGGATTGCTGTAGCAAGAATAGTGGCAAGAGAGACAGGGACTGCGGCAGGTCTGATAGATATCTACGACTATTAAGCAAGCCAGAGCAAATCTAGAGCAATCAGCTTTACTTACTAGGTATAAAAGTAATGCCGTCAAACAGTCGCGATCGTCGGACCGTAAGAATCCACTGTTAAGTAATGCCTGCTGGCAGCCAAACCGATACCGTGCTAAGAGATCGCTCTGCGATGACCCGAACGTAGTCTGACACTCATCAACCTGGAGGCTCAGAATAGCTGTACAGTAAATGCTGAACATAAGCGCTTCTAGGGTGTGGCTGATGCTGTTCAAATCGCCGACCGCTTCAATGATGCGACTTTGCAGGCTAGGAACATGAGTAACCTTGAGTAGCGGATTGACATTGTCCAAGTAAATCTGCCACAGCTGGAATATCTGAATCGGGGCGGGGTGGAGCGTAGATAAGTCGATATTCGCGACTCCTGCACCAAAAAAGACGAGTTCATCATCTCCAAATGATCGTTGCCAGGCCTCCTTGACAGCAGCCTCGCGCACCTCGTCTTGTGTGGAGTCTGAATCATCGTTAGGGTCTCGGAACTACTTCAGCCGTCAGTACGAGTATGAAGCACAAATCTTGGTGAAGGTGAAGGTGATCGTACTCCTTGGCTCATGGCGTGCCAAACGTTCCTGAGGTAGTTAGCCATCGCTGCACAATGCTAGATCCTCGAGCGGCGGCTGTCTCACTTGGGTTGATAGGCCCCATCGGATTTGACAGTCGTCGAAGGGGTTGAGAGCTCTGTGCCCACAAGATCTGTCTGGTCATCGTCCGAATTACCTATGTTCTCTGTCTGGAAAGGTTCCGGCCTTGGAGCCCAATTTTTGTGCAGTGGTTCAAATGGAATGTTATTCTGTCGCAGCAAGTCTTCATATTTGCGGAGGTGTTCCAGCAGCTCTCGGTCACCAAAACGGCGTTTTCGTCTTCGCTGAGCAAGCGTCGATGGTACACATTGTGCTCGGGACTTGACACAATTTGCACAAGGAAATTGCCGATCGCATTTCACTTTTCGTTGCTGACACAGCACACATGCAAGTACCCGGTGTGGCTTTATTAAGGGCGCGGCACCGGATGAAATCGAGGGATGACCCTGTCGAATTTCAGTACCGCTCGACATTGCTGCCAGTAAGATCGATCACATCTGGCTCTGCACCTCCAAGAAATGGATCCTCCAGTGGACCGGCAAGTTAATATGATGGACAACTACTGCCCAGGCGATGGAGAGCGGGAATCAAGAGTCAGTAACTACAATAATTAAGATGCCCTCGCTAATCTCTAGGCAGCCAGACCGTGATGTTGTCAGCAGGGACCCGAAGTACAGGATTAGCGCCAAGACTTAACTAGCGCGTATTGGCTCTATACTTTACTAATTACTTTAAATACCATGATCGTCATTACTATTGGGAATAAAGCTTCCAGTAGCACCTCAACGTCCTGCTTACCTTTCTTAAGTTCGCCAACTTGGATTCTCAACGGCATGGGAATGGTACACTGATAAAATAGGGCTGTGTTGATTAATAAGCTTCGTCTAGCCAGCTAATGACTCGATTGGCTGTACACGACCATATCGATGCGCCGTAGGCATACTGTGGCTTGGTGGCTTGATGGCACACACATATAACTGGTAAGATATATCGAGTGGGTGGTCATGCGCTATGACTTGGCGGGGCACAGCCATCGCCTTGCCGCGCCTTGTAATCGGCTGCCTTGTGACCCTGAGCAGGAGTTGATAATTTCTCACTCAACGAACTTGCCACACTGCCCTCAAGCGCACTCTGCACGTTCTTTTGCGTTCTGGCGCCTCTCTACAGATATTTTGTTCAACCTCATATATGCATTTGACCAGAGTCTGGATCCGGTGGATGATCACTGCCTGACGCTGAATACATACATAACTTCCTGCATTCAAACGCAACTTGATCCATTTCTAGCAGATGGCTTCTCGGCGTGATCGACAATCACGTGGATCGCCCTGGCAGGTAGCCCTCCTCTTGGGCTCTGCATCGACGCTGCTTCATTTCATCCTGGCTATGGTGGCAATTTTCAGCCCGGGTTCAGAGCTTATCTTGAGCGTACTTATTGCTTCTATTGTAACGGTAAGGATGGCCTGCTCATTGCCCGTCCCAGCACGCTCCGTGGCTGATGGGTTTCGACTACAGTGGACAATTGCCTCTGTGATCGCCGCACTCGCCATCTGGCGGTATCGGAATTGGCCCGTTGGCCTCTTGGCGTTCGCGTTCGCGAGCGCGACCATAATTATGGTCGCGGTTCGATATGCCCAAATCGTGGACGAATATTCCGGCTCTTCGAGGGCAAAGATTCGTCTTCGCAGCGCCCGGGGCGTTCACGCCGGTCTTGCTGGGCACCCTTCCGCTCGAAGGCAGCTGGGCGCAATTGGCACCGCAGGCCTCGGAGCGGCTCTTGATATTTCGATAGCGCTCACAAATAGTGTCTTGGGAATGATGATTACAGATGGAGTTGTCCTGTATGTTTCTGACCCTTCTAGTCTTGCGAGAAAGGGGCGATCGATTTGCTGACGGATCCAAAACACAGGCTTTCATACGTCATCGTCAGCCTTCTTACGGCGTTCTGCACCTGAGTGATGGGCCCCGCCACTGTTCACGCGACTGGTGGAGGACACAATAATCAGGCTGAGAAGGATAATTCGAGAACGAGACATTGACAAGGCTGAATCACCCCGGTGGGCAACGCTGAAAGGAATGTCCAGTGAGATTAATACGAAGAGAATGGTTCAAAAGTAGAGGGAGGAAGAAAGAAGACTGGGCGACGGCGACGTGGCCTTCGCGTCTAAGATGTAGTCGACGCTTCCGGTCGTCGGACATGTCGTGGGACACAGGGTTGACGCCGTTATCACTTATTGGAAAGTTTGGTGATGGAACAGTGGAACCGTTCAGCTGTATCTACACACGTGACAGGCAGGTATCGATCGTTCGGCCATCTCGGGCTTTATTAACAACCCGGACATATCAAACGACATTCCAGCGAAACGTCCGGAAATGTTTCAGTCAGACGAACTTAATATCACGTGTTGCATCGCTTTAACTCATCCCCTGCCTCACAGAAACTCAAAAATTGTCTCCGTCTGACAGATGGTTCCGAGTACCATTATCTACGATAGGGGATCCCCGTGCCACCGTCGACCGATTCCATCCCATCGGATCAATAACAGTCGTTGAATTTCTTCTCTTCCAGGGCAGAGATACACATACCATGCGCACCGATGCGCGAGGGGCATGCCACTTCCCTTCCAGCGAGCTTCATGCGTCTCAACATTATCAACTCCGATTCCGCCAAATGGATGATTCGGGTTTTAGGAATAGACCGAGCATCAATGCTCAAATTCGATCCAAGTCACTCGGCCCCCGTGAAATGGTCTTGTCTTAATAACTTATGACACTGTTTATGGGGATATAAGACCACAGCTGCTCAAGTTGCCTGTGTGAGAGTACAATCGAAATCTCACAATATCATTGCCTCAAGTCCTGACGATGTCTTCTACAGCCTCTGTGGATGATGCCAAACAAGCGACCACTGCTGGAGAGGCACAGTCGCGTGATCCAGTCAACGAATATGAAGACGCTGAAAAGAATTTCAAGCCCAAGTCAATCAAATTCTGGTCCATCATGACTGGCATGTATCTGTCCTTTTTCCTGGTTGGGTTGGTCAGTTACACCTCTCAATCCCCCTTAAAGGGCACGTTTAGCTTATGGGTTTGGTACTTAATAGGACCGAATGATCATCGCAGCCGCCGTCCCACGCATCACCGATGAGTTTGACTCCCTAGATGACATTGGCTGGTACGGCAGTGCCTACATGTTGACCGCGGCCTGTTTTATGCCAATATCTGGCCGGGTGTATCAGCTGTACTCGACAAAATGGACTTTCCTCTTTTCAATTCTGGTGTTCGAGGTTGGCTCGACACTGTGCGGTGCGGCACCCAACTCGATCGCTTTCATTATTGGGCGTGCGATCGCCGGTCTAGGATCGGCAGGAGTCTTTTCAGGAGGAACAATGATCACTCTTCCGCTTATTCCTCTCCGTAAGCGTCCCGTCGCCAGCTCAATGTTTGGTTTGGCATTTGGAGCTTCGTCTGTCCTAGGCCCACTCCTTGGTGGTCTTTTCACCGATCATGTGTATGCTAAACATTCTCCGTCTGTTCAATAATTGATCCTAACAACACTAGGACCTGGAGGTGGTGTTTCTACCTGAACCTTCCAATCGGTGGCTTCACAGTACTTGTTATCATCCTCTTCCTCCATGTCGAGTCACCGAAAAGGGACAAACTAAGCTTCCTCGCTCAGATCAAGCGACTTGATCCGATTGGAATATTCTTCTTCGTTCCAGCTATAATATCGCTAATTCTAGCTCTGCAGTGGGGAGGAACTACATATACATGGTCGAACCCGAAGGTGATAGGCCTCCTCGTCACCTTCGCCGTCCTTTTCATCTGTTTCATCGTCGTTGAGGTCCTGACACCACAGACCGCCATGGCACCGACCCGAGTCATTCTGAACCGGTCGATTGCCGGTAGCATGTTCTTCATGTTCCTCATCTCTGGAGGCATGATGTCTACAATTTATTACCTCACAATCTGGTTCCAAGCAGCGAAGAATACCTCGGCGATACGTTCCGGCATCAACACTCTACCACTAATCCTGTCATTCATCATCATGGGCATCCTCGCAGCCGTCCTGACCCAGAAGATCGGTTATTACGTTCCATCGATGCTGATGTCAGTGGTCCTCTGCTCCGTCGCGGCAGGTCTCCTCTCCACACTTTCCCCCTCTTCAGGCCAAAGCACCTGGATCGGCTATCAGATCCTATACGGTTTTGGTATCGGCTTTGGATTCCAGACATCGATGCTACCGCCGCAAAACGTCTTGCCCCGTGTGGATGTGCCTCTCGGCCTGGCGCTTATGTTCTTCATGCAGCAGCTCGGGGGCTCTGTCTTCCTTTCCGTCAGTCAGAACATCTTTTCAAGCAGACTAGTCCACAACTTATCAGGCCTTGCAGGCCTCGATGCCCAAACGATTGTTAACACGGGTGCCACTGCGCTACATACGATGGTCCCAGAAGATGAACTCTCCACTGTCCTTACTGCGTACAACGACGCCTTGACCCGCGTCTTTATCCTAGCTGCCGGTCTGAGCGCATTTATGCTCCTGGGTGCCTTGGCTGTGGAGTGGACGAGGATGGGTGGCGAGAAGCAGAGTGAGAAGGACGGAGAGCATAAGGCACCAGAAGGAGATGTCGACAGTAAGGAAGTCCAAGGGGAAAGGCCATTGGAAGCGTGACGGTAGGAGAGGGCTGCGGGGCCTCAGAATGTATTTATCTGATTTTCAAAGAATCTCCCCTAAATCCTCCTAGAATATGATAGTAATACTCTAGATGACTCCCCAAGCCAGGATCACCTATCCTCGATGTCGCTTCTAATAATTTGTTCATAATGGAACTCCGCCCTTCCCTCACATTGCCACGAGGTGCTCATGCCCGCAACCCACTCTTGTAGGAACACGGCACTCTACTTGAGATGCTGCTCATTGACCAACACCAACCGATACCTCGGCTTACCCGCCTCGAAATCTCGCAGTGCCTGATTAGCATCCTTCATCGGGTAATTATTATTCCAGGTGTGCACGCCCTTTTTCACGAACAGGTCCAACATCTTCCTGATATCGTTTGGCGAGCCGATCATGCTTCCCGCAATGGAGCAGTGGTTGCCGATGAGACTGAAGGCCGAGACAGACGGGAGCTTGTCTTCAGGCGCGCCGACTTGAACGAACGTACCGTGTAGCCGGAGGAGGCGCAGGTACTGTTCGAGGGGAAGCTTGGGGCTGGAGACGGTGGAGACGATGAGGTCCAGCGATCCGGCGTGCTTAGATGCCCAATCGCGGTCCTCGTCGGTGGCGATGAAGCCCGTGGCGCCCATCTTCATGGCGTCGGCTTTCTTCGCGCTCGAGCGAGATATCGCGACGATCTGCTCGCAGCCGAGCGCTTTGGCGCCCAGGATGCCGTAGTGGCCTAGGCCGCCAATGCCAATGACCCCGACCCTCTTCCCATGTCCTGCGTTGTATTGGAAGAGCGGCTTGACTGCCGTGATGCCACCACATAGCATGGGCGCGGCTTGATCCGAGGGTATCTCATCTGGGATCTTGATCACGCAGCTGGAGCTCCCTCGCCAGTAGTCGGCATAGCCTCCCATGGACTTGCTCCCGTCCGGCCACTTGGCACCATATGTACCGACGGTGGTGCGGCAATGAGGCGTCCAGTCATCTGCGCACGCCTCACAGTCGCCGTTGCGGTTGTGGCACGCATACGACTGTGCACCTACACCAACTCGGTCGCCCACTTTGATACCCTTTACCTTCGAGCCCACACGGACAGCATGTCCCACGATTTCATGGCCCACGCAGACTGGGTAGGCAGTCTGGCCCCAACCCGATCTAAGTGTATGGAGATCAGACCCGCAAATGCCACAGTGTGTTATACGAATATCAATATCCTCGGCCTCATCGAATGGTTTCGGCTCGAACTGCTTCCATACCATCTTTCCATTCACCGAGTCGGCATCCATGCCGAGCCATCCTTGGAATTTGTAATCGCTTGACATTTTGACGATATGTTGGTGTGATGGATTTCAAGAGAAGGAGTTCTCGGCTTCAACGAGAAGTCAGTTAAAGAAGGACAACTTTGGAAAGTCAATACGAACAGACCTGGCGCATATAACATATATCGTTCTAAAACAAATTGCGAAGAAGTGGCACCCCCAAAACATACTTGTACTGACGTACCTCAATAAGCCGGCCTTAGGTGCTCTCAGTGCCGAGGTAGAAGGCGGTGGGATCCACAATTGCTCGAGGTTGCCCAGAGATTTTGTTGAAGATTTCATGTTGCTCCAATAGGAAGTGTAGGGTGAGCGATGAGCTGTGTAGATCTTCCAAATTCACACTGAAAGTTCGTTTAGGTTTTGGGTTCAGTGTCCTGAGAAAGTCCCATGGATCCTGGAGTGTTGACATCAGCAAGGCTTCGGTGGACGTCATTTTCAGGCGTTTCATTGGATGCCGCCTGGACTTGGGGTTCCAAAAAAGTCATGAGCAACCTGCCGTCAACTGCATTGGCGGATCATTAGCGAGCTAAGCGGTGATGGCATGGCTTTCGGTTTGAAAATTTTACGGGCCAGAGTTGAATTGTTCTTCAGAGCCTTGCGATAGACTTACAATGCGAGGCTTCGGAATCAGGGGCACCAGCCTTTCCGGATTCATTACGTTTGAGAAATGGGCCTGGCTCACCTTGATACGTCCAAGCGGTACTCGGTATGGGGAGGGACAAACGTTGCGAGAATTTACACCATACAATTCCAAGCCCAGCAGAAGCGAATAAACCCCAGCTGGTCATTAGATGAAAGGAGCCTAGAAGCACTTAGACTACTAGTTATTTCGCCTTCGGACATCTAGATAGGGGTCTAGGCTTCAATTGCTCCTTTCATCGCTATCACAGCAAAGACTGCCGTCAATATCATCGCCGAACTTTGGGCAACAGCGGCATCCCTAAACAATGATCCCAGACCTGTAATTCTCATGCTGAACGGGGCGAGATCTTAACCATCAAAGGCTGCTTGTTGGCGAGTAGACCAAAAATCTTCGTCTTAGACCAGTCGGGAACACCACTGTCTGCGGCAGCGATGTCAAAGCTGTGTGGTAGCAATGTTAGCTCGGATAGCTGTAGAAGGTATCAGACTTACTGCCAGAGCAAAGTTGCAAGAACGAGCCTGAATTCAGCGCTGGCGAGACTATATAATTCATCAGCAGTTTAATCGTGGCCTCCTTGAGGACGGCAAAACTTCTCATATTGGAGAATGTTAGTTGACTTACGCTTGGCCAGGGCAATTTCGAGGACCTGCCTGGAAGGAGTTGACTACTCCCCGTTGATCATTTGCATACTTCCCATTCATGCCTTCTTCTAGCCACCGTTCAGGGACGAATGAATCTGCATCTGTCCAAGCTCGGGAGTATCTTCCTGCTGTCCAATGGTAGACACCAACCAAAGTCTGGTCCACGGACATGAGGATCAATATTCTAACATCTTCTGCGTGCATTGTGATGGAAAGATTCAGGTTGCTCACCTTCGGTGGTATTAGATCACCATTTATGAAGTTGCCTTGAGCATTGGTAAACCTTCTCTGTGTTTCCGGACCTGGGGGCCACAGTCTGAGCCCCTCCGAAAAAACGGCGCTCAGATACCGCAGTGAGTTGACATTTGCAAGAGTGATATCATCAACACTTCTTAGCTTGGAGCGGATCTCGTCTGTCGCCTTGGCTAGCTTAGACGGATTCTTCACCAAGAAATATGTCGTCCCCTACAAGCACAAGAGTGCTGGTCAGTGCCCGGGAAACAAGACCGCATCTCGGTTGATCTAGTCGTACTTACCACCATGGCAATTGCTATGGTGTCAAACCCACCAATAATCGCATCAGCTGCAAGACGAGTTGCTAGCTTCTGGTCGATACCATTACGTCGACCGACTTCCTGAAATACATGTGATAATCTGAATGAGTCTCAGCTGTTAGGCCCATGTTCGGCGGCGCCTTGAGAAGCGGTTACTGACACATCATCTTTCGACTTTTCCAATGACTTCTGCCTATTTTCCAACCGCCTTGTCGTTTCCAGTACTGCGGCCAACGGGGGAGGCTCGCTGCTTAAGAAGAGGAATCGTGTCAAGGCACTCGTCTGGAACGCAGTACCTACGGCAAGCTGCTTAAGGCCACCAACGAGTTCGCCGTGCAATGGCGGAAGTTCCAAATTATTACTGCAGGATCCACCTGGTCAGCATGTTTTGTGGGCTCCATAGTTGGTACAGTTGGCCAAACCCACAGACAACCGAATGTCTCACCCGAGAATAAATCACCGATGATATCGAAAGCAACACATTCATAGCCATTGGCAAGATCCAGCACCGCCTTGCCGGCCCCATCTCTCACCTTGCGTTGCAATTGCATTACAAATGCTGAGATATTCTTCTGCAGGATGCTCTCCTTCTGGCGCAAGGCTTTATCATTTATGGTCGAAGCCAGAATCTTGCGACAAACTGCCTGTTCGTCATCGAAAGGGTTGTCCATGAGCCCATGTTGAGAATTTGGAGTTTGTGGAAAGATCTTCTTCAATTGTTCTTCGCCCTTTCGCGTCTTGTATATGTCGTTCCAAGCTTCTTCCGTGACATATGACAGCTCATTTGGACCGACACGCACGATCTGATTTCAGAGGTCGTGTGAGCCGGATATCATTTCCAGACTTTAGCAGAACCAGAGTGCGCTATATCGAATGCGCATAGATAGACAACTTACAGGACCATATTTCTCGTGTTGAGCTGTGACTTGATGCACCCACTGCCCGCGTAGGACATACCAGATGCGCACTAGATTGGTGGCCTGGAACAACTTTGGCCCTGGGTATTTACTGAGAGGATGAAAGTAAAGTCTGTAAAAAACACCTATCACTACCCAGGACGCTGCCTAAAACCGTCCATTCTTGGAATTCAGCACGTTTCAAAAAATAACATAACAAACATCGGACCTGAGAGTGAGCGTTGGGCATGGCGCAGCATACCAAGAACAGTGAAGCAAACAGTAAATTCAAGGTCTGATCAAGCATTTCCGGAACAGATGAAATACCCTGCGTCATGAATTCAGAAAATCTCTTCTTTTTACCGCTGTTTCCTCGTCTTCTCTGACAATTTGGTGAACAATCACATTTTAAAAAAGGCCTGCATGATTTGAAAGTGCTTTTAAATGCACCATAGCAGCTTGGTCCAAGGTAGGGCCACCCATGGTATCAGGCCGCCTAAGGGTCGTACAAAGTGTACAGTTATCTGATACCATCCATGATGAGAAACTAGGATGGCACCGATGGATGGAGGTCAAGGCACTCCTCAAGTAAGGAACCCCGTTTCGCATACATCACGTGGCACCTAGGCATTCAATACGATACAACACCATACTAATAAATTACCAAATGCACCTCATCTCTCCACCCACTCGACCTCGAATCCAAATCACCATGCAACAGGACCTCACCCTTGACCACGTCTATTGAACTTCACCATCTCTCCCGAACCAGTGCCACCGCTCTCAAGCACCCCCCCATAGTCAGCTATATCAAGTCCTCCCTCGGCCTCGATAACGCGCTCATCCACTCCTCGCACAATGCGCTCGACGCTCCCGCTCCGGGGTCTGTAAGTAGCTTTCGACTGAGTTGCCCTACCTCTCACGTCTGCATGTAACGCAAAAGCTAACTCACCTCCCACTTCCCTCCCTCACAGACTCAAACGCTCCTCATACTACGATTCAGACTACCGGCAATCGGCGGCGTTGATCCGCGCACGCCGACCGTATCTCTTCAAGAATATCGTTACTGGGACAGGAATCATGATGTTCGCAGTTGGAGTTTGTACGTGCCCGTGCCCGTCCCGCCTTCCTATCTTACATCGAGCGAGAAAGATAGAGACTCCCAAAAACCCAGCCCTAAACTAACCATACTTTCCCCCTCTTCCGCAGTCGTATTCACACTCCGAGCCGTCGGACAAGATAACTTCGACGACGTGGTTGTGCCAGATGCCCCGCAGAAGAGCCAGACGGTTGCGCCTAAGAATCCGCAGGGCCAAGTCAACGGTATGCGGTCGTGAGACGAAACACAAACACACATGCCAATCGCTCTTCCTGGGAGCTGTGGATCGGGTACTCCTTGGATCGAATCGAGTGAAGCCTTACCCAGAAGGATTGAGAATCTAGTCCTTAAAAGCCGGAATAGAAGAGAACGGGATGAGCAGCAAGAGTACCGTTCATGTATTAGGTGTGCCGAAGAAAAGGACTCAAGTTTTCAATTTTCGACACCTGCATTCGGCGAAGGAGGTCCATTCTATCTTTCATACCACAAAACCTCGCATACAATCGACCTCCTTTAGCCTCACTGCATCGCATTGCTTCTCGCTTGGCGTTATTACGGAATCCGACATGGGGTGATTCTCCCTTCAATGGAGCTGTGTGATGTATTATATCTTTTAGTCGGGTTACGATGCTGGACTAGGACATTTAAATGTACAGAGTTGACAAAGCTGACAGAGCTAGTATCTAGCTGCTGGGATTGGCGATATGAAGAGAACCAGTCAGCAACAACGTGTTGATGCAGCGAACCAAAAAGAAATGTCTGTTCAATCATTCACTGGACATGTATCCTTAGAGAAGGGGGTAGTGTACATATTGACGATGCATCCATCAAACCATTCCGCTCATGTCAAAAGTGCTCCTTGCTATTCGAGTGTTTCCATCAATTATCTATTGAGACCAATTCCATATGCTCACGTCAAGTTACTTCCCACTTCCCACTTCCCAGATCAGCTCACCGGATGCTGAACCTGCCCATTCCCATGTTTACCCCCGCTCCACCAGCTCCGGCTGTGATGACAGTGTCTTTGTGCCGGAACGGGCTATCATTATTCCCTAGCCTCCCAACTTTCTCTGGCCTTGTTGAATTTCCTCGAGGTGGCGAATGAACAATATTGAGATTGGCGCGGGCATTAAGAGGCGACGATGCAAAGTCGCGGATATTATCTTTGGATGGTAGTTGAGTTTCTCCCATGTGATCATTAATTATGGGGTTCTGGTGAAGAGAATTGGAGGTGGGACGCCGGGTATCTAGTGGTGACGCGGAGTGGAGTCGATAGTTGTGGACATTATTGGAGTTGGGTTGATGCTCGATTTTAGCTGCGCTGCTTTGTCCATCGTGAGGCGTATTGGCAACAGATGAATGCTGTGCAGAGGGATCGACAATGGTCGAGGCAGAACCTGTGGGTTGTAAAGCATCGGTGGTATGTTGTTGGTTGGCTGGAGTGAGGAAGACATCGTTGTTCAAAGGCGAACGATTGGAGTTCTGGCGACTGATAGCAAGTCGATGAATTGGATGCTGAGGATTAGCCCACGGGGTTTGCTCAAGGAATTGCTCCTCTGCCTGTGGTCCGGAAATCTGTGCTGATAAGGAGCTTTGGGCCGGGCGCTGGGTAGGTCTGGATAGGCGGAGCTGTGCTGGTGAGATCTGTTCCCGTCAGTACCAATCTAGAATCAACTTGAGAAATGTGAAAACATACGCCCATCTTCTGCATATCATCTTCCAGGTCTTTCTGTTTTGATGGTGCTAATTCCGGTGCTGCTGGGAAACCAACATACTTGGCCACCCCGGACAGAATCGAAACCTCCTTGTTGTATGCAGTCTGTTGGAGAATTTGTTGCGACCGTCGTTCTGGAAAGGGGATTGTGTAGTTGGGAGCTGTCGAGTCCGCTTTGAATCTGTCCCTCTGAATTCGGTAGAAATGCTCGCTGATTCTTTCCAAATGTCTTTCCCGAATATCGCGCACAGTCTGAAAGAACTGACTGTGTATCTGACTGCGTTCAGCTACACTCTTGTTCTTTAGCGCCCCTACTTTATATACGAGGAGTTTCTGTTCGACGTCAAACTTCTCGTCACGATACTTTTGGACGGCTTCAAGTTGTCGGAGAAATTCAGGGTGCGAAGGTCGAGGTGCGCCCAGCAGGTTCAGCTCGTGGTTGATACCAGCAATGCGTTCATCATACAGACGATCTCTCAGGGATGCGAAGTGTTTCTCTAAGCCGACCAGGGCCTCCATGGCAGCCATGCGACTTGCCTGTTCTTCCTCGCTCTTAACGGCGGTTTCCACATCATTATCGTCGGCTTCGCTGTCTTCAGGGACCTCAACCTCGTTTTCTTCTCCCTCAGCCTGTGGCTCCTCAACTGCGTCGCCTTTGGCTTTTCGTCGAGATCTGCTCCTTGTCTTGCCTTTAGAATCTTCACTAGAGTCGGCCTTCTCGGGTTCCTTCGGTTCCTCCTCGGGCTCCTCTTCTGGCTCCTCTTCTGGCTCCTCTTCTGGCTCCTCTTCATCACGCTCAGTAATCTCAGGTCCAGCCCCAGGCTCAACAGTAGCTTCTCTGGTCGGCTGACTGCGAGAATCTTCCGCGTCACTTTCTGGATCGGATTTCTCTTCCTCCGTGTCGACGGAGCCTGTCCTTCGCCGTTGTGAGCGAGGGGCCTCTTCAGCTCCAGATTCGGAATCCTCCCTCTTTCTTTTATTGGGAGAGGTTGGTGGCTCGACCTCTGCCTCCTGCTCAGGTTCTGGGTCGTCGTCGGCCTCGGGAGGGTCGCTTAGAATGCCATCCAGGTCCGAATCGGCGTGGGAGGAGATAGGGGAGGTGATGGAACTCTCGGTCAGGCTTTCAATCTCTGGTCTCATATCCACATCTTGTCTCTGGGCCAACTTGCTTGGACTGATCTCGAAGGGTTTTTTCCTTGCTAGGTTTTCTGGCGTGATTTGCAGGCGTTCAGTTTCGGCCTCAGAATCGCCATCGATGGCAGCAACAGGTTCCGACTCTTGGCCATCGCTGTCGTCGTCCAGATTTTCATCCAGCTCACTGAGACTGCTAGAACGGTCGTCGTCGGAAGGAGGATCATCCTGAGCAGCAATGGCAGCGGCAGTATTGGAGAGTGCAAGCAGAGAATCGGCGGCAGAATCCATTTTAGAGTCTGCGAGTGGGTTGGAGATATGGAGATTTAGAGAAACTCGTCTTGATGAGGGGGTAGTGGTTTACCACTCAGATGGATGTCTTGGGGCAGGAAGATGGTGTAGGATCGCGATTGTGGTCTCAGTTGTCAAGACATGATAGTAAACTGTGGAAGGAGTCTATCTGAGGCACAGCAGCATGGTTCTGTACACCGAAAGAGGGTGCGCCCAATGAGTTGAGCTCCAGCGCATACACCCCGGATTACCCCAGGAGTCCAGGACACACCAACGCAGTTTCGGTGGATAGGAAGGCGATCACGTAGAGAGATGTGTGCGAGAGTCCTTGGAAAGGCAGATGCGTTCTATTTCCCGCCGGTAATGGTCGTAGAAAAGGGTGTAGGAGGGAGTGGTAGGCAGATGGGAGGAGAGAAGTTTGCGGGGCAGGAGAAAGTCGGGTTTTCCGAGGATGGGGAGGGGAAAAGTGGATGATACAGTTGAAAGGAGGTGGGAACGAAGATGTAGGTCCTGTGAAAGACAAAGAAAACAATATAGCTTGTATTTAAAGGTACCGTGGTGGTGAAGCGCAGGCGTGTTGAGGATGAAGATGAGGATGAGGAGGATCAGGATGGGCCCAGTGCCTGCGTTTCGATGTCATTTGGCAATGGTAGGTCTCTGCACCTCTATGGTCGCTCCTGCCGTAGGCTTACAGCGTGGCTTGGCAACCTCTCCCATTTCGGAGTTAATCTGCATGCACGTGTCCTTATCTCCAACTCCACCTCCAATTAATTTTTCTGCTTTTGATCTTCAAGTTGCAACAAGAGACTGCAACCACCATTAAGTACACTTACTGCCGCCCTACTATTTGTCCTCAGATTTGTCACGGCTAGGTCTTGTGTATCTTGTGCCTACAATGGCCAAGTCGAAAACGTCAAAGGGCCAGTCGGACTCTCCGCTCCCCGCTCAAATCACCACTACTAAGAACAAATTCGATCCAGCGTTGACTTCATTGTTTGCGACAAGCGTAGGTCCACAATGCTCTTGATCGCACGACCCCAATGCTAATTATTTCCACCAGTCCGGACCAGTAAAGCTTGTGCCCAAGGCGGTTGCACCTACAAAACCCACTACCAGCGTCTCGGTCTCTTCTGCAGATGAGGATGACGATCACATATCCTCTTCTGGAGGTGATGACTCGGATTCCGATGAACACCAGTCCTCAAATAGTGCTTCAGAGTCTGAGGTGGACCAAATATCAGGATCTAAATCTGATGTGGAAGCAGAGGGGCGTGAGAGACCTCGGAAGCGCCGACGGGTCGCAAATGCCGCGGCTGAAGATCTCGAGCAATCCTATTTCCGTCGACTAGGCCGTGAAGAAGAGAAAGAGCAGCGTCGAAGACGCGCAGATCGAGCCGGTCTTCAAGACTCCCCTGGCGGAGCGGATCACACTGCAGATGACCAATACCATCCCACATCGGCCTCTGACAGCGACGAGGATTCCGTTGATGGGAAGGCACTTGATATTCCGCAACACGAGAGCCTACGAACAGTCACAAATGATCCCGATAAGATTAATAGAACCGTCTTTCTCGGCAACGTATCAACAGAGGCTATTAAGTCAAAGCACGCTAAGAGAACTCTGGCCCGCCATTTGAGATCGGTCCTCAAAACACCTGCTCAAGGCAAGCGTCCAGGAAAGCTTGAGTCCCTACGTTTTCGCTCAACAGCCTATGTCAGTGGCTCTGGTCCCAAGAAGGCAACATTTGCCAAGAAAGAACTCATGGATACTACCACCAAAAGCACCAATGCCTACGCTGTATTTACCACGGACACTGCCGCAAATGTTGTTACTGAAAAATTAAATGGTTCAGTTGTTCTCGACCGCCACTTGAGAGTAGACTCACTTGGCCATCCTAGCATCATCGACCACCGACGGTGTGTGTTTGTGGGAAACCTTAGCTTTGTGGATGAAGAAACTCCTGGTGAAAACACGAAAGACAATTCTCAGCCAAAGCGACCCAAAGGCAAAGACCCGGCTGATCCAGAAGAAGGCCTTTGGCGTACCTTTAGCAAAGTTGGTAAGGTTGAGAGTGTCCGGGTTGTGCGGGATCAGGAAACTCGTGTCAGCAAAGGTATTGCCTACGTGCAATTTGCGGACGAAAATGCTGTTGAAGCGGCGCTTCTCTTGAATGAGAAAAGGTTCCCGCCCATGCTACCGCGAAAGCTGCGCATTATGCGAGCCAAAAAGATGAAGCAGAAGGCACCATCGACAGGACTCGGAGCAAAGGCCTTGGCCAAAGCGGCATTTGGTTCGGGACAAAAGAGAAAGCGCCCAGGACAGAGCCAAAGAGCAACTACGAAGGGCCTCGTATTTGAAGGCCATCGTGCAAGTAGTAGCAACACAACGAAGGGGAGATCAGCAGGATCGAAAAAGAGGCAGAGCAAACGTCCTGATACAAGAAGCAGTCGTCGCGGTGCGGCTTTCAGGGCTGCAGGCGGGAAAAAGACCCAGCCAAAGAGGATTTGATTGAGCGTGGTATGACCCTGATCAGCAGAATACTGTCAAGAAGACCTTTTGGAGCCTTGAGGGATTTGGGGAAAAGGCTCATGAACCAAGTACTTGCACCACACAATGATTATGCTCCCACAGCAAATCAATGTTGTCGTTTATGGTCTTTATCACTGCCTTCAGGCCGGGCTTCCCCGTGAGGCAGCGACTTCTTTGCCCCAGTGAACTTACTCTGCAACTGGAAATCGGCGTCCGCATAATTGCAAAACGCCATCTCACAGCAACTCTGCCTGAAAATAGAAGCGGATGCCGAGTCTCTCTTCAGTCCCTCTCCCCGAGTCCCCACGCATCCACCCACTAAATCACAGACACGCTGGACTAGCCCCTTACGGAAAGACGCTAGTAATCACGTTCTTCGAGTTCGAGGACTCCAGACGCAAACATGGTACCAGCACCCTCGCTATGCCTCTTGCTCGTGTCACAGTATCCGAATACCAGCCTGTCCTTTTTATCATTGACCACCATGATCTACACCGCCATATGGTGATGGATCTTACAGCAAACATGGCCCCCATTGAAAATTCACCTCGCTGGTGGAAATACTGGCCTCAAAAGCAACCCCGGCCGGAGGATCAGTGCTTTGACCTCCTCGGGCACTTCACTCTCTTAATAAGTGGTATGCGGGACGCCTAGACAGTTCAGTAAGGTCAGCGAAGTAGGAGCAAGTCCGCACTGTCGGCGGACCATCCGAGGCTGTGATCTAGGGGAAGTCCCACATCATAGGCTCAGACTTGGAAAGCTAATTACCCATACCTTGTGGGTGTGGGATGAGGGAGGATGCCCTATAGTGCTTCAAGCACAACAACAAAATATTACCCACCAATAGTGCGGCTGCTAGCTCCTTCTAGCTAAGAGAAGACTTGACCAAGAACGACAATTCCTGAGCAGGCAAGAGACTGTGGCCACATATAAAGAGGATAGCTGTGCTGTCAACAGTTAACTTCAGGGCCACAAGTTAAATTCACCTGCTACCTATTTGATCATTCGCTCCTCCATTGAGAATACCGTCTCGCTTGACAACGGGCGCAAGAATGTCGACCTCAGACGATCTTCTGTGGACTCTCCCAGTGCAGTTGACTGAGACCCTTCACAGAGACATCTACGACCTCATCTCTCCTGAGAATCCGGCCAATAATCAGCAAGGGAAGATTATTCTCATAACTGGCGGAGGTTCTGGTATTGGAGCGGTATGCAGAGTGTACAGTTTGGCGTTTAGAAAGCTGCCAATCGAAAGTAAAAACTGCTAACATCTGCTGACTGGTGACTTGTAGGCAGCAGCACGAGTTTGGGTCCGTGCAGGTGCTGAAGGAGTCGTCATTGCCGGGCGGCGAGAAGACGTTCTTCAAAAGACAGCTGTTGAGTTGACTTTGCTCGGCCAAGGGAAAACCAAAATCCTTGCTGTCCCAACAAATATTGCTTCTGAAAACGACGTCGAAAATCTGTACGCAGAAGTCAAAAAGAGATTTGGTCGAACCGCGGATGTCGTTATTGCCAATGCTGGAGCTGTACCACCCACAAAACCCCTAGCCGAGTTAGACATCAACACCTGGTGGGCCGGATACGTAAGCCTGGCTTGCTTCCTTAATCCCAAGAAGCACACATACTGAGGATCATCTAGGAAGTCAACGTGAAGGGTATGCACAACACTGTTGTTCACTGGATCCGAAGCCAGGCCAACCCTAAAGAGCCAGAAGGGACTTTCATCAATGTCAGCTCTGGGCTCGCCGGTATCAAGATTCCAGGAGGAAGTGCCTATGGATCGAGCAAACTCGCTGGACACCGTTACACCGAATATATCGGCCTTGGTAAGTGGACGGAATATCAAACCGTTGAGCGATACCTCAGCCCTCAGAGAGTCGGTCCATCATCAGCTAACAAAGTTCCTCCTTTCTCACCAAGATTATCCAAAAATCAGAGCATTTACTACGATTCCCGGTGTGGTAATGACTGACGTGCTGAAGGAGGAGGAGTGGCTACATCCGTTCGCCAAAGATGCGCCAGAGATGACTGGCGGATTGGCCTTGTATCTTTCATCGAGCAGAGCTGACTTCTTGAAGTCCTCTCTCATCAGCGTCAACTGGGACCTCGAGACCATTGAAGCGCACAAAAAGGAGGTCGAGGAAGGAGCTCTGCAGGCACATTGGATTCCTTTGTTGCCTATGGCAGGAGGGAAAGGCTGGTAAAGAGGGGAATGTTTCGAGGCGGGCTAGAGAAAGAAGGGGCTGTGTGTGTAACATTCGTTTCTGAAAGATAGTCGTAGAATTAGTTGCGTCCTTGTAGGACGTCTAATGTCTGAAGGAATCCTGGCGCATTGACTGATGGTAACTTCCGCTCTCCTGTGTCCACTGCTACCGGTGTCCCCCGCAGCGAAATAACTAGTTGGTGGATGAGCAGAGAGTATGGAAGAACCATACAATCCCTCTCTTCCTCCAACCGCAAGCTAGAAGACGGGTGCTTCGGAGCCGCGGTCAGCCGCGGGAGATGACCGATCAACCGCGACCTATAGTGCTGTCCACATAATGACGCAGCGATTCTCGATCTCGATAGGCAGAGTGCTGATCAGATAACCTTGCAACCCTTCGACATCATATTTCCCACGATCAACCCTGCTAGCCGTATTGTGAGAATGTCTCTTCTTGCGCCAACATGTCCAAGACTTGCCTTTAGGAAAGCTACTATGCATAGCACACCGCGGAAATTAAAAAAAAAAAACCCTTTCATGTATGATCAGGAATCAGGTGAAAGCCTAAACACGGAGTACCAAAGGAGCATATGCGGACACCCAATTAGGTACGCTACTCCACCTAATCGATGTGTGTCAGTCCATGTCAATATTCCTGATCAAGGTAGTTGAATTAGCTAATGCAATCCACTCCTGTTATATGACAACCCAGACTAGCGCTTTAATGCTAAACTTGATGATCTATCCTGGCTCTTGAGTAGGACCTCTATGCTAGACGATGAATGATGCTGCTTGGTGATGGAGACGCTTTCTAGGGGAATGCGCTCATTGAAATACAGATGAGAAGAGGATGGGAAGGAACATAAATAAGAGTTATATCCTTCAATGGGTAAAGAATACAAAATACTTCATTCATACATCTTCGGTTCTTGAGTTTGAGTCCGACTAAAAGTCTACCACACTGAGCACGTTTTGCACGCCTTACTTGTCCTGACAGATTACAGGGAGGATCATATTTACATTCCTGAAGGAGGTTGAGCCTGGGGTCCAAAGATGACACCAAACGAGAAGGTGCGGAAACTGGCGTACAGAAACTGGAATATCATTAGCTGACAAAAGCACGTTGCTAGTTCGTTCTTTACAGTTCGACAGCATCCCAATGGGCGATGGTGCCGCAACTCGGGTTGGTGGAGAAAGGGTATGGCGCAGAGGAATATGAGACGAAAGATGTCGACCTTCGTACGTGCTTGGTCGATCCCCTGGAATGCATGGTATCCAGATAGCACTAACAAAGGGACATATAGTTACCGCAGCTAATTTCCACCCCGAATACCTGAAGATCAACCCAAACGGAACCGTTCCCTCCCTAACAGCGGCGTCACTCGACAAGCCCCTCATAGAGAGCGCTGACGTTCTGACATACCTAGATCAAAAACGGCCAAATTCTGGTGTTGAACTCACGCCGAAGGACCAGAAGACTCAAGAGATCGTTCAAAAACTGGTCGACCTCGTACACTCTGGCGCACTAAGCACAAACCTAATTCTTCTCATGGCACGAGACAAAGAAGAATTCCAAGCCAAGCAGTCCAGCATGTGGAAGGACTTCGTGGGCACCCGGCAGAAAGTCCTTGAGCAGAACCGCGCCGAGCATCCCGACCACGAGTTCTACGGAGCGAAAACCGTGGAAAATGGAACGCTGAATGATCTGTATACCTCGTCAGAAGTCGGCCCTGGCCATGAAGGATTCTTCGCGCATTCTCGGGAAGGCTATCAAACATTCGCCGAGGGACTCGCCAAGCTGGATTCTTTACTTGTGTTGCCGTATGCAGCGGGAAAAGAAGTTACACTGGCGGACTTGCATATTGTGCCGTGGCTGGCCCATGCTATGTGGGGAGCTGGGGCGAGTGATGTGGATGATTTTGGGCCTCTGGAGGAGCTGGTTCAGAAGACTGTGCCGGGCTTCAAAGTTGGCGGGAAGATCCGCCAGTGGTGGTCAACGTTTGGTCAGAGGGAGTCTTTCAGAAAGATTTACCCTGCCCTTCATTAGCGATGAAGGGAAGTGAATATTGTACGGAGTAGACGAGCATGAATGACTACCCGCAGTCCACTGCTTAATGTGAGGTAACAAGGCTGAGAAGAGAAGAAAGACAGTGACTTGGAACGAAAGCACTTAAGTACGGTGAATCATAACACATTTCGTGCATTTTATGCCAAGCATTCCGCCTAGGACTTTTGGAATTCATCGATTGAACAAGGAGGCTGTATGGCTTTGACGTGATGTACGCCGAGAAAGCCGACGGACTTTGTTGTGCCTGAGCGTTTGTGTTGATAAGATGCTGGAGGGCAAAGGTCACAAACGGAGCGCTGCGGAAGCTGGTTTGTCTACAGCAAACATCCGACAACAACGTGAAGGGCAAGCCATTCACATCGACCAAGGTCACCATCTACCGGTTCCAGACTGTGCCAGCGGACAGCAACCCGTCAGAAACATGAATCCAGATATCTCTGAGCGAGGAGGTCAACATCGCAAGGGAGATGATACTGAACAAGGCGAGTGGTCCATTGCAGAGTCCAAATCCTCCCGGAAGAAAAAGCGACGGAAGATCGCAAGCGATTTTGATGCACCTCCGTCCATTTCATTTCTATCGACCAAACCTGCTCAAATTCAGCTCAAAGCCCTCCAAGAACTTGTACTCTACATACTCGCTGATGGCGTTGCGCCAACCTGGCTCGCAATTAATAATGCCCGACAGATCCAGAAGGTGGTGGTTCTCATGATTCCAGGGCTTGATCGCAACTCCGTGGAAAAGTCGGATATTTTCAAGCCGTCTACGGCAGCGACAGGGGAAATAATGCTCGATGGGTCAACGCCCACTGGTTCTGAACCGCCATCTCTGCCTCAAGGTGAAACGACTCCTGCTGACCTCCCTCTGCAACAGCGCAATGAGGTTGCTTCGGGGGTGAGCACACCTGCCGCGCAAAACCCTGTCCATAAATTTCTCGATCACTTAATCCCGGTGAAAGCACCAGGAGACTCCGGAAGAAATCAGATACACTCTCCTTTGCAAACAATACTCATTGCACCATACGACCAACCGAAAGACAAGCGTGGAAAGGATGAGAAGTCTCACCCGGTACGAACTGCCATTGCCGACTTCATCCACACTGCCGATGAGTTGCGAGACGCAGAATATCCCATCCATCCAGCATCATTTGATAACGACCGAGACGCACAGCTGGAGCATGAGAGGCGAGAAAAGACCTTGCAATCCACCTCTGCAGGCTGGGTCGACACGAAAGTCCAGCGTTCCGAAATCCCAATCCCAGCCTCCCCTCTTAAATCCCCCAAACCTCTCCGAGCCCAAGACTCGCTCACACGAGGCTACAAAGTCTACGCAGTCGACTGCGAAATGGTGCTGACCGACAACGAGAAATTCTCACTGGCGCGGATCTCAATTCTCGACTGGGCGGGCAAGACTGTGCTTGATAAGTACGTTAAACCGTCCCTCCCGATCAAAAATTACTTCACGCAGTTTTCCGGGATCACTCCGCAGATCCTCGAGGGTGTCACCACCACGCTACAAGACATCCAACAGGAACTCCTCTCCCTACTCAGCCCAGATTCAATCCTGCTAGGTCATTCGCTGGAATCAGACCTGAACGCTCTTCAACTCACCCATCCACATATCATTGATACCTCAATCATCTACCCTCACCCGCGGGGCCTGCCTCTCCGATCTTCCCTGAAGTACCTAGCAAACAAATACTTGAAGCGCGAGATCCAAAAGGGCGGCGCGGACGGCCATGACTCGGTCGAAGACGCGCTTGCCGTGCTTGACCTAGTGCGCATGAAATGCGAGAAGGGTCCTCGATGGGGTACACTGGACGCAAACGGTGAGAGTATCTTCCGCCGTATTTCTCGGGCGCTGAAACCGGATGATGCAACGCCGACCTTGCCGGGTAAAATGAGACAGACGGCCATAGTCGAGTACGGCACACCCGAGCGCGGATTCGGCAAGGACGCGACATACAAGATCGCCTGTGAGGACGATGACGAGATCGTCGCTGGCGTATTGCGCGCTGCGCACGGAGACGATTTAAACCACAACATCGAGGATGAAAACGGTTGTTCCGGTAGCACACTCATAGCCCCCGCTAATGACGAGACTACGAAGAGAGCTGCGCGCCCATCAACCACCAGCACGCACCAACACGAAATCCCCATCCCCACCGGCGGCGCTGACTTCATCTGGGGTCGACTGCGCGACCTCGAAGCCATCCGCGGCTGGAATACAGCACCCGCACCTCTGCCCGAGAACCCACCCCCCTCCGACCTCACTTATACTGCACCCGCATCCACGACCGAAAATCCGCAACTCGAAAAAGCCATCACGCAAACACTGACGCGCCTCGCACAGCTGTACACCGCCTTGCCGCCTCAGACGCTGCTCATCGTGTACAACGGCACAGGCGACATGCGGCCGGTGCTGAAGCTGCAGCAGCTGCACGCGCAGTACCGGCGCGAGTTCAAGGTCAAGAAGTGGGACGAGCTGAGCGTGAAGTGGACAGATGTCGAGGAGCAGGCGCTGAGGCGCGCGGTGGACGACGCGAGGAGGGGCTGGGGCGTAATTGCCGTGAGATGAGATGAAATAGGATCGGATCGGTCAAGGTCTTGCCCCATTATCCTGAGGATGAACAGGTCCGCTGAGATCAGCACTCACAATAGGTGGACTGGGATTGAATATTCTATGCGCGGTGCTCCATTCACTCGTCCGTCACTGTATTCATTCCATGGTCATGAAATAAAAAATTGTGGAAATGAATATGAGAAGGGGAACGCAGGACGGAAGATGAAGAAATCCGGACCGTCAACCAGGGCCCCTGGTATGCTAAGCACGTCCATCGTGTTGTGGTTTTCACTCGTAGAATCGATACAACGCTATCACCACCTACATAGAATCCCTGAGCATTTTCGGATATGGATTATATAGCACGTGGAAACAGGCTCACGAATCCCTACCTACGAGGGCAATGCTGGCGGGCACATAAGTACTTTGGGGAGATGTAATTACCAGGCACACATCCCCCTTGGACTTTTGTCGCCAGTGTTCCGGAAAAGAAAGCGTTCTATTTTCCTCTCGATTCTACTCGTGACATGACAATGATTTCTTTTCTTGCCGCCAGCCACAATCATCAGTGGGCTGCAAAATGATATGTAAAAACAAAGACACTTTTCCCTTTCCAGTCCAGATGACACACATCTGCTTCATAGAAGAGAAATCATTCGAATGGAAATTAATCCTCGCGGAGGACGCGGACGCCCTTTTTGCCGCCTGTCTTGCGCTTCTTCTTGTGTCCCTTCTCGAAGGCCACGGCGCTCTGGTGATCTCTGCCGACGTTATCGAGATCCTTCACCTTGTAGATCCTGATGATCCAGTTCTCGCTGGTGAACGCCTCTTCCAACGTGCTCAGTTCGGGGCCCTGTGCAGGTAAAGGCGAGCCACGAACGCGATCTTGCGCTTGGCCGGCAGGGAAGAGTTTGTCGAAGTTATAGTACGACATTTTGTACCTGAAGACGTCATATTAGCATTTCTACAACACATCCAAAGGATTTGGTCGACACTTACATTAGCGAATTTCTCATCGTTGGAGTCGCCTCCTCATCGACTCTGTATTCGCCACGTGCGGTAAAGTAATCTCGCTCACGCACCTGGTCAGGCCAAATGCCCTCTGCGATCCTGACCATCCACAAAAATTTGTTGATGTCATCACCGCTGTAACCCAAAAGTCCGCCAAAAACGACAAGAACATAGTCGACATCGTGTGCACGGAGAATTGGATAGCTGACTTCTTCCCTTGAGCTCATTGCTTTGCCCACTGTGGCGATATGAGTGTTGTTCCAGGTGTTATTGTCGACCAAAGTAGGTCGGTCGGCCATACCACCAATCTGATAACCGTAATCCCACCATGACATGATCTTTGCATCTTGAGCAGTATTTTGTCTTAACCAATAATAAGCTTCCCGATAATCGTCGATGATGTGTTGAGATCCGTCCGGAAGTCGGGAAGCTAAAACCACAGAAGGTGACGAATATGCATTAGACGTCACCCAGGTGCAGTGGGCGACGAAAAGGAGCAGAAATCCGGTAGTCATAGAAGTGATCAACGACTTCGAGATGAGCGAATAGATGCCAATAAGTGGGTTGCGGACAGATCGCAGGGACAAGTTTGCCGTTGCTTTGCTGGGTTTGACTCCCCCATTACTTCCATCAGTAGAGGGTTCAGTAGGTGATCCGGCATACAAATAAGTATCCAGGACATGAGATAGCGCAAGTGCGGCCGAAACACACACGATCGGTGTAAGAGTGAGCATCAAACGAACCATGACCCCTGCAAAATAACTGGCTAGCACGGCGTAGATGACAACAAAGACATGTTCGTCCCTGAGATTGCGGAAACACATGTACACACCCGCCGGGAATAGCCAGATAAGCATGTTCAGATCGAAAAAGAAAGCAGGCCAAGCGGTAGGCTGATGTTCGGAGACAGATGCGATGATAGGAATGTGGATTTTGGCGTAACCGGTGTCCCAGAGGGAGTAGAAGCGGCCACTCCAAGGGGCGATAGTTCCTGAAACTGTCAGAGCAACCAGGGCAACGAACATAAGTCCGAAGATGGCCCCCCCCAGCGCAACGAGCAATGTTTGGAACTGTTTTCCAGGGAGTTGGTCTCTGAGGAAGGCGAAAAACCCGACCAATTGAAGTAGTCCGAATATACCCAGAGCTGCCATATGATCACTGCTCCTGATGGGGAGGAAACCGACGAAGGGGACTTGCATGCTCGCCAACGTACCCAGAGCGTACCAGGTGGTGTAGCTGATGTACAACCTTGAGCTGTATCGACCCATGAGAATCAAGGTGAAGGCATGTAGAGGAATCAAGTTGGTGATGAAGACATAACCACCCCATGCTGACACCATGTAACCGTAGAATAAGGCAGCTAGGGATCCCCACATGATAGAACCATTTTTGACCGCTTTGATCCAAAGGAAAAAGGTGAATACTAGGAGAAAAATAGCGATAGCTTCATTATCATAACTGCCAGCGACTGATCTTGAGATGTAACCGGGTGTGATACCCATGAAAGCAGCGGCCAAAAGTCCAGCAGACGGCGAGGAAGACATCTCCGATGTCAAGAGGTACATTGCAAGAGCGGTAAGACCAGAAAAGGCAGGGGCTAAAAGGACGCAGATGTTTCGAATATCGACAGGAAGCGACAGAAGGCGAAGGACATGGTATATGACGCCGGAAGTCACCATAAGACCGGGATAGAGAGTACCACCTGTAACTCGACCGAGAGGATGCCATGTCCCTTAAATACTGTCAACGCTGCAATAGAGCCTGCGAGCGGGATAACTCACGATCATCAAACCAATCCCAGAAGCTGTAGAAGCCATGCTTCACAAGGTATTTGGTGGCACGGAAATTGAACCATGGATCAACTGCATTCTATGGTCAGACATGCTTCGACGGAAAAGAGGGAAAGCAATCGCGGCTGACATTCGTGGATTATACTCTCGAATCCTAGAATACGTGTTAATATCTTGCAGAAGCCGGACACATGGCTTTGTACATACGGATGACACTGAAAAGACGTGCAGACACTGCGGCTGCAGCGATAGTGAATAGGATGATTATCCGGAGTAGACCCCTGGTCGTTTTGCTGGTACTTCCACGGAGGAAAGGGTCTAAGGGCGTGGGAGTGGCCATGACGGCCAGGAAGGGAAGGAAGTCAGGATGATAGAAGGAAATATAAAACACCAAACTGCGAAGTCGTTGTCAATGTGAAATGTTGGCAGCGTTCTATGGAGTTGCCGCATACGTTTCATCAACTCGGACACTTGAACTGGGATTCCCACGTGAACTTCTCCAATAAGTGCCAAGCCAGTGACTCTCAAGCCTCGAGTCATGCGAAGGCGAGCTTGGTCGCCATCTGAGTCAGTAACATAAAATCATGTGAATGAAAGTAGTCGCAGTCAAGAGTTCAGGCCTGGGTGCAAGGTGACATCGAAGGAAAGGATACGCGAGTATAAAACTTGATAAGTTAACAATAGTAACGTGAAAGGGACATCTATTGATCAGCTGGTCATTAGACATTCAAAACTCTATCTATCCGTCTTGCTATGCTTTACAAAGATTGCAGCACTTTTTGGTGAAAGGATCACCCGGTGAGCCTTAAAGGATCGATCACGATGATATCTAGAATAGGATGCATACTTTCTTCACCAAACGGGCCATATGAAGGGAATTGAGGCAGAATGCGTGGCGTGGTCCCCAAAGCTGCCATTGCGCCTCGTTCTCGAGAGTGCTGACATGTGCCAAAGGTCAATCATTTAACTAGCTCACGCCCACAGGTTGTGCTGCAACTAATTTCAGTTCAGATGGTCCTGAGCAGGATGACCTGACTTTGGGCATGTTTTCAGCGCCAGGCATCCACAGATTGGTGAACAATGGATACAATCACATGATAGATCTTAGAAACACGGCTTAGGCGAATCCGTACTCCGCTCGCGGTGGAGGCGAGATGGCAGATGGCTGAGCCGATATTTCATTTTGTTGATCAACACAACGTCTGTAGTGATCTGTTGGAAGTGTACCACCTAATGAAGCCAACCCCCCGGGCATCGCTGCAGGCGCCCAGGATATGTCCCATAAGCTGAGTGTTCATGCGAAGGTGGAATGCATGTAATTCGTCCACTTGTATTCGTGATTATGGATGTCAGTAAAAGGCGTTGAGAAGTTCCGCAAATGGATGCTCATTCTTCTGCCTCCTTTGACCATTTGTCAAGCCACGACACAACGTCTGCTTTATCGGGCTCCTCGGCTGGTCTAGGAGGCACGTCATCCCAGTCCAATAATTGGTCTTGTAGTGATTTCTCTTTATTCTTGCGATTGATGGCCTTTCCCTTGGACGTGCTCTGTGTACCTGTAGTGGTAACATCTTCCTTGCTCTCGGGAATGGTTTCCAACTCTTGATGATCTGTCCCTCTAATGGCATTTGGCCCAACCTTAGCTTTGGCCTTTGACTTGATATAGTCTTGACGAATACGCTCGCCTTCCTCGGTGTTAGGACTGAAGAAGCGCTTGGCTAGCTCCTGGATGTACGGCCGGGCCGTGAAATAGGCGAGGACCATGATGAATAGCCATACGTAGTCTTGTTTGTCAAGCGAACCCTTCTGCATGTACCTCTGGATCGGATTCAGGTGGGAGAAGTCCTTGGGGGGTGGTACGTATTCAACCATGATTATTTTGATGGTGGTGTTGAGCGGTAATACTGTTGTCCCGAACTCTAGAGGGTTGACAAGGCTAGGTATGACAATGTTTGAGCAACAGTGTAGGAAGAGGGTGGAAATGCAGACAGAAATAAGTTGGTCTCACTTCTGGGCATGTCGTGGTCGGTTGACAAAACGTTCAGGACCGGAGCCTCGACTTTACTTTGGGTCTGGTTAGCTAGGTCTGTGCCTGAATCAGCCGCCAGCCTGCCACACTCGCACCCGCCGACGGCCGATGGAAGCCCACGGGTTGCATTTGCGGGAATTTAAATTTATGACGGAGAACCCCTTGAGGACCTCAGAGCCAGGAGCCAGGGAGCCAAGCTAACCCTATTTTCTCCGGGTCCCGAAAAAGATTATCCGTTCCGATGGCCTTCGGCCTATCCACGGACCAACCAAAAAGTTGTGAGGGACTCAAGAGCCGGACCGAAAGGTAGGTATGTAAGTCTGTACCCCATACAACACACGTCGTCGGTATGGATACTCCTAGATTGAGTACAACCATCCTGTATCTTTACTGACCCTCCTGCCATTTGAGTGATACTATGCCATTCTTGACGTGACCGGTCTTCTCTTCTATGTCTTACCTTGAGTCCCTGGGTCGCATGTTCGCATGTCATTGTCATCGGTGGTCTTCCCTCCCTGTGGTGCAAGGCAGATCATCTAAATGTCTAAAAAGCTGCCGTTATGTTCTTCTCCACAGAAGAATGCTCTTGGATGAGCAGATAGCAGATGTTGCTCCTCATTGAGGCACTTCGTGCTTTGAGCTTTGCCCCATTGCAGCGTTTCAACACCACATTTCCTTGCTGTAACAAGCATGGCCAGTCCGAGACCAAATTGTTTGGCATCCTATGAATGTACTTCATACCATTTCTAATGCTACAGGCTGACATACCAAGGGTGAAACTCACGTGCGCCAGTATGTAGATGGTACCGTGAGCGGATGGATGCACCTGCCCGTCTACCCTGTTCCAAATCCAGCGCAACGGTGAGTTTGTGATGTACAAACCCACTTCTTGCGCAACAAGAGTGGCCATGGAAGCTTTCGTTTGTCTTCTAGTTCCGAGTCATGACCCTTTATCAAGCTGGCTTGCTCGAGCAGTTTGCCTTGATCTCTTCTGCCATCGGACGGGCACCCTTCTGCTAACATGTCGGCTCTATCTCAAGTCTGGTGGGTACAATACCTCTTACTATTTTGGCTCTCCCTCGATGTTCTCCTCGCCATTCAGGTCAGCGGGCCACCTGGCGGTGTTGATCCCAAGACAGGAGCCCGACCATTCAGATATGAGATCTCCGACTTTCAACATTCTGGTGCAGCTTTTGACCTCTACATCCTTGCGATGAGCGACTTCCAGGGTGTCAATCAATCCGATCCGCTGTCTTATTTCCAGATTTCAGGTATCCATGGTTTTCCTCAAGTTGCTTGGGATGGTGTTTCAGGTGCCGGCACCTACCCAGGGTTTTGTATGCACGCGGCAACACCCTTTGCAACTTGGCACCGTCCATATCTCGCATTATTTGAGGTAGCTCTTTGTTCAAAACCGGCGTCCCGGTCATGGGCCCCAGCTAATTCGAGACAGCAAGTCTTATGGACTCATGCTCAGGGGATTGCAGAAGCGTATCCTGATGATCAGCGTCCTCGCTATCGTGCGGCGGCACTGGCCCTACGCATCCCATATTGGGATTGGGCGATTCACCCAGAGTTGCCAGATGTGGTGACGGAACCACTGGTCACGGTCAATACTCCAGTGGGCACTCGAACAATAGAAAATCCACTCTATCAATATGTTTTCCAGTCCGATGCTGCTGGTAATGGGTTTCCCTCGACAGATCCTGTGGGTTTATTTTCCACCTCACCGAGAAAACGACTGAATTTGCTCTAGATGGCAAAGATGCGCACAACTGTTCGCTGGTGGAATGCAAGTACACAATCAGGTAACCAGAGTGCCGCCACAGCCGCTTTGAGGGCAAACGCTGCAGCGTGAGACATTCTTCTCGGAGGCACGTCCAGGTACAGGCTGACCCGGAATCATACAGGATTCTTTCTCAGACGTACCAATTATTAACATCAACAATGAATTACACCGCCTTCTCCTGCACCTGGCCGGGCGGTCAATGGATCACAGCAAATAATGTGGAAAGCATCCATAACAGCATCCATAACAGTGTGGGAGGGTATGGTCACATGCAATTTCCAGAGGTTGCAGGCTTTGATCCGGTTTTCTGGCTTCATCATGCCAATGTCGACCGCCTATTCGCCCTGTGGCAGGCGCTGCACCGTGACAGCTACATCACCCCGACTGTTAACGCATACGGTTCGTACTACGAGCCCGTGGGCACAGTTGACTCGGGAACCTCAGGTTGGTGTTACACAAGACATGGTTGTTCTGAACACTGACATGGAACAGCCCTGGCACCATTTCATTCCGATCAAGGCGGCACTCTCTTCACGTCAGATGGGGTTCGCCATTTGAGCACCTTTGGCTATAGCTATCCAGATTTAGCAGATTGGGATATGACTCCAGATGAACTTGAGCAGAGTGTGCGAGCTCATGTGAATTCCCTCTACAATCCCAACAGGAACACAAGCATTGCCCCGTCAGTGAGACGCCTGCTGAAGAAAGCGACCAACGTGGCCCAGTCTTTCAGTCATATTACGCTTGACTTGGCTCAGAACCTAAGAGTGAACAATCTCGACCGACAATGGTCAATTACAGTCTTGGTTGATCGATTTCCCACGGAGACGAGCTTTGTTATCGACTTCTTCATGGGTGAGGTCCCGGAAGAGGTTTCTTCGTGGGCAACGGCACCAAACTTGATAGCAACATATGCACAATTCGGACCAGCGAATGTGACAGCACTGCACCCAGATGGATACCCTTCTGGACAGGTGCGAGGGGAGATTTCAATAACACACACAGTGGCCGCAGGTGTTTCAAGAGGACTCATTGCCAGCCTATCGCCCGAGCATGTGATCCCTGTCCTGCGCCGAGGATTGAACTGGCGAGCGCGTACTCCATCAGGTATCGAGGTATCTTTACATGAGCTATCTGGGTTGTCAATATCGGTATCCAGCAGGTCCGTCGTGCCCAGCAATACAAGGGAACGATTTCCAGTATATGGCCCAGTGGAGTGGCAAGGGTCCGTGATCAGAGGCAAGCCGTGTGGCGCAGCCAGACCCCACGGATACGTATGAACATTGAAGATGCGGTTTCTCTTGTGTCACAGTTTGGTGGCAAGAGGCGACATTGACATTTGCACGCCATTCAGAGAGTAATAGAAGCGATGGTTCCTACTCCTCCCTTTTCTGCTATGGAGTGCTATTGGCAGCCTTGCAGGGATCTGATGGGAATACTCGGATGAGGCGTAAAGGGGATAAAAGTACTCGCAGAATACCCTAGAAAGAGTACTCTGAATTCCCACCGAAGATGAATCCATGTTCCAAGCTTTCCATTTTGCAGCTGTCTCAATCAGGACTGACTTAAGGGGCGAAAAACCCTCAAGCCAGCCTGGGGTTCCTCCCAGAGTCGTCGTAGTCGTGTTTGGTGGATCGCCCTCGAAATGAAAAATTGCATTAAGATTTAAGAATCGGACCGAAGAGGTTAGCGGGCTCACAAGTGTCTTGGGATCCCTAGCGAACCATTGGCTGGTGAGCGACCGATGGGGTTAGCCTAGTGAATGGGTGGGACCAACTCCACTTTCGGAAGCCAGCAACAAACTTGAACTTTGACCAACACTCAAACATCCTGGTTGGTATGTGGTTACTCCGTAGTCCATACAGACCTGGGGCAAAGTGCATTGAACATTACTTAATTCAAAGCTCCTCTTCCTTTTGGATGCTTCTGGCTCTCGTGTCTGTCTTTCGACGTCGTCGCCGATCCCAACACATTCCCTTCACCACTTATTCTCCCCTATAATAATACAAGGACTCACTCGCTCGTCCTTTTCTCGACGCGTCCCGATTCCCGACCTTCGCCACGTGTTACACCACCCCAGCCCTCGGCACCCATAACACAAGCACCTCCTCCAGAATGCTGCTCAGCAAGGCTTTATTCGCGAGTGCGTCGCTCATCACTGGTGCCCTTGCACAAACAAGAATCGCCTTCCAGAGCGTCCCTGCAGTTGCAGTTACCGGTCAAACCTACAATGTCACCTGGGGAGGTGGTGATGGAACAGCCGTGACGATCACCCTTAGGAAGGGTAATCCAGACGACCTGTCAACAATTGGAATTCTCGGTGAAGGTATCACAAAGGACTTCTTCGATTGGGAGGTCGCCAGAACTCTCACACCCGACGAGTATGTGTATACCTGCCATCTTGGACCGCATGAGCTAACTGCTGCTTAGCGACTATGCTTTGCAAATCACGCAGGGACAGGACGAGATCAACTACTCGGGCCTATTCTCCATTGTCGCTGGTAACGGCACCTCATCTAATTCTACGTCCACCAACGCCCCTGGCAATTCCACCGCCAGCATTACCGCCACCAGCAACCTCTCCGCAGGCACGGGTACTGCTCTCCCGCGAAATACCACCTTCAGGTATGAATAGCTCCGCGTGATACCCATATTTCCATACTAATGCATGGCCCTTCCTAGCTCCCCTACCATCTCCGCCACAAGCAGCCTGGAACCTGGCACTACGCAACACGCAAGCACATCTTCCAGCTCCAGGGCTACCTCTTCGCCTACTGCAGCCGCCACCACAAGCGTACCTAACAGCAACAGTGAAGCCGGCCAGTTAGCAAGCTCGATCGCGTTAGTGATGGGAGTGTTTGCGGCCGTTATGTTCTTGAGCTAGATCTGGTGACATTCTGGACGTTCGAACGATTTTAGTTGGGAAAGTTTTGCATATGAAAGCATGGCGTTGACCAGGAATCCATGGGTCTCACCCCACAAAATGGAAGACTATATAGTCAACCTCGCTGGCAGCTAGAGACTTGGTTGGGTATGGAGTAATAAAGTAATTGCCGATTCATGAACGACCAAGGCTTGCAGGCACATGTTTTCCCGCAGGTACTCTCGCACTCCATACGGGGTTCTTGTTCTCAGAAAATCATGCGTCACTCCCAGCAGGCATCGTGCAGAAAATGAGTGCGGGAGCCTGTGCCCCTGGCATTAGCGTGGCGAGATCCTGAAGGGCTTTGGCCAGGGGAAGCTATGGCCCACGGCCCACGGGGAGTGGGGGGGCCCCTAAGGCAACCGCAGGATAGGCACCGGTTATGCCTACAGGCCACAAGTTCTTATCACAACCCATCCCTACAAGACACAGACGCAGGCTGCAAGCCAACTGGCTTTAGGGCTCTCGGGCTCCCGGCCGCTAGCGATTGACACTTGATGATTGCCTGAACGCGTGACACGTCCCCGCCGCGGCCCCGACGATCCCGGTTCTGCTTATTTATTCGTTAGACTTGGTAAGTTGGGATTACTGGTGTCCTGCAACTGGCTTGATCAGAACCTCAAACAAACAAAATAATGTCATCATCTCCCATTTCTCGTGAAAGGAGAGAACACATTGCCTTGTGCTCGTGCTTCTCCTGACAAACCAGCCCTTCTCCTGAGTCTTCTCTCGCTTGCATCATCATTGGCACTTGCACAATCACACTCCGACCTTCAGTGTTGCACCCAACACTTGCAAGCCCCCGGTCTCATTTCAAGATACTCCCGATTTCACACACTCTTCGTCCCAGATCTCGAACCAATCTTATCACCGATCTCTTCGTGTCATGAGGAGCAGGTCACGGCCTTCCCGACCATCTCCTGTGCCACTGTACTCATTGGGCTCCCAACATATCCATAGCGACGCTGGTATGATACCATCTGCCTCTGTTCCTGCGCTCCTCAGTACAACCTACTCTTTCCATCCTTTCCTCCCGAAATGCCTTTGTTGATAGACTACTCACGGGCTATCGCTGACCCGTATCTCCGGTCAGAAGCCGCAGTTTCTAGCACTTCTGATGTGACCGCCTCGTCAAACATGTCCGAAGTCAATGGAGTGCTTAAGGAGTCATCCCAGTTGGATCCAGGCCGGCCATCTACAGGGCGAGTGGTAAGTGCATCGATGATGCGCTCAGGTATGCTATGATACAGTCCCAGCGCCAGCACTTGCCAGTCAGTTGACTATTATTTTCCAGTAATGACCTCCTCCGACTCCTCTCCGTCCTCCGAATCAAACCAGTGGTCTTCCGCAATCGGACACGCGAGCACTGGGAAATCAGGACGAGTGATCGAGCGGCTACAAGGAGACATTGACCGATTACGCCGAGAAAAGCAATTACTCAAAGTCCGGCATGAGGAGGCTGAAAAGGCTACGGAAAACCTCGCTACACGCAATCAATATCTTCAGGATCGCAACAGCAACTACGAACAATCGCACGAAGCCAACGTGCGGCAGATAGCTCGAAAAGAGAGACAGGTGGAGGACCTGCGAGAAGAACTACGCAGGGAAAAGTTAAAGACCGCTAAGGCGGAGCACCAGGCTGAGGTGGCTGCGTCCAACGAAGAGATCTGGAGGGATCAAGCCAGTCAAGCCAAAAGCCTGGCCGCACAAAGAGAGTCGGAGTACGATACCATTGTCGCTTGCAGGAAGAATGATTACGAGCGCCATCAGCAAGGCCTGGACAAAATCAAGAGCAATTTCAGTGTATTGCTCAGGAGACAGGACGACGACTTGGAAAAGCAGAAAAAATTAGAGATCATTGCTGAGCAGCAACGGCAAACCATTCTTCAGCTAGAAGATCTCACGAAGAAGTTGACCACCAATTTCAAAGCTTACAGGAGCGAGATCGACTCGGCAATCGCAGATCTACGGGAAAAGGCCAGCTCAAATGATAGCGCCATAACTCGGAAATTGGAGGAGATGAGTGAGGTTACGGGCCAAATGCGCTGGGTCTTGAATGTGGATGATATTGTGAATCACAATCACCGGGATCCACCACCGCCACCGATGACAAGACCGATATCCCAGGGGAGGGACCAACTTGATGGTCATTCCGGACCATCAACTGCACGAAATGGCGAAAAGGAAAAGGAAAAGGATTCTGGTCGACGCAGCCCGACCAAAGGATTGTTGACAAAGCACCGGCGGAAAGAGTCGACTAAATCGTCGAAATAAAACAAGTTAGTTGGCTTGATCGTTTGGTTCTTCACCCCCTTTTTGACGACCTATATGACGACGTGACGATGAACATTACTCTGCATTGAGAGAAGCTCTACTATTCAGCCTCGACATTGTCATATGCATTTTGAGGCACTATGCTTGTTCTCAGGGACATAGTTTAAAATAGAGATACATAATGGTTATTTTCTACTCTCCATACGTACTCAAAGGTACCTAAAAGAGGCCACGTATCTGGCCGTCTTGCTGCTCCTCTTTTGGTCCCTGACCAACGATCATATATCGATGCAAAACTTGAAGAGGAAAGAGCAACTCACGCGCTGCCACCAGCGGAAGTGGCACGTTGGAAGGAGCAAGGCTGAGAAATGATATTCAGGAAAGCGACGACAATCAAATCGGATAAGCCGTAATTACTTCTACTGTACTTCTATCTCTCTCCTTTCTACCCTCCAATAATTTCCTCCACGGGCTGGAGAGCCAAAAAGCAATTCCTGAAGCAATGATCAAGCCGGGTGGACCTGCTCAGAAGGCTGTACGAAGATCCCCTCCCCATCCCCCTGGGCGGCAGCCTTTTAAACCATGACAAGGGGTTGATCGGTCTAAGAAATGTGGCTGAGCTAGCTACCCAGGCCTTGTCGAAGGTTAACAACCACCTCCGCCCACGAAGTCTCGACTTCCTTGTTGCAGGAGGGCATAGTCCTGCGGCGGCAGGCTTAAAAGTAGAGAAGGGCGTGCCTCGCCCCAAGAACCAGTGCTCAACGCTGGCCCCTCGCCGCTTTGCCATCCTTGAATCCTCTCTTTGACCTACCTTTGCACTCCTGTAATGATGAGGTTAACGCCCACGCACAACTTCAGAAGTCATATTCGAACCAGGATACAATATCTCGTTCTTGGTCCTTGGCGCATTCCGCAACTTTGGAACACCTCATGATTCATGAAACCTTAGGGATCTCGATGTTAATCCGCCGTGAGGCTTGAATGCTCGCATCTAAGTCTCGGCTCACAACGCCAAGCAGTTACACCTGATTGATACGTGCCAGCTGCTTCATATGTCTGATCCAACTCACTACACGGTGGGTTGGATTTGCGCCTTAAGTACGGAATATGTTGCTGCGCAAGCTTTTCTGGACCAGAAGCATAAAGGGCCGGATTTTGTGTCCCCTGCTGATAGTAACGACTATATTTTGGGAAGAATGGGAAAGCATAACGTCGTGATTGCTGTCTTGCCCAATGGAGAGTACGGTATATATTCTGCCACCGGCGTCGCAAAAGATATGCTACACACCTTTACCAATATCAGAACCGGTCTGATGGTTGGTATTGCAGGTGGCGCGCCGACTCAGAAACATGATATCCGCTTGGGAGACATCGTGGTGAGCGCCCCCCCCGAACGGTAAAGGTGGAATTTCCCAATACGACATTTGGTAAGACAATACAAGACCGAAGCTTTCAGACAACCGGTTTCTTGAACCAACCACCAGTGGTCCTACGAACAGCAGTGAGTGGACTCAAATCCCACTATGAGCTCGAAGGCCATGGACTTAAAGAAGTCATTGACAGCACTCTTGCGAAGAAACCAAAACTACAGAAGAAATATAAACGACCTGATCGTGGTTCTGATATTCTTTTTCAATCTACGGTTGTTCATCTAAACGATGAAGAGCATTGCTCGGTGACTTGCGGCCGCAGTCCAACAAATTTAGTTCCCCGGCTCGAACGGACTGAGGATGAAGATGCCCCAGCCATTCACTATGGCCAAATTGCTTCGGCAAACCAATTATGAAGAATGCTCTTGTACGAGACCGCCTGACTTCCGGGAGTGACGTTCTGTGTTTCGAAATGGAGGCGGCAGGACTTATGAACAACTTTCCGTGCCTAGTCGTCCGTGGCATTTGTGATTACTCAGACTCCCACAAGAACAAGGAATGGCAAGGCTACGCTGCTATGGCAGCAGCTGCGTACTCCAAGGACCTCCTCCGTCGAATTTCCCCTACTAGGGTCGAAGCTGAGATTAAAGTCATCGATATCCTCACTGGTCAGTTGTTCGTTCTTACAAGAGTCGAATGAACTTGTTGATGGATTTTAATCCATTTTGAAATCACAGATATTCAAGAAGACGCCAATGCACTACGCCGTACGCAGCACAGTGAACAGTTTGAGAATATTTTGAACTGGCTCACACCGATCGAATATGCTTCCCAGCAGAATGACTATTTCAACAGGCGACAACCGGGAACTGGTCAATGGTTCCTAGATTCGAACGAATACCACGGCTAGCTAGAGACACGTGGGCAAACTTTATTCTACCAGAGTATTCCTAGAAGTAGCAAGACAATCATAGCTTCTCAGGTCATCCACCAGCTTCTCACAGAGCACCAACACAGCAAGCGTGTTGGCATCGCATACATATACTACAACTTCCGACGTCAACAACAGCAAGATCCTGTTGACATCCTAGCGAGTTTATTGGAGCAGCTAAGTCGAGGATTGGATCAATTACCAGCCTCTGTCAGCGGACTCTATGAAGATCATCGACGTTAACGGACTCGACCTTCTCTTGACGAGCTTTCACAAGCCTTGCAGACCGTGGCGTCTCATTACACTAAGACATGTATCATCATTGATGCCCTCGATGAGTGCCGTGCTTCTAATAGGGCACGTCAGCAACTACTTGAACGGCTATTTCTAATCCAGCACGATACCCCAATAAATATCCTAGCAACTTCACGCTTTCCCCCAGATATCGAGAAGTTCTTGGAGGGAAGAAGTTTACGTCTAGAGATCAAGGGTAGTGGAAATGACTTACAGAGATATCTCGATGGTAGCCTTCAAATTTTGCCACTGTTTGTCGGGCAGAGCGAAGAACTTCAAGAGAAAGTCAAGAGTGCGATTGTTAAAGTAGTCGATGGAATGTAGGTTGTCCTCAATAGAATACGCTCACCAGAGCTAACAACACTAGGTTCCTCCTCACTCAACTGTAACTAGCCTCTTTAGTTGGAAAACGATCTCCTTAAGCTTTGGTCTCTGCTCTTGGCCACTTGGCGACAGGGTCTGATGTGTGCTATAATGCATACAACGATACAAGAGAGCGAATTGATGGCCAGGCCCCAGATCTGCGAGAGCTTGCCAAACACGCTCTCTCATGGATCACGTGTGCGTACAGACCATTGACTACGACCGAGCTACGATACGCCCTCGCCGTGGAGCTTAGCCAGCCAATTCTTGACGAGCAGAATCTCTCGGACATCGAGGACATCTTGTCGGCTTGTGCTGGTTTAGTGACAGTTGACGATGAAAGTGAGATCATTCGTCTTGTGCATTACACCACTCGACAATACTTTGAGCGAACTCAGACCACTTGGTTTCCTGGTTCTCAGAAGGACATTGCTGATACTTGCATCACGTACCTTCCTTCGATGGTTTCAAAGACGGACACTGTCACGACTTGGACAAATACACTACACGACTCCAGTTGAATCCTTTCTACAAGTACGCCGCGCAGAACTGGGAGCACCATGTCCGTGGCTTTCCAGGTTACGATGTGAATTCCGTTCTGGCGTTTCTCCAAGACAAAAACGCCATTTCAGCGTCATGCCAGGCTTTGATGCGAAGCTATGAGATCGATTGGGCTACATACCGCAATAGTTTCCCCATGAGAATGACTCAGCGCACTTTGCCGCTTGGTTTGGTCTGTCACCGGTTTTCAAAGCATCTCTTAGCCCCAGATCATCACCAAACAAGAAAAATTCATTTGGAGAGACACCATTCTTATTAGCCGCCAAAAATGGACACGAAGAGGTTGTCAAAGTTTTGATTAATCGCAGTGACACCGAGGTAAATTCAGACGACAAGACCGGCAAAACACCACTTCTGTCATTGCTAGCACACAAAGATGCTGCCCACTATTTTGGCGGCGAGCTGTGGATGGCCTCATCATGGGCAGCCAAAAACGGTCACATGGCAGTATTGGAATTTATCCTAGAGCGAACTGAGATCAGCCTAAATGCTAAGGATATAGAGTTTGGTCGAACACCCCTAGCTTGGGCAGCGATGCATGGGCGTATCGAGGCATTGCAGTATCACATTGTACGAGCAGAAGTGGATTTGGACCCTAGAGATGACGAATCCGGTCGCACGCCTCTGTCGTGGGCAGCGGGAAATGGCCATATTACAATCGTTCAGACACTTCTGGCACTTGAAGGTGTCGATCCAGAGTCAACCGATACCTCTAACCGCACACCCTTATCATGAGCAGCGAGGAATGGGTTTCTAGACGTGGTCAAAGAGCTGCTCTCCCGTGCAAACATCAAAGCGGACCTAGAGAGCATCTTGAGCCGGACGGCTCTATCATATGCTGCGGAAGCAGGTCATCAGGCAGTGGTCCAGGTGCTGTTGAAACTGGAAAACGGTATTAACCTAAACACCAAAGATTCATCATTCGGCCGGACGCCGCTGTCGCTGGCGGCTGCCAATGGACATACAGTAGTCGTGCGAGCTCTACTCGAGCGGGACGGTATTGATCTAAACACTAGGAGTAAATATGGTGCAACGCCGCTGTCGTGGGCGGCACGCTACGATCCTGCGCCTGTCGTGAAGCTGTCACTCACGCACGGAGCAGACTTGAGTATCAAGGACGACCGTGGCCGCACGCCTCTCGCATGGGCTGAAGCTAAAGGACATACCCTCATGACGGAGCTGCTTCGATCCTGGCCTTGCTTACCTACTCGTCGTGATGATGATGGGGAGGATGATTCCTCCTTTGACACGCCTTCCGCCGTACTTTTGCTGCTGCGATGAAAGATTTGATTAATTTGTGATTTTCGCAAAGGGCCAAAAAATGGTCGGAGGATTTAATGACTGAATGCACAATGTTGCGATACATATTACCCACTCATTATGCTCAGGAAAATCTGTCGACTTAGCTTTTTGCAGTAGTTGTGGGATTTAATGTATTATAGTATGTCTATGCCTCTATGACTTGTCGTTAATACCTCGTTCCTGTTCGTCATCGTCGTTAACGGTTCGTAACGGTGTCACTGGGCCATACATATGACCATCCGTAGAGGATGTTTGTGAGCCCTCCTTGTCCCAACATTTCCCCTTTTTTCCTCTCCCCCGTGCTAAGTACAATCACCCTCCCTCCCTCCGGTTCCTCACAACAAGAAGAAACCAAATCCCAATCGTCCCAACCATGGCGACGGCACAGCTCAAGATGAAAACCCACCAGCCTTGCGACACGACTCTCGCGCTCGCAATCCCTGCCGCACCATCGGCCAGCCCCGCCGTCGACGGCGAGACATGCCAATTCTCGAAATTAAACACCGTGGTGGAGAAAATGGCACAGACGAACGTCACAGGCAAGAAGAATAGCGTCAGGTACGCGATGGTCTTCATCGACTCGCCGTCCCTTTTGGTCGCGCGCGAGATTTGAATCGACACTTCGGCGTCCTTCTGCACCAGGTGGTTGTACTGCACGTTGAACTGCGTCGTGATCATCTTCTCCAGGTAGGCCAGCATCTGGCTGTGGTTGGACGTCCGGTGGTGGACGCTGCGGACCAGTTCTTCTGGTAGGATGCTCCGCGTTTGTGCAAGTGTCTGTTGACCCTGACGCCGTGGACACGGCTGCCACTGATCCATCCGCTCCAGCTCGAGGCCCTCCTCCGCAAGCCACAAATACCGCTCAGCGATGGCCAACAGCTCGCGACAATTCTTCTCCGACCACGTCACATCACTGTAGCAATCGAACAGCAGCGCGTTCTGCTGGGACGTCGCCGAGCTATTCATCCCCCACGACTTGAACCAATCCGCAAACGCGGTCGGGTACAGCGCCTCAATCGCCGTGCCGATCCGCAGCATGTTCAGGTTGTATTGCTGCGCCTTGATGTCCATGAACCGCTCGCAGCATTCCATGAGCAGGGCGATCAACACGAGCGGGTTTCCTCGCAGCGCCGATTTGTGGAGGGACATGAGCGACGAGATGGATTGGTGGCCCAGGAGGTCGCTGCTGCTGCTGCTGCTGCTGCTGCTGCCATTGCTAGAGATCCAGCCGTTGTATTCCAGAACGCCGTTGGAGGAGAGGAATAGGCGCAGTGTGCGTGTCGCCAGGCTGTATTTCCCCATTGCAATCACGAAGCTGCCGTGTCCGGGGCCCCATGAGAATCCGATTTCGAGGGCGTCCAGTCGCCGGTGCTGCCGTTGATGCTTGCCTAGCTCTTCTCCTTTATCGTCGTCATTTCCTTGACCATTGTTTGAATGTTGATGTTGGTCTTCATGGTCCTCCGCTTCCTCCCCGTCGTTCTCCGGCTCGTCAACCGCGTACTCAAACCGCGGCAACGTGCCAGGCCTCGCCATCCGCTCGCGGAAGTATTGAGAGAACCCCCATCGAGAGCACACGGAACGAAAGTCCTCCTCGGAAAGCTGCGAGCTGGCACTCCCGTTGGGATCGGTGCTGTCTCCCCTTGTTTCGAGAACGAGAATCCTTGCGCGTGATAGTGTGTTCGTTCCCAGCGGATGGTGTGAGAGGTCGTTGAGTTCGCGCTGAACATTGTTTTGCTTCTGTGGCGATGACGATGATGACGACGACGACGACGACGACGATGATGATGATGGCGATAATGATGATAACAGAGATTTCAAGGGTAGCTCCTTGATCTCGTTAAAACTATCGCCACCACCGAACGAGAAAAGCTTCACGTTCTTGCAGGAGCGTGCCTTGAAGAAGTCCCCCCTTGTACTTCTCCATCCGCCTGGCGATACTACCATCTGTGTTTCGAATAAAATAAAATAATCAAGGTTATCCGGTTCTAAATGATCCGACTTGTTTTGTTGTTAAACCTGTGTGCGGATGAAGCTCACATATTAAATGGGTGAGCCTCGTATTCAACCCTCCTGGAAAGCGTTCACTTCGCTTCGGCACCCATGGTCGTGGGGCTACGATACACTACTTTAGTAATTATATATCGTATATCGTCGGCCAAGGGCCGGGCAGCAGAGAGTAGGGAACGAGGCCCCAAATGGGGATCGAACAATCTATGTAGTACTAATTACCATGTACTTAGCGCAAAGGATAGTTCAACATTTGAAGGATGTTTTATTCGACTTTTGGTTTATACTATTTCGGTAAATGCGCAGAGGAAAGGCATTCATTGGCAACAATGTTTCACCCCACCCTGTCTCCATGATCACGCCACTTCAAGAGGAAGCACCGAAAAGTCATGACAACAAGTGCGCCAGCCATGCAGCCACTTTCTTGGTTGCTCAAATGCTAAATAAATATGTAGTATCTAATTGCCTAGGAAGCAGCATGGGGTATCCAGCCTAGAGCCGTAGGACCGGAGAGAGGGCAGTCTCTCTATCATTTATTCATGAGGGTTGGGGGGGGGGGTTTCAAGCTAGTAGTACATATACTCATACTGATTCATGGTCATGTGTCATTTTCAAGGCACGCTTCAACTTTTGGGACGCTCGATAATAAACATACACAAACTCCCGGTCGTCATCCTTCGATCTCGATCTGGGTCTCGATTATGATCAGAGATATTTCTTCCTCCGGCTCGCGACGCCCCTCCAATCCTCGACGAGGGTGATATACCCGACGTCGCGATCGGGTCTGGAGTCACCCACGAGGCCCGGCAGATCCCTCAGGCCGGGACAGTCGGTGTAGTGCCTCGCGGTGCCACCCCCAACACCTCCGCGCCGGCCATCCTTGGTGTTGAAGTGTGGGTTGTCGCTGCCGAAGCGGAACATGCTGAAGCCGTCCAGCGTCTCGCTCCATCGATGGCGGAGTCCGAATGTGAGGCCGAGCGTTAGGCATCCCAGCGCCCAGAATGCCAGCAGCCCGACCACGATCTGCGGCGGCACGTCGCCTGGTGCAATGATCAGCGTGGGCGTGATGGCGTTCAGGGCTCCGGCCCAGCTCTCCGTCACTTGGGTGTTTCCTACAGTGCTAGTACTAGGGCGGGTCATTTCGAGCGCGTACGCTTTGTGCGCGCGAATGAAGCTGGCCAGGAACTGCGACGAGTTGAGTAGTTGGAGTTGTTGCCAGGAGCTGGTGAGCGTGACATTCACGTTCCCCTCGGTATCACAATACAGAGGTTGCGGGTAGAAGGCATTGACGGCTCGGTAGATGTTCTGTAGCCACGATGCATTGGAGGCTATGTAAGCCATGGGGTTCAAGCTCCCAGCACCTGTCTCCTCGAAGTCGACGTTGAGGTTATTAATGGCTATGTCGAGGGCTGTTACGGAATTCATCTCCAATAGGTTAAGAGCTGCCGAGACTTCGCTGCGAAAGATGCGCGGAATTGCGGTCGGTAATGGCACAGGTGTGGCTGATAAAATCGCGTCGGCTTCCTGGACGGTGAAGGATGAGTATGTCCCTGGGCGGCCGTCGATGGTGGCAGTTCCAGTTCGAAATGAGGATTTGCATTGAAAGCCTACTGCATCGAGCTGCTTGGGCTCCATGTTGGTTTGTTCAACGAGGCTGGCGGTGAACTCGTTCAGAGCGAAGCTCTTTTGGAAACCTGCCACGGTGACTCCGAGGTCATTTGTCAAGAGTGGCTCGAGAGGAGGGCAATTCTGTGTCATTTCGATCGGATTTTGCCACAACGCCGCTTCTAGAAGCACCGATTTCGAGTCACTGAAGTTCAGCATCGCAGGATCTTTCTTGTACTGCACCGCCATCTCCATCATTCCCAGCGGGAATAAATATAGATTCGGGTCAAGCAAGAGGAATGTCTCGTTGTCGACCGGTGAGAGTTGATAAACGTCGAAATCACATAGGTCCGGAAGACCTTCAAACTCTTCGAGAAGGTTGGAACTATTGAAATTGATAGGTGGGCATCTGGGGCCACTTCCGTCCTTGTTTCTCTGACTGAGAAGCTTGAACTGTGAAAGTGAGGATACGACTGTGCAGTTCAAGGATACCTCAAGACCCCATGCATGCCCGTTGATGATGTCTCGAGATTGGGGAGCAATGAATGTTGTGACCTGTTGATCATCAGGCCATTCATTGGGAAAGGACTGCAGCCAGCTTCTATCAAGCTTGGATGTATTGTCGGCTGGGACATAATATGCTGACCTACTTGGCAATACTGCGGGGCTGGCAAATCTCCAGCGATTGAGAGCCCGCGTGAAGACATCGTCCGTTGTCTGGTCCAAGAAGTTGTCCGGTCTTTGTCCAAGTAGGGAAGTAGTCGAGTTCGGAGTCATCCCTGTTGCATACCCTGTGGTGAGCTGGACAGTGAATCCTGACAGTGGCAAGGCAATGTAAGGTGCTAGACTGATAATGGACAAAATAATCCATGTCATCGACGGCTTCAACCGCATGGAGAGCCACCCAGCTGGACCGGACCAAGTCTGAAGAGGAAGGCCTGTTAGATGTCATGGAAAAAGATTACAAACAAGGTTGAGCTTACTTTGTCGCAGTGAGCCATCAGTTGCATTGCATTTTCTGCTGTCCACTTCTTCTCCATGAGCATCGATGCTTCAACTCCTGCTAGCCCATACTTGGACAGACCAATACCAATGGCACTGACCACGAACCTGGATGGCAGTAAGTCAAAGCATCTTCGAAGAAGACAATGTGCTCTCTATGATGCGGTCGAGGCTGCGGAGCACAACTTACCAAGTATAATAAGCCCAACGTCCACCAGACGGGCCTTGGGGGACAGAACCACTAGCATCATAATTAGATATCCAGAATGACCAGAATGCGATATAGTAGCCCGTCACTAGGACAGGAGCAATAATGCAGGTCAAAGTTCTCGACCAGAACACCCTAAGTGTGTCGCCATCCTGGTTTTCGACTCCAACTGTGGTCGTGGTGACCGTAGAGCTAAATGTTGGTTTGGGATCACGAAGCTCAAAAATATCGGACGAGCTATCCAACTTTTGTTTCGGGGTGTCCTGGGATCCAACCAGTGAATACATCTTGAATGTCATGATTGTCCCATCTGACACACATTTCAAAGATATGGAGGAATCATGGGAGGGGCAGGAAACCACAGCGGGTTTGCAGCGTTCGGGACATGCAGCCACAGCATAGATATCGCAAGTCTGGAACGTACATTGTGAATACTCCCGTGTTGCGTTTGGAGATTAGCATAACTTGACCCAAACATTGACTTCAGGACAGGTTGACTGGACATGGTACATGGGGATCAAGTCAACACCTAAAACAGCTAACCAGCAGCCCTTGCCTAAGCGACTGCGCTATGTTGCAGCGTATGTCTAATGGGAAGACCCTCGCGAAGAGGGCTATCTCGAAATTGATATGACCATCTGGTGATCGATGACAAACCCCCGTAGAACTTCCCCTTCCGAACAGCCCATTCGCATCGGGTTGTTCGTAGTCCGAGTCGAAAGAATACAGAAGCTTTGGGGCCAGATTTCGCCAAATGTGCGGCGAGTGGCTCAGCGGTTTAGCAGGCCATCATATCACAAGTAATACGCGGCTCGAGTAAAACGCGGGCTCGGCGGGTGATCAACCTATTCGTCAACGAAGTGAAACCCTTGCGGCGGTCTTGAGCGGTACCTGCATGCTTCAGGGGCAGGCGAGGGTAATTAACGATCGACCGCCCGTCGCTGGCGCTCGCTGCTAGTTGTACTCTCCGGGAAGGAGACGCATGTCGACTCCTGTGTTCGACTCCGTAGGTACTATATCAGACCATTACTTGCTGTTTACATAGTTAGAAGTGATTGTCGCTGGACCTCTATTGTCAAGGGCACAAGAACAACTTTGTGTCTTGCGAGTTGAGGCTCAGTAGTTTGAGAAAGTGCGCTAGGTGTCGAGTGCCTCGTAAGAAGTATTGCTTTTCGGTAGCGTCAGCTTGGCAACCTATGGGTGCTTGAGAGTACCGATACTTGGATACTTCTTGTCAATTCTGTAGGCTTTGACGTACGGAGTGAAGAACTTGATAATAAAGAGCAGAGGAAGTGAGCAGCCTGAGGTCGAATCGGTGATGGTGGAGACTGTGAGTCGAGACTGACCTGATCAGGTCTCCTTGGATTATATATACAACAATTGGCTTCAGCGCCATGGTTCTTTCCAATTTTCAATACGGAGTATTCGGGATGAAGAAGGCGAGACCTGACGGTGACAGCGACAGCGCTCGGGCCTGGCATACTCTGACCTGAAACAAGGGACCGTGCAAATCAGTTTGCATAGCGTCACGCACCCAGATACTTGGGCAGTACTCGGTACAGACAGTTCCCTGACGTAGAAATCTCTGTGATGAGTATGCAATTTTATTGCACCTATACGGCATCGTTCGCACCAATATTCTCCTATACACGCCTCAAAATCTACCACTCAGTACCGGGGTAGATTCTTACGGGTAAGGGGTAAGCGTGATGTCCCCATGGAATGCTTCTTCTGTTTCCAAATGCTTCTGGGAAGGGACTCTCGGCTTGGGCCTTGTGATTTATTTCTGAAAACAGTAAAAGAGAGGGATGTTGTGGTTGACTGTATTTGTTGGTGAAGAGCTGCCTTTTCCATGAAACTCACGACATAGGTTGTCTTCTTCGAATACAGTCTATCCCGCATGTAGGATACCGGAACGGTGGGATGTGTATGTAGATATATATGTTTTTCTCTCAGCGCTATTTCGTAGGGTTTCCTTCTGGGCCTCCTGAGAGGGTGTGCTTTTAATCAACATACGTAGGTACACCACGCCAGATCTCCTTCCCTTGAGCGTGATTAGATATCTGGATCAGCTCCTCTCCTGTGAAAGGTCTCCATACGCCTTTCATAACCATCTCCGAAGGCCACTACCACCACTCTCAACAAGATCCAAAACTGGCACCGTGCTTGGTGCAAAGCAAAAAGTATTGGTTTGAACTCCTCGGCTCCTGATAGCGCCCAGCTAGTGGCTAAAAAATAATTTGGTTTTGATAGACCCTTCCCTCCCTTGGGAAAATTGCCCTTTCCAAAAACTCCGGTTTCAGTTTCAAGGCCAGGTATGAGTAAACAACAACAGAGGTACTGAGACAAGGTCGTACCGGTGAAGGTGAGGACAAGGTTGAGGGGTGGACAACAAGGTAGAAAGCAGAATGATTATAGGGTGGTGTGCAAGATAATATTTGTGGATGGGAGTTTTATTTCTTTCACATCATCATCATCATTCTCGTTGCCCGCTTGCTGCTGAAACTAGGGCGGGGAGAGCTCTCTCCATTTGCCCAGGGCTTATGCAAGAAAGGTTGTCCGTCAACATTGTCCCAGTGTGCTCCTTCCATGGTTGCGGTGCTGCTACGGTTAGGGTTGTTGGTGCGAGCTTTGGGGAGTGGCATGAGGTCGATGGTGCTGCCACGGTAGAGGGGACCCATCAGTCGGTCTTTGACGGACTTGGTTCGTCGGGGCATGCCCGTGGCTCCGGTTGCGGGCTTCTCGGGAGGAGGGGCGAATTTATCTGGTTTATCAGAGCCATCTTCATTCTTCTCGCCGGCGAGAATGGCACGTTCTTTATTGATCGCGGCCAGGTGTTTAGAGCGTCGGAAGTGGATGACGAAGAAGATGACCAGGCCTACAACGAGGATGGCTGCAACTGCAATACCAATCCCAAGGCCAGCTTTGGCGCCTGTTCCCATCTCTCGTTTGTAGAGGTGTGGGAGTGGTGAAGCAATGACGGCGGAGGGAAGGGCAGTCAACAACAGCGAGAGTAAAAGGACCGAGGCTGAGGAACTCGACATTTTGGGCGATGAGGACGGGGATGAAACTGGTTGAAATTCGAAGGCAAGTCTTGCAAGCAAATGGCGGTCGCTCGTCCAGCGATATAGGAAATGTTGACAAGGAGAGAGGGCACCGGGCAGAGAATAGACGGGAGTGTGATAGGTGTGGGCTAGATAGTGAATGTAGGAGAGCTGGAGAGTTGAGGTTTGACAGATGTACTCCTGAAAAGATGACCGCGAGGCTGAGCAGAGGAAGAAAGGGAAAAAAATTGGACTCGGCGGGTAAGCACTCAGGTGAAGCGAAGGTATAGTATAAATCGAGAATAAAGGAGCTGAAGCATCTATCGAGACACGCTGAGGATGAGATGGGCTTGCTCTTTTGACGAGTATCAGACTTCAAGTGAGTGGCACGATGGGGGAACAGGGCCATCGAGGGGAAACTTTTCCAAATGGGCATGGACATCAAATCGGCATGGGCATGGGGGAGGCGGAAGAGACTAAACCCAATGGCTTGTACCTGGGCTGAGTGGCTTGCTCTTCTGAAACGGTGGATAGGCTACCTTGGACCAGGATTGGACGGTGGAGATAGCGCTTGCAGGCTCGAGAATAGAATAGCTGAAGTATGACAGGCGGGCTCCATTGGATTGATCTCAATTTGACCAAGGCGGAAGGCTCTTCTCAGGCCTTGTCCTTGCGCGTCGATTCCCATCTTTGACAGCTCACGACGGGTGCTTTGACGGGAGCCAAAGTCTTGGAAGCCTTTGGCCTGGTTTTCTTGAAACTCCATCTCGGCGCTTTGCCTCTCTGTCTGTTGTGGTCTCTCGCAATGCGGATAGTCGTTCGACGATAAGTCCCTACCCGAATGTGTGATACACAGGATGAGCCCGGGCGCTGGTGCAGAGCAGTGGTACTGTTATCACTACATCCGTACTGCAGATTGTTCTGGTTTCAGGACGAGGAATGAGGCCCTTGATCGCCACCCCCCATGCCTGTTATCAACGCGTTGTTGATTTCCATTTCGTCTTCAAATTGAACTCTATACTAGCAAATCCGGAGTGGTGGGCTTGGTGAGGCACCAGTCCGGAGCGCAAGCACAGGAGCTTGTTGGTGGCTTCGAGCTTCAGGCTCTCTGGCCGGCTGAAGAAGCTACGAGTACGAGGTACTCGGCGTTGCAGGGAGCCAGGTTCATGGGCGTCTGAGCTGCGCAGTTGGCGCGAGGGTGGAGTTGAGCCTTTCCTGTTCCTGAAACGCTACGGACAAGTTGAACGACGGAGTTTTTCAAGCTTTCCAGGCCCAACCCCAGCAAGTCCCGATACGCCGATCTCCCAAGGAGATTAAAACTTGATCGGTGATGAGTTTGGTGCACAATCAACCACCCAGGAAAGTGCTCTCAACGGTGCGGTCCATCAAGTCCTCTGGTTCTTGATTACTGTACGAGTACTCCGTGCGTCCACTTGAACAGGCAAAAGGCAGTCTCATGCAGAAGCTCGATGGAGTGCTGATCATCCGTCATCCTTATTGCGTACTTTGTATCCTTAGCATGGTACTCCCCAGGTCGCATTCTGGCACCATTAGCAAACGTCCGAAATCAAATACTCATTCCTTGCCACAAGTCCACTTTCGCTGCACCAAATCTGGACGCACCAGTACTCGTACAAGGTCGATACTACGTCGTGGAACGGGGACTCTGCTCCTGTCATTCTTACATGAGGCTCCGTACAACCGAAATGTTAGGCCCCATTAATGGGCCATCCTGTTCCAGTTTGGATTTTTGCTTTCCAGACGCAATATCGCGTGATCGGCACCGCATGTCACTCTGGGCTTTATGTTGAGTAACAGGGACCAAAGACTTGTGAGCGGAGCGGCTGCTGTTCGATGAACGATGGCCTCATTGTAGGATTGGTGGCTTCTCGCTGGTGGTCTTGTGCAATACTAGATTTGGTGGTTCGCACAGGCATGCCCCTGTCTGTTTGGTGTTGGGTCCTGGCAGTCTTTGCGGAGTACGAGTACTCCTACGGGACTCCGTGCTACAGTATGTACGCGTAACGAGAGGGCAGGGGAAGATCCTTCGTGCTCCGTGCGAGTTTTTCCTGTTCCGGATTTTCAGGGGCAAAACTCTCAGGGCGCGACTTTCTCTTCCCTCCTGGCACCGCGACTGGCCAAAGTTACGAGTATTGTCTACCTGGTACATACGTCATACCTGGACTGGGGGCCCCGCTCCCAACCGAATCCTCCTTTGCGAAGGATGAACTGCGTGCTTACGAGTTCAGATGTTGCATCCTGCCAGCCCAAGTGTCATAGTGGACAGTCTAAGCTAAGACATTTTCGAAGCCTTGTTGAAAGCGCTTTGACCACGCTCTGAGCTGACCAACGAGGCTATGGCGACAGGCTGGGACGATAGGGCCTGCGGGTCAATGCCAATAGTTTGGAGGGCTGTGCCTGTCATACGAGGACTCCATATTTCGTACGCGTACATACTCGTATGCTTCCCGTGTCTTTCAGAAATCGGGAATATCACATGTCTTCATGTAACTCTTTACGAGGAGTCTTCTATCGTCTCGTCCAAGTGAGACGCCCATTCTATATATCTCCCAGTAAAAAGCTGAGCAAGCTGCCCACTGTAAGACCTCCAACAAGCATCAGTCCCATAAATCCACCGGCAGCTTCACGCTCCTCAGGCAGTACCCATTCTCCTGCCCCCATCATACACTCACTGCCCAGATATCCGTTCGTAAGCCCAAACAGAAACTGAACAACCACCAAGTAGAAAAAGTCACTATTAATGGCTGCTCCTTTTCCTTTGATATTGCATAGAAAATACAGAGGGATGAACAAGAGCCTAGCCATGGAGAGGCAGAACAAGGCGAACGGATAGTGTGTAAGCGAAACGGGTTTCCACAACGTCGAAAGCCGTCCAAACAGGTCTCCCATATTCCACAGGAGGAAGGCCATGGGGATAAAGACCGCCGACTCGACTCCACCGACTGATTGGATGGAGACCGAGAAGACAGGAAAGATCATGGTTACGGCAAAGCAGACAAAGACCGCGGCAGCAAGAAATGGCATCCGCATGAACAGTGTGGTAAGAGGGATCGCTGGCCGATCAGCATTACCATCTTCTTGTGACCCCGATATTCGGACATTGCCCGTCAATGCATCGCCCTCAGATGTCTCATGTAGGGTAGCTTTCTTAATCGCCTTGATGCTCTCATGATGGCCGTGTCGGCGCAGAAGATAGAAAAAGGCGAGCAGAGACAGGACTGAAATACCCGTCGCGGTTAGGAAGTAGACCAGTGCTGATGTCGGAGATTCGTCTGTTTCCTTTGCTGGAAATGCAGCCACGGAAATGATTTGTGCAAGAACTGGTAGCACTCCGGCCACTGCTTGGCCGGTCATGATTGCTTGTGTATATTCGCTTCTGCCAAATCCTGACGCGAATGAGAACAGCCCATTCTGAATCAGGCCAGTCGAGAAGCTCGCGAAGAAGATGGCTATCAACAGAAAACCGAAATAGACGCCTGCGGCGGTGCGAACCACGGTTGACAGAGCCAAGATCGCGAAGACAACAGTGTTGATCAGGAGAGACGACGATATTCGTTTTGGGTATGATGCTCCCTTCTGGAGCTTGGTCAGGATGAGCATCGAGGTCAGATTGGTCACTGTCGACACAGAGATTTCCGCTGCCTGGAAGTGGTTGAATATCCAGTCGCTGGTTCGGAATCGATGTTGAAAATAGGGAGCGGCGGCCAGGAACATGTTCCTATACACGGATCAGTTGCATGCACTTGGGAATATATCGCTTCAAATAGAAGAGTGCTTACCACGCCCAGAGCATAGCAATCCCTAGCAAGAGAAAGATAAAGTACTCAACCCAGGAGAAGGGCGATTCGTCTGCGCCCACGCCCACGCCCACGCCATCTTGTTCACTGTCATCGTCTCTTTCTGTATCGTTCAGTAATGGCTCGTAGTCTGGTCTGGGACGGAGCAGGCTCCGGAATCTGTCCATCTTAGAGATGTCTTGTAGTTCAAAGGTCGCTTGAGATTGACGCGAGGTGTTTGGCATGAAGATGAAGAGTGACCGACGGTGCCATCAAACCTCAATTGTTTACAGGAAGGTGTCCATACTGCAGTCATGGAGGCGAGTAAGAAGGAAATCAGCAATTCATACAGGGCAGGAGAAGAAAGGTGTTCGTCCTTTGTATCTGCAGAGGATGGGCTCGGTACTGACGTGTAGCGCTGATGATGCGCAGCAGATGAGCCGACAGTGGCACGAGGCCGAGTTGATCCACATCACGCCGATAGGGCAGCCTGATGCAGTGGCGGTGGTCACCTGGCAGCGCCGGCCCTTAATCCTGTGAAGCGCTCTGGGCCCCTCAGTACAGGCGACCTCTCCAACTTACAGGTGCTTTGGGCCTCGGAAAGGCCCGAGGCGTCTCTATCGATGCCTAGAGCAATCGGCTAATGGGCGCCTTCAAGGACACTCTCTCGCTACGAGTAGCAGCTCATACCGTCTCACTTAGTTGGGTACCATGGCACAACTTTCATTAATCTGTTCACTCTTTGTGATTCTGTAAACCTCAGCAGCTCCTAAGCTCATGCAGTATTTGATATGACAATTTTTGGCCCGATGGCCCGTTCGACAAAGTCAACGCCCCCGCTATGCACAATTTGGTGCACCATATTCTTCATCAAGTCTCCAGTTGAGTACTAAATGCTTCAATATCCGCCGGTGTCAGCCATCGTTGCTCCACGGCTACACTCAGAAGCTCGTCTGTGCTCTGCGGCAGTTGAGCTGCAGGCGTCTTGTTGATATACGCGTCCACAGCCTCCAGTGTTTTCCACATGTTGAGCTGCAGTTTCTTTGCTGCTCGGCTGCTTCCTTGCACACAAGCCCCTCGGCCCTCACTTCTTCTCGACAACAGGTCTGTCACCAAGTATCCTAACCACATCACATTGGATTTCGGTAGGAACCGACTGTATTTATCCACTGTCTGGTTCTTCGTTCCACCTGACTGCGCTTCAATCTCGGATTCTTCCTCGATTCTCTTTGCCCAGTCTCGTACTTTCCTATAAGTGTCGTATTGTTTTGCGTCCGACTTGGACTCCCCTTGAGCATCATTGGCATCCCAGAACACTATCGGGTCGAACACGACGATATCGCACTCCCCATCGCTGATTCTGGCTCGTGCAAGGGTATAGTCGATGATAGTGATTGCTAGATTCGACAGTCCAAGTGTCACTTCTGGCACTTCCTTCATGTCCTCGACAAGCTTCTGTGCAACATCATATCGTGTCTCCACGTCCCTGGGTTTAAAGCAGATATTGCCATTATGCAAATCTCTGTGTTCGAATTCAAGCTTGTGCTCCGCCATTGAAAGGATCATTGCAGACGTCCAAAAACTATCAAAAGCCTGGAAAGCTGACATCGATGGCAGCTTGGATAGTGGACAACCTGCATCGTTCATCTCAATGACCACATACAGTTGCTCCGGGGGCAAATTGCTGGTCGGATCAGGGTTGATGGCCTCGTGTGGGTCGGTCGTTTTGTATAAGCTGAATGCTTCGGAAAGGACATCTGGATATTTGCCACTGACAACATGGACACCTCGACATCGTGCGAAACCGTGCAATGGGTCTAGGGCCTGCAACACTCTAACCTCTCGAGTCACGGATTCGAGGTCAGCAATTTCATCCTTGGCGTCGTTCTCGACGTTGAATGGGATAACCTTGATGACAAGACCACCGTATCGATTCAGTTCAACTGCTTCTTCGGAAGTCTTCGCTTTGAGCTTGAACACATCGGCGAATGCACCTTCGCCGAGTTTCGTGCAGTCATATCTTTTCCCTATGCTCCTCCCAAACTCGTGGAAATCTTGAACTTGCCCTTTGATCAGGGACAGTAACGGACCTAAAGATTCAACCTTCTCCTGTGTGAGTTTCTGGATATTTCAATTAGCAGTAGATTTAGGTTGAGTGGAATCCTATTTTGAGATCCTACCGCGATCTTTTTAGAGGCATGGACTTTCCTCCGTCCTCGAAAGCGAGGATTGAGCTCAGTCTTGCTCTTTTTTTCAGGTGCGGGGACAGATTCTGCAGCCGTTTTCTTTTCTACAGCGTCTGCTTTTGGGTCATCGAGTGTCAACTCTGCCAATTTTTCCAGCGCCATGTTTTCGTGCCCTCCGCCAAATAGGTCCAAATGCACTGCCCTTAACTGGGACATGGCCGATTTCTTCTTGCCATATGTCTTTTCTCCGCGCCGCGCAGGCCGTTGCTGATTGAACAGCTCGCCTAATGCCACGGAGTCAGCCATGTCGGTGAAGATGGTGACAGGTATGACAAAGACCGGTCGTTTCGCTTACCAGGGCTGAGTGGAGGTTGTTGAATATGGATGGGCTAGACTATCCATGGTTAGCTCTGGCCGATTGAATTTGGTTGCTAGGCGACGATTGGGACAACTAAAGCGGCGCCACATTGGCTGTCAGAGGACACGCAAGGAAGTGACGCTGCTTTAAATGTTTTAGATGACTCTACCATAAGCGATAGTGCTTTTTGTGTCACCCTCCTTAATATCAACCCGTTGCCCCTCCCGTCGTGCTTGTTTGGCGGCCAAGGAAGCTCGAATTGCTGCAGCACTATGTGTGTCTTCGAAGCGAAGAGCATGTTGGCGTTTGCGCTCCCATTTCCGCTCAGCCCTATTCGTCGAATATAAGCCTCGTATCACTGCCTCAGTCCCATCAGGAGTGGGTTTCAATTGTTCAGGTTCCCACATCACTTTGTACATGTGCCAATATTGCCAGAGAGGTGTTTGGTTTTGGGACCGCATTCGACGATTCTGGTGCCGAATGAAAGAGTACGATGAGATTGAGAATATTTTTCGTAGGCGTCGAGCAAAAGTCCACCAGATTTCACCTTCGTTCACGGAAACACCATATTTATCTCGCAATCTTTTAAGAATCGGCGCCCACCGAAGGCAACGCTCAGCAGTGGGGGCTTTCCCCCCCTTCGGTATCCGGAAGCACCAGCTGACAAGCATTCTCTGGAAAGCCGCTGACCAGAGTTTATTTATGTCACTGGATGGACCCCTGAGTGGGAATTTCCAATACTGTGAATGAAAACCACCTGGTCGGTACCATTCTGCTATCCAGATTGATAAGCGCTCTAATGATTCGAGACGGTGCGCTTGTGCCAATGCGATCAATGGGATTCGCCAAGTTTCCAGTGATATGTAGGTTCCGGATGCGGCTAAATCCTGCAGCAGTCCGATAAAGAATGCAAGTTGATCGACACTGGACTTGGTCCTCTGATGGGGTGGTTGTCTGTACCATTGACGTACTGCACTGCTGATCTCCTGCGGTATGGCTCTTCCATAGAGCTGTTGGCCGTTTTGCCTCATGTTTGACACGAGCTGAATTGCAGCATGATAGTCTTTTACTCTCAGCATAGTCAGCAACAGTATGCTCCTTGCCTGCTGTTTGTCTTGGTCACCGAATCTCCCCATGTTGATTACTGCAAGCGTTCTGTTGACCTGCAACCAATCGCTTTCACGGTAATACTGTGTCAACAAACGTTCTTGAAGGACTCGATCAGCAAGATCTTCATGATGTACGTCGGAGTTTGCAAGTGACTGTACGATGTCCCACTGCCCAGCTTCGGTCGCATTCTGTATTGTTCGTACAAAAACCGAGGACCCGGTATCAATGCCAAGTTCCCTAAAGACTCGGAATCGTTCTCGTAATGTGCTGGCGTCATGAGCAGAGAGTGCCATCTCTCGAACTGCCAAAGGACCAACCTCCACCAGTCCTAGCATTCGCATGTTATTTACGGCAAACTCGAACGAGAATGCGCGTGTGGCGAACGCTCGTGCAACGAAGTGATCGGTAAGCTTTTGGTGTGTCGGTCTTGAGAGCTTACTTGCCACAAGGTTTTGGGATATTGACTGATAATCCGCCTGTATACTCGTTTCTGTAGCCCAGAAATGGCGGATCTGTGCTTCAAAAGATGCCCCAGCGGCAGTAAGAGCTTTGGTGAACGCAGTCGCGCTTTGATCTTGAGAGATCAGGTAGCGAATGAAAGGTTGTAGCAATTCAAAGCGATCGGGTAAATCTCCTCTGGATAACAAAAATAGATGCACATAGATTGCATCAGAAGGTCGGTCCTGTTCCCACAAAAGAGGCACAGCACTCGAATATATCTTACTTTGTGGGACCCGATCATAGACCTTGCAGAAAACTTTTAGAGCATCGGGGTGATCCGACTTGCTAGCGGACAAGAAGATTGCAATCAGGTCATCTCGTCCTCGAAATGAATCCGAAAGATAATCTGCAAACTTCAGGGCATATTCAGGCTTTATACCCTCCAATGCGGCGCCTACAATCTCTGTAAATATTGCTGGACGAACGAATTTGTTTTCTCGAGCTCTCGTGCACACCATTCTCAGAAAGTGAGGATCCGCTGTTCCGGCGGCCAAGAAAACATTCCAGAGAGAATTTACTCGTGGATCATCGTCATGCAACTGGACAAGTGGTCCACGCATTTGAAGGCCTTTCCAGATAGTCTTGATACCCTCGTGGCCGTTCTGAAGAGCCTGAGTTCTCAACAGGATGAGCCAAAGCTCAATGTTCTGGCGGCCCGGTGCGCCATCAACCAGTCGGCTACCCAATTCCTCACAGTGGCCAACATCAGCTTGAAAGAGCAATTCTTCCTTGGTACGTAGGCCGAACATGAAGGCGTCTGTAAGAATATCTTCCCATGCATTCGACTCCGGAGGCTCGCTCTGGGTCCACATTGGTTGAATCTTGGTGGTCGGGAACGTAGGGGTTTGAGCTGAACATTTTGGCCGTATATGAAACAGAAACATCGCGCTTCGTAGTCCGGCCAGAGGAGAATGCTGTTGCATCAACCTGTGTGGACGCTGCCTCCGCCATTGTGCAAGGCAACGCCAACCTGGAGAAAGGATATATGGCTTGTTACATTGCGCGAATGTCCTCCCGGAGAATCGCATGTAGCGCAACAACGACTACAAGCAGACTTTCCGCGGTGATGATGCGGAGATCAACCAATGGATGCAAGAAGGTTGATGAATTGCAATACAGCTCCCATAATTCCACTTGGGCTTGGGGGTAAGGAAATTGATCAGGAGATCTCAATACCGCTGGTACCAAACCTTACGGAGCTGTCACGTGTCGGGCTTGGCACGAAGCTCTTCTGCGCTGCAAGTTCCGGACCTCACCTTCAATTGCTTTTTACAGGTCCAATTCACCACAAACTTCGCGTTGACCTCGCCAGTTCGAATCTCTACTCAGTCGACGAAATGGTCACTCCTACAGCTGCCCGCATGATGCAGGCCACCCGAGCTCGCATGTTCAGGCCGACAGCAACTCAACAGTGGGGGTAAGTTCAACCATCCCGACTTCAGCTCTTGGATAACTCAATAGCTAATGCCTGTCTCTATCAAGATTTGTCTTCCGCGAGAACCGAGTACCCTACTACCAGCGCCTCTTCCAGAATGGCGATGGCAAGAGACAATGGTGGAAGGTCAGTGGATTTGATTTTTGACACCCTCAACCCGGAAACGTCTTCACTTCGATATGCAGGCATCTTGCACTTCGTCTGTAATCCTCTGCTATTCTGGACCGTGGGAATTCCTAGCTCCGGAGGCTAGAAGACCATACCCGAAAATTTTATCACAGTCGCAGCAACACTTCGATAAAGAGCAGCCCATTTGGAGGATCGAAACATTTCTACGACAGGGAAGGGATCGTTGGATGGGTCGATTATAGCAGACTCTTTCGCTCTTGCTGCAGCAACCAACAACGTGGTTCGAAGGCACGCCCGCGATTACTTGCACCAATTCAAAGCGCGTTAATTTTCCTCGGGACTTGGAAATCTAGGAGATCCTCACATGGAGAGCATAATTATTTGCACCACCACACACCCATTCTCTTCAGAGAAGCCTCTGCTGTGATGGAGGCCTCCTGGGACCACGATCTGTTCCTTGATCTACCTGCTGTTGTTCAACTGTGTGGTCATAATTACTAATATAACTCTCTGTACAGACTTCTCGAAGCGGATATTTTCTATACCCCTACTACGTTATGCTTTATGGCAGTGTGTCATTGTCCTTCTACGGCATGCTGCGCATGTTGTTCGGCCACAAGACTATGTGGTAAATTGTTCGAGGCCACGGTGGAAAGGAACCGATGAAATAAAGTCTTTTAGATGATTATCAGGCACCAATGTACATACGCATCATCAGAAATAGGAAGAAAGTGGCCATACACATCCAATGCTCTCCCGTATCAGTGTCTCTTTCCTTTAGAAAGGCTTACCCGGGATTCCGCGTTCAAAGCAGCAACTTGCCTTCCGAGAGACCACGTTATCATCTTTCAGAGCATCGCGACATCGAAAGCCACCCGTGCTTCGCGCTTTATGTTAAAATTTCTGGGACAACTGGACTCTGCGAAGAGCGAGGTAATGTGTTTATCTTGGTTTACAGTCACGTGATCAAGGCCACCTTCTGGGTCGCAATCAGTTTGTTAAGATCACTCATAATACTTGCCTCAGTATGACTTCAAGTGATAGCTCTAGACCATCAAAATCTCTTTCACATTTTCTTCACATTCGAAAAGAGGAAGTCTGCCCGAACACACATGCAGACCAAAGTCAACGTCTTCCGACGGATCTAGAATTCCCTTTGTATCGCAAGCCTGGCGCATGACCTGATTGGCCGCCATCGCGGAAATTGAGACCAGGTCATCACTCAAATCTTAAATCAACCATGTGTTCACTTGATCCCCGTGGCAGGTATGCATCTGTATCATTTGCCTGGGTATTTCGTTCTCTCTGTCCCTAACTTGGGTCAAGACCAATTGGGATACTGCCCAATTTATACCAAGTTCCCAACTCGTCCTTGGTTCTAATTGCTACACTGAACCTGGTGATCGAAAAGGCCAATAACCATTTCTGAATTGTAACTTGTTACTCGATTGATGAACACCTTGTCAAGGTGAATTTGCCTTCAACAACAAGGTGTGCAGACATTTAAAGCCATGGCATGGCCCTCGAGAAGGTAGGAGAGGTAGGACGCACACAAGTCAAGTCGCTGGTTTGTCACTTTTTTGCGAACAGAATGTGGTTCTCCTTGCATTTCGCCGTTATTCTTCTTCTCACCTCATATTCATTGTCATTTCCGATAGCAGATCTTCGAAAGCGAGATCTGCCTGATTTTGTTCGTCGTTACGGTACCGAACCCCCCAGCGCCTCTCAGGGTCCTTTTTCACAGGAAAGACACTAACATAAGCGAACCCTAGCACCCGTTGTGTTTCTATCAACATCTGAACAATACTTCCCCTCGGACATAGCGACGCATCTCGCGAGCAGCCGCCCATTAGATGCATCTGGAGCTCCCGTCGCGGCGCCATCACTGCTGTCTCCTGGTAACCTGGACAGTCTAAATGCATTCGCGAATGACGGCACAGAGGTCTACGTAACCTCTAATGAAGGGATTCGAGCGCTACCTACCTGGTTTCAAGGCACGCGACCCGCCGCGGACGGCTCCATAGGGAACGCACGGGCGAGCGTTATCGTCACGGTCAACAAGCCAAATAATGTTGTTGACGCATTCTACTTCTACTTCTACAGCTACAACCAGGGGAACTGGGTCTTGGAAAACCCCGGGCTCGAATTCGGCGATCACGTAGGCGACTGGGAGCACACGATGGTGCGGTTCTCGAATGGCAGTCCTCAGAGCGTCTACTACAGCCAGCACGCTTCAGGCCAGGCATTCGAGTACGCAGCGGTCGAGAAATTCAACGGCGTGCGGCCTGTCGTCTACTCGGCGAAAGGATCGCATGCAAACTACGCGATCCCCGGTCCACACGACCACACCATCCCAAACTTCAACACTGTGTTTGGCCCTCTCCTCGACCACACCGACCGTGGCGTCTTCTGGGACCCGGCACTGAGCAATCCGTACACATACTCATACGACACCAACTCCAAGACCTTCTCCTCGTATAACGGCGCTGACCCCGTTGCATTCATCAACTTTGCTGGGAAATGGGGCGACAAGCAGTTGCCTGACAAAGCCTCCGGCCAGATCAACCTGTTTGGCCAGCGGAAATATACCAGCGGCCCCACCGGGCCCAGGGATAAACGGCTCGATCGGTCTGCTGTTTGTCCTGACAGTAAGAACTGCTGGGTCCGTCCGATTCTGACACCGCGGGATGAATAAGGTATTTAATCATTGAGGACGTTGGATAACGTCCGCTTTGAATTTTTTTTTCAGGCAAGAGGTTTTCGGTATCTAGGTTTCCTGCTTCCCCTAGGATATGGATTCCATTTGCTGGTAATTAGTTCCGGTATGGTCCCCGGATACACCACATTGGGTGGGAAAGCTTTATAAAATCTGGCTCCAAGAAGAGTGAGCCTTAGATATATTCAATGTCGGGCGATAGCTATGGCCCCCTGACTAATATGTATATAATATTGGGACTGACCCAAAGTCTCCATCTTTCTCTTCATAGAGAACGGAAGTGAGCGAACAATATGTGGATATCAATAATACGGATGAAGAAAATTTATAACACCGGTGAGGAGCGAAGCAACTAGCTAGAGAGACGACACATATGTGTAAGACCTTTGATTACAAATTCTGATCTGTGAAATACGCAATTACTTGCGAGGCCACGCAGCCAACAGCAGGTCTTGCCTGAAAGAGAACATCCCAGGAAAATTGATGAGAAATCCTCCTGCCTCCTTGACAGTTGATATCGATCGTAAAAGAGATGATACATCCGCCCACGTAGCTAGCACACCATACATAGGAGACAATAGCGAGACCCAATTCAATATGGACGGTCTCCTCCATGATAAGGCTGGCATGGAAGAATGCGGCGATCTTGCTCGCTCCTAACTCTTCTCCTCGCCGAAATATTATTCTGTCCTGCTTGGACGGGTAAGAAGAGTGGAAGAAAAATCCACCGCGCCTCTTTACAAATCCAACACAAAAAGCCAGTCCGAAACCAGTAAGATTGCTAAACGAATGTCGTTGGTACGAAGGTACAAGCGAGTGCGAGAAAACATCTTCAATTCGCTGGACGCAGGGCCACGATCGCTTGTTGGATCGTGTCTCGTATATATTCATGACCGCTGGGGGATTGGCAGAAGTTTATGCTTCAGAAGCTTTTGTTTTGCTCGCGCTGCTATTCTTTCAAAGGCAAAACACCAAGAAATGGAAAATTGAACCGAGGTAGGAGATAGCCTCCACACATGTCAGTTCGTGTCGTCCGGGACGCGATCTTTCATGGAAGGAATGATATAGTCTGTGCCTTTGCTCCAGGCATATGGAGGTGAGGGGCTGGTGCGGGCCGAAATTTGTTTTTGTGATTCTCAATGTTACACTTGATTGCATTCAGATGAAATTCTTTGTAACGACCACAGGAGCTGCCTTGAGCCTTGAATCTTGCCGACTCCAGGATGTCCACCCTTCTGTAGGTTTGGTGAGCTCGTGGCTCTCTTCGCTCTGGGCGATCTTTGGTGTATATGGTCCAGTTCTATCAGATCGTCCACCGCCAGATCGGTTGTGAGATGAGTTCTTGTCTGGGAGAAGGTTTTTGAACAGAGGCTTCAAGGTTGGTATGCAGGCACAGATAATACCGGTTCCCACCTCCACAACCGACCATTTAATGGTGGATACTGATCCCATTGTGACATCGAGATCATCAACTGCCGGGATCACACTAATCCTAAGAGCTGATGCGACTGTAGCGAAGAGCCCAACTCCGAATAGAACTGACACAATAGACTTCTGCCTGGCCGGGAGCTTCAATTTCCAGAAGACTGGAAGGGGTAGTGTGCATAGCAAGAAATCTGTGAAGATTGAGAAAGCCGTTGTAAAGTAGAAGAACTTGACGATGGGTAAACAATTCCTGGACAGGGTAAAGTCCCATGCTGCTCGTACAGGGTTGCACTGGAATATGGTGACGAGGATACTGCAGATCCACACCGCAACGATGGCAGCACTAAGAGCGTACATGGTGCGACGGAAAAGCACTGTCGGGAAGACTCGCAGATATGATACTACAATGGATATTTTGACCAGCATGAGTGCTGTGGCGTACATGATCTGACAGGTCCATAGTGTCTGCGATGGTTAGTCTGGTGGTAGTTGGGGTTGATGGACAATCTATGCAGACATACTTGGATCACTCTCTTGGTTCTCTCAAGCAAATGGGCGTCCTGCGGTAGATCATAAATATGTTTTCCGAGACCGTATCTGATCCCTAGATTGAATTAGGATACCTGTCATACATTGCCACACCGGTTGGACTTACCAACAATAGTCATGGTAGAAAAAGCCGTGGAAAATAACCCAGCGGCCACCATAAGGTAGTCATCAGCAGCAACATGCTTGACGACAAATCCTCGGACTACTAACCGCAGTCCAATAATCAAGGTCGTCACGGCGATGAACGAGATGTTCACTTTGTATATTTCTCCTACCGCATTGTCATGGGGTAGGAGATCTGTTTGGACCTGGCTCATCCCGTCCGGAAGCGGCTGCTAGATTGGCACCGCTGCCCAATAGTAAAACGCAGCTAGTTATCACTTGTTCTATCGAAAATCCAGCGGCTAAGCAACAAATGTGCTGAGAATGTTGGAAATAGACGACGATTTTCACACGATAAATGGAAGAGACAAACTTGTTAAGGCTGCAGCTAGGAAGGTGAGCAGAGCGTCAGTATATGAAGAGGGGAATACTCTGCGTTGAGCGTATGAATGGCGCTCTAGACCCTAGGAACGGCATTGAATAACGTGTTTTGGGGGGGTTGCGGCAGAGACAACCCTTCCTCTCTTGGGAACGAAGCCAATGCAGAACCTGGTAAAGACTCATCTTCCGTCCAGGTACGTGCCGTCGGTGCGAGCGCGAGATGGAGGGTGTTGACCAAATTCGCGTGAAGAAGTCGTTGTATGGTGTGAAGGCGGGTTGGAAATTGACCATAGACACGCGAGAAGTCATGTAGAAGACCTTAGCGCGTGCTGGATAGATCCGAAAACAGGCCCTTGGCAGGGGTTATTTTCAGAAAGTCGCCTTTGCGAGCACTGATTGGTGGGCCTCGGACAATTGGTCTTGCCAATGCGGCCGAAAAGCCACAGGAAAAGCCAGTCCAAGGAACGCTGATCCTTGAGCCGGGCCACGAGTAACAAGTCGGTTTCTGCGTGGGATGATGGCTTTTCAAGAGGCTGCCTTCGTGTTCCTCCGATGGCTTGCTAGTTGCCACCTTCCCCTCATGTTCATGCATTGACTCCGGTGAAAAGGGGGCCAATTAGTATCTTGGGGGAACATCCAGGAGGCTGATCTGTAGGCAATACTGTTTGATAAAAGTGATAGCAGTCCATATCATCCTCAAACAGAGCGGGAGGAATACACCCTCCTTTGAAACTTCTCGTGGGGGATCATGTTGCGCAACGCATTTGACTTCGACTCCAAGCTCTTGCATGATGTTGAGAACGAAGAAGTCCAGCCGCGGGGATGCATGGTTGACGTTAATCCATGTCAGCGGCTTTTGCTCAAGATTGGCAGTGTGGTGATGATCCTGTATGATGGCTTTGGGGCGCTGCAGTGATTTAATTTCTCACCTTTATGGAGATCACCAATGTTCACGCTGGCTTCCTAGAGAGGATGACCTACAGGACGAGTACCAATGATAACTTCCATAGCTCCCTGTATGACACGGTTAACTACACTACACTTCCTGTGTGTACGATAGGTGGACAGGCGATTTCGTTATCACTGTAATAATGGTCAACTCAAGGTCCGTGCCCAGCTAAGCCCATTGGCTGTGGCACGTGACTAGAATGCACCGTCCTCGGATAACCTTCCTGAAGTCGCCATTTGGTGCCCCTTCCCCGTATTTTGTGATCTGGGTTATTCTGCACGACGAGCCTCACCAAGTCCGGTCAACGCGGCCTTGCACTCATTCTGTATTCTCCAATGATCTAATCTCTTTCTAATTTTGATGCTTTTGTGACTGCATTAGGAGATTTCGCAGGTACGGCCACTGTCTATCCACAATGGATGCTTCTCAAACCCAATTTCTGCCAACTGGCGAAGCCTCCCTTCATCGAAGTGCTCCTCCACTCGCCCCTACCCAAGAACTGGCTTATCGAAAGAAGTGCATTGCCCTAAAAAGACGCCTCGCAGAAATCGAAGCCAACAATGACGCTACTCGGAGGAAAATCATACAAGAGACTGAACATGTCGAGAAAATGCGCCTGTTGCGCGCCATTCTCCTCAATCAACTCAAAGACATCATGACTACGCCGGCCAAAAAACTTACGCCTGAACAGCGCGAGCAACTCGGTGCGCTAGCAAATGGGAGGGTTAATCTTGCGGAATTGGCTGGTGCCGGCATCACACAAGACCTACTACGCACCCGACCGGATAGGGATGGGCTTTTAGATGACAGTTCGGAGGAGAGCGATGAAGACGAACCAGAGGTTGGTAGGCCTATCACCGGTAGTAACAGAAGCTTACTCGGTACAGCCTCAAGAAAGACCTGAAAGACGTAAGAGAGCCAACAATAGCTATCGAGGCGAACCAATCCTGAATACCAACACCCCTGGCGACTCATCCGCCCCCCCATATCAACAGTCCTCCTTACCGAACTTGGCTCCTGCAAATTCTTTCTCGTCTACAGCACCCCTAGAACCAACGCCGCAAAATTCTTTCCGCCTCTCTACTACGACCCCGTTCGTCGGTACAACTGAGTCGATGCACGCCCCATCTTCACCTATTCTTGGCAACCAACACTCGGCCATGCAGTCTCCTAGTCAGTCTATGACCCATCCAGAAATCAATGGCCTCAGTCGAGGGCCAGCTCCCCAAGCACGACCGGAACGACCAGAGGCTCCATTTGTGCAGTTCACACAACATATGCGCCCACAACTTGAAGCTGACGACTATCCGGCTCATCAGATCGCTGCCAGGATTCAATTTGAGTGGGACGGGCTCAGCAGTGAGAATAGAAAGCTTTGGGATGACAGATATCAAGACCAAATGGTGGAATACACCGCGGCTATGGACCGGTACAAGAAAGCCTCTCGACGCGAAGCATCAAGCAGTGCGTTTGCGAACTCATAGCATGAGCGTCTTCTTCCTAGACCAGGTCATCGTCTTGGTGTTGATACCGTTCAGGGAATGGCAGCAATGGCCTACTATGTACCAAATAGGACCTTGTGACTCGTCACCGGGGTTTGATTCGCCGCCCTTAACGTTTGTTAGAACAGTCGAGGGCCAGTCCCAATATCGTTCTTACAATTTTGTTCCGGTTCAATGGTCAGCCTCCTCCTTGATGCTGCGATGCCTCAGCAATGGGTACCACTTGGTCTCTGCACCATCAGCGATAATTCGAGTATGCAGCCTGAAACTGATCTGAAAGTGCTTTGATGCCTGACATCCAGCTTATGCTCGGCCTATACTTACGTTGGGTATCATATCGCCCCATATTTTCGGGTGCAATCGCGTCTCCAACACAGATAGAACGGTGATAACGACAGATGCGAGAGACCTTCTCGTGATGCACGCATGCATAGAACGGGACCTACAGGGTGCAGCCTTCTAGGTAGAATGACCTTCAGAGTTCTGCCTTGTGCGGATCTTAACGAAAATCTCATGATTTGAAATGCGTTGCTCCCGAGAATTTGTCATGTTAGTCGTACCAGTGATCTGTATCTTCCCTTGGGTGATTTTGCATCCCAGGCCTTTGTACCGAGTGTGTCCATGATACTAAACTAGCCACTAGCCACGAGAAATGGTCCCATACTACGACTACGAGTAGACAGACAAACAGACCTACTACCAAACATGGACAGGGGCCCGAAAAACCAAATCCTCGGTTCCCTCCGGCAGTTTGATACGCTCGCTACGCCTCCTCACATTCATTATTCTTCGCCTCTTCCATTTCGCTTCGAATCTACTCGTACTCATCAAGGATCCTGCCGGTTTCGAAAGAGGAATGCTGACAGGATCTTTGTTTCATGTTGATTACCTAGGCATCTGTCGAATTTCGGGTTCTGGATTCTATGGGGGTAATACATGGTACATGGGGCTTGCGCCATGCCGCGTGAAACATTGTCCCGTCCCTGCCTACAAATACCGGCATTGTCCCTGCTCGAGTTTCGTGATTGCGTGTCGGTGTGGTGCCATTCGTCTATGTATGGTGGAGACTGTTCGTGCGTGCGTGCTTGCTGGGAGCATGCTGTTACTAGTAGAAATTTGCGACCTCGCTTGATGGTTTGGTGAGCTGGGTAGGGTACGGGGTATGGTATTGGGATTGCGCGGGCTGAGCTGGGCTGGGCTAAATTCTTGTCACTTGGCAGCCTTGTGCTCCATGGAATACGGAGCGAGTGAAGCGTCCATGTCGGCTCAGGGCTCAATGAATGAGACGGGCGTCTTTGCGAACTTGGGTTTCGTTCTTGGTGCATTTCGAGCTCGCTAGCTGGTGGTCGTCACAATCTCATCACGTCGAACATGATTTCCTCACTCCCGTGCATTGAGCAGTCTCGCCCGCTCAGTCCTCATCCCAGTTGGGGTTTGGTCCAGGAGGCTTCGGGCCCCCGGCTTGTCTGGCGACGATGATCTGATCTACACTCAACACGGTCCTGGCTGCCTCAGTGGCGAGCCGAATAGCCCAGCTCTTCACGCTCATCAAATCCAGGATTTGCTCTTCTACCGCGTCGAGAACCCCTGTTGCCGCACCAGATGTCTCTAGATCCACGCCAGTGGTCCAGTACGGCTCCTCGGAGGCAGAGGTGCTGGTAGACGAGGAGGAATCTTCTTCTTCTTCGTCATCTTCTTCGGATTCAGACTCGTCGCCGGCTTTCTGCCTGCGTTTGACCTCACTTGTGCTCGAGCTCAGCCGACGCTGATGTGCCGTGTAGAGTCGTGCTAGGACTTCTGTAGCATCGAGCCCAGCGCTCTCGGCGAGGGTGCGAGGGATTACTTCAAACGCTTCAGCATACTTTCTAATAGCGTATTGGGGGAGGCCGGGTGTCTTGTCGGCGAAGTGTGTGATACGCTCGACCAGCTGCATCTCCGTGGCGCCCGCACCGGGCACGAGGCGAGGGTCCTTCGTAATGGCTTTGATGGCGTTGACACCGTCATCAATGGCACGTTCCACGTCGTCGAGATGATTTTGTGTCGCGCCTCTTAGAACGATAGTCGCTGTGCGAGTTGTTGCGGTGTCATCTTCTTGACGGAAGACGGTCACTCGGTCACCGCCAATTTCTGTAGTTTCGACCACGTCAATGCTGCCCATCTCATCAGGCATAGGTGCACCAAGTCGGGCAAGAGGTGTGGCGTTGCAGACGCGGCAGAGACGGCGGAGTTCGAATTTTGACAAGATTTTGATAACGAGGATGCCGTAGCGGTTCAGGTAATGAAGGGCCAGCTCGCCAACAGTGGATCCTGCAACAATCACCCTCAAACCACTGTCGTATAGTTCTTTGATAGCGTTCTCAAGTTGCTGCTCTTCACCTTTGGAGAAGTCCATCATTTCTTTGGCGTTCTTCAGAAGAACCGTTCCTTTGGTTTCAGTCTGGGAGGTATCGAGTGGACAAGAGAACACCCCGACTTTGGCTTTCTTTGCTCGCTTGACAGTGCCATCGGGCTCGCGCCCAAGAACCATTCCTTTAACGACTCGGGACGCGGACAGATCGCCACCCATAATCTTTACAACTCTGACATTGTCCACATTGAAGTTGAGGGGATTCTTGGGTAAGACTGCCAACACCGCCTCCGCAATCAGCTGTGACAAAACGTCCTCGGAGCCCGATTGTTTGGAAGCAACTACGGTGCGCAATGCTTTGCTCAAATCTTCGGCTGATCGCAGATTGGAAAGGCGGTCGACCTCGAGGTCTTCAATTGTCAGCGATAGCCCTTACACACCCAACTGCAAGCAACGTACCTTCCAAGGCGTTGAGAGTAAATGCCTGTGCTTTTTCGTAACCCGAGACGATGTCGCTGGTCTTCAAACCCATACGTATTAATTCTTCTGCTTTCTTGAGTAGTTCACCGGCGAGGATGATGACGAAATTTGTACCGTCCCCCATTTCTGCCTCCTGCTGTTGACTAGCCATGACCAACAATTTTGCAGCGGGGTGTACGACTTCTAGTTCTCGCAGGATAGTCGCAGCGTCTGAGGTTAGGATCATCTTTGAGAGGTGATTGATGACGATTTTGTTCCTTCCATAAGGCCCTAATGAGGTTTGAACTGTCTGCGCTATTGTTCTGCAGGCATCAATCTATGTAGAGTGTGAGCATGAAATCTCAAACATTCGGGTATCCGAGACTGTACATTGCGAATAACTGCGCCATCTTCCGCATCATAACTGTTATAACCGGCCTTAAACAGCCCGGCTTGCGAGGCTTGGGGGATGGATAACGACATCTTGGGAACGAGGAATTAGGTGAAATTGCAAGACAAGAAAGTTGATTTGGCAACCTGGACCTGCTGTCAAATGCGGGACAAATTTGGCCGCCTGCAAATTATCGACGAGGCTGAGATAATGCCAAGTTATTTCCCCACTTGGACAGAAATAATGCTGCTCTAATTATTATGTTGAGCTTGAGGCCTGGCTTAAAACGGCGTTGGAACTTGGATTTCTCCATGCCGACAAGGCTCATACCTGTAGAAGGATACTCGGGGGCAAGAACACCTAGCTGACACTCACGCACGTCAACGGACATCGTGTCTGGCAATTGTCAAAATGACCACTACTTATCCGAGCGTTGTTGAGAATGCGATCGTTGGCTCTGGTTAGAAGGGATCGCTTCGCGCTGCGCAACCATGTCCGGTCCCGAAGAGAGTGACCACTCAGACCTGGAACTATTTACGGCGGATGAGGCAGGTGATATATCTTCTAGGTCAGTACACCTCATTCTCTCTGTACTTATGTGGCTAAACGACGATCAGTACATCTCAGAGACCGACCCTCAAGACGATAACATCCTCTCAAACTCGACAACAGGCACTTGGTTCCTCCTCGCAACATGCGCCCCCGAATCTATCGACGCACCTGCCACCTCTGAATTCCTATGACGGGCCGGGTAAATTTGCGGCCACTCCTTTCACCACCGAAGAGCATGCCGAGAAAGAAGGTGGCCCGCCGGACTGGTACATCGAAGGACCTGGTCGTCGCGTGGGTTATGACGATCTTACGGCAATCGACTGGATCTATGAATACACTAAGGAGAGACATCGGTTGAGAAAATTGTTTTCCAGTAGCCATGGGTTGGTTGGGAACCTCAGACAAATCTTTGATGCCAGTCATGTCTGGCTAGTCCTTGTTGCGACGGGGATCTCTGTTGGATGTCTCGCAGCAGCTATCAATATTGCCTCCGACTGGCTTGGAGATATCAAGACTGGCTATTGCAAGAAAGGCGTCGACGGAGGGCGATTCTACTTGAACAAACAGTTTTGCTGCTGGGGCCATGACGAATACGCCCACTGTCAAGACTGGACGCCATGGCCAGTGGCGATGGGTGTCGGGCCTGTTGGCGGCCGATATGTGATCAGCTATATATTCTTCATCTTGTTTTCTGTGCGTACATCTACCTCTAAATGTCAACACTACTGATCGCCAAATATAGGTCCTCTTTGCTGTTTCTGCTGCAGTGCTGGTCAAGCATTACTCTTTATATGCTAGACATAGTGGTATTCCGGAGATCAAAGTTGTACTCGGTGGCTTTGTCATGAAGCGGTTCCTCGGTGGCTGGGCATTGGTCATAAAGTCGGTCGGGTTGGTGAGTGGTCACATTGTATTTTCAAGGGTGTAGCTGACCTTTTTTCAGTGTCTTGCTGTAGCTTCTGGTATGTGGTTAGGTAAAGAGGGCCCGTTCGTCCATCTTGCCTGCTGCTGCGCCAATATCGTTATGAAACCTTTCGAATCATTGAGCCAAAATGAAGCACGAAAGCGCGAAGTCTTGTCAGCAGCTGCAGCATCTGGGATTTCCGTGGCTTTTGGCTCTCCTATCGGCGGCGTTCTCTTTTCACTGGAGCAATTGTCATATTATTTTCCAGACAAAACGATGTGGCAATCATTTGTTTGTGCAATGGTTGCCGCCGTCACTCTTCAGGCTATAAATCCATTCCACACTGGCAAAATTGTGCTGTACCAAGTCACCTATTCGGAGGCATGGCACAGTTTTGAAATTGTACCCTTCGTATTGCTGGGCGTCATCGGTGGCATTTATGGAGGCCTGTTCATAAAGTTGAACATGCTTTTCGCTCGTTTGCGAAAATCCCAGCATTATCCTTTACGCAACCGACCACTTCTAGAAGTCCTCATTGTTGCTGCTATTTCAGCAATTGTCAACTTCCCAAACCTCTTCATGCGAGCTCAGTTGTCAGAGCTCGTATACTATTTGTTCGCCGAATGCGCAAGTATAGGCAACAACGATATCTTCGGCCTCTGCAAAGTCACCACGGCTGGGTCTCTCGCAATGGCATGGCTTCTGATCGCAGCTGCCATCCTAGGATTTCTCCTCTCCAGCATCACATTTGGTCTTCAAATTCCAGCTGGTATTATCCTACCGACTTTGGCCATCGGCGCATTGTATGGTCGAACAATTGGTGCATTGGTAGAGCTTGTGCACAGGAACTTTTCCACTTCGGTGCTATTTGCTGCTTGTGAACCGGATGTCCCTTGTGTTATCCCGGGCACCTACGCCATCGTTGGGGCTGCTTCAGCTTTGGCTGGGGTTACAAGAATGACTGCTTCGATCGTTGTGATCATGTTTGAATTGACAGGTGCTCTCACTTATGTGCTACCTATCATGATTTCCGTCATGTTGGCTAAATGGATTGGCGATGCTTTTAGTACACGTGGCATCTACGAGACCTGGATCAACTTCAAAGAATATCCATATCTCGAGAACAAAGACGATACACAGATACCTCACGTTGGTGTCTCAAGTCTCATGACGAGGGTGGAGGAGATGCACTGCTTAGATGCCAACAAGAGGCATACTGTGGCGAGTTTACAGAGAGTTCTTCGATCAACGACCTTTCGCGGCTTCCCGGTGGTTGCGTCCAAAGGGGCTCATGATGATACCCTTGTCGGAAGGACTGCGAGACGGCACCCTCTCAGAGAGAACACTTTCTTGGGGTACATATCGCGAGCCGAACTCACATTTGCATTGGATCGGATGACGAAATCAAGCACAAATTTAGACCGCCCGCAGTCAGAAACCATCACCCCGGACACGCCGTGTTACTTCGTCTATCATTCTGAAGTAAATACTGTGCGAGGTATAGATCTACGGCCATGGATGGACCAGACACCGATCACGCTTAATGCCAACAGCTCGCTCCAACTTACAGTGAGCATGTTTCAGAATCTCGGACTGCGATATCTTCTCTTCGTCGACCGCGGGGCGTTTCGAGGGATCTTGACCAAAAAAGATGTATGGTGGATCTTGTCGGCATCACAAGAGAGGCAGAAGTCTGGAGAGTTTGTTGCTGGTGCAGGACATCTCCGCGAGACGACAGATACGGAAGAAGAGGGAGAGGAAGAGGCCAGGGGCCTTCTTCAAGAAAACTCAGGAGAGACAAGTCGACACGCGAGGCCAGGTTGATGTGAGCCTCTTTGACATTATTGGAGTTGACAAGGCGCTTCTGCACGAAATGGATCCATGTATTCCGTACTATGCTCTGTTCACCGCTGCGAACATGATCTGCGGGCAACCCTCTGCTAGTCCGGGAGAGGCAGCTCGCCTGACTGTGTCAGCATTCGTGCGGTGGATTGTGTAAACAAACGCGGTATTTAAAACGAAACGAGTACGAGTTCAGAAGGTCCAGGTCACACTACCTCCCCTACTGTAGCATGGGAGGATCTCGATTGAATAGTTCATCTTGCTACGGAGTACAATCTCCGCAAGCCCTTCGAAGCGACCATTCCAGGATGTTTCCATTGACCAATTCAGGTTGATGACCAGATTCGATAGACGAAGCAACATTGAGTCAGGGGCAGGCAAGCGGACCCAGAGACCCGCGGATCACAGCTGTAAGCAGTAATCTGTAGCTGGCTAGAAGGTACAGCTAATGCAGCGTAGTCCGTCTGGTAGTGTAAAGAGTCAAGTCCCATCTGTGCCAGGAAGCCTTGACGAAGGCCACGAGGCGAAGACGCAATTCCTCCCCAACCCCCGAGAGAAGAACCAAGAGATGGATGGGTCTTTGCCAGTCAGATTCGGGAGTAGTCTGATTCAGCAGGAGAGAGACGAGAGACAAGCAGGGACAGGTACAGTGTCCAGGTACTTCGTAGTCCGTCGTAGTCAAGAAATTTGGCGAAATTCATGCGGATCGCCCACTTGCCAAGTTTTCTCGCGAGTGTCTTTGCAGGGCATCAATGGAGAGGGCCCCGTTTCTAGGTCAGGTCTCCTCTCTCCTGGTGATCACTTTGGGCAGTCGGGCATTGATGAGATCGCCCAAGCCACCTGGAAAGGTGCAAGCCGCAAACACAGATGAGCGAGGGCGGTAACGGAGGCTACTCGTTACGTTCCCCCACTAAAAGGACAGGAAGCTGATGATCTGCAGTTTTCTCTCGCTTCGTTTTAACGGATCGAGACTTGAGAGAAGCCTCACCTCTGGCCAACAGAAGCCTTTTGCCGCCGTTTGAAAGTACAAGACCGTGCACTTGAATGTTGCACCCATCCATCTCTGTCGATCTGATAGCCGAGTTGACGATCAGCATCGCCAGGCAGCCAGTGTCTCCGTTTACCGAGGCCAAAGCAAAGAACGGAAACACTCCGTATGAAGCGCTTCGTACAGGCTCCTCGGAGCAGTCTCAGAAGGCGCCTTTCAAGCCAGATCCATCACCGGATAATGCCGTGGTCTATCGCCCTGCCCACTACATACTGTACGAGCACTACTGTACTTTGCCGGTGGCAGATATGGAGTATGGAGTCTTTGTTTCTGGCCCCGTTACTCCGTAGCCTGGCGGGGCCACTGAATGGGACGAACTCAAGGCCAGGCACTACGACTATTTAGGTGGCCCATCTATTAGTTCTGGTCCGACTCTGCGCTCTGGTGAGCTGGCTCGTGTTTTCCCCCATCTGCAAAGACTGTTCAAGTTTCGAGCCACCTTGAATCAGGGAAGACGCTTATCTTAGGCTCATGGGAATCCCTCGTGATACGCCATCGCTCCTTCGAACAGCTCTTCTAACAAAGAGTCATGTCTCCAGAGAGGCGGCTGGATAGGCAGCCGAGTTTCTCTAGGTCTTCAGGAACAGATGTAAAGCCCAAGACTCAAGCCGTGGGTTGCTCGAAAGGGCGGTGATGATCCTCCTCCCCGGCTGCACATGCACCCCTGATAGAAGCCACGAGAAGTAAGGCCGCTAATTCGAGACACATCCATCGCTTCCCGCGGCTTCCAACGGGGCGAGTGCACGGCACGGGGATGTACGTCTTTTGCTTGGTCCATAGGTCGTCTCAATCTTTGCGCCTCGCAGACGTTCCTTTAGGGAGAGGTGTGGAGACCGAGGGACACGAGAGCGGGTTGGGTTGGCATTCGGCCTTCTCTCGTGCCCACGGCCCAATGCCTCAAACCTCGAGACCCTCGGGAGGGAACCATCCAACGGCTACGCCTCCGATTGCTTACCCGTAAGGCTGGTCGCGATGCCTCGCACACTCGTGGCCGTCGGACAATTTGTTCCCCCAAGAACGGTGCTCAGGGAGTCGTAGACTCGTACTGCCAGAGGGCCATTGTTGGCCCTGGGCTCCGTTGGGCTCCGGTTTTCATTTACCACTACTTAGCAACTAACGGGCTTGGTTCTCACTACTCGTGCCCGGCTCGTGGAAGCAAGGCAATATCCGACGCCAAAGGAAATAGTAGGCTACACTGAACTACTCGTATGCACAGCGCGCTTCATGCTGGATGGTGGCCTCGTCACGACGACCTTTCAAGTACGATCAGCTGGTCTTCCGAAATGAATAACCGTTTCCTGATGACAGGTGCGTTAGCAGGAAAACAAGGCGTCTGTGGAAGCTTCGAGACGGGCTCATGGTGTGATCAACTATCATTGAGAGGCGTACAAGTACGGGTCAGGTCGATGTGATCCAATACGAGGCCCTCTCGACGGGGCGGATCGCTCTCAATGCCACGCGACAATGGCACCCACCATGTTCTCGCGTACTCCAAGTGCTGTGCTCCGTACGTCAGGCAGTGGATCCCCAAGTTGCGTTCCAGTTCTGCATGATGATGAGAAAGCGACTGCTCACTACTGATCCCTTCTCCCGCGGATCAGGAGTGAGTCCGGAGACGAACGTGGCTGAAATGTAGCGATGCAATGACGATGCTTCACATGCTCCGTGTCGTATTGCGCACGCGCACCCTCCTTCGGTCGGAATGCCCAAGTTGTTTTTGGGGAGGTCAGAGCGCACCGCTGCCCGTATGGCTGGGACCAGTAATCTTTGAGAACAGGCACCTCGGTCGAGGCGGGTCTTGAAGCCACGCTTAGGCTTGATGGATGCTTGTTCCGCTCGACTGGTCTCGGCATGGTGCCCCCCCAAAGAATTCCCACATGGACTACATACGAGGTTAAGACTGTCGATCGATGCAGGTTGACACAGAATTGGCTGGCACAGTTGGTACCTCGTGAGGTCGTCCTCCGTACTCCGTAGTCGATGGGGAATTATGTTATCTTACAGTAGTTAACAGTTGGTCAGTCTTCAGACTGTACCACGATCATGCGATCCCACCTGGAAAACTCCACCGTTAGGAAGATCTCTTTGTGGCCCATCATAATCCGTACGGTATAGATGTCTAGGTATCAGTAAATTCCAAGTTGGGCGTTACGGGAGTCCCTTGTCCCCTTGAGCAAAACTCACCGACGCACCAATTTGTCCTCGATTATCGACAGGAGGAAGCAACCCTCCTGTTTGGGGAGGCCGACTAGCGCAGCCGAGGACGAGAATTGATTACCTGCTAGCCTTCTAAGCTACTGTATGTATGCACGGCCTCAATCCTCAGATGCCACTCCCCCTTTATCAACGTGCAAGTCGTTTCAGGCGCCCTAATCACCGTGCGAATTGCCGATAGACCCGCACAAGGCTGGCCTCTAGAAATGTAACTAGTGACTTGGTCCAAGTCCGCACCGATAGCTCACAGCTCACAGCTCACAGCTCACAGCTGACAGACGATTTGATAGCTAGTACATGGTTGGTTGGTGTCGGTGCTCCATCATGAAAAAGCATTCATGAGTGGTGGTGCCACATGGCCCATGGCATGGACAGTCAGTTTACAAACTCGTGTCCTGTGTAGTGGGTAATGCGAGTACTGTGCGGATAAATATAACAGAGCACAGTCTCTTTACAATGTAGCTTGTACGGCGTACTCGGTACAAAGCTCTCCTTCTCTGATGGCTGTCCTGGCCCCCTCTCTTCCCACGTTCACCAGGCAAAAACTCGCATGGCGGTGTCCCTGGCGGAAGGAGCAGGACGACATTAAACTAGGTGGTACATACATACTCTGTACTCTGTACAAAGGACCTTCTACGTGCTCGGATCTGCAAGCCACAATCACCTTTGCCGCAGGGCGGTTCCTGCAAGAGTTTCAAAACCCCGACCTGCCAAATCTGGAATGGAATCGGTATTTTGGTCGTGGTGCTCGTAGTGCTCGTAGTGCTCGCAGTGCTCGCTTCGTGTGCCGAGTACGGGAGTTGTATGTATGGAACACTCAGTACGTACGCTCGTAGAATGGACGATGAGGTAATTGCATTAGAGGTATCTGTTAGCCACCGGAAGTACGGAGTCAGTACCTTGGTACAGTGCTATGCCAGGGGCCCAACAGGATATTGTTAACGAGGTGCGATTGATTCGCGGCGATTGTTCGACGGGAAGGTATCCATATGGGGCCGTCACTGGCCCTTTGATTTCATCCGTAAACCATGTTTCGTCTGCTCTAGATCTTCGACTCCTGTGGCGACAGATATGAATACTTCGAGTTACGGATAGAGTTTGTATGATTGAAGTAAGGTATTCCACGTGAAACTCGGTTATATACTCTTCCCTGGCGATTGCAACGGACCGGATTAACTAGGACTCTCAAGTGGTGTTCTCTAAAATTACCTGCAAGGTAGCCCTTGGTTGCTGACACGGGGTCTGAATACCGAGCAGTTGATCTAGGTCCTGGACCCGTGAGATGGCTGGAAAACGGGTGCTTCCCCGGCCTCCCACGGGAACGGTAGAAAGAAGCTAGTATTTGGAGTCCATTAGTACCGAGTAGTCCAGGTATATAGCGAGGAGGGAGAACGCAAAAGCCATGCCCCTGACACTGACACAGCTAACAGCGGGGGCAACGATATTTTAACCGAAATGTGCGTATGCCCATGCCTCTACGCCAATTGCCGGCTACGCGGTTGAGGGACTGGTGGCGGCTCTGCGTTTGGACATGAGCCGACAGCTTGTTTCTTGATGAACAAAGCCATTCCGACCAGGCGGGAAGGGCACCTGTGATAATGTCATCAGCTGCGCCACCGAAAGGGGACCGAAGCATGGAGTGCAACGGCTGGTGATGTTGTGGGATGGCCACCGGCAACGAGACGTAAGAAATTGACCTCTCCGGGTTACGACAAGATAGCCAGTCAGCTTGATCATATCCACCAAGCCATCGCCGGTGAGTATACCTCTGTATATCTCTACCTTGTAAACAGGACCTCAGCGCATCGTAGTTCCTAATCAGCCTGCCACTTCAGGCCTGTGTCCTTCTAGGATTGATTTGTCCACCAGAAGGGCTAAGATTACGAGCCAGTGCTGATCACTTCTCATATGTTCGGTACTTGAACCAGCAGGATCCTTGTGCGAAAAATTCCCGAGGCCACTCACTGGGCCACTGGCAAGAGCTAACGTGCATCGAGAGTTCCAATGTGCATCCACAATCCAAGTTTTTGTGCATACGAGCACAGACTTGGGTCCCATGGGACTGTGACTGTGACTGTACTCCGTCATGTTCGAGAATTCTGTCCTGAGGGACTTAAACTTCTCAGGGACTGAGGGCCTTCCGGGAATCACGTGTCATGGACTCGTAGCGCCCCTGGGGTGCTACCGTCTGGGAAAAAGGAACAAGGGCATTCCTTGTATCTGACCCATGAACATTCGACCACGGGCTCCACTAAGAATGCCAGAGGGGGCACGATTATTTTCCGATGTTTGGCAACAACTTGGGGGTTGGGCGTCTGGCTTTGGTTGGTTCCTTGAACCTCGAGTATCTTGCACGCGTTTCAAATCTGGTCGGGGGGGTTTGTCGATGGCTAGGGAGCTGGCGACATCAATCAATGGTCATGTCAGCTGTGGCTGCTCGAGCCGTTGGTGCCTGCATCTGCATCTACATCTGCATGGTGGTTGGTGGTAATGCTTCGAGACTGGAGACATGACATGACATGACATGACAGATGACAGATGACAGATGTCAGTTCGGATACAGACAGCGGAAGGAGGTGACCAGCCGGGGCTTTAATAATAATGAATGAACAGTGAAAACCCTCCCTCTCGACCTTCGTGTGCGCGGATGGTCTGAGGCAGAAGCGACTGATGGGTGCTGTCAAGACGGAACGACCCCTTGCAGTGACTCTCTTAGGTAACCTGTAGGGGCACGGAGGAGCAAAGTGCATCGAGTCTCCCGCCGCTTCGCTTCGCCAACAGAACCAGACCAGACCATTTCAACTGCGGCACCAGGTTTTACCAAGGTCTATTTTTCAACGGCACTTGTATGCGGTATGCATGTACATATGCAGGAAGTGGGCTTGACGGCTAATCTGCTATTTCATTGAGCGACATACCTGCCTGAATCGTCCACCACTAGGGGAGGACAATTACCTTTCTTGCCAGAAGACCAGACAGGCACTTTGAACTGCGAGACAGGTGTTCCATGCCGTGTGCAATACAAAGAGCGTGATCATGTTCTTCAGATGAATGGCACTTGCTTGAAGCTCATCTCATATCTGGTCTAAGTGTAACGAACCCCACATAGCTTTAACTCTGTATGGAGTCCTGCTGAGGGTTTTGCTTCCTTGTATACGAGAGCTCGTGTGTATGAGGTACTCCATACGCTGGAGCTGCAGTAGGCTAAGTTCTTAGAGCATGTCCTTAGACCCGGGAGTTTGTCAGGCGAGATGTGGTTGAAGACAGCCCGGGTCTCTCTTGAGAACACATTTCACACTAGGACGAAGCGTACGAAGTAAATGTTTCCAACTCGCCAGTCTGGGCAATATACGGAGACTGGTAGTCGCTATGCTCCATGCTGCTTGTGCGCCAACAGTACTCCGTAGGTACGAGTAGATGCCTGTCTGGGATGGCACCTAGGTCGGGGACGAGGAAGTGTGCCTTTGGAACCGTTGCTCCCCTACCAATGAACCAAGCATGAATGCTATCCCTAACACATTGCAGGGTTCCCGTATCCGAACGGGTGCCTCTTAGCCTCCAGGTACACCCAGGACCTGGCACCTTGCTCCGCCAATTCCAGATGAATCAAGCTAAGTTGTTCGATGATCATCGGTTCCTAAACATAGGTGGTATGGTATGCGAATCAGTTTCCGTCACACGTCACCCATGCTTCCATCAAGGTACTCCGTGAACGGTACCCAAATGTGATCAATGCTTTTCCAATTGTGCCGAAAGATGGCAGTAGTCACTACTTGGTCCGAGGTTGAGTTTAGATACACAATCAGCACAATCGACCCAATCGACACAATCGAGATGACAGGTTCTAGCGTGACGTTGAGGGCCTGAATGCAGACAATTGACAAGTTGACACTCGACGCCGCACTCGTCCCACATGGCCGCCAGGCTGGTTATGATGCCAGAACTTGGCACGGTCATCCCTCACAGCGAGGTGATGGCGCTTTACTTAACGAGCTGCTTCCGTGCATTGACATGCTTATAGCAGCTATACCGCGAGTGGTGATGGTGGCTGCTGATCATCCCTTTGACTGCCTACAACCACCTTTCCACCTCAGTCTGCAAAGGTGGCCGTGCTCTGAATGGGCAGCAGCCGGAGAACGAGGCTAGGCCTAGGCAGCCCTAGCTTCCCGTTGTTTGGGTATGGTGTCCCTGCAATTCGGCACTTAGGTGACTCTTCGCTGCCTCTAAAGCCACTTAGGTGCCTAAGCGGAGCCTAACACGCCCGGCTTCCCGCCTTTCCCCCAGCTGGCTTGGTCTGGTGGCGCCAGGCGACGAGTGCAACACCATCACTCCACCCTGGTCTCCATCTGCGCCCATCTGCCTGCGAAATTCTATCCAGGTCCATCCTGATCTCTATCCCCACCGGCATCTGTGATTCCTCCTGTCCGCTGCACTTGCGAGTCGCCGGGATCGAAAGCCTCAGACCCATCGGGTCTTGCGCCATGGCACGCACCCGCAGCGCTGGTCGTAAGCGACCTTGCGATGCGTGCCCTCGACCCTGAACAAGTGCCAAAGCGAGACCTCGCACACTCGTGGGAGACGGAAATGGAAAGGTTAAAGAAGATGGATCCCCATGCCCTCCCATCCCAGCATCCCCACTGACACGCTCCTAGTCCCCAGGTCCTTGAAGCAGAAGCTAACTAGCTCACGCCAATACTCCTGCTACTGCACGCACAAATTTGCCTGTCTTTCTCTGCCCAGCTAAACCTCGAACCGGCCAGAAAGTCTGATACTGAACGGCCACCCACAAGCCCACCGTCCGACCAAAGCACCTGTCCGGGTCAGGGAAAGCAAAACAGCTGTAACCTCTCCCATCTGCTCGTTGATCTTACATGCCCCGTCTCTTCCGTGAACCCACTGCAACAAAGAGCACTGGACCCTCTCCACGTGGTTTTCACGACTCCTTGATCCATTCTCAGTGCAGGATCTTCCCTAACCCTTTGGTCTGATGAAATTGCTTGGACGCTATTCGAACTAAGAGCACTGCTCCCCAGGCACCTCTTTCCATGCCCAAACACAACCGATCCTTTTCTCACGACGAGGTGACGAGAGAGACTACGGAAAACCTTTACGAGTTGGGCCTACTCAATCGTCCTCGCTCTCGTCAAAGGGCTGCTGCGAATCAAGAACCCAGCAGACCCGCGCAGTGTAAGACCTTCTTCACCACAAAGAATTGAGGTTTCGCGCATTCTCAAAGGGCAAGAGGAGGTGTTTTGTTCAAGAAAGAGTTGCACCCAAGACAAAACTGACACATGTTGTTGCCTTATGCAGACCAGCCTTCGCGGGCAAGACACGACGCCTATAATCATCGCAGCGGGCCTTCGTCCAGCAGCGGCGGCACCTCTCAGAATTTCAAGCAATCCAGCATCTCGTCTGGAACGCTGGGGAGACCGCATACTCCCAACGATCACCGCCCCCGAACGAGAGATCAACGAGTCCCCGCATCGCCCACCGCCAGTGTCCCGGGCGCTGGACACCCTATGGCTGGCATGCTCGACTCCGACCGCGCTCGTTCACGCCGAGATAGGACCTTTGTTGGCGGCGAGTGCGCCGCATGTGAAGAGCTCCTGGAGCATACCTTGAGAGGCGAAAGAGTCCTCCAGTTTTCTTGCGGTCATGTCGCTCACGAAGCATGCTTTTACGAATATATCCGTGACTCGGATTCTCAATACTGCCCGACCTGCGATGCCCCCCTCAGCTTGGATTCTTTCCGTGGAGGAAGCATTTTGGACCTCAGTACGTCTACTCTTCTCTCCCTTCTCCCTATGCCAAACTAATCGTCACAGGTAAATTGAGTAACATGGTGAGGGCTGTTGCACAGAAAGATGTCAATTCCCCGAGGAGCTCAGCAAACACCCCCATGCCATGGGATCGACAAACTATGCAGGACGATGCTGGCAGTGCTCGTGGGGAGATGGTCAACCGACATAGCCGTGAAAACTCCAACCGAGATAGTCGAGACAGCCAACGAATGAGGATAGAGCGCCTCGGAATCGGTCATGCTGCACAGCCATCACTACAGCCTTCTCAACACGGATCTATCCTACAAGCCTCTCAACAGGGTTCTATTCATGGTCCACAGCACTCCCATGCTCGTACAGACAGTGGGGGCAATGCTTCGAGTGAATTCGCCAACGATCATACCCAGTCCCGGAAACATGACTATGATCTCCATGCAATGGAGACAAGTGTTCGTGGAGCGCCTATCAAAGACAACAAACAATCCATCCCCTCTCCTATTGTCACTGTGCGGAGCGAGTATCCAACATTGACGAGATCTCGACAACAACAAACTCTTACGTGTCTGGTAACAATTGAAGTTCCTGAAGGCAAATGGCAAGCACAGTTTGATGACGCCCAGAGCACACCCCCGGTCCCTGCGCTTCCGGATTCAGCCATCAGCATGCCGACCAAATCGACCCGATCCGAACAACCACCGTTCACGCCTTATGAATCACCCGAAGTTCTGGAGGAAATTACCGAAGAGCTACGCATCCGTGTGGACAATTGGCATGGACTGGAGTTCCAGAGATTTGGGAACCTTCGATTACACGGTACTATCAGAGTGGGCAAGGATCGGCACTCATGGCAGGAGCTTGAATGTTATCTGTTTGGGGAGATGCTGATCTGTGTGAAGGAGAAGAAGAATGCACAACCACCCTTGATCAGCCACTCAGGCCGTAAGCTAACTCGGTGTACCTTGAAGGGTTCCATCCTCATCAAGAAACATCTCAAACAAGTTCACGCGTCACCTGATGAGTCAATTTTGACATTGAACCTTTCGGTGGCCGAATTACCAACCTTCCACCTCTTGTTTGCAGAGAGGACTCACCTCGAACGGTGGCAAAGATCGCTGCGAGACTTGCATTCCGTCGATGATTCCCCTCGCTACAACATGGACTATGAGCAAGACACCTCTGGCACCGATGAAGAAGAATATGGTCGACAAAATCGTGTTGTTCGAAGGGTCCCCTCTGTTGCTTCTTCGTATGGTGGACCAAAGTCTGCCACTACTGCCGCAACTGAGTATTCGACGCACAAGCTGGCCAATGATCGAAGGATTCCCCCCTCGTTGCACGTCCCAGTTGACGTTGTTATTGTTATACCCGTGTCTTCCTCTATGCAAGGCCTCAAAATCACCTTGTTAAAAGATACATTACGCTTCCTAGTCAACAACTTGGGAGATCGTGACAGGATGGGACTCGTCACATTTGGCTCAAGTGGAGGCGGTGTACCTGTCGTCGGAATGACCACAAAGACCTGGCCCGGCTGGAACAAGGTGCTCAACTCCATCCGACCTGTTGGACAAAAAAGCCTTAGAGCAGACGTCGTCGATGGGGCGAACATGGCGATGGATCTTTTGATGCAGCGAAAGGCTGAAAACCCAATCTCCACGATTCTCCTGATTAGCGACTCTTCAACTTCTGAAAGCGATAGCGTGGACTTTGTGGTTCAAAGAGCTGAAGCTGCCAAGTAAGTCACGGTGAGCGTGCATGCGGCGATTATTAGCTAACGAGTGTGTCACAGAGTTGGCATCTATTCATTTGGCCTCGGCCTCACGCACAAGCCTGACAGTATGATTGAATTATCCAGCCGCACCAAGGCCTCCTATCTCTACGTCAAGGACTGGATGATGCTCCGCGAGTGTGCCGCCGGTGTATTGGGAGCTCTTCAGACAATATCACACCAAAATGTGAAGCTTAAATTGAAGCTCCCTGAAGGCTCCCCTGCCAAATTCGTCAAGATAAATGGTGCTCTGCAAACTACCAAGAGGGCCACAGGAAGAGATGCTGAAGCCACCTTGGGAGATTTGCATTTTGGCGACAAACGAGATATCCTCGTGCAGCTTGTGATCGACCCAGACACCGGAACCCAGGAACCAGCTCCGCAAGACCCCTGGGAGTCGATCGTATCAGGGCTTGAGGCGCTTGGAGGTTCGCTGGACAATGAGGACCAGCGTGTGCAGAGTGTAGAGGAATTACCTCTCCTTCAGGCCGACTTAGCTTTTGGGGATCTTCTCCGTGACGGCTCCATCATGCAGCTCCCGCGTCCTTCCTTGCTTGCCATCACAATGCTCCCCGCGAATCCTCGTTCCCGGCAGAACGGACGGCCTCCAACGCCACCCATTCCTCCGCATCCACATATTGTCCAACGACGGATGGAACTATTAACTTCGGATATGTTGAGCAGAGCATTGACCTTGGTTGCACGAGGCCAACATGAACGTGCACATCATCTGCTGAATGAGACGAGGACAATCCTTAAAGGCTTGGGGAAGGGGGGACTTCCTCCTCTCCCTGCCGGTGCCACCAGCAAGAGGCACACCCCCCCAGCTAAGTCCACAAGCCCAAGAGCTGAGACACCAGACCATGCACGTGACCAAAGCCCTCATTCAGATGCGAGCACCCCAATTCCACGAACAACCGGAGTCGACCATAATACGATGCACGCCCTCGATGCCGATATCGAGTCGAGTCTGGAATGGATTAATCATCCAGCGGTCTTCTCCCGCGACTCTCGCAAAGCCGTTCTACAGGCAATCGGCGTCATATCATCTCAGCGAGCCTACACTTTCCGATCGGCCTCCGAGTCCATCTGGGCAGAGCGTGTTGCCGGTATAAAGCGACTTACGGAGCACTCCAGGGAATGGAGAGAAGTTGGCGATGACTCTCTGACTGAAGAGTAATGAAGTGCTATGATACAACTGATATTTTTTCCATGTACAAAGTTATAAGCTATCTCCTGCCCACCCTTTCGGTTTGTGTGCTGCTTCGATTCTGCTTCAGCGAGCAGACGATGTATCTTGTCAAAAATGGAATGTCACTCTAAGAGGTTTCTGTCACAACGATGACTAGTCAGTGATAGTCGACTGGGGCGGCCTACAGCAGGTTTTTATGTGTGTTGGGATACCCTCCTTGTTCCAGAAAGCGAAGCGGATGCAGCGACTGTCAGCCCGCTGGGCTGTTGTTTTTTATGTAGACATTCACAATAGATTACGTGTCCTCCTGTATATCCCATGAAACGCGGCATCCGTGACTTGCAATATGCATCATTCTTTGTTCCCGTGACTTTTACCAGGAACAACGGGTTTTGTACAATCGTGATGTACATGGTTTTCTCAGAGATTGCATGAAGATGCGGACCACTTCAGATATAGTGCAACCTGCCACAGTCACCACGTGGGCCATGGTTTCATTACAGAGATCGTAAAAGCCAGATCCACCTCAGAAGTGTGACTTGTCTCTCGTGGCCGATGGATCACCGCCTACATCAGCCCCTTCCCTGCGAGTTGACAGCCTTGTTGTATGACTAATACAAGTGATATTCCAGCCTGATCATGGTCGGTGTGGCAAGTACCGATCCACTATCCCCTTTTGGGCCAACGAACTTTATTTTATTTTATGCCAAGGAAAAGATTCAAAGGCAAATATCATTCTGCTAGCAAGAACTGTTGTACAGACCCAAGCACGGGTCGTGGACATTTCACAAGAAGACAGTATCACTGTCCAGCATTTGCACCAGACCATGGAAGACATAGCAGTGTACTGCTCATGGGCAAATGCGCAATTGGAAGACTCGACGTCTTTTCTCAAAGTGCTCCCGACCGAAATCCGATCACAAATTGTTCGATCAACTGGATCGCAATATTTCAGCCATCTCGCTCAGGCCACCAAGCTGCCACAGTACTCAGATGTGCTATCACCACTCTACACGCCCCTCCTTCCAGAGTTAGCAGCGAGATGGACAGCACCTGCCAAATTGGGCAGCAATTTGCACGAGGAGATTCTAACATTGGCAACCCTCGCACGCCTCTTGCCCGTCGCCGCTTACCTCAAACATCATGTCCAAACTACACTGGAGGCAAAGCAGTTGAAAACACTCTTCGAAACGGCAGGCGGTGAGGTCTTACCCGTCGAAGACGAAGATTTGTCATTACTTCTGATTGCGCTGTTTCGCCTTCTGTCACACGACCGAGACGTACTCTCACCAGCCGTGGGCCCATCATTCTTTTCACTACTGCTGAATCACGCCTCACTGTCGGTGAGGTATGTTTCCGTTCAATGTCTATGTCTATACATGCATTTTGCAGACGCTTTCTCAGAGAAATTGGTCGGGCAGTATGTTGGCACCGATGCTATATTAGGCCCTTGGGAAGGACGCACCATTGATTTTCGAGTGCTGAAACTGTGGGAGGAGAAAAGATGGAGAGATCTAGATGGAGCCATCTCTCACATCCAGGAACGGTGGCAGAATGATCATGCAACATCTGCTGCCACGAGCATCACTTTAAGCACTACTTCTCCGAATACCGCCAGTGTTGGAGGGGTCTTAGTACCACGAATGGGAGAGCTAGAGATTCCAATGTCAACCTTCGTCCAAACTCCGACCTCAAGACGTAACTTATCTCAAGTTGGCAAATACCTACTCCAAAAAACGCCCCTTCTTCTCACCGGCGAGGCAGGCTCAGGCAAAACCTCCCTCGTTCGTGAAGCGGCTCGATTATTGAACAAATTATCGACAATGATTACGTTGCACCTCAATGAGCAGACGGATGCGAAAAGTCTTCTAGGACTGTACACATCATCTGCCGACGGCGAAACCTTTTCTTGGAGGCCTGGTGTTTTGACAAAAGCTATGCAGCAAGGAAGATGGGTATTGATTGAAGACATCGACCGGGCGCCTGCTGAAGTCATGGGTGTTCTCCGCCCTATCCTTGAGTCAGGCGAGCTCTTCATCGTTGGTCGAAAAGAAAGGATCATACCCGCGGAGGGATTTCACATTCTGGCTACGATGAGAACTAGTGGAGGCCGACGTCGGACCCCTAATAGTCGGTACTCCTGGCTGTTCAACCCAAGACTGTGGAACACCATCGAGACTGCTACCTATGAACCCGCAGAAATCGAGTCACTGCTTCATGCGCGTCACCCGGAAGCCGAATCTTTCATCCCAACTATATTGCGAGTGCATCAGCATGTCTGTCGCATGTATGAAGATGAACCTCGTCTTAAAGCTCTACAAAGTCGCAAACCGTCACTTCGAGACCTCCTTGTGTGGTCGCGTAGAGTTGTGCGCAGGCTGGCTTCTCACAGCCCAAGAGCGGCATCAGCATCAGCATCAGCATCTATTCCACAACGCCTGAAGGTGGATATATTCAAAGATGCAGTAGACATTTATGCTGGATACCTCAATGATGAATTGCTTCACGATATGGTCGCCTCATGTGTGGCCCAGGAAATGGATATATCCCCACAACAGATGCAGCATTCACTATTGGAAGAGGTTTCAATAACAAGCTCTAAAGCAAGTGAAATCTTGATTGTCGGCCGGAACGCCCTGAAAAAGGTTGTCGGGGGTCGAACCCAAGTTCGCAATCATTCTTTCGCACTCACTGCCTCTGCACAGAGGGCATTAGATCGCATCTCAGCCAGTGTAAGCCATTCGGAGCCTTGCCTTCTGGTGGGCGAGACAGGTGTTGGTAAGACTTCGCTCGTCCAGCACATCGCCAGTTTGGTTGGTCAAAAGCTCACCGTGGTCAATCTCTCGCAGCAGAGCGAGGCCAGCGATTTGCTAGGAGGACTAAAACCAGTCACTACCAGATCCTTGATCCTGCCTCTGGTCGACAAGTTTAACGCACTGTTCGAGGATACGTTCTCTACCAAGAGAAATGAAAAGTTTCAGCTGGCTATCTCAAAAGCTGTTGCTAAGCAGAATTGGCTGCGGCTCTCAACTCTCTGGCGCGAAGCAATTCAGCTAGCTTCTGAGTCTTTAAGGTCATCATCCGAGCCATCGACGCCAGAAGGGTCCATACATGCCAACAAGAAGCGAAAATTAGCGAACCCAAAATATGACGATCTCAGGAGTAGATGGAGCAGTTTCTCTGAAAACTTCCTGCAGATACAAGCACAGATCGAACGAAGCGATAAAAATCAAATATTCTCCTTTGTTGAAGGGAGACTTGTTCAAGCTGTACGCGATGGGGAGTGGTTGCTCCTTGATGAGATCAACCTGGCTTCGCCTGACACTCTCGATGCTATCATAAGCTTGCTACACAACGGAGACGATGAAAAGCCGTCCCTCCTTCTTGCTGAATCTGGGAAGATCGAGTCCGTGACTGCAAACCCTAACTTTAGAGTTTTCGCAGCGATGAATCCGGCTACAGATACTGGAAAGAAAGATTTGTCGTTGGCCTTGCGGTCGAGGTTTGCCGAAATCTTTGTCCATTCAGGTGATAGCAATTTAGAAGATCTTACGAAAATCGTCCAAATCTATCTAGGGCCGCTTCTTGATGTCGACAAGAGAGCAGCTCTTGATCTCGCACGCGCTTATATTGCCCTCAAAGGACTCAACCAAGAGCACCGCCTCACTGATGGCGCAGGAGAAATTCCTCATTTCAGTATACGATCTTTGGTTCGATGCTTGATGTATATACAGAAACACAGCCCTAGTCACAGCCTGAGACGTGCCATGTACGAAGGCTTTGCAATGAGCTTCTTTACAGTGCTCAGTAGGGCGTCCGAAGCATTGTCTTCGGACTTTTTGGAGCAGCACCTATTGTCCAATGTGAAGAATAGGAAATCCTTCTTCAATCAGCAGCCAAAGTTCCCTCCTGGTGGCGAGGAATTTGTTGCATTCCGACATCACTTGGTCAAGAAAGGCCCAATAAGCCCCGACTTTCAACCACACTACATCCGAACGCCCTCTGTCGAACGCAATCTACTCAATCTGGCACGAGCAGCGTCAATGAGAAGCTTTCCAATTCTGTTGCAAGGACCAACATCGGCAGGTAAAACCAGTATGGTGGAATACCTTTGCAAATTATCTGGCAACAAGTTCATGAGAATCAACAATCACGAGCACACAGACCTGCAAGAATATCTTGGGAGCTATGTGTCCGGTACTGATGGAAAACTACAGTATCGTGAAGGCGTCCTAGTGGATGCACTCCGTCAAGGCCACTGGATTGTTCTTGATGAATTGAACCTGGCTCCAAGTGATGTTCTTGAAGCCTTGAATCGCCTTCTCGATGACAACAGAGAGCTTCTCATTCCAGAAACACAGGAGCTGGTTCACCCACATCCTAATTTCATGCTTTTTGCTACCCAAAATCCTGCTGGCCTCTATGGAGGCCGCAAGCGACTGTCTCGTGCCTTCAGAAACCGTTTTCTGGAACTTCACTTCGACGATATACCTGAGGATGAGCTTGAAACGATACTTCGAGAGCGAGCTCAACTGCCACCGTCATACTGTTCTCAAATTGTAGCAGTGTACAAAAAACTCTCACTCCAAAGACAGTCATCTAGACTGTTTGAGCAGCGCAATAGCTTTGCTACTTTGCGCGACCTCTTCAGGTGGGCGGCGAGACCAGCTGATGATCGGCAGAAATTGGCCTGTCATGGCTTCATGCTGTTGGCTGAGCGGGTTCGAGATGCAGCGGAGAGGAACATCGTCAAAAAGACAATCGAAGAGACAATGAAGGTTGTCATCGATGAGGACGTCCTCTACAGTTTGTCTGCCGTACCTTCTTCAGTTCAATCTGTTGGGACAATCGTCTGGACGTCGGCAATGAGAAGATTGTTCGTGCTAGTTTCTGAGGCGTTGAAAAACAACGAGCCTGTCCTTCTGGTTGGTGAAACAGGCTGCGGGAAGACCCAGATCTGCCAGGTCATTGCCGAAGCCTTTCGCCGGCCTCTCAACATTTACAATGCACACTCAAACACCGAAACAGGCGACCTCATAGGCTCGCAACGGCCCATACGCAATCGATCCGAGCTTGCAGAGCTTGTCTGCAACAATTGGGCGTCATTAGTTGCATCCGAGGAGCATGAGCTTGACCAAAAATCCCTTGCGGTTGATGACATTGCAGCTCGATTCGCAAATTTACCGAAGTCCAATTATGATCAAGAAGCTGTGGAACGGCTTCGTACGAGTCTCGGAGCGTATCAATCACTTTTCGCCTGGGGTGATGGAAGCCTCGTTCGGTCTATGAAAACGGGCGAGCACTTTTTGCTTGATGAAATATCTCTTGCTGACGATTCTGTTCTGGAGCGCTTGAACAGCGTTCTTGAGCCGTCTCGTAGCATATTACTAGCGGAGAAAGGCTCAGTCGACAATTTTGTCATCGCCCATCCATCGTTCCAATTTTTAGCGACCATGAACCCTGGCGGCGACTATGGAAAAAGAGAGCTTTCAGCTGCGCTTCGCAACCGGCTCACTGAGATTTGGGTTCCTCCGCTTTCACAAGAAGCAGATATCCTGCCTGTTGTTGAGAATAAACTCAGCCCAGATGTGAAGCACTTTGCCGTGGTCATGCTGAAATTTGCCCTATGGTTTCGAGGTATGTTTCACAACACCAGTTCCACGGTCATTCCCTTGCGAGACTTGCTTGCATGGGCAGTTTTCGTCAACGGTGCAGCTGGTATAGGCGAGGAACTTGCTCTCGTGCATGGAGCTTTCATGGTTTACATCGATTCAATCGGCGCCAACCCCGCGGGTATGACTTCAATCAACTCGAGCGATCTGAACGTATCGAGAGTCAAGTGTCTTCAACACTTGCAATCCCTGGTGGAGATTGACGTTAACAAAGTCTACAGAGATACCCCTGTGTTGAGCGCTGGCGACCAAGTGCTCCATGTTGGCTCATTCTCTATTCCTAGGAACATCGACTCTAGCAAATCCACCCCTAATCTTGTATTCAACGCGCCCACCACGCTACAAAATACGATGAGGATTGTACGCGCATTGCAGATGAGCAGACCAATATTATTGGAAGGGAGCCCTGGTGTTGGCAAGACTGCTATTTTTACTGCTCTGGCACAGGCCTCTGGTAAATCATTCACTCGCATCAACCTCTCTGATCAAACAGACCTTATGGACCTGTTTGGAGCGGACGCTCCATCTGAGGACGAAGAAATGGGCAGATTTTCATGGCGCAATGGTCCATTGCTGGACGCGATGCAATTGGGAGGCTGGGTCCTTCTTGATGAAATGAATTTGGCTTCACAGTCAGTTCTGGAAGGGCTCAACGCTTGCTTGGACCATCGACAAGAAGCCTACATCGCCGAACTGGATAAATCTTTCACCTGCCATCCCGAATTCACACTATTTGCAGCACAAAACCCACATCATCAAGGCGGTGGACGGAAAGGGCTTCCAGCATCTTTCGTGAACCGATTCACTGTCGTCTACGCTGATTCTTTTACACCGGAAGACTTGCTCTGCATTTGTCAACGGAAATTCCCTGAAATATCAACCCATGATCTCGAGACCATCATAGCAACGATTGCAAAGACTGAGGCTGCCGTCTCTAGAGTAGCGAGTTTCAACCACGGCGCACCTTGGGAGATGAACCTTCGAGATACCAATCGCTGGCTGCAACTATGTGTGGAACAGCCCACACTTGATCCACTCTCTCATTTTGGCTCTGTTGTCGCGGCACGATTTCGGACTCCGGCCCAGAAGACACTTTGTTCTGAAATCTGCCAGCAGATGCCATCCAGTATTGCTTCAGAGAGCTTCTACACGAATATCTCAACCAATGTCTTGCAGATTGGGACGGCCTTTTTACAGAGAGATGATGTATTCCAACACACCACAGGAATACACTCAACGATACCAAGTGCCCTTCTTCCCGCGGCGAAGTCCATGATCACGGCAATTAATCATAATTGGCCACTCATTATAACAGGGCCCGTAGGCTCTGGTAAAACATCCCTTATCCGTTCCATTGCAGCATATGCTGGGGCCAACCTCGCGGAGTTTTCCATGAATGCAGACGTTGACACAATGGATCTCATAGGTGGGTTCGAGCAATACGATCCTCGCCGTGGTGTGGTCGAAATCCTGAGGAAGACTGAAGCCACGTTGCGAGCCCATATCGCGCACGCTGCGAACAGTGAGGTGGGAAATGCGGCGGCCAAATTTCTCACATTATGGGCAACCTTTCAATCTCCGAGTCTGCGGGATAGTGATCTTCTCTCTGCTTTGTCTACCCTGACTTCAGTATCACCCCATTTCACGGAGATTGAGAAAGAGTTCTCAGACTTTCTCATGTTTAGTGGCAACACTAAGTCTAAGTCTCAGTTTGTCTGGAATGATGGCATCCTTGTTGATGCTCTCAAGAATGGTTCGTGGCTCGTTCTCGACAACGCAAACCTGTGTAATCCTTCTGTACTTGACAGATTGAATTCACTTCTAGAACCTGATGGCTGTTTGACCATAAGTGAGCAGCACGGAGGCGCCAAGGGTGGACGGGTTGTCAAGCCACACAAGAACTTCAGGATCTTCATGACAGTGGACCCTCGCTTTGGAGAATTGTCGCGAGCAATGCGAAATCGATCGCTTGAGGTATCTCTGCCAAATGAAGCCCAAGAAGTTGGAAATCCCTCGCTAATTCAGTATCCATACGCCGCTGCGTGTCACCGCCTCAGGTATTTCTTTAGTAGTGTCAATTCGGGTTCCTCACCAAGGGTTATTGAAGCCACCATTGACAATCTTTCGGTTTCAGAAGCCGCCCTGACGGCTTCTGAAACCGTCCACTTACCAGGCCTTGAAGAAAACAAACAACTTTGCACGGATTTGTGGTGCATGACATACTCTAACAACTCTGAAAATGTGTGCAACATATTTGACATGGAATCTGCTCCCACTGGGAGCTTTTTGCCTCAACTACTTACAATGAATGAGCCTTGGACCGCCCTAGTCGGCTCACAGAAAGGACTTCCCTCCGCAGAGCTGATTACGCGAACCTGGTTCATGGTCAGACGCAAGACAATCATTGCAACAAAACTGAGCCTCGCTCAGAGCCACGCACAAGCTTTTCCTGCCAAAGATCTGACTCTTTTTGAAAAATCATTGACAGTCACAGACACGAATACCCCACATCCCACACCTGCAGTAGGGCCGTTTGCACATTTCTTAATGCTCACTTTGCAGAGGGCGCTCGACGGTGGCCTGAAGGGTCAGGCTGATGTGACACTGGTTGAATCTGTGGAACGCATTTTGGGTTTCGTCGAGTGCTTGATGGATCTGTTCAGCACAAAATTCCTGGACTACTCTCAATTTTATGGCCACTTGCAAATGGGGCTTGATATTGGAAAGAGCTTACAAGCTCATGTCAGTACTTCATCGTTGCGGCAGTTGGCATCGTTGTTTGGCGAAGGGCTTGAATTATTGTTGAAGCACAACCGTTTGGAACTCCGGACGGGATTTTCTTTGCAAACCATGTGGAAATCGTTCAGACCGATGGTCGCAGCTACGGCTTCCCAACTTTCAGCACAATTGACTCTGGAGGATCTGATCACACGATTCGATGGGGCATGCCGCAATTTGGAACTCTCTAGGGCTCAGCTTTCTGTCCTAAGATCGAGGCTTCTTCAAACATACGTATCCATTCTGGATTCCGAGCAGCCTGAAGCGGATCTTGTAGCTCTCGGAGACGCAGTCAAGGGGATTGAGCAACAGGCGCATCGAGGCTTCCCAATTCGAGGCAAATTTGAGCAAGCTTTCGACTACATTTACCAAATTATGAGCTCGGATACGAGACTTATCACTGCTGACGAAATGAGAGCTATGGTGCCTTTCAGTCCTATAGCTCAAACGCACTTGCCGCCCTTGGGCAACCAACTTTTGCAATGCAAGCATTTGAGCCAGCTTGCTTCAATGAGAGCCTCTCTACTTTCTAGCCAAGCGTCTATCGGTTTGCAACTCCTCACACAATTGACCAATATATATCATCAGCCTTTGGGATTACTAGAACACGCAACCGAAGAGGCTGCTCAGTTGATAAAAGCAATCGCTTCTCACACGCCTGTATTGAAAGACAGCCTGTCTCTGATTATCGAGAATTTGCGGGCTATCGTGACAGCAATAATGCTTGCACATCAAGATTTACTTACCGCAGAAGCGCAAGCATGCTTCTTGGAGCAGGGAGCTTTCGGTTTGTCGCAACTCAGTAAGCTCGCGAGTGATTGTGTCGTGCTGGGCAAAGATGGAAATAGGAGCTTTGAAAAGCAATATCTGGATCATATTCATCCGGCTGTGATGCTTTTGAATGCTGAACAGGGCATTCGGCTTGAGCAAGTACGAGCTTCTCTGATACACGTGTCAATTGCTGGGCTGATATTGATGGTACCTCAACGAGTGTTTGACCCAGCAACTTACTCGAGTCTCTTGGTTCAATTCCACGATAGGAGAGCGAGCGAGCTCACAGCAAGAATTGATGGGCAAAGACAATTCCACAAACAGAATATGGGTCAAGCAACAAGTCTTGTTATCCGAATTTTGGAAAAGGAACTCGACAACCTGGAAAGTGCTCCAACAGCTCCTCAAATCTTTCGACCAAAAAGTTCTGAACTTGCCAGACTTCAGGAACTCTTTGCGAGACTCGCACAATTACTTCTGAAAGACTTGAGTGCATCCGGTCTTCATGAGCGAGGGTCAAACCAGCAGTTGAAGGTGAATATGTGGTCAATCGTAGACCGCCTGGAGAAAGCCCACAGGGCATATGATGATTTTGTGAAGCCCATCACATGGTTCGCAAAATGTCTTTTGCTTGGGCTGGAAATTGACACACATAAAGACGAAAGGCTTGGCAAGGCTGGCACCACTCATGAGATTATCACCCATACACCTCTCCTATCCTTTTCGCCGGAGAAAGTGCAGCTTTGGGAAGGAATTGAGATATCAGCGGCCACTGCACCCCTGAAACTTCATTGGCTCGAACACAATGCATTATCGACGATATTAGCGCAAATGGAAAGAAGTGTCAGGAATGTCGAACCCCTCCAAATGTTCATTTGCGTCCTCGACACCTTCTACACTGAATGGAAAATACGCCTTTCACAAGACCAGCTTGAGGCTGCTGCTCAATCCCGATACTACTCATATCGAGGCGATGATGAAATGGCTCAGGAACTAGATGATCGAGAGCTCCGCCAGCTGTTCCCAGATTATCATGAGCCTCCTGTGGAGACCGAGGGCAACGCCAAGATCTACGACCCTCGTGCTACGGCAATCAGAGTAGCACAGCTTCACCAAAAGACGTACAAAGTGTCAAATATGGACCAACATGATGCGATGCGTGGTTATATCCGAAGCGCTTTCGAATATCTTGGACAATTCAAAGACAATCAAGCAAACGTCAGTACTGTGTCTTTCATCGACATGTTACCAGCCATTCTGTGGCACATGGAGAACAAGACAGCCGAATTTAGCGGAAATGCAAGAAGTGATGCCATCAATATCTATGTTGACTTTGATGTAGCCGAAAGCCGGAAGCTCTTCATTCTAGTACGACAGATCCAAGCAAGGTTTTACAACATACAAGATCAATGGCCGGAGCATGCTGTTCCAGGAGATGTTATTACGTCTTGCGATGATATCTTGCACTTGAATATCTCCGAGCCAGTTGCCAAGCTTTTGGTGAAGACGGAAAAACTCTTTGAGGTAGCCACGCAATGGCAAAGTGTAGCTGCCCGGGAATGGTCTGTGGCACCTCTAATTGATCAATTGACAACCCTGATCATCAGCTGGAGGAGACTAGAGCTTCTATCATGGTCAAGGCTCCTCGACGAAGAACAGAAGAAGCATGAAGAGAATGCCCAAGCCTGGTACTTCGTCGCCTATGAGGCCGTCATCTACAACAGTATCAGAATTCAAACAGAGGTTAAAAGTATCCAAACCTATTGCGAAGACCTCGTGCGAACTCTGGAAGAGTTTCTCAAGACGGCCACGCTGGGCCAATATTCATCACGTCTAGCACTTCTCAATACTCTTTGCCAAACGCTCCGTGATGCTGCGCAGCATGAAAATCACCTCTTGGATATTAGCGCCTCTGTGTCCACTGTTATTGAACACTACGATAGATATACACCAAGCATTTCTGACTCGCTGCAGATGGGACGTGCAGAGCTTGAGAAGGCACTCAAAGAACAAATTCAACTTGCCAGCTGGAAAGATACCAACATCACCGCACTCCGTGATAGTGCACGACGTTCGCATCTGAAATTATTCAGGATTGTGAAGAAATACCGTGACCTTCTCAACCAGCCCATCACAACACTCAAGTCAGACCCTGATGGCTCTCCTGATGAGGTCAAGAAATTTCGAAACATTAAGCCCATCATCGAACTTGGTCAACAGGAACGGATTTCCTCAGCTGTCCAGACTTGCGCTTCAACCATCCCAGATTGGGGTAGCAGACCTGAGAGATTGACTAATCCTCTGGGCTCAATCAAGAGTATGGAACGTGTCTACCATGCCACCATATCTGATTTCGACGCTCATATTGAACTCGCTGCCTTCCGCATTGATTTGATCTCAAACATCAAAGAGCTCAGAACTCAGACACCAGCAAATTCCACAGATGAGAACTCGTCATTGGTACGTCATCTACAGGAAAGAAAGCGGCGCTTTTTCGCAGAAACGCTCAGGAATCTTGCCCAGATGGGCATCCGAAGAAATCTTCCCGTCTCTGAGCTTGAGAAGCAGTCGACGAAAGCCGGTGTCCTTGTATCCGTGTTCGTTGATCCAATGTCCGAGCTGTACGATCCTGCGTGTGTGAAGTTTCACGAATTATTAGATGTCATGGCTGACGCACGGAGTGCAAGAAAGGAACATTCTGATGACCTTACTGAGGGCGAGATAAGCCGCGGTCTCGGCCTTTTGGAAGGCTTGCTCTTGGTCAGCATCAACCAGAGACAACATCTCGGATCTGCAGTCAAAGACTGGACCAACCTTCAGAAAGCTTCATCCAAACTTCGATCATTGGGATTTATCGCACCAGATGAGTTGTTGGTATCAACGAATTCCAGCCACAGTGCCAGGCGCCTGACTCAACATCTGACATGGTTCTCAGAGATATTGACTTTCACTTCTACGATCTTAGCTTTTCAAGCTAAGCATGCTAACCTTCAGATCGATGAACTTATAACGGCTATGGAGGGCCATAGTAGCCTCTTCAGAGAGCTGAGATCAAAGCTTCCTCGGCTTCCTCAACCACTAAGCAGTCATACTGCGCAATCTCTCTATGATGAGTGTTTTGACAGTCTACATCGTTTTGGGTTGCTTCTGAAGGAGTGGCTGGCCAGAGAGCCGCGCATTGAGTTCTTGCTGGAGAAACTTATTCCTTGGACCATTGCAGTACCGAAGATGATGGATGTTACACAGAATGGTGTGAAGGAGTTGAGTCTGCAGGAATTCGACCAAAAAATACGAGATCTCATGGACAAGATATTTGTTGCTCTCCAGATGCTTCAAGTGGTAAAAGGAAATATGCCAACATCGGTTGAGGATGCGAATTGGCTTGTAAAGTCCAACCGAGCGGCTTTCCAAACCCACGAGTCAATGCATGTTGGTATCATAGCTGCCGCCGCTCACGATATATTCGCGAGCTTACAATATGTGCACCCTGATGAGCTTGCCGCCGCAAGTTCTTTACTTTTGGTCGCTTCACCGATCATTGAACAGTACTTTGAAATCCTTGGGGATCTTATAAGGAGACAAACCGCCGTTCATATAGAAACTTGTCGCCTCGCAATCCAGCTGGCGGTGTCATTCACAGCTCTAGCAAGGGAGGGCTTTTGTCGTCCTTCTGATCCATCTAACGGTGAAGAACAATCTGGCAAGCTTGAGAGTGGAACTGGCCTTGGGGAGGGTGAAGGAGCCGAGGACATTAGCAAGGACGTTGGAGATGACGAAGATTTATCTGAGCTTGCTCAAGCAGAAGGTCAAGACAAGAATGATGGAGAAATAGAGAACGCAGAAGATGCCGTTGATATGGGGAACGATGATCTCAAAGGAGAGACTGGTGATAATGAAGAGCAGAAATCCGACGAAGAAAAAGATGACGATCGTTCTGAACCTGAAGAGGGCGATGATATGGATGAAGAAACAGGGTCTGTGGATGACCTTGACCCATCTGCAGTAGACGAGAAGATGTGGGACGATATGAAGAAGGAGTCGGAGCAGGACAAGGAACTGAAAAACGATAAAGCGAAGGGCAGTAAGACAGAGGACCAGACTGCAACAGACGGGGAGAAGGCGGAAGGTGAAGATTTGGAGAGCGCTGATGGTGCGGAGGAGATTGATAAAGAAGAGGAAGATGATGACGGTGAGGGTGCCGAGCGGCCAGAGGCCCAGAATATGGATCCCCACCCAGAAGATGAACAGGCGCTGGACTTGCCAGAGGAGCTGGACCTTGCTGGAGGTGAGGAGACAAAGGACGACGACATATCAGACGATGGCATGAACGACTTGTCTGATATTGAAGACTCAAAGGACGAACTTCAACAGGAAGACAACCAAGTGGAAGCTGAAGATAAGCAAGTCGAAGATGAAGAGGACGAAGACGAGTTAGCCGATGAAGGTGACAGAGAGGGTACTGCTCATGATGACGAAATCGTGGAAGATCAACCAGACGACGACCGCCCAGATGAACAAGATACTCGCGAGGCCGACGTACCTCATGAAGTGGATCAAAGTGCCGGCGGCGAAACTGGAGCAGCGAATGAACCCCAAGAAACGTTGCAACAAGAGCAGAATGTGCAAGGAGTGAATCAATCAGAAAAGCAGATTGATCCTCAACAAGCCCAGCCGGGCAAAGCTCCAGAGAATGAGGAACAAGGCAACAGTGGAAAAGGTGCTCCCGAACATGGTGCTGGGCATATGGACACTATCGAGCGCCAGCAGGTTGAGTCACTCCGGAAGCTTGCTGATGTGCTCGATCAATGGCATCGGCGTCGAGAAATATTACCCGCATCTGACGAAACGCAACCCAAAGAAAAAGATGAAGATATCGACATGGCAGACATGGATTTTGAGCATGTCAATAACGAAATTGATGCTGAGACACAAGCGCTTGGAGCAGCAGCTCCTGAACAGGCTCAGAATCTTGATCAGGGTAAGGCGGTTGAGGACGACAACATGTCAATCGACGAGGATATTGATATTCATGGCGCCGTGGAACCCGAGGAGCAGGAGAATGTTGCAGACAGATTCAATCGGGTACAAGCCCAGCAGGCACCAAGTGAAGTTCGGGAAGCTGGTGCTTTCATGCCTAGCGTGAACCACAACCGGGATAGGTACTCGTCGCAACAGGAAGACGCAGATGCAGCTTCGGAAGACCTAACCCCAGACATTGAGCATCTTGATATTGGCCAGCAGGAACATGGGGCAACATCCCCTCTTACCTCATCTGCCGATGCTACACAGCTATGGAATCATTGCTCGACAACCACACACCAATTCTCGTTGGTTCTGACTGAGCAGCTGCGCTTAATACTCTCTCCTACTACAGCAACCAAGCTCCGTGGCGACTTCCGTACGGGGAAACGCCTCAATCTCAAGCGAATCATACCATACATCGCATCAGGCTACAAGCGAGACAAAATATGGATGCGGCGTTCCGTTCCTAGCAAACGCAACTATCAAATCATGGTTGCTGTCGATGATAGCAAGTCAATGGCGGAGTCTGGAGCCGACATACTCGCGTTTGAGACACTTAGCTTACTCACCAAATCTCTGAGTATGCTTGAAGCAGGAGAAATGTGCGTTGTTGGATTCGGCGACGAAGAACACATTCGGGTTGCCCACGCGTTTGGCACACCTTTCTCCCCGGCAGATTCGGGAGTCAACATCTTTCAATCCTTCAGCTTCCAGCAAAGGGGCACCAACGTGAAAAACCTCATCAAAGAGAGTATACAGCTATTTCGCGATGCGAGAGTCAAAGGCCACACCGCAAGCGAAGATCTGTGGCAACTCCAACTCATCCTCAGCGATGGGCATTGCTCTGACCACGCGGGAATCTCGCGCCTTGTCCGGCAAGCGCAGCAAGAGAAAATCATCATTGTTTTTGTGATCGTCGATGCTGGAGAGGAAAGTATTCTGGATTTGAAGGAAGCTGTCTTCGAACAGGATCCTGCATCTTCTTCTGGACCTGGTGCTGTATCTGAAATGCGTGTGCGGACCAAGAGATATCTAGAGGATTTCCCTTTCCCCTACTATCTTGTGGTCAGAGATGTCAGGGATTTGCCAGGGGTCCTTGCCACGGCCCTCAAGGGCTGGTTTGGGAGTGTGGTCGATGTGCAGGTTTGAGGGAGTGCGAGGTGTTTAGGCTAGATTAATAATAATACCAGCTTGCGTTGAAGAAGTTCGATCCAAACGAAGCTCCATCCCTCCAGGTTGAGATGGTGCCTCTTTGGAAAGGACTCAGTCGACAGTAGATTATCTCGATTCATCATTTGCCTAGGTGGTTCTTAGACATAATAGAGCTCTCACTGAAGATGCCTTTGACAAGATACACGTAAACCGTCCTCCATTTGTCTCCGTATTTGTCAGACATGTGTGAATTAATATTTAATCGGCACAGAATGACCTGCTCAGACAGACAATTAATGTCCATACACCGCACCGTAAGGACAATCGTTGTGAGTATACTGCGCCGTAAAGACCGCCTTATGATTGACTATTCTTTGAATTCAAAAGTTATGTTGCTCCACGCCGATTTCTCAGGACGGTCGTTGTTCGTATACTCTGCCGTAGGGAAGATCGTTGTGAGGACGCTGCGCCGTAGAGACAACCTATTGATTGACTGTTTTTGAGATTCGAAATCGGAGTTGCTCCACGCCGACTTCTTAGGAGGACCATTGTTTATATACTGCCGCGCCGGTAAATAGAAACGTTCATCAATTATTCTATAGATTCAAAATCTAAGTCGCTCCATGCGGATTTCCCAGGATGGTCATTGTTCGTGTGCGGCGCCATAAGCTGTCTTATTGATGCGGTATTTTCAGGATTCCTAATCTGTGTTGCTCTACGCCAATTTGGAAAGCAGACTAGTGTAGACGTGCTACGCCGTAGAGATAGTCAATGCTCACCTACTGCGCCGTAAAGCGAATCATTGATGCCGCCTTGATCGACGAGGTGGTTAAGGCTGTACTTTACCTGAAAAGGTTAGCTTCGGATTACAGTTACTCCGTTCCGCTTGCGCGTCCCGTCAATTATCTGCGAGGCTTTCGCATTTGGAGAAATATTCCAGCGACCAGTCTTTGAGAACAGTATTTCTGCTTCCTGTCTCCTACACTGCTGTGTCGTATGCGCTTCATCCCATCAGGTATTCTAATGTCAATTCGATAAACATCACCAGTGTTGATCTCACCCTCCCCCATTTCATCCACCTCGACTGTTCAGCGCGACAGCCGTAGCGCAGACAGCAATGTACAATCCCTACCAAGCACCGGGACAATATGGCGCGCCGCCAGGTTCAGAACACGGCGGTGGCTTTCCTGGAGCGCCGCCGGGAATGGCCCCCCCTCCTGGTATGGCACCTCCCGGCATAGGAGCCCCTCCGGGCATGCAGCAGCAAGACGCTCACCTACCAGGCAGACCTGGCGGCAGCTTCCCAGCAAACTTCCAGCCGCCGGTAAACATGCCCAACATAAACTTCTCGGCACCGGTCATCCGCCTCGGCACCTCCGGCCCCGCGAAGCCTGATGTTGCGGGTGGTGGGAGAGATGATCGTGAAAGACAAGGAGGAGGTGGTGGTGGACGCAGAGCGGGCTTGGGTTCAGGCATCGGCGGCTCTGACTTCCGCGGAGGAGGGGCCGGCGGTGGAGGCGGAGAAAGAGAGCGCATTACACAGGTACAGCCGCAGACAAAGGAGGAAATCATCAAGACCATCTTCGTCGGCGCGATCACCGAGGGCGCAGGTGGTGACGAAGGGATTGAACGGATCCTGCGTGCGGCGGGGAATTTGAGGAGATGGGTCAGAGCCACAGATGCCGATGAGAAGCCTTGCAAGTTTGGATTTGCGGAGTACGAGGACGCCACGAGTCTCAGTACTGCTATTGAGGTTCTAAGGGAGGTCGAAGTCCCTGTCAAGCGGCAGACTCCCAAGGATGGAAAGCAGGTTGAAGAAGGAGGTGATGGAAATGTCGAGATGTCGAAATTGATTGTATGTTCCCTCTCTGGTTTTGGCTTCTGCGGGGTCGGTATGTCTCGAAAGCTAACTCTACTACACAGATCGTCGCCGATGACATTTCACTCAGCTACATTGAGCAATGGGAAGAGTCCCAGGGGCAGGATGCTGAATCAGCTCAAATGCGACTAGACCATGCCCGGGCTGCACTCCAAGCCGTTCTAGCAGATCTTGCCAATCCATCCGTACCACAACCGAAAGATGAACTGTCCAGCATTGACAAAGAAGGAGATATCAAGATGGGTGATGGGACTAACGCAGATGGCGCAAACGGTGACATTGTCACCATTCCAATCAACGTCGACGATGAATTGTCCGATATCCCGGCGGAAATGCGGGAAACTGTGGCCAAAGAAATCGCCTCATTCAGAGATAGGAGTGTTCGTCGTGACATTGAACGACTCAAACGAGAAGAGGAAGTAGAACAGCAAGAACGGAATCGAATGAATAATGAACGATTTAATCGCCTTGCTTCACCACCACCACCAACAGCACCTTCAGGCCCAGCAGGAGGTGCTAACGGTATCCCTGTCGGTCCACGCGGAGCACCGGCGGGTCCCAAAGGCTTTGGTCAGCAGATACCGCGAGACTACCAAAAGGGTGTCACATTCGTGAATGGGACCGGTATCAATGGTGCATCGGCCTTCGAAGACGAGGATACGGATGCAAGCGACGAAGAATTGGAGCGGAGACGGAAAGAGAAGAAAGATGCAGAGCAAGAAAAGCATTACCTAGATCAGGAGCGCAGATGGTTGAATCGCGAGAGATCACGGACAGCCGCGGTTGAAAGAGAGAAAGCTCGCGAAAAGGATGAAGCTGCTCGCCTCGAAGAGGAGAAACTAGCAATGGCTAAGAGACTTCGAGAATGGGATGACGATGTCGAAGCATCCCGCAAGGTCGAGGAATATTACAGCGACCGCAGTCTCTGGACTCGCAATCGTGTCTCATTCCGCCAGAGAGAAATTCAAAGTGACGATGCCGACCGCGCAGCAGAACAACGCGAACGAGCACGCGAGGTCCAACAGCAAGATCGCGCAGGCGCCATGGCTGACGACTTCCTCAGCCGGCAGGAAGACGAAATGGCACGACAAGACGACGAGCAGGACAGAACCCAAACAGGAGGCCTTCCACGGCCAGAGCCTGCACGATTCAAACTCTCACTTGGCGCCGCGGCTCAAAGAGCGGCAGCGCAAAGCGCCTCTCAAGCCTCAAAACGCACCATGGTCACAGACGCCGAAGGCCTGCTCGAAGACGAAGAGGAAGACGCATCCTCCACGACTCGTCGGACTCTCATTCCCATCCAATTCGACAAGAATGACACTCTCGCCATGTCTGAAGAGGAACGAGCTGCTGCGGCGCGCCAGCTGGCTCAGGATATTCCGAATGACAAAGACGGCCTCTGGAGCTGGGAGGTCAAATGGGAGTTTGTGGATGAGAGCGTCATCGACGAGCGACTAAAGCCGTTTGTCGAGAAGAAGATCGTTGAATACCTTGGTGTGCAGGAGCAAATGCTTGTCGATGTCGTGGTTGCGGCGCTCAGGCGCCGTGGGAAACCTGACGAGTTGGTTGGCGAGCTGGAAGGAGTGAGTTTCCTTCTTTTGATCTTTGTCAATCTTCTTAGAATTTCCGTCGCTACCCATCTCTGGTCTACATTCCCACTTCTCACCCTACTACTTCTCATCTTTTTGAGAATTACATGCTCAGGTTGAACCATTTGCAAAACCTAAATGCTGACTTTACTTCCACAGGCTCTTGAAGACGAATCCGAAGTCTTGGTCCGCAAACTGTGGCGCATGCTTATTTTCTTCTCCGAATCTGAGAAGAGAGGCCTGTCTGCCTAGTCTCTTGTTCTCAAGTTGCCCACCTATTTGCGTAACGACGTTTGGGTCAGAATCGCGAACGCCGAGCTATGCTTCCCGCAGGTGAGTGGCAGTGGCCACCAGACATCTTCCTTCCTCGCTCGATTTCTCCGCGCGATATGAGAAACGACTTGCAAGAACCACAGGGATCGTTGAGCGGTCATTCAGCGATTGGCGGCATATGGTAGACACGCCCTTTGTTGTCAGACCCGGAGCCGCTCCTTCCCACGACTCGTCTATGATGAGCCGTTTCCCGTCCAGCCTCACTAGAACACCAATGATATTCCGGCGGCTATCTATGCAGGGGAAGTTGGATGAATTCCCCTTCATTGACAAAGTGATGGATGAGTGTCCGAAGTACTCATGATCTAGCTGGCATACATGTTCAGCGGGTCATGACAGGGCTGGGATAGCAACTTGAGCACATACTACACTGCACCTGCACCTGATTGTACTGTAATGTACCACCAAAGAGATCAGAGAGGAATGGAGAGAGCAGTCTTGTGAATGAGAGCAAACTTGCTTAGCTCAATTTCAGCAGTGGGTTTTCGTCATTGAACCTGTGGCTCGCTCTATGATCGTAAATGAGACCGGAGTGGATCCTGACTCTGACCTTCTTGCCTTCATTTGCTTCCTTGTGACTTTGCACTTTGCAACACGTAACCAGCCATTATGAAGGAACGCGCCAAGCCAAAACTCAGCCTCGTCGACTTTTTCCCATCACTTCCACAAGACTTCCAACCTTTTGGACGAGAATATAGGCCATGGTCCCGAACTTTGAGATTTAAAATCTTCACTAGAATACTGACTGGTGCAAAGGACATATTTTGGGCTTTTGTGCGGAATGGAACCATGGTTCGAGTCAACCTCGAGATTCTGCCACCACAGCATATCTTACGTAAGGTAGGCATGTAGCAGTTGAGGATGTTCTCCCTGATCATTTTTCAATGATTCGGCTCATTTTCTTTTTGGCTTTGATTAACCCTCTATCCTAATTTTTTACTCTACTTTTATTCACGTTGATCGAGGAGGACAGGTTCTGGTGTCGTGACCTGTGAGGCTGACCTACCTCTCTACATCTAGCGTTGCGGTATCTTTCTATCTACTGGGACCTCACGCACGGAGCCGAGTGCTTGTTCATGTCGTAGACAAGAGCCACCACTTAAACGGTCTGCTGTGCTTCGACCTCATCATCGCCCCAGCCGCCCAGCTCCCTCACGACGTCGCCAACATTAGGCCAGCCCTGCAGCCCGTCCGACCCGCCATCCAGTCTACTCCGCTGGACCATTTCAGGCCCACAGAACTCGACAGCTTTCATCACTGCCACCTTGATCCCCCTAAGAACATCCTTGACGCGCCGGACCTTCTCATTCCCATCATCCGAGCCCCTCGCTCCCAGCACGCGGCCCATTCCCCGCACGTGCCACAAGCTCGGCCCGCGGTGCCCTTGACACTGGATCGATGTGTAGACGGTGAGTTCGGTCTCGAGAGCTGATAGGATGGTGAAGTCAGAGAGATATAGCCCGTACACGATCGCCAGTTCGTGCATGCCCATTTGCGGTCGGTAGGGACCAAATGTGCTGAAGATCCGTTGCCACAATGTTCCGTAGATCGAAGTGATGCCTTCGATTCCTCGGGTGTGTAGGTGCGCGAAGCTGGTGTTGGACCACTGCTCCAAATCCAACTCGCCCCTCTCCTCCTCAGCGGTTCTTCCTTGGTCTGCGAGCTGCCTCTTTGCGAGCGGGATCAATGCGCCCAGGACCTGCGGCGCCCCAATCAGCGTGATTTGCTTTAGCAGGAGATCTCGCAGGCGCTCTGAGAGACGATCCCGTGATACTTGTGTCGAGAACACCTCCTCTGAGGTCGTCAAGTAGGTCCAAAAGTCAGCGAGAACCTGAGGTTGTGGTGAGACGCTAAGGACGGTCGCCTAGATGGTTGATAGGACGGTGGTCAGTTGATGCCGATATTGATAGACAGTTTCCGACGACATTATCCCCCATTACACAAACGCGGCGAACGGTGCAGTTTGCTGCTTGCTCCATAGTCAAGCAAGAACCAGTCTTTTGAAATTGGCTTGTGCATTCCCCTTGATCGAGGACCGAGAATGGGCTTTGACTTGGCCATCGCATATCATTCCCATTTGCTGTATTGAGATCGCTTCAACCCAGCGCACCGCCTCAAGTAAGGCCGATTCTATAATGAGGCGAAGTAGTCGCAAGGGATTTACTTACTATGAGCAAGTACCAACTCTCATCGCCCATCTCCTCCAGCAGCTCGCCTTTAACCTCCCTGCACAACTCGGCCCATTGTTCTTTTGTGGGTGACGACTCCGAGGGAATTTGTGTGCCAGATGTCATCGTGGTGTCTGGCAGTGTTGAACTTCACTTTCTTTGGATTCACCTTCGATCGCAAGATTGTCCCTTGTAGTAGGCGGGAAGTCGGCGGTATATGTACCCTGCGTGAACGATATTCTCCGACTTTAAAGTCGTGTCTTGGCGATTACATTCTCTTTTTGATCCCCAATCAAGTGTGGATTGTAATTAGGGTCCGCTCTTAGGCTGCTCGAAGCAGCTCATCATCTGCGCTATTATTTGGTAACACTTTAAGTTTTTATCCAATGCTGCAAATCTGACAAGCATTAACGCCAAATGTTGCCCGCCGAATGGTGTCAAATTTTAGACTAGTGCTTTTGAAGTAGTGGTAATCATATAATTATGTGGATAATAGTTCCTCCATCCCTCAATGGCGACGGCTGCTGGGCTCGCTGACAATTTAGCATTACAAGTCTTGTTTCAAGCGATGCATTCTTCTTCCTAAATGTAATTCAATGCGTTGTACCGGCATCGCCATACAGTTCCAATGACCCGTCGTCGTGGCCCGCGGCATTGGTTTCAGCGCGCACATCAAGCCGAAGAGATTGAGTGTTTCCGTAAGGCTGGTTGTGTCTTTTACACTTCCACACTCTCCAGTTCCATCATACTATCGCCCATCAACAAATGATAGCCAAGGAATTCAACGGAGTCACCACTCACATCCTCGAACTGCTTCATTGGTTTCCCCCCTTTTTAGGAACCAATGCTCATCTATGTGATAGCCTTAGGTCTAGAACGCTGGTGATACGCATCGTAATCTCAGCTAAGGAGAGCATATTGCAGAGAATCGCAAATGTAGCTCGATACTGCCAGGGAATATGCACTGTCGTTCGGCGTTTGCTACATGAAAGCGATCTTAATGCTGTAGAATATCTCTTGTTTATGCATGAATGGCCGAAGTAGGCAAGAAGTCATCAAAATCTCCAAGGGGAAAGACCGATATGATGTCGCCAGTTATCCGGGTCAGGCAGCATCAGTGTGAACGTCATACCATTATGTACACATGATGATCTCTAAGCACAAGGGATTGTTACAAATGGTATAAATGGTATAAATGGTATAATGATAGTACCTCTGCTTGAGATATTGGATTGCCAGGATGCAATCGTACAAAAGAGATCCTCAACTTCCCAGATAGTAAATATAGCATTAAAATTCGAGACGCTCGCTGATCAAAATGTGCGCATCCTCCAAATGTTGTCTTTATCCTGCATTGGTACTGCTATATTCCTTCGTGAAGTCGTACAATATCGCATTTCCGCTCTGCAACGATTAGTGCCAAATATCAGAATCAGATCGTGTAGCTCACCAGTTGCATCGTTCGGGCAAGGTTTGGGTCTCTAGAAGCACGTTCGAGCATTTGAAGGAGACTGTCGTTTTCTCGAGCCTTTTCGGGATCCTGACCATTCAGGCGGCGAAGGTTCTCGCTCGAGATTGGGTCGATAAATTTGTGCCACATCTCACGTCTGACTTCGTCGTACTTATCCAGTATTGAATCTTGTGCTTTGCCTTCATGGATGCCTATCAAGCAGTCGTACAGACTTTCGATGTCTGCCAGACCACCTGTCAGGCCAAGTCCTCCACTACATGACTCGTTAGCAGGAATATAACTCTCGTATAAGGGACGTACAATGGGTTGCACAAATGAGCAGCATCGGCCGCAATAATGAAACGTCCAACCCGTAACTTCTCCGCACATCTTTGGTGAATCTTATAGGGGCTGATGTTCATGATTTTATAGGCATCGGGCTTTGGATTTCCAGGGAGCATTCGTTCAAACTTCATCGGCTGGCGTTCAAGGTATTGCTCTCGGGTGAGTCCAGAAGTTTCACCATAGGACACGCGCCACAATCCATCTTTACTGATCCTCGAGGCCATAAACCAGTTCTCTGGTTCAATGATAAAGTTGGCATCATCCCATCCAAACTTGTCGAAGTCGTAATACACCTATAAAACTGGAGTTAGGGAAGTGTCGCTGTGCTGCCTAAGTCATGACTTACATTTGTAGCCACAATTTGTTCGGCCCAAGTCTTGCCTGGGAAATGCCAGTCGCCTTGAAGAGCTCTGCGAACTTTGCTGTTTGCACCATCACAACCAATGACATAGTCGGCCTCCAGTCGTTGTTTCCCAGTGGCTGTCTCAACGTCAACCCAAGCCTCACCATCGTTCTGGCCCACATCGACCACGTTGTGCGACCATTTGATCTCGACAGCAGGAATGCTTTGAAGCTGACGAAGCACGATCTTGCTGACCTCATTGAGAGGTAGAGCTACCATTCTCTCAGAGCTCTCCTCCGGGACCGCAGCATAATCCAACGCGCCGAGAAGCGTTCCATCTGGTTTGCGCCAAACCACTCGTTTACATATCACCGCGGCTGCCCGAATTTCATCCAAGACGCCCGCACGCTTGAGCACATGTGTAGCTGGAGAGTTGTAATGCGTGGCTCGTGGCTGCTCGTCCAGTTTCTCTGCGGCATCCACGATCTCCACGTTGACGCCGGCCTTACCGAGCAAGAGGGCCAGGACTAAACCCGAGGGCCCAGCACCGACAATGAGAACTTTTCCAAGTTCGTGAGCATGTGTTGCGGCCATGTTGAATGCTCCTCTCCTTCTGCCTTTCAACTTCTGTAACGGATTGCTCTTATCCGCAACTCTCCTGATTCAAAGGTCTGTGAACCGCAACACAACGTATACCTTGCGCCTATCGCCAACCTATGTGCCGACGCTAGACCCAGAACCTCCATCCCTGCCTAAACCATTGATATATTTGCTCTCAGGTTAAGCTTGATTACTGACCTTACCCGATGCAGAAGGACCGCCACCTTCGAGGGTTCTCATTACCCCCAAGGCTTGAAGACCCCGCACTGGGGGGTCTCCTAGCCGGGCTCAACACGACGTACCATATGTGGCCGACTTACCGAAGTCTAGTTATCGTGGGGTATCTCCGAGTTTTCAGCCATGGTTGTATGTCTCAGACCCGCCCTTGATCATCTGACAGTAGGAGCCTCCAATACACGGACTTGACGACTGTCATCAAGTAGGTCACGCAGGGAATCCGCATGCGAGGAGAAATCATTCAGACCCGACCCAAGTTTAGCAATGAGTCGCGAGACAGGCCCGATTGTCGAGAGGTTTCTCGGGACGCAGAACGATTGCTCCTACATCTCTGACCCTCGCCAGAACAAAGAACTCGGAGCGCTACTAAAAGGCAAGAATGTGGTCATCGCCGGTGCAGGACGGGGCATTGGCCGGGCGACCGCAGAGTTCTTTGCGCATACAGAGGCAGCAACATTGAGTTTGATGGCATTGGAGCTTCCAGAAATCAATGAGACTGCCGAAATATGCAAGGCTATCAATCCGAAGCTCGCAGTCAAGACAGCAGCATTCAATGTTTTGGACTACCAAAGCGTGGACCGCTTCATCCAGGATGTTATCCAAGAACTGGGCAAGATTGACGTCCTCTTTGTGAATGCTGGTCGAGCACCGCAGTGGCTTCCTACGCAAGAGTCGGATCCTGCTGTTTGGTGGGACACTCTGGCAGTTTCGCTGCAAGGCGCTTTCCATTTCACTCGGGCAGCTCTGCCTCACTTGAGACAACACGGCGGCGGAAGGATCATCTACACCTCCAGCGCCGCTGCACAATCAGCAGAAGGAATGGGAGGATACGCCATTGGCAAACTTGGACAGGTCAGGCTTGCCGAGATTGTGCACAACGAGAACAAGGATCGCGGCATCAAGGCCTTCGCATACCACCCAGGCGCCATCCCAACGAGATTCTTCCATGATTTCAAAGACGCAAGCGAGGGAAAGTTCAGAGAGAACAGCTACTTGTCCATGGACCTACCAGGGGAGCAGAAGTCCGCCATGGCGGCTGTCAAGGCCTTGGAAGGCGCAACCTTCTCAACTCCACAAATGCCTGCCGGGCTGGTCACGGTCCTGGCAAGTGGACAGTTGGATTTTATGTCTGGTCGCTATCTGGATGCATCAGTTCGGATTGAGGATTACATGGAGGATGAGCAGCGCATCGTGGACCATGACTTGCATAGAGTCCGGCTAATAGCCGATAAGGAGAAGGGCCTTTTCATTCCGGAGAAAGCACCCAGGCCTCAGACGGAGAAGAAATAGCGTGTACCCAGACAGTCGAACGTTTCAATGGTTGTTCAGAATTACTCTGACCAGCGAGCAATCGTATTTTCTTTTTGCATCGGTAGATATGAAATTTTCGCCATACGGACGAGAACTTTTCAGACAGTCCTCAGAATAAAAAGCTGGCCAGAGAGCCGCATGCTCTTTCTCCGACGCATGAAGTAGATCGAAAGTTTTCTCTAGGGAGAACCATGGCCGTATTTTCCATCCAAAAGTCCAACAAGCAGGTCTAGTTCATCGTTCAGGGCGGTCTCCCACTCTCCCCGAAGCATTTTCCTTCTAAAGTACTCAGCCGCCTTCAGCTTCTATCCCTCAAACCAGCCAGCACCCGAGCCGTCCCTCTCTTTATGCTTCTATATTTAAATGGTCTTCCCGCCATCCACAAGCAGGTTCTCGCCGACAATGAACGCTGCATCGTCACTCGCAAGGAACAGGATAGCCTTTGCCACATCGATGGGCTCAGTCAAGCGGCCCATTGGAACATCCTTGGTGAACTTCTCACGGTTCTCTGGCGTGTCGGGCATGCCGGTGAACTTCTCCCACAGACCTGTCGCGGCCATCAACGGGCATACCGAATTGACTCGGATTCCCATGGGCGCGAACTCGGCGGCGAGGCCTTTTGTAGCCTAGATATAAAGGATGGCGCTTTAGAGGCGAGTTCTTCAACTTGAAGTAAGGGGGCCATTGCATGACTTACATTAGCAACAGTGCCTTTGCTAGCAGCGTACCATACAAGACCGGGCCTCGGCCTCGTCGCGCCAATCGAGGCAACGTTAACAAAAGCACCACTCTTCTTGCCATTCTTCAACATGGCCGGCACGCACACCTTCACACTCCAGAAGATACTCTTCACATTAACATCCATCGTCAAGTCGAACTCTGCCTCCGTGACTTGTAGCGTTGGCTTATTCGCGTAGCTGGTGCCAGCATTGTTGACGACGATATCGAGACGGCCGAACTTCTCTTCCGCGGTCTGGACTAGCTGCTGCCATGTTTCTTGGGTGGCGATGTTGGCTTTTTGGAAGACGATCTTCTCGGGATTGCTGGCTGCGAGTTGGACGCCGCCTGCCTCGTTCAAATCTGCGATCAAGACGAAGGCTCCCTCTGACGCGAATAGTTGTGCTGTTGCTGCCCCAAAGCCGGATGAACCACCTGGGAAAAGTTCAGACACGGTGCTAAATGATGATGATGGTAGAGCCCAACTAAAGGGACAGGATGTCCATGGAATAATGGCAGCCTATTAGCCCTGCTAGGTGGACGGAGGCTTACCTGTGACAATGGCAACTTTGCCTGCTAACCGAGTACCAGCCATGATTAGTTCTAGAGTCACTCTATGTTGCGAAACTGAGATTATAGACTATGCTCTCAAGGGATAGGAGTTCTTGCATTGTATACTATCATTATACGAGGTTGTTTAAAAGTCCGTAGTTATAGCTATGTGGGGGCCGCGGCTTCGGCCTTCCCAACTAGGAAGGTCACACCCACCCCACATCCGAACCCTAGTGAGTACAGTGTCTGTCGGGTACCTAAGTTGAGCAGCCTAGACGAGTCCGAGGATCTGTACTGCATCCGGAAATGGGTGCAGTCCGAAGGGTCCAAATAGGAGACAAACTGTTCTGGAACTCAATGCCGTAACAACCGGCTGCGCAAGTTCATAATGACACTGTGCCAAGTAAGTCAAGTCCTACCAAAGGAACTCTCGTGCTAGTAGTGGTCGTCCAATGTCAGTGTCCCGGTCTTAGTGACAAGGTACTCGGCAACCGCAACATCCTTGCCTGATTCTTTGCCATAGCCTGACTGCTTGATGCCGCCAAAGGGGTTTTCAGCCCCGGAGGAATTGCCTGTAAATCGAACGTCATCAGCAAGGCCAACAAATGGTACGTTTCTACGCAGTACAGAAGACTCACCCGTGTTCATGCCAATCATCCCTGCCTCTAGATTCTCCAGCAATCTCCAGGTCCTATCCACGCACTTGGTAAAGAAATAGCTGGCTAGGCCCATGCTGGTATCATTCGCATATTTCACGACCTCGTCTTCAGTATCGAACTTGTACAACGCGCAGATTGGGCCGAATGTCTCCTCCCTGGTCAAGAGCATATCTGCCGTCATGCCAGTTATGACAGTGGGTTCAAAGAAATAGCCCTGGCTACCAGGTACTTGCTTTCCGCCTACCAGAACCTGGCCTCCAAGGCCTTGGGAGTCCTCAACCTGTCGCTTAAGCTTCTCCAGGGACTGCGGAGTCGTAACAGGGCCGATAGTAGTGCTAGCATCTGTGCCATGCCCGATCTTCAGACTCCTCGTTGCCACCGCAAGCATTGCTGAGAATTTGTCGTAGACTCCTGACTGCACGTATACGCGGTTGGCGGTCACGCACACTTGTCCGGCATGCTTGAACTTTAATGCCATCAGCTGTGTCAACGCGTGCTCGAGATCTGCATCGTCGAAGATAATATACGGACAATTTCCACCCAGCTCCAAAGTCACCTTCTTAAGTCCCTCTGCGCAATGCTTCGCAATCAGCTTGCCAACCCGAGTTGACCCAGTGAAGGTGACCTTGCTGACAAGTGGATGCTTGCAAAGTGTCTCGCAGACAGACGGAGTATTGTTCAAATCAGTCGTTACGACATTGAACACGCCCGGTGCAAAACCTGCCTTCTCCGCCAAATAGGCCAGACTGAGTGTAGTGAAAGGCGTTTCCGGAGATGGTTTGACAATCATGGTACAGCCCGCTGCTAGTGCTGCAGCAACTTTGCGAAGTGACATTGCAATTGGGAAATTCCATGGTACCAGGCCGACAGCTACACCGATCGGCTGCTTCACGGTGAAAACACGCCTGTTGGGTACTGACGCAACATGCACAGTTCCATTGATCCGCTCTGCCTCCCCAGCAAACCACCCCACGAAGGAGACACCGTAGTCGATTTCTGCACATGCTTCTGCATAAGGTTTACCAGTCTCGTAAGTGAGAATCAGGGCAAGGTCTTCACGATGTTCTCGGATCAACGAATCCCACTTCAGTAGCATCTGAGCTTTTGTTCGTGGATTGACCTTCTTGTATGCCTGAAAAGCGTCATGGGAAGACTGAACAGCGGAATCAACGTCTCCAGGGGTGAAGTTAGGGCATGAGGCCCAAGCCTCGCCAGTTCCAGGGTCTGATCACAATCGGCGTTATCAGCGTCGAAGTTCGAGATGTAGGCAGATGAATTCCAACACGTACCTACGACATTAAACCAACCACCTGCCTTCGACTCAATCCATTGCCCGTGAACATAGCTCTGCTGTCGGAAAAGCTCGGCATTCTTCAACTAAGGGAGCAGACATTTTAGCACCATCCTGCATTTGACGTCGGGTCGGAAAGGCTGCATACCTTGAATGGTAGGCCAGAAATCCCGTTCATCATACTGCCTTCATCGATGCTGCCCATCTTGAGATATGAAAAAAAGCAACGTCTTTGATGACAATCGATGTTATCAAACGGAAAGGGCGTCTTGAGCTCTGAAAACGACGCTTTCGCTGACGGACTTGCAGACCCTCAAAGACTGGGAGTTCATCAGCGTCTTTGATATTGTATCTTAGCTCACGAAAAAGTGTTACTTCAGATGTATATGAGTGGGGGTGGCGTACTGCCGAAACGGGTGGGGCGTACTGGAACGGCAAGGGTACCGCCGACTGACAAGCTCGTCAACAAACGCCGATTCTTGGTGCCAACTATCCGACGCATGTGTGCATTATCCTGACAAGGATCTTGGACGGTGCATGGCTCACCCGCTGTGTGCTGAGCGGATGCGGAGCAGATCAGCAAATTTTGTTAGTGCCTCTCCAATGAGTGGGATGATGCCCCATATCTTGTTAGCGTAGAACAATCTCGCCCAGGTGGTCAAGACGTTGGAGCTCAGCATCCGGATGTCGGTGATGACATCATCCTCAATTCCGGCCTCTTGTAGCGTTTCTTGGACAAGACGGATGAGCCAGCGTTCTTCGTTGGACAATGGGGGTGAAGGTGCGGCGACAGTAACCGCATCGAGCCAATTAGCCAGCAACAGACAACATTCGAAAGAAGCGATGAAGTGCTGAATAGACCAGGTGAAGACTTGTGTTTCAGCAACTAGGTCCATGCCCATTCGAATCGGGATAAGTAAAGCGTGCCAAGCGTGTAGCGCAGCTCTCATGGACCGTCGACTGCGTGTGGCGGGTGGTTGGTTGCAGATTGTTCGTGCCACTACCTCAGGATCTCCAGATCGCAGGGCTGCAGCGTAAGGTGCAAAGTCCATGTCCAGCCGAATGTACGCTATCCGTAGGAGAGCGGTGCAGTTGAAAGCCAGTGGACCATGGGGATCTTGTGGGTCAAGCGAAGCCTTTGGGTTGTTCTCCCAGCTCTTCTGCCAGCGTCGTAGTGCCCGCTCGAATGTCTTCGCTTGGTCGTGGGAAATGGTCGATCCGGCTTCAGAGATAGAACGCGCATATCTCCGTTGCTCAGAGCTATACTGCATGAGTCCGTTGATGAGAATGTAGCTAGCAAAGATCGAGTATGTAAGATCATCCGGGGTAGTCTCCCCGCTGTCAGCGGTTTCTGAAACAGCGCGCTCGTCAAGCAATCTTCTCATAGCGTCCTGGAAGGAAGGGGCTGCACTGTGATCTTGCTGCCGGCGCTGTTGCCAGATCGCCTCCGTCTCGGCGCGCCATAGCTCCTCTCCACAGGGTAATTCAAGATCGAACTCGCTGTGCAATATCACAGCTGGGAGGTTGTACACGAGGCATTGAAGGTTGACGAAACACAATGTGACGAATTTTGTCCTGATACCGAGTAAGCAAGCGTGCCAGATCGTTTCAAAGTTGCCACACCTCTTTTGAACTTCGTATTCCACCCAGCTTTTCCAAGTCAGATGTTGTGATGGTGGAGGCTTCTCGGGAATAATATCTCGATTGATCTAGTTTCTGCGTAAGTAGTGGGCTTATGGGGAACCGCGTATGCTAACCGTCGCTAGGGCACTCTGAAATGCCAAAGCCTGTCTTAAGAAGTGCTTGTCCCCAGCCCAAGTTCCATACATTGTCAATAAAAGCATGGCCTGGCAGTTCTCCAGCAGTTCACCAGATGATGTCTGATGCCCGAAAGATTCTCCCACATTTCTGTCACTTTCGTCCATTTCGTGTCTTAAGATTGTTCTGCCCAGAGTCCAAAGCTGTCGAGATAGTTTTATTTCAAAGGAATATCTGGCACCCATTGCGCAAACAGCCATGAGAAGTCCCAAACTGCAGGTAGCGGAGTTCCAGGTTGGCTCGTGGATGAAAGGTTGGTGTCGAGCACCAGCAGTGAAATACATTACGACATACCGGTTTAGGGCATGGTGAGAAGGAAGCACAAATTTGTCGGGCATAATGTGCTTATACTTGTCCAGCTTTCGATGCAACAAGGTCCGCGTCTCGGAGGTAAGATAAGATGACCGTCGGGACGGTTCAGTGCGTGCTTCCTTGTGATCCTGTGGGCTAGAAACAAGCGAGAAAACTCTATCGAGTAGGGGCAAAGTGCCTTCTGACTTACTAGGATCGAAATCTGTGCGGCGGCCACTGCTGGGAGTTGGGAGTGTTCTATGTAAATTATCGGGACCTTGTTTGGGGCTCTCCGGTGCTTGTATCAGCGAATTAGGGCTCCAGTCTATCGTGGGCCAAAGTGGAAGCGCCGTTTGGAGGACGGACGAGTATGTGGCAGCGGTGAAAGTGAAGTTGTTAATCCAGTCTGGTTCCTCCATGAAAGGCTCTATGAAAGGTGCGTTCATCGACGGGTTGTCGAACATCCCTAGATCGGAGACCTGCATGCCACCAACAGCGTTACCCTGGTCGGTACCGCCAACGATCGTACCCATTGGCATATTCACGGCTGGTCCATACTGATCATACGAGAGCGGCTCCTGAGTTGGTAGGCCTTGTATGGAGCCGAGACCAGTATCACCAGAGTCCCTTGATCCCTGTCGGAAGAAGGAAGCATCAAAAATTTGGTTATGCGCTGAAGCTTGCTCTCGTGATGATACACCAGCGCTGTCGGCCGGAGTGATCCCTTGAGGTTGCTTTTCTGCCATTTGGGGTGGATGCCAGTTGACCCATTTCACTCCAACTTGTGCGGGAATTGCTCTACCTGACACGAGCGCTTCATGATCGTCTGCAGCATCAGCTTGAACACTTCCATTGTGTAATGACCGGGTGTGCCTGACTAAGAGGTCCCTGTCCGAGTTAGCCTGGTATGTCATAGGTCAGCCAATCAGGAATGACAGCCTACTTCCGTGCAAACGACTTGGAGCAGTACAGGCAGGAGAATGGCGTTTCATTGGTGTCTGGGATTCATCAGCCTCATCAGCCTTGGGAGGGCATTCAATAGGCTAGAGAGCTCACGAGAACGCTCATGTCGCGTCCGATGTTCGATCCGGCTGAAGCTCTTGTTGCAATGCTGGCAGTAGTGACGACGTCTATTCCTCTTTCGGGAGCTACCATCTGTCTGGGCAGGGGAGAGATCTGCCATACTCTCACTCTTGGCTGCTAACACGCCGCAGGGTGATTTCCTATCTAGTCACTGGCCTGATCGCTGCGTGCTCAATTCGTGAAGGGGCTGGAAGAGGAAGAAGATGAGGTGGGAGGGATTTGGTTGGGGATTGATGTGGCGGAATGATCCAAATCAGGCAAGGCGGCTGGTCTTGCGCTGCCAAGATTGTGGATTTTGATGCCAAGAATTGATGCGGAGAGGCTCAGGATAAGGTCGAGGCTAAAGCCTAACCCACCATCCGGACCTGGCAGAAGAGAATGCTTTGAGTCAATGAAGGGGGTCTAGAATGCTTGTTTGAAGCTTTTATTACATTATGCACAATCAATGCAGGGCCCCCAACTGCGTGTGATTCACGAACTTCACAAATATGACCAAATATGAGGTCAAGGATTCTGAGCTGGAAGCTCTCCGTGGAAAGACGGTCTTAATTATTGGAGCAGCATCAGGCATTGGCCGTGCAACGGTGCTGCTTGCCCATCGCAAGTACCCTCTCTCTTACTTTGCTGAGGTGGATTTAAAATACGAAGGTGCTGATGTTCTTCGTCTCTGGTGTGAGAAGGTTACGGTGCAAAGGTTGCGATTGGCGACTGGAACAATGACGAAGGTACAATACTAGTAGCGAATTTGGAAGAGTGAGAACTACCGTGGCCAAAGAGTACAAGTAAAATGACATTTAATCTAACGAAATTCGAATCCTTAGGAGAGCGATCTTCCGAAAATGTGATATGGCGAAATGGGACGACGTCGTAGGGATGTTCGAAGCAACATGGAGAGCATTTGGTCAGATAGATGTCGTGCTGGCCAACGCTGGGATTCACTCCGAGGGAGATTGGCTCACAGACGCAATCAGCACCACTGATGGAAATCTCCTCCCTCCAGACATGAACACAATCCGAGTGAATTTGGATGGCACTATCTACGTGACTAAATGTGCAATGCACTACTTTGCACGACAGCCAGATCGAAAGACCCAATTGGTGTTCACAGGATCGGCTGCAAGGTACGCCTGAGAAAAATTCCTAAGTAGCACATGGCTAATAGGTGGCAGCTTCCTGGACACGCCGCCGCTCCACCAATACTGTGCATCCAAGGCGGGCATACTGGGACTCATGAGGTCACTACGATGCCAGCTGCCCCAAATCAGCAATTCAACAGTCAACATGGTGGCTCCGTGGCATACAAGTAAGTGAGCCTCCAAGGCAACTCTTTGAGCAATTGACTAAGACATGGCATTCAGACACAGCAATGACATCGGAGAAGATGAAAAAAATCTGGGGTGGCTTGCCAACAAATACTCCCGAAGGCGTTGGGAGGGCTCTGTTGCTACCTGCTCTTCGTCAAGATTTGAATGGGTTATCGCTATTTGTCCATGGTGATCAGATCACGGATCTGGAAGAAGGGCTAGCGGCCTCAATGCCACAATGGATGGGAGATGAATTGTCAGAGGTTGTAAATGAAGGACAGCGTCGTATCATACAGTGATTGTCTTCTCCGTATCTTTGATCTATGACCTATGCTGGCACTAAACTTTGCACAAAATCTTGCATATTAATAATCTCCTCTATATTCCAGCATTTTTCAACCACCTCGTGTGCCCGAGCCTCTCCCAAAATGTCGCTTGATAGATCCATGAATTTTGCCTCAAGTTGCTCAGAAGTCATAGGGTTTGCCAACGAGCCTGTTGCGTGATCGATGGAAATGACACGTTGCTGCTTGTCAATGAATGTGAGCTTCAATATGGCAGCATCATCTGCCACTTTCTCGTCTGTGTGAACCTGTATCTTGTCCCGGATCTGCTTGGTCAATTCATCCTTACAACCTTTATCTGAAAACTGGACCCGTCCAGCTTGGCCATAAAGCAGTGCCACGGCTATACCGTGGTAGAGCGAGAAAATTGTTTCCAAACCGGTCGCCGGATTTCGAACTGAGCACAAGCGTACGCACTGTGGGTTCACCGTGGCGTCGATCGTTTCTATGGTCGTCGAATCAACAGTCTGTTCTGCTTGCATCGGAGATGACCTTGGCATGTTGCCTCGTTGAAAAATCACATGCGCCTGAAGGCCCGCGTCAATCAAAGGATGGATCACGATACCACAGGGATAAGGCTTGAATGTGTTCTCGAGGATCTGGAATGCGCCACCGTGGGCCAAGGCTGATAACGATTCCTCAGAAACCGTTGTCGAGACCATTCGTCCCCAACGTTCGATTGCTTTAGGGCAACTCTCAAAGCCGTGAGACGCTAATTGAGCAGATAGAAGGCCATTCTGAGCACCTCTTCCCATGTGAAGGGTCTTGGTATCAGTACCAAACATTGCCCTGATGCCACCCGCCATTGATGCGGAGTGACCAAAAGCGGCAGCAAATTGAGATGAAGATAATTTCTGCGCTTTAGCAATAGCAGCCGTTGCCCCGAAGTTCCCTGTAGTGCCCGTGATGTGCCTGTCGATATAAGTCGCTCGATTTACGGTGATTGTTGTACAAACTCACCATCCATCGCGGTAGTGCGCAGGTGATATTGCATTGCCCACCGCACATTGAGCCTCGACACCACAAATAAAAGCCAACAAAAACTCTTTTCCACTTATGTGGTTGACTTCAGCCCAGGATAGCAATGCCGCAAGGGGTGTACCACTAGGATGAATCACGGTCTTGAGGTGTGTGTCATCGTAGTCGGCGGTAGTCAGGGCGATGCCATTTATCAGAATTGCGTGTTCAACACCCGTACGTTCTTTTCGACCAAGAATGGTGGCTTCTCCACGAGCCCGTCCAGCCTGGATCATCGAGAACGCTTTCTCGGCTGGCCCATGCTGAGCATACCCCAGGCCACAGCCAAGAGAGTTGAACATGGACTTCTTGGCCTGTATGATAACTTGTTGCGTGAGATCCTCGTACGTCAGCTTTGACAGGAACTCAGCGAGAAGCAGGGTGTGATCGACTTCGCCCATGTTGAGAATCTGAGAAAGATCGAAAAGCCTTTCACAGTTGTTCGGTTCAGTGCTCGTACATATTAAGATTTAACGAGAAAAAGACGGTCATAATGGGAGGGCTAATTAAGTATCTAACTAACTGGATTAGTTATCTACTACCCGGATCATTTCGAGAATCCCTAGGTAGGATAGTGGGACCAGATCAGGCTCATTCTAAATTACTCCCCACATGCCTGAGCAGCCAGGGCCTGGGGAGGTATGTTTCTCCAACTCCTTGGGGTATTTCCGAAGTGAGGTTCAAAGACATCTAAAAGATCTCTAGATGAAGTCTAAGCTTATACAACAACATATCGAATCAAAATGGAATCGCAATGTGCGACTTCTGCGCAAGTAGTAGTGGCTGGGGCTGGGCCTGTAGGCTTGCTCGCAGCTCTGACTCTTGCCCGGCGAGCGATCAGTGTATTGGTCCTCGAGAAGGGCGAAGATGTGGACGACTCGCCGCGAGCAATGGCATTTCAGCCTTGTGCTGTGGCTGAGATGATCGAGCTTGGTATATACGATGATGTCAAGGTCGCATGCATTCCAGATGCGACCATTTCCTGGTGGAGAGCCAGAACAGAGGACAGCCACCACAGGCACCTGGCGACCATCTCAACATCCGACAACGTAAAGAATGGCGCCGAGAAGCCTTTGTCAGGCCTTAATATCGGGCAAGATGTTCTGTCTCGGATATTACTAAAACACTTGACCCAGTATTCAAACGCCAAAGTTCTATGGAAACACGCTGTCGTCGGTTTGGAGGACATGGGTGGGCATGTCAAAGTGAGGTATCAACTTGATTCCCAGGGAACAGACGCATTGCAGCAGTCGATACTAGCAAAGTGGTTGATCGGTGCCGATGGGGCCCGAAGCGCTGTGCGCAAGAGTCTAGCAGTTGGGTTCGAAGGGTTTACATGGCCCAAAGAGGAGTTCGTCGCATCAAACGTTTATTACCCATTCGAGAAATACGGCTTCACCTCTCGAAATTTCGTTATCGACGGCGTCAACTGGGCCATTGTTGCCAAAATCAGGGAGGACGGTTTGTGGAGGGTGGCGTTCGGGACAACGCCTGGAACTTCGGAGGAAGAAATCCGAGCACATCTGCAGGACAGTTACAAGTACATCTTTCCAGGTCCCGCCACAGGTTGGAAGTTAGAGCGGTTGAACACATACCGACCCCATCAACGCTGCGTGACTTCGATGAGAGTAGGATGCGTTCTGCTTGTTGGCGATGCAGCACATCTCAACAACCCCATTGGAGGCTTGGGCCTGACAACTGGGATTTTGGATGCGGGTCCGCTGGGCAGGGCTCTTGCAGCTGTTATTTCTGGAGCTCCGAGTTCGTTACTCGACACTTGGGCCCAGGCCCGCAAAGAGACATGGTGGAGCGCCACAAATAAACAGTCCATAGAATTCAAGCGAATTGCACAGCAAGGAGGGTATGGAAATGACCCTAGGGAGATATGGGTTAAAGATCAGGTGGCCAAAGACCAAGGCATGCTTCCATACCTTGAAAACGCAGTGCCTGAGGCCAAGACTCGCGATGAGGGGCTTTATCAGGCATTGAGCGATCCACAGGAGCAGGCATCGTCGCGGGCTGGGATCTGGAAGCTTGCTCTGCCTGCCGACTGGATGGCAGAATATGACGATGCAGAGACTGTCAGATGGCGGCAGTCTCTGAGACCGGCGCTCAATTCATAGCCGTTGCGTCCTAGCTTGAGATAGAGCTTTCTAAATATAATTAGACCAAAGCCTTACTTTGACCGAAGTTCGGTAATGTCGACCAGGTACTACCTTTCGATACGCATTAAACCCTATAAGACGGGGGACGCTAACGTTGAAAGCTTGACGCTTGCAGCTATGTGAGGTTCCTCTGTATAAGCGACCCTGGCCCAACACGATTCATCGTGAGACAGCAGCAATGGAAGTTTTGAAAAGCTGGGGAACCAAATCTATCATGTTGTTTCAAGAGAGAATGAAAAACAAACAGTAACGAAAAGAGAAACCACGACACAGATTTTCGTGTGTTATCAAAGCCAGCTAGTAACCAAAGTACTTGCGTCAAAACGTTGTACACTTTGGACAAGACAAACCGAAATAAACCCTCGTGGGAGTCTCGGACCTCCCAAAACCCAACATCATGCGTGTTTGTCCGGATCTGTTGGCTATCTCATGGCACATTACAACCCAGGGCTGAACATACAATTTGCAAATGCTCCACTTTAGCCAACGACAATCTACTTCCTGGCGAAGCTATCATGCAGTCTCTCCAATTCGCATGGCAGGATAAGTTGTCCCAAATCCTACTCCAAGTGCATCTTCTTGAGAAGCTGGGCACGGAACCACCATCCACGCATGCTGGGACAAGTTAGCTCATGGAAATGAAAGAGATTTGACATGGACATACCGCTTGCCGTACATGTAGACGGGAATGCCGAGGATGACCACTCCGAAGAGAACGATGGCACCGACAATGTTGAAGACGAAAGCCGGACCTCTGGCCGCTACGGCGTCGTTGAAGAAGTATGAGACTCCATAGAAGAGGAAGTTCTTCACAATCATCACGATGATGACAAGCTCGACTGAGAGATCTCTGTACGCGTCGACCGTGTAGGTGCCGCTTGCGATGTTCAGGGCCGACATGCCAGCGGCGTAAAAGCCTAGGATGATAGCACCCACTACGGGTGGTTCCTTTCCTGCTTCGTACAGGTTGCCCCATCCGAAGATGCCGATGGTCATAAGGACACCGCCAATTATCAATGCCATTGGAAGACGGAATTCTGGCTGAGAGAAAGAGTCAGACTTGGTGCGAGAACTAAATAGCACGATTCACTCACCTCAAAAACACCCTTGTTCCTGCGGGCCAGGTAGAGTGCCAGGGGGTCACTGAAGAAAAAGAAGATGCCGGTAACGATCAACGGGCCCACTAATGGACCGATAAACATGTAGGCGATCTCAGTGGGGTTGAGATTGTATGGTGGCACTGCGTACATCTGTGCTGTTGTGAAATTGCTGCATGCAACTGAGGCAATGGGTAGTGAGCCAATGAGATTGATCTGTGGTCATAATGTCAGCCAGTTTTTGAAGGACCACATTCTAGCAGCAAGGCTTACCCAAATAATTGCTGGGTTAAGGCAGATGGCGAAGGGGCGAAGGAACAGCTTGAGTGGGTTGTCGTGAGAATAGCGGCCATGATAGAAGGCGATGAATTGCCAATAAGTCTTCTTTGCCGGAACGGGGACTGGTTCTGCATAGTTAGTGGCTTCTTCCAGCTGAGCATCGCTCGTGGCCTTGCCCTCATGCTGTTCTTGCTTCTGCAGTCCATCGTAATTGACATCGGCGATCATATCAGTCTCATATGCCTGCGACCTGATGAATGTTGTTTCCGTGGCGCAAAACACGACCAAGATGAATTGGAGAGCGATGAAAGGAATGTAGATGTAGAACATGTACCTCCAACCGTACTTGGTGGTAATCGGGCCCGCAATTAAGGTTCCAATAGCATTCAAGCTGGCAAAGCAGAAGTTGAAGAAGGCGATGCGAAGACCTCTCTCATGGACAAAGTACAGATCACCGACGATGGCCACGAGTAAACTCTCATAAGCACAGGCACCGAGCCCCTGAATCATGCGCCCAGCTAGCAATGTGTTGTAGTCCTGTGCCACGCTGCCAATGATAGTACCAAGCAGGCACATGAAAGACGCGAAAACGAATTGTGGCCGCTTCCCGTACAGACGGGAGAGCACGGAGACGAAGAGACCAAATGATCCGACAGCGAGGAGCAGGAATCCGGTCAATTGAGTGATCTTGGTGATGGAGGTGTCGAAGGTTTCAGCCAGCACCACAGTAGCAGCGGCCAGGAGAGCAGAGGGGACAGCGGCCGTGCAGACAAAACCATAGGCATGGATGAGAAAGATACCATCCCGTTTCCAAAGAGGCCAATTCTGCAGATGGTCAGCCATTAGTTTCTCAAGTCGCTCATGAGGGGATTTACCAGAGGATCGTTGGGGTCGTTAGTTGGCTGCGGGTTGAGCACGATATGCTCGCCCTTGGTTCCTTTGGCGTGCTTCAAACCCCCAGTGGCTTCAAGCACATCTGGCAGCACACCATCGTCGAGAATGACGGTGCCCGGGACGTGGGTGAGTTTATTGTCTTCGAGGACGCCAAGACCCATTTTGATCGAAAGGAAAGATGCAAATCGGCCAAATTACTTGTAAATGCAAGGATGCCTGCTATCCAAAAGGAGAATATCGATGTTGCTGAATTTCGCCAGGTTGTGTATGTATGGGAGCGCGGTCCCCTTATTATATGCACATCGAGATTTAGGCGAGCAAGTGCCTGTGTACCATTGGCCCAACTTATTCCTCGTAGTGCAATCCTGGGGTTGAAATGAGGTCTGGAGCAGCGTATGATTCCGGGGAATGAATTGCTTGTTGGACGCTTGCGCCAAAGTGGCCGTGTAAAGTGGCGGCTTGGTTTGCTGCCACCGCTCTTTTTGGCAATAGCCCCCACCTGCACTCGTACATACTCATGTGTATCGGATCAATGTTATTCTCGGATACTGTCTACCTGTCCGCTCTGGCTAGCTGCATAGATAGACTGTTTTCAAGCCACGTGCGCACGAGCCCATGTAGGTCAATCATTCCTGGATAAGCTTGATCCAGGGTACAGATGGCCTGGTCTGGCAAGTCTTGTTTGGGGGTTTTCCCGTCCAGGTCTCTGTAACCGCAACCCCATGTCTTAAAATCCAGAACGGCAGTAGTGAAGAGCATCTCGAAATCCCATGGATGATCTTCTGTACTGTGGCAAGAATGGGACAACGCATTCGGCCGATGTGTCTTTTGGCAGCGACAACAGACCCGGAATCGTCCTAGAAGAGGGTATCTGAAAATGAAGGCCCGAGGGGCCTCAATACCCCTATATTCGCACCATAAGTTTCAAAGGGGTGACTCACCTGGGCCAGAGCAAGCGCTGAAGAAGCCTGGAACTTGCAATTTCCCATTGTCGCCAGATGAGGTTCACCATAAGGCAAAATCATCTCGTTAGACTCTTCAATAGTCAGCACGGAACTGAGGTGTTCATTCAGACAATCGAGTTAAGACTTGTAGTTGGTCTCATAGGAATTCCATTTTCAAGGCTCTGGGATTGTCGGGCTCTGTGTCAACACTCTAACTTAAGGAGTCGGGAAATTGTGACTTCTACGATGCTCAAATCTCGGTTCTCTCCGTCTTTCTAAAGGGAGGCACGGAGGCATCTTGGACCTCGGACTGACAGAGATCCCCTGACTTACACAGCCTTGTTCAGACTGACTTCATCCGTTGGTACGGCTGCCTCACGCGCGCCCTCAATGAAGAGTCTAACCAGCTCAGAGTTACAAACCATGCCTCAGTCTTTGTAGCCACCTTCCTTTAGTTCCATTGTCGTGGGGAGTTAATAGCGTCGCAGCCTCTATTCCTGGCGCCTCGAAACCAATCCTATGCCCCCATCGTCGGACTATTGGAATAAAATTTCTTCTTCAGACTCTCGATCACCTGCCTCTATCCAAATTCCACCACTATTTTCATTTCGCCTTCTCAGATTCCTTACTACCCGAGGAGCTGAGATACAAATGCCAAGATGTATCGTCAGCTTTGGCTGTCACCAGAAGCACTGTTCTCTCAGGCTCATCGAGCCCAGCTGATGTTTATAGAATCACTGGTGTTGGTTTTCTGTGGATCGATGCTTGGGTGCGCTCGATTCTGGCTTCTGGCCAGAGACCGTTCATTCAGCATATGGTTGAACCAATGTCTCATCGCCATAGTATCTAATTTCGCGCTGACTTAGCGTTCTGTTTTCACGAACAACGTGAGAGGCCGACAGAGAAATATGCCTCGCGAACTTTGGTTGTGTCTATTCAAACCTTCAAGCATTCATGGTGCACTCGGCCAGTGTCCCATGACGGAATATTTATCTTGATATCAGCTCAGCCGATGACGGGGCCGCCGATGATGTAGACGACAACTGTAGCGCACATCGCTCTGGGAGCAGTGTTGCTCTCTTACAGAAAGCCGCCAATGGTTCTTCAGATCAACCAAAGATACGACTCAACAGGCCCCCTGTCGAGCCCGTCCCATTCTGGCCACCACCGCCGCCGCCAGGAAAGCGATCACCCTTCCCCATCTGCTCATCCAACCACGCCGCCAAGCTTGCCTCATTACTCAACAGCCTAGTATCAACAACCCTATCGGTAACCTTCTCGGCCCTCCTACCTCCAAAACCAATCAGGGTCGGCATGCTGGTGACACCATACTCAACGCCCAGGTCCATCATGGATCCGTTGCTCCTGTCGGGACTGTCGAGCTGGACCTCGGCGAACGCCAGCGCAGCGTACTTGTCAGCGGGCGAGGGCGGGCGAGTCTCGACCAGCGAGGTTAGTAGTGGCGTGATGACCCGGCACGGTGTGCAGGTCGACGTGGTGAAGAGTGAGAGAAGCAGTGTGTTATTGGCGGAGCACAGCCGGAGCGCGTCGTGGAACTGTGGTGGTGTGCGGAAGGCGGCGAGGATTTGGTTGCGAGCTCCTGATTGCTGGAGGAAGGGGGCGAAGCTTGAAAATGACCTCCGCTCGGTCCTGCCGGATTTAGGGAAGAGGGAGCACTGTGTTTGTGCCGGTGCTCGAAGCGCATTCTTCGAGAGACTCCAGCCCACGACACGTATAGGACGCGCTGTGACAGGCTTCATGTCACGTGCGGCCTTGACCAGGCCAAGATGTGTTTTGCGGAAATGGGCTTTCTTAGGACAGGAGCAGTTCCGAGTCTAGTACAACCACAGAGTCTGGTACTGTAAGCCAAACAAATGAATACAAAGGCTGGTGAGCAGGACAAGGAGTGGAGAGGATTCAAAACGTCACTCCGATTCTACTCTGGGCGATGACATCACCGTGCACCCAATTCGCGTCCGGGTCTATGCGAGGCTGTGGGACAACAATAGGAACAAACCAGGATGTATCCCTGTTATGGCGCAGGTACTTCGGACTTCATAGCTACGTAATGCCCCTGATTTCGAGCAAGTCAATCGCAGAGAAAGGGCGTTTTCCCTGACTATAACTAGGCCCATCAAATTCGTCTCATGACAGTGTCTAACCGCCCCAACGGCGCAACTAACATTAACAGTGGTATCATAATCCTCAAAACCGCCAATATCACACAACCGATGAACATAGACGCCTTGGAAATGTAGAGGATCGAATCATCCTCGCCAACATACTGCTGTCTATGCTCGCTCTCGCTCTTGCTAATGACTGCAAATCTAATCAATGGCTCGTGGAAATATGGTATGCAAAGTGCCATCGCCAGCACGAACATGCTGGCAACTGCGAGTCATAAGACTATACAGGAAGGTGATTGAGGCCTATGATTGGGTTTGAGTCAGTGTTTATTCAGTCTTGCACACATGCACTACCGACTGACATCCGCGAGAGGGAGCGTGTTGCGCTCGGGTGTTTAGCAGTCCTCGGCAGGCTCGTCCTGCCGAGGTGGTGTGTTCTCTGCATTCGATTGTTGCTCACGAGTTTGTGCTGCTGCTCGCTGCTCCGCTTCGTACCCACTTCACGGAAAGGATGTCAGGCCGACGTGCCCCGCAATGGGCGAAAGGGAAGGGAAAATCAGAACTTACCATCTGGCGGCTTCCAGCCGCTGGATCCACCGTGCGGTGATCTTCAATCGCTCTCTCACGCTGGTAGCTGGAAGAAGAAGATACTTTTCTGACTCTGAGATTGGTAATACGCTAGCAAGCCAATATGGAAAAGTTGCAGGATCACTAGGTGGTTGGCCGTACGCAGCGAGAACGCGTTGATGGAGCCAACGGGCTGACCTCGACCTGGCTTGTTCCACAAAGTCTGAAGCATACTCCAGGAGCCGTTGAGTGGACATTTGTTGTATTCGAGCTTCCTCGTCATTTGACGTTGATGGCACAGAGCTTGTCTCTTGGGCTTCGATACTTTCTTCCTCGTGCACCGGAATGTCGTCAATACGTTGTACTTCACCAATAAGATAACCGTCAAGAATTGAAGTGTTGATGACTCGAAATCGATGTATCCCTCGTGTCTCTATGAGGCTTCTCCCGTCTGCTAGCATTTCTAGTCGGTCGATGAAAAGAACCGTGCCATACGGCATGAAATGGGGCTGTCCCGGCAAGGGGCCACCTGGTCGATACATAAGCATTCCAAACTTGCGTGAACCTGATTCCATTGCTCGTCTGATCATCAAGCGGTAACGCGGTTCAAAAATATGTAAGAAGGTTGGCATCTGCGGATATGCCAAGGTACAGGGAAATAGCGGTAATTTTGTTTGCTCGTTAATAGCATCCTCTTGTCGGGAAGTGTCAACTCGTGCTGCAAGAATTTCTGGAAGTATATGGTGAAGCAGATGGGTGATTCTCTTGTTACTAGGTTCGGCCGATGCGCTGGCTAAGACGGGCAGCCTTCGACGACACATCGGACACACGTTGGCATGATCCATGGCCCGAGCGAAACATTTTCGACAAAAGGTATGGCCACAAGATGTTGTCAACGGGTCTAGCATGACCTGATAACATACTTGGCATTCTAGTTCAGATCGAACAACTTCCCGCAAAGTTTCAAGCACCGCAAGGTCAAGTGCATGGAGGGTTTCGGTAGAGTCGCTATCGACAGCCGTATATGAAAGATCCGAATGGTAGTTGAGTTCACCCATATCTGCAAGAATGTATGAGGCCACAAGGCGGCCTCCGAGCAGGACGCGTGATCTGGGCATGAGATCCATGGCGGACTCAGCGACGCGAGCCATGTCCAGTTCCTCTTTTAGCAACAGCGGTATGTCAGGGGATGTTGTCTTGTATTGCCCCATGTGGCCTTTGACAACATGTAAAATCTTGTTCAGCGTGACGTCTATACCGCAGTCACCCATGGAATGTTCTAACCCACAGTCTTTGAAGGGGCATAGAAACCCTTCCGCTCGGCCCTCGGCTTGTGGATAGGTGATATTTTCTCTTTTGTACAGAGGTGGGAGGCATGGCTTGCACAAGGAGTTGCCACAGGGCAGTGTCATGGGTTCCCTAAGAGGATATGAACATTGCGAACACTGAAACAACCTGACAATCTTCCGAGCGTCGTCATATGAGTCGTAGCCAGCGGAGCCCGTCGTAGTCAACTGGTCACCATCGCCGTTCATCTGCGCGGTTGAACAAGTGGTGCGATGTGCGCCTGCTGGAAACCTGGAGCCCTCCTCTTCTCAGTCTCAATAACAGTCAACGCAGAGACTGGATCCGATCCATGTACGCCCGATCGGTGTATGTCTCCCTGAAGCGATTGTTCAAAGTTGATCCTCTATCGGTATCGAAGGTGTTTATTGTTTCCTCAATCTCGTCGGGAGTCTGATACTTCAACTAATAATGAAGAGCGAAGAGGAATTGATCAAGAGGAGAGGTCATGCGCTTGGATCGGGCTTGATGATGCGGGGGACTCAATCGGATGATATGGAGACGTGGATACAATTAGGTATTTAGAGTCGCAGTCAACTTGAAACAAAAGGCAAATGCAACAGTCGGTCGATTAGAAGGCTAACTCGACAGATCATCGACGTGTAGACTTTCGATGAAATGGACGGAGGCAGTATGGTGGTGTGCAGTGGTGGCATCGACGATGAGAGGTGGAGGACAACATCCAACCGGTTGGACCCAGGTACGAGTGGCACCAGGGTTGTGGCATAGGGACAGGGATTACGACTAGGATGGTGGGCTAGCGAGCGCATCAATCATGCAGAGACGGTTTGGGGGATCACGATTGGTCATGTCAAGATATAAGCTAGAAGAGAGCCAAGTAGAGAGAGGCAAAACATCGATGAGTCCAGCATGTCAAGGATGTCCGAGATCTCGTGGATTGCTTGAGGATCGGGAAATCGTATTGATTCGGACGGGCACAAGTCAAACCGATGCCTTGGTGCGGGAGGTCAGCTTTGTCCACTTTTGAGCTCGTCATAGATCCATATATATCTTGGCGTAGGCTAATCCATATTTATACTAGAAGAGTATCTTAGCTCCCGGCCACGTGATGCACGTGACGCCTCTTGTCACATCAGCTGGCCGAATGCCCAAGATCTAGGCTGCTCTCGAAATATGCACTGGTCATCATTGCGACAATACAGTATCGTTCACTCCCCAATATGCTCGCCATATTTGTAGGTTGCATTATTCCGTGCATCTAGACTGTGCACGCCCGTCGTAACCGAACACAGTCCTTCGAGATCAACCCTTTTTGGATCATGTCTTGCGCCACTACTAGCCCATAGTGACACCCTCGCTATATAATGACAGGATATGCACGGGCTTTGCACATACAGTTTCCGTCAGCCTCGCCGCTTTTCAGTAACCGTGGGGCCACTATATTTCTCTCGCTGAAGAAGAAGATCCAATAAGTCGAATTGGTGCCTCTGGGTTGCTGCTATTGACACCAGTAACACTTGCGACCGGAGATGCCCACATTTCTCGATGACATTTCTCTTCGTGGACCCTGCCAGTGTTCTGGGATCCCCCATCCAGTGTCGCCGAACTCTGTGCACCCGCCCTATGTTTCAAGTGATGTGGACGATCGTCTTCTTCCTCCGAGTAATTTGATTTAGATCTCATGTCTACCCCGTGTCTGATCCGGTCGATTCTCCCATTTCTTCGTCCAGTACTATTTTCCTCATCACGTTGGGATTAAAAAGGTTTAGAATCTTGTGTCTCGCCTGTTGACGGTAGTGGTGACTTTCCAGAATCATGAGCGACTTTCGAAATAGTTCGGTGTCCGAAAAATGTGTGGGCTGCTTGACCTTGATTGTGTGAAGCTCACCGGTGGCTTTTTTATACATGACTGAATTGCCCATCTCTACAACAAGCTTCAGGATTTTGGCCTTGACGGGGTCTTTATCTGTGGTTACGGTTTTATAAGTAGCCTCTTCTTCAGGATTTGGCACCCGGGCATGAGTGGCTGATCCAACAGATTTCTAGCAGAGTCAGCATCACATAAAATAACAGAAATAACCCATTCTGAAACTCACCAGACACAAAGCCTCCAAATTGCGAGGTATACATAAGCCAAGTGATCTGCCGCGGGGATCGACCGTCGTCTCCCATCCGTTCTCTGCGAGCATTTCAAACCCATGTAGTGTTCGGGAGATCAACCCCAACACAAAACATGCTGTCCCGCGCATTGACATAACCTCTGCCTGCTCGGCGATTCGAACAATGGCAGTAACCACCTCTGCCTCCTCGAGGAACGGTGCACCCAGGTCCATGGACCCAATGTTGCCAACTGCCCACATACAGCCTTTGACCTTGGTCAAGATCTCCGGATCTTCTTCATCCACATGAAAATCCCGAATAGTTGACGAAAATTCATAGAAATGGCCAGATTGCTTCAACAGCTTGCACCCTTCTTCCGTCCGTGCGAGTTCGCGGTAGAAATGTGGGGGGGCGATCCCAATCTCGTGCAGGTCTACTGCGGGATCTTCATTAAAGCTTGCTTTGCTGATGCTGCCATCCATGTAGGCACGTAATATTGAGGCTTCCACCAATGCTACATACGAATCATTTCGTCCAAGAAACCAGTCGTCCATTTCCTGCGTGATGTAGTCTAAGCCACTCAGATACCGATATCCGACTGACGTAGCCAGAAACCGTAGCAGAAGTGGTGCTCCGATTTCTCCCAGATGATCCAGAGATGGCCGGCATTTGACCACATATTCGAGATGGCTGCGTTGATTGCAGGCTTCCTCGAGGATCTTGACAGCAACCTCGCACACTTCGACATCTGGATCATACAGTTGTGTCAATACAAGGCGTAAGGCCCAATGGGAGCTTGAGGGGTCCTGCAGTCCGGAGGAGTATTGCACTCTACCTACTGCGTATCGTCGTAGTAGTTTAGTAGAGAAGAGCCGGATATCTTTAACTCCCGAGGTGAGTGCTTTAGAGAGAACCACGCGTAGATGTGAATCTAATGTGAAGTCCATATTTCCAAGAAGAGCCTTGATGAGATCATCGCGATTCTTCAACTCCACAAGATGGTAAAACATGTCCATCATGTGCCACTGTTCCATTAGCCTCATCCCTTCTGGACTATGACTAAGTGCTCCAAGCATAGCAAAGTAGCCCCCGCTGAGTGTCTCAGCCATTTGGTGGCGGTCAAACAACGGAGTAGCAGATGTGATACCGCTGTGAGGGTCAATTTGTGCAAGACACTCCCCAATTTGCCGGAGAAGCTTATTCTCCGCAAGGTATTGGATACCAGTAGCAGTTTGAGTCAGAGTTCGCATCAACGCGCATCCAGTGCGCACATACCGCTGATTCGGCCTGGTGCTGCGTATCATGGAAAATCTGTACTTGAATGGTCGAAAGAAACCAACGAGCCTTTTCAGAAATTTTGGTGACTTGATTGCTTCCTCCAGCCTCTTTGGATTCAACAGTGGGCCTTCCACCAGACCATGAATAATATCCCACTTCCACTTGACATATTGGGAGTGATTGGTAACTTGGCTGTCAATCATGGCCTGTCGAAATTGCTCCGCATCCATCAGAACAGTGTATTTTGATCTTTCGATTGCTTGCGGGCCAACTGCAAGTTCGTCTGTCGGTAGGGTTCGTCCGAATGTGTTTGAAGTGGTAGTCCGGTTTAGAGTTCGATTGATGCTTTCGATCTGGTATATCATGCTCGTATTGACTGAGGACTCTTCAGAGCCAAAATCTTCAACTCTGGACACAAGGCCGCCTAAGACCTGAATATTTGCGCTGATCGTCTCGGGTAGCGCGTGGTGTGCCAGTTTCAACACTTCTGTGAGAAGTAAAGTTGTTTTCCTCTTCAAGGTTAAGTCCTCTTCAACCTTGATAAGTTCAACGAGTGCAGGTATCAAACCCGCTTTAATCAAGGCCGCCAGGACCAGAGCAGAGAAGTGATACGTTAAGTCAAACCTACCATCAGCGTTGTACTCAGCAAGCTGACGTTGAGAGGGATGTTCAGTAGGCAATGCATTTACCCGTCCATAGGTGGTTAGCCTTCGACCAGCGAGAAAAGAACTGGACCACGATGGAGGTTTTATGCGTAGGATATCAAAGAATAGTTCCACAACCGTATCTCTGGACTGTGTGATCGGATAAACCAATGAATCAATCAATGATCGCAATGATGCGGCACCGTTCATAGCCAACAGAAGAAACCCGGGCCAAGTCTTAAGCATGGCCGAAATAGCTTGAGCGCACGTTTTAAGTTTCTCCTCATTGCCGTTGAGTAGGAGCGGATCAGTGAACGGAGCAAACATGGCTTCAAATTCATGCCCTGTGTGCAGGTATCGCCTTTGTTGAGGATGATCAAGAATGTGAAGAAAGCTTGCCACCAGACCTTCAGGAGCGGGAAAAGTACCGTCGGCCAAAGCATCGGTCAGAGTGCTCATGCCGTCAGCAGCAACAAGGAGCTCGGTGTGTTTTGCCAGTATCTCCGCAAGTGTAAGCAGGCAGATATCCTTCAGTCTATCGTCGTAGGTCTCAGCAACAGCAACCAGGCTGCGTACCACAGCCCTAGAGATTTCCCGAACTCCATCCTTGACATCTAAGAAGGCCCTGACAAATTTGACCGCCTGCTCACGTTCGAGTACAGCCTTCTCTTTTTTGACTAGAGATAGGATGACCAACTCATCTGTGTGCAGCGTTCGGATGGTCTGTAATGACTTTCTGTCTGCGATTGCATGCCTAGTCAATCTATATCCAGCCGCAACAACATCCGAGCTTTCACTCAAGAGCATCAATTGAACTCTCAAACTGAAAACTGACCAGGCAAGGTCATATTTCAAGGTGGGATTGCGCTTCAGTAGCTCCACCAGAGCATTCGCGCGCTCAATGTAGTAGTCTGGTTGCATGCCATCAGTCTCCAGTTGCTGGAGAGTTTCGGTCAAGACCACGGTAGGGGATTCACTGTCGACAGAATCTGCAGGGTCATTTTCCAGATCTGTGTTTCGGGGAGGTGATTTGAGAGGGCTTCCCCTGAAGTAGCTTGAGAGCCTGTTGCCCGGCGGTGTTGTCGGGGTCTGGGCCCTAAGGATTTCCTGGTCGAGCTCTTGTTTCAATTCAGCGAGCTTTCGATTTGAAGTCCCTAATTCTATCTCGACTCTTTGACGTTGTTCTTTGGTTTGCTTGTTGTTCTTGCTTAGTAAAGCTTCCAACATGTTTTCTGTTCCCAGTTTGATCTTCATCTCCTTGGCTATCTTATCCCGTACCGCAGCTTGTCGCTGCTCAGATATACTAGCGGCGTCGGCATCTTTAAATTGAGGCTGGAGTCGAGACAAATTAAGACCAGCTGGATCTGCCTGAGGGGTAGTCCGTCCTCCCTGCGTTGCACTCTTCATCTCTGGGTTGAAACTTCCGGGAGGCCCAACGGGCTGCATAGAGGAGGCGAAGGATTTCTGGCCATACTGGGAACTGCCACCGGAGAGCGAACGGCCATCCTTGACAGACGGGCGCTGGAAGGATAGGTCATCGCTTTTCCTGGAATTGTGACGCCCTGTGAACCCTCTGGTCTGAGTTGGTGTCACCGAATAGCCTGACCCTTGTTCCGATGAGGCCATCGAGCCATGGGGTTCAGCCGTCCTCTAGTGGACACTGTCTGTGGCAGAAAGGCGTATGAGCACAGAGTTGATGCCAAAATAGGAACTTTTTGTGACAGCGAAAGTTCGGTCCTCAAATCATTGAAGACGAAGGTCTTAAAAACTGAGGACTGGTATCGAGACCGGGCTTAAATCATGGATAGGCGCATGGGCTGATATCGCGGGAGGCTAGAATCCAAGATGTGCAGATAGATGGAAAGGTCGGGGTGGTTCGTCTAGGTTGATTTTGGGCTAGAATGCGTATCAATGAAACGATCCTGGAAGAGTCTTTCGTGATTGCACAGCCTCTTATGTCGGTAATTCTCAAGTGGTGGGTGAGTGTGTTTGGAGGTTCGGGTACTCGATAGTCAGACGTGTTCATGGGGAATACGGCTGAAGCCTCGAGTCAATGTCGATTGGGGCGCAGAGGCGTGAGACAGCTGCTGCACTTGCAGTCCATGTGCTCCGACCGAGTTACCGTCGATCCCCGCAACTTGCAAGCCCCAGACGAGGTACCAAGCACCCAAGCAGACCCCTCAGCCCCTTGCCGGCTAGTGCCCTAGGCGCCTAATTATGCGGTGCAGGGGCCGAGGGACTCCATTTGCCATGTGCTGCTTCTTGTTGATAATGATTGGGGGTCTTTCTAGGGACCGAGGAGATTATCCCTGGTGGAATCTAGCCTGGTACCTGGAAATCCCGTCACCATACGCGGTACGGAGTACCCAGAGCACCTAATTAGGGTAACCTGAAGATCGATCAGTACGCTTCCTTCTGAGTCGTGGTAAGGTTCCTGAGACAGGTAGTAACCGGCTCTTCTTGCCAAAGGGCTATTACTAGTAAGGCATTCGTGTGAGCAATTTACGACCTGCAGATGTTTACCATTTCTTCTGCTTGACCTGGGTACGAGGGATACTCCGTACACTGGATAACCTAGTCACTGGTCAGTGGGCGTGTCAGCCACAGATCGGCTAAGCCCCGTACTCATACATTGGAAGCCTTAGAACGACCACTGACATCATCACAATCGAGGCGGCTTTTGACGCTGCAACGAGGCTTCACCAGAATCCTTTGAAGACTCTTCAAGGACTTCAAGTTTCCTGTGGGTCTGGATAGATGCTTTCGTACAAACTATTGTTGTTCGATCTCACATCCATCAGCTGATGAATTGTAATATTTCGGATTTCAAGCTTGTCGTTGGGTCACCAAGGGCCACATTCAGGCACGTTGGACGCCATCGGCGACCTCCGCCATACCTTAGACCGTACCGGCGCACACCTCCAGCCCTGCATGGCTGCCTGTTGTCCAATCACTAACGCCCATTCAGTGGAAGGGTCTACCAAAATGTCTGGATCAGCGGTCTACGAGATCTTTCACACTGTACACGTATTCAATTGGTGCACGCCGTGGATGAAGTCGCCCGTCGTGCCCATGTTAGCATTGAACCCCTCAGATAAGAGATGGTAAACATTTTTGTATAAAGATAAAGCTCTTCGTGTCCTCCAGCCTGGACCTGGTTCGTACACCCTCTTCGCACAAGACCTTCGGTTGACTCGTCTCCCTCACGTCAAGCGGTGCATTTCTAGCCCCCTCCTAAGCGGCCCACTGTATTCCTATTCTCCAAGTCTCATTCCGATCCAAAAATGCCTTCACTATCCTCAGCCCGCTATGGAAAGGACAATGTCCGCGTGTACAAGGTAGAGAAAGATGAAGCTACCAAGACACACACTGTTGTGGAGTACACAGTAACCGTTCTACTGGAAGGCGATATCGAGATCTCGTAAGTCAATTCTATACAATAACAGCCATGCAAGTTATTGACGGATCCGCAGATACACTGAGGCGGACAATAGTGTCGTGGTTGCGACGGACACGATGAAGAATACAACCTATATCATGGCAAAACAGAACCCTATCACCCCCCCGGAGCGATTCGCCTCGATACTGGGCAGCCACTTCGTTGACACCTACAAGCACATCCACTCGGCCCACATTACCATTGTCCAGCACCGATGGACCAGGATGACAGTGGACGGCAAGCCACACCCCCACTCCTTCTTTAGAGATGGAGCCGAGAAGCGAGTGGTGCAAGCCGACGTATATGAAGGCAAGGGCATCGAGATCCGTTCTGGCATCTCAGACCTCCTTGTGCTCAAGAGTACCGGATCAGAGTTCCACCACTTCATCCGCAACGACTTTACCACCCTGCCGGACGTCTATGACCGTATTCTCAGCACCTCGGTTGATGCAGGCTGGCAATGGTCGACATTCAAAGATCTTGATGCTGTCAAGAGTGAAGTCGCCAAATTCGACGAGACCTGGGAGAAGGCGCGTGAGATTACATTCAGACTCTTCGCCACCGAGGAGAGCCCTAGTGTCCAAAATACCATGTACAAGATGAGCGAAGAAATCCTGGCGGCACAGCCGCTCGTCCAGAAGGTCGACTACTCCCTTCCTAACAAGCACTACTTCGAGATCGAGCTGTCCTGGCACCACGGGTTGAAGAATACAGGCAAGGATGCCGAGGTGTATGCGCCGCAATCAGATCCCAACGGATTGATCAAGTGCTCGGTATCACGATAAACGATGAAGAATGTCTTGGGGTATTTTATAGAACCATATATACACGGCGCAGATCAGGCACAGGGTGGGATTTCATGGATTATGCCATCCTTTTGTAGATAATATGATAACAATACTCATACAAATCATGTTGAAGAGTAGTGTACTGTCTTCGCTTGAACGCCGATTTAATATGCAAAACATTCCACCCTACTGCTTATGACGGGGGCGGAGCAGGTATCGGATTTGCCTTTTCTGCCTCGATTGCCTCCATCACCTTCCCAGGCTGATATGGCTTACCGGCAAACTTCACAATATTTTGCTTGTATGGATGCGCAGAGCCCTCGAAAACCTTCAGCCTGGCTAACCGCTTATCCCGTAACCGATTCTTCGGTAACATCCCTCTCACAGCGCGCTTCAGCACCTCTCCACCGCCCCATTTCTCGATCATGTAGTCCATACTCATCTGTTTGAGACTACCTGGCCGCGTCGTGTGCGTGTAGTATTGTTTCTGTGCTCGTTTCTTGCCTGTGACATGTAGATCGTGGCAGCCGACGGCAACCACGTAGTCACCACAATCGGTCGATGGGTCGTAGATAGGCTTGTGCTTGCCCATGAGGAACACGGCGATAGAGGAGGCTATCCGTCCCAGGGGGCGGGAATCGGAGCCAATGTCGATTTGGTGCCATGTCCGTGAGTAGGCCAGCCGCGTCTGTGATAATGGTTAGAGAGCATACTGCGACTCAGGTGAAAGTCGACGGCATACCTTGCCCACAACTTGAGACATGGTTGCTCAGTCTCTACCGCGACATGGAAGTATTGCGAGCAGTAACCCTAACGATAGAAGCTGTCGGGCAAAAGGTCGAGTGCGATTGATTGGGAGCTTGTTGAACGGAGACTGTTCTCCTTCAAAATATCCGCCGCTCATCGGAATTGGTGATTGAGCATGGGTTTTGCGCCAAGCATTAATAGCATGATCTGCTCATAAGATCCACCATAGTAAACTGGATGTTGGCCAATGAAATCCTAGCTCAAAACACATCTTGGCATGCATTCGCACTTTCCACACGAAATTTGGCGGACCACCATCATCGAGACCGATTTCACCGCGACCTCTATATCCGACAACTTCTCAACTGTGTCATCTCTGCAAACCGCCGTCACTTGAATATGTCGGCTACCCAGAGTGTACAGTGCTTCGGCAAGAAAAAGACTGGTAGGAGACCCAGTGTGAAAAAGATGGGCAAGGAAACACGATGCTAACAGATTGATTTTCACAGCCACCGCAGTCGCACACGCAAAGGTCAGATCTTGACTATAGTGGGATACGAGTAGAAAGAGAAGCTCACGGTTGTAACAGAAAGGCAAAGGCCTCGTCAAGGTCAATGGCAAACCTCTCGCCCTCGTCCAACCAGAAATCCTTCGATTCAAGGTACGCAATCCGCGACTTTATCCCAAAGTCAGATGTGAAAAGAAAAGAAGGGTCCCAATCTCACACCATGCTCTCTTATTTAGGTCTACGAGCCTCTCTTGATCGTTGGTCTCGACAAATTCTCCGAAATCGACATCCGAGTCCGCGTCACTGGCGGTGGTCACACTTCGCAAATCTACGCCATCCGTCAAGCAATTGCCAAAGCTGTTGTCGCTTACTACCAGAAATATGTTGATGAGTACACGAAGAACCAGCTGAAGCAAGCCCTTGTCCAGTACGACCGCACACTCCTCGTTGCCGACAACAGACGGTCCGAGCCCAAGAAGTTCGGCGGTCCAGGTGCCAGAGCCAGATACCAGAAATCATACCGTTAGGCAATTGTTTCATCTGGTTTGGCGGTGGTTGGTATTGTGATCGTGAGAAGACGGCCAGCGTCACTCGAATTACGCTTCTGAGGAGCATTTGCCGATCCAAGCTGGGAGGACGTGGTTTTTTGCGTCCAGCATTTGAATGGAGCACCAATCTATTCATATGGCGAAGTTAGCTCGTCCATGCGGAAAATGAGCAATTGCTAAACGCAGATGGACTTCTTGAAATGCAGAGCCATCTGCAGGTATGCAGAAAACGAATCCATACATTTAACCTCCAAGTTTTTCAGCCTTTCCTACTGTTACAATCATGTCGTGCCTCGATTCTTCCTTTCTAGATTCTACACAGCCACCCTTGTCTACGTGTCAACCACAACAGGAGCATATTCCCCTCTCTCTTCATCCTCATCCACCCCAGCAACACTGACCTCCAGCGTCTCACCATCCTCCAACTCCAACATGCCCCTCCTCAGCCTATCCCTCTCACTGGCCCAACCATATTGGTCCTCAAAGAACGTCTGCAACACCTCGACCTCCATCTTCAAGACCTTCCCATCATCCTCCCCAAACACCTCCTCCACAGTCCCGCGAAACCTGGCCCAGTTCCTCCGTAGCCACGCACTAGCCATCTCGTCCCTCAACTCAAACAGCCCGCCCTCCACGTCCTCCACCCGCCGCATCTGCTCACGCAGTACCCTCACGATCTGCACGAAGTAGGGCTCGACCTCCCGTACAGCATGGTAGCACGTGAATATTACCCCCAGCAGCCGCTTCCACTGCTCGAGGCAGCTGTAGTTCGCAAGCGTCAGGACCATCAGGAAGCAGAACTGTAGCTCGCCGAGTACATGGCTTGCACCTAGCGCCTTCCGCTCATTTTCGCTCATCGCTTTCTCCTGAGCAGTTGTTGTAGCCGAGGCGCTGCTCCTCGTAGAGGCGCTATTCCCGGCAGTGTCGATCAGTGTCGAGAGATACCAGCTGCGGTCGCGCGCACGGTCCGTACGCACGCGACCCACGTCGGTGGCTGCCCAGGTCTGCTTCAGGTCGATGGGGAGCAGGCGCAGCGGGTGCTGGTGCAGGGCGTCGTTGGCTTCGAGGTGCGAGAGGCCCGGGATCGTTTCGGTGTCGGACGGCGCGGACGAGATCGATGTCGTGATCCACTCTCGCGTGAGGATCCGCGTCAGTAGTGCTGGTGAGATGTAGGATGTTAGATCCGTCCATGTCGAGGCGTGGGCGTCGCTGTCGCGGTCATTGTCGTCTTCTGCGTCCGCTCCATCGTCTTCGCCCTCGGCTGTTTGATCATTCAAGCGCGTAGATAGACCATGTCTCCTGCTACGGCTTCCGGTGGCGTCTCTGCTCTGCTGCGCGGCGAGGTCGCTCGTCGCAGCCTGTAAAGCTTCGTAGTTTAAGAGGCCACGACGCGAGACTCGGGTGGTCGAGGAGATCACGTTCTGCGTTTCTTCCGGACCCTCGTTCAGTAGGTCAAGCGATTCGCTGTCTGCGTTCCATTGGACAATCTGGCATTCGTGGCCATCGCCGTCGGCGAGGTTTATCCAGCGGCCCTGTCGGATAGACAGCGAGGCATCTGTCCCGCTGTACAGAAAATGCAGGCCATGTGGGATTTCGCTGATTCCTTGGAATTGTGCTGATGAGTTGAACGAGATCAGGTCGATCCCGATGAACGTCTTGGGAGGGAGGTCTAGGAAGACTAGACTTCCTGCATGAGGTGGCTGAGACATAGTGTAGGGTGGTGTTCAAATTATTTTGGGGAAATTTCGAAAGAGGGGAGGAATATTTGGGGAGGGGTAGAACAGAGAACATTCACAATGTTGATGGAAGTTTACAGATGGCCACGGAATGAAATGCATCAATCAATTTTCATTGAGCTCTTAATCATTCAGCTAGTACATCGTCTGCCAATTCTGAGGAAGCAGAGAAGTGAAAAAAGCTGTTGTATTTCTGAAGACCAGGCTGATAATGCCGTTCTTCGCGTACTATTTCGTGGACTCTCATCACGCGCCACCCCCATATCATTTGACGGTCTCCGTGCAAGAGAGGAGCAAAAGTAAAGACTCCAGATCCACCAAGACTCGCACAACGCTCACAGACGACGACCACGACGACCCCCCTTGCGTCTTGTGCTGTCAGAGGGCGTGGGTGTGACATCTTCGATTCTGCCAATCTTCATTCCAGATCTGGCCAAGGCACGGAGGGCAGATTGAGCACCAGGTCCGGGGGTCTTGGTGCCATTTCCACCAGTTGCTCGGATCTTGATGTGCAGAGCGGTGATTCCGAGTTCCTTGCATCGTTGGGCGACGTCCTGGGCTGCCAACATGGCGGCGTAGGGAGAGGACTCGTCACGGTCGGCCTTGACTTTCATACCACCGGTCACACGGGTGATGGTTTCGCGGCCACTGGAAATCACCCAGATTGTTAGCCTATGAACTCTTTTGATCCCCGTTTTTGATGTGGTATTTTTCTTCCTCTTCCGGATCTCAACATGGTTGTCGGGGAGGACTTACGAAAGATCAGTGACATGGACGAAGGTATCGTTGAAAGAGGCGAAAATGCGGGCGACGCCGAAGACGAGTTCACCTGATAGATTTCATGAGTCTGGTGCTATTTATGCGAAAGGGTTTCCAATTTCTGTCACTCACCTTCGCGGACCTGGGGACCCAGCGAGATGTTCTCGGTGGCAGCGCGTTCGACCTTCTTCTTGGGAGCCATATTGACGATTACCAGCGAGGGCTTGAAAAGTGCTGTTTAGTTGACTCGTTGGTGGGATAAAGGGAACTTTGCACAAATTCGTGCCTGCGAATGTTTCGTTTGTGGGAGAAATCATTAGCGTCGGCGGTGGGAAGCACCGAAAAGCTAAACTGCTTTTGTACATAGCTCTTGGCGAAGACTCGACAGAAGTTTTGGTTTTTCCAGCTGGAGCTTCTCTGCTTCCTATGCACCATTATGACTCAACCTCGAGATTAGGAACTGGAATGGTCCTGTGTCTTGGGTAGAATAAGAGCAAGTTCATCGAAGAAGGGTGCATGCTCCTCTGCCTTGTTTGCTATGCGCTCATGCACCACCCCGAAGTGTTCATACGGCCGACTTTTCGCTTTTTAACATCGATTCTCCTCAAACAAAATGGCTAACGCTACAGTGGGCATTATTGGGATGGGCGATATGGGGCGCATGTATGCGAGGAGATTTAGTCAAGCTGGATGGAGGTAGGCCGCGATGTTGTTGTTTGGCCTTGTAAGAGCTTGCCAGCACCTGACGTGCTTGTTTCATTTGGTATGTCTAAATTTATTTCATCAAGCCCCTCTTTTCTCAAGGATGACTTGAGTGCATTTGGCTCGAGCATAATCTCGATGGCCGCGCTTCACCATTCTGGTGCTGTCTTTGGTCATGGTGATTGTCACTGATGTAACTTATCTCGCTACCTTACTTTTTTTTTGTCTGAGGATTTCTATTCCACTTTTCCCACTGATTTTGACATGCTCGTATGAGACATGGACTAACATCCACCTTCACAGATTCGTAGCCCCTTTGGGTCAGCTTAATTGCTGGAGGATTATCAACTGATAGATTGTCATCCGCAGAGTCAATGCTTGCGATCGACCAGACAAATTTCAAGCACTCCAGAAGGAGTACGAGAATGAGGTTTGTGTCGTCGGCAACGTTGATGAAGCATGATTGACCAGATGTAGAGCAAAATAAACATTTTACCAAATGGTCACCTTGTTTCCCGAGACAGTGATTGGATTATCTACAGCGTTGAAGCAGAGGTTATCGGCCAAATTGTCGCCGAGTATGGCCCTTCAACCAAGGTCGGAGCTATAGTCGGTGGACAAACCTCGTGCAAAGCTCCAGAACTAGCTGCCTTCGACAAGTATCTGCCCAGTGACGTTGAAATTGTTTCTTGCCATTCTTTACACGGTCCTGCAGTAGACCCAACTGGGCAGCCACTTGTGGTTATTCAACATCGAGCTTCCCAGAAAAGTGTTGACCTTTGTGTTAAGATTCTTTCATGTCTGAACTCCAAACTTGTCTTCCTCTCGGGTGAGAAGCATGACAGAATCACGGCGGACACCCAGGCTGTTACGCATGCAGCCTTCTTGAGCATGGGCACCGCATGGGCAGCCAACAAGCAGTTCCCTTGGGAAATCAATCGTTACATTGGGGGAATCGAAAATGTCAAAATCAACATCACCTTGCGAATCTATGCTAACAAGTGGCACGTGTATGCCGGCCTTGCTATTCTCAACCCTGCCGCTGGAGAGCAGATTCGGCAATATGCGCAATCAGTCACCGAGCTCTTCAAGTTAATGCTCGGTGGTCACCGAGAGGAACTTGCAAAGAGGATCAAGACTGCAGGTGCAGCGGTATTTTCCCAACACGCGGCTGATCAGACCCTCCTCCTCGCCGATGATGTCCTGGATCGCTTCTCGCTGGCTGAGACGCCCAAAGAGCGAAAGCCTAATAATCATCTGAGCTTATTAGCCATTGTGGACTGCTGGTGGAAACTCGGTATTGTGCCGTATGACCATATGATCTGTTCCACACCAGTAAGCAGATCTCATCGTAAGTGTGTATCTATTTCTAACTCTGGATCAGCTTTTCCGCATCTGGCTTGGTGTCACCGAATACCTTTTCCGCAACGAGAGACTGCTTGATGAGGTCATCAATACCGCCATTGAAGACGACACATTTCGCTCGGATGATCTAGAATTCACCTTCGCAGCTCGGGTAAGTCTTTCCAGCTCTGAACATTTCCCTCTGTTGCATACACGAATGCGGGTCGTATTGGACTTCTGCATGTTTCAGCACCAAATTCAAATCAAATGCTGGGCGGTCTCTGCCGAGCGGGGGAAACGACGCCCTCTTTCATCATAGGCTAATGAAGCTCTCGTTTAGGCTTGGTCTGAATGTGTCTCCTTTGGCGCATTCGATGCATATCGCGACCGGTTCACGAACATACAACAATACTTTGCGCCCAGATTCCCTGACGCTGTGAGGCTCGGTAACGAGATGATCAAAGAGATCATGGTGCACACAAATTCTTAGTGCTTGATTAGAAACTACCATTGACAAGAATCCCTAGGCATGTGGTTTGGGGGGCTGCAGGCACCCTCGAATAGACGTCAGGCGTTTCGTTTCAAAAGAAGATGGCCAGCTACTGAGGGACGCGGATTTGTAGGATGCAATCTACAATGAGCTCCATACAATGTTGCAGATGCTCGGAGTGGACATGGTGACACCTCATTCGTAGGTTAGCAATCGCAAATTACTCCAGTTGGAAGGTGCAATACTCCAGGGCGAAATCCGGTGCATCGAACAAACGAAGATGCCAATAATAGTCATGTTCAGACTTTGGTAAGAACTCGGCAGGACTGTGAGGAAAAATCCCGGCTTTCGTAGACTATGCCTCTCTGGATGTTCCACCACGGAACAGCTCCTACCAATAAGGATAGGGATAAGTCTATCGCTGACAGATACGTACGTGGAATCATTGATTTTCGTCAACGTCTCACATGCCTTGTGGATAAACGATTTGCTTGGAAGGGAAGCATGTGCATCATCTGAATTATCAAGGAGATGTTTGGTGTGCTCGGAGTCCGCCATCAAGGCGTCTTGCTCTTGAACTAACAGTACGAGTACTGTGTCATATCTGATGACAGACTCGGCTCCAGCGATTGACAGTCCGGATAGAATGCGGTAGTTGCTCACGCACTGATAGCGTCTTATCGCCTTATCGAGTACTGTAGCTTCCCTGAATGCTCTCCTCAAACTGCTCTGACGCCATCACCAGCCTCCGTGTACACGCGTAAGGCTTATAATGGGTGGATGTGGATATGCTATACTGCGTCGGAGGAGTAAACTACCTGATCCCATCTCTGTTTGGGTACACGGAGTACATATTCCGAGTATGACAATGGCTGATGGCGTAGATGGCAGTGAGATGCGCCACGTTCTGATAGGGCAGTGAGAGTGGGATACGCGGCAGTTGGTTTGACCAGGTCCCGATCTGATAATGAAAGTGTCTGCCAATGCAGTAGGATTCGTACTCTTAGCATAGAGGCAGCGAGGGTCCAATAAGGTCTCCTCTGGTGTCTGGTATCCGCACGCGAGGGAGCCAATAATGCATGCTGTAATTGGCATGTTTTCACATCTCCAGGCTGGGCAGGGAACGCTCAAGGGATTTTACAATTTTTGCCAAGCATCGCGCTAGATATTGAGCTGTAAGCTGCTCCGGAAGCTAGAGCTAAAGCAGTTAGCCGCCGTTCACTCCCCCTTGAAATTTGAAAGTGGCAGCCACGGGGGAGTCGCGGAACTCGTGCTTTCCACTCTGGATCTGGGAGGCGTGTCTATTTTTGAATAGCATCGACCGAACATCTTGAATGCGGACACGCGACTCTCTCTCTGTGTCGGACTTCCCCCGTATGAGGGTGGTGATAACTCCTACATTCGTAATGGAGCTTCTGGTGACAACTATCCTCTCAATGTTGGTGAATGATGGATGATTGCTGATGTCGGAACAGGCCAATGAATGGGCCACGTCATGCCTGTACTGAGCCGTACCAATCCTGCTTACAAGGGGGCTTGGACGTCCGTAGGAAGGTTAGGGGCATCTTTTCGTTTTCTTGGCCACCTCCCTGGATGTATGTATCTACCCCCTTGGCAAGCCACCGAGACACGCAATCCACAGCAATTTACCGCCATGACAGAGTTTTGCCATGCGACGGTAAGTGGACCGGGCTTCTGTTCTGGCCTGAAAAGCCAGAGAATTCAATAAAGACGCCCGCCCCTTCACTCCACGCGACGCGATTTCTCTTCAAGTACAGTAGGTGATATTTTGATGCCGATTGAGAATCAAGGCGTACAAGAGCCTACGAGACAACCTAGACTTGTGGATTCCATATCGTCGTCGGTACCGTTCATCTCGCATTGATTGAAACAATCATGGCTTTCAGGAAACTCTTGGCCGCCAGTGCACTCGGTAAGCGGTGTTTGATCGTCCCTTTGACGAACTCGTGGTCGCTAATTCTGTTTAGTGGCGAGCTCGACAGCACAGTTTGCACAATATACCTCGGGTGAGGGCTTTGGACTGGCTGTCAATGTACCTGATAGTACCGCCTCCTCTGGAAGTGGTTCAATCTATCTCCAGATCAGTGCTCCCAAAGGCACGGAATGGATCGGATTCGGTCAGGGTTCCCGCATGTCCGGGGCGAATATGTTCATCGTATATTCGGCGGACAGCAGCAACGTCACAGTGTCACCTAGACTAGGTACTGGCCACGTTGAGCCCCAGTTAAACTCGGACGCATCAATATTTGTGCTTGAAGGCACTGGCATCACCAGTGATGGCTCCATGGTCGCTAATGTTCGTTGCGACTCATGTCTAAGCTGGAGCGGTGGCAGTATGGACGCAACCAGCACTTCTAGCAACTGGATATATGCCTACAAGAATGGCGACCCTCTCGATACTACAAGCACCGACGCGAGTATTTCGGAACATGATGGAACCGGCACTTTGAGCTTGGATTTGACCTCAGGAGTGGGTGGAAGTTCGTCCAATCCTTTCATCGCTGCTGCAGACACTCCTCCAGCTGAAAGCACAAGTGCAAGTGCAAGTGCAAGTGCAAGCGGAAGTGGTAGTGGAACAGCAACTGCTACGGAGGGTGCGTCGCAGACGGGTACCCAGACCACAGCTGCTACCGTTACGCCATCAACATCTAATATCGTCAGTGGTCCTATTGCTAGTTCCAATCCCTCATCCTCAAGTGGGACCCGGACCGGGTCTACACCGAACAACACCGTCCGTACTGCTCATGCCGCCATCATGTCTCTGGTCTTCGTGGTCATGTTTCCTCTGGCTGCATTGACCATCTATTTGCCTCACACCCAGAAGGTCAGACTAATTCACGCGCCGCTGCAAGTAGTCAGCATCATCCTGATGATTGCTGGCCTTGGCCTGGGAGTTCAACTGGGCAAGCAGATCGATTCGCTCGATGAATATCATATGGTCATTGGCTACATTATCGTTGCCTGGATGGTGATTGCCCAGCCCGCCTTAGGTCTCGGGCAACATCTGCACTTCCGCAGAAATGGAACACGAAGTCCGATGGGTAGTGGCCACCGCTGGCTAGGTCGGATCATGATCGCGCTAGGCGTTGTCAACGGAGGCTTGGGCTTTCACCTAACTGGACCAGTTGGAAGTCGTTACGTGCCTACATACGCCGTCATCGTGTACAGCGCTTTTGCTGTAGTGATGTTCCTGATCTACATGAGTGTGATTGTATTTTCCACTGCTTTCAGCAGGAAGCGGTCTGATGCCTTGCCGGGTGAGAAGCCTCGACCAGCGACCGACGGCTACGAGATGCACGGAAGGTCATTCGAATCTCAACGGAGGCAAAATGCTTGAACTACTATAGATTCTTCCATCCACACCGGCATAGACACTGCCGATACAACTTGACGTCTTTCATATCTTCTGATGATGGGTATGGGCGGCACACATTGGGCTCAACAATTGTGGACTCTGATCTCAACTGCTTAGGAAGGGGGAAGGGGTATGAAGCAATGCTAGAGAAAATATATGGCTTATGGGAATGGCGTCAACCTTAACGAAACTGCTTTGTATAGTGCATGACTCTATCACTTGATGCATCGTCATATCAAATAGCTGAACGCTTGAAACTTCACGAAAATGAACTGATGTGTTCTAAAATTTGAACATACAAGTGATTAGTGCCTCGGATCAATGCTTTGATGGGGCAATCTCGGGTCCCTAGTTCGGCCTCTATGGGTGCCAGCAAAGTGTCTACTGTGGAAATTGACCTGGACAGATCTGTCGCTAAATGACACTGCAATGTGAGAACGTTGGCGGGCGTCTTGCACTGTCCCTCCTCGGAGCGACGAGTTGCTGTTCTATCTTTGTGAAAGAGACCCTTTCAGCGTTTCTAGTACGATTTACCCTGAATGCCATTACATCCTGCTATACGAGTGGTGTAAGGCGAGACCGTTTGAAGTGCTGGGAATCACACCCCTCTTTGGGGCATGTATTCTTTTACGATTACGATTTCTTGTGCCACTGCTCTTGCGTATACGGAGTATTGCCGTGGGTATCTGGCTAAAATAATTATGGGCAGCATTCACAAGCTTCTTCCACACCCGAGCGATCTCCAGCTGCATAGCTGGTTTTCCCCAACCCCCGATCGGGCCGACACACGCACGGCATTGGTGGGAGCCGCACAACCCAAGGAGAGATGCCGCGATAAAAGCACGCGAAGCTTCAAGGATCAGAACCGTTGGAAAAGGCTTCCCTCCTACAAGCAACACTTGGGGTAACTGACTGGCCAAAGCGACGAAATTTGCATGGATATTCCATGGGTATTTCACCATGCTATTATACGATGAATTGTCCATTTCTCCATCTTCATGGAACATGTGGCCCATCTTTCCAGCCTTATTCTAGACGCGGAATAACTTGCCGCTGGTTTCTAGAGCGACTCTTTGATTGGGGAATCTGTGCCCCGTCCATCTACCACGATATTTTGTCTGGGGAAGCTCAACACGATCCGCAGGTCGATCGTGACGCTAGAGGACCGTCTCGTGCTACTGATACAACAATCATACATGGATCTTCTGTTATATGGGCGCCACCCCAAATAACCTATGACGTTTGCAAAAGTCTACCGGGTATTGAGATGAGAAAAGCCCAGCGGCCGCGCGCGCGGTATATGATGGCGCTCTATCCTGCTTCCACTACGAACAATATTACATATCTAGCTTCACGATTCGCCCAAGATAACTTTACAACTATAGGATCAAAACCCATTCTTTAGACCGCATCATGGGGCTTCTAGGACCCAAGAAACCATACTTTGGTATGAAAGGAGGATGGCTGACCTTCTGGATCACGGTAGCTTGTGCAACGGATATGACGCTCTTTGGCTATGACCAAGGTGTATTTGGTGGTGTCATTGTCACAAGAGACTTCCTGCAGACGCACGATCTAAGTGGTCCATCTAAGACAAATCTTCTAGGTTAGTTTTAGTCATGCTTTGAACTCCATTCCTGACTCCCTCAAAGGTACGGTCACAGCAATCTATGACATTGGATGTTTCTTTGGGGCCATTACAGCAGTCTGGCTTGGAGAGTCACTCGGACGGAAAAGGTCAATACTTGTTGGGGCCACGATTATGAGTGTCGGTGCCATTCTTCAGACCTCGTCATACAGTGTTGCTCAAATGATCGTCGGTCGTATCATAGCAGGCATCGGGAATGGTATAAGCACGTCAACCGCTCCAGGTAAATATGCTTATGCTGAAGCGAAAATGCAGTCTTGCTCACCGCAATTCCTAGTCTGGCAAACGGAGACATCCGCCATTAAATGGAGAGGAAAGTTGGTCGTCATCGAGCTCATTTTGAACATTGCGGGCTTCTCGTTGTCGAACTGGGTCACCTATGGATTCTCATACCTGGGTGGACCGATCGCCTGGAGGTTTCCCCTTGCTTTCCAGTTTATCTTTATTTTCATTCTCTTCGCTACCGTTCCTTGGCTACCAGAGTCCCCAAGGTAAGCAGTATTATTTCCGCGTGAAACGCATCTAACCACTGGCACGCAGGTGGCTCATTGCTCACGAGTACGAGGACGAAGCTTTCACCATCCTTGCCGACCTCGAAAATAAGAGCGAAGACGACCCATTCATTTTGACACAACACAAGGAAATCGTCTACACCGTGCAGTACGAACGGCAAAACGCTGTGAAGTGGATGGATTTACTTCGAGGCAAGACAAGCGATAAGGGCGGTACGAAAACCATACGTCGCCTCATCTTGGGCGCTGGAACTCAAGCAATGCAGCAATTGTCAGGTAAGTCCACCCTCATACGAAGTTATGGAAATGAAACTGATGGGTACGCCGCCAGGAATTAACGTCACGAGCTACTATCTGCCCACTGTCCTGATCAAGTCTGTGGGCCTCGATGAAAAGATGGCACGACTTCTTGCTGCATGCAACAGCGTCTCATACTTACTCTTTTCCCTCATTGGCATTCCCAACGTGGAGAAGTGGGGTCGGCGCAACATGATGATTTTCGCTGCTTCTGGTCAATCATTCTGCTACCTCATGATCACCATTCTGATCAGGTACAATGAGATGCCAGGATATGCTCATGCGAAAGAAGTTGCATCTGCTTCAGTTGCATTCTTTTTCCTGGTAAGTGATCTTGACCTCTCAAATGGAGTGCGGAAAAGGTTTCTTAAAATGAACGCTGACCAGACGATTAGTACTACATCCATTTTGGTATTGGAATGCAGGGTGTGCCATGGTGTACGTTGCAATAGTCAACTTGACGCGTATCTTGACTGACCATCCTCTACAGTATATCCAACGGAGATTAATTCCCTCGCCATGCGTACTAAGGGTGCTGCAATCGGCACTGCTACAAACTGGATTTTCAATTTCATGGTCGTGGAAATCACTCCTGTAAGTCTCTCGACCGGTTTGAAACACCCTTTATTTGCAGCCTTGCGAGAATGACTCCATTATTTGAAAACCTCCACCACAAGAACCTCTCACTGACCCCCTTCTCTCCTTCTAGATCGGCATTCAGAACCTGAGGTGGAAGTTCTACATCGTGTGGACGGTACTCAACGCCTCCTTCATCCCCCTCATGTACCTATTCTACCCAGAGACCGCCGGCCGGTCTCTCGAGGACATCGATGACTACTACCGCACCAACCCGCCTCTACTGGTCTTCCGGGACAAGGACGTTACCTCCAGCAAGCGACCAGAGAAGTACCGTGTCCGAGAGGAGGAAGAAATTCGACGAAATAGTTCCGTCAACGCCGCCACTTTCAGGCGCCAGAGCAGACTGAGCTATAACGCCATGGCGGATGCACAGCAATCGGTTCTGCGGAGCGAGGATCGTGATGATGACTACGAGGGGAAGACGGTGCATGGTTCGCTAGAGCAGGAGCGACATCGTCATAAGGAGCATGTGTGAATGGGATTGTCAGCTGCATTTTAGCAGGAGATCGATACATAGGGTCTGAAATTTAGTTGGCTAATTTCATGCCAGATTGAGTGCCTCGTCCCCTGCCATGGCTATGTAGTTATGACTTTTGGCGCACACCGACAACTCTCTGAATTATTCGGAGCAGGACCCACTTGGTAGACTATTTCATTCATCTCAGCGGCTTAAGAAAGTTGCGGGGAATTGCTCGGGTGGTAATCGTGTCATGCACTGTTTTGCCCAAATATAGGCCAGTCCTCACTGCTCAAGTAATACGTGTCACGTCCATCTAAAGTCTACGCGTCCCTCACGCGTTGAGTACCCGCATAGGGCGTTAGTGCCCCGCCAGTTAGCGGTTGTCGCTTCCCGCGGGGCCCAGGCGAGGCGTTTCCAAATAATTCCCACTGACCGTTCGCACCGTTCCAGATGCGACAGATTAAAGTCAATGGTTTGGCAATTTTCAATAAGTCCTCCTTTCCTTGGATGACTTATTGCGCCTTCTTTCGATGGGACTTCTGACTGTGATGGCCGCCCTGACACAAAGATTGGGCGAACTCTTAATCCCAGCCTTGTACGCCGTATGCAGCCCGGGCTACGGTGGCTGCGCTTACGCTGAAACAAGTTGGCCAGACCGTGGCTGTCCTTCTTCAGTAGATAAATGAGGTTGAAGCCGAGCGCGACCAGCCAAACGGGAATGGCTACTCGCAACCCTCGATTCGAAGTGCCCAAGGATCTCATAGACCTTTCAACTACCCTACAGGCCATGGGCGCATCCACAATTTGAATCCCAGTTCTTCCCATCTTGCCTCGAACCCTTTGCTCATCTTCTCCCGTTGAACGAGCCCGGTCATTTCTGATCGTGACTTGGAACGTTCTCCTGGACTTCTACCATGTCGTCGCCGAAGGAAGAGCTTGGTGGTCATGAAATGCCTGATAGCAGATCGGCAAAGAGGAGGAGAGTTAACGATCGACCATTGACTCATGATGACTACAATGTCGGATGGGTTTGCGCGCTACCAAAGGAACAGACCGCAGCCGTAGCCTTGCTTGACCAGAAGCATCCTGATCTACCCATACCGTCCACTGATCACAACACCTATACTCTTGGTTCAGTAGGAGAGCATAATGTGGTCATAGCCTGTCTACCCTTTGGCATGATTGGGAATACATCATCAGCAACTGTTGCTGCTACGATGATCGCCACGTTCCCGTCCATCAAGTTCGGCCTCATGGTAGGAATTGGAGGTGGTATTACGCCAAAGGTCAGACTCGGCGATGTAGTAGTGGGCACACCTATTGGCAAATATCCTGGGGTGATTCAGTGGGATTGAAAGGCCAAAGAGGACGGGATCATGAGCACGAACGGCAACGGTGAGGTCGACGTCAATGTTGATCGAAGCGACTGCTTTGAGCGAACAGAAGCGCTAGATAAACCCCCTCGGGCACTGCTGACAGCGCTGACAAAGCTCCAAACCCATCATGACCTGCATGGAGCGCAGACCTCTAGTTACTTGGAAGGAACGGCCGCAAGATACCCACGGTTAGCGTCCAAGTATCTAAGGCATACATCTTTCAAAGATATTCTCTTCCCCCCAGACGTCACTCATGTAAAGAGGCCTTTGACAGATTATGCGAACAATGATGATGCCGAGGAGGATGCCGAAGAGGACTGCCGCTTCTGTGACATGGAGAAGCCGGTAGCAAGGAAACCGAGAGATATGCGTGTGCATTATAGACTAATTGCGACCGGCAACCAAGCTATCAAGACTGGCCCGTTCCGAGATAAACTCAAAAACGATCTCGAAGATGAACTTCTCTGTTTTGAGATGGAAGCAGCTGGACTTTTGCATCACTTCCCGTGCATGGTAATTAGAGGAATTTACGACTACGCAGACTCACAAAAATAAGCGATGGCAAGAGCACGCCGCTGCTGTTGCAGCCGCTTTTGCCAAAGAGCTCTTAGAATTTGTGCGGTCGCAGGACATCGCTGCCGAGCGTGCGGTGAAGGACGTCCTTCATGACAGTTAGTGGGTGTCTCATCTTCCCTAAACGCAGAATCTAACAACATTTGGAGTCCTTGACAACACGTCAACGATTAAGGACGCGACCACACAGGTGACAACGAAGCTTCACAAAGATGAAGACATTGAGGTCCTCAACTGGGTATCAGCGGCTGAATACAACTTGGAGCTTTCGAGCTTCCTCCACGATCGACAACCGGAAACTGACGAATGGTTTTTGAACTTACCCGAGTATCAGGCTTGGCTACAGTCCAAACAACAGACTTCATTTTGTCCTGGTATTCCCGGTGCCGGAAAGACAGTCATCACAGCAATGGTAATTCATGATTTGAACGCTCGATACCACAAAGGTCCGAGTATTGGGATTGCTTACATTTGCTGCAACTCTAAGAAGCAGCAGCATATTCAGAAGCCCGACGGTCTACTCGCAAGCTTGCTGAAGCAGCTAAGCCAGAATAGATATGTTTTGCCAGAGGCCGTCAAGACTCTCTATGAAGTTCACGCGCTGGGAAAATCACGCCCATCTGCTCAGGAGCTGTCGGCAGCACTTCGGTCTGTCGTTTCTATTCATTCGAGAGTTTTCTTGGTCGTTGTTTCACTGAATGAATGTGATGTATCCAATGGCCACCGAACGAGGTTTATAAACGAGCTCCTCGAGCTTGGGACAAATCACGGGGTGAACGTACTTGCAACCTCAAGATATATACCACAGATCACGGAGACATTTCGCGGAAGGCCAAACCTCGAGATCTATGCACATGAAGATGATATACTCAAATTTGTGGAAGGGCAAAGGTTCCGTTTCCCAGACTTGGTGAGCAGCGACAACCAACTACTACGCGAAATCCATGGCAGAATTGTGGATTCTGTACAGGGAATGTAAGTTGCATCCAGTGGACTTCCATCTACAATCAAATGTAGTGCTAAGGCAATTAATAGGTTCCTTCTCGCTCGACTATATGTGGACTCGCTAGTGGGAAAGATATCACCGACCGACATGCGGAATGCTCTACTGATGTTACCGACTGGCTCTGATGCGTACGACTATGCTTATGACGCCACGATGGAACGCATCTGTGGGCAGGTTGCCGACCACGGAACCTTGGCACTGAATACTTTGCTATGGGTTACGTGCTCAATGAGGCCTTTGACGGTTCCTGAACTCCAGCATGCACTTGCTGTAGAACTCGGGAAAGTTGAGCTTGACCTGGGCAAGCTCTCACCAATCAAAATCATAACCTCTGTCTGTGCTGGACCAGTAATCGTTGATGAAAACACTAGCATTGTTCGCCTAGTCTATTATACAGCGCAAGAGTACTTCGAACGGACTCAGGGGCAATGGTTTCCTGGGGTGGAATCGATTATCACTTCGATTTGTACTACCTATCTATCATTCAGCGTCTTTGGTAAAGGGCCTTGCATTACCGAGGCTGAATTCGACGACCAACTGATCTCATATCCGCTCTATTGCTATGCTTCAAACAATTGGGGCCATCACGCTCGCTATTCTACAGCTCTCGATCCCGGGGTCTTAGAATTCCTGTTTAAAGCGGCTCAAGTCGAGGCTTCAACCCAAATATTGACGATGGACAAGGTCTATATTGAGCGAGATCTTTCTAGATACAGTCAATACTATGTTCGGCAAATGACGGGTCTTCACGTTGCTGCGTATTTTGGACTTGAACAGCTTGTTGGCGACCTTCTTCGCAGAGAGGTGAGAACCAATGCGAAGGACTGCCGTGGTGGAACACCGCTCTGGTGGGCCGCCAAGAGAGGACACAAAGGGAGTGGTCGAACTATTGCTCAAAAGCTCTGAGGTTGACGTTAATGCGGGGGCCTCGAAAGGCCGCACACGCGGGGCATAGAGACGTGGTCAGGCTACTGCTAGCAACCCGAGGAATTAACGTCAACACGAGGGACGATTCTGGCAATACAGCGCTACTTGAGGCTGTCCAACAGAAACGGGACATAGTGATCCAGTCGCTTCTCGCAATCCCGGGGATTGACGTGAATGCAAAATCAACTCTTCATGGCCGAACACCGCTCTTTGAGGCTATAAATGGGAGGCAAACGACGGTAGTGCAGGCACTATTGGCTAACCCTAGCATCAATGTAAACATCAGGGACGAGGCTGGTATCACACCGCTATGGCAGGCTGCTCACAATGGAGAGATATTGCTCGTTCAGATGTTGCTCGCATCTCCTCGCGTTGATGTGAATGCAGCTGATATCTCCGGCAGAACACCACTCGCGGAGGCTGCCTGGGAAAATCAACAATTGGTGGTTGAGCTACTCCTAAGTATTCCGAGTATCAGCTTGGGTGAGAATATTGGTTTCTGCTGGGGCCTACTGTGACAAAGCGTACTCTGGGGGCATGATGCTAGGATAGTCCAACTACTGCTCGGAAAGGTCGCAAAACCAGGTCTCTATGTAAACGCCAAAGACCAAAACGGTCGAACGCCGCTGTCGTTGGCCGCGGAGCGCGGCCACAAGGCGATCGTTAAGGTCCTGCTCAACGTCCCCGGAGTCGACATCAATGCACGCCGGAAACGCGATGCAACACCGCTGCACTTGGCCGCTGCTTCAGGACACCACGAAGCGGTTCAGCTCCTATTGACGGCGCCAGGCGCCGGTGTAAATGCGAAAGGGGGATTTTACAGTAGCGGCGGTAGTAGTATTGCGAGGCCGCTATTTGTCCCGGGAGAAATCTATCACGGCCCAACGCCGCTGTGGGTCGCCGCGGCGAGCGGTCAACACGAAGTGGTCCAGATGCTTTTGGCGGCGCCTGGGATCAATGTGAATGCGAAAGGGGGACCGGGCGGTGGGACACCGCTTTTGATCGCGGCGCAGAATGGGCACGAGAAAGTAGTCCAAATACTGCTCGGGGCGCCTGACGTGGACCTATCGGCAAAGGACGACACCGGCAGGACGCCGCTGGAGATAGCCTCCTGGAAGGGACATGATAGGATCGCCAAGCTGCTGCAGCAAACCCAGCAGAAGGCGAAGGCGAAGACGGCGTCAATCTGGGATGCAGTTCCGCGAATTACGTCGTAGCGGGCTAGCCGGCGAGCTGGCTACGGCGAGCACAATGTACAAACAAGCTGCTATTGCTACAAGGAGTGCCAACTACTTTAGAGATACTCCCTACCATGTTTCTATGCGAGGAGCATCTGGACTGCTATATCACCCCATTTCTGAATGTACATAGAATCAATGACGCTCGATCGTTTTGAGAGCTTCGAGACGCTCACCATACACCACATGCGTATGTAACGCAATTAAATACCCTCCAGGAAGCAAGTGATACGATAGCACATGGTATGATCGAGCCGTTGGCTGTATATAACAAAAGAGGCGTAACTAAGCCCGGGCTATGAGTAGCAGAGGTTGTGTACACCGTTCTCCGTAACCCCCAATATCCAAATCAGGCAACGCTGCATCCCTGCCTCCAGATGTGTGTTTAGGCTCATTGGTGGCGCATAAAGAAAGCTTGGTCAAACGGCCTCGACCCAGGAAACCCAGCCAGGCCTTTCTTGGGTTGTTCGTGTCGATCACAGGATAAATGGCTAAAAGCATTGCTGTGAGAAGGAGGATCTCACCCCACTCCAGCGAGCATGGAGACCAGGACTACCGGGGTATTAAACAAGGGCGATGATGCTCGAGGCCATTGAGGCACATAATACGCTGGGTTATCGTGGGCAGGCGCGGGATCATACACAACAAGCGGTGTCAGATAATATAATATATGTGCTTGGTGTTTCTTTCCAGCAGGGCTTGATGATAATGGCATTCGGTATCAGGTCGAGCGCCCATATTGCATTATCCACCGTGTGCATTTACACCGTGGGGACTATGCAATGCACTACGGTCCCGAGCATACCAGATCGACATTGGATCGACACCTGGGCGTCGATGCCGCAGTTGACTGAGCCAGCCAATCTCCCTCCAGTCCCATATGTATGTTCGTCCTCCATCCCAGCGCTGGTGGCGCCTTGAAGATAGCAAGCTATTGACGAGCGTGAGTAGCATCAACGAACGACACGGCCGTAATGTTCAAGAATAGCACGATGCGCCAGACGGTGCACGTCTCCACGGGCGCATCGCAGATCCGGCTTCGCATCTCGAATGCTTTAGGCCTGACGGGTTTACCCATCACTGCTGTGACGTCGTCTCTCCCATTCAACGGGTCAGCTGTGGTCGGGCCCATCCAGCCTTCGAGCTAGCAGACCGTGACGTTCAGTGGCGGAGAGGAGTCAATCGTCATTCCGAACGGAGCGCTTGCGGTTTCTGATCCTTTTGGATTTCTCGGTCGAGCCGAAGCCTAACTTGGCCGTAACGATATAGTTGTCCGGGGGACAGAATGGAACGGCGATTACGAGCCATCCTGGAAGTCGGACCACGACGTGGTTGACTGTAGGGAATCAAATCGCGGCGGCGAACTTGACCGGACCGCTCTTGAATCCCACTGCGCACTGGTGAGTCTGGCATGCATGTCGCTCTTGAGCCCTTGCTGGCTTGCATGGAAGGTATTTCATCTCTGCCGTCGAAGCATGGTCTCTCCCTGAGTAACGTACCTTTGCGATTATTGGCGATAGCATCACGGATGGCAGGGGCAGCGACACCGACAAGAATAACAGGTGAGATACAACTTGTTCCTCCCCCTTTTGGCTCTTCCCCCTACACTGGATGTTGAACATAGTTCTTAAGAAGGCCGAATCTCGTCCTCGCTCGCCTTCAATCCTCAAAAATCTCCGTTCGCGAAAGTCTCTCTCCTTCACCAATCTCGCGACAGGGGGTAATCGCATTTTGTACGATGGGCTTGGCCTAGTGTCCTCTCTCGCTTCGATCGAGACATCCTCAGCCATGCGGGTGTACGCCACGCAATGATTCGAGGGCGTCAATGACATTGGAGTTGCAGGGCCTGATATTGCGAATCCACCTCTCATATCAATCAAATTCTGCTCTCCACATGTGGCTATACGAATCGACACGCATGGTCCTGGAAAAAGGGTTGTTTATCTGCCTGGATCCTACCAAGACGGTATGTCCGAAGATTAAAACTCGCCCATGACTGTTTGCTGTCGAGCCAACTGCATATTGACTAGACGACGAGCTTGGTCTGCCACCCAAGTATCTTCTGCCTGTTGTTCCAAAACCTCGAAGTCAGCATCATTTAGCAGGATCAGATCGTTCACCCCCGACACGGCAGTAGTCAGCCATGATAGCAACGCCTTCAACACCCTGATACGAATTGCTGGACCGCCCATCATAACAAGGTTCACAAACTCGAACACCTCTTCGTCGTGGAAGACTACGCTCGTAGATGCAGTACGAGCTTCTCTGGTGGCGGTCTTATGTGCAAGCATAGTAAGCATGAGTAACGAGGGTAGCCTAAAGTGACCAGCTCGAAGAAGGAAGTTGGCTGTGTTCGTCAATTCGGCGGACGTTTTAATTTCCTGTAGGTATTCATTACTCGCGTTGGGGCTGTTTCGGAAGTCCCAGAATGCAGTGTTCAAAGCGTAGAGGACGCTAAGCATGAACCTACAAGTTGGCTCATCCAGTTCGGTCGAAGGGAGAGCAACATATTTTCCCAGAGCAGAGTCTTTGCTGAATGCACATACTCGACTCTCGAGATTCGGAGAACTTCGCTCATCTTCGTCAGATGAAGACGTTAGACAACTCCGAACGCTCATGGGTGATGGAGGACCACTCTCAGCTCGCAGAGAATAGTTCCAAACCTGGTACTTGTGAAGTCGTTTCACGATTGATTTGAACTTGACTCGAAATTCGGCTTCACAGCTATAAAAAAGACCCGGGATCCCTTGATCGACAAGGATCTGAACTACCATGAGCCCGAACGGTTCAGTTATGTCTCTGACCGCTTTTGCTCCGCCGTGCAACGAAAGAATCTTTTTAACTGCTCTGACGTGCTGCTCTGCTGCCGGGAGATTTTCCATCCGAAACTCGGCACCGGCTGCCATCGCGGCATTGAAAGCAACATCCAGCGAAGGGCGGGGCTCACTATTGAGGCTCTCCTTCATCAGCTTGTATGCTTCGGTTTTTCGGACAAGGATAGATAATTGTCTATCATGTTTGGTTGGCTGAAAGCTGACGACCTGGGATTCAATGATCAGTAACATCCAACTGAGAACGATGGCATTGTCTGCGAGGACACGAAGGCTGCTTGAGCGAATGATCTCGGAAGCTTCTCCTGAGCTCGCTCCGTAAAGTTGGTCGGGAACAGTTGACAGGTCTAGTTGGAATTAGTTAAAGGCAACGGTTATGCCTGGAAACCTACATAAGTGAAGTAAATATTTGTCCGGCACCGACAGCTCGACTGCCGGACGAACAAATGGATCCAGAGTACTCCTAGTGATAGTCTTTGGTACTGTGGTGGGCGATGGTAGGCTTTTTCTTGGGACCTTTTTTTTTGGCCGGTCTTTCTTCACATATTGTTTGAACTTCCAATCCATGGTAGGGCCCGTCTGTTTGAGGTTGCGTCCTATTTTTTAGTTGTTAGTGTGTGCGATGTTCACAGCAGGAAGTGCGGATGTGAGGAGTGGAGTCCAGTATATGATCAAGAGAACCGATCCCCCGATTAATTCAACGGTACACGAGGTGTCCGGGTGAGCTTACCTTTGAACCCATCGCTGACAAGACTGTCTAGGTTTGTGGCACTCACTGAGAAAGAGCGATCGCTTCGTTCATCAACCTGGCTACTTTCGGATCCTACCTGGGACTGGTCAGGAGTGATCCTCCCATCGTCGACTTTGCTGCTGGTTGAGCTTCGCTGTATTCGATGCTCCGAGGGGTACGACACTTTGGCGGCATGAGATCGAGCTTCGCTTCTGGCGGCAGCAACTGCTTTTTGATTTGTTGACAAGCCAGTCGCGCCTGTATTTGGTGACAGGAAATGGAAATGGATTTGTTTTCCATTCATTTTTACGTGCCGGCGACACTGTTTCGCAAGAGTGAAGGCTGCGGTTAAAGGTCATGACGTGAAGAGGAATAAGAGATGAAGGCCGTTCTACCCTAAAGCCGATGACGGGAAAGTTTGGTAATCAATCAAATATTCGTACCGAGAGTTTCCTTTTCAGGAGGAGATGACAGCGATGGGTTGGCCGAGACAAATCATCTCTGGTGCAGAATGGCGCTAAATTTATGGGTGGGGAACTCAGGTTCTCTTCGTCCGACATTGGAAGATTGTGTTGCGAGGCGGACTGTGTTCTTCGATACGGAGGAGGAAAATGTCTCCAGTGGATGAGGATCCCACATTTGATGCCGGGGTGACAGTTCTCGTATTTGGTGCAGCTTCTTCAGTATGAATACTCGGTACTTGTGTCCGATTCCGGTGAACTGGCCTTACCCTGTGAAGACACAAGTACTTTGGATAAGACGTACCCTGTCACCCACTGCTGAGTGGGCAATCAGTTAGAAAAGCAGGTGGGGGTCGACCCAGACAAACTTGATAGGGTAGCGAGTCACCGCTAGGTGTACGACTCCTTCATTAGGACTCCAGTAACCAATGGTAAATCTAGCAGGTTTTGATATTGGAAAATCTCTGTTCTGCAGGATATGGAGGAATTCGGCCGGCTGTCATTCTGCTTCTCGTCAAGCTACGATGGCTTGCTTTATCCTGCTTGCACCTGACCAGCATCGGGGCCTTTTTGGCTATCGTCTGGGCTGTCTCCGTTGCGATACCTCCATAAACGACTCAGGTCCTTGACTCTCGTTCCATCCGTTCTCGCGTCTTCGTTATTAGATACTTGGACCGTGTCCCAGCGCTCAAAAACAGTCATATCGACCAGCGAATTCATGTAAGCATTGTCCTCGACGACCTTGCCGGTGGCCGGATCAGTTGAGTCAACATGGAAGAAATAATTCAAATAATGCTGGTTCAACAGATGGCCACTCGCATCATACTTGAATGACCGGCCGACGAACCGATTTGAATGTACTGGACCTGGCGCATCAACTGCTTTAGGATCGGGGTCGGGGCGGAAATGCAGGATCCCGCCCCTAGAGACATAGTCGTGAAGGTTAGCGTAGTGCTCGATATGCCTTATAGCTGTGGTCGCCTTATCCTTGATTGAGCCCGGTCGTTGTGGTTGTCCAGCTCCCTCGTAGGTGCTGCTGGCTTCGCCTATGGCCCCTGTGTTGCTAGAGGTTCTCAATGAGGGCGAATTCCAGTGGTTGGCAGCATTACCAAAAGTATATATTTCAAGTTTAGACAGCTGAGTGGCAGATATCGTTGCATATAGCCAATCCAGTGCCATGCCACCTTCAATGGCCCCTTGACTGTGCAGAATTAGCACCACTTTGTGGACGTTTGTGTCGTTGAGGATTGAGAACAATGCAGAATATCCTTGACGAATGTCCAATGTTGCATAGCTCAAGTCGCGTTGGATGATAGATTCGAGCACATCGAATATAATGCCGCGCCTGAACCCATCGGTTAGATTTGATTCGGGAAAGAAATAGTGACCAGGAACGTGATATTGGCGTCGGCTAATGTTCAAACAAGATGCGCAATTGACGCGATGACTTACGTTTGGTTATGAATGCCATAGATTGGTCGTCTAAAGGTCAACGCCAATTTGTCTAGGTTTGCTTGCAACCAGGTTTTGCTAGATTCTCAAAATTAGCACAACCCCCTACCACTTTGGCTGTCATCTTGACGGATTTTGAGACGCACCCAACTGCAACTCCATTGATAAAGACCCATTTTTCATGCTCGTCTACTTTCCTGCCTCGCACGTATTCGTCATTGGACTTGAAAAGACCGGGCTTTCTCCTGCCGTTCAGCAGGATCGTAAAGTATCGATTGCCAATGACGACACCCACAACATAGATGAAGTACAATATCGGGAGAGGAGTAACAATGGACAGTGGAAGGAGAGAGGCAAGAAAAAAAAGCTGTGCGATCACTAAGAACACGTGCAAAACAACTGCCCAGGCGTTTTGCCATGACTGGTAAAGTTCGTCCAGGTTTGTTGCATGCGATGTATTCAGGGGGAGTACAATTCCCAGTAAGCCTCCATCTGTAAACAGGTTGGTGAAGAATAGTCCAAAGTCTTTAAGGAACAGTACAAAAGGGTTTTCGGTATAGATGATTGGAGTAGCCGAGTCCGCCATGATGTTGTGTCGTTTGTTCTCAGGTCCTTATCTCAAGTGGTAGAATTATAAGGTTGAGACGAAGAGAATATATGGAGCAGTTGGGCACCGTATATAATGTTGCAGAGATATCTCCGCTTCCAAGCCACCCTCAAGACGAGAACGTTGGCAGCCGCAGGAGGCAATGGCTGATTTCCAAGAAGGAAGTCAGGCGCCAATCAACAAGTTCAGGCCCTTGGTGTCACAAGCCCCATTCGGAGGCCGGGCATGGGTCAGCTGACCATACGAAGCAGGGTAATGTCTGAATGGCCAGCATCGCCCGGAGCCGTGTTCCAAGATGGTAGTATACGAGCAAACACACTACTAGGGGAAGAAAGTACAAGATCGAGGATAGGCGTCATCCACCAAGATTCCAAGACCTAGCCCTTATCATGTCCCCAGTCAAGATCCAAGACTCAAGGGTGACGAGTGTGGTGGAGCTTGACGCGAAAATACGGAGGAGGACCGAGCAGGAAGCAAAGAACACGTCGTCGACTCCTTGACCTTCGGTCTTTGTGGAATGGAGCTGAATCAAGTTAGCCTGCTTCTGGTGGTGCAGGTGCGATGGGAGCTGTATTTTGGGGCAAGCGCTTTGTGCCCTTTGACTCAGCCTTATCTTTGCTTCCACGTCGAGCATCGTCGCGCCTGGCGGAGATGCGGTTGACACGTACTTTTATGTGACAATGATCTATGAACTAGTTAGTGCCTTGATATTCTGCACGCGGGCCACATCTAGATATCTAACCTGCAACGAATCAAGATTAATCCAATGTCAGATTACCGTGGAAAAGTGCCGATAGCCGACGCCTCTGCTGCCGCCCCGATCTCCCCTGTTACCAGCAAGGAGCATCCGCCGGATAACCCCAATTTCACGGGCACCTTTCCGCAGGACCCAGGCCTGGAGCAGGGATCTACAATTGATCTCCGCTCTTGGATCTTTATATTCCTGGAGAGATCACCAGAAAAGATTTCTTTGCCCTTGAGATACAACCGCCGCTAATAGAGCCCAATATGCCTTCCTTACTTCACGGCTTAGAGATTGCAAAGCACAACTCCAAGGAGTCCTGCTGGGTCATTGTTAACGGTAAAGCCTATGATGTAACTGACTACTTGGAGAAACATCCTGGGGGTTCGGCCATCATATTACAATACGGAGGCAAAGATGCTACAGCAGTTTATGAACCGATTCATCCACCTGGCACGATAGAAAAGGCTCTTCCCAAGGACAAACACCTTGGTCCAGTGGACCCTGCCACTGTATCTACGGTCGCATCACCTCAAGTTACCCGCGATCTTGACAAGACCGCCAGAATACCATTGTCACACTGCATGAATCTGGATGATATAGAGAAAGCTGCCGAGCGCATCATCAATCGAAGCTCATGGGCCTATTTCCATTCTGCGGCCGACAGTCTTGGGTCTTTGGATAATAATCGAGATGATTGGAAAAAGGTCACTCTCCGACCACGGGTCATGCGGAATGTTCGCCGCGTCAACATGCAGAGAACGATATTGGGCCAAAAAAGTCGGCTACCATTCTTCATTGCTCCAGCAGCACGTGCAAAACTCGTTCATGAGGACGGTGAGCTATGTCTTACTCGGGGAGCAACAAAAGCGGGAATTCCTCATTGTCCAAGCACCTACTCGACTATTCCACACAAGGACCTGGCAGAGTGCCTGAAAGCACAGAAGGGCAACGGAGAGTACGGTGCCCTATTCTTCCAGCTCTATGTCGCCCATGAGAAAGCGCCCACGATCGAGCTTATCACCATGGCACGAGAGCTAGGCTTCAAAGCCCTCGTGGTCACGGTAGATTCACCTGTCGTTGGAAAGCGCGAAGAGGATGAACGATACCGTGCCGAACTTGCAACCGCTTCAGGCGACGACTCAGTATTGACGGAATGGTCCAAACCGCAGGAGAGGGAAGACGGTCCTCCTCTGCGAGGGCACCACTCCTCGACGTTGAATTGGGATGACCTGCCGTGGATCAGAGAAGCATGGCAGAACGCGGGTCCGATCGCAATTAAAGGAATTCAAACCGCTGAGGATGCACTTCTTGCTGTCCAGCACGGTGCAGATGCGATCTATCTTAGCAACCACGGCGGTCGGCAATGTGATGATGCGCCCAGTGCGATACGGACACTGCTGGAGATCCGACGATTCTATCCTGAAATCCTGGGCAAAGTCGAGATCATTCTAGACGGATGGGTCAGGCGAGGTGCAGATGTGATCAAAGCACTGTGCCTAGGTGCAACTGCAGTTGCCTTGGGTAGACCGTTCATGTATGCTGTTTCAATGGGTGATGAGGGAGTCTTGAAAGTCATCCAGTGTAAGCCACGAATGCTTCGATTCCTTACCTCCATTCTATGTCCTGTACACCGTGCGATCTTCTGTTTCTAATGTTTGACTAACTTCTCCGCTCCCTTTAGTGTTGAGCGAAGAAATAGAAACAACCATGCGAAACATGGGCGCGAAAAGTCTCGACGAGCTCAATCCATCATTTGTCAATGCCAAGAGGCTGGAGTTAGAGTTGCCGGACGAGTTAGATTTCAATCAAGCTGCACTGAAGGCGAAGTTGTAATGCTGGAGATTAGATCGAAGGTGCTTGTCATGGGAATTTAGCCTGGACGATGGGCAATTCTGTCAGAACATCATTAGAACCTATTGGTCCAGGTCGTGGAGGCTGGGCTAGTGCTTGTAATCATAAATTTGACAAGCGTTTGAGGCTGGTGATATTGTAAATGCTACTTGGAGACCTGGGTACCTTCCTAAGCATCCATTTAAGAGGTCTCTAGGTTGGGGCGTAATCAAACAGGGGCCTTGGGGCCTTTTCGTAGGGGTGGACGGCCCTTATTGATGTTCCGGAGTGCTTAGAGTTGCGTCCATTCGCCCCCAACGTTTAAGCAAACTAGGCGCAGTAACGTGACTGCGGAAGTGCCTCTCCCAGGCTTGGCGATGGAATGTCTAGTGGCCACTAGAGATAAATGGAGATCTTACTGCGTCGCGTCTCCGCTGGGCGCTCGTATTGCATTGCTTTGCGTCCCTTTGCTGGCCCTCAACTGCGGCGCTACCTGAGCCGGAGAGAGCTGTCCTACGTCCCATTCCACTGGAAGTGGTGGATATCGACTGCTATGACTTGAGCCGCGGAATGTGTCTCGTCCTACTGAACTGCAGACTATGATGAGAATCGATTCGAGCTACTCGAAGACATTTTTGTGCCGGAACAATTATAGAGGACCTCCTCTTCTGAAGAGTATCTCAGGCCGATCGTCTGCCACTCCTTCTCCTGAGCCAGTTGACGTCTACTCCGAAGGTCAGCTGACGCTGAACACTCGAACCAACGGCGCGATGGAGAACCAGGACGATTCGGCCATCTTTGCCCTGCCAGTGAGCAGTAGTGATGAAGACGACAACACGCAATCCGACCGAAAAGCGAACCTTCCGAGGAAATCCAAGTCCGAGTTGCCAAAGCCCCAAACATCGCCACCTAAACGTGCAGCCGCAACTGCAGCTTCGTCCAGGTCGAAGCGCAGAAAACTCACCGATCTACCTGACATTAGAAGTGGTAATGTACCAGACAAAGCACCAGATACTGAACTATTTCTCGAGTGGACTTCTTCTGGATCCCAAAAGAAAAGACCACCAAAATCGTATGCACAGAGAAAGGTTTATCAGGTTCCAGATCCTGTGGAAGAGAATACCGAGTCTACAGAGAAGAAGCTAGCCTTCACGGTCCACGACCAAATTGAATTAGGAAGCAAAAGGTCAAGCTCTAGGAAGACTTTTGTCGGCGCTCCACCCTTACCCGGTGTCAAAGATGAGAATAAAGACAGAGAATCGAAACAAACACTGGCAGTTGCAAAACTACCTCAGGAAATAGCACCGTCGAAAGAGTCTGCGTTCCGTATGCCAGGCTTGCCTGAATTCACTTCCTCCGCAACGACGGTAGGAACAGATGTGCCCTCCATCTTCGAGGCGGCAATATCGCCCGGAGGCAGCCATGATTCTCGATCAACTTCCTCATCCTCGCTTTCGTCTGCACGGTCTCCTTCGCCATTGGAACATGACATCGACTTACCTCCCGTGAGCCGACGCTGTCCCGCCTGTCGTAAATTTGTCATGGACTCGACCAGGCTATTTGTTCCAGACAATCTACGAAAACTATCCCTACAGAAGCAGCAGGAATTCTGCTTAGCCCACCAGTTGAGTGAAGCTAGGGACTTCTGGGAACAGAGCAACTATCCGGAAATCCACTGGGAAGACCTGGAGCACAAACGGATACCTGGAAAGCTATCCTCGTTGAAGAAGATAATCTTCCGGCAGCAAAACAGCTTTTATCTAGACGAGCTTGATCATAGGATCCAAGAGGCAAAGGGCAATCGCAGGAAGATTCAAACTTATTTGAGCCAGGGCGTTGTCGATGTGGCGAAGCCAGGGTATTACGGGCTAAAGGGTTCACGGATCATGGCCAATGCAATCACCGACTCGCTGACTGAGGCTTTGGTAGAAGCGTTGCAGACGGACTCTGCCATCAGACATGCTGGTGTTGGGGCCTATGTTACCGCTGTACTTGTCCCCGAGCTGACGCTTCTATTGGTCATGGAGGATATGCATTTGGGGAACCCCGAGAAGGGTAGACGGGTACTCGCTGAGAGTTCGCCCGTTGGGCTGCTGTTGAATCCTGATGATGACCATATTGAGCGGGATGACGATGATGATGGTGATGCTTAAGTATGGATTGATGGTATCTTTACGGCTACGCTGATGGCGATGGCGATGGCGATGCTCTGGTACTATATTAGAACGGATCATGCTGCCCAGGAGCGCAGCCTTCGCCCGAACAGCTTGTTCCCCTACTGTTGTACACTCGTATTCAGGGATTTTTGTGTCGTTGACAGGATGCTGGTTAGGGATGAGAATTCATGATACACACGGCCACAGTCCCATTGTATCTCCAGCCCTGGAACACAATACCAGATGGCGATTAATCCTACAATTGAATTCCTCGTATCCCCTCTCCCCACCTCTCATGGTGTTGGTAAATATGGGCTGGCAAATATTAGCACGCATTAGTCAAGATGCTCACTGCTGAGTCACCCGGAACCCAGCGTTCCCAGTCCAACACAGTCGACATCCACCTTTCCCCTTTCTGCAAGCAAGCCACTTTCTGCATCTGGGCGAGCCACTACTCTTTATGGCCTACCGACTACTACTCTCGTACAGCCTTGGTCATCATTTCCGACGGCCCCTGTCCCCAGGCTTTTGACGCCGGTGGTTGCTTGTTCGCGAGCCCCGGGATAATGACTTATGCACCTGTGTACCAGGCTCTGTACTATATATTTATGTTCGACGAAGGCGTCAACTAGCCAAGCAGGAAGGTCAGGAGCGGCCACGAACGTTACAGAAAGGCTCACGCGTCTGAGGTGCTGAGGGACACAGACACGGCACATCGAGAACGGCCGGGTTTGAGATCAATCAAGGCTCGAGATTTTCGAAAGAGGTGCGGATCCTCACTCTCGTCCACAGCGGTTTGCGCTGAGGCTTGACCCGGAGTTGGTAACCAGCGTCTGTCGGAGCTTTGAATTAGGATAACTGCGGCATGCATGACCAAAGGGCTGTTTTCTGACTGATCGATACCGCAGTGCCTGAGGTGCCAGTTTCTGAGTAGTGGAGACCTGCTGGGCGTTGTCAATAATCACATTGGACTCCGCGATTGCTGCTTTCCGTATCAGGCAAGCTGTACATCCGGCCCGGCTCGAAAAAGAAGAGCAGCCAGGGCGGGCGGAGTGTTCCATTGTGCTACATACTGCATCCATATATATACGTACACGATGGCCAACTCGACGCTATCGCCAGGCACCGCGCTCAGAGCAGACACCAACCTCGAACATCCTACCAAACACAACGACAACGGCACCACCAAACACTTCTTCACATCCACGCCCCTCCGGCCCTACAGCACTGTCCCGGACCGAATGCCACACGATGCCGAGCTGCCCTGCGGCCACCGTGGAGGGAACAACCTGCCACCGCACCCCGACCATCTACCCCAGCATGCCCACCCGCAACAAGGGCTGATCTCTAGCATCTACCACATGCGGCAGAAGGGCACACGCATGGCGCCCTTCGCCGGCCGACTAGGCGGCAACCAGACGTACGTAGTCGACCGCTCGAACCCCGAGAACGCGGAGCTGCTGAAGAAGGTGCCTGACGCGGCGCCGAATCTGAACGCCAAGGAGGCCTTCGATCTCCGGGGCTTCTCGGATTGGGATCTGTACCGCGCCGCGGTCATCGAGGGCATGGGTACGTACGCTTTGTCTCCCTGAGGGTTCGGGATCGGGACCTCCGATTGGTCGCTTCTTGTCGTTCGTCGCTGACACGCTCCCTCATACACAAACAGGAACGCTGGTCCTTGTCTTCCAGTCCGGATACGTCGGCCTCTCACCCAACACTCCGCCGCCGGCGCCGTCCGCGACAACAGGCGCCTTCGCCACGTCATCCTTCCTGGGCCCGCTGATCGGAGCAATACTCAACGTCATCGTCCTCACCCTGCTGATCTACTCGTTCGGTGCCATCTCCGGCGCGCACATGAACCCACTGATCACGTTCGGAACATTCTGCGCGCGCCTGACCACGTTCCCGCGCATGGTGCTGTATATCGCGGCGCAGCTCGCGGGCGCAAGCCTCGGAGGCCTCCTGCTCCGCGCCGCGGCGGACACGAGGGAGTTCAAGGTCGGCGGATGTTTTTTGTTCACGGACATGGGCGCCAGTGTGGCCAGCGCGTTCACGGTCGAGTTTGTAGGGAGTCTGTTGCTGCTGTTTCTTGCCTTTGGCGTCGGCTTGGATCCCAGGCAGGCGGAGCTGTTTGGGCCCGCGTTGGGCCCCGTGTTGGTAGGTTTGGCCGCGGGTAGTCTGTTGTTGAGCTTCTCGTTTTCGAAGCCCGGGTATGGAGGAGCGAGCATGAATCCGGCGAGGTGCTTTGGGGTGTTTGTCGGCAGTCGGTTCCCGAGCTGGGCCTGGGTGACTTGGGTTGGGCCCATTGCTGCGAGTGTGTTTCACGGCGTGGTTTATTTTCTAGTGCCCCCTGTGGCGCCAAAGGGGAGGGTGTTTAGGCAGAAGAATGAGGCTGAGGAGAGTGAGAAAGTCCCTCGCGTCGGTGGCGTCGATGTGTGAGACATGTCTGCCGATGGGTAAATAGAGACTGGGGGAACCCCGTTTAAACAGAAAAGGAAACGGTCGAGATATGTGTGAGAATGGTTGGAGGGGCTAATTGGGGACCATACTTGGGAATGCTAGTAATAGATCGTGTACGCACTCTTTGCCCTTCCTGTAGATCATGCGCCGACCATTGTCGTCCGCTGAGGTGCTTTCTTCTTCCCACCTCCCTTCACAAACTCTACTGCCTTGTGCTTCCGCTCCTCAAAACCGGCATCCTCACTGCGATGCCCTTCCATCCAGCAGTTTGTGCAGTACAGATCGCCGTCACAGCCTATGCATCGTAGCGTTGCGTCGTCACTGCAGATGATACACCACGTGTCAATATCTTCGTCAGTGAAGCCTGGAGAGGGTTTTGCCTTGGAGGTTTTGGATTTCGATGCCATTGTGGTGGGCACGGATGGGAGAGAGAGTCCTGCGAAGCGAGAAGCAAGCTCGTCATCACCGCTGTTTGTGGTTTCCGGATTGATGAGGTCGGGTAGTTTGGACGGTGTTGTTGGAAACTGGAGGTCCACAGACGCCAGGTTTGCTTCGCTGTTCTCAAGTCGATGTCCGGGTGTTGCATCGTTTTCTGCTTCCTCCGACTCCGAGACCTCCTTCTCATCTGACACTGGCTCTTGAGGTTCGTGCTTGACTTCGTCGAGGATTCTAGCGAGCAGCTCGTCTGCTTCTTTGTCGAGCGCATCGTTAGACTTCCCAGGAAGCGGTCTGTGGGTTTCTTCCTCTTCAGATTCGGGTTCGGGTTGGAAGACGGAAACATCGACGGTCGGAAGTCTCAAACTCCTTTTAGTGCGTGTGGTGGCATCTTCTTCACCCAGAATATCCTCCTTTTCGGGGGCAGTTGCAAGTGAAGCTCTCGCCAACTGTAATAGATCGGTTACTATGGTCTCCTCCGCCTGACCCACCTGCCACTCTTCTGGTGCACCTAGGTCTGCCAACAATTCTTCCACCGTCTTCTCATCCTCGGTCTTCTCTTCATGGGCTGATGGCTCGCCAGCTGCACTAGCAGAAGGTATCCCGCTTAATGACTTCCATCTCGACAGGAGATCTGTGTGAAGAGCACGAGCAGGCGCGGGGTCAAGAGGTTGTGCTGCGGGGTTTGATAACGAGGGCTCAAAGCTACATTATCAGCTCAGGTTGTCGCAAAGATGAGAGAAATCGCCACTTACTTGGTTTGATCATCAAAGGAGACAGTGGATTGTTTGAGAGCGTTCAGTCGTGAGAGGAGGTCTCGGTCTGGGTTTGAGCCAGCGTCATTAGACATCACCGTTGTAGCTATGATACAATCATTATCCTTGAGCTTGGTCTCTATCGGCCCACCAATTGATTAGAGAGGTAGATACATTTAGAGACGGGTATTCACGACCATGTCGTGTATGCGGATGTCAGATGTCTCAAATCTCGAGTATATCGAGGAAAGGATGGAGAGTGCACCAGTGGTCGATCTGGAATGACGTAGCACCTTGGCTGCCCGTGGCCTCACATTCCACTGTTCAATGGCCCATGAATGCCCACATATCCCACAGGTTTTGTTTGGCTTTAGTCATGAAAGTTTGCCCAGCAGTGCCATTGCGCTTTGGAACGCTTCGAGCACCTTTGTGCCTGTAAGCAGTGTTAACAAAAGGTCGTGGATGGCGGGCCTACATAACCTACGGTGTTCTTGTTTCTGGGCGAGGGACTGCTCAGAATTCTGGGCGAGAGAAATTCGAGTTCGTAGCCTGAGGAGATCAGTAAGCATGATGTATTCAAGGGTTAGAGCTATCACCTTTTGATGGCTCGTTCAGCCTCCTGGTCATTGCACACTTGCATGTAGAGCATGAATTGCTAAAAATCATTGAGTTAGACATATATAGGCCAGTGCTTCGTTATGTTCCTCTTACCTGGAAACGAGAGCCAAACTCCGTCATGACAGCTTGCTCGGAGTCTATGTGAGGCTGGATTTCTCTTTTGTAACGTTCCTCAAGGTCGTTCCAATCCAAAGACTCCAAGTCGGCTGTTGTGTCTCGCTCTTCCAGAGATCTTTCAAACGTTTGAAACTCCAGCTCAAGTTGTTGCTGGTAACCTGTGATCTCTTGGACAAAGGAGTCGCTTGGTGTATCACTAGGAGGCTGATCGGCTAACACATTGTGAGGAGCAGGCTTATTCTCAGCCAGAGATGTCGTGACCACCTGGCCCGAGACAAGTGTACCATCGGAACCAGATGCCACGGGCTTTTGAGACAATGCATCAGACAACGAAATAGACATGGTAGACTTCTGGAACCTGGAAGATCTAGGACTTGGAACTGGAGCTTGAACAGGCTCGTAGACTTCGTCGTTAGTTCGCTTGCGTGCACTGCTGTTTTGTCTGGGTCTTGGATATACAGTGGGCGCCTCGTGCAAAGTAAGATTCTCTGACTGTTTCCCCTCGTCTGTTGTCGGTGAATCTACAAGTGCTGAATCCAGGTTCATTTCTCACTGTTGGATCATTGCTCGCCTCCACCAACAACGAAGTTTGCCAAAAGACCGCTGGGTAAGTCATCATTCGGATAAACCCCGGATGAATTGAGCGCGTTGCTGCACGCTCGTCTTTATCCGTATCTAGCGTCGTCGCGAAATCACGTGCCAATAGTCCCTCTGACCTCTCTCAGGCACCCAACCACGTCATGGCTTCAGACGCCTTTCACGCCGACGCCGACATCCCGGATTGGTACCCCCAATCCCTGTACGAGTAAGTATCAGTCTTCCCAATCCTCTGAGATATTCTCTCATCCCGACTACTCTCCTGCGATGCTTCCTACACGCGTTTAAGGGTGCTTAGAATAGCACGATCACATCTACCTCACTCCCGCCTAACACAATGTTGACAGATTCGGTCGAGGCAACAACCCCACACCATCGCAGGTGCCGTTGGATGCGAAGGCTACAGACCACCGGATCATCGAGCATGAGATCAAGAACCCTATCTTGACCCACTCTAGCTACATTTGCATTGATACCGACAAATCTCACGTCATGGATTGTTTTGCTTGCAAAAAACTCTCCGAAAGAGAAGATGGACTCGTCTGTGTGGCTTGTACTCGCAGCCTCATGAATCCGCTACGAATTGAACTCACTAAAGTTCTCCTCGAAAAGGAACAGTTGGAGAAGAAGGTCAACCATATCCTCGACCCAGAGAATCATCCAGCTCCAGATGAGGAGATCAAGCGCCTTGGAATCTCCTACCAAGAAAATCATCTGCGCGAAGTCGAGGCTGAGGAGCTCCGCGCGCAAGAAGAGAAGGTTCGAGAACTGCTTGCAGTAAAGCAAAAGGAACTTGTGGGCTTGAGAGCCAGACGCGATGCCCTGGAAAGCAGCAATGCTAAACGTCAAGGTGACCTTGCGAAGGCCAAGAAGGAAGCCAAAGTGAAGGAGAAGCAACAAGTGAAGGAAGCCAAGGAGAAAGAGAAGGAGGCAAAAGCAAAGGCCGAGGCGTTGCATAACAAGACAATTGAGGCCAAGGCCACTCTTTGTCGTGAGGTTGCTTCACTCATGAGACTCCGACAGGGCAAGAAGAAGATGAAAGATGGCACCATCAAGGAACACTACTTTGTGTCCGGTCTCGTTTTGCCCGACCTTCGCCAGATCAACAGTAAGCATCAACTCGAGCCTTGCGCAGGTCATCGTGACTAATGCATCTTAGACATGCGATGCACTGATTTGACCGCAGTTCTTGGAAACACTGCCTTCATTGTCTATCTCTGTTCTTACTACATCGGTATCAAGCTTCCATCGGAGATCACAGTCCCACACCGAGATTACCCCCTGACGACGATCATGACCCCAGCACAGTCGTATTTTGGTCAGAACATCCCATTTCCTGGCTTTGGCTCTGCTCTCGGCAGTGCACCTGCCAGCCCAAGCACCAGTCGATCTGATGGGGCATCTATACCACGATCTCGACCTTTGTTCATCGGATCTGACGACCATAATGAAAGCGTCGCACAGTTCGCCAAGAAAGATCCAGTTGCTTTCAGCTTTTTCCTGGAGGGGATCGCGCTTCTTGCTTACAACATTGCATGGTTTTCTCGAAGCCAAGGCTTCCTCCAAGGGACTAATTCATGGGAAGATATCTGTGACATGGGGCGCATTTTATATGAGATGCTTGTTGCACCTTCGCATTCACCAGCCATCATGCGGGTCATGTCTCAACGAGATGTTCATGATCGTCGCCCTAGCAAAGCTTCCGGATCTGGTGCACACGACTCTGGCAGTAACTCGACTAGTCGTCTCGGCGCAGGGTCACATGATTCGATGCATGACTTTTTCCCTCGATCAGCATACTCCAGCGCGACTCGCAACTGGCGTTTCAACAATTACAACATGCTTGCGGATCCTTTGAAGAAGCATCTCTTGAACGAAATGAACAACGCGGAGTGGGAGGTTTTAAACCAAGATGAATGGGACGACGGCGGAGAGAAGATGGATGAGGCTGTGTTCATCAAAACCCGGGCTATGGATGGAGCAACGTACGATGACGCACGCAGCATCATGACCACCACCATGAACAAGATGGCTGGTATGGAAATTGGAAGCGATGAGAGTCGTGATAAGGGCAAAGGCAAGAGTGGCTGGACCAAGGTTAAGAGCCGTGAGAAGCCATGAGAAAGCCGGATCAACTGGTGTAGTCACGGTTGGATGAATGAAACATGGACATGAGGGAAATGAAATCATGAGGTTGGTCTAAGAGAGGCATTTTGTGCACCGGGATGATACCAGGCGTTTCCTTGGGCCAGACCAGCAGTTGGTCATGGCGGTCTAGTCTCAGATAGACAGATACCCCAACTTGCTCTGTGCGTTGAACAGTAGCCACTTCTGAGATCTTCTGCTACTCGGTACCGTGTGCACCGCGTTGGGCACGAGCGAACGATCCGCTCTATTTGGTAGCGTACGGCTTCAGATTTTCGCACGAAGCGCACACCAGCGGCAACGACGCAATGCCTCCGTAACAACGCCCTCGTGACTCGACCTTAGCGTGTCGGGCAAGATTGCTCAATGCTCCTAGCGTACGTCAACACCAGAGAACTAGAAATGTACGAGCTGTACCGCCGCAACTGCCGCGTTGTCGCTAATGAGCTCAGAAAAGCCATTAGGAGGATAGCACGGGATATATCGGCCGCATGGGGGCAGGGAGCAGCTCGTCTCGAGACGATCGACGCCAGCGCTGTCCCTACCAGTAGGACCAAGTACTGAGAGGCTATTGGATGTCAAAGTATCAAGCATCGTAAAAGTGAGATTGGACGCTCAAAAGACTTGACTCTAGAATAATGGGGTCGGATGGATGCACACACGTTTTCATTCATGTCCGTGGGATGGCGCTGGCGGGTTTAGCGCCGTGCCACGGCTGTTCCACTTAGATTGGCGGGTGATAAGGATTGGAAGGGCAGTATGACCTGTGTATGTAAGTGAACACTGGGAGCAGCACTCCGTATGCGTGGCCTTGAGGCTTGATGAATCGAGTGCCTGGAGTACGAGCAGGATGAAAGTATTGAGAAGCCAGAGAAGCATATTGCACAATCTTCCGACTCTGCTCCTCAGGCGCCGAAGTGTTTCGAAGGGACACTCTGGCGAAGGAGGGACTCGCACGCTTGCTCTTACCACACACTAACATATCTCGGACTGGCAGCTCGTGAGTCGCGTCCCTCTGGCTTACCAAGAGACATGCTGGGTCACCCATTCATTTAACCCAGGCGATGGACTGCTGTGCTTTGGACAAACAAGACTTCAACTCGTCGAATTGCAAACAAGCAGGACAAGCGCACAAACCGCCAACAACAAACTCATCCAAAACAACAGCATTCACCCTCCATAATAGTCAGCCTGGGCATCTCTTGGGTGCAATTTCAGCAACCCTCCTGCCAAGGACCATGACTAGCAGGTTTGGTGGCACGTCTCAAGGAGAATTAAGGAGGCCCGTTTGATCCAAAGCTACGGTGTCGCGACAAGGCTCGGCAGTACCCGCAACTGGCTCGGCAATGGGGGTTGCAGAATGCCTGGAGGAGGCTGAAAGATGCCCCTGTGAATGGGCGGCCCTGGGCGCCGCTGGGGCCTGAGGTGCAGGTCGAGCAGTCATTTGCGGCTTAAAGGCGCCTAAGCTCGCCTACTCCTGCAGGCAATTTGGGCCCCGAAGTCGCCCCCCGCCGGTGGATTCCAGGGCCCTGGGCGCCAACCCAGATGGTCAAGGGGCAGGGTGATTACCCCTGTCAATCTCAGATCTGAATACCCAGAAATGCGAGGGGCACCACGCACCACGCACCTCATACCTCCATACCTGGTAACCTGGCACGGAGTACCTTGTGCGCCTCGTGAGTCGTGCCTTGACCCTTTCAACAACCCCCCCGTGCCATTTTCTTTATCATGGATCTTTCCTCGGGCCCTCACGCGATCAGTTCAATCTGGGCATCTCTTGGAACAAACACTCGGGCCTTGGTAGACAGTCTTTCTTTGTTCATTCGTTTTCCGTTGATACCCACATGGTCTTGTCAGCCTTTCGACTGCCCTTCCCTTAAACATTTGCACCTCCGTCACCTGGCGTGACATCTGTGCTTTTTTACTCCTGCCAGCCTTTCGCTTTCACCGTCGCCGCAAACGGTCGTGTCGTTCATTGAAGCCCTTTGAAGAGGCCGAAGGGCTCATTCTATGCCCGTCCGCTCATTATTCAGACCGTAGCACACACTCACTTGAATCCAATAGAACTCGTCGATCAGCAATCTATGTCCTTTATCCAAACTCCTCGACTATCAGAGCATTGAGAGCATTGACGACCAACAACATTGCATATACATAGACCTGATACCCTTATCAATCATCAGAGAGATACAACATGAAGTACTCATGGAGCGCTGGTGCGCTTCTGGCGGCTGCTAGCTCAGTCGCCGTTCACGCTGTTACCTTCGAAGCGGGCAACTACTATGCAGATCAAGTGCAAGCCATAGCTTACTCGAATTTTGGAACTGCTGGCAGTTACAAGAAGGTCACCACCATGTCCAATGGTGTTTGCAATTTTGGGGACCAGCCGTACTCGGGCGGCCTGGCTCCTTTCGACAAAGAGGTGAGTGACGACCGATGTCTCTCCGACTATTCACGATCTCTCTGACCATGCTTGCCCGCCTAGATTTCATGGCACTTCCGGGGCCCGATGCGATTGAAGCAGTTTGCATCATATTCTGCAGGCTCAGGGCCCACCAAGAGATCACTTCATCCCTCGCCCCACGAGCGTCGACATGCTCACCAGCACCTGCATCAACATGTCCACGAGGCTCGAGATGGCCACGTCGAAGAAAAACGAGCCGTCGGTGACTGGGTCGTTGCAACGATCAACGGCGACGTTGTCTCCTGGAAGAACGAGTACGCTGGCGGCGCTGCCCCAGCTGCCCCTACGTCTGCACCAGCCCCTGCGGGAGGTGCTCCAGCTCCAGCTCCAGCCCCTGCTCCAGCTGCAAGTTATAGCGCGTCTGCACCGGCCCCAAGTGTTAATACTGGAGCTGGAACTTGGGGGCGACAGGCTTACTATAATTCCGAGCAAGGCGTTGCTGATGGTCTTGTCTTCCTAAACAATATGGGAGGTCAGGGGTCGGGTGTTTTTGACTAGTAAGCTTTGCCGTACTTTGATCTGTTCTGCTTTCGACTGACCTTTCACCCACCAGCACATGGGGCAACTCCCTTTCATACTGCGCCGCCGATGCCAACTCGGGATCCGCTTCTCCTGTGACCTTGGCAGATACCTTCATCGATGACAACAAGGAGGTCATCATCATGACCGACAAGCCATGCAACGGTGACTGTGGCACTGTTAGGGATGGCACTGTCGCATATCGTAAGCACAATCCCCCCCCCCCCCCCCCAAAACTTGAATCTCTCCGTCGCTAACCATCTCATCAGATGGCTTCGACGGCTCCTCGAAGCTCTTCCTGGTGGAGTTCTCCATGCCCCTGACCGGCAAGACCGGTTTCAACCAAGACATGCCCGCCGCGTGGATCCTGAACGCCGAAGTCCCCCGCACACTGCAATACGGCTCTTGCTCATGCTGGGCCTCTGGATGCGGCGAAATGGACGTCTTCGAGGTCCTGAACTCGGGCAACACCAAAGCCATCTCCGCCTGGCACGGCCTCAACTCAAAGGGTGACTCGAGTTGGTTCCAGCGACCCATCGACAAGACAATGAAGGCCGCGATTTTCCTTGATGGAACCTCCAGCTCCGTGCATATTGTGGTGCTCCCCGACAGCACGACTTTCGACACCAGTCTCACCGATGCTGCAATCACCGGCTTCATTAATTCGGTCTCGGACCCGAAGCTTAGCGTCAAGGTTTCTCTGCCATAAGACCAAACGGGCAGCCCATTTTCATTTAGAGCTATATAGCGAGCGAGTCACATACACCAGGGGGGGCATGACTGAGATTCGTATATCATGAACCAGGCGTTTGCGCGCGCCCCCACTTTCCTCGCTACACACCTCTCCTCCAATCTTTGACAATGACGGGAAGCCGTATCAGAGGTACACCTTGCGTACTATCCCTCTTCCATTCTCAGCACTCTCGAGTCTCATTGATCGATACTCCTCGCGCACAACACAACTTTCAACTTTCAGATTTTTGTTATTTGTTATTTTTTGGGGGGGGAGAGATCCTAGCTTTGTAGATCCGATAGCAAGACCACTAGCAGTGTGGCTGTACAGTACTATACTGCCATCTTTTTGAACGACGGCGGTAGACGGACGAGGTTTCGAGAAAGATAGGAAAATGGGACCTAAAAACCATTCGTAACGAAATATCCCAAAAAGGCATGTTCCTGGGCCTGGGGTGTGTTCATTATTAAGCTTTGGAGCGACTCGAGAGGCTGCTGAGCAGCAAAGAGGGCTCGGCCGCACGTGGCAGAGCGTCAGACTCAATAGTATTAAACCTATCCCTACGGAGTACTCCGTACATACTCCATATATATATATCCACGCCAAGGCTCAGCCTGATGATATCAGCCTCGGCGGCCCTATATCTGATCACCCCTGGCGCTCACATTAATGACCCATTGATGGCTTGCGCACGACGTGGACGCCGCAATCCCTGTACTTTGGGAACGAAGGAAAAATCTCGAATCTGCGGAGCAATGGACGAGTGGCCCGTTGCCAATCTTCTTTTCCCTTTCTCACTCTGCCGCTTCAGCATTGAGGGCTGAAGAAGCAGAAAAAGAGACTGGATGCACCGGCTGGGATGACTAACTAGTTAGTTAGTTGGGGGATGGATGGCAGGAAGAGAGGATCAGTGGGTCTTTCTCCCTCTCCCCCTTCCTAGAGATCTGCAATCTTGGGTTTTTTTGTGGTTTTTGTTTTTGCTTTTGCTTTTTGGGATTTGCCGCTTCGAAAGTGTGGAGTTCGAACCCACGTGCTACATAATTACATGTCGTTTGTCGTGCGCTTTGTCTCAGGCAGGAGAACTGCGTTGCTTGATCTGCCTGTTCAATGTTCGCACCATAGCTACGTAGAATATACCCTTGAGCGCACTGGAGGGGCCACAATGGTTGTCTTGTAATCGGGGTTTCAACTCATTGTAGAACCCGACTCCCCTTGCTGCCCTCCAGCCTCCCATTCAGCGTTGTTACTGGCGGCGCAAGCTTGCGGCGTTTCTCCCTTCTCACTCGCGTTTGCATTTGCTTATTTCACGGAGCCTCGTCCCTTTCCTTCTCCACCTCTGCCTCCCCTGCTGGTCTCCAGCTCCTAGGGACCTAATAAATATATCTAAAATTCAAATTCTCACGATCGGTGAGATCGCCGAAAGCCGTGGCGTCGAGATCTCGGCCTTCGAGGCCACCGGCCTCCTGTGCCTGGACCTTGTCGCGCCGGTGGTTCTCCGCCTTCATCAGCACCCAGAAGGTCACGATGATGCAGACCTCGATGAGATGGCTGGGTGTTTCTGTGTAAGTATGATTGGCGGAAATAATCGGAAAGGTGGAAGAAAGGGGCAGAGATAGTACATACCTAACAATCATACTCCAGATCCCCAACTCATACTGCGGCGCCTGATTCGTTTTGTAGAAGAAAGGGCCCGCGATATTGCCCGTACAGTATCCCAGAAACAAGACGGCATTCGTGACCACCTTCTTGGTGTGGCCCGCGGTATTTGCAATCTGCAATGACAAAATTAACACGAACGCCGCGTTGTACGGTCCCGTGAGCAAGTAGCAGATGTAGCGACCTGCCCGTTGCGATTCATCGACGAACCGGAGCCCGAATGCGCCTGCGATGTTGGGGCAGAGGAAGATCAATACGAAGAGGCAGCGATTGTTGTTCGGGAATCGGTCGTTCAGGTACACGCATGTCAGGATCGAGCAGATGATCAACACGCCGTACGGGATTTGCATTAGTGTTGTTACAAGCGTCGAGAAACCGAAGCCTGGGGTTGAGAACGTTAGTGTATTGGTGGCTGAGGAGAGAGAAGAGGCTGGAGGGTATGCATTGGAGTAAATAAAATACGTACCCTTGATAATCAGCGTTCCAAAGTTAGAGATACCTCCGTTCGGCATGTTGCACACGGTACCGAGGAGAAAGAAAAGATAGAGTTTGATATCCATGAATGCCTCGACCACCTGATACCACTATTTCTCTCGCGCATCGTCAGCTACCGAAAATGCAAAACTCGAAACCAAATCCCCAATAAACATAGGAAAAAGCTTACTGACCTTCAAATGCTTATTCTCCACGCCCGTCTGGTTCGTCTTCAATCTCTGAATCGTAATTCTCTTCTCCCGATCATTCAGGAACTTCGCCGTGACAGGGGAATCCGGCATGAAGACCGCTATGACAATTCCCCAGACACAGCACAGGGCACCGATGATGATGAACTCGTATCTCCATGATGCCAAGGCACCGTGTATGTGTCCGATGCCGTACCCTAGGAGACCGCCGAGTGCGATTCCCAGGCCGTTGGCGGTGTACCAGAGTCCGATGCGGAGGGGTTGTTCGCGGCGCGTGTACCACTTGGAAGGAAGTCAGTCAGTAGGCATTTCTTTGAAGGGGGGGAAGGGGGATTCACCATCTGGGTGATAAGCATGAAGCTGGGGTCGCTGCATGCCTCGGCGGCACCAGCGAGTGCTCGCAGCACCCCGAGAGTGGCGAAGCTGTTGCATGCGGCTTGCAGCATGAGGAAGAAGCCCCATAGGAAGATGCTAAGATGGTATATATTAGTCCTGAGAGATAAGGCCCCGCTGGTCGAGGTAGGCGTGTGGAAGGAGGGCAGGCGGGAGATAGCACATACTTGGCTCCGACATATTTGCCTAGTGGAAGTCGCTGCATCAGGAAATTCGTTGGGAAGGCCCAAGCAAGAAAGCCGAAGTAGAATAGACCTGGGAACACATATTAGCTTGTTCGAAAATGGGTACCGTTTGGAGGCGGGTTGTTGAGGCCTTACTGCTGAGCCAACTATACTGCGTGCCATGGAGGCCCAGATCCTCCCGAATACCAAATATCGCGGCGTATGAGAGCGTGGTCTTGTCTGTGTATGCCCAGTGGTTAGGGGCTCACCATCACAGTGTAACTCAGAAGAGAAGTGAGTCCACACACCAATATAGAAGAAGGCATAGTTGACCGCAATCAAAGGCAGGATAATCAAGTCAATTTTCCGGATGAGTTTCTTCTCTTCGTCCGGGTCAATGGGTTCATTTAGGTCATCGGCGTTGGCGAAGAGGGCCAGCGCAACGTCGCCATCTTGTCTCTTGGCTTTGGCTGAGAACTTGAATTTATGGCCTGTTAGCGGTAGGTCCAAGCTGTTCATTTCATCGTGCGCGGATGAAATCGCTTTGTCTTCGATGTCGTCCCCCATTCCGGATGGGGCGGGCTTCGGCGTCCTCACTTCCATGTTAGACAAACGGAGTGATTAACTGTCTATTGGGATGGGTAGTGAAGCAGTATTAGCATTCAGTTTCCTTACGAAGTGCCCCTGAGACGGCGCAACTCGCTATTTCTAGTAGAAAAAATTTGTGGGAAGGGCTTTCAAAGGTGAAAAGCAACTAGTCTTGCTCACACGGAGTAGCTACCGAGGAAGAAGGCACTGTCGACAGGAAATCCTCTTCTCTGATCTCGCCTCCCCCTACCTTGAAAGCCTATGATGCCATGCGCGTGCATGGTTATGGACATACGGGATCCAACGCCCATCGCCATGAGGATGGGGAATGGAGAATGACGTCCAGGCTTCAGTGGCGTCGCTTGGCGGAGAGAATCTGAGTTCGCAGTTCATATTGGCTTTGATGCTTGGATAGCTTGAACGACCTTGGTATGTCGTCAAATGGAAAGGAAGAAACTGGGGCTCACCCCGGTCCTTACAGTAGATCATTTCTTCACCAGCGGAGGATGTGGTCTGTAATGCCTGTTACAAATGCGGAGAAGAGGGGGTATGTACCGAGTATGGGACTGTGATATAGGTACGGATAGCCCTGCAAGGTGGGGGGAAGTGGGTTACGAAGGGAGATTCTTTCCCACGCCTCGGTGTTTGCTCCTCCGCATTGGCGATGTCGCTACTCGGTTCTCTGTATCTGTACTAGAATATTCATCACACCTTGCTGCTCCTGCGAGGAACACGGAGAAAGGAAGACACTCAAGAGGTCGCTGGTGCTATCTTCAAAGCTGATGTACGGAGAGAACCTCGACCAGACCAGCCTGGAGGCAGCATTTGCTCTTTATCAAGCCCGACAAGCATCGGCAAATGAGCAGAAGGGCTGATCGGAGTATTCGTTCTCCCCACGTGGGGTATATAGTCGTTTCGATAACGGTATGTGCAAGCCCGGAAGACACGGCAGGAGGTCCGATGTCACTCAAATGGTTGTAAATGAGGATTTGCCATGGTACCGGGTACGGTAAACGTCGCAGGACACCCCCCATGCAAGGAACCCCGTCATACTGGGGATTCGGAGAGATGTACGACATTCATACCGTAGATCAGATTGGGGAGGTGAATAATACTTGATATCCAATATCATTTTCAGTCGCCCGGGCCAGGTGCTTGCCAGATGCTTGCCAGCATAGCAAGGCGACATGAAATGCTGCTTAGTCGAGTCAGGATCTGAAAGGCTTGGTGCGCTTGAACTCTCGAACACCGCTTCCACCGTGATCATTGACCGGTTGATAACCAAGGACGCCTTCAATGAATGCTTGAATCAGCGCAACATTGATGATAGAATTCCGTTGGTGGTGATCAAACGGCTCCAGAGTAAGCCTATCGTAGTACAATCCCATTCCAAAAATCGATTCTTGAAGTTTGATCTTGAGGTAAGGAATCTGGAATGCATGTCAGAATCCGCTAGCCCGCAAATGGACGGCTCCAGAGAGACATGCCTTTCTCGTATCCTGAGAGTCGACCTTGATCCAGCGCTGTAGATAGTCCGACAAGAGTCGCAAACTTGGTTCATGCGTTCCGAACACTGTTATGCTGCTAACCCCGCTATGGGAGAGTTGCATCAAATATGGGGTTGTGGCACTGAAGAGCAGATCGGGTCTTGGTAAGGTGTGGAGGGACGGTAGGATGTCGGCAAGTTCTGGTTCCTCAACCGTGCGAATTTGAATGCTCCGCGTATCGGCGATGGACTCGACATTGGACCATTCCTCATCCTTACTCGGGGGCTCTTCCCACTTGGTGCTGGAGATGGAGGTACTGCTTTCGAAGAGATTTTCGAAATCGTTCTGGAATCCTGATGCTGAGCTGGCGGCGTGGAAAGATGTTTTATTCGGCAAGATAATAGTGAATGCCGGCGTTGTGGAGGACCATGTTGTCTTTGGCCTTGGTTCATTAGCAACCTGACCAATTAGCCACCATTCTCTTTCAACAGCAAATTGGTAATTATTTACGTGGACGAGCAATTTCACAATCTGAACGGTGGTGAGTTTCTCGAGGAAAGTCTCTGTCCAAGCTTCATGCTTGTCGTCCTCAAGTCTGCGAGATAGTGTGTGACACCAAGTTTCGATCACCCCAGCAATGGTCGGGACGAATGTTGACTTGTCTGCATAAACATTTTCGAGCTCTTGCCAGAGCATCTGCCATTCTGGTTCACATGATACCGGATATCCTACAACCTCTGCCAATTCCTTGAAGGACTTTTGAACAGCGGCTTCGGGTTTCTCATACCTATCACGCACGTCCTTGCGGAGTTGAAGGGGCCTTTTTTCAGTGTTAGTCTTCTGGTTAAATCGGTGCAGGATGGAACTCCTTACAAGCCAGGCATCTTTTTCTTTGAATCCTCGCAAGGAGATAGTTGAGCAATTGTTGTCGGTTCTGCAGCTTCCTCAACTCCCGAGCCAACGACTCGTTCAACTTATGTGATCAGCTTTGGACTTTCATTATTTGGTGCTGCCTGGCAACGACAACCAATCTAACTTCTGGCCCCTGATTTCTCGTGTTGGAGTTCTTAGTTTGCATGCAAGAGCGCGCTACTTCTTGGTTTTGGAGATGAGGCCGCCTTGTCCACCAAATACCAAACCGGTGAAGTTGGGAATTCCAAGAACGGCTAAGGAAGTCTGCCGTAATAGCTCGGAAAGCCTCGTGGGCTGCGAACGCCACAGGGGTTTTTACTTCCAACAATCCTGCACACGTGTTGATGGGCAGCTTATTCAAAGGATTGCACAATGCAGATGCTGTGTATAAAATCCCGCACCTTCCCCGTAGTAATGATGGTCAATAACATCCAAAATGGCACCGAAAGTACCTGTACCCAATCCTGCAGCGGACAAGCTGCCCTTGGCAGTTCGCAAGAACGGTACTACCCACCATCCGGCCCCAGAAACCGATGTCCGATGCTGACTATTCCAGTCCGAGATGAGTGGGAGAGCAAGAAGCCTGAAATCGAGGAACGCATCTCAAAGGCTCTGGGGGAGACATGGACCATTTCCGTCAACCCCAACCTCCTCTATGCAAATACTGATGATGAGGGCCGCAAGTCCAATATTGGGGCCGTGATCTACTGGTGAGTGAGGAGATTCCCCTTGCTTGGTGTGGGCCTTACAAGCTGCCAGGTATTTTGAGCCCTTCGCCACTAACGTGGAGAGCTTTGTCCAGTCATTCGGCGATGATGGCAAAGCTGAACTCAACAATCTTGTTTCTGAGCATCGCGTGGAGTTTGTTCCTCAAGATGAGACTACCTTCACATATGGTGGTCTTCAAATCAAGGACGGTGTGCTTCGCCTAGTCTTCGCTCTAGGCAATTTGGCTGTCAATGTCTCAGATGTTAGCCGTGACTTCACTGATGCGCTCAAGAAGGCTGCTGCTTCTGGCAGTGGCAATGCTTTCAACATTGTGGCAAGAAATGCTGTTCGTGAGGACTATGACACCAATATTGAGGCTATCCAGGAGGCCATCGGAAAACTCGTTGGTGTTCCCGATATCAAGCTCAATGGAAATTTCGAGAAGAATGCCGCAGCTCTCGCAAAGGCTGGTGACAAAGTCATCTCTGATTGGGATCGTGGCTTTGGGGACGGCACCTACGGTTATTTTGAAGGACTCAAGGGACAACTTGAGTACAAAGGATTCAAGGATGATGACATGTTGCAGGAGGGTTTCCAAGAAGGCGTTTCGAAGAATGAGATCCAGCTGCGTGTCGTTGACAAATTAACCAAGGGAAGCTACCATGAGCTTTTCATTGAGGATGGAGTCCTTGTGATCCAAGTAAGTCGATCTAATGGGCTCGTCAATTTTGAGCCAAGAGCATAGCTAACCACATTCCAGACCGTGCCGGAAAATTGGCGGACCAATGTCAGCTACGTTGGCGAGGACATCCTGGAAATCTTGTAGGTCAGTGCCTTGGCGCCGGGGCCGTTATGATAGAAAGGTCATGGCTTGTTCAGGGCGTGGGTGGTGATTGGCTCACCGTTTGTCAAGATCGGTATATTCTCAGCATTAGACCCATACCGATCGACTGTAGATTGTCGAAATTCCAGAACGAAAGGTGGTATCACAGAATGAGCTCAGTAACGGAATGGACGGATTAATTGTAACAAGAGTCTCGTATTGTTGAGTGTCGTTCTTCTATATCAAGTGCTGTCTACGAAGTAGACTGTGCAGTTGCTTCATGGAGAAGTAGTGAGCTACAAGAACCCATGAAGCGAACACGACATCTTAGATGAAATTGTTCGCCGGCATTTTGGGTTAGCATTCTTGTTGAGCGACGCAAAGCCAGCTTCAGGTCTTCTTTTTACCTTTATACCGACTGATCTCGGCCTTACGCATCAGATCCCAACGAAGGGACAAACCCCAAATGTTAGCACGCTGTTCGTCCAGACTCGAAACAGCTGGAGAAGCATTGGAGATCCAGACTACTGAGTATTGTCAGATACCTTGGTCACTTTCACCTCGTAATATCTTTAATGTGGGATACTGATCTATATGTTCTCGTCGCAAGTTCCTGGGTAAAAGTCCTCTGTTGGTGAACTTGCTCCACCCCGGGGAAAGAAGCATACCAAGCAAGATACGAAGCTGCAGTCCCGATGCTTATTTTGGATTTTCCCTTATGTAATCGGAACATGATTGGTCCCGCCAGCAAAGATAGGCGCAACTCCTGTCGTCCTTAACCCCTGTCAAGCTTCTGCCAAAAGCCTTGGCATTTGTATCCACTGATAACCAGACTCGCTAATCTCGCCGCCAAAATATCAACGTGGCCAATTGAAGGGAGAATTTGTAAGGCTGAGACGAAATAAACGTGGGCAAGATAGATAACGCATCTCCATATCTTGGCCAATGGTGCACGAGCTACAAGATTATGCGGTTCCAAAACCTGATTAACTTCAGAGTTAGAGGGCCAGTTTGGAGCCTTTTGGTGCAGTCTTCTGCTCTCCTTCATTTGGTCGAGAATGGTGGGTTTCGCTTAAAGCAAATTATTTCGTAAAACTATTAGACGAGCTAGAAAGGGTGGGAGGAGGAGATCGGGATGTTGAAAAGGAATGGTGTTCCCTCTTTTAGTTCAGTGAGCTCCTTCAGGACCCTTTCGCTTGAGGTATATAATCGCGCGCGTCCTTTCCAAGGTGGCGTTGCAAGTTGCAGTCTTTCTCCCGGTGTTCTCCTAGCTTTTTGAGAGCGTCACAATGGCAACAGCGCCAGAAATTGTACGGTCCCACGAACCACATCCTATGTCATAGCTGACAACTTGTAGCCAAGCTTTAATGCAAGCATTCCCAATGGAGGAAACCCTCAAGAGATGGACGTGAATACGCCCTACATCGGACTCGAGTGGGAATATGTTTATCAGGTGATCATGGGATGCCTAGTGTTCTTGATCGTCCCTGGTATCGGCTTGCTCTACGGCGGGATGGCTCGCAGAAAGTCAGCGCTTGCCATGATTTTCCAGTCAATGACTGTCATGGCTGTATGTACTTTCCAGTGGGCCTTCTGGGGATTCACACTCGCCTTCTCGAGGAATGGAGGCCCTTTCATCGGAGACTTGACCAATTTTGGTTTGAAAGATGTGAGTAGATTGGACCTGCTACTCCTACGGTTCATTATCCATTATTCATTGCTCACATTATCACAGGTCATGGCGGCACCTTCCTGGGGGTCTGCTGTTATCCCAGACATTGTCTTTTGTTTCTACGAACTGATGTTTTGCGCATGTGCAACCATGATCGTTGTCGGTGGCTCGTTCGAACGCGGCCGAATTCTCCCCTCCATCATCTTTGGTTTCTGCTGGGCCACACTTTGTTATTGTCCTATTAGTTATTGGACATGGAATGCCAATGGTTGGCTCTTCAAATTGGGAGCTTTTGACTTCGCAGGAGGCGGGCCTGTTCACATTTCTAGTGGAACTGCTGGTCTGGCGTATGCACTGGTGCTCGGCAAACGGAGTCGGCTCGGTGAAAAGCACATCTATAAGGCTCACAATGTTACGGTGGTCTTTCTTGGTACGACCCTCATATGGTTTGGATGGTTTGGATTCAATGGCGGATCTGCATTGAACGCAAGTATACGTGCCATGATCGCTGTTTGGAATACCAACATGGCCGCAGCGATGGGTGTCGCGGGGTGGGTTTTGATGGACTACGTGAAGCACAGGAAATTCAGCGTGATCGGAGCGTGTGAAGGAGCGATTTGTGGTTTGGTTGGTATCACACCTGCTGCTGGTTATGTGTCAATTTGGTGTGGAGCTGCAATTGGGTTCATCACTGCGGTTGTGGTGAATCTGTTCGAGGATGTTAACCACTGGCTAAATATTGACGATGGCCTGGAAGTGTTCAAGCTTCACGGTATTGGTGGCATGTGTGGAGCCTTCCTCACAGGCATCTTCGCTACAGCGTCAGTCTCTTCCCTGGATGGAGTGACCATTGCCTCCGGGGGAATCGATGGCAATGGCTTACAGATTCCCAAACAATTGGCCGAGATTGCGGCAATCGCTTCCTGGTCATTCACCATTTCTTTCATCCTTCTCATGATTATGAAGTACATTCCAGGATTGCATCTTCGTGTCACAGATGAAGCTGAAATGATTGGCCTAGATCTGGACCAGTTTTCAGATGAGGTTGTGGGTGAATGGTCTCTCTTCACAGACGAAACAACTGGCCGACGAGCATCAATCACGCATGGAGTGCTTCCTGCAGGAGGGACATTGACACCACCCTCGGAAGGACCCTCTGAGAATGTCACCGAGCAGAAGGCTGAGCCAAAGACAACATGAGGTTGCTGTATCATCCTCGGGGTGAAGAAGGCGAATCCGGTGAAGGGCAAATGGGAAGAGAAAGTGTGTGTTGATGCTATCTGCGGCCTTTGTCACTAATAGATCTCTCTTTATCATTGTGTCGTCTTATAACTCTTCTCAGTATGAAGCGTGTTTTCGTTCCCCTAGATACATAGATAGTTGAATTGTCTTGATGATCGAGGAACACTGCCTGACACTGGGGACGTCCCTGGCTGGGATGGCTACCTAGCCCCATTTTGCCTAGCGTAGCCTGCTGCCTAGCGCGTGCCTGCCATGCGGGGTTTTTCGCTGGCAGGCATGCACAAGTGTCAATCAGGAAAGAGCGAAGCGCCGCTGGTGTCGGAGGCATTCAGAATAAAGACCTACAAACTCCACACTCCCGTACTCATTTTCTATGGTATACTTCGTTAAGCGCTCCGGACTTTGGATTCCTAGTATTTGATACCCTCCATCCTCTTGACCAGTCCCCCTACTATCGCGTCTCTCTGCGCTCCGTCAGCAACTACGATCCGACCTGCGGGGTTGTCCTCGCTTTGGCACTTACATCTTGACCATCCTCGAGCAGCCTGGCCTGCGCCCGCATCTCTCCAATCCCAACGAAAGCTGAGTTGCCTGCCCAGGCTTACATCTGCCCAAGATGTTTGCCACAAAGAGGCTAGGAAAGGTGCGCTCCTATCCCATTTGCCGTTACTCTAGACTGACGACCCGCTGCAGGAACTCCAGAAGGTATATCTCCCTTAGTCTCGATCAAGCAGACCGCTTTGCTTTAAAATCTCCTCCGGCCCCTCACACAGCTGCCCGATTTTAACCCCTGCGCTCACTAGGCAAAGCAAAAACTACCTCCCGGAATCGATCTAGCCAAAGCAGAAGATTTCCGAGAATGGCAGGTCGACATCAAAGTCCTCGACGCCAATCCTCTCTACATGGATCAGGTGTACCGGTTGTGCTTCATATTCTCCGACAGCTATCCAATAGGTACGTGCGATTGAAAATTCGCCAGTAGGACTCAGTATCTGACAAGGAACCCTCCAGAACCACCTGAAGTCTGCTTTATCCACATTCCGCCGTCGGCTACCGATCCTGCACAATCCTCTGCCCAATCTGCTCCTTTGCAGTCTACTTCTCAGCCATTCCCAGGTCGACCTATACCTATACACCCACATATCTATTCCAATGGTATCATCTGCCTCGACCTCCTTGGTACCGCAGGCTGGTCCCCTGTCCAAAGCGTTGAGAGTGTATGCATGAGTATCCAGAGCATGCTAACGGGAAATTCCAAGAACGAGCGGCCACAAGGCGACCAGCAGTTTTGTCAAAGTATGGGAGTGCGCGGTCCGAATGGTTGGAGTGGCTGGAGGGACGGTGGAAGAGGCCTGAAAGACGTTAGATTCGCCTATGATGATGATACGGTGTAAAACTACTAGATTCCACTCCGAACTTGATGCGGAAGCACGACACTACTGAGCAAATTTTGAAAACCATGAGCATGATGCGACGGAGTTAGAATTTGGAGTACACTACTACCAACGGGGATATTTAATGCAAATGATGTGGCGGACGGGTTTCGCTTTAGAACCGGGGCTTGTTTTTTGTTCAAGATTGATGATCCTGTCCACCCTGCACCATTACGGCCACGCCGGCGGAAGAGCGATAAGAGAATCATTCTATTTCACAGCCGACCATTACAGAGTCATGGCACCTTCACCCGTAAACCCAACTCATGGGGGAAAGGGATACTACATAAATAGGATACATCCAAGCTATCAAAGAACCTCCATCCCAACAAAAACCAATCTATTGGTGCTGGTGTGCAGGCCACATGCCTTCGCGCGAAAAGAGCAGCCCAGGTCCAAAGTTTTCTCCGGTCCTTTCTTCCTCCATGTACAATGAGCGTCACGGCGATAAAGCAGCTAGGCTTCATTCGTTGGCTAAAGTAAAGCTGGTAGTGGTACACATGTTATCAAGTAGCATTGTCTGTGGGCATAGTGTAGTTGGGTTACTATACAGGTATCAACGAGCTAGCCTCCGCAGCTTATTTGAGGACGACTTACTACTACCACAACTAGACGAAATCCCCTGCTCGCGCCCGACCACTTGCACCTCCCCGGTAGCCATCAGCCTTGTCCCTGTCTCAATCTCTCTCCCTGCTACCATCTGCTGCTCTTCTGCCTCCAAAGCCACGTCTGCCGCCACCGCGTGGTCGACCCGGGCTGGGCGACCATCGGCGTTTGTCTGCTTGACGACCGGGACGGTCGTCATCTCTATTCCATCCTCCGGAACGGCGCGCTGGCGGCGATCGGCTGAGGGATATGGATCTTCGGCTGCTGCTCTCGCTCAGACTGGATGAGTTGCGGCGGCGGCGCACAGGTGCTGCTGGCGCTGGAGCTGCTGCGGTCCGTCGTAGTGGAGGGCTGTAGCTGCGCGAGTGACCTGGAGATCGACTCCGACTTTGACTTAGGTCGCGGCCACGACCAGTGTCGTTTCGCCGCTGAGGGGGCGAGCGCGATCGAAAAGCTGATAATGAGCGTTCACGACTGTCGCCCCGTCTTGTGATAGGTCCCGGGGCCGATTTGCGTGCGAACCTTGGTGGTGAACGTGATCGCGAGTGGGAGTAGGTATCCTGACGCCGTAGGGGAGGAGCTGTGCGCGAAGGTGGTGCTGGAGAACGAGATACTGATGCTGGCCTTCGGCGAGCTGCAAAATTTCGGGGTGGAGAGAGGGACCTTGAGCGCGATCGAGACACACTGGAGTAGCTGTATGACCGAGAACGTGTGCGTGGGCGGCCACGAGGCGCAGTAGTGCGACGAGGTCCTGTACCGGGCGAAGCACTATAGGCCGCCGATCGGGGGTTGGTGCGCCGCCTTGGTGGGGAACGCGATCGTGATGGAGACGCAGTGTAACTTCTACTTCGAGGGCGACCTCTTGTGCCGCGTGCTGGCATCGATTGCGATGGTGATCTCGAGACGGTTCGGCTATAGTTTCTGCGTGTGTATCTAGCGTCGACGCTGCGAGAGCGGCTGCTCCTGATCGCTCTCGATGGCCTCTCACGGGATGGAGTCTGGCTGCGAGATCTGCTGGTAGTGTAGCTGGAATAGCTTGAATAGGAGCTGACACTTTCGGAGTCAGAATTATCATCGCTCCGGGCGGGTAACGCGGCTGGTTCTGGTTTGGGAAGATTCTTGAGATGCTCGCGCATCTCCTCGGTGAGAATGCCCATGCCAACACTGGTAAAATAGTTGATGGAAAACCGAGTATTCCTCGGGTTGTCCATTGGGAAGATGCCTGCGAAACTGGGGCGGAGAATCTCATCCCTCATCCTTTCTTTCAGTTTGGGCAGACCCATGGCCTCTGCTAGATCCTGGAACAATATTTTGACGAAGATACGGCTACTCGAAGTTGTCTCGTCTTCGTTCAAATGGATGACAGAGAAAATATGCCACCCGAGAGCATCCGTGCTCAAGAGGTGGCCAAAAAAGCGAGCAATATTTCGTAGGCGATTGGTCTCGTAGCGATGAATTGTATCGTAATATGTGGCGAAAGACTCCTCGAACAAGTTCGTCCAAAGCCGATTGAGCTTTGCAAATCGTTCACCAACCAGTCCGAAAAACTTGGAATAAGTTTTCTCTTGAGAGCAGCACTCGATGATCATTGACGGGAGTTCTGACTCTTGACCTGCAGGCAGTTGCACTTTCATCAACTTGTGGCAGGCTTCCTCGAAGTCCAAACTCGACATGATCGTCAGGTAAATCGTGCGGCGAAGGTTGACAAGATCTGTATTGGTTTGATCTTTGATTTCCATCGCACGTTCTTGTTCGGCTCCCTCTTCGTCCGAACTATCTTCCGAGCCACTCTCATCTTCATCTCCATCGTCGCTGGCTTCACCCAAGATTTCAGCCTTGAGCATTTTGTATGCCTCTTCATTCTCCTCCCATTCCGAATCAAACTTGAAAATATTCAGCGTGTCCTGAACTTGGATGTCTTCGTCGGTTACATCGACGTGATGGGTAATCTGATCTTCTTCTTCAACGAGGTCGAGTTCCTCCCGAATGGCCGGATTGTCCTTGTAGCGGTCTTTCCTAACTTGAAAGAGAACTTCAATCATATACTGCACTCGCTTATCAATGTCTGCCTCGTGAAGGATACTTCGAAATTGATCGAAGACTGCAAGAGCAATAGGTTGGCTCATTTCTTCCAGATGTTGTCCCACCTCTCGTGTCAGCCCTACAGCAATCTCGACAGAATCATCCGAAGGTTTGTGCAGGAGCAACAAGAGTATTTGTGCGGCTACGGCTTCATGAGCGACTTGTTGATTACACAGATGGGCGATGAATGTGCTCGAAGAAAGGCAAACAGCTTTGTCGTTTCTCTTGAAAGCCTTTCGAAATTGAACGATCAGCCGGTTTAGCAGAAGCTCGCCCACTTGCGGTAGCTTGGTGTTCACAATAGCCGCCATTGCTGCATAGATTGGAGTGAATGGAAGAGAAGCTGCTTGCGCTTTCATAATACTTCTGCAAAATAAGCCGCGCCCTCGGACTAAGTTCTCATTGAATAGCTCTGGAACAATGTGCTTTATGTTCGAGACATTCACTTTGTTGATGAGACCGTTGATGGATTTCTTGAGAGCCTCCCAAGCCATCCGCTGATACTCTTTGCTAGATTTATCGGTGATCTGGGATTGCAATTCGCGTAAGCGGGCAGGCGGAATGTATGTTCCTCCAGAGCGCATTGTAAGTAGCTTTTCATATTCTGCTTTCGCAGCGGCTTGTTTCTCTTCCGCTGTCAAAGGCTTCCTTCGGGCAGTGTCGGTTTCTCGTGGTCGAAACCTCTCGCGCAGTTGTCTTTCTCGCTCATCCATTTCTTGATCGGCTGATGGCCCATCTGTGTCTCGACGCTTCTCATCCTCTGCTGGTGCAGGCCTCCTTCTTCTGGGTGAAGGCGATCTCGATGGTGGTGATCGTTTTCTCGCGTTGGATGGTCCAGGCGAGTAATCTCCGCCTGGTGGAGGAGTGGGCAAACGGACGGCTGAAGAGAGTAGCATGGTGTCAGCCATGACTGCGACAGTGTTGGATATCCTAGTTTAGACCAATAGTGCCGTAAAGAATTGATGGTATTCTAGGAGAGGAATCCCATCCTCTGTAGGTGCGGCAAACGAGAAATGTTGTTTGTTAAAACTTGGGAAATGACCGCAGGCAGACTCTCTCGACTTGGAGAACTTTCTGAGTCTGGAGACGCCAAGGAGAGACTCCAGATTGAGGAAGTACGAATGCCGCTTTATGAACATACATGCCGCCCTATCCCCTCGCTTCGACTCCACTTGCTGGAAGATCACGCTCAGGTAGTAAGCTTCTCAACTATTCTACAAAGTACAATAGCTGCAGCCAGCCTATGCTAATCCTCAAAACCCAAAGCCATCATTCACTAAGCCTCAAAGCTACTACAACCACTCGGACTTGATTTCCAGAGTCTGAATCGCTCCAGGACGACTGTCTTAGATTAGCCGGTAGAATCTACAGGATGAATGTGCAAAATGTAGTTGAATTTCTTTGAGAACACGAAGCCAGCCATGAGACCAAACCGGGGCTATCGGACCGACGAAAGGGAAAAGATGAGGATGCGGTATATCCATATACTAAACGTGCATATTGACAAGCATTTTGAGGTGTGCCAAAACGTGATTGATAGATAGTTGGACAATCTTTGCACAGAGCTGGACAAGTACCTTTTGGAAGTTGGGGTCGCAATTCGTGGATGGCAATGAGCTCTTTGAAAGGGTGCAGATACAGTAAACTCTGTGGCGAGATTAGTAGTGGTCGGTCTCTAACTCTTTCTTTTCTCTACTTGCAGGTGTCTCATAGCCCTGTTTTAACGACTCAGTAGGATGAGCTCTGCTGATGGCACTTGAGGCTTTGGATGGGCCTATGAATTTCGTCCGCGGCTTAATAAGAACCCTTCGCCTTCTCGTCGGAACTAAAATCAAGCACAAAGTCATAGCTTAAGCCAGAAAAATGTCATGAAATGATATTCCTCACTACGGCCGCTCTTTTCTTTCGGGAAGGCCAATGGTCAGCCGAAGGCGTCGACGTTCTAGCTGATATACCAAATGTCATCGCCATAGCAAGCCAGGGTGATGGAATAGTTCCGTTGAATGCCAAACGTCTAATTGCTCCGTCAGGAGGCTGAAGTCAGGTTGGCATACAAGCGATCCAGCTTCATCGGGATGAGCGGGGCGGACAAGCCGGTGGCGGCACGTGCGAGCCGAAGAGTGTGGACTTCGTTTCCCAAGAGGCCTGGTCGGTATTTTCGAGATAAGCCAGATATGAATCAAAAAGCTGGTGACCACTAGCTTCATACCTCCCACCATGCCCGGTACCGTAGGTTACCATGTCTCTATAAAAGGCATGTTTCCGCTACGATGGACCTTGTTCGAAGGCGAGACTTCGATCTTTCTCACGCTTTGATATCCTCAGCTTAAGGGCTCGAATTGTTCAATATGGAGAAGCGATCTTTGGATGTGCCTGCTGCTAGCACCAAGGTTGAGGAAGAAGTAGGCCGAATCGAGGTCAGAGAGGCGACCGCGACAGTAGACCCGACCATCTTGCGGCGCCTGAAGAGGAAAACCGACCTCATCATTATCCCCACGCTGGCTATCACATACTTATTCAAGTACGCAGGTCCACCCTGAGCAGCTTCTTGTTGTGGCAATGGCTAACTCGGACTACAGTTCTCTGGACCGGAGCAATGTTTCCAATGCACACACGGCTGGCCTGGTCCAGGATCTCAACATGTCGGGGAATCAATTCAGTCTCGCTCTGACATACTATTTCATCCCGTTCTGTATTTGTGGGCCGCCAGCTGGCATGTTGAGCAAGCAGTTCTCTGCCAAATACTCCATTCCAGTGATGATGGTTGGCTTTGGTGCTGCATCTCTCGCCACCTCCTTCGTGACCAATTTTGGCCAGTTGGTTGCGTGTCGGTGTTTAGTGGGAGTTTTCGAGGCCGGCTTTCTGACGGCGTATGCAACCCCCCTCCATGGAGATGATCAGCCATGAGGTCTCTTAACTAATGCCACTGAGTTAACTAGTGTTGTCTACTATTTGTCCATATGGTACACACGCACCGAAATCGCATCACGGATCGGTGTCTTCTACGCAGCACTCGTCGCCTCATCTGCGTTTGGCGGACTCATCTCGTACGGCACCTTTCAAATGAAAACCCATCACTACCAATGGTTCTACCTGTTCATCATCGAGGGTTCTTTGACGATGTTGGTCGCCCTGGTGACATTTTTCATCATCCCCAAGAACATCCGCAGCTGTCGATTCCTGACGGACGCCGAGAAAAATGTCGCTGAGGCTCGCATTCTCGCCGAGTCAGCCGAGGGCCTGGAGAACCATTTCAGCTGGAAGGAGGCGCTACGTGAGTGGAAAACGCCTCACCCATACGTCCGAATCATTGTCGCGATCACGTATTCGACCTTGTTGACGTCGAACAACAACTTTCTTGCGATCATCGTTGGACGCCTTGGATATGATACTGTCAAAACCAATCTGGTACGATCCATCTTCATGCCCCTGACTGGACTGTACACGGCCGTGCTGACAGCCTTTGCTTAACAGTATACTGTGGCGCCAGCTCTAGTCGCAGCAGTGTTCCTGGTTGCCGCGACTTTCTCCTCGGATCATTTTCGGGAACGTGGAATCCACATGGTGGTTTCTCTCGCAATCAGTGTCGTCGGATATATTCTCCTTATCACTGTGGATCTGGACAACATCGGTCTCACTTACTTTGCGATCTTTATGACCACCGTTGGTGTAAGTCAAATCCCAATCAAATTATCTTTCCGCCCCCCCAAGGTTTTCAAAAGAATCCCCTCTGTCCACGAATTTATGCAACCCACCAAAGACCATCATGCGCGCTGTGCTAACTCACTCTGCCCAGGCGTACCCAATGTCACCAATAAACAATGCATGGATCGTGTCCAACATCCCAAACCTCAACGCGCGAGCCTTCACAAGCGCCATGCTAATCTCTATCGCCAACACCGCGGGTCTCATCTCCAGCAACATTCTCATCGCTGAAGAGGCGCCGCGCTACGTCACTTCCTGCTGGGTGAATCTGGGTGCCGCGATCCTATGTTTAGTCACTTGTGCCGCATATTCGGCCTGGATGAGATGGGAAAATCGCCGAAGAGATCGTTTGCAGGGGGTTTCTGGCATGGAGTACATCACAAGGGGTGTCACAGGGACGACGGATCCTAGATTTCGGTTTTGTCCTTGACCCCTTGAGTTGGTGGGATGCATGGGTAGGAGAGTGGATATCTTGTGGGTCGTATGTCTTGGACATACTGTGGCACTAGTGGTGAGCGAACGAGATCTGTGGGGAGAAGCTTAGTTGTCCTCTTGAGGCTACATACGGCAGGATATCTGCGCCTCATCACGGAAAAAGGCAGCTGGTCTCCCTAACTGGGCATCCAGTAGAAGAGAAAGCCTAAAGGCATTGATAACACAAACATTCTTAAATCCCTCCTTCCACTTTGAGCATGGCGATTCCTGATATTCAAGGATCGACACTCAGTTTTATGTTCTAGGAAGCCATCATTACAAACGAGTTCCAGGTCGGTGACCTGAAAATCCTTCCAAAATGCCGCCATACTCATTCAACTGAACGCCCGTGGGAGAGTAGTCGAAGGCAACAGGGTCAAAATCATAATCGACAGGCTGATCGAATTCCGTTGGGGAGAAAGTGAAATCGAAAGATGCTGTGTTATTGCCGAGATCATATGCCCCGCAACCAGTGCCACCAACCCCAGGAGAGCTACCGCTCATGGGCCCAGTGTCTGTGGTGGGATGCATGAACGCGTCAAAATTCAGGTTAAAGCTTTCCCCCTCCCATAGTGGGAAGGGTTCGCGGACGAGATTGCGAATGACGTTTGGTATCACAAAGCCTGTGGCGCTGAAGCTATCTCTCGTTGTCGCGCCTGGCTCTGTAATAGAGATCGAGTTTCTTGTTATCTGTCTGGAGGTATCGTACTCAGTGTTGTCGGTGGTGCTAGGTGCTCCTCTCAATCCGGTTCCAGCTGTGATTAAGCTGGATGACTCGAGTGTGATATTCTCTTCGTCGTTTTCCCCGGCTGTATCTCGGCCTAGAACTAGCTGCTTCAGACGCTCGAACGTATCCCGGTATCTTCCTGCCGAAGGCCATCTTTCAGCCATTACATATAGCATTATTGTGCAGTCGGACAGGGCATTCGTAGTTGACATGTTCAAGGCCTGCTCCGGAGACTTCCAAATGCAATATATCAGAGTCAGACCTAGGCATGAAAAGTTGTTTCAGCATTTTTCTCGATCTTTTCTAACATGAAATTGGGTTTCCTGCTTCTGATGAACACGAACTTACCGGCGAGGAAAAGTGACATGGTGAACAGAGGAGAGTAGTACATAGATGTAGATCGTTGATGTAATTGTTTGAAGGATCTGCAAACACCCGAGCAGGACTCAAGAACAACTTTTAGGCATCGTGAATCCATTGATGTATCGTCCATTAACCGAGGAAATAGTAACAGCCGGATACACGAGTAGTACTGAATCATCTAGAAGGACCGTCCTGTCAGTGAGACGTATCTAAAAAGATGAACCGCAGATAATCTGGTCGTCATTCAAAGGATAAACTTACATATGAGCCTCGCAAATGAAGGCGTGCCGGGGTATCAAAGTGGCTATCCGAAGGTGCAGGAGCCGGATTCGGAAGGCTCTCAGGAGGAATATCTTGTTTCCATGTATTGAGTCGGGCAAGAAAGCCCTCGGTTATTGAATCGGAGAAATCGACTGCCTTATCCACTCTGTAGACACTATGCTGGATATCTGATGCTATTCTCTTCAGGCCTACCATATGTATAAAATAGGATAAAGTCGTCGGTGGTTTCGACACCAAACCAGGTCCCCTTCGCATCGCTGCCTGGAAGTCCTCCGGCTTGGCACTAGCTTCGTCAACATCCAAAGGTAGCTACAAATCGTGAGATATGAATACAAAATTGTGAGATTATTGTTCACCACCTACCTGACAATCAATATCGTGATCACATATTGATGGAGGCCGGCCTATGGTGAGGTTAATATCTCTGTCGAGGCAATAACAAGTCCAGAAAAGACGCTTGTCAAGCTCGGCACCTAAGCTCAGTCTTGATGTGCATGACTTTCGGTGGAGGCCAAGTGATATACACAGTTTTACAGCCAATCCTATCATAGTCCTGTGGATAGGTCAGAAGTCTAGTCTCTTTTATTGCAATGTGGATGTAAGGGGAGCCACTGACCATGGACCAGGGTTCCTCGGCGCGCGTAAACAGTAGAGCGATGCTAGCGTGAGATAGATGATGGCTCTTCTATCAATGCATTGAGTAATTCTTGCTCTATGAGCCATGGCTGCTTCGTAGTGATATTCTGACTTGAAGTCTCCTTTGTTGCCAGACTATGAAGATCAGCCATGGCCAGTCCCGATTCACTATAGCCTACCAAGGTGAGCGTAATACCACCGAGAGCATACATCAAATGTAGGACGGCAACTTCAAAGAGGCCGTTGGGCTTATCCCGCCTTTCATGCATATTGTGAAGTCTCTGTGAATGCATGATAGGGAATATCAGGGACACGTATTCAATGTAGGCCCGAAAGAGTTTTCCAATCAAAGGATCAGAGAACGACGCGACATCGAACGCGTCCTCGTCGTCGCTCGACGAGAAGTTTCGGGTGACCAGTGGATCCCCATCAGATGCGTACGGTCTCGTGTCATCATGGGGTCTTTCTTGGGAACGATCAATATGCAAGACAGGTTCCAGGACGCGAGCAATGGTGATATTCGATGTCCCACCAAGATAGCTGTACCCACTCGCATTCAAGCTGAGATCACGGATCGTGCTTGATAAAGAGCTCTCTCGTGGCAAGTCGCCCAAGCGGTAGGACTCTTGTGACTCGACCGAGTTGGCAGATCGTTCGGCTCGCTTAAGCCGGCCTTCGAGGTCCGCAACCCTGCTCTCAAGCGCCTTCACATAGGCTCGCTGCTCGGTTGGTCTGGGGACCGTTGAGGCGACATACTGGCATGTTCCAGACACCCGGACACACTGTGAGCACGAAGGCTCCCGGCCATCACACTGCAGTTACCGAGGTTAATATCAGCGTGCTGCATATCGTCATCTGGGGGCTCACTTTCTGCTTGCGTGATTTACAGCGTTGGCAAGCAAGAGTAGTCCTCGGCCGCTTGGCTGCCCGTGAGAGGGTCGGACTCCCCTCCGTGCTTCGGCTCTGGAGATCCTCATCCATCCCCGTCTATACCGATTTGATGACACGATCAAGAACGATGTCCGACGATGAGAAAGTGAGAAGAGACAGTGTTGGGGGGTGCCTTGCGTACTATCAGCAGGCTCATATCAATGCCAAGACGGCAAGTGCGGGCCGCAAGTAGCGAAAGAGTGAACAGTTCCCTCCGTAGGCATGCATCTCCTCCAGGTTTCGGGCTGCGCCTCCCTTCCGATGTATGCTCTCCATCCATTGTAGAAAGAACTCTAGACTGGTATGCTGCGAGGGTGTTAAGCCTTCCTGTGGGTGCGCCCTTCTGCAATGATACTGACCCGGGTATTGCGATGACGGCCGCCCTACTATTAACTGCAAACATCTCGCGGAGAGATTCACAGCGGGCTCTTGATTATCGTTGAGTAGTATAATACCAGACTGTTGCCAAAGATCTTTCGTTTCCCCGGCCAGTGATACCGACACGCAGTTGTCAGCATGTCGAGCGAACCAAAGACAATTATCGTAATAGGGTTAGTTCCAGAAGCACAGCGCCTTCCAACAATCGTCTCCCCAAGTAACTATATCGTCTTTGATATCAAAACATTGTGGACACTGACACTAGCTTTACAGTGCCGGTGTGCTCGGCCTAACAGCCGCTCTAGGACTTCAACATGAATACGCGGAAACCAGAACGATCTTGCTGGTAGCAAGAGACTGGCCATCCGACGAGTCGGTTCAATACACTTCCCCCTGGGCAGGGGCTCACGGGCGGCCAATGCCAGCGACGACACCAGTGGAAATGCAACACCAGGAATTCGCAAAGATAACCTACGCCGTAATGAAGGCCCAGGCGCAAGAAGAGCCAGCTTGCGGCGTCGAACTTATGGACGGCTACGACTTCATCGCGTCCCCATCCGACGACCATGTCAACCTCAGAGGCGGCTATGGAGATGCAGAAGGCATGACCGTGCTCGCGAGGCATGAATTCCCAAGGGATATGGGCATCAACTTTGGCTCGAAGTATCGCACTTGGTCACTGAATTCGCCGGTGTACTGCGCGTTCCTGCTGCGAAAGTTCCTGCTGAGAGGAGGGAAGACACGCAAGACCACCCTGATGACCGCAGAAGAGGCGTTCTCTCTGGTACCCAATGTCAACACTGTTGTCAACTGTTCGGGGTTCGGCTTTGGCGATCCAGATGTCTTCCCCATCAGAGGCCAAACAGTCCTCGTCTCAAACCCATGCGACCGCAACATAACTCAGCAAAACCCGGACGGGACATGGACATTCATCATCCCACGCCCACTGGAGGGCGGCACCGTCATCGGTGGCACGAAGGAACCCCATGACTGGACAGCGACAGCCCGCCCAGAGACACGCACCAAGCTCCTTAACATGGCCGCGAAGATGTACCCTCCAATCCTTGGCCCCGACGGCATCGGCGAGTTCAAAGTCATCCGGGACATCGTCGGCAGACGCCCCGCGCGGCGAGGCGGATTGAGGCTCGAGATTGAGCAGCTACAATCGAAAGGGCCCTCCTTCCGGGGCAAGACAATCATTCATGCCTACGGCGCGGAGGGCCACGGGTATGGACTCTCGTGGGGGATTGCGCGCGAGGTTGTGAGGATGGCTGGGGAAGCTGATCGGCACAGTACTGCGAGGCCTTCCTTGTAGCGAGATCCGCTGGCAGCGGATCTGAGACTCCTGGGCTTGTATTGGGCGAAAAGGAAAGCATGGGTGGGTGCACTTTAAGCTGAAATAGCAGTAGGTAGCCCGTATCTATCCGCCCTCGCCGGTGGAAAATCGACTATTGCATGCGCGTACACATTCGACGACTACTCCGTCATTCCTCTCATGAAAGCGGTCCAGCAGCGCATCTTATGCGTGTATGTCAAAATGTATCTGAGCTGGACTCAAGCCCACCCGCAAGGAAGCACCAAACAAACACAGACGGACACCGCAGTCAACAAGCAGTGCAGCAACTGAAAAAACTTGCGCCTGTACTGGAATGTGCACATGCAACTCAATGTGCTTAGCTTTTGATTTGAGCTATATGCTCAAGGGGAAACGTATCTCTGCCTTCCAGCCTCCAGCCTCCAGCCTCCAGCCTCCAGCCTCCAGCGTCCTGTCTCTCTTTCAACCCTTGCTGTTGAAAGAACGAGGGGCCCTCAAAGGGAGGAAGATCGAGTCCCGACAATGCGCTAAGATCGTCGATTCGTGCATTAGCTTCGGACAGTTGGAGATGGGCACGGCGAACAGAGCCCAGCCCAGCCCAGCCCATGCTCGAGTTCTTGAGGGAGAATGTAGAAATGTCACGACGCTGCAATCAAGGAATCCAGGATTGAGATTATAGATGAGGGGCGGTGGAAGGGTGAGAAACAGCGATCCGGAAAGGAGAATATTTGCCTATTGGCTCATGTTGTTCTGTTTGGATGCACTATAGAACAACATGTACTCGTAGAGCTCGCTCGCTCGCTGTCCCTCTTCAGAAGGACGTCGGATCGGCAAGCTGAAGCTTCACGAGATCCAGCACCGAGTACGAGTACATCTCCATCCCCGTCTTACTTTCGAGAAGAGGGCATTGGCAGGCTACTGGGGTATTCCATACTTCTCCTGCCGCTGCTGCTCGTTGATGCTTTCACACCACCGCCAGATCTTCATCCCACCCTAACCAAACATCCTTTTCAGCACTATTTCCCCTTCACTCACAGCAAACAACATGAATTTGAGACACCACCGTTTCCAAGGCCCACTTGGGCACTCAGATCGTCATGTTTGATGTCAGTCCTTTTCAATCCGCTCAAACCTACTTTGGATGCGCCATCAGCGTCGGGGGGGATAGGGACCGTATTGCATTGCTACTCATACCCGTCCCCATTTTGTCAAGAGTCCACGAATCCACATACGGGTGTGGGTTGTGATGATGATAGCCGCCGTGGTCGCGGTTTATTTTTTTGGATGTAGCTAGTATTTCAACCCACCGGTTCGCCGGAGAATAACATGACTTGAAAAGTTTGAAACTTCTATACAAAGCACAAAAGGCGTTGAAGCTTGCGGTAGGGACCCGCAACTGCAAAACATAATCTCCGGACAAGCGAGTGCTCGCTCGGTAGTTCGAAACCTTCGTTCAGGTCGGTCACTTATGCCATCAGCGATGTACGGCGTATGTGATATATGTTCTTCTAACCTGATGTTAAAACGGCTGTGGCTTTTGGGGGTCCTCGGAAAGGACCTCTTTTACTTGACTATTTTATTCTCCATATGGAAGAAAGCACAGGGGATGTTGGTGTACACTTTCGCTAAAATGGTTAGAATTGTTGGGGATGCCCCCCCGGAGACTTAATGGAAGATTGGTGGCGCAATTTTGCTCTTCGGGAAATTCTTGTTGAACAAACACTTGTGGAGGTGCGATATTGACATGGATCATGGGAACAAACTAGACTGTTCGTTGTTGACGACAGCGACCGGCATCAAGGGGAAAAGAGGTACCTCGTAGTGAAACTGCCCTTGGGTCGATATGGCAAAGTTGGGTGAGAAAATGCCTGTCAGAGTAGGTCTAACGGGGGCTACCAGTGCCCCCAACTACTCAGAAGGCTGCGGACCACGGGTGATCACAGTAGCTTAGCGTGGTGTCCACTGGGGGCATGGAAACAACCAGGTAGTTCCCACTGCCGGCTTGAAATTCCGGCCGTTAACAGCTCTTGCAGACTGAAGAATATCACACACTCGGCGCAGCAAAGCGCCGGCCGTGTCTGATCTGCTCTTTCCCCACGGCGACTCTCACCAAAAGTTGCAGGTGAAAGAATTCGAGCTAGTATGTTGCAAATGTAGTCGGCCTGACAATCCGCGCCCCGTGTCTTGATAATGGAGTGGACATGGCAAGGGTAGTTTGAGGGCCCTCGAAGCAGCGAGGACGACGAGCAGGGGGAGGGATCGCGCTAGTTGGCGCTCTGAGAGTTGATGGCAGCGATCTGCTGGTCCGTTGGGTCCACGGTGTGCTCACTAATTTCTCCAGAAACGGAGCCAGCCGTCTACTGTGGGTGTCGGGAGGCACTTGATGATTTAGTGCTTTGATAGCAACTGCACACAAGGGTATTTCCCCTTTGATTGTGGTCGAGTGGACTGTGATGTTTACGAGGCACATTCTGAGGACACGGCAGTACTGTTTCCTCTGGGAATTGGGATAGCCTGCTGGCGGGCTCGGGCGAATATACATGGGGTAAAAAGGGCACATGAAGGAAGAAGGTTGCCTGAGTCAAAGGCCAATGGTGGTTGAGAAACCAGAGCCATCGGCTATGCAGTATAATCGAAGGGGGCTTGTCTAGGCGTGCTTGTCCTGCTGAGTCTCAGATGCTGGATCGCGGGCAGCAGACTCGAGGTGCTGGTCTCGCAGGTGGCAGTAACACATGGCTTGCAAGGCACAGAGGAAGCAACGTCTCCCGAGATGAAGTGAGGAATTGGGTTGGCTTTCCCCCGAAGCTTCTGCTTAGGTTGCAGACTGTGGCATCTGAGAGTCGCATGGCCAGGGTGAAGGAAAGACAGAACATCCTTGCACCACCTGTGCATCCAATTGACTTTGTATTCGATATGGGTCAGAGCGGACGGCATGCAGACACGAAGCCGACATGCCGCAATAGTCTGATTAGCGAGCCGTGCTATGGACCACTCCAACGATGGGAAAAGACTCACCCTTCCTTGGCTGCTTACCTTGAACAGGGGCATGTAGAAGAGTGAAGTTGCTATGCAACGGGACTGCATACAGGCGCTACGTCCACCGAAAACACCTAGCGGGGGACTTCGTTGCATGAGAGCCTCAGCTTTGGGAGACCAGGTCTGCCGGACGAGTAGTCTCGTAGATCAACTGGCGCAAGGCGCTATGGAGGTTGCCGAGTGTCCCAACATAGTCGTGGCCATATTGCTCTGATTGATCTTCCATCATGACTTGTGAGTTTTAAACCCTGACGAGCTCCAAACATGGAGCAACGAATAGGATGGGCTTGGAGGGCTCACGAGTACTCGGAACACAACAATAATAAAAAGGGAGGATCCGCAGCGTATGCTCACTCGGAGATATGGCGTTTAACAGATCGTGATGGCCAGTGGGTGCCAGGATGAGGACTTGCTGGTTGAGAAACAAGAACTCAGCAGGGAAACCCTAACACGTACGTACTATCATTCGCCGAATCGCAATCCCCATGAGGAACAAGGCCAGAGCGAGGCCTAAGCAGGGATATTTAGCTGAAGGATGGGCAACGTTTTTCGCCTATGGTCGGGCCCCTGGTTGAAAATATCGCCTATCGGTGGAGCGACGCTAACTCTGAGAAGGAACTAGGGCTAGGGATCGGGGTCTTGTTAGTGTGGTGAATCTGATTCTTTGTGATACTTTGTGATACTGTACAAGCCGTAAATAAGCTGGGGAACTCGGCGATCACGATTCATGAAGCCCGTCAAGACTGCTTGTTAGTTCGTCAACGCCAACGAGCTTAGATTCTGGTACGGAGTATTGTGGCCGATCTTGGGTACGTAAGAGATTAGACCTTGGCATCTGTTGATCTATGGTCCAGGCATAATTGCCCCATTCCTCAAGGTAAGGAAGGCAGACTCATCTGACCATGTCTTTCCCGAGAAGCGTCAGAAGGAAGAAAGGGAATCGTGTTAAGCAGGAACACTGTGCTTGGTTCGCCGGCCATTACAAGGATACTGCTTGTCAACCAGAGCTGTTTGAGACCTTGGGTCCGCATATCGTTGGCTGGCTAGGTGGGAAGGATGATGGCATCTGCGGCTAGCTTTACGATGTCCTGGAACTAGGGAAATGCCTACAATTGTGTGGCGGTAAGGACCTTTCAATGACAAGGGGCCAGCCACATGGTTCTGTTTTGCACAAGGTAGGGATCTGTCTGTAGCGTGAAGTGATTATTGGTAAAGGCGGCCACTTGGAATCCTCGCAGATGGTCCGGGCAAAGCTGTCCAAACATGAAGTCCAACACCGGATGTAATAAGTTCGTTACCTTCTGATGCTACATAACACCAGGATGTTGAGGGACCTCTCATTCGTGTTTCTTGCCCTTTTCGGTTTCTCCTGCTTGACGAGTATCAGATCAATGGCAAGTCGCAAAGGGGTGAGGCTGTGTTTATCCGGCGTTTCACGTTCTGGCCGTTTCACGATACTGTAGGCGCCTACATTAACCGTCTTGGGAAGTGGGATGAGCCGCCGTGACTGGCTCACATCCTGCGGTGTACTGATTTAGCAACAAGACCTTGAGCAGGCTTCCGATATTCCGATCTTCTGCAAATCTTCAAACCCGGAAGATCTTTTCATGCACCCACTGTATGAAGCCCCTTGAGGTTTATTACAGTATGTGTCTTGACGAGGCTTGGGAGAAACTCATTGCAGCTCCATAGTTTAACAAATCATCGGCAGTTGTGGAAAGGGAAGAAAGGACGAAACTGCCGGGGGGAGAGGAAGTTCTGTCAGAAAGCCCTCTTGCTGGAAGCTCGGAGCAGGGACTAACTGTTGCGCTGCAGATTACGATCCAAAGTGATCGGCCTTGTCCAGGGGCCCTCCGAATGCGCGAGTCATTTCAACACTGCAAACACCGCCACGAAAAGCAGCAAAAGCAGGGACCAACGGAGCCTATGTACGGGATCGACAGTAGACTGCCTAGCATTAATTGCACAAAACCAATTTCGACAAAGGGCATAAATGATCGTCGGGCATTTATGCAGAGTTTTCCCTGCGGATGTTGACAATGGACGGGCGACGCGTTGACCAGCTGGGCACGTCGGAAAGCCAACCTGATAATAATGAGGGATGGTTACTGGTCTCCCCGCAAACTTGAGATGAAGCCAGGAGTCTCGGCCTCCATCTCCGTCTCATGGAATTCTAGATTTTCAGTGGTAAGTGGACGTTTCTGCGTATGTCTTGATGGACCAATGGTTGGACCGGCGCATCATCTGCCTCTCTTGTCCGTTGATGTCCTGGATGAGAATGATTTGAAATCTTAGCTTTCAACAGTGTGGGGAGCTCTAGGCTGAACTGTAGACTCGTAGGCGACACACTATGTTGCGGACCTGGGAGAAGGCGGCCGACCTGAGAACGCCTCTCAATAATAGAGCCCACTTAGTAGCAACACTGCCACAATACTCCTTCTGTAGATGGTGCTGAAGATCACGAAAGAGGTGGTTTTGCGTTTGGTCAAGCAATCGAGACATGCGCCATTCCTAGTTTTGAGTGTACAGTACCTTCTGGTACGGAGTTCTGTGTAGTTTAAGGTTGGTTGATCACCAGAGTACTCGTCCTTGGGTAGGCGAGCGTCGTCATTCTCGCCCGCCTGACAACTAGCCGCTCATCACACTTAACGGTCTCCAAGGTCATTCGACAGTAAGCGAGTGGGACCAGCGCAACTGTCGAAATGAAAGCTGTGTTGCATCGGGGATGGATTCGTTGGCCCGTGAGGTGTCAATGGAAGTCCCCCTCAGCCCTGTATGAGGGCTAAAGAGCAGCCCTCCTTAGTGGCTCTGGCTTGGGTCGGTGGTCGGCATTGACATTGGCAACGGGCACATTCCGATGGCCAGGAGCATCAGGGGCAAGTGGTGGCCAAGGTTGCCAGTGACCACTGTGGTGCTTGGACAGTGCACAAGCAGAGATGCCAGGGTTGCCGTCAAGCTGATGTTGTTCCAGGGGGGCAAAAGGCTAAGATCCACCTGCTGAAAAAGCCTGCTACAGAGCACTGTGCTCCGTATCAGGGTCTGCCCAGCAAAGGCCCAAGGAAGACGGTGCACCACACACCGTTAGGCATCCTTGTCGCAATTCGCTTCGTGACGCCGAGCCCGAGATTTGTCTGCAGTAGTGTGACTCGGCGATCTGGTCAAATCCACGCTCCTGGTAATGATGTTCGCTTTAGCGTCCAGAGATCTGACCCACTCTCGTGTTTGGCCCAATTGCCTCCGATCTCTTTCTCTTTCTGGCGGTATGGCTTCTGTGACCATCTGACGGAGTGAGGTGAGTGACCGGTGTCTCCTACTGTGATTTTGCGAGCGGGGTATGAGATGAACGAACTCATCTGTCAAGTACATGAGCTGTAGCAGAGAGGGAGAACCCGGCAAGTGGCACAAATAGACTTTAGGGGAGGAAGATCACGGATCTCGGGTCAGCACACAACGAGCCGTCAAGAGCGTTCTCGACCTGGTACAGAACAGCTCACGGACACATCAGACATCACAGACACCCTGTGGCTGTCTCATGAAATTGGTTGCAGTGACACTTAAGAGAATGTAGTTCATGACAGACAGCTGTAAGCCAAACCGTCTCGTTGGTTACACGTCGACAAGTGGCACGAACCATCCGCAGCTGAAAAGCGCACGACCTGGAGCAGCAGAGTAGTCATCGCCCGTAGCCATATATCAAAATATCATTAAATCTCTGACATGCAGAATGCAAATAGGCTGGGCCTGATAGTAATCTATCGTACACATCGCTCGCTGGTGCTGTTCATGAGCGGTTAAACCTTGCAGAGAAATTGGTCTCTGGTCATTATTCCTCCAAGCTCGGCCATCAGACCAATTACCCATAACTTAAGTTCCGCTGCATCCATCCCCAAACAAAATGTTCGTCAAGTGTGGGTACGGAATCCCCTGTCGAACAGCCCGTAACCTGCCCAATCCTGAGGCCGTTGCATAAGACGACTTCCTCCCAAAAGATATCGACTTTGGGTATCGTAACCAGCGCCAGTAAATCAATACGGCGTAAACACGCTCAACGTAAATCACAAAACAGAACAGACTCTTCCAAGGAGAAATGCTGGCTCGGACCCATCAATAATTCATTCTGGTGGGGTGGAGCGGTCTGAGGCTTCGAGGTGGTGGATTAAAAAGGATCAAACAATGAATTCAACATATTTGGATCCAATTTGTTGATTTGTGAACTGGACAAATCTGTTGGAGAAATAATCGCCTGGCGAAGTAGAGCTCTCGATACTCTGTTGACGCCTGAGTCTTGAAGTGCCTTTCCTCTGGATGAGACTCTCTGCATATCGACTTCATCCTAACCGACAAAGGTTTACATGGTCAAGGAGTCTCAGAGGAAGTCCTGGAAAATCATGAGGAACCCAGTTCCGTAGTTTTCAATCCAGCAATCTGGACAAGGTCATTCTATCGTCTCTAACCTTGGTGTTGTCTGGACTGCGGTGATCCTCCATTGATGTTTCGACTTTGTGATTCACAAGTGCTGGCTCACAGGGTGAAAAAGGGCGTGTATTTCCATGGAGCGAATAAGCGTTGTAGGTTTCTGCACGCGGTGAATCGTCCCATAGTTGCGACGAGGGCGCCTTGAGGGCGTGGAGTCCGGGACGAGGCGATGGAATAGTCTTGGGAGATATTGAATAGTTCGACTGGTTGTCTGATATCAAGGATGGAGCTTGTTGGTTGGAAGAAGTATGTGAGGCCTCAGTTGCGGCAGGGGATGAAATCGGTCGCTCTAGGTACTGGAGAGGGGGTAGTTGAATATTGGCTCCCTCTGGCCGTCGCAAGGACGGAAGAGGGTCACGCAGAAGAGGTGATGGGAGAGCATCGCCGTCGTGATGAGTCCTGAGCGCTCTTGGAACCGGGACTAGACGCTCTAGTGGGGCAGACGAGGATGATTTAGCACATCCAACTTCGTTAGAAAACGGTCTCCCTGCGTATGGGCCGTCTGGAAAATCTGGCCTCAAGGGCGATCCTGTGAGGATGGGCAAGCTGCCGCTACTTTCGTGCCTCTGAAATGGTGGAGGAAATAGGTAGGCGTGGCCATATGTTTCTCTCGAATGTGGAGAATGCTCGTAATGGTAGGGACGAGGAGACGCTGAGGCTGGCATAGGTTGGCTTCTGAAGCCAATTCCCTTTGAGCTGCTAGGCTGCTGTACTGTGCTCCTCTTCCGTCGGTTCATACTGCCATTCCACCAATTCTTTACCGCGTTGTCGCTTCGATTGCCCAGCCGTCTCGCGATTTCCGCCCATCTCTTGCCCATCTCCTGCACAAGTTGTTCAATCATTTCACCCTCGTGAGAGGTGATGGGTTCATGATTCAGAGACGGCTTTAAATTCTGATGATATCTTTCCCGACATTGCTTGGGAGACCGATGTTGCATGTGTTGAGATATGCGGACCCAATTATTTGGACCTTGGGTCCGGACAAGGTGCAAAAGAGTCGCATCTTCTTCAGGGAGCCAAGGTCCCCGCCGGCTCGTACGTGACATGATGATAAGAACACACACCCTCTTTGAGTAAGAGACCTTTGTGACACGACCTCCAGAAGCAATAAGAGTGTGAGGGGGCTCTTGCGTGCTTATAAAGTAGGAAAGGGGGGTAAGGTTCGAGCAGTGGTCACTTTCAACTCCAAACTGTAGGGACCCAGGACCCAGGACAGATCGAGAACCACAATCTTCGAACTTTATGCAAACACGTCAACTAGAAACCCGGTTCCCGATGGGTCGCAGGCTTGTTGACCAGGCGAAATGCAGTGAATGCAGGTAACTGAAGTCCGCAATCAGATGAATGGAAGCCCGGGAAATTCACCCGTGTTCTGTAGATGGTGGGATAAAACAAGTTTGTGGGAAGCGGGTGTCCTGGGAGCAAAGAGCGCTTCCTGGATGAATGGGTTTTAGGAAGCACTGTGGGTTGTCAGAGTTTCCTTCTGTGACGGACGGGGTCCGGAGCATCAGAGGATGGTGAATGGCGGACGATGGGCGGTAGAAAACAAAGTACAATATCGATCGGATGTCAATAAGAACGATGAGAATGAGGGTACTGGTATTATTGAGGAACTCCTTAGTCCGCGAAGTGGGTGTAGCGGGATAGAGAAGAGGCGTTGATGCACGAGCTAGCATTGCGGCAGGGAAGCGTTTGGAGTCAAATCTACGTCCCTTTTTGGTGGTCTCGGCTGGATCTGCGAGGATGATTGAGTTTGTGAAGCCCAAGTGGGATCGGTGATGGTCTGCTAACAGGCGCTGTGAATCTTGTCATGGTTCTAACTATTCCGAGCACTGTGGGAAAGTGTGGGAGGGCGCCGCCTTCGTCGCCGCTTGGGAAGAGACGAACGTTGCCAGGCCCGGATGATTGCGAAGTCAATTCGAGAGTTAGGACAGCCCTAGCGAGAGAGCTTGGCCCAATGTGTTGAGTCCCTCTTGTGCTCTGCAACTCTACCAGGGTCCTGTGGGCATTCTGACGCGCAGCAGAAAAGCTGCAAGGCCCGTGTAACTGGTCCCAGAAAACGCCAGGCTCCACTGATCGATCGGTGGGCATGGGTGGTCCCCAGTCGAGGCCAACAGGTTGTACTCAGACAAGCATGAAAAGATGTGCTTGACAAATTCACCCTTGCCGGTTCGAGGTCATGGAGCCCATGTGTGGTTTGCAAGCGGCAATTCAGAAGCGAATAACTTTGTTAGTACCACAGCTGACCATAAAAAGTGCAGCGACTTCAACCTCAACGCGATACAGCTCGATCTACGATGTTAGACGGTACATATGCACTCGATTCAAGCAAGTGGCAGGTTTGAGGCATGCACAGATGCTCACAAGCATTCCTGTTTACCTTGCAGAGACAGACTTAATTCTTGTCCAACAGAGTCGTGCAGCAAGCGGTGGTCAAGATTGCTATGGTGATGATGCTGACTGGGTAAAACCCGCGGTACGGAGTATTGAGGTTTGAGTTAGCCCCTGAGCTAGGTACAGTTGTTTGAAGCATTTTGGTTGTCGACAATGGGTACTCCGTACCTCACACTCCGTCCGGCGTGCGCCATGTCTGTAGGGAGCACTCGTAGGGAACTGTGGTTGACCATGGCAAAGGCCGATGGGCCATGTGGGCCAATATCAGCCTGTCATGGAGGGACTGACCAGGGATGCAAGAGGCGGGCATGATTATTGGTAGAAGGTGGCTTGAACTCTGAGTGGTGACCGCTTGGTTTTTCACGTCAAACCGCCATGACCTAAGATTGCCAAGTGCCACGGCTGTGCGGCCGGAGCGTTTTGACCGTTGAGGTGCTTGGCTCAGCAAGCTGATTCGACAAGGGGCTAGTGCAAGATGCTAGTTCAGGTGGAAAGAGAGTGATGGACTGAAAAGCTGGGTGTGGATCACGTTCCGATCTCCCCAAGAGATGAGGGACAGAAGAAAGCAGGCTGAGACGTGTTACTCCGTACTTAGTTTGCCGTGGGTGACGCGAGACGACACTTTAGGCAGGCTGTGTGGACGCCATGACCAGTCGCGACCCAAACAGGCATCGAGCTGGCCAAGATGGGGATTCCCTGTTAGCCACTCGACTGGGCCCCTGTGCCCTGTTCAGCTGCCATTCGCGCAGGGGGGAAGAGAGTTTGCTCAGACTTTGGTTCGGGCAGATCATCGATCCACCGAGGTTTGAGCATGTCAGATCCAACTGCATGCTTTCGAACTTGTCGGGTGTGGCCACTGGCCACCATACTGATTCGTCGAGATTCTTCTTCCTCGACGCGGTGCAAGTCATCCGCCGCTGGGAGTTGACGGCACTCCTGCTGCTCATACTCCGTACATATGTAGGTATATAGATAGAGATCTCAGACCGATGCAAACTACCCATTCGATGCTACCTGGAATGTAATCCCAACGGCTCCGTACAAGTTCGTGCATACAGAAGAGAAAATTTTCCCACTTCGGCAACATGGACCACGATGAGCTGCGAGTGTCCTGCGTGCTGTAGTCTTGTACGAGTAGGACAATGGCCTCCTTGGACTGGGATAGGATAGAGTGAAAGGTTCCGGGCATGATGGTAGAGTACCTCGGCGCTGTGCCAGCCGCAGGGAATATACAAGGGTTATGCACTATGACAGCGTTGAATCGAAACGGGGGGGGGGGTGGTTGTGACGAAGGGGTAGAAACAATCAAATCCAGCAGTCTCTACAGAGGACTCGGTACTCATCCATCGTCAGCATCCGTAGACCTCGAACCGGGCAGCAGGGCACCTCACCTAACATCCGCTAGACCGGCATTCTGGGGCGAAGGACGGCAGCAAGGTGGGTTTTTCTGTTGTGCTCCGTACCGTGTACTCCTTACGCCTCTAGGATAAACAGCTCGTGCCTCCGGCGAGGTACGTGCCTCACAGAGCGGCTGCCATGGAGCCACGGACACGGGAAGCTGGGATAGATACCGAGGACGGAATATCATACCTGCGTCAGTGCGAGTCTCGTCTCAGATTATACTGTACGCAGGAAGGTGTTTCGTGGATGAGGGGAAGGACGAGGGTACGAGGGTACCCCGTACGGGGGTATGGATGCTGGTTAGAGCCCAAACAGACGAGCGGCTTTACCGTCTTCGATTCTGAGGCGGGAGCTAGAGAGGCGAACACGAGGCGGCAAGCGACGCGAACCAGGGGAAGGCCTCTATCAAGATGAGGGTCTAGGAGAACAGAGGACAGAGGACAGAGGACGAGTACAGTATGGAGCACTCGGGGCCAAATCCAGCCGGGGCAGGCGAGAGGCTCAGGCAACAGGCGAAAGCAGATGCCAAGCCTACCAACGCTCCCTGCCGCTGCAAAACGGTTGTGGGTTGAGGGGTGAGTGTTGAGTGTTGTGGGCGACACTTGCCTCGATGCGGAAGGAGTACAGTACCATTTCGGAAACATTGTGGATCTGCTGCCAAAGAGGGTAGTCGCGACTCAGGACTCGCGACTGCCTTGGTCTTGGAGGTGCCTGCCTCAGGTATCTAGGTACCTAGGTACCCGGCACCCTTGGTACCGATACCTCTCATCCAACGTGAGGTCCATATCATCTTCATCAAGCTGTACAAACCCAATAGAACCGACCGTAATGGACTGGGACTGCCGTGAGAGACATCGGGGGTGGAGACGATTGCAGAATCCGGTTCGTACTACGCGGTACGGAGCACGATACCTAGCAGCCTGAGAGAGCGATACCAGTCCCTCGCAGGTACCCTACGTACATGTACCTACTCGGTATGTACTGGGTAGCTATCATAGGGAAGGCACGTTCCCATGAATTGGGATCCTCTCGTAATAAATGCTATTAATGTCTTGTACCACGGTCCGTAGCGTACATAGCTTTGTCCTACAAGTACCTCGTGATTCGTGCCTCTACAAGGTCCAGGCTTACGGCCCAGTCGTCCACGGAGTCGTTCATACCATTCTATTACTTTTCGTCGGCCTTTCAGCTTAGGATATCCTCGTGGCCAGCTCTCAGCAGTCCTTGGGTACTTACGAGTACTCCGTAGCACTGTACATACCCGTCCTCGTAGACCGAGTCGTAGATTAAGTCTCCAATGGCAGCTCAGCAGATCCCATCGATCGCTCCTTCCTCCGTGCGAACTTTTGGAGGCGGGGTTCCTGCCTAATCTGGACGTTCCAGCTGCATCGCTCTTGCCTAAGCCTTAAGACAGCTTGTCACCTACACCAACACCCCCTTCTGAACTTTGCGTTTGAACCTTGGTATCTTCATGCCATGGAGTGGACGCCGCATTTCCAGGCCCGAGGCCCAAAGGCCGTCCAGCCCATCCGCTTGCTCCTGGCAGCGGCAGATGCAGTGGCAGATGCTGCCAGGTGCTGCACTGCTGGCCCACGCCAAATGGCCAAGATACCAGGGATGTGCCCTCCATCGAGTGACCTTCCAATCCCTTCCCAGAACCCTAGCTCGATCAAAGCGGGCAACGGCGGCCTCCCGTTTCGTTCATCCATCCTATCGGGACAGGCCCATGACACTTGAACCTGACCTCGATCATGTGTCTCAAAAAGGAAAATCATCACTTCCGACATTCAATGTGCTACCCAGTGTTTCCACCACCGAAGCATCAGGTATGACAAAACCATCAGGTGTGACCTCTGCTCGTAGGCTCTGTGGAATAACGGGCCCCTGTGAGAGCTGCCCTCCACCCAGATGATTGGTTCACTCGGTGCCGAATCTCAACTTTTAGGCGGCCTGGGTACTCGCTGAAGGCTGGCAGGGCAGTGCTCCCTGTCACCACCCCCATTGACCCAGCCAACCAAATTGACGTGTTGGTCCCGACAGTTTGATCCCCTCCAGCGGCAGACAAGGGTCAAAACCCCGTCAAGCGAGCACACATGCAGGTTTGTCAGTCTGGACCCCAGCCTAACATGAGTCTGGCACACACCATGGGGTAACTAATACCAATGGTAATAGTAATTGTTTTACTCATACTCCTGGGCCCGGCCCTTCTCAACAAGTCCATCCTGTGCCCTATGCCACTGTCTGGTGCTAACAGAAGACCTCACCAATCGCAGAATCGAAACTTTAGTGAGCAGGAAGGATTTGATACTTAGACCAAGCAAATCGATGGCCTTCCCATGGAACTTCCTTCCTTGGGCAGCCGGCGTCACTGGTCAACTTCACTTCCCCGTCGTGCTGAGAGACCGCTTCTCGTGCCTGTACTCCGTGGCGAGTATTTGAGACAGAAACCGTCCCGTGCACTACGCATTGACCTCGTCCAACACCACGTCACTTGTAGCTATTGACTACTGACCAAAACCCGTCAGTGCACTTCCTGCCAGACCCGGACTGCCGGGAGGTGAAAGAATGAGGACTGAGAACCGACAGACTTCCCAGTGTTACGGTACTAAGTAGCTTACCCGTGTATTCTGCAGGGAAACAGCTATTCGGACATGTCTCTTGCTCCGAGCACACACCGGAAATACCGAAAGCAAGGTCCAACTGCCCAAATTGGTGAACAAAACATAATTCGAATTCCAGTACTCCGTACTCTGTCCTGACACGCATGAACTTATCCGACTCCAAAAATCATGCATCAGAACCGACCCAAAAACCAGAATCCTGACCATTCATTCGATATTGTTGGCGGCTATCTACTCTCCAAGATACACTCCCAACACGCAGGCCAGCCTGCCTTTCGCCTGCCATGGCCCAAGTTTTTGCGTGTCAAGCCACTGGCGTGCTGTTGTGTCTCCTTCGAATTCCAATTGGCAAATGCAGAAAATCTCCTAGCTTTCGGAGGCTCAGCACAACTCTAAATGAAATGAACCACAATAGAGGTATCGTCAGATCGTAACACTGGTACATACAAGGTGTCTCGTACGAGGACGAGGAACCTTGGTCCCTTTTACGCACCGTCCTCCGTACCTTCCATCAATCTTTTCATTTTAGGCTCAAATGGTTTGTCTATTCTCCGACGCCTCCCAACACCTACCTCTACGCCAACACCAACCTCTTTCAGGTAGGAAGTCAAGAAATACAAGTAATTGGTCAACGGACATCATTTATTTTTGGTTGTACACAGACTCAAGCCACTAGGCATACTCGGTATCATTAGAGAAGAATGGCGATCAAACAAGCAACCAGTCACGCCACATTTCGAAAGCCTCTCTTCTTGCCCCTTGACATAGCCGATTGCTGTTGCTGGTCGTTTTCCCAGGTAGCTTCGTCGACGTAGTCAGACTCACCCAAATATCTCACTCTCCGTCGTAGAACTCTGAGACCCGCAAGGTTAAAGCCGAAGTCTTGTTTCTGCGCTTGAACCGTCACGCGGAGCTTGTCGCGCACCTCTTCCAGCATCACTTTCATGGCCTGACTGCTCACGATCTGCTTCTGGTGCGTCTTGAGCATGAAGAACAAAACGCGGCACGTCAGCGGGATGTTTCTCCCCTCGGCCGCCCACAAAGCCAGAAACGTGAACAGGCCCGGAAGCTGGGCGAACGACAGAACTAGCAGCGCGTCCTGCAGCGACGCCGACGGGATCCGCTGGAGCGTGTTCAGCACGTACACCGACGCCGAAACGTGGTTGTTGGCCAGGAACACCGGGTCTCGTTGGGGGAGCGCAGCCTTGGGGTTGATTCTTCTTGTGTCCTCGTAGTCTCGCATGACCCTGAGATCCTCTAGGCCGAGCTCGAGGGCCTCGCTGATTCTCTCGCCGGCCATCATCGTCTGCGAGGTCTGCTTGCCCGCCGTGGTGGCTTCTGGCCCGTCGTCTCCATCCCCGTCCGCCCCAAACTCGTGACTCGCGTCGGTCTCCAACGACGTCAGCAGCGTAGACTCGTACAGCATCTCCAGCTCCTTCTCGCGCTCCTCCTCCAGGAAGATCTGCTCGTCTGTCTGCGCCCAGATCCGGATGCTCTTGTCGTGGCTGGCCGTGACCAAAAACTCGCCCGAGCCCGCCACCGCCATCGCCCAGATCTCGCCGTGGTGGCCGTCCAGCTTCTGGATCTGCTCGAACTTGTCGCCGTCGTAGTACTTGATGGTCTTGTCCTTGGATGCCGAGAAGAAGTGGTGCCCGCTGCCGTCGTTGTTGTTCGGGACGAATGCCACCGAGAGGATGCTGTCCTGATGCGCGAAGAACGCCTTGTGGCAGTCCCCGAAGTCCAGGCCCCAGACGCGCACGTTCTTGTCCGCGCTGGACGTCGCGATCAGCTTGCTGTCGTGGCTGATCGACATGCTGAGCACGGGGAGCTTGTGCCCGTAGAGCGTCAGGAAGAGTTTCAGCGTGTCTAGAAAGAACACCTTGACCGTGCTGTCGAGCGTGCTGACTGCCAGCAGGCGTGAATCCGGTGAGAAGCAGACCGACAGGATGTCGTCTGCCACTTTCAGCGTGCGTGAGTGCACGAGTGTCAGTTTGGCTGTTTTGCGGTTCGTGCCTAGCACTTCTTCCTGGACGACCTTGAAGTCCCAGAACTTCGCGCTCTTGTCGGCCGAACCCGTCACCAGCCCTTTCCCGTCGGGCTGCACGGCCAGGGCCCAGATGTCGCGTTCGTGTGCGGTGATCGTGTCGAGGAGCGTCGACGCCGCGATGTCGAAGACCTCGAGCGTGCCTTCGCGCGTCCCCACCACCACGATCTTGTCGCCTGGTAGGAACGCGAGGCACAGCGCGTACCCGCAGTCCAGTGTCCGTAGGCAGCTCTGAGTCCTGGTGTTCCAGATTTTCAGAGAGCCGTTGGACGCTGTTGCGAGCATTCGGTCGTCGGAGCTGAGGGCTACGCATCGGATGTCTGTGCGGTGGCCTGGCATGTCGATCGAGAGCGTGCGGTTATAGTCTGGGATCTGTGTTCCTTTGGATTTTTTGTTCTGTTTTGTCTCGTCGCCGGAGAGTACTTCGAATACTTCGAGCTGGTTGTTCGCCGTCGCGACCAGCACGGAGAACGATTTGCCGGACTTTGACCCTGCCCAGTCCATGGATCTTACCTTCCCCCCTGTCCGCACCGTGACGTATGGGACGATGATGTCTGAGATGGTCGCGCTGGAGATGTCGGTCGTGCCCTCGGCTTCGTCGGCCACAACGACACCCGAATCTGCATCCGTGGTGGTGGTTGTTGCTGTTGTCGTCGCCCCTTCAGCTTCTTTCTCCTTCCTTCGTTTGCGTTTCCGCATCAGCGCTTTCCGGACTTCTTTTTCCGAGCGGATTCTGAACAGTTCGATTGCTTTTTCTGAGCCGTGGATTGCGATGATGTCGCGCTTGGGGTGGCTGACGACCGCTGACGGTTTGTCTCGGCCCTGTCTGTATAGTGTTCCCCGCTCGTGAAGGACGCTGATTCCTTCGTCTTGAGTAGTCGTGAGTTTTGACTTCAAAGCACCTTGGTCAATCGACCACACTTTGATCTCGCCGTCATTTCCGGCTGTAATACATCCAGTGCCGTCCCGGGTGACGCACAAGGCCCAGCATTCACCGTTCGTCTGTGTCACGTGCGTCTCGATGCAGTGCTGCGTAGACAGATCCCAGACTTTGATGAGTGCGTCTTTGCTCGTCGAAAGGAGGAATGTGTCGGTGTTCGAGGAGTCGTCCGGGCTCACTGGCGCTGTTCCATCTTCAACCGCACCGCTCTCGTCTGTCGTAAGGAAGTTCAAACTCGTAATTTGATCCTTGTGGCCCCGAAGTCGCACCAAGCCCACCTCCGCGACGAGATCCCAAATGATGATATCTGTATCTTTTGAACCACTCGCCAGCCGGGCCCCCGAATGGTCAAATCTCAACTGCGTGACCGCCGTCTTGTGTCCATTGAACGTTATAATCACCGTCGCTGTCCTCGAATCCCACACTCGGATCTTTCCATCCTCGTACCCGACAGCAAACACATCAGGATCAGTCTGGCTTCTTGTGATGACTGTGACGAGCGAGGTGTTGTTGGCAACCGTCCAGCTGGAGAGGATCACGGAGGTTTTCAGATCCCAGACCAAGACGGATTCATTAGCTGGGGCGTAGGCGTGGCCTACAACACCCTTTTTTACAGTACTGCTGCCGCTACCGAGCGTAGTCCCGGTGTCACCGCTGCTGCTGCTGGAGGAGGAATGAGAATCCCAGACAACGTTCGCAGTGGCGGTACATATCTGGCCGAAAGTCTTGGAGTGCTCGAATTTTCTGGAATTAAGTTAGTGTGAAAGCGCGTTTAGGAGGAGCAGAAACCGTTTACGAACAAATATGACTTGACCATCGCGCAGTGGGAAGACCTTATGGTGCGCCAGCAACGATGCGACTGATGCCCGAACTTTTTTCTGGACGGAAGAAAATATTGGAGTTGCAAGGAAAGTTTGCCGAGGTGGGGGGAAGGGTTCAGTCATTGGCATGGTCCGCGAAATAACGTGGGTAACGTCCGCATTTTTGCTTGACTCTAGATGTGTCACTTGTCCGTCGGCTCGAGATATCGAACGGCTATTCTAAGGACGCACTTAACGTGGAACTCTACTCGGTGTCTAGATATACGTGAAGCATTCTACATCGGCCACCAGGCTAGATATGACCGAACGACGCAAACAGTGGGCTAAGCGACCAATATTCTACGCAGCTGGCCTGACAGCATAGAGAGACTCAACATCTCTCTTGAGCGTAGAACTATAAACATGTGTCCCTATGATTGCTTTTTCTTCACGCTCCTCCGCTCCATTGTGAGACTGCCCAATATAGTGAGTATAGCCAGTGCCATTGGCAGATACAACGTCTGCATAACTGCCCGATCTTAACCCAGCAACGAATCTCTCAGCCTGCCGCCGCCAATTTCCTTCCTTACATCGGTCAGACCGCCTTGCTCAAATACGGTTATATTCGTTCCAGGTGCATGTGCTGAAACTTCTTTGACCAATCCATTTTGAAAGAGAGCAGAAGAGGCTGATAGAAACAGCCCAGAACCAATTCCGCCCGCAAATCCATTGATGGCCATGCCAATTGGTACGTCTTTCGGATCAAGAACAGTCTGTACCGCGACAAAAGGTGCCTGCAACCCCAGACCAACTGAGGCTCCAAGAAAACCGAGCAACCCGAGTACCTTCACCAAGCTTTCGTCCAGATCAAGTGTCGTAAGGAGGCCCGCTGCCACAGGCGCGGTGATTGATGTCACAATCATTAAGGCTCAATAACAGTTAGTGAATGGTCTTCATCTTGCGTATTATAGACTTACGATAGTAGTACCCAAGGGCGGTGGTCAGCATCCCAGCTGTAAGAGCCGAGACACTCAATCCTACTATCGTCGGTAGACCCAGCGCCCCAGACTTTGTTGCTGAAAACCCCTTCACACCTTGGAAATATATGGCGATGTAATATTCAGTGATGGCGAGGACACCACTGCAACAGACTGAGAACCAAGCTCCGGCGATCACGCTTCGCTGCTTTAGTACTCTTGGTGGCAAGGCGGCATCTCTTTTCCCTTGTACTGGATATAGCCAAAAATGCCGATGAGGCCGGCGAAAAGCACCAGTAAGGTGATGATCCTCGCATTTTGCCAACCATATCTTATGCCTCCCCATTGCAGAGCAATGAGAAGACAGACGACGTCTGGCACAAAGAAGAATGTTCCTAACAGGTCCATCTTCTTCACCTTCTCTTTGAGCGGCAACGTAGCATCAGCACTTGTGATTGAGCTGTGGAAATAGTATGTAGTAAAGCCGAATGTTAGTACACGGATCGGAAGATTGATTCCAAAACAAGCTCTCCATGCGAAGTGATCAATCAACACGCCCCCCAGCAAAGGTACTGGCACCGTGGCGAGTGTGTGGATAAATGCGATGATGGCCCCCCAAAATGGCCGTTTGTGCAGCGGGAAGCCGTGGACCATAATAGTCCCTGCACCCATACTGATTCCAGAACCTCCAAAGCCGGCAATAGCGCGACCAATGATGAAGACTGCGCTGATGGGAGCTACAATGCAGATGAATGATCCCAATTGGAAGGAAGATGGCGGCCGGGAACACTCGCTTCACATCGAAGAGAGTAGACAGCTTGAGAAAAGGAACGTGAAGCTGCTGCTGAGTAGCACAAACACGGAGGAATATCAGCCAATGTCATTAACACTCTTGAACTGGTTGGTCAAGCTTGGGATCGCGACCGCCACGATGGTAATGTCAAGGCCGTAGAATGTCGCTGTTAGTAAAAGGGACGTGACAGAAATCCATAAGCGGAGGCCTGTCGGATAGACTATGGCGTCTTCTCGAGAAGTACTACTAGGGGTGTTGTCGGCAATTTCTCGTGTTTTAAACTGTTGTCTGGGGATCCGATTACAGATGGTTGTTCAATTGCTGTCGGCTCAACTGAAGCTTCGGCATGAGCTTTGGAAGGTTCCATACTGTCTGATGACAACAGAGACGGGATACGAGGCATTAGGGATAACTTTCAGAAGAGAGGCCCTTTTTTGCGCCGGCGGGGCCCAGCGGTATAAGGCTACACTGTAGTTTGCAAGAAGAGTCCCCAAATCAGAGGTGTACTTTTGTTTCTGGGTGGTCACCCTAGGCATTGGGTAATCTAAAGGATGCTAACGTCCTGAAACGCTTTGTTGCTCGGACACACTAACTTCAACCTTCGGCCTTTCATTATCTCGCTGGCAATTAGAAGCGAGTGTAACATAGCGAGTATTGGGCCGAACAAGCCTGGGTGATAGTGTTTCAAGGTATGGATGACGCATTGCTGGGGGAAAGGGATCAGTTAAACTAGTGAAGAAAAGGGTTTGGAGACATATAGTATGGGAAAGGCTGAGTCACATGATATCAAGGCTCTGCTAATCACGTGATCCGCTTGTCCTCCCACTTACGGGTACTGCCAGTGTTCAACGGCTGCAGGCACATCTGACGTTGTTCCGCATTTCACCACCCACTGTCGAACAGTTATTCTGATTGCCTGGAGAGAGGGACAACAGCCAACAGCCAACCCTCGCCGTAAACACCCACTCTAACTCGATTCCCACCTCCCCTTACCTCAAAGTCCCGTCATCTCCGCCATGCTTCTGCTAGACTACCAGAATGTGCTCATCCAATCTATTCTGACCGAACGCTTCTCCGGCGCCCCTCCACAATCGATTGACCAAGTGGTATCAGACTTCGACGGCGTGACCTTCCACATCTCGACCCCGAATACCAAATCCCAGATCCTCATCTCCCTACAGATCAAATGCTTCCGCGAACTCGTGCAATATGGCGCCGAAACCGTGCTACAGCGAGAGTACGGTAGTTACATTACTGAGACCGAGGCGGGCTACGACTTCAGCATCCTGATTGACCTGGACAGCCTGCCCGGCACACCCGAGGAGCGGGACGAGCTCGTCCGGCGGATCTCCTTGCTGAAGAGAAATGTGATGGCCGCGCCCTTCGAGAAGGCGTTCGACGAGTTCTCCGCCCTGGCCGAAGAAGCCGCAAAGTACACGTCCGAGTCTGCTCCCCAAGGCGTCCAGGAAGGCGGCGAAGTCATGTCTGTGCATTACCGCGAGGAAGAGGCTATCTACATCAAGGCCTCGCACGACCGCGTCACCGTTATCTTCTCCACATTGTTCACCGACGCCGTTGACAAGATCTTCGCCAAGGTCTTCCTGCAGGAATTCGTCGACGCCAGACGGAGAGCCATCCAGAACGCTCCGCAGGTCCTCTTTAGGAGTGATCCGCCTCTGGAGCTGCAGGGTTTGCGGGGCGTTGGGAAGACCGGGGAGAAGGGTGAGGTTGGCTTTATTACTTTTGGTATGTTCGCAAAATCCTTCTCGTGTATCATAGATTCTTCTTTTCTCCTCTGCCTTTCCAGAAAAGCGATCAGCAGTTCTAACAACACATCTCTTCGCCGACCCATAGTTCTCTTCCCGCGCCACCTGGCCCGCCAACGCCGCGAAGATGTTATCTCGCACATCCAGATCTTCCGTGACTACTTCCACTATCACATCAAAGCCTCGAAAGCGTACATCCACTCGCGGATGCGACGGAGGACAGCTGACTTCTTGCAAGGTGAGCAATGCGCACATCCACTCACCTTGTGCCTTTTTGTTCTCTTTTGCTGACATGCACCTTTCTAGTTCTCAATCGCGCCAGACCAGAGACAGAAGAACGGGAAAGGAAAACAGCTAGCGGCAGGACATTCAGGGTCCAGGCCTAAGGTCGCGTCGACTTTCCCAAGCCGACCAATATATTATTGCGAGAGGTTGTTTGGTGTCACGTCATGAAGCTTCTTGAACGAATGATTACGATCCGAAATAAGGCTGGGTGGAGGATTCCCGAAATATGCGTTTGAGCCAACCAAGCTAGAGTATCCTAGATGCGTGTCTTGCCGTAACCTCGACAGACAGTCTTTGTTATCCACACAATGCTATCTACTGTGAATCACCCCCTTTTGTTTGCATCCCTCACGTTCATGTGCAAGACAAGCCATATATCCCACTTCCACCCCAGCTATGCTAGCGCCGGCTTCTAGATAGTGGTCATCATACTCGCATTAGCATACCACGTAAGTAAAGGATTATCGCCGTTCCTGACCCTGGTCTCCTCGAGAATGGCCCAGCTCTCAAGGAAAGCCTGATGTTTCGAAACCCTCGTTAGCTTGCCTGTGATTGCGCGATAGATGTCCTCCATCATGGCGAAATCCGTTGGGAAGAAGATATCAAAATACCCCTGGTGCACGAATGGCGTGGTGACTCGGACATTGCGGCGCTGGTAGCGCGTCTGCACGACCGGCGCGTTGTTGCCCGGTATGGTATCTGGGAGGTAGTCGAAATCTGAGAGTACAAGCCGGTGTGCTGGGAAGTATTGGTGCAAAACGTCGAAGAATTGCATTAGGTATGTTGGGATGTATTCTGGGATCGTGAGGTTAGGTGCGAATGGGAGTGAATAGCGAAGTTTGCGGAGAAGCCTTGGCTGCGAGACAGGTGTCAAGAAAGGGGAACGGGCTGCGACTTCTCGTACGCGTAGGTAGCGCAGAGCTATCGGGTCGAGTTCGCGGTCGTATATCTCGTGGAACTCGCCCTGCTCGTCTATCAAAATGCTGCCTTGAAGTGGCTCTTCCGTCTCGGGGTCGTAGCGAAGACTGTCGTGCGGGAAGTTGTCGATGACTTCTAGCGCGAGGAAGAAGCAAGGAGAGTGTACATATTCAGTCCAATCGAAGATAGAACGGTTGATGACCTGTATATGTTGCATATGTTCGCGACCGTATGGTGATTGTCGGATGTTGGTCATCTGTAGGGAGGCAAGCGATGCGGAGATCTCGATAATTTTGAATTTAGTCCGGGAATAGACCTCAGGCTCATTCTCCCAGATATAGTCCAGAATATTGCGCATCATAGTACCGTTTCCAGCACCCATTTCGTATATTATTAAGTCATGGTAGGGATACAGAGTCATTTTATAGTTGGTGACCAAATATCGAGCAATAGCTTCACCGTAGTATGGGCGAAAGAGTTCGGTTGGTGTATGCCAGAGCTGACGAAGCTCGTCTGGTTTGATATCATCCAGGGCGTTCTCAAAGTCAATGTAGCTCAGATCCACCTGCCTGTTGAACTCAGCCCCGTCTTTGATGCTGGGGAAGTCAAATGGTTCTCCGGGATTGAAGATGGTGGCGTGCTTCGTGAAGTAGCCGTAACTCGGGTTGTACAAGCTGTCTAATATGCTTCAGTCTCATCTTCTTTCAACTCAATTTTTCTGCCATACCTTCAATGAAATCTCTTGTGTACATCTTCACTCGCCGCGGACGATGGGTTCGGCGGCGGAGTTCGCGTGCAGTGATGCGGGGGAATTCTTGAATCTCGCGAGTCATGTCTTTTGTCAAGAGATCTGATCTCTGCTGCCAGAAACTTCCGCTCTGACCCTTAGCTTGGCCTCTCCGACCAAGGACGTAGGATCGCCGAAGATGGAGAGTGGGTGATGCTGTTTTCTGGCTCCATTGGCTGAAGCTGAGTGGGCATTTTCGTGAGGGTCGCGCAAGCTGTTGAAAGATGCGGACGATGGCCGGCGAGTCCATCCAAGTCCAAGACAGCGTGTTGTCCAAGAAAGAACGCCACAGAATTACTGAAGTCGCAGGCTGGTAGCCACTGGTCGCAAGAGCTGCAGCAATTGTTTCCTTTGCGGATGGTGGATGCTCCTTCCCCAGATTCGTAGTCTGGAAAAAGGTTCCTCCACTTCCGGGGGGGTTCAGACCCGGATGGTCGGAACGATGAGAAACTCCGGCCCTACTACAAGTAACCTCCCTGAGTCTCTTCAGGCTGGAACTTGAGTTGCTGAAGAGACCGCTCGAGTCCTTGCTGCTTATCCCTGATGCTCAGGTGTGCCGTGTGCCCCCTGATCAACTGCCCCCCGGCACTATGAGTACGCCCCCCTTGGCCACGACTCACGAGGACCACCATCATTGCACCAACTACCGGGTATTATTATTGCTCGAAGATGAAGGACCTGTATGGACTCCCCGGGGTCTCGTGCTCATTACCTAGAACTTAGCATGGCCCGTGTCCAATTCTTGGTGTCCAACCCTGACCTTTGGTGACCCAATTTCGCAGCCTCAGCTGTTGACTCAGCGCCTCGGTGCATTTACAGCCATGAGGCTTCCTATCAAAGATGACTTTAGTTCAAACACAGCCCCCACCATCCTTACTTACAGCTTCTACTACTGAGAGGCACGGCTCGATTCATATAAAATTGTTGACGGCACTGATTGTACCAGTGTGCCGTGCTGCTTGGATTGCGATTGTCCTCGCACATATCGTTCCGTAATAGGATCAGGAGGAGTAAGCACGTCGCAGGTACCTTTCCCATATCCTTATCTGAACGGCCACTTTCCCCGTCGAATGCCTCAGACCCCCGGGTGGTGCCCACAGGCACATGAGTTCCTTGCCAAAGCATGGCCTCAACCTCCAATTTCAGCCCCCAGGTGTGTTACGTGCTTTCCTGGGGGCCGCTGGAAGACAGCGCAGAAAGCAGCCAATCTGGTCAGCCGACAAAGCACAAATGAGCAGCCTCTCGTACCTCCGACTTTAAGCCACCTGTTGTAGCGATGGGACTCGCTAATCTCACCCTTGGAAACTCCGTTGCCAAGCAGCCTAAGAAGCACCACATTGCGAACATGACTGTCCTGCCCCAGTCGGGTGGTTGACGGTTTACTAGGTGAAGTACCATTTGCGCGATGGGATTTGTGGGTGGGTGTCGATCAAGTATGAATTACTTATCCAACCTTCTGGTCGCAGACTTTTGCACGAACGCCAGATGGGACACTTTCTTTTGACTTCGTTTCAAATCTAGAGCCTCGAGATGTCGGATACACGAATATATTCTGGTTTCTGGACAGATCATACCAGAGGTTCGGTCGCTGGAACAGCGTTGACAGTCAGTAACCAACCGGGACTATATGTGATTGCGTTCCTTGCCTTGTGGGTGCGATTAGTGGGCAGTCACTTCTGGACCATCCTCTGCTTTGTTTTTCACCAATTACGAGCCAGTCCTCATCCCCAGGATGCACTTCATCATCAGCACCAATTTTTACTACGCAATTCCCAATCAAACATTGGAACCCTATGGGACTTGACCAAGGTTGCTTGGTACTGGAAGTCTTCAACCCGAAGTTTCATGCGATCCTTTCCGCTCCTTGCATTGGCGCTCTTCCATGCTTTTCTGTTCACTGCCGCTGCCTTTTTCTCATCGCAGGTAGCCTCGACATCGAACCTTGTCCTTCTGGAGCGGGACGCGGCTTGTGGGTACTTGATGTTCCCTAACCAGCTCGACACACTCGATGAGACAAAGCAAGCAACCGAATGGTACATTGCGAACAAAGCCAATGCTCAATGGGCACTCAGCTATGTTGAACAATGTTACGGCTCGAATGCCAGCACGAGTAACTCGATGTGCAACACGCTTGTTCACCGCACGCTGAATCTAAGCTCGAGCACGGTAGACTGCCCATTTCCGAATGCCACAATGTGTCGAGACAAGGCTTTCCAGGTTGACAGTGGTCATCTCAATTCGGCAGAGCATTTGGGAATCAACTCACTTCCCAGGGACTCACTTGACTACAGAGTGTAAGCGTTTTGACTGGGTGTGGATCTAGTTGCGGCAAAGCTAATAGCAGGTCAGTGTTAAAACTTGTGCTCCAATACATCATGAGGGATTCTACTTCTATAATTCCAGCGGGGATGCAGTCAGCAATGATACCGATACCCAGTATTACCTGAATTTTGGGCGGTATTATTCCAGACAAAATAATGCTACATTCTCTTTTCGCCGCAGCGAGCTGCTCTACCCAAGTCGAGCATATAGAGTTTCGTGAGTACCCATGCGCGGTATTATCTCCTCTCAACAAGCTGACTTTTATATCCAGGTGGACTCGAGCAAAGGCCCTCGACTCTGTTGGATCCAGTTTCAGACCCATCGATGGGCTCAATCGTACAGACGGCGATGTAACACTGGTTCTGCTGTTCAATTTTGCCGGGTATGCAGAGCCGGTTGAAGATCCATGGTTCCTAGCTGATGACAAAACCGAATATGTCTCGGGTGCCACGCGGTACACATCACCATCAACCATTTCAGTCGTAAGTATTAAACATGCCAATCATGTTGGAGATCCTGGCAGTCAGCCCTGTCTTGGCTTTTATCTTGAGCCGAACATCTACTTGTCAGCAATTGTACCGATTCACAAGTTGTTAAGGTGAAGTGGTCCAGATTGGTGCGCCAATTTGTTGGCAGTCTACGAGTTTTACTCCTATCCAGACAGATGATAGAACAGAACGCAGCCTGCAGTTTCCTACTTGTGTTACATAAGAACGACGCTGACATGTCAATGCTTTCTTAGATGGGGTGTGTTGAACAACATGAATTCTGCCTTAGACCCGGCAATTGTTCTGGCCTTGTTGGCCTCGAAGAATTAGGCAACTACCAGATCGACACCGATCGCAGTAAAGCGCAACTTTCCGTTGCTCGACATATGTTCAATGCCATACAATACAGTACCCTCACATACACGCTGGCAGCTGTAGGAACCGATCTTCTAAAAGCATCATCTGGCATGGCTGGAGAGCAACGGACTGATCATATTGGACTTCCCAAAGACCAATGGAAACAAGAGATTCTATATTGGGGCCAGCACTCGGTCACCAATCTTCAAAGAGCCCTCCAGTCATATGTGAAAGGGCCCGCTCCAGCGGACTCACCATATCTTGCGAAGCCTGATGAGGATCTTCTTAAAGACTTCGACCCTTGTGCTGCTCAGGTTATTCGAGACCCAAATCACTATTCAATCAACGTCTTTGGGCTTTATTTTACACTCGGCTTGGGCCTATTCGTCATCGTGTTGAATTGTTCCCTGCCAGCGATTGTCTCGAAGCTGCAGAGTTGGAGCCGCACCACAAGTTATCGCCACCAGCAATACGAGCTTGACAATGCTTTTCAAGTGCAAAGACTGGCCTATGAAAATCTGGGGCTTGGCCGCTGGACCTCATTGGAAAAGCTAGTCCCGGTAACGCAGAAAGGGGAAAAGTTCGGACAACCGGTTAGAGCATCAAATGCTCCATACCACTTACGAAGCTTCTCACAGACACCCCTCATTTCCCCTTATCTTGGCCAGCGTGGATTGTCATATCCTCCATCTCAATACTCCAAAGTATCGCAGGAGGAGGATCCCTTTCAATCGCCGAACTATAGACCAACTCACGTACCATGAGATTCGATATGAGCAACGAGTAGGAGTTCTTGAATTTAGCGCAGGATAGGGTTAGTTAAGACTTTGATATTAGCGGCCGTCTGCATTTGGGCATGGAATTTTGCATTGATTGATGTTTGGGCGAACTTAGGCTATGGCACCAGCAGTCTGGTAAGGGCACATATACCCACCCATGCGATGTTTGTCACAGTGAACATTTGATAGATCTGTCGTGCGCTTTGGGAGGAACTCCGATGTTGGCATTTTCAATCATCACATCACATATTTGCTGTATCCAAGAATATATGCCATGGCACGCTTCAAAAATGGACATAGCGCATACGCAGACATCAAAGTTAGAATTAGTAGGAAAATTCAGGACGCACGTTTTAAGTACAAGCAAGCCCTCGACATCGGAAACCGGCCCTCACATTTGGCCGAAGTTCGCCCGTCATATAAATGTCGCCGGTTACAAAATAATCCCTTTCCACACCCTAACTGGAGCCCAAGCAAGGAGTCGATGTGAGCCAAATCTGCCTGGAAAATCGTGAGAAGTCAGAGCTACATTGTTTAACTGCAGCCCACGAATCAGATAAGGTACTACCAGCCACGCCGCATCGAAGCACATGAAAAGCCGCACTGTGAGTCTTGGATCATAAATCGAAACACACGGCCATTCACTGGCACCCGAGCATGCCATGGGGACTGTCCCGAGAAGTCGTCGCCAGTTTCAGCGCGGGCATCGCCCTGGCTTTAATCCTCGAGCAACTACGACAGCGCTACCTTGACAGCAAATCGACATCAGAATTCTCGCCAAGGTCATTATCATCACACCTCGCTCTCATCAAGGAAGGCCCATCGTCTATAGGATCATCTACAGGACATGGCGAAGAAGCATCGTCATCGTCAACGCTTCGCCCAGTAGGCAGTGGCATCGAATCGACGATCGGCAACACACCGCTCATCATCATCAAATCCCTGTCCACACTCACGGGGTGCACGATCCTCGGAAAATGTGAGTTCCTGAACGGGGCGGGCCAGTCCCCGAAAGACCGTGTCGCACTGAGCATCATCTCGCGCGCTGAGGCGCGGGGCGACTTGCACCCACACTCCGGGGACACCATCTACGAGGGCACCGTCGGCAGCACGGGGATCTCGCTTGCGACGCTGGCGCGCGCGAGGGGCTACAAGGCGCATATCTTCATGCCGAGCGACCAGGCGTTCGAGAAGTCGGATTTGTTGTTGAAGTTAGGTGCGGTGGTCGAGAGGGTCGAGCCCGCCCCAATCGTCGACCAGTTGCATTTCGTGAACCGCGCAAGAAATGCCGCCAGGCGGCACACCGCAGACCCAGAGGTGCGCGGGCGAGGCCTGTTTGCCGACCAGTTCGAGACGGACGCGAACTATACCGCGCATTTTGAGGGGACAGGGCCTGAGATCCTCGCCCAAGCCGGGGGGGAGGTTGATGCGTTCGTTGCTGGTGCCGGCACAGGCGGGACGCTGTCTGGTGTGTCGCTGTTTCTCAAGTCGAAGCTGCCGCGTGTTCAGGTCGTGCTGGCCGATCCGGAGGGCAGTGGCCTGTACAATAAAGTCAAGCACGGGGTGATGTTCCACAGTCTGGAACGTGAGGGGACGCGGCGGAGAGATCAGGTTGACACGGTCGTTGAGGGAATTGGGTTGACTCGGTCGACCAAGAATTTCGAGGTTGGAAGGGAGGAGATCGATGATGCTGTGAAAGTCACGGACGTGCAGGCGAAGAACATGGCGAGGTGGCTTGTCGAGAACGACGGTATCTTTGTAGGGAGTAGTAGCGCAGTCAATTGTGAGTCTCAGTCTTTGCTTTTGCTAGTCTTCATCCGAGGAGAAGCAAATCTTGCTTTCAGGAGGCGAAGGGGTTGCAGGCACAGTTTTTCTCATTATGATTATGTCTCTATGCTAACCATTATTCATTACCAGGTGTGGCCGCCCTTCAGACGGCCCTCAGACTCGGTCCCGGCCATAGAGTTGTTACCATACTATGTGACTCTGGCATGCGTCATCTTTCGAAGTTTTGGGCCCAAGTTGGGGATGTTGGCGGTGAGGCTAAGACCACGCTCGAGGACATAATCGAGGGTTGCGCTTTGGCCTGAATAAGTGTCGAAGACATTATATCATGGCCCAGCATTTAATCCTCCTCTACCTGCTCATGCTTGATAAAGAGGGGATCCTCAGTTGAGCCTCGTCGGTATTTCAGGACTTGTAGCCCAGCCCCAACCTTGGTGGACTGGGCAGATGGCTTTTCAGAATTTGAGCCAACATGGCTTTCCTTGTCCTTGGATGGTCGAATCGCTCCTTGCAGCTCCTGCAGCCATATCTCTGCCATTTTGCCTCCTATGTCGGTTTCTGTCCGGCCTCTGAGAAGCTTCGAAAGCGTGCCGACATCTCTTCTAGGATCCTTGCAAAGTTTATTCAGAGTTCTCAATTCCTCCGATGACCACTCCTTGGTCTCTCTCTCATCCTCTGGTGCGATTCGGTACCTGTCATAAACCTGCTGCAGACCAGCCCCAGCTTTTCTTGTCCGCAGTGCTCCGCAGTCGGCAATTTCATCAAACGAGAGGCCAGCCCCTTCATGTAATTCTACCATTGTCCTGAAGTCGGATACGATCAAGCGGGCATTTCGCTGACGTCGCCAGGTCGATTGTCGGTACTCAAGAATGTAGGGCATGTCGTGGACATCATCGACTTCATCTCGCTCTAAGAAGCGACTGACGAGATTTGTCCAATGAGAGACCACTCCGGCGCGAGCCTTATATTGCTGGCCACAGTAAAAACAACGACCTTGTCGCAGAGCCTTTACTTCGTCATCAGTCTCGTCTCCGAGAGAGGTCTGGGAGATATCTCGTTTCTCCTGCATCCTCTCTGTTTCCTCCCCGGTTTCCAAAGACGAAGGTTCGCCATTGCCATCATCTGCATGATCGCTCGCAAACCCATCTTGAAGAGGATCTTCTGATTCTGCACGAAGCAACCGGAGCACGCGGCGGCGATGGGTATCTTCAGCTTTCTTTCTAGGATTCCTTGTCCGAGGAACTCTCCAGACGGAGTCGGACGGTGTTGAAAGAGGTAAATCCGAGGGCTTCTGATCCTCCAGGCTTTGAGGTCGTTGTAGCGAGGGCAAGTTTGGGGGGGGTTGATGCATTATAGGAGGAGTCGGGAGCTTTGGGGGGATGATATTTGAAGGAATTCGCCAGGCTGGTTCAATATGTGCTTCGGCATTTTCTCTTTCTCTTTGAAGCAAGTCAATCACTTCGTAGCCCACCCGTGACCCATACCTAGCGAGGATGGCACTTTCTTTTCGGTCCTCACTAGAAATGGTGGGGGCACGTAACAATGCATCTTTGGCCCGGTAGCCAAGATGATGGCCTTTTTCTGTAGTAGATGGAGCTTCGAACAAGGAGTCGGGACTAGAGTCACGCTGGGTAACCGGGACATCGAACAATGAATCGGTATCTGACTCGGACTTTAAGGAGACTGGGTCGAAGTTGGGTACGGACTCGTTCCCGCGAGAATCTGGAGGAGTCGCTAAAGACGTGCGCGAGGGTAGTGGTCGGAATAACTCGTCTTCGGTGTCATCTGAGGTCATGGAATTGTCGCTCAGAATCAGAACGGTGTTTTCGGCGATTTCCTCAATGCTGGAAAGGACATTGTCGGCGTCCTCGTTGAAGTCAGAGTCCTCGCTATCCGGCGCCTCTGTCATGGCTCTGAGAAAGGCCTTTCCTCTTTCATCCTCCTCGTCAATGCCAGGATCTGTTTCAGTAGCCATTGATTTCAGGTGTCCATTGTCGACCAAGACCCTTCCGGAAACAAGATCAATTTCATCGCCTATGCCGTCGAAGTCTTTAGAATATTTCTCAAATATGGACTCGAACCTCGACTTGAGCAGGCAGTCGTTCTTGTGGCGCATCGTATCCAAGTCAGCATCCAGACCAGCATTGGGGGCGTGGTTGGCGAACATGGAAAGGCGGGGTCTTTTAGGGAATGGTTCGTCCATTTTGGCTGTCGGCAAAGCATGAATGATGGATGGGAAGGATAATCAAGCGCGCTGAAGTCAGTAGCAGCGCCGAGGTAAGTCTGGGGGACGAAGCACCGACATGAGCGGGTAGAATGAGACTGGGTGCATGAGGTGCATGAGGAGGGGAGTTGAATTACTCCGAAAAGAGCCCAGACGCGTCTTGTCAATTGTTCAGCGTGACTTCCACGGGCACGTCGGCCTCACCGGGCAGAGGCGCGTGCCTGCCGAGGAATGGAGAATGGCCAAATCGAACATGGGAGGAAAGGTAATTACGGCTGCAGCTGCAGCGTTGCGTCATTTGATTTCCTTGTCCCTCCAACACCAAACACCCATTAACATCCTCCAAGGCTCCCAATCTTATGAACAAACACATCTCTCACTGGTTCCATCTCATAGTATGATCTCGAAATGTACTGTCAGAAGTGCAGACAGCCACTTCGAGCTGATGCGACCCTCGGAGGTCTCAATCCCGTGACCTTCGATGTCCTTGTCGGTCAGGACATTCCCTCATCTCTCTCGTGGCATCCTGGCTCGTGACTGACTTCCGTTACACCAGGGTCGACAGGCAAATCTGTACAAAGCACTACTGCTCTGTTCTCTTTGAACTACGCCCAAGAACGCAAGAGCGTTTATGACCGAGCGACCCAATCTCCAGCTTCTCCCATCCACAAAAGAACCATCCCGCCCCCTCAGGATGACCCAGCTTCAACGTTCCGCAATGGCGCAGACAATCCCAAGCCAGACATGTCATTCATCGAGATAACCCAGTCCCAAATTGCAATTCCGGATAAGGACCATATCAATAAGCGGAACCAAAGTCCTAATGGACAACTGGATTCCCATGAGGAAGAGAATGGTAGGGATTCTTCCTTGTACAAATACCTCGCCAAAACAGAAGCCTTATTCTCCATCCTCTCCTCTCGCTCTGATATTGATCATCCCATATGTAACGAGTGCACCTCTATTCTTATTGCCGGCATGAAGTCACGATTTGGTGGTGCCACCCGAGAAAGAGAAGCATATTCGTCTTTCTTAAGAACAACTCAACAAAACGTCTCCGCTTCCCATACGAATGGCTTGCAATCTACACGAGAGTCGCAAAGAGCTTTAAATTCTCTTTATGAGCAATTGGAGCGGACTGAGAATGAGGTTGAGACGCTCAAAGCAGAGATAGGCACTTTGGAGGATGAGACACACAAGTCTGAGATCCAGGAGCAATGCTTCTGGACCACACGCAACTCAGTGGACGATCATTTGAATCATGCCTTTGTCAGCCTATCAACCGCGCAGCAGTCTTTGGTTCATGATCAACACCAGCTCGAACGCCTCCAACGTACCAACGTCTATAATGATACATTTTGTATTGGCCACGATGGCTCCTTTGGCACTATCAATGGTCTTCGTCTGGGACGTCTCCCGAACCAAAACGTCGAATGGGCAGAAATCAATGCGGCATGGGGGCAGGCCCTACTCCTACTTGCTACGGTCGCTGAAAGGTTAAAGTACACCTTTCGTGGGTACCGTCTCAAACCACAGGGCAGTACGTCACGCATCGAAAGGCTGGAATATCCTCAGCAATCGCCGGATGCCACAAGATCCATGAACCCTCGCGATCGCGCACATCACTCGGTGGCAGCAAACCCCGAGCCCAAAATCACTCCCTTAGACCTGTTCAGCAGTGGTGAAATGGCCATTGGTCGAGTTCTGAATCATCGGCGGTTCGACAACGGCATGGTTGCGTTTCTCGACTGTCTATCGCAACTGGGCAGATATGTCGAACGAAATTCCACTGTAGACATGGCTCCCAAACCTTCGTTGAACAAAGCACTCCCTTTGCGTAACACACCATCCAAGCCAGTTCTGCCCTATAATATCCAGAACGACAAGATTGGAGACTACTCTATCAAACTCGGCATGGGTTTTGGGGATGCGGAATCGTTCACCCGAGCTTGCAAATACGTTCTTACTTGCTGCAAGTTCCTCCTAGCATATGTCAGCAATTTGGAAACCCACCGAACTACTTGACAGCACTATCAGCTTCCAGTTGACGCACAAACCAGCCTACCGTTGAATCAAGGTTGATATAAGCATTTAGCAAGCACGTAAGTCTCAACGACTTTTCGTTAGCCTTGGTTAAGGTCAGACCGGACGGATGCACGAATGCAAGCTTTATAAGCTTTACAGCACTAGCGACCAAGGAACATGGTTCCAGGTTTGGATCCTCCAATGAAGCAGAGTTGAAAGCGAGAACATCTGCCCTCGTCAATGGCTGAATTTTGTGTGTGAGGGGATGGCACCCGGTGGCGCCAATTGTAACTGCTGACTACAAAACGCACCGGCTCACTAATCCTGCAGAAACTACAGCGTGGGTACATGAGTACTTCGCGCAGTCGCATTCTCCCAGGAGCACTCACTTTGACATGGCAACGAACTTCTTAAGTTCGGAGGCGATCTTTCCCACGCTTGACTGGTTAAGTTGCCTGCTGAGGTATAATGGAGACCAGCTGTCATGCACCCCACCTTTATGTCCTCGAGAACTGGAGATCACCTTGAATGCCTCTCCTCGTCATCAACAAGGCAGTCTTTAGTTTTGAACTTGATTGAGACAGTTTATCTGTTGTTCGATCGGCCCGTACAAAAATGTCTCCTTCAGATAATCAACAGAGGCTACATTTTGTCACCCTCACCGGGCCGATTACATAAGTCTTTGAATAGTGACAACCACCAGCCTCTAACGGTCCTTGGTGACGCGGGGTTATCTTAGACAACGAAACAATCCAGGCTGGCAATTCTCTCCAGCGAGCATATCTGACGACATGAGAACTCATGTTTCTAGATTTCGAACCACTAAAATTCCTGGTAACTTCAAGACGATGCAACGCACCAAAGGCGAAGAAAGGCAGAAAATGTTAGAACCCATCCGCCTAAGCTTCGGAATCATTGCTTCAGCTGCCAACCTTGAGCGCGATCACCGATCCCCAGTATCGCCTGTTCATGATCTGGATATGGTGGATCCGTTCCAAACTCTTTCGATCGATTTCTCCGACTCAGAAACCTTGAGTCTGCTGCAATACTACCATGTCTCATTTTGGGCGAATTTGTTTTCCTGTAATCCGGAAAACGTGGCTGTCTACCGCTCTCATGGACCCTGCCATTGTACACGCAACTTTGGGCCTGGTAGCGATTCACTGGCGAGATGTGTTCTCTTACGACCTGTCAAAAACGTATTTCAAGCATCGAGGAGAAGCCATCAAGATAATTGCGCATCGCATGAATAATATGGATCAAGCAATAAGTGATACTACAATCGGGGCTGTGGCCACACTATCCACCTCTGATAACGAATTTGACTGGTCTTCTGAAGTCCAAACAGTGCATTCTGTAGGACTCTCCAGATTGGTTGCCATTCGAGGTGGGATCCAGTCTCTGAGAACCAACCGGTATATCCAACGAGTGGCGGCATGGGCTGATTTACTGCATTCGTCTCTTCACAGTACTAGGCTTAGTTTGGACTTGCCATTCTCAAGGACGATAGGATTGCAAATGAGCCCCGAAGTTGTCGAGAAGATCGATCCAATCGCCGGCGCTAAATGGCTATACTCGGGTGAAGTAAGATTGCAAACTCTGCCATCGCTAGTGGCCCAGATCATTAAAGCACTACGAGAGTTGACAAAAATGAAACTCTCATTGATTGATGATCGCGACGAGGCAGTCTGCAAGCGTTTCGCCGATTTGCTATGGAGCCTTTAGCATAATATCGTGGAACTTCAAGACATATCCAGAAGGAAACCGAAAATCTTTCGCTCAACGCGACTTTTGTGGGGCGCATCCATGGTCTGCTCTATTGGTTGTGCCGCGATGATCCTTTCTTATCTGTCCTTCAGAGATCTAGTGGCGCCAATTCTCTTTAACAAATTGGGTGATAGCTTGAGGCTCCATCTGTCAACTATACTTGTCTCGCCTGCCGAATTGGCAGAGGATTTCCGAACGACCGAATAGGAGCGGAGTCTGGAGAATGGTTGGACTGATATCTTCAATTGGCCCGGGCTGTCAGTATTGCTATGGGTTTTATACATCGGATGGAATAGCTCGAACTACCATGAGCAGAATAGATCATGGTTTTCAAATCAAATTGCTCTAGTGTGTTGGCAGAAGGAAGTTGCGTCGGAAGTGGTGCTCCAGGAACAAGTTCAAAGGGTAGTGCCTCAACAAGCGCTCTTAAATTTGAAAGAATTATGGATGACAATAAGCCCTATTCTGGTATCGAAGAGATCTACCTGTTAGTGCTTAAAGTCTTCTGTAGCTTTCACGCAGAGCAATTTAACAGCCACTGAGGTGGGATGATTACTCCTATGACACATCGTCCCTGGTTGAGCACCAGTGAAGTGCTAAAATTGATAGCTATGCACCTTACTCAGTTGTGCTGGCGCAGGCTACACACTTGAGAATGAATATGTTAATTACCAACAAACATATTCTAACGACAGTAGTGGTGGTGGGAGTGTCGCACTGTGTAGAAGGAATAAGGTTATTAGATAAGCCAAAAACCACTTTACGCGCAAACGCGTCAAACACCAGAGGAAATCGCATCATGACCACAGGCTTTTGAGTACGCGAGATGCCATGTGGTACAGAGTTCTAACTGTGCCAGCTGCCTACACCAATTCGCAGCATCGACAATCGCGACAATATGGCTCGCAGACCTGTCCCAGTTGAACAATCTGACTTCGAGAAACAGCGACTAGCAAATATCGCCGAGCGCGATGCGCTGCTCAAAAAATTGACTCAAGAGGCGGCGGCCTCTGGCCTCTACTCGAAGCCGGCAAATGGTGGTCCTCAGAGCAGTGCTAAACGAGCCGCAAAGCCTAAGCAGCCGCCGGCGAAACGCGTCAAGAAAGAGATCGATGTCACACCACGAAGGTCGTCAAGCCGTTTGGCAGGAATACAGGCAGACAGCGAGGTCGCCAAAGAGAAGGCTGAGAAAGAATATGAGCAAGCCAAAGAAGTCGAAAGGCAAAAGAGACAGAGGGTCACAGGGGATCTCAACTTCGCGGATAGCGGTACGAGTGGTTTGATTGGCACAGATATAATTCTCAAAGGCGTCGCGAGGCCGTATGCGCGGACGTTCGACGACGCAGATATCAAAGAGACCACCGATAAGGATCTCAAGAAACTCCGTGAGAGGATGTCCTCGCTGGAGATCTGGGATGCATGGGATCCCAGCCGAATCAAGATCACCCCTGAGCGGGTCTACTCGATGGCGTTCCATCCCACTGCAACGAAGCCCATCGTCTTCGCGGCGGATAAGATGGGCAATCTGGGGATCGTCGACGCATCACAGCGACCTGTGAAAGTCGTCAAGCAAGAGGAAGAAGACGAAGAAGAAGAAGGCGACGACGACCCCGACCCTGAGATCACCACCATAAAACCGCACACCAGAACTATCTCCTCCATGCACACCCACTCCTCGAAGCCAGAAACACTCTACACTGCGTCCTATGACTCCTCCATCCGAGCAACAGACCTACAGAAGGGTATCGCCGTCGAGGTATACGGCCCAGCGTCCAGAGAAGAGGACGAGCCGATCTCCGGCATTGACATGGCCGCATCTGATCCCAACACGCTGTACTTCACGACCCTGAACGGCGGATTCGGGCGGTACGATACCCGACAGTCGCCTTCCAGCGTCGAGCTATACCAGCTCTCAGAAAAGAAAATTGGCGGGTTCTCCCTCAACCCAGCTGCGCCGCACTACCTGGCTACCGCATCTCTCGACCGGTTCATGCGGCTCTGGGATCTGCGGAAGATGGCGAAAAAGCTTCCAACGCTGGTTGGCGAGCACGAATCACGACTCAGCGTAAGTCACGCGGCGTTCAACACGGCCGGCCAGGTCGCGACGACGAGTTATGACGACACGATCAAGATTCACTCATTTGGTGTGCATGGCAAGGCGGGCACCAGCGCCCTCGAAAGCATGAATACGTGGAAGCCAGGCACGACGCTTGAGGAGGATGTCATGAAGCCCGAGATTGTGGTCAGGCATAATAATCAAACGTATGTATGAGAGAGAGCCATGGCGAGTCAGCCTTTCTCGGCTTTTTCCAGTCTGTTTACTCACGCTAACAAATCGCGAATGTACAGCGGTCGGTGGGTTACCATCCTTCGCCCGTTGTGGCAACGGTATCCTGAAGACGGGATCCAGAAACTCGTGCTGGGCAACATGAACAGGTACGTTTGTCCATGCCCTCAGCGGAGTGGAATAAATCATCTTCCCCTCCTCATTTTCTCGTCCCCTCTTCCTTATCTATCTATCTATCTACCTACCTACCTATCTACCTGCAGCTCCTAATCCAGTGTCCAACGCGTACAGATTCGTCGACATCTACAGCGCCGACGGCACGCAACTGGCCCAGCTCGGCGGCGAAGGAATAACCGCCGTCCCCGCCGTCGCTGTCTTCCACCCCACCAAGGACTGGGTAGCTGCCGGCACGGCGTCCGGGAAACTGTGTCTTTGGATGTGACAACGATAAAGTAAGCAAAAGCCGACTGCCATGATATGTTTTCCTACTTGCTAAATGGTGGATCTGGCAATTAAATAATCTTTGTCTTGTATTACCGAGCGGGCGGCACCTGGACGATGGAAAGGGGTTCCTGATGTCGATTCTTATATGTACAACCTCGAAAATCATACATGTAACATTGTTATAAGACCATACCATGTACACAAGTACCGAATTTCGGCCATTCAGCATGTGTCGGCTTGCCCTGACTGGCTACTATGTACGAAGGGATTTAATCAACTAGCTACCGTGAAATCTGAGCTCCACCACACCGCGCTGCAATCCATCGGTCCGTCAAGCTGGTCTAGTTAGTTAGACTCGGGAGCGAGGAAACAGGTTCCTAAGTCAGAGGTCCCGAAAGCCCGCTGCCGTGGGCAGATGGTACAATGGGGGCGAAAGAACGAGAAAGAAAAGGAAGAGAGAGAAAACTCCAAGGAACAAGCGCCCTCCCCAACCCACGCCAGAAACGCTCACGAAATCCACTCCATCCCAGGTCCGTAAACTCCAGAAAACCCCATATACTGGGTAGGTGAGTCCTCTCTCGACAGGCACGCATAATCGAACCCCGTTTGCCGGCAGACCGAAAACATCGACAAACTAAAGATCAAGTCCACCAGACCGTCCCGGGCACGGCGCCGCCGCGAAAAAGACGTTTCTCAATCCTGAAAGCTGCTCAGCGTAAGAATAACAAAAGCCAGCTCGCCCGCCTCGTTCTTCAAGGGCGTCCAATGGGTCGCGAACTTCTCGAAGCCCATGTATCTCCGCGTGCACATGGTGAGGTCGACGGAGATGGCGTTTCCGAGCTTCAGGGCGGTGCGCACGCGGGATTTATACTCACTGCTCAGCTTGGTCGCAGAGTGAACGGACAGCCAGCGGAAGATATCCATCCCGACGATGTGCGAGACGGAGTTGTTGGGGATCGGTCGGGCTGGGTAGAGCAATGTTGCAACCCCAGCTGAATGGAACGATATGTAGAAGGTCGAGTAGTTTATTACGAGGAACTGTGTGCGTGAGCATGAGAATGTCAGTGGTTTTGTTTATGGGTGGTTAGAGATTCGCTTCTGGAAAAATAGCCGGAGTGTATGGGGGAGGGGGCCACCGGGGAGATGACAGGGCTGGGACGAGGGCATACCTTTGAATAAGCAGTATAGAAGGTATCCATCTGCCTCCTTAAATTCATCTTCTCGTTCTCCATTTTGTTCAAGAGTTTATCCTCCATCCCCGGTGTAAGATGCGGTTCGATCGTCCCACTCTTACTCCTGAACGTCGCTAAGAATTTGCTTGCGCGTGAAGGGGTTTTCTGTGGCTGGGACGATATTAGTCCGTCAGCGGCTTTTTCATCAGTGTCGTTTGACATGGCAAGGATGCGTAACACGTCCGATTGACTGTGGATCGTTGTTGAACAATTGATCTGGCCTCCTAGAAAGAACACCACATTTCCGGTTGCGTCAAAGAGAGGGGTCATGTACAATAGGTTCCAGAAAGGTTCGCCCGTCTTCTTATGATTAAGGAGTAACTCCACGATCTCTTCTCTTGTGCTGATGGCTTCACGCAGCCGCTTGACTGCCGCAGGATCTGTAGCCCGACCCTGCAAAAACCGACAGTTTCGAGGTATGATTTCATTGCGGGCATAGCCTGTGACTTTCACGAAGCCGTCAGATGCGTAGACGATAGGGTTGTCTGCTTTGCTAGGATCCGTCAAGACGAAACAATCACCCAGGCCAGCATATTTGCCCCGGTCGCCTGCCAATGCCTTTACCGCGCTCATTGTCATTTGATGTCGCACGAAGCGCGGGTAGATATCCTCCGCAACCAGTCGTTCGATAGAATTCTGTGAGTCGACGAACACAGATTCAAGCTTTGGAAGAGTAGTGGTCAAGACAGACTTGAGATCCTTGTTGACCTTCACGAGTACACTCTCCGAGATGTTGATTTGGTTCAGCGCATTCACCGAAATATAGTTGCGATGGATTTCAAACATGTTCTTTGCGACTTCGCTCAACAAACTGTTGTACCTATCAACTTTTTCAAGGAATTCCAAATTCTCACCACAAAGCTGTGATTGACTATACTTCAGGAGCTGGTGAGACGTAGTGGGATTGTGAAGTACTATTTGAAAAACTTCCTGTGCAAAGAAGTCAGGGAGCTTAGTTGAGGAGGAGACGGTGACAGTGGTGTTATGAGAAGTACGCGAGAAAGTGCTTATAGAAGGTTCGTATGAACTCTTTTCGTCGATCGAGTCGAGGTTGAAGTCCAGTTTGCGAAGCTCTTCGAGGTTGTCCTTTTCCACGGGCTGACCACTAGGAGTTGCCGTTTCCAAGCTGCGAAGGTCTGATGACTCTCTACTATGCTGTGGGCTTCGTGTGGCATTATTTCTGAGAGCGCTGTTCCTCTCATCATTAGACCTGGACGACTCCGATCTTACTTCATGACTGGGTCTCGGTGTTGATTTATCCTGTGTTTCTTCAAGTGAATTTGCTGCAGTCTGGTGTTTCGTAGTCGACATTGCCCGAACGTCGTCGTCAAAGGTAAAGTCCCGAGTCAATCGGGTCCTGGTTAGTGGAACAACTGGTGGATCCATTCTTATTGAAGGCAATCAGAAGAAATGGACTTTGGTGTACTCAAACTCAAAACAAACTGTTTCCAGCGCAGTAGCAGAAAACCACGAAGGCTTTGGCCAATGTAAGTCGGAAAAGTCAAAACAATGTGAGAGAGTCACCCCGTTCTGATGACGCATGGACAGTACTGACAATTTGTACTCTGTTAATACGATCCACTAGAGGTCCATGATGGTCATTCAGAGCCGATCAGGTACCAGGAAGGACCCTGCTCTGGCCGTCTTGATGTCCAGCCACAACGAGCGGGAGAAGGGAAGTGGAACATAAACTTCTTGGACAGCCAAAGAAGGTCTTCTGAAGAATTGAACCTAGACAACGGGAGGCAGCGGGAATACGCTAAGGGGTGGTTCCCATGTTAACTCGGGCCTGCCTTCAACGGAGGGACGGGATGGAACCTAAAAGGCTCCCAACGTTGAAACCTTGACTTTGCTCGTGTTGAGAATCTTCGACTAGGCACATTCAACTGTGGATGAAGGCTGCTTTGTCTGAGAGAAATCTTGGAATGGGTGGGGGTAATGAAGCACTTACAGGGATGGTCCTTCAGGCTGAAGATCCTTTCCATCAAGGATCAGGAACCGGGAGCCAGGGTTTGTTTGGACTCGAAAACTTTTACTGGCACCGGATTGATGGTAAAGTTTCGAAGTACCACCAGCTGTACCGGGTTCTGGTCGGGCAGATAGTGCGTCTCGTCATTGCAAAGCACCAAAGTTCAGTTCGTCGGAATGAGGCTTTGGCACTTCGTTGCAACGGTCGTCAACGGCGCCGCTAAGTAATCCTTCAAGAAGCAGCATTTGGAAGCTGCACCGTTGCAATTAGTCAAGACTGATTTGGAACGTGTCTGTAGCAAATAGTGAAATCTTCCTAGGCCTAAGCGAGTTCGGCTTGAGCTCGCCCCGGAGGTTGGTGGTTATGGCGACGATATTCGTTATCTAAGACCCAGACTGAGATCGAGATGGAATGTGGCATCTCGCCCGCGTAGTACATAGCAAAATGTTCTGAAGATCGACACTAGCAGTATGACAGCTGCAGCAGCTTGGGTCTAAAGGCCCGGTATTCAGGGACCTTTCCCCGCCGAGGCGTGGCGTTTGAAACGTGGATGCCCCGTGGCTCGCTTATTGACTTAGCTGCGTTGATCAGGCATACAGCTGACAGCTGAAGAATTGATCCCTCGACCTGGCGCTGCGACCCTCGCGTCCGAGCCTGTGTGATCCAAAAGACTGATTGGACAAATTTGCAAAACATGCGCCTTTGCTAAGTTGTGTTTCTGACCCTTTTGGAGTTATCATCAGCCTTTTTCGCTGATGCTGGCAGAGGCAAACGTCTGCTCACGTAGAGTAGACAGGCTAGAGCCCCGTGTGCCGAATGTTTACTTCGTTGTGCCATCAAGTCCGGCACGTTTCGAGTCCGGCCCACCACGTGTAGCCACGTTAAACCTCATCTGCAGCTAGATCAGGTTCAAGTGAAGAAATCAATCAAGCCTGGCTGACTGCCTACGGCCGGGTCCATCCGAAGCAGGATGTCGCTAGCCTTCATAGGGTCTGCAGCCACAGCACATCGCAGAAAAGATAGACCTCTACCAACCATCTTCGTGATGAGTGTGCATTGGGGATAACTCGCCTTTTCTGCAATACTTGACGACTCACTAGGCTGTTCATCAAGTGGCACAGTCGATACCTCTGATGGTTCTGAAGGCAAGGGAGACACCCAGGATCTTTTGCATATCCAGATCTTGCAGAAGGCGCAATTGATGAGCTCCGCACCATGCGACAAGAATGCTCACCGCATGATCACCTCTTTCAACCCGCTGTCCTCTGTCTTGTCACGTCCTTTCTTGTAGGCAGACACGAACCCTCTGAGAATGGCACTTAAGGCTGAAATGTGGCCCGGGGCAACGTCTTTGTCCTGGGTGTAAGCTGCAATAAGGAATAGCTCGAGGTGGGCAATGAATTGACTTATGTCTCCATTAGTACCCCGGCCAGAGACATTTGCGAATTCCCAATCAATGATGCCGATACTGGGGTTCTCAGGACGATTTTCTGGATTGAGCAGTACAGTGCCTGTCCAACAAATGCCTATGACAAAACATCGTTCTTGCTCTGTTGTGTCGCGGAAAAAACACGCTTCGATTGTGGAGAAGAGAGCTTCAGCCTCATCAAACCTGAGGAGAGAAGGGAACAACAGCAATTGAGATCTGAGAGGCTTGATGACATGCTCGTGGACCACGGTCTTCATTTCAGGCAAGGAAGGGAAGCCACTCGATCTGTCCGGACAAGCAACCAGATCTTCAGTGGTTGAAGCTCCAGGGATGAGTTGATGAGTGCGTTGTGAGTGCAGCAGCGCGAAAAAGCTTCCGTATCGACGCCCAAGCCTTTCGAAGAATATTACCTCATTCTCCACAAGCTGTTCTCCCAATCTATGAGAGCGAGGAACTGGTTGAGAGGTTTGACAAGTATTGCCGGGTCCAGGAGCGTACCCACCGAGCTCACGGAACACTCTCGACAAATCTGGCAGTGGACCAAGGTCTGAGAGAATGAGCACATGATCAGTGGCATCGTACAGCTGGAGTCCGGGGACCCTGATCCCCGTCTGATCCAGGACCTCATGTAGAGGTCCGGGCTTTTGGCCATCGAGGGTAAAAGAGTCTGTCGTTGAATTCCGTGGATCTCCCAGGAAGAGTGCTAGAGCTGTTGCTTCAACCAACTGGCTAGAGTCAAATATTTCCCCTGATCGAGAGGTGAAGTGTTCAACTTGCTTGTCGAGTTTGAGGAATGTGAGTGCCCTCACCCACTTCTGCTCTATGAGAGGTTGCATGCTTTAGTATCAACGATCTATGGCCCGGAAATGTGCCTAGATGCAAATCCAAATCCCTAGAAGTAGGTGGTGTTCGTCCTACCATGGAATCTCTCAAGGCCACTTTGGTCGCCCGCACGGTGAAGTTGATGACACCCCGGTAAGTTGACCGACATGGTAGATGTACGCAGGATCCAGCCGCTCAAGATAGGATTTGAAGTCGAATGTCATTTTCATGTCTTTTCCGAGAGAGAATGACGACGGCGACTGTCAGTAGTAAGTGCTAGAGTGTGACGGCTTAGCCTGATGGTTGCGTAGCCCAGCAATGCTAGGATCAAGCAGTCTGATGCCAAAGGCGTGTGTCTAATGAGGTTCATCTATCGTCGTCAGGGTATTTCAAGGAAATAAAAGAAAGCAAGCTTGACATGCATTGTACTACATATACCCTTTAGTAACGATGCAGTACGAGATACCCAGGTATTTAGCGTGGGGTGGGTGGTGAGATATCAACATCGGCATCGACGCAATCCACACAGCAGAAAAGCGGGCGTCAATCCCTCAATCCCATTTCATCTATTGTTCGCGTTTCCTAGTTCTCGCCAAAGCTGCGTCTCTATCATACGTAAGAGGGTAGACCACTAGTTAGCCTTGATAGTGATACGCTCTCACAGTCTATTCATACTCCCCGAATGCAACCCCACTTCAACCAGGTATACACTGTCCAGTAACCTGCGCTCAGAATTGCATCTCAGAGTCATAATCCATGCGATCATACCCAAGCTCAAATGGTGCATCGGCCATGTCTGAATCGCTTTCCTTCATACGTAAAATACTCATCTTATCATTTGCCGTATCTCCAAGGGCAAGGGCAAGCCTCTCGATTTCGATTTCTGCCTTTCCTCCCGCCAGTTCCAATGCACCTAGCACCGTTCCCAGAAGCTCATCCAATTTCAAGTCCCTCAAAACTTTCTCGTAACGTTTGACTTTGCTTCTGTCCCACTCTTCTTCATATCTGTCATCTCCTTGGAATGATTCATCAGGGCGGACTTCGACGTCCTTCCATTTATTACGAAACTCTTTCGCAACACCGATGTAGTCCCGAGTATCACCGCTGCCTAAAGACTCGTGGAGAGGATTCGAAGGATGATCTAGCGCAGCCAAGAGGTTTGCGTGGAAACGATGGCCAGATCCGTGAAATGCATGGGAGTTGCCTATTATGCTCTCTCTAGCGGCAGCAGCAGGAACTGGAACTCTGGGATCATTCTCCTTCATATCTTTAAATGAAGCAGAGCTATCGATCACTATTCCCCATACACCTAATAAACAGACTAGGCAACGTTCAAGGAGGGCGTAGAACTCATAGAAGTCAATTTTGAATTGGCGCTCCGCTTCAATTGGATCGATTTCCATTTCATAACGACCTAGTGACGTTGTCGGGTTTCTCTGGGCCTGAGGATGGCCATGTGCTACAGCTGGTGCAGCGAATTGAGCAGATATGTGTTCCTGAGTCAGAGTCAAAGCCCGATGTGACCAATGTGTGAGACTGTTTGCCTTCCATCTCAATCGTCGAAACAAGCGCTGAAAGCGTTGAAGATCCAGCCGGCGTGTTTGGTACTGCCGCTGCGAGGAATTCAAGGGCTGAGATTCTTGGGAAAATGTGCCAATAGGTGGAGCCGATGTCGACTTCACATGGGGTATGGATGTTAGCGGCGTACTAGTAAGCATCCTGTTGCTGATTGATGGCCCATTCCAGGCGGTTCTCTGTGGCGATGGCGTTCGTGTGCTCCGTGGATATTCTAGTGGGACACGTACATCGGGATTGGCCCAGCGGGACGCAGTGAGGTCTTGCTTCCTCATTCTCAAAGTGTACAATGACTCTATTGCCTGCTCGATGATGGAGTTCTCAAACAAGGTCGAATGTGAGGTTGTGAGCGAATTCTGAATAAAGAATGATTCTTCGCGATTCTCAAGGGGCCGAGCCCGAGTAATATATGTTCCTTTAAGTACCCAAGGTGGTCACAGACAGTCTGGAGCAGACACCAGGCAATTCTGAAAGCTTTCATACGTGTTGCCTACAAGTAGGCGGCGTGTCATGCGAAATGTGGCTCTTTCCTTTGTCTTTGTGCGGTGGCACTTGCATTGACACCCTTTGTCCTGACTGGCAATTGACATCGATTTTCTTGCTAGCAAGCAAGTCGAGAGAGGCGCAGTGCATTACAGTGCACACCAGAACCTGTTGGCATTAAAAACAACATTATATCACAGGAGGTTTTAATGGTGCATGGTGTAGTTGCAATCCTGAAACCGCGCCGGCGCGTCAAAGGTGGCGACGGTGCCACAGTTTAAAAGACTGGTCAACTTCGCCATATGAGACTACCAGCACATATAATTACACCAGGTCTCTGCCAAAGTCCCAATTAGATTATAGCATTATAGAATAATTGAGCTTGGTTTGCATAAACAATTTTTGGTCGATGCTTTTACCGAATGTTCGATACCTAGTAGAATGCACCGAGTGAGCCTGATACCCTAGATACTTCATATCACTTATCATTACCCTCCACAAACGCCAATCGCAAGCTCGTGGTATCAAATCAGCAATAAAAAGCAATTTCACCCATTCCAGACATTAACAGCTGTGTTTCCTGAATCTCGACCAGTCGCTACTCATCTCCCCCATCACGTGCACCACGACCTTGTGGTCTGCCGTTCCTCCCGTCGTGGCTGGTCCTTCCAGTGATGTCTTGCCAGGTTGCCCCAAATCTACGCCCTGTGCTTGCCAACAAGCCTTCTTCCTCCTCTTCAATAGCGTCGTCATCTGAGTCCGGATCGCTCAGCTTAGGCGTCCTGAAGAGCAACAGGACGAAGGCAATCAGGAACATTCCTAAGAAAACAAACTGGGCCCAGAAATCCACGATGCCTAAGAATGGGTAGTTCACTGTCACCCTATTCAAGAAAATCGACACCACCGAGGGTGTGCATACATTACGTGCAGCCGGATTGTCCGTGATCTCTGTACAAGGTATGACATGCTGTCGATGACCGGAGCAATCTGGCTGGTCTCCGGGGTGCTTCGGGGGATGGTCACAGAATGTCTGAGGGCCAAATGTTGCATACTGAGGTGCAACAAGCATGGCAATAGAATAGTTGATGGCAAGGGTCATCAAGGTCAGCAAGACGGTCGCAATCAAAAGCGCTTGTGGTGATGTATGTGCCTTTCGGATCCTAAATATTGTGATCCATAGAACCCGGATCCCAATCGTTGCAATGCCAAGGATCGAAGCACTGAAAAAGAGGAGGACGATGAAGAGGAAGATGACGTAATCGATTGGGAAGACCGAAGAGGACTTGACTAGAATCCAATTGATGGGCTGAAAGATGTTGATATGGCCCAGAAGATAGCCACAATGGCGCTGGCAAACTGAGTTCTTCGCCTTGTCAATGCCGGTGATCAGCATACTCGCAAAGATCAGCAAAACGACCACCACTAGGAGAAGACCAAGGATGAGCTTGATGGGACGGAAAATGGCCTCAAGCTTCAACCAGATCCTCCAGAAGATGTTGCGGTCTTGACCAGATGCCTCCGCCGCCATACGTTGATGGCGACGGAGTGTACGCTCCTCACGGACCAAAGCATCGAGTTCGCGCTGGTCCTTGGAGGACAGGCCATCTGGATTCCCTTGTGCGCGGCCCTCAAGTTGTCTTTGCCTCTCCTGGTTGCTCTCGAGCTGCGCAGAGGTGGATTCGGTCAAAGCAGGGGCTGAAATGCTCGGGGCTGATTTGATCAGAGTGAGAGGAAGCAGAGCCAAGCCGGCGGCTGTGTAAAAGCAGTAGATGAGAATTCCAAGTGTGATGAGGACCCCAAGAGCGAATGTCAGAGCCTTTTCACCTCGATTCTCGGCGAGAAGTCGTTTGAAGAAGTCGAGATCAAAATGTGCACCCTTGTTGTTGGAAACTCGAGGAATGAAGAAGCCAACCAGGAAAATGGCGATGCAGAGAAAGACGAAGACAAAGGTGTATTTCAATGCACCCCAGAATCGGGAGCCAAATGTCTGAGATCCTTCCTCTTGAGCGACCTCATCATATTCTTCATACCAGAAATATGTAAAGGGAATGATAATCAAGCACAGAAGGGCATCGAGAGAATAGAGCAGATAGTATACAACACGTAATGTGAAGGTGATGTTGTCCACTTTATCTTGGTTCGCCCAGTCCTTACGTCGACCTAGTTTGGAGCTTGTGGTGCTCGAGACTAGCGCTACATCGACGGGTAGCAAGAGGACGGTTGCGAGAAGAGATGTGATCGTCAAGATGCAGACTGCTGTGACAAATTTGGATCGCTCGCGATTAGTTTGGTAGAGGTAGACGAACAGAGAGGCGACTGAAAGGAGCAACACGACAGCAACAGCATAGACGACCCAGATAAGAGTTATTTGAATATAGCCAGCTGATGCCATGGTTGAGAGGTGGCCGTCTTCGAACGAAAAGGTCGGGAAGGGTAGCATAATGTCGCAGAGTGGATGCCCGACAACAGGGACTGGACGAGTCTCAAAAGGGAACGAGATTCAGTGAGTGAGGATTTCTCAGCATCGCACAATAGGATTGCGTCGTTCATAGACAATTCACAAAAACCACGGTGGAATGATGATGGTGGTGGTGAAACCTGGAAGTGCAGGCAAAACAGGCAAACAGGATACGAGGAGCATCAACAACGACAATCGTCATAGCTGCAGCTCAAATGAAGCTAGTACTAATATAGACTAGAATTACATCACGTGAATAATGTGCCAAGTATCAGGCTTGGCATTATTTTCGTGCAGCGGCCACTGGCATTGGAGTTTCAACCCTTTCATCAAGTACCAGCCTAGCGCGTATTTTGTCGTAGAGAGTGACGAGGCACCATCTGAGTGTACAATCTATTCCATTCTCCAGCCGATCTGTCGATACTCAATCTGTGTGTTGAACGATGGGGAGTCTTTCGAGGTTCTCAAGTTGTTGACGTCCAAATCGCCTGCTGCATTTCTCGTCGCGGAGTGATTGATATCACTTAACCATATTCGCCATGCAGTGTTATACCGAACTCATCCCGCCCTCTGGGGTCACTGCTGCTTTATCCCTCCCATTCACCTCCTCTGGGGCCAGTAATTTGGTAGTAGCGCGTACGTCACTGCTCCAGATCTTCAGGGTCGAGTATGTCAACAATGGGCAAGACGCCAAGCTCATTCTCATCGCCGAGTACAACCTTGCGGGAACGGTCACTTCCCTGGGCAGAGTCAAGCCACAGTCATCGAAAAGTGGTGGCAATGCAGTTCTCATTGCCCTTCGAGATGCTAAATTGAGCTTGATAGAATGGGATCCTGCTCTGCATAGCATAGCTACCACGTCCATTCATTACTATGAGCAAGATGACCTGCAAGCTGCCCCTTGGCAGCCTGAGCTATCTGACTGTTTTAGCCGTCTCACAATTGACCCTAGTAGTAGATGCGCCGCATTCAATTTTGGCGTCAATCATCTCGCGATCATTCCGTTGTCCCACACAAGCGACGACCTGGCTATGGAAGGCGATTTTGATACTGCGGAGAACGGGGATGCAACGAACGGGCAATCGCCAACTAAAACGTCCGGCGGCCCTGGTGGTTCTCATGACGTTTCGAACCATCCTTCTTTTGTCCTCCCTACTACTGCCCTCGATCCTGGCCTTCTCCATCCTGTTGACATCGCTTTCCTTTACGAATATCGAGATCCAACAATCGGGATACTGTATTCAACCGCCGCCCGCTCCTCAAACATGGCTCCTGAACGAAAGGATGTTACTATTTATGCTGTATATGCCTTGGATTTGGAACAGAAGGCATCCACTTCTCTTCAATCGGTTCAAAGACTTCCAAATGATCTCTATCGGATCATACCACTTCCCTTACCGGTCGGGGGGGCGCTATTGGTTGGAAGCAATGAGCTCATCCATATTGATCAAGGTGGCAAATCTAGTGCTATCGCACTCAATGAATTTGCGAGAGAGTGCTCAGCATTCTCAATGGCAGATCACTCAGAATCTCGGGTCAAGTTAGAGGGGTGTCAAATCGAGCGTCTGAGCAATGTCAACGGAGACATGCTAATCATTTTGCAAAGCGGGGAGACCGCTATTCTGTCCTTTCGAATGGATGGCCGCTCCTTATCCGGCATGTCACTCCGGCGAACAAATGAAGGCAGTTCTGCGGAGTTCTCATTGGGAGCTGCCACGTGTACTGCACATCTTGACCAGGGCTATGTCTTTGTGGGAAGCGAAGAGTTAGACTCTATGGTACTAGCGGCAGGAAAACGGCCCATCCAGCTCAAGCGAATGACATCTCGGGCACAACTCCACGCCAATGGTACTGGCATGGACCAGGACGATGAGAATGATCAGTCAGAAGACGACGACGACGACCTCTATGGTGGCAATTTGCATGGTCTGGACGGGGGCGCTACTGGGGAGGCCGGGGCTTCAAGCACTGATCATCTCCGAGTGACTGACCGTCTTCCCTCCATTGCCCCAATCAGTGATCTTGCGTTCGGGGGCCTCGGAAAGCGTAAACGTGAAGATTTGCTTGGCCTTGAAAGCTACGATCGAGATGAGGTTGAGCTAACTATCGCTTATGGCCGAGGCAGATCAGGCGGTGTCGCTTTTGTTTCAAGAAGACTCGAACCAAATATAGTTAAGCGAATCAAGGTCAACGACATGACCGGCATTTGGTGCTTCAGCTCCATGGCAACCCCTCCAAACGAAGTTTGGGGTGAAAGAAACGCATTGGTCGACGACCTCGTTATTGTCTCTCAGACAATGGATGATGGTGTGGGCAAATCCTCACTTTTGCTCTTAATTGACGGAGAATTTCAGCCACGCGGAGCCTCCGAGTTTGATGGCTCTGCAGGACCAACCATTGGTGTTGGAAAGCTTGAAGGGACAAATCATACCGTTCAAGCCCTTCCAACGGAGATCCGGGTGTACGACGCAGGTAAGTGACATTCTGCTAGCAGCAGATCTAAATTTGACAGCGTTATAGATTTTGGCCTTTCTCAGATCTTTCCGATAGTCGACGAAGATGAAGGTCAAGTTGCAAAAGTCGTCAGATGCAGCTTTGCCGGTCCCTATGTCGTTGCTCTCAAGGACGACGGGAAAGTAACGTTGCTTAAGGCAGATAAAGCGGGTGAACTGGACGAGGTCGAGCTTCCGAGCCACTTGTCCTCTAAATGGATAGTATCCATCACACTGTACGAGGACTACACAGATTTCTTCCAGACATCAAGATTTTACCCGGATTCTTCTTCGAGACACCTTTTGAGTATCTTGACCTCGGAAGGCCACTTCAATCTCCTTTCATTACCAAAAATGACCTTTGAGGTATTTCAATGCGAAAGTCTACCGTATCTACCAACATTCCTAGTGCAAGACCTGCAGATACCCAAGCATTGGAGGAACCAGGACGAGATTGCGGAGATACTGTTGGCTGATCTTGGAGACCAGACAGAGCGCCGCCCATATCTCTTAGTGCGGAATACCACGGGAGATATAATCCTCTATGAGCCTTTTGCTGTACCAGATGTGACTGGAAGCTTCAAGTTCAAGAAGGTGGCAACAGAAACAATCGCAAACTTCGAGGATCAGTACAATCCAGAAGGCGAGAGTCTGCTTAGACCTCCCATGCAGGCTATCAGCAATACGCTTGGCTATGCGTGGGTGTTTGTCCCAGGCTCGACATCTGCAGTGGTCCTTAGGCATGCTTCAACCGCTCCACGTGTCTATGAGCTGAAGTCGCAGGGCATACGATCCATTTGCAATGTAAGGTCTAATGAACCAACTGACCGCTTCATTCTCGTGGGCGAAAACGATGAAGTCTGCTTTGCTGAGTTCCCCTCGAACTGCGTCATCGGGTTGTCCTCCTGGTCGATCAAGCGAATCCCCCTTGGGCAAGATGTTGCCTCGGTATCCTACTTCATGCCAACAGATTCATATATTTTGGGAACCAACTATACTGCCGATTTTCAACTACCTCAAGATGATGAGTGGCACCCGGACTGGCGAAATGAAGGGACAAATTTTCTACCTACCGCGCTCCAGAGTTCTCTCAAGCTTTTCAGCCCTTCTACACATTCGGTAATCAGCCAGTATTATTTTGACGTATCTGAACGCATTTTGTGCGTCAAGTGTCTTAACTTGGAAATCTCAGAGGAGACACATGAACGAAAGGACTTGATTGTGGTGGGCACAGCTATTGTTAAGGGTGAAAATGTGACTACGAGAGGGAACCTCTACATTTTCGATGTTGTTGATGTGGTCCCAGAACCTGACGTACCTGAGACAGACCTCAAATTGAAGATGATCGCCAAAGAAGATGTGCGTGGCGCTGTCTCTGCTATCTCTGATGTTGGTTCCCAAGGCTTTGTGCTTGCTGCACAGGGTCAAAAGTGTATGGTTAGGGGTTTGAAGGAAGATATGTCGATCCTGCCCGTGGCATTCTTGGATATGCGATACTACGTCCAAGTAGCCAAAGAACTGCATGGGACGGGGTTGTGCATTCTCGGTGATGCATTCTCTGGTCTGTGGTTGGTAGGGTACGCCGAAGAGCCCTATAAGCTACAGATTCTTGGCCGCGACTTCGAAAACCCGGAAGTCATCGCAGCGGAATTCCTCCCTGATGGGAAATCACTTTACATAATCTCTTCCGACGTCGACGGGCAGCTGAGGGTGCTACAATATGACCCAGAGGATCCGAAGACTGAGCGTGGCAGCAGCCTTCTTCTTCGGAGTACTTTCAACATTGGTGCAAGTCCTACAACCATGACTCTCATGCCACAGAAAACAGTCGCCAGTGCTCGACGATCCTCCAATGCCTCTGCGGACACGACTAATGACTCCCAAACAAACTCGCAACAACAAATACTCATCACCACACAGTCTGGATCGCTCTGCATGCTTACACCCGTCCCCGAAGCAACCTACCGTCGTCTATCCACGCTGCAAAACATTCTCCTTACGACACTAGACTTCCAACCATGTAGCTTAAACCCACGAGCATACCGCCAGGTCGAAACGGATGGGATTGGAGGAAGGGGCATCATTGATGGCAACTTGGTCAGGAGATGGTGGGAGATGAGCACGCAACAACGAGCTGCAAGCGCAGACAAGGCTGGAGGAAGCATATGGGAGGTCCGAGGAGATCTCGAGTTGATCAAAGGTGGTGATTTAGCACTGTAGGCATGGCCCAATAATTGACTCGGATCTTTGCCTACGAAGCTCACTCCGCTCGACTCAGCGGTTACTGGATATTGGCGGGGTAGAGATTGACCTGGTAAGCAGGGATCGAGGTCTGAAGCACACCGTTGAGCCCCCGAGAATCCTAATTCTCTACGAGAAAACGCCCTGCTTTGTTTTGGGGTCGAATGCCTTTGTTAGCGGGCTGCAGATGGCCTGATTATGAGCCGAGGCTGATAATTAGCGGCAACCGTTCCTGGAACTCCCGAGCGATGATGCCACTCGTTAGATTGCTTTAGCACATGCTGGTGAAGTTCTCTATTCAATTCCAAAGCAAGGGTCATCCCTTGGTCTAATGACTTGTAATATTTGTGGAATAAGAAAACAAAATCAGACGGCCCCTCGACCTGCCACAGCCCAGCCGACAGAGCCCATTCAACAGGTCCTGTTGCCCTCCCCTCCTACTGTAGACAGACATGTGGGCAGAAATCCTCTAGCCCGAAGTCAAGCTGGAGCGGACGACCGGCATCTTCGTCGTTGGCTGAGTCTTGTCTCGTGTGGATTCGTCAAGCCTTTCCCGGAGGCGCCTCAGCCCAGACGTTTGCCTTAGCCTTACCCCATATACACTCGTATGGCGACTTGTTTGAGGCTGGCGCTTCACTAATTGGTCTATCTTGAGGGTGTGGGTAAGGTCCCGACAAGACTTTTCGATGAAAAAAATTTGATTTGCCGTTCCGTCAGAATTCCAAGATCGCCCTGGATCGGCCTCGCGAGTTATTGGCCGGCAGGCTGTTGGTTGTTCGTCCAAAGCACGTCAGAGGTTTATTGCCAGTGCCAGTGCTTTATGTGCTTTCACGTGTTGGACCTCAAGCAGCTCCGCGCTCCCCCACTATCCGGAGCTCGAAAGCAAAGCTACAAAGGACTGCTTCTTGTTCACCAGAGGTTCCGGAAGCTGATTTTGCTTCGTTCTGCTATTGTCTTCGTGCCCCTTCTGTTCCTTTTGCCGTGCTCGTGTACAAGTACCATCTGTGCGTGCCATTCTCCATCTCCGTCAATTCAATCAGCCTCGACACCCACCACCCCTCCCAACGCAGCTACAGCTCAGGAAGCCATTGCAACACTCTACTAGGCTGAAACGTATTCAAACAAAACTCTACGCTCAATTGTAGTCAAATTCAAATCCTCACTTTCTCACCTGAACCTACGACAATCGACACAATGGCTACCCCACAAGCACCAACCCACCCAGGTCTCATTGAAGTTATCCGCCGCCCAGGCTCCTTCGAGTCCTACAGCATATCAGCGACGGAACTCCCGCCAGGAGCACTAATCGCCCGCCTCGAAAGCCCGCCCATGACCATGGAACCTACCAAGCGCTGGTCGAGCGTCCAAGTTTCCGAGACCCAGAACATTGAGCTGAACTGTGACTTCCTCTACGTCAACCACAGCTGTGAGCCCAGCGTCGAATTCCATGTCCTAGCCGATTGCGACACTCCCGTCATCGAGATCCGTGTTGCCCCGCGCAGAGACCAGAAAGGGAATCTCATCGGCATCAAGAAAGGCGACGCGCTGACCTTCTTCTACCCGAGCACCGAGTGGGACATGGACCAGCCTTTCAACTGCAAATGCGCTACCCCATCTTGCCTGGGTCGCATCTCTGGTGCCAAAGACCTGAGTAGCGAGCAGTTGAAGGGATATTATCTGAATGAGCACATCGAGAACTTGAGGAGTGTCCCATCTTCGTCGAAGTCTGGCAGGAAGGACGCTGGCCACTAGAGTTATCCGACTGATCCATGGAGTCTTCCAAGTCGACAGTTCATTCACCATCGGCCATTACCCATGATCAGGTGTTAAAGTACTTTTCTCATGGCAGAGATTTGGGTCTATTTTTTTGATCGATCATAGTCATGGGAGTGGTAACCTCCTCATAAAGATGAAACGAAGCCCGAGATAAGTTTGATATAACTCAGGCCATAGTTGAATAACAATTGCAAACACAATTGTCTGCCTCTGTAGGGACATAACCGCGGTGCTGAGATATCACCTCGAGTTCGTCATTAGTCAAGTAGTCATTCGCTAGTATTTTTGACTGCCCAAAAACAGCACTGCCCGTATTTCTTTGTCTTTCAAGGCAAAGGTATCGTTCGTGCAATCTGCATCAAGACGTCAAGTAACTCAGAATCTTGCGCATTCAGCCTCTTTAAGCCATCCGCTACCTGCAACCCAAACGGTTTAATATCAGGTTTACACAAAGTCCCGGCAAGAGGCAGCTCGCCCGTCTGGAAATACTTCCTGACAGCTTTCGCCGTGCACAGACTCGGCGCCGTTGGAGAACAGTGACCCTCGGAATCCTGCTGCAGGAGCACCGAGCCCGGAAACAGTGTCTTCATGTGTTGGGCATTGCGCAGCGGCGTGACCGTATCGAGGGTATTCCCGATCCACAGAATCGGATGAGAGGTGCTGGCCGAGAAGGGACCGGAGAACCGCCATTTCGCATGTTTCTGCCATCCAGCGCAGCCAAGGCGTGTCTCCGCCCAGTAGTCGCCCAGACTCCAGCTCTGTGCTTTTAAAGTCTGCCAGTACTCGCGGAACTCGTCCTCGGTGAAACTTCCTATGCCTTCGGCATCCGTACAGAGGACCGCGGAGGTCGCTTCCAGCACGTTCCAGCTGGGCGAAATGCAGTCTTCAGAGAACGGTCCGTCAAGGATACATTGCTTCGACCTGCATGCGGGCACACGTCCTTTCTCTTTGTAGTCTGCGAACAGGCTACCAGTTCCATTTGTGATATCTTGCAGCAGCTCTACCATGATTGGACCAAATATCATGGGCTGGTAGAGCGCGTTTTTGGTGATATCCTTGATGTCGGACCAGGTGATGATTTCCGGACCTCGCCGTCCGTTACCAACAACGGAGAGCGGGTCGTCCCAGATGTCGTGCAGCAATTTCTCGTACGCAGCTTGAATGGCTTTGCCACCGCCAGGACGCCAGAACTGACAGCCGTCGGGGCCTGCTCGGTCGCAGTATTCGAAGATTCGTTCAAGTATTCGGTCTGTATCTTGCAGGTTGCCGAGCCATGGTCCGTTATAGTAATCATCTGTGGAAACTACTCCATCGAGAACTACTCTCGACACTCGTTCAGGGTACATAGAGGCGAAGGTGGCGCCTAGGAGTGTTCCATAAGAAAAACCCCAGTATTGGAGCTTCTCCATTCCTCGCCGCCATTTCGTACGAGATATGATATCCCGGTTACCGTGGCATTTATGTGCCTTGTTGAGAGCCTCTTGGGCCTTTCTGCCTTGACTTTCTCTCCACTGGCCATGCCGTTCGATAATCTCGACCATGTCAGCCGCGACGGGAGTGGTGTTGACATGCTCTAATATAGAGGATGTACTGTTATCATTATCAATGCGACTTGTGCAACCGTCAGCCAATGCCCTGGCCCTCCTCCAACCAAGTCTGAGGGAGCCGTCAGAGCTGCCAAGGAGACCCTCAGCCTCACTTTGTAAATTCCAGACCTGGCGAGCAAAATTATCCTGGAAACAGGAGATGGTAGGTGTGCTGCGATTGATTCCTCGGGGATCGAAACTGATGATATCAAAATATTTGCCGGAGTCCTCGGCATCGCTCGGCGTTCGCTCGACGTCGACGACCTGCTGGATCAGCGCACCATGATCTAGCACCTGAGCCACTCCCGAGCCACCTGGACCACCTGGATTGATCAATATCGCTCCTCCATAGTGAAGGTCGCTGACAGGGACCTTGGCGGGCTTTCTGACAACTGCCAAAGCCACCTGATTGGTGGCTTTGATGGGTGCGCTGTAATCCATTGGGACTTCAAGTCGAGCGCACTCGAAGCCACCATAGCAATCATGATACTCGAGCTCTTGTGAGGGTGTGATCTGGGACCATTGGAACGAGGTTGCACTCTCCGGTGTCTCCTCAGCTGCTAGCAGGCGTCCCTTCCACAGCCGTGGAAATGTATTTGAAAAGTCAATCGAAACAAAGAGCCATAGCAGGAGCGTTAAGCAACAAAACAGTAGCTTCAGCCTGGGCTTCTTCTGCCTTTCTCGAATTTGAGGGCTCCATTGCGTCATCTCAGCCGATTTAAAGTCCATACTTGGTAGCCGTCGCAAGGAAGAGAATCAAACCGGTCGGCTACAGAAATCGAGAAATCAAATGGCCTCGCTCTCATTCACAAGGATGGCACATAGTGGGGAGTACTCTTATCAATGTTGAAAAGGTGCTTTGAAGGGGCCAAGGACAGACGGTGACAGCGCAGACCTCATTGGCAGATAGGCATGCTTTCTTCTGCCCCCCTTGACCAAGCTACGCAGACAATGGTTTAGACCAAGCCCGGATTGCAGTCGATTGACAAGCTGGGCTGTAATCAAAATGTTTGAGGGAGCTTGACAAAACTAGGAAGAGTGCTTGTGAAGAAGAACTGCAGCTATCTGATAAGTAAACCGCCTAGGCTCAGTATGATCGACCAGGGTTGCATGATCACTCAGACGTCAGGTTGTATCCATAAAACGACATGTGCCGTGGTACCGACGACTTGGTCACTTGACAGGAATCCTAGCGGCTGATCTAGCACTTGGTTAGATGGCGGATATCTCCTAGTATGAAGCCACATTTCAGACACTCGCCGGTCAACGTTCGAGCAGGATCCCAGGGGCTGCCATTGGAAACTCGCCTGCCATGGTTGGGCAACAGTGCTGAACCCCGCAAAGTATTGCGCCCAGTAAGAATGGAAGGAGTTTATCTATCGTCTTTCCGCTTCCACCTTATGCTATCTTTCTCAACTCTATTTCCATTTCAGGTTACAATGCACCCAGTCATCGCCCCGTGTAGAGCTCGCCACGGCATATCTCCTTAGCGAGCTCTATAAACAGCGACTATGTGACGAGCGTCTAGCTATATCCTCGTCCTGCAATGTTTAAAAGCACGATAAGTCCCGTCGCTTGCTTCGTGATACTCACTTGTAGGCTGTCTGCAATCCTCAGTATCTCGAAGTGCGATTTAAAATCTCTACAGGCACTTTCACCAAGGTCATGAAATGATTTCCGGACTAATTACCAATTCTTAACTATGTCATCTACTCAAGATATCGAGCGGGCAGAAGTAGTCCACGAACATGCTGCCAAAACCCCCAAGTCGCATGCCGAGGAAGGCCACGTGCAAGACGACGACGGTCTAGAAACAGTAAAGATGCATACAATCGTGGTTGACTCAAACTTGGCAAGTGGTGCAGCGAGAGCCGAGGCCATGCAAATTGTTTGGGGGAAACATGGAAGGCTCATTGTATGGATTGGAATCAGCATGATGTTAATCGTCTAGTAAGCAGGTACATCATACCACTGGGGAAGTATTACCATTAATCAGTCGCAGCCAATTCGATAATGCTCTGTTATATAATTATCGCAACTATGCTGCATCAAACTTCGACAACGTAGCCGGGCTCTCTACACTTGCCGTTGTCGGCGCCATAGTCTTTGCAGTCGCTAAGCCTCCAATCGCAAAAATCAGCAACACGGTTGGCAGAGCCGAAGCCTACATTTTCTGCATCATGTGTTATCTATTAGGGTATATCCTTTGTGCCTCAGCAAGTTCATTCGGCGCCTATGCAGGAGGATTTGTTTTCGCCAACATTGGCCAAACAGGCGCCAACATCCTGAACGATATCATCATATCCGACATAACGAGCATGAGAGCTAGAGGTTTTGGTATCTCAATCAGCTTTTTCCCGTTTCTCATCACACCCTGGATCTCCGCATTTATCGTTGAGGATGTTGTTCTTCCTGGTGGTATTGGTTGGCGATGGGGGATAGGTATACATATTGAGCCTTCCGGAATCATGACTCTCGCTGATTGATCTAGGGATGTTTGCGCTCATAATGCCGATAGCTGCAACTGCATTAGTTGCGCCTCTGCTGTACTATCAGAGGAAAGCAAAGAAACAAAAGGTTCTCATAACCCAGAAAATGACGGCATATGAGTTCTGCTCGCAAATCGATCTAGGAGGTTCATTCTTGCTGGCCGCTGGATTCGCCATGTTCCTCTTGCCGTTCACTCTTGCTGGAACATCCACTGGAAAATGGAAACAGGGCCACATCATAGCACTGATTGTCATTGGTCTGGTGACGTTGATTGGGTTGATTTTCTATGAAGCTTTTATCGCTGCTCACCCCATTGTGCCTCCACGGTATCTCAAGAATCTCACTATCGTCTTGGGTTGCTCCCTGGGCTTTCTCGACTCCTTCGGATTTGCTGCGACGCATACCTACCTTTATACTTGTAAGTCTGGCCTAAATATCTAGCTTGTAGCATGCATTGTCGCACGGTCTGCTCTGGCACTGAGCCAATACTTTTACAAAATCTTCAGCGCAATAAGACAAATCCTAATAATTTGCTACAGGGGCTACAATTGTTCAGAACATGGGTCCTCGAGACGCTACGTTTCTCAACTACACCAACGGCGTCTGGCAGTGCCTCACTGGAATAATTTCAGGGGTCATCATGTGGAAAACAAAGAGATATAAGTGGTTGTTGGTCGCTGGAGCGATCATCAAAATGATCGGCTACGGGCTTATGATTCGGCTTCGAGGGGCCAATAACTCCTGGGCTGAACTGTTTATAGTCCAGTCGATACAGGGCATGTAAGTACTCTCCCAACCCCCAGTGAGGCCCCTCATCCCACTAGCCCCGTTGTTACGAGACTACCAAGAACCTCGGCTAAGAAATCTTGTCTATCACAGCGGCGCTGGATTTCTGGAGATGATCATTGTCGTCGCCGCACAAGTCGTCGTACCGCATGTTGAAATGCCTCAGGTGACAGCTCTAGTATTGCTCTGTACGTTTGTAGGCTCCTCGGTAGGTAATACAGTGGCGGGGGCGATTTACACAGGAAACTTGAAAGGCGCGTTGCGCGATCATTTGGGTTCTCAAGCAACGGACGATATCATCAATGCAGTCTACGATTCGATCACTAGCCTTGATATTCCCGCTGCTGGTTCAGTACAGCGGACTGCGGTGAACATGGCCTACTCGGATGTGCTCAGGGATATCACCTACTCTGCCGTGGCAACCTCCGCAGTTTGTGTGCTAATTGTGTTTTTCGTTCCGAACCTTCGTCTGAAAGAGGCCCGAAACCTCCTCACGAGCAGCGCTGACACTGTTGACATCGATGACAATGACAGGAGGACAGACTTGAGTGCTAGGAATGTGGCTGTACCGTCTGAGGCTAAGATTGTGAAGACGTGAGTGGCTACGGTATGATACATGACATGGACCATTATCACAACAATTGCTACCTGATGAATATGCATATGTACTGGATGATGTTGTAGTCAGGGAGTCGCGGACAATCACCCCTGCCTTCCCCAGATTTCTGCAGGAATTTTGACAAAAGCAAGCCCTTAAACAGGGTTCAATTGAATGCTACAAACAGGACAACCAGGATCCCACCATATCCTTAGCGTACAGGGCAACGCCATGGCATTGGTGACTGATTCAACGAAAGACCCCGCACTTCCTGATTGTAAATAACTCCTTGTCTGGATTCGATGGGCTGATTGAGTGCTTGAAGTACAATAGCCCCCAACAGCCGAGACAGCCTCTACTTCATTTCCACCCTTGTCTGCCAACCATACTCCTTGTCGGCATCCTTGTCAAAGATTTACAGGTTCACTCCATAATTGTAACCGACCAGCGCAGGTAGCTTCTTCCTTGGATTAGGCAGCCAAAATATCAAGCCTTGATATGCCCTCGCAGGCCCCATGGGGCCAAACAATCACAACCCTACCAAAGACTTGATAACGTCGCCTCATTGACAGCGGCAATGTCTCGAGTCATATCGTACGGGGCGATGGACGCAGAAAATCAGTCTGAGGTAGTGATTGTGTCCACGAGCCGGGCTTCATTATTTCGAATGGGGCACGACGAAGCCAGTGAAAGCCTGCTCCGACCAAGGAGAAGAGCGGCTCGTACTGGCGGCGGTCTTTTTGCCGGCTGTTGTTGCGTCGCATGCATCGTTCTGTTGTTTGTGATAACTGTACTCCTGATCTCCTTCGGCTACATCGTTTTGGCTGTATCATGCTTTTCACAGCTGCATCCGCCTCGACTGGTGAAAAACTATCGCGATTTCGAGCAAAAGTCTTTTACAGTGGGATTCGACTTGACCGCTGGCTATGGGTAAGTTGATGAGACTGTTATCCAGCAGACTTCAAACTATTTATACATTCGTCTGATGATCTTCTGCAGAACAGCCTCAGTCTCCTTTTCCAACGGCACAGTGGTCGACGTTGCCCGGGTGGAAGCGACTGCACGATACAATAAAGTCATGAAGCGACTGTCTGACCAATCCTCTGCTCACCCGACGTAAGAACCCCATCCAACATGATTTTGGATAGGCAATCAAGGAACTTACATGAAGATAGGCCACCCTATTACAATTGCGAAGCATCTTTCAACGATGTCCCCCGACAATGGGGGCGCTACTTTCGGAAGAAGGCCGGGCACCCAGCATCGCCTGAAGTTGCTGCATTTACTGACGTGCTTGGTAAGTTGAAAGAACAAGTCGACGCCTTCTTGGTTCCGTACGGTACTCTCGAAATGGCGCACGTCACCGTTCCTCATTTCCCTGCCATCTACGTCGAGGATCTGCTTGATGCAGCCGAGCATGCCAACTTTCAACTGCTTACGATGCCCAACTATCGTCCCGGAGACCAAGCTCAGTGGCCTATAAACGAACTCAACTCTGCAATGGCGGGAAATAGCATCGGGAGGAGCCACTCACCTGAAGACAACGACAACTCTTTCTTCGTCTTGTACACTCGGACGGCTTTAGCCGCGTTTGTTGGCCCTTTCTGGACCTCTACTCATTACTACGCAGCATCTGGCGTCGCCAATTTCAGTATCGGGTTCGCAGAATGCTCAAAGCAAGCAAACGCCCTATTTGAAGACTGCCCTCCAGAGGCGCCTTACTGGCAGGAAGTTCGTGTCAACCTGCGAGATAGTTTGGCTTCTTACTATCTCGGGGCAAACCTTGCCCGCGTGATCGTCTTCGGCGAGAGCTCATACAATGAGGTATTTGCAGACGTATTGAGGCAAGAGGTTCTCGCAGCTCAAGAGCGGGAAGGCAATTTGCCCCGTCTGTATGACGATTTTCCTATCTTTTCTCCCGCCAGGGGCGCGGCCGAGTTTGGCAAGGTCTGTGCAAGGTCGAATATTTCATTCGCATGCATTCCAGATATAAGCCCGAGAATGCAAGGCTGGTGATTTGGCCTTGGGAAAGGTTGAGGACCTTGAACTGTATCCCATCCAGGAGACGAACAATGATGCGAAATTATCTACGGGTGACGGCTCAGCAGGCGCCTTTGTTAGATGTCGACCCTATCACGGGTACGAAATTCGAAATCTTTCCAGTCATCACAGATACCCCTCGATTCCCTCTTCACCACAACACTTCTACTTAGAGCCAGAGTATCTTCAGCCGTGCAATGATGGCCCAGAATTTTGAATTGTCAGGCTGGCTTCCAGCCCATCTACGAAAGACGATGGCATCAGTGGCCATTTATAGCTTCGATTTCTCTCCCCTCTGAGCATCCTCTGCTTCGACTACGCTCCAGCTCCACCATTTCTCTCTCAGACGTTGACTAACCCTCGTGGTCGGGTCCACAGGTCCTTGCTTCCCGAGAAACTCACAAACTGCATTATCAGCATCAGACTCGGCATCGTAGGCATATACTCCCGGGACACTATCCGGATATCCCCACAGATTCCATGACCGATAGGCTGGAGGCGGGTGAGCAGGATCGACGGGATTTTTGAAGTACCCATGCGTTTCTATACGAGAGGCAAGGTTACGTCGCGACAGTTCGGGCTCTGCTGCGAAAGTGGCTTGGCCTAGGAAGGAGAGAGAGTCAATACGGATACAGATTCACAAGGGAAGGGGCGGTTTCCTTACCGCTGGTGAATGAAACCTGCTGCTTCGTCCAAGCCCTAGGCATTCGAGTCTTCTCGTATATCTCGACTGCCTCGGGAAGGCTAAGGATGCCTCTCACAACGTCCGAGATGACTCTTCCCAGAAAAACCCCATCCTCCATCGACGTTGCTGCACCCTGAGCTAGATGGTTGACCATCGAGTGAGCAGCATCACCCATTAGAACGACGTTCTTCACTTTGTTAGACCAACTTTCCAGTGGTCCGGTCATCAGAAGCGGCCACCGTTTCGACTCCGGGATCAAGTGGATGATTTTCTGGACGATAGGATCATAATGTTCGAACGACTCGCGGAGTTCGACCATGTCTGCCTCTTCAACATCCTCTACGATATGATTGTCTCGCGTATGGTGGGATAGGACGGCGTTGAAATCGGTCCCTGCCGTCATCGGATACGATATGAAGTAGCTCCCTGGAGCGGTCCACACGTCGATATTATTTCCCAGCACCGACTTCGCCTCAGGAATCTTCGCGAAGACCTCCTCGTAGGGGATCACAGCGCGATACGCCGCATTCATCGTCAACGCCGTTGGCTTCACGTCTGGGAACAGCTTCTTCCGCACCACGGACTTGACACCATCCGAGCCCACCAGCAGATCAAACGCATGCCTTGCTCCTTTCTCAGTGACTACACTAACTTTCGAATCAACATCATCAGAGAACACGATCTCGTCGACCCTCGCATCAAGCACGATCTCAACGCCATGCCTTTTGCAGGACTCCGCCAGACCCGCCAGCAGGTGATACCGGTTGACCACCCACCAGGGAAAGCCATAGTCACGCAGGATGCGCTTAAAGTCCGAGAACGCGATGAGACTTCCATCTGCGGCGCGGATATTGATGCGCTCGCACTGCACGAGGTTCGCGCCGATGATGTCGCTTATGCCCCAGCGCTGCAAGAACCGAGCCACGTTCGGCGTCATCTGTATCCCTGCACCAATCTCCCCGAGCTCGGCGGCTGCCTCGAGCACAGTGACTTGTGCACCGCCGCGGGCTAGCGCGATCGCAGCCATTAGACCTCCCAGTCCTCCGCCGCATAGCCCGACGTGCACGTTTCTGCGTTGGCGAGACATTGGAGCTGGATGCACGGGGGTGAATGCCAATGGATAGCTAGCTATTTAACTAGGGAACTGGGGATTGCTGGAGAAATGTCAAACCTGAAATCCCGTCCCGTCAAACTAAATCATACATATCTCACTTCAAAAAATGGATCCATGGAGGGGACGTACACAATATCTTAAGCTCCGCCCAAAAGGCAAAAGCTACAAAGCGAGGAATCCGGCAACAGGTCGGTAGTTACTTCAAAGCTCGAGTGAGACCGTATAGTCACCAGTACAGATCAACCCTCGGTTCGGTCGGCGCATGGCTGACGCCCCCTCTAAGAATCTGAGGTTGGCACCTCACGAAGTCCATATCCAATGCCTTGTGAGCTTGTCCCTCGGATGCCCATTGTTGTGGGGAAGGCAACGACACCCGTGGGGGAGGGGGTGGAGGGGGGTTTGGAGAAAGTTTTACTCCGTAATTATGGATAATTCAATTGCAGTGGCAAAGAGTACTACTTACTATCTTTGGGGCTAACACACAAGGGGATTTACTTCGTGGCTTATGCACGCAAAGGTACGGAAAACTTAGTATTGATTGCGTGACAATAATCTGTACGTAGGGAGTTCTTCCTTCAATCGCAAGTGTGAGCGCGTTTAAAAGGAGCTTTTCCCGCTTCACTTAGAATACAGCAGATCAATAAATAGGAGAGCTCAAGGTTTGTGAATCTCGTTAAGCCTGGCTGCATTCTGCAATCTAGTTTAGACTATCTAGATATACCAAATCCATTCGCGAGTCTTGCAAGATTTCAAAATCTTGGTATGTGGAAGCCCAGCAGGTAGACTCAAGGTTCCATCTAGAACTTTGGCGAAGCAGGGCAGGCAGATATCGTAATTATTGCAATCATTGCACCAGAGGCCTTGGAAGTTCCCTGCAACTATCACCTCGGAACAGTTACAGCATCTGACGAGGTTCGTTGCTCCAGTCGGGGTATGATTGATGGTCACTTCATTCAGCGGGTGCCGATGGCGGATCGTGTTTGCTTTCATGCAGTCCTCGCAGTAAGCCCATAGGCACTTCTTCCAGAAACATATTTTGGCCTTTTTGTCGAAGCATATAGGGTTCGAGCAATTTTGGCAGGATATTGTGGTGGCATCTTTGGCCGTGGCCTTGTAGCGACGAATTCGATCCCGTTGGCACATCTGGATGTTCATCCACCGGCAGAGCTCTTCAAGGAGAGGACTGATACGTAGTTGAAGGTTTGAATGCTGATGAAGGTGCTCCCTACCTTCCAGAATTTCTGGTTCAACGTCAGATATTGTCATTGAGAGGCATCTGAACGCCACTTACCTTCACTGGGACACAATTCACAAGCATAATAGATCTTCATGTCCTTGTCAAGTTCGTCTGCCCCAAGCTGGGTCTTGATAAAAGCCGTCGTCAGCCATTGATGCTTGGAAAGATGCGTTTGGTCTTCTTGGCTGTAACAGGTCGCGCACAGGGTTTGCGAAGAGCCGAATTCGGCCGAACATGTACGACAGTTGTAGCATGACGTTCCAAAGCTCATCATAATATGGCATCTTTCACAGTGGAAAATCACACTCTGTGGAGAAATGGAACAGGGGCACTTGTCTTCAATCCAGTGTTGCTTTGTGGTCCAATGAGGAGGATAGATACCGAAGAATGAGCGATGGTCAGGTTGCTTGGACTGGTGTTCTTTCAGAAACTCTTCCCGACGATTCGTATTTCCTACACATCTTCGGCACAGTGCCAAGTCACACTTCTCACACCCCCATCTGACTTTGGTTTCCTTTGCACAATGCCAGCAAGATGCCGTCGCCGAAATGCCAGAGATTTTGGGCATCCATTGGAGAGCTCGAAACCGGAGAAGCCTGCGCATATGGTCATCGTCGTGAGTGACTTGGCAGTTTTTACAAAAGAGCATACCGTCCTCGGGACAAAAGAATAACGGGTCGGAATATGGGATACCTGGATCTTCATTCAGCAAAGACTAATTATGGCGGTCGAACAGATGATACCTTGATGGCAATCTTCGCAGAATTCGCACGTGGTCGTTGAGACTCTCTGCATTTCACGGTATATGGCAAGCTCTGGAGCCGAAAATTGTCAGAAAATTGTGCAAAAAACACAAGCCTCAGTCACGAACAGTAAAACCGACCTTCGCCAGCTATGTAACCAAGCCTTTGACTAGTCTCGCCCAAAGACGAGGCACATAGTTCAACTTCCCGCGCAGTATCGTACTTCTTCAAATATGTCGCTGTGTGAGCGGCAACCTTTCCGGCGGCTTCATGCTCAGCAAGTCCAACATCAGCCAGCCCATGGAACACATTGAATCGGTAGAGGCGATTTGCTTCGATCATATCCTTATTACGTTTTCGAAAAGCATTACTGCGATCTTCAGTTTCTGTGACAATCTTTCTCAAGGCCTCAACAATAGATTTCAGGTCGCCAGTCACATCCGGACCAGGGGCGCTACCCGTTCCGATTGAAATTATCAGACGCTCATCTCCTGGCCATTTTTCTAAAAGGGTGAATTTGTTAGTTTATTTAATCATTTGTCCAACAGTGTGGAAGTGCAATGCGACCTACCTTTGGATTCCTCATCGACCTTCTCAATTGGATTGTTATCTGTGGTATGATATTAATCAGCTTGTGCTCCTAAACGTAATGAAAAGATCTAGCCTGCCCAGAGTGATGTGACAAAACAGCAAAGAGGCCTGAAGAACGTACGTTTCAAAGCCCCGTCGACATAATCGCGACCTGCAATGTTGATAGGGTCAAATAAAGTAGAGGCGGCTGAAGTCGCACGGGCAGCTTCCCAAATTTTGCACACTCCATACAGATCGTCAAATTCTTTGCTTTTGTAAGACCGAATAACAACAGCATCACTGTTGAGGCCTTCAACAGCGCATACGAACATTGCCGGGGAGTCTGGGTTGCAGTCGACTAATAATTCATCTTCAGAAAGATTGTGATCCTTGAGCATCTGCTTTATACACCGTTCTAAAGGCTCTGAACGGAACTTGCCTTTGGCTTTTAAAAAGTCGATTGCTTTTCCGGCTACATTGGCGGAACCGTGTATAGGGGTGAATATCTCGTGTGAAAGCTGCTTGTATGCTTTAATGCAGTCTGCAACAGACATTCGAAGACGACCAAGCATGATTGCTATCAAACCTCCGGTCGAAGTGCCTGCAATCATGTCGAACTCTTGCCACGGTTCCAACCTTGCACCACGGATGTTGCTTAGCATGTCCATAAGGTAATCCAAAATAATCAGCGATGACAGTCCTCGAACACCGCCTCCATCCAGCGAGAGAATCTTGCGAACTCGGGGTTGGTCCCCGTCTCGTTGCACGCGCATGACGTTGGAGAGAGTTTCAGGGTTTTGTTGGCGCTCAGTTTGATATGTAACCAAAGACTGGGGCGCAGGAAGCTGGGGAGTCATCTGGGGAGTCGGTGGTGGCCAATTAGGTTGATAAGACTGCATCGACGACATGGCGCAATTAAGTTGCGGTCCACCCATAGAAGACTGATGGTGCCATGTGTTGTTCCAAGTCTGTTGGGTTTGCAAGCTCTGGGTGGGAACCATCGCGCCTGCTCCAATCCTGGGATCCGGCGTCAAAGGCGGAGGATGCTGATATCCACTTTGTTGGTATGTTTCCACTGCGGCAGGAGGCGCTGGTTGCTGCCAAGGCGACTGCTTACCACTAGCATCGTTGACAGCTGTAGCAAGTGAGCTCATATCGAACGATGCCTGAGAGGCGGAGGGTAGTGCCATGACTGGTGGGATAGAGATCGGTGAGTTCGATAGCACTGTCAAGTTCTGGTGCTGTGGTGGTGGAGGCACGTTATGGGTTTGATCATATGGTAGACCAGGCCGATGGAGAGGGTTTGAATGGGAGTGTTGTCGTCGGTTGGGACTCGGTGGTGGCGGTGGGAACACCAGGGTCACAGGTTGCACCTGGGGAGACGCATTTAGCACTGAGGACTGATTTGATTGCTGTGGAGGCGAAGCCAACAAAGGAGTGCTTTCAGGTCTGGCGGGGCAATCCGGTGCGACGCTCGCAGGGGGACTGATCTGTGTGCAATGCCCTGAAGTGTGCGTTGATACACTTTGCAACGGGGAGGATGGAGCTAATGGAGCAGAATTTTTCATCGGTGCTGCCCAGCTGGCCATCGACTGAACTGGACTATTTGGCTTCGCTGGAAATTGGCCAACAGGAGATCCTGGCAACTCTGCAGTATACGCGGTTTGTCCTGCCACTTGACCTGGGGCATGAAGCTTAGCGGAGCTTTCTGTGTTATCAGATTGCCCTGGTCTTGGAGGATGGTTGATAGTCTCTGCAGGCATTTCATGATATACTCCATTCGCCACCGGTCCAGAGACAGTCAGCGACGGTAGCGCTCCATGTTGATGGTGCTGAGTCTGAGATCCTACATTTAACAATGGAGGAGCCCCAGACTGATCATCGGTCCGCTGTGGGAGCGGTGGTCCATTCGAGTATCCATTGACTAACTGAGGCTGATAGTTAGGATTGTACTGGTCATACCCATATTGTGGCACAGGACTGGAGTACTGAACAGGAGCCTGAAATGACCCAGCTGGGGGTGGTATTGGCGATGGTGGATTATTACAGTGACTGGGATTCACAGGTGATTGACTATTCCATTGGGGTTGTTGTTGACTTGGTTGTCTTGCAGGTAAGGGGGGTTTCTGAGGTGGGAAATACTGGTATTGCCCACTTCCTGGCGTTGAGATTTGCGATTCAGGTGAGACCGGCGACGACACAGGTGGTGGAGATGTCATGTGATACTGCTGAGGTGGAGGTGTATAGCCATGACGATTCGGGTCGGAGATTGAATGGTGCACAGGCGGTGGTGGAAAGCTGGTCGGTGGTGTCAAGGCTGGAGACCAAGCCCCGTAAGGCTGTTGAGGTCCGGATACTTGCTGGGGATATGGACCTGGTATTCCTTGTGGCGGTGGATAAGAAGCTTGGCCTTGAGAAGAAACGGGTCGATAATATGGATTCGAGTAATTATTATTGTATGGCTGGTTTGGTGGTGGTGAGAATTGTGATGAAAGCCCTCCCACAGGCACCGGCGGTCGCCCAGAGCCTGAGTTGGCGTGTTCATTTGCCAATGCATAAACATCTCTCATGAAGTTCATCGACTTTTTCGCAAAAGAAGGCATCTTGCCCTTTGCGCCTGGGTGAACACAAGCTTGCTAGAAAGAAAAAGAGAGATCAAAAGTCTTCGACTTCTTCAACCGAAGCAAGACGCTTCGACCTAGCCGGGCGTGACTCCCTTCACAAAAGGAGGTGCTTGGAATACGGCTTCGTATTTGACTCGCCTCTGGAGCGAGTTGGGCGGGTACAGGGGACATGGTCCAAGCCAATGAGACGGGTTAGCAGCCTTGGATCCAATTTCGGCCCCAGAGTTGTACAACTTTGGACTGGGAGTTGGGCTCAAGCCTCATGTGGTCGGCCTCTCTGTTAGCCCATCAACTACACAGGAATTCGAGGATGTAGTCGCCGCTGTTTATACACACCTGAGGTCCCGCCTTTTCAATATCTAAGAACAGACCGGAGAAATAAAAGGTCAAAAGTACTTATGTTCTTGAGACTGTCGTCTCCCGGCCAGGGTGCCGCTAAAGAGCAGCCTCGGCGACTGCAGGAGTTCGAGCTTAAAGCCTGAAACAAACACGAGCTTTTCTAGCTTTAAAAGCCCCTGGCGGCGGCATGCTTGTCCACCTTATCGTAAGACGATCAATCTGGTGCCCAAGTCTAGATTCCCTTGCCATCCGGAGGACGAGCCGATCCGGTTTGAAATCTCGCATCTTTTCCCAAGGGTAATCCTTGAACTTGGATGCGACCTTGAAAAGCAGTTTCAAGCAGTATGTATGTTCTAGGCGACCCATGCTTTGCTATTCTTTCTAGTAAAATGCAGCTTTACCAGCCTTTCTCCGGGATTTCTTGGAGGGTTCGTCACGTTGCACACCATGTGTTGCACCCTGAAATAGTGCTTGCTGCAGTTTAGACCAGTCGCAGCTGACGATCCTGTGGGTGAGCCTTTCTCAGCCATTGAATACGAACGTGCTGCGCCTGTCTTGCCATCATTCATGCACCTTCTTCCCAATTTCAAATCCGCCCCAAGTCATTCTGGCACATTCTAGATCGTGCATCTAATGTCGGTGTGCAGCATTTGGCAGGGCCAAACATCATGACCATGTGACAGATACTTCTTGGACAAAGACAAGCCTGGACGACCGCCTTTTGTTGTCGTTTCTCTGGTCGTCTTGTCAAAATTAAGATACTAAGGGTGCAAAATCTTCAACGGGCGAGCCCTGCGCCATTTCTCGACCACCTATACCTCGCGAGGACAAATGTCAACTGTTTCTCTGTGTCGGCCGGATCGCTTCTCCTGCCTTTCGCGAGGCCAATGGCAGACCGCATAACATTGCGGAACTGGCGCTGATAGTCCGTTGGAAGAGTCACAAAACAAGCCTCTGTGGCTCGGATGACCGCTTCACACGCTGTAAGTATGGCAGTGCCAGAGTCTACCTGGAGACGATATGCGACTAGGAGCAGGAGCAGGCTGCCGTGGAGAAGTTGGATCCCGAAAAAGTATGGCATAAACGAGATATCAGGGTCTTCTTCTAGTATCTGCGTCACACATTCGGAGGCTGCCATGGTGTGTGATATCGAGTCTTTGAATGATAGTGACGAGGTGAAGAGGTCAGAATCGTCGAAAAGATAAAGGGGATCCCACTTAGAGGAGATGAGAATACGGAGAACGCAAAGAACATGTTTAGCATACGCTGTAACTGTTCGGGCGATATGACTTCCCTCGGAATCCTCGGCGAGGCTGGTTGGTGAGGTCGACCACGTTCCCTCCTTTTCCGACCCACGTCTATGCATGAGATGCATCGTGCCAGAAAGACTGTCCAGACTTGCCTGGTACAGGTCGAGCTGGCGAAGGATCTGTCCCTCCTGGGTACTCCAAATCGAGGACCCGGTGGCTGCTAGAATTGGATTGTTTTTTGCCCGGTTATAATCCAGCAGATGGCCTGTTGTTGTCATGAGTGGTAGGAAGAATTCGAAGAGCCCAGGTCCAGTACAAGTGATCGGAGGTCCATTCATGCGCCCCGTCCCCATAGGGAGCAGCATACATCGAGGCCCATTAGCTTTTATTCCATGACTATGCAACTGGCTTGCATTTTGCCAAGTTATATCATCGAGAGGGAGTAACAGGTCTCGACATTCGGCCTCAAGCAGGGCTAAGGTCCGATTATAGCAAAGAGCGAGATGCCGATCCATAAGGAAGAGAAGCCACCAAGTTCGTCGCCGTTCCTCTCGATGAACCTCCGAGATGGTGTCTGGTCCAACTTCTGGACCGACCGTGCATTGACAGTTGAAGGTATGATTGACTGATGCAGGATATGGATTATAAATTTCCACTTCTTGATTGAGCTTCAGGTCTCTGGCTAGGTTAAAAGCCACGTTCCACCTGTGCCACTGTAAGTATGATGTTACAAGATCGCTTCTACACGTGATATGAGGCTTGCACTGGTTGAATACATACCATCGAATGCTCGCAGCCTTCTTCTCACTTCCACTTATCACAGACGATACATGAATCTAAATGCACAGGTTCAGAGTCAGTTGCTATGGTCCGAGCGCGGGTAGGGGGGAAGAACGAGGCTGATAAGTCGTCTCTCGACTCCAAAATTCCACCCAAAAGAGCAACCTACCAGAGCAATGATATAGTCTGTCGGCCATGAAACGGGGAATGAATCGGAGTGTTGTTGCGAGAGAAGCGCTCTACGCAAGTCCTCGTTTGTCCACCCTGACGCTGATTCGGCTGCAGGGGGCAACCCAAGATCTTCTTGGCTCAATAAAGGCTCATATCGAGAAGGGTTGAGAAGACGATACGTGACCAAACTCAGATACTTGCAGACTCGGTCACGTTCTTCGGGTCCATTGAACAGACCCAAGGCCTTGTCACTCAAAGCGGCCACAAAGAGCATACTGGCCAAAAGAGCTGGGTGAGTCTTGCGGGGATGCAGTGGGTGCAGAACATCTGACTTGCGTAAGATGAAGTTGTGAAGATGGTGGCATGTCGGATGCATGCGGCTGGAGAAGGCGCTCGAAAAATATGTATCCAGTAGATCACAAGCCAATTTGGATCCGAAATCCACATCTATGAATGGGTCCAAGTACTGCAAGACAGGATAGTTGCAGTTTCCCAAGGGTTGTGCCCTAGGAGTGGGTGGTTCTCTCGAATCGGCGATCGATGGAAGTTTATAGCTGTAAGGATCCAAAATGTGGAATGTTGGGGAAACGCATGTGGACTTGGTAAAAGCAAAGGTCTTGTTAGCAAAGAACGATGTCTGAGTATCTTCGGCCTCGATGCTGACAATTGGTAGCAAACTCCGCGTGCTCACGGGAGAAGATACGCCCACAGTGCTCGTGGTTTTCGGAGGCACCGCTTCTTCGTCCGTAACAGCCGATATATCGAGCAGGAGCTGACTAGGTCCATCTAGGCCATGTATCTCCTCGCGAGTGCTAGTTGAGGGGCTTGCTGCTGATAACAAAGTGCTTGACTCTGGTTCTTGTTCTTGGGTGGAACCCGTGGGTGGTGGCGTGGTAGATGCCTTGCTAACCGTGTTCTTGTGCTCGTAGCTACAATTTTTGTGGAGGACTTCGCACCTTGCACATGGAATATCCCCTGTACACCTGATCTTCGAGCGGCGGCAATGGTCGCATGCTCGGAATTTCTCGTTGATTATACGATGAAAAGGTCGCTCCTCGATATGGCTCGTGTGCGTCTTGAGATGACGAATCAAGCTGTCGTTTCTGGCAAACGCACGTCCACAATGCGGGCAGGGCGCAGAGGCCGGCGTTCGATGGCGAGTCATTCGTTTAAGTCCCATGATGCAGTATTGATGTAAGGTGGATGGATGGATGAGGCTAGTAGTGATGCAAACTTGCTATGTGCGTATTCAGCTGACCTTATACAGCCTTCCATTATCGCTAGGCGTCATTGAACATTGGATTTCTGGAATAATTAAAGCCGAGGTAGGAGAATCGTTTGTTCGAAGGTAAGACGTATGGACCATGTACGGAGTACGGAGTACTCGGTATGCATAACAAATTTGAATGGTCACGGTTGGTATAAAAGTCCACGGTCGGTTGGCTCAACTTAAGAAGAAATTATGCCCCGTGGCGAGCAGGGATTTACACCCTCATCTAACTTCTTGGAGGGACCGGAGGTGCGCACCAATGCCCCAAACTTGGGACCTGGAGCATTGCGGGGATCCCTATCAACTTATCCCAATAAGGTGGTGATGGAACTGCCGAGGGAATGCTGGCCGGGCGTTGCTGTTGGCGCTAGGGAACACTGCTTGATCGAGCCTTCGTTTGGCGAGCTGCAGGGACGTTGTGCTCATATGGAAGCTCTCCTTCGCAAATCGAGGTGCCAGGTCGGATACTGATTGTGATTGATCGATGCCAGTCGTTAAAACATCCCTCGCTAAATACTTAGTTGGTGATGAGCATGATGATGACACGGGAAAAATTAGTACTGGTCCACCTCACCCGGACAGGCACCCACAGGGCACGGACGGGGTTTAATCTTGGTGAGGCCTATCAGGGTAACTGGAGGAAATCCCATGGTTCCGCACTTTAAAAGGAATGTGTTCTAGCTAGTGAGAACCACATGACGATAGTATAACTTATCCTGCTGGCCTTGAGGTGTGTTTCACTGGGCAGGAAGCCTTTATGACACTCTCTTAGGCCTCTTCATATGAACCGGTGGGTCTAATTCAGAAATCATGGTGCAGTTTGCTTGTGCTTCATCTTCGCTCCTCTGTTTACAATCTGATGTCCAGCTGACAGCTAGCAAAATTGAACATTGGTATCATAATGGAAATTCCCAAGTGTAGCTATCCCAACGCTAGCCAGAAGTCCTATCTACGCTTTGGTTTCGGTAGCTTGGGTGGGAGCCGTTTCGATACGAGTTCTGCGGTCGATCGAGTGCGATTTACCACAATGTTCTTCTATGATGGTATGCTTCCTGCGAGCGTGTTCCATCAGTGGGAAACTCTGCAAGACATAATGGAATCCTTTATTCCATCCTTGTCTCAGGTAAGACCGGCGATGAAAGAGCCGATGACTGAGCCCGCAGCTAGAGATGAAATATCAGAATCGAACAACATCCCACCCACCTACAGGAGCATCGAGGTTTACGAAATAGGGATTACAGATCTTCGGGAACTTCGACATGAGGAAGTCTGCAGGCGCTCCAAAGGTCCCTTTTGCGGTTTAAAATCGAGTAGAGCTAGATACACTCTGAGGGATACGCGAGATTTATACCCATCCTGTGGCAATGACTCCACTGTCCGATTGATGAGGCTCGAGACGACTCTCGCGTTGTTGAACTGCATAGCCTCAAATAAGAGCCCTAGTTGAAGTAGCAAGCTTAGATAATGCCATGCAGTAGGAATAGGCAAACTAGGCCAAAAGGATGAAAGATGTGCAAAAGGCTGTGCGATTGGGGACAGGGGCCGTCCTTACTTCGGTAACCATGAGGTATTCTGCACTTGACCCAGGCTTTCTGGAACGTAATCTGTGGAAACTCCCACCGGGATGACACCGTAAGAGGTCAGGGTCCGTGTGGGTGTGGTCCACAAACTCGAGGCGGGGTTCCGAGAGGGCTGCCACTTGGTGATCTCCATGGAGAAAGACTCCGTGTATGATGTGATGCTCCAGACATCTTCCACAAGGTAGAGATCCTGTTAACGGCCGATTTTCTTCTGGTTGCTTTCCCTGGAGCCATCACCATCTGCGAATCAACCCAGGAAGCTGGTGATCAGAGAATGTTTTATCAAGACCTCTACATACCTACGCAGGTGGATTTCTGGCTTGCCAACAGGTCTTTAGAGTTGCCAAGGGCTGCCCACCACCAACTCCTTGCTCCAACGTCGCTCGTTAAACATATACACCCCGCCGATGGAGGCTGACCTTCGTTATCCGGGGTAATCGCAGGATTGGAAATAATCTAGAATCCCCAACACTTGCTTCTCCGGTGGCTACTATACGAGGGAAGCTTCGATACGACATGGAGCTTCGTTGAGCTTCCTCCTTTCAGCGCGGTGTGCACAACTCCCGCAACAATCTAGTCACTTTTAATAAGAAAATAGAGGACACTTCAAATTGGGTATTCTCGTGAAGCACATCATTGGTCTCCGGGGGACAGGAACCAGCAAGGCACGTCCCGCCGTCAATACTTAGTACTATTACATGCCTCCCAATTCCGCACTACCGCTTCAGCCTGAGCCTGGTAGTTGTCCGGAGCCCAGGGCCTCGTCCCAGATACAGTATCCTCTGTTTTTCTTCTCACCTCCATTGAGGATATGCTGACACGCTATCCATGGCTGTGGAGGTCGAGAACCAATGAAGTCAGGCCAAAATCTCGGCCCCCATAGTATTCCACACAACTGAGCACACACCGTTTTACAAGGCTTCATTCTCATCATGTAAGAGATACATACCCCACCACAATGTGCCAAACTCCTTGATAACAGACTTCTACGCGGGCTTCGATCTCATGTGATTCAACCATGCACAATTCGAAATCCTATGTTCATGGGGTCGAAAGGTGTTCTTCATGTTGCTTCGCCGGGGAGCGGGTTGACGCCAACGTCTTGTGCTCGATCTAGATCATCGATGTCTTCAGATAGGTTTGAGATAACGTTTTAGATCTGACAAAGGCCAACCTCGCAATGTTGGGTGCCAGTTCCGGATTTCCGCAGTTCTTAAGCGACAGGAATCATTGGCGCTGCTCTGCCGGCAGACCTCGAGTAAGGAATTCTCGATCTAGAATTCTCCGTTATCCATGGATAGAATTATCGGCTTTATGTTGTTTTTTCAATGCAGCCATAGCAACATCAAGTCTCAGAAGCTTGGAACAGGTGTGAATGGCTGCAAGCCACACTTCAAACATTCCGGCGGTCCACATGTATACCTTGCCATGAGCCGAGAACAGTTCGAGGTGAGTAATGGCAGTCTAAGCCATAAAGTTTCCACTTATTTACAGTAATTCTCAACACCTTACACTCTTCGTCCCTAGTATCTCTTTCCCTCCTCAAACTATTCATCATTTACTGGAACATTATCCGGATTAAACGTAGGAGCATGTTTAGCAGCCTCAGCGGCTGTCGGTGCCCTCTCGTTCGTAATGTCAGGCTTATTATTATTGCCAACACGAGGAAGCTCGATGTCCTTATTGTCGTGGCGAGCTACCGCAGCAGAATTGCTTTGTGTTGCAACACCTCCTGCAGGTTCGCCACCGACGAGGCTATCGGCAGCTGAACCCCTTACCGCCGTGCTTGTGTCGCCGTCGGGAAGGGGCCGGTTGGCCGTGAAGCCGTCGGTCAGGTCTTCAACTACGGCCGCGGATCGGCTTTGGGGAGGCTGGGATGAGGACATATTTGTAAGCCTATACGGGTATAGATGTTGAGATAATGTATAATCGACGTTGGAATTCACAATCTTACGTTCAGTTTAAGGCTCCCTTTATGCGCATGCTGGGGATAAACTCTACGTCAGAATTGAGGTAAGAATATCCGGACTCAAAGGATGACGTCATACTATAATACAACTCTGAACCCGAGTAGCCTAGGCATAGTAGTAAGAAATCTTGCTTTGGTAGGAAGAACGTTGTAGAGCGGCCTCGCCACCTAGAGTGTTGCATGCAGGGAAATGCTGCTCCGGCTAAGTTCGTTTTAGAGGTTTACGGCACGCAGCCTTCGCCTAAAGCTTCGTACTAGGATACTGTATAAGGAGACCTAGAAGTAGACGAAGTTAATAGGAATATCGATATATGACTCTATATGTCTGTATCTCTAATGATATTGTTAGGAATGCCCTGGGCGGCTTCCTAGCAAGCATATAACTAATAGGTCCGAGAATACCTCGTACTTCGTGCGAGATTCTAGTCTTTTTGAGCGATCCTCAAGGGCTTACGGACCTATTGCCTGACAGATATGTATAGACTTAAAGCCTTAAAGGAGGTAAAGAGGTTGTACACCACGTACGTTACTTTATTATTATTATTATTATTATTATTATTAATTCTTTTTATTATCTATTTTAGGTCCTACATAGGTCTATGTAGACTTATTTCCTTTTTCTAGGGAAAAACCTCTTCTAGGAAAACCCTCGTCAATCTACGCCGAGTGCGCATACGATTCGCATGCACGTTACTTTATTATGTAGTATATATACTCTTATTCAGTATTTAGCGATATTAATTACTTAATCCTTACTACCTTAGTAGTTGGTTATAAGGATAGTACTCTAAAAATACTGAGGATCCTACGCCTCGATTTACTAGTAAAAAGCAGGGAGCAGCTAGACCAGACAACATCCCACAAGAAGGTGTAATATTCTATCTGGTCCCCACAATAAGAACTTCTTGATGCTAATTTTGTGTTCTAGTTGCACCTTAACTTGAACAAGCTCCAGATGACATTGCACACAGCGTCGCTGCCAGCATGCCGGCAAGGGAGTGTTAGCCCCAAATCATTACTGGTGAAAGACTATCCTGGGTTCTATATCCGCCCTAATCCTCAACTTCTCAAGCCTTGGGAGCAGCGTTCTCTTCATGAACCACCAGGTCAGTCTCGGTACCCATCTTGGCTGTTTCCAGATCCGACATACCAGGCAGGGTAGGCCGAGCGTTCCTGAATTTCCGGATTGGTACGCGTTCCAGGAAGAGTTGATCCACTTCCTCCAGCGTCTTGCCGAAGCATTCGGGGATGCAGAAATATGCGAAAAGTAGCGAGACGACAGAGGTGAAACAAAAGATGAATCCAACTTGTGGTCCAAGATTCCGTGGCTTAAAGAGGAGGTAGGGCAGACTGAACGAGACGGTCCACTGGGTCAAAACATTGAAAACACAACCGACGGCGTATGTTTGATCTCGGAGCCTCTGGGTCGGAACTTCGGCGACAACCGCGTGGAACAGCGGCGACCAAGAGAACTGTAAACATGCGCCGAACAGCGTTAGCATGACTGTGGCGCCAGTCCTCACAGCCCGCGATGGGTCGGAGACTGTCCCCAGCGCCCCCATGGTGGCAAAAATACCGATTTGCAGGGTAGAGCTGATCATCAAAAGTGGCCTGAAACGCACGTGGGCAGATTAGCACCATCTCAGCCCACGAGATGGAGCGAACAACTTACACTCGGCCCGTCAGATCGGTGAGATACTGCCCAAGGAGCACCATGGCGATGGCGATGGCTGTGTTAACGGTTGTCATCGTGAAAGGGTTGATGACACCCAGAGACTGTATGTACAGCGTGCCATACTGGGTCCAGAGGTTCTGGCCGGTCGCTTGCACCACGATATTGGTCCCAATAACGATCAGAGTTCGCTTGAGGTTAACTGTAGAATTGTTACGTCAGCTTTGGGGGTCCCAGTCATCGACCTCAAGGTCGCAGCCACGGTGGCCGCGTTATACACGCACTATTCTGAAAGATCTCAATGAAACGCCCCTTTTCTACCGTGAGGTCGATGGTGGTCTGCAGCGATCTAAACTCCGCTTGGATCTGAGCTTCCGAGTAGGTTCCCTCTCGCACCTGCCTGAGCGCAGTCAGGGCTTCTTCGCGCCGGTTCTTGATCAAGAGCCATCGGGGTGACTATGCGAGATACTTTTAGTACAAGGAGAAATGCCACCTCGTTGGTAGGTGGGATCCGCATATATGTACGTACCTCTGGGACGAATTTAACTCCAACAAGCAGGAGGATAGGTATCACAAACAAAAGTCCAAGGGGAATGCGCCATGACTTGTTGCCATCAAGTTCACTGGTGGCACGTGTGATGACGTTCTGGATCAATTGACCTGTCTGGAATATCTATCAGCACAGGCATTCCGAAGATAGTATACGAGTCCAGCCAGAAGCATACCAACAACCCAGATGCGTAAGTACCCACAACAAACCCTCGGACCTCGGCCGGGACGAGCTCTGACTGTAGCACAGGTACCAAGGACAGCTCCATGCCAATGTAGACATATGCTATGATGCGACCGGCCATCATTTGTTCCTTGACTTTGGCAGTAACCATTATAGCGGCACCAATAATGGCCCAGATAGACATGGTCCAAAGGCAGCTGCGCCGGCCAAACCGATTGCTGATGAAGCTTCCACTTAAGACGCCGAATCCGAAACCAATATAGGTTAGACTGTTGAGGAGTGAAAGATAAGAGGACTCCAGGACGTAGGTCTTGGTGATTGGGTTGTACATGCCGAATTGCTTTTTGAACATCGGCATGGCCTGGGTTCCCCCGAATGCGCCCAGGTCCATGCCGAAGTTCACTTGCGAAAGTGCAATGAGAGCACAAGCATAGAGCAGCTTTCCATTGAAGGCTCTCTTGAAGCGAGCGAATCCCTTCGAGGGTTTGAGAGAGTGGAACTGCTCTGAGGGAGACGAGGTATCCATGTTGACTGCACCGTTGAAAGATCTGGCGGGCATGCTTCTAAGGTAGCCGAAATCAAGGTATATATAGCCATTACCTCTAAACAGCCTCCTCGCCTGGTGCTGCCCCAGGTTGTCCCCGCCGATGCCACGAGTGCTAGTGTTGGTTCCCGAAATCGTGGGGCGGACGTGTCTTGGCATGGGGATAGGAAATGACGGGGAAGGACGGGGACAGGCGAAAATTGACGGGGAAGAAAGGGGGTAAACAAGGACTGTTCAAGGGTTGTCTTCGCTACTAAAAGAAGGACCGATTATGGTTCGGGGTTCTTGCAGGACGAATGTGGGTGCACGTGATGTCCTTTAGTTTTGACTGGAGCGCGACTTCCCCGTGCTTCCCCGTCTCCCACCAATCAAGCAACGTCGAGCCTTCTCTAGTCCAAAAGAGGTAAGGCGTCGCGCTTATCTTAATTGCAGGGGCGCATGGTGTTAGCGGAGGAGGTCGACCATGTATAGATGGAGATGAGGACGCGGACACAAAGAGGATGGAGCATGTGCCAAAGCTGTGTCAGAATATTGGGAAATAAAGTCCCCCACACAGCGAACCTGAGCCCCATCGTCTTGGATTCGGGGGAAGTTCAATTGCATGCTAAATCCCTGGGCCCTGGCCATTCCATATCCTCGGCGTCGTTGGAGCTTTTGCAGGTCCCGTCCCGACTCGCGTTAATATACCGGCCCTATTGCCCGTCCAAAACTATTCTGAGAGATAAAACATTCATAGAAACTGCGCTCTCACCATTTCTTCAATACTGTATGACTTCTATCCTGTTTGCACTGCTTGGAACTTCTCCCCGCCATTCTCAAGATGGGCTCCTTTATTGAGCCTAAACGGCCGAACTTCCTGGTCATCGTCGCCGATGATTTGGGTTACAGTGACACCGGACCCTTTGGGTCCGAGATTTCCACGCCGGCGCTGGATTATCTAGCCAGCTCCGGCGTCCGGCTCACGAATTTCCACACCGCCTCTGCGTGTTCGCCGACTCGGTCGATGTTGTTTTCAGGAACGGACAATCACATCGCCGGGCTGGGGCAGATGGCAGAGCACATGCCCGCGAATGCAAAAGGCCAACCTGGCTATGAAGGGTACTTGAACTTTCGCGTTGCCGCGCTGTCCGAGGTCCTTCAAGATTCGGGGTATGAGACAATGATGGCCGGAAAATGGTGGGTGATTTCTCCTCCAATCCCACTTCTTTCTTATTCCAGTCCTGCAGGCACCGGCTTTGGCTGACTTCTGTGAACCCACCTTAGGCATCTAGGGTTGACGAAAGAGACGGCGCCATGTTCCCGAGGATTTGACAAGAGCTTCGTCTTTTTATCCGGCTGTCACAATCACTTTAACTATGAACCCCAACTCGAGGATCCGTCCCACTCGATTTTCACTGCCATTAATGGCGGCCAGTTTTGGATGCGGGATTCCAACTTTCTCGATCGCACGACGGATATTCCCACAGACTTCTATTCTACAACCTCTTACGGTCACGAGCTCATCAAACAGCTCACGAGCCGTGACACGTCTAAACCGTTCTTCGCGTATCTCGCCTTCACCGCTCCTCATTGGCCGTTACAAGCTCCTCAGCCCGTCATAGCCAAATACAAGGGTCTCTACGACGATGGTCCAGCTGCGCTGCGCTCGAAGAGGTTGGATCAGCTCATCAGACTAGGTCTTATCTCACCTTCCGTAGAGCCAGCGCCTATGTGCTACGGAGCTGAAGAATGGGAGAACATGGATCAGACACAACGAGCCGAGTCGGCGCGGAAGATGGAAGTGTTCGCCGCCATGGTGGACATGATGGACCAGAGTATCGGCGGGGTTTTGAACCATCTTGAAGAATCCGGCGAATTGGACAACACGTTTGTTCTCTTCATGTCCGACAACGGCGCCGAAGGGGCTCTTCTCGAGGCCATGCCTATCATGGGCGGCTCCTCTAACGTTGGTGTCATCATCGACAAGTATTATGATAACAGCCTCGACAACATCGGCAATGCGAATTCTTACGTCTGGTATGGCCCGGCCTGGGCCACCGCGTCAATGGCGCCCTCACGTGGGTTCAAGACCTGGATCACCGAAGGCGGCATCCGCTGTCCTTGCATCGTGCGTTATCCCCCCGCGTTCGGCAACAATACGAACCCAAACAACCACAAGATTAATGAGAGCACCACTCAAGGAGTGCACAGCGACTCCTTCGCCACCGTGATGGATATTCTCCCTACAATCCTTGACATAGCAAACATCCCCGTTCCTTCACCCACCGAGCTGTTTCGGAACCGCAGCATCGTCCCCATCCGCGGGTCAAGCTGGCTTCCGCATCTCAGCGGCAAAATGCCCTCGTTCCACGACGAAGAACACAACATCACCGGATGGGAGTTGTTCGGGTTCCGCGCCATACGCCAGGGCCCCTGGAAGGCCCTCTTCATGGGGGCTCCACGCGGCAAAGATCGGTGGGAGCTGTACAACCTCGCCGATGATCCAGGAGAGGGTTGTGATCTGGCGGCGCAAGAGCCTGAAGTATTGAACAGGCTGATCAGTCACTGGGAGGTTTATCACGCCGAGACGGGCATGGTGGACCCAGAGCCGCATAGCAAGACGGCGGGTGAAGTCGAGTTTGTTTAGCGTGTACGTTCTCTGTGCAAAAAGTAATATTCAATGGGAGCGTCCCAAATATAGTGCTGGCTTTCCCTGCTAGACATACAACGCAAATTACCTTGGCTGGGAATCTTTGTGGTACTGACTCTGGTAGATCATAGATCGCGTTTGGAAAACTTCATCCATAGCCGGGTAAGATTCTTCTCGTTCTTCATATCTGTAAGATCTCTTCCTGCAGGAGTGGAAACGTCTTATATACTCTCGAGCCACATTCGTCGTGTTCGATGCTGACTTAGGGGTTGAGATTTCGGTTGTGAGAGTTAATCCTTTTAGATATTCAGCAGGCTTGTCTGCCCTTCGGGCTTCTTAGCACTCTCTCAAACAGCCCTTCCAGCACACGGCGCATCGCTTCAACCGTCCGTGCCTCCGCACCCCACTGAGCCAGAAACCTGATAGCTAGCCTACAAAGATCCACCCAGTCTTCAGGCCCCTGCAGCTCGTCCGAGATGACAGACGCGATTATCGCCATCCCACACGTGAACGTACGCCGGCAGAGGAGCCACACACCACCGAATCGGCCATGTTCGAATGCTCGAGGGATCAGGTGAGCACAAAGGGCGATGTGGCTCTGGGCCAGGTGCCAGACCTGCGGAGGAACAGCTGCAACTGGCTCTGAATTGGGGCCAACAGATGGAGAAAGTGAAGACATATACGTAGACAAATACACAGACGGGGTGGAAGGAGAAGACGCGGCAGCAATGACAGGAGGAAGCTGCTGAGGGCGAGTCTGCCGCCAGTTGTGGTGAAGTGCACAGTACAGGAGCGGCCGGAGGATGTACTCACGCCAATCCTGAAAGCGGCTTTCAAGGTAGAAAGACAAGCTCTGTGGCTTTGGTGCGGTGTTGGAGAATTGAAGCTTTGAGGGCAGGTGGGAGTACCACAGGCTGATCTGTTCTTCGCACTGGGCATGGTGTTTCATAAGCAATGGCATATGGGACAGCCAGTATGGCTCAGATTTTCCGTAGAGAAGGCGCAGGTTCGCGTCGATGGTGCGGCGGAGTGAGATCTCGGCCAGGAAGAACAACCAAGATTGTGCCTGTGAATTTGCAGGAACGAAGTCACTGTCGCCGCTCCCTGCGCGCGGGTCAGAACTCGAATCGCTTGTAGCCGACGGAGGAGACGGAAATTCGGGGTACTGGAAAGAATCGAGACCGCTCGATGGTAGGCAGATGTCTGGAAGGAGTTCACTGTAGAGCAGGTTAGAGGCGATCGCAAATCAGAACCAGAAAAGAGGAGTGTCTTCTATTCGTATGGGAGATGAGCTAAAGGCACCATGCCACGTACTTACATCTCTGATCTGACACAGGACCAGAAAACCCTTTGCTCGACTTGATTTTCTTCGTGATTCTCCAAATCGGTTGGACTTGAGCCTCCGTTTCGACTCATCAGGTGACTTTTGAGTCGCGAGCATGCTTGCTGAAGATAGAACCAGGATTGCAGAGGTCTTACACGCAGCTTTTCGTAGACGGACATAAAGAACAAGCATTCGACGTCTAGGATGGACATGCCAAGAAGCCCGATTCTCTTCTTGGCTGCTTGAGAGAATGCTTCAGCAACGCCGCCTGGATCTGCGAGGATGCGGTCAGATAGTGTAGGAGCATGCGTAGGGCAATTCTGAATATGCTCCAGCGGCGGCTCTTTGCTGGAAAGAATGCAAGAGATGGCGGAGACGGCTAGCTACTAGATATCAGTCGACATCTCTAGATGTGGACGCTCAAGAAGCTTACCACAAGACATGAACGCGCGTCCCAGCCAATGCCATTTTGTGCAACTTCTTTCGCATACGACATCAGTTCCTTCGGCTCCAGAATTGGATTTCTAAAATGCACATGACTGAGGAAGCCTTTGCAGAGCGGCACACAGTCTTCCTCGTCTATAACCGGCCCAGGGATCCCTCGTGGATCCCTCCTCGTCTGGTCAAGTGGCAATGGTCTCCAAAGCGGTCCAAGCTCAGGTTGGTCGATGTCATCACCGTCTGGAGCCAAACCATCGGCTTCGTGGAGAAATGACTCGATCCTGGTCTCCTTCTCCGACAACCAGTCTTTAAAAATGGGCCATCGGACGATTGCCTCGCAGCGTGCCGCTCGGTAGGGAGAATCATAAGGGTCAGTAGCATGGAAACTCTCAGCCATTCGTCCACTGTCCTCTCTGACAGCTTCTTGCTCTGAACCAGCTTCTGAGAGGGACGGGGCCGGGGCCTGGTCAATCAACGGATTCTGGCCCAAGGCTGTGGGAGGGACGGCCCGTGGCTCGGTCTGAGCTTGCACTTGTTGTAGAAGATGTTTTATTTCGTCAAGGCGCTGTATGACATCGGTGTTCCCATCGTCTTCGGGCGCAGATGACTTGGCGTTTTCGGAGTAGACACATGTCGCACTGTGATGGCGGCAATGACCACACTTCGGTCGTGCGTTATCACATTTGGTTTTTCGCAAACGGCAGAAATCGCAGGCCATAGCGGCCCGCTTCCTTGACGTGAAGGCGCTGCTGATGTATCTGCGCTTTCTAGATTTCATGTTCGGCGTAGCATTGCCATGGTCGTCGCTAAGAACAAGGTCTAGCGAGTCATACTGCATAGACCCACCGTGTTGGATGTGAGGATCGCATTCCCGTGTGGCTGGAGTTGCTCCAGATTGGTTGCCATCCTTGCTGGCTGGCTGGGGCCTAAAACTCTGGGCTTGGTGCTGGGTGTCGCTTGAAGACATCGAGAATAGAGAAAGCAACAATAACCATGCGTGGGGATTCGTTACCATGCATGAAGAAGCATGTTAACGTCGGTGTGGGTGAGGAAGGGCATGACAGGAAGCGAGGGGGGATATGGTTTCTAAAAGCGGCAGGACGAGTGGGAGAGCCCCACGTGAGCTCCCTTGTCCCGTGACTTGAGTCCGTCACATGTGATGCTCGGGGCAGATGAGGTGGGGTTGAAACGCCAAACCTGTCCAGTGGCCGTTTAATTTTCAATAAGCCATGAAGGTGGGGTACAAGTCTGTACAACAGCGCCGAGGGAAAGAGCAACACGGCAAGGCAGAAGCACCACAACCAGCTGCGCCCACGCGTCCTGAGTCTAGCCCTGCTGAGTCAGTGATGACTAGACAATATTTTAACCCTCAGTAGCCATGTTTTCCCAGAGCCGGGACAGTTTAGAAGCGGCAGAGATTCCCTCCTCAGCCTTGTCCTTCAAACCCCGCTCCCTAGATATCATATCACGCAAGGCCTGAACCCGCGAAATTCCTCCAAGAAATGTTCAAAGCTCTTGGAAAATATGGAACATATGCATGGGTCACCTCACGTGAATCTGCTGCATATTTGAGCATGATTTAATCCGAGGACTTCGTTACAGTATCGCAATGCTCATCTTTGTTGTCTTTCTATCATGTGTTGACAATTAACAGCCGGGAAAAGTGACAACTTTCGAAATATATGACAGGTAGCTTGAAACACTGCCCAGAACTACTTGTTCCCATACATGTGATCCGGTTACGGGCGCGGTCCATAGAGTGGAAAGAGACAGAGATCTCATACATCCTCGAGCGACTCCCAAAAGTGGCCTAGTTCAGATATCCAACATGTATCCATGACGAAATTGTGCTGAGTTGAACCGAGTCGTCTGGTCACATGAGTCTGGAGGTGTGCCGTGACACCTTGTGCACCTGAAAAGCACTGTTGCTCAGCGTTGTGATAGAATTTGGTGCCAAATTGCTCGTCGGTACCAACATTCCCAGATATGATCACGTTCCATGTCTCTAACAACCCGGTCGCGACCATGCAGGCAGAGGCATGTGTATAGCAATAATAGAATAGGTATGAGTGGGATCACTATTATAATCACCACAGTGCTGACGAATAAGATCGGATGGGAGATCGCCCTACCACCGAAAATGGTAAGCAGCATCCAAAATCCCACGCCTAGAATAGCCTTGTCTGATACGTCACCTAACCTTGCGTGCGGAATATACTGGCCCACCTCATGATTCAAGATGCCCACGTAAATCCCAAGGCACACCATGTCGATAATCCAATCAAGTAAGTCGACGAAGAAGACCGGGTATCCGAAAGCTGAGGACAAAAATGTTGCGATGACGGGAGCTGTGATTTCGAAGACAATCGAAACAATAAGGAGGGAGAATAGTGCGGTGGCCAGCCTGTCGTTTAACGCATGGTCCACTTTTTTCTCCGCAATGAGCCCCATACACTGCTCCAGTATATCGGCTTGGCTCCCTGATGTATTTGCTGCAATGTCGGCTTCGAATAGCCTGACCCAATTCAGCGACGGTGGAAAATCTTTTTGGCAGTCGATAACACCATCTTTGGCTCTGCACGAGCCTAGAAGGGCTTTATTAGCGAAAAGACCTGCGAAGGAAACGTGTCAATGACATACCTGATAAGCCAGCCATGTAGATATCCGGAATATCATAGCTACTTGCGTTCACACAGTCATCCCCGAACGCTGTGGCAAGGAATGCTCTGTCAATATCTATTAGGCTATAGTTCTCTGAAGTGGTACGGCAGCTTGCAAGAGCGCATATTGTGAGGACAAGACGACTGTGTTTCGGCGATTCGTATGAAATCAATTTTCGAGCAGGCTGGGTGAAATACAAATGCTGCAAAAGAACAGCCAGATGTGGCCCTATGACAAATGCTTTAGTGTAGTTGGCTTCATGTCGAATAAAAGCCGGGACTAAGGAGCAGAGAAAAATGAGAGCACAGGGTGGTGAGAACTTCATGATCCTACGTATTTCCTATGTCAAGAATTGGCTGATTCTGTTATAATCTAGCATTATGCAGCCTCATGATGGTGAAGATGAGCTCAGTGGAGTTAAGCGCCCGCTTTTGGCTCCTGGAATCACATTGGAAAGCCAGTGTCGCCATTTCGCACATTCCCTTGCAAGGCATACGAAAGGACCATGTTCTACCCTAAACGAAGATGTTGGACTATATCACGTGCTAGCTACCCATGTCAAGGACCCCCTATTCTCCCTCTCCGTAGGTGTACGTGTCTCCCACCTCCATCTAAATTTGCCAACAGAAGGATAAGTAGTAGAAAAAGAACCTAAATTAAGCTTTCTATCCAGGAACTATAAATAATAGCGACAGCAAATAAAGACCAAGTATTGAAATGCCCCTATTAGGTAGTCACGTTTACTAGACTTCAATTTCCCTCAACGGATGGATTCACCAACCCGGTATTTGAAGTGCAAACAGAGGGGCTGAGTCCTTTGCTCATACTTCATCACACTGTCAGTAATGAAAAGGGAGAACGAGAAAAGAGTGTTGCCTGTGATAAGTGGTGCTATTGCTGAGCAAGTCGAATTAGGTGTTCTGTAGAAAAACACGACGCCAATGCGGCCTCCCTAGCGGCCTGCGACCTAAACATAGTATCTGGTTTTGACAAAATATCGAAAGCAGAGAAAAGTCATGTTGCAGCAAGAATTGAACATAGGCATTTGAAAACACGATGTACTTGCTCAACCGCTATCCTAGATCATCAGCCTTCCTACAGTCCATAGCCCTCTTATCTCGCTTTACCAAAAGTCTCTAGTGGGTCCTCATTGCCCAAGACGCCTTCTTCTACTCTGTAACTCCCATCACGATCGACGCACGATCTCATTTTCGAAAAGAAGGCTGTGGTGACAGCCCTGGCCACGCGCTACCCACGGATGAAGCTGGTCGAGGACATGGACGAGCTGGAGAAAGAACTTCAAAAAAAGGAGGTGACGCCTCTTGAATAGGATGTGGCTTCAATGAGCGGCAAACGGGCGTACCTGGTAGGTGACTATTTCACCTCAACTATGGGGTTTTGTGAAAGCTCTCTTTGCAAAAAGGGATTGCTATTCAGCCCATGTTTCACTACTACGCGCCGTGGCGCATGAACACGCATGTGGCCTCAGCTATCATCGCCAGGCATCAGGCTGACAGAGACTATAAAGTTCCCAAGCCTGCCCTGTTGGTGCAGTCTCGCCGAACGACACGGTAAAAATCTTTCCTGGCAAAGAAAATCACCAGCGGCCAGTACGTACATTGTTGTGCTAGAAGTGGTTCGAAAAGATAAGAATATTACGCGATGCCTACAGATTATTCTCAAGTGTTGGCCAAAGGCGGCTATCTAAAAGACGGGCAGTGGTTCTGTCAATGTGACCTACCCCCAAGACTGCTTACATCAAAACAAGGTGGCAGTTCAGGGAAAAGATGTATGTTATTCTTCGGAACCAAAACAAGCTAACCTGTGCGATAGTCTTGAGATGTCAACAAGCTGGCAATGACCAGTGCAAGTTCTTTCTTTGGGAAGAGGAAGAAGCTACGGTCAGGGAGCAGGCCAATGCATCCTATCTACGATTACCAGCACCGCGAACTCCAACCAAACTAAATACAACCAACAGAGAGCCAGTATTCAATGGGTTCAATTCTAAGCAGTCGATCGCTGCTACGCCCGCAAGTGGACATTCGGCAGCGAAGCTTAAGACTAGCCCAAGATATTCGCCAACCCCTAGATCAGAAGGAAAGACCTCTCCACCGGTCAGCTCAGAGGACCTATCCCCAACACCACATCGGGTTAGAGTCGATCATGAATCTGATAAAGATAAGGACTTCACTACGGCTATCCTTAAACTACTGCGCTCCAGCAATGTGGTGGTTGGAGCTTCTACTGAAGTTCGCCTGCGCCTTATGATTCGCTCAGAAATCGGCGCCTATCAGACCAAACTGCAGACATGCGAAGAAATGATAACCGATCTCTGCCAGGAGCTTGATGGCTTAGGGTTCTAAGATAAGCCGTCCACTCAGTAAGGTCCGTGCCAAGTGTCGGCGATTCGCATTTGGAAGGCAAGCCAGGGTTATTGGAGTTGTCGGACAGTAGCAAGAAGGGGTTGCATCTTTTTGTGTACGAAGCTGGACCTCGACACTATATATGCAGCGTAGAAAACATAGGTTATGTCTCTATTCTCTTATTTATTATTCTCTCAGTCGATTGGACCATAGTGTCCCTAGATTCAGGCTACTCTATTTTCAAGTACACAAGAAGTTTTTGTGATAGGAGGCTGAACCGACTATTCATAAAGTTGATGGAAAGTCTCATGGAATAATTCCACACGCTTGGAAAGGATAAGGAAGCTTCTAGTATACGAACTCAGTGTATATATACTCCTGAAGCACTGTGGCAGTGACGACTGCATGAACCTCATTCTTTAATCCCAGCTCTGAGATAGCGGCATTCTTCAGCCTCTCAAACGATCAAGCAAGGCTCAAAACCTGTCCCTTGGTCTGAATAGTAGTTAGCTCTTGATTTCTTGACTCTAACCTGCAGCTTTTGCAATTACCATTACATTGTAGACACAGCTTTGCTCTTTAGTAAACCCGGGAAGGTTCCCCTCTAATTCCCAGACCTCTCTTTGGAGGTCGTGCATATGTTAAAATTCGTGTGATGTTGTACAACATACCCTTTTCATATTTTAGAGATCCAAGTCTGTCAAGATTCGGTTTTTCTCGATTATCACTGAATTCCTGTCTGAGTATACAGCCTTCGAAATGCACTCAGACCCTTGATGTACATTGTCATTGTACAAATGTATCCAAACCTCGCACTCCTCGTCGTCTGCACTTATGCGTGTTGAAACGGTGGTTCCATTGCAGGTTACGCCATCCTCGATGTCAACATTCCGGAAGCGATAGGTGGACCATTGTTACGACGGTCAAGAAATAGGTCACCTTGTGCGGGCACCCTCGGGGGACCCCAGGGGTGTCAACAGGAAGGTATGCCGGCAAGGCTGCAAGAGGCTGAGGCACGTGACCAGGGAGCCGGATTAGGAAATAATCGCAGTCCATGGGGCCATGGGCCACTGGAGCAAGGAAGCATGGGGACATGGACGGCGCTCTAGCATTATATATACACGCTCATTACCCTAGATAGGACTATTCGTAGTTAACTTCGTTAGCAATCCTATACCTACGTTTTAGGATACAGTCCGACGATTGTGTATTCCCTTTGTTATCTTGGTCAGCACTCTGGTACCCACTCTATCAAGGAACCCTACCTTGGTCAGAACTGCTTGCAGCTCGGATCATAACAACCATGTGCGCTGGGAGGAAGTTTCCTGTTCCAGACGTGGCAGGTCCATGACTTCGCATTAGATATGGTCAGCCAAAATTCTGCAAGATCAGGTGAAATTTGCGTGCTAATCCCCAGACACGAAGTTCATGCATCGCCTTGAGTCCAAGATCTCTCAGAGCCTCGAAACTGCCGCTGTCGCAAACGTCGACTCCACCAATACACGCCGGCCCGCCGTGGATTGTCCAATACTCGAACATAGGTGCATCCGCTTCACATCGCTGCCAAGGGATGACATCGAGGTGAATGGCAGGTCTTCCCTCGTTGCTGCTACCACTTGATAGTTTGGTGAACGCCAACAGGAAGGCAAAGGCGTTGAACAACCGCATCGTTTCACATGGAGTAAAGATAGGACATTCACGCGTAATTGCTACGACTGATGCAGCATGGGAGACCGCTCGTCGCATATCCACCGGATAGCGTGTGAAAATGGCCTGCAAATGTTGCCTGGCTCTGTTCAGTTCGCTGCTCAAGGCTGGGCTCAGATCGCGACCCGAATTCCTAAACAGGAAGATAACCAGGTCCATGGCCTGATTGCCGTCGATGAGATGCGTGTAATGAACTCCCAAACAGGCAATGTTCATGCTCACAATCTCAGTCGTGCTTTTTGGTGCAGACAAGGAATCGTGAAGCGAGGACAGTGCTGCCAACATCCTTTTTCTGCTCGTCCTTTGACTCTCAGCAAGAGATGCCAAGCCTAGCATTGAAGGCATCGAGCAATCCTCGAGTTCTTTGAGGTCGGTGTGAAGACGACTAAGCGCCTGTGCTAGTAGTCTTTTGGACCAAGCTGGTAGTGAGCGTGGAGGCGTGTTGGACGCCATGAGGTTTTGAAACAGAGGATAAAAAGCCCCGGGTTGGTTGTTGAACGCGAGAATTGACGCCCAGGTTTTCGCTGTGGGAGCCTCCCAAAGGCTGTCTGAGCATGGCAGCCTAGGGGGTAGCTCGTTGAGACTAAATACGCCTCGTTTTCCAGTCATTGTAGCAATTGTACAGTCGAATTCAAATACTGTCCAAGCCACTCTTAACTTAGCTTCCTTCTCGCGCCATTCCTGCCAAGCGCGCTCGAGTTCGGCGATATGTAAATGCTTCACTTGCGAAGAAACTGTGTCCTTGTCCTCGCTGGCGACGCTATCGGATAAGACACCCATGCCACGCAAACTTGCGAGCATCGTAGATCTTGAGGCCTCCGCGAGCTCATACAAGCGACGGTTGCCGAGTCCGAGTGAGTAGAGGTGGTGAAAGCACATGGCTGCGATGTATTCTGTGCTCCTGAAAGCCTTGGTATCTATTTGACCCGTCCAAAACAACGCTCGTTGCGTAATTTCTGCTAGGAGAGCCGCAACGTCTTGCGACCCCTCTGCTGTGGAGTGATTTGCGCCTAGACAAGCCATTGCAGCCAGGAGAGGCGTCGAGCAAGACTCTAGTTTCCAAGTTGGTACGTGAATGACCGGAAATACTGCGTGGAACTCGTCGAAGTAGATCTTGACTAGCTTAGTTAGAAATCCAACGGCAGGCAGCGCTTCCAAGATAGGACCATCATTCAGTGAAGGAATATGAGGGCTGGAGAGGATTTTGATGAGGTCAAGCACTGTCGCCTTCTCGATCGCCGGCCTACGAGCCACCGTGTCCTCCAGAACTTGCCGTAATGGAGGCAGTTTGATAACTCGAAAGCCCTTGTTTGAGGTGTAATCGAAAGGCCACATTTCATTACCACCACGGTCTAATACGGCAGGCCAGACCTCCTCGGTTTCATTGTTGCTAACTACATCGGGACCGGGACGGAGATGGCTGGGACTAGGACGAGATTGATCAAGCTCATCATGAGCAGGCACCCTAGCGGAGGTATTGTCATAGATGTTTTCGCTCTCCTGATCTTGTCCTGGGGCCGATCCAGAAGTCGGAGCGTGGACAGCTAAAGCAGAATCGGGAAAACCCATAACAAGTTCATTCAGAGATTGCGGTTCTGTTCCAAGGATAAGACCGTGCCCAGGGAGCGCATCGGGAGTATTGAAGTCTCTTGAGACCATGGTTTGATGATCGGAAAACTCAGTATCACATGCAAACCAGTCCATTCTGGATGCACGAAAGGTGTCACCGTCAAAGAACCTTAGGTCCGCCAAGTCTGGCATTAAATCAAAGGTTTGCTCTATGCCTTGACCATCATCGCACACACCTCGCTGTCGGATATTGGCTGACTCAGGGGACTGCCACTGATCTAAAACCGTAGGACCGCGGTGTTCAAGGCTGCATTGGTCTGTTGGCAGATCTGGTTGTTCACTACTATGAAACGCCTGCGTATCATGCTGGCCTTGGGAATCGGCAAGCTGTTGCGTCATTTCAGTCACCCGTTGCTCTGGAAGTTGCCAGTCACTGGACAGCGAGTCGGACTGAGGCCCGTGTTGCGGGTTGTTATCATACTTGCAGACGATGTCTTTGTCACGACAGGCAGCGCAAGGAAATTCCCGGCTGCATTTGAGCTTGTAACGCACGCAACGCTGGCATGACTTTTTGCAAGAACGACGTTGGCGTAGGCCTGGCCCGTGTACACCTGCTTGAGGTTAATGAATCTGCAGTGGGTTAAAAATTGGCAGCCTCCCTGCATGCACACACCTCGTTGATGTCGTTGATAAACATCTTTCCGGTGGAAGCGCTTGTCGCAGATGTGGCAGTGAAATACGGCCTCACTGTCGTCGGCATGTCGTAGTAAATGCCGCTGGAGATGAGACAGTCGTGAGAGTTCCGCACCACAAACGTGGCAGACATGTTTCGAGGTAGATGATACCATCGCATCTGGTCCTGATGACCACCGCCGGTGTATGGTTGGATCATGCAAAATGGCCTCCTTGGTTGTCGGATATCAGGTGTGGGAAGAATCAAGCCGAGAATCGATCAGGGAATCTGGGGAATTCAGGAGCTTGCGGGGAATGTGGGCATCTTCAAGCCTCCCCGCGATATTAATTTATGAGTCTTGGTTCTCGAACAGTGTTAGCCTCAAGCTTGACACGAGACTGATATTCTTCATGGATGGAGGTGGTTCAGCTTTTCGGAACTTGGCCGTGGGGTGGAAGGGCTAGAGCCTCGGCGTTTTGTCTCGTGACGACTAATGGGCAATAGTACGCTAGTTAGTAGATCGTCCTCCTTCCCCGTGTACGATACACCTCTATCATACCACATCAACACACACTCCAGTCTGATGTCTCAGCGCAACAGGCCTCTTCAGCCTGATCGAGGTACGTGTGTGCCCCGCAGTTCCCACAACTAGATTCCTGAGACTGTGGCGTCTCAAATATATAGAGGTCACAATGCGTCATGACCTCCACTTCTCAGGCTCTACTGAGAGCACGAGTGGCCTCTTGTTTTCCTTGAGCTCCAAATACACGGCAAATCTCCGACGTAAGCAGCCATGGCTGCTCAGACCGATATTCGCGAGAACCAGCTCGATACCAAGGCAGAATTTGGTCAGTTTGAGAACACAGAAACCGTTGCCCTGACCGAGCATGAGAAGCGCCTGTCAAAGAAGCTCGTGCGCAAGATCGACCTCCTCATTATGCCCGCGATATTAATCATTTACATCATGAACTGGATAGATCGGTGGGTCGGTCCTCGTTCTGGGTTTTAGCTTGGCTGACCTGTACTAAGCAACAATTATGCCGCCGCTCGCCTCCAGGGCCTTGAAAGTGACCTCGGGCTCGTGGGTAATCAATACCAAACCGGACTGTCCATTCTCTTCGTGGGCTACATCTTGGGCCAGATTCCGTCAAATTTGCTTCTCAACTACTGCGGAAGACCATCTTTGTACCTTGGATTCTTCACCATTGCTTGGGGTACAGTCTCAGCTCTGACTGCCCTTGTCACCAACTTTGGCTCCATTATGGCTTGCAGATTCATTTTGGGCATCGTGGAGGCGCCTTTCTTCCCAGGTGTCCTCTTCTACTTGTCTCGCTGGTATACTAAGGAGGAAATCAACTTCCGCATGAGCATCTTCTATTCCGGTGCGCTCATTGCAGGAGCCTTCGGCAACCTCATTGCAGCCGGCATCCTTCACGGGCTAGAAGGCCATGCAGGGCTGGCTTCGTGGCAGTGGCTCTATATCATTGAAGGTGTCGTTACCGTCTTCTTCGGTATTTGCACCTGTTTCATTTTGCCGGACTTCCCACAGACATGGCGAGCACTTTCTCCCGAACTCAAGCATATTGGTAGGTGGTAGAGTAGCGCTCCCGAGGTTAGAACATGCTAACATACTTCCAGCCATCCGACGCTTGACGATCGAAGCCGCACAGGCTGATGTCGATGAGGAGGGAGCGAAGGCTCAACTTCGGGGCCTCGCCCTGGCATTTGCAGACATAAAGGTCTACATCTTCGCCGTTGCCTACCTGGCCATTACTGGTGCGATTGGTTTCCAGAATTTTTTCCCGACCCTCACGAGGACACTCGGGTATTCGCGCTTCATCTCTCTACTCTTGGTCGCCCCTCCATATATCTTCATCACCATCTGGTCCTACTTCCACGGCCTGATCAGTGATCGAGTCCAGAACAGGTTCTGGTTTTTCGTCTACCCTGTCCCCGTCTCCATCGCCGGCTTTCTCATCTTCATGACGACCGAATCTTTTGGACCACGCTATTTCGCCTGTTTTCTTATGACCTTCGTGCTTACCATGAACGGCACCATTTATGCATGGATCGCGAGCAGCATTCCCCGACCTCCTGCCAAGCGAGCTGCCGCCTACGCCTTCATCAACAGTCTCGGTAACTCGGCAAGCATCTGGACACCATTCACCTATCGAGAGGAAGACAAGCCATTCTACCGTCCTGCTCTTGGCATATGCATCGGGCTGCAGGTGATCGCCGCTGTCTGTGCGGTCGTCATGCGTCTGTACCTCCAGCGCGAGAATAAGCAATTCGCCAGAATGGAAATGGAGAACGATGGTCAACCTCTCGGTGAAGCTGATTTGGCCAGGCTCCAGAAGACTACTCAGGCCGAAGGCATCGCCGTTGCAGAAGCGAGAGCGATGGAGAAAGGGTTTAGGTACCAACTTTGACTTCACTAACTCCGGGAAACAATGCCCATTATGGGGCGCGGGTGTCGAAAAGTCTAGATTACGAGAAGACTCTGATGAGAAAGCCCCATTATTCGCTTTGCTGAGTCCACGAGGAGAGAACTTGTGGGCTAGAAGGACTTGGGATAAACAGCCGCTTAATCAATCGAACAGGGCTGGTGGAAAGGGTAAATGATTTCTATCCTTTAATGGCATCTCCTACGTAAATGACATCAGTAATCATACATCGTCGTCCTGCAGTCAGCGGCACAGCGGTGGCAAGACCATATTCTGCGCGTTCCACTGGCAGCATAAATTACCATTAGCGCATGCTCGCACTAAAATGGTGCGGCTAATTTCCTAATCACGACTGTCGGGTCACAAGACTTCGCAACCTCACTCGACTGTGTGCATAACATTCGCGCCTCGATCTTTCGTAGGCAGACAGCTTCCCAACCTGTCATCGCACATGCTCCTGGCTTTTTTATCGGATTTGGTAGCTCGAGGTTATAAATGGTGTCGCTGCTAGCATTGATCCTTCCAGGCAGCAAGCCCTTGGCTGGGTCGACGACACCAACACCTCCCACTACGGCGACAAGGTAATACCCCGATTCTATGGTACAGATCCCAGCTGGTTATCCGCTATCACCAAATTGCGCCAGGCGAGTGCTGCCTAGGGGCAATGTAAATTAGGGGAGATATCGAGGACCTATAACTCCCTCGGCCACCGTCAGGTCCAACCTCGGCGCCTTTCCCTATGCACTGCGGCTGTCCGCCACAAACAACGTCCACCGTTTGCGTAGAGAGCAGGAATCGTTTGGCATACTCAAAACTTACATATAGAGCATTGTGAGTACATACGATTGCGCGTTGAATTCAAGCACACCATTTGGCAGTTCTGAAGATTCAGCTCCGTTCCGACACCGATTCATGGCGATGGTGTTGCTCGGGAAGGCGGGTCGATGCCAAGGTCAACGACGCTGCGGCGATTAAAGATGAGGTTTGCAATTGCGTCGAGCTTGAGCAGAGGAAAGGGAGGCCGTGCTCAAAGCCCTGGTCCAGGAGCTTTGGCCGGGAGGTGTGGTTGTAGCATGGCTGATATGCAACTGGGCCTGGCCATGTGGGCTTGCTGCTCTCACTGGGGTAACAGTGCGCTCAGGTAAATTCTGGTTCTCGTCCTGACGTGCCTGTCAGCTGATCCTCTCCAGCCGTTTCAGAGGAGATGGATGCGGTTGCGGGGACGGTAGTCAAGTTGCAAGTGAGCTTCAGTCGAGATCTGAACCTCGAAATGCTTCCGAGCAAAACCGATTTAGCGAGGATCACCGGATTGGTGCTAGTGCGGATAACGTTTATAGACCTGGTAGGCACGTGTTCCAAGCTCTAATGAACAAGGAGTCTACTACGATTGGTTCCCACTATTGAACTCCGGTATCCAGGTCGAAATAGCGTCTGGCATCATTCGGAGGCCAGGGAGAGGCACCGAGACCCGCTGTATTGATAGGACCACCTCCTCCGCTCTCGCTTATAAACTCTCTCGTAACCTTAACATCCCCACCCGTATTCCTACCCTTTCCTGCCTCTCCCTCTCTCCCCACGTTCCCACAGCACCTCCTTGACTCCATGTTGTCTTGCCCCATGGGAGTGGTCGGTGAAAGGCCCGATGTCGCTTCATACCCTCACTGTCTTCCAAGAGGCTCTTGTGAGTTCATAAAGACGCTTATCTGAAAAACAGAATGAGTCTCCGAGGTCTTGCCATTTCGAGCGTTTCACTTCCTTCGGACAACAAGACACGATCACCAGCCCGCATCTCTCGACCGCCACCATGATCGGCCGACCAAGCAAACCAAACTATGAAATCCTCGTCCTCGCCGGCGACGGAATTGGCCCTGAAGTCACCGATGAAGCCACCAAAATCCTCGAGCTCCTTTCCGCGCGCTCCGACTCTCGCGCCAGCTTCGAGCTCAACCCGCAACTTTTCGGCGGCTGCTCCATCGACACCCATGGCAAATCCGTCACGGATGAGGTCCTCGATATTGGTCGTCACTGTGACGCAATCCTCATGGGCGCTGTTGGCGGTCCCAAATGGGATGGCATGCGACGTGGTTTTGAGGGACCGGAGGGCGCTACGCTGAGGTTGAGGGAGGTGACTCAGGTCTATGCTAACATGAGACCATGTGAGTACAACAAGTTTGGCAACTCTCCGATCCGAGACGAGTTGGTGCGGGGTACGAAATACATCGTGCTGAGAGAGAACTGTGGCGGCGCGTTCTATGGCCCGAAGACAGAAGACCCTGACTATGCTTCCGATTTGTGGTCTTACAAGCGATCGGAGATTGAGAGGATTGCAAGAATGGCCGCGCACCTGGCCATGTCGCCAGCTTCACCAGTCAAAAAGGTTATCTCTTGCGACAAGGCGAATGTTCTTGCAAGCTCGAGGATATGGAGACGAATTGTGGAAGAGACCATCACGAGGGAATTCCCGGAGGTGGAGATTGTGCACCAGTTGGCGGACAGCGCTGCCATGTTGATGGTTGCGAAGCCAAGCATGTTTAATGGCGTACTGGTTGCTGACAACACCTTTGGTGATCTTTTGTCGGATCTGGCTGGTGTGATTCCCGGCACGCTCGGCGTCCTACCTTCAGCGTGCTTGGCTGATCTGCCGCGCAAGGAGTTCAACAGTGGCAAGACTTGCAAGGGCTTCTACGAGCCTGTGCATGGATCTGCTCCCGATATCGCTGGTCAAGGTATCGCAAACCCCATTGGTACAATCCTGTCGGCCGCTTTGATGTTGAGATATAGCTTCGGGATGGAGGATGAGGCAAGGGCGATTGAACTTGCGGTGGAGGAATCCCTTGAGCAGGGATACCGGACGAAGGACATGAAGGGATCATGCAGCACAAGCGAGATGGGAGCGAAGGTGAGGGAGAATTTGATTAAGATTCTAGACAAGCAGGGTCAGTAGGTTGCAATGGGGGTTTTTATCTTTGTAGACGACCAGCAATAAATCCATATTCTTTACGTGAATTGGCTCCACAATTTCGTTGCCATGGCTTAATATGTCGCCAGCCCGTCAAGACAGCAGATTGAATCATCGCGGGAAGTATTGTGGGCATGATGGAAGCTTGAGGATTCTTCTTTAAGTTCGTCCGTTTTACTAATTTCTCAGACGCTCTCCAGCAGATGGGATATTTCCTTGAATGCCCTTGGGGATGATCTATCCTCAAGCTCCTCTCGTTGGGTGACTGGCAGCCGATCTACTACTCCCTGGAACGAGTAGGACTAGCTATTCAAAAACCAGGCAAAACTGTTAAATATTTACATTTGGCCACGCTTATTGCTAGGCCTATGCTTCGACCACCAGTTGTTCACCTTCCGCCCAAGGGAATCTGGCTTCCGTTTTTCTGCATTCCGTTCAAGTCTCGACACACACGCCCTTCGATCCCCCCTCAACTATTTCCTCTGCCTGCTCCACACTAGGACCAAGGATAGCTTTCTCTTTGTCAAGGCTCGTCTTCTCCGCTTCATACTCTTTTTCCGCACGCCAAGCAATGTTGCTGTTGCCAGCGAACAATAGATCAAGATCCTCAAGATGCCGACCAGCTGTCTCGATATAAAACAGGAAGATCGGAACGAGCATGCCAAAATTTACAAAAGCGAAGAGAATGAAGATCCAGAAGCCAATAGCTTTGATAAGGTAGGGAGTGATCTCATTCACGATACCTCCGGCAATGGAGAAGGCGATGGTGGCAAAAGCAACTCCTTTGGCTCGAGAGGCAAGCGGGAATATCTCGGTAGGATAGACCCAGCTATTCAAAGTATCAGCACTGCCTTTGACCTGACTAGAAGAGGCTTTCAAACATACCAGACTGTCAGCCACGTGCTGCCGTAGGCAAAGGTATACAAGTACAAGACAGCTGCAACACCGGCGCCAAATTTCTGGGCTTGAGCTTCGTTTGCCTCATTCTTATTGACCAAATGCGCAAGCACACCACCGACGATGAGCAGGACACCCATGACAGAACAGCCGATGAGCATAAGCTTTCTCCTTCCGACTCGGTCAATCAGGTAAATGCTGAGTGCGAGAGAAGCTGTATAGGAGATAAGGTTGCCACCAGCAAGAATATCAGATTTCGTGCCAGAGTACCCGGACAATGCGAACATTTGTCTAATGATGTCAGCATGCTCAGGCGCACGCAAAGTGGAGGAAAGGGCCTTACGGTGCATAGGTCGTAATAAAGTCAATGCCAGTGAATTTCTGCATGACCTGAACCCCGGCTCCAAGGAGGAGACGGCGACGAGTGTGAAGATGATCTTTCGTGAACAACATACTCCAATAAGACTTGCTGGTACTGCGTGCCTCTAGACGGATTGCGTCCAGGATTTCGGTCATCTCAGCCTCGATTTTCTCGGGAGAGGGATTAAGTCGAGCCTTTTGGAGGACGTGTCTTGCCTCATGGTAACGTGCTGTCGCGGCCAGGTGACGTGGAGACTCAACCATGAAGGGTACTACCAAGACGAGGATGATGAGGAACACGATCTGCAAAGCAAGAGGGAAGCGCCATGCAAAACCAGCGCCTTGCGTCTTGAGACATGCATATTCAATCCAGTAGACGCCGCATATCCCTCCAACGGCCAACGTGAACTCGACGGCCACAAACGCACCGCGAAGGTGAGCGTCGGCCAACTCGGACGTCCAGATTGGTACCACAGCGTTCAAATGACCGCAGCCAATACCGCCGATGATGCGTGCAAAAGCCATCCAGGTGAAGTTTTGAGCCGAGGCTTGCAAGGCAGCCCCGAAGGCAGCCCAGGCGCAGCCAACGATCATAGTCTTCAGACGACCAATTTTGTCCGCATAGAGACCAACTAGGATGGCACCGATTAAAAAGCCGCCGAACCACAGAGATACCAGGCCGCCGTTGGCAGCGGCATCACGACTGGTGCCTGAAGTGGTGCCCATATTCCTGAGATAGTCGGGGTTCACGTTGACAAGAGCCATAACGCCAGCATCATAACCGAAGAAGAGAATCGCGCAGCCAGAGACAGCCAAGATGACCCATATCAGGGGCTTGCCAGTGAGGCCTATGGCCCGTTGATGAGAATAGCCTCCTGGAATAAAGGAGGCCCATTTTGGTTCTGGCCTGAAGGCGTTCTGATCAACACTGGAAACAATTGCATGGCTGGTAGGTGTTGGTTGTGCCGAAGGCATGATGGCCGGCCGATGGTTTGGGAGCGACAATGAGCCAAGAAATAGAAGCTTCTGAGCGAGCAGCCAAGCTTTGGTGTGGTGGCAAAGTATACTGATTCTCCTCGAAATTTATAGTCAAGATGCAGCAGGCATAGTATACTCCGGGGCCCCCGGTCTCGAAGTCGGTACTGACAGTGGGGTTGAGGGGTGACGCGCGGCTACACCAGGATGGACCTTTAGATCGGCACAGTGGCAACGTCGATGCAATTTCATGGCTAATGGCCGGACATAATCATGGGGAGGCGGGGCGGTCTTCCCATAGTCGACATCTTTACTACGCCACTGCCTTTGCTACCCTTTCTGGTTGTGTCGTTTAGACAGGTTGAAGCATAAGTTCCTTTCTTCGCACAATGTTTAGAGCACTTCCAGCCGAGTTCAACATTGCAACCCTCCTATTTCAGCATAGTTATATCCTAGAGTGTTTGACAGGCTATCTCTATATACGGGGTGATATAGCTGCTCAATGGGGAAGATAGAGTGCAATCGCCAATATTATAGCAAAATATATTGTGAACTATGGAAACTAATGTTGATTTACGCCTTTCTCTAATTTGACGCAGTCTTAGGTACAAGTCGTGGTCGAAGATTCAGAAACTGCCCCAGAAGAAAGTACTCCTAGTTTGATGCATCATTTCCCCTTGCGTAAGTTCATACTGTGCCATGTCCATGCTACAACTTGATACACGCAGGTTCAGGGGACGACAATCTATTCTGGCCATGCACCGTCCGAACAGTACTCGCCTTTTTGCGAGGACATCCCAACCACAAAGATCATCATCAATGGCCAAAGTACTTCTCAAGCCACAAAAGACGCCATTCCACTCCAACGAAACTACTACTCTAGATAGTTCTCCCACCATCGACATCCAAATTCACACCAGTGATGAACTTCGCCGCATCCGTGCACAAAAACAGAGTCGCGTTGGCTACGTCGTCGACCTCCCCGAGTCTGCCAAGCGGTACATTGCTGAGAAACTTTTGTCGGTTTTCAGGGGTGTCCGGTACACCGGCAAAGGACTCGAATCTATATGCTCATTAGTATCTACAATGCAGGAAGCGGTCCTAACAGCTTATGAATTACAGTCCAGTTCCTGTCAGTAGTGGGCAGATGGAATTGACACGGATTTGATGAGGCCCAAATTCGAGGGCGAGGCCCTTGGTTGCCTATCACTGTGTCAGTAACCACCATGTCCATTCATCTGTCTTTGGTCTTCTCTCCCAACTTGACATGGTTCGACTTACATTTGAGACCGCTCCTTTCGACGCGTTGTACCAAACCAAACCCTGACGCGGTCTGCTTGCTCCACAGCTAGAAATGTTCACACAGATGCCGGATTTCTGTTTCACGAACTCCGGGAAGACGACTGCAACAGAGTGGAAAATCCCAAAACAGTTGACATCGAAACACCGCTTATACTCATCTTCCGTCACATCCACGGTCGGCTTATTCTTGTAACTTGTTCCTGCATTGTTGATCAGGATATCCAGCTTCCCCCAGGTCTCCAAAATCTCCTTGAGGGCTGCGTTCCAGTCTTCGCGCTTGGTAACGTTCATCGCGCGCGCGATTACATTGCCCTCGGGGTATTGAGCCGCAAGCTTCTGAGCGCCATCCGGGTTCATGTCACCGATGTAGACTCTGGCACCCTGAGCGGCGAAGACAGAAGAAATGGCATGGCCGAAACCGGAACTGCCCCCAGTTACAAGCGCAACACGGCCGGCGAGCTGGCCTTGTGGGATATTGATTTCGGCGTACGAGCCCATTTTGGTAGAGTAGTACGTGTATGCAGAATGAGTGGGACAGGTTGTGTCGTTGCCTGCTGGTTGAATGAGGAATACTAGTCTAATTTCTTGAGTTTGGCAGATCGGTGGTCTTGGATTCTGACTTCGGCGTGTCTGTATGCACAATCGAATTGAGGCCTCCCCCATACATATACAACACATCCTCGATCGTGTCTAGTGAAAGCTGTCCATTTCTGCCCCTCATGCTTGTCAATGCAAAGTCGGACAAACGCTGGGGGTATGTGGAGACGAGCTGGTGGGACAGGGCCCTATCACGACGATGATTATGAAGGTATTTTGAGCGGATGATCTACGACATCTGCATTTCAGTACCAGGGCACTTGTCTGCAGAGTTGGGGTTGGGAGGACCGGAGTAGATATGTGGGGAGACTGCTGCCCCCACACTTCAGATTTGGCCATGCGCCCATCAGCGGGGAGAACTGTACTGAGGATTGCATCGCACGCCCATTGACAACAAGGATTGACTTTCCCAAACGTGTTATCCGATCAAGTCTACCCGACTAAGGCTACGAGGGCTCGGAATTGAGATATCACTCACAGCCCTTTGGAAGCAGACTGTGGGCGTTGACGCACAGAACAACTGTGGATACGGAGATGCCCTGGGGGTCGCCGGTTGGCGATGAAGATGGAAGCAAGCAACAGAAGGGCATATCATACATGGATACAAATAAATATACAATAAGTTGAATCTCTGTCATTCCTGGGACATCCAAGCCATAGGAGGGCAGAAGAGCGACCAAAGACAAAAAAGTTTCCTTCATACGTTCATCATGGGCTCGATAGCAACCACTTCGCTCCCCTTCACACTCCAAAATCAAAGCTTATATAAGGACCAAGCATACGTTGACGGGCAGTGGGTTGAAGCAAAATCAGGGAATCGCTTCGATATCGTTGACCCGGGCAGTGGCAGAATATGGGCCACCTGCGCTGATATGGCAGCTGAAGACGTTGACAACGCCGTCAACGGGGCATACAAGGCATTCCAGAAATTCCGCATCGTCAGCCCGAGAGCTCGTGCAGATTTGCTCCTGAGATGGGATGCTCTGATCAGGGCCAACAAAGAAGATATTGCCACCATCCTTGTACACGAAACTGGCAAACCTTATGCAGAGGCTATTGGCGAGATCGAATATGCTACTTCTTTCACCAGATGGTTCGCCGCGGAGGCTGAGCGCGTACATGGCACTGTCTTCACACCATCCATGGCTGGTAGAAGAGTATTTACCATCAAACAACCGATTGGAGTTGCCGCGGCTCTAGTGCCGTGGAACTTCCCCATTGCTATGATCCTACGAAAGGCCGCCGCTGCTCTTGCTGCCGGTTGCACAATGATTGTGAAGCCGTCGCCCGAGACACCACTGTCAGCATTGACTCTTGCCCATCTGGCCGAGCAAGCTGGCTTCGGACAGGGAGTTTTCTCTGTCCTGCCAACCACTCTTGCCAACACTCCAGCTCTGAGTGAAGCTCTTTGTAAGCATGAATATATCAAGAAGGTCACGTTCACTGGCTCGGTAAGTGAAGAAGGTCTGCCTATGATCTTACCACACTGATATTGAAATAGACCCGAGTGGGCAAGCTCATCTCACAGCACTGCTCAAGCGGCTTGAAGAAGTTGACCCTCGAGCTCGGCGGCAACTGTCCATTCCTGATCTTCGACGATGCTAACCTCGTCCAAGCCTGCGACGCTTTGATGGCTCTGAAGTACCGACACGCTGGTCAGGCATGTATCACAGCAAATCGCGTTTATGTACAGAGTGGGGTCTATGATAAAGTAGCACAGATGCTCGTAGACGGGGCCAGGAAGCTCAGAGTTGGACACGGCATGGATAAGACCACCACTATGGGACCCCTGACCGTACCAGCTGGTATTGAGAAAGTTGCTTCGCAGATTAAAGATGCTGTCTCATCTGGTGGCAAGGTGCTCACCGGTGGCCAAAAGATTGAAATCGAGGGAGGCTACTTCTTCGAACCCACCATCATCGGCAACGCGACTCCAAGTATGCAGGTTAGCTCAGAGGAGACATTTGGCCCATTGTTGGCCTTATTCCCGTTCTCAACCGAAGAGGAGGCCATCACAGCTGCCAACAACACGAGCATGGGTCTCGCATCTTACTTCTTCACGAAGAATATTGACCGGACTTGGAGGCTATTGGAGAATTTGGAGTCAGGGATGATCGGTATGAACACGGGTAATGCGTCGGCGGCGGAGGCGCCTTTTGGTGGTATCAAGGACTCTGGATATGGCAAGGAGTCAGGGAAGGATGTCGCTATACAGGAGTATATGATCACCAAGACGGGTACATTGACATTGGAGGGTCAGAATTGAACTGGGTAACTTGCGGACCCTAGTGCTCGTTTATCAATGATTGCAAGCTTCGGCTAGAAGAATTTGGGATAATTGAAAATCTTTAAATCTAGTCAAGGGCACCTAGAGGTATTTGACGTTTCTTGGTAGGAGGTACAGTTGCTCCTTTAGTTATCTAACTTGAAAACTAAGTCTTTTCTCAAATACTTAAGCTACAGCTATAAGTTAGCTAGTCCTCCTTAATACTAATCTGAGCTTAGTACCGTGCTATATTTACTAAGCCTTACTAGTAAGATTTCTATATACAATCTGTGAGGGTTTAGCTAGGAATTTAGAGTAATTCGTCTAACTACCGTATAACGAGGATTCTAAAGCTAAGGAGAGAAAAGAAAAGAGAAAATCTATCTGCTGTACGAATGAAGGAAATACTCCCTACCCTCTCCTATAGTGGGTCAGTATAGTTTCCTAGGAGACAATCGATAGGGAGGAGTCACGTAGCTTCGGCTGTACAGTTGTACAGCCCAAAGGTGCACCACGAGTAATCGCTCTAGGGCGCACTCTAGAGCTTTGTACGGGTTCAACCCGTGACACAATCTTCTTCTTCAGATTATTTAAATTTAATCTGAGTACTAATAAGTTATATATTATTAAGTGTGAAACCCTTTAAAGTTAATTAAATCAAGCTTTTCCTACTAAGCGCGTAGTCTTAGGTGAACCAGTAGCTACCAGTACTAGAGTGCTCCGTACACCTACATTAGAAGCTAGGACGTGCCTGTTGACAGTGTGTCATTCTATGCCATTCGCGTACGGTGTAGTCTATTCGTCGATAAGCTGCCTAAATACATCGTGCTGAGTATATTTCTGATATAGACTGGCCTACACGCGAATGGACGGTAATCCATTCGCTTCTAGTGGCATTCGTGCTTGTACTGGAACAGGGCCAAGCACCCACACACAGGCTAGAACTTGAGTGCATGACAACGTCTAATGTAGTTATGCTCCACCGCTTTCTCATTCCAAGCCGCCCATTCACCATTTGCGATTTCGACAACCATGCCAGGACAGGTTTCTCCCTTCAACTGGACATATGCAACACGCTCGATGAGTATGAGAACACTTGTACCATCTAAAATCGCAAAACCTCTTAGACTCTGTATGCAGGAATGCCAATATGTATCTCATGCAGCACTCCCGTCAAGCACCTATACACTACCTACAGCAAGGCCGATGACCGATCTTTAGGCAAAGGCGTTCGGCTCACACAATGTCCCAATTGCAAAAGATTTGCCGACAAATATGTCGAACATGACTTTGTGGTATTATTCATAGATTTATTGCTGATCAAACCTCAGGTACCATGCCTTGGCGGACAGATGATACCCCGTTTTCTAACGCTGCAATAGGTATATCGACATCTCCTATTTAACAGACTTGGACGATCAGATGACAAGTTCGACCCGAGTATCTTGAGGCTCGGAACGCTTCTGGTTCTCTTTGACGTCTATATCACCTGGGCACGCATTGAGAGGACCAGTCCAGTGAAGAATGACGGCGTCACAAACTCTCGGCTCACGCAAATGCCCATCCTTACTCAGTATATCTTCTTTCTTACGATGAACATCTTGGCCACAGTTGCACAACACGGCATCATTCGAACGTTAGCCCGTGTTCTTCTCTCGCAACCAGATATCCACGGGGACGACATCAAATCACCCACGTCTACGGGAGAGGGTGGCCTCAGCCAAGCCACAGTTGTGCCAGGCCATGCGAGCCCCAACGCTATTAGTACGGCATTGCTTGTGTCGAGCTGCTCCAAATTATTTCCCATCTTGTTGGTGATCTGGCCAACAGAGGCGAAAGAGGGCGACCCTTTCGGCTTCGCGTTTCAAGCTTCAAACTATGTCGGTTGGGCAGTCCTTCTCAATAATATTGAAGCTCTGTTGATCCTCTTGAATTGTGGATACAAGATTGCGACGGGGCTAGCATTTGCTGGAGTCGTCGCTCGATGGCTTATTGAAGGCTGGGTCCTGAATTTGGTGGGCTTGGGAATTGATACTAGCCCTATTGGTGATATACTTACAGCTCTCAGCTATGCCAGCAGCTGGTTAGATTTAGGTCCAGGGAGATAGTCCATAAAACTTCTGCTGATGTAGAAACCTGGAATATACTTGATGATAGGTGCCCTCCGTATAAACACCGGATCTTGACATCACGTGATCGCAAAGATCATCTGCGCTCTCAAAGTCACTTCTCCTCATGGAATGGCCAACGGCCACGCGATTTTTGGTGTTTCGACGCGTCTGCATACACCCAAGTCAAAAACCATGGACGAGTCATCTGGGCGAGGACATCGGGAGAAGAAACCTAGTGAAAAGGTCAAAGAACAGGTCTCAGGCAAAATCGAGAAGATCGAGGACGACAAACCTGTGGTTCTACCAACATACATTGCGCCCAACGATAGCAAATTCGTGCAGGAGCAAAAGGAGGTTCCCAAAATCTATGACCACACTAAGATAGCTCCTGACGGGACAAAAATCGACTTTTATCTACTTGGGACACAGTATGGATGGATCTACCCCTCTCCATATCGAGCCATGCTAACCTGCCATAAGCGTCGAAAGCAAAGAGAAACGATATTATGTCCGTGCGAAGAGAGATCCGAAATCACTATACTTTCATGCAGATGAAGCTCCTCCTCGATATGCCCGACTGAGTGACGAGAACCATCCACAATGCGGAGTCGAGAATCTGAAAAACACGTTTACCAAGACGATGCTCGGCAAGAGCGGGGAGTTTGGCAGCTACACTACGAGAGCGAACGTTTTTGCAAGAGAGGGCAAGTTTTTCTTCGAGGCGAAAGTGATTAGCCAAGCCCCTCCTGGTAGGGAAGAGCCCGATCGTGCTCTAGCTGATACTCAGAATTCGGACAGAACTGCAACGAACCGCGGTGGTCTGCGGGTTGGATTCTGTCGGAGGGAGCACCACTGGAGCGAGAATCTTGGTGGCAACGCTTACAGTTATGCAGCTATTTTGCGAAGTGGCAGAGCACGAGAATACGGCAGTGTACGGTTCAACACCATGATGTACCACATGCAGGGCGAAGGTGCTAAAGATCCTGACGACCTTAGCTACGGAGATGTTGTTGGGCTCATGATCACGCTGCCGCCGTTGGAGGTGCACAAGAAGGTCGTTGAAGGCACGTTCAATCCTGCCGAATATCCCCACCTCAAATGCGGTCCTGCGGTCCTCAAGAAGAAGGCGGGAGCAGGAAAAAAGGCTACTAAGAGTGGTCCCAAACCTAAGGACGGCGAGACCCCCAAGACCAAGGAAGATGCAGGCAGGAAGGCGAACACTCGAACAGCCATTCGCACGATGGTGCAGCCGCTTCCAGGTTGTACTGTACCTTCTGACCACGACATCATCCGCGACCGCAATCCATTCCTACATAAAGGCATGACATATTTCGAGTGCCCAGAATATACACCCAACCATGATCTAAGTCGACCAACGCTGAACTCCAAGAACAAGTCGATCAACCAGGAAACAGGCAAGAAGTACGATCTGTTGACAGACCCTCATCCCAACCACGAACTTCCCCATCTACGCACACTCCCGGGCAGCAAAATTGAACTCTGGGTCAATGGCAGATATCACGGAATTGTGTGGGAGCACCTGTTCGCCTTCCTGCCACCGGCATCATACATCGACAAAGGTAGCCGAGCAGTCACGGGGGTCGGAGACGTGGATGACGGGTTGCTGGGATACTATCCGGCCATCAGTCACTACACGGGTGGCGCCATCGAATGCAAATTCGACGGCCCGTGGTGGTACGGATATGGTCAAGACGGTCCTCAACATCCGGACGCTCGGCCAATCGGAGAACGATATCAGGAGCAGATCGTGGAAGACATTGTGAACGACTTGGTGGATGAAATATACCAAGAACAGCTGTACCACGATCCAGAGTGGATGAGGAAGCGCGTGCTCAACGCAGCTACATCGGCCAATCCACAACACGGTTGAGACATCATCCGAGTCAGTTGTTCGACCTCCCGTTGAAACCAGAATTTCTTAATTCAATTGCACGAGCACGACGAACTTCTCCTCGTGTTACGGATAATTGAGACTTGATTTGGAAAGAGATGGCGTGCTGCAGCTTATCTAAGTATTGCGTACGAGAGATGTGGCAGATTACGTGTTATGGCTTACGGGTTACGGAGGTGAGGGTCTAAAAGTCATTTCTGCATAGCGAGATACCCCTTCAGCAATGATTATGTAGTAGTATGCATGAAGACAGCACGTCAAGGCATCCTGTTTCTAGACATTCATCATCACTGGGACTCCGTACAGGCTGTCGTAAGCCTACATTAGACGCTGCATGAGGCGTGAAAGTCAAACTGACCCTGACTGGAGGCAGCAGCATTATTGGTATTATTATTGTTAGGTCCACTGATGCAGTCAGCGGGCGATCTCGTGCAATCACGGTACTAGATCTGTGCGTTGCCTGCCTCCCGGGTTCGAGTGTGCATTAGTACTCGTAGGACCGTCATCAACAAGTAAGATGCAATGGCCCAAGGGCATTCGGTCTGCGGATGCTCAGTACGGAGTACGGAGTACATGAGAGGAGAAGCAAACTACTACGTGTACTCCGTACCATGGGATATTTCTCTCCTTTGTGGAGAACCCCCTGCATCACTGGCAGTTTGGATGTGGTACAAGTGAGGTACTCCTGACAATCATGTCACACCAGAAAGTGGGAAGTGGGCCAAGAAGCTGAGGTTGAAAGAAGCGACACGAGCAGCAACGTGCGGCTGAGGATGCGAGCGCCAAGGAATGAGTGAGTGCATCTGGGCTGAGCTGAGAAGCCGATCGAATGTCAGAAGCAAAAGCAAGGGGGCGTCGTCGGCCAGACAAGTCACGTTAACTTGCTAACTACTCGTAGCTGTGACTGACCTAGAACTTAGGAGCAGGACTACGGAGTACGGAGTGCGTCCTCTGGATACTGCGTATGGATGCTCCGTACCGCGTAACCAGGCGAGGGATAAGACTGCCCGTCTGCCACCCACTGCCACCCACTGCCACCCACTGCCACCCTGGGTGGACCAAAATAGCGAAAATAGCGAGGCACTCGTACTCCGTAAGTCGTCAGACTTCCAAGGGGGAAACACGTCTGGGCCATTCACGGGCTGGAGCCTGCAGGTGCTCTAGCGCTGTAGCCTGTAGGGGCCGAGCGCTCCCTCGTAGGGGGAGTTCCTTGACATTCCTAGGGCTTCCCAAGGCCAAGTCTCCACCCAAATCTGAATCCCCCATGATTCTCCCCCTCGCCCCTTGATTTTGACACCGTGGCCTGTTATTTATTTCGCTGCCTGCCCAGCTGTGGCATCCATTCTTGCCGCACCCACTCACTCTCTCATTTCACCTTCGTCGCTTGCAATCTTCTGTACTTTGCCGTCCTTCACCCAGGTTATGATTCATCTCCACCTCTCATCCGACTGTCCTCCGTGACCAAACATGCCACCTTGAGGACAGGTGGTCACTTGGGCTGCCCACATCATAAGCTACAGACTGTCCAGTACTGCCGTTCGGAGTACTCGACAGCTCTCCCATCATTTCTCATACTCGCCATCGCTTGCAAGACGCCAACATGGACGCCCCGTCTCCCTCAGCAAGCATTGATCCCGCCTCTCTGGCTATGACCGGCTACTCTCAGTCTTTTCCCGCCACCCCGCCCCAGTCGGAACACGCTGCCAGTCCTCCTCCAGAGGCAGCCGACCAACAGAAGAAGAAGAGGAAAGCATGGGGTCAACCAGTTCCTGAAATCAAACAGATCCTCCCCCCACGTAAGCGGGCTAAGACCGCCGAAGAAAAGGAACAACGGAAGAACGAAAGAATTCTTCGAAATCGAAGAGCCGCTGACAAGTCTCGGCAACGTCAGAAGGCCGCTGTCGCGGACCTCGAAGTCCGACAGATTCGGATCGAGCAGGAGAACGCTTCGTTGCGCGACCTTGTCGCTCGATACCAGTCTCGCTTCGGCGTCCAAGCTGATTTTCCAGCCCCGTCTTTGGCTGAGCCTTCGTCAATGGACTTCGACTTGGACTCGACGCCAGCGCCTGTGGACGTCAAGACAACTTACAACACACCCTCATACGCACCATCACCCTCCGAAGCGGCCGAAACCGTATCAAATCACCCCACCCTAGTTGAATCTGAAGATCTACCTACCCTCAAACATGAATCCCCAGTCCTCGCCCCTCAATTGAACCTCATCAACGACCACGCCGAAGCTGACCATTCTGCTTCTATGGCGACGTTCGGCAGCTTCGCCCCTGTCTCCGGTTTGACACAATATCCTGCCGTGGTATTGTGTGACCTGCAGTGTCAACCGGACACATGGGCTATCAGCCTGCCATCGTTCCCATCCAATCAGACTTCTCAGCTTGGGCTCAGTTACCTCCTTCAAGTATTCCAGACCTTGACGATATTTCAAACCTTCTCAACGACAACTCTCTTGCCGATCTACAATCTCTTCCAGATTTTGGCACAGAGATTATCCAAGACCTCGACGGAACAGGATTTCTCCTCCATCCTGACCAACTTCCCACTAATTCATTCTTTGATTTCGATGCCTTCGACACCGACCAGACCAGCAGTCTTCCGCATGAAACTTCTGAGCCGACTTCTCGCATGCAGCCCACACATGGCGCGCCTATTACTGGCAGCGACAGACCGGGCTTTGCAGCAAGTAGTTAGCGAGGATGGCTTCGCCGAGGACTCTGATCGTCGGTGGACTTGGTCGAGTCTGATGACCATTAAGTGGACCATTTTGAGGTTGGAGAGAGAACATCGGAGAATCCGACGACAAGTCGCCACGAAGCACAATGGAGTCACAGAACTGAAGGTCATGTCTGGCGTTGATTACGGAGCGGTTGCCCGAAACTCGAGGCTTTGGCGAGCGGGGTCGAATTCAAATTGTACTACTAGTTGTGATGACAATTGGGTGCTGGCACAGGAGGTGCACTGATTATAAGCGGTGCCTCCTTTTTCCATAGACGCTCACGAAATGAAAAAGCTTTTCTTAAAACGATTGTCGACCGAAGATCTCGAATTTTTTTTCCCGCTGCACGTTTCAGCAGCAGTACTCGTAAATAGCCACTTGAGATATTCGTGCGTCACAGGATTCGTCTGCAACCCGAGCACGTAGTCATGTGATATCATGTGACCGAGTTCAGTCTTGGCAAATTTGATACGCGTTCGAAGCGAAAGGCCCAGCGCGAGTCGATCGCAGATTCGCTGCCAAACTTGAAAAACACCTACAAAACATTCCCCAACATAGAGTGCGCCTCAACCTGAGTAAGCGTCGTCGCGGCGATGCCTCCATTCAAGGATGAGCATGTGCTCGTGAGTAGCCCCTCTCCGTGCCACTCAACCTCCCCCTCCCGCGACACTCCCTAATGCTAACCACCTCTAAACTCATTTAGATCATTTCGCCCGGGTCCCAGATCACTGCTGCGCAACTGGGCCTTCCAGAGACGTTCACTCCTCCAAAGTTCCGCTTTCCCACTCGCATGTTCCCTAGTCTTAAGCCAGGGGAATGGGAACCATTAAGGATCCGAAGCAAGACCGTCAAGGTCCCAAAAGCCACGCCAACTGAAGCCTTGACTAATGGCACGGAGCCGAAGGCTGAGCAGCCTAATGGAGAACCTGTTTTGGTTGCAGATGTCGAAATGCAAGAAGCCCCCGTGCTGACAGAGGCAAACGAAGCAGTAGTGCCAGCACCACCAGCAGATCCTCCGGCACAGGCGGCCGTAGATGTATCGCAAGATGCCCAGTCAGAAGCACCACCAGAAGCCCAGCCGGAACTACCATCAGAAACAGCTCAGGCGCAAATAGAAGAAGCAGCTCCTACCAAAGAAAAGCAGGAGACCTCACAAGAAGGGCAGGACTCTCAACAGCAGGAGACAACGCAGGTGGTCGAAGAGGATTCTATCGAAACATTCGAGGATGATCACTGGTCTACAGAAGGCGCCGTCTATCCCATCCGCGAAGGTCGCATCGAGAATTGGTCATGTTTCTTTGCGCTCTTGTCACACATCTACAATATGATTTCCCCGCCTTTCCACATGCCGGTCCTATTCGTCTCTCAGCCATGTTGGTCGAGTCGGGATAAAGAGATGATTACTCAGTATGTGTTCGAGAATTGGAAAATTCCAGCCTTCTGCCTCATGGACGCTGCTTTAACGGCCTGCTACGCCTACGGAGTGCCAACCGCATTGGTGGTGGACGTTGGCCACAGCAAAACCGACATTACCGCTGTAACGGAATTCCAGCTCAATGAAATCGGCCGTGGTGTCGCGCTTGCGGATACGGGCGGACAAGCATTGACGAAGAGATTGCAGCAGGAGCTGAAGAAGAACGATTTTGACGAGGATATGGCCGAGCAATTGAAACGAAGTCCTATTTGTGAAATTCTCCCCCTTGGTGCCGCTCTGCCAACTGGAGCGGCCAATCCTGAAACCGTGAACCCTGCTGCTGCTGCGTCGACTGGAGCCTTAGACTCGGGTGTCAATGCTAGAGATACGGAAGGGCTACGTCCTGGACAGCAACCACGAGGTCCTGGATTCGGAACTGCCGTCGGAGATGATGCTGTCAATGACGACAACGACGAGGAGGACGATGGTGTTCTAGACGTTGCGGCAATCGTTGCTAGAGACAATGCTGCCGAACTGTTAGCTAAGAGGGAGCGAGAGAAAGCTGAGAGGGCTTTGGCAAAGAGCAAAAGTGGTGCGGAACCACCTCGGCCAGTCCGGCTCAGAAATTCGGAGCGAGAACGTGCAAGCTTTACGTACGTCGAATACCTTCCGATCCAAGAATCAGAAGACCCTGACGCAGTGCCCACTGCACGGAAACGGAAGCGAGAGATAGAAGTGGGCGTGGAAAGATTTATGGCTGCCACCCCTGCCCCTGGTATGACGGACGGTATCATCGACACCATAGCGGAGGCGATCCACCACACGATTCTCAGTGTCCCCGAAGTACCTCAGAGATCCTCTCTCTGGGATAATTTGATCATTTTAGGAAATGGAAGTCGGATAAGAGGTTTGTACTCTGAATATATGATGCAGCTCATGGTTCTTAACCTGTCTCTAGGGTTCTCCAGCTCTCTATTGGCGACATTGAACGCAAGATACATTCTATCGCCGTCGACAGCAACAATATTCACTTCTGAACTCCCATCAAACTTCACCACGCCTGTTGCTACCCCTGGAACCAATACACCAATCCCCGGTCAAGGTGGACACCTCCAACACCACCTCGGCGGTCATGGCGTTAACCCGCTCCTGGTTGCTGCCACGAAGAACATGATGCAACCAAACCCGCACCTCCAAGTCCCTGCCCAGTTAGGAGCCGATCCGAGCTTACACCAGAGCCATCGCGGATTCAGCCAGTCACCAACGTCGATCAAAACAGTGAAACCTCCCGAATATTTCCCTGAGTGGAAAGACCCCAGCGTGTCGGGCATGGAGGAAGCATCCTTCCTCGGTGCCCAAGTCGCTGCCAAAGTCGTCTTCATCGTCGACCAAGGTAACTCCAAAGGCTTTTTGACTCGGAGTGAGTACAACGAGCTGGGCCCCACGGGAATCCATGATTGTGCTATGTAGGGCAAAGCCTGTCATGGAAATAGAACAAATTCATTTTTTGATCAGCAAGATAAAGACGTTTTGCTGGCCACGCCGCGGCCGTCACCGCCGCGGCACGAGAAAAGTCGCAGTCCGAGCTTTTTTAGGAATGGGAAAAGACGCCATAGATGATAGATGATGGGTGGGCTCCGGTACGAGTATGAAATTCGGGCGTGGCATACTCGTTATTAAGGTCATCAATCAATCATATGCTGATGGCCATCCATACTACCTCAAAGATATCAAAATTATCAAACAGTAATCCCCAAATCCCCAGCAGGCCCCCGCATTTACTTTGCTGAGACTCCCTCGGCATTGAAAGTAAAAATCCACGATGATCACTACTCGGTCCTAATTGATGATGATGAATCACCCCCTCCCAGCGCTCATCTCGCCTGGCGTGCCGCCACTGCCTTGCCAACCCCCTCTCTACCCAAGGAATTTACTTAGATGTACTCCGTCCGTCGTACGACTCAGGCTGGGCAGTCACCTTAGTCAATGCCCCCGCTGCAGGGTTCAGAGGTTTAGATAGTTAGAGAGTGCCCGTCCCGACTTATCCGTCCAGACAAGTCGTACTATGTATCTGCTGCGTATTAATGACTGTAGACCACTGGCCACTGACCACTGCAGTGACCCCAAGCTGTCTGGGGAAGCGTTAGCTTTGGCCTCAGCCTTGGGGCCAGCACCATCCGAGGCATCTGAGGGTAAATTGCCAGCTTTACCCCGCGGGGACGGCATTATTCGACGAACGACATCGATAGACGTGCGGATTGTGAAATCAACACCTTGGTGGACTTCATGAGTGCTCGTCCATGGGACACTGTGTGCTTGGGGCTTTGATCGTGCCGACTGCTTACTATATATACTAGGAGGCAGCACCAGACCGGAGTTGAGCGCAATCTCATACCTATCTATCTGCAGTATCAGTATCAGTTGGAACCGATAAACCAAACGCTGTTGGTGTCTTCTGTTTTCTATCGGATAAAGAGACCGAGGACTCCAGAGGGCAAGGAATGTTTTATCTCTATTCTTTCGCTCCCTGACTGTTTAGCCCTCCCCTTCGAAAAATCACCCCTTTCCTCTTCTACTCTATCCTTCTCGGGGCACGGTAAGAAACACTCACTTCGCGATTCAATATGCCTCACGCGACGACGACGGATACGGAATACAAGCATATTCAAGTGAAGCAGCTTGGTGCTACATTCGTGGCCGAGGTCACAGGCGTAGACTTCTCGCGGCCTGTGGAAAAGGAGGTCTTCGATGAGATTTATCGAGCTATTGTTGCCGTATGTGTTGCCTCCATCCCCCCTTCTATTAATTTGAGGAATTGCATCTCCTATTATGATGTTTCATGAGCTTTCTGATGAATGAGCTTTGGGATTTTTTAAACAGTATGGCGTGTTGATTTTCCGGCACGCGTCGCTCGACGATGCCCGCCATGTGGCTTTCTCGGCCTTGTTCGGCGACTTGGACGACATCAAGCCGTATATAGCGCTGGGCAGGAAGAATCGGTTTGCTTTCGACGAGCTGTTCGATGTCAGCAACCTCGAGGATGATGGGAGTTTGGTGAAAATCGGCAGCAAGAGGCATCACATGGGACTCGTAAGTAGATTGAAAGCCCTGATCTCTTAGTATACGCACTTGGATCAGCATTTGAGTGTTGTCCTGACTGTATCATTGAAGGGCAACGGGATCTTCCACGTCGACTCCAGCTTTAACCCGCGGCGAGCCGGCTTTAGTCTGCTTCGTGCCCATTCGCTCCCTCCCAAAGGGCATGGGGGAAACACCGACTTTGCAGATACAAGGACAGCATTCGAAGAGCTCCCCGAAGATCTGAAGAACGACCTCGTCCAGAACGAGTACATAGGCGCACACAGTATAATGCACTCGCGCAGAAAAGCCGCCCCCGTGGACAGTACATGGTTGAAAGATATTAACCCAGAGGATTATCCGTTTGGGCGACACAGCGTCGTGCAAACACATGCCCCCAGTGGTAGACAGAACATGTACATTGCAAACCACATACACCACCTTGAATACCGGACACCGCGGTCCAAGGATTTTGTGCCTAGCAAAGAACAACCCTTTGAGCGCGTGCCGGAACCCCAAAGCACGGAGCTGATTGAGAAGCTACTCGCGCACGCAACTCAGCAGAAGTACGTGTACAGCGTGGAATGGGAAAACGAGGGCGACCTTGTTCTCTGGGATAACACCGGCGTGATGCATAAGGCCGGGCAGGGGACATTTATGGAGAAGTTTGCCCGTGATATGAGAAGGTGAGTTGGAGAGTGTAGATTTGGTCGTATCGAATACAGAGGACTTACTCTTTGATAGGTGTACCGTCCATGATGGTGGTAAGGATGCCTGGGGCTTCAATGAGAAGTCCAGTGTGAGGATGGGCTTGCCCTGAGCCGGTCAGATTGGCATTGTGTCATAGCAGTCAAGTGTGGCAGTATCTCATAGCCGTAAGATACAGAATTGCGTGGATTTGGCAATCTTTTCTTGCATGGACGTGGAATTTGAAATATTTGCTACACGCATGATGAAACATCAATCATCAATCATGGAGACCGAGCTGGAGCGTCGACGAGCAGCCACGATGAAGACGCAATCTTCGTTTGGTTTGATGGATAGCATAGAAAGCCAATGATACTCGTTGAGAACTTGAATGATACTTCGAGTGTTTGTGTACTCACTATGCCACGAATGTTGATACAGACGTTGTGCCATCCCATGGAACAGTGCCCACAAGGAAGGATCCCTCCCGAAGACGCTGACACCGTGGCAGCCTTTATACCACGGTGTAGGTGTATATCACGTGCACACTGAACGCGTCGCCTCAAGAACTCGGATTTAAATCTCTATTCAGTATGCACGTGCGGATAGGATGATTTAATGCGAAATGACAGCCTAGAAATTCCAACGGGACATGATCACTTTAACTGTGGAATCCGTGAACACAATTAGACCAGGCGTTGATATGCTAAACTGCAAGTCAGGTTAGCCCAGCACTTAACGAAACTCGAAACGCGACGATTATCTTTGATTCCGCAAGCACACGTTTCTTTCGACATCAGGCGTCTTAGACTAGCACAGCTGGCACGTTTACGAGCCCCCAAAAGCTCGATTTTGTGGGTAGATGGCCCCTGAGCACCGCCTAGATCTACGGAGAACTAGATGCTACTCCAGTGACAGTGGCTCGGTAAGGATAGCGACGCGCGATAGCGGAGCCACACTTCTGGGCGATGCTCCGCTTACCCATCCTCAGGGCTCTTCACGCACGACGGCTACGATTGCACTGTAGGATGTTCTCTCTTTGGGAATCGTCCCTTGGCAGATGTCAATGAGATGCCCATTCTGACAGGCTCGCTAAGCCAGAGGGTTGTCTTCGGCCGCTCCTTAAAATTCGACAGTGGCTATGTTTAACTTGACCTGTTTGACTCGGTCCCGTCAGCTCGGGGTTCAGCGGCCTTGAATTGTTCGTCGACACAACGTCGTATGTCTACTAGACATCCATCAATGCTGTTTGGAAATATATCAGTCAATATTCGCATGATGGAGTGAAGAAGCGGAGGATAAATTCTGATCATGGATCATTCTTTGCCGCGGGCGGCATCACATGCCAGGGACTTTGTCCGAAACTGGCTGCATAAGATCGATCAAACTTTTGGAGGAGATAATTCTTCGCAGAATACACGGGCTGCCACCGCATCTACCTCGAACTTCAACGGATATGTATCTCTCCCCGTTCAAGGCATTGTTCTTCATGCTGGAAGTTGGCTGCGTCGGCATACTTCGTCTTTTGCGGCGCCGCTATGGATTCTACCCAGTTTTGTCACGGACAGCCTCAATCACAAACCACGAGCGAAGACCTCGTCGGGGAACAAAATATCTGCGCTCGATGGCCTTCGAGGTCTGTGCTGCTTGATGGTGATGCACATGCACTGGACTTTCGCCTTGACCGATTCTAATGATGGCGGCTCATGGGAGACGAACATGAAATATCTCTTTCATCGACCTTTTTGGTATCTCCTCTGGGCAGGGACCAGCCACGTTAATGTCTTCTTCGTTCTCAGCGGTTATGTACTGTCTGTGAAATGTCTGAATATGGTGCATCAAGGAGTCCCTGCTCATCGATTCATTTCGTCTGCAGTGCTCCGACGTGCGACTCGGATTTTCCTACCACCAATTGCACTGATGTTTATATACCTAGTGGCTGTGAGATTACACATTTTCCATAACAGCGTCGCAATTCGGGAAGAGAATTCCTGGTCTCAAGAGTTTCAGCTCAGATTCTTCGAACCTTGTCCACCGCTCTATCCATCGTTTTCCCAGCAGTTTTGGGATGTCATCGGCGCTACTCAAAAACTTCTGGATCCAAGCACACATTTTGAGCTGCCAGACTACGGAAAATACGATAGCCATCTCTGGACAATGCCTACCGAGTTTTACTGCTCGTTGGCGCTGTTTCTCGTCTTAGTGGCTACATGTCAGCTTTGGACTCGTTATCGAGTCCTACTTCATGCTTTGCTTGTCGCTTGGTGTTGGCTCACAAGCCATCAAAATCATGGGTTGTTTTTCTTCGGACTTCTTATTGCAGAGTTGGATATTCTTCTGAAGGCACGATTCAGGCTACCTCAGGAACCGCCGTCCAGCTCGGCTGTGACGCAAAATACCGCCAAGCCCTGGGCTTCACTACAAGCAAGGCTACCAATTGGAGTGGCATCTTATTTCGCTATCTCAAATATTATATCGACAGTAGCTTGCTTTTTGGGGCTCTACTTGCTCTCGATGCCTCTACTATGGGCAGAAGAAACACCAGGTTTCAGGGGCTTTTTCCACTACATGCCAGCATACATGAATACCGGACAGCAGGGGGATGCTCTGCGTGCCTTGGGTGCTGTTCTCACTGTGTGGCCCATTACCTTCACAAGCACAATCAGCGGCGATGCATCCTCAACACCAATAATCAACTTCATCCTCTGCAACCCTGTCTCTGCATATCTCGGTCAGATATCTTTCGCGTTCTATCTTATCCACGGCTTTGTGATCCGAAGCTTAGGATACTCGATCCTGCCTTCCCTGTACGTCTTCGTCATCGGCAGCGGCCAGCGACGGGCCGAGCTGGCGCCCACACAGTACATGACTGGCCAGGTATATGCAGCCGAAGCGAGGTTGACGGCACGAGAACTTGGCACCATTTGGGTTTTGGGATATCTCATCGTTCTACCCACGTGTATCTGGATGGCCGATTTGTTTCATCGGTTTATTGATCTGAAATGTGTTGCGCTGGGTAGGGCGATGGAGGAGAAGATGATCATGAAAGATGAGGCTGCGATGTCACTGCCCGTCGCGGCTGGCAAGGTTTCTTGAGCGAAACGTGGGCATTATCAGCAATGCACATCCTCGTCTCCGTCTTGTGGGTGAAACTTTCTTATCATGATGATAAAGCAAGCACCGGCCTCCGCCCTGCTAGGTGGGGCTCGGAAGACGATTGTTCTTGGAACCACCGAGTCCAAATATAGTCAAAACTTAAGACCTGGCGACGCCTCGAAGAGTTGAATGTCTATTGAAAAGATCGAAGGGCTGAAGCAGACCTAGTCATAGGAATTCATAGAGGCGAGAATTCCTGATGCCGGCAAATGCAAGATTCTCCTTCAGGTCCTCCAGGTCACAAGTGTCGCACACTCTTGTGGGAAATCTGGAGTTCAGAGTGGGTTCTGGCTTGTCGTTTTGTGAGCATAGTGAACTTAGGAGTACAGCTGTATCTTTGCTTTGTCGCGGCTCTTCCGGCTCCGCAGTTCGCTCGACCACGATTGAACCGGGACTAGGCTGTCTTCAGCGGGAAGAGACTTTCTGTTTCGTCGCAGATCTTGTGAAAGCCTGCTAGAAAGGCGGTGCAGGGTGGAAGTGAAGCGAAGTGGGAAGCGACGGTCCATCATGTACGATCAAAAGTTGAACAGTGAGACAATTCAATGGTGTGGTCTGGAATGTTAGAAGCCATGTTCAACGGAGTCGATTTCCTCAGCTTTAACATATTTTTATCTTCGCTCGCTCGTGGAGCGATACTCCGTCCTCCCATCCACGTTCTACCTCACCACACAGGACTATGAAAACGGGCTAAGACTCAGCCTGGTTAATGCACGAGATCCAGCTCGCCGGTCTGGAAGGGGGGGAAAACCACGCACAAGCACGCACGTCCACCACATGGAAATCCCAGGAACCTGGTTCCGACAGATCCTTCGTCGGCTGCCATAACTCAATTCGAGTTTGGATTTTGGTGCGATGGCATTGTATGTCCGGTCGGACTTGGATCAAAGGAGAGGAAACTATTGCAAAGCACGGACTACAGTGCCGGAGAATCGGTCAGGACGAGGCAGGCTGGGGGAGATATCCAGGGTCCCAAGCTGACACGGTTCACCCAGCGGTCTAGGTATGGCTTCAGTGAGAACAAGAGACGTCATTGGCGCAAACGAATGCCAGATAGTTCGGCATCTTTGCAGTCTGCGCCCAGAGTGCTACCGTTGATGTGCAAACCAAAGTATTAAATTGCCCGAACTCCAAAATTGACATTCTCTCGGGACACATCCCAGCCGATGAAGATGCCAGATATCGGGTCGACTAGACAAGGTGAGACTGAAGAACACTGCCAAGTCTGTCCACGATGTCAACGTGACAAGACTTCCTGAGTCAACTCTAATCTCAGGACGTCATACTGCACACAGATTGATATTGGGGGGGACAGCACAATCATAGGTGGTAGCGTTGGAGATTAGACTGAGAACGATCTCATCCAACTCCTAGAACTTGACTAATACGCACCTCTGGATCACCTTTACTATCTTGACGTCCTTGCCCATGTGCTGGAATCAATATGTCAACATATTGATCAATTATGTTGTCACTTGAGCAATGTGGGCGCAGCAGCCTGCATGCACGCAGTCTCCGAAGAGGAATGGCCTCAGCCTTGTGTCAATCACATCTTCAAGTTGATCTTGCTGCGATCTCTTCATCATCTCGCCCACATGGACATGGTCTGGCTTTGAATTTAGTGCTCTCCATGATCGCCTCATCCCGCTGGCCATCACAATCCGATTCCACGTATACGATGTGCCTCCATGAAGGAATCGGGTAAGCGACTCTCATTGCCTGTCCATAACGAAGGCCGGTGCACCGCCGAGATACGCCCTATCAGCGGGTGCGAATGGACTCCGGAATGCTGCAGGCGAAGCGCGGACTTGAGAATGTCCGAACCGCTGGGTCACCCAAGAGAGAGAAAAATTTAAAACCATACCATGGAAGTGAACGAGGACTCTCCCTGTCAGCTACGGCGGTTTCATCAAACGGCGACCAAGCAGTTGGATGGATTTATGCCGTTCCCCTTTAGATGACTGCCGTAGGAGGCGTGTTAGATGAGATTCGTCCTGACTTACCCAACCGACCAAGTGATGACAACGGCCGTCTGCTGGGTCGAAGGCATTCATAATGCGGCACAGTTTTGTATTGAGCCCTGGGCTTTTATCTATGAGCTCCCAAAACGCTACTACCTGATGGGCAGGATGAAATCTGGCATTGTATTGCTGTCAGGAGCTATGTTTCGGAAATTCCAATGTCGGAATAGAACTATTTGGGCACTTGCCTCTGGGCAACAAAAGAGGCATCCTTCAAGACACCATTCCTTGCAAATATCGGGAAGTTGACCACACGACACTTTGATCCATGGCATCCAATTCAACTTTGATCTATCTCGGTCCAGGCATAACGCCGCGTGAAGCCAGCGAATGATGCAATCTACCGTATTTCTCAAGCCCTCAACGACAATGACAATATTCTCCTCCGCTCAAGTCTCATTTTCGACGCGCTAGTCGATCATTCTAGCCTCTCCTCCCTCCAACCAAGGGCATAGAGTATATTGAACGATTCGTTCGGCACCATTGGGCGCATGGATGCCGGTCATCATGCTAGCAATGTCCGAGTCAAGGTCAATGAAAACGGAGCGGAAGCTGAAGTCACATGCTACGTGATCGCGAAGCTGTATAAAGCGGGAGAGGGACAGAACCAGGAGAAGCCTACGTGCCTGAGGGTCGGAACTCAATTTCGTGCTGATGTTGTAGAGAAGGAAAGATGATGGAAGATCCAAAAAGTTGAGCTCTCCTACAAATGCTAAAAGGTAAAGGCATGAAATTCATAACATCTCTGAACAGGAACGAATAAGTCAAGTGAAGTATCATCCGTCACAAACAGCTCTTCACAGCGCTGAAGAGCACAATCAATTAGGACCAAGTTAAACCAATACCTCGCTGTGCAAGACGCGTGGTATACACCGCGCCCTTACGGGCGGTCTTTCATCCGCCTTAGGCGGACAGGGGATGAGCACAAGGCGGCATCACCTACGGTGGAACTCTTGATCTCAAAGCTTAGTGTTGGTTAATTGTACAGAAAGTCCTTGGCGTCTGTTGCTCGTTTACATCAGTGTTCGAAAAAGGGACACATCTATAGCAAAGGCTTTGCTCTCGTGTGGACGGACTATGACTTGACAGCTTGAATTCACGGTTCTCCATGCCGACTTATCCGAAATGGCGAGTAAAACCACGATAATTAGAGCTGTGACTTGTAGAGACAAGACAAAGGCCGAGGGGATTCGCCTCTGGCATACGGATTGGCTCCAATTCCGTGAGGAGAATAGAAGATAGACCCCTGTATGATAGCGTGTTCGTCCTGTCTGGGGTAGCGGACAACAAGCAAAGGCTAAAACTCAATAATAAGGATGTGGAGACATTAGGCTATGCTATGCAAAAGACATGCTCATTCTGTCAGTACTCTTGAACTATAACATCGCCAGAGATGTCCAACGCGCGCAAACTCGACGAAGCTTCAGACTCAACCAAGACCTTCCCGCAGCCCTCTCAAAATGGATAACAAGGTCATAGATTCCAGCCACTCCGAAGATATCGAGAAACACGGAAATGGCCAGGTAGGCTTCCGGGATAATCATGGAGTCCTCATATCTCGAATGGAAGAAGCACTGGCCCAAGAAAGCCCGAAACCGCTGCGCAAAAGTTTTCTCAGACTTTATGGGTGTATCTTTGTTGCATATCTTTGCTGCGCAACGAACGGCTTTGACGCTAACACGTTTGGTATGTGCTCTTCTAGAGTTCTCCTGCAGAGTTGAATTGATTCTTTCCATTTAGGTGGACTTTCGGCCATGCCAGGCTTCGTGGATTACTTCGGAATCAACAAAAACAACCAGGGCCTAGTGGCTGCTTTGTACGTGATTGGAAATGTAGCAGGAGCTTTCGTCGCCGGGCCCTGTTCCGACAAATACGGTCGCCGAGCTGGAATGGCGATCGGATCCATCATTTGCATCATTGGAGCAGTGGCGCAGACGGCGGCACAGAATATCTCAGCCCTGGAAGGTGGGCGATTCGTGCTAGGTATTGGCGCTGTGATTGTTCAGACTGCTGGCCCCAGCTATGTCGTTGAGATGGCGTATCCGAAGTACAGAGGTCAACTCACGGGAGGATATCAAGCCTGCTTTTTCCTGGGAACAATTGTGTCGACCTGGTTGGAATACGGGTTGTATTTCTGTAAAACGTCCTCTTCGTTTGTCTGGCGAGTCCCTCTGGCAGTCCAGGCTACCCCCTCCCTGGCCATTCTGTGCTTTGTCTGGATGATCCCTGAGAGTCCTAGGTGGTGAGTCAAGTCTTATACCTGAACCAAACAGCAAGGCTGACTAACGCGAAATGTAGGCTGCTCGCCCACGATCGTCTCGAAGAAGCCAGAGCAATCCTAGTCAAATACCACGGCGACGGAAATCCGGACTCTTTGGTAGTGACAGTCGAGCTTGAGGAGATGCTGGAAGTTATCCAGCTGGACGGGTCGGACAAAAGATTCTGGGATTTCAGAGAGCTATTCAACACCCGAGCGGCCAGATATCGAACTTTCTTGGTCACCTGCATTGCTTGGTTTGGAGAACTCGATCTGCCGCCCACGAGCTACTACTTCCCATTGATGGCCAAAACAGCGGGTATTACCAGTGTGCAGACTCAGCTCTTGTTGAATGCGTTGCAGACACCTATCATGATGGTTGCCGCTCTCTGCGGCCTTCGCTTCGTGGAGAAGCTAGGACGCCGCAAGGTGTTGATGGCATCTTCGGCTGGAATGTCGGCATCAGTCGCGGTCATAACAGCATGTACCGCCAGACAAGCTGGTAAACCAGCCGTGGGAGCAACAGGAGTCGCCTTTTTATATGTCTTCTTGGTAGTCTTTGCCTTTGCTTGGGTGAGTGGTTCAACAATCATCCTCAGATCACGATGTCCCCGGCTAATTCAAGACAAAAGACACCGATGCAGTCATTGTATCCGTCAGAGGTATTGGCATTCTCAACGCGCGCGAAAGGACTGGCTTATCTCAATTTTATGAACAACGCGGTCAAGGTGCTCAACACCTATGTTCCTCCAGTGGCCATCGCCAACAGCGGCTACAAATTCTACATTTTGTACATCATTTGGGACGCCTTTGGGGTTATAGTGATATATTTCTTCTTTGTCGAGACACGGGGCCGCAGCTTGGAGGAGCTGGAAGAGTTGTTCAAGGCGAAAAATCCAAGAAAGGAGAGTACAAGAAGGAGATGAAAGGGTGCAGTAAGGATCGGTGATGTTGCACAAGGATTCGGAGATCTACTTTCCATATGAAGATAGGGTGTGAGTGTGCAGAACCGAGATCTCAATGATAAACATGGCAAACTGGCCAAGTCTATCTCGGTTGCTTCGTACCAAGCACTAATTAAGTACGAGTACTTCATACTCCATACCAGGGACGGAGCACCTCGGCACGGATCGTTTAGGCAACGATAAGCCTCAAGCTTCTTGATCCTAAGCTTCCTGGCGGATGCAACCTTCCTCTCTTGCTTATCGACGCATCAATAACCTGGTTATAGAACCCCCATCCTGTGGTGTACGCTTACTAGAAACTATTAGCTTGCCTTCATGAGTGAACAACTGCACGGTAAGAGTCAAACACCGTGCGCGGTAAGGCGACAACCCACCGTCATATGCCTGCACCCTCTAATCAAGCTCTTATGACTGGGATGGGCGAGATGGGTACAACAGAACGACATACATCTAATCCACTATGTGGGGACAAGGTAGGATTGGTATGGCTAGAATTCACGATACTTTCGTCACAGTCATGGAGACTCCAAGGTTGGGCTTGCTACCCTGCAACTACTAGCGTTGCAAGTCCCTGGACGGAGGATTCGTGAATTGATAAGGTGCAGTTGAGCTAAGTCTTGACATCAGACCTTCTTTCACCTCTCCATAACGGCCTCATTTCTGTTGTGGCTGTTTCATATTGCTGTCAATATGTGGCTCACATCTCTGCAAATTGTGTTTATTCTCATCGCCTCTGCTGTTGCCCAGTATTTTCCAGCAGAGCCAAAGAATGTCACAGTGGTGAAGTCTCAAATCCAAGACGGCGTGTTTGTCTCCTACAAAGAGGTACGTGAGGCAACTCCTCTGTTTTCATCGAGTCTAAAAACCCGTGTAGCCTGGACTATGCGAAACAACACCGGGGGTGCGGTCATACGCTGGCTATGTCCATCTGCCTCCAGGCATCGTTGACGATTTGGGAGTCTTTCAAAATTACACCATCAACACATTCTTCTGGTTTTTCGAATCTAGGAAAGATCCCGCCAATGCTCCACTCTCCATCTGGATGAATGGGGGTCCAGGAAGCTCGTCAATGATTGGTCTGCTTCAGGAGAACGGTATTGTTTTTTTTGTTTTTTGTTTTTTTGAAGGTTGTTCCCCCAAGAGAAGCTGATTCCTTGGTCACAGGCCCATGCAATGTCAACTACGATTCGAACTCGACAACTCTCAATCCATGGTCTTGGAACAATGAAGTGAACATGTACGTTCGTCTTACTGAATCTGACTAGACCACGAATCCCAAAAACCTATCCGCCCCCCGGCACCTTGACCTTGACCTCATGGCTAATCTTTATTTATTTTCCCTCTAACTCCATTCGATAGGCTCTATATTGATCAACCAAATCAAGTCGGTCTCGGCTATGACGTCTTGAGCAACGGCACGCAGGATCTGCTAGATCCTTCTGGTGATGTGATAATCAGCGATTTCCCCGACGGAGTCCCGGAGCAGAACAACACGTTTCTGGTCGGCACATTTCCTAGCCAGATGATCAACTCAAGTGTCAATGGAACAAGCAACGCAGCAAGAGCTCTGTGGCACTTTGCACAGGTCTGGTTTCAAAATTTTCCCGATTATAAACCTAATGACGACCGTGTCAGCATTTGGACGGAGTCTTATGGTGGAAAGTACGGACCCGCCTTTGCAGCATTTTTCCAAGAGCAGAATGAAAAAATCGCGAATGGGACCTGGACCGATGTGGGCGAGACGCACCCGATCCATCTTGACACGCTGGGTATCATCAATGGTTGTGTTGATTCTCTTGTTCAAGAGCCTAGTTATCCTGAAATGGCGTACAACAATACCTATGGCATCGAAGCGATCAACAAGACTGTCTACGAGGAGGCGGTGGCTGCGTTCACTGCTCCCGGTGGAGTTCGCGAGCTGATTGAGACATGCCGTCAGCTTGCGGCAGAGAGCGACCCGGAAAATCAGGGAAATAACGTGACCGTCAACGAGGCATGCGTGAATGCGAGCGATGCGACAGGGGATATGGAGGGACCATACACCGTGTACTCTGGGCGAAACTACTATGACATCGCTGCCATCGATCCAGATCCATTTCCTCCCAATTATTACATTGGCTGGCTCAACCAACCCCACGTCCAACAAGCGTTGGGCGTCCCAGTCAACTACACTAACCCGGGAGGAAACGCTCCTTACTATGGATTCGAATTGACAGGCGACTACGTCCGCAGCGGCCATCTCGAGGAGCTCTCTAGCTTAATCGAAGACGGAGTCAAAGTCGCACTAGTCTATGGCGATCGAGACTACGCTTGTAACTGGATTGGCGGCGAGGCAGTATCCCTGGCCGTCAACTATTCACAATCAGCAGCATTCGCGTCCGCGGGATACGCGAATATCACTGTCAACTCGACGTACATCGGAGGCCTGGTGAGACAGCACGGGAACTTCAGCTTCTCTCGCGTCTTCAACGCCGGGCATGAGGTCCCCGCGTACCAAGCCGAAACTTCGTATGCACTATTCCACCGCGCGATCTTCAACCGCGACATTGCCACTGGCGACCTCGACACGGCGAAGAACGCGAGCTATTTCACAACGGGCCTCGCCGACGCCTGGTCCGTGAAGAATGTCGCCCCAGAAAGCGATCCGCCCGTGTGCTACTCCTACAATCCGGGTGCCACCTGCACTGACGATCAGCTTGAGAGCATTATCAATGGCAGCGCTGTGATCCAGAACTACATCCTCATTGACAATTACACGTCGCAACTGTTCCCAGGGCTTGTGAACTCGACAAGCTCCGATCAGGGACGAGCGAACGGGACCACAACTGTTACTGGAACGGCAAGTACAGGCGGGACGGCAGCAGCTGGCAATGAGGGAATTTTCGTGCAAGCACCCGGCTTGGTTGCTTGGACGTCTGCATTAATTGCTGTAGCAGCCATTCTGCTCTAAATCAGGTCGTGCAGTGGGTACGGTACAAACACGAGCACACTACTTGATTAGTTTACGCCATCCTTTCACTACCCAGGCACAAGAGGACACACGAAGTTGAATTCACCGTCCCTCGCAGTTCTTTCCACCTCCACCGTCTACCGCCCCTCTTTAGCCCTCTTCTGCTCCAACGTCTTGACCTCGCTATCCCGTGGATCCCGGATCTCACGGGCCGTGCCCTTTTCTCTCCGCACCTCTTTGATTGCCGCTTGGCCTGAGCCTGCGGGCTTGTCGCTGTGCATGATATAGTATAGCGGGAAGCACAGTGCTAGGGCCCCGCCTGCGATACTGTTGGTTGCTGTTAGAACCCTTTATGCTTTCATGCTTTAAAAGTAGACAGGAGGCAACAGCATACATAGGGAGGTTATTTCTGGTTTTCACTCTCGTGGTTGTGTCGTCTGCATAGGCTCTCCTGAATGTGAGTCTTGGTGATGGGGATAACAGGGGGGAGAGCTTTGTGGCATGGTATGCCCGATGTGCAAGGAGGGCTCGTCGGTAGATCGCGGATTGCATCGTCGCTGAAGGTGCAATGTTTCTAGTGAGAGCTGTGCAGTGCTTGCAAAAAGGGATGCTGACGAGCACATGTCCATCTAAATGTTTCTTCTTGAGCTGCCTGGACATTAGACTTTTGCTCCAGCCAAAATGTTCGCGTCATGGGTGAAACGGTTACATCATGCTTCTCCATATTCAATGCCAAACGCTAGCGGATATCATCTCCCGACGAATATTTGGCCGCCGACATAATTCATGACAGATTAAGATCTAAGCAGATGTGGCAATCGAATCCTACAGCTCATGGCCATTCTGCTCGAGGTGGAGAGTGCTAAATGGCAAGCCTTGCAAGTTCAATGAAATGTTTTCTATGTATTTCCATTCTATCAACAATTGTGGTACACGCCATAGGGGGTTTGAGGTCGCAATGCGCCCCCCGTCTAATTGTACATAAGCTACTATCAACCACCAAACGCCTCAGCAGGAAACCGCTTCACCTCCAGATCATGCTAATTTCTTCTCCAAAATCCGTTCCACTTCAGATACGAAATGTAGAATACCCACTGTCCTCTGAGACCTGATACGAGCGGGGACTACGGTTAGAGCGATAGCTGTAGGCATGGCCATATTTGATGGACTGCGGAGAAGGGCCGCGACAGTGGACCAGCAGGGGCTTAGCCTTCTGAATGGGTTGGTACGTTCTGATTTCGCTCAATTCACTTCCCTGCTCGAATGGATCGTATTCAGTCTCATCGTCTTTCTCGGAGAAGTCGAATGCGAAGGTGGAGATGGTTGAGATGCTGGCAAGGGTGGGGACAGTCGAGGCTGGCGATGAGGCAAACGGATCTCCCGACATGCAGTTTGTGCTGTCTCGGACGATCCGGGGAGTGATTTGCCTTCCGTGGGTAAATGGGAGAGAGAAGGATGGTACGTTGGGCCTCGAGACAGCATTCTGCCGAGGCACTGCATTTTTGCGAGGAGCAGGTGTTGGGGTGACTGGCACCGACGGAGCAGAGGTGTTTGTGTCACTCGATATGGTTGGGGAAGACCAATCTGACTCCTCGCTCTCTTCTGAATCGTACATCAATTCGGGTGGTGATGATGGTGGCTCCGGCTCCACAACATCAGCAAGAGTGCCTCGGAATCGTGCCCTCGGCACTGACATGATACACTTCGTGGAACTGACGCTGGGGTTCGACTTGTGCTCAATTTGTCGCCGCCGAAATTGTTCGAACTCCTCAGACGAGCAGCTGTGGCATAATGCAACGCCTGGAGGGCACGCACATTGAGCCTGCACGTGGCATGATCCAGGATATCGAGGTTGCCTCTGTTTGGAAGCAATTATGGAGTCTTCAGAGACCGGGGTAGGCAAGGCTGAAGGTCTCACATATGGTTGATCATTCTCGCGTTTACCCCAGTGGCCAGTGTTGCCAAGTGGTGGGCTAAGCAGAGTTGGGGAGCTGAGCAAGTTTTCACGATCAGGAACATCGATCACTTGAAACGAAGAATCGAGCACCTTGCTCAGGTAGACCGACAATTTCTTCCGATCGACTTGACCGTTCGGACCGAGCCACTGACTAGCCCTGTGCGATCGTCTTTTCAGTGGGGGCTGATATTCAGCATCTTTCGGGGCTGGCCAATTATCCTGAACTGGCAGGGTTGGCCATGACGTCTGGAAATCATTTCCAAGAGTTGGTGAACACACTGGCGTAGGTGGGACGACATCCGTTCGAGCTACCACTCCATTCTTTCCAAGAATGCCGAGATGATTCGTGGTGGTCGCCGAGCACGGAACTGAGCTTTCTGATGACTGAGGATCTGGGTTGATCACCCTAAGGGTCGGTCTTGGGTGAGTGTGATTGAGCTGTGCAGGTCGTTTCTTACGGAGTTTCAGTGGAGCGGGACGCAGCTGTGCTGGAATCGGTGGTGGTGGTGCCTGGCCAGCTGGTGCAAGTAGATGCTTTGGTACGTTTTCGTTCGCAATCTGCTGTTGCTCCCTCAATAGTCTCATCACACGTTGTTTGTCTGCCGGGGGTGTAGGCGGCATTGGAAACAATGAAAAGCCTGATTGGTGTGATTGGTCCATAATCAGGTCTGGGAGAGCCAGAGCCTCGTTTGATTTGATGCTGTAAGATTCAGAGTCCACTTGTCGGCTCAGTGGTGATCAATGTTATTGTTGTTGTTGATTGTTGTGAAGAGGATGATAGCAGCAATCGATAAAGCAGATTGGGAGAACCATTGTTTTTTAATTGTGATCAATAATTCATCAATGCTAGATAGGGGATGGGTGCAGGGGAGTATCCGTGGAGTTCAAAAGAGTGTCAGAGCAAATTGGAGAGGCGTCACCAACACGTTCTGCTCATTCATCAAAGGTCAAAGCTGAACAGGCTAGACTGGAAGTACTCAGCTACCAAAGCGAGAAGACCATTATGGCACGTATCAGAGTGTCTTTGGGCGAGAGCAGAATAAGGTCTGTGGTAGCAGCTTCTGCGTGGAGAGCTCTGAGATGAGCAGGCCCAGATAAGCGCACTTACCTGAGTAGTGACAAGACATCATTTCTTGAAAGAGCTATGTCAATACTTGATTTGGGTGAACCGTCATGGGCATAATTTCAAAAGACAATCTGTGCGCGGGCTTGACGGCTTCGTGTGCTGTCAATGTACCTTGGAGCTGATCTTTGTGACAGCTTGCCTGACAGCACAATTACCGGTAACATCAACACATTGGCCGCGTATAACAGCTCACCATTATCCACGAAAGGGGTGAAGACATGGAGATTGAGATGTTGAAGACAGCAGTGATCATGGCCTACCCGTTTGAAAACGCCTTGCGGCCATACTTCGCTGTATTGGTCGCGAGACTGCTTCATGGTCGAGGCCAGGCTCCCAAATAGAGGAGCTTTTGACAGGTGTCGTTCTTGTTTGCGGGCCAAGACGCCATGACCGCGCAGCATTATTAGAGATTAGGCAAAGTGTCCATATGAGGATGGAAAGATCAAGACAAGAAAAGGTATTTGATCATGCTACTGTACATGATTCCAGATGTCCCTACGAGAACATCCAAGTCGAATCGTAGACTGTTGAGTCTTCCAGCCCTCTGGAGAGCCAGATCTCGTGGCCTTGGCGCCAAGACCACCATGTTGTAACGACATTGCTGAGTCATCCACGTTCATTTTCGTGGGTGACTGGCTTTCCCCAGCCACAACCTCGTCAAACATGCCACAAAGGGTATCAATCTGAACATGCCGTTGCACTGCCGCCTATTTACAAGGAACAGCACAAATTGCAAGTATGCACTGTGCTGTACTACTCGTGGTTCAAGTCTCAGTAATGACGAAGCACCCTGGAGCTGTAGTGGCTCGCGCTCACCCTCTCGTTGGATAATACCCACCTTAACCGAAGTAACCTCGTGATAGCTGCCGTATACGGTAAGATGTCTGGCTTAGCGTGTGGTTTCCCACCATTCCATTTTTGGCCCATTCTGCGAGTTTTTCAACCCTACCCGATTACGATCACCAGCTGAGCAAACCAAAGACCGATCAACCGTTGGCCATTTGGCTTTCTATCTAATTACGATGCCTCAGCCTCTCCCTGATTGGGAAGCGCGAACCTAGTTTCGAAGAATGGCTCCGATTTGGGCCATTCTGCGAAAGTGTTTGAGGCTACACAGCTAAAACGCTCATACATGAACTTCCCAATGAACAATTATAAAGTAGGTAGGGAAACACTACGTTCTCAATCAATCTATCCAAACTCGCAACTCCATTTCCTGTGAAGACGCCATATCTCTCACTTACGTCCTCATAAAGTATGATTGCCACATACCGCTTTGCACTAAAAAAGTATCGGCAGAGGCAGGCTGCCAAGTCCAGCCTTGCTCCGGTTGACGATGGCAAACAGATGACTGAGGGGGTTCCTAATGGAGCTCAAGCTCATCCAGAGTCGCACGCAAACAACAACTTATCCAAAGCTGCCAAAGAAAACTGTGCTCGATGCAAGGAAGAGAAGAGCGCTTTACGAAAATACAGGTGGAAGCTCCTCTTTTGTCTTCTACCAGCCTTCTTCGATGCCAGTCTAGACTTGACCATCGTCGCAACCGCACTTCCTCAGATCGCCTCTCACTTTGGTCAGTGCACGGCCCTCCATCCTTGAGCTTTCTCCAGACAAGTGACTAACCTCTCAAAGACAAATTCAACCAACTCAATTGGATCGTGACAGCGTTCACCTTGACATCCACAGCATTTATCCCCATTTTTGGGTCCTTTGCAGACACCTTCGGTCGATATTTCAGCCTTCAGTTCGCCATTGTCATCCTTACCATCGGGAGCGTCCTATGTGCAGTAGCTCCTGAGTGGGGCGTCCTGCTACTCGGTCGGGCATTGCAAGGTGTTGGCACGGCTGGAGTACAAAACGTCGCCATGATCATCTTGGCCGATAAGGTGTCACTGCGCGAGCAAGCCGTCAACACAAGTATCTTCCAACTAATGAACGGCGTGGGCTACAGTGTTGGACCCGTGATCGGTGGCTACTTGACCAACGCCGATTGGCGCTATTGCTTCGTGGTCAATGCGGGCATTTCGGTGGTGAGCTTTTTCTCAATCTTCATCATCCGCAATGATCTCGTGGCTGGAAAAATCTCCGTATGGCGACCTTCGGGCAATCAAACCCGGCTGCAAGCCTTAGCCTCGGGAATGGCCACGCTTGATGCAGGTGGCAGCGCGCTCTTCATCCTGGGAGTCGGCCTTATCATCCTTGCCACCGCTTGGGGTGGATCGACTTACGCATGGAACTCCAGTGCTGTGATCGTTCCTATCGTCCTCGGTGCCGTCCTCTTATTCTGCTTTGTCGCGTGGGAGATCCTGCTGGCGCCCAACCAATTTCTCAACCGCGCCTTCCCACGAACGGTTCCCATGATTCCCGCTTCTGCGCTCGTCTCCAAGGATCTATCACTCGTCTGCATCATTGCTGCAGGCACCGGTGCAGCACTGTACTCTGTCTTCTACTTCATTGGGATCTACTTCACTTTGGTCGAGGGCTACGAAGCTTCGAAAGCCGGTACACAGCTCCTCTATTACGTACCCGGACTGGGCGTGGGCGTGTACTTTGCGATATTCGTCTGCAACGTCTACCCGCGCCAGACATTTTGGCCTCTATCGCTCGGGACCACCGTCGAGACCACCGGCATTGCAGTACTGTGCTACGCGGTGAAAACCCGCAACGAGGTCCTCGTGAACGTGATGATGGCCATCGCCGGTGTCGGGACGGGCATGCGCTTCATGCCCTCGAACCTGCACCTCTCGGGGATGTTCCGTGACCGCCTGGCGCCAGCATATAGCATGCTGCGCTTCGCACTTCCGTTCGGCGGCACCCTCGCCCTCACGATCATGGGCTCTGTGTTCCAGAACCAGATGGCCAATGTTTTCGGCTCCAGCACTGCGACTGCCGGTAGCGGCGCCGGTTCCAGCTCCAATGGCACCGCGACCGTCAACCTCCACAACCAGGCCAACCTCGACAACATTTCCCTGCTGCCTGCAGACCAGCAAGCTGCCATTCGCGCACAGGGCGCCATTGCCACAATGTGGAGTTTCATCTCTATCCTCCCAATCCTCGTCCTGACGCTCTTCGCAAGCCTGGCACTGGGGAATGTCTGGATTTCGAAGAAGAAAGCCAGCAAAGGCGAAGAGGCAGCAGCTGCCGAGGCTCCTAGAGAAGACGGCACCTGCGCGCGACACGCCGGCGGTGCAGATGCCGAGCAAGCCGCCGAGACGCCCGGCTCTGGCACGGAGATCCTCGAGGGCGTCTACTTGCTTGCCCTACTTCGGGGGAATGTCAAGTCGATGAAGAAAAAGGGCCCCGAAGTAGTGGCCCCCAGGACGGCGACTGCCAGCGGCCCAGGAGAGCATCTGAGGCTCGCAACTGCGCACGACCATGCGTCGGTGGTGACGTCTGATAGGGGCGCTTCCGATGGGGAACGGACTGTGGGAGCGAAGAGTCTTGTTTGATTATCTTGCTAAATGGAAAAACAGCACTTTGTATGGCTGAGCGTTTGTCTAGACTGGTTTTTTGGATCGCCATGTCTCGACCCGAAAGTTCGGCCTTGTTTTCGTATAGAGATACCCCACAACTTGTATGCAAATATTAGACATCTACGATATCACGTGAAACCAAAAATTGAAATTGAAAAGGGAGCTTTTGGTCTTGACCATCTTCTATCCTCCCTCTAAAGAGTTAGTCTACGACCTTTTTCCCGTCTGCCCACGTCGGCATGACCGTGCGACAAACACTCTCATAGTCAAGAAAGACCTTTCTTTTCTCACCGTTAAGCAGATCCGGCGTTGTCCAGAACATAGTCCAATTCGTGTTTGGGATTTTCCAAGTGCCCCTGGAGCGTTCGAAGTACCATTTGTTTACAGGGTTGTCTTGCCTGCTGCGCCAGCAGACGCCGTTGGGGAAGCAGGTTCTCACCATGGCGTTGAAAACGATGTCTGCCACGCCGCCCGCGCCTTGGCTTTTCTTCAGAACTGCGAATTTGTCGAGGTACGGGACGAGGCGTGCGGTGTCGCGGTCTGAGATGTTCGGGAGGGATGGAGTCTCCCAGGTCAGAATAGCTCCCCCTTCGTAGTCGCCGGCGATAATAACGCCGGCGATGTGATCGTTCACCCGGTTCAGGTATGCTTCGACATCAAGCGTTCTATTGAAAGAGTCGTCAATTAAGTGGACAAGGCGGTCGAGGTCGATCCTCGGGTCTGTCAGCTTCAATCGCGGTGTACTCGCAGCCGTCCAGGTTTGAGCGTCCGGATTAGGCAACAGAATGAGTGGCATGCCTCGTTTTACAAAAGTAGACGTTGTCGCAGATGAAAATTGATCGTGCGCCAAACGCCCGCTAGGCAGCGAGGAAGAATAGGCAGGCTTGTCTGTTAGCAAGTTATGAATGAGTGGGTTCTTTTGCCGTCGGGTTCCGACACCTGCCAGTTCTGCATCAGCTTGCTTGCTAGTATTAGCAGCCGCCGATGGGGTGGTCAATAATCCCGACGAAGAGTGTGGCAACAGTTGAAGTGCATCGCGAAACATTTTCAAATTAGTGGCATGCTTCAGCGAGACATTACCACCTGTGGAGCTTCTGAGTTCTTCCTGCAGAGCTGAGTATTCTTGCGCAAGATTGACAAACACATGTTTCTGGTCCATCGATTTTGGGCTGGGAATACACCCAGTCTCATCAACAACAATGATTCTGTCCAGGGAGATCGGCTTCCAAGTAGAACGTAAGCCCTGAGGCTGATTTTCAGGGTGCTCATCTGGTCGAGTTTTGACAGCTCCCCTGGAGAGCTCTCTTGTCAAAGCTAGCAGAGCTTCGTTGGCAGTGATTTGAACGGCGCTTTGCTGCTGTTCGGAATAGGCCACAGGTAAGACTATAGGAACCCTACCTCTACGTAAAGGGCGAGTAAGGAGTTTTCGCATGAAAACTCCTGGACGTCCATCAGCCGCAAGGCTGAGAGCATTATCGACTCGCCTGGCTCCGGACTCGCCTGCGTTGTCAATAGCTGCGACCAAACGGTCTGCAGCCATTTGGAGGGTTTCTCTGTAGGCCTTATCTTTTGATTGGTGATCCTCCTCCAGCACAACACATGGCGCCATGCTCAAACGCGACAAAGAAGCTAGAGTCTTTGCAATCCCATCCAAAATGCTCTCAGACATAGCGCTAACACCGTTCAACTTGACCAATGCCACATGTAGCGTCTCTTGTTCCTCAATACCTTGGTCTAAGGCATTCCAGTCTTGAGTGAAGATAGGGCTTGCTTCTACCGCTCGCCCACGGGTGAATAGATCACCAAGGTTGACCTGAGTCTGCGGCTTGGAAGCTCTCAGCGGTGTGGCAGGGGATGCCGTTGGTGTTAATGGAGGTTGAGGCTTGGAAGGAGCCTTAAGGCGAGAGATGTAAGCTTTAGCATCTCTTTTTGTCGCCGCGGAAGACAGTAGATTGGTGAAGAATTCTTTGTTGGCCAATCTCTGTTTTTCCCGCTGTGCGAACCATCCACCCTGGTGGCTCGGGGTGTTCTTATCATCTTTGACATGTGTCATAGATTGAGAAGAATACAGTCTTCGAGAAGCCAAGCGGGTTACATTTGGGTGGGATGAGGCGAGAGACGCTCTCAAAGCATCAGCAGCAACATTATGGTGGGAGTGTTTTGAGCAATGGCCCTTGACTGATGCAGCAGACAAGGTTAAAGCAGTCTGGCTCATGTTTCATTTTTTGCCAAACGAGAGCAGGAACTACTTTGAACGGGAGGCATGAAGAGGAAGCAGGTAAATGGTCAGTAAATTGTCAGCGCCTATATTTTGGTCGTCTGGATGATGATCAGTGTGGCTAACAATCAACTGGGCGAAAGAGTCATAAATTAGACGAGATAAAAATGACGGTCAATGGACGAGATCCAGAATTGACGATACTGCCGAGAATATTCCTCGGGGGAGTTGTTCCGATTCACCGCCTTCGGAGGGCGCCACGTGATTTGCACGTGACTATTTATCACGTGATTGAGATCACCCTAGCAAAGATCGGATCGACTAATGATACGCTAAGCGGCGCTCTCCGTGGCTGATTGGGCGATTGGCGAGGCGCAGATCACTAGCATGTGTCTGCGGTTGATGACGTCGAACTCGAAGCGTCATTCAAACAACTTTCCAGCTGCGTGTTCACTCAGGTCGCAGTCGTTGCCCACTTTCAAGTCCTCAATGATATTCTCATTGCTCCTCTCAATTTCAAACATTGTCACTGCCTGGGAAGCCCTCTTCTAAGGCGGTCAAGTCTTCGTTCGAGGCTTCCTCCCAATATGGCGGCTAAAGTCTTGCAGTCAAATCTTGACGTTGACTATGTCATTAGCTATCGGCTCCCCACTGGTGAGATAGGATCCCTTCCACTCCGTTTCCAGAATGCTGATCATACCAGACAAAGGAGAAGGTACCGAACAATTCAAGAAACTCATTCGTGCCCTCGCAGAGACAGGTTTGACGACTGAGGTTCGAAGAGGGGACGAAACCTCCCTATTGGTCTTTGTCAAGGCTGCCAGTGAAGATATACTCGCACAAGTTGTCTATAGATCACGAATCAAGGACTGGCTATATGGAGTCCGTCAGATGCAACCTACCAGCAGTCCTGCTGATACCCTAGCTCGTGAACCTTTGACCGATGCTGAACGCCATCGCCAGATTCATCATATGATATGCTGCTCGGCTGAGGAGGGTGGTGCTGGTATCACACCAAAACATGGCGAATGGAAGAATGTAGAGGCTGTTTTCCCACTACACGACCATGTTAAGAACAAGAAATGGATGACCGAGTTCACTCGAAAGACATTTTTGACTGCAGATGATCTGGACGAGATAAGAAATACTGTTGGCGAAAAGGCAAGTATTCATCGAAACCGAATCTTTCTGGCTCTGCTGACTTCGTATAGATTGGCTACTATTATGCATTCCTGCAATCCTATTTTACATTCATGATCTTCCCAGCCGCCTTCGGCTTCTCCTGCTGGGTACTCCTAGGAAACTTCTCACCAGTCTACGCAATCGTCAACGGATTATGGTGCGTCATCTTCGTTGAGTATTGGAAACGTCAGGAACAAGAGCTGGCCATTCGATGGAATGTGAAGAATGTCTCAGCCATCGAAGACAAGAGAAAGGAGTTCGTGCCCGAGAAAACAGTCACCGATCCGGTCACCGGTGAAAAAGTCTCCTTCTTCCCTGCCAAAAAACGCCTTCAAAGACAGCTCCTTCAGATTCCGCTGGCCCTCCTTTGCGTCGTGGCACTTGGAGCAGTCATCTGCACCTGCTATGCTATTGAGATCTTTATCTCAGAAGTTTACGACGGTCCTCTCAAATCCATCTTGGTCTTTCTCCCAACCATCATACTCACCCTAGCCATACCTACAATCAGCAATTTCCTCACTCAATTCGCTGAAAGGTTGACTTTCTTCGAGAATTACGAAACCCAGGAATCACATGACAAGGCTATGATCTCCAAAGTCTTCGTCATCAACTTCATCACTTCGTACACAGCCATCTTTCTCACGTCCTTTGTATATGTTCCCTTCGCCTCTCTACTGGTTCCTTATCTCGATATCTTCAACCTGACGGTCAAACCCTTTGCTGAAACTGATAAACAATTTGAGGTCCCCGACCCAGCCACTTTTACCATAAATCCAAACCGTCTCCGCAATCAGATGATTTATTTCGCGGTCACAGCCCAGATTGTCAACTTCGCTCTTGAAACAATCATGCCAGTCCTTACACAGAAAGGGACCCAAAAATACAAGGAAATGCAAGAATCTCGGGCCGAGAAACAAGGAGGCGCTGCTCCATCCGTCTCAGCGAACGACCCACCCGAGGAAAAGGAGTTCCTTGCGAGAGTCCGCGAAGAAGCTGCTCTCCCAGAGTACGATGTTACGACTGATCTGCGAGAAATGTGCATTCAATTCGGCTACCTGTCACTCTTCTCCGTCATTTGGCCCTTGACACCAGTATCCTATTTCATCAACAACTGGGTTGAGCTCCGTGGAGACACGTTCAAGTTGACCGTGGAATGCCGACGACCCAATCCGGCCCGCGCAGACTCTATCGGTCCTTGGCTAGACAGCCTTGTGTTCCTCGCATGGCTAGGCAGCCTCACCTCGGCCGCGCTGGTCTACATGTTCAACGGTGGAGACGGGCCTGACGGGAAACCTCACGCAATCAAACTGTGGGCGCTCCTTCTGAGCGTCTTCCTCTCGGAGCACATTTACCTCGTCGTCAGGGTTATCGTGCGCTCCGCCATCAGCAAGCTCGATTCTGCAAACCTCCGCAAGGAGCGGAGCGAACGCTTGATGGTGAGGCGCAAATACCTCGAAGATGCGGGCCTGGCTGATGCAATCAAGCCACTTACCAGCGCCCCTAACAGCCCTCTTCTTGATGACTCCGGCGATGCTGCCTTCAGCAACATCACGAAGGAGAGCCTCGAGGATGATGCCAGGAAAGACAGCCTCCGAGATGCCACGCCAGCAACCAAGTTCTGGAACCGTCAGCGTAGCTGGCGCGAGACTGAACAGGTCGGTCTAGGCATGATTGACCTGATGGAGCTGGGTGGTGGGAAAGCCGAGAAGAAATTACAATAGCAGCAGTGATAGCATGGACGCAAGACCAGGGTTTTTATAAGGGTACTGCTAAAACATGCGCGGCTTTCGATTTCAATGTCGTTACGTTCGGTGTCAGGTCGATCGTCAAAAGCGGCTACAGTCTTGGACGAGCAGCTACAATTCACGAATTCACAAGGACGGGCAAAGCATGAATAATTCAATGGTTTTCCCTTTTCAACTTTTCTTCCCCCTTGCTTTTGCCTGCGTATGGATCGCTTGTAGAGAAGTCTACGTGATGCGGGGGCGGAGCGAAGTGAAAGTCCGATTGAAGGCGGCGCATGACCACCGGACTATGACCACCGGGCCATGGGGTTTGAGGACGAGACCTGCTTCTACTCGTTGTGCTGTGCCATATGCTGTATTACGCCTGGTGCAAGGGCCGATGGTCCGGCATGCATGTATGCGTCCAGGCTCAAGCTGCACCGAGAATAGCGGTTCACAAGCGCCTGAATGCTGATAGTTGATTAGGGAGTAGCTGTGGCTAACTCTCTACGGAGGACTGAAGCGCTCCACTCAAAGGGCGCATTGTGAAGGGGGAGAGAGAAGTCTTAGCAGTATTGAGATTCAAGCTTCCAAAAATATACCTAGGTATCCAAACTCCGGGAATAAACACAGAGGTCGCAACCTCCTCCTAGATCGCCAGACACTGCGTGTCATAGGGACCGGACCAGACTGTCCACAAGCCAAAGCTGTTCGTCAAACCCCGACCGACCAACGCCAAGCGAGAGCAGGTGGACAAATGAAGCTAGAACTGTTTTGATGAAAGGAGAATACCATACCGGGTCGCCTTGCCCAGGTTAAGGTGAGCGACTAACATAAAATAGAGAGTAGGGAGCCTGTAGAGAGAGGGAAGCGCAGAAGCTGTGGGGGAAACAGGTTCTCTTTGTTGGAAGGGAGATGCAGCCAGTCACCGTGGTCTGGAATTGAACGGAGTGGGGTGTAGTTGAGAGCAGAGTCTGGAACGCGGTGTTCTGCTCTCGGCTTTGGATAGTCACAGATTGATATCTCGTTGAAGAATGGACCGAGTTATAAGGAAAGTTTCGCGTTGCCAAAGTTCGAGGGGTTGTCGATATGGGGTATTGTTCGTTGTGAGCAAGCAATGATGAAGGAAGGTCCACTGTACTCCCGTAAGAAAACCGCTTGTGGACCGTTGTAGATCGTCCTGATATCGATGAGGGTGGAGCTTCAGTCCGGTCTCTCCAGTTCGAATTTTTCGCTGTTGGGGCCGGATCGAGTCTCCTTCCACTGAATCATCAGGGACATCAATCTCAGCTGTAACCACACAAGCCAGTTCATATCAAAGAGAGCAAGCAGTGACAACCCCACCCCTTCACCCAACCTTGCAACCTGCGGAGTTTGCTCGATCAATAAAGCTCCCTTATCCTTCGTCCGCAACGAAACATACACCAATCACACTAGATCAAATCAACCATCATCAGCCTTCCTCTCTTGCGCAGTGATCGTTCGCCATCGTCAAAATGATGGTAACAGGTGGAACATACGGTTTTCTCGTCGCATCCGGTGTTGTGAATGACACAATAGCTGCTCTTGCATCGTTTGCAGACTCGCGCCGACAAGGGTGCACATTCGCTGCATACACGACCACATTCGAAGCAGTCGCGCGTGACCGCCGCCTGTCCGGGTAGGACTTTCAATTTGTGCTATAAGGTACAGAGAAGGACGCTAGGTGTCAGCCTGAAAGTTTCGTCTTCTAAGAGAAGTAATAGGAAAATGATATCTTGAATGAATTTTCCTCAGGGGTAGAAGTCAGCTTTTGCTCGGTCGACGGCAGGTCTGTGGAGACTTCATTCACTTCTTTCCCCCTTGATTGCGGATAGAAGTTGGAGTCTTGTTGCCGAAATTCCGTCCTTTATTCCTTCTCCTTTCATCCCCACATACCGCCCTCGCCGGCTCCGGCCATATATTCGGCAACGAGGCAATTCTGAACGCAGAGGCCATTAAATACCTTGATATGTTCGCCATAATCGTCGTTTGCAGCTCCGTTCGTGAGCTCTTCCAAGGACGGGAGATAAGATAGGCCAATGCTGCTTAACCTTTCCATGTCGCTCCATTTTTTTGACTTCTTCGGATTATAACAATCAGCACACCACCAGCGATGACAGCTCTCGCAATGACGGTTAGTAAGACACCAAGAGCACGCAACGATTAGCCTTTGCTTGAGAGGCTTGCCCTTGTCGGAGAATCGAGAGGGCGGTCGGACAGCATCGATAAGTTTGGCGGATGAGGGGGGAGGCCAGAGAAGTGGAAACTCGTGGATTCCGCTTTCGCCCCAGACAGGTGCATCATGCGGGTTTCGACCACAGCCAGCACAGCCGTCAGGACCTAGAGATATCGCAGCCATCGGGGCAATTCCGGGTTTGTGTTCTAGGAGATATTCTTTGGAAGCCTCGTGGAGCACGGACTCCATGTCAGCATGCATATGAGTGCATAGAACGGCATCAAAGTTGATAATTCCGTAACATGCTTGCAAGGTTTCTTCCCAGCCGGTCCGCTTTCCAAAGCCTTTATCGATGACTTTGCCAGTGGGAGAGTACCACGGATCTGTTGTAGCACAATTCGAGATTGATTGGGCAGTAGGAATGGTTCCAAGTTGAGCACCGTCCGAAAACGTTATCCCCGAAGAAAGAGTGAGGTCGTTGATCGATTGATTGTTTTTTGAGGAAGGATCTGTGAAAATGTACAATCCCTGGAGTCGCGGTGTGCGTTCTGGGCGGCTAGGTCGACACAAGTGACGAAGCAGTTGCTGTAGTTTGGCTTGGTTGATATTCCCACATCGTCGGATACTGAGGATTCGAATGTTATAATCTGGAGCAAGAACAATATCACTGACCAAGTCGTGGGTCACAGACGCCAAGTTGTCGAGAATAAGAGTCTGGACACTTTGAAGAACGTGCATTCGACGCAATTTCCAAAGAACTCCCCGGAGCGGGCCCGCATAGAACTCGTCCTCAGTCAGGTTTTCGTCGATACGTTCAGCACGCCAAGAATGACCGCCTGAGTCGATCCTGGTCAGGAGACCTGGAGGAACATATGCTCCACTGCATTTCGACAAGTCGACAGAGCGGAATACTGATGGGGTCTTGAGCAGTAGGTCGCGGAACGAGCGGGATGATCTGGCGAGAGAGAAGACGCTGGACAGTGGCAAGTATGGAACAATATGGTCGAGAACCAGGGAGTTGGACAACAGATCGAGCAATGACGGGGGCAGATTTGAGGAATCATCCAAGTCGTCTTCGATGTACATGTCTTTGCAGAAACAGTCGATTACTAGATGATGGGAGAGTGATGACTTCAAGGATTGTTCTTGAGATTGTCTGGGGGAAAAGAGCAATCGGACACGAAGGAACAGAAGCCGATAAAAAGGAAAAGATGAGATCAGATCCAGATCAGATCAGGCGAGGCCAAGTCAGGTGGTTGGAAGAAGAACCGATGTTAATTACATGAGATGGACTGATCCAGGATGATGGAGGCAGGGATGGTGGTTAGGAGCAGTACGAGGAGTGAGTCTAGTGACTCGCCGTCGCCGGTTTGGCTTTGGCGGTTGTTGGCGGTCAATATTAGTTGAGCGGCCAGTCCCAAAGCGGAAATCCCCATCACCTCCAGTTTGATCCCTCCAATCCAAACCCCTGAGCAGCCTGATGCGATCCCCCTTTCCGTGGGATTGTGGGATTGTGGGATTGAAGTTGCTAAAATGCTTCGTCAATGGGAATCCAAGTGACACGTGGTCGACGCGGGCTTCCACGAGAGCACGGGGCACGAGATACGGCGCACCAGGGTCCCAAGGGCACACAGTGCATCAGCCAGCTAAAGATGACATGGTATTAAATAGAGTCGGTGGTATCTGGGTACGCAACAAAAGCGGCGTACCACAGGCCCTACCGTTCAGTCCTAGTCCCAGCCTATCCATGTGAAGCCTCCAGAACGTCAGGCTACATGCTCCCGATCAAGCTCAATCCTCGATCTAACCGTAAATGCAGACAACAGGTAACCCAGTAATAATCCAGCCAGCCTTTATAACTCTCGTCCAGTGGTCGTGGCGCCCATCCCAACTCCTCCAGCCTCCCGATATTGGAACGCCATGCTTGACATGATGGCGAGTGTGTCATTGGGATCACCGCCCATCATCAACGTGGTGAATCCACTGTAGAAGAATCCCATCAGCACAACTAAATAGGTAAGCACTAAAATGCTTCCCTTGAAGTAGTTGCTCTTGCCTTCACCCGACATGTAGCTGAGCAAGAACACGCAAAGGATCACCGTCACCATGTCCCATTGGGGGAATATGAGATTGAAAGTATGATCAATAAGTTCGTTGGGATCAATATAGTTCCCGTGTACTGCTGAAAATAGAACCAATGCCGGGATCTGGAGCAAGCAGACCTGTAACGCATATGCTGACCCAATTTCCATACTCAATGCAATGTTGCCGTTCATTGCGAACGAGATGGCATTGAGGAATTCCGTTGTGTTGGGAACCAAAGCGAACAGCGTAATTCCCAGGAACTTCTCATCAATCTCAACCGAGGTAAGCACAACATCGACCGTGTTGACAAGAACCTCGGCGACAATGGCATAAGCTATAGTAGCAGTTAACAAGATCACCGATGATTTGGTACGTGACCAGTTTGGAGCATCATGTCCGCCACCGCCTTCCGCCCCAGCTTGAGCGGGAAATTCTGCTGCCGCATGCGCGGGTGTGGCATCGAGTGTGGTACTCTGTCTGATTGCGGGGGGTCGGGAGGACTTGACTGTGTCTGATTTATAGGAGTGGCTAACTTGGTAAGCAGTCGATCGCGGATGGTTTACTGCATCTCTGGCTGCAACGGTAGCTGCAGTGGCTGCAATTTCAGCAACTTGACGGACCAGGTTGTTGTTATCCTCCTCGGACAAGCCAGGAACGACTGGGCGCATGACAGGACTTTGAAAGCTTTCAGATCCATGACTTGATTTGGGAGGAACCATGAAAGGCAGATCCGCTTTGGCCTGATGGTCGATCGCTTGAATTTGTGGATCAGCTTTGGAGAGGGGACGTACTTCTCGCTCGGTTGAAACTTCACCATCCGCCGGAAGCCCAGTCGATCTCAAGGATTGCCCAAGAATTCGTTTGTACAACTGCGACTCCCTTATCGCCGCTCGTGGGATGTGAGATACGTTTGGTGGGTTAGGAAGCAGCTGGGAATTTCCAACACTGTGATGCCGAGTATCCGTGGGGCTGACTTCAACCGTTTGAGGGCCCCCTCGCGGCGGTTTCTTTTCGTCAGCCTCAGTGGTCCAGATAATGGCAGCATGGGTGCGAAGTGTGAACAAGAGGCCAATGATATAGGAAGAGAACAGCAGGACCGCAGCAAACCAGCAGTAAGGCTGCACAGCCTTAACAAAGAACTCGTCCGAGATGGCCGGCACCTGTCTGAAATAGCATTGTCTGCAGTCGCGGGGACTTCCCATATCCGCAGCTGAGCAGGTCTTACAGATCAATTCATGACTGCCGTAGATCTTGTAGAACAGAGTTGGCCCGAAGGCTGCAATGACAGCAAATAGTAACATGGTCGACGTTGCGGCAGCAGACTTGACATTGAAACGTTGAGTCTTGCGTTTGATAGCACCGAAGCACATTGAAAGTCCAGGCAATAACAAAATACCAGCAAATATGCTGCCAATGATACTACCTTCCACCAGTTTCCCTTTGCCCTCGTTTAGCGCGATGCAGTAGAGATAAACTTCCACGATGGTTGAGAAGAAGGCATTCACGGCAGCTCCCATGCCCATTGACGATTGCGCTGAAATGGATGCCACGGCCTGGCCAATGAAATACGCCAGGGGGATGATGGAGATCAGAGCCAAGGTGAAGAGAAGCGCTGGACTAGTGAGCCAGATGTTCAGGCCGAGCGCCACGTCCAAGATGAAGTAGTCCAGAATAACGAAGACTACGACGGCGAGGAAGTTGATCAGAAAGATATTCGTCCCATCAATGGTGTACTTCCAGTATTTCGTTCCCACTGCACGATAAGTGCAAATGATGATAGAAGAGGGCGTGGTGGAACTTCGGGCATAAGAGACGTCGCGATGGAAGGTCAGGGATAGTGGTCGCTTCCTGAGGTGATAGAACAAGATCAGTGTAACTCGACCCATGGGAATCCAGAAAACCATGAACCAGCAGATCATCGAGACAAGAAGCATGAGTGGAGCAACGTAGAAATAGAAGAAGACGAAGAAGATGACTCTTCCCAGAGTCCATTGGCCACGGCCGAAAAGACGTCGTTTTGTCCTGGTGTTTGTCGAAGTGTCCTGTCGATCGCTACGCCCACTTCGAGCCAGCAGGCTGTCTGTTTCGCTGGCTGAGTCAATACTGTTTCTATGTCGTCCAACGATGGAACCAGTATGGGTAATGGTGGGACCGAACATGAGACGACCATACTCGAGGTCCCCACTTTGCCATCGTTCGTACTCGCTGACGCTTCGACCCTCGCCTTCATCTTCCTCAACATAATTCTCGTCTTGCTCTAGCTTCACAAACTTGCCGAAGGGCCAGAAGAGATAGCCTCCCAGAGACCAGAAGACTCTGCCATAGGCCGCCGCACTAGGGTCAAATGCAAAGAGGAAACAGACGAGAGCGGCAATCAAGGCTGCAAGAGCCAACCACCAGCCAAAGAAGACGGTCCACAGCCAGTTGAATACCCATAACCAATGACTGACAATCTGGCTGGGCGATGAGTGGATGTCTTCTTCGGCGGTTTTCTCGACCGAGCGATTCTTCTTGTATAAGGCAGGCTTCCATATTCTTATACCGAAGGGATGCGTCTCATTAATCGCAAGTTGGCGGTCTCTCAAGGTGAAACTCTCTGCATCGCTAAGATCTTGTTCCTCAGAGTCGCCTAAGTCTCCCTGGTCAATTTCCTCGGGCAAGTCTTGCTCCTCAGGTTCCCCGGTGGGTTGTTCAGCTTCGGGTTCATTGGTCATTAGTTCCTCGGTCTCTTCTTCTGCCGAATCAACACGAGGTAAAGTTCCTACATTGGCCTGGGTCCGGCGGCGCACCGTTGACTGGTGGCGACTGGTGGGAAAAGCCGGTTGGGTAGGAGTTGTAGGGACGCGGTCGATTTCTACCTCTGACGGATCATCATCAACTGAAAATTGTTCACCCCTATGAGGAAGTTGTTTTCTGATGGTTGACACTCTTCGCATGGTGCTTGGTCTCTTCGCTCGTGTGGTCTGGGGAGACAAGACTGTGCCAATAGCATCAAGGTTATCTCGTCGTGAGGAAGGAGAGTCGGGTCGATTGGCAGTAGCGCTGGGAGGTCGATGGCCGCTCGGAACGGAAGTTGCAGTGAGTGTTCCTATCGTGATGTTCAGCATGTTATATTGATTGGGCGGCTTGAATGATTAAGGCATGTTTACCATAATCTCTCCGTATCGAAGACCCTTGCTCTGCTGAGTCCGGATTGGAGTCATTCTCATCGAGTGCAGAAGCAGTGATTGATGCAAACATAGGCGTGGTCTGCTGGTCTGAAACTGGATTGATACCAGGACTTCTGACAGGAGTGTCACCACTCGTGGACGGCATGCTTTCGAGAAGAGGTCCGCGTAATCATAGGATAAGATAGACCCGGATATGTACCGAACCAGTCCAAGCTCAGAGCTTGAGGAGTGCAGTGCAGGTCGACGAGGCCGATTGTCTAGGCGACTCGGTGTGCAGGTAGGACTCGCAGCACCAATGCCCTTTGCAAGCTCAACCCGACACGAGACCAGACGAGCATACCGGTGTCAAGTCAGACAACGACCTGATAGAAAATAGACGAGATATTGAGCGAGCGGGGAGGATCATGAACAACAGCATAGATATGGAAATGCAGGTAGTGAGGGAGGTGGGCTCTGGTCCACGACAACACACCAATTGGAGCACGTGCGTAGAGAGAGGACGAGGCAGATGACTTTTGGAGACGTGCCACTGCAGACGCCTACGCAACTGTGCAGCTGAACGCCCGGAAAAACTGAGCCGATCGCCCACCCCCATAAAACTAACCTTTAGGTGCTGAGGCCCAAGACTACCTATGCTGCTTCTGGGCTGACGGGGGTTCGACCTGCTGGGCTGCTTCGGGCTTGGGTCACCCAAACAACGCCCGTCTGTGTCCGGCTTCAGGTATCGGCCAGCCTATGGGCGTCCGCCGCCGCTACACCCTCAATCCTCAGCCCTCTCACATCTGTTAATCTATCAAACCATCACACTCCACATCTTCAGAACACCCACTTCTGAACAAAGCTTGTTGTGCTGATCAAAAATGGATTGATGTTGCTGACCTCTTCATCGCGGTGTGCTCCAAAACAGTCCACATGGCCGGCTCGACATCTAGTCGAATAGTTCTATGATTGATCTAATGCTATTGTACGAGGTGAAGTAGGTAGCTGCTTTCAGTACGGCGCACCAGAGTACTGCGTATCCAAGCTCAAACTGTCCCCAGAAACACTGGCCACCATGTGGGTGGCACTGACACCTACTGTACCTACGTAGATAGTAGTAATTAGTAGTAGCTACAAGTACTCGTTACAGTAAGTAGTACTTGGTTTGGTACATACACTACGTCGGCTCTCTTGCCAAGTCAAAACTGGGGCTGCGCTTATTCTGGCGGCTAAGCTCCTTAGCCGCCACATTTTAAGCGCAGGCGCACCCACCCAAGCAAGTCACCCGGGAGGAGGCTGCGATTTGAAGGCGCGTCCCATTCATCTCCATCCTTGCCTGCGAACCGTTCAGAAGGATAATTGCTCTACAACACCAACTTCCACCCACTCTAGCCTCCTTTTCCTATTCTCATACAAAATCTCACTCTGTCCTCACCTGTCCCACTCACACTTTTGTCGGCGTTCCCATCCTCGTCACAATGGCGCTTGACAACTTCTACCACAACAAAATTGAATCTCTTAAACTCGAAATCATCCAAGGACAAGCCGTTCTCCGTCGGCTAGAAGCACAACGAAATGACTACAACTCAAGAGTCCGGTTACTCCGCGAGGAATTAGGACTTCTGCAGCAGCCTGGTTCCTATGTCGGAGAAGTTGTCAAGGTCATGGGAACAAAAAAGGTCCTGGTCAAAGTGCACCCTGAAGGCAAATATGGTCAGTATCTCCCCATTTCCTTTGGCTTAGTGTTCGCTAACTCCTCGAAAGTCGTCGATATCGCTGATAGCGTTGATATCTCCAAACTCACAGTTGGAAAGCGTGTTTCCTTACTCTCCGACTCGTACAAACTCGAGAAAATGCTTCCTTCCTCTGTCGATCCTCTGGTCTCACTCATGATGGTGGAGAAGGTGCCTGACAGTACATACGACATGATCGGGGGTCTCGATCAACAAATCAAAGAAATCAAAGAAGTCATCGAACTTGGTCTAAATCATCCCGAGCTTTTTGAGTCTTTAGGTATTGCTCAACCCAAAGGAGTTCTGCTCTATGGCCCGCCTGGTACCGGGAAGACACTACTGGCTCGAGCCGTTGCACATCACGCAGACTGCAAATTCATTCGAGTTTCCGGCTCGGAATTGGTACAGAAGTATATTGGTGAAGGTAGTCGGATGGTGCGAGAGCTGTTCGTTATGGCTCGAGAGCACGCTCCCAGTATCATCTTCATGGACGAAATCGACAGTATAGGTTCTAGCCGCGTGGAGGGAAGTAGTGGTGGTGACTCGGAAGTGCAGAGAACCATGTTGGAGTTGTTGAATCAACTGGATGGATTCGAGCCGACCAAGAACATCAAAGTCATTATGGCTACCAATCGGCTAGACATTCTGGATCCCGCTCTTCTACGGCCCGGTCGTATTGACCGGAAAATCGAGTTCCCTCCACCAACTGTTGAAGCACGAGCCGACATTCTTCGAATCCACTCACGCAGCATGAACTTGACAAGAGGGATCGATCTCAAGAAGATCGCAGAGAAGATGAACGGATGCTCTGGCGCCGAGCTCAAGGGTGTGTGTACGGAGGCTGGTATGTTTGCTCTGCGAGAGCGCAGAGTGCATGTCACTCAAGAAGACTTTGACTTGGCAACCGCCAAAGTACTCAACAAGCACGACGACAAAGAGGTCTCACTGGGCAAACTATGGAAGTAAAGGTCTGGCAGGTTCAATGTCTTGTTGCTCCTGCATAGCGCTGGTTGCACTTGTAACAATACCGTGGCAAAGGGGGTAATCATAGATGCCGCTATTTGAGGCGAGATACAGGATCCAGAAATCCAATGCCTTCTTTTTTACTGACGTCAAACATCTGATCCGGTTTTCATCAGGCTCGTATCTGGTACCCGAGCACTGTTCTATGTTCTATCCATCTAACACGACATATTGCCCAAATACCATCGACTTATCTCACACCCTGTAGCTACTCGTGCACGATCATCAATGCTCTCCGCTCCCTTGGTTTCCTTTACTTCAATGCTCATACACCATCTCCCCCTGCACGTAGCTCCAGAACTCCTCGACGAACTCCCTCTGGCCGGCAGTCGCGCCCTTGACAGCAAGATACTTCCTATGATCGACAGGAATCCGCCAGGCACTCGCATCATCCCCATCCTGGCGCGCAGGCTGTGCATTTGCATTCCCACTCCGAGAAGGCGGATTCCCATCTACGACGATGCCCCCGCCGGCCTCGGTCAGCACGACCCAGCCGGCACAGACGTCCCAGGCCCAGCAGCCGCCCTCCCAGTAGGCGTCGATGGAGCCCTCGGCGACGGCGCAGAGATTCAGGGCGGCGGACCCCAGCGCGCGCGCGCTGTGCACCATCGCGCCGCCCTCGTCCTTGCTGGCGCCCAGCCGCGCCCACGTGCTGCATTTCACGGCCCAGTTGGGCCCGGAGCGGTCGGAGCCCCATTCGATGGCGATCAGCGACGACGCGAGCCCGGCCAGCGGCTCGAGCGGCTTCAGCGGGAGTTTCTGCCGGTTCGATACAGTCGCGCTGTCGGGGACGTCCGCGACGAAGCTGCCCTGGCCCCGGACGCCGCTGTACAGGCGCCGCGTGAAGGGGTTGTACACGACGCCAACGGTCGGGATCCTGTCGACTGCGAAGCCAAGCGAAACGCTCACGTACGGCCAGCGGTGCACGAAGTTGGTGGTGCCGTCGATCGGGTCGACGACGAAGGTCGGCTCCCGGCCGAGTTTCATGCCTGGCTGGTAGGTTTCTTCGCCGAGGAAGGAGAACGTCGGGTAGAGCGTTGACAGCTTCGACGAGATGAATGCTTCCACGGCTTGGTCCGTCTCGGTGACCAAGTCCGCGGTGTTTTTCTTCGTGCCCGTGCTGGTCGAGCTCGTGGACGGTGTCGCGCCCGTGATCACCCGCCCGGCCTCGAGGGCGATGCTGACGAGGCGGTCCCGGAGGAGGCTGAGGTCGATGTCATTGTTGTCGGTGGTGGTGGTCGATGTCGCCATCTTTTGACTGTTTAACTCGACCTTTAGGCTAAACAAAGTCCACTTATTTTTCTGAGCATGTGCTGTTCCGGTATGCAGCTTCGATGGGAACGATATCACGGATTTGCCGAATGTATCCCTGGTGAGGGGGTGTTGGAGTCGGTGACGCCAGATTTTGTACTCCTTGAAAGAAAATAAAAATTGGATCTTCTTTGCTTCCTGAGAGGATTGTCTTCGGGAGAGTTTCCCTTTCCCTCCAATACTTCAGGTGCGGATTTTCGACTCGTTTTCAGTTTATCTGGGGTGGTACAATACACAGCTTGAGGTCTGACAAGTCCAGGTACAAGATTCGGAGGACATATGTAACGTTTAAAACTTCAATATCCACATGTGGTCGAGAATGACGCTGGTTGGACAGGCTTGACCCGTCATATTCTGAAAACCAACAACAGACATTATTAGTTCCCGAGGTCGTCCAGCAGCCTTTCGCTTTCGACCTGATGTATTCCTTCTCCTCATGTGCTATGTTAAGCCATATTCTGGCATCAACCTACTGGCAAACATGAACCATGAACAAGAAAGGACCTATCACTGAATGAGAATTATCTCCTCGAGCAAAAATAAATAGAGTAATCAACCATTTTGACTTGAATTTCTGGTCTTATTTCTCATCTTCATTCTCAGCAGCACCAGCGCGTAGCTGGACCAGTTCGCTGTCAAGAGAAGGGGCTCCACTGATAACGAGCGCATGAATAGGAGGTGAATATAACCTAGTATTCAACTAACATATACACTTAAATGCCCAAGTTATCTGAAGAGAAGACGCGTGCCAACGCCATCGCTAAACCAGCAATAAATGAAGACCTAAGCTGAGAGAAAAGGTGGAAAGAAAAGGTTACTGTTGCTGTTCAAGAAGTAAGTTGACTGGCTCGTTGGGATGTCCTTGCGTCGACGAAGCCGGTGCTTTCCTCGTCTGAGGATGATGAGATGGAGCTGATGGAGGACGCATTACTGTCAGTCCTCGCTCGCCCAGCAGCGGCGGCACCACCTGTGGCGCCAGTAACAGCAGAGATTTCGGACTCGTTTCTTCGATGTCCATCACCCCCACCTTCGCCTTCATCTCTCTCTGTTGCGCTAGGAACCGCCATGCCTATCGAGCTGAAACCATTTGTGCCAATATGATTGGCGTCCCAATTCAGCGGTTTCCGTTTGATAGTCTGTGGTTTAGGCTGGGTGAAGCCGAAAGATAGTGGTCGCATGATGGACTGCATATCCGGCAGACTTAGACCGGTTGAGCGCCGGCGATGTTTGATGGCGAATACTCCAACTGGGTCGTCGAGAGCGCGCCTATAGGCGCCTCGCTCGTTGCGTTCTTGTCGCCAGGCGCTGAAGCGCTCTCGTAGAGGGCGGAAGAATCGAAACAGGAGGAAAAGGAGTGCAAGTAATGCCAGAATTGGGAGTAGGATGACGGCGGCGAGCTCGCCTCTGGAAAGTCCATTGGAGCTGGAGCCTTTGTTCTGAGTGTCGGCTCCTGAAACTGAACCACTTCCACCATCGGAACCATCACCATTTGTACCACCACCACTACCCGAAGTTGAATCAGGAGACGAGCCGCCGCCTGATGTGTTTGCTGGTGAAGCTGAGGTACTTGCGCTTGTTGTGCCTTGGCCGTCTGTGGCGGATGGCCCTGGATCTGTACCTGCCGTTCCCTGAGGATTGGAAGTGGTACCAGTCACAGAAGCGGTGCTTCCACTGGATGCTTGAGTACCTGTGCCACTTACGGATACCGTGTTACCAGCGGCAGCAGTGCCTGTGGCAGTCGCTTGTCCTGTCGAAGCACCAGAACTTTGAGTTGCAGTCGACTCCCCGGTCCCCGAGCCCACCGACGACGCCGTGGCTGTGGCCTGCCCAGTAGCGGTACTACCGCCTCCATTCGCCGCGGTTGAAGCCTGGAAAACGCTGGCGGCACTCAGTAGTTCGCTGGCGAGGCTTGCGGGGTTCGGCGGCTCTGGTTTTAAATTCCCTGAATTTCCTTGCGGTAGGGAATATACTGTGGTGCATTGTGTCAAAGATAGAAGGAATATGAGTTGAAGACCCAAGCCGAGCATGTCGGGGTCGGGCCCCAGAGGGCACCCGGCAAAGTGTGCTTCCGAAATATGAACAAGCCGAGTCACGCTGTTGTTAATAGTGGCTCGACCACAAGAGAACACGACACATTCAAAGCGTTGTAAGGTGTGGCGCAAATTCGCACGGCTGGTTCGAGAATGAAGACAAGAATGACCTGGGAAGAGATAATTTGATTGCAAAGCTCAAATGAATTAGAAGACTCGTAAGACTCGTGAAAGCAGAAGAAGGGAAAGAAAGTAGTGCAGTCAGCAGTTTGTGTTTCGCAATGGTTTGGAGAGGAATATACGACACAAGAGGACGGAGTGGTACATAAGTGTGTCTCCTACAACCCACGCACCTTGCAGACTTGGGTACTTACCTCTGGTGCCCGGGCTCCTCAAAGCTCTTGGTAGGCTTGTACCTGCATTAGTTAGGCTCACCAGGTTCATCAGGTTCGTGAGCATTTGTTTATTGCGTAGAGTCAATCCAATCAGAAGGATGAATTCTTCGTCTGAATGGGGGCTGAGCAAACCTGGCATAGTGGAAAAGGCCATCCGCACCAGGGGAGCATGTCAGGGACCCCATATTGAGCCAAGCGGATTCCTCAACGCCTGGCGTTTCAGGTATTTAAAGCAAGGCGGATTAGGAATGATTGGAAGGAGTCGTTCGTGCATGACGGTGATTTGAGCCGTCGAGCTACTCGGTGGTCGGTCTCCTGTTGGTTCGGATGTGGAAAGCCTTGTAACGGTTTAAGCCTTCTTGTTGGGCAGTGTTGCTGAGCTTTGTTCGTTCTCCCGTGGGACGGGGACCACCTTTCTCGTGCTGGCCTTTCTGGGTGACATCTGTTGAGACTCAACGACGAACCAGATCAGACTTTTGAGTACATTTCGCAGTCCGGCTGGTCATCGCCTACTCGTCGGTCATCATTGTACACAAAGTCAGCAGTGGAACGCGATGCATTGGGAGTTGGACCAGGCGGATTTTCTCATGGAGGTGCGAGCATCCTTCCCGCAGTGCCAAGCTATACTACAGTCGTAAATAGTAAATATCCTTGTAATAAAGATGTAATTACGTCCCGTACCATGTAAAGTCCCCTCTTTCCCCACGTACAGCTCGCCGTTATGCAAAAGAGCTCGGAATATCAAAATCATCCCCCGATGCAAGGCGGCGAGGTACACAGGTCACGCCTTAGGCCTGCCATCCGACCATCGTTGACGGCATCTAGTAATAAACACAACGACCTCCAATCTTCGCTCTCCTGAATATTAAATCCCTGAGAAATGCTACCACATGCAACGTCAAGACAAGCATGCCATTTGCTACGCCGTGGAGTTTTCCTAAAACCAGTGCTATTCCCAACACCTGACCGCCACGATATCCGTCTCTCGTCATCGTCATCACCGTCTACAGCTCCAGCGACAGCACCGACAACAACCAGGCCCATCCACATCTCTTCAGACCGCAAGACCATCACGCTACACGACGCCAACGGAGAAACAACGACGCAACTATTCTCGCCGACCCCGAAAATCAGCAGTGAAAAACTCGAGCGGGCTTTAGCCCCATTACTACTCCCACCACTTCCATCTTCTGGACTCGAATATGCCCACTCTCAATCTCCATCTGGGTCTGGATCACTAGCCCATCGACAAGCTACTACTGCCCATCTACGAGGACTACTGCGGCCCTACCTGAATCCCCAAAGCTGGCAACTTGATCCACAACACGGCGATGCGATCCACCGGCATTTCGCGTTTGAGTCCAAGGCCAAGCGAGAGGAAGCCATCGAGAGGATCATGCGCGTTGCCGACGAAATGAAGCATCATCCGCACATAGCTCGTGGTGAATGGAATGCCGCAAGTCCGCCGCAACAGGACTCCCGGCCCTGGTCTTGCTTTCCTCTCACAGTAACATGCACGACGCACCAACCGCGCGGTCTGAGCGGGAAGGACGCCAGGCTGGCGGCTGCGGTTGATGGGCTGGCACTGGTGGACGACGACATCCTGTGGGCTCTGGAAGAGTGGGATGTGCAAGGGGGAACGGATACCGGCCGAGAAATGATTCGCCGGATTCGAGAAGAGCAGGCTAGGCTTGTTGGGATCAATCGACGCGCTATTGCTGATGCTCTGTCGAGCTGTGGCTGCGCTGATGCGAAAGCCGAGTCACCTCCTTGACCGACATCGTCTTCTGGGTATCGAGCATTCGAGTATCGAAGAATGTCGATTGGAGCAACCAATCGTCGATCGGAGCATCAGGCCGTTTTCGAACGACAAACGGCTATCGCCACTGGATCATCCGTGCGACTATTTGAGGCCAAGTTCGCTACAAAATAAGATTCAAAAGCGTATGGAAGACGAGAAATGACTAATCCTGAACAACTCAATACGCCTCCATTCATCTTCTAAGCACTTGGCCTCGACTCACGTGTATCGACACATGCCTATCTTTCATGGCCAAGTTCCCCTGTTCTGGCTGTATTCCAACAATTTCAGGCGATGTTTCCAACTCTACTCCCTCAAGGTCAGGTAAAGAGTGAAGGTCTAATACGGATGAAAGGATCCGATCTGCTTGAAATTCATGGCTCGCATCTTGATGAAAATTAAGTACTACATAGTACGACTCTATCGAGTGAGCCCCACCAGGACATTATCGTCTTGATCTATCATTCATTAAAGTCCCGATCCAACGCCGCCCCACGCCGTTCATGCTCAAATGTAATTTTCCTGTGATCAGGGTCCAACTGGTTTTTCGACTCAATAGATACAAACAGCGAAAGATGGTCGAACACCCCCGCCGCGGATTCAGCATATGTTCATGGCATCCTTCCAGGAGGCCAGGGGAAAAGAAAGCCAAACATTTTACTGCAGCTTCTTGGTGGCCTCCTGTTGAGAGCGCTTCTTTGCGGCTGAAGCACTTCCGGCTTCAGTGTCCATTATGGCATCCCACCATCTGAACGAGCTGGCGTAGTTTCCAAGGAACTTCTCATGGTGCACGTCGTGATGATCGGCACCGGCCCAGAAGGGCAAGAAATGATGCAAGCTCCAGGGGAACTCGTAGCCGGAGTGTGCGTCGATGGCTTGGAACAGGCGGAGGATGATCCAAATGTACATGGTAATGATATGCAGGTCCTTGGTGACGGCGCAGAAGGCGATGGGGATTCCGACCGCTCCGAAAGCGAGGATCATGGTTTCAAGAGGAGATGCATATTCTGCTGCCAGACCGAATGGCGCGCTGTACTGGTGATGGAGCTTGTGGATCAACTTATACAGGCGCGGTTGATGCAGGGCGCGGTGAAACCAATAATGCCAAGCATCTTCCAGGACGAAGAACAAGGCGATTTGCCACGACATGGTGATCCAAGAAGGGAAGGGAACCGTGGTAGTAAGGCCAAAGTATTGAGCCATGGGGTGGAAAAGCCAGATCTGAGGTAATTCGACGGTAAAGTGCGAGAGGAGGACCAACTTGGCGCATGCCCATTGCTCAGCAAAGGTGGGCATTTTTTGCTACCCAGCAAGGAAATGTTAGCCACAATTCTTTCGACTATCGAGATGATATAGGGCCACACATACACCTTGAATCTTGAACTGATGGAAATAAGGAATCTTGTCCATGACCATGAAAGGGAGGGCGCGGCCGAAGTACACGGTTTCATGGAGGATGAAGGACATGATGCCGGTGGCGAGGACGTCGTTCTGCATGTAGGCATACCAGGCGGACCAGGCCTTTTCAAAGATATTGAGGTGTACATTGTATTGAGAGATATCGTTGAAGTAATCCGTGTAGGTCACCGGAGAGGCTATCGTGGAGTTCCTGGAGACGGTGAAATGTTAGCGACCGATTCGAAAGTAACACTCTCGGGGGGCATGGAGGCAGGCAAAAGCATGCATTAGGATTGTTGGGAAGAGGTAGGTTCTTACAGCATGGTGGGCAGGGGTGTCGTAGGGTGTCAGTCGGTCAATTTTGATGTAGGAATAGGAAGTGAGAGCACGAGAGGTTGAATATGCAACAAACAAAAAAGAACAAAAGAATGATTGTCGAAAAGTCTTGTTCCTCCTTGGATTTGGGAATTGGACTGGGGGGAGAAGTATCTGAGCGAGTCGGCTGCGTGGTTGGTTGGGAGATTTTATTGGACGCGGGCAGGCAGTGTGCAAGTGGCATCACTCGGGCTGAAAGGGGGTTCACCAGCTTCCGGGCGATCGAGCCACTCGTGGAAGGCGACGAAGCTTAACGGTGGACTGACGAGTGGCGTGCCGGGCACGCACAGCAAAGCCGAGATGAGAGATTGATTGTTCCTGCAGGTCCAGGTCCAGGGCGGTGAGAGACCATGGGCTGCATTCGGAGTCGTGGTGTGAGGATGACAAATGTGGAAAACATGCCAAGGCCAAAATGCTACGGTCAATCATAGACGGCACTACGGAGGAGCAGTAGCACCCTTATGAGAACTGTTGTTACCTAATACCGACACTACCCTATTTGGGACTGAGCACCGAGCTCTTGCCAAGTTAAGACCGGGTGCAGGGTATTTGAACAATAGGAGGTGACTCCTTTTACTCGTCAGCATCTATATCTATGGAGTATTAACCAACTAGTATTCGTCTTTTTTTATGTACTCGGTTCACAACAGTGGCCACCACCACCACTATTGCCACTGCGGTCTCAGCGCCCGTTGAAATGCTCTCAGCCTCACCCCAATTCCCACCTCCGTCTGACCCCGAACAAGGACAACAACCTAGCGAGCCTGATAGGGTCACGACCGCCATAATACTCGCAACAGTGACTGTGTCACACTAATTCGCAATCTCCTGGCCATTGCTGTCGCTTTGACACACGGCTCCGTCCTTTGGGTTGGGTGGCAAGAGAAACTGGGCCGGCCAGCAGTCATTCCAAACTCATTGTGGAAGAACCGAGTCTTCACCACCATTTGCATGGATGTCTTCTTGGTCTGGGGTGCGTTCCAAGCAACTCAGACCCTCCTCAGCTTGTTCTCCCAACTCTGCGTTTTCTGTCTGCCGCAGGGTTTGGTCTTATTACAAACTTTGTTGTTGTCCTGACCATTCACAAAGTCCGAGCGAATTGGAATAATAAGCATCGCACCACTTTCAGTTGCCGTCATGAAAGTTCGAGCTTCCAATTGTGAGTATGTCTTCCCCGCCCTAGCTCTGAACGTAATTGGCCCAGACACGCTGTTTACCGTCTCCTACCTCGTCATCACTGGAGCCTTTCCTAAGAAAACCCGGGCGGTGGCAGGAGGAATGTCCAACACGGTGGCACAGGTTGGTAAGAGTGTTGGGCTTGCCTTATCAGCTGTGATTGCTGCCAGCGTTACCCGCCAATCGAGCTGTCCGGACAAGCACCCCCCCACCACCGATCGAGGCTTATAGAGCGGCATTCTGGTTCTGCCTCGCGGCATGTTTGGCGACATTAATCATCAGCTCTTAGGGCCTTCGGAGAATGGGTAGGATCGGAGTGAAGCGAGAATAGATCCGGGCTACCGTGTTCACCTCCCATACTCGCGTAATATGTTCCTTTGACCTTAGTATCACAGGCCATCTGTCAGCCCCGCTATCGTCTCGATGGCTTCTGATTCTCATACGCGGGGAGCTCGAAGCGGTTCGTTGAGTCTAACTCCCCACTATCCGCTTGGGAGTAATCGATCTTAGGTCGTGTGCCTTCCAGTTCTGGCTGATTCAAGACTGGTTGGTCTAGTGGCGGGTGATCGAACTCTGGCTGCTTGGTTTGGAGGAGAGACTGTGCGCTGTTTGACTTGCGACTTCGAGTTCTGCGTCGGAAGAAGAAAATCGCAAGCCCAATTAGGATCAATCCCCCGATACCACCAACGACACCTCCCACAATTGCACCTGTATTGCTGCTTTTCCCCGAACTAACATCAGGGATTGACGTCTCGGTAGCGTTGCTGGGTGCATTGTCCACGGCTATGGTAATTGTAAGCCACTGTTCACTAATACTTGGAGACCGCTTACCTTTGTTAATGAACCACCCTTCCACAACCTTCGAGTCCCAACTCGAAGGATACTGCCCATTTTGCTGAATGTCCTCTTTTACAATATCGGGACTTCGGTAGGCTTCTGCAGAAGCATTATATGAACTCCTCCATTCCAAAGTGGTGAGATCGAAGATACCTAACCCTTGCTTGAGAGGATCTTTAGTCAAGTTCGCATATTTCACCCCCGATGTCAAACCGCCAATCACAACCATCTGTCTCTGACCAACTATCTCGCATGTGTGCCGATAACGTGATACAGTTGGATTGGTGTTCGCTTTATACCACCGAAAGGAAGGTATCGAGAGAATGTAAACTTCGGCAAGATCAATGTTGGTCTGCTGCTCCTCCGCGTAAGAGGCAGTAGGGATTACAGAGCCGCCATATAGGAAGATCTGTACCCTGTTAGCCAATTCACTCGCAGCGGATGCGAACGCACTTACTTCAAAAGTACCGTTGTCACCGGGAATTCCCAGTGAGCATTTATCGTATCGCCGGGGAGGGACATCTCCAGAGGTCGATTGGTTATACCACTTTTTGGCCTCTATATCGTAAAGTGTGACATAGCTAAATGGATTCAAGTACTCTCCACCTGACTTAAGATTTCCTGGCGCCGCCGTCGCACCGCCCATAGCCAGCAGAAAACCCTGATTCGTCAAGCCGTCGAGGTAGTGGAGCGAGGCGTCAAACGACCACCCTGTTGGCGCCAGGCCTTCGATACTCTCATTGCTCCAAGTCTGCGACTTGATTTCGTAGGTGACTAGACCACCAGCAGAGTGGCGTAAGTTAACATTAGAGTAATAAGCTAGATCCGTTCGCCAGTCTCCAAACCCACCCAGGAAATAGGCCGTTCCGTTCCCTTGGGTCGATGCCGAACGAACCAAGCGTTTGAGATTCGTTGAAGTGACGAGAGACCATTCGCACGAATCGCCGTCAATTCTGCACTGCCACAAATTGGCTTTCGTGGGTCCAGGTAGTTCCGTGTAGTCCAGAGCCTGCGTAATCTTACCATTCCACTGATAGAACGACGTGCCTGACGGATCGGGGACTAAATTGCCAACATTCAGACTTGGTGGAGGAGAAGTCTTCTCAATAGGATTGAGCACGACAGAGTTGTTTTTCCAAGATGCGGAGAGGTCGATGGAGTACGTCGAATTCATGGGCAGGCTCTTAACAGCGTTATTACTGGTGAAGTAGACTTCTCCTCCGTCAATGTATAGGTGGTTGCCGACCACGACACCTATGCTATCATTAGCTGACTCTTATTGCGACTGACATGTCCCATACTCGTATGATACGCCCTTCTGAAGAAGTCTTTGGCCGAGTATACCCATTCCGGATCGATCGCCCTTTTCGCGAGCGATGTTGAATATGCCGAGACTCCAACATGCGCAAGATGATTTAACAGTGCACAAAAGCACACTGCCCGTGCCAGGATTGCGACGATAGCACCCATGGCGTGAAGATGATGACAACCACATACAGCGCGGTGCAACATGAGTCGAAATCAGAGACCAGAAAGCAGACACCAGTCACGGAAAGCAATTAGGACAGAAACCACAGAGCAGGCTTGAGAAGGAGAGAGGTGCGACCTACTCGTACGTAGACGTCGTAAGTGAAACGGAGAGGGCAGATCAACATACCAGCATCCAGCCTCAAGCCAGTGCCACACTGCCGCCTCAACGTGAGACTGGGAACAGCCTTGTTGATGCTTGCATGATTCTGGGGCTGGACGGCTGTACTGATCAGTAACAACTTACATAACTCCACCCACTGGCCCCTTGTTTATTCGTGCCGGCCCTGCCTATCCGCAAGGTTTGGCTGCCATGGTCTGCACCTTGCCGTAATGATTGGCGTTCTGGGGCAGGTGAAACGGCTTGGCATCGTGCCTAGTAAGTCCCACACATTCTCCGTCTCGGCTGAAGATTGGAGGGCAAAATTAGATGATGAAGGGCCGTGAGAAGCAGCACGCCATTCGCAGGTCAGTCATATGGACGAAGCACTCAGTTCCACGGCCTCAACAGTATTGTGTTGTCTCGTATACTTGTTTATCACAGGCACACTTGTCTGATCCAAGGTCATTATAGGGGACCTATACTCCCTACCTGGGGCAAGTCCTTCACAAACCCTTTCCATCTCACCAAGATCGGTCAATGGACGAGATAATAGACATGCATGATGTGGAGGCGTGTCGTGTGGCTGAATGGAGAGAGCACCAGCTAGTGACACGATTTGCGGCTTTATCAAAAACACACTCGTAAGTGCGAGGAAGAGATCTTGGTTTGGAAGGATAAGACGGGTGAGAGTCCTTAGCACGGGAAGTAGATCGTTCGCCCCAAGCAGATCTCTAACTGACGTTTGGTACCCAAGCTACATACTGCAGGTAGGTTGGGTAACCAAACTGGTCACTTCAATCATACTCCAGTACATAATAAGTGCTGGAGAAGCAACCGGCCGCTATCGGTTCGGAGTCCAAATAAACGGCCGATGAAGATGGCCAAATGCCGTGGCCCCACCAATCATACATACTTGGTACACCATAATAACCCTCATCGCGTTCTCCGCATTCGATTTCCCATGGGCAAAGGAGAATTGTCATTGTTCTGACTGTGCTTGAAGCCTGTCGAGAGACCGGAAACAATGTCGTTCCTGCTCGAGACTGCTCCCTCGAGGGCGGCGGCAGCGCTATTGGTTTCACGGGGAACCGCTGGTTTAGTCACAACACGCGTATACGGTTCTCGGATAGTACTCCGACAAAGGGGAAGGCAATTTCATGCTGGACCCGTAGGAAGAGAGAAGCAACAGAGTCCGGTTGAACAATTTATAGATCAAATAAACACCAAGTCGACGACCCAAAAGACCAAATCCAAGATTTACAAGAGCGCGGATGATGCGATTGCTGATATTAAGGACGGCGTTACCATCCTGAGCTCGGGATTTGGACTCTGCGGAGTTGCAGGTACGTTTGTTTACATTTCTTGCAACGGATGCTGGGAATCTCCACGACGCTTGTAAGACGACGGGGTATGAACCTGACGACTGATTCATCATAGAAACTCTGATTGATGCGATTCGAAAGAAAGGAATTCGAGACCTTACCATCGTCTCCAATAATGCGGGTGCTGGAGAACATGGCCTAACTAAGTTAACCACTAGTGGTCAAATATCACGCATGATTGTTTCATTCATTGGCAACAACAAGCCTCTTGGAAAGCAGTATCATGATGGCAAGGTTGCGATTGAACTCTGCCCTCAAGGTACGATTGCAGAGCGGCTCCGAGCTGCAGGGGCGGGCATTCCAGCATTCTTTACGGGGACCGGTGCGAGCACATTGATACAAACTGGTGGTATTCCCCATCGACTAGGAGCCAAGGACCCACAGACTGGGAAACATGAGGTCCTGGAGCCTGGCCGCCCACGTGAGACTCGCATCTTTGATGGGAGGCCACATCTCATGGAAACAGCACTAAAGGGCGACGTTGCCATTGTTCGCGCTTGGAAGGCAGACGAGGCTGGAAACTGTGTCTTCCGAACCGCCACCAAGGCATATGGTGTCTTGATGCCGAAGGCTGCTAAGCTCGCAATTGTCGAGGCCGAAAATATCGTTCCGATTGGCTCTCTTGATCCAGATCATGTTCACTTACCAAGTATTTATGTTGATCGCATTTGCCCCGCCACATCGGACAAGCAATTTGAAAAGCTGGTGCTGGCACCAACTCAGGACGCAACAGCCGAGACAGGGGAGGAAGCAGTCAAGCGAAACAGGATCGCGAAGCGTGCGGCGAAAGAGTTACACGAGGGCTACTATGCCAACTTGGGGGTGGGCATTCCAACCCTGGCACCCTCCTTCCTTCCCGCCGGGGCAAATATCTGGCTGCAGTCTGAGAACGGAATAATCGGCATGGGCCCTTACCCGGCGACAAAGGCTGATGCAGATCCGGATACCGTCAACGCTGGCAAAGAGACAATCACTCTCGTTCCCGGGGCGTCGACCTTCGATAGTGCCGAGAGCTTTGGCATGATCAGGGGAGGTCATGTGGACGTATCCCTACTGGGAGCTCTGCAGGTTTCTGCTTCTGGTGATCTCGCAAATTACATCATCCCTGGCAAGGCTTTCAACGGCATGGGCGGTGCAATGGATCTTGTCAGCAACCCTGATAAAACCAAAATCATCGTGTGCACATATCACACAGATAAAGAGGGTCGGAGTAAGATCCTTGATGAATGCGAGTTGCCTCTTACGGGCAAGGGTGTGGTCAGCACAATCATTACCGAACTGGCTGTATTCCAGGTGGATCGAGTTGGCGGAGGCGGACTGACCTTGACAGAGGTCGCAGATGGCTTGACAGTGGACGATGTCAGAGCAAAGACGAGGGCCAAGTTCGCAGTCGCAGATGATCTTGGAACATTTTAGTGACTGAAGGCGAAGTGGAATATCATAGAAACATACAATGCACAGACAATAGCGGTCATTCTTTGAAAAGCATCTTAGGATAGAGACACTTGGTCGTGCAAATCATGCAGCCACCGGGTGCCAGGGCTCAAGCGTGGTGCTTGAATTAAAGGAATCCTGTCGTACTTTGGTCTTCATCAATCTTTCTCCATGCCTTCCCATAGGACCTCTAGCTATGCCCGTTTCATTTACCACCGTAGACAATAAGGGGAAAGAAGAAATACCTCGTCTATCCTCCCAGGCTTCCCACTCGAGCACGTAGAGTGACTAGCCTTAGCAGAATCATCCCCGCATGAACAGAAGCTTGGCGTCCTGGGACATGACTGATAGAGCAGATAGGTATATTCAGGTATTTAAAGATATTCCTATCTCAAGCACTCAGGGTGATCCACAGTCCCTCTCGACTCGTTCGCTAAGTTTGTGCCGCTGATAAGAAATCGTTCTAGAGCTACCTAAGTACTCCGTACCTCCCTAGGTAAGTTTGATCCTTTGTTAGTGATGAAACGTCATTCCTGTGCCACGAGACCATGTCCTCAATATCTTTACACGTGTTGAATGAAGACCATGACCAAGGAATTACTGATATCATGGCTTTCCAATCTCAACGGGTACTTCCCAAGATCGCTGAGCCACGCAGCGAGGGCATCCAGTTTCTATTCACCGTAAGTATCGAATCCAAATGCTCCATGAAGCTCTTGGATCGCTCCGCTTCAAGGTAGCTACTAATCCTGGTCCTTGAAGTGACCCCCCACTTGAGCTCGATGCTACCCAAGATGTTCTTTAGTTCGCTTCGAAAACTTCGAACGCTTATCTCGATCAAGTCATGCCACAGGACATGCCGTCTCATTATTAGGCCTGATGCCTGATGCCTGATGCCCGCCTCTACGATTTAACGCGGGAGGAGCGGGAGGAGCAACAAGAACTCATCTGCTGGTCAAGCTCACTAAGCTCTATGCAAGCTTTTAGTGCGACCGGTGTACAAACGTGGGAGAACTCGCCTATGCGCGAGTGTGAACACTTGCTGTTCTTGAAAACTTACAGGCCATGCAAAGCAAGCGATGACGTGGTGATGCTCTCTTTCTGATCTACAGATGATCTAGTTTGCTGCAAATATTACACGGTCGGCCGTGAATGATTGGTGCCACAACTACATGTCTCTCTCGGCTTGACCGGCATGACTTGTATCTCACAAACGGTGCTAATAGCTAGGATGATACTCTGCCTAAACCGTCCACTTCCTTACGAGGAGGCTGTTCCTGCTTCTTGTCCTCGGAGCATGGCTACCTGCTTCCTAAAAAGCTATTAAACAGGGTATTTTGCCTTTCCCAAGCGTTCTTCCACACTCTCACGCAGATTTTAGAAGTTTTCCCAAGATGCTGCGACACTGGAACCAAGGATGCATTTTCGTTGCGTTTCTGGTCGGAGTGGTCTCATCTCATCGCCGTGACGTAGCTGCAAGACGGGGATTTACACCGCAAGCAATCGAGGAGATGAAGGCCCGATCACTCCATGGGCGGCGAGTTGAGGCGCCCGAGAAAAGATACTATACGAATGATACGAAGGGTAAGTCGGACTCAGCTTGGTCTAGCCATACTTTGTCATTAGGTTATCATCACATACGCTCACGGTTGTACGATACTAGGATATTTTGTCGAGTCCTTGCCAGATATCCCGCAAGAATTCATGACGGAGATGTACAGCGGCGTGATCAATCTTAACAAGTCCGACGATAACAGGGGATTGTTCTTTGTGTTTCAGCCTCGAGTCGGTACCCCGGTTGACGAAATCACGGTATGGTTCAATGGTGGCCCAGGTAACGAGAAAAACAAACTGTGATTCTACCATCCCCTCTGATGAATATGTTCGTGCTCAGGTTGTAGTTCACTTGAAGGCTTCCTCCAAGAAAATGGACTTATCCAGTGGACATGGGGCCAATACGCACCTCAAATCAATCAGTATTCCTGGGTGAATCTCACCAATATGCTTTGGGTGGAGTACCCTGTGGGAGTGGGTTTCTCCCGCGGTGAACCAACTGCGACGAATGAAGAAGATCCGGCCGATGAATTCATTCAGTTCTTCCAAAATTTCCAGGTTCAATCCCCTGCTTCTTTCTCTGAGCCTGAAGTTGTGCTGATTCTTGAATACCAGGATATCTTTGGTATCAACGACTATTCGATCTATGTGACTGGTGAGAGCTATGCTGGACGATACGTGCCTTATGTGGCGAATGCGATGCTCGAGCAGAATGATACGACACATTTCAATCTCTCTGGTAGGTCGAGCTAGCTTGATATTTCGAACGACCACTGATCAAGATCCTTAGGTGCCCTGGTATACGATCCCTGCATAGGCTCATTTGACTACACCAACGCCATCTCGGTTTATCCTTTCGTTGAGCAGAACAACAACATCCTAGGGTTCAATAAAACCTTCGTCGCAGACCTTGCAGCGCGTGATAAAGCTTGCGGCTACGCTCAATATCGCGAGGATTTCCTGCAGTTTCCTGCCAACGGCACTCAACCACCACTATACCTCAACGCTACGGCCGACCCGGAGTGCGATCTCTGGGACGATGTATACCTCAATGCATACGCCGTGAACCCCTGCTTCAATGTTTACGAGCCGAACTTACAATGTCCATTGCTGTCGGACCCACTAGGATTCCCCAGCGATCTGATATACTCTTACCCTGGATTGCCTCCTTACTTCAACCGGTCCGATGTCAAGAAGGCTATGCATGCTCCAGAGGACACAGACTGGGCTCTATGTACCGGGCCAGTGTTCGTAGGCAAGGGCGGCCCCCAGGACCGTGGAGACCTCAGTGCAGATCCGCTCCAAGGCGTTCTCCCACGGGTCATTGAAGCGACAAATCGCGTTTTAATGTAAGCTCTTTCCCCACGAAAAGCCAGCTTACCCAGACTGTCAAAGACACAGCTCGACTGACACCCCTCAGATCCAACGGCGCACTCGACTTGGACCTCCTGACGAACGGCACGATGCTCGCGATCCAGAATATGACCTGGAACGGGAAAATGGGCTTCCAGGCGCCCCCTAATAGATCCATCGTCATCGGGCTCGCAGACCTCCAGTACCAGGACGTCTTTGTGTCAAGCGGCTTTGTGGGCCTCAGCGACCATCAAGGAGTCATGGGTGTGCAGCATTTCGAGCGCGGGCTCATGTGGGCGGAGACGTACCTTTCCGGCCACATGCAGCCGCAGTTCCAGCCTCGGAGCAGTTATCGCCATCTGCAGTGGCTGCTGGGGAGGATCGACACGCTTTGATCTGGTGGGATGGATATTTGTGGGAAAGGGATCACTTTTGCTAATTTGAAAACCCTTTGTGATGCAAGCACCCGCCTTGTTCAGAGGTGGAGGGGAACGATACGAGGGATATTGAATTAATTCCCTCTCGCATCAACGCCGGTCTGCAAGAGATATCTATCAGCCAGTAATAGTCCTCAAGGATCTGATCAAAAAACCGCGGCCGGCACTGGCCGCTGCAGAATGCTCGATAGTCTCAATTCCACCTCGGTGGCCCACCTGCTGCTAAGTAATGCACCAACCGTGAGCAAGTTCGCCATCTCGCCGTCCAGAGAAATACCCTTTTCCATATTGAACATACTTGATCCCAGTACATTACAACATCCATCCTCGCTCTGCTAATCAAGGCTACATAGCGAATAGCCCGGCATGCTCTTTTACCGGCGACGAGATGAGAAAGCATCAGTATCCCGAGCCATGCTACCTTCGTGCGGTCACGTGCCAGGCTTGCAAGGCTGGGAAGACCCAGGGGCGTCTTCAGTCGATAGGACTGCAGTGAGGAGGGAATGAGTGGGGATTGGTCAGTATTGATTAGCACTTATTGAGTATTATCCAATGTAGGAACTTGGTTTCACGGCCGCATTGACAACTCTCTGGAGCCTTGAGCCAGCATGTAGTGCCATCCATTCAATGGGTTGGGAAGGCACTGTAGTTTCACCGGACCTTTCGCGTGAGAAGAACAAAGCGACTGGTTGGTCGTTCTGTATGAGAGGAAGTGTGGTCTTGTCACTCAGTAGATGAAGACCTTAGGCCAGTCGTGCTGATCTCGAGACCCTGGAACGCAAGAGGGGTGTTTTCCTTTCATTGGGTATTCTGCCGCCACGTCCATGTGAGGTTATCATAGAATGTGCTTCCAAGCAAATGTTTCGTGTTGCAACGTTCAAGTTTGAAGATTTCACATGTCTTTATGCGACACCACTATCTCAACCACGAGGCCTAGCATCCCCAATCATAGTCACGTCAGTGCTCTCGGCGGCGGCAGTGGTACCCTGTGCATCTTCTGCATTGCGATACGATTTATCGCAGCATGTTAGCTCTGGTTAATTAGACGTACCGTTCCTGCTGGACCCAGACAACCGTGGCAGAAGACCGTTCACGCTTCGCACAGCTGTGACGAGGGCATCGAAGCGAGCCAGCGCATTTATGGCAGTCGTGAGGTTTCAGCCCAGATTTGAATCCACCCTGCAAGCCACACATCCTCGTGTGACAAGTGTAGGGAAGACGTATGGACAGTGTAGAACACGAGGCTCCCACAGTTGATCGTCGAAAGTGTTCAAAAAGAGACAAATCGCGCTCAGGACGACCGCTTGTGAATAAACGCCCCCCTGCTGGGCCTAACTTGTCCCGATAAGATCTGGGAGTGATGGAAAGTGTATGTATTTCTTGCACCCCTAGGCAAAATGGATGATGTACGGTTCTTTTGTACTTATCTTTCCAAGTACCTGGAAGCTCTTGCGAGTCGAGCACATGCTTGTAAATATCCACGTTATTGGATATGCTAATGCATGGAAGGTGACACAGCATAAGAGGATGGAAGGTGCCGGTGCCGGTCGTTCGGCATGATGGGCATGTTTCGAGTCATCCTTTGCACAGTCCTCCAATAAGGGCCGACGCCTGGATGCTGGGCTGGCGGTATGGCGCAATCCACGAGCCACCTGGGCGTCGTGCATACTGTACGAGTAAGCTTGGTCCCCTCGGTCAGCTTGGAGAGCCGGTGCAGCCCGTGGATTTGGCCGCTAAGGCTCGGTTACATGCCCACAATCTCTTAGACTGCCTCCGTTCTCGAGAGAGCCGAGCTGGAACCACTCAGCATTTTAGCTGTTTGAGAGCACCCTCAAGGCTCTATTTTGAGTATATTGAGCAGGTTTTGCGCGGCGCGAGGGGAGCAAGGGGAGCAAGGGCTCTCCAAAGTTGAAATGAAATCCGAAACACGATTCCAAGATGCGTTTTGGGCGAGAAGTCTGAGTCGAGAGCGGTGGTGGGGCACCGGTGGTGGTGGTGCTGATGAATCATTCAAGCAGTTAGAAAGATAACACCCTGAGATTCGTCAACATTAGCATTTTGTAGTACATATTTTCCAGCAATCGAACCAAGGAGGAACCTATCTGGCTGGGACAAGTGCCACGAAGAGCTAAAGCCGAAGCTCTTTGGCCCACGACTTTTCCCGAAGATCGACCCTGCATACTTCTATCGGGCCCCCTCCCAAGGAGCAGACAATCAGTTAGAACGACCAAGGCAACCGAGCTGGCATGCCGGCATCATGCATGCGAGGGAGCTGTATTGGGCGTCCTGATTGTCCTAGCTTCCTCGTACTCGTAGGTCGTTTGCGAGCGTCGTTGACTCGATGGTTGGTTGGAGCCTGCTGCCTGCTATCAAGCTCACCACGTTGCGTGTTTTCCCAAGATACTCAAGTCCCCGGCAGCAGTGGCAGTAGTAGCGATATGGCCAGAGACCTGCCGAGTAGAGAGAGGGTCCTGTCTTCCACCCAGTCGGTAAACCTTTTATCTTATGCTCCGTAGCTCTTCTGTTCCTGCTTGGATGCCGTACCGAATGCTACGTCTACCAGCTTCCAAATGAATGGCCTTTCCATGGGTTCCATACCCCCATCCCTGGCACCCCGCTGGAGGACTGGAAAGGGTCCGTCTGCTCCGTGCGCGGCGGCACCCAGGCTGTACTCGTATCTGGCGGTCAGGAGGCACGCTGCTGAGAAATGGAGACTCGAGAGGGTCGTTTCGAGGAGCGGCCGGCATTGTCGGGCATGGGCTCAGCACAACCCTATCTCCCGTCACTACCACCTACGAGTAATACTATGAGCTAGACAATTCTTTGCGAGGGTCTGAATCCACCCGGTACCCCATCCCCATCCACTCGTGATGGCTGTCCCGGTCCCAGTCAGGGCAGTTAGTGTTTGTTGGCCGATTGATAGCAGAGGATACGGAGTACACACACCTGTCGAAAGCCCTGAACAACGGGGCGTCGTCCAGCCCTGTCCAATTCCAATCCATCCCAAGTCGCCCTACCCCGGTCGTTTATTATTTTTTATTGGATTTCTCGCCTTTCGTCCCAACTACGACTACGACTACGACTACGACTACGACTACGGAGCACTCATGCCGCCATGATGGGATTACTATTACTCCAGACCCCCTTTCCTTTCTCTTTAACTTTGTCCTTGTGTTCATAACTCCTCTTCGAATCAAAAACGACTCTGTGCACGCACTAGCCGTTTCGTCCTACGATCTATGGCGTCATGTTATTGAGATTCGAGCCTTCCACGGGGTGGCGAACCCTTCCTGTCGAACAACCATATCCCTCTCACAGAGAGTAACAGTGGTCCATTCTTATCTGGAATTCTAACACTGGAGCATATCAAAAATTCGTGGCTCGGTTACCGTCTGCTACTGGTCGGCGCTTCGAGTTGTTTGACCTGGAGAAGTCGAACTGGTATCGGGTCTGCTCAGTATAGCAGAACCCACAAACCGCATTTATTGCATTATTTTTCTAAACAAAGAGAGTTCCACCTGTCTCTGTTTATCTACCTTTCCAAGAAGAGGATAGAAGCAGTTCCAAGATGGCGGCGTTCTCAGGCCACGCATCCCTTCCAACACCACTCACACCCTCCATGCCAGTGACTGGTCCTATCCCTGAACAGATCGAAAAACTCCCAATCACGCCTCCAGAGATAACGGGACATTTTGACGAGAAGCTGTTCAAAACCGATCACAAGACGATCAGCAAAGCCCTTCACGTGCTCGCTACCGAAAGGCTGGCGCTAGAGCACCTGGAAGACCTATACACGAATTCAGTAGAGGCCCAGGAGTCGCTTTCACGTGCAATCAACCAGATTATCCGTGCGGAGACACGACATGGAAAGACCATATTTATCGGCGTTGGCAAGTCAGGCCATATCGCGAAGAAGTTGGTAGCGACATTCGTGTCCTTGGGCATCCACGCACAGTTCTTGCATCCCATCGAGGCTCTGCATGGCGACCTGGGAGTCGTGCGACCGAATGATACCGTGGTGATGATCACATTCTCCGGACGGACTCCTGAATTGATGTCGCTGCTGCCACATATCCAACCAGGGATCCCTCTCGTCATCATGACCGGCCATCTCAGCCAGAACACTTGTCCCCTTCTCGCGCACCCCTCAAGACGCAATGCAACCAACATCCTTCTTCCAACCATGGTCCACGAATCCGAGATCTCCTCCTTTGGCGTTTCCGCTCCCACGACATCCACAACCATCACGCTAGCCTTGGGCGACAGCCTTGCCCTCGCAGTAGCCGACGAGCTCCACACTGCAGCAGGTGTGCAGACACCAGCTATTTTCGCAGCCAATCATCCTGGCGGCGCCATCGGCGCCGTGTTGAAACCGCCAGCGCCGTCTGTGCCGCGCATAGCAGATCTAGCTACCGCCGTGGACCAAGTCCCAATCGCAAGGCCGCGCCCTGGGGGATTTCCCCTTCTGTGCCACGACATCCTCATCGCGGCCGTCCGCTCCCTGCGAGGCTATGTGCGCACATCTCCAACCCACATCATAAGCCCGCGCCGCATCCAACGCCTCCAGAATCTAGAACTGCCCATCGCAGATCTCGAGGACGAACTGGGCAAGATCGAAGTCGAGAAAACCGACTGGATCTCCGTCCTCGGCTCCACCACCGTCGAGGAGTGTAAGCAGTGGATCCTGCAGATGCGTGGCGCCGAATCCAACGGCCGAGGGAGGGATTTCCTTCGCAGAGGCACGTTACTTGGTATCGTCGACCACAATGAGGTCACTGGCATCGTGGATATAGAGGATGTCATGGGTGAGGATTTTGTTTGATTCCTTGGGTGTGTGGAGTGGGGGAGCATTGTATCATTCTTTCGGTTGTTGGCATTTTGAACAAACCAGAGACATTTTTCCCTTCCTTTAGATAAGGCTTGAAGAAGAAAAGAAGCCCCAGACACGGTGACGATGGGCGGCAATCTGTGCGAGCCTTTGAGCTCGCTTCATGATTCGGATTTCAGATGCTCGGGAAAGGTTTTTTAAACACCTGGATCTTATAACGACGTAATGAATTACTACTACCGATACCAATCGTCTTCATCATCTTCGTCGTGGTCGTCATCATCATCATCACCATCAGGGTTATTATCATGGTCATAATTTTCGTTAGGCAGGCTATTTGCGCTCGCGTGGTAGCCATGTAGTAGTGCAGCCTCCGGTCCACCGTCTGCTGCAGAAGCAGGTTGTTGGTCCTTATCTGGCCTGTCTTTGACAAATGCGATATGTCGGAGCGCTTCTCTCTTCTCACGAAGCTTGCGCACCCGCTCTTCCATTTCCTCCATCACATCGAACTCGTCTTCTAGCCGGCGTCCCTCGTCTTCCTTCTCGTCGTCTGCCTCGGTGTCCAGCCTCCGCCGTTTCTCCTCGTCTGCTTGCTGTGCGATTTGTGCAGCTGTGACCGGTGCCGCAATGATTGTGGCGCCTTCGTAGGTGGGAGGCTGGGCGGACTTCGTGGCTTCTGTCAATGGCGCGACTTCGCGCTCGAATGCCGCCCATTCGTCTTCGTCTACTTGTAGTTGCGGTCGGGTGCCGTCGGGTTGCGGTGCCTGAGATTGGGGAGGGAGGTCTGGTTCAGAGGAAGCCGTTGGCACTGAGGGCGGTGAAGGAGGCTGGGAATGAGGCTCTGTTGGCAAGCTTCGTCCTGCTAATTCTGCAGGCTCTTCCTCCGTCGTGCCGGTCAAGGTCACTGATCGAGACTTGGGCTTCTTCCTGCCGTCCCGGTCTGCTTCGTAACGGTCTTCCCGTGGGACCTCGTCGTCTTCGTGCTTGCGCTTCAGCTGCTTTGCGGTGGTTTCTTGGGAAGCAAGCGCGTTCTTTCGGTGGTTGGCACTCCTTAGGTGGCCTTCCCAGAGGGTTTCCGACTTCACGTTCAGGTTACATACAATGCACAGGAGTATGCCGGATTTCGTATAGGAGAGATGAGGATGCGCGATCCGTCGTGACTGGCGTTCAGCCGCGAGGAGAGCTCTCACGTCTGCCATGTTTTGTGGTTTTGGTCTTTCCAAGAGAGCTCCAGGTTCGTAGAAGCTCCTTCGCCTGTCCAAGGCAACGTAAACAAGTCGACACGCTCTGATGAAACATCAAACCCTGGTCTGCCTGGTCCATGCGAGTAATGGGCATCACGTGTAAAACTTATTTGGGCTAGTGACGTCGTAGGCGCCAACAAGATGCACGTGCCGCTTGCCCCACTGGTGTCCGGCTTCGGCACCGGAATAACAATTATACGCTCCATCGCCGCCCTTATGTCTTGGCACATCGTAGCTTCTAGCAAAAGAGATTCGGAGGGAAAGAGACAAGCGGCAAGAGGCATGCAGTTGGAGGAGGAGCCTGAGGGCAAAGCAATTCCCGAGACCAACTTGAACTCAACCCGGATCTAAACGTCGCAATCAAACTCTCCCAACCCACCTCTTTCCCCCAAGATAGTCTTCCTCATCTCTTCAACTCTCAACTCCACCATCATTCTTTCAGTCAGCAGAAGAGGGAAGCTATCATTGATTTGTGCAAGGGCGCCGCGTTGGCGCAAGAATACGAGGTCGTGTGAACACTCCCAGTACTCTTGGATACTTGTTGTAGATCGCGAATAATCCGTGATTGGTGACAAGTGTACATTTATCGCGTCTTTTGTAGCTTTGCGCGATCCATCTCCCGTCCTCTCAAAATGGCTGGTAAGCATTGGCAGCAGACGTCGCGCGTGGCATCACCCATGATCACCACGACAGCCCCTCCGTTGAGTTGTCAAATCATTAATACAGTCGCAGATGAACCTCGACGTTCAGGTCGCGCCACCAAGGGCCAACATACCAAAGATCGCGATCCGAATGAAGACGCGCCCACGCCTGCGACCAAGAAGAAGGGCAAGGGAAAGGGCTCCAAAGCCAAGCAAGTGGAGGAGGAGGTTGAAGAGGAGGCCGAGGAAATTATCCGCTGTGTCTGCGGCAAGTATGAAGAGGAGGAAGATGTCCCTCGAGCTATGATTTGCTGTGATAATTGTTCCGCGTGGCAACACAACGGATGCATGGGCCTTCCGGAAGACTACGAGGTCGATACCTACTTCTGCGAACAATGCAAGCCTGAGACGCACAAGGAACTTTTGGCGGCGATTGCACGCGGTGAGAAGCCTTGGGAAGCAGCAGAAGACACTAAGAAAGGGGAGAGAGGCAAGAAGAAAGGTGGTCGCAAAGGCCGAAAGTCTGGGGGCGCAAGAGCGTCAGACGTCGCAGCGCCAGCTTCGTCGCAGGAGCCCCAGGAGTCCCAGGAGCCAGAGAAGCCAAAGGAACCTACACCGCAACCAGCCCCAGTCACGGGGCAGAAGCGCAAGTTGGAGGAGTTGCCTCCTACACCAGAGGTCAAGGTATGTCTTCTTTGCCTGAGAAAGCCCTACTGATGCTAACGAAATTGCAGAATAAGAAAGTCCGAGGCACACCTGCAGCAGACACAAATGGAGCGAAGTCTACGACGCCGGTTGAGCGCAAGCCTAGCCAGTCCACGACTCCTTCAAGGCAAGGCTCCAAATCCGAGCAGAGTATTGGCCCCGCCATTGTGTCCGATCTCAAGGAATTGACCAATGCATCGAGAAAGGGAGCGGCACAAAGTTTGATGAAGCTCATCGAGCAGCAAATTAAAGAGCTTGTGAAGCAAGGGGAGTACGCTGTACCAACTCATTCTACCGCCCAAGACATTGCCAGCCAGACTGGTCTGCGCATCGAACACGCCTTGTATCACATTCAAGCCAGTGGTAGTGGTGAACCCAACGATGCCTACAAACAACAATTACGTGCTATTACCTTCAACGTCAAGAAGAACCATGCCCTAGGCGTGAAACTGCTTCAGGGCGATCTCACACCGCACAAACTGGCAAGCATGGATCCCAAAGACATGGCTAGTGAAGAACAGAAACGCAAGGATGCAGCAACGATGAAAGAGATGGAGAAACAACATACAATCATTGAACAGGAGGGTCCAAGAATCAGACGAACACACAAAGGCGAAGAATATGTGGATGAATCAAGACAGGTTGCGGCAGAATCAGTCACATCCAATGCGCCGGTTCGAAAATCAAGCATGGCTGAACAAGATGGAGACGCAAAGAGCCCAGAACTGGCAATCAAAAGCCCTTCTCAGGCATCCAGACCATCAGTTGACACCGCCCGACGACAGTCGTCGGCCAATTTCGATATTGACAAAGTATGGTCAAACGTTGCCAATTCGCCTACAGGTGGAGGTGATGGAGAAGGACCACGATTCGGCGAGCTCCCACTTCAACAGTCACCAGTGGTTTCTGCTCGCGATCCGAGTGGCCCAGGCACCAAGACTGATGCTGATATTGACGAACTTCTCAAGGATGAGGAGGTCGAGTCACCCCCGTACTCACCTAAGGACACAACAGAAAGTGATGGGACTGTATGGCAGGGCGTCGTCAACGGTGGGAGCCTGGGCAAATTTCACATATCTGCAAGACATGCGGCTGGCGCAACACCCGACAGCGATACATTAAGGATGACATATCACCAACTACTGCCAGAGACAATCGTTATTGCCGGACGTATTCAGCCATCCAAAGCGGAAGAGTACCTATGTGGCTTGGAATACAGCAACACCTCCGACCTTGTCATTGTGTACATGCCCGAGCCTCCGAAAACCACACCAGATCAGGTCCAGTTCGACAAGTTCTTCCGTTACTTCAAGTCGAAGGATCGTTTCGGCGTCGGAAATCCACATCCCATACCGGCTGTCAAGGACCTCTACCTCATCCCTCTTGAAGCAGGTCAAGAACTTCCCACATTTGTCAAGAAGCTTGAAACGGATTTTCCCGACCCAACGAACGAACGCATGCTACTGATTCCAATTGTAATCAAGAACAGCGAGCTCCCACACAACGTATCCACTTCGTCTGTGGCTAGTCCAGGGGGTGGGCCAGTTGCGCAAACTCCCATGACACCCCTCGACGGTACTTTCGAGACTCAGCAATCATCTGTGTATAGCCAATCGCCAGCTCCAGGCCATTATGCTATGAACGGCACGCCCCAATTGCCTCATGTGCAATCCAACTCTGCCACGCCGCATCCTTACCCAACTCCAGGCCTGCCAGCACAATATCCTCCACAACCACAATTCAATCCTCTCCCTCCGCAGCAACAACTGCCTCCGTCCCCTGCGGTGCTGAATGCTCAACGAGTTCTCGGTCCGTTAGCAACAGCCCCTGCGGTCGTACAGCTGTGCGCACAAGTCCCAACAGCGGGTGAACATGAGTTTGGCGTGATCAAAGAAATTCTCGAGAAAAACCCCGAAGCGGCCAACAGCCTGGAGGTGCTGACGGGAATGCTGCAGCATTTCTCAGCTGCTTCGAAATGAGCGGCGTGTTTGATGGTAGGACCTTTGCAATGGATGACGACCCAATAACGAGGGAATGCACATTGCGATTGTTGTGAGTTTATCTAGGCACACCAAGCAGATGGAAGAAGGGGCGTTGGTTCAAATGAAAGCCCGACAAAGGAATTCTCTAGTTAGGTTGTGGGTGTTGTTAGCTTAAGCCAGCTGGGCCAGCCAGCCAGCCCCCAGCAGGACACTAACAGCCTCAGCAGGATAGATTGGCTGGCTCTACGAGAAAGGAGACGATGTAAAAGATGTCTTGACATGTCACGGACTGTTCTTTTCCATCCTTGACAATCAAACATCCAGGGATCAAGGATGGCAACGAGAACAGGAATGGGAATGGAAATGCGAATGGATATGGTGCAGGCTGGCTGTGGTGTGAATTTTGCTGTGCGAGTGCTCCGTACCCAAGCTCCCGAAGTACCAGGGCAATTAGCTAGTGTCCGTGAATGATTCCATATGTTCTTCTCTGTTGATGCCAGGGCCGCTGCGGGTGCTGTTCTTGTTCTGCTCCCGTCCTCTTCCATCTAGGATTTTCCTTTGACTGGTGCGAATGGAATGCGATGCGATACGACACGATACTTTACAATACGATTGGAGTATGTTTCCCCCTCTCGTTGGGGTTCCTCCCTAGAGGCGCAATGTTGGCGTGGATGGATAGGGATGATACGATATGTACCAGCCCCGGCGGCGTTGATGAAAAGTTGGCAGCGCTGTGCGCTGTCCGCTGTAGTATGGGACGGACTGCACTGTACTACTGATAGGTGGACGGGAAGAGCTCTACAGAAAACATATGTTTGTACACATACATCATGTGCATGGATTCTTCCGTAGATCTCCCTCGTTATGTGTGTCTACCTCGCGGCCTCCAAGAAGGTGTTCACAAGCTCATCCCTCCTCCGCTCCTCGACGAGGTAGAACCGCAGATCCCTCAGGACGGACAAAGGCAGCTGCTCGACGTTCCTCACATGGCTGGGGATGACCGCGGCCTTGAGGAACGCAACGAGCTCCTTGCGCCGCTCGGTGTCTGACAGCTTCATCTTGGAGATGTACTCGCGGTACAGCTTCTCGCGATCCTTGTCCGGCAGCGCGAGGTCCTTCATCGCGGCTGTTTTCTTGTACTTGCGCTTAAATTCCGGCCAGTAGAGCTTCGGCGTTGCGGAGGCGTGCAGCAAGCGGAGGTATTGAATTTTAGGGTCTTTGAGGGCGGATTTGGAGAGCGTGGTTGGGTCGGCGGGGTCGTTGGACTTGTCTTCTTGGGCTTCTTGTTCTTTCTTCTGGGCTTGGATCGATGCGATGCGGTCTTTCGACCATTGGAGGAATGCTTCTTTCCGGGATGAGGTGTTGGGGAGGGCAATGTAGCGTGAGTCTTGAACAATGTTCATGTCTTCGATTACCTTCTCGAACACGCTGTAGGGTGAGATGCCTGAGTCGTCGAGTAGTGAGCGGAAGAGTGCTATGTTGTCGGCTGCGGTGAGTGGGACGCCTTCGTCGTCGTCTGGATCTCTGCCGTTTTCGTGCTCGCCGCCGTTGTCGTATTGGCCGGAGTAATCCCCTTCCATCTGTGCGAGTTGCCAGGCGATGTCATCCTCGTTGAACTCGACAGGCCCAGTGGGTGGTGGAGTGGTTTCGCGATCTTGTGATATGCGAGGCCGTTTTGTAGTGGCTGGGCCGCCGTCGTCATCGTCGTCATCGGTAACTTCAACTTCCTCGTATGAATCGCTATCGTAATTACCACCTACTGTCGGCTCTTTGGGTTCCATCGAGCTTGCTCCTTCAGCTCCTTGTGGCAGCTGTAATTTGCCTTGTTCTTCGTCATTTCCATCAGGGGTGCTCTCGGCCTTCTTCTTATTCTTCTCTTGCCACTCGAGTGTATCCATTTTGATGACAGCCATCATAACGTCTTGGGGGAATTTCCAGAGACTCTGTTTAGTCTCGGTGTTGTGAACAAATCTCCTGCCCAGCTTGGTCTTCACGAGCACCCATGGCGCACAAGATGAAATAGCTGTTTTGGACTTTGGACGATCGCCCTGGTTTCCCCGACGCCTGGAGTGTTCTTGGTAACTCCGGCCGCCCGTGAAATGACCAGGACCAGCAGCATTATTCCTGTTGAACTCGCCCATGGCATGCATGGATGCCCGGACAACGTGGTCGGGTTCGGTGGCGCCATAGTCGATATGTAGCGGCTCTTCAGAAGGAAGCGAGGGACGTGTATATGTGCTCGTCTCGGTCTCTGCGTGATAGTAATAGGAATGGCCAGTTGGTGCTTTGTGCTCGACCCATCCTGGAGGTAGCGGGGGTGGGTCGGTGCCAGAGCCCGACGTCGGCGCCGATTTCTTGTATGTAGACCTGAGCATCGCGTGTCCTGCCAGGATCTATGCAGTCATGCAGTAGTGAATCGGCATTGAAATCGAGAGGAGCGAGGTCGCGGGTAGTGTCGAGGTTGATTTGACTGGAGTTGGAGAAACTTGGGAACTTTCTGATGCCAGCCTTGGGGAAGCCATGCGGGGCTGTGATTGGCTGGAATGTGCAGAGGGCAGTTACGCGTGAAAGAAGTGCCTGGAGTCCAAATCAGATCACTCGCTCAGTACCCAGCACTAATTACCTGCGCTATCATTCAACTCACTCACTCACTTATTCAACCACCTTCATCCTCTCTTCCTTCTACCGCTTCTGCACACAGTCCTCACCAGCAGTCAACATGTCGCGGAGATACGATTCAAGAGTGTGTCCACATTCATGCCCAAACACAGGAAGCGTCCATTGCTAACAACCTGTCCCAGACAACCATATTCTCGCCTGAGGGCCGATTGTATCAGGTTGAATACGCCCTTGAAGCCATCTCGCACGCCGGCACAGCTCTAGGAATTCTAGCTCAGGATGGAATCGTCCTTGCCGCCGAGCGAAAAGTCACAAGCAAGTTGCTGGAACAGGATACATCGGCTGAGAAGCTGTACATTTTGAACGAGTGAGTTGGAGGGCGCGAGCAAAGTTGCTGTCACATTCAAGTATAGTATATGGGCTGACTTGTGTCCGCCACTCTCAGCAACATGATATGCGCTGTTGCAGGCATGACCGCTGACGCAAATATCCTCATCAACTATGCCCGACAAGCTGCCCAACGATATCTGCTCACCTACAATGAAGACATTCCTTGTGAACAGCTTGTCCGACGTCTGTGTGATCTGAAGCAAGGCTATACCCAACACGGTGGCCTTCGGCCCTTCGGTGTCTCCTTCATCTACGCCGGCTGGGATCCTCAGCGACAATTCCAGCTGTACCAGAGCAACCCCAGCGGCAACTACGGTGGCTGGAAGGCAACCAGTGTCGGCGCCAATAATGCTAGTGCCCAGAGTCTATTAAAGCAAGACTACAAGGAGGAATGTGATCTGAAGGAGGCCTGCGGTATGGCGGTCAAGGTGTTGAGCAAGACCATGGATTCGACAAAATTGAGCAGCGAGAAGAGTAAGTCTGGAAGTTAGGAAGCTTGTCGTGGTGAAATACTGACCAGACTCTACAGTTGAATTTGCTACCGTTGGAAAGACCAAGGATGGTAAGATCTATCATCATCTATGGTCAGGCGATGAGATCAATACATTACTGAAGGAGCATGGCCTCGCCAAGGAGGACGAGCCCGAGACTGGCTAGAGAAGGTCTTCTCGAAGGTGATGATGTTGTGTAAAATAAAAAAGAATGGAGCAAGGCATAGCACCGGCGTTTACGGTTGCCCATTCAGACGGCCAGTAATGGCAGGCTCACAATAAACACAAGACGACCTAGGATTCAAGGAAGTACCGCTTAGTTTTATGTTGTGTTGTTTTGTCTTGACTCTAAGAGCGTTCCTCTATGCGGGAGTGTGGTGCCTGTGTGACGTGCATTCTGCATGTTAACAGTTGCCTATTGACGGTTTGTGTTCGCACCTTCCCAACTAATGCAAACGCGCACTTTCCAATGTGACTGAATCTTCTGCTCTTATTCTAACCTCAACCCAGGCAGATCTGCCTACACTGGGCTACGCCAATTCACTTTCATCGAGTGTCTCGTGCTTGGGAACAGTCCAGTCAAAGATGTTCACTGCTCAACCCAGCCTTCGCGTATTAGCATATGCAAGGATCGGACATTGTTCATGGACTTAAGCTGCATGCTACGTTTCCATCAGCCATCTATTATTTGATCCTAGTCTAACTCCAGCCGAGAGTCGAGATCTATCCTGGACAAAATCCTACAAGTTGCGAGAACTAAGTCACATGCTACTTCAGAGTGAGGCAGATCACACAGGCTCCATTGCTCTGCAGCTCGCTGAATCCTTGCTTTCGACCTAGGGCCTACCAACTCGAACCTGCACCTTGTTGCACTATATCTATAGCATCACTCCCCTGATGGTTGGTGGCTCCACGGAGTTACTGTCTAAGTCCGTCTGCAGTGCGTGTTGCTTCTCGGAAGGCTGGCCCATTATGCATAAATCTAACTACGCCCGTACAGTCCGATTGCAGAGGATAAAAGACTGAGGGTGGTCAACTCGTTGGATTGCAACTGGCTGGACTTGGGCTTGACTTCTCACTTCATTTCAACATCATCCTGTCTAATGTCTACCATACAAGGCAAGCATGTCGGTCCTATTGGTCTAGGCCTACTCAATTTGACCAATCCGGCTAAAAACTTATCACGAGAGCAGGCATTTGCCGTGCTCAAACAGGGTCTCGACTCTGGTGCAACATTCTGGGAGTCCGTCAACTCTATGATTTCTCCCGTCTATCAGGCATCCATCCTAACTCGGTAACAGTGGTGGAGAGAATTACGGGACTCCTGACGCCAACTCTCTTCATCTGCTGCGTGATTACTTCGCGAAGTATCCCAACGATTCAGAGAGTGTGGTTTTATGCATAAAGGGTGGCTTGCGTCCGGACCGAACGTCAAACGGTACTCCAGAAGGAGTTCGGAGGACAGTGGATAACTGCCTTAAGATCCTTGCGGGACACAAAAAGCTTGACCTTTACCAGTGCGCTCGAGTTGACCGTGAGACACCAATTGAGGACACAATCAATACACTTGCTGAACTTGTCAAAGAGGGGAAGATTGGTGGCATCTCCCTCAGTGAGGTCAGCGCGAACACCATCCGAAGAGCGGTCAAAGTCCACCAAATCTCTGCTGTCCAGGTCGAGGTCTCGCTCTGGGAAGACCATGTCTTGAAAGACGGCATTGCTGATGTCTGCGCGGAGTTTGGTATACCAATCATCGCCTACTCGCCTATTGGCCGTGGCTTCCTCTCTGGGCAATTGAAGAGTGTTGATGACCTCCCAAAAGATGATTTTCGTCATATCCTTCCCAGATTTTACCCAGAAAACTTTGGCAAAAACATGGAGCTTGTCGAAAAGGTCAAAATCATTGCGGAGAAGAATGCCATCACGACTGCGCAACTGGCGATTAACTGGGTTCGACAACTATCACAACGACCTAACAGCCCTGTCTTCATTCCGATCCCGGGCGCGTCCAGTAGTGACAGGGTGAAGGAAAACTCCCAGGCTATTGATCTGGCTCAGGAGGATCTAGCAGAGATTTCAGCACTGGTCGATGGGTTTGAGACTTCTGGAGAGCGCTACCCTGAGCCGTGGCAAAGCCAGTTGAATGGGTAGAACGTGAAAGCAAGTGGGCATGTAGAGAAGCTCGATACGGGCTTCAGCACTAAGCCCAGGCGTTGGACAGGGACCTTATGCTATACTGTCTCACTTATTGCGAAAGCCAACAAATACCCATGTCTCTACACCCGCTTGCCCTGTGTAACCATAAATATCCCCCTTATCACCCATTAAAGGTAGAAGTCACACCAACACTTTCTTGCCCGGCGGCCGCCTCATCCAACTGAACATTCTTGTTCAATTTGGTCGTCTCCTCGTCGATTTTTGCTTGATCTGCATCCCCCTGCGCCGCCTCTATCTGGAGTGCCAGCACCTCCAACTGCAACTTGAGCACCTTGTTCTTGATCTTGCCGTTCTGCACTGCAGTCGTATCCCCACTGCCGATGGCGGCTATTGCCTCGTTAAACCCGCCGGTCCCGACCTCGGCTTCCTCAGCCACTTCGCGCGCGTCTTTGAGAATCTTCAGGTCTGCCGCTGATACGCTTGCCAGGTTTTGTTGGTCGATCTGTAGTCACGATGATTCGTTAGTTAGGTAGGTTGGTCGGAGAGGTGTTCTTCTCCTCTTGATGTCCATCGTGCTCCCTGTGTTTTTCGAACCCCTCGTTTCGCTTGGGTTCGGGGAGGATGCCCCGTTCACAATATGTACATACCGGGAATTTGGCATTCACCTCAGCCAGGGCGTTTCCCGCCACCCCATCGGAGACCTGGAACTGGCTGTACGACTGGACGGTGAGCGCACGCTTTGCTTTTGGCGCGATGGGACTAGCTGAGGAGAGAGCGAGCAAGCCCAAGACAATGGCGGTCGAGGAGAACTTCATGGTTTTTGCAATGGACGATGGAGAATGAGAAACAAGGAGGGACCTTTGAACGCAAAAAGAAGAACCACAGAAAAGAACGAAATTGACAGGCCAGCTGTACTAAGGGGAAAACCTAGGTAGGAAAGCGATGGAGTGCTGAAGAGAACCTGTCGAATGAGAAGCACAGTTCAGGGGTGGAAGAGGTAGACCTTCTTTATAGAGATCGAGTTCTCCCCATCATTTCCGCAAACTTCGATGGTGGTTTCCAACTCCCCATCGCCCGGCAGTCTCTACCGAGCAAAACAAACAAAAGAGCAAGTCGTCGCGCAAGAAAAGCACGTCAAATCGGGCTTGCCACGTGCGAAACGTCCGGCAAATGGGGCTGGAGTCCCTTTGTCCGTTCGTTTCGATGAGTGCGAGACTCGATGTGTGTCGTGCCAAGTTTGAAGCTAGGAGGTACAAGCTACTCCGGGTAATGAAGCGGGCCACTGCAAAGATGAATGCTTAGGTTAATCTGGAGAAGGCGAGAACTGAAGCTTTGATGAGCGATTTTACATGTCAGTAGTAAGGGATATTGATGGGTAGACGAGCTTATGATAGCATCGATTGTCGTAGGATTGCTTCTTTCGTCGAAGAAATGTTCCGGGAATCCTGAGTATCTAGATAGATAGGTCGTTCAGTTATTACTCCTCGTTGATAGTGTCGTCTTCTTCTGGTTAAGGGGCCCGAAGGCTCCTACAACGGCGGCAAGACAAGTGGAGATAAGCTTTGTTTCGCGATCCGCGGCTTAGCAGGATCTAGGTAGGATCTCATACGCGTGTTAAATAGACATGTTTCCAAGCACTCCCTAAGTACTGTATCTACTCGTAAACCCCTCCGCTGCGCTGGATTTCCCAGGCGAAATGGGGCTTATCTTGATATAATAAATCCCATGTGTTAACATAGCAAAAGGTGAAGTCGCCATGGTCGCTGAAGAGAAGCATTTTAGGAAGAATAAATAGCGAGGAAAATCCAAAGCATGCCGCCTGCTTTCGTAACAAACTCAATGCTTATATCCACTGCTGCTGCTGATCACGCATCCGCCGCCGCGGGTTTACGCCGCTGTTCCAACTTGGGCGGAGGCTTTCGAGCGGCCGCGGGATTTGATTGTGAGGCAGTGCTATTTGTCGACCTCACCTCCAACTTTTTCGGCTTCTTCTTTACTGCCGTCTCTTCCGCTTTCTGAGAAGCTTGAGACGGTTGCGATTTTGCGGTTGGGCCGCTCGCCGTCGTGGGAGCAGCTTGCGGCTTCGAAGATGTTGCTTGTGTTGCTGGTGTCTTTTGTGACTGGGGTGATTTGGAGGCGGGAGAAATCGTCGCCTTGGGTCCAGCCGAAGCAGAGTTTTGCGGTTTAGACGCTTTGGCTTGCCCTCCTCCAAACCCCGGTATGGACGGCATCGAAGACATCGAGGGCATGCTGGGCATGCTGGGCATCGAGGGCATCCAGCTCGTCAGATCCCTCGCCCACTCTTGGTAGTCTTCGGAGCTGCCGCCTCCATCGTCGTCCCGCATCTCCTCTAATTCGCCTTGACTCGGAGTCTTGGTCTGCTGGGCTCCCATCACCATCTTCTCCAGTGCCTTCTTCTGGCTTGCAGTGGCTTCCCAATTCGGAAAGTCCCCTACAACACTCCTCACGCCTTGACTTGCTATTTGTCCCAGATCCCAGAATGGACCACTGATGGCGCCGTACGCGGACCCGATCCCCCCGCCTAACACAGCGCCTACCGAAGACACCAAACCGCCGACTAACGCCCCCGTCAGTCTCCCGAGTGTAACGCCTGGTTGGACGCCTAGGCCAGCGCCAGCCGCAAGTCCTTGGAATGCTCCCGAGCGGGTGTATTTTGCGGCCTTGCCGAAAGATTCCGCTTCGATTTCTTTGTTGATGGCTTTCGCCAGGATTTCTTCACGAGCATTCGGGTCGCCCGCGCCGTACGCTGCTTGGCGTAACTCGTACGCCTTCTTTCCTGCTTCAAGCGCGAGCTGCGCGCTCATGGACGAGCTTTGTTTGACTTCATGCTCTGGAATCGCCGGCTGACTACTAGTAGTGGTAGTCGTAGATTCCATTTCTTTTCTTGGTTTGGGTTTGGCCTTGGGTTTGGCAGCACCCTGACTCTGACTCTGCTGCTGCTGCGTCTTTGGTGGTAGCTTTTGGGGTGCCATCTAGCAATTCGAACCGGTGTTGGAAAATACGCCGAGAAAGGCGTTGCTGGCATAAGCGAATAACTCCTAAAATAGCTTTGATGCTGTAGAATTTCATCCAGAACCATGAAGCGGAAATCAGGTTTGCGATCAACAAACAACCTTACGTCACCGTCAACATTAACTTCGTGGTGAGTGGCGGAGAGTGCGGGAGTGTGCCGGCCAAGATTTCCCAGTGTCAGTCACGCGAACCTCTGACGCCAAGTTTGAGGCTACGAGTAGGCACAGCGCAGGTGTGAAAGGTGTCGAAGTGTACATTGCGGAGATGAGGGATGAATAATAAGGGGCAGGATCTTTGATGAGGTTGTAGCTCCTCAGGAAGGGGATTCTTGTTTGTTTTTGCAGACCCATATCCGTCTACAGGATCCATCGCCATTGTGCCCACGAATGGCGCAACGATTAGAGGTGCATCCGGGGCTCAACTTCTCACGAGGCTAAACATGCTATGATCGATCATGTTTCGATGATGCCTCTCGTTGGCAGTGGTGCCTAGAACATGCCTACGCTCCACAGAAACTTGTTGCCCTGACTGATGATAAGCGGTTTCCAAGGATCCGTCTTCCTCCCCAAGTCGACTGTGTCGGCGAGCACAGTTGCCTGTGACAACGCCATTGAAATGCCAATCATACGAAGTTTCCGCCTCATCCAGGCACGATGAACTTTTGGTACAATGGACAGGACGCTCCCCCCATAGAGCGGCCAGATCAGGAACAGACCGCCCACAGCTTTCGGGGATCGACTCTGATTACCAGGGAGGCTAGCTGTGGCGGCCAGACGGCTTACCCACTCGTTATTGATGTGGTAGGCTACTGAAGAGCAGATTCCTTCGCCTGTCTCCTTGGCATATGTCTGGAGCGCTTGCAGTTCTTCCGTTTCTAGAAATGGGTTGGCATCAGTGTCCAGGTATTGGAAACATTGTGCGATCACGTCATATAACCGCAACAGTGTTGTGCGATATGTGTTCCAAACTGCGGCTATAAACACTGTTACCGTGGTCAGCCAAGTTCTACGTTGAGACATGCGAGCCAGTACTAACAGCTAGGATAGACATCAACCCTGCCAGGAAAGATGTCAAGGTGGGAAACTTCAAATGAATCGATATTCTTGGCATCGATTGTTTTTGGTTGCCAGGAATCTGGCATTGTCGATGGCCATTCTCTGAAACTTGGCAGTTGTGAACGTGCTGCGGCGAGAAGGTGTTCGACGTTTGCGCGTGAGCTTGGGTCCGAACTTTCTAACAAGGATGGCGCTATCTGAAAAATAGGCAGTGTTCGAAGGATCATGTCGTCAAGTGTGGTGACCACTGCTTGGCAACTTGTGCCCTGATCACGGTAGGGTACATCCCCTGGGATACCTTTACCGTTGAAAATTCTTGTGGTAAGATCTGATCTGTCGATACCCGACTCACTGACTGGGGCGTCATAATCTACAGCCAAAGCTGATTTTTCTGAAGGATGCTTTGGAGTATCATAAAAGCCAATGCCGCCAGAGGAGATACGTGTCCTTTGGTTGCGTGCTTTTATGATTGCAGTCAGGCCCTGAAGATGAGCAAGCCAGGGGTGAACGGTCTGCTCCGGAGGCATGATAATCTGAAGCCTTATATTTAGCCTAGAGTCAAATATGCAAGACCAAATCGCCGTCGTGAACCCGCTTACCTCGTACAATCCCATCAAACATATCGAGATCATTGTCTCAGTAGAAATGCAATCGGTATCATGGCGGAGGGCTTTCTGCAAAAGATTCAAAGATCGAACATAACTGCGTGCCGCTTGTGAAGCTATCCATTGGTTGGTCGCCGTCCTTGCGAGGAAGCATAATCCCACTGCATCAACGGTACCTGAAATCAGAGAATCCGATTTCGCGGTTCGTAGCAATGGCAACAGGCTGGCAAGGAAGCCTTTGGGAGACTGTGGTCCAGGGACATCAAGCACAAAGTTCTCAACGAATAGCCCAACTCCTTGTTGTTCATAGGGAACTGGCAAAGCTACTCGGAGGCTCCGAGAGGAGTCTTCGCGAGCACGCATGCGACAAGATACGCGGCTGGTCTCATCACGGAGCTTGATATCGAAGTCGCTCTTGTACCCCGTGCATTCTCGACCCGCCTTTTTGCAACGCGAACATCGCTGTTGAAAATGTCAGTTGTTGGGACAAAGAGGCCAAGAGGAAGCAACGCTCACTGGACGTTTTTCATCACACTTTGTTCAGGGATGCGTCAGCAAGAAACTAGTCATTTGGATCACCGCTAAGTACCTTCGTGTGCCTCGCTTTACATTGGTCGCAGCCTCTGCTGGGGTGTCCCGTATTCACCATCTTAGATTTGAAAGAAATATCGAGACCATGTTTGGTTTCAACCCAAGCACCACTGCGACCACCTTAATCGGCTTATCTGGCGTAGATTTCGAGTACCTAAGGTCCAACAATAAGGCTGACGGTATTGCCTTGTGATACACTCCCCGCTACTGGCTAAGGAGGCCTTGAAACCCGACCGTCAAATGTACGAGGTACGAAGTATTATTGTTAATGAATCGCCCCGGCACTACAGTAGTTGCAGGGGGCGATGACAAAGCAGAAATCCAGAGCCTTGCGGGTGCTTGCCACCCACTTGTGGAGTCTCAGTTAAGTTGGTTATCCTTGGCGCCAAGGCCTTGCTCACCTGCTTCAGGACGGCCATGGCATCACACGGCAACCTTTCATGCTAGCAATTAAACTTCCTAACAACCACCTTGTCTGAGGTATATATGAGTTGCTAGACCTTAGCGAATACGCAGTGACAGCACTGCGGTCTTCGTGTAAGTCGCTGGATCAAGCATAGCCGCCTATTCTAGTCTCTTATGGTGTTCGCTTTGCCGACCGTGGAGCCGCTTACAGTAAGGCCACCTCCCTGCGTCAAAGATGATCCTGGATTGGGAAGGCTTGCTTTATCCATTCAAATCCACAACCGTACCGAGTACGGCGGTAAGAAGCGAAGCTGATGTGGTGGACCGGATTTTGAGGCCGCGGACGAGTCCAAAGGATTTCATAGGCATATAAACCCATAGCTTCCTACCCACACGGCCGGCCTGTCTGGCTGGTTTATGGGGAGATTTCACTCCCCACGCTTACATAATTAGCCATCCCCTTCGGTGTGAGTTCTGCTTTAGACATCCTGTAATCGGTCCAACCACCGACCCACCAAGGCCGCAGTTTGATAATCATGGCCCAGTGGTCGACCTCTCTCTTCGAGGTCCTACGAAGCTTAGCGATATTTGCCACAACCGCGACGTCGATATGGCTGGTAAATTTCATTCGTCTGCACGTCCTTCACACCTCGACACTCGGACGTTACCTTCATAACGGCAAACATGGCATTGACAGCAAGGATAATACCGGTTCCTGGGCATGTGTGACAGGTGCGAGCGATGGGATCGGATACTGTTTCGCCGAAGAACTCGCATCGCGTGGCTTCAATGTGGTTCTGCATGGGCGAAACAAGGACAAGCTGCAAAAGCTTCGAGATACACTACAGGCGCAGTACCCGTCACGTTCTTTCCATCTCCTGATCATAGATGCATCAGATCGGGACAGCTGGAACGCCCCTATGACCGATTTCGTTTCCGAGTTCGAGGAATCCAACGCCCGATTGACGGTACTAGTGAACAATGTTGGAGGAGTTGCAGGTCCGTTTTATATGTTCGAGCCCATGGGCGAGCGACCTGCTAAGTCAGTGATCGCCCATATCGATATCAACGCCACTTTCCCGGCCGTTTTCACGCATGCCCTCCTCCCTCTGCTGTCTAAAAACCAGCCAGCTCTGATTCTAAACCTGTGCTCCTTTGCAAGCGTGTTCCCTCCACCGTATCTAGCACTATACTCCGGCTCAAAGGCATTCAATCAGGCCTGGAGCGAGGGCCTCGCCCGGGAGATGGAGGCCGAGGGGCTAGATATCGAGGTCATGGCTATCATGCTGGCTAGGGTCCGGTCGGCTATAAATCGGGGTCGAGAGTTCGACAACATAACGGTTCCCACAAGTCAGGTGTTTGCTCGTGCAGCGTTGAATAAAGTTGGATGTGGAAGGCTGGTGGTGGTTCCTTACTGGGCGCATGAGCTGCTAATAGCGGCTGTCAAGGTTCTGCCAGGCTGGTTGACTTCTAAGATGATTGCTGCTGGTATTCCTGAGGAGATAGCATGGGAGCGGCGCAACGAGAATGGCAAAAAATGAAGGTCAGCAAAGACAATCGGTGGCGCGAGTTGATGTGCTGTGATATGAAATAGCAGTCCCACGCGATAGGGGAGACTGATAACTCTGCGAAGGAATGACCTCATATCGGGTGTATGAAGCATTTGTTCTCCAGGTCCGTTAAGTCCAAGATCGCAAGGTCGACCTTTCGCTTTTCGAGATTACCATTCTCATCCAACTGCTCGACTTCATCCTCCTCATTCTCGTTGTCACCGAGACTAGCGATCCAGGCGCTTCCCTCTGTGTTTCTACATTTCTGCGATTCAGAATGAAATGTATAGCCAAAAGCATCGCGGGGGTGCCAACCCAGCTGATGATGATCTGGCTGGCCCAAGCGCCATAATACCTCGGGACGTCTCATGGAACCCATATCTGAGGGAGATTACCAGCGCTGTACCAGACCATGGACATGACTTTGCATGTCAATTTCTTGGTCTATCCTACAGTAGATGATGTTGTCCAGCCTAGTGCGATGATAGATGCGAGGCCATAGGTACGGTCAGCCAAGATTAAGTACGCCAGCATTGCATGCTTTTGAGACCAGTCAAGAGCCATCATCCAAATCCTGCAGGGAGGCAATATATCAATACATGGAGCGCCGGGTTAGAAAGCCGTTTTCGAAGAACGTATGTGACAAAAACTTACGCCAGGACAGTGAAATCACCGCCCGCACCTGCCACCAAAGCTGAGCCAAGCTTTGTAATTCCCAAGGATTTAGAGATGAGATTCTGCTGAGTGTTCGTCAAGGCCGTTGCTCCAAAGCAAGCCATGAGAAACGAAAGCTGCCACAACTGTAGCTTTTCCAGGCCGCAGAAGTGATCCAGAGAACTGGATGAAGAAATTATGCTCCTTCCGAACGAAGAACATCCCCATAGTCCTCTCCATAGCACGCACTACTACCGACTGGGCCGCACCAAGTGCAATCCGAACGACCAGGACACCGGCGTATCTGGTAGCCACACAGTGCAGAAGCACAATCAATCCCCATGAAGAGACGAGAACGGCAACAAGCTTACCCAACGAGAGCTTCTGCATCGTGTAGTACCCCGGCCATTGAGCAACAAGGAAGCCTGGAAGATGTTAGAATGCACAAGACAGGGAAGCACACTCCGCAAGCCAAGTTACAATCTCTTACCCACGCGGAAGAAAGTTTCCAAATGGTTGTACTCTCCTTTTGTGATGCCCCTGTCCTCGAAGACACCTAAAATGGCGGCGGATCCGAGAGTAGATTTGTCGACGTAGCATGCTGTCAACCAAGAATACACAATTCCAATCACTGGAACTAGTGCGAAAAGTAACGGGTCGATCGCTAGTAGCAAACTCATAACATGGAGGTAAACCTTTCCTTGCAGTCTGGTATCCTTCTCCGGAGCTGGAGTGGAGTCAATTAAGCTATTCAAATATCGAGGCTCTACCGAGCAATCTATCTCTGCTAATTATACACCGTCCTAGAAATGCATTCTAATCTTTCATTACTTCTCTGTGAGTTTGATTTGCCCGGATAATACAGCTAGAAAAGCAATTTGCACATCACTCCAGCCAGCTTGAGCCTTCCCGCTAGATTAGGGGCCAACATTTCATTGGCAAATTGCTGCTCCTTTCCTCCAATCTGTTGTCGTGAGATTGGGATTGGCATAACCTGCCTCTGCGATGAAATCTGTCAGTCGCTTCACCTGTCCGTGAGTTGGGAAAGCACTGAGGAGCTGTCAGCAACATGATTTTGAACAGGACCACTACGGGCCGCAATACTTAAGTAGCATTTCTGCCGAGGCCGTCTCCTTTGTATCTGGTCCAGCCACTGGCGCATCGAAACTGCATCATTATAAATGAACCAAGCTTGGATTGTGAATCACAATGGATGTACGGGTGCGTATTACTTTGACATTCAGCTCTGGCTTGATGTGCTTTCGGTATTGAACTTTTGCTTACTTGAATGTGATGATCTCCGCATCACGGATATTCGCCCAGTAGTCTCTGCTCATCTCGGGGACAGTTAGTTTGGCACCTGCAGCCACATAATCCGGAACACCTCCGCTGTGATCCCGGTGGTGATGTGTTGGCTGTGCAATAGAGTCAGCGGAGAAGATGAAAAGGTTGAGCAAGTACAGACAAAGACATAGGGTATCGGCTTGCCAATATTCTTCTTGACCCTCTGAATGGCGTTTAAGCTCCACTGAGGTGCTGCGTCGCACATGATGACTTCGTGCTCAAATTCAATGATCATTCACTTGGCTCCAAGGAAGGAATCATCCACAATAAGCCAGTGGACCTGCGGAAGCCCCATGACCGGTGTATCTGCCTTGAGGTCGTCAACAGTGGTATTAGGTATACCGCTGTTCACCATATTGCTATTGAACTCTGTCAACCGCGCGTGACTAATGCCTGTAACCTCGTGTGGTGCCGCCTTTGAAATGAAGCTCTGGTCATCAGGTATGCCGTCAAAAAGGTTCTCGGGGAATGCTGGGTTGATCACGATAGATTCGACATGAAAATCTTCTAATGTTGCGTCTAAGTTAGTGGAATAAGCATTGTACACAGTCTGGATATGACTAGGGAAGTACAGCACGGTCTCAGTTTCCTTCGCGTAGTCGATGGAAACTAGGTCATTTGTACATTCACCAAGTCTGGGTGTTCTTTAATGGTACGAACGATGTGTGGAAAGCTGGTCGTAGGGTCGACAACCACGGTGAGGTTGAGCGATGGGTCGTACACTGCTTGTCATTAAGTAATGGACTAGGACTTAAAGTCAAGGACGTTCCAGATGGCATTGAAACTCCCGAAACATTTGTTGAAGACTTCTTTGTCCCGTTATGTGATTTTGTCTGCAAGGCTGAGTATACACCAGTTGTAGTGAGGTTTCATACACCTGAATGAGTAATTTTGGCGACATCATGGTCCCATGACGCAAAGTACTCGGATAATGCAGCTAATACTGGTAAGCCTCTCCTCGGACCAGCTGTTGTGGAACTTACGGTCATTGTACCCTGACGTAATGTCAGGTGGAAGCCAGATCTGATTGTTGCCTTCCACGTAGCAGGAAAACCCGTCATCTCCCTCTTTAGTAGCCAGAGAGAAACTCATGCGATCAAGTCTGGGCGAAGCCCAAATCCAACAATCTAACGACCTTAGAAATGCACGAGTCTCAATAGAAGGAGCCGCTGACCAGAGGGTATAAACTCCCGGTCAACACATTGCACTAGCTCGTCACATTTTGACTCCCTGTTATCGCAAGGGCTGTGTCGGCTCTGTCCATGCTATAGCTCTGCATCAAGCTTCTTGAACGAAAATTACTGAAGATCTTCAGCTACTGATCCAACATGCTTCCAGGAAACAAACATCCTTAGGAGCATTATAGGTAATACCTTTTAAATTTCTAAGGGCTTGCTCGCAGCCAAGAGCAGTCAGCGTTTGATCGATAATGGAGCCTTCGGCTTCTGCAGCACTAGCCATTGGATCTGCAAATGCAGTATTTGCTAGGCTTAGGACGCTGATTGTGACTTTGAGTAGAATGTTTCTCGTCGGCATGGTTTGCTGAAAGATGTAGTAAGGATGAACACTTCAAGTTGTATGAAGTGTGCGGAAAATCGGTGCTGCTTGGACGAACTTGAATGTGTGTTCTTGGTAGTATGCAAAACAGCCATCCAAAGTCTTCTAGATATACAGACAAGTCTTGCATAATGTCACAGTCGCAATATGACAGCCTTGTCTTCGGCGGAAAATAAGCTCCAGGATCCACGTCCTCAAGGCTAAGCGGGCAAACCACGGCTAGACAAGGCGGTGCATTTGTCGGTAAGGCAGCATCATTCCTTTGATTTTAGCGTCGCAATTTTCAGCTCGTTGAAAGCATGACATAAATCTCCGATCTTACGACTGATGTGGCATGCACTGAAAGTGGAAATCTAACCTAAGAGTTGGCTTAAGGCGTGGCGATCTATTTGATACACCGATTCTGGAGACCTCTTAAGCCCCGAACTTGATTTTAATTTCACACGTCTTTTGGCACGCTGCAAATATTTCTTCTCTTACTAGAATGATGAAGGAAGAGATATTAATTAATACAGGAGGTACTATCCTCTAACACAACCAAATCAATTTAGGCTTACACCGCCACAACCTCTGATCTTCGAATTACTTCTTTGCCCTTTTTTTCAACAGCGCCAACCTGGATGAAGGCAGCATCGCTCGGAACGGCGAACTGCGTTTCGAAGCCTGCTTTCTTAGCATGACCCACCATCTCCAACGAGTTCTCTGTCGCACCTGCGTACACGACCCAGTCAGTCACATCAGTAGCGCCATTCCAACTGACGTAGCCTATGTGGGTTGAGTTGATAGCACAAGGAAGGTCGACTTCAGATGAAGCCCTGAGAACGACCAGACTGGGCTGGGTCGCTGGTGTGGCATGCCACTGCTGTTTGAAAACACGATAGCTCGAGACCAGTCCGGGGTACCCAAAAGTGCCCGTCCAGTGTACGTGCCCCTCGGGGTTGGTGCTGTCCAGCGGCCCATATTCCATGACGACAGGTTCCGAGCCATAGGCCACGAGGTTATTACCGTTTGGTAGCTGCGAGAAGGCCCCTTGAGACCATGCGTCGAGGCGATGTCCTGGATTGCTCATATTGCTCAGTAGCACTGGTGGTGACAGCGGATCAGGTGGCAGGCTTAAACTCAACGCTACCGCAAAACTTGGTTGGGAGTCAGGACGGGTCGGCAGGAAATTATTGTTCGCGAAACAGGAGAACACGGCGTGAGACGAGTCGATTTCGCGCACTTGTGCGTCATGTTCCCAGGCCTAACGTGCGATATTAGATCTGGAACACTAATCGATATTCTGATGAGGTCTGCTTGAATCTGACTTACAAATGATCCTCCTTCTGGCAAGGCTCCAAAATCTCCACCATCTCCCCCGTTGATTTCCCATATAATTTCACCTTCCGGGCTGACGAGATATGTGGACCAATAGTTGCGAGCATTGATCAGATAGTTTTCTCCAACGAGCTGGATCGAGTTGACGTGGAAGAAGTCGAACGGCGTACTCTGATTCTGTCCGAAGTTTCCGAGAGGTAGATGAGTCCTGTTCAATGGCACGTGGGCTAGTGGGCTCCATGTGAAAAGCACTTCTCCAGTGTTGATGTTAACTTCAGCAACGAGCGAATCTGAAACCCATCCGTCGTGAGGGCCACCCAAACTCGTCAAGTCTGCTTGTGTGGCGTTGTATGCCGTGAGCAGCATTGTGTTTCTGTGTGTGATGAATGATTCGTGCGGGTCGGCATGACAGATCGCCGAAACACCTGGCTCCATCGTGAAACCATCGAAGATCGGGCATACTCTGGCAATCTCATTGTACCTGGTATCAAGGAGAGTGAAGCCTCCGTACCCATGGCCCACAACACCTTCCGCACCCGTGGTGCCCTCCCCAGTGAAGTAGGTCAGCACAGGAGACCCATCGAAAGACTGCACACGAAAGTCAGAGGTGAGCTGAATGGGTCCACTCCAGACTAATTCTCCGGTGTCGCTCATTATAAGAGGTGACTGTTGCCTTACAGCAGGAGGTCGAGTGCTGGACATGGTAGCCATCACGAGGAAGCCATCAAATAAGGGTTCTCCAGTGCTATTGGTCAACAGCTGTGGAGGCTGTGCATCGGACGATTGGTATTCCTGCCATGGCCAAAGATTAGGATCGCTGCTGTTGCTCATTATCTTGCGGGAGTTGGCAGCGCAGAGAGGTGCGCCCAGGTGAGTAGCATCCTGTCGTCTTTGGATGGCTGATGTTGCAGCAAGTCCAAATAGAAAAGAGAGTAGGTAAGTCGGGGCCATTGGGATTGGTAATTAGCCCTGGTGTGGGGACAACCGGATGGTTGCAGTAGTGCTCGAAAAGGACAAGGATATAGTGGTAGTATAACTATAGGCGACGGCTGCAGCATCCCGAACAAGTCGTGGCGTTCTACTTGGAATATATTGAAACTGCTAGGCCCGCGGATTTGGTGGCCCGCGGACTACCAGAGCCGCGGAGCGCGGCACACGCAACCAACAATTTGCTCCGTACGACTGCGCCTGCGGTGGGGATGGCATTCTATACTCGAAGTGTCCAAATAGTATGTGTAGTTAATTACGGCTATTCTTGGTCGCCCAAAGGTCCCCTTCATTGCGAGCTTGGGTTGACATATGCCCCATATATATGGGGTGGCTCCACTCCTTAACTCCGATTGCCTCTGTCTACCACACATCCTCATTTATTTTTTATTCGTGTCTAAGCATGTTCTACGTCACGACGTGTCCTATAATTAGCTTGGATCTTGTGAGTTTTAACCTGTGACGATAGTCCCTCCGCTATGCGAACTGGGACTAGGTACGTCAGACTGATCAGGTAGAATGGGGCCACTTGTTGCAAGAAGATAGGGGTGCTGTCCTCCTACGGTCCTCCTACGGTCCACCTAGCGAAAGCCAGATGTATTGTTCTATTCGAAAACTACCAACTAAATCTTTTCCTCTTTTATCTTTTGATTGAATGAATTTCGATTAGAGGCTTTGATGTCATTCTCGAGTTGGTTGGTTAATTGGATGAATCTTAACGGATAAGGCTGAGGGGATCGAGATTAAGGATATTGATATGAATTAGCCTTTAAAATTTTCACTACAAACACGCTTTAAGGTCTTTGAGTGAGGCAAAGTGTCATATGACGAGCCGCAATGGCTGTAGGATGACATTTTATGTATTCATTGTTGCTCGTATGAGAGAGAGAGTTGAGTACTATCAAGACATAGAAATAATCGTAATAGTCGCTGTCGATGCAGGAGCGACCCACCATGTCATGTGGCACAGAGGCCTAAGGATTATTTGTCCCCTCTGTTTTGGGCCCTGTTGAGTTGGACGTCTCACAGCAGCGATATTTAAGGCGTTGCCTCTGGTCTATATAGCCCTATTGTCGTAACAACAAAGGCAAAGATGGGAATAACAGACTGGGTCTTGGAGAGTAAGTGCCACTGGTTTGTGGTGTGGATACTGGTCCAAGTGGTTTCGGTTATGATGGGCCGACCCGATAACGGACCGCGAAAGCCCCGAAGCTCAATTCACCACTGTCGCCGCTACCTCTACCCTTTTTGGCAAGCCAACTATGCCTGCAGGCCATCTGCCTCTTATTTCTCGGTCTGGCCTTATTTTGGGCAACATCGAGTAATTGGCCTCGTGCTGATGCATAGAGAGAATTGATATGGGTAGAGTCGTGATATTTTGCCCTCGGTAACTTTAATCAAACGAATGCCCGAGACATTGGACGATGGCACGTTACCATGTCCAGTGGCCGCCGCATGTGTTTTCGCTGCGATAGGTATGAAATGCTGCCCTGGAGAACCAATAACCGGAAGAATCGCAATCGGGCTTGAATCATAGCAAGTGATGCCTTCCAGAATTCAGCACCCTTGAATCCTCAGTTATAAGTTCACGATCCTCACCTTGTGCCGCTGGCTTCTAGAAAGATCAGATCCTTCTTTATATCACGCCCAGGGAGACGTAGACCTCTTTCAGCTAAACAATACACCGAACGTGGCAAGTAGCAAATTGAATCAGTCACAGCTTCTCTCCATTGACTTGTTCACTTGGAACCTTGACGCTGGTAGCCCATGCTTGCATGAGATTTAATGCAGATTCTGCGTCAGCTTGATGCGACAAGCTCGAAATGAAATCTGAGACAGTACACCCCATCAGAGCAGAGGTCAGGCATAAGGGCATGACAGCTGTAAGCACGTTCGAAGATATTTGTTGGACTAGCATGTACACTGATATCGCCGCTCCTAGGGTGAAGCCGATCACTAAGAGGTATGTTTGATAAGGCGTTCTCTCCAGTGTACTATAGCTTGTCATAAAAGAAAGGAAGTACCCGAGCACCGCGAAGACGAAGAACGTAGGTGATGGGTCGAGGTGGCTGAATCCGCCTTTATTGTCTGCGACGCGCCTGGGGCCTGTTGGTTGATAGTTTGCGACCACAGCTGTACAACCGAGCTGGCAGAGAACGAGGCCTGCATGGTATCCTAGGTTGTAGATAGCCTTCCATAATGGAGTTGGAGGGCTTATGAGAGGATGTGTGGTAGGACATGATCTCCCAAGAAACACAACACCTTGACAGTGGTCAAATATTGTGCGACGGGATTTCAGCTTTGCGATTCTTAGTGCTTGGTTGACGACGACCCCACCCAGACTGTGGGTCATAAATATTATGGGCCGGATCATTTCGTCGGCTCTGACTCTCTTTAATTGTAGCATTTCATGTAGCTGGTGTGCGTTTGCATCGATAGACGACTGCGAAACCTCAGGCCTGTGTAGAGATATATCGGCATCGTACCCGTAGGACAGAAGTCTTGCAGGGGGCAGAGTGGCCGGCAGCGCATCTCTTAGCCATCTGATAGGAATGTCCGACTGTTCCCATACCGTATTCTCGTGTGAACTTAGCTCGTGGACAAGGACCACATCAACAACCGGGCTGGCATCGGTGCAGGCGTGGATTGTAGGAACCATACTCTCAATCATGTTGTCGAGGCTCCTCTCGCCTCGCAGTGGTTCTTCGTGCTTCCGCAGGGGACTGGAGAATGCCGTGTGATATGTACGAAGTAGTTTGGGAGTCGTTGGGAAGGAGAGAAAGAAGTAATCGTCCAAGTCTGTGGACAAACAGGCATATTAGTCCATGTGAACACAAAGGGATTTGCAGCCCGATTTGTCGCCGCTTACTTTGTGTCGACTGCGACGCTTTTGAATGATATGATAGTTCACTGGGAGAGTCTGGGGTGAATGGCGAGTGATGGAGGTAATAGCAGCATTGTTCGGATGTTCGCCTGGTATGTATGCAGGCTGATGAGCTGACGTTAAGTCGAGGGGCAGGTGTGCTGTGCACTGTGGCGCTATCACATGGGAATGACGTAGTTCCCAGCCTGCACAGCCACACCGCGTTTTGATCACCTGGTCACTCAATCACCAAGTGACTGACTGCCCTCCGCTGCCACCAACTAGCTGACTGCGAGGCGGAATCGCGTCGGTAGTCAGTGATCACGTAGCATCCATCCTACTCCAGATCCCCCATCCCATTCTCCAGGCCTTAGCATCTGCAATCACATTCCCTGAACTGGGACACATTCACTTGATGAGCTGACATTTCGCTCCCCTCACGTCCCCCCAACCAGGTTCATCACCCTCGAGCATATCATCCTCGTCGACTGCATCTGTGCCTGGCTCCGCACTTGTTCGAAGTCATCACGACCAGCGCTTGCCCAGCATCTGCGGATGGTCCTCGGACCACCCGTCCAAAGATCCCCGATATGAGTGAGTTCGCTCACTATTCCAGCTGTCCTATTTCTATTATGTTGTAGCTGACTCGTACTCCGTTGCAGATCACGTAGGAGCCTCCCCAGCAGCTGGGCACCTGCACCCTCCCCGAGTCGGTGATCTTCTCCTTGTCTCCATAACCCCGCCCAAAGTGCCTGAGATTTCTTCGACCCGAGCAGCTTGTGACTTTGTGCTCGTAATCGACATCGCAGCCAGTATGGTGGAGTCTTTCCCCATGCTAGACAAGAGAAACAAAACCGAAAAGGAGCTCGTAGGAGTCAGCCCTTTTCATTTAGCTCCACATGCCATGAAGACCATATCAGAGCCCCTCACAGATGGAGAGAGGCCCGCAGCTGTCTCCTACCACAATGAGACACTAATAACGACTGACTTTGACGCCCTGAGACCTGACTCTGGGAACGAGAAGGATTTCCAGGTTGAAAACAACCCATATGCATTTTCGCCCGGACAACTGAACAAGATGCTGAATCCTAAAAGCCTGGCCGCCTTCCATGCTGTGGGAAGACTCCGCAGTCTAGAGAAAGGGCTGCGAAGTGGTCTCGTCACCGGGCTGAGTGCAGACGAAAACTACCAGGAAGGATCCGTATCATTCCCAGACGCACTATCGAAGGCGTCAGGTGCAGTCCAACCGAACCATAATCAATCACCACTCGCAACCGATTCGTGCAATAACCGGGAGCGAGTCTTGTTTGAGAACCGTTCACTGCAGAGGAAGATACGGTCTCCTTTGCTAGACCTGTGGAGAGCATACAATGAGAAGATTTTAATTTCGCTTTCAGTGGCAGCTCTGGTATCCCTCGCAGTCGGGATCTATGAGACAACCAATGCTATCTCATTGGACGATCAAGATGCTCGAATAACCCGGGTCAAAGGTCTCACTATCGCGTCCACCATCTCCATTTTCCTATTAGTGTGTACTTGGAACAGTTACGGAAAGAATTACATGGCTCTCCGGAATGAAAGCAACCCAGAACGTAAAACATGGATGGATTTCCTCTACATCTTGGTTGTTGCAGTCATGATGGCAGTGGTATCAAGGTCTGGATCCCTTCTACTAGGCTTGGGAATACTTGCAGCAACTGCAACAACAGGAATGTTTACAGGGAACATGCTAATGGCTGCAACTACTGACATGTTTAAAAAGAACATGCTAATGGCTGCAACTACTGACATGTTTAAAAAGAACATGGTTCTAAAATCTGCAACAACATGGATCCTAAGAGCAAACCATCGGACTCGACTCCTGAAGACTCCCAGCCATGTGGGAACACGGGCGCCTAAGAAACGCTTCGGAAAGTCGGACCAGGAGTCCGGCGCCCCTTCTCGTTATCATTCAACAGCAGGTGCACCCAGGTCTGGCAGCCCTTCTCTGAGTCTATTCCTAAGCAACCTCATCAGTTTCACAAGCGTTTCTCTCCTTGCCCCCATTACCACTGCTATGGAACCCGTGAGCAACCCAACATTGACATCCACTCTGGAAGGCCCTTCCACCAACACCTTAACGGCAGTTTTGAGCTCCTCTACAGAAATAGAACAACCACAAGGTCTGAATCTGAAAGAAATGGGCTGGACTATGGCCGTGGAGATGATAATGTTCTTGGCCAATCTTGTCCTTGCTGCGTTGGTGATCACCATATGTTATCTGGTGTATCTCCGGTTTTGTGCCCCAACCCTCAGGAATGCCAAGAAATTCGACAAATCCCGGAAGGTTGGGCTTGTCTTTATGCTATGCTTGTTCGCTGCATACTACAACATTTGTCAGGATCCTCGCTCCTCTTGGGGATTGCTACTCGGTGTTTTCGTCTCTTCGGCTGGACTGACCTATGTTTGGGTGTCACGCATTGCAAACAGGTTCAACTTCGGCCTGATATTCGCAGTAGTGGTACTGTCAGTCGGCTTCTGCACCACGTTCGGTGTCATACAACTCTTGCCTATAGCTCCGGGAGGTCCAGCCTCTGAGCCTGCAAATGACACAAAGCCAAAGCCCGGATTGACATGGGATGTTGCGTCATTCCCGTGTGTTGCATTTGTATCTGTCATGTTCGAAGTTTTGTTACTTTGCATTCGCAGGATCGTGGATGCGAAGGATGAGTTAGACATGGAGAGTCAAGCAATCTCACAAGCGGAATTGGACCCATTCTCTGAGATTGATACGGGGACATCCTCCCGTTCAAAGCAACAACAAACATTTCGTCTGTTCAGGCGTTCCCGAACCAGCAACAATCAACCAAGCAGCGAAAATCTGGATTCGCAGGACCCGAATTCATCTAGCAACCATGTTTATGAGGACTCTGATCATCTTACATGGCTCCAACCGGCATTACTGGGACAGACTGGCCATTTCTCATACCATGGCGAGATTGAACGTCAGGTCTGGGCAGATCGTCCAAGTTAATATCCATGCTGGGTCTTACTCGAACGCTTTAGCGGTCACGTCAATTGCCGAGTACAGGCAGATTGAATAATTCGACAAACCAAACCTGCAAGCAAGATGTAGCAGTTCTGGCGGAACTACCTCAGATGACTTCGCTTGTGCTTGGCACCGACCAAGGCGCCATTGGTTCATCGGTATTGAGCAACCGCAGGCCAACGCTTTGTATGTTAATGCATATACGAAATCATTGTTTTTGATACCCTTGACTTGAGAAGAGTGATTTGTACCTCATCTAGGAGAGTGAGAGATACGTCTGGGTTTGCAACATTAGACCCTCACTAGAAAGTCACACTGCACGATATATTTCATCTATGGGGAAATCTTTGGGATACTCAGCCAAAGAGGGAGCGTATTGGGAAAAAAAGGTCGTCTAGTTCGGCGTTCAGGGCCTGGGATATCTCGTGCCAGCGGTTAATGGTATACAGGGCCAACACACTCAGTATTGGCGTTATACTATTATTCAATGAGAATTGAATGATACCACATCGCATGCTTCATTTTCTTTCGTTTGCGCAACCAGTAACGGCTATTTCTGTTCATTGTTTCGACTACGATTGGCGTATCATCCTACCTTATTTGCTGGTAGAACTGAATCTCATGCTTGTCACGCATGACCCATGCCGCGAGTTCCAGCTGCACGCTGGCAATGTATACTTGCTTGTGAATGTGCATGACATTCATTATGTACCTTTTCCATAATGAGGGGTAGGTAAATTGCACAAAAGTTCAGCCGAAGTTCAACCATTTGGAGATGGACGAGCTGCACCGCCACAACGCTTATCGCCAGTCGTGCATGACATATGTATGTATGGACCTTTCGGGCCAACTGCTTGATTAGGCAGACTGCGCTAATGCTCGGAAGAAGATTGCGATCCTCAATCACATACCCTTATCATTGGCTGCAACCCTTAAGCTTAAAAAAGCCAACTTTTTAAATGCTATCAGGCTAGAACCGCCTATAGTCCGTACATTGGGTGGGAGACTTGGTTGGGCATCTTTCGCCTCACTACTTAAACAACCATTGAAACGATTTTCTATGTACACGTCTACACGAGCACAATATCCTACCCAAGATACCAAAATGCCGTTGAAGACTCATTAAAACTTAACGTCCTCCCGACCGAAACCAAAACATTGCACAGAAAATAATAGTATGAAAACTCTTTTCAAGTCGCCAGTTGCAGGGTGTAGTGCATTCGTCTACTCGTCTAGCATCGTTCTTTCATCAACAGATGACCAAGCTGCGCACCATGGGGCCCCGAGCTGAATCGCCGGTGCCTAGGCTTGTGCATGGGCAAACCCAGGGCCAAGAGAGATTTATTTCCTCAAGTATTGGATAATGGAAGGAAAGGGTCCCTCTCCTTGCCTGCGGTTCGAGCCGGGGCGAGGCATTTTCCAGGATGAAAGACGATGAACATGAACACCGCAGCCAGAATGGGAAGAAATTCCAAGCAGGCGAAGATGGCTTCGTGCGTGGAGAGAAACTTCAGGAGTCCCTCCGCCGTCTCCACCAGACGAATGATTGTGCGGACATACATGGCGACTGTCGCAATGAAAGTCGCAATCGCAAAGACGCGCAGCCTTGGGCCGAGGGCATTTTGAGCCTTGTATATAAATGCTATGTAGAGAATGATGAAAATCGCGTAGGTGAAGACCTAGAACGCCAACTCCCCCAGTAAGATGTGATTTGGGCCGTTGGGGTCTTTTCCATTGGAGTACGCGGAGCCGATGAGGCCAGCACCAGAACTTGAACGACAGTGGCGATGATGTCGCAGACGCTGAACGTCCACAGGATGAATCGCGGCGGGGCGGGCGCGTATTTGTGTCCGGCTCGGGTGATCATCACCGACAGGAAAGCATAGATGGCGGCCAAGTAGGAGACTGGCGCGACCGCGATGCAGAAATACTGACCCACGAAGTACGACACCGCGTAGGGGTTGAGTTTCGAAGCCAAGATGCGGAACACATAGCCCACGATTTCCATCACCGTGCCGACTGGTACGGTGCTGAAGAACCAAGGACGGTACCAGAGTTGGAACCAGAGGTGGAGGCCGAGCGCGAGCGTGAATAGTGCAACCGCTGTCACTTCGAGGCCGAAGGACGGGATGTAGCTTTGACACTGTTAAGTTCTTGTGCTAAGCTAGGTACAGTACATTGTTTAATGGCTTACCCGACGATAATGATACAGACATAGTCACTGCTGCCTGGTCGAGGCCAGTTCGGGTCGATGTAGCCCGTAACAGGAGAGCAATCTGTGCCACCCATTTTGAATTCTCAAGGTCTTGATGCATGTTGAAGAGGAGTTCGAATGGAGTTTAGTAGAAGGGCTTGTCGCCGTTTCGCTGTGACTGTGTGTGTTATTAAGAAGGTAGATGTTGCACAAGTGGCCTTGTTATTTTTACACTTCTGGCTGTTGTTGGGAGCCTTGTGAAGCAGGGATCATCGATATGTTGAGAAGGAAGCCAGAAGCCTTATTATATGCAGGGAACGCTGTGTGCATTTATCGTCGCCGCTCCTATATCTCGGCTGAGGCGCGCAAGGCTACGCGGTGAGGTTACTAGCGTTGAATCGGAGTCAGTTCTGACCATGGCCAGAGCTCTGGCCATTGTTTCGTGAAAGCAGTCGTGAAGAAGCAACATCTCATGTGTATTGGTGTAGAAAATTGTGCTCCGTCCTCAGCTATGCCTCAGGCGCTCCTTGGACGTCACTAAGGTCCGAATTGAGAACACTGACCCATCTATGATCTCCTAGTATATTACTATGCCAAGTCCAATGGGAAGTTTACAACTCCTCCTAGTCATTACCTGTATCATAAAATTTGAGGTTTGAATGCGGCCGAACATTAAGGTTCGTCAAAAAACTGCCACGATCTTATTTGCACGAGCATTTGAAAGTGAATTTGTAGATCTCACCGCTGGACACAATTGAGGGTGCCGTCACCTATTGGTAAATTACAGCATCGCTTATCAGAAGCTCATTATCCCAGACATCTGCCGCAACTTCGAAATCTGACCAATCGTCTGGGAATGGTAGCTGGTTCGGGTCAAGCAATATCTCCTGTACAGAATCCTTAAGAGCTTCTACGACTCGTAAGGGCGACTTCGCCGCAAGTTTGTTGTTTTGTAGTCTCCAGTTCCTCGGCCTCGGCCATTATTCGAAAGTGTTGACCGCGAAAGGTCACATCTCTTATTCTGAGTGCCGTTGTAGGAACGGCATATCGTTCGCTCTCTCACTCGCCGCTCTTAGAACTTTCGAGATGCCTTTTCCATAATATATCAATCTTAGTGCTTGGCGACCGACGATCTTACTCATATCATCTTTGGCCCGTTTGGCTCTCTTCTCCAGTATCGCTAGGGCTTTGAATGCATACGGCATACGAAATATTGTTAGAATGGGCATCACTCTGATGACTTGAGCATCAGTCGCCACAATGATGTCAAGGATTGTGTTGGAGGATTTGGACTGTACAACTGTACGGGTCAATCAATACAGGAAAGTCAGCGTAGTTGAGGTTTCTGTCTTCTTCTATTCAATGGTCACCGTTCTGGTTTATATAGATAATTACTAGGCAAGATGACCTCCTGGAGCCTTTTTTCCATGATCCCAAAGCATTCCAGAGGCCGTAGCACTGACTCATTGATCGTTATCACGAGGTTGTCTGCCTGTTCCGTCGATAGTCACTTTGGCGCCAACAGATTGAGTGACAGTCGTCAATAAAAGAGAGGAGGCTACGTACCTAAAACATGTCAAATAAGTTGCCAGAGAGGTCCGAACTCTTTCCATCATCTGATCTGATAGCAGTCCAGTTAGCTGATCAATATCTTGACGCTGCGCCTGTTTGGACGTGCGGCCTAGAAGGCCAAGCTCAACACCCATGGCTCCGGCGGCTTGGGTTTACTGGAATATGTTGATATTGGCTAGGTTCTCGGGAGGCATGCACCAAACAGCTGTAATAAGGAGCGCCTGAATCGATCAAGGCTTCTTTGTCCAAGAACGAAGACGTATCTCGCAAGTAGCGTAACCGTGGCCTCATGGATTTTCGGAAAAGACTCTGGTTCGATATGATGCAAGCCGCCGTCACCATACCATTGAGCGCAAAGGGTCTTAACTGCTCTAGACCTGATGCGAGGGTTTAATGTGCGACCCAAGTTATAGGGTAGGCTGGGGACAGTAGGTTTCTGAATGTATCCAACAACTTCTCGCGTCTGTATGCGGGGAAGCTGTACATTGGAAACCCCTGCTGCTCATCAACCATGCTGTGGTTGGAAATAGGAGGCTTGGTGAATTGCAAAGAGGGCCCTCGAACACGAAGGCTTCCTGTGGATGCAGACCGCATACTTTCCGACGGAGCTGACTGTTTTTCGTACCTCACGGCCAGGAGATGATCTCCTGGGGAAGTAGCGTTAAACGAAGGCTGTTAGTGTATCGTTTGCGCGCCTCCTGATTCGGCAGGTGAGACATCGGAGCCAGCGAGAGAAGTTCCCTTCGTCCCCATGTCCTCCAAGGCTGTCGACATCTTAAGCATTTGCTTCTCCAACTCAGCCACCTTTGTATCTGTTCTTTTTCGTGTTCGTGTTTTGGAAATCTCCTTTCATTCACATGCCAGTCCCTGAGCATGACACCGGCGACATTGACCATGCTCCTCCATTGTGTCCGCAAAGCAACGTATCTTGGACTTCGGCAATACCTGAGGGCTTTTCTTAGCCTGGGACATGTTCGGACAAGCCTATCGTCTACAGGAGATGAAACGTTTGAAGTGAGGTCCAGTACTGTTAGTAATGAGGTTGATGGAAGCTGAGAAGATTGCAGGAAAGAAGCCCCATAAGGTGAAGTTCAACATGTTGAAGGAACAGAAGGCCCGGTCGGAGCTTATTATCATCCGAGCTGTCGCCATCGGAGAACGCCTGAGAGGTGTAAGTAAGTGTGCGATTAGATCATGTGGTGGCTTTAAAGTTCCAACAAACTCTAAGCGTCTGCCAGCCTGGTAGGATAGGAGAGCGTAGGTTCATAGCCTCGGAAGTCTTTCTGCTCGCACCCTCATCCTCATAATCATGGCCCGGAAACGCTGAAAAGCTAGGTGGAAATCAGGAACATACAGCCATTAAGGCTCAACGACGTCAATATGAAGTATCATCTTTTCACCAACACGAACGGAGTATCGTTGTCTTGCAGATTTCTAGATAGAACGTTGCATCTTTGCATCGCAAAGATGAACAATCTCGACTCTTCAAGTGTCTTATATCCTATCACTTTTGCTTGCATGCTTCTTGCAAGGCGATTTCTTGCAATCGACTTACTTGATGGTTCACTGTTTGCGTAACGTTTTTGTCAAGATCGAGCAAGCACCGAATGGCATGCGTTTATCAACATTTGATGGTGGGCAGACGGCCGTGTTCCCCACCGGTTTGCTACAAAGCGCTGTGCTGACATTTATGATCATCAAAACATCCTTGTTGGCACGGAATTCCCATGCCAGGGCTCAATTGGACACTAGACCCATATGATGCCCTCATAATATGCGTCGAGAGCCACACTCGTGAGGTAGACATCGATCCATCCATTTCACGCCATACATGAATGTGCGGAACAACCAATACTCTGCTGTTGGTTAAATTTCAAGACTGCTGCCGTGCTGCATATGCTGGGGGCAGAGAATTGGGCAAACTGTCCTAACCACACTCATTTTGTGCAGCGTGAAAGCCCGGCGAACATCACTCTGTCCTCTGTTCCTTCGCTGCAATTGCACGGTCCCTCAGGCCGAGTAGCATAGGGGCTGTTGTCAAGTAATCCATAATTCCGCCTCCCCAAGCAATCAAGCTCCTTTTCCAACCTGTGGTTTGAATTTGACCTCTAAATCGCAGGTGAACCTGACATACTGGCTGCGCAATGGTGTTTTTTGAGTAAGCAGCTTTATCAGATTCGGGTTTGCGAGCCATTAACGTCCATGTGAAAACACATCCGTATCGCTCACTGCGGTACACCAGGCTTCTCTCATCATTTTGATATTCTCCATGACCATCACTTGAGGATGGGCTGATGTGGACGACATCAAACCAAGGTGTCTCAGGGTCCACAAATGGCATTTTGTAATCGTAGACTCTGCTTCCAGGCTTCAGATCGATCCACTCCGGCCGAATGGACCTGCTTGCACGTGCTCGTTTTGGTACCAATAAATCTTCTACCCAGAATGGGAGATACCAGCCTGCACGGCCTGCGCCAACTTGAACCAGCCACGGAAACACATCTGCAGGAGCGCAACCTGGAATGGTGATCGATTGATCATATATCATATTGGCGGCAGGTAGAACGTCGTCCCCCTGATATTGAACAGCGCCCATATTGGCCGAAGATATTTGAGCAACAGCGCGGCACTTGAGTGGAGGTACAGAATAGGTGAGAAAGCTACCAAGTGGTATTGTTGGTGTATGCACGTATTGCCAGAGTTTTCTGTTAAGTTCGGGGCACTCTTAGCTCCGAGGCGTAACCATAAGATGTTCGCCGCCTATCTAGGCTTGATTCCCCGGGCGACCGGAAGAGCAGAATGCTATGAGGAACAACTCAATGGCAAAATGCTTGGAGATTAAAATTATTATGGACTTCGAGTTAAAATAGATGTGAGGACTTCCAACAACAGCTCAAAGCACGAGCAACTGCAGGGCTGAGTGTATAACCCAGGAGGAGCCCAAACCAAGGGGCACCACCTTTGTAATGCGGGGCAAAGCATATGGGATCATCATTCGCTTAGGCACACTTATCGCCTAGGATAAGTCTTTAGACGTTAAGGGGACAAACTCCGCGGGGGCTCAATTTTAGTTGCCGCCAGTAAAGACGCCAGTAAAGATAGAGCATGAAACCTTTGTTCACGACTTTAGACATTCGTACCCTCAAAGACGAGTTGATAGAATTGGGTGTTTAGTCTATGAATTGGCCAGGTATTCACTATTTACATCCCTAGACTAGGAAGACTGGGATCGCGATTTTTTTTCAGGTATTCAGCAACAGATTGTCTCCGTCATCACAACATGCGGTGTTTTCCCGTCGCGAGAAGCTCAAGCTCGTCCAGGTACAAAAAGAAAAACGGGTAGCCTGCAGTACGACGCCGATGGAAGGTACGATTGGAGCGTGAACCATTGCGGAGCCCGTGTACAACTATGAACAGCTCTAACGAGTCCCGTCTTGAATCCTTATCTGTCGTACAAAGCCCGTCCTGTCTCTCTCGGCACCACCCGAGGATGCACTCCTAACCACCTAGACCCTCGTCTAGGCCCTATCATAGGGAACCCCCAACAGCGTCGTACCCGCTACACTGCCTTGTGTCTGAATGTACGAGGCTGTAATAATGAAGGCGAGAGAGAATTTGAGCTCCGTCAAAATGAGGCGGCGGTATAAGGAGACGACTTGCCCACAGATCAGGTTGAAAATCACAAGTGCACAACCATCCAAGGCTCATTTATCAGGCTGATAGCTCGTACCTGAAAATCTAGCATCAGCACATCAGCTCGATCCCTGCTGCTGCGAAACCATGTCAGCCATTACAGTCCAACCCGCCAAAAGTTCCGAGGCTGAACTCGGTGCTCTTCTCGGCAATATCGACCTTGACAACTTGTCAGACGCAGATTTTGATGTTATCCACAAAGCCCTTTATCAATACAACGTCATCTGCATCAAGGACCAGGGAAATCTCACACCCAAAGCTCAGGCTGAGCTCACACGTCGTTTCGACCCTGAAGCACTGTCTTATGGACACGGCAAAACGATCGACGCCAAGCGGTCCATTCTCCATCCTGACCTGAAGACCGTGCCACACCAGCCCGAGGTTCAGGTCATTGGCAATGGCTTTGTCTCAGAATACGAAGGGTTGAAGAACATCACGCTGAAGCATCCCCATCATCGCACTTTCCACAAGACCGTTATACCGGAGGAGCAGGATCTCGACTATACTCGCTTCTATCGATGGCATATCGATGCGGCGCTGTATGGTAAACTGTACCCGCCGCTGGTGACGTCTTTACTGGCAGTCAAAGTCCCTGCCGGACGGTCTCAAACTCTCCTATACGACGACGATAGCGGCGACCAGCTCCAGGTGCCGCTAGGAACGACGGCATTTGCATCGGGATACACAATGTTCGAGAAACTCAGCCAGGAACAGAAAGAATTTGTGCTTGGCTCCAAGATAGAATACGGGCCTCATCCTTACGTTTGGATCTCGACGGCAAGGTCGCGACCAGACGGACTTGGGATTGTGTCTGAGGGGAAGGAAATCAGCCTTGACGACCTGCCACAAATTGAGGAGGAAGATGTCCAGATACTCCCTATGGCCTGGCAAAATCCTGTGACAGGCAAATTCGCTTTGCAAGTCCATCCCTCAGTAGTGCGCAAGATTCATCTCCACGATGGCCGCATCATCGATGATCTCCAGCAAGTCCGAGACATCGTGCACAACCTACAGCGCCCAGCAATTGCGCCTGAACTCGTGTACGCCTTCGACTGGAAGGAGGGTGATTTGGTCCTATTCAATAACCATGGCGTTATTCACTCTGTCGTAGGTGCATTTGGCTTGGATGAAGTTAGACTCTTTCGGCAGTGTAACCTTGCCGCCAGTCAACCTCCACTGGGCCCTGTAGAGGTTTGTGCTTGAAACAATATCCAACTATTGCGACATAATGCGGAGGGCCTTGCGAAGTCGATCGTTTCTCATGGGTTTGGTGGGAATCGACGACGGAATTCGACAACCCATGTTTATGTTCTCAGCTAGTCAGTGCCAAATACATGGACGAGATTGGCCGGCGGTCCTTCCCATGCTTCTTTTTCTGCTCGTTTCAGCCAACAAGACTAGATAGCCAGCCCAAGAATGTTAGAAATAGATTAGAGTGGCCAATTTTATGTTTCCTTCATGATTATGCCTTGAGGTGCAGATCTCTCCCTAGACACGTCATAGTCGAGTGCCTCCTTGGAGTTTTAGACTCCCAATCTCTTGGAAATTTGACACATTTCGACAAGCTGGAGATCATTCATGCATTGGCAAGCATCAACCACTGACTTCGGGATGAGTTGGTGCCGAATGACACATCGCCCCCAAGAAGACGAATCGTAATCAGGAATATTTGGGTCGCCTTTACACGAATGGAAGAATGTGGCGTCGTATTTGGCCGACCACACGCGCTAGATTGGTGGGCCCACCATTAAATAGCTTCCAAGTGTTGAATTATGTGCGGAGGAAACGAAGTAGAGTTCCTCAATCCGGGTCGGGAGAACTACGTTTTACAATATGGTCATCGGCCGTGGGTCTTCTAGGCCGCCATTCCTATGAGGTATTTCTGGGACTGTTGCCCCGAGTGATTCCAACATCAGTGAACCGTTCTCTAATTGCCTTGTGGTCAAATTGGTCAAGTCAGGGAATGGGGCCAACTGCTACAATATTCTCTTATGAGTAGAACGAGGTGTCGCGGACGGCGCACGCCCTGCTTCCCGTCCCCTTAAGGTGCTTTCTCATCAGACACTGACCAATGAGAGGGATTCTCTCAAAGCTAGCCAATAAAGGCATAGCGATAGTACCTGATAGGTGGTAGTATCTCAGCCTTGGGGCAGGGCTGTAGGGGTTGGTACACTATTCTCCACTGACAAAACCCAGTTGAGTCGGCGTATGTCATTCTCAATGGGATGGCGCTACTTAGCAGAGTTCCAGGTGCTTCTAGTGCCTGTGGAGCCCTATCTGTACATCTACGAGCTACTAGTTAACATCGTTTCTTAGGGGATTTCTTAGGCACCCAACCAGTAAACGCCCTCCGCTCCGTGGTCCGTTGACCTTTGTCCACTGATTTCGCGATGACAAATGGAGCCTCGAGAGTGAAATGCACCTGCTTGCATTTGGGTAAAATGCAGGCGGCGGTGCGCCTGAAGACACTATCATGGAGGGGCCACTGGTTTTCTATAAAACTTGCCTTTGCACCCAGAAGAGAGGGCTTCTTCAACAACACACAGAACATTCATGAGAAGCATCAGAAGCACTCGAACTATAAAAAGCATAAAAAGCATTCAGAGCAATACACTCATCCGGACGTACAACATGAATCACCAAGCAGCCTGGATCAAGGAGCCACATGCCGCCCTAGTGGTGGACGAGGCTCCAATGCCAACTCCCGGCTCTGGCGAGATATTGGTCAAGGTCAAGGTCATTGGTTTCTCTCCACTAGAGGCAAAGATACAAAAGTAAGTTGAAATACCTCTCCAAAACGTGAGAGCGTCTGGTAACCATTACAGACTTGCTATCATCCCAATCCCATATCCCAATGTCCTTGGCATGTCCTTTGCAGGAGTAGTCGAGAGCCTCGGACCGGACGTGGAAGGTTTCAAGGTAGGCGACAGAGTCGCGACTGTCCGAGATGGGCCGAAGGCCGCCGACCCCCGCTTTGGAGCTTTCCAACAGTACGCTCTGGTATCCCAGACGTCGACGTCCAAACTCCCTGGAGCCGTGGCTCTCGAAACCGGCGCCACATCTATTCTCAATCTAGCTGCTGTTGCAACCGCATTTTCCATCCACATGGGCCTTGACCGCCCGCCAGTCGACAGCAAGGCAGCGTCGAATGGGAAGAAAATCCTGATCTATGGTGGCTCCAGTTCTGCTGGTGGACTGGCCACGTGCTATGCCACCGCCGCGGGATACGAGGTGATCACAACATCATCGCCTGAGAACAAAGACTACGTACGGAGTCTTGGTCCATCGGTCATCATCGACCACTCGCAGCCTGCCGAGAATGTACTGAGCCACATCCAATCTCACGGCCCTTACGACGCCATCTTCGACGCCATCGGCCTCCAGCCCACCTTCGACGTGCTGGGCACATATTTATCTGCAATCGGAGGTGGTGCTTTTTACTCAACCGGCGTTTCACAAAGGCCGTTGCCAGACAAGGTGGAGCTCAAGTTCGCACCTTACAGCTTATGGATGGATAAGCCAGAGCATTCTGAGTTCAGAACTTGGTTCTATAATGAATTGGTGCCGAAAGGGCTAGAGTTGCGCATCATCAAGCCGACGAGACCGGAGTGGCTAGAGGGTGGCTTAGCTTCGGCGCAAAAAGCCCTTGATTTGATGATGGAGGGTAAGGTCAGTGGGACGAAGCTCTTGCTGGATCCCAATGCTTAGGATGGACCGACTAACCGCGTCGGTGGACATCACTTAACTAGATCTAGCCTCTAGGCTCATATAGGGTCAAATAAGGAATGGAAGAAAAGTTTTCATATGTTGATATTCGCAGACCCAGAAAAGCACGTTCTGTGCTTAGATCTCGCAGGGAGAACATAAGATAGCCAACGAAAGATGGTCATTTTCTGCGGAGCATGATGGCTCACCATTACCTGAACAGTGAAGCCCCTGCGACAAGTAATCTTATCTTAAGATGTCTGCACCGTGAAACCAAGACAGAACACTTATTCAGTTGCCATCCTTCGCCCAATAACTTGGTACAAAGCCGAAAAGGCTGACGACGCTCAGCCACCACCAAGCCCAGCCGACAATTCCGAGGTCAAGGCCCTGTCCAAACCAGCGTCCAGCGACGATAGGTCCTATGGTCCTGAATGCGCTCGAGGTTGCCGCTCCCATGCCGTGAATTGTCCCCAACATGGCCGGGCTAGGGCTTGCGTTGTTCATCAGTAGCACTATTCCGGGGACAGCGAATGTCCGCCCAGCCATTTGCAATACCACCACGATGATGAGGAGAACCCAAAGCAAGAATCTGACGGAGACGAGTAGCGACAGATACGGTGCAATCGCGTACGGGATGGGAAACACCAGGAGTGCCCAACTGGTTGATTTCAACAGGCCGAATCGGGCATTCACTTTCGGGTAGAGACTGAGCTGCAGCGCGATTCCAGCGAAGCCCAGAAACGACATGGAGATGCCGATGCTTGCTAGTGAGAAGCCTAGGCCTCCAGTAAATCTGAAAGGGAGTTGAATGGCTTTGGTTTGCTCCTCGGTGCGTCGGGCGGTCGACAAGAAGATCGTCCATAAGGTCGTGAAGCCGCCCATTTGGAAATCTAGAATCGCGACCGTCAGAAGTACGAGGAGCACATTCCGTGTGATGGCGTGGTGGAAAGGTGGTCTGAGGGCGGCTGGTTCTTCTGGTGCTTGGGGTGTAATGGGATAGAGAGGTGTGCTTGATGGTATATTTTCGTCGTCGACGACAGTGTCTGGGCCCGCTTCCTCACCCTGTCCTATTTGGCTGTACCCGAATCGTGAGAAGACCAATCTCCGCACGTGATAGCTTATGTTCTCGGCCCACTCAATGCCCTGATCGCGAACTTGTTTGCGCGCTTGTAGGGTTTCCCTCAGAGCTCCCCAGACAAGAAGTGCGTCTGCCAGGAGAACGAATGCACAAAATAAGTTTGGCGCAGCGTATGGAAACTTGGTCAACCAGATGACACCCTGGTCACCGCCAAAAGTGGAATCCGCGCCGAAGAGACCTGGATAGTTCTGGACTGGATCCGAAAGGAGTCCGCCAAAGATCGGCCCGAAAATATTGGCGATGTTCCAGGCAAGAGGAAGTACTAGAAAAGTTCTTGAGTGGTACTTCTTGTCTGTGCTCTCGGCAAGTACAGTTCTTGCACCAGGAACCGTCGCATTGACAGCACCCCCTAGAAGTCTCCAGATGCTGGCGCTGATGAACGATCGCGAGAATGCGACGGCCACGCAACTCACGGCTTGCCCAACAAGCGAGATCAACACCACTCTTTTCCGCCCAAATCTGGGTGAATCCATTACTCTGCCCCACATTATTCCGGTGAAAATCTGCGCGGCGGTGAAAACGCCCTGCAGCACACCCGCTTCGAATGAAATCTGGCTGTCGTCCGCATCTGGGGAAAATGACTTCAGCTGATAGAACATGTATGCTTGGAGGGCCGCTTGCTGGAAGAAATCGACCATTCGGATACTGCAGACTATGAAAACTTGGAACTTGTTCGGGATTGACGCCCATGATGGTGGTGCAGGTCTAGGCCCATCACTCTGGCCCTCCTGTGCCATGATTCTAGCTTGAGTCAGCCAGGCAGCTATGTTAGGGTTGATGAATGGGAAAGCAGCGGCGCCATGCTTGGAGAAACTGTTCCAGGCTATATCTGCGTCAACAAAAGCCTTATCGTCCACTGAGCCATAAACTGGACGTCTCAAAAAACTTCGTCAACGGATGTTGGTATTGGCGTAGGCTGCTGAGAAGATCTAGGTCCTCCAGCGATCGAGCGAACTTAACGAGCCACGTAGGTCTCTATCGGATTGTAAGTTAGACAATGCAAGGCTCAGAGCTGGAACTGTTGGATCTTGTACCGGGTACGAAAGAAGCAATCACCGGATCTGGAATTGATAGTGTGGTACTCGGTAAGGCGTCATCATTGATGAAGGTGTACCGAGACGCCAGCAGACGCTCGGATGCTTATGTGCCGTGCGGCCCTGTAATATGGATTTAAGCCGAGGCAAGAAGGGGGTTTGCCCACCCGCGAAACACAGGATTCAGAGGATGGCCCATGGTTACAAATACTTTGGTCAGTCAGCGAAATTATTTGTTCCCACAGTCGCCCCTTTTGAGGGTCTCGGTTTACCCGTTGAACCACGTTGTGAGGGCTGCGAGTGGGGAGGAGATGGCGCGTACAGCACACGGCTATTCGTCGAGATCGCCAGTCGGTGTAAGGTTTGATGACGAGCCTCAAGATAAGATAAGCGTACGTCAAGCAAGCTCCTTGGTAAACCTAGGAGTGCGCTCGGTGCAAGCTCTGTTTAGTTATGGTCGGCTTGACCCGTTTATTCCCCATTGTACTATTGGGGGACAAAGTTTGACGTCTTCATTGTAACACGTACTTGACTACGGGATAAACATGCTTCATAACGACGTTCTTCCACGTATGATTGCGTACCTAGGTGGATATCTGAGTTAAGTACCTAGGATGTACGTGGCGTACAAAGATATCAAGCCCAAGAAACCTAGACGTGTGGTGGACTCCCTTGAGGGACTGCGCGTGACGAACTCAACAACCCTCCAAAACTGGGATCTGGGCCACCGAGATCCCCCGACATGCATTACTCGTCCGGAGAATTGAAGCCACCCAAAAGCCTCTCGTGGGAATTAGGTCAGTTAGCCAGCTAATCCAACTTGATTCCCTGGCATGGAGGTCCCATTTGTCGCAAACAAAAGTCGGGCTGGCCTGGGAATACTGCTGGGCTGTCATTTCCCGTCACTACTCTTTTGACATTTGCTTTCCTCTTGCTCTTCCTATCCATGATCAAAGCTATGGAACAGAATTCTGATCTTTCAAAGCTCGATAGGGGGTATTTAGATATTTGTCAATAACGCAAGCTAATAAAGAACATCTGAGGGTCTCCATCGATGCTTCCAATGGCTGCCTTTTTTTCAGGACTCGTTTGTGATCATAGGGACCATGCTTTCAGAATCTCGCTCCTCAGGCGAGATCGCCTTATAGCCCCAGCGGAGCCCAGCCCCTGGACGGCTGCCTTCGCCAAATCTCCTCCGGACCTGACTCCAGAGAAGGCGTGTAAGTCTGTGAGCTGGCCGCGAGATAAAATTGTCTGTGGCCAACAGAACGAGCAAAATGACCAGGCCTGTCAATCCCCCAAAAGTTCCACCATATATTCTCGCTTTTCTTTTTTTCTGTCTTTCCCGTTCCAGAGATAGCTGTAGCTCCTTCTCCAGCCGTTCTCTCTCTTCTTGCTCCTCGGACAGCAGCTGGTTGGCTTCTTCTATTTCCTGCTCTGCCTGGAGTCGAGCTTTCTCTTCCTGTTCGATGATTCTTTGCTCTTGACTCGGCATGAAGCGACAGGCCTTGTCGTCGCAGTACTCGCGCATTAGTTCGTTGGGAATATACGTTGTTTCGATTTCGCTGGTGCCCAGGACGTGCCCGTCGTTGTCAAGCCCCTCTGCGTAGCAATATTTGTAGGTTCGAACATGGTCCAGTACCGTTTCGAAACCATCCTTCACCCCCTGGCCAAGTTGTTCCCAAGGCCCTTGGGTCTTATTATTGGAACCGAAATATCGCCATGTCTTCACTTCCGTAGCGCCATTCCAGGAGGAATATAATATCATTTCCGTCCCGTCTTTCGAGTAAGCCCATAGAGCGGGCTTGGTCAGCGGTAGCCCGACCCAGTTGTCGAATTTATGCACTCGGTAATTCATGACGTTAGACCAACCCAAGGCACCGTAGAATATGATCTCATAGTCCGGACTGTACTCGGTCCAGAATGCATCATTCCCCCAACCCATGAGTATGTTCCCATTTGGGAGGCGTTGAAAGTTCCCTTGGGATTTGGAGAGATGCGCATGGCCATCGGCAAACGGTGGATCAAGATCCAGGAGGATACTTGCAATGTTGGATCTGTGGTCAAGGCTAATGATCTGACCTGTGGAATGATCTTGTGTCCGATCGAATCCATTGGAGCCATTGTCGAAAAGTGAGATGACTGTGTGTGTGCCATTTTCGGAGACAAACCGTGCATCATGCTGGAAGGAAAATGAGAAGCCATCAAGTTTGAAATCCGATTTCGCGCCGTTCAAACGCCAGATAACATGGCCATCGACTCCAGAGACTTTGTACACAGCAGAGACATGGCGAGCGGAGACCAAGTAATCGCCGTCTTTGTTCTTGTCGATTGAATTGATATGGAAATAATCCCAAGGGCTCTGGGGATGTTCACCACTTCCACTAATCTCCGTACTCGAAGGAAGAACATAGCTTTCCACGGGACTGACGTGATCAAGGCTTCTCCATTCGAACAGCACCTCCCCAGTTTCAACCTCTACCTCCTGGAAGGCGCCTTGTTGAATGTAGCCTAAGCCATCACACAATTTCCAGGGGCACAAGTCGTAAACGCTGCGAAGATACTGCGACATTAGTGCCGATTTGCCATCGTTGATGAGTTTAAACTCATGCATGTCAGATGATGCCTGGTAGCTCCCAGGCTCTACGGACTTGATAATGCGGTAGTGCTTGTCCATGATAATACCGTGGCCATGGCCCCAGCCTATCATTTGCGTGCCCTGGTAGAAGCAGAGATGAACCTCGCCTTTGTACATGCATGTTTGAGGATTATGCGATATGCCTGGCCCAGCACTCCCAAAGCCTGACCAGATCAGGTTCTGATATTGGTCAGATACATTCTCTCCCAGTCGCTCGAACTCACCGCGTTATTGTCGTAGATATGAACGGATTCCTGGATCTGCTGGTATGGCGCGACAAAGTAATAACCTGGCGCAAGCTTCTCTGGGACATGATTGAAGACGGACAGAATTGGCGCAACGAGATCAGGCCGCTATATATAGAGATGCGATTAGCTGCCATGACCGATTACAGTAATATTGGGCTGGTTTCTACCGAGCGGAATATGGAGATTGGTTGCGTTTTGTTGTCCGCAATGACTCCCAACGTGTAGAGGCAAGTCAGCCAAGACTGAAGTGGGAGGAGCCGCATAACAGAGTGCGCATCCAGACTCGGAGTCGTTTGATGGCGTTAGTGGATTTGTAGCATCTAAAGAATGGGAGAACAAGCGATGGTCGGTTTTGGCAGCGTACAGACCTCCATGAAAGAAGTACAAAGACCGAATGATACCATGTATCAAGAACAATGTGCCACAACACGCCGTAACTTAGCCCGCCAACCCTCGCAGCTCGGAGTGGGTCAGTGCAAGGGTCACCAAGGGGCTGAAAAGCCCGATGCCACGCGGATGCTCAAGATGATTGAAGCCAGTTGGGAGGGACTGCAGGAATCACAGATGACTCGGTAAGCGCCGTGGCATTGCGTGGTTACCAAGAAATCCAAGAACGCGAGCGGTCGCTTGGTACGAGGTACCTTAAGGGTCATAATTGGGTCGTTTAGCCTTCTTGCGTCTTCTTTTAAAATGACATTCCGTTGACAGCGCTGCGCACGAAAAGAGCCCCGACTAGCTGCATGTGAACCCCAGCAAGGAGGGTGGTGAGCAGAGTCAGCTTGCAAGTCATGACGGCATGAATCTGCGGTTATAAGATAACTGTAAGTCCGACCCTGCCGCTTGCACTGCCGCTTCAGTGCGGGCAGTTTTAGTCTGTCATCAGACAATATTCTAATACAATAGACTCTCAACAATTAGGTGTTCTTCTAACAATAAATCATCATCGGCTGGGATACATAGTATCAGAGTCCTGCAGTCGCCTTGATACTATTCCAACCGCCTCTTCACCTGTATAACTCCATGCCCGCCATTGCGGAACAAGAGAGCTGCCATGCCAATTCCATGATACTCCGTTGCCATGTTTTACAAGGAATGCAGCACACTCTCCTTCGAATCCAGAGTTCGCGATACCTGGATCGTAATCCATGATGAGAACAAGCCATTGCCATCTGGTGATTGTGCCATAATAAGAGGTGGCTAGACCCATAATTTCGTTCCTTATAGTGTGTTAAGTCGGGAGATCTGTGGAGATGTGCATCTCTTTCAAGATACTGCTGTCCAAAAAGGAGTGGTTTGCGCCAAACGTGGAAAATAGCGGGTATAAGCAAAAGTCGCAGAAATTGCGGTTGCAACGACGGGAACCCCCACGACCAAGGCTCTGAAAAGCACATTCATCATCTGCTTCCGATTCTGCGTTCTGCATCGCTGTACAAAGGTATCCGCATCATTCGATCGTGGAAATGGTCTGTCTGGTATTGGTTCCCCGAGATACTCGCATAACGGCCGCCATCCCGAACTCACTCGGTATTCCAGGAGTTGCCCAGGGGGTACAAGCTCACGTATCTCATTGTAATATTCACAGAATCTTTGTTTGCCCGAGTTCTCGAAATCATCGTAGAAGAAATACTTCCAAAATTGCCGCAGCATTGGATGGTATAAACCTGCTGCCCAGTCGAAATTGGCAATGGCCTTGAGCTCCGGGTCCTGCGCGCGCCAATTCACAGTCTTCATAACTGAGTTGTGCCACGAATCGACGTCTCGCGTAGTAATGATAATCTTCGCTTCTGGATAGGCTTCAATCAGCTCTTTGGCGAATGCAACTGCTGGCCAATCGCAGACCGCCTGACAATGCCCGAGCAGGGCATCCCACTCCTCACGGCCAAACTTTCCCTTCCCTTCGTACTTGGCGGCGAAAGCATCCATCCAGCAAAGACAATCTGGGGGGTTCTCAACGCTGGCGGACATCATGTGATACGTGCCCGTATAACCCAACTCTTCCAGCGCCGTTCTCAACGAAGCGGTACCTGTTCGCCCAAGACCAAGTGCCAGAACTCTCATAGGTACAGTCCGCTTGCATTCTCGACGATTGATATCAGTCTGATAGGGCGTGAAAATGTCAGTTGCAGGCTTCGGGGTGTATGCAATGCCAGAAGCCATGTTGCGAAAACCTCTGCACTAGGCAGGGCGGTAGCAGTGCGGAAAATTGCGTTGGATTTAATGGCTCTCGTTGATGTCGTTGCGAGGATTGCGATAGATAAGTCGTGAACGCTAGCTCAATCGCTCACGTGAGTAAATTGGTCTCTAGAAGCCACACGATCGCATACTAGACGTGACTAGCAGGCTCGATTGATTTGCCAAAACAGATGTGAGAGATAGAACAACAATAACGACCGGACATTGACCACAGAAACGGCCAACAGGTCAGCAATCACTTGGGAGTGGAAAAAGTTCCAGGGAACTAGGATACGGAGTATAAGAGAAAGGCGGTGGCACCAAGAGGTTGATTGACCTGTGTTAACTATGCAAGCGCCTTGGTTCTGGGAAGTTTCCGCGAGGAGAGGCTCTCCAGCAAAAGATAATCTGCAACGCAGTGGGAAATGGAGCCATGGGGCTACGCAATCCAAGGCAAATGGAGGAACGCGACGCTCCACGCAAACCTGGCCTTAGCGGCAAGGTGGCGGTCTTACCTTTACTTGTACTGCTTACCTGGTAGACGACAGACCACTCCGTGACAGGACCACGCTTTTCATTTCGTAGAGCATGGTTTCGGCATGTTGATCCTTTCCCGCCCAAGTTTCCTTGTGGTAGGAGCTGCGTTATCGGAAGCGGAGGATGAGCCAGTGAAATAAATTTTCAAAAGACAAAACGAGTCTCAAGAGCGCCATTGACGCCTCTGTGGCCGTCCCCGTCAAAGTGGGGATGCCGAAATCTACTCGTAAGCGATACTGACGAGGCCAGGTGGTCGTAAGTAGCTAGGTAGCTCAAGCAAAGGGCCAAATTGGAGCCCCCAAAATTATCCTCGCCAAGGAAAGCAGATAACATTTTCGAGATGCTAGTCAGGCCGACACCTGAGGTGAACCAGCAATATAGGCGCGAGAACACATAAGACCGAACTGCTTGGTTCAGAAGGACTGAAATTTGGTGCTGGCCTGCCATTCTCTATTCTAGGCCCCCTTACAGGAGATAGGAGTAGCCAAGATGGAGGGATGCGGTTGCCCCAACGTGGAAACAGCACAAATTGGTGAGATTCGGCCAAGCTTGTCTAGAGCGAGTGGCTATTCCTGCCCCATGCTTTCCGGGAGACCAGGATTGGTTGTAAGGCCTTGAGGAAAAGTGAAAGCGTCAATGACATGAGATCAAGGGATGAGGTGAGATGCATTCAACAACGCACTGGCGGGCTTCCTTATACCATCATTCCTCGCTCTTGCGACTGTCACGGCCAAATGGTGCAAATGGACCAGGGCTTGGAGAGGATCAAACTGGTAATGAGGCAGAGTCCCGCTGCAGTCTTGGCGTCTTGACGTCTGGTGGAAGCTGGTTCAGCCTTGTCCTATAGCGTTAACAAACTACCATGGCAATGATACAGCTCCTCATAAGTCGTAGGATAATTCAACTAACTGCACTCCGTACGAAGAGAATCTAAGGTACTGTAGGGAAGTGGCGCATCAGTGGCAGTAAGCCCCGAGGGTGCCGGTCACGTGTTAGTCACGTGGTAACTTTAAACAGAAAGGTCGACTGGAATCCTTTGGGCAGTCACATGACCTTTCTCAGGCCGTCAGCGGCAAGAAGGCCTATGGTCCGACGTAGCATCCTAGTAGATTCGTCTTAATGCTCCGCCGTGAATTTTTTCCCACTCACTAGTCGGATTTTGAGAAAGTAAAAAGTCATTGTCCGCTACCCTGGGCGCAGTCACCAGTTCTATAGAAAATTCCTCTATCATAGCCAATTTCAAAGCGTTCTGTCATATTTCGTCTGACTCCCTAAGAGTTCGCAATGTTGCGCGAAGTGTACGTATGGCAATATTCCTCGGTCCATCCTCTATTCTAATAATGCGGCAGAAAACCTCGAAATGCACGCACGGCTCGTATAGTCAAAGCGAGAGAGCCACAGCAAGTGGAATCGCGCAAGAAAGTGCTACTCCTCCACGGCTCAAAATGCCCACAACCAGTGGCTGCCGTGCTCAAAACCGTTCATACCTTGGCCAAGCCAGATGCAGTGCAGTTGCACAAGAAGAATGAAAATATCCATCCATTCGAAGACCCTTCTTCGCTGGAATTTTTGGCCTTGAAGAATGAGTGTGGTGTTGTGGTCTTTGGCACACATTCAAAGAAGCGACCGAATAATATCACCATAATGCGAACATACGATGGGAAACTCCTAGACCTGTTAGAATTGCTAGTACTGGTACATCCAGAGCAGTCGCAGAAAGACCATGCACTTCAAGTAGGTGTTGCAATGAAGCCTCTGTTACTGTTTAGCGGATCACAGTGGGATGATGCATCTGCTTCATCTCAAGCTACACAATACCACACGATCAAGTCAATTATGCTCGACCTTTTCCAGGGGGAAGAAATCTCTTCAATAGAGGTGGAAGGACTGCAATATCTACTCATGATAGCAGCAGGCGAAATATCAAACCCATCAGCGGATTATGCTGACCCAGCAAATAAGCCTGTGCTACACCTCAGGTGGTACAAGATTAGAACACTGCGATCCGACAACCCCAAGATACCACGGGTCGAATTGGACCCTGTTGGACCGAGTTTCGACTTCAGAGTTGGCCGTTATCGAGAGGCAGATGCATCTACCATGAGGGATGCTCAGCGACATGGTCGACGACCCAACGAGGCACGAACAAAGAAGAATATCGAGACTGACCTAGTGGGAGACAAGATAGGCAGAGTCCACCTCGGGAAGCAAGATTTATCAACTTTACAGACTCGCAAGATGAAAGGTCTGAAGCGGGGGCGGGCAGATGTCGAAGCAAAGCCGCTAGAAGGTGACAGTGACGATGGCCTCAGCGAAGACGAGGTCATGGCTGACGGTGGAATGGATTTGGATGGGGGACGTTCAGAAGATGGAAGCAGCGGTGGTGGCACTGGTGATGAGATCAGTATTGGTGAGAATGATGATGAGGAGATGGAGGACGTGGAGGACGAAAAACCGAAAAGACAACGGCTTGCTTAAATCAAGTGAGGGAGGAAACGAAGGACAACAACGACCAAATAATGGGCCATTGATATTCGGCCAACGATGGTCATACAATGTGGCCATGCCCCGCCGTCAGAAGAAGATTCAGGCCACACGATTGGAACCACCAAAGTGTATGGAAAGAAGCCACAAGGATCCGGAGGCTGATCTACACGACTGGACTTGAAATCACAGCCAAGTGGTTCTCCTCTATGCAAAACAGGCCGCCGGGGGCTGAATGATCATTCTGCAAAAATTCGGGGAAAGGCAAAGCAAGCAGTAGATGGATGGCATGGTGCAACCTGAAGGGAGCAGCCATGGACATGCATTGCATCCATCTAGAACGCCTAAGAGGTATTGCCGACTGGGTTAAGAGGATGCTCTTGGAGGCCGAAACGCCAGCCTTGCGAAGGCGAGATATAGCCGTAGAATGACGTTGATATCGGCAGGTGATTTCTCACTAAAAGACATCTGGGTGACAAAGAGGAAGGAGCCGAGGTCTGGGAATGCGGGCAGCGGTTCTGTGGGGAAGGAGCTGCTGAGTGGGTGGTCACGGCTCCCAGGTCACGGGTAAATGGTCACACGGTCACATGACGATAGGTAACTGATGGTGCCCTTTCTCGGGGTTTCCCACCTCCAGGTGCACCTGCACTTTTCACAATTGCACCTGCTACCTGCAAATGTTCGTTTTTGACCGAGGTTGCCCGCCTGGCTCACCCACTCCTTCCTCCGCGCTGACTGCCGCCCAGCTTGGCCGTACTCCAATAAAATCTTACAAGTTACAAGGGACAACCCACCTGCGACTCTGCCCGTGCTCGTGACGGCACACGGTGCATTGATGTCGACTACTCGTACCAGAAACAACCACATGTGAAACGACCTTCGCATCTCATGTTCACATGCTGCAAGTCCACTCATCTCCTTCTCCCGTGATCTGGCCTGCCCTGTACCTACTGTCCGACCTTATTCTAAGTCGCTTTGCAAGTTAAGGGCTCATCCATTGTCCGCGGGAACTGCTGTGACTGCTTCCTTCGAGTCTGACCTTGTCGCGGCCATGGATGTTCTAAGAGTATTGTCCCGTATTGTCGTTGCCCTTGTGACGTGTGCTGAATAGTTCCTTAGGATCACGCAGAGGCCATCATCCTCAACCCGGATCTCGCACCCCTTCTCGCTATCCTCAAGGCCGCCCGCAATGGCGCTGTCTACGGAGCCAAAGTTCGCTTCCCTCATGCTCTAGTCATGGTCGTGCTGTTCCGGAAAGGCTCATGGAAAGAAAAAATCCGTCTTGTGTTAAAGGCAACAAGACAGCATGCCAGCAATCTTGCTAGATTCGCGGTCGTCTATAAATCGTCCATGTTAATATTACGCCTCCTCAATCCTATAAGACCTGGAAAAGAAGGCCCATATGACACCTTTTTCGCTGGGCTACTTGGCGGATACCTTGTCTTTGGAAGTGCAAAGCAGGGCGGGTGAGTTTGAATTCTGTTTCCAAGCCATTGCACATTCTAAGAGTTGCGCTGCAGTGTCAACCAACAAATAGTCATCTATGTCTTTGCTCGTGTCATGTTAGCGCTTGCACGACTTAGTATTGAGCCGCCTACCATGACAAGTACAACGCCTACCCCAACACTCTTCACCCAACGATTCTCGCCAGATACGAAAGCCATGATCGAGAGGAATGCTTGGCCTGTCTTCGCAAGTTTAAGCTGGGCTTTCGTCATGTATATATTCCGATGGCAGCCAGAAAGCATCCAGCCCAGCTTAAGGAGCAGCATGAAATATATGTACGTATTGAGCCATCTTTCTGAATCCTCACTCCTGCTAATCTAGATGTAAAGCTACGTTAACTCGGACTACTGGGATTCTCTTCGGAATTTCCTGCTATACAACACCTAAATAACGATGACGCGATCTTTTTTTGCATCCTTAGTGGCGTTTCGGCGAATGTGTGATGAACATTGCATGTACACAAAAACGATTGGATGTTCTAGATGTTCTGATGACACGGTCGTCAGAACTTGAAGTCATATACCAGGGACGGGTTTGTGTTTAGGGCCAACAGAAGCTATAGGGTCCCCTCTCAACGTTGGAGCACCTTTTGTGGAGACTTTTACTTTACAAGGCCGGCTGTCGTTCCATAAACGCGGCCGGCGGGACATGGATACGGGTCAAGAACCCTTGAAAACACGAACCCACCCCAGAAATACGATCATGCATGATCTCGAATGGCAAAGACCGCACGAGAATGAGTCGGACCTGCGAGGCTTGTGCATCAAGCATCTGCTTCCCGACATGGCGAGAAGGACATGTCCAACATCCTCCAACACCGCGTTCCCCGAACATCCCCGCAATCCACCCAATTCTCTCCGCCGGGGAACGTGCAGAATATACTGTTCTAGACGGTAAGTAGACAAAAGGCATGAAGGGGGTGGCAGCACGGTATCTAGCGTCTTGCATGAGGAAGGGATAATCGCAACGGCAGTGCACAAGCGCAATTAAAGCTCTGCTGATTGCTTTTAATTATACTCAAGACGCTATCTGCACTAAAGATACTGTCTGCGTAATGCTACATAGGGAATTGCTTCCTGGCTTCTGCCTTTTGCCATTTTTTCTTCTCTGCTCTCCTACATGGAATAGAATACTGTCAATCAAACCCGGCGGGGTTTCACCAGACCCAGCACAACACTTCAAAAATATCAAACTGAGAAACGAACCATATGTCCTCTCAGTCCGCTGAAGGTGAACACAAACCGTATCAAAAGCACAACAGCCTCTCCACCAATTTCTATCCCTACTTTTAGTCTGAGTAAATCTCCTCTGGGGGTGGGGGTTCATTTCAGACGAAGACACCCGAGTCCCAGGAACTGTATTCCATACCGCCGAAGTCCTGATAGCCAAGAGAGTTACTGTTCGCCGTGCTGTAGTCCCATCCACCACCATAGGCACCGGAGCCGGAGCCGGAGCCGGAGCCCATGCCACAAGTCGTCGCGTCGTAGAAGTACCCGGATGCGCTGCACGTCTCCGCATCGATGGTGGCCGTGTTAGCAGCCGTCGCAGTCGAGGGGAAGCCTATGCCGCCCAGGCTGCCCAGCGAGGATGGCACGAGTGGTTCGCGCATGTACATCTCGCTGGATGGGAAGTCGAAATCTACTGCTGCTGCGGCTGATGTGGCCCGCAAGCCCCCTGGCACTGCTGCTGTTCCTGGTTGTTGTTTGCCGTAGATGGCCTCCACCCGCTGCTGCTGCTGCTGCTGCTGCTGCTGCTGTTCATATGGGTAGTCCTGCTGGGGCGGCGAGCTGCATGTCGGCGAGGGCACGGGCGTTGTGAAAAGCTCGTCGCCGAATTCAGGCGAGTCCCATGGTCCTGGCGTGAACGTGCTGGTGTTGCTGGTGCTGGCTCCGCCTCCCGAGCTGCGACGTGAGGATAGCAGTCCTCCTGAACCCGGGGGCGATGCAATGCATTGCGTCGTTCCTCGTCTCATGGGTGAGTATGAGTTCTTCGTCGAGGCAATGTTCGCATACGTGGACGCGGTCGACGCGGTCGACAGCGGCGAACGGGTCTGCTGCGGTGGCGCTGTCTTCGGCTTCTTGTCTTTTCCCTCCGGCGGTACCTGTAGCTGCAGGATAGGGAGGAGCTTCTTGATCTTCGGCCCGGGAGTGAGATTACTGTGATTGTTATTGTTCGTGGTCCTCAGCCTGAGGGGAGCAACGGGTTCACGGCATGCAGGGTAAGGGAAGCTGCCTGGTTTGGTGTCTGTCGTCTCGCCGACTTCGTCCTCTCCTTCAATCACCCCGAGCTCCTCCAGGATTCGGTGCACGCTGGGAGTTCCATTGATTTCTTCCACGGGTGGGCCCGCCCATTTGTGGCCCTCCAGTGAGCGTGAGTATAGCTCGATCAGCCCTGCTGTGAGAGCTGCGTGGTGTTGGAGGAGGAGATCCGTGTATCTTTGTGCATTTTCGGTGGTCAGCACAGATCGATTCTGCTTCAATAGCGGGATTGCACTCCATGTCTCACCTTTGGGTGGCATTTGCCGACTCGGTCTTCCTCCTCACTTTATATGTGCAAGGAGCTTTGTCCAAGTTGCACCGTCTGCATGGCTTTGCACCGTCGCACTTTGCTTTCTTGATCCTGCATCGCTGACACGCCCTTGATACTCTCGGCCTCTGGCGTGGATGTTGCTCGGCATACATCTCGGGGTCCTCGGCTGGCGAGGTCTGATCAAGGTGACAAATGACGTAGTGTACTATAGTGAGGTTGGTGGCCAAGCATAGCCTCTCAGTCAGTGGGAGGGAAAGGCAATGCAGTAAACTTGCTGACGACTTTGATACTTTCTGCTGACGCTTGCCCCTTTCTTCGATTGTCTCTTTGTCTTTTCAGGCAAGTACAGAAAAAGGAAGAAGGGACATCTCTTAGACCAAAGTGGCAGCCCTCAGGCTCTATATCTCAATGGAATAATCCATTAGGGTATCCCGACAATACCCACCCCTGCCAGTCACAAGGCAGTGATTGTAACGACTTGCGTCAAACTGTGAAATGTGGGGTCTTCTTGCTTGTTAACTTGGAGCAGGGAAACGAATGGTCCGGATGGACATGGCCGCCCACGTTCTCGCAAGGCATTCATTGTTGTGCAAAAGGGCCTGGGCTTTTCTTGGTCATAGGGATTACTGTGCAGCCTTGATACTGGTGCACGAGTCTGTAAGCCTCGGGAGCCTCGTGAATGGTTCACTTGTGTTGGTTCCCGGTGTGGGCCACTTGGCCTCGAGGAGGCATCAACTAGGGTGCACCAAGGTCAAGGGAAGTCTTTGAAAGTTCCCAGATAAAAGGATATATCCGTCGAACCGCATACAGCAAGTCAACGCAGGTAGCAAATGCTCTGCATAAGCAATCGATATTTCGGAAGCCTGATCAGGCATATGTTGAATGTGTCACGGGTAAAGCCGGTCTATCATTCTCTTTACTCTAGATGTGGTAACGGGCTCTGGACGAATGAGCTAGTAGGCAGAGGAAAATGAGACCAATAGAAAACAGAGGAGAGATGTGAACAGTTGTCATTGCAGGGCAACAATGATATTGAAGGTGAAAACATGGAAAATATGGTTTGTCGACGCGGCAGTCAGGTTCGGCGAATATCATGGCCCCTGGTCATTCCTCGTAGAGCCATCAATGCGATCTTCGGCGGTTGCCGTACGAGAAAACGAGTATCAAATTGCCGAGATTGTAGTGGAATGATCCTCACGCCATTCTCTTGCACGCCAATCATCCGCCGCAACCTCAAATGCCTCTTTGAGTGCTGCTGTTCGCTAGTTGTCGCTACACAGGGCATCCCTGGCCAGCTTGATGATGTTTGTAGTGGCAAGCTCAGAACTTACCCGTGCCGGTGACCGGGTAGCGACGGCAAGGCATCAACCCAGGTAGCCAACGCATATGTCCCAGACTCTCGAACTCAAATAAATCATAGAAGGGGCATTTTAGGAACCATCTGCGGGTTAGAGTGAAAGGCAGCTGCAACAAACTGTGTTTTTGAGGTTGGTCTTAAGAGTTTCATAAAGGGTAGAAGATCAACGTGCAATAGGGGCTTCAGCCCAACTACATAAAGTTTTAAGGTTCCAGGAACAAAGCCTTTTGGAGCGGGAAGGACGTCGGTCACCAAGCTACTTGCTTGATGCACAGTAGAGCAAACTAGGCGGTCTGGTCTCCATGTTCCCCCCGGGGCCTTCTCGATGCTGGCGTTGAAACGAGCATCGCTAAACGGGTGCTTACGGATATGTCTACCGTCGTCATAATTATGTGGCACAACTATGCATTTCTAGGGGAATGTGGCTCTCTTGCGCAAGTGTGCCTCGTCCTCCGCACCTAATGTGAATATCATGTCGAGAGCGGAGGCATCATGGCGTTGCTCTCTCTCCCACATGTAGCGGTGCCGTCCTTTCCAAACATGTCAGCACTGCCAGCTACAGTATGACATATCGGATGTGTGGCATCCACAGATCCAGTGGCTTATGAATGGTGGTCATGATACAAATCCTAGTAACTCGCAGCTCAATTCAATGTGGATAGTCTCATAAAAGTGTGTGATGCATTGATGTACTCCTAGTACTACACTGCTTGGTGGTCAACCAACTCCTAGATCACACACCTGGATGGAGGCTGAGATTGACCTGGCCCCAGCTGCAGGTCAAAAATTCGTATGCCTATGGGTGTTCAGCCTAGAAGCAACAAAACTCAATTCGATCCAAGCGCCGTACTTCGTTTCAGTCCCGTCTGCCATTTACCATTCCAACGCCGGGCACGCAGACACAGAGGGTTTGAGAATGCATCTGTCAGGGCCATTTTCATGCTTCATGAGATTTCTGATGCTAATTGCTTTGCAATTGCGTTGGACCAGGCATCAATTTCATTCCAATTCCGATGGTCACCGAGCCTTCCACCGATGCACGAGTATAGCAGCCTCATTGGTAATGGTGTCGAAGAAAGCTCATGCTTCCCTGCGAACAAGCGGTGGTCCCGGACTTTAGGCACTTTGTGGATGATTGTCGCCTCAATCGATTTTGCTTCCTTGTCGACCAAGCGCCTGCGCATCCAGCTTGGGGATCTCACGGGGGCCATGCTCACACTAAATGTCCACACTGGCCGCTTTTGAAGCCCCATGGCTTCGATATCAAGAAACTTCAAGGCGTCTAGGAGCCATCTGTGTGAATGTACGGCGCTCCCAAGAATGACGGCGCTATAACTATCGACACTGTAAACGCGGTCGACGGGTCTGCAATCGACGCCGAAGCCAGCATCGTGGAGTCGAGAGGCGATGCGTTCAGCTACTTCCCGCGTCGAGCCTCGCGAAGTTGCATAGGTAATTAGGATGGGCATCGTAGATTCTTCGATATTGCAACCAATCGTCCCACTTGATCGATGAAGTGCCTCTGGATGTCTGCACGGTTTGATACGGTCTTCTTCGTCTTCAGTCTTGGTTGTGATTCTGGGGGAATGAGTCTGCTAGACTAGTTTTGTTGAAAGTGTACTGAGAGTCAAGCACGCAACTGGTAGATTGTATTGTGCCAGGCACTGTAGGATGTTTGATGTTCATGTAATGCTTACTCTGTTCCCCATGTTCGGCGGATGGGGCAAAGCGAGATGATCTCACTCGAGTCTGACCTTCGGCCATCCCGCCCGAAATAGACCAATGGAAGTCATGAGGTGTCTTTCAAGCCTCGTGTTGAACCACATGATTCGACTCCGACTGTATTAAATAAGCCTCTCGTAAGAACGTGATTCGCAAAACGTACGAAGGTTAGTTAGTATCTTGGAGGCCAGAGGTATCAATTGCTCCGGACGCTCGGACGTACGAGGTGCCGACAAGGCAGATACGGACGATAGGGGCGCCGAAAAAGCCCAAGGCCTAATGAGAGCCCACCGTTTATTCCTAGTGCTTGGAACCAAGCACGGAGTGGGAAGGTTTCTGAAGTGCAGCTTCGATCCGCCCGCTTCCGAGCCCCGGCTGGAACGCATAATTCGAGATGCTTGCCTTAAATAGGGAGAATGTTCGCGAGGCCTGCTCCCCTTTGGTGATTTGTGATGAGCCAGTCGCTCCACTAAGAGAGAATAAATCCGAACTTTGTGTGCTACAAATACCAAGGGATGAGGTCTTTTACAACACAACGACTGTTGCTTCATTCATGACGTCAGAGGTGCTCATCATTGGAACCCTTTCGGAAGCAAGCGAAGAATGAACATTCCTAGATATCTCACTCCACTGTCCAAGCACAACCGGAAGCTGCAATCAGATTGCGCATGCTGTTAAGTCAGAAGATGGTCAAATCAGGAATTACCTTACCATTCCCCATTGTCAAATTCACCTTCACGCATGTACATTGGGGGCAGTTAATCGGGCGACAAATTTCTAGGCTTCCTGGCTTGGGTCAGGCTCCAAATTTACTAGGAAAGTGAGCTATTCCACACTGTGATTATGTTATTTGCTTGTCGCAAAGCCGTGACGCCTTTGGTAATCCTAGAGATCCGCCCGTAATGCGCATCAAGGTAAGGCCACACACAGTATCTGTCATGTTAAGTTCTTAGAAGCGAGAGCTGGTTGTCCTTTCATGCTAGCAACCTTCTCTGGCTTCCAGTTTTATTGTCTAAATCGCCGCTGGGCGAACTGACATAGGGTATGATGTCGTTTATCATTCAATTCATTCATCCAAATCCCAAGATACAGAGCGCCAGTACCGCCGAAACCCACAAGAAACGGGGAATCCATAACCCAGGCGTGATGCTCTGTGAGCATTCTCTCATAGGATACATGGTCCCACCTTCGTTCAATTTTGTTACAGTGCAAAGAATTGCATCAAGTCGGCCTCGTCATCCTGCCCAACACCAGACATCAGCATCAGCATCAATGTCTCTGAGTGCCCCGCTTCGTGCGACTTCGCGCTGTAAAACACAGATACAACATCAAAAATCACATCTCTCCAGCCATGGGACGGGTTGGAAGGGACTGGGGGACCGGTAAGAGGAGATATTGCTTACCCAGCAATAAATCAGGAACGCGATCCCGGACGTCATCGCTCCAAGCGCCCCATAACTGGTTATATCCCGTACAGCCAATGGGACCACAGTACCCTCGGGGTGAGACGATGCTGCCATCTTTGCTAGGATCCGCTGTGATGGGCCATGGTGCAGTGGATGATGGAGAGAAAGTCTGTGAGCGATCGTTCGCCGTGCAGATTGGGTAGCGAAGCCTCGTACGGCCGGAGTCAATCGCAAGGCTGCAATTCCCATTGAGGGCATAATTATCGATTTGTTTGCAAGTGAGTTTCAAAGTGGAAAGAGGAAGAGGTTTTTGCCGCAACTCAAGAGTTGTTAATTGGTGATGCAATGCAAATGCTCCAATAATGCTTGACAGCAAATTGGTTGAGGTATTGTTCATTCAAATGCTGTTGTGCTAAACCAAATGAACAGTTCTCTGAAGCCATTCGAAACTATCTTGAAATATATTATGGCCTAGGGACGCGTCGTCGTCAGAGTCCGGGTTGAGACAACAGGTGTCATTCGACGCGAGAATGGTCTTGCGTACAAGTGATGGTGTGGCTGAATCTGGACAGTCATGTCAGCTCTGCTCACTGTGCACACGCCACCGTACAATTCGCTCACAGTCCCACGCGGCTCTCAGAAACGGCAAGAGGAACACCGAGAATGCACAGTTCCGGATTTTTTAGGGCGGTAGAAATGTTAGGTAATCGTTGTCAGGCAATGATCTCCCCGCTAACAGCAATACAGAGTACAGGTCCTCCGTACTGTAGTCACCTTACCAAGCTGTCACACCACACCCTCGGAAAGCAGAGAAAATTTCCGAGCGCCGGAGAGGATTTCCGGCAATGCACATGACCTCCGGGAACTCTCCTTGGCACTCGCAGCCTTGTCACGTCGTGCATAATCACGTGCGTAAATTTACTTGCTCGAGGCTACCAGTACTTTCTCGACGCAGCTTCAGCACTTACTCGGGCTAACCATCGGCTTGTAGTCACCAAGAGGGGTTGATCCATGGTAATCTCTCGGAATCCCGCAGCCCAACGCTGCTTTCGCTCATCTTCATACGCAACGTCTGAAGTACCTAACTGGCAGCCAGGGCAGTGCAAGCGAGCTCACAGAACTTGTAGCCATGAGCAGCAACCTGAATTAAGCCAACTCAGTGTCTTCGAAGGGCCCCACGAGTCAGTGGATATGCTTGGCTGGGCGATCTTTGTCATTGGAATGCTCGAGGAACCGCGTGGCCAGAGACCACGCCGCAGCTTGGAGCGCCAATAAATTGGGTCCCCTAGACTAATTTCTTTCTAGACTTGTTCGGTCGCGGTAGCACTAAGTACCTGGTAAGTTCCCTCGCATAGAATGGCTCTCCTGGCCCTTGCGCTGGCCCAGTCATCCCCTCACCGCCCCGATATGGAAGTTGCGAGCGCGAAAATTAATTGGCTGCTGGGTCACGGTGAACTCGCAGTACACGGTATATCGCCCCTGGACCGAAGATTTACGAGGATCTCGTATGTATCGAGAGCGGGTCCATTGCACAGTCGTTGCAGTCGGCCTGGAGAGGAATTGTCCAAGATCTGCATTGTAATCTATGTGCTTGACGAAGCCCATTAGCTTAAAATTGCTATCTCGGGGGGCTCTAGCCCGCACCAGTGACTCCCCTCTCGAAATATGGTATTTCGTTATCCTCCACTGATATGCCTTCGGAAAAAAACCATCCCCTGAAGAGACCCATCAGAAAATTCATCCTTGCATGCTTGTTAACAGACTGAAAATCAAACGCCAGCTTCCACGATTTGTTGGCATGAACCCGAACAGAAAGTGCCGTTGTGGGCAGTCAAAAACGAGGTCCGATCGTTTTCTGACTCAATATGAAATGAAATGAAGAATAGGAGGTTTGGTTCAAACACAAGCCAATCTGGTAGCCCCCATCCCCTGTTAGATCTGAGTCTGGACGCTGGCGCTGAGGCCCGACTTCTTCCAGTGTGTCGCTAATACGGGGTATTGGGGTTTGTAATGAATGTCGCGGGTCTTCTGCTCTAGGAGTTCTCCGTGAAGGCTGAGAGATAGGCGCCAGCAATCAGAGAGCTGCAACTCTCCCCTCTCTCAGTTCCTCGGACCTATTCCCTGGTCATTTCCCCTCTTCTCAAATTCTCGTCTAGGTCCAGAACTGCCGGTACGCTTTGTCACGAGCGTTCGAGTTTGTAACATAGACTGAAGGTGAATGAGAATGTAATGTGTCTGTCTTTTTTCTTTTGATTCGATTTACTCTCGAATTTGACGAACCGTGAATGGAACGTAGGGCAATCTCAGTTTTTGGTGTGGTTTCTCGACATCAGTAATCTGAATTCGTCGTTGGAATTGTATTTGAATGAGTGTATGCCTTGGGACGGTGAGGTTTTCTGTTTGCCTCTGCCTCCTCGGTATTTGTATAGCGCAAGAACACACTTGTGTTCACTGGTGACTAGGGTTGCCGAACCTGTACTGTTCGCTCCCTGGTCCTGACTTGGAAGTCGCTGTATTCCGACTGCGCTTTGCGATCGGGTCTGATAGCTTCGCCAGTCAATCTGACGCTGTAAACCAGAGGTTTCAGCCTCTTGGGAGGAGTTCTTTGGGTCACACTTGACTTTCAAGCTGGTTCCTCGATCTGCTACCTGCTGTGGTTGACTTTTGGCGTGAGAATTCGAGGATTTCTCCCCAATCCCCAAAGTACGCGCCTCCACAGCAGAACAGTTGTAGAACTCAATCTACAAATCGAGGCCCTCTCCTGTTGTTAAATGCATCGGGAAATGAAGCGCAGCTGAAACAATGTGTCTAAGTATGGGCTGTGGCTTGAAATGCGGAGTGCATTGGTCGTATGAGTAAGTTTGGTATTGTGGTTATGTACAGTTTCTGTAGCGCAAAGTATCAGTCCACACAATTTCTTAGTGAGAACGACCGTAAAAATTCTTACGCTTGTCTGCAGACTATCTCCTGACAATATGCAATCCCACGAACTATGTTTTGCTTCCTTTCAAACGAGATGCAGCTGTCATTGGTGAGGCGGTAGAACCATCTTGCTGGGTGCAAGACCGAAGGGAACGTGGAATGTGTTTCCGCATTTGTTTGTTCAGCAGATCCTGAATCACTAGTACTCTGCCTGAACCACAGTTTTTTCACTTCAAGTGCGGTGTATGCAGCGAAAGACGCGATGTTGATGAAAAGATGGAACACATTGATTTGGTCCACACATTATCCTTCTCTTTTCCTCAGAACGGTGAGCAACCAAACTCCGTCCATATGAGACCGTAAAATATCAGCTAGATAGTGAATATCATCTATACCTTTCTTCGTGGTACTTGACTCAAAAGTTGCGATATCAATGAGATGTGATGGTCGTTCCTAATCTTCAGGCGAACATTCCATATATGCACCCTGTCCCTGTCCCATCGTTGACAAAACTAAAATTGGTATTTCCCTTGAATTGCCATACAGGCCTTCCTCCCATGTGTCCACAATCTGGGAATTTCTTATCCAAGCACCCACCCGTTCGCTGCGGTTTATGGAATCCTCTCCCAGCCTAACTCCAGTCCGTTTTAAAAGTACGTATAACATGTTGGAAAGACTCGTAGGTCCCAAATCGCATAAATCTCGTAAAATATGTCCAATTCATCTTGTTCATTGCGGAGTCTGTTGCTGGAGTTGAAGCCGAACCATTTGTTTAAGCAGGGTGCAGTCCTCGCACTTAACAAGCTTCTCTAGGGTCACGACCCTCTCGCTAAGTCGTGTAATCTCGTCTGTCATATGCCGCATTTCGACCTCGGACTGGTGGACATAGTTCATCGCGTCTGTCATGACATCTGACTTTCTAACTTTTCCTCGATGTTCTCGCGAGGCATAAAAGTCTTGTGCCGACATGCCAGTCATCCTCGACGTGGTACCGGTGGCAGATAAGGCTCGGTGAAGTTGCATTATCTTGCCGTTCAGGTTGTCTCGATACCTTCGCTCGACCACTGAATGGGCTTGCTTAGCTCGAATGTTGGCCGATTCATCTTCACTCCCCGAGGCTTTGTGAGTTCGTTTGTTGCGAGTTGGCTTGTCGCCTTCGGTATTCTGCTTAGAGCGTGGCTTAGACTCACTTGTAACCGTTCTCGATGGTGACCTGCGGGTCGCCCTTTGCCCTATAGAAGATCCAATACTGGTGGACAAGCATGGAGGCGCCTGGCAGTCTTCAATTTCAGCAAGATCGGCGAATTGTATGCAGCTAGGCTCAGGCCCGCATGCTTGGGGGATTTGTTCAAGAGATGAAGGATTAAAGCCCCTTGCCGATAATGGAACGTTCTGAGTCAAGCCCGGTTCAACCTTTAACGGGTAGCTTGTAGATTGGCGGGAAAGGGTCATTGATTCTGGCGATGTTTTGTAGTACGATCCTGACGATATTCCCTCACTTGGGGCCGGGTATGAAGAGATATCTGATGCATCGAAATTGAGGAATTGGGAGTAGTTCGGGGAACCGACATTGTGCTCGGTAGTATCGATAGCATTCAAGTCATAATAGCCAGGTTGAATTTGACCCTTGAATTCGCCAATAGGAGGCTGAAGGTTCGTGAAATCAACCTCATCCCAAGGTCGCTGCTAGTATTTTCAGCATAGTGGCAAAACACTCCCATCGTTCTAACTACATACTTGGTTGTCGTAAGATAGATCTTGGTAATGCTGGAACATTTGAGAGAATGGCATTATATCGTAGGATGATGGTCTGAGAATTGTTTGATGTTGATGTCAAAAATTTTGGTTGTGAAAGGTTTGGGAGGGCCCTGAGTATCACCCCACGTGTGCGAAGCAAGTCCTTATTATTATCCCTAGGCCCTGGCTTAGGATAGTAGTAGCTTCCCTGTCCTTCGCTTAGGCAAGTGCATGAATAGCTCGGCATTTGGATCGAAGATTCAGACTCATCAGACCACCAAGAATACGGAGCAGCAAAGCCGGGCCTCTCCGCCTAGAAGCTCAGTTGTGGTACCCCGGCAGTGGACGTTGTACTTGGCACTGGGCTGGCCAACGGCAAGGCTGGGCCCTCCATTCCGAACCCTTTCGCGTAGCCTATTTGGTACCTGTGCAGCAAGCATGGGTCTCAAGCCGAGCATTGAGACCGACCTCGACGCTCGACCCATGACTTGCTCCACACACATGCTCATGAATAGGCAATCCTTCCCTCCTAGAGCATGGATAGCTGGCCGTTGCGCAAGAATCTTCCACTAACTTCCCGTCGCCACCAGAAATACTAACGTAACTCCTCAATTTCGGACAACGAGAAATCAATCCTAGTATCAAAAGCTCTCAGACGTCCACTGGTTACTAAGATTCTTCGGCTTCTATGCTATCAATACCTCCACGTACGACTAATTTGTGATGATTATTCATGGCACATGATAATTTTCTTCTATCGACCCAAGGACTGGCAGAAAGCGCTGTTGATTTTAGGCAAGTAGCTTCACTTTTGATAAGTTAGTGATTCGACAGACATTTTTAACGACTCGAGCTCCTAAGATGAACAGAATCATGGAATGGCACAGTCTGAACTGTGCCTTTCGGGGTGCGATGCCGTTGATTTGGTTCAAATTAGGTAATGACCAAGCCATCAAGTAGCCAGTATAACAATGGCCTCTAGAATAGTGCTTTTAGAGGTTTTGTCCGCTTTGATGCGTTGTCACATGTTGCTCAGAGTCCCAAACTCACACCATCTATATGGGGAACCATACCGGCGTGCTCCGAGCTCCTCCCGTAGCAGATGAGATATTTGAAGATAATATGAACCATCCGAAGCAGGTCACAAGACTTGAAGGGAATTATGAGAGCGGAACTGACTAGCACTTCAAACCCTAGACAAGTCGGATGGCAGATAGAAATATGAAGTACCCTGCTGCCCGATTGAAGAGATCACACAACGATTGTCGAATAAATTAAACTCTGGTCTGCAACAAGTATCAAAGTCTCAGATATACAACGATGAAATTCAAGACGAGAGAGCTAGAGCTCTCTAGAGCGTTTGACGAAGTATTCCTGCGACTCTTTCTCATCGCTTCACGAGTCCTGCAGATCGTCATATCAATTCCGATTATCGGGTTTGTCGCCGCACTCATAAGTGGCTTCTCCAATGCAGAGCTTGATGTCCCTTCGAAGGCTTCAGGGGCGCTGGCGGTCGCTTCTCTATGTACGGTCTATTCTGGGGTGACAATACTACCTATATTTTTCGAAGGACCGATGTTCTTCACCACGATTGCGGGCCTGGATACTCTGTTTTTGGCCGCTTGGGCGACCCTGGTCGGAGTGTGGGACCACAGCGCGACAAGTAGCTGCCGAGCTTTCATCGCTGAGTACTTCGACTCTCAGCCAGAAAGGCATTCTTTCACAACAAATTGCAAACTTACGAAGGCTATGTTCGCTTTCATCATTGTCAATGTGTACGCTGTCATCGCTCCTCAATGAAGACACTCTGACTTAGTATGTAGGGCATTGTTTGGAACTACTACGATCATTTCCTTTTGCCTGCGGGCCATCGAGCTTGAACACTCAACTCAGTGGAAATCCCTTCCTCTCTTCCGCAAGACCGAAAAGACGAGATCCGAACAGCATTGCTCTTGTTGTAACCACAACCAAGAAAATCCTTCCCCTAGATCAAGCTTCAGTGGTGACAGATTAAGGCCCGGTGTGTGAGGACAAGGCAATAGAAGGCGTTGGCACACAAAATAGGAAAGAAAAGGCAATGTTTTCCGTCTGTTGAAGAGACAGGCCACCTAAAAAGCTGGTCTTCAAGCAGCTACGTGTAATTGACATAATAGTAATGATAATGCATACACAGTACTCATTATTACCATGAGAAGGCACGCCCATATCCTGAGATCGCTTTTTCTGCAAGTAAAAGGTGTTGTGACCAGTAGATATTACGTACAGAGTTGAGTTGTTTGGGAACTTACAATCAAAAATGCGATCCTCACAAGATTTCGATGCTTGAGGTGACTTGGATTCACTCAAGGTATCAAATATTTATAGCTCTGTTCAACTATCCAGGCTTATTGTTCCTGTAGGAGATAGCTTCCAGACTTTTTGTGTAATAGACACGTCCTGCGCGCGATTTCTGGACCTTATCGTTAGTTGATGAAGGAAGGGTTCGAAGTACTGTGGTTGGGCTGTGTGGCAGGCCATTTCATCTGGGAGCTGATCGTTCTCCAGTGGGTACAATCCCGCAAATCTACCAATGCCTCGTCTTTCGTCTTCCCCACGTGGTCCATCCTTGTTGACTGGATATACTTGTGGTGAGTTTCGCCTGGGGCATAAGAAGATTCTGTTTGTAGCTGACGCTCTGGTCCATTACGAGGCTGAGAAGCTCCGAAGCTTTCGCACTGAGGTTTTCTTGGTGAGATTCGGATTGGAATACTCGAGGAATTCTTTGTGTTGGATTTTGGGTCCGTAGGAATGCAATAGCCACCAGGGACATTCACCTGAATCATGATTGTCTGACAGGTGTTTGCCGGGTATTTGAAACTGTGCGAGTACGGTGAGTGGCCCTTTTGCCTGCTAGGGACCGAAATGGAAGCCGAAGTGCAGAAGTCTATGCTAATAGCTACGGTAACAATTGGTCAGACGGTGGGAGAAAAGTCAGTCATATTTGGCAAGCCGACTATCACCCTATCACCTGCATCGTTGTGGGAAGAATGCTTCCCCACCACATCAGGCGCCTTTGTCGGCGATGTCCGAGCAAAATTTTGCCCATTGCACGAGAAACGTGACAAACAAATGTGTGGATTGGGGGGAAAGACACAAGACCAGACGATCTAAAGCGACACTTTTGGGACCTCAACATTTATGAAACATTTGTGTGACGAGACATCTATTGAGGAAGAGTGGGCGGTTGATTGTGGAACGTCTAGAAGCTTCGATGGAACTTCCAAAGCCCTGCATCCGCTTACCCCTGTCGATCACAGCCTCACACGTCAGCCTTCGCCAGAGCTGCTAGGCTAGAAGGCTTTGACTCAAGGCTTGAAAACGAAACAAAACTCAAGCCTTGTACATTCTGCCACTCATCTCTTCAACGACTTATACTTCTTATTACAGAAGCCCCTGTGCAGAATATGAACTTGTTGCAAGACAAGACAAATCTCTACATACTTGTTGTTAGACGCACACTTCAGAAGAGCAAATATATGACCCTCACAACGCCAAAGCTCCACCGTTTCAGCTGTTTGTTAGCATTTGGAAGCACGCTGAGACTGGATGTGACCATGCTCAGGCCTTTACAGTGGCTCAAATCGAGGTATGAGCGATCGAGTGCTATGCTTCCGCCCAAGCTTCCCTAGACCACACGCTGAAGAGCTTATTCTCAACAGCAGCAGCATTAGGCGAGATGAGTGGTGACTCATCAAATCCATAAATGGTCAAGAATGCCTCATTTGCTCAGATAAGCACTTGAATCCGGTAGACTTCATTTGTCCTTTTCCCATCGGAGCAATACCAATGCGGGATTCTCGATATCGATACCGAGGTTCGTGGGGACATATCGGGGGTCAACTCATAAAGAGATCAGACACAATGTAGTGTGAGCACGCCCAAGTATTGGCTACAGTGGTCTGACCAATTTTAGGCCGATACGAACGCCGGTATTGATACAAGCTGCACGCCGATCTGGGGAAATGACGCACGCGCATCCATCATGCAGGTGATGTGCTAATCAACAAGGATCTCCAGCGTCCCAATCGGAGTATATTACCAAGAGAGTGGCGAGCTATGGGAGCTCATCAGGCCATGGATCGCGAAAGCACTAGTGACCAGAGGCAAGGAATAGTGCAGTGCGTTTCCCATTTCGCCGGTTCATGGGTATTCGAGCGTTTCCCACCAATGACTAAGGGAAAGAACCACCGTCGAGGTGCCGGCCTTGTTTGAGCACAGTGATGACTCCAACTCTCATCAAAGTCTGTCCGACAATCATGTAATCAAGACAATTGCTTGCCAAGCATCCACAAAGTCTGCGTTGGGTTAACGTTGTTGCAGCAATCAGGACGGCTCCTACGCATTACTGTACCGTTCACTTGTTTTGCATCTTTTACTCGAAGACTATTGGTTTGGGTAGCATCGGGTGGATTCATTTCTGCTGATGTGAGGATTGAACATGGCAATTAGGTATGTGTTATTTTGCATTCGTTCAAAGTTCCTGCAGTAGATCATGTAGAAAAGCAGGCTAGTGAGATCTCGCCAGACGCCATGCTAGAAGCGCAACAACCAAGTTCGTAAAATTGCATTCAAAGGCGATGTCTCGCTCAACCATAGTAGAACGCGGAGCAAGGCCATGCCCGGTGTCTTCATCATTTAGTCAACAACCGAACGGAATAGTATCCGCTAGGACGGCCGCTGCTTAGCCAAATGCTTCAACAAACATATCTTCGACTTGCCGAAGTGTTAGGACGCGTGGCTGCTGCGACCAGAGGATAATGTCATCATCAGCCGCCTTGTGTTGAGGAAATGTAGGCGTTGCGCACTTCAGCAGATAGGGATCGGAAGTGGCGGGATCCACCGGGGCCACATAAACGTCCTCTTCCTCACAAGTCGTGTCACTCCAATGGCCTTCGTCGTCATCTCCTGCTTCCGTACTGGTATTGCTGTCGTTGTCCCAGTCATCTTCATCAATATGCTGCGACTCGATGGGCGAAGCATGCAGTATCGACAAAGTTCGAGGTTTGCAAACGAGCCCTAATGAGTTTTCTTTCGACGAGGACACTGAGGAGTGAACAATTGGTGCGTCGAGTATCGAGACCTGATCGTCCCTAATGTCTTCCACGTATTCAATGGTCGCGTCGTCTTCATCTTCATCCCACTCAATAGTAGCGTCTGCTTCAATTTCGACTTCGTCGACTTCGTCATCTAGATGCTGGGTGACATAATTTCTTGCGTTGTCGAATAGCGTCGCATGGCCGAGGAGTTTGAATAAGCGAGGTTCGGCTTTCTGGGCCTCACGTCGAATGTTCACTCTTGAGAGGTAGCCTAGTTTGTAGGCAAAATATTTCATATCTGAGCAAGAAACTTCGGGGGATATTGTGGCAGTGGTCTTGCTCATGATATAACGACCACCTGGTACACCATGTTGGTTTGAGGTGTGCATGATCATCGCCAGGGAAATTGTTGGAAAATAATGTCAATTAGGGTAAACTGTAAGGCCAACATACAACCAGGTGGGAAGTGATGCGATGAAGCAATGGTATGTACAATGGGAACGACTCAACAGGAGGACATCTCCTCATTATGAGGTCCTAGTATCAACAAACAATTTGAGATATGCTGCGTTCGCTTAGGTTATCCCAATTTCCTTGTCGGAAGTCGGCCACGGCTAGGGATAAGATCGTATGATCACCGGTGGCTAGCGGTCTGGATTTGTTTAGAACCCCACAAAAGAAGGGCTGCTATGTGTGTATGCATGTGTCCTGAAGCAAGAGGGGCTAATCTGTTGCTTATGGTTGATAGTGCATTATGAGGGGTTTGTATGTTGTAGGAACGAGAAGGGCGGGAATTAATGATGGCTAATGAAGAGTGGTGTGATTTGTGACAAGCTTCTTCGGCCCCACGACTCTGATGATTGAGGGAATCCGTGCCCGTTTCCTAAGAGTCATATGCCACAAATTGCGGTCAAGGTTTCCGGCTCGCGCACACGTGGTTATCGGGCTGCTCCGGGTTCTGTCAACTTAACCATTATCGCATTCGGTGTATATGGCCTGACAATCACCCAAGAGAGTACCAAGTGTTTGAGTGTCGTAGCCAGGCTCGGTGCCTGATGTTTCATTTCATTCTTCATGTTTCTGTCTGAGTTTGATCCTCAAAAGTAGTGAAGTGTTGAGTAGGTGGTAGAGCTGATCTCCCAGTGCCTGGGTGTGAGCCCACGAGTAGTTTCTCACTTGTTTGGGCAAGGATGAGTATTGTCAATAATTAACTTGTCGACCAGGACGATCTCAGTGCGAGAATGCCACGATTGCAGTTCTTGTGCTTTGGTAAATGGAAATCGTGAGAGAGACAGATCTCAGGTTCAGTGGACTGAATATTTATCTTTCTGATGGGAAAATAAGTGAATGGATTGATCTCTTAAAGTTTAACACTACGATGAGAGTTCCACAGGTGCATTCCAGTCACCTGCACAACACAAGGCTGAGAATCTGAGTAATCTGAGGCACTTAAAAGGTCTCTCTTCGACAAGGAACATATTCAATCATTTCTGGGCCTCTGGTTGATGAATATGGTTTCCGGAGTACCGAGGTGTGCCAACAGTAGAGGGCGGATCGAATCTAAGACCTATACGAAGCTGACAGTGTCCCCGCCTTACCTGCTACGAAATGACTCCACCTATGGAGCATTTGTATGTAACTGTGTCGCAACAACAACACATCTTTGAGATCGGTATTGGCCTTTGGCCGTTTATCCTTTTGATCATCCTCCGTCCTTGGGTTTCAACACGGAGCTTCAAAGTGCCGTGTTGCTTCTGCCCAGACAGCAACCAACCAGGACATCGCAAGTTGTAAACGTTGTCATTAGGAACAGGTTAAAGCTCTATCTAAGTTTGAACTGTCCCTGAAAATGCGGCTTGTAGGGAGTTTTGCCCAATAGATGGACTGTGGGTAAAGAAGCTATCATTGGTTTGGCGAATTATCACGAGAGCTGGTCTTACAAGTCGGATAGCAAGTTACTTAACAGTAGGATATAGCACTTAAGTTAGTGGTCTCATAACGCACAGTTCCAAGGAACATCGTCCGTTAAAAGGCGTCTGTTATGCAAATCAGTGAGACTAGTGCGATCCTGTACGGAGCGCAACAGGAGGCCTCATCCATCCTCAGACAATATATAGTTAATAATGAGTAGCATGGGCACGTGTCCTCTGTACTCCGTACCGTATGTACGAGTAAGATACCAGCCCCTTCAGTGCAGGGAACACCAGCCACAATAGGTATCGATAACAGTTAGCTCAATGCACTTGACAGCTTTCGCCGACTCCTATAGGCACGTTAAGCCCCCAAGGCGCGGAAAAGCACTTAAGACAACCGTGATGAGGTGTTAAATCCGCCAATCCCCAGGTGACCTGGAAGCGCCCCTGATATATCAGGTGCTTCTAATGCTTGGCGATACGTCGGTTTGTCCAATTCCACAGGCACCCTCAGGCGTGTTGCTTTGCTTATTAAATCACTCACTCGAGCGATGTTTCTATAACCGCCAGATCATATACGAGGTGCAAGCTAACACTACATGGAATCACTCTGAGGGGTTGACGGTTGAGAAAAAGGAAACGAGTACGACCGAATAATGACAGCACTTAGAAAATGGTACTAAGTACTGTTGTCATGTTTCAGAACTCGATACCCTGTATCAGTGGTCTGGAGCTTCAGAAAATCGAATTACGCACCATACTCACGATCTGGACGCGCGTTAACCCAGCCCTCTCGATCGCTTGGTGAAGTCGCATGTGGCTAAGCGACTCGATCCCTTTATTGAGTTCCGATCGAGAGGCACCTGAAGCTGTGGCGTGCAATGGAGATTGATTCGGGTTGCCTGGGCTTTTATATTTTTCGCGGGGTGGGGAGCGTCAGCCGTTCGAGCCATACAGCAGTCGGACCACTGCGTGGTGTGACTAGTCGGCCTGCTCAGAGTGTGCGTTGGAGTGGCCCAAGTTGATGACTCCCACAAATCCATGTGGATTTCTACTTCCTTGATCTCATTCACAATTGAAATCATTCGCAGGAGGCAAAAGAGTATCCATTGTCACCTGTTTCTTGGTTCGCTTGATCATCTAGCTCTATGAGCGGCGAATGCTAACAAGTCGGTCATGTCACCCCTAACCCGAAATGCGAGGCTCTGTTGAATGCTTATCTGTTAAATAGTCATTGCAAGAACCACTACCACACTCATAACACCATCTTTGGACCACTATTACGCACCCATGCCTCAAGCCATGCGCTTCACCACGACAGGAGAGCCTGCCACAATGGCAGAGGTAACTAAACTGGCGTGGCACACCTTTTATGGCATGCAAAAAGCCTGCGAAGACTTCGAGAACCTGCGTTTCGAAGTCTGGACCATTGCCATTAGCTTGGACTCGCTCCATAGTTTCGGCACAACCTCGTTACTCATCGACCGTCAACCTGATAAGGCCAGATGGGCGCTAACATTCTCGAAAATTTTAACATCGTTAGGTGCTGCTCTACGGCCATTACACAATCTCGTCAGACAATATCTCGGCAGCTCGTCGAAGGATCGAGCGAGCATCAAAAACTGGCTGTTGCACAGTGATGTCACCATTGAAGGTGTTACAATTCAGGATTTCAGAAGGAAGCTATCGATGCTGGTAGAAAGTCTCAATGTCTTCCTTTCCTGCCTCACCCACGCCGAACTCGCCAGGGCCAGAGAGACATCAGAATCCGAGGAGTTCCGTGTCTTGAGCGAGGTGTCGAAGCACGTACTCCATAAATGGGATTCGGACCTACCAACCGGGCTACGACGGCCAGCCGATAGATCGGCACAGCAGATGGAATTCAACGGGGCAGTAAATGAGGAAGTCAAGGTCTCAAGTTCGCCACTGTTGCAAAATGCATCTTCTGGGCTTGGACTGCAACTTCCTAACACACCCGCTTCGCCAGTACGTCCCAGACACAACCAGGAAAATCCTTCACGCAAAACTCCTCCCGGCGTGATGAACCTCGAAGATATTGAAACTGGATTTCGCAACCACATGCACGCCATGCGGCGTATCCGAGAACAACTTCGTCATCAACAAATTGATAGCGATCATCCTGTGGGCCATCCATCTCCACACTTCCTCGGTGTAAGCGATAGCTCCAAAGGCCAAGGTTGGGGAGCTCACCCTCCGCTGACACCAACAACACCGACGTTGCATCATAATCTGACCGACTCATCTTCTTCATCAGAGCTTTCTGGAGAGTACATCGAGACCTCTAGCAGTGGCAGCAGCAGCAGCGACGGAAGTCACCATAGTAATAGTGGCTCACTGCAGAGTTCGGGTGCCAGCAGCATCAACTCCCACCATCTACTGAACATCGTCGAAGAGGAGACGAAACCAATCCAAGTACCACATCAACAGCCTTCGTACGGTCATCTCCGGAAACGCAAGAGGCGACCAGAATATCGCTTCAAGACCGGTCTCGAAGCTGAAAACTCTCACTCCAGCGACGGCGACGGCTCAGACGAGGCACTCGACGGCGGCCACCGTCATCCGAAAACCGCCCTGGAACGCATGCTGACTGTGGCCATATTCTTCGACCAATAAGTAATGCGTGGAAAAGGGTAAAAAAGAAACTACGATGAATGAGATTGGATCCGTGTTTCCTGTAGAGCGTACGCATTTGGTTACTACTGGGGAGGGAATTTGATTTTATTCTTCGGCAAGGCTGGGAGTTTGTGGGGGGTGAGGAAGCTACCACAACTGGTCCAGAAGCGCACAATCTTGCAGTCACACGAGACACATCTAGGAATGATCAATGAATACTTCGTATTACATGGCAGGAAATTTTCGTTCGCTGAATGCCTGTTGCAAATGTACTTCCATGCCCTCAACACTATCAATTGGAGCAACTCTTGAAATCATCGTATTTTAGTATATTCTGAACAGACATGGGACGTTCTCCCAGCGCCCACGTCTACGCCAAGCGATTCACATGTTCATTCGCGAAGTCCTGAGTGTTCGACTCCGCGACTGTTGTCCGTATGCCCCTGAATTCTCAGCCGCGTGACCATGTCTGCATGGATCGACAGCCTTATCAGCCCTACACATGTCTACAACACGTACATCGGTCCCACTTGGAGGGCTTGTCCATTGGGGTGCCCACAGGTATTGCCAACGTGGTCAATGGCGAGTGGAGGCTGATCACTTGAGAGAGAGGAATGTTTTCTTGATTTGTTTCAGGTGCTGGATTGTAGCCCTGTATGAGCTTCTGTGTCCTCCCACTTGTGGTGAGATGTCGTCTTACTACCATGATAAGCCTACATCCAGCTCGCCTCATTCTAGCAAGAGGGCTGTTGTGAATTACTATCGAGTGATATGAACTCCATCCAATGCGTTGAGAAAGCATCTCTGACCCATAACTCCTATTACTTTGATATGCAGCATGTCGTCGTAAACCATCAACAAAGGAAAAACGTTTTCGCTTTACAGACCGAGCTCACAGCTCTCGTCATCACTGTCCATGAAGCGGTCGTATCGCCTCACTTTTGGATCTAGACAAAGAAGCAGGAGATGGTCAATAAAAGTGATAGTCCTCTTTTCCCACGCTGAAACAAATTCCAAGGCGGGTCTCTTCAAGAGGACTTACCCTCGTGTATGTGCTTCCACTCACTCCAGTCGCCTTCGAAGTGTTCAAACCATGCCGATCCGTGATTGTGGGGTTGTTGGCGGGATCGCCCTTGTTGCTCTTCTTTCTCATGCTCGAAGTCTTCCCGTTGGTGGTTGAGCTTTTCGAACCATGCATCTCCGTAATTGTGTGGTTGGTGGGATTCTCTTTCCAGTTCTTCTGATTTGCGGTGCTCGAAGTCCTCTCGTTGATGGTTCAGGTTCTCAAACCATGCGTCTCCATAATTGTGCATGGCTTGTCGAGAGGCTTGTTCGGCTTTCCGCTGATGGTATTGTGTGACCATTTCGTTCATGTTTTCAAACCAGTTGTCTCCGTATCCGTGCATTGACTCTAGCGAGTTATCAGATATACTGCTTTTTGTGCTTGTTATGGACATTGCAGCTGCGGATAGTGTGGCGTTTGGTTGTTGAGATTGCTTTGCTGCCATTGATAATTGGTGGTTGGGTTGATTTTGTAAGGGAGCCTTTCGGTTTAGATTGATAAACTTTCAACAAAAGGATACTTTGTAGATTCGTATATGGATATCTTATAGCTGTTAATAGTTGTTTGGACTGATGGGGCAGAATCTACGAAAGCCACGCCTCAAGGCGCTTCATATACTCTGGGTTAAGGATACCAAGAACGGATTGAGATAGGTAACCCTGGCACCTTGTAATTCATCTTGCCATGCAAGAACCTCTCATGTGCCAGTAACGTTCGTTTTTCCGCGCATAACGGCATGTATCGGTATCGTGATAATGCTGATTGAGACATGCATTGAAGTGATTACCAAAATGACGCGTACACTGACTGGTATAGAATCAATAGAAGCGGCCGTCGGCAAGAAAACACAAGTACTTTCCGATGGCGCTGACCCAATTATGGTCGCGTATTTCCGGGCGTATGACTACGAGAAAACGAGCATCAGACCACTTTGCATCTGAGTGTGTAAAGGCCTGAAAGGCCAAGCGAGAGATCTGTTTTTGCTGAGTCCCCACAGCGCTTGGGCCTCACGCCATGCTCCGTTAATAACGAGCTCGGCCTTCTCCGAATCGAGCAGTCTGGAAGCGTCCTTTCCTTTACCTTGGCTTTGGTCTTAACGAAATCTTTCGCCCAGTCACCGAATGACACTGGGACCTATCGAAACATACGGGAAATTGTCTACTCGCTTTCTGTATTTTACCTCTGTTGACCACTCCCAAATGACTCATAGGTTATGAGTGAATTCGTTCGGCTTGGATGTCTTGCAAAACGGATGTCCATCGTTCTTTCAGCGGCACATGTTCGCCCTACTATGGGCAGGGGTGATGGACAGTCAACCCTTGTTCATGGTAAGAGCAATGACATTGATTTCTTCATTCTCATGCAGGAACGATGTAGCATGTTTCTATCAATAACACATGACAGCACCTTCTTTGGTGAGATAGCTTAGGCTCCTGGCTGTCTCGTTGACCATTCTTGACACTTGCGAGACCACGATCAGCAGTCACGTAATCCCATCCATCTGAGTGGTTAGAGTCCCTTCCTCTTTGCACACTTTCATGAGGATCCAATATCCGATTGAAATCTGAGAGAAGGGTTGAGCGTAACCCTGTCGAGCAGAACGAAGGCGACAATGTTCACTACTTTCGTGCGCTTCGGGCTGGAGCTCGCCGATTCGAGGGGAGGCGAGTTGCTGATAGGCAATTTTTCAACCTGTTCTGAGGCTGAGGGCTGATCACTGTATGCGTTGTGATAATCGGACGACCTTTCAAACTTGCAACATATCCAAAGTCCATCTCCACAGACTGGACCATTGACAAAAGCTCGTTTGTTGAACTTCGACTCTGTGCTGTTCAGGAGTGATTTGGAGCCTTTCCTTTTCGTCTTGAGCCCATTCGACATGTCGAACCTCGACATCCCTTGCAAGTAGCATTCTGTCCTCCTGCGCAGGAGGCAGCAACCATTCGGAGCAGAGAATGTTGATTTCCATATCAGATCTGCCATCGTCTCGCAGCAATCCCAACTTTCCCTTTCTATTCATTGTACCCGCAGGCTTGAGCCCTCGAAGAGCGAGATGAGGAAATAGCAATCCCAGTTTTCTGATCCCAGAAAACCATTCCAGTTCCCTCGACTCCCATGACTAGAGTGCATAACGAAAATCACAGCAAGCTAACAGTATTTCAAGCATTGCGACGTCTATCGCCGAGCATGGCTGAGTATATCTCGGGATCTCGATAACTTATCTAGAATGCACTGGATCTATCCTCGGAGCCTGATGGATCGACCACTCAAAGCGCTCATCTGCATCAACAATGGGTCACGTGGGGCATGCTACCCAAGTACTAGACAAGAGTCATCACACCACATTTGCATCCAACCAATCGTCCACGCTACCCGGGTAATGATGATCTCCAAGATCGCCGATGAGGTCACGGGCAAGAGGACTGGTAAGAGGACTGGTAAATCTTTCAAGAAGGCAGTGGCGAGAATTTTGCAGTACGTCCTCTCCTCCGTCTGTGCAGGCGTCACATTCTATGGCAGCATTTGAGAACGTGCGGACTGCTGTTCTTATGGTTTGCTGAGTGAATCTGCTGCACCAAGCACACGAACTCGACGACAGGCTGCACAATAACTTGAATTTGCATCCAATTTTGGCGGTTTCGCTGCTCATGCGATGTACATGGGGTCACCTGAAGTCCAGATCAGCTGTCGAAGCGCGATGCAAACATGACGTGCGATTTCAGGCCACCACAGCACGACATCTCCAGGAAATCGACACGCTTCTCTATGATCTTGTCTTGTCCTAGAAACATCAGACTAGGGACGGAAGCCCGAATATCAGTCCAGTTCGAACTTCCCAGTACTATGCATCTCGCGATCAAGCTGGATATGTGACGCTTTCTGAAGAAAACTCATTGGACCTTTCCCTCTCTATCAGACTCACACACACATACGCATACTCTCCCTCTTCTGTCTCTGTTTTCTGACGGAACGATATGGGAGCTTGCATGATCACAGGCCAGGGTATGTCCAGACGAGGAGTTGGCAGACCGCAACGGAACAAAATCAGACCTTACTTTGCGATTCCTCACGCCAACGGAACCAGTTGCATTCACGGCTCCAAATCTACGGCCGGAGCTACGCATGTGTGTTCGTGACTCGTGACACACCAGCAACAAGGAGAACTCCACCGCTTGACAGAGAGACAGCTAAATTGATGGTTATCTTTTCGTCTCTTTGATTTTTGTTTGACAGCCGCCAAGGGGGGATACTCCGTACAGATATATATATGGGTCCGTGCCATACATCGGATATCACTGCTACTGCTTGAAACTCTGGAAACTTGTATGTTTGTTGTTGACTGCTGTCACTCGACCACTGCCCCCCTCAATGCGGCTGTCAACTTTCGGGGTGGTTTGTTGACGGTTCGTGCTAGCTTACTGCTTGCAGATACGTGATTGAATGATTGATGATGCAGAATACACAGAGTCTCCCCTGACATAGCGGGCAAAGAGTGTGGCGTGCGATGTGCGATATGCAATGTTGGCGGTCCCGTTAAGGCGGGCGGGTGGATGGGTGGCGTGTGTTTTGAAATTTGGGCGCGCGAAGCTCGGACTTGAAAGCCTCTTGTGCTCGCATGTACTCGTTCCATACAGTTCACGCTCAATCCTCCGTCATCTACAGATCATTAATTGACTGGCTCGCGATCATGGCTGCACGGCAGTCGGCGCACGCATATCTACTTGGTATCAACAATGAAGTAACCGTCGGCGGACCGGGGCAATGAGATCCAACTTTTGCACAGTATGTCACTTGTCTCTCACTGTAGCGGACACACATGAACCATGAAACATTGCTTTGTGTTATTAACAGCAACAACGGACTCGTTAGCAGAGGACGAGAAGAAGCGCGCTATGTGTATGCTTATCAAGCTGCGTCGAGTCAAATAGATCATTAGGCTACATACACGGTAGCAAGTATTCTGGTATGGTACGATACGGTACGGTATAGGGATATTGCATGTTCCAACCCGCAGCAGAGGAAAAGAAGGGAAGAAGAGCACGATTTATATATATGAACAAAGATCCCCGGGCCGCGATTTTGTCGTTGTACGACAAATGTGCGAGAACAGAAGGCATGGCAAATCGTGTTGACTGCTTTGCCGTGTTGGTTTTGATTGAATCATGATGAAACCCGAAAGTGCCGTGTGTCGAATTGTTTGTCGGTCGACCAGTCATGGTATCCACCACACTGATGGTCTATGATGGAGGTGGCCTGTTGGGCTCGCCGTAAGTGTAAGCGGTGTAGATGCCAATGGGGCACTCGTCTTGGTCCTGGAAATACCAGAAGTTGGTGTCGTTGGTGGATGTCTTGCCAGCGACACAGGTGCCGGCACCGACAAAGCAAGGGCCAATGTCAATGGTATAGGCGTTACCGGGCTCCATGTGGATGGGTGGGAATGCTGGAAATGGTCCTGGTGCTGGCTGGTTATTGTATGTCGTCTGGGGTCCCGGGCAGCTGCCTGGGTTGTAGCCTGTGAAGAAGAACGAGCCTGGTTTTCAGTTGGGTTAGCTAATTTCCTGTTTGCATATTTGGTTTGAAGGATATTCTCTGGTCTTACTATCCGGAGTGGAAGGAACATGAAATGGAATGAAACTTACCACCACCCTCGTAGTCGAAGTTGGAAGTCTTCAGTTGCGACTTCTGGGGGAAGATGAACTCGAGTGTGCAGTTTGCATCGGCGCGCGAGGCTGGGACGTCGAAGCTGAAGATGGACTCAATGTCATTGGGGGTGAATACGCCATTGTACTGAGGTCCGAAGGACTTGTCAGGCTGTGACTTGGAGATCTGGGTGATGTAGTGAGGGAATTCGAATTGGCCGGGGGTGAGCTCTCGAGGGCAGCCCTCTCTTGGCTTCAATGCGCGCTTCTTTAGCACCTCTCCAGGGAATGCGGTGGCAAGGCCAGCCAAGATGGCAATGGCGGCGACGGACTTCATTTTCGTAGTTGTTATGCAGAGCAAGGACAATTAGGGAGACGTGTGTATGAGGTTGGTAGTAGTTGTTGTTGTTGTTGTTGTTGATGGGGTTATAACGAGTGACGGTGATCAAGCGAATGGCTATGCGTGAGGTAGATCAAGTCCAGAATTAGAAAGAGGGTGGAAGGGGAAGACCTTTGAATAAAAGATGGGGGAACTTCATGTGGGTATATAGAGGGAGATTGCATCCGTAGCGTTCAGCAGCAAAGCAATCCAACCCAACGAGTGTTAGTGGCCAAATGACTGGCCAAAGCGATCAAGGATGCCAAACAGTATCGTTGAGTCGTCTGAATAAGTGGGCACGAGGCTGAAGAGACGGACCAACCTTGTCCAGGGTTGCAGCGTATGGCAATCATGCGCAACTTGGTCTGAGACATGGGACCACAAGCATGCCGTGTTCGGCAGGAGAAGATGCGACCATTTGATGTTTGAACAGGTGATGGAAGCTAGGCGTCCCGACAATGGGCTGAAGCTTGTGGCGGCAGTGGAAAGCTTGAGATTGGAGCTTGGAATGTCTTGTTTGGATCACAACTCTGTTCAAGCTTGGCCAGGGGCAGAGTGGATCCCGTTGGAGGTGGATTTGCGAATCTCTTGATCCGATCTGATTTGCGACAACGTTGCACGATGGGTTCGCTGGATATTCGGATCGTCCTAGACTAAATAGCCGACTGATAATTCGAGGATTGTAAATCCGTGCGCTTCAGAGGGGAATAGCAATGCGATGGCGACTGTTGCTTTGAAGTCTTCGGCGCGGCATATCTGACTGGATCAGTCACTTCAAGAGACTTTGAATCGCAGATACGTATCAGCGCTTGGTCTTCGGTTGGGCAAATATGCGATCAGGAGATGGTCCAATGTTAACCGAGACGTATTCCACGTTGAATACGGGGCAGATTGGAGGCCCCTCAGTCCCAGGGGCACCCCTGGCAGAAACACACGCCGGACGATGAGGGCTTGCTCTAAGTAGTCTAGGAGATGCACCACACCAAAGCCGTGGCTAACGACCAAGCGGGTATCTTGCTCAGTCAAGCTTTTGAATTCAGCACCACCATAGACGTCGGACAAGCCTGAGCCGCATAGAGGCTGATACAGGAGCTCTGAAGCTGAAGCCTTTCCGTGTGGCTTCGATTAAGCATCAACAAGATGCTGACAGCCACTGGTTTCGGCTGCATTCCACCTGCACGTTAAGCTTTGGCCCTCAAAAGTCATGTATCTCAAAGATAAGGACTCGTGGCTGAGGAAAGGCTGTCGATGGCGCGAAGGGCTCAATGCTCTGAAAGCATTCCGTTTGACAAAAGAGACGGAGTGGTGGTCATGCATGGATAGCTATTAGGGGTCCATCACGGGAATGGCGGCATCTCTGCCAGGGCTCCAGGCTCCACGATGACCTGTTTTTAGTTTTTTTTGGTCTTCTAGCCTCACTATGCCCATGATGGAAATCTAACCTTTAACCATGACGTTGGTATATGCTGCCGTCCATAAATCAAAGAGCAATGCTGCTACCGCTGCAGCTCATGCCCACTGTATGTTCGATCTGGCAACTGCTCAAAGCGTTCAGGAAGATGGCGGCCGCGTAACCCTATGCTGTCAGTCCTGGAAGTCTGGATACCGGATTCAGAGCTATTGATGTGTTGCGGCATGCATTTGATTTGACAGGTTCCAGAGATTGAGAACCGTGCAGTCTAGCAACACTGAGGTCGTACACATAATGCCTACCTACCTGGGTAGGTAGCTAGGTAATAACATGCAGAGGATGATCTATTTTGAGGATCTTTTTGATTGCCGCATCATTATTGTGGGAACTGTGTTGTCCCTTCCCCAGATCCAGCGCCCAGTACTCCCTACCTTTTCGTTCCTTCCCTTCTTCCAGCCTAAAGGAAAAACCACGTGAGCGATGCGGTTCCAGGAAGGAGCAGAGAGGAATTTGCATTTTGGTATCTGGCTGCCTGGAATAGGGCAGTCTACCATCGCCCCTTCTACCCCAGCAACTGAATTGGCGAAGTGATGCAGATCACCAGTCGAAAAATGAAATATGGAAGGGTGATTGTCCATCTAGGCATCTCTCGAGTCTCTCCCTCGCCTTCGGTAAAGTATAGGCACATCCCTTTCCAATACTGGCTGTCTACCAGGCGGGATTAGAGTGGATTTTTGAACTCCTGCAATGCAGGATGATTCTTGGGCATTACTCGTAGTTGCCACAAGATCATTGCCTGCAGGGTTCAGTCCTATTTGGATTGCATCGAGGCGAATTCTTAAGAGCGTTCACAATGGCCTGTGGAGAGAAAGGACAGTTCTATAGCCGGCGTTGATTGAGCATCAGGTATTTGTCAACTTGAATTGAAACCCTTGCTCATGGCTAGCTGGGTAGAAGTCTACCTTGATGCAGGGAGGCTCTTTCATGCAGTTGCCATTCTCTTGGTCCATATTGAATTTGGGAAAACTACAAGGATTTCGTAAATCGAACACGACTTACGGGAGCCTCCTGCCCTTCCGATGTTTATCTAACAATAGTGAATTGTGTGCTCCAATGTAATCCAACACACCTTCTGATCCGACAGACATTAGACATCAAAAACCGTTCTCGAAGACTCCGGTCGCTCCATACCAATCGTTACCGCTACCACTTGGCAGCATTCATTCCCTGTTTGCAGGCGCTTAACCTGACACCATCACTTGTAACGAGGGTCTCGACTTGACATGTTCTTGCCTTTCAGCTAGGTTGGCATCGAATTCGAGTCCCCAGCGGGTCGCAAACCCTTCACATATCTCCTGGCAGGTCCTGGCCGCTTGTCTAGTTCTGCACCTTCGATCCCAGTCCCCGGCCTGGATCAGCATGATGCTGTTCTCGACGAGTTCCTCTTCAATGCTCATGTCGTCCACCTGATCTCGCACCGTCTTGAGCTTGCGACTTGCAGTGTTGGCTGCCAACTTGAATTCTTGTAGCAAGTCTGTGATGGAACGTAGCGTTTGGCCCAGCTCATCCGTCTGCGATGCCAGTATCTGAAGGGAGAGCAGAGGGTTCTGCTGACGGAGGAAGGGTATAGTAAGAATAAGTTCGTTCACCTCGTCGAGTAGCAAGTCGAGCGTTTCTTCGGGAAGATTCAATAGCCCGCCATATAAAAGAGAATGGCTTTGTGTAAAGAGATCCCTAGTTTTATTCGTCCGATGAGATGCCATCGAGGTATACGCCGTAATCAGCCGAGTCACACCATATTCAATATTGCCCTGCGGACCAAGCTCTTTCAATCCGTGTATGGTTCTACGAACCGTGCCTCCACCTTCACTCACCGCATCCTCGGGGTTGATGCAGAGCCGAGTCAGATTTTCGAGGTCGCGTATACGTTTCCGCATGATGGGGGGCAGGCAATCATCGGGCTGCTCAAGATCTGAATCTGGTCCATAATCGGAGCCATCATACGCGGATTCATGTCTCTGGTGTCCGGATTTCCTGCTGCCTCGGGGATCGGAATCGCGACGTGTCTGCGGAACGTGTAACGTAGGTGACGGTCCGTCGAGTTGGGCCGGGTGTGGGCTTTGCATCACCATGCCAAAGCCAAAGTCGTGCATGTCATTCATTCCGTAAGGGCTGTGTAAACCACGCATTGACGAGTCCTGCTCTGCAATACCCTCTCTTAGTCCCTCGAGGAAATTGGATTGTTCTCCCTGGTCGTCGTCGTCGTCGTCTCCGTCCCAGGCTTGGCCCAGCTCATCGGCCAGGTTGCCCAGCCCGTTATTGTTATCTTCCAGTTGTTCCAGACTCCTATTGCTGTGAAGACTTGTCCTGCTGAGTCTGCGTTGGGAGAAGGAAGGGGGCCTGGAAGACTTGGAAGACATGGGTCGGGGTGTTACCGGGGAGCGTGGTTGGTACGAAGTCTGCGACGTCCGAGAGGAGCGTCGCGAGTAGGAGGAGGTGCCATTTGTGGTTCCGCTGGTGTAAGGACTGAAGGAGGTATTCTCGCTGGAAGGATTATTGATGTTGGATAGTCGCAGCGACCTGCGTTTCCGCGATGGAGTTGAAGGCGAGGCCGGTGGAGATGCAACCATCATTGTCTTAATGCAGGGGCAGATGCAGGTCTATCGATCTAGTAAAGGGTGCAAAGAAGCGGGTATCATACAACTAGAAGCATGCTTTTCGAATGAACAAACTCCCATAGAGCGAGGAATCGATCGTCGTTTGTCGCGTTGCGGTGTGCGTTGGGAAGTCTAGCTAGTCAGGCAGGGAGGATGAGGGAGTGAAAGGAGCGTCACCAACACCGAATTCGTACCTTGAGCCCGTTTCCCACGGACAAAAATATACTGGGTATCGGTACTCGTACTCCGTATGGAGGTGTTGATGCTGGCCGCCTGTCGCTGGCCGCCGGCTGAGTTGCTGCAGGCTAAAGTTGCGGTTCGGGGCGTGCCCAGCAAGACACCCGGGTTGCCAACTTGCCACTGCCTGGTGCTGGTTTCCAAATGTCTCCATCCACAACGATCGTGTTTTTTCCGCTGCATGTCATCGCAATCGTGCGTCGGTCAGAGGCAATCCCCGCAAGAGTCATCGTCCGTGAGAAGGTTGGGGATGTGAGTGATTGACTGATTGACTAATCGATCATGCCGACCATACGCAGAGTTCGACCATCAGATCTTTTCCAGCTAAATCTCTGCAATCTTGACCCCTACACGGAGAACTATGACTTGGGATTTTATCTTCAATACCTCATGAGATGGCCTTCATTGTTTCAGTGCATTGAAGAGCAGGGTCAGATCGTCGGTTATATCATTGGCAAGGTCGAGGAAACTCCCAAACACCTGCAGTAAGTCCAGTCAAGCTAACGGGTTGAGACCGGCCGTGAGTGAGAATATTCTGAGCGGGATCAATGTTGCAGGGCATCACCACACTACTTACCGTGGCATGGCCATGTTACAGCCCTGTCCATAGCGCCACAGTATCGACGGCTGGGATATGGCAAGCTCCTGACTGAGTCGCTGGAGACGGCATGCAATCAACAAGATGCCTGGTTTGTCGATCTCTTTGTTCGGAAGAGCAACCAAAACGCCATCAAGATGTATGAAAGCATGGGGTACTCTACCTTTCGAACCGTGGTCAAGTACTACTCGGACGATCCCACCGGAGTGTCGAAAGACGGGGAGGATGCACTGGATATGAGGAAGTCGCTTGACCGAGACGTGAGCAGAAGCCATGTCCGGGAGAATGGAGAGACTTTCCAAGTCGATCCGGATGATGTATTTTGATGCTTGAGGGACTTTGGATGATCATCTGGTGCTGGTGCAGACTACAACGACACACAACCTATCTCCTGCTGAACCTCCCACCAACTAATAACAAATCCATGTCTGACATTAAGAGACCATTCTGTTTGATAAACGATCTCTTGACGACAGTCCAGGCCTGTGTCCGTACGACCAAAAATCTCGAGCAGCCCTTGGATAAGACGAGATGGTGTCTATGGGGAGACCTTTCAACGACCCAAATGGATCATGTGATGGGATGAAGCCCTTTGTGTGATCATGTGATATCAGATGTCAGAATCGCGCTTTCTGTCAGATGGCGCAGCACGGTGCTCCTTCCTGTCAGCGCCCCAGAGAAGGTACGCCAACGACCGAGACTTCAAGATCAAGAAGGAGCGACCGTGGGAAAGACCGCTAGCGTGATCCAGTGACTTAACGGCATCAGGCGAGCGAGAAGGCAGGAATCACCCGAAACTCTGAATACAAAGCACCGCCTATCCTCCCGTAGTAAACCGTCGTAATGGTATTAAGTGATAAGACCTCGTCTTCCTCTTCACCAACGTCCAACAGCACCATCCACCCACCCACGTCATCTACTCACCACCAAACAGCCCGCCCGCTGCCCCCTCCCCCGTCCCCTTCGTCGTCCCCTCCCGATTCTTCTCATAATCATTCCTCCGAAAACTCATGGGCAACAACTCTCCGATCGTCATCTTGACGACATCGCCTGCCATCCCATCCTTGCCGTACATGTAGATCGGGAGATCACCCGTGGTCGCGAACTCGTTGATGAACTGCCTGCACATGCCGCACGGGCTAGCCGGCGGGTTGATGTCGGTGCTGACGGCGATGGCGCGGATGACCGGCATCTCGGGGCGTTTCATCGACGCCACGATCGGCGCGATCGCACAGCGCTCCGCGCAGATGCCCACCGGCGTGCTCGCCACTTCGACGTTCGCGCCGCTGTGGTATGTGCCGCTCGAGAGGAGCACGGCGGCCCCGACGCGGAAGTTCGAGTATGGGCCTATGGAGGATTGTGGTTGTGAGTGAGAGTGGGCTTTGGGGGATGATGTTTTCTTGATTTTTGGAGGAACAGATGCTTCCTTATTGCCTTTTGGAGTTGGCTCCGAGGTGAGGGTATGGAAATGATCTTTCCACTTTGGGAATAAAACTGCAGGAGATGGCGAGGACCACACGCGATAACTTACAATATGCTGTCTGCTTTGCCTCAATCGCAAGCGTCGCTAGCTTGGCTAGTTCCTCATTTGTTAACGGGACAATGGAGTCTCCGGACGCCATGGTCTCCGTGTGATGTTTAAACAGCGTATATTCACAGGATCAAGGAACAATTAGGTATAGTAAATATAAGACCACAGCCTCGTAATCAAGTTGTAGCAAAGGGCAGCGTCATATCAGGATTCAAGAATTCCAAGTGGTAATTACGTGGGAGGATAGCCTTGCCAAGCCTTTCCGAATATCGCAAGGCTGCCACCCACGTGCCCGCCTGTGGTTCGGTGTTGGGTGTCTACTGGATGCACAGTACGTATCTACATCACGATACCCGTGTCACTTTCGGACCGACCGAGAAGAACAAGAATTTGAGAGAATAAGTGCCAATCACCCCTGAATTCCTTGGAGATGGCGTTTTCATTTTCTGATTGAGTAGATAATCTCTATTCCTAAGAGAGGATTCACACGGCAGGCATGTGTCATGTTCCACCGTCACCCATCTCGATCCCGAATTTGGACTTCGAGCTTGCCTATCCACAGTCAGTACATGAGCCCGTAAATGTCTATGCTCTCCTTTGCAATTCTCTACCGGCCCCGCTGCGAGGCGTCCTTGCACCTTCTCGAGGAGAGAGCTGAGACCTGATTCACCAACCAGAAAACAATCAGACTGCATGCCCCATTCCAAGGCCTGAAGTGAGATTGAGGGAAGAGTTGGTGTACATCGCAAGGACGGTTACAGATGGTACAACTCATCGACTTGCGTGTATTGTACAGTATTTTAGCGAATGGGCTATCTGGCCATCCTCGGTCATAGACCCCAGGTGCCCGAAAGCACGTTCATGTACTATTCATAAAGGCATCTCAGGCATCCTCAGTCGGCTCCGGAACCTTTTTTCTGCTCGCGAGTATCTCATCGACAACGCCAAGATCCAACGCCTCCTCAGCGCTCAGGAAGTAATCGCGCTCCATCAGCTTCTCAATGTCAGCCAGTGTCAACTTCTTCTTGCCGGTTAGATGTTTCTCGTAGATCTTGTTCAGAACCTCACGTATCCGCAGGATCTCTTTCGCGTGGATAGCAATATCCGCTGCCGTTCCGTAGTGCCCGCCGCTTGGCTGGTGCAGCATGATGCTCGAATGTGGAAGACAATATCTCTTTCCGGGTGCGCCACCTGCGAGGAGGAGACTGCCCATTGACGCCGCTTGTCCGAGTACTAGTGTAGAGACTTCGGGCACAATGTAGTTCATGCAGTCGTATATCGAGAGACCCGCCGTCACTGAGCCGCCGGGGGAGTTGATGTACATAGAAATCGGCTTGTCGGACTCGGATTCGAGGAAGAGTAGGGAAGCTGTGACTGTCGCGGCCATCTGATCGTCGACCTCTCCATAAACAGAAACGATCCGCTCCTTCAGGAGCCGGCTGAACAGGTCTGTCGTATGGTGGAGTCCGCCAATGTTCTCGGTCACAAAAGGTACCGGGAGCCAGCTGGTGTTGGGCGTCTTCCTCGAGTAGTGCCGTCGCTGTCCCCGTGGCTGCAGGGTTGCACAGGGTGCGACGACATCTACACGTGCCGGTAGCCGCGGGGATATGCGAAGGAGCTGTCGCATTATTCTATGATGGACAGCGTAGTGTTGATATCGCGTCGTAGAGCGCAGACAGAAAGGGTGAGAAGGAGTTTTAGAGGTCAGCCTTGTGTCCGTACGGTGGATCACAGGTGTAGTATGGCTTAGCCTCATCGATATTGATAAGTTCACGAGGCTACATGGAGTCTTCAAATGAGATGCATCGCGGAACAACAAGTAACAGTGTACTTGTTCTCAAATGTTCAGGGTTACTTCCAGTAAAGCTTTTTAAAGAACAGGCTGTGCCTGGGAGCCGAAAATCACATGGGATTTGGGAAGGAGTAAAAGGACGCATGAACCCAACATGACATCAACCAGCATCATTTATTAGAACATGGCAGAAACATTGCTTCATGCAGCTCGTGCCCGAGCAGCGGCTATCCGACTTAGAATTTCCGCTATGCCAGCACTTTCCGGAGTCGTGTCGGTGCTTGTACTAGTACCAGCGCTGGTGCGACCTCTTCTCAGCAATGTCGTTAGCCCTCGTCGCATGTCCAACTCGACAATATCTTCCTCCAGATCAGCATTCAGAGGCTTGCTGTTACTAGCAGTATCCTGTCCTGATCCTTCCGGCAGGAGACTCTGAAGTTCAATTCCATCCTCAGTCTCTGCAGGCGCCCGAGCAGAGGTCGTCACGCGACCTTCCTCGGCGGCCTCCAGATCCTGAGTATCCGGTGTGTCGTGCGGCTCTTGTGCTGCCGGATCACCCGCGGCTTTCAGTCTCTCATTTCCAACGACCAGTACCACCAACTGCAGGCCAAAAATGAGGAGATCCATCGAGGCAAGCCTCCATTTTGAAACAGGACCCTGCTCCCCCACAAAATCAATGATCAAACCTCCATGTAGATATCCCCGTGACGCCCAGCCTTTGGCTTCTGGTCTTGCTTGTAAGAGATGTGTCGCGAAGCAAAGGACGTTGATCAAAATGACGGGCGGTAGTTGAACCGCTGGCAGGTTATGAGCTGCTTGTGAGACTGCACGCAGCAGGAGGAAAAGTGTCAGGTTATCCTGGAGATACAGCGCGCCGAGCTGGAGGAAGATGACGGCATCAAGCAGTCGGAGGAGGCTCTGGAGAGTGGCAGTTTTATCAGGAACGCGCAGCGACTTGATTGTGGACAAGGCAACGGTCTCATTCTGAGTGGCATTCATTCCAATTTCTGCAGAAAAGAGAAGAAGAATGACAGAAGTGTCATCCTTGGATTACAATCGCTGCATCTGTGTCTGGCATATGACTGTGCTGGGCGCAAATGAAGCGTCGTCCTAAGTCATGGAAACTCCAACATGCTGGACGCCAATTTGAGATTCGGCGCCTCCCTTGCCAAGCCCCTCCTCCATGTTGCCACGTGACCTTACATTTCCCAATCCTCGTCCAAAGTTGCAGTCTGTCTTGGATTTCATTCCTACTGCAAACATCATTTCATGTTGTTGCGCTCAAGCGAGGCTCTCCATGCCTTCAATCGTCGGAAGACCCTAGAACTCCTCTGTGTGCTGGATCATATTCGTACTCGATGGAAACCATCCCAAACACCTTGCGTCCCTGCTTTGCCTCAATCTGAAGAACTCCTTTGTCTGATCCGAGCGTCAGCTCTAGAGTTATGTCGAAAGCTAGATGCGCTGGATATCGACCGGTCTGTGCCTTGAGTCTTGCGCGCTCAGGTCCTACAGCCTTGACTAGATTGATCTTCATTCTTCCGACCTTCCACACGTCTGTTTCTGATTAGCATTTTGAATGAGCTATGTGGTTATTTGCTTACCATCTGCTTCTGAGTCTATTCGCTCAGGCGCATCCTTGCTTTCGGAGGCATAGAAATCTTGGTACACGATGTATTCCGATTTCGAAATGTCAGTCTCATGCACAACGACATAGCACTGGATAGGTCTCTTCAGGTTCGCTGAAACCTTTTCGCCCTGGGTTTCAGTCAGTATGCTGTGGTAGTGCGAAGCTGAGTACCTACGCGTTTGACATGCCATAGCATTTTATTCTTCGCGCGCCGTCCCTCTTTTGGGCAGAAAAAGAGGTCGTCCGCACAGTGGACTCCTTCAACAAACTTCTCATGCACCGTGACACCAATATGATGACGACAGCGGCGGTAGGTCACGGGCGACTTTTCTAGCCCCCTGATGACTGCACCTCGAACGATAGCGGACCATGGTCGAGGCGGTACCACAAGCTCCGGCTTACCCTTAAGCTCACAGTCGATAAGGTTTTGCAATCGCTTTTTCATGTAGGACGAAGAACCAAGCCCTCCACAAAGGACAATCGTCTGATTTGAGTCAGCACTTGTGTAAGGATTGCAAAGGGGCAACATACTCGGACTGGAGGCACTTTGGCTTTCTGAACACTTCTGAGCTGCTTTCTTACTAGCTCGAACATCTTCTCCACCACTGGGTCAAACATTGCTTCGATGTCGGCACTAACTTGTTCAATCTCATGCAGCAGCAAGCGTCAGAAGAAGGACTTACTCAGTGATTCTTACCAAGTCCTCTTCGAAGTCGTATATCTCTGCCATCTCCGGATCATCTTCGTCCAAACGTTTCATTTTCAATGGGAGCTCGTACACTCGCTCCTCTCCGTTATTGCCATTGAAATCACGTTTGATGCCCTCAAACGTCTCCATAAAAATGCTCTGAGCACCAGTTTTGGTGGAGGGAAGGCTCGTGAATGCTGTGGCGAACCGTTCTTGCATGAGTTTGTGGAGGTTTCGATCAATCCATGTTGCTCCACATTTCCCTCCTAAATGGACTATCAGTCATTTATCCGAGGCAATCTTGAATTGGGACCGACCTTCTCCAATGCATGCTTCTTCGAGCTGAAGAGGATCAGTCTTGAGGATACGGTAGGTAATCAGGTCTAGTGTTCCTCCACCACAATCCACTATTAGGACGCAGGTATTTGGCTAACAACCGTCATTAGTTAGATTCGGACGTCTATATATACTGAATTACCTGGAAAGGCTTCGCATCGAAAGCCGTGACAACTGACTTTAGAGCAAAGATCGCAGCCGCCTCTGGCTCATCCGTGAGGATAATCTCGTCTCTCCATCGACTGCCGAAACCAGCAGACTCAGCAGCTGTTCGAGTGGCCTGGCGAGCGGCTAGAGACCAGGTTGCAGGTGTTGTAATTGAAAATATGATTGCGGTCTGCTCAAGAGCGGTTCTTCCGATCAGATCCGAGAGAGAGCTAATAGTGTGGCTGTAGAGCATCGACAGGAAATCAGAAGCGACTTCCTCTGCGCATTTTCCTTCTGGCAGGCGCATGAGGGTTGTTCCGATGGACTGCTGCAGCTGCGGGTCATCGAAGTCTGTGACTCGGGTGTTGCTATCGAGCAGTAGCTTGAACCACTGCGTGCTTGTCATGCCCGATTTCACATCGTACCCCCAGCGATCAATGGAAAAGTTATTCTCATCAGCATATGCTATTCGTGTGGGTACCTTTTCCTGGATGTCGTTCTGGCCACCGGACCATCGAGAGATTACGACGACCTCACTCCAGTCCCGGGTCGTACTTCCATAGGCGATGCCTATGACAGTCACAAAATGTCAAATAGAAGCGGAACTGGTAATACCTGAGTAGGTTGTGCCAAAATCAATGCCAACGATGACTTTGTTCCGAGCCTCAGCCTGTCTGACTAGCCTGGCCGCTTTTGCTCGAGCCTTCCGCTCTTCTTCCTCGGGTGTTGAGGGTTCCCCTGCATTTCTCAGTTCTCCTCTGTCGGTTATCTGCCAATAGCTTACCGGTTCTTTTGCGTTTTGTTGGAGTTTTGAGAGGACTTGTCGTGGTGGTTGCTGTTGATTGTTTTAGGGATGACTCCTGGGATCAAAACGAACAATTCTCACCTTCGCTACGGCTACCGGGCGCTCGAATGCCCAGCACGTTCTCGTTTGGACGCATGGTGACGATGATTGCCTTTCAGTTGACTGGAGACAAGTTCAATGATTGTTAGAAGAAGAACTGGATGCGAGGAAGAAGAAGTGTGGCAGAGGTTGGCCAGGGTTTTCACATACCAAGAACACTCCCAAAGTTCATATCACCTCTCAGGTCAAGTCATTGAATATTCACTTAGGGTCAAGTCACTTCACTTTCAACTCAGGCTTCACTCTAGATTCCTTCATATGGCGGTTTGTTCTCCAGCCGCAGCCGCGGACTTGGACCTTTACATCTCATTCAATGTCTAGTCAACATCACTCTACAATACTATATTTTGCATCTCCCCAATAATACCGGGTGAGCCTGCGTTCAAGCCACACTTCATCATCACAAGATCATCCTCCGAATAGGATTGAGCGGAGAATCTTATTTCCTTTCATGAACTACATACCTGACACCAACGCATCATGGAGCCGAATCAGAAGGAGATTACTCTACGAAAATTGCACAATCCTCTCATGGACCATGTCTCCGATCCCATGAACAGCGCAAATCTCCCCTCAAATCGCCCGCATCGTTCAACGAAGCAGCCGAAACACAACCCGACCACCATAAGTGACGAGTCGGAGGAAGAAGCCAAACACAACAAGCGGCTCAAGGGGGTTAACGATGTAGACGCAGAATACAAGCCCACGAATTCCGGGAAGACTCAACCAACCCAAAGAGAGTATTACGAGGAAGCTCTCACCAGTGTCAAAGGGAAAGAACAGGAAAACTCAGGATTTGGTCCTGCTGATGCTGAAGCTGCGGATTGGACGCAGCCCTGGCTGCCCAAAGATCTGAAGGACGCACATAGACGTATTGTGAAGCTGACACAGGAAAGAAACACTATAAAGTCAGTAAAGCAAACAATCAAGAAGCGAAACACTGAATTGAGAGAAGAGGCCGAGAAACAAAAATTCAAATTCCAGGAATTGAGTGACCAACTTCAAGCAGCTAACGAGAAGAACCGAGACCTGGAAAGAACTTTTCGAGAGATTCAGGACGAACAACTGCGTCTTATTGGTAAAGACAAGATCCCCTGTGAGCCGGATAGTGAGGTTAGCGCCGACCTAGCAAAGATCTTTCGCAGCTCCAAATCTTGGGCATCGCGATGGTCAATCGCAGATTGGACCGATCTGAGCGATTCCGAAATAGGTGGGATTATTTCATGTGTGCGTAAGGTAGCAGATGAGCCGCTCGCAACGGAACGATTTACGAAGCTTATGGAAAGCAAACAAGTACCCCCCCGAATGATCACAAATGCACTGATCAACCGATTTATCTGCCATTTTACTCTTCAAAGTCCATTCAAGCATCTCCTCTGGAATGAGCATGACCAAAATGACTCGACGGTGGAGACCGGTCTGAATTGGGTTGTGAACGTGGCAAAGTTGAGCAAGTATTTCCATCCTTGATCCTAGAATGTGATGCTAATCCCATCTAGCATCCAAAGGAGCCGCAAATAAGTTAAGGGTCAACATACTCCGTGCTATCGACCGACCCCGTTCCACCGCCGAACCGCAGTATCCCTCAACCGAGAGTGATAAAGCCATCCATAGAAGGGCTGCTATGCATTGTGGGAAAGTGACTTTGTGGATTTTGAGCCAGAGCAACCTACTCCTCCGTCCCGTTGAACAAGATCAACAACGGACACACAGATATATAGAGTTGTTGACCATCGTCACAGATGCATTGAGTCTTTCCAGATCACTTTCTCACCAGTATCCCTTTATCGGTGTTTTCTTCCTGGACGACGAAGAAATGAAGAACCAGCTATTCAAAATCAATCATCCAGTATTTCAGGCCCATCGAGGGATGAAATTGAGAGAAGACGAGGAGGACGATGATGGACATGACCCAAGAGATCTCGGGATCCTTGACTGGCCCCTAGATTTTGTGGTCGAGCCTTGCATCAAAAGGGCTGGAGACGACGAGGGGGAAAACTATGAGGATTCTAAGATCTTGCACAAGGCTATTGTGTGGATGGTGTCAGATGCCGAGCTAAATCAAAGTACCAGAATTCAGAGAAAGAAAGCTCCACTTCTAAAGGATTGGGCCCATAAGCGGACTTCCACAGGCCAAAACGACGTTTCAAACATACCAACAACCCCGCCACTCAATCCCATCCGCGATCACGGGAATGCGGAAAATCAACGTAAGGGAGAGTCCAAAAAGTCTCGAGTTGGTTATGACCAGGCTTTCCCCAAAATCGCGAAAAATAACACCCTCGGAGATCCTCTCATCTGCACACGCGAGACAATAAGGCAAACTGTGGTCGCCGAAAATTTCGGCTCATCAAGTCTTCTCCAAGGCCCACGGAAAAAAACGGTCAAGTCTTCTCAACCCGAAAGCAGAACCCCAGAGACCAAGTCCGGAGAGTTCCAGCATGATGATTCGACCAATATGGGTCAGGCAGCAGATGACAATCAAGGCCGGGGCCGTACTCCATCAGCCGATAACCTAAGCAAGAAGCGTAAGCGATCAAATGCCGAGGGATCAGATGGGAGCTCTGGTCGAGCTCGCAACCGCGAAGATATCCCCCCAAGACAGATTGTAAGCACGCCCTCTTCTCCTAGGCAGAAAAACATGGACACTGACATTCATGCAGAAACGAGAATATTGAAACGGTGAACGCAGGTAAAAGGGAAGAAAATCTCAAATTGCGATTGGAAACTGGTGATGAGGAATGTTTGAGTACTTGCTCGGTGACGCCGCGATCGAGGCAGTGGAGAGAGACCAGCATCGCGAGCATGGGTCTGGCAGAACCGTCTGGTCCTAAGACCAGGGCAATCACAAGTCAGCAAAGTTATGATCGCGGCGAGATCAAACATGTCTTCTACATCAAGGATGTGAGCCCTGTTGTATTTTAGTAATCAGATTCTAGCTTATTCAAAATTGGAGTTTTTCAGCTGAACGATAAGCCATGACTCACCCGAACCATCAGTCAAGTTACAGCAGACCATGTTGAGGCCTTCCAGCAGACTATTCGTTTTCGAGATCCAATAAATTCTATCTGGGTTGACTGTGCCTACAGTCCGTACGGGAAGGTGTTGGTCCAGGCGACGTGTACTATCTAGCCAACGACAACCCCTGGGTCGTGCAGCCTTGTAAGCGGAACACCGAACTTCATCCGTAACATTGGAGACGATACAAAAGTAGCATATTGATCAAGGCCATGTGTTTATTAAGCTACGGTGACCCAATGTGGATGTTCTGCATCCAAATGTCAATCAGGCAGTAGCGACTGGCCAGTCGTTATAGTTCTCATCTGGCACACGGTACGGCCCATAATAAACGAAATCACCCCGATCATTATTTGCAAATGGCACTCCCTTCCTGATGCGAGTGACGACATCCTGCCAGATCATTAGCAAATACCTCAGTATATCTAAAGGGGATGACGCACTGGATTGAAGATGAAGGGTCTTCCGATCATAAGCAGATCGATCTTGCCCTCTCGGACCAGCTGGTCAGCTTCTTCAATGCCATAGTCCTGGTTGGCCATGAGCAGAGAAGGGCTGCCAGGAAACTTGACCAAGCCGCCAAATTCTAGGACCGGATCATACTTCGGCGGCAACAAATATCCTTTTGGCCGTGGAAAGCTGAAGCTGTAAGCGTCGGCTGATTCGACACTAATGTTGGCACCGCGCCGGCAGATAGTGACAATGCCCACTTTACGCTTGACCAATTCTTTGATCAAATATGTGTAGGTCTCCTGCATTTCGTCGAACGTGACCACTGAGTCGTTGAGAGTGTCGGTAGGACTGATTTTGATGCAAATGAATTCAGGCCCACCGAATACTTCGCTGGCTGCGTCGACGAGCTCCAACGCGAAGCGAGAGCGGTTTTCTACAGGACCGCCATAGGCATCAGTTCGTTTGTTTGCACGCCTAGAGCGAGGCTGTCAGCATTCGGAGCGAAGAATCCATCGATATCATAGCTTCTTCTTACGAATTTAAAAATTGCTGTGGCAGGTAGCCGCTGCCAGTGAAGTCAGTTTATGCCAAATTTGGAGACTGTGGAGACCAAGCTGCCCTACCCTTGACAGAGAAGCTCAATACCATCGAATCCAGCCGTTTTTGCCAGCGATATTGACCTTCGATATGTTTCTATAAGATCTCGTGGATCCTCAATAGCTGTGACATTATCGGTGTGACCCTAGGCCTCTCAGTTTGTGCACCACTTGTGTTGGGGGAGGGATCCGCGAACCGGAAAGCCAGGTAAGTCATGGTATTTCCCGTCCTTAGCGGAGATGGATGAGGGCGCAAGCACACTGCGGCCTGCATTCTTCATGATAGGCATCTCGTCATGCTGGCATCGACCTATAAGGACCGATGTTACATCCGGTCCAAATTGCAATAAGCCTTGGGCAGCCACACACCTGCGTGCCATGCCTGCATGAACATGAGGGATCCTTCCTTGTGGACAGCATCGACGACCACTCGCCAGGCATCGGCATGTTCATTGGATATCATGCAAGGTGCACGCGGCCAGTCCAAGCCGGCCCAGTCGACCAAGGTGCCTTCGCTCACGATGATGCCAGGACCATCCCGAGCTCTATCAGAGTAATACCTGACTTGAGCTGGACCAGGCTTGCAGGAATCAACGCATCGATTTCGTGTCAATGACGCCATAGCGACTCGGTTACGCAATACCAGGTCTTTCCCGAAGGTCACAGGCTCGAGGAGGGCTGACATGGTAAGGCAAAGTGAGTAATCTGCTCGCAAGATCGCTCTTTTCGGGAAAGCACTTGACAAAGAGTATTAGAAGCCAAGATTCGAGAAGATTAACAGAATGATTTGACATTGACTACAGTTCAGAATGTCCTGTCTTTATGTAGCTGGGTACATGAGGAACAGGAGTATTCCCGATTGGGAAGTCGTCGCGGGAGCAAACTTGGCGTACGGAAATGAGGCCAATCATCTCCGGCCATTCTCCGACTCCGAAACCCGAGTAATGCCGGCCACAACGGCTGTGGGTCTTGGTACGATTTAATAATATGATGAGGGCCTTCATTCTAGCACCTATCGTAAGACGTACTCCATCTTACTTGTTTCGATAGCCTCCTGCGGTCGCTGAATAGATGATGAGGAGTCCAACAGCGTGCGCGCAATGCCGTCGGGCCAAACGCCGATGTATTCGCAACGCGCCCAGCGAGGCTTGTGCTCCGTGCGAACAAAGACAACTGCTATGTGAAGAAAATGTACAGGTTCAGCTTGGTGGCCAGCGGCCCCTAGTTCCTCGATCAGCTGCAGTCGCGAGTACCCTCGGCCAGTCACCTGAACGGCAGATAGGCCCAAGAGTAGAACTGTCTCGTGGAATCGTAATCGAGCTTGTCGACCACTACCTGGACAAGTTCGATGGTAGGCCCCATAGTATATTCCATCCAGCTACTCTCCGGTCATCGGTACACAACGGCACCCTCAACGAAGCTTTATTGTACGCCATCTGTGCCATTGGGTGCAAATTCTCAGGAAATCCTGATCTCCGCTCCCAAGGCTCCTTTTTTGCAACGGAATCGAGGCGGCTGTTGCAAGCGGACATCTCGAATATCTGCCTTGAGAACATTCAAGCTTGCATCTTGATTGCAATGCTAAGCGTTGGCCACGGCGATAGCGCCTCAGAGGCGTTGTTCATCCGTACGTACAATAATTGCTAGATATGCCCCAAGGATCGTGCTTCGATGGATGAGATGCTAATCGTTGGTTGGTAGGTATCGCTACCGCAATGGCTGAGATCATGAATGTGAATTCCCCTGCTTTGGAGGGCTCTATCATCGATCGGGAGATAAGGCGACGGGTGTGGTGCTCGCTGTACATGACTGACATGTGGTGCATTTCCGGGCAAGGACTCCACAGCCAGATGAAGGATGTCGAAGTGAAGGTAGAGCTGCCAATGAACGACAGTACATTCTCGTCATTAAAGCCTGACCAAGTCTCCGTCATTGATCCGCCAGAACATGGAATATGGGCCCATATGATGACGCTTGTCCCCCTTTTTAGGCCGATCTATGATATCAATCGTCGTATCGCTAACGGCGAAGTGCATAACGTCAATTTAGACCAAGAGGTTGAGCAGCTGGCCAGGGATCTGCTAAATTGGAAAAACATGTTGCCATTTGATGCCCAGATGAATCAGACAAATCTTCTTCAACAGCAAAGAAATGGCCTAGGTGGACTTTTGATCTCAATACACTTGGCATATCACCATTTTTCGATCCTCCTATATTTCCGATATCTCGAAGCTCAGCAGGAGACGTCTTCAACCGATCGCATATATACCGCCCGCTGTAAAACTCATGCTTCATCCTTCAGCTCGCTGTTGCGCCAGGCTCGGCAATTGAAAAGCTGTGACGTGGTATATCCCAACATCAGCCACATGGTAACAGTGTCGTCGTCTGTCTTGCTGCACACCCTTCTCTTTGGTGAGTTAGATGAGCTTGCGACGGTCCGCCAGGAGCTCAACTCCAATTTCGAGGCACTTATTGACCTCACGCAATATTGGCCTTCCACATCTGCTATGGTATGTACCATCGCGCATGGGAGAATGGAATTCAGTGCTTAACATTTCCGCTCTTCACGCTGACTTAGCTAACGTTGATGGAAAAACACAGATCGAACGCCTAGTCGTCTTCCAAGATATGTGTCTGCTATCAACAGAGCCAGGGACACATAAGCTGGATGGGTGGATGCTGAGGTTCTTGATAGAGCATTCTCTGGACTTCGAGGCCAAAAAGACGAAAGTGAATCCGATAAGCCTCCCTATCGATTTGGACAAACTGTCCTTGAAGGGCAAGGAGCTCGTGGAGCAGGGGCGGTATCTGAGTTTTCGGTCTCAGTGAAGTGTTGATTCAGGAGCGTACAATACCTCCAGGACGAGCACTACGCATGTCACCACGCAAGGATATCAGCTTCAAGCATTATAGTGCAGACAGTAATTGTACGTCTGGTGACAATCGAGTTTGATTTTCTACCTTCCTGTCTTCATGTGGCATGGTTCTCGTTGAAACATTCAGCTTGTGGACCAGTCCATCTATCTGCTCGCAGACAATGCCATCGCAATATCGTGCTCTCATCCATTCCATCCCAAGAGCAGTGCTTGGAGCATCCCAGGGACAACCCGCTCTGGTTATGAAGAGTAGGTAAACACAAGGCTAGATGCTCGTACGACTGTTCGTACGTTGACCTGGGTGAGTATGTGGTGGCGATGAGAAGCTCAACACTCAAGAAAAGCACCAGCGCAGATGGCGAGGAAATGGTCGAATTAGGTCGAAGATTGGAGCATCTCACGGCAGTATTATCACAGGTCCATCGGCGGAGACCATTCGCTGCATGGATAGTATGTTCATAATAAGAACACATGGATAAGGTCGTCCATTCAAGGTCCAGTAACATTTAGTTGGTAATGATGTAGAAGCACCCTAGCTTATATGGGATCAGAATGTTGACCTGATTGGTAGATTCACGTAACAATACAAGGATGTAGGGGTAGTGTGACCGACTGTGTAAAGGTTGAAGAATCTATCGCTCACTAATTACACAATCAGCTGTTCCATCACTTTGCCAGGACGCCTGCAATTTGGCAGGATAAATCGAGCACAGAAAGCTGTTCGTCAACACCATCAATAAGACGACGATCGAAGTCTGAGAAGATCTGAGTCAACTGGTATTTCTTCTTGTTGTCGACCAGTTCATCGAAGACGATCTTATTATAGAGGCTCAAGAGCACCTCATTGGCAGAATAGCCCGAGGCAGTGATGTCAGCAATTTCTTTTGCGATGGAGTTGTAATTGCGAGTGTTGCCTTTTTGCAAAGTCTTCAAGAGATGGTCAGTCAAGGCCATTGGGAAGACGCCGCTGATCTCGTCAATGTCAGCGACTTTGATGTTGACAGCATTCACGGGCTTGACATTGTCATCATCACCCATGTTCTCATCAGAGTCGTCTGAGATCGACTTTGATGTGTGACCATTAGAAGCAGGGATTCCTGCTCCAACGAGGCGGGCTGCACTTTGTAGCAGATTGATGGCACGACGCAGATCACCATCAGAGACCTTCAGAGACCTCTCTATGACGCCTTGATCATAGGAGACATTTTCGGCCTTCAGAATGTCCGCGACTCGACCTATCGCTTGCGGTCCCTCAAGGGCCTTGAATCGAAATTTCGAGCACCGACTCGCAAGCGGTGCGATCACTCGGCTGACGTAATTGCAGCACAAGGCAAATCTTGTGATCTTGGAATGAATCTCAATCACTCGGCGGAGCGCTCCTTGAGCATCTTGAGATAGCTGGTCGGCCTCATCAAGAACAATCACCTTGAAACTTGGGCATGGGTAGCGCTCCCTGTACTCCTTAGATGTAGGTGCGTTGACGAGGTGCAACGCAGCAAAGGTCTTGATCCTCTCCCGAACCACCGTTATTGACCGTTCATCGGAAGCGTTAAGCTCCAAGACCCTACTCGAGTACAATTCTGGCCCAAAAAGTTCTCGACATAGTGCGAGAATAGCCGACGTCTTGCCCGAGCCTGGAGGGCCATAAAGGAGCAGATGTGGTAGGTTGTTGGCGTTTACCATACGGCGAAGGGTCTCAGTGGCATGCTCTTGGCTTTTCACCTCGTCCAAGCTTTTTGGTCGATACTTTTCGACCCAGGGTTGTGCCCTCGCAGCGACTGTGTGTTCCGCAGATGACTTTGGCTTCGTGTCGGACTTAGCAGCGGCAGCGCGGGCTTTGTTGTCGAAGAAATTCGACATGTTGAAGAGGTGTTGAAGTTTGTGGCAAACCCAAAGTGAGTGGCGTCAGAAAGATATCGAAAACCACAAATATTCCCAAAATGTGATCAGTAATTCCTTCAGAATACCTTTGGAAATGTTGAGAGTGCTTGAAAATTCGTTCAGTGAAGTTCAACTTGATGTCGACGTCGAAGTCACGGTGTTGGGCGCAGTTGACACACTCCGTAAACTAGTCTTGAGTGAGATGACCGGGACTTGACGTCGCTTTATAAATGTAGCAGACACTTCTTAGACGATTTGAGTACTAATGTGGAATTCTTGGAACTTGGATTGGACACCAAGGAATATCATTCTGTTGGTTGAGTGATAAAGAACGCGTCGGAACGCGACCGCGCACTGGGCTTGGCGTGGGGAGTTCAGCCTGGTTAAGTGGTTCACGTGACAAGGCTGAAAGCTCAAGCGACCGTCGCTAACATTTATTCATTATTAGGCAGGTGGCCTCCTGTATCATGTTTCATAGCTCATCCCTGGATCTACCTGAAGGTTCAACTTCTACCTCCATCATTCTCTTCAAGGTATTCCGGCCGGAGTCCTGACTCTCCTGCATTCCTTGCTCAGATTCCTCGGGGCCGGAGGAAGATTGACCTGTGATACGCTCAATCTCTTCGACAATACTCTCAGTCTGCTCTCTGTGCTGCTCAGGATGCCTGTGCCAGCCATCTCCTTTAGCCGGAAGCTCCATACTCATGGGTGGGCGTACAGAACGCTGTCTGGGAATTCCAATCGCAGGCATTGAGACCGAAAGCGAAGGCTTTAGCGGTCCGCGATTTCCGAGCTCAGTTGAAGAATTTCCGAGAATGATTGTGCCAATGCTGCCCAGTGTAAACCATAGCATGCGGAACGGGTAGTAGATCAGCAACAAACTGGGTCCATACAGAATCCTTCTGTAAAACAGCCAGGCAATTGTGAGGATCAACATCCACCAGGCTGAGCGCAGGTACCAACTATCCGACTTGCTACTACGGACTAGCTGACTGACTAGACCTCTGGACGATTTCAACAAGTCTGTGGTGCCAGTATAGCTCTCGGACAGCCCGGCCATTGCGTCTTGACTTTCATTCAACGTCTGCTGCGCGAATTGGGACTGCGCCAATTCGCCCTCCAATTGATTATGTATCCTCCTTAACGCTTGCGTCACATCATCTGCGGACCGCAGTGCTATCTCGTCCTGGGTCAACTTTTCATGCTTCCCCGTCCTTCTTAAGTTTCCTTGGTCCGCTGAGTCTTTGCGACCAGTGAATAATAGCTCGCGGTTCTGCCGTTTGAGATTTTCAGACTCTCGCTTCGCCTGTAGCTGCGCTCTTCTAAAGTTTGCCCGTGCAGATTTCAAATCCTCCTGCAAGCGGACGAGGTGGTCTGCATTGCGCTCGTGCTCATTTTCTCGATCAGGTCGCGAAGATGGAATGTTTCTTTTCTTGGTAGGAATATTGTCGTCTTGGACCTCTTGTCCTAATATCTCAAGAGTGTCTTCGTGTTCTCTCAATCTTTCATGGATATCTGTCGCAAGTTCCAGTCGTCGTTCATCCGTGTTTCCATCGCCTGCGGAGAAGGTCTTCAACTCCTGTATCACACCTAGGGTCTCTTTCAAGGCATCGGCAAGCGCTTGCAAGCGTTGTGATAGCGAGGAAGTCATGATATCCTCAACGCGAGCTCACAGAACTCGAGGAAGTAGGATGCAATACGTAAAGGATTTGGTGTCCAGTAACTAGAGGATGAGGGACAAATATTGTGCAAACGCGACAAACACGACAAATACGACAAACATTTTGGGGAAACCTAGGCGGCTTTTCTGAGAAGCTCTTGTCCGTCGGTTAGTACACTTCCTCGAGCCTGCAAAAGCACACAAAACCATTCGCGGCGGGAGATATCTAGGTAGCGGAAAACAAGTTGGTGACAGAATCTTCCTTCCTTAGCACCAGTTCCTCGACGAATATCTACTGCGTGTGGCAGCGCCTCGGTCATCGACGCCAGAAACGGCAAGGGAGCGTCAAACATCGCATCCGGGACCTCATTCCACAGACAAAGACATCTACAAGCGCAATTCTGACCAGGATCGCGATCCAAATTCTCGGACGTTGCAACAGGCCATCCACCAGCCTTTCCACCACCATCGCACCTCTCGGAGCTCCGGAATTTCCCTTCTCCCGCAATCATGAAAACTACATACCTGACCAGCTTATCCGCAAGCTTCAACCCATTCCTGCCCACATCCAAGATCCCGCGCTTAGTACTGTCGCTTCTACCAGCCGCTGCGCACCGAACCATCAAGATCAAGTCGACACAGCTACCGCGAAGCTCCACCGCTCCGTCCACGCTTGAATTAGCCTTCAAAGACGGCAAGACCTTGAAGTACAGCTGGGTGCAGGAAACGCCGGAGAGGATAGCAGAGGCGCGAGCTGCAAACAAGCCGATTGAAACGGTCAAGCTGAGGGATATCATATGGGAGGTCGATAGGCACGCGCGGGTGATGGCGAGGCAGGAGGATCTGAAGGGCTGATCCCCCGGAGGAGACTATCGAGCTATTCGAGAGAGATCTTCTTCTGGTGGTCTTTGACCTGCGATTTTGAATGCCATATGAAGTGTATCTTCGTCGTGATATTGCTCTCGGCTCCGGCAGCAAAGACGCTATCACTCCTGGCTTGCAAACCACAAACCAGGGACCATCGATGGTGAGGCGGGACAATAAGAGAGACAATACTTCTGAAGCCAGGGATCTGCTAGAGCCAACTATTCCGCTGAGCTCTGTGGCTTTGCTACTGCCGGAGTTGAGACCAGCAGGGGATATTCCAAGGGCAATTCAAGAAAGGTGAAGGTGATGGCATTGGCAGGCAGGGGCAATGTTCATTTCATGGACCCTCTACCTGCCCAGCATCAATTCTATGTAGTGGCATGTGAATTCGAAGGGCAATGATCTAATGGACCGGAGCGGATACCAATCTGTATGAAAAAGAAGGAATATAGGCACGACAAGTGGTACATAAACTCTGATCTGTTTATGATGTATATTTATCATATAGTTGTACAATAGAGCTCTTGCAAAAGCCAAAGCTTCGTTATGTTTCTGGATGCAGCATTGGAGAACCGCATCCAGGCCCAGCATGGCGCTTCTACTATAGGCGGCTAGACCTCATCATCATCAATGGATGGATTTCTGCATGGACACCGGCCGCTAGTGAAGGTTTGAGCCTGCTGAGATAGAGCAAACCCTTGGGGTATCAAGGGATTGCTCTGAATAGCTCCTTTGTGGTCATCTATCATTGGTGTTGCTGGGAGGACATCCTCAGCATGTTGCATTGATCACGCTGCAAGTGCCATCGCACCTTGTCCTATTCCGTCGAAGCCAACGTTTTCAGCAGCAATCTCGGCCCTTTGCTTCTTAGTCCGCTCCTCACTAGCACCTCTTTTGCGGTTTCTATCCTCCTCCAGAGCCCGCTTCGCTAGCTTTGCCTGCTTCTTCTGCTTGGTTTCTTTTGCTTCCTGCTTGTGTTGCCGTTTGACATCGGCTTTCGTAATTCGAGGCACATCGAGCCCAAGGATTCTGTCAGCTTCTTCAGCCTGATTGATGATATCGGCATTGGTAATATTCAATAGGGCCAATACTTCGCAATGACTCCGAGACATTTGCACGGGTTGAAATACAGGACTCTTTGACGGCATGAGCTGTGAAAGGAGGAATTTTGTATTAGCCCACTTATTCTCGACACTCATGGCCAACTGCAAGTATTCTTTCACCACATCTTGCCACGGTGCAAGTCCACCGTTGTCTTTGGAGCGGAAGACGGACGAATTCGCCTCCGCAGCAGTAGCAATCATTGCTCCATCGATACCATATTCCTGCGCCAGAGCAAGGCCCTCTTCTCGACACTTGACATCTCCATTCATCAGGCACGCAACACCATGATTTCTGCAAATGTCGCCAATCATCTTCAACTGGTCTCTGATTGCACGTTCTCGTGGTCTCATTGGAGTGGTGCGACAGTGGATAGTCAGCCCGGTGATTCCGGTCTTGCAAAGCTGGTTAACGAGGGATGATGTTGCTTCCGGCGTCTCAAGAAGTCGGATCTTGACACTGATGCCGATTTCGTTTGGCGTGCCAACCTTTGCGACCAAGGCGGTTAGGATGCTACAAAGAAGGTCAGGAGTGCGCAGAAGTGCAGCACCCATTCCACCTGACGTGGAGAACGGTTTTGGACAACCAGCATTGACGTCAATTCCGCTTACATATGGCGCAACAAGACTAGCAGCCTGCACAGCGGTATCGGGGTTCGAGGTACCAATCTGGTAGATGAGTTGTGACGATTCTCTCTTTGGATCGATGCGATAAATGACGGCCTCTCTCGCAGGCATTCTTGACAATGGGTTGCTGTTAGAATTTCGTGTCCATTCTAAACACCCCGTTCGCGGATTCATTTTCCGTTCAGTCCCAATCATTGCTCTATCAACGGTTTCTGGACCCCAGACAAGATCAGCGCCATATTTGAGAGCCAGTAGACGCGATGGAAGTTCTCCCGAGCGCACCATAGGAGCGAGGACGACTTTGCCCCTGAAGTCAACACCTTTGGAAGGTATGGGGAGGTGGGGGGCGGACGAAGAGGTGGCCATGGTTGTGGAGAAAAGCGCAACAAACCGCACGCCGGTTACGAAGGGTAGAGAGCGTCGTAGCAGAGGCTGTGGCCGTAAAGCATGGCCAACAGCCACTGACATGTAGAGGGAAGAGTTAATGAGAGTAATGTGACTGCAGAGTCATGGCAACGTGTGGAGGTGAGCCAGCCGCATAGCACAAGAAATGTTCGATATGGATTGAAACGCAGTCACGTGGTGATAAGGCCTGCACCCTCCTGATAGGAAGATACCGCTTACCTAAGGAGGTTAAAGGGCAAGATATGGTCCTCAAAAGAAGGATCACTGCTTTATAGGCGGCCTCCAGCGACCATTGTTTACCAGTGACTGCATATCATTCAGCGACCACATTCATATATCCCCTGGCTTGTCCTGGCCCTTGTACTCCTCCAAACTCGACATGCTATAGAATACACTTTCCTCGTCCTCAAGGCATTCACTCGGGTGACTAGGAGAGACTCACAATGTATCTCAAGGCCTGGGTGGCCCTCACCTCGCTTGGGGTGCTGGCACTTGCTGCCCAGCCCCGTGCACCGAAACCACTCGAGGCGCCGCTACGAGACCTGCAATTCGGTCAGCTTAATTTCCTCCATACAACCGATACCCATGGCTGGCATGCCGGACATCTGCTCGAGCCTTCATTCAGCGCAGACTGGGGCGATTATGTCGATTTCGCAGACAGACTGCGTGAAAAGCTGGAGGCGGAAGGAAAAGACTTGTTGATTATTGATACAGGCGACCGCATCGAAGGAAATGGACTGTACGATGCTTCGGATCCCAAAGGCCGATTTACATTTGATATCTTCCGTGCACAGCATATGGATATTATATGTTCAGGCAACCATGAGTTGTACAAGCAGAATTCCTCCGAAAACGAATATCTGATCACCGCTCCTGCATATGCCGACAGTTATCTTGCGTCGAACCTTGATATTGTCGATCCTGAGACCGGCAGCCTTGTTCCACTTGCTCCGAGATTTAAAAAGTTCACCACGAACAAGCAAGGAATACGCATCATTGCCTTCGGCTTCCTTTACAACTTCGACCGAAACTACAACAATACTGTGGTGCGGCAAGTTGAGGAAACGATCAAAGAACAGTGGTTTCAAGACGCAATTCGCGACCGTGATGTGGACCTGTTTGTCGTCGCCGGCCACTCGGCCATCCGGTCCGAAGAGTTTAAGGCTGTTTACTCGGCTATCCGGTCGGTTCAGTGGGATACTCCTATTCAATTCTTTGGTGGACATTGGCATGTTAGGGATTACAAGCAGTTTGACAGCAAGGCCTACGGGCTTGCAAGCGGTAGATTCATGGAAACTATTGGCTTCCAGTCTATCAGTGGACTTGCAACTAATGGAAGCACTACCTCTTCACTTTCCTTCTCCAGAAAGTATATCGACAATAATTTGTTTTCCTTGTACCACCATTCGGGCCACAACTCGTCCACTTTCCATACGGATCGGGGTCGCAATGTTACGATGGCAATCCAGAAAGCTCGCAAAAACCTTGATTTGGATCGGACCTTCGGTTGCTCCGATCGAGATCTCTGGATGGACCGAGTCAAGTACCCAAGTAACAATAGTGTTTTCAGCTGGCTCGACCAGCAAGTATTTCCGGGAATTGTCAACGACACTCGGCGCAATGATAAACCAAGATTGGTAATCACCAACACTGGGGCTATACGTTTTGATATCTTTAAAGGTGCTTTCACCAAAGATTCAACATATATCATGTGTCCATTCACAAGCGGCTTCCACTTCCTCAAGGATGTCCCCTATAACCGTGCGAAAAACCTGCTCCAACTTTTGAACAGTGGTGGCGAGATTTTTGAGCAAGTCGACACGTCACTAGCCATGTCAAGGATGAAGATCCCGCAACAACTAGGAGTTCACACTAATCGCCATTTCTTCGAGACTTTCACAAACTCGCACAATCATGAACAACTTGCTCTGTCGAGCCAACTTGAGCTAATTCCAGGCTACACTACTGTCGATGATGCAGGCGATGACGGAGATGACACTATTCATTCACCTATATCATTCTATCGACAACCAAACTGCATCCAGTCCACTATAAACCCTCAGAACATTGACCTAGAGAATGATACAGTGGACGTGGTATTCAATGAGTTCATCCAACCTTGGATCCTGCTTGCGTTGAAGTTCTTTGGTCTCGACTATACTGCTACTGATGTTGACAAGTATATGCCTGATGACAACATGACGACATTGATCGCAAAATGGGTTACTGAGAACTGGCCTAATAACTGTTGAACTCACTTACAGTCAAATATTTTCTGGACCACGCTTCTGATCGTCTGATATTCGCCTGATGCATCTCGGCCGTGAGGCAAAACCACAAGGGTGGATTGCTCACCCAGAACGGAATGTCAAGTGTCTTCCTGGTTCATAAACAATGATGCTAGGACTGCAAAATACCTCCCACATGTCTTTGCCAATGCGAACATGACCGTGGTGTTGAGCTTCCTGCCTCAATGGCGAACGAACTATTTCCATCACAAAAACTGAAGCATTTGACTATTTCAAGCTGGGTCGAACTCTAACCCGTACCCATTGATTATACATATATGTGAAGCCTTGATGGGTGCCGGATGAGAAAACACGCACGATCATTCGAATTGGTCCTTGTATTTATATAGATACCGGGGTATCTAGTCAAACTTGAGACTTGCAAGTTGCGCCGCTGCTGGCCCATGCTGGGTCTATCTCAATCCGTCAAATCCCGTCCGTTGAGATGTTGGTCATAAAGCATTGCCCAAGTCCTGACTCCTTCGCCACCTTTCTTAGGCCATCCAGTGCTGTCCACCAAGCCCTTTCCAATCACTACCTCCTCTGCAACCTTGAACCCAAGATCTTCATAATCTTTCTTGCTCTCCTCCAACGCAGTTTCGAGATATACTGGCACACCCTCCTCCTTTGCCTTATTAAGGAAGACATCAAACACAGCCACGACGGCGGCAAAACTCTCTTTGGTATCCTTTTCAGGGTCCTTGGCAAGCATCGCAAGGTGGTAGAACGGACGAGTCTCATAATCAATGTCCTTGTTGAAGTCGGTCGGGTAAGGGTCTTCGGAGGGTGCACCTGATGACTGACTGGGGGCAGCAGGCTGATCGTAACTGTGAGGTCCCTGATCTGGCAGCGATAGGTATTTTGCCTTCAAATCACGAGCTGTCTTGCGCCATTCTTGGAGGATAGGACCGGGGTTTCGGCGAGCCTGTGAAGGTGGGATTCCACAGAAGTCAGGAGGTTCCCACAACGCGGCGGCAGTGAAATCGCCAGACTCGATGAGAACTACATTAGAGCGAGCAGCCGCAGTGATACCCAGGGTGAAGTGCTTGGTAAGCCTCTCCGGGGTAATGACCTCGCTTCGATTTGCGGAGGAAGGAGTTCCATCGATCTCGGTGATGAAGGCAGTGGTCAGAGGAGTTGTGATATAGGAGCGACTAAGCAAATTAATGAACTTGTCAAGCCAGTCCTGGTCGGGGCTGCTTGTGATTCTCGTCTTTGCAGACATGGTTGTCTACAGTGAGGCTGAAGGGCAGCCTGGAATATGGGTAGGGATAGGTCAGAGGGTGGGGGTATAATACACGTTATATCTATCCGACCACCTCAGATTGAATGGTCAACTTACACGGGCAAGAGAACAGCGAGGCAGGAAAAGAGGAAGAGGAAGCCAGAGTTCTTGGGGAGTAAGCAACGGGCAATAAAGTGGCTATGAATGCCGTGGGTTTCCTGCTGCTGGCACTGGGTAACCTGGCTGCGTCACACGAGACGGAACCAGCTGCGTCCCTGATGATCTCTATCTTTAAATGCGGGGCAGGGCTGCTCGAGCTCCTCAGCTACCGAAAGCGCTTAGCTTGGAGCCTTAGCAGCGGAGCTTTGATGAAAGGAGTGTTGAGCATGGAAAGCTTTCACTCGTAGCTTGGGCGGACTCTACAGGGTGACAACAATAATCCCAACCAGCTCGTGCGTATATCAAGAAGACTTTAATAATATATGCCTCCCAGGCCGTGCTCTTATCGGTAGTGTTTCGAGTAGTCAGCAGCCGAATAAATAGCAGGAATCTACCTCCCTCCCCCATTGATGCCCTAGCTACTTCAGATGGTTTAGCTTCCTTTCGTTTATCTCTAGACGCCGATCCTTCCTTCTTATCAACATAGGTCACCCTTATCAAAAAAGCGCCAGCACCCAGAGAAGAAATTCTTCTACTCCGGATTTCAGCATGACGACGGACGACAGAAGAAAGACGGTCTTGATCACCGGATGTGCTGCTGGAGGAATTGGGAACTCTCTCGCTCTAGGCTTTCATAAACGAGGCTTTAGGGTCTTTGCAACTGCTCGGTCACTCGCACAGCTAACCGGTCTTGCGGATCAAGGGATTGAGACGCTTGAACTCGTCGTGGACAACGATGAGTCGATTTTGGCCACGCACCTGGCCGTTGAAAACCTGACCCAGGGCCGTGGACTGGATTTTCTCAGTAAGCAACTTAACCAGAGACTCGATCAATGTCCCTCCTAACTAACCTGCTCTTAGTCAACAACGCTGGCGTCTCATATGTCATGCCCGCTATTGATGTCGATGTGGAAGATGCTAAGAAGATCTTCAATGTTAACTTCTTCGCAATCGTCAGACTCTGCCAGGTCTTTGCGCCACTCTTAATTCAGGCAAAAGGTACAATTGTCATGATAGGCAGCCTTGCTGGAGTCATTCCATATGTCTTCGGTAGCATATATAATGCATCCAAAGCTGCCCTGCATGCGTACGCAAACACCCTCAGAGTCGAGCTTGCCCCGTTCGACGTCAAGGTCATCAACATCGTTACGGGCGGTGTCAAATCCCGAATCGCTTCCCACACAACGCGATATCTGCCAGAGAACAGTGTATATGCACCTCTCGAAGCCAACTACATGAGACGGCAAGGGCACTCCCAGGAAGGTGCCATGCCCAACGAGGCATATGCGGAGAGTGTCATCAAACAAGTCATTCCTGGCTCTGGGCCTTGGCCGTGGAGATGGCTGATGAGAGACGCCCGCAAAAGGTGGATATGGGAAGGCAACAAGAGCTGGCTGGTGTACTACATCAGCGGTGGTTATACCTGGACTGGCATTCTTGATCTGTACATGACTCTCCTGTTCGGTCTTTCCAAGCTCCGCAAATCCAAAAGCGAATGAGTCGACGCATTTGATGCGCAATTTGGATGGGAGAACAGGCGACTAAGTCTCATCCTATCTTGGGACGAGACTGGTGGATTCAGAGTCTTCCAAAGTCTCTCGTATTGGATCTTGCAACATATCGAAATCTAGATCTTGGGAGTTTGCCCAGAGAACACCCACTTTCGGTCTCATTTTGCCAGCCTTATTGATAGCATGTTTCCAGAGAGCACGACCGTCGAGGCAAAGGCGAACGTTTGCTCCGCGGGCCCCTCCACGGCGGTATCTCAGCACTTCCAAGAATGGCTGCGTGGGTTAAAACTACTCTATAAGTTGCTGCCAGGCAGGACCTTAGTGACGTGCGAACAGAGACTTCCGCTTCGACCTGCTGTGCAAATCAGAGGGCCCCTCAAGCACTTTGACGGATACTGGGCCCGCATTTGCTTTTTATGTTCATCCCAAGATCTTTCCTATCAACGATGTGACCATCACGTCATGCCCTTGATCCTGATCCAATGTCTGAGACGAGCAGAAGCATAGCACACAGAAGAACCGTATCCGATCAAGGATTCTCATTGTCATAAAGTCATCCCACCGATACTCGAAGGGTTTACACCATGTAAGATCGGAACTCTGGGGCTTGTTCTCAATACGCTAAGACTATTCGAGAAAACGTCCCGAAAAGGTACCGATGGTATTATCTGCATTGCGCCTTGAAGCTTCACCCAAAAGAGAAGCCAAGGATGTCTTGTTCTCAGGCAGGACAGTTTCCCTTCTAATGAATGGTTCAACTCTCTGGAAGTTGGGGCATTCTCGGCCGAGATCGCTGTATCCATCACCCGGTTGGGAATGTAGTATCCAGCATGATCGATCGATCGACCAAGAGGCAGAAAACTCTATATAAGCCATCGTCTCTCAGAGGTCAGCAATTTTCTCGCCTACTTTGATCCGTTTCAACAAACTCACAATGCCTTGTCCTTCTGCTATCGTCCTCGTCACTGGAGCCACCGGTATACAGGGTGGAGGCGTTGTGCGTGAGCTTCTCATCAAGGCAAAATCGGTCAATCCACCTACGCCGTTGACCATCCGTGCTTTCGTTCGCGATCCAACATCCGCCTCAGCTCAGTCTCTCGTTGCCTTGGATCCCGAAACGGTGCAGCTATTTCAGGGCGACTTTGATGACCTGGAAGCTCTCACAGCCGCCAGTCAGGGAGCAACAGCAACATTTGTCAACGTAAGCCCCGTCTTTACAGACCTCGAAGCAGAGTCACGTCATGGCCACAATATTTTGAAAACTTCTCTCGCTGCTGGCGTTAAACACATCATCTATTCCGCGGTCAATCGGGCCGATAATCATGAAGCTTTGAAGAACATCCAACCGGGAAGCTGGATAGATTCTTACTACAAGAGTAAAGGCAGCATCGTTTCCTCCCTCAAGGCTCCTCCATTCCCGACACCGTCAAACTACACCTATACTTTACTTCTCCCAGCGACATTCCTTTCCAACTACCTTCCACCACATCAACTTATTATGTACCCAGATCTGAGTGCCGAAAACCCCAGCGTTACCACCGCCCTCGACCCGGCTCTGGTGGCCTCTCACCTTGACCCGGATGACATTGGACGCTTTGCGGCGTCCGCGATACTTGCACCGCCATCTGAGTTCGCCGAGAAGTGGGCAAATAAAACCATTCCGCTCGCAAGCATCAACCTAACTCTGCAGGAGGCTTTCGAAGCGCTAACGAGGTCCGTCTCAAATCGCAAGGTCGTCACCGTCAACTATCTGTCCACTGAGGAAGCGCAGAAACAGGCGCCCACCAATCTATGGATCGCAAGCCATCTATTTCTGAACGACAACCCAAACATCGTCGACCTAGAAAAAGTTAAGACTTACGGCGTCCCGCTCGGTGGTGTTGACGAATTCTTCGCAAAGAACAGGGGGAGGGTAGAGAAGGCTTTAGGGCTCTAGTGTCTCTCTCAAGACACTTATGATGTTGGTTTTCGAGAGGGTAGAAAAAGTCCCACTTCTCGAGAGAGCTGGTCGAGGAGGACAATGTGCTGCGATCGGATCCTCAGAGGGAATCAATGCCAAGTGACCATGAGATCCATACAATGTCGTCGAGCAAGCTGACTCCCACTCCCTTCCCCGCTTAAGGCCCCCTATTTCCCTGCGTCGTATCTTGAACCAAATACGGTAACTAGCCCTGGCCCTAAAGTCTCTCGTATACGCTAGCCTGCCTGATACACCGGACTTAGACGCATTGCCGTCGACCGATCGCAATCACTGTCTAGCTGGCTATGCTCTACGGAGAGAAATGATCATTACTGAGTGCGAAAGTACGGCGTCGAGGCATCGAACGGAGCTACGAGGAAGCAAATACAGGACAAGGGAGGAATGTACGTACGGGAAGGCGTCGGTTACGTGTAGATGTCAGAGTCAGGTGGCAAATAAACATATATAGATTCGGATTATTGGCGGGGAGTTGAAGTGGTTATGAACTACGATACATTATTGGTTGTCATGTGTATTGTTGCACATCTGTATACAGTACATTTGCTGGGTTGAGCTTCCCACCAAACTCGGAGGGTCCGAGATCGGGTTTAGGATGGGAGGGATGCCCTCAATGTGGTTCGAGGATTAATATGATACAGCCTGCCTGACCTGTACAAGTTTTCAATCCGTGTATGTATGTGTTGCGGTGTGATGTGATGTGATGCGCTTGGGGTCGAATTCAAGATTTGCGGAGCACTGACCTAATTCGTGGTCGTTGTTTCGAGGTTGACTCTGAGCTCAAGATAGTGATTACTTGAATTGAAGGTGCTGGGTTTCGGACTAGGTGATCGTCCCGACTAGAGCCGTTTACCAAGGATGCTGGCATACTGTGTTGATTGCGACGTATAGGCGGAACGCTAGGAGGTCGGCAATCGTTGCCAGAGCCATAGCTCTTTTGGTGGAAAGGGGCTTCGATGGTTCTTAGGAAGGGCCCTCGAGAATTGCAAGCGTGGGATATCCCGGGTTGATAGAAGAGCTCCAAGGCGCGGAAGCTGGATACATTGCATCTCCTCGTAAGCATGAATATGACGCTCATGACGGTTTCTCGTTTTCCACGATTTCAAGAGTCATTTGGTGCACCATGGCAGTCACTTTGTCGAGCTTGGCCTTGGTGGCCGCTGCAATTTCAGCATCTGTTGGAGCCTGTACCGCATCTCCATCTCCGTCAGAGGTAGCGCCATCTTTCTTTTCGGACGAGGTCGCCGGCGCCATACACTCCTCGAACACTTGCTTGTGAGCATTGCGGTGAGATCTTCTGCGCATCTTGCTGTAGAAGACATCGTCGTCTAAGACCCTCACAATCGCGGCAACTACGGCGCGTCGCAGTTTTCCTTCGAAGAGCGGAGCCATAATTAGCATACCTTGATTCTTTGGTTGGCTGTCACCCGTGCCACTGCCCCGGGCACCAGGGGTTGCTGACATGTTAAGCTGCGAGAAAAGGTGCCTGCAAAACCGGTTGATGGTCTGTCTGAACTCCATCAAGACCTGTCGCGCTTGAAGTTCCATGTCCTCGTGCATCTTGTCCTCAATCTTCAAATTGAGGAGCAACCGTCCATTAAGTGCGATGTTGCCCTCGGGATCAAGGGTAGCAGTGGGGTGGAAGAGAATTGCCTGCAGAGGGGTCAACACGCTGACCTGTTGCAAGCGAGCTAACAGCCTTGACTTTGTACAGTATCCTATTATTCTCTTCCCGTGATATGATAACATCTCTCCGCGTTGTCGAGTGGGTGATAGCTTGTCCGTCGATACTGGTTCGCGATTATGAGCACTTGGAGTATGAGGAATATCTAAACGTGCTGCAACGTTAGAGCCTGCTATCATACTACGCGCTGTTCTGTGATTGTTGTCCTCAAGACTAGTAGTGTAATGGATAATGCTGAGAGGGTCAACTTCGTTTCTGTGTGAGGATGCGTCTATCCATTCGTCTTGTTGCCCTTGCTTTCTTGAACCCCACATAGCGATGTTCGGATGAATGGTATTGAGACATATAGCCCTGACAAGAGCGTGATTGTCTCGGTTGAAATTAACATAGTGAGGAATCAGGGCAAAAACACTGTCATCCTTGGTCCACGCCGTCCAAATTGGCACAACGCCAATCCTCCGAAGTGTTGTGAAAATGTCTTGGCCTCTTTCTAGGATATTCGCAAACGTGGAATGCTCGACACCCCAATCTCTCTCCACTTGTTGCAACTTGTCATAGTCCTTGAGGATGTAGTAGTTGTGGTATCGTCTAAAACGTTTTATATCCAGGGCAGCATCACTACTTTCATATGGAAGTGAGTCTCGAAACTGAGTTTGTTTTCCGAGCGACTCTGATGGGTCAAGTAGGACATTGGACGGATTGACGCAGGCGAGGATCATGATCGGTTCCAGACAACCAAATACTGCACCCAGGATTAGAGCTTTTGCCACGGCAGGATGAAGAGAGAACATGGCTAAGACACGTCCTAGGCTTGTAATCTTATACTCGTGGGTAAATGCATCTAAACAAAGTAATTGTCGGAACGCATTATCGATGACTTCCATTCTCGGTGGATCAAGCATCTGACAAAATATGTCCTTGGGATTGTAGGGTACTAGTGCTGAGGACAGCAGCAAAGATTCTTGGACAAGATCGCTCGTCTGGATTGCTGGCCGATCGAAATGGGGGGAGGCTGCTTGGCGTTGTGGAGTGTAAAGGGCGTAGTAATGGCCTCCTTCCACATGGCTGGGAAGAGCTGACCTCTCTCGCATGCTAGCTTGGCTGATCCAGGTGGAATTGAGGCCCCGCGTTAAGCCGGTATATTGAAGGTTTGTTGCTAGATCTGCACGATCGGTGTGCGCCTTCAATGTGGTATGGTCAACGAACGGCGTCTCAGCTTTCCCACTATCTACGACATATGTGATATTAGCCAGCGTGAGAGAGGGCGAGGGGAGGCCTGCTGTCAGGATGATCCTCACACAACCTGCAGGTATGATTTCTGGTATCAGTCCCTCTGGTTGGGAATTTGCCTTCACAATTTTGAAACGACTGGAGTCTTCGAAATCAATTTTTGCCGATTTCATTTGGCCTAACAAAGTCGTGACCTCATCGATAGATGAGGATCGAGGTAGGAAGGCGAGAATATCACCTGGAGCCTTGGTCGAGACAATATGGGCGATGGTCGAAGCTACCAAGCCGACTAGACCGCTGTCCAGATGGCTGAAAATAGGGCGGTTGGAACGACGTGATTTTGATTCAACAGCCCGAGGATTTGCAAAATTTATTTCGTCTTGAATGTATTTCTGGATTTTGCGCTCATAGTCCCCTCTCAAAGCCATTGAGACTCCTGGATGAGACAAAATGCTGGAGCACTCTGATAGAGTATCGAGTAGATAATGATGATGTACACTGAACGTCGGTCCACCAAATTTCAATTCTCTAACTTCGAGAGCAGATTCACCTCCCCCACGGGCACGCAGGTACCCGACAAGCCGAGAGGCTTCGCTCGACGCTCCTAAGAAGACGAGTTTGGGGAAGTCTAATCCAGCAGACTTCCTCTCGCGAATACTCTGGCGAAGGAGTGTTAAAGCTATCTCGGTATCTTTGTGACACTCGTGGATTTCATCGATTATGATATGCGAGGATGAAGACAAGAAACGCTCCGAGTCTTCAAGGAATCGTTTCAGAAGAGTTGCTGTTGAGCAATATGTGATACATCCCCAGCCCCTTGAGAGCTCGGATTTCTCATATAGATCATAACCGACGGAACCAACAGAAGCCCCGTGCTTTCTGCTTCGTTCAGAAGTAACCGCAGAAGCCAACGGTATGACCGAAGATGGATTCGGATGAGAGCAAACGATATTGGTCCCCATGGCAGAGCCATTAACAAGCGCATTGTCTAGAATCGTCTGGGGAACTTGCATCGGTGTTCCAGATCCGTTAGAGCTGAGAATTATGACGATATCAGAATGAAATATAGCGTTTATCATGCGTTCCGTGTCTGTCTTCCCCCTACGGTACAATTGCAGGTTTTTGGTTTCGTGCGCTATGATTAAATCGGGCGTGAGGCGCTCGGGTAAAGATGTCCCACGCGGACAGAACCGCATGGTTTTCATGTCATGTCCTTTCGCTAGAGGTCGGGAACACGGAGAGAGTGGAATATAGTCGTTCGGGAGACCTGCAGACCGTGCCTCAATATTGGCCTGCATCGATAAGTAAATGTTTGAGGCTGGAATTGTCACTTCAACAGATGTTGATTGTTGCTTTCGCTTCGTTTCAAGCGCTCTTTGTGCAGCCTCGAGTGCGCAGTGTCGTGCAGTTGCAGGGTCAAACCAGAGGTAGGCACCAGCGAGTGGATCACCATCGTGAGAGACCTGGGCAGAGAACAATGCTATATAGTTAGACGTTCCATCAGGGCTTCTGACTTCCAAGCGTTCCAGGGTTTCTCGTAGCTCCACAATTTGTCCTTGGAATCGATCGGTCAAGTTAGGGAGTAGTTTAGGTCGCATTCTTTTTAGCTCATCCATATGAGCCACACGTTTCAGCCTTTCTGCAAAAGAGTTGAAGGTTGTCATAAGTTCGTCGATAGTGGGCGGACTTTTCGCGATGTTGAGGGTCTCAATTATATCGCCGGCTCTCAGAACCAGCTCCAATAGTAGAGGGAAAGATTCATTTGGCTTGTCGATGTTGAGGGGGCTCATGGTATGTCTTGATAACAGGAGCTGAGGAACTCCCAGAGAAGGTTCATCATGCTTTACCAGATCCAGCACTGTTCGAGTGACACTGCTATCAATCAGCTCACCCAGCATGATCGGTTGTCTGGGTGTTTCGTGTGGTAGTGGGATGAGCGGATGATTTGCTGCACTTGTTCGAGTATATGAGAACATGTTAGGATGGGCCTTTGTCGAAAATTGATTCAGGACCTGCACGTAAGCGGCATGCTGCAAGAAAATCAGTGGGACTTCCGTTTGGTTGTCATGGTTTGACTCACTTGTGTGCTGGCCTCACAATTAACTTCCACATCTTCAAAGCCAGGAGCCTGCGCCTGTATCCCCTGAGCCCATCGCCAGAGCCCTTTCTCCTCTGATATGAAATACCTTGTGCTGAAGGTAATGCGGACTCCAGAATGGTGAGCACAAAGTGCTAGCGTCTTGTGGATTGAGCTACTCAATCGGGAGTATCGGGTTGACCAAGCAATGTTGGAAATGCTGCTTGCACTTTCACGTCCCCTCTGATTTGGCGCATGAGAGAGTGCTCTTTTGTCTTTCAACGAACGATAGAATTTTGACTGGTCGCGCCAGGGAGAACGGGGCTGCACATGGGCAAACTTGGTATAGTTCTGGGCACTCCCATATCGTCGGCTCGTTACGAAAGGTTGGCCGCCCACATGATCCCGCCCATTGCTTGCTTTGGCGACGGAGCTGCCTTTTGGTGCGCTGATTGAGCTGATCTGGACACATGGGTGAGATTTCACGCTCGTAGGGTAAAAGATCCGTCTCAGCTTTGGAAACGAGTTAGCATGCAACCCAGAAGAGCGGAGCTTAGTCTTGACGCACCCGACCTGTACAACATTGCATCATACATGATCAAGACCTTAATCTGATGTCTCCGCTGCATGAACTTGAACCTCGACGGACGGGGAATGCGGGAGTCGCTAGGAAAAGAAATTTCACGGCGGAGTGCAGCACCGATTGCGCAGTGACACGTGCAAATATGGATTTTATCACGTGATCCTGAATAGGTTCGTCTTACTTTGTTACATTCGAAGCATCACTATCGGCGAATGAGATAGAAAAATGAGAACTTCCTATTGACCATGGCAGGGCTCATGAATCACCACGCCCACATCAATTTGTGTGCCAGTACTCTCTCGCCCAATCGCTCGTACAAGAATGAATTGACCCAGCTATCATTGGTCCTCGACATCCTGCCAAAGACCGCTCCACCCTTCCACGCAACAACCTGTGGATCGAGTTCCCTTGGAGGCCGTCCAACCACAATATCCTTGCTGTAGCCTGGGAGGACCCCTCGCAACGAGTCCTCGAGGTGCTGTCCCAGGCCTGGAATTATGCTGGTTCCTCCTGTCAACATGATCCCACCTAGCAGATCCCCAGTCTTGGATGCCGAACCACGTGCTGCGTGAGTAATCGACGTAACGATGGCGTTATGTAAGGGGTAAATAGGGAGAACATCGTCGCGTCGCTCAATTGAGACAGGCTCTTCTTCCTCTTCTTCGACCTTAAGCTTCTCGTGCCCTGGTGCAGCACCCTCATTCTCGTCTGGCTGAGGGGTTCCGTCGATCTGCCGCGCTGGGGAGCTGGCTGCAGAAGGTTGGGGCGTAGCATCCATTTCTTTGATATTACTGAAAGAAGGGCGACGTGAGTCGTTGAAAGACTCCTCCTTTGAGCCATTGGTGATACCATTGGTGGTCACATTTGGCTTTGTCGTGGGCTTGGCCGTTGAGGTAAGAACTTCCTCAGGAGCGATAGCAGTCAGGATCTCGGCTTGGGCTGTTGAGCTTGGGTCATTAGGTTTGTTGTCGTAGATGTCGTACGATTTTTCCACGAGTTTTCGACGTCCATTCAGCTTTCCAGAGTTATCCAAAATGGTGGGCTTGAACAGTCCCATAGGTGCGAGGATGACCTCATCGTAGATCTTAAATGTGTATTTGCGTGTTTCCTGATCAGGTGCCCGTAGATGGAAGTCATAGAGTTGGACTGAGACGTCAGCTTCAGTCATAGTACAGAATTTCTGCTTCAACTCCTCGGCCAGCTGAATATCGTATCTCCGATTCAAGTTGATCTCTGCATATGGAAAATGATTATATATGGTCATTTTCACAAATGCTTCGGTGATGTCTGCACCGCCATATTTGAGGTTAACTCGCGAATTGTCGATTACCATTCCGTCCTCCACACAAGATATAGATGTCTTCTGCGCACCGATATCCACAACACAAGCAACCGTAAAACCAGCACCAAAGGATGCTGCTAGACTTTCCTGGATGAAGCAGACTCGAGCAAATCCGAACTCGGTGATCGCCATGTCGAGCAGACTGGTGACATACGTCCTCTCGTAGTAATCGGGGATAACAATCACACAACTATACTGGCCCCACTCTTCTCTGGTCCGAATGTTAAGTTCGAGTTGGTTGTTGATGGCCTCTTCGATAATTATCCTGATATCTTCGTACACAAACCGTTTTGAGGTATAATCTTGCTCGTTGATCCATCCATTTCGGATAGGCCAGAAGAGCTTGTACCTTGGTTCAGACAGTTCAGGAATCCGGAGCGCAGCTTTGCCAGTGATATATTGTGGCTTCTGTGACGTGTCTGTCCATTCGATACGCATCGTGTCGTTGAAATCGGTGATGGACTCATAGGTGTTCCTTCGATTGTAGCTTGTAACCATATCTCGCGACTGTGGCAAGACCTTTCGTTTGTTCATCCTCATTCTGACCTTGAGATCGTTAGACATTCCCGCAAATTTCTTCGCGAATTCTTCGCCGAAGCGCTTCTCCGGCTCATGAGGTGGGAGACCATTGCTCAACTTTGCTCTCTTCGGCGCCGGTTCTCCGTTATCAAGTTCGCTTTCCGACATTTCTGCCCGACGTGCAACTACCATGGGAACGGTCTTAGGAAGGGCATCATTCGCAAGACCAACTCGCAGGTTCTGAGATCCGATGTGGATGACGATAGTTTTGGCCCCGCTCGAAGCCTCGTCCTCATTTTCTTCATCACCGTCGTCCATTTCAATGTCACCATCCGGGCCGACGGTCTTGCCTTGTGCCAACGCTCTGTCCCTGTCTTTTGCTTGTTTGATCATTTTATTACGGGCCTCCTCCTGCTGTGATCTGACTGCAAGTATCTGTTCATCGCGCTTGAGGTAGTCTGAATTGGATCTGGGTCAGTATGGGGACAGGGACGATGAGAGGCGCCCACGTACCTGTGTAGTAGTTCTTCTGATTGATAGGAATGATCGCTGGCCATGAAGTCAGGTCCATGTTATTGTCAGTTCTCTCCAGGCCCTCCTCCCGCAGGAGTGCCTTCCCACTCTTTTTGCCTACCATGTTGATCGGTGCTTCGACGGGGTTGTTGGGGCGTGATTATTGTAGAACTAGGGAATGGTAGTCCGGGATTGTAGGTGTCGCTGTCATATTATGGTGCCTCCAGTGTTATTTCAGTCATGAGCCATTGGACGGTCCCGTGATTATAGAGGGCGGTGGTCAGTGAAATGATGTTTGGGGAGACTACAATAATAAGTGGCGGCCGTTCCCTTTCATGAATTGTGGCGCGCTCAAGTTCCCCAAGAATTTCTCCACGCGAAATCCAAAGCTGCAGGCGGTGCTGACGATAATTACACGATAATTACAATTGCAAATCAATACATACCTGCCAAGGCAGGTGTAGCGAGGCAGAATGCACCAATTCACCAGCTCTACATTTTACCTATCACTACATTCTAGTTGCATTGTCCTACCCAAGGTGGTACGGGAAGAAGGCGCTGTCGTATTTGTCTTCAATCATCAAATGTAGATGAGGTACCCATGCGCTTTTGGGGGGCCCAGGACGTATGATAAAACGGAATGGTGTTGGATCGACGTATGCGAGCTTCAGGATACGCTTGGACCAATCCTATTGTAAATAGACCCAACGGCTTGCGAAGCAAGGAATTCCAATCCAAGCTGGGCAAATCCTTTGCGACCCATCCTTCATATTGATTTTGTCTCCAACATAGCCTGTGATGTATATCCGAGTCTTATTTCAATCAAAGCTCCCCCGGAGGTCGGTCGCCTCATCTGCACACGGCCATCCAAAATGAATCGATTCGACCTAAATAGCGCCATATGTTTCTGCACAAAGACACGGGAATACACGATCAGCTATACAGTCCAAGGAAATCCTGAAGGACCTCCTCTAGTGTTCATCCACGGCACGCCCTGGTCTTCTCGAGTATGGGTGCCCTTCGCGGCAGCGTTGTCGTCTTCGTTCAAGATTTATCTTTTTGACAATCCTGGATACGGGCAATCTCCTGGGGGTGTGATAATATCTCCCCGCGATCCGCAGGATCTCGATGCATCTCTGGCGGGTCAAGCCGAAGCATTTGCATATCTTCTGAGAGAGTGGGATCTAACCGAGCCTCCTCATGTCATCGCCCATGACAATGGTGGACTGATTGCGCTCCGGGCTAGCCTCAATCATGGTGCGGAATATGCTAGCCTCTGTTTGGTAGATGTCGTTGCTGTCGGCCCTTTCGGTTCAACGTTCTTCAAGCTTGTTGCGGCAAACCATGACGTATTTAACGCTATCCCTCAGGCCTTGATGAACGGCTTGATTCGCGCATATATCCAAAGCGCCGCTTACAAACCACTTAGTCGAGAGGTAGAGGACATGCTGCTGCTTCCTTGGACATCAGCTGGAGTGCAGGGAAAAGCTGGTTTTCTGAGGCAGATGAGGCAAGCCGATCATCGGCACGCTTCAGATGTGGAACCTAGATATGGCGAGATCGGAAAAAGGATGCCTGTTAAGATTATATGGGGCAAAGAAGACGCCTGGATTCCCGTAGACCGAGCTAAAAAGTTAGCACACATGATTGGCGCCCACGAGATGGTCATTGTCGAGCAGGCAGGCCATCTAATACATTACGACCAGCCATTGCAGTTGATCACAGAGCTGGAACTGTGGCTTTCGAAGATGGTCAACTTTGATCAGAGGCCACGAAAACCGCCGGGCTTTGTCAAAGATACCTAGCTTTAATGTTGGATATAGGTGAGCAAATGATAGGTTTCGAAGGACAATGGTGCTTTAGACCTTGGGTGATGGCCCCTAGTGAACTGGTAAGTATCTGATATGAATAGCTTATGATAAGCGCCAACAATGTAGGGGGTATTTCATGAATATCGTTATGATTCCGACTGTACAGTCTGCCTATTTCACAGTTAGTGCTTTTGTAGGTGTGTACGTAGCCGGAACTTACGAAAGCCAATCCATACCCTCATTGATCCCTTTTCCATCAATGACCGAGCACGCAACAATACTCCAATTCCGGTCCCTCAATTCACCCAGTTTCAAAGCCTCCGAGATCTCTCCGGCCCCTTGTGCCCCAGGCTATGCATTGTTAGTGTAGATCGACAACGGCTTTTAGTTTTCGTACTTGATCTTGCTTATTAGCAAATACCAACAGCGCAGCATCTTTGAGCTCGTCTTCATTCAACATTGATCGTAATTCGTCTGCTGCGATCTCCAATCGCTCAATATCCGTAGAATCGATGACGAAAATAACAGCCGCTGTATTCGCATAGTAAGACCTCCAGTAAGGTCTGATCGACGTCTGACCACCAAGGTCCCAGACATCGAAATTCAGATTGCCATATTGTACGGACCTGGCCTTGTTAGTGCTAAATCCAATTGTTCCGACTAGTGTGGTCGGGACGAACTCAACATTAAAACCAATGGTGGGTATCGTGGTGACGACTTCTCCAATCTGTTTGTGTTAATATCGTATAGCCAAGGGGAATTTTTAGGACCATACCTTTAAACGGTACAGAAGTGTCGTCTTGCCGGCATTATCCTGGTAGCAAAAAGTCAGCACCACGGAGTGAGTGAAAATTGAGAATCTTTGTCGACAGACCAATCCCAGAATCAAGATTCTTATGTCTTTCTTGCCCCAGACAAGACCAGAAAATAATTTCGATATTGACGCGCCCATTCTCAAGTCGGACAAGAGAAGCAAAATAAGGCTCTGAGACTTTACAAGAGGCGGTCACGCGAGAGCATGCCTCTCAATGTCAGAGGGCAAATTGAACTCTGTAAAGCAGCACAGTTTGAGGTCAAGCCCGGTGACTTTGCCTTTGAGGGGGGGATGTTTAAATAGTGTCGGGATCGCGAGAAGGTGTCTATCTGATATGTGTCGACATCAACATGATGGAGCCTGAAACATGCTGAAGCCACCTGGTTGACGCGTGATATCAAGTCCCGAGTCATGTACGGACGAGCATACCCACAGCTGCCGTAATTTCTTGGCTTTTCGATCGCACGGATATAAGACAGTGATGAGTGTCAAATGACTGACTTTTACTCTTGCACTTGGTCTTCAATCAGCGAGGCCTCCGTGTATGACAGGTTCATAACTGGCGGCCTAGTTGTCAGACGCATGCTTTAAAATCATATGCGTTCTGCCATGACTTCCACCCCCATCTCTTCAGTACATAGTTCTGGTGACAAAAAGAGGCTCTCTAACTCGATGGCGAGGGTCGGACAAACTATGCCTGGTGTCCACACAGTCTTGTCCTCTGTATTCGCCATGATCATGCATCCCACCGATTTGAGAATGCCACTATCTACCTCCGGTCTTAATCGCGTGCTCTAGCGTAAACCACGCAGTGTCATGTATATCGTTAAGGCGACCAAACGAGGCGAAGCGAACAGTGGATCCGTCCAGAGCACGAGCCTTGCACGGAAAGGGGAGCTTGATCGAGGCTCCATACCTACGTCACTGGAAGTACGTTTCCATCTTGGATTTGATTGTCGTGGCTTAACGCCAGTGTGAACATCTTACGCAGAGCGGGAGATCGTTCAATTCAGGGCGATCGCAAGGCGGCCCCCAAGTTCCAAACGCCCATCAGCTAGTGCCTGGTCCCTTGCCGAAACAAAAATCCAGGATTCTACATCCATACTCCCGTACTTTATCCCGTAAGAGATTTCTTTGGGCAACAATGGGATTCCAACAATATTCCATAGAATCTCTTGTTTCAAATTCCCGAGCTTCTATGGAGTTCTACATACGATACCCCGTCTCAGAGACTTCCCTATCACTTCCTTTCATCTCGGATCTTCACTAAATCCAAATTCTCTGCCTTTCTCGGATCCACGAGACCGGTGGAAGTCGAGGAATAAACATCACATCTGAGCACTACTGGCGAGTAAAATATGCGAAATATACGCGAATGTCGCTACCGAGTCATGGATTCCGCTAATGGTCGACATCGTCTTTGAAGCTTACTGGTTTCATCCTCAAAGGTGGAACTGGTTCCGAGACGCATTGAGAGGTTTAATAACAGGCACAAAGGCTGAACTTCAAGGGTATTCCTGGAACCATTCTGTGCGCGTACCGTCTGACTGGTGTGAATTTGTTCAATGCGATCCCCGCCTTTGTTTCTTGGTTGGCTCTGTTGGCAACATTTCCAACCTCTCTTGATTCGTGCCGCTGACCATTTTACGATATGCCATAAGATCATCCAAAAGTGATGCCCAATTTTCCGGTCCAAAGTTCGGTTACGAGCAGGATTTCAAGGTATGGTGGACATCGGATTGGATGGACTACGTCCGATGTGTCCTACACCGTCTCCTATGATTTGGCATCTTGCTCTTCATAAGGTCCTTGCCCTCCCTTCGCAGTTTTGTTGTGCGGTTGCTGGGAAACATTCCTCTAGGTAATTTCCTTTTCCACTTCAAGCCACTAGGGCAGAGAGAAAGTGCCAGTTGTCGAGATCCAAACTTGTACCCTTCCTATAAGAATAACACTCATGTCTGCCGAGTCGGTCAGCGAGTTGCCGATTCACTATGGTGAGGTGCAGAAAGATGGCACCCGAATTGAACGTCCGTCAGAAGAGAGAACTAGGGGACGGTCTTTGCACGACGAAGCCGAGTTCCTAGTCATAAACCTTTCTCAGTCTGCAATGGGGAATCGCCCACCTGCCTCGATGCCTGACAAGGACATGCAGCCACGGAGTTCTAGAGACGAAACTCGCAATAATCGAGGCACCAGCCACAGCAGACCTGGCTATCCGCCAACGAGCGCCAGAGCCTTTGATGGTGGAAAGTCTTCCTTTGGCCGAAATGAGTACAGACGCAATGTCCGTCAGCGGATGAGACATGACGATAATGAGCGTTACAGTGGCTACGATGATGGATACGACGAACCGCATCGGCCACGGCGCATTCAACAACGAGCTTACTATCCTGGCGACGAGTATAGCATCCGTCGCCGACCATCACGGGCTTCTCGATATGGAACGACATATTCCCAAGATCCACCAAGAACGAGCCTGGAAGATGACGATGAAGAGCCCTACAGACCAAGGAGATTTCGTTCACAACGGAAGTCACTAGCATCCCAGAGACCATTCGTAGAACATCAGGGAGACGAATATGAAGGACAAGAAAGAGCTAACCACGAAGAATACGCAAGGGATGGATCGCCAGGTAATCACAAGCCTTTCAGGTTCACAGATCTCACACGTGAGGAAAAGAGACAAATCATGCGTTTGCCCTTAACGCAATGGATGGATAGTAGCTTCAAGAACCGTGAGTGCTCCAAAACTTGCATTACACTGAGTCATTCCCACTAATTCCTGATAGATTTTGTCGCTACATTGGGTGAATTCATTGGTAAAACCATGTTCCTCTGGTTTGCATTTGCTGGAACACAAGTTGCAAACATTCCGTCCGGCAATTCTGCGAACAACTCCACCTCTGGCGGTGAAACGGGATTCTCAGCGATTTCTCTTCTCTACATTGCGATCGTCTTCGGCTTTTCACTCATGGTTAATGTTTGGGTCTTTTTCCGTATATCAGGCGGTCTCTTCAATCCTGCTGTAAGTCCGTTCCACAAAAATTCCGTTTTCTTCAGCTTCTTATCATATGCACATAACAGGTTACGTTGGCAATGTGGATGACCTCGGCTATTCCACTGGTTCGTGCCGTTTGCCTAGTGAGTGCCCAGGTTGCCGGTAGCGTTGCAGCATCCGCACTGGTCCTAGTTCAGTTCCCAACTGCTCTTAATGTTCGAACAACACTTGCTGGAGGAACTTCACTCGTTCAAGGTGTCTTTATCGAAGCTGTGCTCACAGCCGAGCTCGTTTTCACGATCCTAATGTTAGCAAAGGAAAAGCATAAGGCGACCTTCGTCGCACCTGTAGGTATTGGACTAGCCCTCTTCATTGCTGAACTGGTTGGTGTGTTCTACACAGGTGGTAGCCTCAACCCAGCACGCAGTCTCGGCCCATGTGTGGTGACCCGAACATTTGACTCAGAGCACTGGATCTACTGGGTCGGACCTGGAGCTGGGGCACTGGCGGCCGTGCTCTTCTACAAGTTTATCAAAATGCTTGAGTATGAAGTTGCAAATCCAGGCCAGGATGCGGAAGATACCACGGAAGCAGCTATCGCCGCTCAAGAGAAGAGAGGGGGCAGAGCTATAGGGACTGCCCTTTGATGTCCTTGTTGTTGTTTCGGTCGCGCAATTCACGACCAACAGCTGTCTACGGTACGGTCAGCGAAGTGTTCCTGCGCTTATATAGGCCCCGTTTTCGTTAATGTTGGAATTAGTGATTGAGGAGTAGTGAGGGCACTATTGCGATTATGTCTTCGTCTGTGAAAGAATTTCATGATTTAGGGAGTATTACATTGCTGTCTATCAGAATAGAAAGAAGTAATAGAAGAAGATGTCCAGGGTGTTGTGTCACTGTCTCCCGTTTATCCATCCGAGGACGTTTGGTGGCTGTCTCGACGATGACGGCACGTGACTTGCGGGAGTCTCCATCCTCCTCGACGACGTCTCTACAACACATACTATTCTTTCCTCCATTCCCACTTTCAAGCACAAGTCTGCTTGATAAGGAACCTGAATTTATACTCTCGACACCCTGTCAATGTCCTAGATAGCTCACTGCAAGTCGACATCCTGGCGCGAATCAAGAACACAACCCTCATCCTCCTTTCCTCCGCAACCCTCTTCACCATTGTCTGCCTCGTCATTCTGGCGCCGTTCCGTGCTCCCTCCCGGCTAGGTTCGATTCTAAGCCAGGTCCGACCATTCCGTCCTGCCACCTCTGCCACAAGCCCTTGGAGACCTCTCAGCACGTCAGCCATGGCTTTCAAGAAGCCTCCGCAGGCACCACCTAGCTTCATAGCTACACCTGATTCTGTTGTCGCAGATACCAAATTTATGCTAGCAAGTTCAAAGCAACTTACGGATGACATTGTGGCACGTGTTTCACCGAAGGATGCCTCTTTCAAGAATGTCCTCCTTCCAATGGCCAATGATGAAAATCAGCAGACGTTGAAGGCTCATATTCTAGGCTTTTATCAGTCCGTCTCTACTGATCAAGCTTTGCGAGATGCCTCAACCGAAGCAGAAAAGCTTATGGACGATTTCAGCATCGAAGCGGCTATGCGTGAAGATGTTTTCAAATTGGTGGACGCAGTGCTCAAATCGGGGGAGAGCTTGGATCCCGAATCACAAAGACTTCTAGAAAAGGAGCATAAGGGCTACGTGCGCAATGGTTTGAATATCCCAGCTGGACCAAAACGTGATCGATTCAAAGAGATCAAGAAACGTCTCAGCCAGTTAGGAATTTCATTCTCCAAGAATCTGAATGAAGAGAATGGAGGCCTCTGGTTTACTGCGGAGGAGCTCGATGGTGTCCCCGCGGACGTCCTCTCTCTCCTCAAAAGGGAGGGAGACAAATATTGGCTTACGTTCAAGTATCCTGACCTGTTCCCAACTCTCAAATACGCCACCAATAGCGAAACGCGAAAGAAGGTCTTCATTGCGAATGAGAATAAATCAAACCAAAATGTCCCATTGTTCCGCGAGGCAATCTTGCTCCGGGATGAAGCTGCCCGTCTCCTAGGATATCCCAATCACGCCGCATTTAGAATTGAAGACAAAATGGCTAAGACTCCAAAAACCGTGGATGACTTTCTCGGAGACCTGCGTGGTAGACTGAGTCAAGGCGGCCTTGATGAGATAGCAACGCTTAAGGAGTTAAAGAAAGCGGATCTCAAGTCTCGTGGACAAGAATTCGATGGAAACTACTATTTGTGGGACCACCGATTCTACGATAGAGTCATGGAGGAGAAAGACTACCAACTCGATCAACAGCTCATCTCTGAATATTTCCCTCTTCAAAACTGTATCAAGGGCATGCTTGAAATATTCGAAGAAATATTTGGTCTCCAGTTTATGGAGATTGTGGGAGCCGACCGTGATAGCATCTCCCCAACAGGAAAGGGTAACGACATTGTGTGGCATGAAGAAGTGCAGGTCTTCAGTGTTTGGGATGATGAGGGAGAAGGTGGTGGTTTTGTCGGATACCTCTATCTTGACCTTTTCCCTCGCGTTGGCAAGTATGGACATGCTGCAAATTTCAATCTTCAACCTGGCTTCATTCAGGAGAACGGAACAAGAAGATACCCGGCTACTGCACTTGTCTGCAATTTCTCAAAACCCACGGCAAAGAAGCCCAGCTTGCTGAAGCACGATGAAGTCACCACTCTCTTCCACGAACTGGGTCATGGTATTCATGACCTTGTTTCTCGTACTACCTATTCTCGGTTCCATGGTACCAACACTGTTAGGGATTTTGTTGAGGCTCCGAGCCAAATGCTTGAGAACTGGTGCTGGACTCCTTCTCAATTGAAGTCACTCAGCAAACACTATTCCACAATATCGTCGGACTACTACGACTCGTGGCGCGAGCATGCTGGGTCAGATGTGACTACACCAGATGAACACATACCCGATGATCTCATTCAGAAACTTATCAAGACTAAGAACCTCAATGGTGCTCTCTTCAATTTACGACAGCTCCACTTCGGCATCTTCGATATGACCATTCACGAACCCAAAGATCACGCTAGCTTGGAAGGATTAAAGATTTCCGAGACTTATAATGCCTTGCGAAAGGACATTAGCAAGATAGACGGTCCAGAGGCTCTAGGAGAGGGTAACGGTTGGGGTAACGGTCAGGCCACTTTTGGCCATCTCATGGGTGGCTATGATGCCGGTAAGTGACATGTTGAACACAATCTTACAGAAATGTTGTGAAGGTACCAACACTGACTTCTTCCTATAGGATATTACGGCTATCTCAGTTCTCAAGTATATTCAACTGATATGTTTTACTCTGTATTCAAGAAGGACCCCATGAACCGCACTGAAGGCCGAAGATATCGACACACTGTTCTAGAGAAAGGAGGCAGCCAGGATGAGATGAAGACCCTCGTTGAGTTCCTCGGCAGAGAGCCCAAGACTGATGCCTTCTATGAGGAATTGGGCATTGCGAAATGAACGTAGTCTGAATGTCGGTATGACTTGAGCTTATCGGTCACCATTTGTGCGCTGTCCCCCCTACCATTCGCAAGCTGTATTTTACACATCATTGGCTCACTCTATCCATGAGAAATATGTTGTCAGAAGATAAGATTTTGTACACCTAAAGGCTCAGGCTTTGCGGGCATAAAGTATAGACATAGCATCGGATTTGGTACAAAATGATACGGCTGTACAGTCTAGTGATACGAGCAATCCTGCCGATGCCGATCCACTCTCAGCGCCGTGAAAGGCTGAAACCCTACACTGTGCCTCCTCCCTCCAGAACTATCTTTGTACCAGACACACATACAGTCTCAATCGTAACGACGATAGCCCCTCTTTATACCACCGTGACTGCAGTTAAGCAAAGTGAAGCTTACCGTATTTATCCTCATATGGGGTCTTCCCATTCTCCGTCCACACGCCTCTAACCGAAATGTCGATCAGCTCCATGCCGGCCTCCTTCCAAACGCCCTCCATCTCGTCGCGCTTCTTACTCTTCGGCTTCCCTTCCTTGATGCGCAGTTTCTCGAAGAAGACGTACGCGGCGTAGAAGACCGGGTTCTCGCAGCCTTTGGTTGGACCCTTGCCCTTTAGGAATGCAGTCAGATGGCGCGGTGTGGCAGGCCGGAAGCTGCCACCTGCGTCCGCGGCAGTGTTAACCATGCGCACGAATCCGGCGTTTGTCGCCCCGGTCGTCTCCCGCATGTACCGGTTGATCTTGGTGCGCGTGTCGTCGCATGTCTCGTAGATCGGCACCGTGCAGTTGCTTTCTCCTGCAAGTACGATCATAGACACATCGTTCTTGCTGGCGGCCTTCGCTTTATCGGAGACTTGTTTCTTCGGCTTCGGGCTGTCCTTGTCTGCATTGCTGTCGATGGCACTGCCAGGGTTTGATGCCATGGTCTTCGCCTTCTTTGCTCGTGACTCCTTCACACCCTAGCGTCCTGCTTTTAGCACGAGCTAAGCTGAAGGCCATGGATTTTTCATTCGAGGGAGAGAATCAGAATCAGACTTACAGTCTCAGTGCTTTTGGAGATTTCAACGCCATCGTCTAGATCAATCGGCGCGTCGATGGTATCGCCGCTTTTGCGTTTCTTTCCTTTACTGGCAGCCACATTCTGTAACGTTTAGGCACGCATGCAGGACAACCATGTTAGATCACTGAAGTACACACCTCAAGTTGTGCACCTTTCTTGGCACCTTCTTTGGTCTTGGGTGCCTGGACGGTGGAGTTCGCGTCACGCTCTCCCAGAGGTGTGATCTTGGGAACGTTGATGGTTTTGGCAAGGGTTTGGAGGTTAGTAGTGATTGCTTCGAATGAGCCTCGACTGTCGCTAGCAGTGAAAGGAACGTAATCAGGAACAGGCATGATCACGACTGACAGATATGAAAAGACAAATTCATTTAGTCCGAACCTTTGGAGACTGGAGCGAGTTGATTATGGGTGGGTAGAGTAAACGCGCTCCCCTGTGCCCCTACGTCATTTTATTGATGCGCCACGACGCGTAAATGAAACGCAGTCACATGTTCACGTGCTTGACGTCAAGACTTCCCACCCTTTAAGATCACGAATAGCATCGATCATTTTAGTTGTGGAGAGGCTTTGCCAGTTCTTTCCGCAGCTTAGCTCAAGTGCCTAAACTACTAGAAATTCTACCAGATATAGAGACGAATATTATATCGTCCAGGTCTAATGATCTCCATCGGTGAACTATCTTGGCAGCGCAAGCTGCAACGAGAAGGAGAATCACTCTCTTGGGCGCAAGAATCACACGGATAGGGCACTTTTTTCCATTGTAGCGACGCACTCACAACTGGTTTGGACACAGTCGTTTTTCTGATGACGAGCTTTTGTGGTTCTACCCTTTTCGAAGGATTTCTCGGCCTCAGTTTCTGATCCATCCCGGTCTCTGGGTTGATCTAGACAAATCAGCAACCAGCTGAGAGCTGACTATATTCTATGTCTCCGCCACCACGTGCAACTGATTTCGTGGTTGCTAGCAATTTATGGCATTGCGCGATCTCAGGCTCAGTGGGCATGTCTTCTTAGCTGAGGCTAATGGCTTGCAAATTGTCGAGCCACAGGAGTGCCAGGATGCAATTTCCCTATCACCCAGAATGACGTGATTTCATGAATGTCTTGATGGCCGAGCCTCGATCACCTCTTGCATGGCGTGCTTATGCTCGAGCCCACATCATTTTGATTGCTTTTGAGACGACCTAGTGGTGGAAGTATTCCGAAGGAATTGCTAGCTCTCTTACTGCACCTGGGCAAGTACAATTAACTATCAAACTGCAGGGCAGTTATCGGCAATGTGGAATTGAGATTAACATCAATCAAATTTATTTCGTTAGCAAAAGAGTAAGTTACATGTCCAACCATACTGTCGTTGACAAAGCCCAGGCAATTCTCATGCCGGCTGACTTGGCTACTATTCGCAAAAGAGCCTTCTTATCATGAAACAGAGCTTGCCACTTCTCCAGAGATCGGTAATAGCGTCATACTCACTATCTTACAATTTGAATGGATCAACAGCGCTGTGCCCCATAACTCCAACGGATCACGTAACCTGGTGGGGGAAGACGTGCGAGGTTGGCAATCACCCAATCACCCAATCAAGCGATTGATCAAGCATACCAGCTTTCTCAACGAGATGATGCCCTTGGAATCACGCAGCCGTCTGGCCTGCGGCGTTCAGCAGCGTACTGCGCGGAGCGATGAACTGTGAAAATTTACCAGGCACTAGGCAAATAGTGTAACAGAATCATCCTGGTACCTCATGTGCCGAAGATCCGCAGAACAGATTATTATATATATGAGTCGAGTTGAGGACCTCTCGTTCGCTTCCGGCATAGAAGAATAACCGACCATTGTGAACTGTCAAATCAATATGGCTACTAGCGTCCAGAGTCCCCCTCCCACCTGGAAAGGTGCTGTTGGAACATACAAGGAACTGCAAACGGAACGATATGAACAAGACAAGGAATTAGATGCACAGTCCAAGTTCGGTGCAGTCACATATCCTAAGTAAAGAAATCCACCTTCTGACTCGGGAAGGTCATTGCTAATGAGGGTATTGCAAAAGCTATTTACCTGTTTGGGACAATGAGAAGGGGGAGGTCTATCCACCTCTTGAGCCATTCGAGCATGTCGAACATGGAAAGGACGCAGATCCAATATTTCCTAATCTGCTGAAGGACGGCAGCGTCCTCACTGAGATCACTGCATCAATTGGGGCTGAGGTCACCGGTGTTCAACTCTCACAACTGACCGACAAGGGCAAGGACGAGCTGGCTCTCCTGGTTGCACAGAAGAAGGTCGTTGCTTTCAGGGATCAAGACTTTGCAGATCTCCCCATCGATAAGGCTTTGGATTTTGGAAGATATTTCGGTAGACTGCACATTCATCCCACGAGGTAAGAGCCCTCCAGCTTTTGAAGAAGGTTAGCGACTGACAAGATGAAATTAGTGGTGCTCCCGCCGGTTATCCAGAAGTTCATCTGGTTCACCGCGCTGCTGAGGACAAGTCTGGCCTGGAGTTCCTCAACAGTCGCACCAACTCTGTCGCCTGGCATTCGGATGTCAGCTACGAAGTCCAGCCGATTGGGACTACTTTCCTCATAGCCCTTGACACCCCCAAGGCTGGGGGTGATACGCTCTTCGTTAATCAGGCCAAGGCCTACGAAAGGTTGTCGCCCTCTTTCCGTGAACGTTTAGCGGGCTTGAAGGCTGTCCATTCTGGTTACGAACAAGCTGCTGCTGCTCGGAACAGAGGTAGTATCGTCCGCAGAAACCCAGTCTCGTAAGTTTGTAGAGAGAACGGCCCTGTGACATCGAACAAAATAACTCACTTGCCTGCAGCTCAATCCACCCCGTCGTTAGAACTCACCCAGCAACCGGCGAGAAAGCGTTGTATGTCAACCCACAATTCACGAGATATATCGTTGGATTTAAGCAGGAGGAGAGCGACTACCTTTTGAAGTTTCTTTATGACCATATTGCCCTCTCTGCCGATATTCAAGCCCGAGTGAAATGGGAACCCCGTACCGTGATTGTTTGGGATAACCGCGTCACTGCACATACCGCTCTGGTTGACTGGGAGGATGGCCAGCGACGCCACATTGCTCGTATTACTCCTCAAGCGGAGCGGCCATATGAGTCATAAATGTGATTATCGAAGGTATATCCAGCCCAATGTGTCGAGCACATCAGAGTTGGGTCGTCGTCAAATTGGTCAGTATCAAACCACTACAATAGGCGTGCGCTGTTGTATCAGCACCAAAAAGGGGCATGAACGTGACTAAAAAGAACAACTCTGAGAATCAAGAATCGATAGACCGAATTCAATTTTCCATATCTCAAACGTGAACGACCTATACCTTGGTCTATGATGCCTAGACGTTTCTTTTCAAGCCGCGCCTGACTCCAAACTATGCTCGTAACCGTGGCGAGTGGGACGTAGAGCAGGAATATGAGTACAATAAAGAGCCGTCTAGTCACCCTCGAGTCTTGCAACGACGGTGCTCATTTCCTCGTCGGTATAAATCCGGAATCCATTTTCTTGAGTGACACTCGCCAATTGCACGTTCTTCGAATCCAGCTTCTCCTCCATCACCTGTTTCAGTGTTTTCAAAACAAGAGTCTCGGCCTCCTCTAACGTCAGGGACTTGTGGAATTCGGACTGTAGTTCTGCTTGAGCTCCTTCACTGCCCGAGCCAATTGCTTTCGCGTCGTAGCGGTAGAAGGTGCCTGACGGCTCGGCGTGGTACCTGTGTCGACGCACGTCAGTCTGATCCCGAACCAGAAATGTCATCCGTAGGGGATTAGCGTAGCCACTCACAATTGTGGTCCGTTGTCCTCATCCCAGCCAGCGATTAAGAGAGCGACACCGAAGGGTCTACTCATTATCGACTCTTCACCTTGTGCACCTTCACCGAATCTCAAAGCCAAGTCGCAAATCGCTTGGGTGCAGCTCTCGACGCCGAGTTTCTCGTTGAAATTGAAAGCGTGGTTCTGCGACTCGACCCGTGCGTGTTCAATCATGCTCCGCGCGTCTGCTTGCAGGCCCGACATGGCACAGCCAATGTGTCTGTCGATCTCGACGATCTTCTCGATACTGGAGGAAACGAGTAAAGGAGAAGTGACACGCTTCTCTACACCGAGGAGGACGCCATAAGAGGTTGCAACCTGTTATATGTAAGTCCACGGGTTTCTGAATTTCTGAAGGGAGACACGGCGTGACCGCTGGCATTTGTACATACGCCGATGGCCGTCGAGCCGAGTTTGATGGCTTCTAGAGAATATTCAACCTGGAATAGACGTCCTTCTGGGGAGAAGGTGCTATGTATGGTCAGTCTGACACCTTTGTATCGTATCTGCTTAATACGCACTTGATTCCTCGATCTGCTTCAGTCAGTACGGGCAGTTAAAGAGATTGGGCCTAGGGACGTTACCATATTCTGAGCGGGCTATAAACATGGTGATGGTGGTCGTAAAGCGTAGGCGGCGAAGGAAAGGAAGTGCGATCAGGCAATGCTCTCGATCAAGAACTTCAGAGAGAAGTCTGACTGAGTTCGGAATCGAAAGTAAATAATTACTTAACAGATTGAATGTCGGCGAGACAATAGGCAAGCTTTGAGATGCGCAATCATTTCCTTGCGCGGAACGTTGTATGGTCGACCGTACAGATGCCAAGGCTACTGCGTTACTATTATAATGCTCCTATGTACTGGAATATATCTTCTGGTTTGTCTCTCCTTCGCCGTCTCCTTATCATGTCATTGTATGGGTGGATGAGGCGCAGGAGATTAAAGAGCATGATAGGGCTGTTTGGGATGCTTTCAACCTGGTACTACCCTCAAAAGTAATGTTAATACTCAATATTGCTCTAGATAGGCTATCTTAGTCGGGAACTGTGTTCATGGCGTGTCACCGTTGGAACTTCAACGCTCGCTCACAACATCAGATCTCTCGATGAAATAGTACGTCGTCCGAACGCGGTCCTGGTCTTTGTCATCTATGTCTACTTTGAGAGACCATGATTGAACTCTAAGGAAGAGCTTTGCCTCGTTCTTGTCGACCATTCGCGCGTACCGGCCGTCCAGTGGCTCCCACTTGGGCGTCGGAAGATCTACGCATGAAGGAAAATAAGGGTGATTTCTCCGGTACCATTGTGATCGAGTTGTACCAGGTCCACTTTTGGTGCGAGCCTGAGTGTCGAAGAGCTGGAATGCCGTGCCACCATCGGATTCTCACGGACGCCAGCATTCTAAACAGGATATTCCATCCCTTCATCCCTTTGGGAGCGTAAGACTTTAAGATTTACTGTTATGGTCCAGGCAAACCTTTATACAGAACCAGATTCGTCCTTAGATCTGAGAAGACTACTAAATAAAATCGTACCTGCGTGTCATGAACGGGACATCAGCCACATCATGTCCTTTTTGTTATGCAAGTGCCAGTGTCATCGTTTGATGAAGGCGCCGCATCGGAAATACTTTTGTTCGGATGTACTTCCCCTTTTGTGATTCGCCGTAGAGTGGAAAGGCTTGGCAGGCACCGCCCCGAGACCCGATGACCAGCATTGACGTAATTGGCTAGAAATCCGTCTCAAATGTGAACAAGTTGTTCTCATCAACATGAAGCATCTCATGTGAAGACGGTGTCCCTTGTACCGCTTACAAAATACCTGGCGTTCATGATTGAGGAATCGGCTTTTCTTGCAATGCATCTTTGATTCCCTGATCTATCTCTAACCTTACAACGAAATGGCACCCCCAGGCAGGCGGAAGTTCACCACTTTAATCCTTCTCCCACTCCTCGCCCTCCTCTTTCTTGCTAGCAGTGCTCATGCTGGCTCCGCGGTGTTAGGAATCGACCTTGGGACCGAGTACTTCAAGGCCGCCATCGCAAAACCAGGTAGCCCTATCGACATTGTCCTCTCGAAAGATTCCAAACGGAGAGAAGCAGCTACAATTGCCTTCAAACCCTCAAGGGCGCAGACTAGCGACGATGAAGCGTTTCCTGAGAGGCTGTACGGTGGAGATGCCGTGGCCCTGGCGGCTCGGTTTCCCACGGATGTTTACCCGAACCTGAAGACACTACTTGGCCTTGATGCATCATCCGAACTAGTGGAACAATATACCGCACGATACCCTGGACTCGATATTGAAACGATTCCACGATCCGATGGCGGAGAAGGTACAGTCGGGTTCAAGAGCAGCAGTTTTGGCAAAAGGAAAGAAGTGTTCATGATCGAAGAACTCCTAGCAATGGAACTTAAAAACATCAAAGCTAATGCCGAATCCCAAGTGGTCAAGGGCACCTATGTGACGGAGGTAGTCATAACATACCCTTCGTTCTTTACTGCGGACGAGAAGAGAGCGATTGAATTGGCTGCGGACTTGGCTGGTTTACGTGTGCTCGGGCTTATAAGCGACGGTCTCGCGGTCGGACTCAACTACGCAACGTCTCGTACTTTTGATAGTGTTTCAGAAGGAGGAAAACCCGAGTATCATCTTGTGTACGATGTCGGTGCTGGATGTGCCACTGCAACTGTGCTCAAATTTCAAGGTCGAACAGTCAAAGGGTCTGGCAAGCGCAACCAGACAATTCAAGAAGTCATTGTTCTCGGCACCGGCTTTGACAGAACACTTGGTGGCGACTCTTTGAATGATCTCATTGTTGACGATATGATTGCTCAGTTTCTTTCATTACCAAAGGTTCAGAAATTCGAAGTGTCAGAGGCCAAGATCAAATCTCACGGAAAGACTATGGCAAAGCTCTGGAAGGACGCGGAACGTTTGCGCCAACTACTCAGTGCAAACGCTGTTTCATCTGCAAGCTTTGAGGGATTGTATGACGAGGATCTAAACTTCAAATACAGCTTAACAAGGGAAAGATTTGAAAAGCTAGCAGCTGATCACGCCACCCGCTTTGGACCACCTCTATCTGCCGCCTTGAGTTCCGCAGGGCTACAACTTGACGACCTCGAGTCAATCATCCTCCACGGAGGCTTAGTGAGAACCCCATTTGTCCAGAAGGAGCTCGAAAGAATCGCAGGCGACTCTAGCAAAATCAAGTCCAACGTCAACGCGGATGAAGCAGCAGCGATGGGTGCAGGCTTCAAGGCAGCATCCTTGAGCCCAAGCTTCCGGGTCAAGGATATTCGTAGCACCGATATCTCAGGCTCCGTCGTTAGCATCAAATGGAGTACAGAGAATAAGGAAAAGGCGCAAAAACTCTTCACACCTTCCTCTCACATAGGACACGAAAAGCAGGTACCTGTCAAGGCTTTGGAAGACATCACATTATCTTTCACACAGACTGTACATGAGAAACATATCGACATCTTGGGAGTTCAAGCTACAAATTTGACAAAATCAGCAGCAGTATTGCAGGACAAGCATGGATGTACCCCGGCAAATATCAGCACTAGCTTCAACGTTCGATTGAGTGCGCTGGATGGTCTTCCTGAAGTCGTCTCTGGTTCTGTTAGCTGTGAAACGGACGGAAGCAAGGCGGCTGGTGTGATCGATAATGTGAAAGGTCTCTTCGGATTTGGCTCCAAAAAGGAAGACGATCAAGATGTCCTCGCGGATCAGGAGCTAGGGGACGCCGATTCGTCTTCATTGACTCCTCTACCAGTATCTGACCCTACAAGTGCAGGGTCAACCATTTCGTCGGTCTCGGCTACATCATCCGACTCGACCGTATCTTCGTCCACCACCTCTTCTTCCTCAAGCAAACCTGCCAAGGCCGCGAAAGCCACTCCAACGATTGTTTCGGTCCCGCTTGCCCTCAAGCCCATCCCAATTGGCTTAAATGCTCCGCCCATAGCGCTACTTCCAAAACTACGACAAAGACTTACCCAATTCGATACTTCTGACCAGAACGCAGTATCACGCGCTGAAGCACTGAATACTCTTGAAGCTTTCACATACCGAGCTCGTGATTACTTGGAGGACGATTCGTTTATCTCTGCGTCTACTGACAAAGACCGAGACGAACTAGAAAAGCAGTTGTCTGCTACCTCAGAGTGGCTCTATGGTGATGGGACAGATGCCAATCTACAAGCCTTCAAAGACAAATTGAAAGGTTTAAAGAACTTGGTTGATCCTGTCCTGAAGCGGAAGCAAGAAGCAAGCAAGCGACCGGAGGCGATCAAAGCGTTGCAGGACGGGTTGCAAAACTTGGCCGGTATGATCAAGATGGTGGAAGGAAGCATAGAGAAAGCAGCTGATGACGCAGCATCAAGTGCCAGCGAAGCTGCTGCATCTGCAGCCTCGAGCACAATCCACAGCACAACTAGTTCGTCGGCCAGGGATGATCTTGACGAAGACCCGTACAGCACGAAGTCAACTGCGGAGTCAGACGAGACCGAGTTGCCCGCAATCAAACCTTACGAGTACACAGCAGAAGACCTATCTCTCCTGACCAGCAAGTATGATGCCGCCAAAGCGTGGCTCGACAAAAAACTGGCTTCTCAGGAGAAGCTTTCATCATTTGACGACCCTGCATTCCTCGTATCTGAGCTGGAGACAAAAGGCCAAGAGCTACAAAGAGCGGTGTCAGATACCCTTATGAAAACGATCAAAATGCAAGATCCACGAAAACCAAAACCGAGCAAGAGAGGAAAGTCAAAGACGACGAGAAAGACAACGTCGTCTGGTACTAGTACCTCAACAAGTGTTCGAGATGAGCTATAGATTTTATTGAAGCTTTGGCCCTTCTGCAATGAAAGCATGTTTGTTAAACGTTTCACGTTTCCTCGTGAGTGGCGGCCGCGAGAAGAGTATCCCACCCGTCCCTGTAAGCTTTGATTTGATCCTTAGGTTTGATTATTCCGCGGGCCACATTCCCCTGCACCTGTGAAAACCACTGACTACGATCTTCGAGACAGAGCTATGGCAGGCATCGATGTCTTCCCCACTGGCAATGCCAGGTATCGAGTGTTCAATGCTCGGTAATCGATAGGCAAAACAAGTAGGTTCGCTGGCTAGGCAATCTGGGGCCAAGCCTAAGCTCTCACTGATCAATCATATCGGCTGGCCTCTGAATACAACTACTATACAGCCCAGGGGGCCGCCATCCTCATCGATCTCGAACATAAAGCAATAAGGTGGAAAAAAGAATTGCCCGCACTGGGATTTGAACCAGAGGCCACTTGTTTAGAGAGTTGGGTTGATTGCTGGAGAGACCGAGTTCTTCGGGTTCTGACTCTAGAATCCGGTCTCTCCACCAATTAACCCACCTTTTACAAAGCACGCTACAATTGCGTCACGCGGGAGCAGATGAGTTGATTTGTTGGGAGTATCTACGTGTTCTTATCATAGTTCCACAAGGCGAAGTGGGTATAGCTGGTCGTTGGGGAAGGAGCAGATGGACACGTGAGCAGAGTTCCTTCCCAGACAGGGCGAAGTGCCTTCCACGGTAGCAAGTGGAAAATCTCACTCGACCTCACTTCACGCTTCTGTCACTATCAGAACAACATCGCTACAATCGTTATCAGCACTATGACTACGACCATGTTATGGACTCATTCCTAGTGGGGATGTTACGTCGCCATCCTCCACCAAGCAAGGCTGTACCAATGGAACCTTTACGTCAGGAGCGCCACGGTCAAGAACGGCCTTTTGGGGCCGGTTTCGCAATACGAAACGTCATATAGTCGAAAGAGTACGCCTTCTCACGGAATCAAACTCGCAGATACTGAATGGAATCCGAGCTTCCTTATCTTGGCCAAGTTCTCAAAGGACAGCCATGGAGGCTGTCCTCATGAACATGACATCCGCCGTCGATACCGCCATCGAACCCCATAGATGGCTCACAAAAGCAACACAAGACCTCATATCATCTGCATTGAATGTTATGAGATTGCCAATTATGGACAAAATACGCCTGAACAAGGCTATCTCATGGCTGCAGCCCATTGGCACTGGTAAAAGATTCACCAGTCCACAGAGATCTCAGAACCCGACTGCGACCTTCCCGGTGATCGATGACCCGTTCTACCCAGCTCCAGGAGCATATTATATGGACTCATCAAAGCGAAGTTGCGATCGCTGCTACCATTACTTCAACCACCATTAGAAACATCGTGATCAAAAATTGATAAATCGGACATGAACGTGGACGAAAGAAGGGCACAATGTCTAACAGCGAATCTGGTCTCTACAGAATGTACGGACTAAATGCGGCCGATTACAGCCAGTTGGTGATATCCAATTCCCAAGTACTCTTGTTTTACGTTGTGATGGGTGCCAAACCAACATATAACGATCTTCGGTAGTCAAGCGTTCACCATCATCTTCGCCTTCGAGTTCGTTTTGCCTTTGTCTATCAGCGTCGGAATCGACATTGTCGTCATTATCTAGGCTACCAGAGCCACTAGAACTGTACTTCCTATCGTTGGAGGACTAGCTAGTGCTAGGGTTGGGTGTGCATTTCTTTCCTTTGATAGATGCCGTGGTGGAGGGAATTGACATGGGCTGCTTCAAAGCTTCAATAGCAGCGGTAGCTGAGGAAGTAGCTGTGATGCCCTTCGAATTATCCTTGGGCTGCTTTTGCTGTACTTCTCCCACCTCTGGTTTCTTTCACCATTGGGTCAAGAGCACGTTCGACATCGTTGCATACTGCTTCTCTACCTTTCATAGAACATCGTCCTACGTAATAGTGGTCAGCTTAGCTTAATATGGTTCAAGGTAAAAGGAGTTCACAAAAGATGGAAAGCGCTTAATCGAGACCCCATGCTCCTATTGACGAAACTTACTTGCTTTGCAGCCACCAGAGCCAGTCAGATGCAGACATCATTGACAACTCATCGGTAAGATGCGGATATATCCACTAGTGCTCATCCATCAAACAGTGAACTGAGTGGCTGGTAGCTGGCCCGCTGTCCGCTCGACTAACCATGACTTGGCCGCTCCGATACCAACGTGAAGCTTACTGTATATAGAACGGTGCTCTTACTGCTCCCTTGCGTTTGCTCCCGAGTCTTTCCTGCATCCAGATGAGTTTGCGTTCAAATACGCGGCATTCATGCAACCGCAGTGGGGCCCAGAACCAGCAAGGAATTAAGCTAACTTTTCGCAAATAATATGTGTCTTCTATTGCACTCCCATGCTGCTTCGAAGGCCTGGAGAAGATGTCCAACTCGATCTCCTCACTTTCAGAGAGGTAGCCCCATCCGACCGTTGGAAAAATCGACTTTAACCGCAATAAATCGATGAGAAATGAAAGGAAAACATGTCTAAGCCTCTTATATCTAGTGTGAGAGAAAGATGGTTTCCAGCTCAGCCTAATTCACCTCAGTTCTACCTTGCTGTACTATGAGATTTTGGCATTCAGTAGATGATTTTGGACATTTCCATGGCCCTGTTATCTTGACGAACGGCGAATAAAAGGGCGCCCAAAATCCGATTGGTGCCTTGTTGCATGACTTTCAAAGCAAGGCAGACACACGCTATGATCAGTACATCTGCCCAACTTCAGTCTTTTGGTTTCTTCTACTTAACCATGCCTTCGGCCATTGACAGCAAGCTATTGTAGACGAGGTTGCTTCTTTTCACATCTTGTCACTCAATTACGGTAGACGAGCTAGAAGATTTCCAAATTTCGATATCTGATGGCTGAAGTGGTGGGAGTGGTGGCGAGCGGTGCTGCAATCGTCGGCTTTGGATGCCAAATCCTAGAAAGCGTGTTCAAATTACAGCGGACGTTAACAGCCATCCAGGATGCTCCACAGGAGCTGAAAACTACCTTAGAGGAGATCACTATTGTGACAAATGTCCTCATCCAATGTTTGGACACTCCAAACCCTCACGCTATTGGCTCGAGGCAAGCTGTGGCCAGAGATCAAGCTCTAGTTCATTGTGAAACAGCGTGTAAGCATCTATTCGCCGTAGTCTCCGGAATAGAAAACAGCATCAAGGACTCCAAATTCCGCTCTAGGTGGTATAGCGTCCTGGCGGTGCTTAAGGCTAAAAGGATTGCAGATCTTGTTGCGAGGCTGGAGAGAGTAAAATCCACTCTTGCACTTGCGCAAATAATGCATCTCCAGTAAGGGTTCATTCCTTCTAGCTTCTAACAACATAGTGCGCTGACCATTAGAAGGTCCCATGTATATGGGAGGAGTAGTTAAACTACCAGAAAGCAGGCGTCTCCTCGGCTGCTATCATGCAACGGCGTCGGCTTTTCAACAATATCAGGGGCGGACACCAAGATAAGGGCGTCCACGCTCCTTATACAGAGACTGTATGTTAGCTAGGTATCGGAGTACTCGTGGTGCGGCACGTACGGACAACCAATGTAGTACAACTTTCATCTCTGGAAGAAACTAGAGTTCAGTTTCGCTTTGCAGACTGGTTTCTGAGGTGGGGTGTTATGATCACAATCAGTCGAGAATATCGAAACTTTAGAATGACGATAAGACCACATCAACTTGTCTCCGCCGACTCAGCCATATTCTAAGCCTACGCCTTAGGTGATGGCTAGACTGTCGCACGACTCATTCAAGAAGGCAACGCCTCTCCATTTGATGTCACTGGCACAGGCTCTACTCCTCTACTCGTAAGAACGCGTGCATTAACATAGCCATTCCTATACCCCATCTTCTTCTACTTTAACAATAGCTATTAGGAAATTACCTGATTTTTCGGCTTAGGTCGCAGCCGCTTGGCTTCATCCGAGTCTCTGCAAGCAGCTTCTCGAATACGGCGCAGATAGTTCGGTCTCATTCCACTCTGATAATCTCTTCTGGTAAGTCACATATCACCAATGTCCCACTTCAACGACTTACTGAAAGGGAATACTTAGGAATCCCCTAGGTTTAGCAGTGGAATGCGCCGGCTACTACCGCTATCACATGTTTCCAGGATTGGAAAAGTATCGTCCTGAGCCTCAGGAATGTCGTGGTCGGATGCGCGAGACAATGCGCGTACTAGCAGAACACGGTAGTGTTGAAGCACATCAAGGTTACCAACCTGGCGAGTTCGGCCATTGGAACCAGTCGAGATCTGCTCTGTACTGGTTTCGGGGCACCTCTGAGGACTTCTCGTGGTTAATCAAACTCGAAAAACCGATTATGACTGCTAAAGACTGGGACGACTACATTGCATCCATCGTCCTTCAACAGACTGAGATGTTTCCAAATGATTCTTTTCCGGCAGCGTTTAACAAGGTCTCAAACATGAAATCTCTGGCTAAATACAAAGACACTTCTGGTTCAAGTCTATTACACTATCTACTCGATACAAACTTCGGAAACGAGCCTGGCATTTGGCTGAATGGTGTAGATATTTTCACTTTCGTCAGGACACTACTTCAGCATGGCGCTAACCCGACAGCGCGCAATAACAACGCCCACACTCTATTGATGAAATTCGCTCAGCACCTTCGGCGCTATTTCATGAGTCACGATCTCCTGTTCAATGCTGAAGCTGCGATTGAGCTTTTCTCTGGATTTTTGGCGCGGTGGACTCGGGTTCTCAAATCATGCAAAATCGATCTTGGAAAGTATCGCTCCCAAGAGGTCGAATCTGGAGCAGAGATTTTTGCGCACTGTCGAGGTTTTGAGGACTACAGCTCCGCTACTGTTGAGCCCAGAATTTGGTTCGTAAGACTTGTATTTGAGCAGATTGACACGAATCAAGAGCTTCAGATCAAATTGCAGTTCAAGTCTAGAGACAAAGACAAGATGATGCCTGGAACTTGGCTTGATGAATTGGCGGACACTTAGCACAGACGCAAGTCATCTGGTGGCTAGGGGAGGACAATGCTGTATAGAAAGGATTACTCATCTCTACCCCTGTTTTTGCTTCCCGCCGCATAAACACTTCACCAGCTGGTGCTCTTATTGACCAATTGTAGCTCTCGGCCTTGCTCAACCTTGCTTGTTTTGGTCGTTAGTATTTCTCATTACCTTATATAGGCATCAACGAGCCCTATAGCAAACAACGGGGGGAGTCATGAACTGATCGTAAAGTATTCGTCGCCTCTATTCTGGTCCATGGCCCTCGCCAAAGGATGTAACCTACGCTCTGTTTCTGCTTCGACGAGCAGCTAGACTTCTCACACCCAACCTTGATCTTGGGATGCTTCATGCTTGAGGTAGTCGCTATTCTTCGATGAGTATTCAGCTTACGAGATGTAGTGTGCAAAAGCTCCAGAGAGTAGTGGCGTGGCTGTCACTGGAACAAACATGTGTGCAAACTCGACAATAAGCGAAGGACTTCTACCCAATTTGAGCAAACTAATTTTAATAATTTTGTATTTCCTTACACCTAGCTCGTTGAATATTACATTACAGAGTAGATGCGACTATACAGGAATAAGTTATCCTCTTACAATCATCAGCAATGAGGCTATATCCCGCCTCCAACATCTATGCACTAGGTATTCCATTTTCTGGGAGCAAATCGTGATGCTTCACCATTTTTGTTGTCGTCAAGGATCGTACGCTCAAGCCCAACAAGGCAGAGACTTTATCATGCATAACTCGTAAATAAGACGGGGTTTGTGTTGTAAATGCTTATGCAAGAGCAATGAGAGCAACGAGGCCACCGACAAGAGCTACAGCGGGCTTGTTATTGCTTGCGGCTCCAGTATAAGTCGCAGGCGCAGCGGTGGTGGACACAGGAGTATAGCTCTGCACTGGGTTGCTAGTGACAGCTGGAGCCGGAGCCGTCGTCGCTGGAGCCGGAGCCGGTGCAACCGAGCTCCACGCAACCCACGACGACTGCACAGCTGGGGCAACTGGCTGCGATGAAGCGGGAACTGGCGCTGGAGCTGGAGCCCATGTCTGGAAGCTCGCTGGCGCTGCTGGCTTGGACGAGGCTGGCGCGACAGGGGCAGGGGCAGGGGCAGAAGCCCAGTCCGACCAGCTAGATGCAACAGGCGCTGGAGCAGGTTTCGACGAGGCTGGTACTGGTGCGGGAGCTGGTGCGCTCCAGTCAGCCCAGCTAGACGCAACAGGCGCTGGAGCTGGCTTTGTTGAAACGGGGGCGGGGGCTGCTGAACTCCAGTCGGCCCACGTGCTGGTCACAGGCTTGACTGACTTTGTGGTCGTGGTTGAGACGCTCCA